TTTTTTTTTTTATATAATTTTTAAAGTAGAATTTTTATTTAATTAAGTTTTTAATAATAATCTTTAGGGTGTATTATTATATAAAGTAAGTAATATAATTATTAATATTATAAAAGGTAAATTCTTATTAATTATATATTAAGGGGTTATAAAAATTATATTATTTTATAATTTTTAAAGTAATATATATTTTATAATAAAATATTTTATAAAACGCTAGGTTTATTTACTTATAATTAAAGCTAAATAAAATATTATTTATTTTTTAATAATTTTATAAAAAATTATTAACTTTTTTAATTACTTAATATTTATTTTTATACTTTAAGTTTATTATTCTATAGGGATAATATAGTTTATATAATTTAAGTAATTTATAGTTTTTATAAGGTTTTTTTAATATTAGTTTTTAGTGTTTTTTAAAGGTTAATTTTTAAGATATTTTTTTAAAAGGTATTTATAGTTTTTTAAAGGTTAAAGTTTTTATAATTTTTAATTATTTTTATTATTAAAGACTTTTTATTTTCTTTAATAATTCCTTTAATTATATAATATTATTTAAAGTTTTTATTTATTATACTATAGGTATAATATAATCCTTTAGGTCTTTAAGATTTATATTTATAATATAATTTATATATTTTTTTTTTTAAGAATTTATTTTTTTTTTTTTAATTCTTTTATAATATAATATTAAGAAAACTATTATTATTTTTTTTAAATATAACTATAGCTTTTATATTTTTTAATATTAAATATATTTTTATAAATATAATTAAAATATTATTAATATTATTTTATTCTTTATATTTTTTAGTTTATTTTTTTAACTTAATTAAATTTTTAAGTTTATTAAAAAGTTTTTTTAAGTTTTAATTAATAATTTTATTATTTTTATATTTATTAATTTATTAAATAATATTTAAGGTTTTTCTTTTTTTTAATATTTTAAAAAACTATTTTATATTTTATTTTTTACTAAAATAAGTTTTATATTTATTATTATAATATTTTATTTAATTAAAAGATTTATATAAGATAATATTAATAATATTAACTATTTTATCTTTAAGTTTAAGTATTAAGGTTTATTTATTATTACTTTTTTTTTTTAATATTTTATAATATTTTTTTATATAGTTTTTTTTTTTATAATTAAAATATTTAATGTTTTTATATTATTCTTTAATAATATTTAAGTTTATAGATTTTAATTATTTATTATTAAAAAATATAAAGTTTTATTTTTTACTTTAATTTGTATTATTATATTATATATAAAAGTTTTTTAATTTTTTTTTTTTTTTATTTATATTTTTAAATTTAATTATTTATAATAATAGTTTATTATATATAATTAAAAAAGTTTATTTTTTTATAATTAACTTTATATAATTTATTTTTAACTTTAAGTTTTAGTATATAATAATAAGCTTTTTTTTTATTTTTTTTAATTTAATTAACTTTTATTAAAAAGTAAATAAAAGCAGTAGTATTTTTTAAAAAAGGTTTTTTTTAATATATATTTGTGACAAGCTGGGTTCCTATAAGTAAGTATGAGAGGGATTCCCAAGGGACAAACCGTTGTACTAGGTTTATGTTGGCGGATAGGTCAGGCTGGACTAATGGGCAATGTAGAATAATATGTCACGCAACAGTAGAGAGTATCCAGTAGATTCAATCAATGCGTTGTATTCACAACTGGCTAACTAAACTATTCTAAACGAGCGTTGTGAAAGATATATATAATATGATGTTCACTTTGGTTCACTTTGAGAAAGTGAACATCTTCCTAATCGGGCGATTGTTCACTTGTGTTCACTTTTGAAAAGTGAACACATACCTGATTGGTTGTACGGTCCGGAGTTGATCCGCGATGCCTACCCTGTAGGCCTGTTGTTGCGACCATAAAGGCGTTGGCTCGTAACAATATTTTAAAAAAGTTTTTTAATTTTTTATTTTTTATTAACGGTTTTAAATAATTTCTTTAATTATTTATAAAAGTCTTAGTATATTTTAAAAACTTCTTAAGTTTATAGTTTTTAATTATTTAAGGTATTAGCTTTAAAGTTTTTTATAATAAATTAAATTTATTTTTTTATTATTTTTATTAAATAAGTAATAGTAAAAATAGTTTTATTTTTATTTTTTTTTAATATAAATAAAAAATATTTAAAATAAATATTAAATTTTATAAAATATTTATTTATTTTTTAAAAGTCTTTATTATATAAGTTAAGTTTTTTTAATTATAAAACTTTATTATATTTTTTTTTTTTTACTTTAAAAACATTAATTTTTTTTTAAAGTATTTTAATTATAGCTATAGTTTATTTTAAAATTAAAGTTTTTTTATTAATTATTATTTTATTATTTTTTTTAAAATTATTTTTAATTTTAATATTATTATTTAAGTAATTACTTTAGGCTTTACTTTTATAATTAATTTTAACGTTTAAAACTTAAAATCTAATTATTTAATATTTTATTTTTTATTACTTATAGGTTTAAAATAACTATTTAAATAAAAATTATTAATATATAATAAACTGGGTTTTATATATTAATATAAGTTAATTATTTTTAAAAAATAAACCTTTAAGTTTTAGGTTTATATTAATAAAATAATTAAATTAAATATAAATATTATTTTATTAATATTATATAATTAGTAAAAATAATAGCTAAATTTAATTTAATTACTATATTAATAACTAACTATTTAAACTATTTAAATAAGCATAAGAATATAAACTTATATACTTAATTGCTTTAAGTTAAATTAATAATCTAAGTATTAATCTATACTTAAATTAATAAATATTTTATTAATCTTTTATTAAATTAAGAAGTTATATTTTAATCCCCTTCTGATTAATTAAAAGATTAAAATTAATCTAATCTAGGCTAACCTATTAGCCTATTATTGCGACTTTAAAAGTTAGGTCGTGATATTAAAAATATTTTATTATTTTATATTTTCTTTAAATTTCTATAGCTTTTAAAATATACTTTTTTAACTTTACTATAAATATAGCCTATTAATTTTAATCTTTTAACAGTATATTATTTAAAATAATTAAAAAAAATTAAATCTTTTATTATTAAAATTTAAATATTACAGTTACTTTTTAAAAAATATAAATATATATTAAAGCTTTATTATATAATATTTTTACTTTAGTAATCTCTTTACTTTTTAATAAAAAAATAAATTTATTAAAAATAGTAGTTTTTAAAAAAATAAAAAAGTTAAAAATAAATATAATACAGTCTTTATTATAGACTTTATAACTAAGGTTATATAAAGGACTATATTTATTTTTAAACTCTCTAAAAATAAAAGGGCTATAGCTTCCTTTTTATACCTTTATTTAGTTTTATTAACCAACTAGCTTATTAGTTATAAACTTAAACGCCTTTATCGGCGTTTAATAAAGGAGGAAGCGTTCCTTTTGTAAATAGCCTCTGACAATAACGATCTGTGAAGCTCTTTTTGAAAGCATAAAGTATAATTCCCACTAGCAATTCCACAGGTTCGGTGCGAAGAGTGTTGTTAGATGATCCTATAAGAGCAAGCATCGTCTCCTTATCAATCTCAAAGACTGTCGATTGGGAACCACCATGTAAGTTTGGTCGGCCAGTCATATTCCAGTAGTCAAATTCGGGGTGGTGTTGTTGGTAAGTTGAAATAGAAGGAATATGTGACTATTCCACTTGTTTTCGTGAAACTGAAGATTCAGTACATGATTCCTTTGTGTGAAGATGGGCAACTAAGGCGGAAATGGTGCGGTAATGAAGAATTTCCTGAACGGTGACAAATATTTCCTGAGCCCTAGCTCTTGAAACAGCTCGCATCCCCGCGATAGAATCTCCTCCTAAAGAAATAAAGGCATTCAAAGGACCAATGCTATTTTCTGGGATGTTGATAACTTCGCTCCAAATCTTCCGCAGTTGCCGGGCTGTTTCACTTTCACGAAACAACGCCTCGTCTTCAGCGTTTTTTTCAATGCCACTAGTCTGAAACTCAACTGCGTCTTTCAGCACATCTCCGTCGACAGCCGCCAACCAAGCCCGTATTTTCTGCCTATCCAGTTTGCCAGAAGGCTGGAGAGGCATCTTCTGGACAGGAATCCAGACAGTCGGTACCATGTATGCTGGCAATGCTGAGTGCAGCTTGTCACCCAAACAGATGCAAATGTCGGCGGCTGTATTCCAGCACTCTCTAGTGATGAATTGCAGCTCCATAGCAGCTTTCCGCTCCTTTAGCTCCATGAGGCCATTAAGACACATAACAGCTACCAAACGCCCCTGAAAAGGGCCAGATTTGGGTACTTCAGCGAGCGCCTGGACAGTAGACTCATCACTCAACAGATTAGCTTCGACTTCGCCAAGCTCAAGTCGTTGTCCGTTCACTTTCACTTGGCTGTCTCCACGACCGCAGAACTTTAGTGAGCCATCACTGAGTTGCCGTACCAGATCCCCTGTCTTATAGAATGCAAATGCCTCATGGGAAACCCCCTTAAAGCGAGATGCCCAGGACGGTGTAGAAATGAAGGATTGTAATGTCTTGTCGGTATCCCCCAAGTACCCTTTGGTAATGTTTGGTCCTTCAATGATAAGTTCTCCAACAGCCCCAATAGATGAGAGTTTATTGTGATTAATTGGATCCACAATCCAGGCTCTACATCCAACGGGTTTACCAATGACGGTTGGGTCCAGCTCCGTATTCTGGGAAATTGACAGGCAACACAAATGACTGTGGTTTCCGTTGGTCCATAGCCGTTGAATAGCCTAACTCTCCCAAGCCATGTGTCCACGCAGTCTTTATCAACTGATTCGCCAATAAGTACCAAAGTGCGAACTCCTGTGATTGAATCTGGGTCAAGAGTTCGAACGAACGTCGGCGTTAACATGGCCCAATTGACACCAACTTGTCGAATGAAGCTTGCTAGATTATTCATACGGTCTTCATCTGACGGAACGCAAACACATCCACCATACACAAGCACAGTAAATACTTCGGCAATGACAGAGTCAAATGTATAGGCACCAAACTGAAGAGCCCTAGTATTTTTATCGATGCCTGTTGCTGGCCCGTGGGCATACATACTGCAGCAGAGCGATTGATGAGGAACCACGACTCCCTTTGGTTTTCCAGTGGATCCCGAAGTAAAGAGAACGTAGGCTGTATCATGGGGTCCCACGGATGGATGAGTACCAGGGTTTGCGCTGATAATATCGGCGCTCTCTTCAAGAGCTGTGATAGATCCCTCATTGACGACAACGACAACTTGGTTTCTCTGTATCTTGTTAATCATTTTCAACGTAGAGGCGGAAGTTATGACAATCGTGGCCATTGTGTCCGCAAGAATGGCTTCTATGCGGCTGACGGGGGCGGCGGGATCCAGGGGAACGAAAGCCGCCCCAGCTTTCAATACACCCAGCATGGAGACAATTGCCCAAGCCGATTTTTCCATGCAAAAGGGGATCATCACGCCAGGGCCTGCACCCAAAAATTTTAGGTGCATGGCTAATCGTGTGCTCAGCATACTCAACTGTCTGTATGTAAAGTTAACGTCGAGTGAGCATACAGCAAGTTCTTCGGGGTGAAGGACAGCTTCAGCCTCAAAGAGATTGTGGGCACATGCGTCAGTCACCGGAAGCTGAGTGCGATGCCACTGTGACAGTTGACTGCAGTGGTCCTCGGTGCATAAATCCAGTTCCGTTATCTTGAGGTTAGGGTCGTTTAAGAAATGCTCAATTATAGAAGTGAAGCAGCTGATGATGTTTTCTGCATCGGTTTATTCTAGGAGATTGGCCTTGTAATCAAGTACAAAAAGTAAGTCATCACCAGTGTCTTCAATATTGACAACAAGGTCGTATTCAGCAACAGTGTGTACATGGATAAGATTTAAGCTGATCTCATCAGATGTACGCTGAAGTTTTGGTCGCCTTTGAACGTCAACCAACGTGTTGAAGAATCCACCGTTGATTTGCATTCTGCGCTGAATAGATGCCAGCGAGCATTGTTCGTGGGGTAAAGAACAGGAAATATTCTTTCGAAGTTGGCTCGCAAGATCTAGCAGGGTTGTGGATTTGTCGATGCGAGCCCGAGCTACCATCATGCTGATATAGGTGCCAAGTGCCTCTTGAATTTTGGGCAATGGCACATTGTGACGGCCAGAGGAGATATAACCAAAAGCTACGTCGTCTCTTCCCAAATAGGCGCGCAGTAATACTGACCAGGCAGCATGGAAAAGCATGGAAAAGCTAACTTTTGTGCTTTTCACCATAGCCAGAACCCTATCCCGGTTGAGCTTAACTTGTCGACGATATCGCTGTGGAAGCCCTCGATTCTCCCTACCAACACGAAGTTTAGGAAACATGGATGGCTGGGAGCCCTCGAGAAAGGTTTGCCAGTACTTTAGTTTTTCTTCTTCGGGGTTGTTTTGAAGATGTTGCACAAAGTTACGGAAGGGAATTCCGATAAGCTGGCGATTTGGGTCGTCGTAGAGACGCATGAGTTCATGAAGGATCTTCATGCTTGAGATGGCGTCAGAAACGCCATGATGTAGTTCAATTCTAAGACCATCGGGACCATTTGATGACTCGCAAAATGCTAAGCAATGCGGGGCAATACGACCATCTTCCCATGTCGGGTTTTTCGTTGTGATGTCGTAGAGAGTCTCGCAATGAATTTCCTGGATTCCAGTAGGTACACCCCGCAAAACAATCTGATAAAATAACCCCTCCCCAGAGGTTGATTGAACAAAGACTGTTCGAAGAGCAGTAGACTGTCGAACGATGCTGTCCCAGGATTTTTGGAGACGCTTCAAATCAAAGGTTGCACCTTTAACCGTATGCAACTCCATGGTGGCACGAATAATGTAGTCCTCCGTACCTTGCATCTGACTCGTTAAAATACCTTCCTGGACAGGCGTGCAAGGATAGACATCCTCGATATCGTCAAGGCTATATCCGTGGAATTGGGCGAGAAATGCGTTCCTGGCGTCAACGATCTCAAAATCAAGGTCTCCGGAAGATGAGTCTGCCGACGTGATGCTTTCTGACATAGTATCTGTCTCCGTGGCCTCGTGAGATGAAACAGAGATTGGACCACTTCGCAACTCCATCTTTTGGGAGCAAATGGAGGGCATAGGTTTTCCCAGTTGAACTTGGTCTATGACCACAGTATTAAGATTGTCGCTCATAATGATTGAAGTGTTAAAAGATGCTCAGCATATGTGGTTAAAACGTTCACAGTGAAGCAAACGTCGGTACGTGTCGAGATTGGGCGTAATCATACAATGCCAATAATGGGCAAATTACTGCAATATGTCCAAGAGATAATAAACTATTCTAGTTTCGAATACCCGACTATTGAATTTCCAGTTTGTATCATCAGGTTATATATTCTTCACTCATTTGTATCCGGCATTCGGGAATCTATGGTAACCCAACTGTCTGATGAAACTAGTGGGATAATTCTCAGGTTCCTAAGCACTCGCTAGTCTATTCAGTTCGCCGTATTCCGTAAGTATGCGAAAAGGCTGAGGAGTAGGATTCTAACTCCCCTGCAGTGCCTCAAGAGCGGCGATCTGAGGTTGAGTAACCGGAATCCGGGTCCAGTAAACTCAACAACGGTTAGCGCGAATAGCGTCCTAGATCTAGGTAGATTGAACTGCGCTGGAGTCCGAAAGTGTGGGCCGCAAGGTAGCAGATTTCAGGTCATCAACGGCTATAACTCTACCGAGGCGGAATCAGCAACGACCAAGACATCACTTGGACCTCGTTCGGCATCGAAATAGATTGTGGGCATTTTGATGGATTTTCAAGGGTCCTGATTTTATCAGAGGGTTGAACGTTGGTGATAGCCGGGGTGGCGTGATGGCCAGAATAAGAACTAGGCTAGATAAGATGTTGGCTTGCGGCAGTGGCGGTGAATCGTCAATCCTCCAAACAAAAGACCACAACCGTGGGCCAACCAAGTCAGAAACTACCCAAGCCACCAAGCGGGTGACGGCTTCATGTTTAAGCCGTGACCAAGTGACCCCCACTGCTATCGTCAGACACCGAATCCAACGGGAAACACATGTAGCCTCTACAAACGTCGACACACTACCGAGAGCTCAAACACTCAAGAGCTTACGAATTGGTTATTTAGTTATTTTATCCTTCTTTTAAAAATTACCCCAAGCACGACATTGGTACGAGTAATTGTTTGGATGTGGCCGAGGCTTTGCTGGCCACATCTCGTATGGCTCGTGAAGGGTGTATCCACATGGCACACGGCAATTGACCTGCCACATTCAGCAAGGGCTGTTTTTTTAGGTTGGCTTTTGGCGAGACATCCAGAGGCTGCACACGCAAAGCTGGCTGAGTGTGTATTATTCTACGAACTTGTGAACAGCAATAACCCTATACACTACCGACTCAAGCGACTTAATCTAGATCATAGCGGTAGAGTTCATCTATCGACATTATTATGCGTTCCATAACATTATTTCTTATCGCTTACTCTCCAGACAATGATTCCACATGGTGACATGGGTATTGCTCTTCCTAGGTTACAACCCTTCCTTTAACAGCTCTCCCAAGGAGAGTTACTTGCATACTATATTGCGAACAATTATATGCTATAAACCGCGTAGTTGTAGGTGGGGCTCGATTTGAAACGAAGAGTATATGCAGCCCTGGCTTGACAAAGCCACAAACAGGCAACGAGTTATTGGCACGGTAGGAAATCTTTCATAAACTGAGGCTAAAATAATTCCAGTAGGCGGGGTATATAGCACAGATTATTGGTAAGTCATAGGTGTTATGCTAAACGCTAACCCCCCACCCCTTATGGTACATTCATCCCTAAAGCAGATAGCAGTCCGTATAGTTTTCGAACTTGACAACGCCATAAAGAGAAATCTACTATCATAATCACGATAGCACGAAATACAGAAAACAAACAGGAATCTATGAGCATACTTGATTTGCCAACATAGGCTGCGCGTTTAACGAGTTAAATAGGTTTGCGGCAGAGAGGTGGTAATATTGCCACAGAAGGCACAGGTGATATTCCTAGCATAGGGTAGGCTGCGGGGGGCGCAGGGCGAATATTAATTAACTCCTTCGTGCATCATGAAAACTTGCGTAAGTCTACATCATGAAACAGAAAAAATTAAATTTCTACGCCGCGCCGCAGAGTGGGAAATTGTAAGTGTATAAATTGTTGAACGGCTGTGTTGACGTGAAAATCTCCTACATACACTGGTGTGTAAAAGTAAGTATTTTGTGTGCTCAACCTCCCCCCTCCCCAAGCATGTCGGCAACCATATCTCGACCACCAAGTACAATGTCGCCACCTTTCTGCCCAAGCTTCTCTTCGAGTAGTTCTCTAAGGTTGCCAACCTCTTCTTCCTGCCTTTACCTTAACCTGACTCAGTTTCTCCGGTCGGACAGCATATACTGGGCATTCAACTGGCTGGGGTATGAGTCGTAACTACTGCGAGCCGCGTAGGATTCTTGCTTATTAGTACCAAATACGTATTACTTTACGACTTGGCAGTGTCGACTTCTCTGCAAGAGCTCCACCAGTTTCATTGCACAATTTCGATTATGTTTTCCACAAGTGACCACTCGGCAATCGAGTTTGCGCCTGACTTCACATGTTATACTAATGCGCAGCTTCAATCTAATACCATAATTCCATTCAACTCGCGCTAATTGCTTATTTTGTCTCACAAGCGCTTGAATTGAAGGATGCAATTCCTCGTAGAATTAAATGAGGGGTATTCGGACTTTTGGAACTCCACTATACTGATAGAGGACTAGCAGGCAATTGAGATGCCACGCATCCAGTGATGGCGGCAATACGAGTGGCGACTCTGGAAATTTGATAGACATATTGTCCTTAGGTACTCCGTACTGACATGCTAATAGGAGCGTCCCTATAATCCACATTACTTTACAATACCAAGTACACACACATATATACCTTTGCATATTATTAAAAAATAATAATAATTGATACAATAGTAATGGTAAGAGTTACAATCTCCTTTCCAATACACTCTTTCTCACGAATTTTATCAGTATATGTCATCATAATACTGTATGCAAAATGACTGCTGTTCCGTGTCTTGTATGTAGCTGCCCTTTGCAAATTCAATTAGGAAGGTAATAATACCCCGGAGGAATGGATGAGATCTCATGTTCATTGGACTGAAGGAATTGGAATCGTACATAAAGTGCACATGCTGATTTAGTGCAAAGGTAGGCCTGTAGCCATATCTGTAAAGGTCCAAGGGTCTCCTTCAGGCTGTGTATTGCTGGGCCGACAAGGACTCTGCATGCCCGTAGGATTTTTGGATAGCGCATCCAACAACCAGTGTGCATGCAAGCCGCGACTGCTTATTAAATAGCTAGATTCCTTTCTACCTTTTGTCCTTAGGTACTTTCGGTTTTGTCGAGTCTTGGTATTCGGACCCGTTTGCAGCAGTCAATAATTGACAATGTCTGAACAACCAAAAACCCGCCAAAAGTTTCGCAGTAGCTGCACAAACTGCGCGAGCGCAAAAGTCAAGTGCAGCACGACGCGACCGAATTGTGCGCGATGTGTGGAGCGAGGACTGGAATGCTTATATGCTCCATCCAACCGGTACGGTCGACCTCCGGCATCAGTAGGCACTCAGAAAGCGACATTATTACGGAGTCCGCAGGCAGATGGATGCGACTTGACCATGAGCGATTATGCATCCGACGGTGCGACATGGGATTTCAATTCCTGGGTGCCCGCATCAGCGTGCAACCTAACAGCGCGGAACGTCCACTGCGAGATAGATGCATTCTCGGCCGCGGCATACTATGAGGAGTGGAACCTGGAGGACATACCACAGCTTGTGGCAGCGAGCAGCCACGGCAGTAGCTCCACGAACACCAATAGCCCAAAGAACAGCTCTAGTGGTGCCTCGGATAGCTCGCAAGAGGCTGCTCACAGCTGCCTGGCCCAGGCGGCGGCCATCCTCGTCGATATCCGGAATGACAGCTCATCAACCGACTTGACTTGGGCCGCTACTAACGTTGATGCCAAGACTATCGTGGGCGACGTTATCTTCGCAAACCGAAGGGCCACGGGTCAGGTGTCGAGAATCATGGAGTGCGCATGCCTAGCTGCAGATTACCAGATCTCCGTCATTGTGTCGCTGATTTGCTTCCATATGATTGACAGATACGGCAAGGCGGTGGCAGCAGCAAGGGCGACGCTGGGAAGCACGCTAGGGAACAACCATGTCATTGGCTCTGTACAGATTCTTCTTGATGAGCTTCGCCGTATAACGCCCTTGATTGGCAAATCAACGATGCAGGCTGGGGAGCCTCCCGGATCGGCAGGGACCATGGGGATTCCGGTGTCCGGCTTTGGTCAGCTACATAGAGATCTGGAGCACCACCTGTTCAACGTATTGGGAGAAGCGGAGAGTTTTCTGCACCAGGCTTCAGAGTGATCTAACCAATAACGGATCTTCGGGGCACACGGGATGATCCGGAGCATGGGATTCAATATGTGGTGGTGGTGTTGGTGGTAGTACTGGTATGTCTACGGACTTCTCATTAAAGCGGAACCGTTACTGTTTGCAGGGTTAGGTGGATATATTAGCTCAAACATTGCTTGGCGAATTTTGTATGACTGTTTATGAATTGGAATCAGGTTTACGGCGTACACATTTAAGACTTTAGCCAAACAAAAAGGTCGAAGTGTCGACGGGATGTATGGTTTTTAAGGACGCAGGATCTGGGTCAGGACGGAATCTGTACAACTAATATATCACGCTGGTCGACGAGATGAGTCGATCAATGCAAGAATTATACCGCAGCAAAGAGACAGTCACAGTATTCTATAATAAAACTGAAGTTGAGTTGATTCAACACACCAGCTCATGACGTAAGTGTCTTTGTGGTGATCTCGACCCTCTTTGGGAATCCACATTTGCGATTCGAGGAAATCGCTAGCAAAAAAATGGAGATTTTGAGGGTCGATCTGGGTTTTGGAGTGGGAATCGCAAACTACTAGGAAAATGGTCATGGTCAGACCCCTGTCAAAGGGGTGGATTCAGTTGTGATTTCGCTCTCCGATGTGGATACCAATGTGCAGAAGGTAAGTTCCAGTGCCTACGCCTGGGGTGTAGTTAAAATATTGGACTCTGAAGGAAGCATCCACTAATTGGTCTTTGTATATTGGTTGAGTACAATGCATTGATCCTCCAGACAGAGTATGGGGGCGCCTGGAATTCGGCAGCTGTTAGGAGAGTTAACCTTGGAGCCTTGTGTAGTCAGCAACATCGGCGTTAAAAAAATCAATTGAGTAACTGAACTTTGTAAGATGCTAGTATGGTCTTACAACTCCCAAATGAACCTAAGGTGTTAGGAACTCTCTATAGATAGTCTATTGTTACGACATCCATCACCGATAACATGGGTGCTTGACTACCCTCCCGGAAAGCCTACAGGTGATTCGAGTTGTTACAGCTGTTTGCTACCTTGGAATCATCACTCTAAGCCTACTACAGTATTATTCGCCTACTACAGTATTATTCGGTGACCGATTTAGAGCCTTCGTGCGGAGCTAATTTGCGTAGCGCTTCGACAACCCCGGAGAGAAGTAATGGAGGCAGGAAGATTCCCTTTTGAGACCTATCTTGGACCGGATCTCAAACATGAGTTTCTGCGACACAGCAAGGCATATCCCAGGTCTACAACTACGTACTTCCTAGAATAGTGCTTGAATGGAATCATGTTGCTCCGCAAAAGATTGTCAATCAGCAGAATGACACCAGTGGGTATCTCCGGCTTCGGTATCCGAATTACTGAAGAGAAACACAGCCCGATTCCTCTGTTACTCCGCTGTTTTCTTCTGTGTTCTACTCTCTAGGTTTGTGGAAACAATCTCCAGGTGTGAGATAGGTGTACTATCGTATAGAATAAGACTTTATGGTTACTAAACAGATGGATTTTAGTGTTAGTAGTAAAACGTTGTTGTGATGTACCACCCCTTGAGATTGAATGGGGTATCATCCACGATACAAATGATTTGGGCAAGAATGGCAAGTATGACATGTACCCCTGGGTTGAATTCAATATGCCTACACTAACACTCTTACTGTACGACTAATGTACTAAGGATGTCAATATAATAGTTCTTCAGTAGTGTGCCACCACCTTTGAAACCAAGACCTTGCCCCCCCGGTGGCTGTTGGGCTCTGTTGGGGAGGTTAATGGAGTCTCTGGGGTAATTGGTGAGAGAGTATATAAGACGCAGCACAGAATCTATAGAAACAGCAGAATTCAAGGAAATATACAGCAATACGGAGCCGGAAGCGATTCGCAACAACTTCAATTCTCGAGAAAGACGCCCTACGTTACATAATCCCCCCGTAATCAAGATGGAGCAAAATACGGCCAGCTCAAAGCCAGACACTCTCACAAACATGGAAGATGGATCCATTGCAATCGTGGGCATGGCATGCCGCTTTGCCAACGTGTCTTCTCCAACCCAGTTTTGGGATATGATTGAGAAGGGGCGAAGCGGTCATGGTAGAATACCCGAGCGGTGTTTTGATGCTGACGCTTGGTATCACCCGTCGAGAGCTCGGCGAGGCGCGGTAAGTATTTATTACACTCAAAAGCAAAGAGTTATTGTTTCAAATGTTACACGTGTCGCTTGCTGCGTTTTGACTTTCACCTCTGGAACATACCTTACATAAATGATACTAGAGTTACTGACGTTTGTTTACATTTTAGGTTATTACAAAATCAGGATTCTTGATGACGTCTCACATTTTGATGCCCCCTTTTTCTCAATTACGGCAAGCGAAGCAGCTGCAATGGATCCTATGCAGCGGCTCGGGCTGGAAGTGGCCTACGAGACTTTTGAAAATGGTACCAGCTGACGATTTAACCCACTCCTTTCCTTTGTCATTCACTCAAAACATATCTTTCTATGCCGTGGCTGACCGGATCTACTTTATTTAGCGGGTATCACAATGAAAAAGCTCTCAGGGAGCAGGACTGCCGTTTACAGCGGCGTCATGACAGCTGATTACCAAGAAATCGCCGAGGGCGACTTGTTTCGCCTGGGCGACCATCCTGGTAGTGGAACAGCCAAATCAATCTTGGCCAACCGCATATCATGGTTTTTTGATCTCCGAGGCCCTAGCCTATCGTTGGACACGGCCTGCTCTTCCGCGCTCTACAGTTTACATCTTGCCTGCCAGGCCGTTCAAGCTGGAGAATGTGACCAGGCATTAGTAACGGGCACGAATCTCATCCTGCATCCTAACCTTATGGCACAGTTTACTGCAATGCACATGATCACCCCTGACAGAATTAGCCACACTTTTGACGAGTCGGCTAATGGATACGGCAGGGGTGAAGGAGTTGCAGCTGTGATTGTGAAGCCACTCAAGGATGCTATCAGGGATGGAGATGTGGTTCGGGCTGTCATTCGGGCCACAGGTGCAAACTTTGATGGAAAGACCACCGGAATGACAGTTCCGAGTGGAGATGCCCAAGCTGAATTGATTCGTGAGACGTACAAGAAAGCTGGAATATCCATGAATGACACTTGTTACTTCGAGGCGCACGGCACTGGAACGCCACTAGGTGTACGTAAAACGCATTGGATCCTTCCATCTCTTGCTTATGAATAACTAACTCAATTTCATATTTGTCTAGGATCCTATTGAAATGCAAGCTATTGCCAAAACCATTGGCTCCGCACGGAAATGTGCGAATAATGGACCTCTCTATGTCGGCAGTGTCAAGCCCAACGTCGGCCATACGGGGGGTGCAGCTGGTCTGGCTGGCCTCATTAAGGCGGTGTTGTGTCTAGAAGCTGGTGTAATACCGGCTGTGACTCGATTGAAAAAACTGAACCCCAAACTGCTCTTGGACGACTGGAATATAACTGCGCCGATGGAGAATGTATCGTGGCCCCAGGCAGGTATTCGCCGAGCCAGCGTAAATTCATTCGGCTTTGGTGGCGCAAATGCTCATGTAATTCTTGATGATGCTTTGCATTATCTTTCATCGCGTGGCATTCAGGGACGTCATATCACGCATACAATCCCGCTTCTGGCTGACTCGTCCATCAACAATGATCTGGAAGGTGGATCATCATCATCATCTGCAACGTCATGCTCAGATTCATCATCTTCTTGCTCTGATTGCGAAGATAGTCCCGCTAGCATTGGAGATGACACTGCCAGCGAACGTGCCCAGGATGTAGAGCATCAAGATCATCTGTTTGTTTTCTCAGCTCAAGACCAAGGCAGCTTGAGCAGAGTTGCCTCAGGCTATGCCGAATTTCTTAAAGATGAACCGTACAAAGATGACATTGTTGCAATGCAGTCATTGAGTCATATTCTCTCGGAAAAGCGGACCAAACTGGATTTTCGAAGCTTCGTTGTCGCACACAGCTTGGCCGATCTGAGTGCCTCCCTCGAGGCAAACCAACTTCCCCGCGAGCGATCATCTCCAAAGGACAAGGCCATCTTCGTTTTCACTGGTCAAGGTGCTCAGAGGTCTGGCATGGCTCGTGAATTGCTCTCCGATCCAGTCTTTAGCGAGAGCATCCGGCTCAGCCAGAAAGTTGTAATTGCTTGCGGCGGTGATTGGGACATAGAACATATGCTTACAACGGGGACGGCACAAGAGCTAGGAAACCCATTGTACTCACAACCCCTGTGCACAGCTATACAGATTGGCTTGGTGGATATGCTTTCTTCGTGGAATGTACAGCCAGCTGCTGTCATTGGACATTCATCTGGCGAAATAGGTACATATCCCCCCTCGTTCCCCTGAGAGTTGTCATTGTAGCTAACGTCCTCCACACGCAATCAGCTGCCGCTTATTCTTCAGGTGTTCTATCTCATGAAGATGCCATGTACGTGGCCTACTACCGTGGCACACTCTCAAGTGTCGTATCATCAAGAGCAGGAATCCAAGGCAGCATGCTGGCCGCAGGAATTTCCGAATCTGAGGCCGCCAAATATGTCATTGACAAGGCCTCAGTGACAATAGCTTGCATTAATAGTCCATCTAGCGTAACGTTATCTGGCGAAAGCAGCGCCATTGCAGAGGTGCACGATGCCTTGGTAAATGATGGCAAGTTCTCTCGCCAACTGCGCACCGGGGTCGCATATCATTCTTCTTACATGGCGGTTGTTTCTGAAGATAGTAAGCAACTACTAGCTGGCTTAGACGAGAGATTGAGGCCGATGCGAGTGCCTATGTTCTCTTCTATGACGGAGGAGCGTATTGAAAGCTGTAGACTGGGAGGTTCATATTGGATGGAGAACATGCTGAGTCCCGTCCGATTTGCTGGAGCGATGCGTAACCTTGTAACTGGCACAGATATCGACGGCGAGGAACCGCTAGATACGGAATACAGCGCAATTATTGAGATAGGGCCTTCCAAAACGCTCCAAGGCCCGATCAAGCAAATCCTCACTGCTGTCAGCCCCCGGCTAGCCAAAAAGCTGCCTTATCGCTCCATGCTGGTGGCTGGGAGCCATGCGCGCAAGACTTCACTCGAGGCTGCGGGATTTCTTTGGTCCACGGGACATTCAATTGACTTGGGAAAGGTCAATAGAATCTCAGCAGCATCCGAATTAGACCTATGCATGCTTCCCCGCCTCCCGATGTATCCTTGGAACCACGAGAATAGCTTCTGGCACGAGCACCTAGCCAGTAATGCGGTCCGTCTCCGAAAAGAACCCAGAACGGATTTTTTAGGAATGCCAGTTGATGGCCAGAATCCCTTTGAGCCTAGGTGGCGCAACCTTCTCAGCGTGACAGAGAATCCATGGCTAGGGCATCATCGTGTGGCTTCGGCTTGTTTGTTCCCTGCTGCTGGATACCTTGTCATGGCGGTTGAGGCTGTGTTGAAATTGGCGGCCAAAGATGTGCAAAAAGGTCGAGTGCTCAGAGGTGTTGAAATTACGGATGTGACGTTTGAGACGGGGCTTGCTCTGTCTGAAGATGGGTCAGCTACTGGCGTTTCTATAACTCTCAAACCGCGTGCGGCTATGGACGCAACGTATGATTTCAGCATTTATTCAGACTCTTTTGACCAGCCTGTACGTCGCCTTGTCGTTGGATCAATTGCTGCTACGTATGAGGGCCTGCGTAAACATGGAGACGACGGGTTTGAAATTGAGGCACAACAGCAGGAGTGGGAGGCGGCAAAAGCCAAGCTACAAGAAACACAAAGCTCAGCCATACACACTGGTGATGTTAAGGCATTCTATGCCAAACTGGCATCTGTCGGACTGGAATACGGCCCAACTTTCCAAGCCTTAGAGCGCATTGATACTGTTTCCCCACTTGAGAATGAAGCCTTGTTTGGTGGCACTGCCTGCGGCACTCTCACGGTACCGGATACTAAGGCAATTATGCCCATGGAATACGAATTCCCACATCTCTTGCATCCTGCAACGCTTGATTCTGCGTTCCATCTGGCCTTTACTGCGCTCCAGACCCGGGAGGATATGCTGCGCCCAGCAGTACCAGTCTCCATTCAGCGTTGTTTTATCTCAGCTGATCTACCTTCGGATCCAGGTTCCAAGTTCTTTGGTATGGCCTCAATCAAACGCATAGGGAAAACGGCGCTTGTGACAGACATCTTCTTCGCTGATGCAGAGGTTAATGGTCCGCAGATTGTCATTGAGTCGATGGGCCTGAGTGATGTGGGAGAGGTATCAACCCAAGATGCTGGATATGGCACAGCAAACCTAGCTGGGAGCAATCGGCGGGCGGCTGATGTGGTCTGGAAAGAGGATGTTACATTGATGCAATTACCTTCCGACACCAATTTACTGGATAACGAATCGCCTCTCTCCTCATGGCTCGAATGCTTCTTACATAAGTATTCCAACGCGAATATCTTATTTGCTGGAGCTGAAAGGTCTATGCCGCTCCTGGAAACTCTCAAAGGTACGGTTGCATCCCACCAGAGAGCCGGTGGTCAAGGTAAACTGTTTTCATGTTCGTTGCCTCCATCACTACAGTCGGATGCAAGTGAGGAGCACAACGCAACGCCAACATACATGCAAAGGATTTTGGCAAATGGTCCTTACAACGCACTTATACTGAGTGATCACGGAGACCAGACAATCAATTTCTTTTTGCAGTCAATGTCTCGCGTTCTTAACCCTGGTGGTCAAATAATAAGGCGCGATGATATTAGCGGCTGCTTGCGCATCGAGAATGCGAATGAGGTAAGTATTCCTGTTGAAGCAAGTGAGGATAGCCACCTTGCCATGGAAAAATTCCAGAGGTCGATATCAGTGTCGTTGAATGCATTAATACCGGAGGGGGTGACCATTCTCGAGCGCACTGTCAATCACCAGAATCCGGAAGCTCTGCGACTACGCGAGGCTTTGACTGATATCCTAGGACAAGCTGGAATCTCGCTAACTGTCAAATGCATGGTAAGTAGTTTTTGTTTTGTATTGCCAGTAATAGTGATTGCAGCAAACGAAACCCCGCTTCATTTACATGTGGCTGACTTGTTTCGCCGGCATGAATGTTGTCTTCGATCAACTTTGTACCTTGAAAATCTTTCGTTACCCACAAGAAATATTATGTTGGCTATTAACTAACATGGAAATTGGATGCATAGGATCAAATTCCCATTCATACCAACAATTCGTACATCATCTCGCTGGTAGAATATGGCCAAGGCCTTGTCTGCGATTGGGGCGAAGAGGAATTGGTACAATTCCAGAATTTGGTGGCCAGTGCGCGCTATGTGCTTTGGTTAACCACAGGCGGCTTGATGGCTCCTAATGAGGATGGGTTGAAGTACAGCCTGACACAAGGGTTGCTGCGTACGGTTCGCGCGGAGTATCCTCAGTTGGTGCTACCACACCTAGACATATCGCCAGACAGTACAAGGCTTTATGAAGAAGTGGCGTCTATCACGGCCAAGATTCTTGCTGCGACATTGTCTGGTGCTGATCCTACTGTCGTTGTGGAGGCTGAGTATGCTGAGCTGAATTGCAAAATCTTCATTCCTCGCCTCGTTCGCGACGTGGCTATGGACGCCGAAATCGAATTGCTGTCGTCCAATTCCACAACGATTGAAATCCAGTTGAATGACTGCCGCCAACCCTTAAGATTGTCCACGGCAACAGGGTCTGTACAGTGGAGGCCATGCGAGCCATACAGCTCCATAGGCGCTGGCGAGGTCCTTGTGGAAACTAGATATGTTCCTGGATCGACTTCGAAGATGGCTCCCATGCCATGGACCATTGTCGGTGTCGTCCGCGAGGTAGGGGACTGCGTGTCTCAATATCGCGTGGGTGATTTTGTTATACCCCTCGACATCTCCGGCGATCTTGATGTGAAAACTAGCTTCCTTATCAATGCTTCCGATATTCTGAGAGTGCCCAAAAATATCTCAGCTACACAATTGGCATATTGGATAACGCCATTTATTGTGGCGCACCGTGTCCTTATTAATCAGCAGCAATCAAGTTCGTCAACTTCCTACGGAGCGCTGTCTGATGCTAAGATATTCACTCATCTTGCTTCCGATCTGAGCATGAAACTACAGCCAAATTATACGCCGCCAGAAAGTGCAGGCAACTCACCTCCCCGGAGTTCAACGCCAGAATTAAGAGAGAGGCAACAGGCCGATGCTGGAGGAGTTCTAATAGATGTCGAAGATTCTGCCCTGCGAACTGCTCTGGGACAAACCGCGCATTGGCTCGGCCTAGAAACGTTTATTGTGGTACCTGAAAGTGAATAGACTGATGAAAATGAGCTCTCTGGTTGTACTGTCCTGCATCAGATGACGCGTTCATGCAGCAGGATGATGCGAAACAAAAATGGTGCTTCTGGTATCCACCTAGTATTGTCGTCGCTTCAGGACCCGAAGAGCGTTCCACATTTGATGGCCAGTCTCGCGCCAGGTGGTCGCTTCGTGGCTTTCAACACTTCAACTGACCGTGAGAGTAGCTTGAGAACAGCTACCCCCCGCTTCGATGTCACTTTAGAGCGTCTCGATACTGCAAATATGGATATATCCAACATGCAGATTTCTATCAGTGCCGTATTCACATTATTCTCTACCAAGACTTTGATACTACCGCCACTGCCACCATCCAGCCAGAAGTCCATATCGGAGATGGATCGGTGTTTTGATCAATTAGGCCGCAATCGCCCGATGATTTTCTCACTAGGACCTCATTCATTCGTCCCAATGACTGTTTCTGGACTTTCCGCACTACAGCAGAGCAGGCTAGATCCCACTGGTACCTACATCATCTCTGGTGGAATGGGCGCATTGGGCCTCGAGATGGCAGGGTGGTTATGTGAACAAGGGGCCCGCCACATCATACTTCTATCTCGATCTGGGAAACCAACCGAATCTGCCGTCTCTAAAATCCTTCGTCTGTCCGAACAGGGTTGTCGGTGTGATGTGATACGCTGTGACATTATCTCAGCTGTTGACGTAGACTACGTGGCATGTAAAGCCGTAGAGGAGAATTGGCGCATCCGAGGCATTATCCAAGCTGCTATGGTGCTTGCTGATTCTCCTTTTGAGTCTATGACAGCTAGACAATGGACTACGGCTACAGCCCCTAAAGTTCAAGGTTCCTGGAACTTGCACCATGGTTTAGGGTGCCATGAAGATTTGGATTTCTTCATCTTGTTGTCATCCATTTCTGGAATCATCGGAAATAGCGCTCAGGCAAACTACAGCGCCGGCAATACGTTTGAAGATGCACTAGCTGCACACAGACGGCGCCGGGGTCTTCCTGCTGTTAGTTTGAATCTTGGTCTTGTGGATATCGACACAGACAATGTCGGTTCGGTTGATGAGTTTGTCAAGAAATTCCCGCATCTTGCATCCGTTCTGGTGGGCAAGAAGGAAGTTAGAGCTGCATTGCAGCTTGCTACACGCGGAACCGGCTTGAATGGGGCGCAAATACCCAGCCAAGTGGTAGTGGGCATCTCCGGCTCGATACAAGTCGACGATGGAAGAGGCAGCAGTTGGCCTACTGACCTTAAATTCGTCCACCGGCTAGATCGCCACTGGAATCCGATGCTGCCAAAACCAAAAATCAAAAGGTAAACTACGAGAAGGCCATCAAGAGTGCTAAAACAATTGAAGAAGCAAGATCAATCGTCGAGGATGCGTTGCGCATCCATGTTGCTGCGGCTATGTCATCTGATGCATCCAACATTGACGTGGATAAACCGGTGACAGCTTACGGAAGTAAGTGTTGGAAAGTTATCTGTTGTCCACGATGCCCATACCATATACTAAATTGTGTTCTACAGTCGATTCACTTAAAGCTACAGAAGTGCGAAACTGGTTCCTGAAGGAGTTCAGTAGCCGCTTGTCTATATTTGAGATTCTCAGCCCAATACCTATCTCACGATTAGCCCTTAGTATTTTAAAGAACTCTACTTACAGCAGTCCTACGGCTAAATAATAGGAAGAGGGGATGTAAATATATTAGAATAGTTTATTTTGGCTTCAATAATTATTGGTCTCCCTCATTACTGTCTGTGTCAATAGTTCAAAATATCGATACACCTCTCTCTCCCGGCCTCCAAAGCCTATCTTATGTCATGTGGATTGCCAACTCGGTAACGATAAACAACTTTTTCAATTTTGCCAGTTGCTTCAATCAATTATCACACTCCGTTTGTTCAACTTCGAATCCATGGCCAAGCAAATGAATGAATGGCAAATGGAATAGGTACCTGTCCAACGGCGCCCATCTTTTCCCTCGATACAGCATTGTGATCCCTACGCTAGCAGTTCGCTTTTTCCCCTCGCTTTAGCGCATTGATCAAATAATGACCACGATATATTTTTTTTCAAATCAAAGTAGAAATATTATGGATATGTTGGTATATTAAATTGCTGTGGTATTTCAACTTTGTAGTCAAAGTCCCACTGTATTTTGTGCTTCTTGGCCCACTCGCGGATCTGGTCGAAATCGCGACATGTATGCAATACAGTAAGCCACGGCTTGTTCTTTGTTGGGTTGGGAACAGAATGGTCCCAGTGCCAAACAGCAGGAGTGATATCAGCGTGGCACATAATGGACTGACGTAGACTTTCTAGACAGTGGCCGATATGCCAAGGATTGATACTGTGCTTGACGCGATTCTCTTCAAAGGCCTCGTAAGGGTATGAAGGGGGTACTGTCCAGTTTAAAGAGCGCTCAGAATCCCGAATATACTCCCAATCCGAGAGATAAATAGGCGTGAAAGCCTTACGGAAGATATTCTAACAATAAGACGTCAACAATGCATTCAGATATCATGAGGATGAGTACCTACAAGGCAGTGAAGTTGATGAAACACGTCAAGTTCCACAATGTATTCATCTTCATGGCCAGGGACAGGCGATGTATAATTCGGCAACAACTTTGCCTGGCTTTTGGGAATTGTAGAAATGCCGACTAATCACTCAAGTTAGTTCACCAAACAAACATATGATGTTGGCATATGTGATGATTTATAACTGACAATTAAACAGCCCATCCCATGCCTGGTTAAGAGCTTCCGACGGGCCACCCTGAAACTCGGATGGAGCATCAACAATATTGGTGTGAAATTTCGTTAATTTGTAGCTAATCTCATCTTGAGCCGGAGAGTAAGTTTGCTGCGAAGCATAAAATTTATGCTGGCGAAATCGATCCCAGCCATTAGACCTATCGTAGATAATGATGGATACGAAAATGGCGGAGAGAATCCAAGGAAAGATTTTGCTAGCAATGATTAAATATCTCGAGAGGCAGTTGCGTCTTGTGTTTGTATGCGTAGGAGTAGCAGTAACCTCAAAGGCAGCATCCTCGCCATAGTCCTCAGCTAGCAGAGGGTTGTAAGAATCCTTATTCATGATGAAAATAACAAGAATTAAGCAGAGTTAAGAAATGGGTAAAAGACAGTTTTGATACAGAAGAACCCCCGGTAGCTACTCACAGTCCCAACTACTTGGTTTTCTTCTTCTTCTTTTTTCTATCTTCCCCCTTGCTTTCTCGGGGTCAAGGTGGAAATACCTCAAACTCTCTTCTCGCAAACTCTTTCCGTCTACCCCGTATAATTGGGCGGTATACTATTCATTTGAGTCTAAGCTTTCGTAAAAAATTTGGAAGAGATATACGAATGATGACATTATTCGTGTGAGATAGGGTAACTAAAAAGTGGATAAGCTAAGTCTTCATACGGAACGGAGATGTAAGCAGTAACTAAAATTGGACGACTGAGATAGAGGAATTGAAAAGAACCATCCCCATAACCCTATTATGGAATAGCAGGAACGCTTAATCTTACCCCGCGAGATTATAGCGAATCCCTTCTTCCCGCTAGCCCATTACTATATCCTAAATAGGTCCGAGGAGTTTGCTATTTCGTATTAATAAAAATGAAGTGTTTATTGAATTGATGCTGGCTAGAGCGGTCCATATATCTTACGAGTCAAGATAATATCTGACGAGCCAACTAAATGCCTCAGTCGTGGTTGGTACCCCGCATGATGAATCGCAATCGATTAGGTGGTTAGAATCGGGTTTGGTGCTTGTATCAAGGAGTTCAGGGTGCGTAAATCAAAGAGTGGTTTGTTTGGAACTTTTGCATGATATTTAAATAGTGGCTATGATGAGAGATCATTGACAAATTATTGACAAAATTGTTTATTTATAAGTATCTCAACACTACAGTGAAAACGGGATATACATTAAACTTGTTTAATAAAAGTATATCTTTTCTGGGTTGAAACGACGGGACTTTTCGTGAAGATCTGCGGAAACTAATTTTCCAAAGGATTAAATATTTTACAACTCTTTATATTTGTAAGCATTTGTGAGATATTGTACAGGATATTATGTCTCTGTTGCCTGAGCTTTGTATATGTTTAAACTATATAAGACTCGCCTGATGTTACCCTTATTTGGGTATCATTTTGCTCTCATCATAAATCTACCACTCGCCAGTAACCAACATTTTATTTTCATTCCACTTATACTTCCAACATGAGACTGGGAAGCGTGCTTTACGTAGCAGCTGCTACTCTGGCTGCAGCCGCACCAGTACAGCAGACAAGTAATGTCGTCGATCCTCACAACCGACTTTGGAAGGACAGCGTGGAGTCGACCAATGTTGTTGATCCTCACAACAGACTTTGGAAGGATAGCGAGGAGTCGACCAATGTTGTCGATCCTCACAACAGGCTTTGGAAGGACAGCGAGGAGTCGACCAATGTCGTCGATCCTCACAACAGACTTTGGAAGGACAGCGTGGAGTCGACCAATGTTGTCGATCCTCACAACAGACTTTGGAAGGACAGTGTGGAGTCGACCAATGTTGTTGATCCCCATAACCGACTTTGGAAGAAGGGCGAGGAGTCGACCAATGTTGTCGATCCTCACAACAGACTTTGGAAGGACAGCGAGGAGTCGACCAATGTTGTTGATCCCCACAACAGGCTTTGGAAGGACAGCGAGGAGTCGACCAATGTTGTCGATCCCCATAACCGACTTTGGAAGGACAGCGAGGAGTCCACTAATGTTGTCGATCCTCACAACAGACTTTGGTAGAAGTAAGAGAACGGCTAAATCAATTCGCAACGTTTATAGTATCTGACTTTCTGGATTGCATAGGCTCACTTATACTATGAATATGGTGTACAAAATACTGCCAAATGCTGTAGATTTGAATATGATCTATTTACCGATATGCTTCTAAATCAATGGGTACTTTTGGACTGAGTACAGCATGAATATTTCCTGCATTGAAGCCTGACCTATGATAAACTATCTTAAATCTCGTCCTAAATCTCGCGAACTAAAGACTCCATAAATTGTGACACTCAAATTACCTTCTTTCGTTCAATAGTGTACTCAATTCAAGTCATGGAATAAAAAGCTTTTTGGATCCGATTTGTATTTGAATGTGGAATAGTAGTTATTTATGTCTATCTTTTATGTGTGTATAGCTCAAAAGGGTCCTAGGTATAGTATGGATGACTAATAATAGATGTCGGGTCTGCATAGGAAAAGATTCCCAAGAGCGTCTAATTAGAGATCAGCAGATAAGCAATATTGTCGAAGATGCACACTCCAATACTCAAGAATTGAGATTAGGTTTGTAACGACAAAGCGGTAATAGAAGTTGTAAAAGAAAAACATCTAGCAGGAAATGATTTGGCGTTTGTATATCGTATTCGGTTCATTTAGGCATGTGGAGGCATTTCTCTTCCTCCGATAATGTTCGAGGCAGTAGATTTCGAGTATCTCTCGAGGAGATGAAGGTAGATGGTTTGATTTGCTCAGGGAGCAATTTCGTGCGCGCTGGTGGGTTGTCTCTGCCCAGTGCCACGTACGCGCAATCCGCTCGATGAATGGCATTTATCGCGCAAATGAGTTCGGTGGATTTGCCCAGAGAGATTGCGACTCTTGACTTTGATTTAGGTCTGACCCAACTCGGAGTCTCCTGGCTCCTAGTTCAACTAGACTCAGTAAACTTTTATATGTTAAGACATTCGGTTTCTGCCCTTTTTGTCAGTGTAAGTCTATAGCTGATTGCTCTGGTGACTACTTCATACGGTTCTGTAAGAGCTGCGAGCATGTGAGCCCGTCATATTCGCTGAGAAAATGGGGTCCAACTACCGTGTCGTCAATCATACGATGGTGATTGGCTTCTAACAGGTCTAAGGCCCGGAGTAGTCGGCAGTCACCACACCCAGCGTCCACAACATGTTGGAGCACAATACAGAGAGCGACCACCATATGACAGAGCTACTTTTCCATCAATGTCTCCTCCATGTACACGCGCATCAACTACTATGGTGGTATCCTCACAAGACATGTTCAAGAGCAAGGGTGCGTCGGTCGCCTTGTCCGTGTCCTTGAGAGTGAGTTCAAATCCAGGTTGGGTGAGGTTGTCTGATATGAGCGTGGTATTCGTGGTGAGTTTTGAGTTGAAGAGGCTTTTTCTCCCAGGGAGGTTCTGAATTTACTTCAGCAATAGCATATCTTCATGCTCAGAGACCTCCAAGAACACATCCGTAACATTCTCAATGAATTCACACATACTCTGGTCCCACTCAATGCGCACACGGTGAGGGAAAACTTCAAGACGGCATCCAGTTAGTCTATGTAACTCTTAAGCCAAGCACCTTACCTACGATCTTGATAGATAGAGGCAAACAGTCGAAGCCGATGCAACTAGATTTCGCAAAACGGTTATGGGCACTTCACATTGACCGCCACCAGCACTTCTGCTTTCCTGTAAACCCCACACAATTCTAGGAAGCTGTCATGAACAATCACTCCACAATTTCTGTCCTCTTCCACGCCGCTTGGACCCTCACTCTATCTACCTACTTATCTACTCCAGATATTGTGTTTGGTAGTGTTGTCTCTGGCCGTCGTGGAGATGATACTGAGTGCATACAAAATGTTCACCATTCCGCTACGTGGCTTGTGCTAGGAGAGAGTGGCGTAAAAATGGCGCGAAAGATGAAGTGGCGTCTCAAGGTGAAATCCCACTCAAGTTGCAGTAATTCAATATCGATACTTGTGCCGCTTGCTTCATAATTATACGAATGAATATATGATCGAGATCCACAGCTGGCCAAAAGCATCGCCACCGGGCAACTAGGCGTCTGGACCCTCAACTTCCAATTGGTTCTCATCATGGGACAGTCGGCGTGTGTTTAGTGTGGCATCGCTCTTTAGGGGTTATCCCGAGGTCCTTTTGTAGTAAACTCGCCCCGATTTTAACGGATTCCGGTGCGACCCACTCCGAAGACGACCTTGAAGCTTTGTTGGTTTGTTGGTTCGTTCAAGATAGATTTGGGTCGCGATAGCACAAAGTACTCTGAATGTTTCCTTCTAATGGAGCCCCCCCCTTTTTTAGCCGTAGGCATCATTCTCCCCTCAAACAAAGTAATGTTCAAGATCGAGCCTTTTGGTCGATTTCATCAAACGTTAGCTGGTTAGCGTCCTTTGCCCTGTTTGAAACGATCAATATCATTGACATTCTCTAAACACCAGACTTTGGCATAAGTCTCTTATTATGGCGACCCAAGGCCAGGCGCCTAAGAGAGACGACTTGGATCGTCAATGTTCTACGCCTGGCGACAGTGTCGTTACAGATCCGCTGCTTTATAGCATCTCCCCCGTCCAGCTGTGGATCAATCGATTGGTATCCCGAGTATGCAAGGCAAAAACTCTGGAGGATGGCTGGCTTCCCGTCTTCTCTTGTGCTTCGGCTCATTTACGCGCTGTAGCCGCGCCGCTGTATGCGAAGCATACAGCATCGGCACTGAGCTTCTTGATGCAAAAGGAAACAGGAGGCATGCTCTTCTGCGGAGCCATTTTGGAGGTTTGTAGCCACCTCTTGCTGATGCCTCATTTGGATAACCCCAAGCCCTATTTGAAGAATTTGACCCACTAAATTCATCACGTTCAGGCGTTATCTGCGGCGGCTACTATAGGCTCGCCTCTACTGCTTCATAAGCTCCTAGAGAAGCCTCATGATGCGCCGATCGCCTGGGGTCTAGTAGTTGTGACATTAGCTGCCACAGTATTTGGTCGCGCAAAAGATCAATTGTGCAGAGTTCATTATGCATGGATGGAACTGATGCTGCGTGCCGCCATTTTCGAGAAGAGCATCAAGTTATGCCCTGAAGCCCGCGTTGAGTATCCCCCTGAACGCATCATTAACATGAGCTCTGTCGATGCGGACAACCTGGCAAGCTATATGCTAAAGGTTCATGACTTATGGAGTGCACCATTGCAAATTGTTGGCATTGGGGCACTCACCGTTACCATCATGGGGCCAACCGCACTCTTTGGTAAGTTATAGCTGATTGTTCATTGATGAGCTTGCTGTAGTTCCTACGGGACTAAAAGTTCTGCTTGTTTAGGATTTGCACTTGTGCTGGTTGTATTTATATCTCAGTCTTGGGCCAACAAAGGCATGCGAAATGCTCAGAGGGCTTATATCATGACCAATGACGGGCGTCTGGGTGCTTTGCGAGAACTTCTTTACGGCATCGGCAGTGTCAAGGCTCTTGGCTATGAAATGGTATTTAGGCAACGAATTAGCCAGTTTCGGGCCAATCAGGCTGGAGCGCTGCGGAACGTACGTACATGTGTCTTCCTTGGTCCTGGTGGCCGTTGCTGGAGGCCAATATTTACTGACCTATCCGAATCTTAGTATCTCATTCTTTGCTTCGGGTACTTCACAGCTGTTAACCAAGCTGTGAGTGGCTTTGCTGCTGGCGTGGCATTTCTGGCCTACTACCTCATGGGCCATCAACTAACGGCAGCAGTCGTATTCCCTGCATTGACGTATTTCGGAATGCTGTATCAACCCGTGTCTAACGCCTCTTTAGCCATTACGAGACAGTTCGCCACTTGGCCAAGCTTTAGCAGGGTACATGCATTCTTGAAGGCAGACGAATTGGAGTTGACTGAGGATACAAATAGTCAACAGGGGGCGTTGATTAGCTTCAGAGAGGCCTCCTTCTCGCATCCAGTTTCTGATCCCAACTCCTCATCAGGCAGCGCTGGTCTCGAAGTGGGAAACCTCGATATCCCTTCTCGCAAACTCACTATCGTTGTAGGTCCCACCGGATCTGGAAAGTCAACCTTTCTGCGGTCTATTCTTGGAGATATGACGAAGACGTCGGGATCATGTAACGTTCATGGATCTGTGTCCTACTCTGCCCAAGACGCCTGGGTTTTCTCTGGCACTTTGCAGGAAAATATCGTGTTTGCGGCCCCCTTTGACGCGGCTCGCTATCATACCATTATGAGCGCATGTGATTTGTATCAAGATTTCCCAAGGGACAGTACATCTATTGGCGAGTCGGGAAACAACCTCAGTGGCGGTCAACGTGCGCGGATCGCATTAGCAAGAGCCCTCTATTCGGAATCCGACATATTGCTCCTTGATGATCCATTTGCCGCTGTCGATGCTAAAACACGAGCATTGCTATTCGATACTATCCGAGCCCTAGAGAAAACCGTCGTCCTGGTAACTTTACATCAATCCTTTATTCCTAGATGCGACAATGTTGTCGTTATTGAAAGTAACAAGATTACTTGGGCTGGCACCAGCAGTGCATTTACAGCTACAGCCGAACTTTGGGAGAAATATCTTCGAGCCGCTGATACATCCGATAGCGAGTCCGAGTCTATTGACCAAAGCGAGGACAACCGTGATGCTGACGATAAACTGCCGTCTGAAATAGTATTGGCCAGCGTGGGCGAGTTGTCTTCTACAGAGGAGGACGTCTTTGAAGAAGAAGATCGAGCCAAGGGTACAGTAAGTCTTGCTGCACTGAAATTCTATGCTGCCTGTGCTGGCGGCCTTCTCGACGTTGCAGCAATTGGCGTATTGGCCGGTCTCTTGACGGGCGCTAAGACAATGTCTTCATATTGGTTCGTCTGGTGGATTGATGACGCATTTCATCTACAAGGAAGTCAATATCTTGGTGCCTTTATAGGCTTGACTGTCTCTCCAGGTTTAATCGCGGGTAAGTGATGATACTACTGGGGGGTATTATTAAGTTCTCTCAAATTTAGGCTAACTGGTTTTCAGCCCTTCTTGGTGTTGTATTGGTCTTTTCGAGCCTCCGTGCGAGCAGCACCATTCACAGTACTATTGTAGACAACGTCCTTAGCGCTCCGATTGCCTATTTTTCCCGTCAACCCGTCGGTCGAATCTTGAATAGGTTCACACATGACGTTATGTCGATGGATGTGTTCATTATGAACTCTGTTGACGGTATCATAGCTGCTGGGAGTGCACTGATCGCGGCTATTGCGCTTGTGGCAGCCGCTGCTCCCGTCACTTTGGCTGCCGCCATTCCGTCTGTGTTGATTGCAGGCTGGTATCAGCTACGATTTGCCGTGTATGTTTACCACCATACCTATCTTCTCCATAAAATCGTCAAGTGTCTCTAAGAAGCCCGCGAATGATTGCCTCGAACCATGACTATGATTTCTTTGCTAACTAATATGTAATCATAGTGCTGCCAGGGAGGTGCAACGGTCGGCTTCTATCTTACATTCGCCAGTACTTAGTATCGTCAGTGAAGCACTTCGAGGTATGAGCTCCATTCGGGCTTTCAGAGCAGGCGACTTCATGAGCAACAAACACGATCGAGCGCTTGATACTTACATGTCGGCCGTGATCTGTCGGAAATCTCTTGACACCTGGGTAACTTTTCGTGCCGAACTATCAACGGTACTGCTTCTCTTCGTTACAGCCATGCTTGTCGTTTACACCGACCAAGACAGTAGCGTGGGCCTCTCTGGCACGCAGGCAGGCTTGGCTCTCAGTAATGCTACATCCATTTCTCGCAGCATTTACCTCTTCACCTGGGCCATTACTGAGTTGCAGATTGAAATGAACTCCATCGAACGGTTGAAGACGTATTATGAAGGTATCCCGCGCGAGTCGAATCACTCAAATGATGTAGCACCCAAGCCCCCAGTCGACTTCGACTCAATAGAGTATAAAAACGTCTCGGTTGTTTATAGAGGACGACAAAACCCTGCTCTAGATAGTGTCAACCTGGTGATATCCCGGGGCGAAAGGGTGGGCATCATCGGCCGAACAGGTAGTGGAAAGTCGACGCTGATATCTACATTGGCACGACTTGCGGATGTAACCAGCGGCAGCATCATGCTAGGTGGCGCCGATATCTCAGAATTGGACCCCCAAAAGCTGAGAACGGAACTCGTGTGCACGCTGTCACAGCAGCCTCTATTATTTAAGGGCACCATTCGCGAGAACTTGGACCCTACTGGCCGTCATAGTGACGATAAAATTTTGGAGACACTGAAGATATGCCAGTTAAGTCCGTCACTAGTCGGCTCAACGGAGGATTTATCAAGGGAGCTCACCTCTGAGGCATTGGAAATTTCGGCTGGACAGCGCCAACTACTTTGCGCAGCTCGTGTGCTATTAATGGAGCCTCGCATTTTGCTGGTTGATGAAGGTGAGTGAACACGTTGAACTCCTATATCCGTCTATTCCCCACCCGTAACCACAGATGAACAGACCCTAGATATGCAAAACTGACATAACATTGGCTGGATTAGCTTCGGCAAACGTTGATTTCCCTGCTGAAACAGCGCTCCAGGACGCGTTCCAAGCTTTGCCTGTCGAGACAACTGTGGTGTCTGTTGCTCATCGTGCTGCTACCCTCGCATGGATGGACCGCATCATCACAGTGGATGCCGGGCGGATTGTTGAAAATGGTACACCAGAGAACCTGCTACGCCAGCAAGATAGCTGCTTTTATCAAGCTGTTGCTCGAGAGGGAGAGGGAGCGATACGGTCTGCGTTGGCTGTGGCGCGGAAGCAAAATGGACCTTGAATTACTTCACATTCAAAGGTTCATTCCAACGTTATCCTGGTGGCATATACTCACATGGTATGGCAGTGATGTTCTTGTCACATTGGCCATCGCAGCTCGGTCTCATCTTCAATACCTTCGATCAAGAGGACCTAGACTTTCGGTCAGACATGCAGATAACCCACAGCTGACTCATGTTGGAAGCTATCTATCAGGTATAGAACTAACATCGCATCTGTAAGCTCCATGGGGGAAGAGCTGTATATAATGGGTGGGCAATGCGAGTTGATCATTGTGGTTGATTCGATCCATTTGAGATGAAGGCAATAAAGTGCCAGTAATCTTGACAGTATCTATATACGATAAAGAGGACCGTCTATGCTTTGTACGGCTAGCGAGAAATCATCATGAAGTTAATATCTTTTTCTATCATGCTTATGTATCATTCGGCTCATGGTCTCTTGCCCCAATCTGCAATAGTAAGCCTAGTCGCTATTGACTGACAAGCGAGCGGACAAATGAATCAAGATTAGCAGTGGGCAATTACCACAACATCAACGTTTCTTCTCATCTCTAGGCGTGATCTCCAGAATGATACAGTTCTGCGAATCGCGAATCTCGAGATAGCAGGGCTGCTGGAGTATCGAATTCAACCAAGTCACCGGCATCCAGTACTGCGACGCGATCATAACGGTGAATGTATCTTAAACGATGCAACACTGCCAGTACAGTGTGAGTCGCAAATTCCGATTCTATGATGTCTTGTATCGTTTCCTCAGTAGCGTTATCAACATTATTGCATCATATAGAGTAATTAGCAAATTGGCATCAACATTAAGAGCATTCAACAGAGCAAATTTCCACCCAATATCCGGGGAGAACGCGTCGCTTTTCTGCCTGTGGTAAGAAACAGCTCACCTGCTACTCGCTTCATCGAGTATTAGTAGTTTGCCCTTCCGCACCATGGCACGCGCCAAACATAGAAGCTGTCTTTGGCCAGCAGACTAGGAAGTAGTCTTTAATGTGTTGGAAGAGAGGTTGGGTGTATGTTATATTCATTAAAGGTCTTAGTTATCTAAATATAAAGTTAGGGGTAGGACCTTTTATATATACATAATCTATGAGATTCGATGAGGTAGATTAAATAAGGGTCACCCTGCAGTTAATACTCCCACTTAATCTGGTTTATTAATTTAAATTACCCTATAGGCATATACACTAATTTATAAATAGGCCTCTTATACCTTCTGCAACTAACTTTTTCTTTTAGCCTTTAATAGGGAGAAGTTTTATAAAAATATAAAGTCTTATTATAAGGTAAGAGGTTTTAACTTTTACTTAAGCTAACTGGCTGGGGTTTGTTAGATTATACTTTTTTTACTTTTATTACTTCTTTAAATTTAATAAAGGCTTTTATAAATAATAGTTTAATTATTTTATCTGTAATTTTATTAGCTAATAATATATACTATAGCTATATCTTTTACTTTTATACTTTTTTATAGATTTAATAATATTATATATTAATATACTTTATATAGCTATAGAATTTTAAATTTTATATAAGACTAATAGCTTTTTAATTATTAGTGTAAATTATAGTTACTTTATTTATAAAGTATAAGGTAGAAGTAATAGTTATAAATAACTTCTGTAGTTAAATAGTTTCCCTTACTGCTTATATTTAGCTTATATATTTAGCTTTATAAATAAATAGTATAATAATTATTTATTTCTTTAATAACTAATTAATAGTTATAAAGCTTAGGTTAAAGATATAGCTATAGGTAAAATACCAGCTGGCTTTATTATTTATATAATCTGCGTTTATATATTTTTATAATATTTATAAATTACTTTTATATATTAATATATAGTTTATTATATTTTTAAAATAATAAAGGATTTACTATATATTTTATTAATATAATTTTTTTAAATTAATAATAAAATAGCTATAAAAGAATATTAAAAATATAATATTAGGCTGTATATTTAATATTACTTATATAACTAATCTAAATTGTTTTATATATTTTCTTTTTTTATCTTTTATTATATTTAAGCTAATATTAATATTTAAAAAGCTTATTAATATAGGGGTTTTTATTAAATTATAATTTTCTATACTATAAAAACATAAAATCTTTTAAATATATTTTTTTTATAAAAAGGTAAATTATTACTGGGCTTAGTTTTTTTTAATAGTAAAGCTTAAATAATATTTATAGGCTTTAAGATTAATTATTTAGAAGTCTTTATATAAAGTATTTTTAATTTTTTAAATAGCTTATTTATTTAAATTAAATAATAGTAAATTATTTATATAAACTGTAATAATAATATTTTTTTTTATAAAAATGCCTTTATTAGCTAATATAGGGGTTATTTTTAGCTTAGTAAGGAAGGTAGTTAATATTTAATATTAGATTTTTAGGGCCTGCTTTAACCTATATAGTGCCTTTTAAAGTTTATAAATACAGCTAGTGTAGTTATTAAAGCCCTTTAGTTAGTAAATATAGATTTCTTTATTAATTTCTTTATATAGGAAAACTATTTTAATATTTATTTATTTAATTTCTTAATCTTAGGTAGCAGTAATAATAAATAGTACTTTATAGTTTATAGACTTTACTACTATAGTAAAGGTTTTATTATAATTAATACCTTTTTTTTAGTTAAAGCCTTTAACTATATAGTGGGCTTTATAGCAGTTAATAATACCTTTTATATTTCTTTTTACTTTATATATTTATTTTCTTTATAATAGCTTTTAGCTTTTTAAAAGGTTTATTAATTCTTAAATTTAGTTTTTTTTTAGTAAATATATTTTATTTATTATTACCTTTAGTTAATACTTTTATTTTTTTAAGTAAATAATCTTATAATAGTTTTTAAAGTTTTTAACTTTATTATTTAATATTATTAAGCTTAATTATATTAATACTTTAATAACTTTTATAAAAGTATATAAAGCATTAGGGAGTTTATTTTAATTAACTTTAGCAGTTAAAGTAGTTTTTATAATAATTTTAATAGTTAATTAAATTAACCTAGGGCTTTTTAATATTTTTAATAAATTAAAGGTTAATATACTTTCTTTTTTTATAATAAAGTTTTTTATATTATTAATAGGCTTAATCCTTTAGTAATTATTTAAGGTAGCAGTTTTATTATCCTAACTCTTTAAAGTAATTATTTCACTAATTATTTTATTATTTAATAATATATTTTTAATAGTTAAAAGGAATTAGTTAATTAATAATTTAGCGTAGTATTAGGTATTTTTAATACCTTAAATTACTACTGCTAATACCTTAAATAACTGTTCTTTAAATATAATGTTTAATATAATTTTAACTTAACTATTTTATACTACTATATAATTTTAACTTTTTTAATAATTAATTAGTTAATAGAGAACTACCTTTAGTTTTATTTTTTTCCTATAGGTTATTATTATTTACCCCTTTGATTTTAAAACTTAAAGGTATAATAGGTTAAGCCTATTACTATACTAAGCTTTATAAAGTATAACTTTAAATCTTTTATTAAGTAAAATTATATATAAATAATTAATAGTCCTTATTATATAAGGCTATTATTTAAAGTTAATTTATTTTTTTATAAATATAAGTATAAGTTTATTTTATAAAATATAGTAAAAATATTTAATTATTTTATTTTATTAATATTAATTAACGTAAATATAAATAATTTTAATTTTTTTATTTTTATAGAAAGTATATAAAAAGTAATTTATATTTTTTTTTTTTTAATTTAGTTTAATATAATAATACTGCTTTATTAAAGTTTTTAACTGTTTTAATAGTTATTTAAAGATTAGGTAAAAGGTAGATTTTATTTATATTAAAAATACTTAGCTTATATAAGTATAATTATTTAAAAATATAATTTAATATTAGTTTTTATTATACCCTATAATTAAAAAAGGTTTTATAATATTTATATATAAGCTTTTTAATAGTTTTATCTTTTTTTTAATACTGTTTATATATAGTCGCTTAGTTTATTTATTAATAGTATAAGCTTTATATATTTTAATTAGCTTTATAAATTATAGTTTTTCTGCTTTTTTAATTAAATCCTTTATATTATTTTTATTAAAATACTTTAATTAATTATATTATAATTATAGCTTTAGGTTTTTAATATTAAAGGCAGTAAGGCTATAGTAAAGTATATTAATAATATATATTTTATATTATAAAATAATTATAAAAAAAATAGTAAAGTTCTTTATTATAATTACCCTTCTGCTAAATATACCTAAGTAATAGCCTTTTTAATTTAATATTAAAATTAATATAAAATTAAATTTAGTATTTAATATATAAAAAGTATTTTATAAAAGGAGGTTTTTAATACTATTATAAATAAAAGTTTAAAGTTAATATATTTTAATACCTTTAAAAGTAAGTTTTATCTTTTTAATATTAGTAATAAAGGTCTTTTTTATTTAATATAGCGACTTATATCCTTCTTTAGTATAAACTATATAATTAAAAGTGCTGCTATTAAGAATATAAACGTTTATAAAGTTAACTTTTATAAATACAGCAGCTTTTACTAAAGCTAAATAATTAAATAATATAAATAAAAAGTAGTTTATTAAATTTAATAATATATTATTCTTTTTACTGCCTATACTTTAAAAGAAAGCTAAAGTAGTAATTACCTTTTTAATTATTAATTATTTTTTTTCTTTTTTTAATTAATTAAATTTAACTTATAGTTTTTTCTTTTATTATTTTATACTTTTTAATTTAAGCTTTAAGAAAAATATTTAATATTTTTTTTTTAAATAATTAAGTTTATAATAGTATTAATATATATAAAAAGGTTAAGAGGTTATAGTAAAATTAAATATTATTAACTATTGCTTTTAGCTTAATTTTTTTTATTTAGCAGCTATAATTATTTTATTAAAAATAATAGTTTTTTTTATAACTTTATTATTTAACTTTTTAAAAAGTAAACTATATATTTAATAAAATATTATAAAAAAATATTTATAGTTTTTTTTAAGCTTTATAAAGAATTTATTAATAAAGTATATTTTATTAATTTTATAGTATTTATTAAGTTATTTAAGCTTAGTTTAAGCTGCCTTAAGTTTTTTTATATAGTTATTAATATTTATATAGTTTTTAAATATTAGGCTATTATATCTTTAGTTAAGTTTTTAAAAAGTAATACTTCTGTAAAGCTTAAACTTAATCTTTAAGGTATTTAAAACAGTAGATAAAATCTCCTTTTACTTTATATATTTATAAATAAAATAATTAAGCTTACTATATATAAATATAATAATTTAGTTTTAATATATTTCCTAAAGTTCTTTTCTATTTTTAAAATTATTATTTAACTTATTAAATTTTTTTTTTAATATATTTTTATTTTTTTTTATAAAATTTTTAAAGCTTTAAATTTTAATTATATTTATAACTTCCCTTTTTTAAATAATTTAACTATTTAATAACTTAAGATTTTTAATAACAGCTGTATTAATAATAAGCTTAAAAACGCTTAAGCTTATTATTATTAATATATTTAAGTTTAATAATTAAACAGCAGTTAAATATTAAATTAAATTTAAGTTAAGGAGATAGAGTTTATAGTTAATTAATGGTTTAATTTAATTTACTAAAATTAGGGGTATTAAAAGGACTTTCTAACTTTTAAGCCTTAAATATTTTAATTATAGTTAAGGGTCTATAGTAATACTTTTATAGTTAATTATCTTAATAAAGGTATTAAATTAAGGGTAGTGGGTTTACTATAGTAGTTTTTTTTATAGTTAGATTATAAAGCTTTTACTAAAGTTTCATTAATTACCTTAATAAATACAGGGAAGTAATCTTTTTAAATAAATCTAAATATTACTATTAATTATAGTAGTTTTAATTATAAATTATATTTATTTTTTATTTTTTTATTTTATTAATCTATAATAGTTAATTAATTTTATAAAATAAAAGTAATAGAAATTATTTATTAAAATAATTAAAATTATCTTAAGGTTAATAATTATAATTATCTTAATCGTTAAATTAACGGTTATTTTAAAAGTTAGTTTAGCTAAAGGCTAAATCTTAGTTTTTTATTTAACATTAATAAAAGCAGCTTATTAATACTATTAGTTTAAAATAGTAATCTTAGTTAATATAGGGGTTATTATCGTTAGTTATAATCTAGGTTTATAACCTATTAAAAGAGAGGTTAAGTGTATATTATATTTATTAAAGGTTTTAGTTATTTAAATATAAAGTTGGGGGTAGGACTTTTTATATATATATAATCTACGAGATCCGATGAGGCAGATTGGATAGGGGTCACCCTGCAGTCAATATAATGGCATGTCGAGGCCGCCTTCATTTTCAATTGAGTCCCACAGCCCCAGCCTTTGTAACGCCGCAACCATGGACTCATCTGACGTGCTTTGAAGTGGATCTATGTTGAACCGGACATCACGGGGCATGATGAAAGGCTCCTGAGTGACAACATTTAGCCTCTGCCGAATTTCGGCGCGGCTGTGCATCGATATATCAACTCCATCAATCTCGATGCTCCCCTTCTGTGTTTCGACCATTCGCAGAAGAGAAAGAGCCAATGTTGTTTTCCCGCTTCCAGATGGACCACAAATAGCAATTTTTTCTCCAGGGTTAATGGACATTGTAACACTTTTCAGGACCGGAGCCGAGGTCATTCTGTGCGATGTAGATAATTAGTAAGCCAGTTAACAAACCTTTGGATCAACCACCCTCTAAAGTATCACCTAATGATTGAAATATAGGGTTGAACTTACGAGTGTCCCGCCTCAAGCTGGCAGAGCTGAATTGATCCTAGAGAAGGCCATTCGACAGGTAGTGGTTGCATGTCTACGGCGATCTCCTCTGGCTCGGTGGTGGCTACATACCTTTTAATCCGCGAAATCGCGCCTATAGATGTCTCCATTAGAGTCCAAAACCGGATAAGAAGCATCAAATTGCTGTTGAAAGTCATGACCATGACCAATGCAACTCCGACAGAGCCTGGATCGAATGAATCACGCATAAAGACAACCATAGCCACCAGGGCAACGGTTACGACTGCCACTGTTATGTCTAAGAATAGCTGGAGGCATTGCTGTATGCAATTAAGCAGATATACAGGTCGCTGAGAGAAGTTGAGCAGGGTTATACTTGTGTTGTCGAAAGCGGCTGGCCAGCCGAATGCTCGAACGGTCACAGCTCCGCTCACTAGTTCCATGAAGTGAGTATAGAGAGGAGCTTTTGCTTCAATATCCAAAAGCCGCAACTGCCGTGAAGTCCTAAGATAGAACTTTTGCGTCATGTATACAAGACCGGCCACAAAAGGGATGGTGATTGCCAAGTATTTGGCATACACAGCTAGTATAACAATCTGAGCTGTACAGGTGCCGGATGCTATTGCACCACTGCGTTAGATCTATTATAATGAATACTTCTAGAAGCAACACGTACCAGCAACGAAGTTCAGCGCCTGCATGGGGAGATCCATATCAACCAGGTCCATGTCTCGACTAAACCTGAGTTTTCCCACATCCAGAGTTAGCGATTGGCAAATGCTGAGAAAATGGAAGAGAGTTCCCATTCCATGTGCGGAGCAATGAATAATGGGAAATAACGGGGTGATTACGTTGCCTTACCGGTTAGTGATGCTACCAACATCGACGGACTGGAAAAACCGAAATGGCGCTCTAGATGTTATGTTAGCATGTCACCTTGGATTTAGGTTGTAAAGAGACTTTTTTTTTTTTTTTTTTTCCCAATTGGTCGATAGGACAACCCACTTCAACGTGGCATTTAAAACGTCCTCGTGTAGTCGTAATGCCGAACGTGATACCATATTGATAAACATAAGCCTATGCTCATTGCCTGTCAGGTCAACGTATTTGGTGTGGAGTTGGGTGGGGTAATAACGGACCAGCAAGCACAAATCATGAAGACTATACCAATAACTCCAAGGAATGCGTATATGGCAAGGTACAGACCAACCCCAGCGTTAGGATTCCGTTCATTCGCTGCTGTCCACCAATCTATCCACACAGCTGTACAAGGAGTCAGCAAATACCGGAGCAAAATGATATTCAGATACAGATCACCGCTAGACCTACTTGGGAACTGGCGGCAAAAGGCCCAAAAAGCAACCGTTCCTAGGAAACCAGCAGCCACAGGAAATCCGGTTGCCGTTAGATAGTATGTATAGTCAGAAAAGTCGCCCTTTTGACGGCTTATATCATCATCAGATAACTCATTAAGTGTCGAGTCAGCTGATCCAGGAACGGTCTCTTCCTCACCAGCGACACCAATAATAGGGGACAAGCCAGGGTTCGAGGCTTTCTCCTCCAATGTCACCTTCTCCTTGTCACACAAGGAAGATGATTTAACTTTCATGGCCTGAATATAAGCACTGCAGGATTTTAGATCTTTTAGAATGCCTTTCTCAACAATATGGCCATCAGCCAAGACGATGATTTGATCCGCGTATGGAAGGAGAAGGCCTATCGGAAAGAATGAGTCATTTGGGATCGGATACACGTACTTCATTTGGGGCGCAAAGATCAACTTACTAGAGTGTGTTACAAAGACGACAGTGGTTCTCATATTTCGAAGGAGTCCGTTAGCCTCGAACAGGCGCGAAGCGATCTTCTCGGTGGCCGTGGCGTCGACCCCACTAAAGACGTCGTCAAGGAGAAGAACTCTGCATCGCGAGTATATAGCTCGTGCCAAACCCTAGTTCGCTTCTCTTCAGCGTCCGAACCTAAGAATTACTGCGAGAAATCTGTACTGAACTTACAATTCTTTGCTTTTGTCCACCACTCAGCTTCAAACCATTACTGCCTACGGTGGTTTTATCACCATGAGCAAGTTGTGTTAGATCTTTTTCAAGTCCGCATGCCCAAAGCACTGTTGTGTACCATTCTTTGTCGAAATCCATGGTGCCAACAATATTTTCACGAACTGTATGGCTCTGCAGCCAGGGTATCTGTGAACAGTAGCCAACTGTTGCGAAGTTCCTTTCCGCGGAACCTTCGGTAGCCAAAGTCTCCCCAAGAATACTCTCTAGCAGGGTTGACTTTCCACTGCCGACAGGGCCGACGATTGCAGTAAAAGCTCCATGCGGAATACTAACATCAACGTCACGCAAAATTGGATATTTGCTTTCTTTCCACCCAAAGCTTTGATTGTGGAAATCCACGAGGTTTCCGTGCGGATGTGGTCCCGTAGATATTTTCTGAGGTTCCGGAGAGGACCTACCAGAATAATCAGTGTTATTTGGCTGTAAAAAAAAAAAGTTCGGGTGCGCACGGGGCACTGCAGTATTCTTGTGTCCTGTCAAAGCATCCCATACACTGGATTACTGCAGGTATTGATTGGATGAGGGTTAAAACAGGTGTCGTCAGCAGGGACACTAATGACAACGATGTGAAGGCCTGAGCAGCGAGTAGAGAATTGTCCCTCTGGACCAACGCGATAATAACGTATAAGGTGAACGACGCTATTGGAGCCAGATCAGTAGGCGCTTGGGCTATTTACAGTCAGTTATCTACGTGTAAATAGGGATGGACTCTACCTTATTCGCTAGATCGGGACAATGGGGGGGTGCTTACAGAGCACAATTCTCCAAATCAATAGCTTGCGAAAGACAGTAGATGCCGCTATTTCGGTTTGACGAAGTCCTTGAATTATGGACGATAATTTTTTCGAAAGCCCCAACATTTTGACGGCTTTGATATTTTCAAGAACATGTGAGGTTAGGCGTAGCCGATCTTCTACTTTTTCCACCCACAATCGTTGTGCGGTGCTAGTGGAAGCGGAGAGAGGAAGAGTTGCCCCAATGAAAACTGAATAATGCAGGAACTCAGTGTCAGTTACAACCACTGTAGTTTGTTGGTAATTTCAGCAACCTCTACTTACCAAGGATGATTACAACAGGCATGACACAAGCTACACCGACCTGCCTCTCCAAAAGATAGATTGCTATTACAATGTCGATGCAACATGCCCAAATTTCATGGATATATCTGAACGCAACTGTGATACGCTCCACATCTGTTCCCATCAGAGTGATTGCAGTGATTTCACCAAGATCTACGCTCCTAGCGCGGGCGGTCTGGCTATGGATGAGCGAGATTAGCCCGCCACGGAGACGAATTACGAAACGGATAGTGCGATACTCATACAAGGCTGTTGATACCTGCGGGCTAGTCAACGTCCAATTCTAATGAATGTATAGTCTTCCATATGATAACTTATGGCCATACCAACGTAAGTAAGGGCAGTAGCTCCTATTAATCCCTTACCAAAAGCCATCGAGACGTCTTTGGAGCCAACCCAGGTGACGATGGCGTTGATAAGAAAAGGCTGACAGAAGGTGAAGGCAGTAAGACAGAGGCGTGGCAGCATTGCGGACAGGAAGGAGCCAAGATATGCATTTAGACATACTTGGAAGAGCGCATACTTGGCAGATTTATCTTCTAGAGATTGTCTATGTTAGTATCCATGTTAAACTTACTAAAACATATCATGAGACAATACAAATGGTGTCCCCCACATACTAGTTTTAGCCCAGGATTTTGCCAACTCCCGCCCAATAGCACCACTGTCGAGTTTTGGATCCAAATCTGGGAGATCATCCACGGAGAGGACCTGGGTATACCCGCGGCGGAAAGTCGTAGCAAGCCAGGCAAAAGTAGCTTGCTTCCAGAACCCACTAAATGGTTCTGGAGTACCTGGCTTTTTCACTGATGCTATAAGGATTCCATCTTTTTCCACTGATTCCAGGACCAATGACATCAAAGTAAAAATAAGGCTCAACGTGAGGACGGTGCTGGTGTTTCTCGCTTCTGGGATAAGCCACAAGGTTCTCACACGAACTATGTCTGCTATTGTCCGCGCCGATAAATACAAAATTATCAACGTTGAAGGACGGATAGAACGACAGTGATTTATGTAGGAGAGGAAAAGGGTACAGAAGACTGAGAGACTCTGCAAAATATCTGCTGCGAGTGAGGCATTGGTTCGTTCATGATGGGTGGCTGATGCCCTCAGGATGAGGAGGGCAATTTGGCATATTAACACACCCCCGATAGTTAACTGAGGATAAAAGTATTGATAAGCCAGAGCAAAACGGAATCGTTGTAACCGGAAAAGTGAATATAATCGTACGAATTTGCTTGGAGAGAAACATACGAGCTTGATAAACAACGATATAGACCTCTTGACGCACTGGTGTGCTTTCCATAACTGCAATATAGGCAATGGAAGTAGCAGCAAGAATAATGACGATGGTAAGCAGACTAATACCAAATCTTCAAATTGTATGGTAAAGTCGAAACCACGGCAGGCGCCGTTCACTCGTGGGCCAAAAGAGGCGTCGGCACCAATTGGACAGGTTGCTGTCATCAAGTCCATACCTCGAATAACGCAGCGGAAGAGCTGCGAAAGTCAAAATCGAAATTAATTACAATTTTACTAGACTTACACACATTAAAGACGCACATATAAGGCACAGAAAGATGCTAAAGCAGAGACTGGATTAAGACCTCCGATAGCCCTTTAGTAGAATCCAATTTCGGACTCCGAAATTCTATTCTACCACCACGACGGCCCCGCTCTGAATCGACCAACTCCTCAGGATGGGTATGCCAATCGGACCAATCAAGCTTAATTTTACATGCTCTAGCTGAGGAAATTGTAATAGATGAAGGCGCCAGCGTAATGAGACGCCCAACGCAAAGTCGACTCAAACGATTGGCGTCCGAGAAACGGACCGGAATCACCTAATTGCCACAGGGCTGCCCATCATCTAATAGAAGAAAAAAAAAAACCCTGCACTCAGTCGTCGTTATCACATGCTTGCCTCAAGCGGAAGCCGAAACGCCACCAGCAATCTTTTGCATGCTCTTGTCTATTGTCCCGGCACAGCCTGGGGTGGTTAGGAAGGGTTTACAGTATAAGACTCTCAGGATACCCCAGGCTTATTTGCAACAATACCACGTAGGTACCCAACACAAGATTGACACACGAAAAGGTACACATAAACAGCAATGGAAAATGTGACCGTGTAGCACTCATGGGAACAAGGATGGCAGGGAGATAAACAAAAGAGGGAGCAGATGAGAGAAAAGTGGAAAAGAGAAAATTAGAGGCTCTCTGAGTACCTAGGAATAATGCTAAAGGACTCTTAGGTATCGAATTGTGCGATCCATCCACTGAAGGAGTTTTTTTTAATTTTAAAATACAGAAACACTAATACCATCTATAATATCGGGTATGTACATGTGTATACACGCGAAGAACTTTTGTGCTGGTTGTTGGGCGCCCCCTGGAACACTCCATATCAAAAGTGGGCCACTTGTGCTGTGAATTGAATCAGGTGGTGCTAATGGATCCCCTGCTGGAAATTGTTCGCAGTGGACAGAGAGAGGGAGAACATTCACGGAAATCCCACACCCCGCAACTCCTCTTGCGAGCCATAAGCTGTCGCGAATCACGACCTTGATAATAGTCTGCTACTTTGTTTCTCATTCCGATTTCCCCTTTGGAGAGTGGGAAATTCTTCCTCCGCTATAATTGCACTGGAAGTATGCATCTTGTGTCACAATCAGCCTTAATTGCGCTGTCATTTGCTTTGGCTGATGCAACAACTTTCGAGTCGGCATCGCAAGCTCTGCAACTGGACTGGGACACCATCACCCCCAGTGGCGACCTGGTCTATCACGACTGTTACGATGGGCTTCAGTGCGCGCGCCTAGAGGTCCCTCTTGACTGGACCAATAGCACCGACACTCGGACTGCCGTCATTGCCATTGCCAAACTCCCTGCTGTAGTCTCTGACAATGATCCCAGTTTTGGCGGAAGTATCTTTGTGAATCCGGGAGGGCCAGGAGCTTCAGGTGTTTCTTTCGTTCTCTCGGATGGGCATGATTTGCAGCAATATGTCGATAAGCCTGGTCGCCGCCACTACGAGATTGTCTCGTGGGATCCCCGTGGGATCGGCCGCACGACTCCAAGCTCCGACTGCTTCCGCTCTGATGCCGTGTCTCGCAGTGCGTGGCAGCTTGAGGCCCGTGGAAACGGTGGGCTGGACAAAGGCCTTGACCCAATCAAATATGGCCTCGCAATGGCAAAAGCTTTGTCTCAGCGATGCAAGGATTCGGAGCATCAGTGGGGAGATGCAATGGCGTTTGTGAATACTCCTAGCGTGGCTCGGGATATGGTCCAGATGGTGGATAAAATCGATGAATTGAGAAAACGTGAGGGCGTCAGCAAAGCACATGACGAGCCCCGTCTAGAGCTCAAGAAGCGGACTGAGGAAGATGATGTGCCGCGCCTGCAGTACATTGGCTTTTCCTATGGCACGGCCCTTGGCAACTACTTTGCGAGTTTATATCCCGGCCGTGTCGGGAGGATGGTGCTTGATGGAGTAGTGAATGCAGATGATTATGCAAATGGTCCTGTAAGTCCACCACGGTATTTCCCTAGCTGTAGAATTTTGTCAATCACCACCTCTACAGTTCATTCATCAAGCTGACCAACTTAGGGCTGGCTTACGAACCTCCACGACACGGATGAAATCTTGGAGGAATTTTGGCGAGGCTGCCACCAAGCCGGTCCATCTACTTGCGCCCTTGCTTCTGACTCAGACGGTTCTGCGTCTGAGATCAAAGCCAGATTCTGGTCTTGGGTGGCCGATCTCGACGACATTCCAATACCCGCACTGTCTTCTACAGGCACTATAGTCGTCATCACCGGCGATGATATCCGTAAACTTGTTGGCTCTTCCCTCTACGATCCCATTCGGACCTTTAAGCTCCTCTCAACAACGCTTCAGCAGGCTATGGCTGGCAACACGACCGGCCTCGTCAGTAACCTGGTAAAGCTTGGCCATGTGCCGAATCTAGACACCATCTGCTCCGAGAATAATGGCACTAAGCCAGCTTCTATTCTTCCTGAATCTCAGTCTGCTGTCATTTGTGGCGACGGTGATGATATTACTGACAAAGACGCTAGTTGGTGGTACAAGTATGTTCAGCGCCAAGTGAGCAAGTCAAAGCTGTATGGAAGTTATTGGGCCAATATTCGCTTCAGCTGCTCTAGTTGGCCGTTTCGCCCCAATTTATCGTTCAAGGGCCCTTTCACAACCCCCAAAGCGTTTCCCAGCTTAGCTGCGGGACATCCAGCTGCTCCTCTGTTGTTTCTAAGTCCCCGCCTGGACCCCGTTACACCACTGAACTCGGCCCGCGCAATGGCTGCTAACCACCCTGGCGCGGCAGTTGTCATTCAAGAATCCATGGGCCATTGTGTTATTGGCACTGCTCCAAGTGACTGCACCAAGGCTATTGTGGCTGACTATTTCGAATCCGGAACTGTTCCATCAGAGGAAATAGCATGCAAAGCACAGTGTGGGCCATGGGATGACAACTGCAGTGGCTATTCTCCTGCAGCTGTAAGCATCAGTGAGTCTACAAGCTGGCAATTCCGGGGCAATCCAATCCTCTTTCTATAGTGACATAATATTTGAGATATGAGTCTCGTTATTATGTCGAAAATGTAATTTCAGCGCAGTTGATTACAATTTTGTATTAAGACATAGCGAACTACAACCTTGGAAATGCAACTGCAAGACACTTTCCGGTACTGGAGCTGGAATCTAAATAATACCAACATTTTCTGTTAGCCCGAATGCAAATCTTGTATTATGGCCAGGCTGTGTAATTCATTTCTTTTGCCATCATCATTTAATTCTACTCTGCAAGTAGGGTCAAACATCTTACTCAACGAGACAACCACACTTGCGGAGGCCGAACAAGAGAGTGAAGTGAAGCAGTCCATTCAGCTGCCAATTATTAAGAAACTCACGCTTTAATAATAAACTAGGTCAGAAGACAATTCTCCTAAATGTTATTGTGGCGAAATATTCCATCAGCCACAAAAATGTCTCTCATTCATCGCGTTAGTGCAAATCATAAAGCTGCCTTGATGTGATTGCTCGCAGGGATACATATCCGCACGATGTGAGGTGTGATAAATGAACTTGGAGTTCAGACTCCATATATATATTTGCCGTCAACACAGTTCTTTTATTTTCTCCTGTGATGTATATTCCGTACGACGTGCCGAATCATGCGATGCAGCCTTGGTAGCGTGTTAACAACGTAGCAAGTGACTGCCGCGCTGCGAAACTCATTAGACCTGCAAGTTAAACGATTCTGAATTTGGCATATTCGAATATCTATGAAACTAGCAGTTTGGTTAAAATAACGGCAACGGTGGTTAAACGGTCAATGATTTTGAGTTACTTCCGGGCTCCGAACAAGATGACTTCCGGATTCCGAACATGTTCCCTCCTTATCACCTGCCTCCGGATTCCGATCGAAATAATGCTGAGAGTTATGCTTAGTGTTACAATGCCGGTCCACGTTAGAAGATATCCAACTTCAAATGTAAAAGTAGATGAATTCCTAATTCCACGTAATTCGTGCTGAGCTAAGTTTAAATACAAACCCAGCCCCTCCCCGATTTCATACAAAGTACGCTGAACAAAGCTTTCTTGGCAATTCGTTCAATAAAATAACGCTCTACTTATCATTTAAATCGCAATGGTGACTTCGACTCTAATTGCTTGCTTCATCGCGCTCGCAGGTGTTGCTGTGGCGTTTCCAGGTAGGTTTTTAATGTTTGCGGCGCATCATTTTGCTAATACGACATATCTCAAACTGCAGCTCCGCCAGTGGCCGAAAGCCACGCAGCTTTCCGACGATGTGGACCTCTAGAGGTATGCCCTGACTCGAAATTGTCAGGTGAGGCTATTGTTACCGTATGGCTGATTTTAGCTAATCAATTGCTCATATATATTTCCTTCAGCGACGCAGGAGCATGCACCCATTCGAAGGTGCGGGCCTCTAGAGATATGTACAGATGCAGAGCCCGCGCTAGATCAGTGAACATACTCTCTTAGAAAGAACAAAAGACAGGCTAGAGGAATATTTGTTCTTGATATAGCACCAATTACCGACTGAGTTCTATGATAGTGTAGCAGAGTTGAAGAGAAGAGATTTATGTGCGAAACTGCGTTTGGAGATTTGACACTTTCATAGATTGCGAAATGGACTTTGGAGGAATGATTCCCTACTCTGTCTCTTTTGAGGTGATTGGCCATGTTAAATAATGTCGCTTCAAAACGTACCAAATACAATTGCTTTCTGCATACTTTGGTTATCTATCCAACCCTCTAGGGCCATGTCATTTCAGAAGAAATTTTCATTCTCCAAATCCAATTCATGCACAACTCTATCAGAAACTTTCCTTTCACCACAAACTTGCCCATGGTTGGTAGTCCTTAGCTTGCATCAGCCGCTGAAGCTGCCTCCGTCGAACTCCAATATTACCCCCATCAAAGAGTGAGAACACAGTAGCATCATTCAATAATCTCGGAAACACTGTATCAGTTCGGTAAGATGTTCTATATATTTACTTAGTAAACTTATTCGGGGGGCGAATGATTTTGAAGAAATCTGGAAATACTTTTCTTAGGAATAACTTACATTCCTACAAGCTGCATCGTGTCCCAGACAGCGCTCACGGCCTGGTCACTACAGTATATCTTGGCTTGTAAGCAAGCTTCATATCGGCTGTTGTCATCTCCAGTTCCTCTTTCGACCCCATCAAGGGCCTTCCAGACAAGGATGCGAGATGTATCGATCTTGAGCTTGGCGTTGATTAGCAAATCAGCGGGACTTTGCCTCTCTATAACGGGTACGGTGCCTCTGCGGCTGTCTTCTCTAGCAAATTTCAGAGCTGCTTCAAAGGCTGCGCGCATCGTGCCAACTGCCATAGCACCCGCCAATGCAGCAGACATGCTGAATGCCCGCTCGATAACGGATGCTCCACTCCCTGGAGCTCCTAATATGTTTGCAATAGGAACCTTGAAGTTAGTATACCTGGTTAGCGGTGCAGAGGCCGCGATATGGCCCATTAGATTCGGCTCTGCAATCTTTCGGTACGCCTCGGGCCCATTCTGAGCTATTGTATCTCGTGTGATTAGAAGAACAATAATATTTGACGCGGGATCATCATTTGGGTCTTGAGATCCACCATCCTCAGAATACCGACAACACAGACATGAGAGCGTAGCACCTTTTCCATCCCAACCCGCGCTATTTGTAGTCCATAACTACTCGTGGTTGCAAATTTTTAGCGAAAGAGTGAAATATTTAATCAATGAATGTAGTTAAACATTCTTACCTTGTCTCCATTCACAACATAATAGTCGCCTTCTTTCCGGGCAGTAGTTTCTAGTCCTTTGCCGCCTTTTTCAAGCCAGTTGGCAGTGCCGCCTGGTTCGGAATGGGTTAAACTAGCAAGGGGCTCACCATCGCAAGTGATGAAAGGAGCAAGAAATTTCTTCTGCTGCTCTGGTGTGCCTCCTAGAATCAGAGGCATTAAGCCAAGCCCAGTGCCAAGCACATGAAGCATGATACTTGAATCAATTGCATAGAGTTCTTCAGCGACAATTGCGCCATCTATGAACGATTCATTGCTTCCACCGAGTACCGTTGGAACCTGGGCCTTCACAAAGCCAGCTTTCACGAGTTTTTGATAAAATGGAAGACTGGCTTGGAATCGGGATTCCTGGTCGCTGTACTGAGAATATAATTCTCTAGCAGGTGAGAGGATTTCTCTGCCAATTCTGGCCGACTCCTCACGCAGAGCCTTTTGTTTATCGGTTAAACTGAACCCAATCATGTTATTAGTGAGTCGAATACAGAAATTTTGATACCGGTTCTCAATCGACAGAAGATAGAGCTAAGTCCTAGTGGATAGAGCAACTCAGAATGATCGAAAACGGGGGGAGCAGTTACCATTACGTGTTATACCCCGAACTATACAAATGCCCTTCGATTGCTTCATATGAGTGATTAATCTTCAAAGGCGGATTTTCAATTTCCTAACGCTACTGGGTAGCGATGTTCGAAGAGGGGCAGTGACTTTGGATCCTGCAGTGTTGCGGCCGCTGTCACCTCCAGCACTCTGCGGTTGGTCGGAATCCTGTGGCTTATGCATCGGCTTATACACCATATTGAGCAACTTTTGCAGGTATGTGTTGCACAAATGACACTTGATGCGGGAGATGGGTTGTGCAATTTCATATTTAATCCACCAGCCATAACAAACAGATTGTGTCCATTTGCATGCCGTACATCGTATATGCCCAATACAATGCTATATTTTCTATCCTGTACCAGTACCATTTTGTGGAAATACTTGATGATGTGTTGTTTCGGAAATAACGCAATCTGTTCTAGCTAAATGTATCAGGGAAATTGGCCATACCATACGACGCTCTTGCCCATCTATTTAACGGCTTCTACTATTTCTTCTCGGTCGATGCCCGACGTCACGGAAACAACTGATCTCTTCTGGTATATGGTGCGCCTTTCTTTCTACTGATTGTACTATACCTAGTTATACCGTCCTAGCACATCGATGAGCATTACCAACTTCGTCTAGCATCACTTGAATTCTGACAATTCAATGCATCTGAAAGAATAAGTGTAAAATCACTCCTGTGCATTGAGTTGATCAAATAAATAAACTATGTGAGACTTTTATCTATATAAAACATGGAATGGGGTCTGTTATGTTGAAGACGGAGCCCCCCAGCTCCCAAGAACGCCAGACCAGCCAACCATCGCCAACACCACGACTGGCAAAAGCGAGCCAACTACGGAGTAGTTAGTAAGTCCAACACAGGAAGCCGCATTAGGCGCAGCATGCTCCTATCATAAAAGGTGTGCATATTTAACAATAGTTTGTGACAGAACTTGTCCGTCAGAATTTAGGCATACGGCGACTAGTGCTACCCATTGCTAAAAAACATGTACAGTCACCACCATGTGGGGGGCACCTACTCGGCAGTTATTGTTATGCGGAAACGGATTGTATTTAGCATATAACCATGGTCTGAAGGAATAGCAGGCGAGAACAGTTTGCCCATCAGCGTTGCTTTCTTCAAAGAATATGCGACGAGGGGGTGACTGTATAGGAATAGTTGCCCGTCGCTCAGCGCTGACTTGTGGGAATCCCTCCCCTCCTCTCAACAAGACGATGTGAGCACCCCCACACACATTCCCCAAGATCCTCTCGATTACACTACCCCTCTGAACTGCCCTAGTCACTCATAGTAACAGTTGTCATCCCCACTGGCTTAGTTATTGATGCTCCTTGGTGCTGCACTTTTGCATACTTTAGACACCCGGGAGATATGTTATCTTCAGCAAAGAGAGGCTCACTCATAGCAAGAATCCGGTGATGTTACAACGTAGGAACCATTTTATGTGTTATGATACAGCATACAAGACTCCTGAATGGTAAGCCGGTGCCTGACTATTTGCAGAACGAGATTCTATAGACATCACCGTGGTCTCCATCGCACATTCGATCTGGACTTCTCGTTATACATGTATCTCGTGCCTTTCAATGTTGCAGAATACCTACCCCTAATCCTGAAATCATAGAAAGACAGGATCAGCAGGTAACTATTGTTAGAGATCAGACATATGGATCTGGCGCTGAATATATAGAAAATACTGTCTACCAATACCAACGAATGAAAGCGATATTAGTGCGAAATGCTTCTCAATGTCCGTATTTGAGCAATTGGCTTCGGATAGACGGAATTTCCCGATGTTCTATGGGAAATCCCTAACTCATCGGAATAATAGTCAGTTGCGAAATAAGTCTGGTAGAGTCTGGAATTGAATAGGCGATCACGGAACATGAGAAGGCATGAACGGTCGGATCGGACTTTGCGGACTTCGCGGAACTTACCGTGGTGGTGAAGAGCGACATTATTTCGGCGTTTAGAGGCTCTTCAGGTTGCTAACAGTCATCCACCCGCTAAGGAATGCCGAATTTCCGTTTTTGGTATTGAATGAGATTACTGTAGGCGGAAATAACGTGTGAATGGCGGCCTCTCTGCATAGGACCGATGTATTACGGTGTATATGGTGCAGAATCCTTACTGAACTGATATAAAAGAAGACGTTGCCAATCAGATAATTGAACATGGAAAGAACTGATAAGCACCCCATATTCTACAAGAGAATTAGCGTCGATCCCATATCATTTTATAATGTCACAGATGTTGAAAAATGTTATGCTGGTGGGGGTATGTTGGCGCTCCCGGCGAGATTGTGGCTTTAAAACTGACGTGAAATAGGCTGGGGGGAATCTCGGAACACACGTGCTTCAGTCCCTTATTGAGGCAAAATTTAATGTCTCTGTAATGAGTCGAGCATCCAGCAAAGCTGCCTTTCCGGAGAATGTACGAGTATATAAGACGGACTATTCGGAGTCATCACTTATAAGTGCACTTGAGGGACATGATGCGGTAGTGAGCACTATTGGTGGCAGTGGACTGAAAGAGCAGCAAAAAATAATTGATGCTGCAATTATTGCTGGAGTAAAAAGGTTCATTCCATCAGAATATGGCATCGACATCTGTCATCCGAAAGCTCTGGAGATTGTTCCTTTCTTCAATCAAAAAGAGCAAATCAATACCTATTTGAAGAGCAAGGAATCTCAAGGCATTACATGGACTAGTATAGCTACGGGACCTTTTCTGGACTGGGTGCGTTGATCAGAATCATATTTGAGTACATCAATTATGCACAAGAGACTTTCTAATCAAGAAAAATATAGGGTCTTGGCGCTGGACTGTTTGGATTTGACTTGAAGAATCGGGCCGCAACTTTCGTTGATCAAGGGACTCAGCCATTTAGCACGACAATTCTTCCGACGATCGGCAAAGCTATAGCGTCTGTTCTTATACACTCCTCTGACACCGCAAACAAAAGAATCTTCATTCACTCGTTCAGGACCACCCAACATCAATTACTACAGATATTAGAGAGGCAGACGGGTACGCCATGGAAGGTAAACTATGTACCAGCTGATGAAATGATATCTATAGGGAGGCAAAAGATGTCAAGGGGAGCAGGCGGTGTATTTGAGCTTCTCCAAGCCGCAATGTTCAAAGGAGGTTGTGGGTCTGATTTTGAGACTGAGTTTGAACTCCATAATCATCTCCTGAAATTACTTCCAGATAGTCTTGAGGAATCCATAGCCACTATATTAAGCCTCTGATAACAACTTGTATCTGAGGTGGCTAATTGTATTGGAAATTGTCAATAGAGTATATTACAAGTTCGCTATTGTTAACAGTTGAATAGAGATACTTAATTGCATGATAACAGAGCTATCGAGCGATTATACAGCAACAAAAATAGCAGATGCGAATTGAGGTGCTTTGACGCTATTTTACAAAGTCATTATACGTAACGCATTGTTAAAGGCACAGGGTCTCTCTAGTTATCCAGATATATCTTATCCAGTACAACCGACCCATTTGTCAAATTGCCCCAGAGTAGAGTCATCAGTATACTCCTAGATACTTCTATAACTGGGTCTCACGCCTTTCAGAATACGGGGGTAAAAAGGGGATAGGTAGTTGGACGCTTAGAAAACTACCGACTTGACTATTCAAAACTAGGTCGTGATGAGACTTACGGATGCAATAGGGTAGGGTCTCATCACTCACAGTGCATCGAAGAGTATGGAAGACGATAACGACAAACACCTTACTGATCACCACGAGACAGGACACACCGATATATTTAGCTGGGGCGTTGCCGACCGCAGTGGGTCTATTCGGATCCCGAGAGAAACAGCCACAAGAGGGTGTGGATACTTTGAGGACAGAAGGCCAGGTTCATATGCGGATCCGTATCGCGTAGCCAGAGTCTCGACCACTGCTGCACTTGACAGGATATAGCATCTTATTAGGCTTATATATGTAGCATGAATGCAGATACATGAGCGTACTCAATAAATTTTTTTTTGGGGGGGGGGGGGAACAATAAAACCTTAGCTGTCTCACTTCAGAAACATGTGTGGATGATATATGCTATCAGTGAGCCACAATGAGGATAAAGCCCAAAGAAAGCTAAAAAAGAAATATGCAGATAAGTAAACAAGTCAAGAGATAGACAAACGAGGAAACAATGAATAAAAGTTGAAATTGGAAAAAAAGTTAACACAGAATACAATCGAGGCTAAAATAAATGGCCCCTTGTTTCTTTAGGCATGTGAAAACCGTTGGTGCATAATGTTTTCTTCAAGTACTGTTAAGAAATATGGAACCGTCAATAGTTCAGTACCTAGGTAGGTACCTAGGCACAGCACAATTAAGTTCAAAATAGCAGGAAACTCTCTATTCTCAGCATACCCATCCGCATTTACTTTCTCTGATACAAAATTTAACTTGAAAAACTGATGAAGTACTTCTAGATGGTCAGAAAACACAGAATTCTACTTCACCTAGTTTTTCTGGAATATACAGCTTGGGAACTGACAAGTATCTGAAGTACCACAGCACTGGCGATTTTCCACCTTGGTAGACGGGAACATGCTGATAGGTGATTCTTGTGATGTATGCAGCGCATCTGCTACCAGATTGTTAATTCAGTAGCAAGCTCTGTAGGATACTAACTAGTACGTGAAATCCGCTCTTCTGCATGAGAGGGTGTAGCGCCTTCAACTGAAGAGAAATCCAACGGTTCATCGAAATTATAACTAATATCACTAGGGCTCTCCGAGATAACCCTGGGCTGAGATTGTACATCTTTGTTGGCAGCAAGATGGCCTGACTAGTTGGGATTCAATGCACGGGATACCGAATCATTGAGTAGTTGTGTGTTGACGGCAAATCGGGATAGTTGTGTCTGGACTTCAACAAGCTACATTCGGAGATTTCGATTCTCCTCTTCTAGCCTCGCAATTGTCTCATTCTGGGGCTTATAGCTAGAGTTTAAACGATCTTGGAGTGCTTTGAGGCTTTCCGCACGTCGTCGTCGAAACCCCTGCTGAGCCAGGCGGTTCCTGACTTTCCTTATGAATCTGTTCAGACAAAGTATACAAAGTTTACTAGCGGTACTGACTTTTTATCATGATAGTCATTTTTGCTTTGACTATTTCCCCCGTGAGAACTGTGCAAACCCATGTAAATTTAGCTATTGTGCTTTCCCTTTGCGTTTTATGTCGAAAATATTAAGTATATCAAGATAATGGATTATTAAAAGAAGAAACAATCTAATCTACGATCGTGTGCCTTGCAGTTGTCCGTTACAGTAATTATACACAATTCATTCGAAGGTAGCGGCAAGCATTTACAGTGGAATAAAGAGGCATTGGAGATCTAGAAAAGGCCACTAATTTAGCCTCCGAGTAGCAGTCGGTTCAGCTTTTACCCAGTTTTTGCACCGATTAGCAGAAGAAAGTGGTCACTTCCAGAGGGGCTACCGTCGGCTGGGGCTGGTTCCCCAGAAAAACGTGTAAGATTTTAGTCCTTGACCCACGGCTGGTGTGGAGCTGGCATTGGCCTTCCTAATTCTCAACCAAGTGTTTATTTATCTGATCAAGATGCCATTGAAAGCCCAAGTGGACCGATGCCTCATCACGCTTCGGCATTTGCAATTTTGTGTCTGGCTGTCTTGCAGAGTGACGGGAGATCATGACATGAATGCGGGTTCTTGCTGTGTGAGATTTTAACCTGTTCTAGTTTGTAGCCTATACTGATTCAGTCTTTGCACTGCAAGTTCACGCCCTACGTGAGATGAGCAATAGGTACTACGTGTGGCACAGAATTTGGGATCTAGGCGACGTCCAGCGCAGCATAGAATTGATCTGTAGCATCCACAGTCACAGTGTCGCGCTATCTCTAGCTACATGTGTTTTAGAGCCACGAAGTTAACAGTGTCTGAACAGTCCCCCAAGGCTCCGCATCTAAGTCGTATAAAAAAAATTAACGCTGCGAGAGAACGAGTCGTATATGTATTAATGGGATATTCGGTCAATATATATATTTTCACGTATTCTTCTTTCATTCCTCGTCTGACAAAATTATTCCCGTACATCAACTTTGAAGAACAAATATCTTCTTACCGAAGACACGATGGCTTCCACACCACCTGCAGCCGTGAGCATTCTCAATGCAATTGGCAACACACCAGTTATTAAATTGAACCACGTCGTTCCTGCTGGATCTGCAGATGTCTATATCAAACTCGAATTTTATAACCCAACTGGGTGCTACAAAGATCGGATGGCATGGTCCATGATTGACCAAGCAGAACAACGTGGAGATTTAAACCCAGGTATGACAGTTGTGGAAGCTACTGGCGGAAGCACTGGATCTTCACTTGCATTCATCTGCGCTTTAAAAGGCTATAATTTTGAAGTGGTGTGCTCGGATGTATTTTCAATTGAGAAGCTGCGTACAATTACTACACTTGGGGCAAAGCTTGATATCATACACAGCCCTACTGGCAAAGTTACAGCCGATCTTATGCCATCTATGATACAGCGTGCAAAGGAAATTGGCGAAAGAAAGGGATACTACTACACGAACCAGTTTAATAACCGGGACGCTCTTATTGGATATGAAGGCATTGGCCATGAACTAGTCAAGCAATTTCCTGACGGCATTGATGCATTCTGCGGCGCCATCGGCACAGCTGGGATGGCGATGGGCACTGCACGGGTCTTCAGGTCAAAAATGCCCTCTACGAAAATTGTCATTTTGGAGCCAGCATCAGCGCCACACATCACCAAGGGCCAAACCGGAGCACATAGCGTCGAAGGCATTGCAGTTGTCAGCCGTCCGCCCCATCTCGATGATGCCTTGTATGACGAAGCTCGCGGTATCGAAGAAGACAAAGCGCGTGCCATGTGCCGCCTCCTTGCCAGAAAGGAAGGATTGCTTGTCGGCACATCCACAGGGATAAACGTCGTCGCGGCCCTGGAACTTGCAAAGGAATTGGGCCCAGGTAAAACAGTTGTTACCGTCGCGGTCGATACGGGTCTAAAATACTTGAATGGCAATTTGTTCCAGGAGTAACTAGAAGAGAAAGCTGTTCGCTGCACATTGAAGCATACTTACCTACCAAGTGCCGCAAGACAATACTAGACTCGTGATCAATTAAATATTTTGCTACATATATGAAAGGCTTTCATTTGGTAATATGGTATTTGTAAGCCAATGAATCGGAAAGTATATGAGTGTATATGTGTTTCTTTAGAAAAGGAACAACACTACGATTTTCTCCCCTGCGCTCTAAACCATATAATTACACACTATTCCTTTTCTGAGGTAGTTTTCTGAGGATTTTATGTTGATTCGAGTTGCAATATGCAGCTGTATATCAAAAAGTATGACTTATCACGCAATGAAAAGTCTCATGTATACATTGGCATATCATCCAGCTTCGGTAAGCCTTAATTGAGAAGGGGAGTATATCCATCGCACCATCCGATAGTTCAAAATAGTTCCCCAGTTTTCGTGTAAGAAATTAGGCGCAAGTCATAAATTTTTCCCCAATCAACGCTATCCGTCACTGCTATCGGCCAAAAATTAATCACCCTAAATTTGTAGCCTTTTCATCAGCCCTGTTGGATATTTGGCGCATGATTGATCTTGCAAATAGAATAAGCAGTTTTTGCCACTGGAGTAAGACGTGGAACTAAGGCTGTCCCATTCAATGATGGAGCAGTGCACGCTTGACAGGCGACTGTGTGCGGTTGCATAGTAATGTGATTAGAAGTGGCTTTTCCATCGATCTCGCGTATCAGTGGCAGGTCAATATTGCGTGTACTATCGCCAGAGAAACTGTTCTGAGTACTTTCTCCAGAACACGAGATGTTACTACCATCGAGGCTCTCCTTTTTACGTTTCATTTTGTTACCTGTGAGCTTTATATATCAGCGCATTGCATCAATGTTTTACCGTAGCCACTGCATGCTGATGCACGATAATTTCTTTGAGCGATTCGATTCTGCACTCTCCGACGAACTGCAAGGTCTGAAAGCTTGGTCCAATCTTCATCGGGGTGAGCCAGTTTGCTAAAAGCACTGCAAGCTCCATTCGAGGCATACTGGCCTAGTGCAGACTGATGGTCGCTCACACGATGGTTCTGAGACATTGTAGCTACTGAAAATTGTTCAAGGCTCGCCCCCCAAAGGACGACTGTTGTAATTTTTGACCAGGGGTTTTATTGTTCCGAGACCGGACGCCATCCCCCACAGAAGCAATGTGCAGGCGATTGTTGGTTCAAGGAGTGTCCACATGTATGAAGTAGACGATAGGGTCATCTATTATTTACTTAGGTAGTCAGTTCATACGGAGTAATCAGTACAGAACAGGAAATTTGTGAGCAAATGGCTTGAATAAAATTTACGGTACGCCAATGAAGGCGCTTCAAATTCAGCTATGGCGGTAGATGAAGTTGTAAGTTTACATATTTAAAGTAAACATGAGGGAGAAACATAAGGTACCTAGGTATATTGTATGGAGCTCAGATTCATAGGGCCGATACTCGAGTTATCAGTCATATGGCTAGCGCTAAATTGCCTACATTATATCTTCATTTTCATCAATTCTAGAAGAAAAACACGTGAAGGTGGTTTCTACCTGACGCAGCTAGAATCTGCAGGTATTGGGTACATGTTTTTGCCAATCACTGTGCCCAAGTATCACCCGGCCAGGCGTACAGGCAGAATTTGAGTACATGCAATCTGTACTTCTAGGATATTGAGACGCCGTGCGACGATCTGTATCAAGAACATCGTCCGGTGTAGAAATTCTGTCGTGATGCAAAATGTAAAGCAGTCTGCGCAGAATTTTCATCAAGTGTTTTTCTCCCTCTCCATCACTATCGTCACAAGTTGTGTGTACTCTTTTCTTCATTAATTGTTCAGTATCGCTAATTGATGGCAATTAGATTCTATATTCAAGTATCTCCCTCTCAACGTCAACGAAAGCTTTTTTTTTTTTTTTTTTTTTTTTCTCGAAGACAATTCCATTATGCATAAGTTTGACACTCCCCACCTGCGCATCGCCGACCCAGTCTCCCGGATCGCTGTCATCCTTCCTAGATTTGCGACTAAAGCCCGTTTCCGACTCGTGCCTGAAGTTGTGTCCAATGAACGTCTGGTTCTTACCTGATCTTTTTCTTTTCCTATTTTGCCTTCCAACTCCAACTCCCGTGTCCCTCGCCGCCGCACCGCCGTAAGTAAAATACTGTCGCCGATACTGAGTACAGTACCGAACCACAGAAGCTGACGTTTGCGGGGAAAAAAAGACTACTCGCTGTCAGTGGATCAGGGTCACCGTCATGTTTGTGGCCGCGGTTATCGGCGCGCTTTGGGGGCTATTCAGCACCCCAGCAACTAAGAGGAGTTCCGAATAGTGTGACAACGTATAATGAAGATCTTTTATCACCATTACTTTTATAGATATTATAGGGTTCCTGGGGTATCTGCTACTATCTGCTACTATCGCTACTACCTATATAATCTTTTAAAATGAGCTACTACTACTCCCGAAACTGCTTTAAATTTAAAATTGGGATGCTGAATAGCAAACGTGGGGTGTTGAATAAAGTCGCCTTTTTTTTATTTTCAGCTCCGGCTCGCGGCACCCTATGCCGTACGTCCTCCGTGTCCATCTGCTGCCCCGTTGCCTCCAATGTTGTCATCACTAAGGAACTTTCCACTGAGCGCCTTTTGATGTAAGTTTATTCCTCTGTGCGCGGGCGTCTCACCCAAGACGCTGCCGGCGCCAATGCTGCCAATGCAGCTGCCCTGGTCCTCCCGCACACCGAGGATACGTCTGCCGTGGGCTTCTCAGCCCCTGTCACCGAGCGCAAGATGAGGCTGGGTGGCCTCGTCAGCTTCCTCTTCCCGGGAGTCAACCCCTTGTTGAGCTTTGGTGTATGTATTTACCAATTTCCTACCTACCGTCGTTGCCAGCATACGTATACGTAGCAGGTACACTAACTATTTATAGGTCCAAGTGCTTTACGGATGGTTGTATAGGGCATAAGCTCTTTGACGTTTGTTTTTTGTTCTTTTATGCGGGTGTTTTCTGCCTAGTGTGGTCTTGATCAATTATATCCTCTCGAGCACTTGCTTAACGTGGCCCTGAACCCGCGCGGCGATTTTGTATCTCGGTAGGGTAATATGTCTATCAAATTTCCAGACTCGCCACTCGTATTGTTGCCATCACTTCATGCGTGGCCACCATCGCCTTTTCCCAATGTATGCTCAAGCTGAGTTGGTCATTGGTGGTCCCACTTTGGCAAGAGGCTATCTTCATGACCCAGTCAAGACAGATGCACCATTCATTTAACCGCCAGCCTGGTTCAGCGAGTACAGCTCCACTGTTCGGAGCGGGAAACGCATCATTTTGTCGAAGCTGTGGAATGCATGGCAAGCAGTACATATGAACCATGACTCTTTTTCCATCTTTTTGTTAATCTCAAGGATACCTTTCAGGCGCATTGAGGCCAAAAAAGGATAGTCAATCTTAGGCAACGCCACGGCTAAGGTGATAACAACCGCATACATATGTGCTAGAAAGAGAAATAAGAGCGGGTCTCTCTTGCTGAGATCTATAAATGATGCTGCTGAGTTTTTCGTGAACCACGCCGTAAATGGGTATATTAAACGATATTGTTCTTTAGCCGGGATGTTCATTTGATGCCGCTCATGAGCAACTGTCAGGACATCTCGGAGCTGCCGGGTTACTGCTGCGATGCTTTGATTATTCCGGAAACATGTCGTCAACCTATTCATTGCATCGATGCCTTCATTCAAGAGATCTTTGGCTAAGTCATAGTGGGGGTGTTTCTCCCCCACTCCATTTGGCTTGTAACATAGTGCAACAGCTGTTTGTTCAGTGTTGTAGCGGAAATCGTATTGAAACAGGCGATAGAAAGCGGAGTCTTTGGAGAAAGTACGCATTTGGCATGCAGCCTACTGGAACGTAAGACTTCTGAAGAATAAATAGGCAAGGGGTAGCTGAATAATACCTGAGAAATGCAGTCCACAATCGCCATTAATGAACGACTATCATCCAATTAGAGATGGAAATTAGGGGCGCATGGGTGCTACACACCAGTCAGGCATCTGGTATGAACATCCTAGTGCCGTAACTAGAATTGCATCCGCATTACTTCTTGAAAAAGCTTGCATTGCTTGTCTAAGTCCCCTAAGTGCAAGGGTGTGGTAACGATAGGCATCAACAGACGCCTCATGTGATTTGGCTCGTATTGCGAGGCGTTCAGCAGAAGCTGCTGCTAGCATATGAGCTACAAAGTCGAATGTAGTTGCAAGCTGGAACATCCTATTTAACTTGATCAGTATAAGTCTCAGCAATCCCAAAAGATGGCACCAACGTTCGAAACTCGCCCAACAAGAGACACATATCACTAGTGCCGCTAAGATCAAGCACACTAACCGCTAAAGCCGTTTGGTAGAGATAGCGCAAGTCCGCCAGAGGCATGGAGTGCCAACCCAAAGACGTAGCGATCTTTAACGAGGGAAACGGAGGGTTTCCAGTTTCCTTCCACTGCATACAAGACTGCTCGATGTTTGTGGGCCACCACAATAGGTCGAATGCATCAGTGGCCTGCGCTGCGTGTGGTCTATAGTATTGACACTCTGATCCCGTAAATAGACACTTGCGACTGTGGAGTTGCGTTAATACATCTGATGTGCACACATTCAGAAGAGGGAACCAACCATATTGGTCGAAACTCGTCGCATTTAACACGCCTTCGTTTACATGCCTGGCACCCGTTTTTTGACTTTACATGGCTTCGTCGAATAACAGTCTTTATGGATTCCATGGTGTTTGTTGGATGCGCTCAGTACTTCTTTGAGTTGTGAGTCAGAAGCCTCGGCATAAGGACTCGAGTAATGACACCTGCAGAACTGGCATCGCAAGTATAAATTGAGTTTAGGGAGGGAACAAGAAGAAGTGAATGATTTGCAGCTGTTATTTGGCAAGAGATTATCACAAGGATGATAACGAGGATGGACGTGAAATTTGTGAGTATTGCTCAAATAGTTTGCCCGAATTAGTAATACCTGCCTACCATCTACATCAAATAGAGTCTCCAGAACTTGCGTTGTGCCCATCCGAAGTTTACACGAAAGGCGAATTTTCACTCTCCTGGATAACATTTATTCTCCTTAGTTTTCTTGTCCCGTAGGCAGGTACCTACCGAATGCGCCCGCTAGAGATTATTATTATAGTAGGGTAGTAGTGTAGTAGGCATGCTACTCTACCTCAATAAATGTAGCCCGAAATCTCCAAGATGCATATACCTGCTCAATATCAACTTTCGTTCATTTTTATGCATGAAACGCATTTATACAACTTTGCAAATTAGTTGGGGTTGGAGTTAAGAGCAATCTTCAAGTATCCTTGTATCATAATGGCATTATGCATCCTTTTTAGGAATATATTAGGTTCAGACCTTACAATACTATACGCTCAATTTAGGCACTTCTCCAGCATTATATGTAATGCATTGAAGGAATTGACCGAATAAGTATTAGAAAATTATTGATTTTTTATATTTAGATGTATCAAGCTGAAGACTGAGATAGTGTTCATTTGTGTGGAAGAGAAAGGCTCTTGTCTGGATCTTGATTGCTACTGCCAGTCGGTTGTGGAGACAAACCGTGTAAGATTTTAGTGTGCCATGAAACTGGCCAATGGTATCCGCGGAAATCATAGATAGCATACACCCTAGTTCGTAAACCTGGCTGAGCTTGCTGAGTTTGGCAACAACACAAAAATACAATCTAGGCACTGCCTCGTTGATGGTTACCGTACATGTGGTTGTCTGAAGGCGAAATCTTATTCAATATAAGTGAGATTGCTCACCTGACACATATTAACATATGATCCGAAGGATTGCATGGGCCCGATAAGGTTCACCTGTCGTACTGCGCCCTCCAGACTGCAAGTCTTCAAACTATACGGAGTATTGAGCATTTTTATCCACAATTAAACATGCTCATTTCAAGAAGAGAGTAACGTCGAATGACGTAACTCTCTACAGACACCATCTCATATTTCTCGAGCCAATGTGTCTTTGGGAATGAAGCACATAGCTGTGATGGAATCATTCTTCTTTCCCCCGCTTTAAATACCGCCTCCGGAGATCCACCTATTGGTATATATATCATTCTCAAGTCTTAGAAATACCTGGTGTTTGTTTGGCCAAAAGGTTGATGAACACAAGCACAGCTTCTATAGTTGTATAAATCCGCATACCCCAAAACGCATAAGAAAGCATAGTTTATTCAGCCTGTTCTTACTGACTCTTTATCTTTACAAGAATGTCTTCTCTCACTCTATATCGCGCCAATGGGGTCAGTTCTTTCATCCCTCATGTTATCTTAAAGGAATTAATGATTCCATTTACCTCAGTGGTTATGAAATCAGGGTCCAGTGGATGGGAAGCTATTGACGGCAGTCTCAATAACCTCAGCTATCGCAACATCCACCCCCAAGGATATGTTCCGGCATTGCAAGCGGAGGGGGTAATAATCACAGAGCTTCCGGCAATCATCACCTACATTGCGTCATTATCTACCGGTGAAATTAACCTTCTTGGTAACGACAAACTTCAGTGCGCTAAGGTGACTGAGTGGATGGCGTGGCTCTCTGGCACTCTGCATGCTCAAGGTGTTTCTATGTACTTTCGGCCAGAGCGATTCACAGATGATATATCTCAGTACGACTCTGTTCGTTTGAAGGGAAAAGTAGCCGTTATAAAAGGGTTGCAAAGAATTGAACAGAGTCTGGATGGAAGCAATCACCCCGTTGGTGCCAGTGAGACCGCGGTTGATTTCATTCTCCCGATGTTTTGGTATTGGTCAGTGAGAATTGGAATTCCAAACTTGCAAGAGAGTTTCGTAAACTTTGGCAATTTAGTCAAGAGGATGGAGCAGAAGGCATCGTTTAAAGAAGCGGCACAGTTGGAAGGCTTGAACCTATACTTTGAGTAACTTATTGGAGCCCATTTAAAATATTAGACTAGGACAGGGCATACCATAAATACTTCACGTTATCAAGTATCTGAGAAGCGTATATGGCTGTCCATTGAATACTTACTTATGGCAATTTGAAGATGTATAAGATAGAAGAATCTTCTCGTATGCTTGAAAGAAGAAACAATCTCATCCAAAGTGATAAAGTATATCCCCGAGTAGTGTGAAGATATGTATATTTCTGCGCGGCTTTGTGGGACTGGTTACACGGATCAGATTATTGAGATTTATACATGTTAATTCATTGTGGTCTATAGACTTCAAATTGGGAGACAGCATCCGGCCTTTTATGAGAGTAAATCCGGAGGTGCGACATTCTCAATATCGTCGTAATATTCAGATTTGTGTTATCCCGTACCACAAATTCATTTTAAAACATGTGAAGTTCTGATGAATGCTTTCACAAAGATTATGGTCTTTCAATGAGTCTTCCTATTTGCACAGGTTTTCCCCCTATCCAAGGAGTTATAGTCTGTGCCTATACAGAAATTATTTCGCCTACATCATTGTGTCTCTTCACCCACTGCTAATTACGGTGCGTAATTATGTTACGATGGCGAGGCTGCTACTGCATTAGAGTCCCAATACGAGGCCGAGGAAGTTATTGAAGACATTCTGGCCACCCAATTTACGGCAGACGAGCTAGATGAAGTAGCCAGCCTATAAGAATATGTAAATGTTAAATTAAATGGGCAGTCAATATATTTTTCAACGGGATTAGCCCTAATTAATACCTCATAATATTGTAATATAAAATTTTATATAAAGATATATATCTCTTCCCAGTGTATTACACTATATTTTTACGTATAGGTATAGCCATTATGATTTAGGGGCAAACGTAGCGTATGGCATGGACTATGACTGTTTAAATAGGAACAAAAGACTGTGTCAATAGGAAGTCTCCTTTAAATACCTTGCATTTCTTAATTTGGCTTGACAACTGGCTTTTTGTATGAGCTTGTAACAAACTCCATAAAGAACTCGTTATGGGCTAGATGATGGAAACCAAGTTGTCAGATCAAATGATGCACCAACCTTCAGATCTATAGACACTGCATCTGTTCTCCGTCAATTGTGAGAACTTCAGAATGATTAATTTACTGCTTTTGGTAGCCGTTTATCGCGAGACGATAGAATCGAGGAAGAAATTGATTCCTGTGATCTCATTTATATACCACTTTAGAAGAGTGAGATCTCTGATACGTTCGCTAGAAGTTTTAGCTAGAAAGACATCTCAATAGTATCTTTGTAAATAGAATAACATTGTTCGGTGGATTGTGACGCATATTCGTCGGGCGACCTATTGAGGACATGTGAGAAGTCATACTTTCATCTGGCTTCCGCTATAATCGATTTCCTCACGAATCAAAACGAGCAAGTCACTGTGGTTTGCTCAGCTAGAAGGAATCGCGTGCAATTACCAAATGTTTTTGGGTTTAATTTTTCCAAGGATTGTATCTTCCGGGAGTATGACAATATATATTTTTGATCAGCACCGGGGATTCCTCGTGACCTGGAAAGGTCACTGGATCATATTGAGTCACTTGAAAGAGAAAGAGGTAGCATGCTACTTATACTTGTAACCTTCTCCCCACTGTAGAGAAAGACTTGATACTAGGTAGTTTTCTACAGATATCAGATAGGAGGAATGAGCTATACGGAGTAATTCTCAGTGGAAAAGTGGCCATTATAACCGGTATTCCCACTTTTACATTAGCGTATCATTGCTTTTTCTTGCTGCTTTAAGCACAACTTATATCACATCCAGTCCGCGCAATCACATCATTGCGCAAGCGCCGATATAAATAGCCAGTTCATTCGCTCGCATTGGGACGTGGTCCAGCGTTACCTAGTTTACCATTGCGTTTGTTAAATGATATATACCATCAACAATTGATGGTGAAATATTGCATTGGCCACAGCAATAATTGCAACAAGTGACCATGGCTGCAAGCAAGCGACCCAACTTCCTTCTCATCGTCGCCGATGACCTTGGTTTCTCTGATGTTGGAGCCTTCGGCGGCGAGATTCAGACACCACATCTCGATGCTCTGGCTTATTCACCCTCGGGAGTGCGCATGACCAACTTTCATACGGCTTCCATGTGTTCACCTACCCGATCTATGCTGCTGTCCGGTACCGGCAATCACATTGTTGGTCTCGGCCAGATGGAGTATTGGGGTCGTGGGCGAGACCCGCCAGTTCCATGGTCTGAACGACCTGGATATGAGGGCTACCTGAATTTCCGCGTGGCTGCTCTACCAGAGATTCTCCAGGACGCGGGATATTATACTTGCATGAGTGGCAAGTGACATTTGGGTCTCACAAAGGAGCGCACACCACCTGCTCGAGGTTTTGATCGCTCATTTGCACTATTACCGGGAGGTTCAAGTCATTATGCATATGAACCGAAATATCCCGACGGCACACCTGTTTTTGCGCACTGGGCCAGTCTGTATTATGAAAATGATCAAAGAGTTGAAACGAAAGACTTTCCCAAAGACTTTTATTCCTCAGACCACTTCTCAAAGAGGCTCATAGACTTTTTGAGTGAAAGAGAAACCAACGCTGCAGTCAAGGAGAAGCCATTTTTCGCATTTCTGCCATTTACGGCCCCGCATTGGCCCCTGCAAGCACCAGAGTCAAACATCAAAAAGTACAAGGGAAAATATGACGATGGCCCAGATGCCCTGCGAGAGAGAAGACTGAAACGGCAAATTGAACTTGGCCTCTTACCCAAGAATGTAGAGGCACATCCGGTCACCTCCTCAACAAAAGACTGGGATGAAATGTCAGTGGAAGAGAAAGCGTGGTCAGCGAAAACAATGGAAGTATTCGCAGGCATGGTCGACAGAATGGATGAGAATATCGGCAAAGTTATCAACAAAATCAAGGAAATTGGTGAGTGGGACGACACTTTTGTCATTTTCATGTCCGACAATGGCGCCGAAGGAGCAATTGTTGAGGCAATTCCCATGACGGGAGATGTGATTAAAAAGTCGATTAACAAACACTACAACAACGACTATGAGAATCTTGGTAACCGTGATTCATTTATTTGGTATGGCCCTCAATGGGCGCAAGCTTCAACAGCACCTAGTAGGATGCACAAAGGGTATGTCACAGAGGGTGGCATCCGCTGTCCGGCCATTATCCATTACCCACGATTTCCCCAAAAGCCCAATGGGTACATCACCGATTCGTTCGCCACTGTTATGGATATTTTGCCAACCATATTGGACCTTGCGGGGATTCCGTTACCTGGACCAAACTTCCGGGGGCGTCACGTTGTTCCGGTAAAAGGCAAATCTTGGATTCCACATTTGCTGAGAGAATCTCCCCGAATTCATGACGAAGATCACGTAACTGGTTGGGAACTCTTCTTTCATCAAGCTATCCGCAAGGGAAAATGGAAGGCCGTATTCATTCCAAAACCGAAAGGCCCAGAGAAATGGCAATTGTACAACATGGACAAAGATATAGGCGAAATTCACGACCTAGCGGAGGAAGAACCAGAAATTTTGGATGAGCTGATCAAGTATTGGTTGGCGTATGTGGCTGAGTTTGGAGTATTTTTGTAAGTCAATCTGCATCTATCCTTGTTCATATTACCGAGTAATGCTCTAACGTTACATTAGAAGGGAGGAATTGGAAGATGGTTACGTCCTTCCCAAGGCCTAAGGAGCAGCGAAATAAGCATAAGTAGGCATGGTAAACTTGGTGTATTATTTTAATTGCATACATCTACACCTATTTGGTTTTCTCGCAAGTTACGTCATAGCCGTCTACATTAGTACAAGAATAGGTACCATTTGCTCCAGTTGCCGACTTGATGTTGATATCTTTGAACGAAAAGCCTTCACATGTTGCAAGTGGGGAACAAGTCCAACTGACCGCCTTTGTTCCCACCTTCTCATTCATATATCCAGTGAAATTATACCATGAAATATTGGAAAAGAAGCCCGTAGGGGGTGTATCAGCACATGCTGGCACATTATATCCTGCCCAGTGAGTGCACTGCTGGATTAGAACTGGCGAAGCGGTGATATTTTCGATGTGAAAGTTCTTGAAAACTGGTGAATTATCAGAATAACAGAACAATATCCCCGAATAGAGTAATATGCAGGAAAACATACCGACATTACGAACGTACCCATTGCCTCCACCCTGTGGTGGCCAATAAAATCTTTTGCCCGCATAAGTTTTGATGTAAGCGCCATTACGACTTCCATACAGCTACGAAATATGACGTTAGCTTTTTTACATTATACACTTATGACAATGATAGACATTACGGAAACATCTTCTGCTGTGATATTCTCAACCACGTCGCGCACTCCCTCATACTGTCCAAGACTGCCGATTGCGATGCCTGCGCTATTGTAGCACGTCAAATTTTTGACGTGAATATTTGTCGAGCCAGGTTTAAAGCTGACACAATCGTCTCCAACATCTGCCCAGATGTTCTATAGAAATCTTTAGTCTTGATCTTGTACATTGGCAGGGATACCAAATTCTTACCTGGATAGTAATGTTATTGCTGTTGATGGTATCAAATCCATCTGTGTTGCCAAGATTACCGGGATTCGCCTGCATTTTATCGTTAGATTAGTTCTGCAGAACAACTTCATAACACGACATTATACCTGAAAATCGTCAGAAGTAGATGATAGAGTAATATTGTCCACGAGAATGTTTTGAAATTCTACCATCAGAAAATTCCTATAGTAACACCAATAAAAAAGAATTCAGCAGAAATATGCAGCTAGAGGACTTACCATTTACCAGATTGGAGGATTTCAAAATTCTTCGCCACAGCGTTTTTGACATTCCGTAAACAGAATGGAATTGGACGACCATATAATCCACCCACACCTAGAGCCAGATCATGCCACACCTGGCCTTGGCCGTCAATTGTACCGGATCCATACCCATCAATTGTGATGTCTTCACCCGAGAACTCCATTGCGATGGAGATGTTTTGGAAGTAATAATACGATCCATGTAAAATCCAATACCGCACATCCGTTGAATACTATATTCGTCAATAATACTGGCAGACCAAGAAATTATAGGTTTCTATACTTCGAGTGTGCCGAACATGTCAACTTGGACATTCTTCAAGTTATGAAGTTGAAGGACGGTTTGAATACTGTACTTGGTGTTTTTTTTAAACGCAACCTTTCCATTATTTCCACATTTGCTAAACGCTTGGCGGATTGCAGGAGCATCATCGCGGTCATCTTTCAAGGCAGGTATCACACAAGTTTGTTGTGGCGGTGACAGACTGTATGTATCGGCCACCAGTGCGGTTACCAATGCCCATAACACCGGGCGAAAAAGCTTCATGATGGCCATCACAAATGTAGCCGGCAACTATTGTGATCTTGCTGATGTCGATGAAGATTTGCCTGTTGTCCGTGCTATTTAATGTGAAAAGAAAACTGTATTCGACTGATTATTCTCTCCTTAGAATCAAGCATTGATCCGGTTCCTACCAGTTGCTCACCGATCATCGGAGATTGCTTCATTTTGCAGTACTTGAACATTTAGCGTAATCATGGCGTTTCTGGACGCACGCAACGGCTAAGATGGCGGTGGAGCTTCTCATCGGCCCGTCGGTGAGGTCTATTTCCCTCACAAAATTGTGAAAGACATGTTTTCCTTTGGCTAAAAGGAAGGTCATTAATAATTCTGCAAGCCAGGCAAATGGCGCTATCAGGTTGACATCCGTTGGAGAACGGAGAAGACTGGGTCGAGTTAAGCGACAATGTGTGTAACTTTTGAACACCAGCAAATCGGAAATTTCTCTTGAGCCCCTATGCATTCTCACCGGTGTACAAAGTCATAATGATATGCCTAGGGCTCCCTTGTCCAAGCTTTTTTTCACTCAATTTCATCATCGCCGTGACCTCTAGCAGCGGATCTCATGGCCACGATAAAGCGGCAAGACAAAATGGCCTCCGCTTAACCTTGTTAGGTGTGGAGATGATCTCACGTTTCTGCCCTCGGTATGCTTTAACCCGTACTTTGACCCGGCAGCGAGGCGCTGATAATAGAACTATTAACAAAGAGATGATGCAGGGTCGTGATGATGCGATGAAGTTCGCCGATAGATTAGTCCAACCCATTCTGCCATCCTATGTGGTGATGCTGCTTTGAATCGAATTGTAGTTGTTCAAACTATTACCACCAATTGACTTACATACAAGCCAACCCCTGCCGATTCCTTTCCATACCTATGTGCCAAACCACTGTTTTCTTGATCTCTTACTTGTTGTAGGAGAGATAAGGCTACGATGAGAGTGTCATCGTCATTATTATTCGGCATCGCTGTATTTAGCAGTTCTGCTGCGGCTGTCGACAAGAGTCCAGGATTCGGTAGTCGACCAGCGCCGTGGATCACATACGACGTTCCTACGGATTTTTCTAATCCCAATGGGTTGGCTCGACCGGCTTTTCGATACTGGGTTCCAGATGCAGATGTGGAGGATAGTGTCTTGTACGCAGATTTGCGGGAGATCAAACAAGCAGGATGGGGTGGAGTTGAAGTAATCAGCTTAGAAAATTATGGAATTGAATTGGCTGTGGTAGATCCAACAATTTATGGTTATGGGGGCAACAGATGGCGACAGAAGTTTAACACTATGTTGCGTGCTTCTAAAGACTTGAATCTCCTTGTGGACTTCGCGTTAGGGCCAACACAGGGCGCTTCCATTCCAATTTTAGATCCTGATTCTCCTGGGATGAACACTGAGCTGGCATATGGCACTATCAGCCTACATTCAGGCCAGGTTTTTGGCGGAGATATCCCACCACCTGGCCGCACAAATGCAGGATATGCCAACAAGCCAGATTTTGATGCGCCTTTCACGAACTATACCAATAAATTTATCGCTGCTGTTGTTGCGCGCAAAAGCAAGAGTATGTGCCAAATTTCCCCTATTATACCATTGATATTCATAATTACCTGCTAATTGCTACTTTTTTCTATAAAGGTTCCGTCCAAAGATACAAGAGTAATTCAACTCGACTTTGATACCGTTGATGATATCACGCACTTAATCAACGATGGGAAATTAAACTACACTACGCCAGCCGACGGAAATGAATATGTCCTATTTGTATTCTATCAGCGTCGTACCGGTTATCTAGCTGCTCAAGGAGCGTTCAATAATGACACTGATCCAAAGAATCCTGCTTCTTGGTTTGCTTATGTTGTCGATCATTTCAGCCAAGAAGGGACCGATCTCTGGACTAGTTTCACAGATCAATACGTCATGAATGGCGAGAATGGAGACCTTCTGAGACAGCTTGGCTTGTATGCGTGGGAAGATTCAGCCGAGTTCCGCGCTACATTATTCTGGACGGATGAATTGAGATCATATTTTCGGAAAACGCGCGGATATGACATTACAACAGCCATACCGGCCCTTTTCGGTACTAATGGTCTTCCCCCAAGTACACTGGCAAACGGTTACTTCTACTATGCCTTTAATAACTATGAGAATGGAACAGATATAAGCTAGAAACTACGAAATGACTACTACCAGTGTCTCCAAGAAATGTATGAGCAGTATCACCTTGGTGGCCTCTCTAAATAGACAAGCAAATGGGGTCTCCAAGGAAGTCTACAGCCATATGCCACTGCACCAAACGCGGCACCACCTTGGGACATGAACTCAGCAGCTGCGTACATTGACGCCCCTGAAACAGAGTCCAACTACTTTGATGGAGTTATTGATGCCTTCCGGGCCATGGGTGGCGGTGCCATGATGGGCAGAAAGCAAATCTTCTCTAGTGAATTGGGGGCCCATCGTTACGAGTCGTATGCCATCACCTGGCCAGTCATCCTCAATGATTGCAAGATCAACTATGCAGGTGGAGTCAACTGAATCGTTTCACATGGATTTCCGTACTCTGGGCTTCGGCCACAGGTTGAGTGGCCTGGACTTACAACATTTGAGTGGTTGTACTCAGAGATGTGGGGGCCACGACAGCCAAGTTGGTCGTATGTCAAGGAGATGGGAGACTGGATTGCTAGGACCCAACTCATTCTCCAAACTGGTGTACCGAGAGTGGACATTGGTATGTATCGTCACAAATATCTCTCTGTTGACATAAAACACTACAATATGTAAGAAAACATATTCTGGGATCAATCGCTCCAGAATGCTGGCAAGCTTCCCTCCTACACCTACAGGTACCCCACCTTTTAGATACCCCTTTACTAAAACCTTACCTCATTTAACTAACTATTAAATAAAATATTTTTTATATTTACTTCCCCTACCCTTACTAAAGATCTTAGGATAATAACAGTTTTTACTAACCCTTAAGGAGCCTAAATAAAAAACTCTTTTATTACTACTGGGTAGGTAGCTTTTAATAAATAATAAAAGGAGGCTACCCCCTTTATCCTAGGAAAAAGTAAAATAACTATTTTTACTTTTACCTTTAAAAAAAAATAATATTTTAATAGTAAATTTATAATAAATAATATATTAATACTTTAATTAAATAAAAGTAAAGTAAATCTTTTTTAATTTATATAAAAATTACTAAAGAAATTTAATTTCTCCCTTTTTAACAGTATTAAAAAAACTACTATAATTAATTAAAGATATAAATCTTTTATATAAAGTAAAATTATAAAATAATTAATAAAAATTAATATAATATATAAAGTTAAATAAACTATTTTTATTTTAACTACTATAATTATAAATAAATATTTAATAACCTTTACTATAGAATATTATTTAGTAATAATTAAATAAGTTTATATTATATTAATAACTATTTTTAAAACCTTTTTTTTTTTTTAAAATATAACTTAAGGAGTTTTAAAAACCCTAATATTTTAAGTAGTAAAGGACTTACTATTTAACTATTTAAAAAAATATTAATTAATATATTCTATAATTTAAAAGTTAAATTAAGTAAAATTAAAGGATTTACTAAAATAGTAATAATTAAAATTACTTTATTTTAAAGGTTAAAAGGAGTTAAAAAAGTTATATAAATAAAAGTTATATTATATAAGGTTATTTATAATAAAAACCTTTAAAAAAAATAAAATAATAAAAAAACATTTACCTTTAATAATAAAAAGCTAACCTTTATTAATAAAAATAAAGAAAAATAAAAACTAAAAATAACTATATAAAAACCTAATAATTATATCTTTATTTAAGTTTTTTTAAATTATAAATAAAGGAAAATAATAACTATTAGGGCTAAATAAAAATTAATAAAAAAAATAAAATTTAATAATAATAACTTTATTTACTTTTAGAAAATCCACTTAAACTTTACTTTATAACTAAAAAACTAAAATATTAAAAATAAAATCTTTATATTTACTTTAAAAATAAAAAAAAATAACTTAAAAATTAAAAAAGCTTATATATAAAAAAGTTTTTTTTTATATAGTATTTTAAAAATATATATTAATAAATCTAAAACTTACTTTATTAATATATTAATCTTTAAAAAAGTATATATTAAAGCAGGCACTAAAAGTTTATTAACCTTCTATTAAAAGGCTTTTTTTAATAAAACTTTAAATATTTACTATTATTTTATAACCTTTAGGAAAAATATAAAGGTAAGTTTTAAGCTTTTTAATTATTTAACTTTAGCTAAACTAAAAGTATAATAGCTTAGAATTATATAATACCTTTATTACTTTAACTTTTATAACCCTAAAAGTTATATTAAAGTTAAAAAATATATAAAATATAAAAAACTAACTGTTAACTATAAAAACACTATATTTAACTACTTTTCCCTTATATAATATATAAACTATAAAAAAATATATAAAGTTAATATACTTAAGTATTATATATACCCTATAATAAAAAATAAATTTAAAGTATACCCCTTTAAAAAATAGCTTAAAGCTATTAAAGAATTAAACTAATAGAAATTCCTAAAAATTAACCTTTTTAAGCCTACTAAAGATAAAGAAAAAAATAAAAAACCTAAGAAAATATTAATTAAGTATATCTACGGCCTACTGCCTTTAGATCTTTTAGCACCCTATAGACGATTTATAAGTTAGGTAGTTATAAATATAAATATAAATATAGAATTTTTATAAAAAAGTTTTTTAATTTAATTTAAAGTATATATAGTAAACCCTAAAGGTAATAATATTATAAAAAATAACTTTATACCTACCTAAGGAAAATAAAATAAATAATAAAGCGTTAATAAATAATAAATAACCTTCGTTAAAGTTATTAAAAAAACATTAGCTTTAAAATCTTTTAAGCTAATATAAAAAAAAGCAGTTTTACTTAAGATATTACCCTTTTACTAATATAAAAAGGCAGCTTTAATATTATATTTATTTAAAAGCCTTATATTTAGTAAAATAATAATATTAATAGAAGGTAGATAAAAAACTACTTTAAATACTAAATATATAACCTATTTAATAATTAAAAGGGTATTAGACTTTTAATCTTTATTTATATTAGAATTTTACTTAACCTCTTTAATAAATAACTTTCCCCCCTTAACCTAAAGAATAAATATATTTATTAAATTAAAATATATAAATATACTATTATTAATATTTACTACTGTATAGTAAATAATACTACTATAAAGACTTTTATTAAATAAAAACAGCCTCCCTTTAAGTCTATTATTATAGAAGACTTTAATATAATTTATTAATTATAGTAATTAGGTAAAGATTTAAATACTATTAATAATAGAATTGCTAAGTAAGCGGAGGAGTATAATCTTTACCTTTCTTTTATAAACTTATTAATAAAATACTTAAAACGCTGTATTAACTTAATTTTCTTTAACTATTTAACCTCCTTTAAAGTTAAATATTTACTTAATATAGGGTTAAATTACTTTATTATAATTATTATTTTCCTTAAATTACTATATATTACTTTAAGAGTAAATAAAAAGTATATATTAATAGAATATTAAAAAGAGTTTAATTAACTTATATACTCCTTTATATAAACCTTTTTTATTATTAACTTAATCTCTCTTTTTAAAAATAACTTAAATAAATATATTAAAGTATTATAAAACTTTTTTAAATATATAATAAAAGCAGCTAGTAAAACTAAATATTAAAACAGCTATAATACCTTATAGTAGATAAATAAATATAAGGCAGTTTATTAAGCTTTTAATTATACTAAGCTTAAATTAGTAAAGTATAAAAAAGCTAAGAAAAACCTAAAAATAATTATTTATTAATATAAATAGGTATATTAAAATAAAATTATTACTAATATTACTATAGTTAAGAGTATTTAAATAGTTATAAAATAGTATAAAATTATAAACTGCTTTTAACCTCCTTTTTTAATTAATAAAAATATTAATATTTTAAACTTTATTAAAAAAATAATATACTTTAAAGATAAATTCTTAAAGTAAAAAACTATAAAGGAAAATATATTAAATTTATAGATATAAGAGCTTTTTATTAATAAGAATATAATATAAAATATTATAGTTATAAAAGTAAAAGTTAAAAAGGCTATTATTAAATTAAATAATATAGCCCCTAAGGTTAATAATATTTTAATTATTTTACTTTAATTAACTTAATTAACAGTTAAAAAGTATATTACTAACCTTTTTAAAAACTATTTAACAATTAACTATTACCTACTCTTTTTTAAAAGTATAAAAATTATTATTATCCTTAAATTAAATAAACCTAAAAAAACCTATATAATTTATAAAAGGTATAAGCCTATTTTTTTTTTTTTTTATATTAAAAAAGAATTTAAAAAACTACTAATTAAAAAAGTTTTACTTTTAGTTATAGAATATAAAATACTTTTAAAGTAATATTTTAAAGCTTTTTTTAAAAGATTAATAATAGATTTAATAGTTTATTTTATTTATAATATTAAAATAGCCTTTACCTAAGGGTTAGTTATTATTTTATTAACTTTAAATATCTTTAAAGCCTTTAATATTATTATATAAAACTGCTTTATTTTAAAACTTAAGGAGTAAAGCTAGCCTATATTTTTTATAAAGTAGGTTAAGTCTTTTATAAATAAATATAAGGTATTAATCTATAATAAATATAATATAACTTTTTTAAAAATAGAATTAAAATATAAAGCCTTTTAAGGTTTATTTATTTTATTAATTATTTTTATATTTTATTTTTTTTTTTATTTTAAAAATTAATAACCTTAGTATATACTTTAAATATATTAATAATATAGTAATCTTTATAATTAAAGCTAATGTTAAAAAAATAATTAAAAAACTTTAATAAAAGCTTTAAAATACTTTAAATTAAAAATAGTTTAATATAGTATTTTTTAATTTAAATAAAATAAAGTTTATTTACTTTTATTATATTAGGAAATAAATATATAAAAAAAATATAGATTTTAAGGGGAGAATTATTATACTATAGAACTTAATTAAGTAGTTAAGGGTATATTTTAACTTTAAACTCTCCTTTAAAAAATATATAAAAATAATAACTAAAAAGGCCCTTAAAATAGTAAATTTCCTTAAGTTATTTAATAAAATATAAAAAGGCTTTTCCCTAAATACAGTTATATTAATAACTAAAGCTTATATTACTTTAATAACCTTATATAATATAAAAGCCTAATAGCTTAAAAATAAAAAATAAAGCTTATTTTACTTTTTTAAATAAATAATCATTAATATTATAAATTTAATAAAGAAAATAAATAAAGCCTTTAAAATAGTAGTTAAAGTAATATTTCTGGCTTAAAAAATAATTAATATAGCAGTTATATATAAAAAATTAAAAATCCCCTTTATACCTATAATATTTACTTAAATAAAACTTTAAATATTAATTAAGTTTATTAACCTAAATAAAAATTACCCTATTAACTAATATATTAATAAAAAGCTTTTACTTAAACTTTTTATAATTAAACTATAATATATAGCCTTTTTAATTAATAAAATAATTAAACCTTTTTTTTTTATTAAAAATAATAAAGCAGTTTTAATAAAATTAAACTTTTACAGCTTACTTAAAGTTAAAGCAGTAAAAAAATACTGTAAATTATTTAATATCTTTTTTTAAATTATACTTTTAATATACTTAAATAGGTTATAAAATAAAATAAAAAATATAAAATAAAACATTATTATATATTATAATTATAAATTTATTTTATTATATAACCACTTAGTAAATATTAAAGTTTATAATATAAAAGCAGTTAAGGTTTTTAAAGTTATTAAACTTATTAAAATATAAATTATATTAAACTTAAATATTAAAAAAATACTTTTTTTTTTAAATAATTCTATAGTAATAAATAGAATTTTAAAGATTATATTAATATTATTATAAAATATATATATAAATTTAAAAAAATAATTAAAGAATTATAGTTATATATTATTATTAAAGTAATATAAGTTCTTAAATATAGGGATATATTAAAAAATAAAAAAATAAATAAATTAATTAAAAAAGGTTTAAAACTTTTAAAATATATAAGCAGCTGTATTATAATTATTTATATTAAAAAGTAAATAAAAAAAAAATAAAAATTAATATTAAAAGCTTATTAAAATAATAATTCCCTATTATATTATAAATATTAATAGCTTAATACTTTTATAATATTACTTAAGTTTTACCTTTTATATTTTATTTTTTATAAATTTTTAACTAAAAGATCTAAATATAATAATTTTATAAAATATTATAAAAAGTTTAACTATAATATAAAACTTATTTATAAATATAGTAAATTTAAGATTTAAGGATATTTTATAAAATACTAAATAATTATACTTTTTTTTTTTAATATTTTAGAAAAAAACCTTTTATTTAAAGTTATATACTTTATATATCTCCTAAGTTATAAAAGCTATAAAGAGTTCTAGAAACTAATGGAGAAAGTAAGCTTATATAACCCCCCTTCTGTAAATATAAACTAACATTTTCCTTTTATTTTTTTATTAAACTAAAATATAGTAAACGCAGGGTTTAAATAACCGCAGCTCCTACCGTCCTAGTACCCAGATAAGGACTTATATAATTAGTTTACTTAGTGGACGTTAATAATAAAATAAATAAACAATCCAGAATGCTGGGTACTCCTACGTTTCTGTGAGCCCTTCGCTGCTCAAACTGGTATGATTCCTCGACTGTGTTGGTATTGATATGATCCTAACGATTATAAAAAGGACAATGCAATCATTATAAACAGGCTGCTGGCAGAGAATGGACCGGGTTTCTCTGCCTTCATTGTAGACAATTCAACCAACATCACTTCTGAAGCTGTCAATCGGTTTCTAGAGTATGCTAGCCACGGATTTCCGATACTTTTCGTGGGTGGCGTTCCTGAGACAACTCCTTACTACTGCGACTCATGCGACTAGCATGTCAAACAAGAGATGCAGAAGCTGAATAAATACCCTTCGGTCAAACCCCTTCAGCTTGAGAGCGAAGTTGTGGATGCTTTGATAGCATTACATGTTCAACCTGCAGTACAGAACCTCTCTCCAGCTCCCATCTTATATGTCCATAGAATTGATGAGAATAACCACGTTGATTACTACTGGGCATATAATTCGGACATTTACGAGGATCATGCTACAGAAGCTTCGATTAGAGGCAGCGGGATTCCGTACACATTAGACGCTTGGATGGGTGTCATCACCCCAACCGTCAATTATACAACATCTGGAGATAGATTCAATGTCTGGATTGAGCTTCGATCAAATCAATCCACAATCTTGGCCTTTGCTCCACATGGATTTTTCTCCGACGTTCATGTTCCAGATATTCATGTTACCAAACAAATGTCCAATACCTCAACTATTCTGCTAGTAGCCACTCGATTATCGCTCGCTCCTCATCAAAAGGAAACAAACAAATAACCCTAAGCGATGGCCGAGATTTTACGTTGGACAGCCTTGATGAGGGATCCACTCCATTGAAGCTTGGTCCATGGAATGTCACTATCCAAGATTGGCTTCCAAATCCAGACAGATTTAACAATTATACGTCTATATATCAATATCACAGCCTTACTTTGGATGAGCTTGTTCCATGGTACAACATATCTGGGCTTGGAAACACATCTGGCATTGGTATCTACAGAACTCAATTTTCATGGGAATTCAGTGGCAAAGTCAACGGCGCTTTCTTAGATTTGGGACCAAGACAGAGGCAGTATTCCGTGTGCCTTGGGCTGTACAGATGTTTCCTGCCATTGTACTGTTTGTTGCTTTATTTTTCATACCCGAATCGCCTCGTTGGCTTGCATCTCAAGACAGATGGGAGGAGGCTCTTGACGTGTTGGCCAGCGTCCACGGACAGGGCAATCATCAAGCTACAATTGTACAAGCCCAATACGCCGAAATTCGAGAATCGATGGCCGTGGCGGAATCACAAGGCGAAGTGAAGTGGGCCGAGTTGATCCATCCAGACAATATCCATCGCATTTCGAACGGAATCTTTGTCCATATCTGGACACAGCTAAGTGGAAATAATGCTTTGCTATACTACATTGTCTACATATTCCAGATGGCTGGTCTTACAGGGAATGTCAAACTCATTGCGTCCAGTGTTCAGTACATCATCAACGTTGTCTTCACCCTCCCGGCTATTTTTTTTCTTGATCGCATTGGCCGGCGTCCTGCACTCATCGGAGGGGCATTTTTTATGATGATTTGGCTGTATTCTACCGCCGGCGTTATGGCGCAGTATGGTCATTACGTCCCCGGTGGTTTTGACGGCTCAACTGCGGTGACTTGGACCATGAATGATGATGCAAAATCAGCCAAGGCTGCTGTCATTGCATTTACATACCTTCTCGTTGCAACATACAGTTTCACCTGGGCTCCAATTTCGTGGTGCTATCCGTCCGAAATTTATCACATCCGCCTGAGAGGCAAGGCCTAGATGTCTCAGTTCAACAGTACGGCAGTAACATCGAACAGGGGTTTCGGCTTGCTAGGGTTCACTTGGCGCAATGAGATGATGCCTGATGAGCGGGCGTTTAGCGCTATTAAGCTGCCACCAATAACAGCGCCGCGGTTTACGATACCGCGAGAAAGAGAAAATATCAGTGACAGAGGTTGCCCTGTTATAATTCCGTTCAAACTATTACGATAGCTAGCATGAATCTAATAAATTAGCATGAATCCAATAATCTATTATCTGTTGCCACGGCAGCATGCTGATTCATGATAAAATATGTTCCCTTCCAAACAGTTCAAGTCAGTTGGGTCTAGAGTCGTTGCTACTGTATAAGAGTATTTAAAATTCTTATGCCATGCGCTTATTGATAGGTTAAAGTGTGAAATCATCGATTGCTGCGTCCTGCGCCCTAAAACTGGTTTGCTATCGTGTTGTTGGGACAAATAATTTTCCGGTAGTAGGACAGCTTGGTACCCAAGACATGAGCTGCTTAGAGTATTTGGAGGTCCAGTCAATCCTGAAACATCGCATATACTAAACGTAGATGCCTGAACAGTAGCGCTTTTTTCATTCATATATGTATTTAAAACATACTACTATGCCCGTTGAGTCTTTCGATACGGTGCATAAGAAATTTGCAGGCTATTCTGCCGTGTCGCTGAAAAAGGCATCATGACTAGTGAATTTGACTTCATCTCCCAAGTTACCTACGGGGTACACCGCCTAGAGGCACTGATTCGAACGCTGTGCTTCCAATGGATCTATCCTTCTGGATTTAATGCCACCAGCTCTTCAGCCTCGTCGTTTATGCGTCTATTTTTGCTCTAAATTTATCGGCAAAGTGTGATAAAACATCAAACGTTATGCGAATAGCAGCCTACCAACTATGGCTTAATACTTGGACCGACATGGAAGTAATGCTGGATTGTACCCAGCTCGGGCATGCTTAATCAAGATGCTCATGGCCGCAAACCTTCCGCCCGTGCGATCAAGATTGTCGAGGCCAATGCTCGATGATAACGTACCTACTTCTCATTGTGAGTGGCTATAACGTAGCCCCATCTTTGCTTGCGCATTACATTTTTTCCTGTTCTTGCAACCTCTAAACCCCTTGCCTTGCCCTTGCCCAGCCACCGCGCCTCTTGATTTCTAGCTTAAGCTTCGCCTGCCAAAAGCCGCACTTGATTCATCTTGTTCCCGAACGGACAGTTGCTCTATCCACCGGCCATGAAAGCCACCGTATACAGTACGGCGAATGGGATTCAGCTTTGCTGAGTGGGTACCGGCGCCCTGCAGATGGAGCCTGGGGGTCTTTTCCGTGTGCACGGTGTACAGACTGCTATTGTTGCCATCAATAGGTAACTGGCGGGAAATTCGGCGGGGTTGCAATCCGCCGGCTCCCAGACGAGTTTTATCTTTTCTTCCTTGCCATAATCTGCATCTTCAGTAGCTTTCATTATCAGCTTTACATCACGTCTCTAGGCCTCGCACGCTTGATGGGAGTGCCATATTCTGTTTGAGAGCATGTTACCGTCGCTCATACGATGACCCGAGCCCGCAAGCAAGTCACCAGATCCTTTTCCGCTTGCTGGACGTGTCGTCGGCGGCGTGTCAAGTGCAATGGCGTTGGTCAGCCATGTAACCCGTGCAAAAAGCACAGGATTCAGTGCGAAGGTTACGGGATTGAATTGGTTTGGGTAGATCCCAAGACAGGCACGTACCCGCCGTTTTGTCGACGGAGCATGGACTTCGAGCATACCTGGCGTGGTCGACCAATCCTAAACGAAGAGCGACTTCAGCGCTTGATCGATGAAATGGATGATGGCATCGATACCACATTTTATGAGCCCTCGTCATCTTCAAATCCATTCACAGCATTCAGCATTTCCCAATCAACGAAAACGTCAGTGTCGGATAGCCTTAGCACCGATACATCGTCGTTGAGGTTGCGATCCGTTGAGTCTCTGCCATCCTTTTCTCCGTCGGAGAGGTTTTCATCGCCTTTTAGTGAAAGCTGCAATCCTGTGGCGTCATCACTGACACCTTCGATAACAAATCTTCTCTCGATATCGAGAGATGAAGCCATGATTTTCCATCACTACGTGACATGGATCGCTCCTCTGATGATTCCAGTGGACAGCGCCGAGAATCCTTGGAAGTCGGTTTATCCTTCAACAGCGCTCCAGGACTCATCCCCCGCTTCACAGGCATTATATCATGCGATATTAGCTCAGTCAGCATTCAATATAGCCAATCTGCAAAAAGATAACCACGGATCTTGTCGCCAAAGAGAATCCGTTGCATTGAAACATTACGGCGCGTCGTTAAGAGAGCTAAGCAAGAGCCTAAATGTCACGAAGGAGACAGAATATGATGCCTGCGCTGCTACTCTATATACACTAATGATTTCTGAGGTAAGTTGAATTGCTGAATCATAATAGAACTTTCAGCTGATTTCGATTCTCAGGGTAATGCACGAGGCTCAGTGGCCTGGAGAAGCCACTTTAATGGTGTTGGGGGCTTCGTCACCCAATTTGTTCAGCAAAAGCCTTGGACCCGGTCCACGCACTCTTGGGTAATATCTCAGAGTCTCGCACTATCATTTGAAATTTCTCAGACAGGGAATGCAAAGCCCTACGGCCGATCACCGATAACAGAAGTCCTTTTGGACGGCGTTGCATCCCGCCAAAATTTCGGGTACACCATAGGTGCAAGCTGCGATGTTTTGCGCATAATTTCATCAATAAGACTTTTTGCAGAGAAAATTGCACTCGGCGACATCCCTGATAATCTCGGAAGTTTGATCCAGGCGTACCTTATTGAATTATCACCCCAGAATCACACCAAACTCAATGTGGATCTTGATATGCCGGACCGTGAGAGTGTTTTGAAGTCGTTACCAGAAAAGCAGCAACATGAATTCCTAGACTGCCTACACCTCCGTCTTTTTCGCACCGCAGCGCTTATTTATCTACACCAAACGATTCTCAAGGTCCCTCCGCGTGGCGTTCGGAAATATGTCAAATCTGTCCTCGAGGATGCTACGACATTCATCCGTATGCGAGGAGGGTCAATATCCATGTGGCCAGTGTTTATTGCCGCCACCGAAGCGACCAAAGAAGAAGACCAGCTTATGGTCGAACAGTGGTTGGCAATATCAAGCCATCTTGGAATGCAAAATCGATTAATAGCTGGTAAACTTATTCGTCAAATTTGGCGCGAGCGGTCTCAAGAAGCCATTACCAGTTGTTTGGATCCAGATCAAGTGATAAAGGACTGGAAGACAATTCAACAAAGGCTTGGAATTGACCTTTTGCTTTTGTAAGTTGGTAATAGTATTTTTTGTTGTTAGAAAACTGCAAAAACGAACAGAACGAAAGAAGTCTATAGATATCCGTAATAAGCCAATATGCTATTTCGTATTCGCACCGCACACGTGGTCTCTATCTACTCCTTTCTATTGTTAAAGGCTGCTTCAACAGCTTCTGCCATATCCCCCAAAGTTTCATATGTTGCTCCGATGTTAACTTTGCCTTTCACGGCCTCCAGATCCCCCATGCCCATGCTACCACCTCCACGAGAAATCCAAACAGCGGGACGAAATCCCATGGACGCCACAGGGATGTGATCAAATGTGAGGCTCTGTGCTGTATGACAGATATCATTTTTGTCAATACCGAAATCTTGTCGCGCATGTTCGACGAGATAATTAAAGTTGTTTAGATTTGGCTTATAAGTGCCAATGTCTTCGGCGACGTAGATGGCATCAAACCGTACGCCGCTCAGGCCGTTTTGTAAGGTATTTCCAAATGACACTTTATCAACATTACTCAGAGCAATGAGCTTGTAATATTTGCCCAACTTCTGCATGGCTGCCACAGTGTCGGCGAAAGCTGGCCATTTGCCAATAGCTCCTCCAAAGGCTTCCGCTTCATTGCGGGTGACAGGTATTCCCATATCTGCAGCGACATTTTCATAAACCTTGCTCAACAAGACTGAATACTTTTCGTCTGGATACTGAACTTCTAGCTTATGTTCATGAGTCGAATATTGCGTCAGTAGGTAGCCTCGGAGGTCGATCAAGCTTTTGCTCCAGAGCGGATGGTCTTTGGGGAGTTTTCCGAGCAAAGGAAGAAATTGCGAGAAGATTCCAGATTCCCAATCAATAAGTGTTGCGTAAATGTCAAAAGAGAGGGCTTTGTATGAAGTGAGGTCGAAAGAGGCCATTGTGAGTGGGCTCTGAAGTGCGTGAGGCTATCTGTCTTTCCCTGAAGAGAAGGTAGGGTTCTCACGTTTATTAAATAGATGTCAGTGCGGAGAATATATACTAAGAATTATCTGTCTTCAAACACTCTGTACTAATTCATACTGCCCGAAGCTTTATCGTGCCTTTAGACGGCTTCCGAAGTATTGGTGTATTATTATTCACTGACTTGTCGTCTGCGGATCCAGACAACACTCTTGGCATATGATTTCGGTTAGGCTGTCTTGGTGTAATCTAGGAAGTGGAGGCAAGATCCCCTCCTCCAACAAAAAGGGAAACCTACGACGAAATCCAGTTCCGTATGCCGGACGCTAATGCACGATCACCCCCGCTTCCTGTGGTATTAGTCGCAGTCTCCGACACGCTACATATCCATACTGTACTTCTACAGTCGCGCGTCTCGTCTTTCCACCGCTCAGGACATTCCTCTCTTGCTTGCAGGAAAGATTGCTACAATGAGAGAGCATCCGAATACAAATAATATGTTAGATTATCTATAAAGTTATCTCAAGAAGCTTGGTATGAGTAAGCAGTTGATACACCAAATTCCATCTCCACTTCGGAATGCCCCAAGCCTGAAGGACCGGTAGATCAGCACAGAACGTTTATTTGGTCTCTCCGTGACAGAGCCCTTCTAAGACAACAACAGTAGTATCGCATTATCTCTCGGCAGCGACATCCCTACATTATGTAACATCTAACATAAAGAGTAGCGATATTGGCACAGATTACAATTCGTTTGCCATTTCGTAAATGGGCAGAGTTAATACCATAAAATCATCAGCCAATATTCCTGTGTGATTGAAACAAATATACAGGGTATTGTCATAGTTTTTACTCAGCCCCGGTGGTATCCAAAGAGTATGACACTTTGGCCGATATATGGTTCCTACCCAGAAGCCAACTTTTGGTCGTTAGGTACGCTTAAGTAGGCATGGAAAGAGAATGTCCATCGAAGGGTCCAATAGGGAAAGCTCTGAGAACAGCAAGCCACGTGGAATGCAAATATTATGCCTAAATCAACATCACGGGCGGATTGCTAGGCGTGATCATGACTTCACTTTCGACGTAACACAATGGCTGTCTGCCGGCCCATCATTATATCCGAAGGAAATGCGAAGAGCTTGCTAGTAGAAAAATAAGCCAATTAGGTACAGATGTGAGTCGCCATTCCCACGCGTTTTACCCCGCATGAGGCATCACAGATTGTGCTATCGATGGCCATACCGCCTCTGTCATCGTTACGAAACATCTTATGCCAGAGATTAAATCTGGAAGGTTCATTTGAAAAAAAAAAAAAAAAAAAAAAAAGACCAAGTAGATAGAATTTGACAAAAATCTAATTCGGGAAGCCTGTAAATACATCATCACTATGGAGTCATCTCCTAAAGAGGCTGAAGATACAGCGTCTACCGCCAGGAAGCTTCTTGAAGAAATTGCTTGCGTCAGTCATATTGATGACGTTGCGGTGGTTCCGAACACTCCTGTTCGATTCTTACGGACTAAACATTTAGTGGGATTCTTTGCGGGGAGAGGAACCTTGGCTACCTAAGAACGTACCTAGATATGCATTCTATCAGTACCTACAAGGTGCCTAGGTAGTTGAAAGATCAGGTATAAAAAGGCCCTAGTTGCCGTCCTTATCATACCGCGAGTATATACCTTGGCTAAATAACCTTGCATACGATCAATAATTTTTGAACACAAGGTTCATTGAGCATCAGACCATGTCGCACTTGGACGCCCAATTTTCTATTCCCGTTGGCTCTACGGTTGTAGTGTCCGGGGCAAACGGCAATATAGCGAGCCACATCGTGGACCAACTTATCAAAACGGGTTACATCGTTCGTGGTACCGTTCGCGATGTGAAGAAGAACAAATGGTTAATTGATCATTTCTCCAACATCTACGGCCCCGGAAAAATTGAGCTGGTAGAAGTTCCAGATATGTCAGTCCACGGTAGTTTCGATGAATCTGTCAAAGGTGCCTCCGGATTTATTCACACAGCCACACCGGTGATGGAGGACGCGGACCCCAACGTTGCGATACCTGTCGTTATTCAAGGGACTCTAAGTGCACTCCAGTCTGCTGCTAAAGAGCCTAAAATGAAGCGCTTCGTTCTCACATCGTCCTCTGGCGCATGCACGGCTCCAAAGCCAGGCATAGTCTTTACGATTGACTCCAATACCTGGAACGAAGAAGCCATAGCTGCAGCGTGGGCGCCTCCACCATATGAAGGATTCGAACGCCTCTTGGATGTCTACTATGCTAGTAAGACACAAGGAGAACAAGAAGCATGGAAATGGGTTCGCGATAATAAACCGAATTTTGTTCTCAACACTGTCTTACCAAACGCCAACTTCGGCCCTGTTGTTGACAAAAACCATCAGAAATACCACAGCACTCTGGGCTGGATTCGTGCTCTGTGGAATGGATTTGCTGGTGAAGAAGGTGTGCGAAATCAGCCACCACAATACTACATCAATATTGTGGACGACGCCATGGTTCATGTGGCCGCGCTATTGTACAAAGACGTCAGCAACGAGAGGCTCTTTACATTCGCCTATCCATATAATTGGAATGATATCTTGGCCATTTTTAGGAAACTCTACCCAAGCAAGAAGTTTATAGACGATATTCCGGATCTGCCGCGCGATTTAAGCATTGTGACTAATGGACGGGCAGAAGACCTTCTTAAGAGGTTTGCTGGACATGGTTGGACCAATCTTGAAGAAACTATCAAAAGTACTGTAGCAGATTATTAGGCTATTAGATAATAAATGATACTGGTGGAAAATTCATTCCAGAAATAAAATTTTTGCATGCGTAAAATTTCCCAATACCGTTACGTATATACCATGCGGTATCCTAGAAGCATTGTAGTATATTTTAGCAGAGGAGAAGGATCGCGTAGATCTAGAAACGGCAAACCACGTGGCGTTTACCCAACGTAGTGACTTTCACAAAATATTAACGAGGCTGTAGGAAATAATTATTCTATGAGTCTAAATCCTATTGTATTGTCCTCTCCAACGACAACTGTATCAAATGTTGAGGTGGTGGGTAACTTATGGTCAAAGATGTAGTGAATTTGAAATGGGATTAGGCCCGACATTAGAAAATAACGTTTGAGCAAGTGTGATATATGGTATGATTGTCCATATTTCATTTAGTGATCTTATTTCTAGGTACGCTTTTCTCAATTATCTGCTCAATATGCCACCCCAACTATGTGGAACTAAACTGAGAGATAATCGGGCTGAATTCATTGATCCATGTTATTGAGAGCTTTACAGCCTAGCTTTGTCGAATTTGACTTCTTTAGTAGCACTCAATTCATTCCGGGCCTTTTCATTTAGTCTCTTCCACATCGCTTTACGCCTCTCATGTCCATCAAGAAATGCTCTCACCCACTCTCTCTGAAACTTTGGAAGTTTGCGTCCTTTCCCTTCTTCTCCTTCCCCTGCCAACCCTCTAATTGTTTCAAAATAGTCTTCGAAATCCGGAAATATCAGCGTGAATTTCACACTGTCTCCACGCACTTTGATCCTTTCAGTTTCCCATCTTCGCATCTCCTCAACCGGCGGCAACGTAGCTCGACCTGCGAGAAGTCGTGCTGCTAGAACCGCTTGCCATTCGAATACTTTAAATGTCAAACCGGCTGCGACGGCTCCAACGAAAAGCAAAGTCGGGTCATTCTGCCAAACCACATGTTGGTATAGATCTGGCACTCTATTATTGCGGACCGGGACATCGGGAAGGAAGGGCATAGACCAGCTGTAGCCTGTGCTGAATATGATGTAGTCGACGTTGGCAATCGAGTTTCCATCCACCAAGTAAACAGTTCTCCCTTCAACTCGTGCAATTGAGGGATGGTTCTTTATTTTGGGATGATTAAAAGCTTCGCCTCCAAAGTATCCGTTAATTGTATGTCCAATCGTGATGGCGTGGACTGGAGTTTGAGCTGTATTAACGAGATCGAAGGCGATGTCAGCTCCGGAGACTGATGCTCCCACGACAACAACGCGCTGGAGAAAAATTTTAGACTCCGCCCTCGACAGTAATTCTACTCATTCATGGCCTATGACTTACCTTGCCTGTGAATGGCTCGCGGCCACGGAAGTGTTTACTGTGGATTATGCTCCCTGGCCTTGCCTTCTCGAATGCCTCTAATCCTTCTATTGGAGGAACATAGGGCACCCAGAAATGCCCGCTCGCGACGACAACGGCGTCAAACCATTCTACCCACCAGTAATCGCTTCGTTCTCCACTTTTGCGCAATATAACTTTCCATTCAGTGCCAATCTTTTCTACCTTTTCCACCGTGGTGTTGTAAGAGACGAGATCACTATAGCTTCGTCTATCAACAAGGCTCTGAATGTATCTCTGAATAACATCCCACTTTCTAAATGGAGTATCCGGTCCGTGATTAGATATTGAGAGCTGGCTACGTTCCTCTGGTATTGGTTCTTGACTGAACTCCATGGGTAGATGGTCAATGTTAGTTTCAAGGTACGGATAGACCGATGACTCTGAGAAGCGAGGCTGGCTTGATATCTGTGTTTGAGCTGGAAGACTCTTCGGAATAGCCAATGGAGTATCTGCATTACGACTGGCTAAAGCAGCGAAGTTGGACAACGTAGGAGGTCGCGATGCATCATCTATCCTGATGCCAAGTTAATATTAATAGATCACGGTAGTTGCATCTATCAGCAACATGCATCCTCTTGGAGGTTGAAATCGTTTCAAGTTAAAGTAGCTGTCACATCTAGGAGGCGGAGATATTGTTAACGTACCAACATCCTCCAGCGCGCTCCCGACGCTCAAACACGCGAATGATATCGAAAGCCTTCTCCTGAGCTAGAGCATCAATTGCAATGGCACCCGCTGGCCCAGCGCCAACGATGGCTACTCGTCGCACTGGAACACTACCCGTCATTTCAGCTGGAGGTGAGTCGCTAAGAAGTGGCAAGCTTTGACTTGGAGAGTGTCTCTTTAGATCTCACTGTGAAAAGAATGAAAATAGCATGTCTCCCAGAATTGAATGAGATCTTAGAGTAGTTGATCATTTAGGTTCTATGACGGATTATAGCATGTAATAGAGTTAATAACATTTTCGGTTATCTCCAACCTGCCGCACATGCCGCACGCGCCGCATTAAGTTGAATTACCGAACCAGTCGATTCCAAAGCGTAGGATTGGTGGCATCGCTGCTCGTGCGGATCGATCTGCCGGCATTGCGCAAATGGTGGGTTCCATCACGCAATCTGGTAGCCTCTTGGCTGAAGCGAGCTAATACTGGCCGGCAATTATACATATCGATCTACAGCAGAAACCCCCCACCAGATTGTCAAGCAGGACTCGTGCGAAGTATTGTCATATAATTGTTTTCGCAGGGGGTGGTTGGCTGAATATGAACGATAAAAAGAACAATTTACTCATCTACGTCTCTCAGCTACCCAGTAATTAGCCATCACAACGTAGAGCTCCTATAGCTCTTCTTCATGATTGAGTTGCGAGGAAGATTGCCGAAGATTGGTTTGAAAGGAAACATATCCTGTCTCTGTATATAAATATTTTATTACCTTAGTTGCAGAAAGCATCAAGAATACGATCGAGAATTTCTGATTGGGTCTGCATGGAGGATGAGTGACCAGCCCACCAATATCCTGAACGTGCCTAGTGAGATTTCGACCATCACGCTTCTACCTACTCTGTACAAAAGAATCAGATATCGTTTCCAGCACGCCATAGCTGTCGATTACGCAAAGAAACGCTATGCCCTCTTGGTAACGATTAGATATCTAGTGCCATGGTCTTTGGCCGATGTTCTCCTTTATGCCTTATGCACGTTCTTATATAGACCCAAGATTATCATTCATTCATTTGCTTTCTTAATATGCTCTTCTTTTGGTAGTTACTTAATATTCCATATTAACTTCATGCAGTCATCGTGGCAGCAATAATGGGTGGACAAGTAGATGAGAAGAAGCAAGGCAGCTTCGTCAACAATCGGTTACAAGAAGATTCCGATGTGTCGCTACGAGGAGAGGAGCAACCAGAATGGAATCTGGCCGACGAGCTGAGAGTTCGTACAAAGTACATTCGACATTCACTCCCGTTAGGTATTCTGATTTTTTTTCTAACTTTGTGCAAGAGTAGATATGACCGTATTACCACTCCTTTTCCTCGGTTTGCTAGTTTTCCAACTTGATCGAATGAACATTGCAAGTGCCCTTACGGGAGGGTTTGCAACAGATATCGGTGTCACTCAATCCACAATTAATCTAGGAAACCAGCTGATGTTCATGAGTATTGTCATCTTTGAGATTCCATGCAACATGGCGCTACAGCGTGTTGGTCCACGCAAATGGATATCTGCCCAAGTATTTGCATTCGGATTTATCGCCATAATGCAAATATTTATAAGAAATAGAGGAGGGTTCCTTGCTACCCGTGTTCTTCTTGGATTTGCTGAAGCCGGTTACATCCCTGGAGCATGCTATACCCTATCTACCTGGTACACGAGGCGAGAGCTAGCCAAAAGAGTAGCCATATTCTTCTTCGGCATGTTTGGCGGCAACGCGATCAGTCCCCTTCTTGCATCTGGTATTCTGCAGCTAGATGGCCATAGAGATCTTCGAGGATGGCAGTGGCTTTTTTTACGTAAGATTGATTGATTTCGGAGACACTCTCATATTCTATGGGCCCCTGAACTGATGCTCGTGTTTAGTTGAGGGTCTTTTTACAATCTCCGTTTCCATCGTCTTATTGCTTTTCCTCCCGGGTTCACCTTCTCATCCAGAGCCTCTATTGATCTCTGGAATAATTAAATTCTCAGATTCTGAATCAAAGATATTGCTCAAGCGTCTTGAGAAAGATGGCGATAATGATCGAAGCGGACAGGGCCTCAAAAAAATTCCTCTGTCAATTGTGTGGAGCACAGTATCTCACTACCGCCGGTGGCCGCATTTTGTCTCAACATTCGTCGTCTTCTCGACGTGGAGTCCTTTGACCACATATACGCCATCAATCATCATGTAAGTCTTTGCCACTGGATGGCGTTAAATCCTATTCTGACTCATGGTACCTGTGATCAGGTCGCTAGGCTTTGATAGAACCAAAGCAAATGCTCTGGCTGCAGTCGGCGCATTTCTCGCACTTGCTGTTGTATTCTTATTTGCGTTTATAAGCGATCGCACCAATCAACGTGGTGCATCTGTAATTGCAGCTCAGACATGCTACTTAGTCACATTGATTGTTGCTCGCCAGCTTCAGCCTCACGTGGGGAAATGGTCGCGGTGGGGTTTGTGGACGGCTGTCAATAGCTTCGCCGTTGGCTATCATCCGGTTCACAACTCGTGGGTTCAGCTTAACTGTACTGATCCCAGAGAGAGGAGCATTAGCATTGCGTAAGTTATGCATATTATACCTTTCTATTGATGCGTCATTTGGGATTTGACGTTAATATATCACAGCATGTGGGTTATGTCTGCTATTAGTGGTCTTATGGCAGGAGCGCAATACTTTCAAGCAGATGATAAGCCACTGTAAGTTGACCTTGGGGGAGTTTGCAAACAGAGCCACATACTAATTATACCATGCTACAGCTACTCAACTGGATTACGCACCATGATCATCATGGTCTCCATAGGAATCGCGAGCGCAATAGTCCAAATTATTGTTTATGTACGACACAATCAGAGAGCTGCCGAAGGAAAGAGCCAAGAGGCAGCTGGATCTAGTCCTAGGATATACGTACCATGAAGCGGTTCGACTGTATAAAAACACGAATAGAAAGCATTCAGAAGATCAAATGATGTTTTCGCACTTCTTTTACTCTTCGGTAAACAAATCGTTAGTTTCCGGCGATCATGGCCCCTTCTAGTAAGTGCAAAGCCCTTGAGCCAATTGTAGAACATATTCGCAAGTTGTGTTATCTTCATTTTCCTTTTAGCCACCTGTGAGCCCTATGGGGATATCCATCATCTTTGTCATAGAAATTCTCGTTGAACGCTACTAATGCTATCGAAAAGCGGTAAGACGATTGCAATTCCTGCTCTTTAGATGAAAGACTCCATTTATGAATACATTTACACGAATCATGCCCGTATTTTATTGGTTGGCGGATCCACATTGTCTTCTCACGCCATTTTCAAAGAGAATTAGCACTCGGCAAATTTATATGCTGGATACCTAGAAATGGGCCTTTCGTTTCTTAATCACATCCAATGTACTCCGTATTCCCTTTTTTGAAGTGCATGCTGAATTCTCCTACCCAAACGGCCCCATAATGTAGATTCTGCATTTAAATAGAAGATCTCGCCCCTCGTATGGAGGCCAAGGAGCAGTTATACGTATAACAAGACAAAAACCTAAGCTTCTGAAAACACAGCACAGCATCATGGCTGATACAGAAGCCGATATATCGAAAAATGACCCGGAGGAGCAAGTTACCCCTCTGTCAAATCAGAGGCGACAATGGTACCGCAGTACGCTATTCAACGCCTGCGTTATTGGGGGTGTTGGATTTCTAGCTCCAGGTTTATGGAATGCCATGAACTCTTTGGGTATGCTCATACATTATTCTCCTTCTGTGCTATGTTGCATTTTGATGATCTTGATCTAATACACCACCACAATAGGTGCTGGTGGAGCTGAATCACCATATCTCATCAACGCTGCTAATGCCCTTGTCTTTGGACTTATGGGCTTTTTCTGTCTGTTTGGAGGGCCAATTGCCAATACGATCGGACTCTCATACACGCTTCTTCTCGGCGCCATTGGATACCCTATTTATTCGGCGGGACTTTACACTAACAATCGTTTCGGCAACGAATGGTTCGTGCTCCTTGGTGCCGTGGCCTGTGGCATATCTGCCGGTCTTTTTTGGGCGAGCGAAGGAGCCATCGCCCTTGGATATCCGGAGCCTACTAAACGTGCTAGATATCTAAATATCTGGGTGTGGTTTAGAACGCTTGGACCAATTGTCGGTGGCGCTATTGTCCTGGGACTGAATGTAAAGACCTCAGGCAAGGGAAGCGTCGGCTATGTTACCTACCTCATCTTCATTGTCTTGCAATGCCTAGCGGCTCCCCTTGCCTTGGCTCTTTCACCGCCGCACAAGGTCCAGCGAAGCGATGGGTCGCGAGTTATCGTCATGGGAGAAAAATCCTTAGCCGCTGAGTTCAAAGCGTTGTATAAAACATCCAGAAAGCGCAATGTCCTTCTCCTTCTTCCCATATTCTGGGCTGCTTATTTCAACCAGTATAGCGGCAACTTTCAGGCATCCTATTTCAGTTTAAGGGGAAGAGCCCTGATCGGCTTCGTAAGTAATTTTGCGACGCTCTTTTCTTCGCAGATCCTTAGTCAATGGCTTGATTGGACTCGCTTCTCCGTTCGAAAGCGGCTAGAATATGGCTACTATTATGTCGTTGCAACACATATTCTTTCGTGGGTTTATGGCTGGGTAGTCTCTCAACAATACACGGCGAATCCCCCATTACTGGATTGGAGCACACCCGGTTATGTCAAAGGCTTCTTTGTCCTGTTTCTATGGAGCTTTTCACAGCAGGCGGCTCAGAGTTGGCTCTACTATCTTGTAGCCACCATGACCGATAATGTGTCAGAGCTAACTAGGTTGACGGGTATACTGCGTGGCCAGGAGAGCTTTGCCCAGGCGGTATCATATGGTCTCAATACGAGGGGCTGGTACGGGGGACGAGTGCCGCTGGCAGTAAACACAATTCTGCTTGGTAAGTCAAATCAAACTATTTACGAGGACCAGAAAAACAGGAAAAGTATCTAACATTGGCTTTCTTATATAGGATTGGCTGTCGTTCCTACTTATCTTGTTGTTCGTAGTCATAATCCTGACGAGGCGGAAACCGATCTGCAAGAAAAGTCTCCGGAAATAAGCAACGAACTATTGGAAACAGAGAAGCAATAGGTCAATAATAACCTCAAGGCCCATATGCCAACCAAAAACAAAAAGGGGGAGACAAAAAAAAATTATAAACCAAGATGACAATCTACATCATGTGATATGGGAAAGTGAAGTTGAAATTTCTCCGAAATAACCAACTCCATAAGAAATAACTCATTCCGGTAGCGCAGACGAAGTCAATAATACTAGATGTAAGATAAGTGATTTATATCATTTGTGACTCCATTCTCCTTTCCCCTCGTTTGCGTAGAACAACGACCAACATAGATGTGACAATTCTGTACTATCCCCAACCGTATTTGTTTCATAGAGATTAAACAAACCCGGCGTTACTCACATAGATTACTTTATGGCAAATACCATCTTGATAAATATTGCATTGAAACAAAATAATGGATAGCCTTGCAAGTTTGGAGCCTTACGGGAGGAAAGTGAATGGCCCTATAGCATTACCATTGTCAAACCAAGCAATAAGCAGAGCTATAATTGAAAAGAAGAAAAGAAGAAGAAAAGGTTAGGTGCAGTAATATTCTGAAGACGCAACACATCGATCATACCAACATGGTAGTAATTGGTCATGCATTACTTGCACCTGTGCGTTTATATAGGGCTACGGCCATGAGCTAATCGACATGTTAATGAAGAAATATTCATTATTACAATTACACAACGGATCCGTCCTATTATACAGGTGTACACATATTGTTTCTGTGTAACTAGATAGTCTACGCCTCAACATCCATGGTATCAACATCTGCCGAGCCATCATCCAAGTTCAAGTCTATTAATCTTGCGTACTGGGCCGTAAGACGCTGCAGCTCGCGGTATTTGCCTATGGACACATCTCTGTTAGTTATAGTTCAAAAAAGAAAGGGGTGGAGGGAGGGTGGGGAGATGAAAGAAAACGAAACTAGGGTTGCCATACCAAGAATAAGAACTACTCCCTTCAAGAGTTCTTTCCGATCCCATCCACAGAGCTGCTCATCCCGACTATACCAGCCACGGCCATCGGCTTTCTCCGAGGTTTTCTCTTCGAGTACACCGCCCAGCAGGCTGTTGAGAAGCTCCTCCACCTTGCCCCTGGCGCCTTCGGCACCCAGACGCTTGGCATACATAAAGAGGTATAATCTAAACTCGTCGCTGGCCCCTAGCTGCAAGGCACCAGCAATGCGGTTCTCCAAATGGGCAATACTAACGCTGCTCTCCAGACCTTCGGCCTCAGATTTCTGCATGACCATCTTAATGATTCGCTGCAGTGCGTAAGCCCTGCCCTTGAGAAGAAACTCGTTTGTTGTGTGTCGTTCGAGGAACGGAATGATGCCCGACGATACGGTGGCGACTTGGCTGCCTTTGTCCTTGTCATCCTTTGAGTTGGGTCCAACAGCGGTGGATTGCAAGGCCGAGATGGATGAGTCGTTTGAGTTCCAGTACTGAGAACCCACTGCCCACCACGCCTCACTCAGCCGCTGCCAGGTGTACATGTCTCGTGCATAAAAGTAACCGTCGCCGTTTGTCAAAGTCACGATGATATGACCGGTAGAGTTGAGGTGGGCAGATGTTATGCCCGGCCCAGGTGTAGCGGAATGTTGATTTAGTGACGCAGTCGCAATATCCAGTATGGGACCAACGGACACGGGGGGGTGGGGAGAAGATTGCGATTTTAGATTCCAGACATGGACCAATCCGACTGCAGTAATGGTCATTAGCCAATAGTCTCTGCATTCGAGAATGACGGGCTGTGACTCCAAGATGATGGGGTTAAGAAGGCGTCTGCCGGCACGAGTCCAGACGTGCAGCGAGCCATCCTCACAGGCCACAGCCCAAAAGTGTTTGCTTGCAGTCACCAAGATGACGGCCCGTGGCAAGAATTCCTGCCATACTAAAACCCCCCTCTGCGTAACAAGGACATGTGCCGGATCGCGCGGGTTGGCGTCGTTTTTGGCTTCAAGGATGATGTTCTCTGGAAGCTTAGATGCATCTTCCAGCGACGCGGCGTCCGGTTGTAACACGCCTCGCTCAAGCGGCCGCAGGATATGTGATCGTATCTTGGGAACAGCCAGGCGGACCTGGGCATATGTAATGGAGGGATTCAGCACCGCCGGCCGTAGGAATTCGGGGGTGGGAATGACGCCGTGCTCGACAGGCACAAGCGCCGCATGCTCAACGCCATCGGCCCCATTGGTCATGACAGCCGTTGGGCCACCGGCCGCCCGCTTAGCCGCAGGCTCCTCATCGTCGTCGACGTCGGTAGTGGCAGCGCGGCGCTTGTTTCCAAGTAGCATGGCGACAATCCCCCCCTTTGGCAATCCGTCAAAGGGCTTTGAAAGGTCGAGTATCGTCTGTGGAGCGTCGTTTTGCGTAGTCTTCGTTGTCGTTGATCCAACAAGCTGGCTCTGCGGTAGAGATGATTGCCCCGTGCCGGAAGACGAGACCAAGAGCGGCGCCACTCGCTTCCTCCCATCCTTTCCGACTGTAACCCGAGACTTCAATTCACGGACCCGTTCGGCCGTCTTGTCTGCAGCCTCTTCTGGCTTTTCACTGGTATCTTTATCTTTGTCCTTGTCCTTTTCCCTTTCCTTTTCCTTATCCTTATCCTTATCCCTGTCCGAGTCCGCACCACCTCCATTGGAAATCAGCTTATCGGGGACTGACGCAGAGGACTCGGCCTTGCTGGCTGGCGTAGACTCCTTTGCCGACTCGGGTTGGAAATCGCCCATGAGAGCGCCCATTCTAGACTGCACAGCCCTTGACTCTCCGGCCTTGCTATGCTCCTCCAACCTCAGCCCATCCACATCTTCAGCGATGCCCATGCCCTTCCTCGAGCCGCCATATTTCTGCAACGCCTTGGTATTTTCCTCCTGCTGGGCGACCCAACCCAGCTCGCCCTCGTCAAACTTGACGACTACCACGCTCCCATCCAAGCTAGATGCAAACAGGGTCTGGCCGTCTGGTGTCCACGCCAGGTCAGAAATGGACTTGCCCGCAATGTCCTGTAAAATGACAACAGGACGGGAGGTGTTGGTATTCCAGATGCTCAAAGTCTTGTCTTGGCCAGCCGATGCAATAACGGTGACAAGCTGGCCACCATGGCCATTAGCCGCGCCGTTCTGACCGGGCTTGACAGTGTGGAAGAGTCGAGGCGAGAACATGCACACCTCGGTTGGCGCCTCGTGTCCGATCAGGTTGATCTCGCTATCCCACCTCGTCCGCTCGATGATGGCGACGGAACTAACTGGACCATTGACTGCGTTGGCGGCAGCGATATGATTTCCATCCGGAGACCAGGAACACCGACGGAAGTAGGTAGTCAGGGGAGAGCTCTTGAACGGGGAGCTAATGGTGGCGTCGAGGACAAAATTGTTGATCATGTCATGCTGGGTGGCATTCGGCGCGGGCGGGGTGAAGCGGAAGATCTTGATGGTTCGGTCGTCGCTGGCAGTGGCGAAGAACTTGTTAGCAGGGTCAAAGGTGATGCCCTTGACGTGGCTCTGGTGCGCGGGAATCGCCTTGAGCTTCTCAAACGTGTGGCCTGACCAAACCACGACCTTGGAGTCGAGCCCGACAGACACGAGCAGCGACGAGTCGTAGGACCAGGCCAGATCCTGCACGTCGTTCTCGTGGCCAATCAGGCGCTTGTATGTCTTCCAGTTCTCGATGGGCGGCGGCTCGTTGGTGCCAAAGGTCGGTGCCGGCGGCCCCTTGTCCAGGTGGTAGACGCAGATGAGCTTGTCGTCGGCGCCGCTGGCCAGGTAGCGGCCATTGGGCGAAAAGCGCACGGAGTGGATGGTGCCCAGATGATGGCTCATGTGGCACAGCTGGCGAGGCTTCTTGTAGTCGCCATCGTTCGCGTGGTAGACGGCGTCGGTGGACCAGATGCGCACATGGCCGTCGCCGCCCGCAGTCGCGATTCGCTTACCGTCGGGCGAGACGTGGCAGCTGTAGACCTCGAAATCCTTCTGCTCGCCGCTGTGGCTCAGCCACGAGGGCTTGATGATGCGCATGTCGGGGGAGGCGCGGGCATTCGGGAGGCGGCGATGGTGTTTTGGAGATGGTGATGCTGATGTTTGGGCGATGGTGTTTTGGCGATGCTTGGTTTCGTGCCAATGGCGTCTGTTAGCGCCACACGCCTGGATACCTTGGGTGGGCTAGTAGCTAAGCGTGCCGGGCGAGTACCGGTACTGGCCCATCTATCGGCTAACCCCGGTAGTGCGGATGAATAAGATTATTTGTCTTACTAATCACAGTTACTGATCGTCCGTGACCTTTGGCTGTATTTGCGCCTCAAAACTACCTGGGAGTTGGGAGAGAAACATCATCCACCAGCGGATCATCCATTTTCGAGGATTGTCGCTGCCTTTTATGACTCGGCGATCAATCAGTCTTTTACATCAGTTGAATTATTGAGCCATAATTCGAAGCTTATTGCCTTATGTTTGAACTTTTAGCAACTGTTGCAGCTTTATTTAACACATCTATCATGTTGATTGTCAAATGAACCTCAACCCCCCCCCCAATGGATCACAAACATCGCGTGCTTTCCATCTCAAATAGGGAGGCGCAAAGTCCACACCCTTTGTAATTGAAACGAGAGGCACCATGAACCCTAATCTCCAAAGGGAAGCTGTTAAGTAACTCAAGAGCCATATAGAGCTGATCTTACCGTTTCGGCCGTCTCATAGTCTAGTACTACTGTTTGTTTTAGACCGAATATAACCCCTTCCATGTTATGCTATTCAATAGTGCTCAAATAAGATGTCCTATTTTTGTCTGCTGGGAAACAGCAGCGCCGAATAAATAAAGGCCGTAACCCCTCGTCTCTGATGCGGGAATTTGTACGGACAGTTCATATACATTTTCACTGCATGCGACATAGTCAACAAAATGCGAAACAATCGCTATCCTTCGCTTCTCACGGTTCCGCTGATCGCTGCGACAGCAACCACAGCCGCGAGCCAACTCTTCATTCCTTTCTATGGGACCAGTGCTAATGGGTTTAATGCACCTCCTCGCGGATGGAACTCTTTTGGTATGCAAGCCCGCGGAGGGACGACATTCACCCTGAATCAGGCCAATATCCAAAGCCAATGCGATCTTTTGAACGCCACGGCTGGATATACTTTGTGTAGCCTGGATTCAGGTTGGTCGGGAAATGGAGGCGACCAATTTGGTCGTCTTGTACCGGACACTTCTCTTTTCCCAAACTTAACAGCACTTGCGAATCACCTGCACTCACAGGGCAAGCTTCTCGGGATATATGCTCTTCCAGGAGCATTATCGGGCGACGCAGGAGTTACTGTTGAAGGAACCAATATCAAGCTGGGAAGTTTGTTTGACACAAGCCAGCCGAGCTATAATCTTAGGCAGACATTTGATTTCAGCAAAAACGGCGTTCAACAATGGCATAACTCTGTAGTTAACAACTGGGCTGCAATGTACGGATCCATGACCACCGTTTGGATGACACTAACATAGTATAATAGGGGTGTGGATTATATCAAGCTCGATTTCATGACTCCTGGAAGCCCTGACGCCGGCGAAACTCTACCTGCCAATAACTCTCTGGCGGCTGTGGCTTACCATAAGGCAATTCAACAAGCTAGTCGCCCTATGAGATTGGACCTCTCGTGGAAGCTTGACCGGAACTCTGCGGCAGATTTCTTCCTTTGGCGCGGTAACGCAGATGGCCTGCGTCTGGACCAAGATATTAACAACGCCGGTCAAAGCACATTTTTGGGATTCAGTACGGTGCAGCGAACTATTGAACAGTATCGAAGCTTCATTAATCAGCAAGAAGAAGACCCAGCACGTCAGGGCACCCCTATAATGATACGGCCAGACATGGATAACATGTACACCGGTAACGCCCAGTCTCTTACTGGCCTTTCAAACGTTCAGAGATACACAGTTGCAATCCATTGGGTTGGGGCAGGGGCAAACCTGATTACCGGCTCAGATCTGTCACAGCTTGACACGCTTGGGAGGGAGTTGCTTTATGACCCTGAATTTCTCTCAGTCGCTGATTTCACAGCTCAATATCCGATGCAGCCGAAAAATCCATTTGGCACTTCCAATCCAGGGTCCCAGGCATCCGAGCAGCTCCAGGCATGGATTGCTGGACCAAATGCGGGTAACAAGAACGCTGTCGTAGTTCTGGCGAACTATGGACCCGACCTCGGGCAAGGAGGTTTTAATAAAAATCTCCAAGGAGTCCAATTGGTGAATATCTCACTATCACTCCTTGGAATTGCGCAAGGTCAACCCAATGGAGCACCCGGTTGGAGCGTACGCAGAGTTCTTGGGGGAGGTGGCTCCGGTGGCCCTGATCACGGTGATCTTGGGACAACAAGATCATTCCTTGCATCGAACTTAGGTCCTGGTGAGAGTGTTCTATACTATCTCACCGCTACTGATTGAACGGAGTCAACAAACCTCAGATGATAGAGTCCTTCAACAGGAAGCTATAGCAAGTTGAAAGGGTGCCCTAGGCCAGATAGCAATTTTTTATCAACATTTCAAAGTACTTTGCTATAACTAAGGCTATTCATCTGAGACCAGCAAGGTAGCTAATGACGATTTTCTTTTCAAGTCAAAAATATAGCTGTGTCGCATCAGCAATAGTACATTGAGGGTTTCCATCTGACGAAAAGCCTCGTATACTATTATATGACTCTCAAAACGTGACATACAGAGAATTTGGACGCTATCGAAGCAAAATCTCCAGTAAAATTAACAAAAACCTCACTTTACATGCGTGTGCTTGCCTGGTGTTGAGAATTGATTAAGAGATGATGGAGGTGACGTTGGTGGTATTTTCATTAACACCCTGTATCGAGCTTGTATATACACGTGTGGATGTTCCGGAGATACAGCTATTTCAAGAGATGATTGGGTTAGCCTTTACAGGCTCTAACTGCTCAGGTGCAGGTCGTAAGGGCCATAAATCCCCCAGAGGTGTTTCAATTTTGGCAATCGCCTGCTTAGATTGCTCATGGCCAGCATCAGCAGCGGCACGAATAACATCAGCAGCGGCGTACCGTTCAAACTGGTACTCCTCATATGTCCAAGTAGCATCACCAGTTGCAGCTGGTATAATGTATTCAATAGCCTTGGTGATTCCTTGTCCTTGTGGCCCTCTGTAGCTCCAAAGATCCTCGTCAACTTTCTTGGCCACCATAGCGAGTCGAGTCAGTGCCAATAAAGTAAAGTTGGAGTAGTGCCAGCTTCGAGTACGTCGAAGTTCTTCGGGCAGGGCCCCATCAGGCCTGATCGTCTCATTAATGTCCTCTCGAATATTCGCTACCTCCCGCTTAACAAGCTCCTTGTTGTCAACAAAAAGAGCTATAGCAGACACGAGCATACTGGCAAAACTACCGTGATTGTTTTTTTCTGCCCTCTCAGCTTTGCCAAACTCGCTCTCAGTCAGCCATTGTAAGAATTCTCGATTCCACTCACGGAACCCATCCATATCTTCGACTTGCCACCCAGGCGCTGATCCGCCAGACGGACTACCGCTATCTAAAATGACGGCGATGTCGAGGAGTGTAGTGTACCATTGAGAAAAGTCGATTATTCCAATATGTCGGCCAGTGTTCTGAAACGGGATAAGCTGTGCGTGGTTAAGATTTGGATTCATTCGGGTTTGTGGGTTTATGAACCATGTCCTGATGATGTTCGCAGCGTGTCGGGCATATGCCTCATTGCCGGTGTAAAACCATGCGAGGCCAAGAGCCGATGATGAGGCAAAGACTTTTTCAACATTCACGCGATCGCTATAATTGAGCACTTCAGGGTTCCTCTCTCCATCTCTCTGCACATATGGATTCCCATCTGGTGTGGGCGATGGCCACCAGTAAGGCGCTTGGCTGGTGTAATCGTGCATATCCCCGCCTGGGGGAGCTTTGATCTTTTCCATCACAGACCATGGACCCTGGGTGAGCCATTCGTCCGCTTTGCCTTTCAATTCTTCAAAAGATTTCTGTAAAATGGCATCCTTGCCGGCCTGGAGACGGACCCTGGCCTCGATGAGCCGCTCGCCATCTAGAACAATAGTCTTGAGCCTTTGTGATTCTGTATTTGGAGGGGTCGTCATGGTCAGAACAAATAGCCCGTGTGCTGGATTGTCAGATTGCTTTACCCATCAATTCAGTCCGGAATACTGGTATTTGCTTCCATGTCGCCGAGATTTTTTCACTACTTGATTTCTCGTTGCCTTTATTTATCCATCTACTTCGCTATCATTACGTCGTTAATCCACCTAGTATCTCCTCATTGTCGTGTTGGTGGGATAATCGATCACTGTCGGGCTAGATTTCATTGGCCCCTACCTGCTACAGTGTCCACAGCGCCTAGTCGGCTCATCGGCACAACGGCCACCGGCGTAGAGCCTCTCCGCTGACGTGTCAGCAATATCCCGTTTACCGACGGTGTCCAACTTTCGAGCAACAGATCAGGGGATGGCTAAAAAGTATCGCTCTTGACTTGGAAAATATCACCAATAACTGGGACCTGTAAAGCAGGGAATTGAGGTTTTTTTTTATAGAAGAAAAAAAAAACCCCTATCATACTCACTCGACAGCTTTAAGCTTTTGAGAATGTAAAGAGTAGTGGGTTTTTGGTGTTTTGGGCTTATTGGAAAGTTTTCTCTTTCGCTTTTGCAACACTATAAGGTCGAACTTGCTCCTTCACGAGGTTATAGCCAAGGGACAAGGTACGCCATCTAGGGTAGCCCAAGCCCCGTCAACAATCTTAAAATCGAGACTGCATAACAACTCTATAGTCGACAGTACTGATGTATAAACTTGGGTTGCGAATAGCTTCAATTTTACACTTAGTTTGATAGAAAATAATAACCTATTGATGGATTGTTGAGGGACTGACAAGGGATTTACCGTGTCTCCTTTAATATGAAACAATTAAGAATAGCCGACATCGGTTATGATTTCGAGCTGTAGGCTATACAGCCACAGGTCCCAGTTATTCATGATACTTTCCAAGCCAGGAGCGATACTTTTTAAGCCGTCCCTAGATTAGCAGTAGCGGCTGATTCAATCAGATGTAATACCTCGGCCTTATAAAAGTACATATCATTAGTGCTATACTGGGAGTATCTGTTTGCTTAACGGCACCGATTACATATGTATACATGTAGTAGTTATAAGCGTTACAAACAGGTTTGGTGAGGCCTCACGATTGATTGAAAGTTTGGATCGGTGAATAAGCCGGTGGGGGGCTGGGCTACTGTCCTTCTCTCTGCACGTACCTAGGTAGATGGAAGTAATTAGACGGCTTTGGAGGTATTTCACCTTAAAATGACCCCTAGCTACGTCAACGCCCTTGATTCTGGATGGGAAAGAAATGGCCGGGACAGCTATTGAGAGCAGATGATTTCTCGACTTGCATCGATGCCGAAGTCTTTTTAGCGACTAGATAAACTAAGTGTGCTCCTAGTGTTGTGTGTCAAATAGAGGTACGTTATCTACCTGGCTTTCGAAAATATATTTAAACCTATTTATTAACGGATGTCAAAGGTTTCCTCTATTTCATTTTAGATTCAGCCATTAGCGACCGGCGAATTGCGGAAGCCTCTTTTGAGTTGGAGGGATCAAACACTACCTATAAATCTATCATCACCCACAATGTCAGCCTCTCTGTGCCGACTGGGAGCGCTCAGTTTCATCCACGAAGATAATTTGCAAGCATCTTTCTAAACAGTTTCAGGATTCAGTAATGACTGTACCGCGAATATCGCGCCTGCTCAGCAGCTTCAGGCCCTCCACTCGATGCTGGGCACCCATTCCGTTGCGTCTTCCAACAGTATACAACGTTGGCCAATGTACCAACGTTACCACACTTTGTCTGTCAACTTGGAATATCAACGCCTTCTTACCCCGCCCAATCGCTCGCGCCTCAGCAATTATAGATCGTCTTTTACAAACCGATGCAAGCGATGTTATCTTCCTACAGGAAGTGAATTACGACGCCTACGCCCACCTGCTGCGTGACACACGCATCAGAGACGGATATTTCATTACCGACGCTGAGGATAAGACAGCCTTTGATGATGTGCCGTTCACAACTATTACATTACTGTCCAAGGCAAGTTTTACATGCCGTAATACTCCAGGTAATAAATTAGTTGGTCCTGTCACTCGACATAAATTCCCGAGCCATTATGGAAGAGAAGCTCTCTCCACGGAAGTGTTTTTACCATTATCTAGCTGTGATGATGGTTGGCGGTGTCTACGTCTTATCAATGTGCATCTTGACTCTCTGAGCTCGACACTGCATTATCGGAAAGAGCAGATGGCGATTGTGGCAAGTATATTGCACGAGGATATATATCAAACAGAGGAAGGACAAGGCGGTTTAGGTCTTGCTGCTGGGGACTTCAATGCTATCAGCCCAGAGGATCAGGAACTCATTGCAAAGAACAAATTAACAGATGCATGGGTCCAGTTACATGGCGATAACATAGCAAGGTATGGGGGCTCGACCTGGGGAAATGCAAAGGATAAGCGCTGGGATCGCCAGCGGCCTGGAAGGCTGGACAGGGTTGCAATGACGGGGGGATTGGAAACCCTAAAAATGGATATTCTTCGTCCTGGTACTATTACGCTACCAAAACCTGGCAAGGAGAATGATGAAATCAGCTGGAGCGATCATGCAGGACTTAGGTGTACCTTTCGGATATGTTATTAGCGTCTACTTTGTAACGCCGACTTTAGGTGGATGTGGTGGAGGTTAAGCTACAACCGTTTTACGAACATGAAGAAAATGGGTTTCTTCATAATATCTGCTATGCATTATATCATTTGCCTCAAGAAATATAGTTTGAACATGTCTATAAGAGCAAACGCCTTTGTGATGAGATGTTCGCCGAGACCATGACAGCCACACAAAGCAAAAGGCAGCTATGGACGATGAATTCTAGGCTGTTAGGCAACTAGTATATTCTTTATGTTTCAATTGGATATCCCTTTCTTCATGAATTGGTCTTGGATGCAAATTTATGTACAAAGAAGTAAGTTCTAGTTTTGCGTCAGCCTGAAAGACCTGCTCCTCTTGTCAAATCGAAGGCAAAGAAATCCGTGCTCTGCAGCGAAATCACACGATCCATTTCCAAGAATTGATTTCCCAATAACACATTCGACATACTGGTCAATTCGTCTTCCTCGGTTATCATGTTTGGCTGGCTATGGGAAAAGCTGTTGGCGGCATTCATATCGTTTATCAAAGCGATAGAGGGGTCGTGCAGGCTCCCCATATTTGCATTAGCTGATGATGTAGCTACTGGTGATTGCGTCGCTCCAGATTGGGGACTGATGCCGTCCTGGGGTGGTCGAACTTTTTGGACTCCGTACGCGGCCGAGGGTCTTGTGTGAATAGGAGATATGTGTTGCTGACAGTTGGCGCGCATATCATACCCTCTTGTGGGAGATGGAACGCCGGCCCTCTGGTACGCTTCAAACCCGGACGAATACCGTCTATGTGCTTGCCCGTTGTTGTGATTCCTGTAATCAGTATAACTGGGCGATATGACTGCAGTGTTTTGTACCAATGTTTCCATAAGACCATACAAGCTCGCATCGCATAGGGTCTCTATGAGTTCAGCTGTTGAGAATGCTACATCGTTTAGACAGCGGGAGTGCAAACTTTCGAGCTGTTGCGCGTATCTACCAGCCAAGTCTATGGGTTGTTGTTGATCTGGAGCACTGCCAAATGTGCTCTCGAACGTGTAGTATCCGTGCCACTTGTCCGACATATCTTTCAGGCTCCTCAGGAGATTGAAAAACTCAGTCTCTAAAACGTGGGCTTCGCTAGAGTGCCAGTGAATGAGCAAAACTCTGGCAGCAACAAAAGCGCAAAACGCAAATTGGCTGTTGACAATTCCGCCCATATACTGTAGATATTTTTGTACAATAGATGACGTTTCAACAGCTGCAAGATGGCATGTCTCGGCACTGCAGGAGCTAGGTAACTTGACCACGTTTTTCCAGCGTGCAGGCGGATAAGCAATATGTTGATGCAGGAGTATCATTGAGGTATTGTGAGATACATGGGCCAATGTTAGGTTTGGATCGAGTTTCAGTATTAAAACATCTCGAGAAACATTCGAGTCTTGCCATTGCTTGGGCAAGAACATTTTCCAGCTAATGAAGAAACAAGTTAGTAGGGAATAATAAAACACATAGAAGGAGGTCATACTGGACAAGACGAAGGTCAAGTTCCTTGAATCGTGTTAACCAGTTCTTGACCTCATCTCGGTTACCAAAGTTAACACTCTGTTGCAAGAAAAAGGACATGACCTGGCTGAGGTTCTCCGTAGCTTCGATACAATATGCAAAGGCTCCAAGTTTTGAGACGTCTATGTCGCCGGTGGACCCCGGGCTGGGATGATCAATCGCCACTTTTGGTGATAGATAAATGGTGGGTGCATTCGAGATTGAGTTGCCTATTTTGGCTGTCGATTTGTCCCATATCCCAAAATAGGGCGTTGAAACAGGCTCTGCCCTCGCCCACATGGCCCCGCCACAAGGTAGGCGCCGATGAACGTCGTCGGATGTGAGACTCGTATGCCATCTGAACAGTTCAGTCTGGAATCATCAAGATCATGATTATGAGCACGTACCCAGTAGTGATAGAACAGATTCTGAAGGATTTTATTAGTGTCTGGCTTTGGAATTATATGTGACAGTTAATTTACCTGTCTAGCAGAAAGACGCTCCAGAAGAGTCTTCGACGTGCTTCAGATTCTGTCCAGTCCTGCGGTTTTTCCAGTAGAGTTAAAGATCTTAGTAAGGGCTGCTTCGGTGATTCTTCGTCTGGCTCTACCGTTAGCTGTAGGTAGTCAACAATTCTGGTCAACGAGCCAATAATAGGCCACGCTTTTTTAACGTGACCGCTTCCCATCTATATGAATTTTAGTACTCAACTCAAAAGCTTGGAGAGGTTGTTGCCTACGTAGTCAAAAGCAATTATTACCAAAGCCTGGGTGTTCTCAACGGAAAGAGATTCCATCGCGTGCTCCATTACGATTTTCCGGGAGATGCGAATCTGTCTTGTAACATCCCGAATATTCATTCCAAAGTCTGTAAAATCGACGTATTTAATGGCCGCGGAAAGTAAAGCATGAAGCAGTATTGTAAGCTTTTGCCTCTGGAAAGAATCTTTGAACTTGGCTCGAAATCTTGTTTCGTGGAGGATGGGTATCCAGTGATGCACTGTTTGGAAATGGGCCTCCACTACTGCTTCCAACAATGGGAATTGTGGTAACGGGGCCATCCAAGAGTCATCATTTATATTCCAGTGCTGCTCTTGTCCGTCATCAGTGCGTTGTCGTTTCCTGCGATGATGCTCTAGTTGAGAGACAGTGTCGGCTGATGGATCTTCGCCTTCGCGCTGAGATGCATCAAACGGCCGCTGTTGTCTCAGCATAGAAGGGGACGCTGTAGATGAGGATTCGCTCCCCCCGGGTCTCTCAAGATCACCTTTTAACAAGGCAGCCAATCTTGCTTTTGTGTTGCCCGAAGTATCTAGAATAATCTGCTCCAGTATCTCTACTTCCGTGAGTAGGCTGTACATTAAGATAGAATTTAGATAAGTGGTGGCCCACCTAGTCGTCGACTGAGACTATCAACTGCCCCAGCCTTGATGCCAGGCTTTTGCTTCACAACATACTGACATTCAGCGCCTGAGAGCCCTTATTGTTAGCGTGTATCATGGAAGAGCCTGTGATGGGCACAGATGTCGTATTACCTATCTTGACACATTGTGCGCAGCTCGGCCTTTCGCGAGAGCATCTGGACTTTCTTCTCCTGCATGAGAGGCACGCAGGCAACTCATCTGGGTGTGGCGAACCTTCGTCTTCTCCACCGGCCGACCGTGCTGGGCTTCTCATATTTCGCGGAACCTGGCTCATCTTACAGTCTCTGCTCTTAAACGTTACTGTTAAGAGCAACTATATGACGCCTAGGGGATGACGCGATGGATTGCACACAAAGGCATGAAGAGATGCAGATACCGTTATTCTGCAAGCTCGTCGCGTGTTCCTGGCCGCCCCAAGACGCAGGGTGACGCAGGGTCTGTCTACCCCAGTTGGTAAGCCGTTTGCGGGGGCTTCAAATATTGCTAAACTACTACCCATTACTACTAGATAGTTACTAGCACATAGTGTCATCCACCACAACTTGGCCACTATATAGCGGCGAATTTCAGCTGTTGAGTGGGTCTATTATTAGAGGAATTTCCACCACTGAGGTTGCTACACACCATGGGGAATTCCAGCCGACTTAAATTGAAAAGTAGAATCAATTTCCGATTTGAAGGTAGGGAACTTCATATGTTATACGCAAAAACTATATGCTAACTAAACATCATTTGTCAAGATGGTAAGCACAGCCTTCAGCTCCCGCAGCATAAATTACATTACATCAATTACAAGCACTCATCCAATATGAACCGCCGTCGTAGCCTCGTTAATCTCGCCTCTTTTCTCTTCAACTTCCTCCGTGCCTTCGTGAAGTTTAGCCTCGACAGAGCTAGGGCCATCAAAGAGTTGCGCAACTTCCTCCAGAGAGAGATTCTTCGTCTCAGGGTAAAAGAAGTATATGATGCAAAAGTTACTGACAAGCACACAACACCAAACAATGTAGTACTTCCATCCTATCGCTGCGAGTCCAATTGGATTCGTATACCCAGAAAAGATGTTGGCTGCTGCGTCTCCAAAGCTGGAAATGACAAACGCTTTGGCACGCAGGTCAAACGGCGCCACTTCAGCAACGTACGAGTTGAGCATACAGCCAGGCATCTTATAAAAGACGCCAAAGAGAAAAATAGTGAATATGGTGGCACGGCCGAGAGCATGGTTTTCGTAATCGATGCCTGTGTTGACTCCCGTGAAAACGGTAAGTAACAAAAATGCGACAAACATTCCACTCATACCAATCAGCCACATAGGGCGGCGGCCTATCTTGTCGATGAAGAGCGAAAACAGGTTACCCCAAACCCAGCCGTTGATAGTGATGCCACCATTGAGAAGAAGCTGCTGCTTGCTGTTGGTTATGCCAATGGAGTTGAAGACAAGGTGAATATAGTATGACAGCAAAGCATTGCCACACCACTGGATGATGAAACCGGAGGTAACAATGATAAAGAGCCGATATCGGTTAGCGGCTGTTCTGAACCATCCCATCCATGATGACAATGCTTGCAACTTCTCTGCTTCAATCGCCGCTTCGATTTCTGCCATCTCATATTGCAATAGCTGGGATGACTCGTCGCCTTCAGCATGATACTTGGCTAAAATCTCGTATGCCTCCTTGCTGCGGTTTTGGTAGACAAGCCATCTGGGCGACTCGGGCATGAAGAAAGACATGATCAACTGGAAACAGGACGAGGTTGCCTGAAGCAGTGAAGGAAGACGCCATGACCATGATCCAACAATGAATGAAGTACCATACGTGATCCACGCAGCCATAATTTGGCCTAGAGAGCCGGTTGTATTCTGGATACCAATAACCTGTGTCCTCTGAAATGGGTGGGCAAGCTCCGACGCCAAGATAGGACATGCCGTGTTCTGGATCGTATTTCCGAAGCCGATTAGGATTCTTGAGAACACAAACATGGCGTAGTTCTGGGCGCTGGCCTGAAGGGCAACTCCGATAAGCAGAAGAAGAGAGCCGATTGTAATGGGACGCCGTGGCCCAAGCCATTGGATTAGGGGGGCAGCGACAAGCAGAGCGGCAAGTTGTCCATATCTAGTGCCATTTGAAATTGTGCCGAGACGAGTACCTGCATTTTTGATCAGAATTATACACTTGTACACGCCGGATTGGCGATGTTGTTCGTACCTGTTGGGTGACCTAAGGCCTCTTGCCATGACGGGAGTGATTGGAGACCATTAAGCATAGAACCATCGTATCCATTGGTCATATCACAGACAATGCAGCCGAGTAGAAGGAAATTAAGACTGCGGAGACCAGGATAATGCCACCAGAAGCGGTCGCGCTTGTCAGTCTCCCGGAGGGTGTGGCCCTCAACACCGCGAACAGAAGCCTTGTGAACTTTAAACATTGCGCAAGCTGGCAGATGCCAAAGACTTGCTTAGAGTTATTCAATAGATGAGATCTTTGAATCAATCAAGAAAGCCCATGAGAGTTAAAACATCCCTAGATTCTCAAAGGAGTTCGTCTCCTATTAATGTCTTGTAGACAACACCAAATAGCACAACATGGGACGTAGGCGAGGCTTCCAAACGGGCCGAACTAAACCAACTCACCGTCTAACCTCCCTTATAACGCTGATCGGTAAACCTTCCTCCCGCTTGCCGCCACTCAGAAAAGAAACAAGTGTATCCTGGGGATGCGGGATGAACTTTGAGAAAGTGTCCATCTTCCCCATGGGGTAAAATCTTGACCAAGAAAAGTCTGGAGTGGAGCATGTAACTAGAGCCATTGTCTGTAACTATCCATACGATTTTTAGTCCATGTACTTTGCGTAGACCAGGTGAGATCCCTCGTGGACAAAGCACTCCGGCGTGCGGAGTAGTGCAAGGCCGATGTACCGGAGGGGCTGTCCGATGGCAGGGATTCGATGCCGAAGACCCGAAGCTGAGACCCAATTCACGAGAATAGACTAGCGTGGCGAAAGGCTGCTGAGATGAAGGAAATTCTTCAGTTGTAACGGGATAAAGAAGAGGTAATTTTGCCTTCAGGGATCCAGCTCATTCAACTATAATACAGAGGCTGTAGATTTGAGATCTCGTTAGTGAACGTGCATTAGGCCAAAACTATGTGAAGGAGATAATTCTCTGCCAGGGCCATAATGTTTTGATGAAGGGAAATTGTGGGAGAAAAGCAGTAATCAGTCAGAAATGAACATTCCCGGGTTAATAAAATGAATGAATCGACCGGAACTTAAGAATATAACAGTAATTCATTGAATCTATGCTCGATATCATAATTACTGAAGGCGGCTCTGAATAATGCGTACAAAGCTCTGGATTTGATCTACTCTATAGGGTAGGCTTCTTCGAAACAACGCTTGGTGGTAGGCCAGAAAGTACATGTATGTATGAGTACGAATACTTACTTGATGAATAGGCTACTAAGTAAATAACTCGAAATTATGCTATAATGGCAATATGTTTTATTTATTCTATGTATTCTATTTTGATCTACTGCTGAGCGAAGAAGCCGCCCTCTGCAACGAGGAATTGACACTCTTGTTTCGAGTGATTTCCATCGCTTTACTGTATGAGCGAAAGAGGACCATATTTTTTATCATTCGACTTATTTCCCTTGACGAGAATAATGCTTTACAATCTCAATATCTACTCCCTCAGTTTGGAATATTCGCTCGAGGTCGTTGAGAGTCGGAATTGGTGGTGGATGTAACCAACGCTCTTTGACTGCCATGCCATCTGGGCCTGCAAGAACTGCGCAAGCAAAAATCTGGGTCTCATTTGCCTCAACTGTCCCTTTGAGTTGGGGAACAAGTGTGCGTGGGAACATAAGACTGGTATTGCCGTGAGGTTTGGTGACCCTTCCAACCCGCTTGGCCAATGAAGAGACATCCAGTATGCCACTGAAGTCGCCAGTCGTAGATAATACATAAGCAAGGCCGTTGTCTTCGTGAGTCTCATCAGAGTTGAAATCGACTCTTGGTGCTGCAAATCCACCTTCAATAGTTGTAAGCCTTCGTGGAGATTGAATGCGATGAATGCGGACATGCCAGTCCGGATATGGAATGAGCCAAGTTTCAACTACAACGTCAGACCACGGACGCCATAGCGAATAAATCTTGCTTCCAGCCATTCTAGCCGTTTCACAATGTTCTCGAACTCTATAGTGTATACCATCGTCGCTCAGTGCGATCATGCTATCAAAGGCACCGACCTCAAATCCCCGGCTGTCGCTCTCCACCGAGAATCCGTACCGAGTCGAATATGCAAATTTGAGATATTTCTCGGGTACAAAGCGCATAGCTTTATTTGAATCGGGTCCAGAGTTGAGCATGATCGTATGGCCAGGCGTATGCATGAACGCAAGGCCTGGCACTTGAAATGTAGCTATTGAGGGACGCGGAGGCATGGGAAGCTCTTCAGCTGTCCAGAATGGATGATCTGCCGACAAACTCAATGGGCTGAAAGCTTTCATGGCCCAATATGGCGAACCGGTCGATAGATATCTCTCCGCCATGAATGGATTTGGGTATGCGTAGCCAAGTGTCAGGATACCGTCACGTCGTGAGACGGGCTGCGCTGCCCACCATCGAAGATTGCGTAAATATATGCCCTTGATGACGCCCCAAGGTAATGCCTCAACACCAGCCACTGCCAAATACCCCCAATAAGCGGCAACGCATTGTCTATATGACAAACTCCGGCCGTAGGGGACATTCGAACCAGAGTCTGAGAACCAGTGCATGAAAACGGGAGCGAATTCTCGCGCTCTCTCTTTAAACCGGTCACCACGTACCTTATCTGAAGACCGATGGACGGCATAAAATAGCCCGTAGTAGTGCATCGCAAAGGGATTATAGTAATCAATGCGACGCGTATCACCTTCGTCTTCTCCATCACGATACCATCCATCTGATATGTAGAGACTTTCCATATCGTCCAAGTACTCATTCGTTCCGGCGGTGTCAACTTCGACACCGACACTCTCCAAGGCAAGATCAACCATTATTCGGAAATATTTATGGTTATTCGATCCATGCTCTCCGCTCCGGCTCTGCAAAAGCCATTTACTAACATTGGTCTTCACTGCATCGTCAAGTGGCTTCCAATACTGATCGGGGGCGAGCAAGATGGCATATGCGAGAGCAGCTGCCTCGACGTGCCTTTGGTCCATGGACGGTACGGGTCCCCAATACTCCGGATGTTGTGGATCTGTGCCATTCTTGAGTCCCTCTCTGTATCTATCCCAATGATCGAATTTTCCTCCACCAGCAACCAGAGGCGCAATTCCGAACAAAGGTCTGGCGTAGCCCTCTAAATCGCATGCTGCCCGGTCCCATGTAGATGTGGATGCATCGATTTGAACACGAGCATTCCCTTCTGAGAAGGCAGGTAGCAAAGGTTCAAACAGAGAAATAACTGCATTGGCAACGTCATCTCTTGTCTTGAATGGGTTCCCATGAAGGGGATTGAATCTGGGATCTCCATCCACGAGAGCTGACATGGTCTGTGCTAATAGGTTCGAATGCTGTCACAATGCAGCTGCCGTAAAAATCTAGTTGCAGCTTGTTCTGAGGGTGTCTCGTGAAGTGATCTATAGGACACCTAGAGAGAGACACCTGCCGTTTTTACTCCTTGCAATATTATACATGTACACAGAACGATTTCACCGGAGACCTCACAGCAAGGTGGCGGCCGGTGCCCAGTCTCCCCGGCACTAGGCCGTGTTAGCAGAATGGAACCATCATCGGCGCGTCGGGCCAAGTGTCGGGGAACAAATCCGCGACGGAAAGCCGGAGTAATCGAGAACGAAGATGCGTCCCAAGTGCCAGTGCTGACAACACGCAGAATAAGCGATCAGCGTAACGAGCCTGGCCTTGGTGATTCATCCGCGGTATTTCAGCTAGGAAAGTGATGAGCCCTCGGGCCCACCTCGAGCTGTATTGAGATACCAACTTGTCGAGGATGAGCTGCATATTCCACACTTAAACTTCTCCTCGGTCAGATTGATATATTCTTGCTTTCTCAATTGATACTTTACAAAAAAGAACATCGTTAGGAATCTGCATCGTTGTGACAAATATGGCTTCGTCAACAGACTCTTCACGAGGCAGCCCGCGAGGTGGTCTGTCGCGTCGTGATAGCCAAGACAGTCTACCCACTTCACCCTCTGTATTGTCAATGGATGATTCAAAACCGAATATCAGCAAGATATCTCCTCTTCGTCAACTAGCAACACAACTTTCTGGATTGTATTCTGAAGATATTGGCGCAAAATTATGGAAAGTTGCATCGCAGCTATTGGAGGACGGTGTAAGCTTTTCACAGAATTTCCATAGTACTCTCACGGTGGATTGAGGAAGAAGAAGCTCTAACAATATAACCAGGAAGCGCCTGCTGAGTACCCTGAGTGGGCGCCAGAAGATGGTCAGACACCAGGGCAGTACAACACAAAGGAAGTCAATTTTTGGACGTGCGGCTTCTTCCCGGGGAATTTATACAGCATTCTGGAGAGATGCGTCAAGTATCCCATGTACATGCCATTAACGGGAGTAGACCGCTCTACCTTTCATGCTGAGTTACTCAAATTGTGCCGGGCTTGGTCGGCTCCTCTTCACCAGATGGCCATGAGAACTAACACCCACGACCTTGGTTTCATCACCCAGCCTGCTTTACGGCAGGATTGGGAGCTGACTGGGAACAAGGAGAGCCTTGCTTCTTTAATAACGGCTGCCAAGAATTTGGCATCCCGTTATGATGAGAGAATGAAAGCTGTCAGAAGTTGGGACAAATCTTTCAGCAAAAGATACTCCATTACTGACAAGGAGACCAATTTCCTTGTCATTGTGGACAGCATGTGCAGTAAGTCAAATGTAATAAGCTGGATGAATCATTGTGGGCTAATTGGAGACAGATATGGATCTTTTATTCTACGCAGGACATCAGACGTCAGACCAGCGTCTAATTGACATTGCTACAAACCATGCCGATTTTGTTCGACGAAATTTGATCCGAGAAGATGACTCCACATGGCATGTAGTTAATGTCGATCCTCGTGATGGATCTCTGAAGACAAAGCATACTCATCAAGGCTACAGCGACGATTCGACCTGGTCAAGGTAGGAACCATGCCCACAACTATTGGTATTATGCTAACGGATTCTTCAACAGAGGTCAGGCCTGGACAATACTGGGTTTTGCACAAACCTATATATGGACAAAGAACCAAGTTTTCTTAGAAACCGCGATTCGCCTATCAGAGCATTTTCTTCAGCGCCTACGAGGCGCAAGGCATAAGTATCCTTATGTGCCTTTGTGGGATTTCGATGCGCCCATTGGCGAAGAGCCACTGCGCGACTCTTCCGCCGGCATGATTGCTGCCAATGGCCTTCTTCTCTTGCATCAAATCCTGGGAGAGGGATCAAAATACCTGGATGACGCGTTACGCATTGCAAGTGAGACCATAGACATGTGCCAAGCGACAGACCCAGCACGACTGGTCGCCGATGAGGAATCTAACATCAGAGCTGAGGGAGTTACGTTTGATTGCATCTTGAAGCATGCCACAGCGAATAATAACGAATATGCTCTTGTGAGATATAGTGATCACGGTTTGGTATATGCGGATTATTATTTCTTGGAGTTTGGCAACAAATTACTAAGGATGGGCATGGTCTAATAGAAGTAGGCGTTATTGCGATGAAGAGGATATTAATCGCCTTGAGTTGGTCATTTTACGTGGACGTCGTAACAAGATGCAGAGCAAATCCCCTTTATTACCACCATATAAGTAAATACATGGCTCGTTGAGTGGCTGTCCACTACTTTCATGACTCTCTATTACTATCGCTACTATCGCTACTATCGCTACTATACTCTAGTACCAGCTACTGTGGCTGCATTCTCCTAGTATCTTGCAACGTAGCTAAATAGCCTCAAATTCGAGGTACGGGGTACTGGATTGCCACTTTCCATTTCTATCTCGAAAGCAAAAATATAGACTCGGTAGGATTACAGCAGGAGAGAGTGTAAACTAAAGTTAACTTGTCTACGATTGTATGTTTATTTGAGGCGGCATGATGCAGTTTAGTCTGCCGACTGTGCGGAGACAGAATTGGGGACAAAATTCCAAGCCGAGCTGCGTATCGTGCATGTAATTTGGCGGTGCCTAATGTGAGTAGTGTGTACTCCATACTTTTGCAAGTTCCCATGCCGGAATTTGCTGCGCGTAGTCTTCAATAAGGTTATGAAGATCTATTTCTGGATATAAAGGCGACATATGACCGCCATTTGGTTAAGGGAGGCAGGAGTAAGAGGATGGAACATACTTCGGGTTGGAACGATAATATCTGTGTATCGAAAGATAGCGTGTGCAAATAGTGGGAATATTGGCTTACACTGGTAAAGCCCTGATGGCGAACTAGCAGTAAATAGCTTCAGTAGGACTGGTTAGCCAGCCTTTGGTGTAGAAAAACATCGTAGTCAGGGACCAAGTTGCCAAGTCACCTTGGTGAATTTGCTTGTTTCTTGCTTAAATATCGCACTCTCATAGCTCAAGTCGAATCATCCTCGCTCAATAAAAGTACTCGTATCTGGATCAAACGCGGAAAGGTTATGCCTACTTCGTCTTACTTGGGTATTACTCGTACCAAAACAATTCTTTAGCAACCTCCAGGCTCTACAACCTGGCCCAAGTGTAAGCTAGTCACGTTGCGCTTAGTGTGCTCCGTGCAGAGGCGTGGAGCTCGCAATTTTTCCCCCGCTGATATCTATGGGGTTTGTTTGAAGACTCATTTGAGGCGGGGACGATTGCTCTTGGCAACGAGGACGCCAAGAGAAAAAAAAGGGGGAAAACAAGACTACTTGCAGTCGTACCATGCTAATATTGTGCAGTCTCCTGCTCTTTGAGGCATATTAGTTGCTCTCCCAAGGACTGAGCAATTTGAACTAGGGGACCAACACTTTGGTGTGGGAATGGGCCAGATCGTGAGCTGTATTCCGTCGTATCGGGATACCGGAATATATCTAAGTGGTCGGGTGGCCAGTGCATAAGGCTGTACGAGTACGAAGTACAGGTACGACATCTCACCTTTGGGTTTATTGGCAACAACCAACGCCTGTAATATTGGGAACACAACATGGCCTTCTTAGAAGACATCCTGCCCCAGTCCGGTTAATTTGTCTTGGATCTTTGAGAAGAAGGGCTAGCGATGTCAACTCCACCGGCGTAACCCTCTCAAATATCCTAGCGCAAAGGCGCCACAGTCTACTCCTCTCGCTACCGGAGATTTTTGTTAATTTAGGTAGTAATGGTGAAACAGGCGCGGTTCACACGACCGATTGTTGCAACGGTACAGCAGTATGGGGCGGCGGCAATACTGTCTCAACACCAAGTACGGGCCGCAGATCAAAAGTTGTATTGCGATAAAGTATGTACGCCAATTAATCATTATTTCCCCAATCAAAGTCTCCCCGACAGTATGGTACAAGAACAAGGTTGAATGAATAACAGGAAGAAAACAGCCGCTTGTGACAGCACAAGATTTCAATGCCCTACTCTATGTTTACCCATGATGATTAACGCAAAAAAGACTGTTTATTGTTGGGGGGCCTTTTCCTTCTCAAAATATAAGCGCGCGACGTCCAAGGCTTGTTCAATGCTGAATGCGATCCTGGTGCATTCGCAGTCGCGTGTCCAAGTGTTGTGAAAATTGAGATTCTTGCCCAGCTTGCTGTCCATGAGAACATGAGGAACTCCGATAAGTGTTGACAGAATGTGACCGTGGAGGCGGTCGGTGATTACGAAACGAGCAGATCCTAGGAGTTCGAATCCAGCAATGGCCTTGGCCCAGGCGCGCTGGTTCTTGCCGTTCTCTCGCTTGGGTGCCGGTGAGCCGCTGGCTTCATCACGAGAGGACTTTGGCGGTGGGTCGATATCCGGCGTGTGGGTGAATTTCCAGTCGACTTTCTGGTAGGTAACCTTGCCTACGCTGCCGCCTAGATCCATTTCGCCTTCACCAAATTCAATCTTGGACGAGTCGCCGTCGGAGATTTCCGCATCTTTTCGGGCGAGGATGAGAATATCGTGGCTATAATCATGAGAAAACGATTGTCAGAATACATCAAAATAATCCTTGGGGTCACTAGAGTCGCAACAGCTGCAGAATACGTACGTCTTTTTCCCGTTAACTCTAAAGTCGGATCGATTCCCCCACATGAATGCAATGTCCGGCACGAGGTGGCTTTCGATTCCCTCCTTCTTGCCAAATGTCTTGTCAAGCCAGTCATAGCTGGGCTTATCGCGCGCGGCAAGCTGCAGGTCTTTGTGCTTCCCAAAAGCCTCTTCGGTCGCCTTGATACGCTCTGGGTTTGTCATGTACACGCTCTGGGGAAATGCTCGGATAGAAACGTTGGTAAATGCCTGAATCATCGCCATACGCGAAGGCTGGTCCTCCCAGTAGTAGTCGTTGAAGTTGCCGCCACCTGCCATGATGATGGCCGAATGGGGGCGGTGTTCTTCAAGGACTTTGCGAAAGCGCCTGATATCGCAATCTCTATCGAGGAACCTGCGTTGTGAAGGAAGAGTTGTTAGGATGGAGAATGATTCGAGATGGGGTCCGGCATCAATTCTTACCGACACGCCTCCATCATCTCAATGCCGAGCATGCTCATGAGAATCTGCTGAGCTGACCAAATGGCGGCATCGCCCTTGTTCTCTGTTTCGAGATAGCCCCAGATGTTTGCATATCGAACACCTTTCAGACTCTTTGTATACGCTTGGATTAGTTGCTGCTGAAGGTCATTGACGATGTCTTCACAGCCGATCGAAGGTGGCGTCGTTAGGTCGTAAGAAATGTTCCTCCTGCTCTCTCCCAAAGACGACGCGGAGCACTCCTTAGCCGGCCATATTGACGTGGAGCTAGGAAGGTGTGATCTCAGGTCGGCACTCTGTGCTAGTATCACCAAGAGCAACGATATCAGAAGGGTGCCCCCAGCGATGATCGTGGCCCGACCAAACCGATTCGCAAGCAGCATGGTGAACAGCGTGCGCCGTAGCTATGCTCTTCAAATGCTGGCAGTGACACCTGCTTCGAGTTGTACAGGTGTCACGGGTATGAAGGTTGTCACAAGACGAAATTCGCCTGAGATAAAACCATAGTGGGACATGTTAAAAGCGTCGCGAATAGCGAGCCTAGCGGCAATAAGTCTAGCAAAGCTGAACAAGTATCTGGTACTTTGATTATTCTACATGTATTCTTGACCCATGTCTTCACGCTTGAGGCTGCCCCTAATTCTAGTTCAAAGCCGGACAATAGTGTCAGCTACCAGGATCTGCGAGTTATCGTCCCCACCAAGCGGCCAGCTAGTCTGCTTCAGGGTTTTTGATACTAGCGTGCAAGCTGGGCATGGCAGCGTCTCCAGAGTTGGGCTCATTAAAGGAGCGTGAGCTGCCTAGAGAGCGGTAAATATTGATCAGCCTCCGCTATGTACATACATGGAAAGTGGCGGCCGGGGCATGCTGGGGTTCATGTATCAAAAGAGACGGCTCCCGGATTTTAAACTATGGTTCCGGGCAATTCCTTCGTGTCAATCTTGACCTTTGCGTAATCTCTTCCATCGCTGGCCTTCTTCTTCATGTGCCATCGTGGAAGGGCATGATGTTTTTGTTTCTATTATCTTTATGATTGTATTATTTCTAAACATGCTCAAGATGGTTTTTACCGCCTACTATAGGCGATTACGCTCATTCTACCTATTCTTTATTCTTCTTGCTATTGCATTACTTTTCCTTAGCAGCCGTGAAAGCACCAGATCTTTGCTTCTCGGTAAGGACCCGATATGGCGGGACCTTTTCACCACGGATGACGACTTGCTGTGGTGGAATGACCGTTTCCCGTGTGAGAAGCATGAACCAATACGTATCGCTATTGTCGAGTCTGCCGGCGTTCACGATGAAGTGACAGCAGCGCTGGTATACGCATTTGGTGGACACCCGAACGCAGAGCTGAGGCTCTATTTCGCCCGCCAACGCTACCAGTCTGATGTTATCATCAATGACCTTGAGCTGGAAACGCCCATTATGTCGGTGAACAGCTCCAACTACTTTAAGAGGGACGTCGCGAATCTGCCCCCTCCTCACTTTGTTGTCTCCACGACTTGCGAACTAGACCTTGAGAAACCGGAGTCTGTTGTGGCTCCTCTCCGACACCTTCTCTTTAACGAGACAACACATTTGTTCTGCCTAGTACATCATGCCGATTACTGGAACAAAGGTAAACACGTCGATGTTGTTAGGGAATGGGTCGACCGGGAGCGAGTTGATTTCATCGGTCTCAGCCAGCACACGGTTGATTATCTTCTGCAAAAATCAGTACCCCAGTGGCAAAACTTGCAGGCGAGTGTCACGGCACGAACATTTCCTCCAATTTTCCCAGTCAACCAGACACACAACGAAACTTTCCGTGAGGTCTCACTTGCTATGCAAGGAGATTATGCTCCCGAGCGCCGAGACTACAACCGAATCTTTGGCAGCCTCGATAACGTCGTAAAGAAGATTAACGGAAGCGCTGCTGCAACCGGCGACCACAACGATGAGACGGTCAAACTACACTTGATTGGACATGGCCCACATGTCAAAGTGCCTGAGAACATCAAGGACAATGTTGCATTTGACGAGGATCTTTCGTATCCTGACTTTTACAGACTACTCTCACAATCATACGCAGTTATTCCTGCATTTGCGTCCGAAACCTACCTCGACCGCAAGGCTTCTTCTACAGTGCCTGCTTCACTAATTGCAGGAGTTCCTTTGGTGGCAAGCGAAAAGCTTCTCGCCTCCTATTCATATTTGCCGCGCGAGGCTGCCTGGCTTTCAGAACCCGAGGAACGGGAGATGGAAACCGTCGAAAGAGTGGTTGGTGATAGAAAAACATTTCTGGAGAAGAAGGAGAAAGTCAGGGAGGCTGCCCAAAAAATAATGAAGCAGAACCGGCTGAATGTGAGGAAGTGGATGGATGAAGATTTTCGAAAGAGTGGGATTGTTCCGGCGGACGTTGGCTCGGCATGATGACGCTTACAAGCGATTTTCTCAGTATCATATTTTCGATAATTTCGGTCTCTGGGGTGGGTTTCTCATCTGTACGGATTACGTAGCATTTCTTGCATTAGATTTATGAGAGATGGCCTCTCTGATTTTTTTTCTTCTCTTTACTGCTTCCTACCTAGCCACTTCTTCTTTCTAGTGCCGTAAACCTCTAAGAGCCGGTGCAATTTCTCTTTGGTTTTTACTCCTCTGTCTGTAGCAGACCCTCGTCATTATTACAAGGATATAGCCAACAATCAACCCTGAGTACCTGGTACAAAGAGGTCACTGAGGTGGTATCGGAATAGGCGGCATTTCTCTTCAGAGTTATCAAGTCTTGGCAACTATACCATCTCGACGGTTCTTGGATATACGCGGCTATGAGTGGCTGGCTGATGTTCTCTAGCTCCCTCATATTATTATTAGCGGAGCCTGCCAAGGCTTTAGCGTGAGGGAGGCGACGTAATCAGGGATCGGACCTGAGCGCCGTTGCGCGCCAACTGTGGTGCGAGTCAATAAGAGGATGTGTGCTTATTGGACCGAGTCGGAATATCATCAGCCGCAAATTTGTATCATCCTTGGTGCGCCGTGCTGCTTAACTTTGCTACTAGTTCCAGTGTGTCTGGTCTGTATGTAGAGAAAAGGGGCGGCGGCCGCGTAAGTGGATGATCACTGAAACGGACATTCGCAAGGTTCTCCGTTGTCTGAAAGCAGGTGCACGGAAAAGCGGATGAGTTGTAGGAATCTTACGGAGTCGTACGGCAAATCTTATAAACACTACAAGTATTAAGTCATATCTACCGTACTGAATTATAATCGTACAGTACGAGTACAGTACCTTCATTGCGGCTGTGGGCTTGTCCGGATCCAACTCCATACAGTACGACTCTTTTATGGGTTATATCCATGGAGCTTTTTTCCGTCTGTGACCTGTGGGTCTTGCCCGATAAGATGATCCCCACTGGAAATACCAAATACCACTCCATGCTTGTTGAGGATGGGATGTCTCGCGACAGTGGTAATAATACATTGTAGTGCCTGTAATGCGTGGTGCCAGAGCAGCATGGAATAATCTTTCCTAGGCGGCAGGGCACTAGCTTGCCCCTTTACTTACTAGTGCTACTATTGGAAATCAGTGGCATCTCTGTTACCTCAAACGCTTGGAGATTTTGATTCTGTAACAAAAGTGCGAAGTAGTCGTGTTGTGTGTTCTTTTGTCGCCGTGTTTTACGGAATAATATTCCTGCCATTCGTTTATTCCTTTCTCCAGTCACTCGCTCAGATCCTTTTTATTACGAAATAGATATACTTCAGCATGAGTGAAGCTTCGGAGACCCATCCGCCTTCCAGGCGCCGAGTCGCCTTCGTTGTGCTCTTCCACTCGACGTGCGCCATCTTGAGCACAATTCTCTCCAAGTCTGCCTTAAATGGTGTCGACGCCCCTGTGACATTGCTGGCTTTTCAGACAACTGTACAGGTCGTGCTTCTTACAACCATCGGCTACTTTACAAAATGGATTACATTGTCCAGACCCGTTTCGGTATGTAATATGAGGCACTGCGGCTGCTGTTTTGTTCCGCGATCCTGTTGCGATTACCGCCAACCCGGTAGTCTTGGTGCCACTGCCGCCCATTCGTGTTATAGCCACTGATATTGAATCGTACCATACATAGGCATGGATTGCACTTCTTCCACTCACTGCTGCTCGACTTGTGGGCATTCTTGCAAAGACTTACTGCTTGGCTTCAGTTAATGCATCCGTCTACCAGATCGCTCGAGGTCTTCTGCTACCGTTCACACTCATGTTGTCGCTTCTTGTCCTTCGACCACGCCCGTACTACCCGCCTCTGTCCCTTGGCGGATGCGCCATGGTCATGGCTGGGTTTGGCGCTGGAATGGCATCGGACTATAGCCAAATGCTCACAAGTGGCAAGGGCGTGTTGCTCGGAGTTATCTCGAGTTTTACCACAGCCGTCGAGTCCGTTGTCGTCAAGCGTTTCCTCGGCAAGAGCAGCGAGGGAATGTGGCAGATGGTTTGGATGTCGAATGTCATGGCTGTCGGATTTTACGTACCGCTGCTTGTTTTGTCTGGAGAAATGGGAACCACTGCAGCTCTCTTCAGCTCGACAGCCACAGCTGAAGTGTCTGCCAGCGCTCGCCAGTTCCTGGGCACAGCAGTGCTTACTGGCGTGGCCGGATTCTTGCTCACGATAGCCACTTTCATGCAGATCGAAGTTACTAGCCCAACCACCCACATGATTGTGACAGCCGCACGAGGCGTGGCCCAGAGTGCCATCGCTGTTGTGACTCTCGGAGAGCCAATCACCGCCAATCGCGCCGGCAGCATGGCCCTTATTCTAAGTGGCAGTGCCCTGTACGGTTGGGCCAAAGACCGTTATGCGCATAGCAAAAAGGGAAGCTATTTGCCCGTTGCTCAAGGGCCTCAAGAAGCTCAACTTGAGACGTTAAACAAAGAAGGCCGCTAGATTCACCCAATTCTCAGCCACTTTAGGCACATTCTCTAAACAACTTTTTACACTAGAATTTGTATATTCTGTTTGCACTGCATTTGCATTGGTCAAAAATAGCGATTGGCATTTACGCGTTCTACGCTTTGATGGCGAGGCAGCGACACGTTGGTCTGGTATACGATATATAGGAATGGTAATAAATAGACTCAGAGTCATTTTGCCCCATTACACCTCTTCCGTAGAAAGCTATATCGAATAGTGGCACTTGGTATCGTCTTTGCTGTTCAACTTTCGTCCCCGTGTTTGAGAGAATATCCTGACAAGACATAATTTTTATACTGTCAAGTTTATATTCCCATTGCGAGCATCCAAACGACGAGCTGATATTAATTTGTCATGTCTTGATTGATCTTTTAACAGTGATTGGCTTCGCTTAAAATAGTATTGCGTCAAGCTGAACCCTTGATCGGGTTCCATTTACGAATCGGCTCTAAGCCCTATGAGAAGGAGGCGCAGCAACCCGATATCCGAATGCCATTCCTTCATGGCAGCAAACCTGGTCTATACGAGCCAAACTAATATAGTGTCGGATTCTACACGTCGATTGCCGTATGCTCAAGATGTCTTGTGCCACCGCCGCCTTCACTCACATCACATAGCGCATCCCTCTTTCAAAGACAAAAATGAAAGGGGATAGAGCACGTTAACTCCTCCATCTCCCCAGTGTTTTTTTCTTTCTCTGTAAATTTCAACTTAGTTTTGTCTTTTGCCTTTATACTTTACATGTAATCTGTAGAAGTGAGCATAGCGGATTTATGCAAATACGATACTAGGCTAAGACTGACAAAACAACATTGATCTTAGCTTTCTTCCATGGGTGGGCACACCAACCCTTCTGGTGACGATGCATAATGGAAAAAAAAAGTAAAACAACAGTTGTTTTTCTTTATTTTTGCTCTTTATATCCCTATGTTGCTTTATGATGCTTCTCCATTATACCATTGTACCATCTGAGGAGCACTGGAACCTATTGGTTGACAGTTTATTGTTTGTCCTTTTTAAGTTGCATCAATTTATGCATAGACAAGAATACAGTGGACAATTAAGTATTTTTAAATCCAAATATAATACTCATCTCTATCTTCTTGAGCAATTGGAGAATGTTTGGCTACGCAAATATTATTCGTCCAATCTCAAGAACTCCTGATATTGAGACGCCCGAATAACATGGGAATCTATTAATATCTCTTCATATAACGTTGTTTTCGTTTCATTTCTCTAGTTGAATTGTCTAATCTACCAAATCGTATACCTTTGAGCTTAGAGATCAATTTGTAAAAATGTTTCAAATTCTTCTATGTTTTCTACCCATTCCGTAACATTCTATTTCTGGTATGACAAGTCCAACAATAATTCCCGTTTATCATTTAGCTGACTCAGTTTAAAATATCTCTCGCAGTTGTAGCTGTGCATGTATGTCAGCGAGTGTCTTAGAGTGACAAATTTTACACTTGAATGTCAAACTTACCTCCAACAGGCGGTGCCAGTTGCCAGTCTATTACATCCGCGTACATATTCTCTGATGTCCTCATTGAGTTTCTCGTCAGTCTTGCTCCAAGGAAGCCTGGCTTCCGCCGCCACGCAAATGTCATAATGTTCTTTCAGAAGACCAAGAACCTTGTCTATGGAATCCTCGATAGATAAGTTATAGGTATTCATGAAAAGGAAGCAAAGGTTTTCAAGTTGATTGTCGCGCTATTCAATGGTTAGTCACCAAAAACTCCATATATAGCTCAATATTGATGTTGAACATGGAATATCAACTCACAAATTCTTTCTGGAGTGACAGGACCTCATTGAGTAGAATTGTTAGTTTGGTGCATTCCAAGACAATCACTTCCATGGCTTCGTGCCTACGAATCCATTCTGGTAGCTCGAATTCCATGGCATATTCATTTTGCGTTATGCTGGGAATGACGCCCACATCATCCGCGCGCATCTGGAAATGGTCCCAGGGATCGGGAAGACGGTCTTCTTCTCTAACTCTCTGCTGGTTTGAAGCTCCATTAACGTAGTCGTGCAGCTCCTTTCTCAATCGTTCAGTAGAAACCGGTCCAAGACCCTTCCGGAGGTCTCTGAGGATAGGGTAGAACATCTCCACAGTGCCTCGGGAGCCTGGTGGAGGTGTGTAGCAAGGATTCGGGCCAAGACAGTCGTCAATGCACTTGTTTGTCTCAGCACAACACTGTAGCGTGCCTTCTCTGTCGTAAGTGAGCTCACCACCGGTATCAATTTCTGTTGGATAAAGTTAGCATCTGGCCCTCCAATACTGTTGACTTTTGGTGCCTATACCATCATCCCAAAAGAAGATCTGCATCACGTGTTAGCGTAATATCTTAAAACGAGACTGAATATCCAGACATACCCAATAAAGGAACTGAGAAAGCACCAGCATCTTATCTTTTTTACAGTGAGGGTAGTAAACGCCAGTTAACAGCGTATAATTGCCTCGGGCCCGGTGTTTTGCCTTCTTCTCCTCTGCGACATTGACTCTTTGGACTTAAATCAGTAACTGCCTAAGAGGAATCTGCAATGTGGGTAGTTCTAGACCAACGTTTTCAACCATTCATCGATTTCCAAATTGATTTCATCAATATCAGGCTGGAATTCACTAGGCCAGGCAGGCATAAGTGAGAGAATATCTGGCACAAGGACTTTCTTATTCAAGGCCCGTCTGATGACTTCTTTGCGTTCGTCAAAAATCTTGGGAGCATCTTTCTTAGGATGGTTATTGCCGAGAGTGTGCTTAAAGGCAACATCACGTATAAAAAAGACAAGACTCCTTAATTGATCCATAGTCTCAAGTTACTTCAATAATTCTGTATTATTCCAGGCGACAGACTCTTAAATCTCGCCTTATTAGCAGGATATTCAACATTATTTAAATACGCTTTCCATGCCTACTGCTATCTCTTAATCCAAGGTCTTATCAAAGCATACCCCTCGTACATATGTTACATGAATCTGCTGTTGTCAGCCCCTCCAAGAATTACATTAACGTTACGAAGCCCGAAGTCGTCCGGAGCAGTTCCTAATAGGTATGTAACGATGACTAAAATTATACATCTAGCTTATGATATAGTCACTTATAGGTTATCCGGAGGATCTTAGATAAATCCGCCCACGAGGCTAAAACGAGGCGAAGGATGCTGCGGGTCAGATTGTAGCATGGAGTTTGTTGTGGAACTCCGTGTTACATAGGTTGCGTGATATGTATGCATGGCAACATGGAGAACAAGGAACGAGACATCCCATTGAGGATAAATTTTACAAATCTGAGCCATGTACGAGTAATGGCTGACTACTCTGCCAACTACAGAAAATCCAAAATAGACTGCCAGTGTCAGATATAGCACTCTCATTCGCCGTACTGGGAATGTAGTACCATTAATACCTCGGTTGGTATGCAGCAGGTATCTTAGGTCGTTTCATACTCCAAGCATCATGGTGGACACTCAATGGCCGCCGTCTACCCCGGCTTACTTTTCTGTGTTTAACAAACAATGCGGCGTGGAGATCCGCAGGGACAATCCAGATGCTGGCTCTCGTGTTCAGCAAGCCCTCGCACTTAGTTCGGGCCTTGTGGTAGGTTGATGGTCAATCCCCGCGTCTTGACTAACCTTTAGTAGCAGTTGCATTTCCAGAGCTTGCGCTAAATGTACGGTCGGAGATTTTCTCACCTCAGCGCTACCGCTGTTAATCCTCGCCCAGGTTGACCTCAGAAAATTCGTATCACTTGACGCAGCTCGCATATCCGTCTGCCTATGGCTGCTGCAATGCAAGTGGAGATGATGCGAGACGGATAACTACATGAATACGGAGTACTAAAGGGGGATGGCTATTAGCTACTGAGATAACGCAACGATTCAAGGCCAAACAGAACATTATTGCAGTAGAGAGGCATGTATTTGTTTAAGTCCAACGTTTCATTCAAGCACAACTATGGAGCATCTAGCATGTTCCCTAATCCTTTTTCGGTTCCAAAACTCCAACGTGGAGTACCTCCTCATTCGTGATATCAAAAACCAGGGGCTTCAACTTGCGCGTCTGATCAAAATGCACACTTCCGTATCTCAGATAGGCCGCAAATGTACCTTTGATGTTATCCTTTTCCTGGTGCTCTTTGGAGTCCCAAAGGTCTGCCAGAAACGAATCCAGCGCTCCTGGAGGACCGTGTGAAAGTTTCATTGTAGATGTATTGGCAAGTGCATCTTTGACGAAATCTTCTGCGGCTTGCCAAGTCTCATCCTTGACAACACCTTCACCTGTGCGCTGCTTTGTAAGGAGCTCAAATTGGCGTGTGCCAGACCAGCCTGTGACTTGCTGGAAATAGAACGTCTCTTGAAGAGCGGGAGCGAGGAACATGTGCTTTTGGTAGTATTCAGGCCCATTGAATCCATCAGAGGGATCAATGAGCTTCCTCAGCCGCTCAAACGCCATGAAGTGGGAAAGATAATCACTGAAACCCTCCATCATCACCCCAAGATCTGGACAATTCATCTTGTCAACGGGCGGGCAGAGAAGAGGCAGATGCTTGAGGAGAGGAGACTTATGAAAGCCTTCAGAGTTGGTCTTCCCTTCCCAAAGTGCCACATATATCTCGTGCCAGCGTTTAATGAAGGGATTGTTGCGTTTTGCGGCGATAAACCCGTTTAGCATGGTTAAAACATCTGGTCGGATCTCGATAACGAAACCGGCCATCTCATAAGGTGAATTGGGGTCTTCAATTTCCTTCCAACATATGTCGTCTATGTGTCGAAACAAGAAAGACCCGGCATCCATCCAAACCCCACCATACTTCCAGAGTAAAGGAAGCCGGATGAGATCTCCTTGATGAGGGCCGACGTGAGGCCCATCCATGGTATTGTTATTAAAAGCATCGGGAAAAAATGATTCCTCGACAAAATGATAGATGTTGGTCTCGGAATTGGGCACACGATCGAGAAGGTGCACTGTCCATTCTGGACCGAGACGGCGGACCCAGTTGATTACATTGCGCTGGACCCAAGGAGCCATGTTGCTATAGCCCGAATGCCAGAATGCCCAAACATTCTTGTCCGACTTGACAGGATGTCGAATTTGGAGCCATGCGGCAATCTCTTCATCTGAACGAAGGTCCAATTTTTCTTGGGGTATGAGCTTCAGGCCCTCAGGTACATCGACCTTGGAGGTGATGCCTGGCTGAGATGCTGTCTCAACTTTGGACGGAGCCATTTTTTCTCTTTCCAAGTCTTAGATTCAAGATGCAGAAAATGAATATGCACAGCAATTATTCTTGTTGTAGTGTAGCCGTAGATAAGCAAGGATTGAGCGAAATCGAACGATGGCGCCCCATCTTAAAGAAGTTGACTCTGAAGCTAATGAAGCATGTTGAAATCCCAAATACGCGAATTTAGTGGCGATTTCACGCCAATGCATCTCATAGTCTACCATCATGGGGCAAAAGACTAGATGATCCAATTACTCACATTCAGTAAGCCAACGCTAGATACGAGGAAGTTCATCTGAAAGAAGCGGAGGATTCATCAGATGGGACTGATGGTTCGTTCACTAGCTCGCGAGTTCATAGATGACACAGTTGTTGATAAGGTAATGGTTTATCGGTGGACGATGTCACGTTGCAATCCGTCTGTACGACAAATCGGCGTTTCACAGGATCGGCGTTCTGCAGGATCGTGTAATACACCCTTGTCGATCTGTTTAGCGCCCGCAGCTCGCTTAGACCATGCTCTTCTAAATACATGTATTGTAACGACGATATATTGGAGTCGCGTGTGATTAAATTAATTTCGTTGGAGTAGAAATGCGATAAATTTAGTTCACGGCCCAACGCTAGCTAGATTTCACTGTATCTTCCCTTTTAGCAATCAATGTGTCCCCATTGGTATGTAGATAGGTAGGATGAACTAGATCGACCTACGGATTTGGCACTTGCGTAGCCTAAGCCTAGGTTACATCCCTAATGCTTATATGCACGTGCTGTTCCTGTTCCTCTAGAGTAAAGTGTCATGTACGTTGATTCATGCCCCTGTACAATTGGAGAGCTATTGTTGGGGTCTTTTTTTAATGTCGTATATAAGACGACCTAAGGCTAACGATGCTGGCATAGTGTGCGTCTCAAAAAAGCTGCTCTCTTATTGACCTTCTTTTTCAACTTTTCATAACGGCTAGCGCCAAGGAGGCCTTGTAGTAAACATGGCAGTTTCAGGGCTTCTGGCAGACATGGAGTCACTTCCTACGCTGGCATGGGTATCGCCAGCTCTGACAGCAGTGGCTGTCATAATCGTGGCTCTCCTTTCCGGATACCGGAAATCACCAACTAAGTTTGACGTTCCCACACTTGAAGACTCTCCGATGAGATATGTTCAAGAGGCAGATGTACTGCTTCGAGAGGGATATGAAAAGGCAAGCTTAACCGTCAACAGGTTGGATTGCTTCGCTCCTTCTGACAACCATTTCAACATAGTTCAAGAACACCATTTTCCAGGTTCTGACGCCGGATGGCCCAAGAATATTTCTGCCAAGAAAATTTGCCAATGAGCTGAAACCATTCAAGAGACATGAAGCCAGTGGAATGAAGGCTTTAGCTGACGTATGTTAAAACATATTACCCTCGCATGATTGTACTTGCTACACATCTCAACTAATCTGTTAGCGCCACCTTGGCCATTACACGACGATTGACCATGAAAGCGATGTGATGCTCGGTGCTATCAAAATTGATTTAAACAGGAACTTAGGCTTGTTTGTTGGAGATGTAGAACAAGAAGTTTCTTACTGTTTTGAAACCCAATTCCCCTCCTGCGAAGGTATGTTCGTAATATCACTTATTATTGTCTCTCACATCTCACATCTCCAGCAGATTGGACTCCCATTGATCTCCATGAGACGCTACTTCGTGTTGTCGCTCAAGCTTCGGCGCGTATCTTTGTCGGTTATCCCATGTGCCGAAATGACGAGTGGCTTGAATGTAGCACCAAATTTGCCTTGGATGTCATGACTGGTGGCGAAAAGCTTAAGTTGTGGCATCCATGGCTTCGTCCATTCGCACAATACTGGATTCCGGAAATGAGGCAGATTAGGGGTGATCACCAACGTGCGCTTGATTTGCTAATGCCAGAACTGAATAAGAGAGCTACGGAAACTAGAAAATCCGACGCTGCGCCGCGTCAGGATATGATTGAATGGATGCAGCAGCGAGCTCAAAAGCTTGGCGATAAGTCATTTGACAATAGAGAGTTGGCAAATCTGCAAATGCTCACAGCAACGGCAGCTATTCACACAACTAGACTGGCAATCATCCATGCGCTGTACGACATCGCAGCCCGCCCTGAATACATAGCACCACTGCGAGAAGAAATCAAGGAGGTAACCCGAGATACCAATGGTGTTCTTCAAAAGCAGCATTTAACACAGATGAGAAAGCTAGACAGCTTCATGAAGGAGTCACAAAGACACTCTCCTCCATCTGTTGGTGAGCTTTCATTTCCCCCAAAATATCTAAATTATTTCGTCAACGCTAACATAAGTTAAAGCTACATATCAACGAAAGGCCATGATTCCTATCGATTTATCGAATGGCTTTCATATTCCCAAGGGAACTATCGTTCAATGTAATACAAATATTCTAGATGAAACGCCAGCTGCATGGGGTGAACCACATGCGTTTGACGGTTTCAGGTTCTACCGCCTACGAGAGAATCCGGAAGACACCAACAGGTTTCAATTCGCGAGTACGTCATACGACAGCATGCAATTCGGTTTCGGGAATGACGCATGCCCTGGCCGATTTTTTGCAAGCAACCAGATCAAGATTATCCTGTCTTATATCCTTTCACACTACGATATCAAGTTTGAGGATTCTGTGAAGGAACGGCCGAAGAATTTTATGTTCGAGGTGAATGTAATGGCAAGTAATACAAAAGTCCTGTTTAAAAGGTTGTAGATGAGTAGCATTTTCATCCATAGCTAAAATAAAAAGAATGCCCAACTTGGTTATCTACCACTTTGATGTCAGAACCCAACTATCCAAGGGCCTAAGGCTAGGTCACATGACTAGCGGAAGACTATAAATAACAAGGTTTTATTGCTTCCTAGCAGCTAGGTCAGCAATCAATAAAGTCCCCTTCTACAACCTAGGTACCTTCGATCTCTTCTTATCCCTCTCACTCTTCCTTTGCGACCCCTGACATTTGATAACTACCTAATGTGCAGTTCAAGTTTTTCAATGAGGTGTATACTACCTAGTTGATAGGTACCAGTTTCCTAAGTTTTTGCTACCTACAATCTCTACCAGAGCTATATTCTTCTATTATATGTTACAATTGCTGTTAGGCATCGCCTGCCCCAGTAGTTACTTACAGAGTAGAGTTTGGGCTGGGAAGATGCCCAGTTAGACAGTTGATCATCAAGCTATTCACACAATCCCAAATTGTTCACTCAAACGTGACGTTCTTGTAGGACAGCTTGGGTCTTGATAATCTTTACATTCTGTGGCACACGAGATATTGTTGGATGGCCAAACTCAAAAATAACAAACAGACACACCAAAAACAAAGATAAAGAAAGGAAGAAGGACAGATGAACGTCAAATCACTCAGTCAATTAAACTTCTTTCTAAATTAAGATATTATCTGAATACTTGAGTTGCCTTGAAGAAGATCCTGACCGATGACAGAGCTGTTAGTATCGATTTTCAGCCTGCCTTTTTCGTTGCCATCGCTATCAACCAGCTGCGCTTCAGCTCCAGTGGTAGCGTGATACAAACGAACTTCGACATCCTCAAGATAGTTGTAAACCGTCCGCCTCTCGCCTTCTTTACCCAAAACCAAGACGGTGTTTTCGCGGACGTAAAATGGCAGTGTATCAAAGTCGTGCTTTTCTTTCACCCACCTAGGCCCGGACTTTACCTCTCCTGTGAAAAAGTTCGTCCATCGGCCTTCAGGCAAGTAGAATTCGACGTCTCCTGTCTCTTCGAAAACTGGAGCCACCAGTAATTTAGAGCCAAGCATGAATTGGCGGTCGAGATACCAAGAGGTTGGGTCTTCCGGAAACTCTGGAAACAATTGTTAGCGATCGGCACTTCTGGTATTCGCTATTTATCCAAGTCAATCATACCTAAGCACATGGCGCGGACACTTAGCGGAAGACCTCCAGCAATAGCCTCTGCCGCCTGTGCATATAAATATGGCATGAGGCGAGCCTTCAGAGCTGTCCATCTTGCTAGTGTCTTTGCGCAGCTCTGTTCTCCTTGATCATCATTGTCAATCGTCCAAGGAACACGATAGCTGTTGCTGCCATGAAGACGGCTGTGCGATGTTAATAATCCAAAAGCAACCCATCGTTTATATATCCACGGTGATGGATAACCTTCGAAGCCGCCAATGTCCACACTCCAAAAAGAGAATCCACATAGACCCAAAGACAGACCTCCGCGAAGTGATTCAGCCATTGCTTCAGGAGTCGACTCACAGTCTCCACCCCACTGTAGAGGGAATCGTTGGCAGCCTGCTGTTGAGGCTCTCGCAAAGACAACAGCCTCACACTTGCCATGGCGTTTCTGTAGAGCCTCATACACCGCCTTGTTGTACACAAAGGAGTAGTAATTATGCATCTTTGACGGGTCCACACTTGGATCAAACCACTGAACATCATCTACTGGAATTCTTTCGCCAAAGTCCGTCTTGATGGCAGACACACCAGTGTCAAAAAGAGTTTCCATGCAGCTGACAAACCATTTTGTAGCTTCAGGATTTGTGAAATCCACGATTCCCATTCCTGCTTGCCAAAGGTCTGTCTGCCAAATATCGCCGTTCTTTCTCCTTAATAGATAGCCTTTCTCTGCTGCCATCTTGAAAACAGGAGAAGCTTGGCCGAGGTATGGGTTTGTCCAGACGCAAATCTTTTTGACCAGGCCGCTGGATTTGAGACGGCTTATCATATTTGAAGGTTCGGGAAACATCTCCGTATCAAACACAAAATCGCACCAGTGGAAAGCTTTCAACCAGAAACAATCATAGTGAAACACTTCGACTGGAATATCGCGGGTTGCCATACCCTCAAGAAATGAGCTGACAGTCTTCTCATCGTAACTCGTTGTGAATGACGTAGAAAGCCACAGACCAAAGCTCCAAGCTGGAACTCTTCCTGCCCTGCCAGTCAAGGTGGTATATTTATACAAAACCTCCTTTGGCGAGGGCCCGTAAATCAAATACCATTTTAGTCGCTGGCCTTTCACGCTGGTTTGTACACGGCATGAACGTTCGCTTCCAACTTCCAGATCAACTTTGTCTGGAGTGTCGATGAACACACCATACCCCCGATTGCTAAGCCAGAATGATACGTTCTTATAGGCTTGTTCAGAGCTTGTGCCGCCATCCTGGTGCTAGTTAGCGTGATATCTTACCAAACGTACCAGCAGGTGGCAGAGACCAAGGCTTACCGAATTCCATAGAGTGACGCTCTGGCCGACCTTGTTGAATGCGCCGAAGCGTTCGCCAAGTCCATGTACAGTCTCGCCCACGCCGAGTGTTGTCTGCGTGAATACATAGTGGTCAAAGTTCCTCATATCATCAAGCTGAATAGGTGTACTAGGCGCTGGACCATAGGCAAAACCGACGCTGCGATTCAGTAGAGAAGTTAAATGCTTAGACCCGTCTGTTGCGTGGAAGCGGATGTCAAATGTGTGCTGATCAGGATGAATTGTGGCGCTCACACTACCCGACGCAATTGTCGTGCCTTTGTCTGAAACAGAAATACTAGCATCATCTTGGGGTTTCCCGTCAGGGAAAAGATCAAAATGGGGGCCTTTGTTTGCAGCTCCAGACCAGTGAGTTACTTCGACAGAAATCACGCCATCAAAAACCGCTTCAAGGTCCTAGAAAGATTAGTATTTCTAGTCTTTGTAACTGAATTGTGAAATATACTTACAAGTGTCACGGTTGGCAAGTTTAAGGTATCTCCTCGCGAACGGACGTGCTTCGTCGGACATAGTAATGACAGGGCTCTACCATCTGGCCGTTTCGTGATGGTATAGATATCTTCTGCATATTCTGTCCTCTTCCCCTCGATGGGAAGCCACATTCCATCGCGAAACTTCATTGTGCCTTTACGTGCAAATGCACCGTTTCTGTTTGAGAGCAGCTACAGTGGATTGACCAGCATAGCTGTTATACCAGCGGAAGTGGCCGCGGAAATAAACGAGACGTCTCTCCTCAGTTTGTAAATAAGGAGCTTCCATAGCTTAGCATTTCTTAGGTGCTAAAAGTCATTCGGATGCCTGCGTTTAGGCTAAAATCTCGGCTGTCGCAGAAGCGCTCTAATGATGATCGAGATCTTTTAGTGCCGAGAAAGCATTTTGCCGATGTCAAGTATTATTATTATACCGGTTTCCACCAATCGTACCAGTTGGCCAGAATGTTGCCCGTATACAAAATACGAGAGGCACTATCAGATAAAGCTGAGACGTCAACCCGTAGTGGCGTCAAGCCCTCGGAGTTAGTGACCCGAGTGCAACCATGTATGCTCGGTATACAATAGCGCGAAGACCGCGATTAAGGGGAATGGTACCAAATATCTCAAGAATCTCGAAATTATTCTATGGCAAGGGTCTTAAACTCTATCTTAGCTTACAGCTAGGAGTAAGCCTTGTTGCTTGCACTGATCGTCATAATGGCGGTAATCTAGACGGGTTTCTTGACATGGCGTTTACATAATTGTTGAAAGACATTATGCAGCTTCCACAGCCCGCCCTCTGGTAGAGATGATCAAAGGGAAATTTTGGAGTTCCCGAGGAGTTTGGGATGATCCTATCAGTTACATGACCACATAATCATTTGTAAAATTCGCGCCCTTCCGAGAACACCAAAATGTTATATTCTATCTAGTTTTCATGAGCATTCGGCACGAAATGTCTCGTTTATAATGGCGCCGTCGGAGCAAAGCTCTGTAGCTCTCCAAATCCGTTCTCGGCCGAGCTGGCTTATATAACAAATGCACCTAGATATAAGACAAGCTACCACCGTAACCAACACCGCAGGCGCCGCAAGATGAGCAGCAATTGGCTCAAAGAACGCACAGCATGAGAGGCAGGTAGCCCTGGTTCGTGGTGTTTCATCTGGCTCGGATATCACTCCACTGGATTCTGACCGACAAATTCGGAGTATTACGCAGCATTTCGGAGTAGTGTTATCTTGTGTATGCATGCCATCTCGTAAATGCTACAGTCTATCCCCGCGTTCTAGGATGGAGAAAGTCCGAATCGTGCGATTGGTCGTGCGACGCTCCCAGCAAGGATGATTAACAGGCCCTACTGGAGGGGCAGCTAACTGATGACCGTAAGCGAGGGCAATCTGACATCTGGACGAGTGGCTCACGAGATCCAATTTGTTGTCGTCTCCGATGAGGCCAATCTAGAGCTCCTTGTGGATGGTAAATCGGACACAGTGCTACGCATTCACGTGGTACCATTTAATCGTGGGCCATATCTACAGTCATGGTGTGAATGAAGAGGTATCTCCTGACGAGACGAGCATGCCAATTGCCCGAGTATCCTTGTGGCATTGCGTCGTAGAAAGGAGCAAGTCATTAGCGCACTGCCGTTGATGACTAGTTGCCTATCCAGCCACGGAACGTGATCATCCGCCAAACCCAAGGACTCTAAACCTACGTGGACTCCGTACATTAGGAATACTAACTATGCTAGTAGTCCTCGGGTAAAAGAGGGGCAAACGTGGGGTTGGGAAGGCCACTTGAAGCCATCTCAGAAGCATCAGTCCATACGTACATGTCCATTGCATCGAGAGCTAAAGACTTACCGAGACAGGTGTGAATTTGACGGCTTGTAATATCATCCTAGCACTGCACTGCGAGTATAGGCTAATAATGATTAACCGTGTGGATAAACTTGCAGCAACGCCTCGCTCCCAAAAATAACACAGACGTTGGGCGATCTTATGCGGTCTAGGCTCTTCATATTTCCAGACTTGCTGTTTGGCGCTCCAATTACCTTCGACCTCGAAGGTCGTATGAGCCAATCATGTCAGCTGACCAACAGTTGTTCAGTCTTCGTAGATTTCCAGCCTGTATAAGACTTGGTGCTTCTCCAAAATTGTAAACCCGATGTTTCAGCTTTTGAGATCTGCTCTGATCTGCCAATGACATAATTTTGGTTGTTGTGCGGCCCTTATTACGACTTTGCTGCAATGGCAGAAACAAATATCACAAAGGCGGCGGCCACTCATCTCGAGGAGACCTTAGGCGAAGGCGCCATCGTCGATGCCAAGCATGCCTCCGACGAAGAACATTCACAAACCTTACTGCAGGCCTTGAAGAGCAACCGCAAGGCTGTCTTCTGGTCCATGATGATCTCGATGAGTATCATCATGGAGGGTTACGACACAATTTTGATGGGTAATTTCTTCGGCTACCCTGAATTTGCGAAGAAATATGGCACGGATTATGGCGGAACTACTGGATTCCAAGTGTCTGCACCTTGGCAGTCCGGCTTGAATATGGGCTCGACCGTCGGAGCAATATTTGGTATCACCCCTTCTTAACATCCTCGAGATATCTTCATGGTACTAACCAACCTAGGCGGAATTTTAAACGGATATCTCGTCTCTCAACTCGGCTATCGCTACGTTATGGTCGGGGCGTTGTTCTTCATGAACGCTTTCGTCTTCATTGTGTTTTTTGCCAATTCTGCTGCTGTATTATTGGTCGGTCAAATTCTCTGCGGCCTGAGTTGGGGTGTCTTTGCAGTAGCCAGTCCATCGTATGCGTCAGAAGTTTGCCCGACGAACCTACGTGGCTACCTCACGACCTATGTCAATCTTTGCTGGGCAATTGGTCAGTTCATCGCAGCAGGCGTACTTGAGGGATTGATTAACCGACACGATCAATGGGCTTATCGTATTCCATTTGCCATTCAATGGATTTGGCCCGTCCCGCTCATGATAGTATGCTTCTTTGCACCCGAAAGTCCTTGGTATCTTGTGCGCAAGGACAGGGTAGATGATGCCAAGAAAAGCCTACGACGGTTGGGAGGAGAAAAGACGGAGGACCAAATCAATGGCCAGCTTGCCATGATGATACACACTGTGAATATTGAAGAAGCCCAGGCCAAGGAGAGCAAGTCCTATGTGGATTGCTTCAAGGGCACCGACCTCCGCCGCACGGAAATTTGCTGCATGGCCTTCCTCGGACAGATTCTTTCAGGAAGCTCATTTGCGTACTCTCCAAGTTACTTTTTCACCACAGGTAAAAACCTCCAAGCAAAATTTGACACACTCCAGCGGCCGTTTTGCTAACATACGTTGAACAGCTGGCATGAGTCCAGACCACGCATATCAGCTAAACTTAGGCGGAACGGCGATTGCTTTCCTTGGAACAGTTTTCTCCTGGTTCTTGATCACCCATTTTGGCCGCAGGACTCTGTATGTAGCAGGTCAAGGTATCTTGTGCACGGTTCTCCTTGTTATTGGAATCATAAATGCTGCGACTTCCGCCAAGAACGCCATTTGGGCAGAGGCTGCATTATGCATATTTTGGCTCCTTGTATACGCTCTAACCGTCGGTCCTCTTGCATACGCAATCGTCTCCGAGACTTCATCCATCAGATTGCGCCCACTTACGGTATCTTTAGCCAGGACGGCGTACCAGGTAAATTTCAACACAAAGTCTCTTTTTCTTTTTACATGCACCTACTGACACTCTTTTAGATCATAAATATTGTTTCGCAGGTTCTTGAACCATATTTCATGAACCCTACTGCCTGGAACGCATCCGGAAAGACGGGATTCTTCTGGTAAGCTGAACTGAAATATCAGGCGCGAATCTGCTGACACTTATAACTCAGGGGCGGCACTGCTTTATTGACATTTATCTGGGCCTACTTTCGGCTGCCTGAGACCAAAAACCGAACCTACGAAGAGCTGGATATTTTGTTTGCAAAGAAAATTTCTGCTCGTAAATTTGCATCGGAGAATGTCGATGCATATGAGACTCATATTGAGGTGGCAGAAAAGAAGTGAGAAGTCGATTTCTCGACCTTCATATTTCTTCCTACCACAGACAAGAGAGTTTATAGTGTTGTTTTTCTCCTGTGAACGACTTGCCTCGTGATGATGCATGCACTGCGAGCTATTTTGACACTTGAGCCATGTGTGAGCAGATGTGGTCGAACGTCCGTGTACAAAGCAAGTGTAAATGGGATGATCGTCAAGCATCTTTCATAGTTGCCCAAGGGATTTACTAGCAAGAGTCTCGATCCAGCTGTCCAGAGTCCTAACTAGTGTATGCACAAGTTTTGAGCCTGTTGTACCAAGAGAGATACGACGAAGGACCTTTAATCTAGGGATCTGTACCTTCAAGTACCTACTATTGTCACTATCGTCTTCTAGTAATTGCTATTATCACTTATCGCTACCGCCTTATAGTTGTGACAGTTGTTATTATTTGCCTTCCAATAGGCACTATCTGAACTCTTTTAGTAACGGGTATTCCGTAATTGAGGATACAGTATGCTGTACAGCCAGCCGGGAGCGGCCCAGCAAGTCTTAGAGTAAATATACGCTGAACTGCCAAGATTAAAGCTTGTAAAATAATATAAACCATCAAGATTAGATAAACAGCGATACCGAATCAGTTCCATTATACATGAAATGCAGTTGATGGAAATTGATGCTTTTTCCTAAGGATCCCAACGAGAGCTCAGTCAATTTTCGGCGATCCCAGCCATATTAACAATAACAGTCTAATGTAAAACTGGAAACACCTTCTTAAACGCCTCTGTTTTAGCAACGTTTGACCACCATTCCTTCGTTTTTGGGCCTATCTTGAAATCGGGCACAGTCTTTTGAATGAGTTTCTCCAAAGGACCAAAGTCTTGAACCGCTGTCACTGGTGTGTTCGCCCCCATCATGGCATGCGAAAGCCACGGAATCGTGTTGTAGTCAGCCTCACTGACCCGTGAGCCGGCCGCAAACGGCAAAGCAATCAGGCTTTCCAGCTTATCGAGACCCGAAGCCATAGTACGATACATTTCGTCTGTCAATTTATAGAGGTCTTTGTGTTCGGATCCAACCTCAGCACGATATAACGATGTGATGGCGAGATTTTCGGCAGCCTTGGAGATATAAAAAGAGTGTTCTGGGTGTGCAGCAAGTTCCTTGTCTAGGCGAGTCTGGCGCCCCTCCAGAAATGCATTCCAGCCGCTTTTCTTCTTAGATTCCATCTCAACAGGATCCCGTGCCTGAAACAGAATAAGGTTTGTGCTCATAGAAGGTGAATGCATAAGGTCAAGAATTTCTTTCGAACGTGCTTCATCCTGAGGTACGAGAGTCTTTGTTCCGCGAGAGTCAATCCATCTCAAAATATCGGCACTTTCAGTGAGAGGTTTGGCGAGAGACGGAGCAGTCAGAGAAGGTACCGTGCCATTGGGATTGATGGCGATATACTCCGGTGCAAAGTTTTCACCAGTTGCTGAACCAAAAACTTATTAGGATCACGCATAGCATTAATAACATGGAGGCTTTGAAACTCACATAGACTGATTTCTTTGACATCATAGTCTACATTTGCCTTGAGGCCCTTCTCCTCTAGGGCAAGAAGCATAACTCCCACCCACTGGCTTTCAGCTGATGAATAAATAGTAAACTAAAACAGTTGAAGATTAGCATACGAATTCGACCTGAGTTGTGGTTGTTATCATATTTACCTTTTCCGCCATTATGGGCAATCGGGATAAGGGTGGATAGCGAACTGAAAGATACTTCAGGAAATTTATGGGATGTGGTGACGAATTGCAATTCTGCTTTACTATGGTTTTGAAAGCATTCAATCAATGGCACATCTATCTATCTCTATATATATCTAAATATCTTTAAGCTTTCTCGATGTTCCAATCACACATGGAATCAACAAATGAACGCCAAGAAGTCATATGGAATCGGATATTCCCAATCACACACAACTCACTGGGTTTAATTGCCTCAGCAGACTCGGGCACGGCTGTCAAACTTTATTACGTAGTTACTACTACGGACGAAACTATGCCAGCCATGGGCGGCAATTTTTTGCGCTCCAAGAGGTGGATTAGTGGATAAGCTAGCCACGGAAGATGCAACTGGGGTAAATTAATCACACAGGATTCGGTAGTTATGCTGCACGTTTGGAATCCCGAGCTGGCCCTACGTAATGGTTGCTTAGCCGCCCGAATTCGTCCGGAAGCGAAATCTTACTGCATCGCTACCGTGTCGAAGTCCGGCTATTCATGCGTTTCAATATTCAAGGTAGTGGAAGCATCTTGGTAAGGTAGCTGAGAAAGGGAACGTTGGTGAACATCTATCCTCGGTATTGTTTCACTACTATCGCTGACATCACTTGGTTTCATTTGCGAAAATTCAATGCCGCTATAACATGCTCTTTGGGTGAGAATCGCACACTCATATCCCGCTTTTCATGGGTAACTCTTTTGATGACTTTCACCACACCGTAAGCGGCGCTGAGCCAGCACAAACCGTTGACAGATTCAGTCATTTGCATTATCCTCAAGTGGATTAGGCAGCAACAGTGGACATGGTCCGTCATACTGCTCGCAGCTTGCCCACAGCTTGCCCACAGCAACTGTTGCTTTGGAACTGCGATGGGCGCGGAAGCTTTTTTGTGGAGATCCTACGAGGTTCTCAATGGAAATCCTCTCTCAGCAGAGAGGTGGCGATCTTCCGCGCCCTGCACGCGTTCCAATAGCGCACCCCCACAGTCTTGCACCAGTAGCGCGATGCTGTGCTATCGTGGCTGCTGCTTGTTGTCGCGACGTTACTCCAAACGCCACAATTGACAGCTCGAGAAGTATACAAACCAACTAAAAAGCCTTGAGCAATTCATCCCTTCGAGTGTTTCAGGGTTAGGGCCAGTACTACCTTGTGCGAATGGCTGTATCTTGACTCAGCATCAAATTAAGACGGGACTTTAGTGTTGCTTCGAGGCATGATGAGGGAAGTAGTGGCAAGATAGGCGTATGCTGTGTTATTCACCGTTCTGGATGCTATCTCTCTGAAATAGATCGGTTTACTAGTATGAATCTTCTTGTAGTCAATATTAATGGGCACCTTCTCGGTCGGTATGGATGTGTCGCTAGTTTCTGAAGCTGGAAAATCCTGAAATTTTTGCCACATGTTACGAGATGAGGCACACTATCATGTGTAAGTATTGGGAGAGCAAATACAAACGAAAGTTGCGGTTTTTGCGTGGACAGCCAGCCTCGGTTTGGTATTAGAATGTAAAGGAATATATAAATTTCATCAGTAAAAAATGAAGATGCGGCTATAACGGCGGCCAGACCAATAACTACCTACATTAGAAAAAGCTAGTACGAAGCATCAAGAGTATGGAAGAAATGCATTCTAAGTGTGGTCAAGGCGAGTCATTTCGTATTCCAATGTAAGTCTTTAAATTATATCATTACCATCATGATTTCAACCTTCAAGCTCAAGAAGTTGGCAACTGGGGCGCTGGGTGTGATGAAACGATGCGAGTTTCATTTGTCCATTTTTTTCCATTCACTGCAACTAGCCTTGCTTGGGTTAGACATTTGAAGCTCGAGAGCTTTTGTATGCAATGTGACGCCATATGACTCTTTACAAGCTTTATCCATGACTTGGAACACCTTGCTAAAGCAGGGGTACGTGTTAATCCGGCAGATCCGAGACTTAAACTACACATTCAATAGTCTCGTAAGTTTCAAGTAAGTGTTGGTTTGACTCAAAATAATAGTTTAAAAAGAAGTTTAGACAAAAAGATTTAGAAAGGCTAGAACGTATGGTCCAGTAGCTTGTAAGCTGGATACCTTCGGTGTAAAGTCACAAAATCACGTACAAGAAGGCCACCTGATACGGCGACATATGAATGTTCAAAATGGTTCGGTTAAAAATACGTCTAACCTCAATCTTCCCATTCGTAGCATAAAACTTGAAGGCAGTCCGTGTCCTCGGTGAAATAAAACTTGTGTCTCCCATCTTTAAGGCTATTCCACTACTTTATTACCCAAGTTAGTCCGCCAAAATCGAGGGCTACATTGCCTCAGGTATAGTTTCTTATCAACATCCTTTACCAAGATGTTTTGCAAGGAAGGGGAGCATATATCCAACCACCTGATCAAGATTGCTGATCAAGGTAAAGTGTCCGGCGTCAAGCAGATGGATCTCGGCCTTGGGTAGATCTCGCTTGAATGCATTAGCTCCAGGAGGAATAAAGCTAAAGACATGCATTAGTGAATATGTATCAAATTGAACAGCCAATTCGGCTGCTTTTCCTTACATTGGATCTTTCTCGCCCCAGAGAGCAAGTAGCGGCACTTGAGACTTGCGGAAATATTCTTGAAACTCTGGATACTGCTTTACATTGTTTCTATAGTCGTAAAAGAGGTCGAGTTGGTAATCATCGTTGCCTGGTCTGTTTGCCATGAGTGTCCAGTCGAGCCACCAAGATTCAGGCTCAAGAGCAGCAACGTTTTTGGTTCCACCTGTGTATTGCCCCTGTGTAGTGTTGAATGAGAGGACACCATTTAAAGCGTTGCGGTCACTAGATTGTTTATGGTATGTTAGTTACCATTTCATAAAGCGTGCACTCAACAGGTAGAAAATATTCAGTATCTTACGCTTCGCTTCCTGTGGCCCAATATGTTTTCACGGGATCCCAAAATGGCCCTAATCCCTCGTCGTACGCATTGCCGTTTTGCGAAATAATCGCTGTTACTGCATGGGGGTTTCGTACAGCAAGCTTCAGGCCAACTGGAGCACCATAGTCGAATATATAAAGAGCGTACTTCGAAATATGGAGAGCTTCCAAGAATTTCTCGGTAACAGCAGCAATGTTGTCAAACGTATGGGGAAATTTGGAGGGGACAGTGGTGAATCCAAAACCCGGGTAATCTAAGGCAATCACATGGTAGGTCGCCGCAAGTATTGGGATTAGATGTCGAAACATGAAGGAAGAAGTAGGAAATCCATGGAGCAGCAGGATTGTGGGAGCATCGGCTGGACCAGCTTCCCGGTAGAAGATATTATAGTCCCCAACCGCGAGATGGTTAATGGCCGGTATAATGGCCGAGGTAATATTTGCCATTTTGAAGTTTTGACGCTGAAACAGGTACAAAGGTACTCGGAGAGATCTTGTTGAAAGCTACCGAGTATACCATCAAGGAGATATCAATGAGATATATATTTATACTTGTCTAGTGGTACCATGAACATCCCCCAAGCATGTTGTGCTATCACTGTTGTCGTCAAGCTTGTCTACTAGCTTCCGCGTCTCAATATCGCATCATTACGACACTTTGGTTTGCGCCCAGTTGATACCATCACGGTGCTGACATGCATACACTAAATCTGCCAGTCAGCAGCCTTACTCTTTCAGTCTTTCAAGAGGCTGCTCAATTACGGCGATCATTTATTCAATTTGTCTGTTTAACTGATCTCTTGGTTCTAATCTCCGTTTCCGTTGATGAATTCGCTGAGTCAAAATTTGCAGAGCGATGGGCTGAAGCCTTGTCCCAATTCGTGGGTTGGTACCTGCAGCAAAATCACAGAGCGTTGCCACACCATGCAAAAGTGGCTTCTGCTAAATTAGCCGCGCACTCACTTCCTGGCTATCTTGTCCAGAGTCAACTGCTGGTGTCGAATCAAGTTGAACAACATGGTTCAGTTTAGGAATCAAGTTGAACAACATGGTTCAGTTTAGGAATCGAGCCGGAATAAGTGGTGCTCGTAGTAGAGCCAGTTGTTCTAATTGGCCACAGCTGTGACTGTGGCGGAACGATGACCAAGGTTTGTTATGGTTAAGTTGCGAAAGACATTGCATAGGCAACAGTTTGCGAGCATGGATTCATCAATACAAATGGTGATAATTTCTCTATAAGCTGCTTTCTGAGCATGTCAACTTTCCATATCTACAACAATCAGTAATAAATGGCGTCATCAACGTGTACTCTGAGTACACTCCGAATATAGTGCCATCCGAGGGAATGTCAATATTGCCGGAGCGCCATATTTGATAAAAGATGCGTTTTAAGCGATCATTATGGGTTTGAAACATGTAAAGCCGTAATTTTAGACCTATGGTAGAATATAGATAACCAAGGAGTGTGTTCTCGTTTGCGGAGAGCATGCACTTTGTTACATTGTCACAGCCTACGATGGCGACGAAGAATGCTTGACAAGGGACGACGGCCTGCTGTGCACAGCATTTTATGCCTCATTAGATAGACAGTGCTCTCTTTATTAAGGTTTTTTCCGCCATTAAACGGAATTCTGTGTTTGGACATACTTTACCGCAGCTCACACGGTTTCCACTTCCCGTGCCCCCCTGATTTCTTGCAAGCTCTCGTCTAGAGATGATGCCCGGGCATAGAGATCCCCTGTAAAATGCACAACTACCAATGGCAGATTAGAGTCTCCATTATTCTACCTTCAACAAACTACCACCAAAGCAGGGCGAAATTTAGAACCCATCGAGGGGGTAATATGCGTCAATTTCTTAGCATCACACTCGGAGACTCGGCTATGCGATAAAATATTTCATCATACATACGGTGGATAGCTTAGCGTATGTGAAGCTTTGTAAAAACTTGTTTTTGAAGAAGTACTTTGGAATCTTTCATGTCCGCCGCTGTTGCTTTTGATGTGCAGTGGTATAGCCCGCAGCCGAGTTACTGGCGAGTCATTCATTACTCGCCACTATGAGAGGTTTGGTCACGGCAACGGTGAGAATCAGATCATCTTGGGTTCAACATATCGATAGCTTCGTAGAGGTACATCTGCCAACATCGGGCAGCCATTCATATGAACAACATACCTTGAAGATAGCGAACTTATCTTGACCTCGCCAGCACGGTGTAGGGGCCAGTCAAATCCAGAGAGAATCCTTTGATAATGGTGGTCTGGATCTTCCTGTATTTAGACACGCGTAATTTGGCATTTCTCACGGGCTCCTGAAAGACGAGCACGGGACATGGGTAGGGACAAAAGAAAATTTTATCAATAGCTGGGATACCTCATTGGCGCCAACTACGAGTAGCGGCAAAACTTTCACTTCCCCTTTTTTTTCCAGCAAAAACATAAAAGATAAATCAGGCCACGTTGAATACCAACACCAGTAATACATTATTGTTGATAGTGAATTTATATGTTCTTAATCAATATCATGTTTTCAATAATGCCATCCATCGGCCATACGAAGCGATACGCGTCTGCGATGTGCAACAGTCATCGAGATGCCCTGAAACCGTGACTGCGCTATTTTTTTCACTTTAAATAACTCTATACCCCGAACATGTATCGTCTATCCTCTACAACATCTAACTCAGATGGCTTGCTAGCTATGCCCCTCTATACTCAGCGTGCAGCATCCACGGAGACACCACATCTTCACACCACTAGTCTACTCATGTTTCGTCCGAAATATTATGAAAGATTGTGTACTTCCCTGGCCTCCTTTTGCCTTGATGTTTGAGGCATTGACCGTAGATGATCTTTGAGCAACATCGGTAGAAATACAGACAGATGTAGAGTATGGTCCCCCTGTCAAAATAGATTATGCTATGTAAGTTTATACAGATCATTTATGAAAATTTATCGCGACTCAGTCTTAGTTACTTGATTATGGTCTAGCGTGGTTCGGTAAACAAAAATTGATATGACAAGCTGTGACAGAGTTTGAAAATGTCTCTTTTTTTTTCATTCTCCGCTTGCCACATTCTTTTGAATCCCACCCTGAGATGGAAATTCATAGGCCCTAGATATGAAGATACAAATTGCCTTCTACCTTTTATCTACTACAGGCCAAGTAAAAGTCAGTGTGATATTTCTGGATATCGTTATGCAGCAAGGTCCACAATGTCTTCCAAGCAATTGATGGCGGTGTTGATCCATGATCCGACAGCGTCGTCCTTTAATTCATTCATATTACCAGGCCTGACGAAATTTTTCGTGACTATTGATGTGTGTAATTCTAGGTAATTGCTAGCTAACTGTTCGGGCAAATGTAGTACAGGCGCGTGGTTGGTTGTGGCGCGCAATTACTTGCTTGTCATGACAAATCTTACTCCGCCTTCCCAATAAGAGCGCGTTAAACTCATATGTACTGCAACGTCGGGGAGATAATCGTCACAACCGACACGAGGCGTTGTTCAAAGGCGGGTGGCGTTGGATCGGGCGTTGTAGTATCATACAGAAGGGGGGTTCGCTTGCTGGGTCAACCGCAACACCATGGGCATTGGCGGGAGAACTTTGACAAAAACGGTTAAGCATCAACGTCGGCCAACCCCAGTTTGTTCGCAAAGAATTTGGCTGCCTTGCAATCCCTGACCGTCAGACTCGTTGTGGTACGAGAGTAAACTGGGTAGCGTTCGAAATCAGACGCTAAATTGTACCCTGTTGGAAGAACTGAAACACATGTGAGCTACTGTTAAGACCATTGCGTAGGATGTAAACTAGGTGTAGGTTCACTAACCCTAATAAATTGCTAGAGCTCTTCCTCATCCTAATATTAGCGTTACATGGCGTTACTGTGAGTACAACCAGGGTGACAATAATGCTGAGAATCTTCTGCCCTGGTGAATATCTCTCCAGGATGTTCACCAAAATTGTTCAAGCGTGATGGCGGCAATCTGAGAAGAGCGAATGCCGCTCGCTTTGGAGGGCTCCGCCCCCGAATTGCGCTATTCAAGACCAGACATGTGGATGCGCTCGCCTCGTTCTCAGAATGTAGTGTCCGTTGTCCCAACGCAAGGTAGTGTAACACTCCCCGATTTAAAATTGTGAATCTACTGCTATATTAACCGCTCGAGTTGTGTTTCCCTGGCCTCGTTGTTTGGCTCCTTTATGAAAGAACAGAAAGTAAACAAGGCTGTTATGATAATCTGGCTCCACCTCAGAACTTTTATTTTGACAACAAACAACAATTTTTCTTCTTCTATTGTACTTCGTATTGCTCATCCCTCCATCCTCACTAATTGCAGGAGAAAAAATCTCCACCAACAGTTGGACTGTTTTCATTGGGGATCTTGAAGGGGTTATCCGTTGTCGGAATCCCGTTATCCGCAAACTTATCCGCAAGCTGCAACCAATCGACGGGACCATCAGCCAGCTGATCCAGCCAACTCATATCCTGATTTGGCCCCTGTATCGTGTTCCGACACATCCTCAGATACTGAACGGGTGTCACGCCAACATATTTCTTAAAGACTCTATGAAAGTACCATTTCGACACGTTGGCTTGCCTGGCCATTTGGCTCAGACTCAACTGACAAGGTCCAGACTCACTGACTGCCGCCCTTTCCCACTCTTGTAACAGTTCTCGAATCTTCTGTACGGCGGGATCTTCTGGCATACAGCCATCGAGCTCTGGTTTACAACGTTTGCAAGGGCGGAAACCGGCGGACTGTGCCTGATGTCCAGTCGCAAAGAACAGGACATTGCAGCGGCGAGGGTGTCTGGATTTGCAAACCGGTCGACAGTAGACTTTCGTGCTGCGCACAGCAGTAACAAACACCCCATCAGCACGAATATCACGCTCTTGCACTGCGTGCCAGCGGCAATCATCGTTTTCGAAACTGGTTAAAGCCGTAGGCTGGAGAGACTCCGATGCGTAAAACATGTCTGCCATGTTCCAAGAGAGGCTTCCCTAAAATTTAAGGGCGATACAGGGAAGGAGAATATGATACTCAAACAGTCCTCGTTATTAGGTGCAAATGTAGAACGACTACTTTTGGATGGAGGCCAGTGGGTGGTAGCTACTTAGTTATATGCCGACTCTTTCTTTGACCATTGAAGTTAGCAGCCCTGCAATAGGCCTAAATATGGCAATGCAAAACAAAACGGGGTCAGCAGCTAAGAGGGCGAGAGCTTACGGGCGGCACGCAAAAGGCGGCGAAGTTTAATTTGCACGGTTAATACATCCACAAATTGAACCACGGCCCTAAGGGACTAAACTGTTGCAGGACGATTTAGCCCAGATCTCGATTCTCAGAGATAGGCAGACGAGTCTAGGTATATGGAATTTCCTACTAACCTCTTCTACCTCTATTACACCGGTTTGCCCCCCTACTACGCCTGATGATTTAAAGTTCTGCTGTATTATGGTTAACAAGACAAGGCGTGGTAAGCGACTCGACCTCCTTCTGTGCTCGGCATGGGGATTGTGCGCCTGTATTCGAAAGTCTTCCACATCGTGCGCATTCAAACAAGTAGCACCAAGTGAGAGGTAAGTCGGACCCATTGTTTACTCCATGAGAGTCCGATCGCCGCGGAATCGCATAGACCAGTCACGTAGTTGATATTATGATGCACATCCAGGGAATCGATCCAAGCGGCCGGTCGGTTTCGTTCCAATTCTTCTTTACACCCGCTCTGAGTTCCAAAATCGCAAGGTTCCACTTGGGGAATATTTTATCTAAATCCCGGTATTCTTGGCTTAGCACCAATACATATCAATCCATTCTCTTCAACAAGCTGTTTCAAAGTTGGTATGCCGCGAACGACGATGCGACCTTCCCTAGGCTGGCGTCGGCATCACCGTCCTATACCTCTTTGACGTCGTTGCCGGCCACATCCAACTCATCCATGTCCGAGCCACTGCAGTGGTGGGAACCAAGCCCATCGTATTCTTGGTCCGAATTAGGCCGCATCAAGGCCTCTTACAGAGAATAGGCGATGTTTGGACAATTAGAGACACGGGCGGATGGTCTTGGAATGACCAGGCAAACCACACAGCACATTTGCGTGTCTTTTGACACTAGTCTGAGTTGGGACGTTGAAGGCATGGCATCTCTTGCAGACGGTCGTGTCAAGAATAGGGGCCACTCACTTTGCAGGCAGCATGACTTGGATGGTGCTGATTCAAGACATGGATGAACCCCGATCGGCTTCAAATTAGGCCTAGTCATCTTCATCTTCGCTATTCGGGAATTTGCACCTGTGGGCCGCGTTGACAGACAAGGTATCTCTTGTCCAGCCGCTGATTCGGTAAGCCAGCGCACATATCGTATATAAGCAGACACAGACAACTAGATCTTTCGGCTTGTCATAAGTGGATCAATCTACTCCAGGGACCATGCCGTACAGTAAATTCTCAGCATTTATACTGACGTTTCTGTACAGACTACGCGCTGGCCTCTTTGATCTTGATCTCCAATGCTTATATTGCGGCTAGATGGACTAAGTGTCGAGGGACCTCCTGCCTCATCGGCAGGAGAGCCAGGAAGGAGGAGAAGGACGTCGGAGACGTCCCTATATATGCTAGTTCATCCAGATAGGTAGATCGAGGCCATACATCATCTCACACTTCTACGTTTTCGTTGCATCCTGCTGTGACGTCCGTGGATCCCGTGAGAGGTGTGATACTAATGGTGTAGTCATCTATCCTTAAGTCGGATATAGCCCTGTCGTTATACGAGGACGAAGACAACATTTTGTCGATTGAATCAAACCCACATACATCATGTTAGTATCAAAATCTGAGAACCTAACCAAATGATCATACTTAAATAACCACCTCTTGCGAGGACGACACTCCAAACGCGAAGCTGAAGATAGCCGGTAATTGACGAGCGACAAGACTGGGAAGAGTCAGAGAGCAATTGGAGGCGTCTGATGATGTGTCAACCCTCTGCATGTTCTGCTATGGGGGCGGATAGGTTCTCCATTGTAGGTGCGGATACACGAGTCCGTCGCCCTATCTGTCTTCGAGGGAGTATCAAAGCATCCAAGGTAGACCACTGCAGCAAAGGTCATACCATCGGAATTAAAACACCGAGCATCTTAATGTTTGAAGCGATAGAGGCACTTCTATTTGCTTCAAACTGGGTCTGGCTCAGCATTGTTCAGCCGGCCGAGAATGTGTGCCAGGTATTGCTTGTGGGAGCTCGTGAGACATGGCCTACCCGTTAGGTTGTGTGATATAACATACTATGACTTGTTAAACAGTAAGAGTTTGACTGGGATATCCACAGCCGTGATCTTGACTTGATAGCACCATTAGACTTCTGGTTCCTCCTTTGCAGATATCATAAGGTTCTCTGCTATTTGACGAGTAAAGTCACCACGTTCATAGTCGGCGGTAGAGTAGATATGACACTTCCTTCTAATTGATAGAAGACATTATGTCGATAATGCTACCATCGGTCAGTACTGGGATTCTGCTGAGGAACGGAAGACTGGAACATGAAGCTTTCAAGAGGGTAAAATATAAAATGTCATCATTTCTGGAGAACTTGGTGATGCGTTTAGACTGAATTGAACTGAGAACACCTCTAGAATGTATTAAGTCGTCTAAATGGGGAATATTGTTGTTATTTCTTGAAAATGTAGTCCGATATCGAGGTGGCGATGAATCCAAACCCCTGGAGAGCACAACTAACCGGCTAGAAGATGGAACCGCTGAACTGAATCTGCCTCAGTAGATTATAGCCAGGTGGTAGGCCGGCAAGACGACATTGGACTGGGCAATGGAACAAAAAGGCGATGTGACCACCTCCCGTGTGTGTGGTCGACAGGAGAAAATGTGACACGGATGTTCTTCGCCAACGGGAAAAGGGAAACGAACGTGGTTCAACTACTTACAGACTACAGTGCCATGGTTATGATGTGAAGAGTAAAGAACAACGCCATATTCCTAAGGATGGTTAGCTACCTTTCTAACATGCTGGGTTTATGGACCGCTCTAGTATTAACAGAGGTTATTCCATCTCTGTCGCTCAACATCATTTACCGATAGTTTAGGCCCCAAGTTAAAGGTACAAATAGACACCAGAAAACACTGACTCTACCAGATAGTAAAGCTATATAGAAAGTACCATGAATGTACAACCTTTTGCCACAATACGTCGTGGTCCAATACACTAAGGGTTGCTGGAGTGTTTGACACACTGCATCCAGTCAGCTCGTATTTCCAGAACGCGGTTGTCCCATCGATCCTTGTTCCAGAGGATCAAGGCTACAGATGCTGCCAAACCCACTAAAGGCTGACCTCCCGCCTACGGGTATCTCATCCAGCTCGCCTCGCTCGCTTCGCCAAATCGTTCTGACTGCTCACATGTCCGGAGCTGACTAGGCTAAACACAATTCCCCCACCACCGTTTGCACCGGGACGGCACCCCATGCATGAAATCTCCGCATGGTTAGTCAGATTCGATTTAACAGTGTGGCTCCTGTTGCTGCTGATCACTGGTAAGGATGGATGCATCGAGAGAGAAGAGTTACAAACTTATAAGAGAAGTCGGCGCATTTTACATCCAAGCTCTCATGCAGAGAATGAGGTTCTTTATTGAACCTCTACAGCTTATCCTACTATCCGGGACGATTAAAGGATGGCGAAGAGGAGAAGATATTCGCTTCAGTTGATGAGGCATAGCCACATATATATCCAGAATAATGCTGGATATGTCGTGTCCACAAGCTAGAATAACAATATGAGGATCTCCATGCCAGTCCGCCCGGCATTTTCTAGTTCCACGATGATAGTTATCAAGTGCCATTGGACTCTCATCAACTTCAATACAATAACTATCTGTCCGCTTTTATATTGTCTAACGGCTATACGTTTTGCCATAAGCAGTTGACATATCTTACCCAGGGCTTCATTTTTCCCGGCATGAAGATACCCACTCTAGCCGGCGAATTAATACTACAAGACAAAGAATTCTCATGCGGTAGCTACATGTAATTAGCCTGACAAACCAGGTGTTTTCATGATTTAGTTAGAATAGCATCAGGCAAGTCCAAAAGTGTCACCAAACATCGCATAAGCGCGTCGCATCCCGCCATCAAGACGAAGCTGAGTGGTAAGGGAAAGGGCCAAGGGGGAGAGAGGAGAGAATAACAAAAGAAGAGGAGAAAACGAAAGAAGGGAGGAGGAATGGTAATAATGACAAATGGGCGCGGCCTCGGCCACTTCATCAATCGAGCCGAGACAGGTTTAAAAGAAGATGAAGAGGAAACATATTAGTAAAGCCAATTGTTATCCAGTCATTCATCATAAACAATTAAATACGGTGTGCTGCATTATGTACATGTGTTTTGTAACTATCCTTTACAGATCGCAGGCATCAATCGTGAACTCCAGATCAAACAAAGTTGACTCTTCCAAAGAACTTGGTGATGTGGAAGCTTGCTTGGTCTGGCGGCGACCATCCACCAAGAATCTGGTTTGGGTAAATCTCAGGGCTGACGACGGTTCTGAAGAAGTTCATCCTCCAAGAGGTGCCTCTGGCCTTGCCGACGTCAACATTGAAGATGCCCAGAGGAACGGTGACGCTGCTCTTCCATGTCTTTGCTGGCTTGTTAAGAACCGTCTTGGCGCTGAAGCCATCGGTGGCGGGATCCGAAACGAAGAAGTGGTCGAACGGCGCGCCGACCGCACGATTCTTGGAAGGGTTATAGACAAAAGCCTGGTAGGTGACGTTGTTGGGATTGACCTCAAGCTCGACGTATGTCTGGGGATCTTCGGTGCCCTTGTAGATGAAGGCCTCCATGACTTCGTACTCCCAGATGTCGTCATTGGTGCCTTGCGAGGCGTTGAAGAAGTAGTTGACTTCATCATAGGCAATGAATGTGAGCTCGAGGCTCTTGTCTGTGTAGCAAAGGTCGACTTGGGTGCGTGGGAAGGGCGTCAGGTCAGGCACCGACTTGCTGTAGCTAATTGAGCCGACACGAGGGCATGAGGGCACATTGACACTGGGGAGTCTGGTGGCTGAAGCGGTCGCAAGAAGGCCAGCCGCAGCGGCGAGAGACAGGATGGAATGCATCTTGAAAGAGTTCCCTGCCCGTTCTTGAGTCGATACTGGTGTTGTTGCTCTTAGAGTCCCTCTTGTCCTGTCCTCTGGCGTGGAGCTCTCCCTTTTCTTGAGACTAGGGAGCTCCGTACTTATATCTCGATCTCGTTTCTCGTCACACAAAGCTTGTGGGAGAACAAAGCTTGCACGTGCAGGCTTCAGCTTTGCGACTCACATGTAATGGCGGAGTGGATGTGACGTTACAAGATAGCCTTTAACCCAGCTAGGCATCTCAAAAGGACCAACCGCGATCGTTCTCGGCCGTTGCTCGCCGCCATCCTCGAGCTAAATTCAGCCACCTGCATTTCCAACAGCTATATCGCGTGCGATAGGAATTGATCCTTACCTTGCGGCACGTCGGAATGGTTACCTTTTGTCGAATCACCCCTTGAGCATGCGCAGTGCATCCAATCGGATGCGGACATTCCTATGCGGGACAAGGGACTGAGGAGCCCACCCATACCTTGTGTGAATCCCTCACTATTTTATGTGCGAATCAAGGACTATTTTGTACTCACCATTCCGCGCATTATGCCTTTGGATACTCCGTACATGCAGCCAGCGTGGCAATGCCAAGGACAGGGTACGACCTGTGCCAGTACAGTATTGTACTATTACCCCAGCAATTGGAGAATCAATGCGGAGTGCGACGGGTGAAGTAGCGTGATTGCTACCCCGTATCGGCAGGGTTTCCCCGATAATTGACTGGAGAGACGTGATGTGAGGTAACATTGACGATAGAATAGCGACCCGAGCCCAATTACTTTTGGTGCCAACACACCAATCGCCGTTACATCGTATTCACGAGAAACATGCGCGACAAGGGAGTCGTTTGTGAACGGCTGCTTTTTATTTTAATCTCCACTGTGTGGGCGCCGTTTCCAGGCGTGTTCAGCTACAGTAACTCGAATCACATGAAGGGCGTCTGGATCAATGTTCTCGGTCAATCAATATTCTGAGAGGTGAATTGATTCAGCTTTCTACAGCATTTCTAACACAAGAAGAATAATATCCTCAACATTCTAGAATTAATTGGCCCCGCCTATAGACGGCCCCTCCGTCCATCTTCTGCGATTTTCAAGACAGGCTTCAGATTGGTGGCTCGCTCCCAAAGGCTGGGCAAGCCCAGCTCCTTGCTCCTCTTCTCCTCTCGCAAAAACCACTCTTCAGCAGACTTGATACGGTTGGGGTGAATTTCGTCCAACAGGGCAAAGTCGCGCTTGATGACACCGCGGTTTCCCGTGTGGGTGTGCTTCCACATGTTCCAGAACCCAGTAAAGTTATCTCGGATGTTCATTGTGCTTGGATCTGAGAGATCAGCGTTATAGCCAGCGGCGTGTTGGCCGGAACCAAAGGGTCCTGATGTCCAGTACGTATCCAAATCGATGTCAACATATTTTGCAGGATGGCCGGTGACCTTTGTGAAAGCCTTGGCCATTTCGTGGTAATCCACAAGATCAATGGCGACTTCGAGATCCAGACCGTTGGAGCGATACTGGTGGTCAAATAGCCATCGAACATAGTACTCGCAGTCGTCGAGATCAACGTGAGCCACGGCACCTTGTCCAAGAGGCACTTTCCAGGTGACAACTCCGTCTTCAATCACGGGAGACATTGGTGTGCGCTGGCCGAGCGCCATTTGCATGTACGGACCGGTTGTGAAGATGGCAGCGCCCATCCGCTTTGCATTCTCGGGTACCTTGTTTTGCTGGAGAATCCATTCGCCGATGCGGCCCTTTCCATCGTAATGGCCACATCTAAACTTGGGGTCGTATCCGCTCTTCTTATACACGTAATCTAGGTTGCCATAAACAAAGAACTTGATGCCCTCTTCCAGCGCAAGTTCGTATGATCGAATAGCCCAGAAGATCTCAGTCTTCTCGCCGCTGTTGAACCCATCAATGTTCACAAAGGCATATTGGGCACCGCGAAATCCCTTGCGAAGATCAGCCTCGCTTGCAAAGCTACCCTCAAGAGCTTCAACGTTTCCCAGGGCGAGAAGCTGCTTCGATCTGGCCGACGTCGCGTCTCGAGTCAGGAATCGCACTGAGTAGGCGCCGTCCTTGACGAGGCCGCGGATAACAGGAATGCCCTGGGCTCCCGTTCCGCCAACGACAAAAACGAGGGGGGCCATCTTGAATGAGCGGCAAATCGTGCTGAGGGTGTGTGGAGGAGGTACAATGCGTGCTAGTTTTCGTAACTGATTTGTCTTTCCAACTACTTCATCCGTTCAGACGGAGAGCTGGATATTTATACCAGCCATCGTCTCCTCATTACATCTTTCGTGGCCATCATTCCTCAACGAGGCCGAGGCGCCAGCTGATATCATATTACTGATCAGAGAGTCACGCCGTCAGAACGCGCCCTTTAGGTACCCTCGATTTTTGGTATAAAACGATGGCTGCCGTGGCTTTGAGTCCATCTCCAGCCGGTGGGATGGCTGTTAAACCGAAATTCCGCAGCTCTTCACAAGGAACGGGGCTCTGGCGAAACAGTGCTACTAGGCCAAATTAGGTTCTCAATGCTTCGTTTCGTTGTGCGAGAGAGACATCTCAGGCGGGGATCAGTAATCAGTAATTCAGATTTATTTGATTACTGATCATGCAGGGTCACCAATTGCCGTTTTCTTGTGCAGATAGTCAATCGGCTAGGTCTGTCTCCCATTTGTAATAAGAGAAACTTTATCGAGCAGTCAGATCCGGGAATTATGATGTAATTACTCCGAATATCCGTTCCTGCTGTTAATCTAGATTCGCGTGTAAATGAATGCCATGAGCTCAAAGCATCTCTTCGCAGAGGTGCAGACATGTAAATCGGAATAAGATTTGGGCCCCGCCAACTGTTAAAGGGTGAGATCCCCATGTGAAGATTAATTTGAGAGATTTCTCAGTAACAGTTGATGCCTTTTCGACTAGAATTCAGGCACAGGAGGCAGCCAAGACTTTTGCCCCCTGCCATATACTCGCTAAGCCGAGGCCCAAGCGGTGGCGTCAGCATGGACTCGGAGGCATGTCGTCACGCCGCAATGGTCAGAAAGTCAAGAGTGTGGTCTAAATGCTACGTTGATAGATGCCAGAACTCAATGTTGTCCATCGATATTGGATGGCCCCCCATTTCAGTCACGGAACTCACTAAATTACAGACGACACTCCAACACAGGGTAAGAGGATATGCTCTCGAAAGGATGTAGATATAGCTGATAAATGGAGGTAGATCTAATAGATAACTATAGTAGAGTTCGATATGGGGACAGTAAGCTTCTTTTTCACCTAGTAAGCATTATTATCTTACTCAGAACTTTGCGTTACCGTCTATTTTGTCGACTGCATTGCCTCTGCCAAGGACAATTATAATGTAGCCATCGTGCGGCCTCCTCCATAAGGCAATCATATCCATAACACCTTTTTGCTGAGATCCACGACAGAATTTCATTGGCGCAACATGTTTTGCCATGGAGTGGTGAGAGAAAGGTAATAATAATTCATAAACTTGTATTCTATCTTATAATTCCTCCATCACCTCGTCTTCCTGGTCTGATTGCCGGCTGGAGCTTCCGTTTTCTTCCTCCCACTCTTTCAGCCACGCCTTGACAAACTCAATCTCCGTTTCGTGTGCTTGCGCAACTTGGGGCGGCGGCAGACCTGGGATATGCTTATCCTCAGGCAGGCCAAACTCGTCCCAGTGGTGCACACCCCAGTCGATAAGCATAAACGGCTCGCTGGTAGTCGACTTTCGGTCGGGAAGGCCAGTGGCATGTGGCGTCGCAGATCGCCATGGGTCCTGCAATCCGTCTAAAATCGCCAGGCGAGGGTAGCTGAAGTTGAAGCCTCCTAACTTGTTGATGGACTCAACGTCTGGAGAAGTGGTGATGTTGAAGAGTCTCTCGCAATGCGACGAGGCCGATTCAAGGGTAATGGCTCGAGAAATCATGGGAAGCTGGCCTTTCGGCGTACCTGAACCAGTCACAAAATACCCCCATCTGGAAATTTTTCAAGTCAGCAACACCGAATGGCGACTCCATAGATGGGACATGGTGATACTCACTGCGTGCAAACCTGGTAGCTCCAGCTGCGCAACCATCCAGCTGCAAGGCTAGAATCATTAGAGGCATACCGGGAAGAGAAACATTCCACGACGGATTTGCCCTTGCAGGCCGACTTGAGATCGCGTTTGACGAAGTCTCTGACATAACCAATGTAGTTGAGCATGCGAACAGAAAAGTCTTCAGCTTGGGATTCAAAGCCAGCTTGAGTGACGAGGTTTTGCACAGTTGGGATGAGGTGGGTCGTGCTGGCAAACAGCTGAACATTGGAGGTGATGACTGCGCAATAAATTCCGAGAGAAGAGACATCCTCTTCCGGGTCCCAGTTGGTAGACTGCAATCCGTAGAGCCCGCGGATGATGGTGGTAGCAAACTCGTCGTCGTCGAGATCCCCTAGACCAAACATTTCCTTGAATCTGCGCACCTTGGCCCTGTCGTCACCAAAGAGGACGGAATCGACAACATGAGTAATCTTCTGCGTCGTGGGTCCGCAGTCGCCTGGAGCATACTGTCGCGCGGCTTCAAAATACTGCCAAAGGTCTTCAACGGCAGCCGTCACACCAGACGATGAAATGCCGCCCCAGTAGACATCTGGATACAGTTTGCGAGTAAAGGCAGCAAAGGCGCCAGCATAAGAGCCGCCGTAGATGATCCATGGAGTTCCAGGTGCTGTCAGGTCCAGGTGCTCCAGACCAGGGAACTCAATGTGCTTCGCAAAGTAGGCAGTATCCGCGAGGGCCTGTTCCGTTGTGAGAAAGCGCAAGTTCTCGGTCGTCAGGTCGGGGACGGGGAAGCTGTTGCCGTAGTATCGATGCTCCATGATGAGCCCAACTCCCCCGGTTGCCTTTGTCAGGATAGGCACAATCCCATGCTGAAGATAAGGTAGTCGCTCAACGCTGTCAAACTCGCCGGAGTGGAGGACAATGACGGGGCCTCCAGGCTTATAGTTGGACGTGTCGAGCCAATATTGTAGCGGAAATGAATCACTCGAATGCGGCTCGTATCTCGACTCGTTGTGGAAATGATCGATCGGAACCGAGAAGTTGTAGGCCTTGATGTTTGGGTATTTGTCCTCGTACCGCTTGGCCGAGACGCGCTGCTCAGGATCGGGTTTGGCATGAAGATTGACAGCGTGCATCGCAAGATTGATGGGCACCAGAGCCGCAGCCTGGCCCGCTGCTATGAGTCCGGCGGCGCCATATTTGACGAAGCAGTTGAGCGAGACCATTGTCGGCCAGTATCGCCAAGCTGGAAGCTCCCAATACGACGACTGTAAGATGCTGGAGAGGAAGCTTGACGGTTAGTTGGAGGCGCCAAATCGCATTGTCAATGGGGGGCACGTGAGAGAGGTACCTTGCCTTGGAGAAGGGTTATGGCACGGGAAGCTCGCAGCTCCGGGCTGGACTGTTTATATCCGACATCTTGGCCTTGAGCTGCGATAGCGTAATGGCGGGGAAGCTCGTCGGTCTTGTGGAGTATTAGATTATGTTATGTGGGATTGCTACAAAAGAACCCGGATAGTCTAGATCCTCAGTGTATAATGTGGCACCCGCCCTACCCGGCACTTGGTGGAAGTGAACAGCAGATGTAGGTAAACAAAGCAAAGCAAAGCAAACAGGGAGCACAGCACTGGATGTAGAAACACCAGAGAGAGGCTACCATTGTAGCTTGATGTTGGTAGTACCTATATCTTTGGGTCATTGGCTGGCAATTGGGATCTATGTTTTGTCACTCTTTGTATGCAATACTTATAGATGACGACTTTGGTGGATGATAATAATGTGTTGATCCAGTGGGAGTATCTGGCAATGGACAGCACACCACCGATCAGCGACAACATTGCTGCGTCCCTGCAAGCAGTGGTGAGACATTTCACTGAGTATCAGAGTAAAGTGAGTCATTTGTTTACATAACCAAGCAACTGCCGTGAATCGCGCCCTTTGACGGATAAAAAGATGAAGCCTGTTCTGAGCAGTCACCAAAACTAATCATGCCATGTGAATTGATTGCAGTCACTACTTAATTAGAATTATCAAGCCTACTAGCATCAGTTGGCAGAGTGGCTGAGTGGTCTAAAGCGTTAGACTTGAATCAACACGATTCTCGCTATCTAATACCTTCGGGTGCGCAGGTTCGAACCCTGCCTCTGTCGATGCTTTTTTGCTATTTTTTCAGGCTTATTTTTGTTTATTTACAATTCATTCGTCAGGTCGCCTTTTTCTTTCTTTTTCTTTTTGTTTGCTTTATGTGTATGAACAACGCTATCATTGCATTCATCACTCGCGTCTTCGTGGCCAATTCAATCAATAGTTTGCATCCGCTGCTTGCAAACGCTGTCACTTCAGCAGCTGCTCTCAAGTGCACGATGATCGAACCAGCGAGTGCATTTTGTGGGAGCAGCCCATACAAGCACCTCCAGACCAATGGATAACATCCTCGCCGCGATAATGCACCATGCATTTGATATGATACTTGTCACTACAGCAATATCAGCTGGATTTCCCTGTAGTATCTTCCCTCAGGCATCTATTCCCGCTGGTTTTCGCAATGCGCGCTGTTAAGAAACCAGCCAAAAGTCAGGCATCAACGCCTGCTTCCCAACATGGCGCGAAACCCAGGGTTTCCCACAAGAGAGCCACAGATGGTGAGAGATTTCCCGCCTTTTCCCACCCGAAAACACCAAATTTCCTCATTTCTTGCATTCTTTTCTGACTTGCGCTCTGTAGAGAACCTCGAAGTTGAGACGGAAGTGGTGCCCAAGCACAAGCCGCTGGAGAATCGAACAAGAGCACCAGCTACACCTGCGGCAACGCCGATCCCAGAAAAGGGCAAACGAAAGACAAGAACAGCTTCTCGCGAAAATGAAACTACAAGCCTCAATCTTCAGCCTTCCAAAAAGGCCAAGACTGCGACTGTTACACCCTCACCACTTCATTTGTCTGAGGCAGCCTCCACAAATGCAGAAGAACAGGCATCTCAGCCTGCGAAGCCACCCGCCAAAGCTCCCACAGCAGCTCCAATCCTTACAACCATCGTTTTTGGCAGTGGTGAGTGTGGCGAACTAGGCCTGGGCCCAACGAAGAAAATGACACTTGTTGGGCGGGTCAATCCCTTTCTCGATCCCCATGGAGAGGACAAGGTCCAAGTCGTCCAGATTGCCTGCGGCGGCATGCATGTTGTTATTTTGACGGCAGATAACAAGATCATAACATGGGGAGTTAACGATGACAATGCACTTGGAAGAGACACCAAGTGGGATAGTGGACGGGATACGGGGTCCGGTGACGGCGACGACGACGACGACGAAGATGACCTGAATCCTCACGAGTCGACCCCCGCACAAGTTCCAGTCAATCATTTCCCGTCCAATACCAAATTTGCGCAAGTTGCTGCAGGCGATAGTTGCAGCTTTGTGCTTACCGACACTGGCTTGGTGTACGGATGGGGTACTTTTCGTGTAGGTTCTCTTCGCAAATACGTGGTTTTTGTTGTTAATATGTAGGTACTGACTTATTCATGGACCAGAACTCTCAAGGTGACATGCGATTTTGCTTCGACCGCAACGGTGCACTCGTCAAGACCCAAGACAAGCCAATGCTTATCCCCGATTTGAAAGGCATCACACAGATTGTATGCGGAGCGAATCACGTCCTCGCCCTTGATAGGTCCGGCACGATATGGGGTTGGGGTTCGGGAGAGCAAAACCAGCTCGGGCGCCGTCCTTTTGGCAGATACCAGAATACCCTCACACCTCGTCGGGTCGAAGTATGTCGTGGGAAGGCGCGCTATATAGCCTCCGGTGACTACCATTCCTTTGCAATCGATGCCAAAGACAATGTGTGGGGCTGGGGTCTCAACTCCTTTGGCGAGGCTGGAGATGTCAAGACAGCAGGCGGTAATTTCACCGTATTGCCATATCCCATCAGGATCCCCGAGCTATGTGGGAGGGGGATCACGACCATGGCGGGAGGCGCTCATCATTCTGCTGCCGTCACGGCTGATGGCGAGTGCCTTGTCTGGGGTCGCCTTGACGGAGGACAACTTGGCATCCGATTTTCACCACAGCAACTTCGAGACGAATCGCATATTCGTCAAGACGAGCATGGTCGACCACGCATCTGTCTTCGACCTACCGCAGTTCCTAATCTTGGCCGGATCAAGCACGTCGCTTGCGGAACAGACCACACGATTTTCATCGATGAGAAAGGACACGGATATGCCACAGGCTTTGGCTCGTCCGGGCAGCTTGGGCTCGGCTCCGAGGATGATCAAGCTGTTCCTCAGAGACTGCGCGGAAAGATCATGGATGAGCGCAACTTGGTATGGGCAGGTGCTGGAGGGCAGTTTTCTATTGTCGCGCACTCATCCGCCCACGATTAAACCAGTCTCTGGTTGCCGTGTTATGGATCTTGCTTCCGGCCCTTCGTTTTCCTCAATTATACTCCTCCGTTTGTATGTGTTTTATGGCAGTCTGACCCACATCGCATGTTTGTCTCTCATAAATTACCAACGTCAGACTGTTTTGGCTAACTGGAAATGGGCTTTTTCTAGATCATTTTCACAGATGGAGCTATGCTGTCGGTTACGGTCGATCAAATCCACTGCAGAATGAAGATGGCTCGCATGGTTACTGGGGATTGCTATCACGTTTATAAAATCGAACGATACCATTGGTGGCCCGCAACACCGCAGGCCAAGCATTTGGCGTGCAGATTAATACGGGCTTCTAAACGAACAAGCTGCGTGTTTATTTTCTGTCTGTGCGTGCTTGGCTCCGTCTTGTCTTAGCCGACTCCTGGCCGTTGATCAATCGCGGCATTCTGGGCTGCTTTTGGAACACTAATATCGGCTCTAAGCGGATTCAACGTCGCACTATCGAATTCTTTGCACGAACTGACAGGGTCTCGCCACGTGATAGCGCTGAGCAGGGGAAATTAGCCCAAGACGTCAGAGATGACATTTCCCATTGTCATTTAAACAAAGGAGCTCCCTGTTGGCAGAGCAGGCTGAGGCTTTGCTGGGTTGAGATCTAACCCGGGCCTTACTTGAAAGGCGACAGGCTCGGCTTCGACGATACGCTCGCCGGGGGCTGACGCGAGAGGATAGAAAGGAAAAACAAAAAAGTATTGAGACGAGTTTGGGGCGCGTTGATAGCGAACCACTTTGGCGGAGGGGTTCAATGGGGATCCAGTCTCAGTACAGCCCCGAGGGACGAGGAGGAGATAACGAGGGACAGCGTAGTCGTTCGACCACCGTCACGAGAAGCGAAGTCGAGTCCGAATATTACAGCAGAGGCAGAGGCAGAGGCAACTCCAACTATACAGCTCCGGACCGCGGATCAGTGTACCAAGCCTCCGGGACTTTCTACCGCGAAGGCACGCCTCCACCACCACAAACTAGAGATACCAACCTCGACGCATCGAGCACCACCAATATATTGCAGAAGGCGGGAGAGTTTTACGATTATCGGTACGATCATGTCGCTCCGCCAGCTCCGATACCAAGCGCTACAATCTGTGGGGTAACAGCCAGGCTGTTTTGGCTTGTGCTGGGAATTGGCGGGCTGCTTGTGGCGGTTGGAGTAGGAGTGGGCGTTGGTGTTGGACTCGGAGCGCGGAATCACAAATCAAGCGCTCAACCAAGGTACGTCCAAGGACAATCCTCTTCTCGAGTTTCCATTGATGGCTATTTGTTCTAACAATGATCTCCATGACAGCCCTGCGACGTCTACCGGACTACCGCACACTTCGACCTTGATTCCGGGTTCGACTACAACTTCAACGACGGCTTCTGCAACTCCGCCCCCCTCGTCGCATTTACTTTCTTGCCCAAGCGGCAATGGCACCAAATACGACGTTCCCAACTCGGAGAAGACCTTTTTGCTTCTCTGTGGGATAGACTACAGTGGAGTTGATGAAGCGACCGACATAGCAAGCGTATATACCGTTGACATGGAAGACTGCATGACGAATTGTGCAAACTATCCTGGTTGCACAGGATGTGGCTGGGGTGTCATCCCGGGCGACGAAGGGTCATTGCATCGTTGCTGGCTTAAGGGATCTCTGAAGGAGACACATCAGGAAAAAACGGGTTGGTATTTTGCGATTTTGGAAGGGACATGATGAATGAATTTCTTTTTATTTGCGAGATTAGCCTGCGATACAATAGAAGCATAATGTTTAATGCTGTTGTGGGGTGACGTTGGTAGTGTAGTGCTGCCGTGGATGAGGTCTTTTCTAGATATCCCATTTTATTAGACTTGCACTTGCAATGCACAAAGACGAGATCATCGATGTCTGATGAATGGTTTTAAGAACAGCTATACTTCGTGAAGCTTTTTAGATGCGTGCCTCGTCCTATCCGACCACAACCTCCTCCTCTTCATCGTTCCAGACGTTGAGTTTGAGCAACCTAGTGTTGATGAGGCATCGCCTTGTACTTGCCCATGAATGCCTTGTCAAGTGGCATAACGACGGAGAAGATTGTGCAACCTTCTACGCGGCCATCCTGAGCTGGGACTAAGTAGACCTGGATCTGGTGGTTGCGGGGGCTAAAAGAGTTTAGAACGGGCAAAACTACCAAAAAGTTTATAGTTCAGAAGATAATGGGGAATTACTGGCAAAGCGCTAGAATATACATACATGTCCCTGGGTGAACAAATAGGTAGATTAAGGGAGTGACTATTCAGCATCCCAAGTTCGCTATTCAGCATCCAATTCTTAAATTTAAAGCAGCCTGGGTAGTAATGATGGTAAATTTTAGAGGAATATATGGATAGTAGCAGATGGTAGCCATAGTACCAGATGGTAGCCATAGTAGCAGATGGTACCTATAGTAGTAGATATTAGCTAGGGTAGTAGATACTTTAGGAACTGTGGAATATCTATTTAAGTAACGGTGATAAGAGATCTTTATTATACGTTGTTACTCCATTCGGAACTCCTCTTAGCCGCTGAGGTTTTGGGTAGCCAGCTTGGGGTGCTGAATAGCCCTTCCCTAGATTAACATTACCCCAGGTGGTAATGCAAATTCACTGCATGTATACAATTTATTCTGGGAACAAGGTCACAGCACAGAGAGGTCTTATTTAAGACATATATGATTTCCTCACTCTTCAATGGAAGAGAATTTGATCATCTTATATACAGGCATGCTGGTAACCATATGTACATGTAGGCCTAGTCATGCCGGCTAACACAGAAGTCTCATCAAAGTATATACATGTAAGAGAAAGAAAGATTACCTATTCACAACCGAATAGGTAATACTTTTGTAGAATTTTTGCACCTCAATTTCCAGATTACTCGCACTGCGACCACCATTCAGAGGTGGCGACACACTTGTAGGGCGCAACGCACTGGGTAGGTCCGGTGTATCCGTTACCGCCGCACTATTGTCATGTTAGCTGAATTACTCATATCTATCGTAGCTGGCAGGTAGTAACTTACCTGTCCCCATTGAGGAACGGTGCCTGAGGATGGGGGAGGAGTCTGGGAGCTTCCTGGCGGCTTGGAGGTTGTGGTTGAGGTGGGAACTGCCGGCTGCGAAACACTGACGGGGCCAGAGGAGCAAGGAGAGCCGGTCAACAGGATGTTCTTGGCTTCCTGGGCATAGTTGCAGCCGTTGTTGACATTCAAGTCTGAGAAACCAGCGCTCCACATTATTTCTGATGCAGTAATAACGCAGAATAAAGATCTCTTTTATCACTTAGTTCCTAGAGTATCTACTCTTCTCGCTACTTTCTGCTACTACACTGGCCGCTTTGAATTTAAGAACGGGATGCTAAATAGCGAACCTGGGGTGCTGTATCCGTTACCGCCTCACTATTGTCATGTTAGCTGAATTACTCAGATCTATCGCGGTGTTTATTATTTCTCCCTTTCAAAGTCTATTACGTTGAATTTGACTCTCTCCATGTGGTTATCATCAGCCCTACCACATCTGGCATTTCCTCCTTCGAGTTCTCACGCTTTGCCCACCGAGACTACCCTTCGAGCAGACGAGTGTATGTATATATATTTTACTATTCCGACTGCTATAAAGACTTGTTTTTGCGTATTAAAAAGTAGATTAATCCAGCACTCACCCTAATATTATTTCAATAGGCCATGCTACTATGTCGTCGCAAGATCCTTGTCAAAACCACTGCTTAAAAAAAACATACTTATTCTGCTCAAATATATCTTCTCTTCAAGAGGCCCAAAATGCCCTTTAGTACGTGCTCATCGACTCAGGGGACGCTTCATTCAGCGCAGCTCCTATTTCTGGACTTCACCCCAGTCAACGTTTCAAGGCAACTGTTACAACCCGCTTCATCTATCGCATAGAGATCACGACTATATGTACCTAATAAGGGTAAGCTGTACAATGTGGAATTTCACATGAATATTCTATCGGCAATAGGAAGGCAGCAATCTGCATCCGCCAAAGGCGATGTTTATCCAGCAGCCTTTTTCTCCTGCGGGCGGTAACCCAATCTTTGTGCTCCCTACACCCATGTCGCTCCTCAGACCGTTACAATAACTACTGTTAACAGCCTATATGTTGTTAATGTCCCTTTGTCCATCTATGATTATCCGTATTCCATTCATTTTCTTACTTTTTCCATTCGTTCAATTCTCACACAGTTTTGTGCAACTTTACACTAATGTCCCCCGATGCTTTCACAAACCGTACCTGATCATAGGATACCCAGTGACAGACAGCCTGTTTTCGACCTAGCAGCAGGTCATAACATCCACGCAGAGCACAATGATATGTCGAAGCTCGCTATGCTGAATTCTCCTGTAATTACAATGTTAATACTGGATTCGGGTTAGTAGCTTCTTTCTCTTACCAGGTAGCACGTTTACTGATGACTGTTCACTCCTGTTCACTTTCTATACCTCCAATTTGAGACTCCAAGGCCCTTTCATTACATTTTTGGCATTCCCGTCACCGAGTTAACTGACGACATCGCGCTCCCACGGACCCTTTCCACCAGAAAAATACCTGTATGTGAGTGCCCTTCAAAACATCGACTGACTGAAGTCAGCCATTAAGAGACTCAATACGCCATTCCAAAAGTATGTCGACGACGCAGTCAGGCGTCAAACGGAATCTTTAAAGGCAATACTTAACGCAAACAGTAAAAGGTTGCAATATATTTAAGCAAAGCTGCTAAATGGCTTTAAGATAGCGATAATTTAAACCTTAATTAAGCAGGATAAACTTAATTCAGCTAATCAGGCCTAATCAATGTCGCTGACTTTAAATAATATAAAAGAACTTAATTAAATAAATTAACTGTAAGTTATTTAATAATTATATTTTATTAATACAGCTTTAATTAATCTAACTGGCCTTAAAGGAACTAGATAATTATAATTAGCAGTGCAGTAGTTTTATTTATTATTATAAATGCCTTTAGTAAATATTAAATTTATTAATATTATTAATTTATATTAAATAATTTATATACCTATTAATAATTAAGTATTTAATATTAAAGAAAATACCTACTATTTAATATTACCTTTTAGCCTTAACATTTTAACTTTTAAATCTTAAGACTACAGCGCTTAATAAAGTAAGATTCTATAGTTTATTTAATAATAATTTAAATAAAAAAGAAAACCAGCTGATTATATATATAAGTAATAATATATATACCTCGTCTTAATATATATCTTAATATCCTTATATTTAAAACCTGCAATATCTTAAGCATTTCTCTATCTACCTTATTATTATTTCTTAAGCAATTTGTTTTATTCTTTTAGATCTTTAATCTCCGTCTTTATAAAGGTTATAACGTCTATAGTAACCTTTATAAATATTTAATCTATTAATATATCTTAGCCATATTCTCTTTTAAATCGGTAAGTTCTTTTTTTACGTTAATTTTAGTTAACGCTCTATTAAAAACTTTAAGTAAAGTCATTTACATTAACACCTTATTAAATTTAAAATTATTATCCTATATAAATAATTACTTTACTTACGTTTTAATAGTAGGATTAAGTACTAGACGTTTTTTATTACTCTTCTGCAGTTACTATATAATTAAGTAAATTAATATAACGCTATTAGTTACTATTAATTATAAAAAAAAAGATATAGTACTTTTTAATACTATTAGTTTTATTATAGCTTAAATTACAGTTATATTAAGCTATTTATTATTATTAAATTTTAACTTTTAGTAAATTAAAGGAGTATTTTTTAATTTCAGCTATATTTCTTTATACTCCCTGCTGTTTTTTATATTTATATTAAATATTTAGGGTTAAATAATATTAAAATATACCGCTATATAGTCATCAGTATGATCCGCTGTATTTATAACTAGTCCGTTTACGTAAACTCTTTGGATATAATACTATAGGAGATCTTTATATATCGCCCTAAGGATTAAAAAATTAATTATATATTTACTTCATCTTATCTAATTGCCCTACAGTAGAGTTAATATTTTAATATACTTTAATATAAGGAAAAAATAAAGGCTAACTGCTTAATTATAATAAAATACTTTATTTATTTTTATATAGTTGCATTTATCTATAATATTTATACCCAGTATATTTATATATATATAATACTATTTATAAAGTCTTTATTATTTTCCTTTAAATTTAGGCTTACAATAGTTAATTTATAAAATATAAATGCTATATTAATTATATTAATATAAAGTAAGCTTTCTTTATATATTTTAAAGTTAAAGCTTTTTATATTAATTTCTTATATAATAAATACTATATTTACTATAGTAAAGTTAAATAAGCTTTTTTTATCTATCTCTAACTTTAGGCTCGCAATACTGGGCTTACGAAAAGCAAGTACTACGTTTATTATATTAATTTTAAGATATAGCATAGGATTTAATGTAGTAGAAAAGAGAAAAAAAAAGGTTAAAAGTTAAAGATTTTATTCCTTATACATACAGCACGCAAAGGTTTCCATACAAAAAGTACGTTAAGTCACAGCTTATAATAAACACCAGCTGGCCTAGAATTTAAACTGTTAAGCAGCTGGCAGAATTAAGTAAAAATAGGAATTATTAAAAAGGTATTTCTATTCATAATATTTTTCTATAGAAAATAGTTTATAAAGCACTTAGAAGAAAAGTTAAAGCCTTTAGAAATTACTATATTAAATCTCCAGATTATTAATGCTCATAAAGTTAACGAAGATTTTATTTAATTTACAAAAATACCTATTATTACCTTTAATTTATAAAAGCTTTAATACTATAATATACAGATATTCTATTTTAAGATTTTAGCTTAATTTTATAACTACTATTAGTGGTTTTAATAGTTTATTTATTAGGGCCTTTAAATATATAATTATTATAAAACTTAAATAGCGTTTAGCTCCTTTAAACTGCATATAAGTCTAACTGTAAAGTATTCGGTTCTAAGACCGATAAATGTAGCGTTTCTTTAGCTTCTCTGTAAAATATTTTAAGGTTCCTTTAATTAACGCAGCTGTAAGTGGTAAAACTGGGTGCACTAGACGACAGGCAGCATTATATCCAGAAGAAAGGGGGGGGGGGGGCTATCATTATATATCAGAGCATCGCAGTGTTCTTTTATCTATCTATATTAATTTAATACAAACTAAAGGTTTTAAAAACATATATCTTTTTGCTTAATTACTTAAAATTAATAAAGAACAGTAGTGCAGTTACCAGTATATTACATTAACTGTAAATAATTAATATCATTTCTAAGCATACACTTAGCTATTTACCTTCTTTATACATCTATATCTACGCAATTTATATTACTACCGTTTATATTTTAATTATTAAAAATAAAATGTAGAAATATAAGATATATAAAATAAAGGGAATAGGAGTTAAAGGAGAAAAAAAATTAAAACAAAAAGGTCAGTTTAAGGACTTAACCCAGGTCCAACAACAAACCCATCTCCTAAGAGAATAGGCACTTCCAAAATTACCACTCGACCATTTCTGGCCTTACGGCAAGAGAGTAATAACTATTTATCCCTATAACTTAATGGTATAAGCATTAGTCAAGCCATACCACAGTACCTCTGCATATACGTTAATACCCAAGGACCTGGAATTTCCAAAATGTAAACGCTGCTGAGGCAATCATCATTTCGCATAACGAGACGGCACATTACAAAACCCGAATCTAGGCGCAATTTATTACACATAATCGTCAACCACTAAGGCCCCTTAACTTACCCAGTATTGCCCGCTCCCAATTATAACATCTCTTACCTTTCCCTACCCATTTCAAATATCCAATATACAGGCAATATAAAGATTACGAAGCCATTCTTTTAGGCATCTGCTCTTATGTCTCTTTCAGTTACTTGGGCCAAGTCTTCATTCCCACATTTAGCCTTTCTATCTTTACACAAAGCCCTTACTAATGTATTTCCTTTATTATCACAGGTATTATAAGCTTCGCCGTTAAAATAAGCCTCTGCGTAAAATATTTAGCAACCCAATATCCCAATAGTCTTCCTACTACCCATTACTTTTAAAATACCATTGTTTTATATAAATTATTATTTCCTTAATATTCCTACACCCCGATTTCCAAAGCAAGTCTTTAGCTAAACGCCTGTCTATTCCTAAAGGAAACCAGCTGTAATAGCTGCAATAGCTATAATTCTTCCAACAGTATTACTACAACATATAACCTTCTCTTATCTAATATAACCTTCAATTATATAGCTTTTAAATAACAGTTTTTAAATTCTATACTAATATTATAAATCTTAACGCCACTTTTTATTTTTACATTTTACCCCCAGAATATTATAATTAAAATCTACAGCAGGAATTTAATTTAGTAAAGGTTAAATCTAAGCTACCCCGTCTTTAGTTCTACTTAATAATAATCTAAATCTACCAGCAGTTTAGTAAATTACTATATTCTCCCATATACTGGTATCTTTATTATATTAATACCTCTATTATAAAGGATAGCGTTATAATATATTATTTTTACCAGTTAGGTGAATTTTATGCCTTTTATAGCGCAAATATACCTACGGGGACGATCCTCGTCGTACATAAGTACCTTTATTTTGCCCCAAGGCTTGAGATGATCCCGAAACACTGATTCTGAATAACGTCTCCTAGGCATCATATATAGAAGATGGCTTCTGCTGTGGCACCTCATGAGATGGGATTTGAGAGGAACAGAGGTGTATCTCTAGATAGATCAAGTCTCTTTAGATCTCTAAATGTCAAATATCTGAGATCATATATCTCCAACTAGATCAAACATCTCTTGACAGAGGTTTCTTGAACATTTACAGATCTTATCTTTAGTTTCACTATGTGAATTATCTCAGATAACATTTGCAGATATGGGAGACCCTTAGCCAATTCTATAGCACTTCCCCCACGTATGCTGCCACCGATAGCTTTGTTGAACAACGCTATTATTTTGAAGAGCGTATGTCACACGCCGTCTTAATCAAGGTAAGGCACATGGCAGCAACACGCAAGCCCATCGAAGGTTTATTATATCCAGCTACAAGACAAAGCGTTGTCTGTCTACTAGGAGAGCTTCTGCAGCCAACGCATTGAGATACTACTTGTAGATTACTAGTAACCGGCCGGGAAGCAAGAATTTGCCCTTTTGGTTTACAGAGTTAGATACTAAATAGTAAAGTAAGAGAAATGTCACTCCCTAAAGCTTTTTAAACAGACAACCTATCTTAAGCTAACGGCCACTTCCTACTAATTCCGCCTTACTTTTAGTTATAAAATACTAAAGTAGTAGTTTTAGGGAGTTTATTAAAAACTCTTTATTAAACATTAAGATCTAATTATATAAACTCTAATATTAGACCTCTATAAGAATAAAATATAACTACCTGCCCTATTCTTAATCTATTATTAGGGCTATCTTAACACTATAGCCTAAGATCCCTTAAATAATATCCCTTATATAAATACCATTAATACTTATAGGAGTTTATAACCCGCAAACTTAACGATTATGGCTCTTTTTACTATTAGTAGTAGTTTTTAAAGGGGGTAGTAATTAAAATAGCGGGCTGGAATTTAGCAAGTTTTTAGTTATATATTTAATTACATCCCAGTATTCTATAATATAAATACTTTAAAATCTCTAAAAGTTAATAAATACTATAGTAATATTATTTACTATAACTCCTATTTTAATACTAATATTAATATTATTTTATATAAAAATGTTTTAAACACTAAAAGAAATATTATAAAACTAAAAAATAATAAAAATAAGGCTATTAATTTTACTAAGTCTATAAAAGGTATTATAATTTATATAATTAAAATCTATAAAAAAATAAATATTATATACTTTAGTAATATTATGCTTAATAAATATTATTTTAATAAATTTAGTAAAAATCTTCTATTGCATTTTAAAAGTAATAGCTATAAAAGAATAATATAAAATAATAAAAAGTATTGGTTTTTTCCTAGCAAAAGTAGTAAATATATTTATAAAAAAAAGCAAAAAGGCTATTAAAATATACTTTACAGATATATTAAAAATTATATAAATTAAAAAAATTAGTTTATATTTTAAAGATAGTAACTATAAGTTTAATAATTAATATTTTTTTTAATACTAAAGATTATAATAGTTTATATAGAAAATATAATTATCTTTTTTTTTTACTACCCTTTATATTTAAATATTTTCTTAAATAATTAATTCTAATCTACTGCTAAAATAATAAAAAAAGATTTTTATCTACTATAATTCCTTAGCAGTATATACTATTATAAGCTTTAGCTTTTACGTAGCTTTTAATATTAAATGTTTAATTTATAATCTTTAGGACTTTATATTTATTAATAGATTAAAAATTAAAGATATACTGTGCACTTACTAACGTAAAAACTAAAAAATAATACTATAATTAATATTTTATAAATCTCTTTAAAAGTTCTATTTAATAAAAATATACTGTTAGGGCCTTTAAATTCTAAACTATTATATTAAATAAAATATAATATATTATAAAGTACCTACCTATTACTAGTTATATAAATACTTTAATTATTTAAATAAAATTTTAATATAGCTTTAAATATTTATAGTTTATTAATAAAGTCTTATTTTAATTACTCTTAAATTATATATTAAAAAGAATATATATATTATATATATTAAAGTTATTATCTATTTTATAATACTTACAGTTACTCTTTATAATAAAAAATAAATAATACCTCAGCTATATATCTAAACCAATAGCCTAAAACCTAAGCTAAGCTGCTGTTAGTTTAAAGCTTAGTATATATAACTAATATAAGTGCAAAAAGTTAAATATATAATGGGCAAACAGATTTACATATTAGTATAAATAACTATAACTACTGTCTAAATAAAAAATCAGCTATACATTTAGTAATTTTTATTAAAAAATAAAATTATTTAAGGTAGGGATTATAAAGTTATTTTAAGTAAATTAATAATATTAGCGTATAGGCAGGCTAAAGATTATACTGGATTTAAAATTAATAAAGCCTTATATTTCTATTAGTGATAAAAACTAATGTTTTTAATCTAAGAAGTCTATTATATAACCTATTTTATCTTTTTATTTTATTAATGAAAAGCTATAATAAAGCTAAATTCATTTAAGCTACTACCCCTTTTTTACTATCTATAAAATTATAACTAAATTAATTTAATTACTTTTTACCGCTTGTTAATATATTTCATTTATAAATTTAAGTAAACTATAAGTTTAAAGCTGTTTTACTGTAAATATTATAAAAGAAAAATAAAATCGTAAAGTTATTTAACATTAGATTAAATCTATTAACTAAAGTATTAACCTAATTTTATTAAAATAGAAAATTAATAATAGTATTAAGGCCTTTACTTAAACCTATTTCTATAATAATAAATTTTCTTATAGTAATATTTTTTAAAGTATTTAAAGCTATTATTAAGGTAATATAGCTTTTAATATTAAAGCTAAAAATATTTACCTCCTTTTCTCTAAAAAGGTTTAAAAACTATAAAATATTATTAATAAAATTAACAACTATTAAAGCTACCTATCTAATACTAAAACTAACTCTTAAATAATCTATTAAAATTATAGAGTAATACTCTATAAAATTATTAACTATTAGGGGATTTTAAAAGTCTATTATATTTTAATAATAAATTAATATTAAAAAAGGAATACCCTAAATTACACCTAGCTATTTAAATATAAATCGTTTACCATTAAATTACTTAAGAAATTACATTTTTACTATTTAATAAATTAATATATTTTTTTATTTTAGTCTTTTTTTATTATATAATAAAAAGTAATGCTAAAGGGCTATAGATAATTATAATAATAGATAAAAAAATAAAAATATATTAATAGCATTAATATATATATTTTAAGGCTATAATAATAAAAATATATATAGATAATAATTATAAAAGTTTTTAAAGAACTTTAACTTTTACTTTAGGTTATTTTATACATTATTTATAATTATAATATAAAATTATAGCTATTTAAGGGATATTAATATAATAAGATTATTAAATAGCTTTTAATAAAATTATAATAGTAAAAAATTAAAACTTATAAGTTGCTATTTATTATAATACTATTATTTAATAACGCTTAAACTATAGCTGTTAAAAATTATAACTAAATATAAACTGTTTATAATAAAAAACTGCTTTTATAGGAAATTATCCTATACTTAATATTAAATAGTAAAGTACTATAGTATTTACTATTAGTTCTATAAATATAAAGTAAAAAGTCTTACCGCTGGGGTAATATAACCGCTAATACTAAAGTAGTAATTATATTAAAGTTCTACAGTAGCTATTAACTATTACTTTTATATTATTTTTTATAATAAAATATATTTATTATTTTACCTTAATAGTATTATAGTATTTAATAATTTAAAGTGAAATATTAATAGTAATATATATATATATTTTTATATATAGTATTCTTAATATACAGCTGTAACTCTAGGCTATTAATAGTTATAAAAGAGAGCAGAAAAAAGAAGTCTTTTAGATTATAGGGACTCCGATAATGTTTACTTATTGTAAGAGATCTTAAAACTAGTGTAAATCTCTGTTAACTACGTCTTCCAATACTATCTTATTCCGGGCTTCAGCAGCTTTGCGTACTAGCTTAAGCCTCCTCGTGTTCTTTTCGGTATTCCGGGTGACCCACTACGTAATAATAGTAACGACAAAACACAGGGCAACCAAAGACATAGCCACGGCAAAAGGAACTGTATAATGAGGCGCATACTTGCTTCTGAAAATCTGAGGGCCAATCGCACCTCCAATTTGACCGTATGAATTAACGAATCCCACTCCAAATGCGGTGCCCGTAGCTCTACTCGTGGTTTGGACTCGCCAGGGCCACATAAGGGGATACCAGCTGGCTGCGAAGGCGTTGCCAATCAACGTGGCCGTATAAACGCTAGCGTTATTGGGATACGCAACAAGTACCGCATAGTAGGCAATAATAATTAGCAAACATCCGAGAGGATACATTGGTCTTGGATATCGACCACTGTCGGCCAATACTCCGGAAACGCCAATTACTATCAATGAAGTGGCTGTAATAGGTAGGTTGAGAATTTGCGCAGTAGCGATATTCCTAGTTTCATTTGTTAGTTGCTTGTAACCATGGACTTGCACTAGGCATTTTGCGTGTAGCCTTACGTAAAACCTAAATTTGCAATGACAGTTGACTGATAGAAGCGTACACCGTTGGTACCGATGGTATATATCGCCCAGATCAACGTAAATAGCCAAAGCCGCACATCTTTGAGTGAATCAACAATTTCACTAAAGTTGAAGTTTTGTTCTTTAGCTCTTGGTGCGTTTGGGGGTAACCGGGCTTGAATGAAAGCCTTTTCAGTATCTGTCAACCAGCTGGCGGTTTCCGGGACTGACAAGTCATGTTAGCCTAATAGGATTTTCTCTAGTTTTGAACAACTCACAGTCTGGAAGAAGGAACCACACTGCAATACCGAAGACTACGGTACAGGCACCTTCTGTCAAAAAGAGCCTGTGCAATGTTAGCGAAATGCTCTATCTAGGTAGTGTATGGGAATGAATGACATACCATTGCCACCCTGAAAGCCCATGTGAGCCAGATGCATGATCAAACGCAAAAGCCAAAAGGCCGCCTATTATTCCTGACATGTTGCCACAGATATCTTCATGCTTGTGAGCTCAGATTCATAAACCACTGGTGATGTTAATTGACTCACAAAAGTACAGTAGCCTCAAAGACATTTCATCTGGTCGATACCAATAACACATCTGTAAAAGAATACCTGCAAATTGTCCGGACTCTGCCTGAGATTATTGGTAAGGATGCAAGCTCCAAAAGGAAGAGAAGGGGCAACGTACAAGACCAAGCAAAAATCGCGTGGCATATAATCCGCCCTTGTTGTGTACGGCTGCATGCAACATCAAGCAAATTCCCCAGGTAATTATGATTCTCGACTGCCATTTCGATGGTGTGAAGTGCTTGAGCAGTAGATTTGATGGAGCTTCGCCAATAATGTATGGGATCTGGTGGATAGTTAGGGGTCATGTCCGCGTATCAATGGAGGAAACATTACAATAGCATACATAGTATAATACTGTTACTAGATTATATTGGTCGGATGTCATGCCAAGCTGAGTCATTATATTTTGATGAGTTCCCTGGTTCATGATTCGCGCATTTGAAACCTGACAGAACGGCGAAATGTTAAGCGCTAATTCAACACATATAATAAATCAGCACCTACATTGTCTGAGTCCAAGTTTTTGAACAAGAAAATAAGTGAACATAATGGCATCAAATGCCAATCCACTCGTCTTAGCAGCCTCTTCTCTTCCTCGGCGGTAAGTAGGGTTCGCCCAGCCATGTCTGGTCGAAACCCGCCGATAGTGTCTTCATGAGGAAGGTGGGCAATGGATTCTCCTCGCTTTGCATAGTGAACTTGAATACTTTCGTCGGATTCAATTGAAACCGTACTGGTTTGAATCTCTTCATCAGAGCCTTTATTACTGGCCATCATGTGTATACTTGTTCAAGGTAATGTAGCAGATGGTCAGTGTTCAATTCCTGCACATAATATTTACTATTTAAAACAATGTCACACAATTCCCACATTTTGAAAAAAGAGAGACACCAACGATTATGCCAACAAACCCTGCCAGCACGTACTGCAGGTCTAGTCTGCGATGTAGCCAGCGATCGCGGACGAGACACTTTAGTTTGACGAATGGTAGTTTATTTCTATCAATGTTGAACATTTTGGACGTTATATCCGGTGCATCTGCGTATGCCATGCGCTTATCTGTCAGATCTCAACCCCTCCTCTGGGGAGGTGAGCTCGCCATCTTCATGCATGATCACGCAAGGTGTATAATCTCAAACAAGTTAAACAAGAACTAATACAAGTTACAAATCATACATTGTGGGGAAATCGGACTGAATATCGGGAAGCCAGAAGCTACAAATGATATCATGAGCACAGAATGGATAATATAAGTATTTGAGCCTGCCCCCACCTGAAAATGTTCGCAATGGGACGTGATTGACAAGTCACAAACAAGTGTGCTACTCAGTGTACATTATTTCTAATTTCACTTGACTCTTTCAAGTCACCATGGCAGCAGTAGCCAATCCTGCTTTAGGATCTAATGAGATCCCTACGTATCATCAGATACCTGAAACAACTTATGACCGTAAGATACCCATTCTTGGTCTATTTATAAAACAAAACAAAAGATCTATTACTTATTTTTAAAACTTCAAAGTGGAATGGGCCGACTTAGTTACTTTGGATCTCTCTCAATTTGAGCAGCCCGGTGGTAAAGAGCGTCTCGCAAAGCAGTTACATGAGGCCATTCAAAAGATTGGCAAGTTTATCTCATCCCAAGTAACTCCTATATTAGTGCTAACTGTCTAGCATAGGATTCTTTTACATCACCAACTTTGGATTGAGCCAGGAAGCAGTCGATCGCCAATTCGCCATAGGAAAAGAAGTTTTCAAATTGCCCATGGAAGAAAAACTCCGGTTCCGTGCTGAACTAGAGACGGGAGGTTATAATGGCTATAAACCGTTGGGTTTACGAGTAAGCAACTGCGCCAATACAGTGTTGATGTTGCCGCTGATGAATTCCTTGTGAAGGAAATCGCTCCTGGAATTTTTGACAACACAGAGATTTATAACATAGGAAAGTTTATACCAGCGTATGAACGTCCCCAGCCCGAGATCATTAACCAGAACCGTGGCGAAATTGAACAGTTCGCCCGGCACATTCATGACCATATTGTGGGAAAACTTCTTGTCCTCTGCGCAATTCTGTTAGAGTTACCAGAGGATTATTTTCTCAGCTGTCATCGCTATGATGAAAAGTCCGATTGTCACTTGCGCTATATGAAATATTATCGTCGCACCGAAGCAGAGAACAGGGCGCTAGACAACGTCTGGGTAAAGGGGCATACAGACTTCGGAAGCCTTACACTTTTGTTCCGCCAACCTGTCTCCGCTCTCCAGGTGAGAACACCAGAGGGTAATTGGCGCTGGGTTCGCCCTTACCCAGAGAGCATCACTGTCAACCTTGCCGATTCCCTTGACTTTTTAACAAACGGCTACCTAAAAAGTTCCATTCACAGGGTTGTCCGCCCACCCCCCGATCAGCAAGAGGTGGACAGACTTGGTGTTTTGTATTTTGTCCGACCAGAAGATAATACTGAATTAAGGCCAGTAGCTAGTACAGTTCTTGAGAGACTTGGTTATGACAAAGTCGCAGACTCTAGCGCCGTAGGAATTACCGCTGGGGAATGGGTCAAGGCAAGAGTGGCCAAGGGAGTGGCTAAAGACAATAAGCCAAGAAGCGAAGTTGGAGAACAGGCAATTGTCGGTGGACTTACAGCAAAATATTATGATTAGATAGCACTTTATGAAAGTCCCGTTCAACTAAGCATCATCTTCGACGTATTTATTATACACCTGAGGATAAAACTTTTGTCCGTTGGATCGATGGCTTCGAATCTTGGTTCTTAGCTGACTTTCCCCCCACGTATCATATTTGCCTCGCAAAAACGGAGAATCTACAACTCGTCCCACATCTGACTCAATGCTTGCATCTGGTTCAAAAGTAGAGAAATGCTCTTGAAAAGACTCAAGAGCCTCTTTCTTGGTGAGATCTCGTCGTACGCCTTGGAAAAAGGGGATGCTGTATCTCTCGTCGCGAGTTGAGAGTACTCTGTGGATAGTGGCCTTGCAAGTACGATGTGTCAAAACTTCAAACGCCTGGCCAACGTTTACCACAAATGTGTCTGGCAGCACAGGAACATCAATCCAATCACCAGTTTTGTTGAGAACTTGTAATCCTCTGACATGCCTTTCTGATGCTTGGAGTAAAAAGGTCCACCATCCAGAAGAGTCTGTATGCGGACCAACGCCTTGAGTGATGCCTGAATCAGGGGCGGCTGCAGGATAATGTACGGCCTTGAGGCGGTGTTGATCCGAGAGAAAGGGTTGAAATGCTTCTTTGGGTAAATCCAGTGCTTGCGCGACGAGAGAAAGGAATCGTTCTCCAAGAAGAGTCAATTCCTGAATGTATTTCTCCACGATAGGTCGCAGTTCTGGAATTTCAGACGGCCACTATGCAAGATGAGTTAGATTTCAACAGTCTTTACATGAGATAGCAGGAGATGCCAGCGGGCGTGGCTGAACTCACTTGGTTGGGGCCTCTTAAGCTTTCATACAGAGGAGCATTAGGATCGGACACAGCCGTCAATTCTGTTGCAAATTCCACTTGTTCTCTTGCATCGGCCTTTGCTGCAGTCGTTTCACTACCCACAGCGCTGTAGCCGAGGAAATGCTTCGAATTCTCCAGAGCAATTTTATTTTTGGCGTTGTCTGGTAGGCCAAATAATATTGGGAGAATGTCCACAAGATCTTGGATCACTTGCGAAGGCACTTTGTGGTTTGAAACGTAAAGAAATCCTATGTCTATCAACGCGACGCGGAGAGCGCTGAGAAGAGCCGGAAGCGACTTTGGATCGTCTGCAAGAGCCAGATCAATTACGGGAATCTCTTGAAAGTTATTTGTGGAGGCTGGCATTGTTTTGGGGCGATATTCATGGAGCGTCTTCCCGATGCGAAGATTTGAGACTGTTCGGATTTCTGGAGGCGAGAATCAATACAGCAAAGTGAGGCCTTTGCAAAGGTGAGCTAGTTTGTGCATCATCAGCCGTTATGAAGTTGACGGACGCTCTACGTAATATTGCGTGCTTGCTTATGTAAATCCGTACGGATCGCGTCAATCTCTTTACCCGGGAACATGCCATAAGAGTTGAGCCATTCAACGTCTTGGTAAGAGAAGGTAAGAGAACAGATGCGTTAGAATGCTATGGGACGTACATATTCAGCATAACCGGCCTCTAAAAAAAAATGTTTTAAAAAAAAACCAATATTCTGCATAATAAGTGTAATTATACTATTGGTTGTTCACTAAAGCAGGCTTCTAATAGTACCTGATCTTTAACATAATAAACAATTATTATCCATTATAATAATACTTTTTTTTAGCTTTAGAAACCGACATTTTTCGCATGTAATGCCAGTCGGCGAGCGAACCTGCTGGGAGCTGCAGACATAAGCCTGGCAAAGCCAACAGCTATAAATGCGGATCATCCGACCATGCTATCATTAATCAACATAGCTCTGTAATTTAGAGTCAGGCCTAGCTTCGAATTAGGCAAGTTGCTTCTGTTTGTTGTTACAGTCGGATTCTGCCAAAGAAATACATAATACGCTCCGGCTAATGGTCAGATATTCTCCACTAGATCACCTACTTATCCGGAGGTTAGTGTCAGTGTTTCGCTGTAGATGGTTTTGCATGAGCTTTCTATACTAAATAGTTGAAACAAAGCCCTGTTCGTTATGCCATTTCATTGAATGGGCTGAGTAAGACGAGGCAAGGCTGTTAGTTGTGTCACGTCGCAGCTCTCCACCAAGCCATCAATGATTAGTAAAGTAAATTTCCAACTTGGTGCTCAGCTCAGAGCTCAATTTTGACTCCGATACATACAGAAACCAACTCTATTATTACCCCATTTGTTCAAGAAGGGTTCTGTTATCAGCTGCCAACTTGGGCATGTGGGAAAATATGTTGCACCGCTTACGAGGCTCTCTAGGCTGTCGATAGAAGCTTTTGTCCCTGAGACACCTTGGTTGTCTGAACACTGGGGTGTTCAGCGGCAAGCCGGAGTTCTCGAAAGCCGAAAGGCACACGTGCTATCATTGTACGCAAAGTACTCCATACAGCTCTATGGGAGCACATGAGCAAAATTCCATCATAAGGCAGATAAAAGTTGTTCCCCCACATAACACATTCTACCGCTTGCTGGCTCCATATTGATGTAAGGGCAGGCATGGGTTGCTGCATAGATATCAGTTATCTGTGCCGGGTCATGGTACCTGGTAAAGAGCACTGCCATTAATCCCGATACGCCCAGGCAGCTATATATTCCCTATCGGTATTCGGAATAGAGAGTGTGTGCATGTCACCATCCCAAAATGCTGGGACTGTAGATGTTGAATACATGCACTTACTTGACACGGCTGCTGCGCCGTTATCAGCTATGGTTCGCTTCATGCAAGCTGCGCTGCGTGTGATGCTGCTGCAGGTCACAGGCTCATGCAGCACGTAGTACTACTAATGCTTCTGTTACCATGTGCCGTCTTGACTTGGCGATGCTATGTAACATCACAAGGCTCGTCAAGGCGGGTAATATTTATCGGCCAAGAAAGCTGCCGCAGAGTCAAAGCTCCGTACCAATAAGCCGCTCTCTCTAATCAGCCTACCAAAAAGAGACGCATCCACCCCATGTCTTCGTGGGGAGCTTTTACAGGGGGCCCTGGAGCGATGCTCAGCTAGTTCAATGAGCCTCCCTCCCACCACCAAGAAATAGTATCACATCCAATTCACAAGTCCCCGTCGTTACATGACCATCACGAGTTGTCTTTCAGACGTCACAAATGGATGTCGCTTGAAGGGAAGCAAGACGAAGACTCAGTCGAGACAAATATGTAGCATAATGACTGAAAGTAGTGCCGTGTTAGCCGTGCTGCGGCACTCAGAAGTTATTCTATTTGCTCTGCTATGCTGGCTACATGTCCATACAATTCGGGCCTTCCTAATGGATATCTAAGCGCCCTGTCAGCTAGCGTTGTGAAGGCAAAAGACGGAGCTTAACAAACTATTAATGTTAGCGTCCGAACCCAGCTCTTGTGCTGACCCAGGGATTGGAGCAGACTGTAAATATGCAATTACAATAGCGGATTCAACCCCTAATAACAGCTAATAGTCTATTGTATTCCGTAGATTTGGTTGATACAGGTCACTTGTAGACATCGTGTCAGCTAGTTATCTCCCTGGTCAGTAGGGCCGACAATGTCCCAACATCTCAGCCCTTGCACTTTAAGATTTGCTCCGAAGCCGACGTCAGCTATCAAAATGGTAGAAGTTTTGGATATGAGTGTGATTGGTCCCACTAAAGTAAAGAAGTGAGAGAGAGAAGACAAAAAAAAAAGGAAACCCGGTTTGCGACACGCTCCACGCCAATAACTCATGTAACTTGAGACGCTCCCACGAGGCACAAAGCACCCCGGATTTCGTTTCTGAGCCATTCTGCACGAGCCGTTACCCATGCACAGTAGTCACAGCATCGGCGCAGCGTGACATTTGATGTGGTAGCACGAAATGTGTAGAGGACACAACATGTTTGCTCCTCCGGTCAGTTGTAACCCCAGAAGTAAATGCGCCGCATCGATCCCGTGCGCATACTTTGGAAGCGTAGAGGTAGTAAAGGGAAGAAAAGTAATGGAATGCTGGAAGCGACTGATAACGGCATGAGCACTGAACCGACTGCATGAGCGGAATCTTTCGGGCCCCTCTGGGTGTGAGACGAGCAACGGCTTTGGAGCTCCTACCTTACAAAAGGAGCGTGGTCTCAAACGACTCACGATGCTAGAGCTCCCTGATTGAGTCTAGACTACTGGCCTTGGTAGCCGAATTACCGATCCGTGTAGCAGCAATCCAGGAACGCGAGATCCAGTGGCCGCGCTGCAGCCAATCGCCTTCGTCGCCAGTTCTTCATTGAGAAGCTGAGTCGGCTCTCCATTCTGTGTCGACGACGGGTGGTCCGTCACTTGATCCTTCATCTGGCTCTAGCGGGATGCTGTCCACGCGATTGAGGCCGACATGTAACGTCTCACTCCCGCCATTGGATGCAGCTCTCAGATTAGACAAGGCATTAGAGAAACGATGAGGAAATGGGCAGTGAGGCTATGATAAAAATGAATTTGGATGAGCTTTCTGGTTAATTATGCTCTTGCTGATGCTTAAATACACCGTGCCATTCCCTCTGCCGATGACTTTCTTCACGAGCCTCAACAGGAGCTTCTTCACCACCACAGCATCCACAACCGGTTTCGCAAGATCCTAGACGGGTCGGTCCTTTCCTTCTGCTCAATTCTATCATCTTCTTCGTATATATACCGTATCTTTTGTGTACATAGCCTCATACATACAAAATGTTCTTCTCCAAGGTCACCCTCGGCGCTGGCCTCCTCGCCAGCCTCGCGTCCGCTGCTCCCAGCCCCATCGCCCGACGACAAGCACCAGGCGCTCAAAACGTCGTTTACTGGGGGCAAAATGGGGGTTCCAGAAAGTTTGATCTAAATCCATGTTTTGAGCTTGACTAACATTTATCTAGCCGTTGAAAACAATGATCTGTACGTTGGTGTCAACACTGCCTATATCAGCTGTAACCGAAAGCTTCAAGAACTTTGAAGGTAGAACAACGTCAAAGAAGTCATCTAACCATTCTATTTAGGTCTGCGTACTGCACCCCTACCTCCGACATTGACATTATTGTCCTTTCATTTCTTTACCAGTGGGGACAAGGAGCTTCAGCTTTGGGTGGTACGATTGGCCAATCTGTGAGACTCTTCATATGATGCCAATTAACTACACAACTAATCGATTATCAGTGCGGAATTACCACATCTGGTCAGCCTCAGAACTGTGATGCTTTGACCGCTGCCATTACAAAGTGTAAAAACGCTGGTGTTAAGATCATCCTTTCTCTGGGCGGTGCCAGCGCTTACTCCAGCTTTTCAAGTGCGGACCAAGCCTCGCAGGCTGGCCAGTACCTTTGGAACGCTTATGGAGGAGGTTCTGGTGTCACTAGACCTCTTGGAAACAATATTATGGACGGATGGGACTTGGATATTGAGAGCAACCCGGGTACAAACCAGTACTATGCTTCTCTGGTCAACACCCTTCGATCCAACTTCGCCAGCGATCCCGCCCACAAATATGTCATCACCGGCGCTCCCCAGTGCCCTCTCCCCGAGCCCAACATGGGAGTAATCATCCAAAATTCCGTTTTTGATTATTTGTGGGTGCAGTTCTACAACAACAACGATTATCCTGCCGACCCTTGCTCGCTCGGCTTGCCTGGAGACGCTCCGTTTAATTACAACAACTGGACAACATTCCTTCAAACAACCCCATCTAAGAATGCAAAGCTGTTTATCGGTGTTCCCGTAAGTCCATTTCCACTATGTTGTAGAAAGTGAAAGCTCACGATGTTTTCAGGCAGCTCCTCTGGCGGCGAATGGTGGTCCCGGTGGCGCAGTCTATTACGCAACTCCTTCGCAGCTGGCTACGATTGTCAACGACGTCAAAGGGGAGTCTAATTTTGGCGGTATTATGATGTGGAGTGCTGGTTTCTCTGACTCGAATGTTAACGATGGTTGCAACTATGCCCAGGAAGCTAAGCACATCCTATTAACTGGCTCTCCTTGTTCTTCTGGGCCTGTTAGTGTTTCACAGCCCTCAGTCCCGACTTCAACCACGACCTCCAAGCCTCCGGGAAGCTCTCAGACTCCTCCACCATCCTCAGGTTCCGTTCCTCAGTGGGGTCAGGTAAGCTACATGTAACTAGCAATCACCACTAGCTTGACCTTTATATCTAACAAAGGAATAAACAGTGCGGCGGTAATGGATATACTGGACCTACCCAGTGTATTGCTCCATTTAAGTGCGTTGCAACCTCTGAATGGTGGTCGCAGTGTGAGTAAATGGAGAATAGAGGCACCAACATGTCTAAAAAGTACCTATATATTGCCTATTCCATTTGGACTCGGCAGCCTTTCTTTCATTCACTTTGACGAGACTTTTACTAAGCAGGCATTTTACTGCTGCTACTTCTGCTGTATATACTAGGCTGCTGTATATAACTGCCCCAATATTTATCACGTTACTTCCACACTATCCCAGTGCCTATGCTCGTGCAAGAAGCCCCAGTATTGAGAATTTGTAAGAAATGATTGAAAGTAAAAATCCTTGGGCTCGGAAGTGGGAATCATGTGCACCTAGGTAATTGGAAAGGGAGGCACTGTGGAAAAATGAATACATACGCATCAGAGGGGAGGGGAGAGAATAAGCACGATGGGTATGTCCTACGACTACCTGTATACTCGAATGGGTGGGAGAAGAGACGATGATGCTGCTTCCAAAAATTCTTCCCAGCCTCGCCTGGTTTCGACGCTTGACTGATGCTCTCTCTAGCTTGTCGCGAGTGCCAGTGGCAAATCCACAGGGAGGCGAAACATCATATGCAATGTAAAGAAAATGAGTTTCTTTGTTTACTGAGATACAGACAAACAGAGAAAAATAAAAGAGAGGGGGAAGAAACCGGGTATCGGGAGGGATGATGTGTAGAAAGCATGATATATCTGGACAACGAGACAATGAAATAAATACAAACAAACCATAGATGAATATGCAGACAACGGGTGCTGTGGGAGAATGAGCGGCGTGTGGCGCCTTCGTCCAATCCGACGATTAATTACTTATTGCTTTGGAAAGCACTCACTCGATAAATACAAGACACAAGTTGATATTGGCGCCAATGGGGCGTAATACAGATATGAATACCTAAGATAATACATAATTGGCTGCCCAGGTTCTCAATCTCTACATGGAGCCGACGTTGAGAAGAGATCAGGTTCATTGACATACTTCCAAGTGTATATATTCCCATGGCTAGGAGCTTTTCAAGCCGAGGGGATCGTGTCGACGAGGGTCTCCCATCCTCCTATCTGTTGGCGCCCACGCCGAGGCTGAATCCGTGAGAGAACCAGACACAGGCCAAAGAACTAGGCATGTTCCTTATTTGTTCTATGTTCCCGATGACGGACGAGTTCGTACTTTGAAGTTGGAATCTCCACCACTTGTTAATATCTTCAACAACAAAAAGAGTATGCTAAGCCAAGGAAAGAAAGAAAGAAAAAAAACAGAGAGAGAGGGAGAGAAAGAAAGGAAGGAAGAGAGAAAGAGAGAAAGAGAGAAAGAGAGAAAGAGAGAAAGAGAGAAAGAGAGAAAGAGAGAAAGAGAGAAAGAGAGAAAGAGAGAAAGAGAGAAAGAGAGAAAGAGAGAAAGAGAGAAAGAGAGAAAGAGAGAAAGAGAGAAAGAGAGAAAGAGAGAAAGAGAGAAAGAGAGAAAGAGAGAAAGAGAGAAAGAGAGAAAGAGAGAAAGAGAGAAAGAGAGAAAGAGAGAAAGAGAGAAAGAGAGAAAGAGAGAAAGAGAGAAAGAGAGAAAGAGAGAAAGAGAGAAAGAGAGAAAGAGAGAAAGAGAGAAAGAGAGAAAGAGAGAAAGAGAGAAAGAGAGAAAGAGAGAAAGAGAGAAAGAGAGAAAGAGAGAAAGAGAGAGAGGGGAAAAAAAAGGTAGTGAGTAGTCGCCGAATGGGTATCTCAAGGGTGGCATTGGTAAATCGACAGCTGTCCCAGGTGGAAACTGGCACTGACAAAAAGCTCAATCTTTACAATTTTTACAATCAATACTTTCTTCCACGCGTCATTATTGGTACCTGAGCATGGTCCCAAGATAAGAAATATTCTCTGTGCTGAAGCCTTACCATTCTCATGCCCATTTTCGAGGACACGCATGCGAGACGATTAGCATTGCGCTGGTAATCATGACAATCCAAAACCAGGCAGTGGGTCGACGGCCATGTTCAAGTTCGTCGTTCCATGCGTGCCCTCGTCAGGCTCCCATTTCTTGACCTCTGCTGACGCTTCACATGCCCTAGTTCAAAACCTTTTCGCTGCTTTGCCGAAGCAATTTCAAGCAACGACGAAGTGCTCCGGCCCGGCGTATCGGAACACGATGTGTGACCTACCAAGGACCAGGGACTGGGCGTGGTGGCGATATAGCCACCACATTCGACCAGAGTTTCTCGTTGAAACAGGCGCAATAGTTCTCAATTTGGGAGACAAGATGCTCTGGAGAAAATCTATGTCATGAGGGATTCAGTTCTCTTGCCATTCATGGTTACTCTATCTAAAAGATCCTATTTTCATCAGCCGACATATTCCTCGACCGATTCGGTCATTCCCGAAAGATGCTCCATAGCAATGACATCAAAGCGGTGCAGTGGTGAGCCCACTGCAATTGGGTTTCAATATAATTTGGTTGGCTATTACTTTCGTGATGTCCCTGTATGCGTAACCGAGTGTTGCGGCCTTGGTTACCGTATGCTCTTTGTCCAGAGTATGGCTGGCGTCGCTGTCAACATCGCAGTATCTCTCCCAAGGCACACTTCACACTTGCGCCCACCTCTTCTAAAGTCAAAACGGAGGATCGTAGGGATGAACGTGGGCAGATATTCGCATGAACGCTTCGTCTTTGGTCGAGTTGGTGCCGGCGACAGCTAAATCTCGGGGGTGGGACGGCTTGCGACTTGTTAGCGAGGTGTGCAACTGACAAACAAATTGCCAAGTCCAAAATTGAGCTTCGAAGGTTACATACATAGGCAGGTACGTGTGTAGGTACGATTGAATAGTCGGCTATCAAGCCAGGTGTCTCGTTACCGCCTGTGTCACAAGAGCAAAGCATGAACAGCGAACGAGAGAGACCCTGTCGCCCTTTTAGAAACCCTCTAGAGGTTTTGCGCGCCACGAGCAGGGACATTCCGGTTCGTCATGGTTTTACCTAACCTACAGTTGTTGCCCATGCACCGGCGTTGGAAGCTTCCTGCCGACCTCTTTGCCCACATGGGATTGTGCTGCTTAGTCAGCGGGGTCGTTAATAAACAACAAGTTGGAACCTTCCTCAATACATGCGCTTTCAAAAGTTCTTTTCCAGTTGTTTCCCTTCCCTTCTTTTCCTCTTTTCCTTTCCTTTCCTTTTCTTCCAGTCCTTTTTTCCACCACGCGTCTTCGGGTTGGCAGATATGAACACAACATTGTTCAACGAATATTCGTCCGCTGAGCAATGACAGATCTCTACACATCGCTGCTCTTTTTTTTTTTCGTCTCCACGCCGATCTATCCACATTCATGCTACACACATGCAATTATGCCACTCAAAATCGGCGACAAAGGCTCCATTCAACTTTGAGCATCATGCTTGAGGTGTGCCTCGTCGAATACTGACGCTCATTACCTGTTGAACCGATGATTCTACACGCTTACGTGCGCTCCCCTTGGTCTGGCGAACTTGTCTGCTATCCATTGTTGACTCTAGATGAAATGCTTACGATTGCCTGTGTGATTTAGAACCCAGTACCCAAGTTATTGCGATCCTGATCGACAACCAGCCGTACTGGCAAGACCGCCCAACACGCCAAGCATCATGCGCTCGTTGACGAAACGAACGCCGGATCAAATCCATCAACTTGGACTCACTGGCCATACATAGTTGGGGCCCCGGCGCAACAGCAAGCACTCACCTGAGGCTCATTATTTCTTCAAGGCACGTCATCTCAGCGCATAGTCTCCCATTGATCTTCTACTTCTGCTACTTCTGCTACTTCTGCTACTTCTGCTACTTCTGCTACTTCTGCTACTTCTGCTACTTCTGCTACTTCTGCTACCTCTGCTACTTTGGATACCTCTATTACTTTGGCTGGGTACTTCTGAAAAAAAAAATCTCGATTTATTCTCTTCCCTTCTCTTTTGCATCACACAACTCTCTACGCATCTTCACATTTCTGCACAAAGTAGATCAAGCATCTGCACTCTCATCTCTACATTATCTCTACCCATCCCTACTACTGCACAGCAAGTTGTCACCATCAATACCCGCACCACAAACATCATTCCCGCCATCAGACATCAAGATGAGCAAAGAATATCTCACAACTCTCTATGCATCTTCACCTTTCTGCACAAAGTAGATCAAGCATCTGCACTCTCATCTCTACATTATCTCTACCCATCCCTACTACTGCACAGCAAGTTGTCACCATCAATACCCGCACCACAAACATCATTCCCGCCATCAGACATCAAGATGTGCAGGGAATACCTCAGCATCGCCACATGCACTCCCGAGAAGGCACCTCTATATCATTTCTACCTATCTCAACTGTTGCACAGCAAGTCGTCATCATCGACTCTCGCACAACAATCTTCATTCCCGGCATCAGACATCAAGATGTGCAGGGAATACCTCAGCATCACAATATGCGCTCCACAGAAGGCGCCGTCAATGCCCTTCACTTGTGGACAGCTCCATCTTGTTCCATCGCAATATGCGCTCCACAGAAGGCGCCATCAATGTCCTTCACCTGTGGACAGCTCCATCTTGTTGCATCGCAATATGCGCTCCACAGAAGGCGTCGTCAATATCCTTCACTTGTGGACAGCTCCATCTCGTTGCAGAACGACGCCAGGTGTGTGGCGAGGCGACTGGGACTTGTCTTTGCTTTGTCGGAACCTGTGGTGTTCTCGAGAGCGTCCCTTCTACCCAGGGCATTCGTATGTCTTCCATGAAGTCGATTAGATGCGCAGCCTGTGCTTCCCGCGAGGAAGAAGTTGGTGATCGTCGGACCAACGAAGAGCTCATTGGCTCTCCCCTCCCAGTGCATTTGCTTCAAACATATTCAGTATTGTCTCCATGATTTCTCTGTAGTTTGCCTTTTATCCATTACGTCTCTCTACCCAATTTCCCTCGTTTGCTAACATGTTGTTCTAATATCTCCTCTAGTCAATCAACCCTCTTTTCCACACGTAATTGAAGATAACCTCGTGTTTAGATGGCCAGCCATACGAATGATTCAATCACTGAGCGCGAGGACTACGCTGCTGCTTATGGCCACGTCAAGCCCACGGCCTTCAATTACACAGCCAAAAATATGGCCGGACTCACTTGAGGTGGCAACACCTGCATGCACAAATAGAGCGACGAGTACGTTGATTTCGGCACTGCATTTCAGGATGTTCGTTTTGTCGAAGATGACAACAAGCCTCTTGGTAGCGGCCTTGATTTCTCCACAATCGAGAGCATCGACGTTGCCCAGGAAGATCCCTCGCGAGTCGAAAGCATCACAGGCTTTGCTGATGCAGGCATTCATCCTGTCAGGATGAAGAACATTGAGCTTTAGGATAAGCAGTAGCTGGGGCGGCACCTCTGGCACGACGAGGCTTTGAACTCAGGTGGCGACCAAGTCAACGGTGACGATTCCTTCTCGCTTGGATAGCAGGGATCCCGTTAGCGGTTATGATTTCTCCACCACCAGAAGCATCGAGGTCGTCCAAGAAAGCCCTCATCGAACCGAGTTCGCCAAGGCTTTTACTCATATGGGGATCCATCTTGTCATGATGAAGAAACGTCGAGCTTTCGGGATACCAAGTTCCCACTCCCATCCGGGAGGTATAATCCCAACCCTCTGGAAAGACGGCCGCCTGCCGTGGCAACTGTCAGGCTGAAGAACGTCGAACTTTTGGGATATCAAGTCTACGCCCCATCTAGGGGTTCACCATCCCGGTCATCTTGCAGGGGGAAGTGTTGGAGGCTGCTTCCACTTGGGACGGCAATGCTTGCATTTACCAGTGGAGCGACGAATACGGAGATGTCAGTCCAGCTTTTGAGGAGCTTTAGGATAAGATGGCCATCTCTGAAAATGGACCAGTCACTGAGGGCAGGGCCAGGCTCCTGGCTGGGTTGAACCAACTGCGTTTGACTACACTGCCATAGCCCAAGCCTAGGCTGCCTCCACTTGGGACAGCAATGCTCGCATTTACCAGTGGAGCGATGAAGACGGAGATGTCGGTCTAGCTTTTAAGGAGCTTCAGGATAATATGACTATCCCTGAAAATAGGCCAGTCACTGAGGGCAGGGCCAGGCTCCTGGTTGAGTTGAACCCACTGCGTTGGCTTTATCTAATATTTTACTACTCTCTGGTATCTCCTAGGGCTAGGCTCTTGGCTGGGTTGAACCTACTGCGTTTGACTACGCTGCCATAGATCAAGCCCAGGCTGCTTCCACTTGGGATGGCAATGCTTGCATTTACCAGTGGAGCGATGAATACGGAGATGTCAGTCCAGCTTTTGAGGAGCTTTAGGATAAGATGGCCATCTCTGAAAATGGGCCAGTCACTGAGGGCGAGGTACTGTCCGCGAGTATTGCTATTATCCACTGGTATCGCTACTATCCGCCGGTACTATTCGCTGGTATCGCAACTATCCGCTAGTATCGCAACTATCCGTTGGTATCGCTACTATCCGCCTGTATTGCTATTGCTATATCCGCTGGTATCGCTATTAGGACTAAGCTCATGGCTGGGTTGAACCAACTGCGTTTGACTACACTGCCATGGCCCAAGCCCAGGCTGCTTCCACTTGGGATAGCAATGCTCGCATTTACCAGTGGAGCGATGAAGATGTCGGTCTAGCTTTTGAGGAGCTTGAAGTGGAACTTTTTGGCTCCGCCGAAGATCGCAGCAAGCACATTGGCGGCGGTTTCGATTTCTCAAGCATTGAGACAAAGGCAGCCCTTGGACTGCTGCAAGACTTTGCGGCGGCTCCAAAAAGGTGTTCTTCGATTGAACGACGAAACGTCGTGACCATAGCCTGTTAATGGAGCAAGGCGAAAAGTCATCAAAACGAATTACTGGCCATTTGCGCCATCGATGTTCTCAGCCTCTCTCTCGACCTGAGTATGGTCGCTGAACCGTGGCCATAGCCTGTCAGGCCATGACGAAAATTCATCGAAACGAAGTTGCTGGCCATTTGCGCCATCGATGTTCTGAGACCGGCCGCTGTGGATAGATGTGATTGGAGGCTTCACGCCTTTGCACCTCCGTCACCACCGCCTCACCGAAGATCGCAACAAGCATCCTGTTGGTGGCCTTGATTCTGAAGATTGAGACCATCATACTTGACATTGTCTAAGGATAGTCTGCACTCTTGCCTTTGACGCAGCCTAACAAGAGACCATATCGCCGTCGGTCGTTATAGTCGCCTTGATAATCACGGTCCGCAAATCGATGGGCAAAATATATCGATAGAATGGAACAAGAATAGTTTTGTGATAGAGGGGGTTTCGTCAGGGGTAGAAAAAAGCACGAGCGACGCGCACCAGAGCGTGAAAAGACGGTGCAAACGCCGAAGCTATTCAAGACGACAACAGGGCTGAATGTGTCGTCGCCGTCTTGATGATGTACTACGTCAAGGGGAAGGGACTCACCTGGGAAAAATGCACGTGGGAGGCCGCATATCTAAGCGGATGAGCAAACAGGCTGGCAAGAGAAGGGAACATGGCGCGCTCCTGGACGCAGTAAACGCAACACGAATGAGGGGAGATCGAGTATCGGGCAAGGAAAGCCAGGAAGACCGTGAGGGGAACCGAGGCGGATTTTATTACTCTCTACATTCTATTTCAACTTTCGTTCTGCTTTTTACCCGGGCATTTGATCATGATTTGCCACCCACCCACATCTCTCGCAAGAGAACCAAAGCATCCTCAGCTCTTTGCTATTCGCCAGCTGCGAGGCTTTACATACTTGCCAGGTCACATCGTACAGTAATCGGTGAGTACCTGTACATATTTTGCGACGGCGAAACATGGCACTGCATTTGCTAATCTAGTCTTGCGCTCTAGAATCGCTCATCATACCTACCTCCCAGCATATCTCCCGAAAGCTCCTTCAAAACATTTTCTCTCCGAGTATCGTTCAAGTACCCGTGCCCCATCTGCAACTCAACAGAGCGAGAGGATATCCTCCTGCTTTGCGACAGTTGCGATGCAGCTCACCACACGCACTGCATCGGCCTCGATTACATCCCCGATAGTGACTGGTATTGCATGCAGTGTGCCATTCGATACACAAACTCCGACTCTGGCGGAAGTGACAAAAGGTCTGCTCCTGTTTCTTATGGCTCGCCGTAATTTAATGCAGATTGTTCAACAATAGTAAGTTTCGTCTACAATTAAGCCCCCAAAAATAAGTTTTCGAAAAATACTAATTTACTTACAGTATAACTTAAACAGATGTATGTCGTAAAGATAAACACTGACCGACTGCAAACATAAAGCGATAAAATAAACACTAGTAAACAGCACTTTATATTAAATTCTGAATGTTAGCGTTATATAGGAGAAGGTAGAGCCATCTTGACAAAGAGGGAGGCCCAGAAGAAAAAAGCAGCAATAATACCCAGAGATATTAAACAGCTCGGCTGCCCCAAAACCCCAAGCGTCCTGGAACTGGATATACGAAAGAGCAGGTGTTTGAAGTTGCAGATCGCCTGTACCTAGAAGTTGAGAGTGGCACCCTTAACCAGGTTCTTAACACTTGATAATGAGCTTGGGCGAAAGGAGAGCCCGGTTGCTTTGTATCAGCGACTTGTTGTGGCTGGAGAGGGCGCGAGTGGAAGTTGGTGACCGATAGAGATTTCTCATGGCAGCATCGTTGGATCTTGATGGAGTTGCTCCATTACTAGAAGCAAGATAGATGAACGTGAGCTAGGCCGATCAGCAGGAGGAATGCATGGATCCACGCAATTGATGTCTCTAAGCTCCGCAGTGCCTGCAGTTGGCTTTGCTTTGGCACTTTCCGTTGGCCGCTAAGCGCAAGGCTGCGGTGAATTACGACGCCGTGGGCGGTGGAGGTACCTACAGGCATTATCTAACCTGTGAAGCAAAAAGCGGCCCGGGGCTCTTATTACCGGGAAGCACCTAATTGGTAGCAATTTATGTTGGAACATTGGAAGATTATACTACTAGGTAGGTACTATGCATTGACAGGTACTCCGTAGTTGGTATGCCTCAGCTTATTGAGCGAGTTCATGCTGTGCTTCCGAGAGAAATGAATGAGTGAGAAAACACATCATCTATACATCAAATAAATCTATATTATTAGTAAATGTATATATTACTTTCCTATAACCGACCTGTAACATTATCATAGAAAGCTTACAGAATTATAAATCAGTCATTGGTTAAGTCATTTAATTATAGAATTCTATCATTAAATAGATTGAAAGTGGCCCTCGTGATGCAGTTATAACCACTTGTAGAATTGCCAGACGCCAGTGCCATTGTCTTCCTTTCGCAGAATGTAGATAACGAAAACGCCAAGCCATTCCAGCTTGGCCTATAGTAAGTCAGGTAACTCTCCTTACCATGCGCTGGAGGAGCTGGTACCTCAGCACCCCAAGTGCCTCCAGAGTCATTGCCAGCTGCGCCTTGAGGATCTGCTCCCCAACCGCTGCCAGGGCCTCCGGTCTCATCAACTCCAGCACCAGCACAAAGGCTAGCAGCGCCGGTGGTGCATCCTACTTCGTCGATGACCATGATTCTTTGCAAAAACGCTCTCCAGGTTGCATTAGATGTGGAAGCTATATACCTAGGTAGGCACGCTCTCAAATTAGCATGAAAACTTTAATGAGCGCCACCACACCTTCATTCAATACAGACCATTATTTGACAAATGGAGAAAACGTAGAGAAGGGGGAACCAGATAATCACTGTAGAGCAATCTGGCTCCCAAGAGGTTGACACGGCACTATCAGTTGTTGAATTAGACAGAGTGATTTATCTCACTCAATTTATGTTAGGCCTGATGTTCCAATTCATTGTTGGGATATTTTCTTGAATTGGCATGCCAGTAGTTCAAGAGTGGAACAAGCCAACCGGCGTTGAAAGTGAATCATCAAGTTTGATGCACTATCATTTTGGTATCGACAAAGTAGGTACATCGCATGCTTTTGGCTTCCCCTCTGCAGAGTCATGTCGCAGCGGGCGAAGAATCTCGAGTAATGCGGGGAAAATACCGGTTTCGGTATCAACAAGGTACATCGCATGCTTTTGGTTTCCCCTCTGCAGAAGCATGTCGCAGCGAAGAGGAGGTGGAGATATCTTTACCATTCTAGTATCCTCTGTTACAACAGAACACACCTTTGGTTGGGAAATTGTGTCTTTTCTCCATTGTCAGAGTATTATTCGACGCGTCTGTTATTCCATATAGATGTTGAATCTCCCCAAAATACCAGCATCACGCATTCCAGTTAATTAACTCCGAAATCTTGGTTCCCGGAAAACAAGTACCGGTTGTAGTAGCGGTAATATTGGCGGGTATCAAGAGCAATGAATATGAAACATTAGTCTCGTTCAACACGTCGAGTTAGAGATAAACATAGTGCTAGACTGAGAAATACAAGAGTCGGATAGAGTGCAAAAAAATGGTTGACGCTGGCGATGACGATCAGTAGGCCGTCACAAGTGCGGAAAAATTGGATGAGGTAGTCAACATACCTCTCCAAAATGAAGATTAATTTGCAGATGCGAGGGCAGTAGCAATATGCGAGCAGACGGGAATGCCGTAAATGAATGGACACCTTGGTAACCCTTTCTCCGCTAGCGAGGACGAGACACGCGTTTATGACGATGTTGCTTCTCCGGGCAGGCGCGGAAGGGCAACTCTTGGTCGCCACATCCACGAGAAACTTCGATTTGCTAACAGTATGCTTAGGGTGGTCACCCAAGTCACCTATCCTGGTACTTTGGGGGTTTCTTGTTCGATAGGTAGGGTAAACAGGCTATCATGGAGCGCTAATCAGTTTCGATTCACTGTCTATTAGTATCAAGGAGGATCTCAGTCAACTCACCATGTGTCAATCTCACAATCCATATGAAGCAGCTTCGCGTTCTGTGCTCCTCAATTACTCCCAACTCTTCTGTTCCAACCATCTCACTCAAGGTAGCGCAGCAGAAAATCTCTTCTTCTCCACAGGATAAAAATGTCCTCATCCTTGTCTCCCAAACCTCAAGGGCCACTATCTTCTCGTCGCAGAGATCCAAATCGACGTCGAACTCGAGTTTCTCACTCCCCCTTTGTCGGCATCGCAGGTCTCTCAGGCGGCACACAGTCGCGAAAATGTATAATAGGATTTTAGAACTGTCCATTTTCCTATTCATATACACTTTGGTAAGATAGCAAAGCATAAAGTCAATAACGGCGAGAAGAGCGGCTCCGGTGCATGGACATTGGCTTCGACCGTCACTGCAGTGGTACTTGGTTGCGTCTCTGTCCATGAACATCGTCATGGACGCCACTGGGCACAGGTTGGAGCGAACAGCTGCATGCGATGTCGTTTTACTTTCATACTCACCGTAAGCTTGAACAGACCCAATTCAATGCAGTGGGAGTATAGAGGTTAGCTGAAGGCGCACACTACAACCTCGATTGCTTGCAAAGTCTGATTCATGAATAGCGCTGGGCTGGTTGCTGCGAATAAAGAAGCCCTCCGTTTGTAGCATATAACAGCCCAAAATCTTGAATCGGTTATGATACAAATCGTCCCGAAAGTGAAGGCAGGTACGTGGGTCACTTCGACAAGTTGTGAAACCAGTTCAAGCGCGGCATCGGAGATTGCTTATTCCTTGGCAATGTGTACGCTGCAGCAGGTGAAGAAAATCCATCAGCCTTTAGAAATGACTAAACTTGGCAGAGGGGCGGGGAGGCATGATTATATCCACCTACCTTGCGTCGAAGGCGTGCTAAAGTTCCTATCTTTGCATGCCGGACACTTGCACGCGAGAGAGGTTGGGGAGGCGAACTGAGATGGTGCTCGGTAGGTTGAGGATGGTGCGGGCACCTGATCCTTCTTGACTTCAGGGCATTTGGAATGATCACAACCGGTTGCCATTTAGGCCTTCAGACGCGTAAAACACGAATTATTCGAATATGGGAGCGGCCTGTTGCTTGGCGGTCGGGTGCGGCGAGCTCGGCAAAGCTTTCAATGTTGTTAGGTGGCATGTCGAAATTTTTGGAATTTTCACAGTTTACCTGTGTACGCTTCGAAAACGCCACAATATCCAACGGAAGCTTGTGCGCCTCGTGCCATCTCCTTCACCTTTCGAAAAATCGTCTTGAATGTAACCGAGTTTGTGTGCAGAGGATTGATCGAGTACTACATAGATAGTACCTACATATTTGGTACGCATTCAAGGTTGTGGAGGCACTGTGCCCACCTACAGTGCCGCACAGTATATGTATACAGTACCCTACCAACTACATGTAGCGAGTACCAAAAAATGTGTGCAACGACTGTCCCCTTACGGAAAAAAAAATGTGATCCTCTCGACGGTGAGTCAATGAATCTGTTACGCCGTCGTCATTGCCGCTGACGATGACGACGTAAATCCTGCCGTAGGTGGCTGTTGCAATAGCCGATAACCCGGGTGGAAATTTGGAAACAAGGGAAATTTGTGTGGAAAATTGAAAAGAAAAGAAGAAAAGATGGCAGTCATTGCCCGCATACGCGAAGACCCAAGGCCCGATAGATGAAAGCTGTTTTTTTTTTTTTAAAAAAAAAAAAAAAACGTCCCAAAAAGCCGTCCCAAATACAGCGCAGTGATCTGTCTGTGTTCCCCGATCCGCAGTCGTAGACACATTTCGTCTTGCTTCGTCATCCGCAAAACTCACGCGCTTGTCGCTGCCTAGCTTCCGAGGTCTGGCCTGTATGCTAGGCGTGAGGGATGTGTTGACGGACTCCGTGATGTTCTTCAGAGAGCTCGTTGCTGCGGCTTTCGCCCGCATAAGCATGAGTGTCTCCATGAGACGAACGCAGTACTTATCTAGTTCCCTATGGGGCATATTTTGTGTTCTGTTACTGCCCACAATTCCAGGTCGACGATGATCGTCTTGGCTGGTCCATTCCTGCTCCATCTTGGTGGTCCCGGCATCTTCTAGACAGGTCACCCACGTCTGTAATGCTTCCTCTCGCCTGATGATCATGTTTCTCAGTAGTGCATCTCCGGTGGAGGCGACGGTGCACGCGGCCTTGCTCATGAAGCCTAAATTGCCGGCACTCCAACTTCAACTGCGCCATACTTCTTGTTGAATCTTCATCAATGTCTGATACTTTAAATATCTCCGATATGTCGTTCACCTCGACGTAGCCAGTAGCTTCTAAGCTAATTGGGCCTGTCGGACTCAACGGAGTTCCCTGGAATGACAGAATTGTGAAGATGATCTTCGCCTTTGTTTCCGCGCACAGCCCGACTAAATTCGAAGAATCTGTACCGCACTACGGCGGCGATGTCATCGTTGCGTTTTGGGTTAACATTGCGTAACTTCTTCACAATGATAGTTGCAACGACAGCAGTGAGTTAAGAATGTGTTGTTCTCTTGTCTCATTTGTGAGCTCGGCCGCCTGCTTGAGTTTCGTACAAAACCTCGATATCAACTCTAATTCGACCATGCGGTCACTTTGACAGCGCATCAGCGGGCGCATTTGTCGACGTATGTACCCGGTATAACAGTCCTTGTATTCGCGATGGTTGAGGCCGATCACCTTGAATCCTCCTTTAACCAACGTAGGACAAAGTCTCTCTCTTGGTCTGCCGTTATGGTGAACAGATTGATGGCGTCAGCTCCTGGGTAACCTTTCACGGGCTTTTGTGCGCTTCCTCTTCCTGAAGGCGTATCACGGTATCCAACCATGATGGGTTCAAAATTCGAACCACTGGGCTAAGCGGCTGTTCATCCTCGTGTTCGATCTGGACTTGAGATATTCTGACAAATCGGACTGTATAGGTTCTGATGTCAGCAGAATTCTCGTGTCTGCAAAACTTTTACTGTGCGTACGCGGAGGGATAGGCCGAGGGCGTAGGAGTGTTCTGGGGAAATGGAGTGCGTGCGGTTGAAAAGAAAAAAAAGATGCAAGCGTGCAAAAATTGAGAGAATAGGGGAAAAGACGAAATACAATAATGTGAACGGTATTCCATAGATGCATAAAGAAATGCGAGGAGCTCTTGCTAGCAACCCGTGCCGTCTGGTAGTCGTCTTTCTCATCTGTCAGTCGTCCGTTTGGTTCGGTAACTTTATGCCTCCATCGGCAACGTGTCACCGTGGAAGCACGATTTGGGTATTTGTCTTCGGCACCATTGTCATCTCAGTCGTCTCTGGTCCATTTTCGCGCTCATAGGGTCCTTCAAGTCAATTCCAACTAATTCCTCGGCCGACTAGATGAGTTCACGCCGTTTCACCCGTCCAATACGGGGCATTGAAATGATCAATACAAGTCTGATGCGCGCTAAAGGCGTTCATAAGGGCAAGCAAAGCAACTGCGCCGATCGCGGTCGGCTTGTTTGATCAAAGTCTTCCGGATCGTTCGAGGTCAGCTAGATCGATCGGGCCTGCCTACCTAGCTCGATCAAGGTCATCCCGTTTGATCAAAGGACAAGTTATCGCTATTTGTCATAGACACCTACTACATGTATCCAACGGGAATTTTGTTATTACCCTTCGGGGGCGTCTGCAGCGGGCTTTGCCTGCGGCCATTAGCCCACGGCGTTATATTTAAGCATTCATGTTATGTTGTATATGTATCGATAGCCCTAGGTCTCTAGTTTTTAGATATCCTAATTTGCTAAGCTATATTCGCGTGTGTGGGTGTTGGTAAGCTAGAACATGCAGTGGTGTGTGGCCGGCTTGGGTAGATCGTTTTTGTGGGGACTGAGCACCGGAACATCGCGATGCTTATCAATAACGCATAACAACACCAAAAAACAGGTTTACGATACATCGCGGGCGGTTAAAACTGGCATGAACAGCGAGTCTGACTAACTGCTAGTCAGTATTTCAGCTGTGGCTAGTGATTGTGGTGGCGTGTTCTTGTTGTTTTTACCCTTTAAAGAAGCAAATTTGCAAGCTACACTTCCCTTAGGTTGTTACCTTCGCAAAGCAGCTTCGCAGCTTTGCTTGATACGAATACCCAGCCACACATTCGAATACATTTAAAGCGCAGCCTCGGCCCTGCCAGGGGTGCCTACACAAGAGTTCAATCTCACCTACGGAGTAGCCCAAACCTTCCAGATGCAACGAATTTCACGCAAGCAATGATATCAATAAAAAGCAACTGGAGATGCCAACCCATGATTGGCGGCTGCATGTGAATTCCAGAGGCCATGAGTTCAGTGATAAAAGATGTTGACCGACAGATCTCATGCGACGGCTGTAGCATGGTGATACCTACCCTGCAATTTTCTTGCTCGCGAACATCACAAGATGGGCACCTTAGGCATGAATCGCCTGAATGCAATGGTTATTACATGTACAATTTCTCACATATGTGTGTTATAACTGTACCACAGAGGCGGAAATCACAAAAAAATGGCACATCAGGGAGATGCTACTCCAGCTGTTACTCTCCGCAAATCACATTTAAGTGCGAATCAAGCCGCATATTAGAGAACGGTATTTGCGACAGAACGCGAGCGAAATCAATGGAAAGCTTCACAAGATAATGAGCAAGAAAGCTGCTTATCATACTAGGTACCAAGCACCTAGTACCTAGTTCTAGTAGAGGTGCACAAGGCACGGAAATCTGAGGTGAGCGATTAGTGATATTGGTTTTAGAGGCAATTTTGGACATTTAGTGGATGGAAACCGCTGCTTAGCACTATAGCCCCTGCCTGTAGTAGGCTACAGCCAGTAACACGGCACCTGAGATTACTCGATCACAGCTAAAATAGGGACATGTTATCCAGTACCCCAAATTCATTATCCAGCACCCCAACTTTTTGGTGGAAATACCAGAAGATACTTACGCTTGAAACAAAGATTCCAAGTTGCACAGATAGAAAAAATCAACCTAGAAATTTTTTATAAAGAACCCGTTGATTTTTGCTGAGTCATCCGCACCGACAGTACTTTGTTCTTCTACGGGCCTGCCATAGTGTGCGCAAGTACGGAGTACCTAGGGTGCTGGATAATGAATTTGGAGTGCTGGAAACGTCTCACCTACAATATGGGCGATTGATCGAGTCTGCCAAACTTGTGGGGTACGTAAGCCTACCACCTCTACCAGGTGGCAAGAGAGTCCCGGTACGCAAGTGGGTGATTTTGGAGCTTTTGGGACGGGGATTATTTTCTGGTTCGGAGATTTCTCTCTCCACCTCCATAGCGCGATCCACCCGGCGGGATGGAGTTGAGGTTCTTGATCGGATCGGCTCACCTCGACCTTTGACAGCTCATCCACAGGGGAATTCCCCCGATGTGGGCCTAGTTGTCCGAAAGTTCAATTCCGTGCTGCAAGTAGCCTTCCGACTTCGGGCGATGCGTGTTGAGAGCATCGGTGCTCTCGGCATTTGTACCACTCTTTGAAAAAGTTGTGACACACTGGTTCTTCGCCAATCTCGAGGCTAATTAAACTCAATTGCAGGGACAACGCCACATACCCACAATACCGATGACGATTGACAATGCGAGCGAAGCATCTCGATGCAGGCAAGGCGAGTTCTCTGGTGTAGCCACCAGAGAACCACGATCTACTCAATTCATTCTGAGTACAAAGAAGAAGAGAACTGCCCAACCCTTTCAATTCCTCAATTCCATTGCATTCAGCAAGCCAGTCTTCTTGCCGATCCTCGCGAATCAAGAAAGAGCACACTGACGCAAGAGCTCCCGACGCAAGAGCACACCGACGCAAGAGCACACCGACGCAAGAGCACACCGACGCAAGAGCACACTGGCAGGAGCAATTGGACGTGTGCTACATCACCTATCTAATTGGTACTGGGTCGGTAACACTTTCCCATTCTCAAAGATTCGGACCAGGCGCCGCCACGAGAGCATCATGCCGCTCGCCGATCAACTCCTCTGTTTCAAGCCGCTGAGGGCCTAATGCTCGAAGACAAAATCCGCGCCACGACCATGCAAGTATAAAAATAAGACAGGAGTAAAGCTGGAGTAGAGTAGCTGAACTAGCTGCTAAGAGGCTACGGCGCTTGGATGTCAAAAGAAGAGAAGCTGCGTTGTTCTCTTGGAGTCTCAACTATATCATATTCTTTCAATAGGTAGTCTCCAAACCCGATCTTTGGCACCACCGTAAGTCCAATTAGCCAGGATTGTACCTCAATCTGTGTGAGGACTTCCACTTGACTTTTATTCCTCTTCTCTCTCTCGCAAGCCAACCTTTCTCTTCTCTGATACAGCCCGCACATTAACAATTGATTTCTCCGATCATCCGCGTAATGTTAAGACAATTGCGCCATTTTATATTTGTCATCTTCCAAATTAGCAAGTCGATAACTGTTTAAGAAATATCTCACGCATGATATCTGATGATAATCATTCATAGACAGGACAGGAGACCCGCTTTCGACATGAACCGTATATTTACTGTCCTCCCATTTGATTGCTACGCAACGATCATAGATGATGCCCTCGACACAATCTTGTAGCCGAATTAAGCACATGCGGATAGAGATGACAATGCATACCTTCTCTCAACCGAACAGACTGGCTATGTACATTCACATTTGATTAGCATTATTTAACAACTTCTAATCATATGATATACTAGATATCTCTACAAATTGTTGCCTTGGTGCCTTGGGGCCTGATTTAACTGACATAATCACGCCAAGACCAAAATAGATAGGCGACACGGCAGTATTCTAGGCGGACAGTATAAGCGAGATCGTAGGAGGAAGGAACGGCTTTACCGCCTGCTGCCCACAGAATTAATGAAAAGTCAATGTCTTTTTCGTTCAAGATTTTGTCTTTGTGAGATTTCCCGCATGTCGAATTTTTGTCGAAATACTGTACCTACCAGCCAAATACTTTTCTTACTGTCGGCCTACCATTGTCGATAACCACCTGCAGCGTCCGTCCCCCGTCCTCCCTATTCAAATATCGTACTCATTACGAGGCGATTTTTTTCGGACTCCGTTCTGCCTCCATCATTTCGAAGAGGTGTTCTTTGCTGTTGTTGACCCGTACTCATTACGAGGCGGTGATACCGATTGATACGTTTACCTCCCCAGGCGTTGATATTGTGGTGGATTGATCCGTACTCACTACGAGGCGGTGATATTGTGGAAGATTGATCCGTACTCATTACGAGGCGGTGATATTGTGGTGGATTGATCCGTACTCATTACGAGGCGGTGATATATTGTTGGCTGTGGACTCCGTACTCACTACGAGGCGGTGCTTATTTTATTTCGTTGAGTTTGTAAGTCTTCAGTCACATCGTCATGTTCAAAGCATTGGTATTAACATCTATACGATACAGTCGACACAATGGTTCAATCACCCTTGGAAGACGGCATCATTGCCTGTACCGGGCGTATAAGGGAATGCATCTCGGCCTGCTCCGCCGCCGAATTTCAATGCGCCAGCCTTGCCAGCCAGATTGCAGAGATGCCAGCTTTGTCTACAACAGATCATCTTGAGGCCGAATTACGCCTACAGGATGAGATCAAGGCTACTCACGCAAAGACCGGACTTCAAGCACAAATCGAGCTTCTACAGCTAGTCAAATCATCGTATGTTACTCTTGGCTGATGCTAGTTATGTATGCAGAGACTAACTGAACCAGGGGTTGGACCACAACTAGAATGTCTGTCACAAAAGCCCTCTGGGAGATATTTCCTGTCAGCCAAGATGATATTGAAGCTCGGAATCGTTTTGAAGTAGATCGCCGGGCGTCGATATCTCGAACCGGGAAGCTACTCGGCGTCGAAAACCCCAATGGTATGGCTCATGATATTACCACATATCTTCATATCGAATACTAATTTTGTCTAGCTTTGAGACTCCCTGGAAGACAGATCAGACGACGGGCCCAGGCACCTACGCCCGTAGCCAGGACACCGACATTGGTGTTTCCCCCGAAGCACAGTCTACCACAACTCGACTCACCCACTCCGAAGAGAGCACGAGAGGATGAGCCTAAGGCATTCAATCTGCCAACACCCACAACTGTTCCCAGGCAGTCAAGCCGCCTTTCTACTATACCCAGCCCCGACTACTCAATAGCAAGAGCATTTTCGGCTTTGGATGCAGAAGAGCCTGCCCTTCAAGAGACGGCTCAATCCGAGGACATCTCTGTCGCCTGCAATGAGTATGTCGACTCTGATGAGGCTTTCGAATGGTTAGAAGAAGAGTCTGAATCAGATGACGCTTTCGACGACTGGCAAGAAGAGCTACTCGATAACATCGATGTGGAGGGCCTGGAACAGAACGAGTCTAGAACACTTGCAGACAATCGCCATGCCGCAGCATCTACTGTCTTGGTGCCCTTCGTTGACGAAGATGGCCTCACGCGAATTGGGACCCAACCGATGAAACCAGCATTATATATTGGTTGGGCACCAAAAAAAGAAGCTTGCAGCCGCATTAGGAATCGGGTTCTATGCCTATGGAATATGATCGACCGAAAATTCATAGTCACAGTTCCTGTCAACCACAACGCGGAGATCAAGGCCATTGAAGACAGGATTACTGGATCCTTGAGCAAGTATGCCGACGACGACACCAAAGTCATACGCCGCTGCGACTATACAGGCGTCGAGATGTCTTGGGCAGCTGGGCCGCAGTCTTGGTCCATCGAGGCGATCTACCCGTACATCGTGTCCAATCGGCGAGTTGCATACCATGCAGCCCAGAATGTAAGCGTGGTATCAACAAGCCTCAATTGGGCCAAGGGGAGGGGTGCGCCGGTTTTGTTGCCTCTTCTTGCCACTTGGCTAAACGTCTGTGATGAGGAAATTGGTTTTGAGCAGCGAAAAGGGAAATGGGCCTGGGCATTCAATGCCATTTCAAACGAGAGCCTTCTCGCTAGTGTTTATGGTCTTCGCCTTAACCACCAAACTCAAATCGACAAGTGGGCAAAATGGGCGCCAGAGAAGCAAAGACAGGCCCTCGAAACTTTGCGAACTGGCAGCAAGACTGACGACCTCACCCGCGAGCTTGCCGGATGCACAGGGAAGCTCTTTTACCTGCGAACCAAAAAAGAGCTAATTAAAACCAGGGTGGTGCAGCATGACAACGCTTAGAAGGCAGCACACCATCCGGACTTTTATGAGACCCTCGTCAAAGTGGCGGAGAAGCATGGTCTATCACGACAGGAATTCGAGTTCTATCTTACAATTCCTGGGCCTCAAAATGCAGCGCAAAGAAGTCGCCAGGTCTTTTACCCTTTCCATGCGCTATCTAGGCCCCAAGCAGCAGCAGCATCTTGGAATTGGCAGCATATGTTGTCCTTGAGTCAACGGATGGTCACAACTCTCCCAGTGTGCAATAGACATGCGGTAAAGGCCAATCTCTCAGAACCGGCTCTTGATTTGGTCACTTTAATATACTGGATGGTCGCCCATTTCAGTCGCCGAATCAAGCAGACAAAAGAGGAGAGACCAAATGCAAGCCAAGACGAAGTCCTGTTCTACTGTATGCTTGATCGATGGGGCTTTCCGATAGTGCCTTGGAGAGGACACGCATTCAAGGCATCGTTATGCAAACGCCAAGACCATGGAATCAACATGAAATGTGGAATACTCCTCCCAGCTGACGGCGAGAAGTTTGATCCCTTGGTGCATATTGATCTGGACATATGCACAGTGACCATTGACGCGTGGATCACCAACAAGGCTATGAAGAACTATTCGACCTCGAACTGGAACTGGGTTCGGGATCTTATCCGCAGGGTCCCTCTTTGGCATAGTTACTGGCGAGTGGACCTTTCGCTCGGTGATGAGATCTGGGTAGGCAAGTGCGACAAGGGACCCACGCCCATCCCGCCGTCACCCGCGTTTAGTATGCCCATGGTCCCTATTGCGCCTTGGGTTTCTAGCCTTGACCGAGACCTGGCCGTCCCGACATTTGAATGCGAAAACTGTACAGCAAGCTTCAACACAGCTAGAGGCCTTGTGAGACACTGTCAAGTTGAGCATGACAACAAAAGCCTTTGGGAGTCTCAATATGCCAATCATCAAGAGCAAGACACTACTGCGATGGCATTCTGGGACACAACATGCTATGAGTGTGGAAAGGTCTTTCACTGCCTGAGGAAGCTAACAGAGCATAGGGCATCTGGGATACATACAGATGCCCCACGCTATGTATGCAGTGAGTGTGGCGCGAAGTTTGATGATTCCGCGCACTTGGAGCGACACATGGCTTCGCATACGGATGCACGGCCCCTTGTGTGCGACGTATGCGGGAAAGACTTCAAAACGCTCGACAATTTGAGGTATCATCAAATTGTCCACACCAGCGAGAAGCGCTTCAAATGCGACGACTGTGACAAAACGTTCAAGCGAAAAGAGGCACTTGTTCTGCACCGCAAAGATGCACATCCAGAGGAGGAGATAGATGGAACTTGCGACAAGTGTGGAAAAGTGTTTGAGTCGTTAAGCAAACTCCGCTGGCACATAAGCACCGATCATAGTGAAAAGAACAAATTCGAGTGCGATAAATGTGATCGGAAGTTTAGCTTCAAAACGCAGCTCGACAAGCACCTGGCATCTCACTCGGAGACAAAAAGCTTTGTTTGCAATCTGTGCAGTGCCGCATATAAACGGAAGGACCATCTCACAAGGCATATGAAGAACTCACATGGGGCCTAGATATATACAAATATAGTAATATAGTGCAATAATGTTTCAATCGTTAATCTGCTGCTTTCCTTTGTCACCGCGCAGTACTATTAAAGTTGGCGACAACGAATTCCTGACGTGTGATGGCCCGATGGCCCGGTCCGTTCCGTTCGAGTGAACAAATTAAAGAAAGGGATGGCACAGCTAGGTTTTGCTTATATTATGGTAGGAAAGGGGACCACAATATTAAATATATACAAATGCCCTAGAACTTGCTGGATATCGTCGTGGCGTTGGGAGGTGTGTGTAGTTGTCATGTTGCATGCTGGTCTCCTGGGGTTCCCCATTTTTAATACTACCCGCTTAACAGGGAGGTAAATGTTTTGCACAATGCGGCTCCCCGATGTCCCAAACGAAAACAATGGGCCGCACCAAAGTTGGTTTCGCAATTGAGAAAGCAGCCGAGCCAAAGGGCCTCACCCGAAGTCAATCCTTGCATTGTTTAAAACGGTTGGGGGAGATTGGAATTCAGCGTCCGCATATCCGCCAGGCACCTTCCAATCTCCTGACGGCTTCTGCCAGCGAGTCCTTCCGGGGTTCGGATTTTCGACAAGGCAATCGCACTGCCATGCGAGATTTGTACGATTGACCGGCTACTAACCGCGGAGGATCCATGGTATCTCCACTCGCCGTTACTGTAACCAGCGTGCTAACTAGGCTCCAGCTCCAGGCTCTTTCGTTGTCTCTCGAACTTCTACAAGCACGACCGACGGTCGATGCAACTGCCATTTCCTGCCTTGACCAGCTTTCGAAATTCTGCGAGAACGACTGATGAACGATGACCGACGACCGATGCAATCGCACCTTCCTCAAGCCACCGATAGCCGAGACGCGGCATGCGCCTCGCTTTGAGCATGAGCGCCTACCCTGACAGAACAGACATACATCGGAGCGAGGATAACCTCACAATTAGGCTCCAATTTGCGCCGCCCAAAGTAGTTGAGAATCATCCTCTTGACAAGGAATAAGCCCTGGGCTAGCATTTTGTTCACAGAGTATGTGGAAGTGTCCAATTTGGAAACATGTCCGTCCGCATGAGTCAACTTGCACTAACAAGTAGCCAGATAAACATATTGTCAGCCAAGATCCCAACAAAGAGGACAATTAGCAACGGATACGCATTCAAGAGAACGTAAGGGCTTAAGCATGCATAATCTTGAATTCGCAACGAACGGAGTTCTCGAAGAGTCTATACATACATAGGGTTGCAGGCCCTCTGACAAATCAGCAACAGATGTACAGGCTTAACGGCCTATTGTTTGTTTTACCATACTGAGCCTAATCTAGTTGGCGGCAAAGTTGGTTCTTGAGGGACTCAGCTATGGCAAAGCGGCGGACCATATGCACCTGACATCGCATGGCCGTGCCGGGCACGGCCATCACTGAGGCACCAGACCTTCTATGAGCCATGGGAGATAATCCAAGGGTGTTGGCTTAGAAGGTTGGGGGATCATTCCATGGTCTGCAGATTCTGCTTGATGCGTAGAGCTTCGGGACTCAGTTCCGTCAGTGGGATCTGCGTGAAGGTACCTAGGTATGTATTTACTCCGCCTATCCTAGTATCTAGTAGGAAAGACCGAACAACCCTGATCAGGACGTGTACCCAAGGCAGGCGCGAGATATTTGGACTACCTACTCTTTGAAGTATTTGGGGGCGGGGCGGGTGGAAGGGAGAGTATTTGCCACTGTTGGGTCCATATCAATTCATTCACGACTCTCTATGGATGGCATCAGCCTAAATTTAAGGAAGTAGGAATTGTCCTCTACTTAGTTTTGAGTGTTTGTGACCTTCTACTCATGCCTGTCCAAGGAAATTACATTCGAGCTAACTTTGGTCTGTCTGATAGGGAACACCCAGCTAGGCTATGCCACGACACGCGCGATAATTCCATCTCGATTAAGGCCACATAGATCTCTCGTTATAGGTACCACAGAATAGCCAGCTGACGATTAGCACATAGAATGCACTCATGAGAATGTCATTCCAAAATAACGTTCACATGCCAGCAGACACTACCAAGGCGTTTCTCTTGGCCTCTTTTTCAATCTTGGTACAAGATTTTGTTTGGACCCATGCCCGTGTTTCGCTTTGGAATTCTGCCGCTGCTTTTCGACACCGGGCGACAGAGAGGGTCGAATAAAGGGATCAGCAAGGCACATCGTTGCATGGTTGGCAGATGACTGTCCACATAATGGCATCGACACACATAAATCTGCATGTCAATGTCGGGCTCGGCGCCCAGTTTGAGAGATGCATCACCATCAACGCCTGTAATATTGCGGTTAAGTCAAGGATACACCTCTGACGATCCAGTCATATGCTCTAACGCCATCTACTCGTACATACATAAATAAACAGCGATGACTATATGAAAAGGTATTAAAATAAATGCTACTAAACTAGAAGCTGTATGTTTGCAGTATCTCTACTAGTAGGTACCTATGTATCAATCTACATGAGCTATACCAAAGCACATGTACCCGATATATATATATGAGCCTTACGGCTCACTTCCTCTTGGCTATATGCACACCAGTTGCTAGAAAAGTCTTCGCATCAGCCGTGCTTGCTACCCTCAATGCTCTCTGATCATCGTTCTTATTTGTTCTCAGTCGCAATATCGCAAAAAGACGTACACATCTAGCTCCTAGTCCATAATATTCTCCCATGAGTTTTCACACATCTTCTTCAGATGCCGTTCCTCGGCAACCTTGTTTCGCGATTCCAAAGGTTCAAGCTTTGCTTGTTCTTTCTTTACCTCTTGCGCGCCGGGTGCTAGAAATGCCTTCAAATGAGCTGCGCCTGCTGTCCTCGATGCCTTTTGATCATCGTTCTCATTCGTCCTCTGGGCCGTTTCCTTGACTATGTGGTCTTCGAATACAGAGCGTGCTGCAGGTCCGGGTTGTATCTTACGGAATGCCGCTTCAAAAGAAATCAAGTAGGCACTGAGTCACAAAAGTAGATTAGAACATGTCATATCATAATATGGGGGTCGCGGGATAAGCTTACCAAGAGTCCAGGTTGAAGGAGGGTCTACGAATGCATGTTGGAAAAAGTGGCGGTTTGCATACCGAAGAAAATTAAAGGGGGTACAGATCGATGACTCTTGAAGTTGCATATTGAAGGACGTGCATGGAGAGGGCGCTCTTTCAGGGACAGGATCATGGAAACGGCCAAGTGTTTGTAGAACGCGGCCTTCTAAAAGCGTCCGTCTCGAATTGACGCCGAAGCCAGGTTCCTAGCAATATAGAATGTAGTGGCTGTCAGTAAATATCGTCGTGTATATGGAAATGATCTCTCTCTACGAGGGTTTTGATGAAGTTATTTTCGATAAGCATGTTCATGAAGGGCTTGTACAACATCTTGGATCTTGTAGTGGAGTGACGGGCGTTCCAGAGGTGCGTGGCGTGTCGAGCGCACGGCGAAGTCGCGTCAGAGCATACCTCGTGAGAAATGAGCCTGTCAATTAAATAATGTTCAGTCTTGGCAGAATGCGGCTTAATTCAACCCTGGTCAACAAGGCAAATGCTTTGATGTCAGAATACAGTGCTTTCAACCTAGCCCACCTAAAACGACGCCCTCCATCCATCAGCTACCTACTCCGTACCTATCAAGATGTTAGCGCGATACCATTACCACAAGATAGATTGGTAGCCCAGGCGCATAGCCAAAACGTACGTCTTGTCAATATCTGATGAGATAATAACCATAATTCGCAGGGTCGCTGAAAAATCTGCTCTAGATGTTGTTTTTGATAGGCCCACAGCCTCTCTTTCTGCCTTATTCGGGGGCCGTCACTTGTAAATCAGCCAGTCCAAGCTCTCCAAAGGAACACTAGTGACTGCTCGTAGTTTTATCTCTTGGAAACTCAATTGCTCATGGATGTCTTAAAATTTAGTACTCAAGAGTAGAGGGCAATAAAACGTCAATCTTTGAGTTACCATTGTGTTCATTTTATTGAATCCTTGAACACTATGATACTAGGAATCCAAGATCAGGCTCTTTCAAAGGTGGGTTGGTTGCGAATCAACTTTCATGGTTTCAATTTATCGGACGACAATTCACTTATATCATATAAGAAGAAGACGTGAATATAATGGAGATATCTTAGATGAATTTTCAACAAAGAGTGTGTCGCCACGCTCGTATAGTCTTTACGTTTTGCCTTTTCCTATATATTTACAAACCTATATGCAGGCATGGAAACGATGATCAGGTACAGTGGATGATTTATGAAGTGATTTTCTCCCACCTGACACATGAAAAGCAGCGCCACTTGAGTGTAGCCAAGTCGTAATGCATTGTGAATTCGAGATCGGTTTCTTTTTTGTAAAAAGAAAAAAAAGCTCAAGCTGACTCAAAACGGCCGCATTGTATTATCGAAAGGCCTGTTTTCTGGACTTATCGGAGAGTGAAGGCGAAGTGAACAATATATGCATGATTCACTGTTGATCTGACGCGCCTAGTTTCTTCGCCAATGAGAGAGTAAAGAACCGTGAGCTACATATGCATGATTCATTGTTGATTTGGCATGCCTAGTTGTTCAACCAATTAGAATGTGAAGAAAAGGTGAACGGCATATGCATGATTCACTGTTGCTCTGACGCACCTTGCCAGCCACCAGCTGGAAGCCCTTCGTGCCCCGGTGAAATATCTCGCATTCTCTTTTCTTCTTCCTCTCTTTTCTTCCTCTTCTTCTTCTTCATCGCTTTATCGTCTTCTGCCCGGTAAGTCCGCCCTTTTCAGAGTAGTCTTTTCTCGATGATACTTGTATCAACCCGAAGGACATGCAAATAGATGAAGTTGATGACTGACATTTCATAGTTCGTCTCCAACGCTACCCCTGCCGCCCGATCTTGCCTCCCTGGAGAGCAAGATCGTTTTTTTTTCGTCGCCCGTCTTCTGCTTTCGACATCCTGTCCAGTCTCATTACGAGCTGGCGTTTTTTTAATCAGTCTCACTACGAGCTGATGTTATTTGGTGTTTTTCGCCATTTGGTCGACGATCTTCCCTTCCCCTCCCGTCCAGTCTCACTACGAGCTGGAGTCTTTTTATAATCAGTCTCACTACGAGCTGATGCCATTCGGTGTTTTTCGCCACTACGTCGACGATCATCTCTTCTCTTCCCTCCAGTCTCACTACGAGCTGGCGCCAATTTATTATCAGTCTCACTACGAGCTGGTGACTATCAGTTGTCTCATCCTGACAGCTATATACCCTTGTCGACATGTCTCAATCAAGATCTACCGCAGCGGGTCCAAACCCTGGAGCCCCCCATTACTGGAAGCCGTGCGCACTGGTGATTGGGGAAAACTTTTTCGGTGGCAGTGGTCTCGGTATTAAAACTCAAATTAATACCGCGATTCACATCCACAGGGAGACTGAAGGAACTTCTTGGTTGGGCTTCACCATCGAAATTCCGTTTGGAGAGAGCAACGAAGACGATGGCTTTGGTGTTTGCCACACATGTAAGTGAATAGAGTTTCGGTTATTGGCTTAGAGCTGGGCTAATTGTGTCTCCCGTTTCTAGATGATCGCGTCACGTTGAAGAGCATCCCCGTGGACCGTTACAAGATCGAGATCTCCTTCTCTCTTGATTCGGCGTTCACCATTGAGACGCTCAGCGACGAGCTCGAGAAGATGCTGCCTCCGACTGACAAGAAACTGTCATGGCTCGAGGTTCACCTGAAAGAGCGTCCTACGATCAAAGGATTCGGCATGCCTTTTGCCAATCGTGGACATCCAAGCGACGGGTTCGTCAACCACGATGGTGCGATATACGGTAAAATGCTGGTCGAGATCCTTCAACAAGATACCTTCCAGTTCGTTGTCGCTGCTCCAAGCCAGGTCCTTGAGAAGTTTTGGGTTCAGCAGATGCCCGATCCATTCAGGTATCCATATGGCGAAGTGCACTTCTGGGACATGGGTCGGTACGACGAGATTCTCCCCGCGACCAAGGGCAGCCAATTTACTCGCGCCCTGTCGTTTGACAACGATAACGAGCATCTCGCTGCGCTCTCGCAATCCCAAGTGCAGGATATCATGTGGGTTTATAAAACTGCGCTCGAGATTGCCGAAACTCCGCTCCGGGCCTACTTCATCCCAACCCACGATGGCAAGGTAGAGGATTGCAAATTCTTCTACGTCATTGTGCCACTTGGCAAGGCCTTCTTGGAGAAGTACGAGGAGACATGGCGCCGCCTGACCAAAGGTGGGTTGCTAAAGCTCAACGTCTGGGACAACGAAGAGGACGACGTTGCCGTTGGATGGGACGCACGCATCCAAGAAGCTTCACGGGGCATAGAGGTTCTCGAGAGACACCCATCTGATATCAATGACCTCGTTCTATATGTTCGAAGGCCCCGCGAAGAGGACCTGCTGCGCGATGATATCCCGGTGAAAGTCTTTGGCGATCGGAGAAAGGCCAACCTGGCGCTGCAGAATGACAAGGAGCAGTAGAATTGCGTTTCCTTGGAATTCCCGGACCAGATCGGGGATTACAAGATCAAGGTCAATGCAGTGTGGGCCTTCCATCCGGATGCCAGGCCTACCAATCCCGTCGGATGCGGCATGCCCAAGGCCAAAACGGAAGAGGCCAGCCAACGGATACCAATCCCCGAGGACATCAAGTTCAAGATGGCCCTTCATCGAGCCCTTCTGCGAGGCACTGGCTTCTATGATGTCCTCGTGCGATCCCCGGATGAGATCGACCAACTTGCCCAGAGCTTGGCCAACGCAGAGATTGACATGGACATCGCCGACAAGGGTAGTCTCCTGCTTCCCAAGCGTCTCCCAGTGATCGATCTCATGGATATGCCTCAGGAACATCTCAAGGCCCTGATCGAAGAGGCTCTCCCGGCGGACCGAGAACGCTTTGTCAAGTACTTGAGTGAACGACCTCTCGGACTTGGCTGCATCACAGCGGTAAGTGCTTGTTTATCATAGAGAGTTCCAAAGAGACAATTGTGCTAACATGGCGTTAAATATAGGGACCTGGCTTCGGCAAGACGACAGCGTTGGCGATTGGCACCCTGGCTATGGCGGCAACCCTCGGCCAAATCTACGGCACGGCTCCTACTCACGTCGCCACTGACAACTTTGCCGAGCGGCTCGACCGCATCTCGCAGACCGTGACTAGTCGTCGCAACAAGGGCAAGCTACCCGACGACAGCACGCGAGCCTGCCGAACTCTTGTCATCCGGGGCTACAATACCGGAGAGGAGTACTGCGCATTTATCAATACCTTGCGCGATCCTCGAATTGGCGAGAGGGCAGCGGCCAGCCGGAAGTGGAAGCCCGACGCCCATTGGAAGCTGCATCTGTCCCCTTCTTATTGGCTCCTCAAGGCGCTGCGATTCCGTGACAGCCAGATTGTCAGCCCAATGCATGAAGATGACCCCGCGGTTATCTTCGGTCTCCAGGCATACCTCGACAAGGCCGATGAATATAAGGGCCTGCGCGACGTAGCTACTGGGGCCATCAGCTGGCAAGAGTACGAGCGGAACATCCTCGAGGCGGACAAGATCAAGGTGTTGTTGGCTGGCCTTGTCAACAAGGCTGAGATCCTCTGCACGACCCCGTCACAGTCATGCAAGCCAGTCTTCAGCGAATGGAAGCAAGAGAGAGCCAAGGGCATTGCGGTCGATGAGGCGGGTAACATTAACCGCCCCGACCTATACCGTGTATGGGGCAACACTCTGCTGCCTTGTCTCATGGGCGGTGACGATCTGCAGCTGCCTCCGACCGTCATGACGGTCGATGAAAAGGACGAGGAGGGCCATCACCGCAATCGCCTGGCCCAAGATGGCAAGATCTCGGCCCTAGAGTTCTTCAGAGCTTCCGGATGGCCCATATTCCGCCTCCGGACCCAGCTACGCATGGCCAAAGGCCTCTTCGACACCTGCCATCGTGAGGTGTACAACGACGTGCCCTTCAGCTACGGCACACAAGGTGCCCTTGTCAATCACGGTCCTGGCGTCAACTTGGAGAAGTACCTAAAGGACAGATTTCCCAAGTTGACTGCTCCTGCTGCTGGGACCCTGAGCGAGGTCTTTGTGCACTGCGAGGGCACGGAGTGCATCGTCGATGAGGTCACCCATTCGAAGAGAAATCCGGACCAAGTCGCCAACGCCCTCGACTTCCTGACCGACATGGTCAAAAAGTCGGGCATCAAAGCCGCCGACATCGCCATCATCACGCCGTACGCGGCCAATGTCGAGCTGATCAACCGCCGTCGGACGAGGCCCGAGCACGAGGCTCTCTCTACCATGCCTCCAGCTGCCACCGTCGACTCCTTCCAAGGCCGCGAGGCCGACATAAGTAAGTACCTACATCACTTTTCGAACTTTGTTGGATACAGATCACTAACTAAACTGATTATAGTGGTGGTCATCATGGGAACAACCGAGGAGGTCGGCCCTGGCTTTACCACCGACCAGCATCGGCTCAACGTGATGCTCAGTCGGCAGAAGAGCGGCCTCCTTGTGTTCGGCGACATCAACGTCGTGGGACGACCGCAGCCGCCGCAGCCGCAGCCAACCAGAGGCCGGGGTGGTGCTAGGGGTGGCCGGGGTGGCCGGGGTGATGCCAGAGGTGGCCGAGGTGGCCGAGGCGGCAAGAACTTTGTTGTGGTGTCTGGTGGTGTCGCCCACACGGCGAAAGAGGGAATGTTGCACCGGGTTCTTCGTCAATGGAGAACAACCGGGCGCGTCGTCACGCTGCCCCCGCGGCCCAAGCCCAAGTCCAAGGCGGGCCCGTCGAGGCCTTTCAAAGAGCCATCGAAGCCCGACACACCGTCGAAACCAGCTGCTCCGTCTTCAAAGGGCAAGGAGTACGCGGCCCCCTTGGACCAGGAAAGGTTTGTTGCTGCGTGGTAAGGGGCGGGGGGGAAATCTGTGGGTTTTGGCAGAGCTATTTAGATCGTGAGGTGCTTAGGTAGTTATTAACAGTGATTGACTGCAAACATACGGAGTACAACTCCATCGCCTTCAAATTCCAAGTGACTATAAGATGTTGCTCCATAAGGAGTGGTGGTGTCTAGTATCTAAGTACGTTTTCCTTGGTACAAGACCGCCTGTGAGGAGCATCTCGTTTACAGTCGGTTGTGACACTTTCCCTTCACGCTTATCTTCTTGGCTATTTCAGACTCCTGAATCCTGATCAACTTCTTCGGCCGAGAGGTATGATTCAGATTACTAGATGATGATATGTTGGAAGGCAACACCATCACTAGCTTCAAACTGGATTGGTTGTTTGCTTCCACTAGATATAAATAGACCAGGCGTGTAGACTGGACGCCCTGAATGGACACTCCTTTTACAAAATAAATAAATAAATAAATTGATTGAAATGCGCTCTAATGAAAAGATAGGCAACATCTGTCATATTTGGGCATTGTTTTGACCAGCTCAAAGATTGGAGCGATCAAGAGGCAACGCATTTTGGCTTGCTAGTAAACAATATGAAAAATCCAATGATGAGGAAGAAGTCACTACCTGTCTAGACAATTATTTTGAGATTGATAGAAATGGGCACACCACGAGAAAACTACATTCCAAGGGGAAAAAAAAATCCAATACAATAGTTGCCTGAGATTCGGGGACGCCGGCCGGGAGCGGTGGATGGACTCCCCTGATAGTACTTAGATGAATAATGGGCAAGGGCATCACATAAACACAATTATTGACGTACAAGATAAGTTGAATCCATTCATTGTGCAGGAATCTAGGTGGCTTTGCTGAAATATCAACAGGGCACTTAAATCCTTCAAAGTAGCCTGACAGCATTAGATGACTGCTACTGCTCTCTATATCGGCTCCACGGTTCTGAAAGTCTAGTCATTTAAATACTCATTCCAGATATCCATTGTATGGCCTTCTGCCTCACCGGCACGACTGCAGACATATCGCAGCCTCTCTCGACCCCAGCGACTGATCTGACGACTCTATCGACACCGACCCTCATTGCGAGGCTCTGGGAGAGAGGATGTTGTCTCGAAGCTTCCGCTCCACTTCGCACCATCCTTCGCCCATCCTCCGACATTGCCAGCTCGTTCCACCTCGCCATCCATCTCCTTCTTGGTTCTGAGAGAGATCTTGAGAGAGGCCAATGTAACATATGACCGCAATGCAAGGCAAGCATAGCCAACGGTTCATGAAATTCCTCCGCAGACAGCATTTCTTTCTCTTCGATATCGCCGCATGGGCTATCGTCATGGCCATCAAGTTGTGGCAGCTATACGGCTCGACTCAGCCAATGCTTCCTCCCATGTCCGCCACATAAGGCGTCGAAATCTTGCTCAGCAGACGCGTAGTTGTCGAACATGGGGTGGCATTATTGTCAGATTTATGAGGATTATGCCGACACAATCCTCATAGCAGGTATCGTAGGAAACGTTTGTAGATTCGCCAGGGGACTTTGAGAAAGGGTGTCGGGAACATCTATCAGAACGCCAGGGGTTAGTGAGCGTAAATAACGTTAAAATATTCCAACGCAGCACGCCTACCGAAGCAGATGACCAGGAAGTTTGAACTGATAATGGGACGACTGATACGTTTCTTGTTGCGGAACTAGGCCTTCACCTTCAGGTGCCATGCAATCAAGGCGACAGCCAGGATTCCAATCATGACAGACACGCTGAGTGTGACCTACGCGCTGGGAGGTACTTGACTTTTCCCCTACCGTCGCCCGCGGGTATGGTGACAGTTTCGGGTATGTTGCTGTACGACCACTAGCCTGGAAGGTGGGATATTGAAGTAACAATGAGAAATGGCTCACACGTGTTAAAAAAGAAACAAATAAATAAGGAAATAAATAAAGAGAGAAAAAAAAAAGCATTTCAATTAGCTTACAGCTGGAATGCAGCGCATGTATGCAGCTGCGCCAGCTGGTGGTGCTTGCTGAGTCAGTCATCATCTTCTTTCAACCAGTTGCCCGTACCTACAGGTAGCTAACTCGGCATAGAATCGCTAATACGCGTTTGACGTCCGTAACATCCACTGCTATGCGTACTTCTTCCCCAGCAGATAATCACCTCAATCCATATCAAACCGTCATAGCCGGCCCTAAGCCAAGCGCCCGGGAAAAACCCCATTCAATTATCCTTGGAGCGCGCACGATGAACTGACGGAGAAGAAGGAAGAACTCAGCAACCAATATCCCCCGTACGTCAACATTGGACGTCGCAGGGGAATCCGAGTTCAAGAGAGTAGGAGCCATTGAAAAATGGTACTGCCCTCATCAACATAACTTGGTAGGTACTTCCCTGATCAACCTAGCTGACCGCGATCAAAAAGGGGGCATCCATCAACTTCTGAAGACCTGATCAAACTACTAGGTACATATGCATACTTACCTCATGGTTTATCTCCGTACAGTCACTCCGCATAGCGGCCGAGATTAAAACCGTACATATAAACTCGATCCATCCGACCACCCTAGATCAAACCGCGCAGCCGCCTTCATCTTGCCTACACACGCCAAAATGGCCTTCTGCATTGTATGTTGTATTATATGATCTTCTGGTAGGCCCCAAAATATGACGTCGTGACACTGACCCTAACATATCTTGTCGATATCTCTCAACTCCTTCTGCCATCGCGCTACTACATGGATTTCGCGCCTTAACAAGTCGATAAGAGAAGACGATCTGATCCCACTTTGCCGAAAAATCAATCATTGAACCGTTACCTTTCGAAAGCTTCCGCCTCGATTCAGGGTTGGCGATATCGCCGTGGAAGGAGTGTCCAAGCAGGCATGTTGCCAATTCGACGCTGCACTAGGTAGTCAGAGCTTTAAGAAGGCACTCAGGCCTCGGTTGCCGAGAGTTCATGAACAGACGGGATTGTGACCTTTCGGAAGCGTTTGCATCCACGCAGGATGGCAATGGAACAGCCCCTGTTGGAAAGAATCCGAACAGGCATCTCTTTGTCAAAAATCTATCATTAAGAGCTCCCTAGTCGCACATGAGGTTGCGACCTCCAGAAAATGTTTCCAACAAACCAACGATGGCGATGGAGCAGTTCCATAGGGAAACGAAAGGATGCTGCCACTCCAAATCCCATCTCCCCTCAACGCACTGACCGTTAAAATATACAGATACCTTACTGGGTTGCCAATCGAGCGGACATCAAACATATCCATCTCTTACAGAATAAGCCGATGCTGTCCCGAACTAGCAATGCCGATAGAGGCGGCCAAGAGGGCAAACCCAACGACGCTGCCAACTGGAAGCTCTTGCACCGGCAGCGAACACATCTGTATCTTGCACAATGACCAGAAGAAGCATCTGATCTTCACAGCACTGGCTGATGTTGTGACGGGGAAGCTAGTGTGGGCTGTCTATATGGCTCTGGACCACGGACCGAATCGTCTGTAAAAAGGCCCCAGTATATTCGTGACGGCCTTGAAACTTACAGGTTCTCGACCAAGACTGAAACCCAATACCTCCTCAAAGTTCCTAGGCGAAGGCACTACGGCTGCCATGTTGGCGATGAAACACTCCATTTATGCGATAATCATGCCGAGGAGAGACTAGTCATCTTCTTCCACAGCTATCGCCTCGCAACAAGACACAAATGGCAATCACTACAGCGACTGTTATGGACAATCACGTGGTGTCCATATTCGATAACGAACACAACACACGGCGGGCCGGGAGGGAAGGCACATCCCCGAACATGTGGTTTCTATCAACACCAGCATTGTCATTATGACAGTATCATCAGCCTCAGCAATTCCTTTTCCGGAGCTGTTTCCAATGATCCATCCACAACGTCTGTCCGCCATCTTGTCCTGGAGAATGAGGACATTGTTGATATGGCCGGCGTGGCACGTAAAGTTCCGGCAGTTGGTGCCCGCATCTTGGGTATGGGAACTTTGCTCAAGAGCTCAATCGCGGAACGTTGGAGTTCATTATGTTCGAGGGCCTGGCTAATAAATATCGCGCAGCCGTCTGCCAGGCTGGACCAATATGACGAGCATGCTCCCAACCTCGACAGAGCAGCTTGACATCATTACGAGAAGCACAAACATGGCGGCTATCCTGGCCTCACGAAGCTCCTTGGCCGAATTGAGAAGGAAGAGGTTCTTGACAGGGAAGAATGGACGCTTCTTTGCCGCTTGGTCACGGCCATGTACCGTATCTTCTTGCTGGTGCTGACTTAGCTGCCACGACTCCTTTGCGCAGCCTCTGGTAGCTTTGCCAAGTTATTTCGCCCAGAAATCATTTTTGAGGATGATGCATCGTATCCGAGAGAGTTGACGACACTCATACCACTTGCATACTTTGACCTTGTTTGTGGTCATCTGTGAACACTCAACCAGCTCTCTACATCACGCAAGTCAGTTTTCTTTGACAATCAACGCAGATACAAGTCGCCGGTTATGCTAATTCTGAACTATTAGAGCTTCGGCTTGCGGATGTTTCAAGCCCTTCTATTAATCAATGTCCCTGAGCGCCAGCTTTATCCGACCATCGCTGCCTTAAGCCAATCAACCGAAAAGTCCTACTACCATGATCTCGATTGGTTGCCTAAGTGCACAGTCAAATCGCACTGAGCCCGAATGGCGAAACTCCAACCTGCCATCACTCCGCGACCGCATATCACCCCTACCCCTCTCTCTATGTGAAAGGCTCGCTCGTCTTCTTTTTAATAGCAGCACCAAGCTCTCTACATATACTGCGTTAGCAGCCAGTCACTAGTTCATCGATTAATCTAGAGTGCCATTTCGGCTGCAAACATTTCAACAACAAACTTGGGAAAGCGGGTGTATAATTCCGCGGTGCTGAAAAGAATAAGCGGCATGATAGATTGTGTTAATATGAACAGTTGGCGCCAGGCAATGTTCTTGGAGCGTCCACGAGAACTTTTAGCCATTTCATGTCTCTTCGTGAAAGTCGTTTCGATTCTACCACCTCTAAGCAGTATCGATACATACGGTTCGTGCCCTGGTTAGAATATCGTATGTTCTTGTTAAGCGCGCGTGATTTATCAGCAGAATCAGCGGCCACAACTTCCTGTCTCATCGCATTATATACTCTCCGTAATCACGCGCCTTTCCCTTAGAACTCCTTTATCCTCACCTCTCTGTACTCCTCTCGCTGTTTGGTGCACGAGATACTGTAGTCAATTTGCTAGAAAGCAGTCGTTCTGCGGATTCGCTGCATTGATCGTAACCGGTTTGTATCTCCACGAACATTTATATTATCAGTCAATCCAGCCGAGCCAAGCGACGATTTGTTGGGATGCAGTTTGATCAACTTGCAGAGTTCCTGGCCGCACCATTTCCAGGCTGTAAATTTCTGCCCAACAGCGAAGACAAAGTCAGTGAAAATGGATAATTCGTGCTCAATATGAAGCGTGCTACAAATAACTATCTTTTAGTTCACAGCTATGACCTTCCAGTCCCGCCCCTCAGCCTAATGCGTAGTCTCGAGGCAGTCAGATAGATCTGGAAGCAGCGGGTTTCGTCTCTCTGATTCCGGCTACGCAATTTATCAGATCATCAATGAGAAAGTGCGGTAATTTTTGGCTCCCGTTATTCATTATCTTATCCTCAGTTTCATGTTTGCGCATTCTTGCCAAATTTTAGACAGACAGTGGTTGGGTGAATTCTTTCACCATGTCAACCCACACGCACGGTCCATTGCCCCCCATCTGCTTCTTTGAGTCGGGGCAACGTTTGGAGAGATAAAAAGAAACGAATCAATGCGACCGAATGATTGAGTGATCTGGTTCCGTGGTGGAACTGGGTGCCTTCCTGACGGACGGTCGACCACCTTGTTTCGCAGATGGCGAAGCCTTGTTGAACATGGATACTATTGTGAATAATTTTCACCACACATACTCATCTTTTTATAAATTCGGAGCATGTGTCGCTCGTACTATGAAGTCAATATCCATTGTAGACTGCGCAGGCAACATTTTGCGAATCGTATCATGATCATTCAAGAGAGGAAGGATACATACAATATCAACTTGACCAATTTTGTAGGCGTTTGGAACACGCCTTTTGCAAATCCAATCGCCCTCTTGAACCTGGAAGCGGTCTTTTGAAGCCAAATGCGTAAAAACATGGATGCGTACAGGTCTAGCCTGTGTGCTATATCGAGCGTCAATGCCTTATTAGCGGGCACCTAAATTGAATTAATTGTGTGCCGCCTACCTAGCATCTCTTGGGAGCCGGTCTTGCCCCTTATCAGGAACAGAAATCGGCTTCGTGGATAATTCGTACGTTTTGTTCTTCCCGTTTTCTCGCCTTTTCAGCAACTAGTATTACATTTATAAAAATTCTGAATATAGAAGAGGTACGAGTCAAGGTACATGTAGACAGCACCCATTCCCCAAATATATCGGGAGAATGCGTGGACGTACCCATGCAAACGCGCTGAAGGGTGCGTGCGCATTTACTTGGAAGCATTTACTTGGAAGAATCTAAGAGGTAGGAGAGCCAACACTCCACTTGGAATCCCTGGTTCTACTCGAAACAAGTCGGCCATCACTGCTACGCAGGCGATTGAGTAGCTTTATCAGGTCAAAGATCAACTCGCCATCGAGAAACAGCGAAACCAGCAGCTCGCTGAAGAGCCCACATGATTGCAGCCTTGGAAACCAAAACATCAGAAATTCAGGAGTTTCAACCTCAAACCGAGACTCTTCGAAATAGACTGCACACATATCTGAGTTGTCACAGCAGAGTTTTGAAGAGCTAGATCCCGTGAGAGAGGCTTGCTACAGCACAGTTTGAGAGCAAGATCCCACGCACGCAGCCGCAAGATTTGCGTACATAGATACAGATACTTGGCTCTAAAACACGCTGAAGGATGCTATTTGCGCGAGAAATCGGATTCCGGGGGGATCTTCGCTCTGGTACGTCGGCTTGACGTTGCTTCAGCGCTTCTGGCGGCACGAAGCTCGTTTGCTTCTCAATCGTATCACGAGCGGCGACCTTGCCGATCGCACGCGAATTTCGGTCATTTCGGACTTCATCGGCGGAATATCTTACCTGTGCCACAAAATGGACGTTCATGACCGCCATGCGCCTTGATATGCACTCCCGAACCAAAAGTAATCTTCTTGTCAATACTCCATCACATTCCCATGCGCTCATTGATTGGCAATTTGGTACTGTCGGGACTAACTTCGCATAATTCTACTTAGAAAAATGAGCCACATGCGACTCCCTTTTCTCGCCAGTTCACGCAAGCAACAATGCAATTCCGGAGATCCAAATCCATACCACCCCAACAAGAGTCAAAGACAGCTCTCTGGCATACCGGTATCTTGGGCCGTACTAAGTGCTCCATTTGCCACTCGCAGTTGTAATGATCCTCTGCATCACGCTCGCCCATAATCGCTCCAGCCTACGAGTTATTGTATCGCCTGTTCTAACTCTGTGACTCCGCCCAATAACCTACATGTATCTAAATTGCTACTCTTATTCGCCCTCTCCGACATCCATTTTACCCATCCAAAGTTAATGTGTATAATACGTTGGTCTTGTCCTTCCAACTGTTTCCACTATCACGCCTTCTCTCAGGTCATTCCCAGTCAATTGGATAGTGATAAGAGAGAATATACTCTCAAAGCGAGGTTTGGAAAAATGGGGCTTCTAAATCAGTGTCTATATGTATTCTCGTTCATTCGAACGTAAGAGGGAGCTGTGTGGGCATCAGTAATCGGCAGCTCAGAGATATCCGCTTTTCCATCATTCCTCTTTATCTAAAACGTATGTAGTTGTTGAGATTCTTCTCCTATTCCTCATGTCATCCTTGATGGTTATTCTGCTAACTTATGACAGCTTCCATAAACATTTTCCCCATTCTTCCTCTCGCTCAGCATTGATTTGGCCACTCTTGCAAGTAGCCACTGCAACATTTGTTCAAACGTGAATTTCCAACTCTCAACCTCACAGTATGCTGTCATTCATATTCATCTCTAACCCCTGTTTCGAATATCTCCATCTCGTCCCCTTGACCATCGAGAAGCACCAGGATCCTTGACGTCAAGTCCGCTGTTCAACGGCCTGCTGTGGGGAGCAGCCGGGCATCTGTAGGCGGTGCTCTCGCTCTCGTTGCGCACGGCAGAAGCGCCGGCCTGTCTAGCAAGCAGCAGAGGGTGCACGTCGGGCTCGCGCGACGAGGCGATACGGTACGTGACGAGGACAATAAGCAGCGTCACCAGCCCAGTCGAGTCGGCATTCCACTGGCCAATAAAGCCAGTGATGCCGGTGTGGAGGCTCTCGAGGATGCTCACTCCGTGCTCGAGAGCAAGGCAAGGGAGCTTCCAGAGTCGTGGTTATGCCGTGCATATAGCTACGGGAGTCTGAAGCCCACCATCTGCACATGTTGTTACTCTTCTCTCCTGTCTATTATCATGGGCACTCAGCCACTCCCATTTATGAATTAATTGTTCGGTAAATGCGTCAATGGAGTCTTGCCAAGTTGAGATGGCATATGCTGCCCAGAGTTGCGGCCATGCCAATGATCCGTATTCATAGCCCTAGGTAACCAAAAGATTAGAAAACGGCCATCTCAGGGGTGATTTGAGGAGCATGGAAGGCTTACAGCACAATGCAACCTAAGCCAAGAGGTCTCTTGCTCATATAGTTATAGACGTGCGTGTGATCATCGGGTAAAGCATCCTGAAGTAGGGCAGTGAGATAATCGTGATCAACTTTGAGGAGATCCACCACGTGGAGGCTGCGTGTAGCCTCCTTGTTGAGGAATAGACACGCGCTCTCAAGGCCATCTACAAGCTCTTCGACCTCATATAGTCCATCTTTATCTTGCCCAGAGTTGCGGCCATGCCAACGGTGGCAACGGATATCGCGGTCGTCTTTATGAATCTAGGATCCTAGAACAAATGAGAAGTTAGAAAACAGCTAATTGAGTAGTGGTTCGAAAGAAGGCTTACAGCAGAAATGCATTCCAATCCAATGAGTCTCTTGCTCATGTAGTTATAGAATCGTGAGCGATCTTCAGGCAAAACATCTTGAAGTAGATCGGTGAGATGATCGTGATCAAGGTCGAGATTCACAACTGGGAGGCGGCGGCGTGTAGCCCGACTGTCACCTAGACGAATGTTCTGAAAGTCATCGGCAAGGTCTTCGACCCCATATAGCCCATCATCAATACCGCGCACAAGAACATCGTAGAAGCCATTGCCTCGCAACAGGACCCGATGAGGAGCCATCTTGAACTTGGCATCTTGGGCTATTGGCGACGGAGAGGCTAGAGCAAGATTTCGCGTAGTGCGAGGATGAAACATATAACCGGCGTCGATGTTGTCTTGCACTCCTTAACGCGGAGGTCAAACTCCAGAGAAATAGAGTTCCAAATGTTCTCATCCTCGTCGAAGGCAATGTTAGCAGCTCTAAGGTTGCTGAAAATATGAACATTGAAGTCAGGACGATGATGAAGTTGACCCTGCGGCGGCTCGCGAACGCGGAGAATGAGGTCGTCTTCGCCCATCTGATGGTGGGCCATAGCGTCACGCCATCGGGGATTGTCCATAATCTTGACAGCCCAGCTTACTGGAACCTGATCATAGTCGCTATAGAAACTCTTCTTTGACTAGTTTCTGCTATGCGTTTCGGAATTGATGGAGGAAGCCTTGACCAAGAGGCACCACCGCGTAGAATTTGTTGCCCAGAGAGGTTTCCTTGACATTGGTGGAATAGGCGCGAGGTTTCATTTCTGCAATGTCTCGAGTCTTCGCACCGGGGACCGGGGGAGTTGCTCCTCGTATTGTTGAATAGACCAAGAGTGTACGTCTCTATAAGGGTATGCGAATGGTCCTGATAGCTCTTGCGACCAGTGCTTCTCAAGAGCGCTGGAAGACGTAGCAACGATAATAGAGAAATTTCTCTGCTCGGCAATGTCGATCAGTGTCATATATCCCATAATTAGCCTGCTGACATTAACAGCCATCTCTGGGCTGCTTTCAAGTAACTTGGAATACTTATAGCAGCAACGCCACCAAATTCAAGAGGCCTGTTGCTCACATAGTTATAGAAATGTGCGTGATCATCAGTCAAAATGTCTTGGAGGAAGGCGTTGACTTGATCACCATCAACATTGGGTTTGGCGGGGACACCAATAGGTCTTTTGACCAACACTTCCTTTGAGTGTTCGTGCGTAGAAGCCATATATGAGAAATTTAGCTTCTCCATTTCGTCAATCAGCGTCCTAATTCCAGCAATCAGTCTGCCGTCGTGGCCATCTATTATTTAGACAGCTAGTATCGTCAAATGGCATCTCTTATCTCTTTACTGCCAGCCGGTATCTTGTATGTGTTGGATAAAACGTGGTGACTGTCTGCCATTACACCGAAAGTGTTACTCAAGGCCTTTCATAGCTTGTAGCTCTTGAGAGCAACTGGTCAAATGACGTGTCGCTTACGTTAGCCCATGATAAACACAGCACCATGGTTATCGTCTTTTAATGGAAGTTGAATCGAGAAGCCTAAGTGAAGACTTTTTTTGAGGTTCTTGGCACATATCACCACGTTGTGCTGCCCCAAATGGAAGCTGAGTCAAAAAGCCCGAATAAAGTACTCTACCTCGTCCTGTTGATAGCGCTCCTTACCAGGGCTTTTCGATTCAACTTCCATTTGGGACAGCCCAACATAGCCATATTTGATGCCGACACTAGGCGTTCATAATCGAGAAATTCACTGCTTCCCAATCTCCTGTAGAGAGTGCGGGCTACAGATATGATGCTGCAGACGAAAAGTTGGGAGTTTATGAATCGAAGTCGCCGTTTCCCAAGGCGCACGGTCACAACAAACGGCTCGGCGGTGAAAAATTGTTCATGCTATTGATGTTGAAGGATAGCAGTCGATCCCTGTCTAATCATTTGAGAGGACGGGTATATGTAAAGTCAGCCATCACCTTCCAAGCGTCTTTGGAGATTCGTCAAAAGGGTTGAGCTTACGAGAAACAAAGGGCGTCGCGACCTTAGGTGGAAGTTTGTGGTCCAGCAGAGACACAAAGATGGAGAGGAAACTAAGAAATACATGGATCTTTGTGGGCGTAAAATTTTTACACTGTGCTACATTCGCCAATTCTCAATTACCTCATTGTATCACCAAACAATTGCCAATTCACTGCCTTGTATTCTCTTTAGGCTGTTGTTACCAGGGACCTTGTATAACTGCTGCCAACTAAGACGTGAAAATAGAAGAGAAGACTTGATTCACTGGATAACTATCTCCCAGGAACCTTAGTAGTTAGTTGACGACGTCGTTTCTAGAAGTTAACTACTAGGTACAAGCTACGTGTAGCGGAAGCAGACATTGCCACACTGTAGATGCTATGGTGACTGGCAAACTGCAGGCCCAATGACTCCCATCGCAATATCGATTGGCAACCCCTCTTCAACCAGCTGTCATGCGTACCATTCAATGCCCCAGTCGTGTCCCCAATCTGACCAATCTTTCCTAGCCGCACGCTTTGGATATTTAATTTCAGAATGCAAGACATCTTTAATATACCTCGCTGCTGCGCTGCTGCGGTTAACCGCTTCTTTCTCGAAAGTCTTCAACAATGCCTTCTGTTAAAAGGGTTCTCTTTTTAACACATTTGCCTTCTTCATACCGCAGTTTTGACATATCATCATATATACACGCTGGTTGGCGGCGGCAATTGCTTGCTTGTCGCCTTGCCTTGCCAATTTTGGGACGCGCTCACTGACTTCTCATCCTCTATACATGTCTTCTACAGGAGTTTTCCAATACTACTGAACGGATCTGTTCTGTGCGCAAATGATTCCAATTTTCCCCAACCATTCCAACGAGTGTGCCCGTTGTTCAGGCTACATACCTGTATTCACCCTACGGCCTTACCGAGAGGGAATGACTATTTTGGAGCTTCAAATAGATGTGTAGCCCGCCCTTCACTACAAATTCAACTAATCTATGCTGTTGATCATATCTGTGCTTTGCTAACAGGGAACCCTCTAGTCAGGTGTTTCGTATCCCCAATATACAGTTGGCGAAATCTCAGGCTTATATGATCAACACAATAATATGTTATCGAGCTACTCCAGAGCAGACTGGCGGTCTCAGCTAAGTCGGTCTTCACAGGCACAATACATGTACGCAAGATTTACCGCCACTTAATCTTTGTGTCCTTATTTGCAGCATCGTGATCTGCCTAACAAAGTACCCCTGACGCCAAGCACAAGATTTACGGCTCTTTGACCCCCTTTCCTAATTTTGTGCCAATTTCGACGGCATAAAGCACGACATTGAGAAGTATCCGACTCACTGCCTCTCGACTACTCAAGACTGTTCAGTGTGCAATCAACCAGACCGAAGTTCAATACAGCATAGATGAGGGTATACGATCATGGCGCTAGAGTTTGTCGACTACGTTCTTTGGGGCGCCACCCATCTGAGTAACTTTCTTGAGAGGCGCTTGAACTTCCGTTCAGTAGGGGGTGACTATGACTGCTTGATAATCGCAAGCGAGGTTTGCTGCAGCTGTTGGCCGCTATTCTGGAGTAGGAATCCTTCGTTCGAGGAATAATTGGCTCCATCAAACATGGGGACGAGAGCTAGTGATGATAACATATTGATATTTTGCAGCTGACCATGTTTCTTGGCAGGTGGGACCTCGTTTTCAGCGCGTTTGGGTGAAAATTAGAGCTTTGGAGTGAGTGGTGATCGGGTCGATGTATTGGATTTTCGGCTCCCATGATGAGCTCTGGTCTGAGCTTGTGACGGCAGGTGTGTCGCTCTTCTGTAGCTGCCGGGCGGTGATAGACGGCTTCTGTGCTTGGCTACACGGCCTTGATGCTAGTGGTTCCCCCTTGTCATCGGGCTCCATAGGAGGCTGATAAGAACGGAGCAAAGGACTTTGTAAGTTTTTGAAATGAACATAATGACTGTTTTGTTGTGGTCAAAATCCGCTTGGCTTTCTACCCCTTGACTGGGCATGGATCCCGCTCGCGTTGCGCAAATTACCTCCATTATTTGTATCTGTGACAGACGCCTGTCTTGTGGCTAGCGAACGTTTGCTTCCGTTATAGTATCTGCTGATATTATTGCGATAGGTAGCCATGGCAAATATTCGCTGCGTAAATGGTACCAGTGGTACGATGGGTCAATGTGGTATGTTCTTGAGGTTTCCCTGCGTTGCTCATTAGATTGGCTACAGCTCGACAATGGTATGGAAAGTAAGAGATCAAAGGAAAATCAATCAAATTGCTCACCACACGGTTCTTCTGCTACAGCATCTGATTTCACGAAAAGTCTTGCTCGTTTCATCAACGGTGAGAATAGCCTATGTTGATATGGTATTGAAGTACCCCAAAATCAATGCACTAAACCGGTTCAGTTTGATCAGCACAGTGATAGCAATTGTATGCCAAGAGCTAGAAGATATTTGGTTACTCTGTCAAGGATATAGAACGAGGGAACCACTCCCAGCCAACTCTCATGCTGGCTGTCCCTGGGATAGCGACGACCGCATCCCTCATTGCGGCAAGTACAGCGATGTATATCGCATTGCCATTTCTAGTAGAGCTAGTTTGATCTCAGGCAGAATTAGCATTGTTCTCCATTGCCGGACAGGTTCGCTGTCCTCTCTTGAGTCAGAATTCCTGTGCTTTCTGAGTAGCAAACTGAGGCGTGGTAAAAGACTAGATAGGGACCATCTCTTCAACGCGCAGTATCAGCTGTACTGGGACCGTTAAAATATGGACATGGAATTCCGAGTCGTGGTGAGGCTGACCGAGGTGTGGCCTGCAAAGGCAATCGTATGGCGAGCCGTGGCTGAAAAGCCTCATGTATCTTGATATTCGGGTGCGTCATCCTCGTTCTCGACGCTATCGAAGAGCCTGGACTCCATGAACGCACGTTGTTAACAACTACTGTAATATGCTTCGGAAACAAGAGAGAAAGGGTTGATCAACATCTAAAGCTACACAGAATTCGTTAGCTAGTGAGCTTTCATTGGATGGCATGGTAAATGAGCGACATCAGTTTTTTTGCAATGTGTTGAATTTGCAAGTACCTTTTGCATTCTTCTCGGATGTCGTTTAGGCAAAAGGTTGATCAGGTTATCCATAATAACTTCAAGTTTCTTATAAGAACAAAGTAGGCAGCCATGGTTCACTGGGATGATAGAGGCGCACAATCGCTGTCCCTTGATCAGCAGAGGATGTATCTCTTCGCATAGCCCTCTATGAATGAGTGGCTGAAGGACCATGCCACGGATGACTTCAACGTGAACAGTGATGGCTCGGTGAATTCCTCCCTGATGGTTACCATCGACGGAAAAACGCTACGAGTTGTTGTGGAGATGGCGGAGCTGGGAGCATCGTGGAATTGCTTCGAAGAGAGGATAGGATATTGAAGAGGCCGCAAATTATAGAGACAATGATCAGTAGACTGTCGCAAGCACGGAGAAGCTATGAGGGAGCGCTTACGTTGAGAATTGGGTAATCTTCCGAAACCTAGGCTTCAATTTTGGTGGATTGTGCGGCAATAACAGTTTGGGAGCGTTGGCAGTTTGGAGGATTTGGAGTACAATCGGAGGCTCATTTAGGTCCATTCCTAGTAGCCGATTGTTATCAGTTCAATTAGTTGCGTCGTGTAACAAATCCTGGGCGCTTGGGCACTTGGGCAGACAGCTGTCTGCCAAGGAGGGCAGTGGCTTTGTTCGCAAGCGGCAGTCTGCTGGAGTGTACCAAGTTTATCTCTGGAATGCATTCTTCCCTCTTTTCTCCTCTTTCGGTTTCTTCTTTTTCTTCCCTTTTTTTTTTTTTTTCTTCTTCTTTTTTTTGTGTGTGTATGCGTGTATTTGTTCCTTTGTGTCTAAATTGTGAGGCCAACGCGGAATAGTTGGCCATGAGAAATGAACCAACTGGTATATCTGTACGGATTTACCCAGTTCACTCGGGCTGCCATTTGGCCATCAAGGTACATATTCCACACGACGGATGCACACACCTTGACGCTAAGTTATTGCGCGATTATCCAAGAATCTAATCTATCCATTCTATACACAAAATGAGGAAGAAGCCATGGAAATTCTACATGCCTACATACACCTGGAGTGTCAAGATGTGCACAGCTAATGCAAGTAAGTACAGCCACGCTCCCACTTGTCAGGGGGAGCTTCCACAGAGGTAGATCTAGGTACATGTAATCTTCGATGTAGGAAGAGCGCTGACTTAATGATCCCTGTTTTATCAGTCGCTTTTTCATTTCCCTCCAAACGCGCGGCAGCAGATTACACTTTCGAGCTCATGCGGGCGACAATTCCGCTGTCTATATCTGACACTAGTTTTTTTTTGTTTTTATGTTTCATAGGCATGTTTTGATGAAACCCACTTCTGCTGCAGTCCACACTTGGCCCAGCATTCATCATCGCCATCAGTTTCTTCTTCTTTTCCTGCCCAACCAGGTCGATACTCTTCTGTGATAAATCCAACCAAGCATGTAGGTATAACGGGAAGATTTCTTCGTCATCTACCAGGATCAATAGGCAGGCGCCCCAACGAGGAACACTCCTCCACCGACCTCCAGTTGATCGATTTCGGATCGGCTTCGTTTCAAGACGAATATCACTCGTCGGTTATCAGTATCCGATTTTGCTGTACACCTGGAGGATAGGATACATCCTAGTCAAATGTTTCACTAGCAATGCCTTGTTCCAGACACATGACAATCTCGAGCACCTGGCCACGATGGAGACCGTCGTCGACTCCCGGATAGATACGCAGTTTGTGCGAGTGGTCAACAAGATGCCCTTAGGAGTGGAAGAAACCCTACTGCTAAGTACATAGGCAATGCACCTCTTCATGCATGATAATGGCCGTACTGATCACATATATCGCAGATACTTCAAGCGCCCTAGGCTCGATCACCTAACCTCCGACACAACCAGGGGTTCCCGACGATTTGTCAAGGCTACGAGGAGCAATACCGTGTCCAACTGCAGGTGCTCTTCTATTCTCCCCAAGCCTATGAGTTTTTGGACTTCCCCAAACAATGTGGATCATCACAATCACCTGGGCAAACAACCTCGAGCTGATGGGGCATATGACATCTTCACCACACAATGGAACACCAAGATGCGAAAAAGAATTGGAGCACCTCTTCCCCAACGAACAAATCGCGATCAGACCCAATTATTGCTGCTCGCTGTGGGGTGGCTGGGTAATGCTGCTGAGGAAAACCCAACAAATTACGCAATTCGTGTCCAAATCATCGCTTCTTGAGTGGAAACGCTGAATGAATCATATAACTTTCAAATTGACTTTTACCACCTCCTGAAGGGAAGCTTTCCTCGATACAATCGTCAACTCTTCCGGCATGCTATGCGCCTCCCGACGCTTTCATGTGGCATTTTATGCATGCTACACCAAAAAGCCGGCGCTGGCGATGCCGGGTCTCCTGGAGCCGATGACATCCCTACAAGAACTAACCGCAAGTGTGCCAATTGTGGACAGGTCGGACACATCAAGATAAACAAAAAGTACGGTGATTCCTACTTGTGCAACCCCCATCTCACCACCACCCCGTCTGCCATATGATTGGTAGCATCATGCCGAGGAGGCAGGAGATAGTGCCAGTAGCACCAGAAGGGAGAGGAGAAGGAAAGCAACTTTCCTCGCCCAAGAACTCCGTTACTTTGATGCTCAGACTAGAAAACAAGAACGGGCAAACCTAGCCAAGCGGAAAAGAAGCAAGGTGCGCAAAGAAGAAGCTCATTGTGATCAACGTATCAAGGAGGTAATAGCCTGCTTTGATAACAATGTCAAATGCTGTCCTGAGGTGCATTTCCACTGTAATGCTTAACAGGAACTTCAGTGGAAAAGGGCTCACATACACCATCTCCCTCGCATACCGCTATTTAGTATATTGCCTACGGGTACACCATCCACCTCGCCCTTGTTATAATCATCTACTATAGGGCGCTTAAATTGAGTATTTCTACTTCCGCTATTTCAGCTACTCCAGCGACTCCAGCTACTCCAGCTACTCCAGCTACTCCAGCTACTCCAGCTACTCCAGCTACTTCTGGTACTTCAGTTACTTCTGCACTCTTTGTAAATAAAATATATATTCATCACTCCACTACTAGATATGCGCGCTGCTATCCGCTTTCTACCTACCATGAGTCTCAGATATTGACGGGTGCATACTTCTCCGGGCGCCCAATGTGCTGGAGGGAAGTCGCAGGTCCGTCAGATGCGGCGGCTCAATAAGTCTATAGAACACAGAACTATTCGGTCTCGAGGTTGTATGCTCTGCAGCTTGTAATTTTGAATCTGTGGGCGCAGCTGAAGATGGCTACAGATGTGCTGAATGGAAGTCGCAGGTCCTGTCATATGTGGCGCCTTAACAAGTTCCTTAAACGCAAAGGTATCTAGAGAATATTTCTTGCCATGAGGAAGGGGATTTGTGTTCTGCAGCTTGTAGTTTTGAATCTGTGGGCGCAGCTGACGATGGTTGCCAATCAAGATGTCATATTCGATCAATGGCAGCAGCACGGTTTAAAATGTCAACCTGGGCTTGGGCCATGGCAGCGTAGCTGGTAAATGCGAGCATTGCCGTCCAAAGTGGAAGCAGCCTGGGCTTGGGCCATGGCAGTGTAGTCGAACGCAGTAGGTTCAACTCAACCACGAGCTTAGTCCTAATAGTAATACCAGCGGATAGTAGCGATACCAGCGGATAGTAGCGATACTCGCAGACAGTACCTCGCCCTCAGTAACTGGTCCATTTTCAGGGATGGCCGTCTTATCCTAAAGCTTCTCAAAAGCTAGACCGATACTCCATATTCATCGCTCCACTGGTAAATGCAAGCATTGCCGTCCCGGGTGGAGGCGGCCTAGGCCTGGGCCATGGCAGCGCAGTGACTGGTCCATTTTCAGGGATGGCCGTCTTGTTCTGAAGTGGGTGTCGACGTTTGAATGACTAGACCAGAGTTAGAATGACGGCTGTGTCAAGAAGCGAAGCTGGATGAAGAGAAGAGCTGAGCAGCGGGTCTTCGTTCTCAAGGATATGGTGTTCCTTTCGGAGAACGTCCAGCGAGCGGCGTCTCTTCGATTGCTCCTCGTAGATGTAGGATTGTTGCCTCTTAGAAAGTCTGCTGTACGTGTTTCCTCTGCGCTAGGGCTTTGGTGGTGGCTTTGGTGGTGGCTTTTGTAACGAGGAAGTCATTGGGATCGCGTGAATAACGTGATGCTTTGTCAGATGAGCCCGATATTAATGCTGAGCGGCGGGTCTTCATTCTCAAGGATATAATGTTCCTTTCGGTGAATGCCTAGCAAGCGGCGTCTCTTCGATTACTCCTCGTAGATGTAGGATTATTGCCTCTTAGAAAGTCTGCTGTACGTGTTTCCTCTGCACTCAAGCTTTAGTGGTGGCTTTTGTAACGAGGAAGTTATTGGGATTGCGTGAATAACGTGATGCTTTGTCAGATGAGCCCGATATTAATGCTCCTCGTACCTAGATGTAGGATTGTTGCCTCTTAGAAAGTCTGCTGTACGTGTTTCCTCTGCACTCAAGCTTTGGTGGTGGCTTTTGTAACGAGGAAGTCATTGGGATCGCGTGAATAACGTAATACGTTGTCGGATGAACGTAAGATGAGGATAAGATGGTATAGATCTTCGACGAACTGCCTGAATAAATACAGTGCGATAAAATTTAGGTTGGTAGGTACTAGGTAGGTAGGGTACCTACTACCTATCACTACTACCTGCTACCATCGCTACTACCTGCTACCATCGCTACTACCTGCTACTATCGCTACTACCTGCTACTATCGCTACCATCGCTACTACCTATGGAGAGGTACATATCACGTGATCTGCCAATCTCAAGCCCCTCTTCTGACTTGTTTAGCCCTTAGATGCTGCCTTTGTTTACGCGATTATGCTCGCGGTGAATAACGTTCACGCTATTATCTCTCAATCGCCGCCAAACAGCCGGCATCCTTGATGGCTCTCTTAATAATATGAGCTTCCGGTGACATCCATCCATAGAGACGAGCGTTCAGTGAAGCGACTCTGCAGACTTTCCGGACTGGCCAAGCTCCCATCCTTGAGAGAAGCGTCTGTGTGATCCTTCGAGATTGGTCAGGCCCGCATCCCTGGGAGTTGGCTGAGCACTAAGGCGCTAACCAGAAATCAAGCAGATAGTGACTGAGGCCAGCCGAGAGAAGAAGAATGAGCTTCTTCTTACTTTACTTGAAGAGATGGACAGTGTGCGAACCATCATCTTCGTCAAGCTGCGGATGGACAGTGTGCGAACCATCATCTTCGTCAGGCTGCGGATGGACAGTGTGCGAACCATCATCTTCGTCAGGCTGCGGATGCCCTTGATGGTATTATTGAATCGAGCCGAAAAGAGAAACGAGCTTATACAACTCATGCTTTACTTTACATCAGCTCCTCGAGCACCTTCTTGGGGATGGAATCGATCAAGCCATTCGAATCGGACCCCGATCAAAGTCGGAGAGGTTACAAGACCTCAATCTACGATTGATAGCCCAAGAGAGCGATCGCACGAGATCAGAAAGGGCCGCTCTTTCTAATCTCTTCATGAATTGGCGACACCCGTTGCATCGGCCCCCGATATGTGGCAGCTTTGTTCTACACTCACAGCGTCACCCTGCAATCGCCGCATCGCGCCTTCGTCCTTAGACTACATTCGAAAGAAATGTCATTTTCCCAGGTCTCAGGCTAGACTTTCCGCAGATAGTCTCATCTTATATATACTTCCCTTGTACGAACGGAGTCACAGGGCGTGGCATCGATCTGCGAAATGCCAGGCACGCCATCAACTCACATCTCCTCGATGGATCATGCTGGCGTCGATGTGCGAATGGTCATGGATGCCATCAATTTTGAGATGCACTCGATAGATCACGGCCGCATCAAGGAGTATACTCACCGAATTAGTATGTATTTGCTTCTGATTGTACCCCCAATTCATTCACAACTAACTCTGTGGCTAGGTCGAATTGGTCGTATCGATCACCCAAGAGCGGCAATTTCTCTACACTGATCGTTGTGCCGCCATCGCGAGTGTTCTGACCAGAAGTTGGTTGAAACAAGCCAGTTGGGACTGTTTCCACCTAGAACGGCAATGCTCGCATTTACCAGTGGAGCGATGAATACGGAGATGTCGGTCCAGCTTTTGAGGAGCTTTAGGATAAGATGGCTATCCCTAAAAATCGACCAGTCACTGAGGGCAGGGCCAAGCTCCTGGTTGGGTTAAACCTACTGCATTCGACTACACTGTTATGGCCTAAGCCCAGGCTGCTTGTACTTGGGACTGCTTCCACTTCAGGACAAGACGGCCATCCCTGAAAATGGACCAGTCACTGAGGGCGAGGGCCAGGCTCCTGGTTGGATTGAACCCGGCCACCATCTGGCAACGCACCTTTGTTCTCTCCGCTCTCTTCCCCTTCTTCTTCTTTCTTCTCTCCTTCTTCACTAATTCACAAGCTCTCTTTCGCCAACGCCGCCCTTGCTTTGCCAGAAGCAAGAATATTCGTGCTCACCTGTCCGCTACTTACTGCCGAACCGTGGATATCCTGTCACTTTCGAGCGAGTGTTCCCTTCATTTTTTCGTCTCAAAACAAACAATATCTGCTCTGATCTTTCTCCTGTCTCCCAGTGAGCGGGATTTCATACACTGTCTCTTTCGAGCGGATGGTCTTTTTTTTTTTAATTCTGTTTCATGACAGACGTCTTTTCTTCCCTCTTTGAACCTTTCATCCCGTCTCTTTCGAGCGGGTGTTTTTTTGTTGTTTCGTTTCGCAACAGACGCTTTTTCTTCCCTCTTTGAACCTTTCATCCCGTCTCTTTCGAGCGGGTGTTTTTTGTTGTTTCGTTTCGCAACAGACGCCTTTTCTTCCCTCTTTGAACCTTTCATCCCGTCTCTTTCGAGCGGGTGTTTTTTTCTCGTTGTTTGTTTCGCGACATTCAACATCTCTTCTCCTCTACCTTTCCCACATTTTTTTCTTGCTTGATTCCAGTCCAACATGTCTGAATCAACTGCAGCTGAAACGCATCCCAACGTTCCTCCTCACTTCTGGAAGCCATGCGTCCTTCTGATCGACGACGGATTTTTTGGTTGCAAAGGCTTGGGGCTACCATCCGACATCGCCACGACTCTTCAAGTCCATAGGGAGAAGCATAAATCGTCTTGGATAGGCTTCACAATTCAAGTCCCATTCGGAGCCAACAGTGAAGATGATGGTTTCGGCATGTGCCATGAGCGTAAGTGAAGCGGCATTTCATGAGCGAGTCGAATTCTTTAAGCTGCACTGGGATAAAAATACAGAGCTTGACTGACTTTTCTCGGTTATTGACAGGGAAACGGAGCCCTCCATCGACTACCGCTGCCCAAGAGTACAAGTTGACGGTTGAGTTCCCGATGGGCTCTGACTACTTCATTCGAAGTGTCGAACAGAGTTTGCCGGCAACGCTCCCCGAAACACCAAAACAATGTCTCGACTAGATGTGTATCTGAGAGAGGGCACGCGCGTGACGGTGAAGGGATATGGCAAGCCATTTGACAATCCTGATCACCCAAGTCATGGATGGATCAACCACAATATACCGATCGTCGGACATATGACGCTCATCGACATTATCGGGCAGCGAAATTTCCCTTTTGTTGTTGACACGCCTTCCAACGCTGTAGGGATGCACTGGTCTCAAGAGCTTCCAGGGCCGTTCAGGTATCCCTACGGCAACGAACACTCCTGGTCCGTTCAACGGTACGAGGAAAGACTTCAATCTACACTGATCACAATGAAGCCATTGCGAGTGTCCTCACCAGGACTCTGTTGGAGACCAGCCAAGAGATCCCGGATTTCTTGCGGCCTTACCATCAAAGTCAAATTCGAAACTGAGTCTCAATTCGAACCCGAGTGATGTCGCCGGTGCTGGCGATGCTGAGGGAGGAGGCGGCTGGGGAGCAGATCCCAAGGAGCAACTGGTAATAACTCCAGCTACTCCAGCTACTCCAGCTACTCCAGCTACTCCAGCTACTCCAGCTACTCCAGCTACTCCAGCTACTCCAGCTACTCCAGCTACTCCAGCTACTCCAGCTACTCCAGCTACTCCAACTACTCCAGCTACTCCAGCTACTCCAGAACCTGGAGGAAAACAAGCTTGTGGTGAGCTTTGCAACCAGCTCCGAGGAAACTCATCGCAGCAGCTTCTGGAATCCCAAACAGCACAATTGGGTGCTAGAACAGGTGAAGTACCTTTTGGAAGATGCAAAGTTCCAAAACGTCTCTGGGACCCCTGAAACGATTATGATCCAAACCCCCTACAGCACTGCCTACTGGTAGTATTACGGGGAGGTTAAACAATGGCCTGCAGAGTGGCAGAACCGTGTCCTGGTCTTAACGGTTGACAAGGCGCAGGGCAATTAAGCAGACGTGGTGTTTTTCGACATAGTCAGAACTACGTCAGTTGGGTTCATAGATGACCCTCAAAGACTCAACGTCGCCATCACTCAAGCGAGACAGGCCGAGATCATTGTCATGCACGTCCCTAAAGACTTAACGTCGCCATGCACGTCCCTAAAGACTTAACGTCGCCATCACTCGAGCGAGACAGGCCGAGATCATTGTCATGCACGTCCCTAAAGACTCAACGTCGCATCACTCGAGCGAGACAGGCCGAGATCATTGTCATACACGTCCTCAAAGACTTAACGTCGCCATCACTCGAGCGAGATAGGCCGAGATCATTGTTATGCACGTCCCTAAAGACTCAACGTCGCCATGCACGTCCCTAAAGACTTAACGTCGCCATCACTCGAGCGAGACAGGCCGAGATCATTGTCATGCACGTCCCTAAAGACTCAACGTCGCATCACTCGAGCGAGACAGGCCGAGATCATTGTCATGCACGTCCCTAAAGACTCAACGTCGCATCACTCGAGCGAGACAGGCCGAGATCATTGTCATGCACGTCCTCAAAGACTCAACGTCGCCATCACTCGAGCGAGACAGGCCGAGATCATTGTCATACCCGTCCGCATAAACTATCGGCAAGCCAAAGGATGCCGACGCACTAAATACGCCACACAGGTCTGGGCCGATGCCCATGCGCACAGACGTCTTGTTTATCTGCACTAGTTTAAACTTTGGGAGCCTTTACACAATATCGCAAGCGCCCGCGGCTGCGTCCTCACTAGGACAACAATCGAAGCGGAGACGTGAAGCAGACGCGCAACTTGCTCAACACCTGATAGCTGCGACTCTGGGCGAAAACCACGGCGAAAGGGGTTGAAGTTCAGTCCTTATGCCGAACAGCTACGCCTTAGCACGGTTGCCTGAGCGCGTGCTGCTAGTGCTCGGCCAGAAGCCGCTCAACAATCGAGTACTCGTATACAGCCATCTGCCTAAGCCCAGGCTGCTTCCACTTGGGACGGCAATGCTCGCATTTACCAGTGGAGCGACGAATACGGAGATATCGGTCTAGCTTCTAAGGAGCTTCGGGATAAGACGGCCATCCATGAGAGTGGACCAGTCACCGAGGGCGAAGGCCAGGCTCCTGGCTGAGTTGAACCCACCGCGTGACTACACTACCATGGCAGCGCCTTGTCCACAGCACCCTCGTTGCCAGCCCGGGAAGCGACTCATGTCTAAATCGTTGGCTTTCTCTAATATACTACTCGCTGGTATCGCTACTATCTGCTGGTATCGCTACTATCTGCTGGTCTCGCTGCTGGGGCTAGGCTCCTGGTTGGATTGAACTCACTGCATTTGACTACACTACCATGGCCCATACCCAGGCTGCTTCCACGGGACGGCAATGCTTGCATTTACCAGTGGAGCGATGAATACGGAGATGTCGGTCCAGCTTTCGAGGAGCTTTAGGATAAGATGGCTATCCCTGAAGATGGCTATCCCTGAAAACAGACCGGTTACTGAGCGTGACGTACTATCCGCTAGTATCGCTACTATCCGCGGGTATCCCGTTAGTTTCGTTCACTGCCAGTTGACTCTACGACCTATCGCCGATGCCGTCGAGGGCGATTCCAGCCATCTCAGCACAGTGGCGAATCTCGATGGCTGTGATCATATAATCGACGATGCTTACATTCCGTCCTAGGTTCAAAAGACTAATTCTTATCCCATTTGCCTCAAGCCCTTCCACTTTGTTCAAGTCTACAAGGGCCAAGATCGTGAGTTCGGCCCTTGCAATCCCTCTACGTCAGTAGCTGCTAACTCTAGCTGGGAATTCTACAGGTATTGCTATCTTGACCTATGAAGTCGAAGATAAAAAAGCAAGTTGCCGAGTTCGATGTGCACCAGTGGCTTAGAGGGAACCTGGATGAAGGGGAAGAGGAATCGGTGCGAATAGCAACACACAGACAAGCCAGCCGACAAACCAACAAGTGGCGAGTTATTTCTGCCTAGTAACGAGAAAAATTGTCCACCGATATCTTTGCCGGAAGGATCCATATCTTTTACTCATCCCGTACAGCGTTTCTTCTGCTCGTTTGAGGAAATTTTCGCAACTGAATGGAGAGCATCAGCAGCTCATGAATGACTTGGGCGATGAAGAATGGACTCTGCCGTACCAATAGATGCCTTGGGCTTGGGTGCCACGAAGGAGCAGATTCTTCATCGAATTTTTTTTTTTTTTTTTTTTTTTTTTTTTTTTTTTTGCCAACAACAATCAGGTCATTTCGGACGCAGCTGATAGATATACCTGCTTCGACAAAGACTCCCGACGAGACAAGAACTGAAATGTTTAGGCAAGCGGCCTTATCGGCGCTGGGGGAAGTCCAAAGAGGTTCGGGTTAGCGGACAATCGCATACATGTGAGAATATTGTTGGTGAATGGGGAATCTTTATGGAAGAGCCAGATGCCTCGACTGCGACACCAAGGAAAGGGGGAAATACAACACGACATAAAATACAGAGTGAGATCTGCAGTAGAGAGCACTACCTATTTACCATTGGTAAATGCGGAATACCTATGTGCGACCAGTAGTGCGGTCGGGGCTATAAGATGTGCCAGCACAGCTGCTTTGCAACTTTCCACGGCGATACTGGGCATCCGCCTGGCAAAGAGCCATGTGAAGTACATTGTGGACATTCTAAATGCAAGAATGCATGAGGAGGAGTTCAAGAGGAAAGAAGACGACCTCAAGCTTCGTTTCAAGCAAGAGAAGCTGATCTGGCAGGCTGAAAACCCCTCCAAGGCAGTCCCTGCAAAGGAAACTCCAGCTGTCGAGCCACACCCCCCGAGTACGCCAGCCAAGGCTGAAGCGTCTTGAGTATCGGCTACTCTGAATACCACTCAAGCTACCCTCATACGAAGTGTACGATGCCATGTGCAGCACCATACGATTTGATCCCTTACTCTAAGCGGTGCAGAAAGGTACTGGAATAACCACCAATGTAAGTTTTGCCGTAATATATTATCCTCAGCATAATTTAACCCGACAGTTGTGTAGGTCCCCGCTCTGTGAAGAAGTATATCTTACATATGCGTTGATTTTCTGAAGATGAAAGAATACCATGAGATCAATTAGGGCGAAGAGCCCTGCATTTTTCCAGACTGCGGATATTTCTTGACTACTTCGTCTATGGATGGCCAGATGACGATGGGGGGGAAGAAGTCAAGAGACGGGGTCAACCTCATGAGAAAAGGCATGCAGTGGATATTAAGAATATGTGAGGGGATTGAACGAATGAGAATATCAGAAGACACGTCGATGTAGGATAGTATGCGCTTTCTTGTTGTTGTTACTTGTTCTACCCCAGATTGGCGCGTCTGGTTACGTATTAACATTACATGCCTTGAAGGGTACATGGTGTATGGTTATATTGTCTCGTCATCGTCACCTCCGTCTTTCTCACGATGGGCGGGGGTGGAGTTGGCGTTCGGGGCCTGGCCCTTGGTTCCTCGAATTGCTGCACCTCCAGCATAAGCTGTGCCTGGTTGCGTGTTTGTTGTACGTCGGCCATTGATAGCACTTCAATGTCTTCATCTCCATCTTCGGTGCTGGCGCGATCTTCGTCCAGTGTGGTGACTTCGTTATCCACAAGTGGAAGCCCGTCGTAGGGCCGGTCTGTCCTTATCACCTTATGTGTCGGTTTCCACACTTGGATGGATGCATGGGCATATTCAAAGGTCTTCGCTTTCGTCAAGAGCGAAGAAACATCATCCTTGCCATTCGTATCTACATGTCGTAGTTTCTTGACTGCGATAGCCGCCACCACGCTTGGTGCATTCATGATGTGAACGACTTTGAAGAACATCGTGTGTCTTGCAATTTCTGACAGTTTCATTGTAAAATCGCGGTAGCCGCCCCATCCCGACCAATTCTGCGCTTCCAATACGCGTGTCAAAACGCATTTCTCAACGCATGCCTGGTAGCACGGTGTGTGCTTGTTGTGATCAACACCGACCATCTCGAAGACTCCCTTGACGAGTGTCTTGCAATAGAATGCCTGATCTTCGACCGCCAATGATAGTACATTAATGCTGTCTGATCTCTTGTATCCACGGATCAATCTTTTGAACTCTTCTCGCCGTCTCGTTTCGTCTGGAGGATTCAGCTCGCGCGGTTCGCCTATCGTAACGATAGGGGTATCTGACACCCTGTTGAATCTCGGCATGATTGTTCTATTTCAACTGAAGCGTCAGTCTTCTTCCCGTGAAATCGTGCGTCGGTCTTTCTCACCTTGAGCGTGTTCTCAGATCGGTCACGGAGCGTAGGTGCTGATCAGGGATATGGATATGCGATGGTGCCTAAAACTCTGTCTCGTAGAAATGGAGAAATGGATGAAGTGAACAGAAAGAAATGAAATGAAATGCAAGAGAGCTTGATGGAATCAAAAGGAACGATCATGAATACTGCGCAACGCGTCTGCCTATACAGCTGCCAGGTTCGCGTTTCCAGCTGTCACAGTCCTCCACCAGCCGTCACTTCACCGCGGGCGTTTTTGCTCTCCGGGGTTTTGCTTTTTTGCGGGCATCTCAATCCAGATATTGGTCTTTGGTATCATCTCAACTGTCTCCTTCTGTCGTTTTGGGATCTCCCTCGCAAGGTGATCAGCCTCGTACCGTTGAACCAGCTCTTCGGCTGTCCAAATGAGATCCCGTCTCTTCACCCATTCGTCGTCTTCGAGTCCGCATCCCTTCCATCTGACGAGATATTGAATTTGTGGGTTCTGACCTCTTTTAGCTTGAGGCGATTCGTCTACTATCGACACCGATATCAGAGCAAATGTCCAGCTACCTTTGGATGGGCATACGCTTCATCACCCATCCACAATGTATCTCTAGGTCCTTTACGAAGATGTTATCAGCCCTAAGAGAACTCCCGCCTTCACAATCCAGCCAAAGAGTCCATTCTCAGCATTTAGCCACGCATACAGGCACTTTGCTGATAGACTTGCCGTACAGAATGGGGGGAAGGCAGCATCAAATATGGCATTTTTCTACTCTTTGGCTAAGCTGCTCACTCCCTATACCTGTCGGGCTATGTGCGCTTTCGAGTTGCCGAGTAGGAAGCACAACGAAGAACTTCAAGTAAATCGTTGCTGAAGTCAAGCGGGAGGAGAACAAGAACAGGCTTCTTCTTACTCTGCTTGAAGAGATGGACAGTGTGCATGCCATCATTCTTTACAGTTTCTTAGCCGCCGAATGGCTTGACCACTTCTTCAACCGATGAGACTGCAGGCTCCGAGGAGGGCTGGGGTACTGGTCCGCAAGTCGAGACCGGCAATGATTCTGGAGGCAGCTGTGTCGCATTTGTTGAGGGGGGAAATGGCCGGGACAGTGGCTCTGGGGTCGATGAGCGCAGGCTCTGAGGGTGGCTCTGGAGCAGGTCAGCAAAGAAAGACTACTGAGCTCTAGAATTGTGAGTAAAACGTCTTCAAGTTACTAGAAATAATGATTTGATACAAAGGGAGCGCTCCGATACTGCAAATCCCCTGTCTATTACATCCAGTCAGTACGAAAGGCAGCAGTTCGCCCAGGTGAGGTACAATAAGATCCAGCTTGTTTTGCCGAGTTCAGTGTGGTCATTGCTGGTCGTCAAATGTCCATGTCCGAGACTTATAGCATCACCAGGAGCATTTCGATGAGGACATTTCTGATCAGAGCCATCGAACGTCCCATCGCTCTCTGAGAGGGTGTGCCTGACAGCCTGGACCGCAAATTTCTCACCTACATGCCCTCGTAGATAGGGCTGCGTGTATCAGCCGGGTTCAGTCTCTTCATAATAATCGTCACATAAAAATTTCCGAAGCGTATTCTATAATGACAAATAATCCGTACCTGAGATGATCACTCTGCTAAAGCACACAAATATACTGATCAGACAATGGAAAACCCCCAAGCTGGCCTAAAATCCGTTTCCACCAGGCGACTAGCAGCTTCGTAAATCGAAACAGGGAATGGCGATTGCTCATATCAATGGCTCCCTCTTCCATCTGCTTGGCGATTCCACCCCAATCTCATGGCCCTTGCTTCGCACCTCTCCTCTTTGTCGTATTCGCCTTGGCTGGTGGCTGGGGTTTTGCCAGGCCACTGCCGTGCTAACAGGCTATGAACGTCTTTGTCTGTTGGTTGCGTACGTCGGCAGAGCACTGGAGGTGCAGCATTCCGAAATACAGGGTCTAATGAAGTCGGAAATATCCCAGTTCACCTCCAAAAAAGCTCTGTTCAGAACACTCTCAATGAAATCATCGCGGTCAGTGTAAAAGGAAGTCGCCATTCATCGGCGGCCGATGAGGCCGGTGCGATGTAATGGGTATGAAGTTAGCCGTTATGTGACAGTATAGATCAGGCAGCAAGTCCATACCCATGCGGTGAGTACAACTTTGTGGCCATTCTCAAGCTTTCTCTGCGATCCTTGGACAAATCATGCATCAGGCAAACACACTTGGAGATATGCTGGTTCCTCTCCGGCACAGCTTTGTCAGAGGGGCCCTAATGGTAGCGTTTTGTCGTCTCAGAAGCACGCGAGAATGTAAAGCTGAGGCAACAAGTAAGGGGGAGCATGTTGCTCATCTTAGGGGAAGTATTTCGCGTTGATGAGGTGAATCGAGAGGCGCAGCAGACAGCCGCTGCAGCGAGCCAATGACCGAGAGTGAATTTGGTGCAGTTGATATTTCCTTGGGCAACAAAATGGACTCATGGCAAACCGATTGAGTGAATTTCCAATTTTTCGGTGAGAAGGTGATAGTGGATAGGCCGGCTCGGGCCCTCGATGGCCGGACGTATGCGAGCAGACAGAAACGGTCTTTCTGAGTGTGAATAGGTAGACTCGAGTGGGATCACGCAGCGACTCGCCAAGTCAAATCTATTCCATTGCACCCAGCGTCAGAAAGTCAGTGTCTATTGCTAGGCAAGGCAAAGTGCTCACAGAAATCTGGGGAGGGATAAATCCTTCTGACTGTATAACTTTCGGCTCGAAAGACGATATTAGACCCAGCGACGGCAAAACAGACGAATGCCATAAGTACCCAGGGCTTTATCTTTCTGTACCCTCAAGGAAGAAAAACAATGACAGCACATGCATTCGTCAAATCTAGAGCTCAAGTTGACCGCTGGCAATTGCTTCTTCAGCTGTGCCAACTAGCACTGCTAGCTGGTGCGGGTACCTTGACAGTGTGCCTTTTGTTCGCTTTACCATTTGTCATTACCGAGGTATGGACAAAAAAAATTTCAGCTTCTGGATGTTTTCCATACCCAAGAAGCTTTATTCATCCCCTTATCACACCCTGATCCGACACAGTGGCGATATTCCTCCAGATGACCACATCGACCACAACTCAATGACGCTGTAGTTGATAATCACAATTTTAATACTGGATTCGAGTCAGTTATTTCTTTCTCTTACCAGGTAGCACGTTTACTAATGACTATTCGCTTCTGTTCACTTTCTATACCTCCAATTCGAGACTCCGAGGCCCTTTTCATTGCCTTTTCGACATTCCCATCACCGAATTGACTGACGACACCGCGCTCCCATGAATCGTTTCCATACCTGTATGTGCGTGCCCTTCAAAATATCGACAAACATACGCAATAATACCTCGATGACGAAGTCACCCAATCATTCAACGGCGTACTGAGTGGCTATTGCGGAAGTATGAAGGATGCAAGACCTCGTTACTGGGCAAAGGGTGTGCATGACCTGATTTCAGGCTGGTCGACTGTGATCAATTGGTTTGTCTGGCCTTGAAGTGGAGGTCCATTATGCCACAAAGTTTGGGAGTGGTGCTGGAACAGGGGGCCGGTGTCTTGAAGTGACTTATTTTCCTTTTAATATTTACATTATGCGACTTCTTCACAACGATAACCACATCGGCAGGCGGTGCGTTGAGAAAGTGTCCTTTTCTTGTCTCATTTAAATACATTGTTCTAAAATTAAGGTAATGCACAATAAATTAGCAGCGAGTTCTGGCTATTGTTGAATTCACCAAAGTGTAACAGAAAACCACATATACATATTATTCCTGTGAGTCATGCTGAGAGCGTTCGATGTAGTATACAACATCAAAAACTTATAACCGCTATGATCAAAAGTTCCAGCCTTCGCACCATTTTCGCATCAGCTCCGCCGTGATGGGTTGCAAAGCAGCTGCTGTTTCGCTTTTTGAGATGGTACGTGTCATGGCAAAGCTGAGCGGAGCTGCACCACTCTTCTCTGAGTCTGCTAAGCCTCGGTATGTATCGATGAGTTTGACGCCCGGGTTTTTATCGACGTTTCCTCCATCTTGAGCGCTTGCTTCTAGCAGTGATACCCATTTGTCCAGGCTAGATACTTGCTTGATTCGATCTTTGTAAAAGTCTTGCAAGACTGCAACAATTTCAGGCCACTGTACCTTTGTGGGGTTTTGCACATGAAAATAGCCACCAATCTCGGTGATCGGGACAGATTTCGATATTCCAGCAACGTCAATAAGGATGCCAGCTACATCTTCAGTTGCAACCCAGTCGACATTCTGGTATATTCCGAGACTCTGTGGGAGAACTCCCAGGTATAGTGAGCTGGCAACCAAGCTGGGCACAAACTCTTGTGGATTCCAAACACCGTTTCCTTTCTTTGGCCCTGCAATTTGACCGACTCTCACAGAGACAGCAGCCAGGCCAGACTTTTCTGCTGCTGTGTCCAAAATGAAGCTGCTGGCTAGTTTTGATATACCATAACCCAGATCCGCCAAATTAGGATCTTCGAGGCGTCGCTCAGGTACAGGCTCTCTGGCTGTCCAATTTACTGCGGTACCAATACTTGACACAAAAACCAACGCCACTTTCTTGGAAGATGCGCTAGCAAAGTCAACAAAGTGGCGAACTCCGCGGATGTAGGGTTCAAACGAAGCGATGCTCATGTTGAAGTTGACCGGCCAAGCGTTGTGAAGAATTCTATCAGTGGTAGAGAGCAATTCTGTGTACTTCGAAGCTTCAAGCCCAAACTTCGGCTTGGAGAGATCCACTCCAAGGAACTCAACCTTGGAAAAGTCGAGTGAAAGGCTGCGGCTTGCGCTCACGATCTGTTGACGAGAAAATCCTCCATCATTGCCCCTGTTGAGAGCGTATACCTTGCTGACGCGAGGTGATGCGATGAGCTGGTCAAGTATGTACGAGCCAAGGGAGCCAGTCGATCCAGTCAAAATGACTGTTTGATCAACGTCGTTGGGATCCGTCCGTGAATCATTGCGCTCTGGCAAATCTTGGGTGTACTTTGAGACCATATCTTGCATTTCTCTAATCTGCTGCGCATGATAACTGACAGAGGCATCTTGTCCCTCTGGATGAGACACTGACTGGAAGAGAAATCCAGCGAGACGGTCGACTGAAGGATTAGAATAGATAACACGGGTGGAAATTATTCTCTCGTCAAACTCGACTCCAGATCTTTTCAAGCCTCCCTTCAACAGCTTGCTGATAGTCATGACTTGCAGTGAATCAATGCCAATAGAGAACATGTCGGCATCTGACTCAAGTTGCTCAATTCCGAGCTTGTCTCTGAGCAGTTCAAGGATCGAAGAGGCCAATCCTTCTCGACTAGTGGCATCAAGTGTAGCGTTGCTCAAAGTGGATTCTGCGCGCTCATAGATGCCTTCAATGTAGTTTTTGTACAAGTGAACCGTTTGAGCTCTTTGCACGGTGCCTTTACCAGCGATGGAAAATGGTATGTTTGGGTCAGAGACGGCGACTAGCTCTCGCACAATTTGGCCGTGTGCCACGGTATGCTTATTTGCTTCTTCGATAAGAGGCCAAACGTCGTCGATGAACTTCTCGGACTCGGCCTCGTCTTTCAGTAGATTTTTAGGTTCAAGGATCATGGCGGGTTGAAATCGTTCCTGCCCAACCACAAGGACATTCTTTACGGCGGAATGGCCTTTGACAATGTCTTCGATTGTCACGGGATTGAGCTTCTCCCCGTTGGAGAATACAATGACATTGTCGCTTCTCCCATGATACTTGTAGTGGCCAGGGAGAGTTTCGTGAGCCTGGAACAAGTCACCGGTGACAAATTCCTGGCGGTCTGGGAAGTTATAAAATACAGGTTGTATGCCCGGATCCGAAGGATCTTTGCGGTGAATGGTAAGCCCGTAAATTCCATCCCACATAGTAGGGGTGAATTCGGCCCCCATGGCTTTGGCGTTGAAAATGAAGTACTGCCAAAGCTCAGGCTTCGGCTGAAACTGCAGCGCCATGGGGAAAGCTCTAAGAGGTTGTTAGCCCACGATCCTTTCTTGATGGTTCTTACTTGATCAGTTCAAATACTTACTCGCTAGACCCTAGAAGATTAATGATGAATGCGCCGTTGGCAATGAGCTTATCACCCACAGCGCCTGGAAGGTTACCACCCGAATAGCTAATAAAATTCAGGTTCGTCATCGCTTTGAGGCCACCATCCGTCTGTGACATTCCTTCAATGGTGGATGGCGGTAGCATTGCAGCGTCCACACCAGAATAAATCAAGCATTCTTTAGCCAAATCTTCACTCAGGGGTTTGTCAGGAATGCCTAACGCACAGGGCAAACGATAGTAGGCAATAAATATCGTGACGACAGCAATTCCTACTCCATGAAAGAGTGGCATGGGATTAAAAAGCCTTGACGCTCGAGAAGCCCACGCTTCGTAAAGAGAAGGGTTGCCGCGCTCGTCACGATAGTGCCGAAGTGCGTCGATAATTTGAAGATTTGCTTGATTAACCACGATGGGCTTGGGCATACCAGTTGATCCGCTAGTATGAAGGGCGATCCAAGGGTGCCATCGAGATTCTTCTGCCGTATAATTGTATGGAAAATTGTCTGGTTTGGCCGAGAGCCATTCCTTGGCACTTGGCACTTGAGAAGTTTTCATTTGTCTCTTTGCAAGCACCTTTTCGATCACCGGGAGATATCCTTCTCCATATAGAAAATAATGACAATCGGAAGCTTCCAAAAGCGAAATCTGTCCCTCAATAGTATTTCGAGGCGAAGTGAAGAATGCTTTGCACTTGGATTTTATGCAGGCAAGCATAAGAATGACGTATCGCACATCATTCGGCCCTATATAGGCAATCGTTGGAAAACTGCCATCTTGCACATGGTTGAAGGCCATCTTGGTGATGGTGTGGGCGACATGGTTGACAGCATTTGCCATCTGCCCATAGGTCACTGGCTCCCAGCCATCTTGAGGACGACTGGATCGCGGAATGAAGATGAATGGACGATTTGGCTCTTTCGCAGCGTCATCCTCAATGATGTTGATGAGCGAGCGTGTCTCTTGATGCTCGGCGACTGAACCCATGTTGATGGTTGCTTGCTCTCTGTATACTGGTCTGTTTTTACAATGAAGAAATTTACTTCCACATCCAAAAAGACACGAGCCATTTATAAATAATTTTGAATCACCATAGCCAAGTGATGTAAGTCATGTATTCAATTGGAATCACCAGCCAGACTACCGAGGCATTTCAACGCAACCGAGATAGTATATCCCACCGGCCTTTGCCACAACTACTATGAATAAAGGGTGAGATATTATACGAGATAGGACATGGATAGACTCCAAAATCATTCTAGAATATGACTTGTCTATAATCATCGGTCCGTGGAGAGTCCATGATGACCAGGCTTTGTATATTATAGCACAACCTCGGATGGTATCGGTAGCGGCTCGTATCTGGCCCTATCCAATAGGAGTTCTATATGCCCACTGCCCCATCCCACCGTTTTCTCTTTTAGGAAGTCAATGGAATGTAAATTGCAATTTGTGATTTGAGTATACTGATAGGTACGGAGAAGATGAATTATAGTATTTCGATTCACAAGCGAAACATGATTGGTAATAAAACATTCAATAGCCAGATTCATGGTGTTTTCCCGATCTTTGAAGACTGCTTCAGAGGATATACTATGAGCAAAGAAAGTCTCCATCTAATTGTCAAATATATTAGTGGTGAGGGTTGAGGAGCAAAGCCTCGACTCAAATGCTCAAGACCATGGTACGTGCGAAATAATGGATCAGTCGCTGAATATTCCAGGAAATTTATGTTTACAGCCTAAGCTACCAGTATTTCTTCTAGGCCTGTTCGCTCGGACACCAGTGGGATGTTTATTTGAGTTTTCCATGGCCCCTGAGTAACGCGCTCCGCGGACTTCTCGATAAGCAACGAAGCCGCTAACGCATGATGGGCATTGCACTGATGATATCATCAAGCAGAAAAAGGAGTACCGGAGCGATGAGAGATTTACATGTTGAATATAGATCTTGTGGCGTTCATGGGCCGTTCCGAACCCATTCCGAATCCGATCTATATAGATTCTCCATACGCGTGTTGACATGGAAATAAGCGGGACATGTATGGGGCCTTTACAAGCTTTGTAGATCTGCAACGGGGGCGCTTAAAAGTGAGGCAAGGGCCAATACGAAGCACCAAAAACGACCGGTTCGGCCGTCTTTATACGTCCGTGCCGGGGCAGCGGGATCCGCGGGTTGAGAAGCTGTCAACTTGATATAGTTGAGTCAGTTGGCATCAGAAAAGAGGATACGTCATGGTCATGGAATGATCAAAGCACAGAGAGGCTGTTTTCTTTATCTGACCGCTTTACCAAGCCAGGTCGACTTCTGCGGCACAAGATACGCTCCGTGAATCTATTCGTGGGTCTCACAATTAAAAATGTTCTCGAAGTAGGAGTTCAACACGCTCTGCATAGGTTCAGGCTGTAGCAGGGATTTGGAGAATACCATTCATTGTCTGGCTACAGTTGTAAACACAACCTTATCCTTCAAACTTCTGACAATACAAACTTTGCTTATTAAGATGCAGGCCACCCATGAATGTATTGACATGTTTGCATGCTGACAACCCGTGGAGGCGATACAATGCTGCTTAATCCCTGTGTTGGCCCATTCTTCGGCGTCGCGTGCTGTGAGACCTTTGCAGGGTAGATGGAAATAATACACTTAAAGCGTCTCACCAAACTTCCCTCACCTTACCAAATACTCCGGCCTATATTATGAAACAGCTTTACGGGTCCGTGTTTTACTCATTGGCACCCCAAAATATGCCTTCATCAAGCATCAAGATAACAACCCAGTATTACCGCATGATTGCTCATGCAAGAGAGGCTTCAAATTGACTTTGGAGAGAAGGATGAATGCGATATCAGCGGGATATGACGACAGAAGCAACAAGCGCGATGTTGGCAACACACCCCGAGGCGTAAACCACAGCAAGAGAGTTCTTTGATTCAGTCAATCGGAAGTATTCCACAGGCAGGCTCTGCGTTCAGCTATAGTCGGTCCTTTACATTTAATCTAACTTGCCAGCCTTTGGCTCGATGAAAAAAAAGAAGGACGTAAGGCTCTCGAGATGTATAGTCAATAGATACAGCTTGCAATAGATACACACTAAAACCCACGGTAGTAGGTGTTATATAAATGACTGGGATAAAATATTCTCTATTGCAATTGTAGCCTCTACTGGAAAAGTGTTTCCTGGGGTATATAATGTCTGTGCTACACGTATTTATAAAAAAAAAAAAAGACTGAAAGAAATGAAGGATATCCCCTAGAAAGACTTGGGATATACTTAAAGTTAATGATGCAGCGCTTGTACAGGAAAAAGAAACATGCGTGAATTAGTTGTCTGCTTTCAAACATTCGAGAGCCATGACCATAAAAGGAGTTTTGTCTAATAGGAAAGCGACATTAGGCCGTCTAGCAATGTATGGTTGAGAGAGAGAACACTGAGGGGATGGATGCGACTGGGTGGTTAGTCGATGAGTTGAAAATGCCGAGGAAAATCTTGATCACTGTAGATCACTGCAGCAACCATATGCGTTTGCCAATGAGGACAAACAGCGACGTTGGTGTGGGTGAAGAAGGCGCAATTAGAAGACGTAATTGCCGCCATGTATTACAGAGACTGCAAACTTCAGAACCCTTGTCATCGCCTTGGTTGATGAGAGCGGAATCCGATGATACTTGATGCGAAATGGACGACATGGGATATCCAGCGACGGATTGTCTAGGCGATCGAGAAACGAGGAGGAGATCCGGGCTGTATAAAAGTAAAGGCATGGAGTGCTTAAAGAGGAGAGAGCGAACACGAAGGCCTCATAATCTGTTGGCGCAATGTCTGGGCCACACCTCGTTTCTGGTGTTTCGTCTTTTGTTGCCACAGCTCCATTGTGCACAATTCGCTGCTCTTGAGCCAAGGCTATTAGAGTAGCTGCTATGTATGGATCTTCAAGTTCGTTAACTGGTCGAATTTTGCTCTGCTTCTTCTCTCGAATGATATATCCTGGGGGGTTCGTCGCCTTCACATGCTTAGGCCTAATCGACTTGTCGCGTCGTATGCCCAGGCTACGAAGATTGAGAAACGCGAGCGAGGGACTGTCGATAAGAGATGAAGTGCGGATGAAAATTCCGTCGGTGCGGAGGGCGGCAACAGGGCGCTTGTTAAAACGGAAGTAAATGATGGGACTGGCGCATGGTTAGCAAGCATTCATACTGGTCAAATCGCGCGATAGGACACTTGCCAGGCATCAGCCGCCATGCCACAGCCTCCGAGAAGGCGCCGAACCGCATTGGCTTGGACTGAGTCCAGTGTAAAGTAAGCAGGGTAGCTTGAGCCTGAAAGCTTGCTCGCGGCTTCTCGAATGATGGAAGAGGGGGGTAGTTTTGCGGTATTCTCTGCAACTTGGGCTTCAGGCTGTCCTGGGAGATTTTGTGTTTCTTGAACATGGCCGTCGATTTCTGGCTTTTTCGTCTTGTCTTTTTTATCACTCCTAGCACGAAATCGACAGCCCAACAGGTCTAGATGCTCTAGTTTCCAATGCAATGGCGTCACGTAGAGGCGTTTTCGGCAGTGTTGTCGGAGAATGCCGTTGATGGACGAAGGCTCAGGCGTGCGAATCGATGCAAGGCGAAAAGGGCTCAAAGGCAACGCGTCATTGTGATGAAGAGTGCGCTGCTTCTTGGAGTTGCGTGCATCGTCTTCATCCTTGTCTTCGCCCTTTTGTGTCTTTCGCTTTAGATTGCAGCTCGTTGTGGGCGAAGAAGGTGTTTCATCGACTTGAATCTTGGTGGATAAACTACAAGCTTCATGGTCCACTCCTCTCGGAAACACAGCTTCGGCCATTGCGTGGCGCTCGCGCAACTGGCGAGTAATTTGAAGGTTCCAAAAGAGAATGTCTCTGTCGCGATAGAAAGTTCACGCTCACATGCAAGTGACGAGCAGGTGTGGCGTCATTGGATGATGATTCAGCAATGCGCCACAGCTGGCCCATCAAGGTGCGCCACCGCTTGCATGCAGTGACAATTAGAGAAGTAGAGTTGTCCAAGCATACAAGATATTTATTGCCAACTGATCAAATGGTTCTATGTAGGTAAGGTCATTCTTACACTATTATATATCCCTATTTCACTGCTTGAAATGACCTAGTAAACACCAAAAACCAGCAACACGCCTGGTATTTTATGAGAGCACGCCAAGAAATAGACTGTTGGTACAATTTATTTCGTATCATTCAATGGCCAAGACCAAATTCTTAAGATGAGTGAACAAACAGATATAAGGTATGCAAGAGTTCATTTAAGAGTTGACAAGCCCCATACCCCAAAATCCATGCCATGGACTCGGGAAAGAGTAGACATCTCATGCATATACCCATAGTGCAACTATTCATCAGTATCCATGTCATTTCCATCGACATCATCCTGGAAAATATCAGAGTCACTATCAGCTGTGCTACCATCGCCATCTTGGTCTGAAAGGGGCTCGCGGTCGAATGAACCTTGCTCTTGATGCCACCTTACTAAGGCTAATATATTGCAAAGTGTCACTCGCCTCCCTTCTCTCGACTGCAAGTTCAACCACTTTGTGCTGTTCATGTAGACCAACGCTTCCTTTTCTGTATTATTGATGATTCTCTCCTGTGACTCTTCATCAGCGTCGAGATATTCTCGATAATCACGTCCGAACCGGAAATGAATAAAGCTGACAAATGTATTGGTTGCTGCAATGAGGAAAAGACTGGATAACTGACTCATTAGTTTTAGATCCTAATTTACACCAAAAGTGCAGGTTCGCAGCAAATGTGCCTCGAGTTTGGGCGGACATGACCTATCACCTCCTCATAAAATTGCATTCCATCGCACTGGGTACTTTCAGCACCGCTAGAACTACTTTCGGAGCTCTGTTCTGCCGCGATCCGATTGTGGCCCTATTGGAAATGGTGACGTCTCCGTGGCAACTTTTCCGAGGTTGGAACTCGATAAACCTCGAAGCCTTTCAAAGCCTGTTGGGTCTTGCAGGACGGTGATATATTGGAAAGCGAGACGGGTTGCACCATCCGCGAGGCTTTTGCAAACTGCTCGAGCAGCCGAAATGTCTTTCTTTGCACCATGTGCCTTCCAGTTTGCGTTCATGTAATGCTAAATTAGTTGCTAGATGGCACTTCCGACTGCATCATAATCGCCCTAGTTGGGTCTGGGCTAGCAGTGCGACCCACATGCGCCCGTTTCAACCACAATACAAGTCACGTATAGTACTTCAGGTAATAGCTTCGGAGGATCTAATAAATCAACAGTAGCGGTATAGCGCTGTTTTGCTGGTGTAAGCTAGGCCTTCCATGGAATATCTGAGCACTCGAATTCTGTGGTTATTGTCGAAGTTCAACCCTGCTACCATCTTCCCAACCTCTGCTATTCTTATCTGCTCAACGAGCGCCCTCACTGAGTACAACGTGCGCTAGGCGGTGCATGTCTCGTAACGAACAAGTTTGGCCAGCCGGAAACGGTATCTTAGCATGAGCTGGGTTAGCCATGAAGAGGAAATGATCAGGCTGGATCTGCAGTATGCATGTAACGACGTTTTCCTGGGCGGCGTCTGACCATTTCAAATTAGACATATTCGGCGTACAGTTAACACGTTGCTAGTAATACATACCAGCAGAGCGCCTCTCGAGAGATGCAGAGAGCCTTTGGATGCATTTCTGGTAATACGGATTACAAGCCCCTAGACCCGCCATGTCTTTAACAATATTAGGCCTTTTTCCTGTTTGATGGACATCCTTTGCAATTTCGAGACAATTCGGCGGCATATCACTGCACTGTTAGTAATATCAGTTAGCTAACACCAAATGCCAAATGGAGGTTTAAAACCTGAACGAAATTGGTGGGCTATACTTTTTCTTGGAGGATACTAATAAAATCGGCGGCCAAGACGGCTGGAGCAAGGAGCGCTACAAGGCCGATGAACTGCGCACTATTAGCAAAACTTCTTGCCCTTGTATAACATTGCTTCTTTACCTTCATGGTGAATTTTCAGTGTGCGACCTGAGTAAGTAATGAAATATGAAATATATGATACTAATAAGGAGTGTAAATGGTAGAGGGAAAGATGCTGGATTTATACAACACTGCTTCAATGGTGAGCAGGTATTAAGACAAGCGCAAATGGCTGTCTTAAGAAAATTTCAAGGTGTCTCACCTAGCTAGGAAGCAATTGTCTCACAAATAGAACAAGGGAGATTTACAACAAAATGATCTCTAACGTTATTTTAGCTTTCTTTAAAATTTATTCCAAGTAAATAAAAGAAGCGTATAATATAGAAGCTTTCTATAGTGCTAAGAGGCGTTGATAGAGTCTACGTAATAATGTCCCAAGCTACTAACATTATCTAAGAACGTTTAGTGACTACGAAGTTTGCGTTCAAAGCAATGCCGGTGACCTGTCCTGGTTTAGTTCCTAATTTGTCCGTGGAGATAATCGCTTCTTCCTACCAGTTCCAGGAACGGGTCTGCGCATCCCCCCTCCCCCCTTGCGCCAATCACTACTCCAGCAAACGAATTATAGTCCCTTGTAGATCTTCTTGGAGGTGTAGGTGGGCCAAAGCACACTAAATCGCCAATTAAACAAAAATGCACGGACTTTACATTCGGGCTTCGTTCCCTTTAAACAGATACTACTGCTTTATACAAGTTGCTGGTGAGCATTTTTACTATTGTCTTTCCTAAATATCATACATAAAATACTGCAAATTGACTGGATTAAGTCCAGGCGGATCGTCGTGGATAGATCATAATGTACACAACTATGCCGTAGTCAGAGTGGGTTATAACAAGATCGTATTTGGCCGAATCACAGAGATGCCAAATTGAAACATAAGAAGGGAGAGTTTTTACGAGACAGCTGTTTAAGACAACTGTAATTTGGTTCTGAGACTTTACATACTTCATAGGTACTGTAACATGAAGTAGGTTGTACACCAGCCGTGTCTCAACTAGTTGGTAGATTCACATGATCATTCTAGCGCTATACGCGGATAATAGATATCCGACCGATGGCCATGTGCCACACCATGGTGCTTGCACCCTACACTAGGTAGAAGGTGCAACAGTGGTACCACTGATGGAGCCAGAGCCGCAACGCACCCCGCGCCCGAAAAGGCTCCCACTATTACCCTTAATGAAGAAAAGAAGTACAGTTATTCCGCCTTTATCTGTAGCTGTAGGCGATTTGGAATTTTATAATTCTTTTAAATTGGACCCAAGTGTGTGCCTGAAGCGGAGGCATTATGTATGAAATCAGTTTGCCACTGTAGTATACAGTAACATCGGTAGGCCAGCAACGCCAAATTACAAGTTAAAATAAACATCAGGTTTCTGGCAACAAGGCTTCAACTATTAAAATAAACAGGCTAAAATTAGCTTGCCCATGAGGTCTCCAGGCGTTGCCAGCAACAACCTGCATCAGCTAGAAGCAAGGACACACAGCAGCTAGAATTGCTTGTTGTAAAGGCCCCATAGATATTACCAGCAACAACATGCGTCAACGAGAATTGCTTAACAAAGAGGATTGGAGGCATTGCCAGCAACAATTAATTTTAATAAGCCCGTCGTTTAATATTAATATTCAAGGAGTATTTAGAGACACGATTTATTCAACTCGTCTTATTTCATTAAGTGTTATTTCATTAATTGCATACCTCACAATGTATCTGTGTCTCTATTTCCTCGTCGCGACGGCCCTGGCCCATTCTTGGGTAGAGAGGCTGATGGTTATTGACACCTCTGGCAAGATGACTGGGCAACCTGGGTATATTCGCGGTACCGTCACGCGGCTTGACCCTCTATTTAACGATTTCCAGATGCAGCATTTACTGCCTGCTACAAATGAGAACGAGGTGTCAGAATCTGACCGGATGTGTAAAAACTCGCAGACGTTTGGCAACTATTCCACAACCCTGCCAGCGCTGTGGGCGAAGCCAGGGTCGTACATTGCACTCCAGCATCAAGAGAACGGCCATGTAACTTTGCCTGAAAATTCGCCCCAAAAAGAAAGCAGCGGCATGATTTACATTTACGGCACATCCAATCCGAGCGAGGATGATACTCTGCGATCGATTCACAGAGTTTGGGACTGCAATGGCAGGGGCGGCGACGGTCGTGGTCGGCTCCTCGCCGTGCGGCCCTTTGATGATGGGCAGTGTTACCAAATCAACAATGGCAACATTTCACGGAGTAGGCAGGCAGCGTATCCAAAAAAAAAGCTGTTGATCCATCAGCGACTATTATACCATCTACTGTGACGACTTCGGAGGAGCTTCAGGTTCATCTCCATTCCAGACTTCCTTGGCAGGGTGCACTGATGTATGGTTTAAAAAATGAAAAGAGACGGAGCAGGCATTAAAAGAAGCACTGGTGGGTTAAAACTACATAGCTCGGCGCGTATTAACGACCAGAGTTGTAGGGAGGCCTTGCAGTATTTAGTGGACGCCTGCCCTAATACCTCCAGGCAAGCAAAGCTGGCTGCCAAGTCGCCACGATGGCAGCTCAGCCATCCCCGTTTCGACAGCTTCTTCGACAGCTCGACTATGATTTGCATCGCCCGCAGTCACTCGTTCTAATTTGCGATTTGGCGCTTTTCTCTGAAGTATAGTTACGAAAGAACCGCACAACAAGCTGATGCGCAAATGTTGAAGTGGTACGGCGCTGTGGCATCTTCCTTTCTGGACGACCATGAACGAGGATTCGTTTACTGGCCAGCCAGCTCTATTACTTGCGCTCTGCGGTATCTGGGGCTGAGTGAGAAACGAAAGTAAGTCGACCAACCACAAGCCCCCACCAACACATCTGATGTGCTAACACAGACTAACTAGAATTCACCAAAGGGTCGCGCAGTTGCTCTGCCGTATGTACGAGATGATAAGTCGGCAAGGTCGATACGCAAATACGGCAATCATGTCACAAAACACGGTTATGGGTCTTTTATCCAGGCCGGATCTCCTGGGCTGTATTAGCTTTACCTATAGCATCGGCGAGACTCGAGGGCCGGACACTCATTACCGACTTTGGTGTCCCTCGCCTGGATTTCGCGCCGCTTCGTTCCAGGAATTGCGGGCTGAAATTCCCGGGGCGACTTACGCCTCTGCTCTCCGCATTGCCTTTTGCGGGCCCGGATTTCGGTCCGAAGGCTGCGCCGCGAACGACGGTTCCGTGATCGTCCTTAAAGAGTGGCACTATCACTTCATTTTTCTCTTCTTTGATGAGAAGTCGGTAGGCGACCAAATGGCGAATGTTCCAGCGACTAGCTGAGCTCTTCCGATCACTTGCCCCCAATTGTGTGGTGACCTGGATGTCATGATACTGACGCGACAAAATCTTTAAATCTTTGGCAGTTCGTGCCGCGTACATCTGATGGTTCATGTTGGCAGGCATATGTTGCAAGAATTACGTTCCAGTTGTCATTTGTTATGTTTCTACCAAAATATCCCGCGCATGGACGGCTGCCTAGAGAATATGCAGCCACACGTTGAGGGTATATGCATGCGGGGAGGAGAGGCCAATGGAATAGTGGCACTCCCCAAACATATCATCGCACTACCCAGATAAGTACAGGTAGGCAGATACTGGGTAATTGAGGTGCATATGGGCGTTTGTATAGTGGTCTCATTAGTATTATTCTCTATCTTCTTTTACACTGGCTCTTCTTTCGTCTTGAAAGGGAAAAACACAACTGTGGACTTGATGGCCTTATACTCACTACCAAGTTGGATTCACGAATCCCATTGTAAGCTAACCAAATTACTTATAAAGGTTGATATGCTTTCGAACGGCTTTTTCAAGACTCTCCATTTCACCATCGCCCAAACCAATATCCTCATTCGAGAACCGCTCATACATGGCGCCGCCAGTTGCCCAGATACGACGCAAGGCAGCCACTGTCGCCCAGGGGTTTTCTTCTTCCCACATCTTCCGTTCCGCAGCCTCCTGATCGGCTAGTGAGATATTCTTGACACTGAACTTGACACCAAGCTGCTTTTCATACTCGCTTAGAACTTCATTTGGTGTCTTGACAAAGGATGCGACTCTCAAAATCGCATTCAGAGACGCTTCTGGGTGACGCAAGGCTGCCACGACCGCCGTTCCCGCACTGAATGGACACTTTAATTAGCCCTCACTTCTCTCATTACCTCATCAGAGATGCCAAGTTTTACTCACTCTTTCAAGGTTGTGAACCCAATCTTCGTGTCTCCATCTCCAGTCAAGATTGCCTCCCTTTCTGCCACGTCAATACCGCCAAATCCATCCTTCCACTTGTATTGGTCAATCCACATATCAAAGTATGGCCCTACGATTAGGTAGGTCACATTTAGCTGTTTTGTGTTTTCACGGATAAACTTCCGGATTGCTAGCTTCATTTGGTGCGGTTTCTCTTGCGCACTAAGTTCATTATGTTCTGGGTCTGTGCCGAATTCTGAAGGAATCACCCAACGCACCGTTGGAGATGCTTCAGCCAGTCGGATAAGCTCCTTTTGTGCCTCAAGTGCGCCTCGTCCAAGACAACTAATGACTGTATCCACTTCGCGGTACGCCGCTTCAATGTCTTGAGTGTTCATAATATCTCCCAGCAAGACAGACACGCTAGATGATTTCCAGCCATCGATTAGATCGTGCTTGCTTACAGCCGTCTCCTTTGAAGTAAAGATGGAAAGCCTGGGGAATGCCGGGTTGGCACTCACAAGGGCATCCATAATCGCTTTACCGACATTACCGGTTGCACCAAAAACTAGAATGTGAGAGGGACGAAACTTCTCCATGATCGCGGACTGTACGTAAGACTAGAGGCTCTGAAGTGACAAATAAGCTTGAGGCCAGGCGGGTTTCTTGTTATGAGATCTCGAAATGTGAAGCGGGATGCTGCAGATATATATGTAGTTTGCATAGCAGGCAGTCATTATGGAGCATTGTACATGTAATTTAGGGGTAGTCTCTACACTCTTCGCGTAGCCCTCCATCATACATATGGAATCACAGCCAATACTTCTTTGAGATGGCTTATACGACGCTTGGCCGTTGTCAATGAACGAAAGCTAAGCGGGAACTAGTTAGTAACACCCAGCGCTCCCGGCCCTCTAAGACGAGAAAGGATAATGCTCATCCAGACTACATAAACATTGACGTCTGCGCTTACTAGAAGAGGCATTTGCACTCTCACATGCCGTTTCGTCTTCTACGGCACTGGTGTCAATATATACGCTATGAACGATGCTAAAAGAATACGAGTATTTATGGCATATTTAATCTGCTTGATTTCGACTGTTAATCGCAACTCAACCTCGAGACAGCCAGTACATATTAGGAAATGCCCACATTCCCAATTGACTTTACAACACGTGGAGGTATAGGACTACCAATTCGCTATTGAGACTTGGTTCACAATCTCGGCACCTGGTTCCGGCCGGTTGCTTACCCATGTCAACATCTTCTTCAATCCTCCCTATCATGCGGAAGGAATCACAGGTATCAGCATTTATTAATAACAAGTAAATCGTTAAGAAAGTTGACTAAGTTTCTTACAAGGTCTACACTTGTTGTGTCAGGATTCCATGGCAGGTTCGAGAGTGTTTTATACCTCTCTCTACAGCAACTGCCGCTTTACAACTCATGATATGGAATGCTCTCAAGTGATCAGCGAATTAATCAGCTTCGACCTCTCAGTCACCAAGCTAAATCTATATGTTCCCACTGAGAGCCAATCGCAGACGGGCCGAAGAGAACACTAGACCTCTAAACACGTTGCAAGTAATGCTCTAGTGACACAGAAGCAAAGGGCTTGGTCACCAAAGCATTGGTAACTCATTGTTAGATAAGAGTTGGTTATCCCACGCTATTAACGAGATGAAACCTGTCATCAAGCTACCAGAGCTAATAGTTTGGTTCACGTCCAATCATGAATCCGATGTCGGAGTGTATTTAGCCTACTGTGCATAAGCCAAAGCTCTCTATTTGAATCCGGGTCATGCAGCCGTTAATTTACATAATGAATCAACTTGAAGCAGAACCGGAAATGCATTTGTAATACAGAGGACGAGACTAGCGCGGCTTAATGACAACCTTGAGCCTTTCGCTGCGATACAAAGGTAGGCGTGGAGTGTCAATCTGTCCTGACCACGCGTCGAATCAACTGGCCACGTAGTCAATCAGCAGCTAGAATGAGTGTTTAACAAATACTTATTCATGTGATATAAATGAGATAACAGAGTTCATTATGATAATAACCTCAGGAAAACGGATACACCAGGCAAAGCCGTCGAATATCCTTATCGGGTTCGCATGCAGAATACATCAGTCATGCCCTCGTCAGCGACTTCAGTTATCGAACTCAGCGCAACTCATAACTTTCCCGTGGCTACAAATAATGAGTTGTTTGAACCAAACGAACCCGTTGAACCCAATCTCTCCGTCTCAAAGAGCCGGACAGTTGCCATCATCTTCTGCATCACATGCATCAGCGGCATCAGCAACCTCCTGGCCGGATTATTGACAGTCTGCATCCCGGTAATCGCCGCAGAATTGAACTTTCCCCCCGAACTTCAACTATGGCCAGCCTCAGCCTTTGCTCTCGCATGTGGTTGCACGCTTCTTCTGTGTGCTAGTGCTGCTGATGTCATTGGATGTCGCCGCGTTTGCTTGGTTGGCGCCCTGTTGCAGTCTGCGAGCGCACTTGGTGCTGGATTGGCAAATAGCCCATCACAATTGATTGCTCTCCGAGCTGTTGCTGGAGTGGCGGCGTCCTTTTGCTTGCCCAGTGCTGTGGGAATTGCGGCTCGTGCCTTTCCCGCTGCAAGCAGCCCTCGAAGCCGCAGCATCGCATTCTCAGCTATGGGTGGCGGCCAAGCTGTGGGTTTTGGATCAGGACTCGTATTGGGCGGCATCTTCAGCGGTACGCTTGGCTGGCGTTGGGGCTTCTATATCACGGCCATTCTCAATGTCGTCATTCTGGTAGTGGCTATCTGGGCATTGCCTGCTGGTGTAGATGGCGTTGCTCTAGGGAGAGAGACTCTCAATCGTCTTGCGCGAGACATTGATTGGCTTGGATGTGGCCTTATTAACACGGCGCTCGCGCTTCTATCGTACGAGCTGGCCGTTGTTTCAGGGCCCGATGCCAGCGAACGTATACGAGAGCCTGCAAACTTGGTCATGCTTTGTAGTGCAGTTGCTCTCCTACCTGCCTTTGCAGCGTGGATGCATCACCAGACACGAAGAGGCCGACCAGCTTTGATTCCTAATGAAATCTGGAAGAATTTGCCCTTCACCACTGTCTGCGTCACTGTATTCTTGGTCTGGGGATCTCTCAATGCCAGTGAGCAGTTCACGGCGTTGTATCTACAAGAAGTCCGTGGCTTTTCCCCTTTGACATCATCACTTTATTTCTTACCGGCACCAATCTGCGGTGCATTGATGAACGTTGCCATTGGCATCTTGCTGCCGTATCTGAGGCCTTCGTTTGCCGTTCCGGCTGGCTGCCTTGTCAGCGGCATCGCTCCGCTGCTTCTAGCCACGCTATGCGGTGTGGATGGCCCAAGTTACTGGCGCGCAGTATTTCAAGCCATGGCCATGAATCCGTTGGGGGCAGATCTCATTTACACCATTGCCAATCTTGTGGTGACGTCCGCGTTTCCGACAAAGACACAAGCTCTGGCAGGGGCCGTTTTCCAGATGCTCTCTCAGGTCGGAAAAAGTGTTGGCATCGCCTCAACGGCAGTGATTGCGCAGCAGATTACGACATCTTCACAGATGCAGAATATGAATGAAGCTTTGCTACGGGGTTACAAGGCTGGATGGGTGTATAACTGCGGGCTTGGTTTTGCATCCGTCGTGGTGAGTCTTTGGGGTCTCCGAGGAGTGGGCAAACTTGGCGTCAAGATAGATTAAATGCATACTGCTGACTATAAATGACAATTCGTCGTATGGAGGTGTATATACAGTAGGGCGTAACATTCCACAGAAGTTGCTTGGGACTCAAGTAACGCTATGATACCTCCTTGGAACAATAGTAGACAAGTCCATATCCAAGAATATAATCATTTTCACACAATCACGGCCCGGGAAAACGACCTCCGTGCATTGGGGTCTCATCGAACTTGACATACCCCTTTTCCTTAACAAAGGTCGAATTCCAGGGCCCCTGGTCTTTTTCTTCAGACAATTTAACATAGTAGTTGGCATGAGCCTCGGGATCTAACTTCCCATATGCGGGCTCTCCATTCGATTCACGCTCATCTACGTGATAGAATCTAAATAATATCATCATCAGCATTATCACGTCTCATTGAGAATATATGTGCATACTTATATCCAGAGGTCCTGTACACCTCTGATAAATAATGAATCATATGAGCGGCCGCTGCCTTTCCCATGCCAAACGAAATCAGAGGCTCTAAAGTCATAATATGTAGCTTGTTACCAGTATAAATGAAGGTCTTAGACGCATCCGACGGCAATTCCGCAAATCCCTTGACAGCCAATTGGGCGGCGGCATAGGCGGAAAAGGTATTAATATGCGCATCTGTAATTATGCTTGATAAGGGCTGATCAAATCCCTGGGTGGAAAGGATGAAAGCTACCGACGATATGGCACTTCAGTTTATATCTTTTTGGCCGTGTGGATACGTGCTTCCTCACCATTATATATGACAACACTCGGAATTCCCAGCTTTTCTTTAACTTCGGTGAATACACCTTCGACATTGTACGCATCTGATAAATCCGCTCTGATTGAAAGATAATCGGCGGCGGTATCATCCAGTTTATTTGAACGACAGACAACTGCCACCTTGTAGCCGCTGCTAGCAAATGCGCGAGCTACAGCAACACCAATCCTAGGTCCATAGCCAAAGATGAGGACTACTTTGGATGACATCGTATGAGTGTTGGAAACTTCTGAAAAAGACCTGTATTTGGCTGTAACGTAAGGGCAAACACCTCAAGAATTTGTACTTTCATCAGCAGAAGATATACAATGTACGCAATAAGAATCTCCCCTCCTTATATGGAAGTATATAATTTATTGATTACTGACAACTTGGCTACAATTATCACTTTATCTCAGCTTACTCCGTACACCTAATCGATCACAAGGCACGATCTGAGCAAGTCCGCGGAGCTGTAAGCAGAGCAGAACTAAGTGCCAGCATGGCGTTCACATGGTTTACAATAGTTCGGATTAGAGTTGTACGACTGTGGCTGGAGAACTGCCCGCGTAATATGTATTGTTCCATAGTAGAAGACATGTTTATTTGGAGAAAAAATGAATTATGACAAGTATGATGCTGTCCATGCTGACATGCTGCCATGAGTATCCCCATCTGCGAATTGAGAGGGGCTTTGCAGTTCAATCCTCTCAATCTAGAATCCTTTAGCTACGGGAGGATAATTTGAGCTCACGTAATCGCGAAACTCGGTCGGCTTGCGGCCAATCAATCTCTCCAACTCGCCCGTCGTCTCCTCGAAATTGCCGTGGTTCATGGCACGAACCCAAGCGAGTCGGAAGTTTGGCAATTGCTCGTGCTGGCCCTTGAATGCATCCCAGCTGAGATACTCTTCCTCGCTAATGTTATTGGAGGCCACTTTCAAGCCTTTGGCCTGACCCAAGATTTCGGCAACCTCCGCAAGAGAAAACGCCTCGTTGCCACTCAGCTTATACGTCTTATTTGCATGTCCCTCTTCCGTCAGCACGGTGACATTGGACGCCGCGAGATCATCACGCGTCACGGGTGCAACTTTGCCCTTGCCAAATGGAATATTAATTCCTTCTTCAAGCGCATTAGCGCCTATGTAAATGAAAAATGTCTCCAAAAAGGGTGGCTGCATCATGATGGTGTAGTCCATTCCACTGGCCTTTAATGCTTGCTCGGTGAATGTATCACTCTCCGTGACGTCCCAGAGCGCAATTCCAGCCCCCTCTTGTCGCTGGACTGAGGTATAAACGACATGCTTGACACCAGCCTGTCTTGCGGCAGTGATCACATTATAGTGTTGTCGGATGCGATCCGTGAAAGCATGTGCCCCGATGAACATGATTTTCTCAATGCCCTGGAATGCCGCAAGAAGCGAATCAAAGTCAAAGTAATCGACCTTGTGCGTCGAAACTCCCTTATCGGCAAAGCGCTTTAGCTTATTCGCAGGGTCCCGCGAAACGGCCGCAAGCTGCGAAGCTGGCAGCTTTTCGAGAAGTAGGTCAAGGGTTTTACCACCAAGAATCCCTCCTGCGCCCGTGACCAGAATCTTGCCTGCAGCCATTGCTTTGACGCAGGGCACAAGTGAACAATAGGTATTTCAAGGTAATTGTCAGATTGTCGTATTATCGTCAGTCAAGGTGAAGCGATAGCACGAATGCTCGATATAATGTGAGATATACTTGAGAAAATCCAAGGCGTATATTCAATTATAATACTCAGCACCAATTGAATCCTACTTATTATATATATACGAGTCAAAAGAATTCTCGAGAAGCTGGCTCGGGATAAGTTGCCAGTCCTTTGTCATTAACTGTCTCAATTAGACATGCTAGTGATACAAATACGAGGTGTCGCCTCACGGCTCATTCCATTTCATGTTCGTTGTCGAGTGGCCAATATGAGGATAAGAGCGAAAGCAAAAAGCACCAACATCCCCACTCTCATGGCTTAATATGGTTAGGGATCCTTCGGAAATTCTTGAATCATCTTATTCAACCGCCAAATGAGTGGCGCAAAGCAGCAAATCAATGGCTGAAGCTCATTTGGCCAGCTTCGATCCCAACACTCGTCCTTTCGCAGCCATAAATTCAAACCATCAGTCCCTCCAACTCCGCCTAATTCCGCCAACTCCGTATTTCCGTTCGAGGAGGCGCATCTAAATGAGTATTGTTGTACTGGGTTTGGACACATTCTGCCAACATCCTGTAACGGCCATGTGGCTTATAAAGCATATGTCATTTATAGGTCATTAGGACTACACAAATGCGTACAATCATTAACGTGATGATTAAATCGATACACTTTTGCCATTATCCGTGTTTTTGCAAACATTTCAGTCTCATTGCTCTTGCTTGTATGGGTTAGTGGTATATAGACAAACGTGGTGGGGTCAGTCCTCAAGTTTCTGAAGCCACTACGGCACAACAACAGCCTATCATAGACATATATAGCCCGGATATGCTTCTAATTTGCTTCAAGATAGTTTAGGTCCTTGGTTTCAGTCGCCTCATGTCCATTCAAGAGATGCAGCCTTGAATATAATTGTTTTGACTGGGCCGACTCTTCAACTTGGATTTTCACAGACACTTATCTTCAAAGTAGGGTCATCAACGTAAATCCGCCTCGAGTCTAATTCCGCCTTGCGAGGAATTGGAATCAGCTCGCTTCAGAACTCCGTGTATGGAGATTTTCCAGTGAGATGGGAAGTTGGCGCTTAATTCCGTTTGCTAACGCTCCCTTGAGGTACATTTCTTCGATATCACTGAAGCAAAATGCCACATGCAAGAATATTCGCCGGCGATAAAAACTTGGGCGTTGCCGTGAGTTCATACTAATAACCATGGCACTTTTTTGTATTCCACTGAACCTCGGATTCCTGAAGACCTAGTATTTTCTAAGTGTATCTAGATCCAATTCCATTATTGATCACTTGTGCTAGCATCGACATTCGTTCTTAGATGGCATATTGAAAATTTCAATGCTGATTATGAGATAGTCAAGCATCCATTAGCCATAAGCAAGCGTTGCTTCGGGGCATCAACAGTACCATCATCATTATATATACAATGATCCTTGACTTAGGTTAATTCCTTCTCACACACCTCTTAATGTACTAGGACGCTAGTTTTGAGAAATACCAAGACCAAACACGAACTCATTATTCCGAAGACTGCCTTTGAAGGTAAATCTCCCCCAATTGTGTCATGCAAAGTCCGCAGATAATTCCGTTGTATGTGGGGGGGAACGTGGCAAGGAACAGCTTCATGAACCCCAATAGATAGAATTCCGCTATTTGAGATATAAATTTACCCTTCTCTGCTCTCCACGGTGTCATGTTATCGAAGGAACACCAAAACTGCACAGAGTTCTATTCTTTCTAATTTTGGGTTTCCTTGTTCAACCCTTATATCTAACTCTTTCAAGATGCCGTCCTGGGTTATTGTTGGCGCAACGCGGGGAATTGGTGTAAGTGCATTATAATCAACGCATAATATTAGCATTTCTAACTTGTCCCTCGCTAGTTTGAATACGTGAATCAGCTGGTATGTATTGAACGCAATCGCTTAATCATTAACTTCTTATACTTACCTATTTAATAAGTCCTCTGATTCGCAGAATGAAGTCTTTGCTTTAATTAGGAGCCAAAAGACTGCTGGACCGCTAAATGAGTTGGCTGTCTCTCGAAAGAATATCCGCGTCATTGAAACGAACATAGCCAATCCTGCAAAGCTCAAGGAGACTGCAGAACAAATTGGCAATATCACTGGTGGAAAGTTGGACGTACTGGTATACAATGCTTTTTTCCATGGAGACTCGGGAGAACTTACTCCAAGCGCGTTGTAAGTAGCATAGTTGATTCTATGCCTAATATGTGACAAAATAACGGCGAACTTACTCCAATATAGCACGGGAAGAGAAGAAGAGTTGGAACCCCATTTCTTTGAACCAGTAAGTCGCAGACGATTTCTTTATACTAATAATGGAAATAAACTAATCATCATGTTCAACAGCTGAAAGTGAATGCACTGCACGTCATACACACCGTCAACGCCCTTCTCCCTCTGATCAAGCAGGGAGTAGAGAAAAAGATCATATACATCTCTTCCGCTAGTGGGGATCTTGAGGTGACCCGAATCATCGAATTGCCTGCTGTAATAGGCTACTCCGTAAGCAAGGCTGCAGGGACAATGATTATGACCAAGTACGCCTCAGAGCTAAAAGAGGACGGCATCGTGACTTTGTCAATCTCACCGGGATGGGTTGACACAGATGCATGTAAGTGCTCACTGTATAAACTATTGATGATCCCAGATCAACTACTGAGTAAAGTATTTAACAGCTAAAGCTGCCTTAACCTCCCCTGAGGCATTCACAGCAATGGTTTCTACTTTGAGGAAGCTTGACCCAAATGTTAAGGGGATGATTTCACCAAAGGAATCGGTGGAATCCATGCTTTCCGTTATCAAGAGTCTTGATAAGAATAACAGCGGCAAATTCCTGTCTCATAAAGGCAACCTTGATTGGTTCTAAGATGTCAGGGCCTTGGACAATGCTTTGGAAGGATTGAGTCTTTAGTAACCTGATTGATTATCTGGCATTCATGTCAACACAGAGTTATGTACCTGATCTCATCATCTATATGCCGCTAAATATGTATTACAAATAGTTGAAGTAGCGAGAATTATGCACAACATTGATGCTACATACCCGGTAGCAACGATAGTTAGATCCATCACATAAATGTGCGTATCGTTTTGTGTAATCTGCTATCCAATAGATCCTCAGTAATCGCTGAAATACCAGTCAGCTATCTCGGGTACTTCGGTAACGAAGCACTTGATCGCCATTCCATAGCTTCCTAACTAACATCGGATCCCGTGAATAATCAAGCCGATGCCTCGGCCTTTTGCCATAGAAGGTACATGATTCAGTCACAAGGTGCACAGACCAATGAAACTTTAACCTTCCTAAAGAGTCAAGATTAATTTAAGCCTGGTCGATGCATCTATGGCCTGATAATTTCAAGCAACAGAAAAAAAAAAGAAGAAATGGAAAAGGAAAAATGAAAGAAAGAAATCTCTTTCAATATGTCCAAGTCAATGACTCATTTCATGCAACTGGAAAGGCGAAATCGCCATCGCGCAAATGCACGTGACCCGTATTTGCCGTCCTGACAAGGTACTAAAAAAGGCAGATTTGAGTCACCCCAGTTCCCGGTCCTGGTCCTGCGATCTCAACGATAGCCGAAGTCTCCAGATTCAAAATGGCCGGTCACGCAGTTTCATTCAGTTCCGTGCCAGAGAAGCTGGTAGAGCTGCTGACTCTTGACCTGCCGTATTCTTTACCTCTGTTAAGGCGGCTGCAGTCTACAAAGTTCAATCATGGAACTTCGGCTCATGCACGCATCGTCTTTGTCTCTGATACTGCATTGTCCCCCCAGGAGCAGCTGGACCAGAACCAATTCAAGACATACTCCGCGGCGTATTTAGATTTCTCTAAAGAGGAAACTCAAATGTACATCTACTCGAATCTGGAACACCAGCGCAACAGAGACGATGCCAGTAACAGACATCTCTACGAGCTGCAATTGGCGGAAATGGTGGACGAAGTCGTCCGGCTGCGCAATGAATACAAGCAAGAGTTACTCTTCACGGATCCAGACCGCATCCTGATAGGATCCCTGCACTCGGACGTTCGATCGATCCTGGAAAAATTCGAGGGCCGTGTTGAGTCCCGGCCCTCCGGCCTTTATGATAAATGGCTCATGAGGAGGGAAGAGCTGCCTCTCTTGGACGAGACTCTTCCCTCCGGCATGTATTGGGACAGCGCCACCCTCGATGATTGCCGGCTGGTTGTATCCCGAACTGATATCCCCCGTACTGCGTAGGTCTACAGACTCCAACCCTGAAACCTTCTTTGGTCAGATCAGTGCTATGCTATTGGCTCGACCGCGCCTATCGCGGAAACTAATCGGCATCACCACAGTCAAACACTTGTTAACCTTCCGAATCTGATGGTTAAACGAAAGGATAAGACGCCAATCGCGTGGGCACTGCTGGGTACTGATGGATCCCTAATCAGCGTGCATGTAGAAGTGAGTTCCAGAAACGACAGGCATCTTGAACCCCGGAGAACGTCGGCCATGATGAGTGCAGGATGATACTGAACAAACAATCAGGAACCTTATAGACGACAGGGCTTAGCTAAAAAGCTAGCCACGAAGCTACTGCGAGAAAAGTCCTCCCAGTTTGGAGACGATGGCTGGCTCTGTGCTGATGTCAGTCCCTCAAACGTGAGCAGCCGGGCCATGTGCAAGTCGCTCAATGGAAAGCCTGACTGGGTAGTTTCTTGGTAAGGATATGATATCTTTTCTATTTTTAGATTCGCTTATATCAACTCCATGCACTGACACTATCCTTATCCATAGGATTTGTCTAATCCTGTCCGAGACTGGGGTGACTGAAAAGGCCTAGCAATCGAAAGACGCAAAAATTACTTGCGCCACGGCGAGGGAGGTACTGTAAGCGAAGAAAATAGATGCATTTGGTGGGATTCTAATTTTTGGACGATACGTGGATTCGTCCGGCTTATAGAGCTGCATTGGGGGGAGAAGGATAGACAAGGATCGCATGTGATGGCGTTTTTGCTTCGTCTTGTTGTTCTTTCTCTTCTAGCTTGACTCGTTATGTGATTGATTGTTCGAGGTGCCGGGGGTGCTCCTATGGATAGCCGGTGTCTAATATAGATATATCGGCAATTTTCAAACGTCGGTATATTCATAATCGGGATTATTAATACCTTACCATGACTAAGACTTGGGGCTGTCGAGAGTCTTCTCCTGACGAGTATGCAGTCTCAAGACTGAAAATTAGCTTCACGAGTCAGTCGTTTACTTTTTCACATGCCACAAAGTATTTCAACATTGTTTGTAATCATGTAACTCACCAGAGGCGAAAAGAACAGCGAGAAAATCTCTAGAGTCGTATTTCCACTAAATCGTATCCCTATCCAATCCATGCATAGCGCTAAAAGTCCGATCCTGCGCTCTCGAGTCCGCTCAGGAGCCGGGCACCCAAACAAGCAAAACATCCTCGGGATCCATTACTACTGACATATCAAGACCAGCTCTGGAGAATAAAGAGCCGGTGATGAGTTGCTAAATCGAGCAGGGCAACCGTTGGAAGGAAGCACCCTCGACACAACGACATGTCCAAAAGAAGTATGATTCCCTTAAATTCATAGAGAAGAGTCTTGGGTATGCAATGATAATCAAGGCGGCGGGAATCCACGGGTCGTCCCAGAGCCACCCTTTGAAAGATCCTTGCTCTGTCACATATCTATTCGCCTCTTGGCCTGCCCAACCAAATTACCTCTCATAGTCGCACCCCCTACGCACCAACACTCTCCAATGTATTTCACACAGGCAGGGCACATGAATATTTCCAACGCTCAGGGACTCGTAAGCGCTCTTGCCAACTTTCGTGCATGTACCAAGTATCAAACAAGGGATCATCCTCCGAAAAAGGTACCAGCCGTTAAACATTACATTTAAGCATCGCCAAAAGGCAAATGCACAACATGAAGTATAACTTCCCGATTGAGACCACCAGCTGGGGCGACGCCTCTCCTGATTCATGCTAGTGTTACATCGTGAGCAAACCGATGAACTGCTCCGTCAACTGCTAACAAGAATTGCGTTAGGGCAGATCGTGCCCGGCTTCTGCGTTGGGTAAGCATCAAAGCAACACTGTAACAAAGTCCAAGCACTGGAGCAAAATCTCCCCCGCCGGTGGGATGAAATACCGGTCGATCAATGGGATAGGCGTCTGTCAAACGCTTGAATCCCGTGTGGCCCGGCTAGCAGGGGTTCCCGATGAAGTTACATTCACGGACCACATAGTTGTATGCACGCTAAAGCACTTGAAACTTATTATGGAGGTCCTTGCTTCGACAGGCAGGTAGCCCTTCTCCGTCTTCTTCTGGAACTGCAACTCAATTCTTGTCACTATCCTTGGCCATACAGACGATCAGCTCGTTGATCGAGCCGGTCCTTGCACCATCATCGGATGAAGAGCCTATCCAGGTATCGCTGGCAGCTTTCGATATCCGCCCCCACGTATCCAATGTACATATCAGGACGAACTACCACCGCGTAGGATTCGTCTGCTCCGGCCCAGTCCGCGGTAAAGGTCCTCACTTTTGACGTGACCACGCTATCGGCGGTCGCCGATGAAGGGAGAATGTTGAACAGTACGGCAACATCCTCGTGGGCAAGAGCCTGTTCAGGATGGTCGCCAATGGCCAAGATCAGATACTTGCCATATGTAACCTGAGAGTATAGCCAAATGTCGCCATCGCTGTCGGGCTTGGACAGAACAACATCAGGGCATCTCCTGCCAGCCTTCCAGATTCCGTACTCAGACTCTTCCACAATTGGCGATCCCATGGTGTCGTACGCAACGCCCATTCCTATTGGCGCCCATGTTAGTCAACCGTTGCCCTTCTCGCTCATGCTCAACACATCACACCCAACCACGGTGGCAGGGGGGGGGTGTCCATGCTGCAACAGGGAGGTGGTGTAAACACCATGGAATAACTTCGCGGAAAAATTCACTGACCTGTGATATACCCCGCGTTGCGTTCGATGGTACCGACATATTGCTTGGCAGTGTGAACAGTGTCCCGGACCAACGCCGCGGCAACGTCAATGACCCCCTGCGCAGTTTGTCTGCGCTCAATATCATAACTCCGGAGAATCTTTCCTGCAGCGCCCTCCTGCAGACGCGAACTTTTGAGGACAAGGGTCAGACGCCAGGCAAGACTGAATGCATCGGCAATGCCTGTGTTTAGCCCTTGACCCCCGTTGACCGAGTGGACGTGGGCTGCATCTCCAGCCAAGAAGACACGGCCCGCGCCATCCTTGGAGATGAAAGAAGACGCGATCCTTTCCTTGACTAAAGCCAGCTGTCAGCTCTGCCGGCCTCTCCCACTTGTTGCTCCGTCTCTTTAGCCTTTGCCACTAAGGAGTAGTTGCCGGGCTAGCAAGATCCATACCATCTCCCCCGACAAGCGGCGTGCCTACCTAACACGGAATACGGAACTTGTAAACCAAGATAAGGCAGATGAACAAATGAAAAGTGGGCAAACAAAAGTTCAAGCAAACAATGTCAAAAGTCCACTTACCATCAAAAGTGCTATACCATTCAGTCTTGACAAAGTCGGTCCGATATGGGGCCAAGTGCTTCTTGATGGACTCTTCAGCACGCTCCTGCGTCACTTCTCCTTCAAGAAGCACGTAGAAACGGCACAGCCCTCTCTCTCTCGGGATCCAGGACACTCTGGACTGGCCGTTCAGCTGGAATGTGATGATTTCTGGGCATGTGGGGAAGTCTGTATCGATGAAGGTGTCCAGCACCGACCATAGCATCTCCGGTTTGCTTCCAGTAAACGTCGCCCCGATGGCTGCTCGTACCGTCGACTTGGCTCCATCTGATCCCAGGGCATATTGGGATCTGATTATCCGGCCACTTTTCGTCACCACTTCGACGAATTCATTGGTCTCAGTCAGAGATTCTACCTGTTCGCCATAATGGACGAAACCATCCAGACGGGTGCTCAACATCTTCTCGACGACCGGTTGGCCAATCATGAGAAAGTTCTTGTGAAAGGTGTGCTCAAGGCTCACCCACCACTGGTTCTGACGAGAAATGAAGTCCCCATCGCCGAAAGTCGAGCTCGCTACGCAAGCCGGTCAGCATGAGTCTTAATCTATTGTAATAAGGAAACAGTCGACATGTCCACTTACTGTTGCACTTTAAACCCTGTGGCAGGAGTTCATCCAGAATGCCAACAACGGTCAAATACTGCTGAGTTCGCGCGTTCAACGCGTCTGCACGTCCAAGATCTAGACTTTGAGGTTTGGCGTCTGCCAATGGTCAAGATTAGCCCGCATTCAATAATCTGACAGCATCATGAGAAGGTCCTTACCCAATATGCTGACGGACACGCCAAGACGGTGCAAAAGCAGGCCGGTAAGCAAACCAGTAGGACCTCCTGTCATAAGGTTTCTTGTCAGTACTCCGATATCGACCAGTGATATTATCCGTCATGTATTCCGGGGAGCATACCGCCAACAATAGCTACATCAACAGTCTCGACTTCGCTGTTTGAGCTGCCCATATTGGCAAAATTTGACAAGATTTCCTTGGAGCCTGTTTGAAGGGAATCCGTATGAGAAGAAGGAGAAATAGACAGAAGAGTAGAAATGGAATGTCATCGCCAAATATTAAGGATCATGCTGGGATTCCGTTGCCTATAATCACATACCAACCGCCGTGATACTCAAGCCTTGGCAGCAAACAACCCACGCCAACAGGGGTTGAGATACTAAGTTGCCAACGACTCCACCAGGATTCCACATTTGCCATCTAAAGCAACTGTTTGGTGCCCGTCAACGATTTAAAATGAAACCATAGAGGTGTCTGAGTTGTAGGTGAATCGCATGGCAGGTTGCCACACGCCCCCTCGGGGATCCAAACCAGATGGAGAAGGTGGCATAGCACCAACGGCTATCACTGCTAGTTGGTGGGCCAATCTGTCAAGAGCCTCTGTTTTGTATATCCAGGTGAAGAGCTTCAATCTGATAAAAGGATCCAGATTTTCCAAACGAGTTTGAGCATATGGTCATTCCTGGCTCACCACAACTATTCTTTCCCAGTATCCGAGTGAAGCCACCATGCCGTCTGCAGTGGAACTTGAGTCACTAGCCGTCGAGGTCCCGGCGACCCAGGCAAAGCTCAAGTCAACTTCTTCCACCCCTCCTCTTCCTGTCACTGTCCCTTCGGTTTCTCTCACCACTGGTGTAGATGGAGCTGCCCTTGAGACGGCATCCAAGATTCTTCACATCATAGACCGGTATCGCCTAAACCGGCCGGTCGATGCCGCTGCCAAAGCTGATGAGGGAGCTTTGAAGTTTCTCGCCCTCATTTACACTCATGTCAAAGCTGGCGATGTCGTACCCATGTGCCTACCTGCATTTCCCTTCAAGTCACCAAACTCCCGGTCCAAAGTGTTGGGCAAGCTGCCTGACAAAGCAGAGGAGCTGGCTCTAGCACACCTCAACGGCCTTTGTCTAGCTATTCGAGACATCTACCCTCCAGGGGCAAACCTTACCATCGTCTCAGATGGCCTGGTATATAATGGTATGTCCCACCAGATGTCCTAATCTTCACAGAGAAAGATACTAAGCCAATGCATCCAGATTTGCTTGGTGTCCCTGACAAGGATGTGTGGAACTATGGCGAAACACTGAGAGCTCTAGCTTTAGCCAAGGGCTACAAACACATATCCTTTTCGCGTCTCCGAGATCTTGTAACAATCCAGCTGCCCGAGAAGCTTGATGAGATGACATATGTCGCGAATGCATCCAACTTTCGACGAGCATTACTCAATGCTTTCAGCCGACCTGACTGGGAATGGAAGACTTTTAGCCAGAGCGAGGATGTTTGCTTGACGTATAGGGGGTATATCAAGTTTCTGGAGACGGATCTTGAAACTGTTTATCCGGTTGGAGATGACCGAAGCAAGACCAAGTATAAGCGAGGCATCGAATACATTGCCAAGCAGATGATGGCCCGTGGCGATGTAAGTTTTAGCCATCCTCTCTAAAAATTGTCTCGCTGTTGATCGTCGCTGACTTGAATGATTCAGGCATTCGCGAGCGCCGTTAGACAAAAGTACAAAGACTCGGTTCGACTGTCGATACATCCGTCCACTGGGGCAGCCAAGCTTTCCATCAGCTTGTTGCCCACAGACACCACGTATACCACACCTTGGCATTGTGCTGTTGCATATAGACTGGACGGCACCACATCTACCGGCATGCGATCTGATTTCGAGAATGACGATTCATATGAACTCGTCTACGAAAACGGCAGGCCTAGCTACTACCGCGAGAAATCCGATCTGTTTTCGTGGGGTTCAGAGAAGGGTGGTGTCGACTTCGAGCCGCTCTACCCAGCGGGCTGGCTTGTCAAACCCTCCAGGGGGCCTTTTACCATGACGATGCAAGATGTGGATGCCAGGAAGGTGCGATCATTATCTGAAATCAGCTCTCCGATCATCCTGCGTGGCTTCATTAAGAAGCCAAACAAGGAACAGTTCGCTAAAAAGTCGGAAGAATTTGGCAAGCCAACAGCGTGGAAGTTTGGCCTCATCTTGGAAGTCAAGGATCAGGGAACCAACAGTCAGGGTCTGAACAACGTGCTCTCTCGCGAGTGGATGCCTTGGCACTATGATGGTTTGTTCAAAACCGTCACGCAGGTAGGTGGGGATGGCGAGGAAACTCTCATCTCAACACCACCTCGGTGAGTAGCTGCGTTTGCGCCCAGTTGTAGAATGATGGCAACCGTACTAACACATCATTTTTGCTTCCAGATTTCAGATCTTTGTTGGAGCAACTTCGAGTCCCCGTGATACAGGATTTACGCTCTTTGCGTCGTCTACGCTTTTCCTCAAGTATCTCCCAGATTGGCTGAAGCTAGGAGCGCTGTCTGAGATGACTTGGACAGTTTCAACAGCCTCCTTTAATCAAACAGTTCTCAAGGGGCTTCCAATGATTGTGTCTCACCCAACAACAGGAAAGCCCTGTCTCAGGTACCACGAGCCGTGGCCCCAATCCAAGACCCAATTCGAGCCAACCAACGTCACCATTGATGGGTTGAAAGCTGCCGACAGTGCGGCAATCTGCGAGGCCATCGATTCTGTGTTGCATGACCGGAGAGTAGCATACTATCATGTTTGGGACAAGGGAGACATTGTGGTAAGCGACAACATCTTGATGATGCACACACGGAGCGACTTTAATTCCGGAAGTGATCGAGAGCTTTGGCGGATCCATTTTGACTGAGTAATGACGTTTGGCGCATTGGAGTTGTCTTTGTCCATAAGCAGGGGGTTGGTCTGTATCACACCGATGTTAGCACTTTAATTCCCAGTGATTTCCCCATAGCAAGTCTGAATAGGATGCCATTACGAGAAGTGTTTCGAACTGGAAACCAACACACGAAGATTGTATTGGACAGCGCATAGATGACGGTTCAGACATTTTGAATGTGTCGAGATTGGCGCATCTGCTTCGTAGAGCTGGCATCTGGTTACTGGTAGGTCCATGTAAGTATTATGCAAAGTCTTGGTATGTGACCGAAGATGAGAAAGAGACGAGGTAAAGGGAGGGGCTTTACAGTATTAAAGCTACATATGCACTATACATGGGACTCACACGGTGTTGATTTCAGGCGAATGGAACGCGAGAATAGCGTGCATGTGCACTAAATATACAGTGCGCAGTAATTTGACTGCCTAGAAGTTCGGCCTCTGGTGTCTAAAGCTGTTAGCTTTCAGCGGCTTTACCATCAATCGAATGGTCACTACCTAACCTGTCCAGTATCAATTGAACTTTCACCAAAATTCACGATCATCTCCCCAATCACCAGATCCAACGCTCTTCGCATCCTCATGTGATCGCCATGTCGACATTCAATGGCCTCGTCTCCGAGTTTCCAGACATAAGAAGTTCGGAACATCCAACTTGTCCACCAAAGAAGCCCCGTGCTAATGTGTTGATAGTCGATTTCTTTAGGCAACACGTCGATGCATTACCACCATTGGCGTGCTTTCTCAGCCACGTCCACAGTGACCATCTCTCTGGGCTCGAGACACTCCGATCTCCCTTGTAAGCTTCCATAGAAGGCATCATGCTGGGCTGGCTACTAACTTGTTAGTGTCTACTGCTCTGCGGCTACTAGGGAGATCCTACTTCGGCTGGAGCGATACCCCTGTCGCATCAACTATGCCAGGGGCATTCTGGAGGCACGGCAGCAGACTTACAGGCATCTGAGCAAGGTTATTGTGCGTACTGCAACCAGGACAAGGTTATGAACATATGAATACCCACGCCTAATTCTTGAGTAGAAGCCACTTCCGCTCGACTCTCCTACCACAATCGAACTCCAACCTGGAAACTGCATTCAAGTAACGCTCTTTGATGCGAACCACTGCCCTGGCTCTGTCATGTTCCGTAAGTGGTTCATTCGTTCTTTGGCGTTGCCATGCTTCACTAACGGCATTTCAGTGATTGAGGGGCATGGCAAAGCGATACTGTACACTGGGGACGTCAGATGCGAGCCATGGTTCGTCAATGCCATCACACGGAGCCCAGCTCTTATTGAGTATACATGTGGCATCAAGACTATAGACACCATCTATCTCGACACGTCATTTATAGACGACATTCCATTTCAGACGAAAGCCGAAGGGATTTCAGAGCTATTACGCAAGGTCATGAGATATCCCAAAGACACGGTCTTTTACATTCAATCTTGGACTTATGGCTACGAAGATGTTTGGATTGCTTTGTCCAAGGCTCTCAACTCCCCTGTGCGTCAACCCCCTGAAGCGCGCTGTATTTCTGCTGACAGTTGGTCAAGATTCACGTTGACAATTACAAACTCCGTATTTACAACTCCTTGAACGCGCCGTCATCAGAGGTTCGACCCAGTTCTGGCACTCATTTAACATCTACCGCTGCTGCTCTGACTGGCTTCATGTGTGGAAATACGCCTCAACCCGGTTGCCTTACCTCTGACCACAATGTCCGCCTCCACAGCTGTGAGAGCGGCAACATGTGTGCAATTGCAAAACGTTCTTCTGTAGTCAAAATCCAACCCGTTGTCGCATCATTTCCTGATGGTGGAGTTATCCAAGAAGCTGGAATAGGCGGAGGTGGTGAGGACTTGGAGCGCGAGATGGAACTGGGGATTCCCAGCCAGAGTGACCTTGAAGATCTCCTTAGAATGTACGTACAAGAGATCAGTGTCTGTGTTTTCAATGGATATCTAAGGCTAATTTCTTTACAGAATAGATGCGCTAAAGAGCATGACGGAGGAAGCGCGAGGTGAATGTGCCCGTGTTCTGACAAATGCAATGGCAAGCGGACGCGATTTACAGCTCAACATGAGTTTATCATCCGCTGAAGATGCGTATTCAACCGATTTACAAAGAGCCATACTTTCTATCATCAATACTCGATCAAAGGCAACTCCTGCTCGTACTAAGATTGAAGAGTGCAACGAGGCAAATCTCCCAAACATCATCCGGTTTCCATATTCACGACATTCGTCCTATGCCGAGCTTTGCGATTTAGTGAGTACATTCAAGCCAAGAGATATTTGGCCCTGCACATTCCATCTAGAGACTTGGGAAAAGAAAGGTGAGCCATTAGAGCGAGTTCATGTTACATCTCTCGCGAAAGCTAACGCATTTCTCTTAGCCATGTCCATTGAGTCTCTCTTTGGGAAACACTGCAGTGGCGACGTATTCGCGCACGACATGAGGATCAACAATATTAGAAAGCAAATGAAGCAAAGCGCTTGCGAAGAGCTAAACTCTCAAAGACTCGAGAACTACTGTTCGATTTTTGCCTCACCTACAAGCCAAATGTCGCCGAGCGCTTTCCATGGCTGCGACCCCAGAGAGGCCGTAACCGTCGCTCAATATGATGGTCTAGTACAGAAAGGATGCCACAAATCACAAGACGCGACAGCAAAACCTGCAACCACACAAAAGTCATTGCAGCCCCTAGTTTCTGAAAACGGCGATGCTACAGGTGGAAACGAGTCTCAAGAAACCAATGCCTCCACTTCGGCGCTCACTATACGAAATTCCTCAGTAAGATGCGATGCATACAATCAGATGCTCCAAAATTACCACGGAATCGGCTGGAATTCTATCGAGCTTATATCCGTCGACAGCAATCATAGCGTTGAAGAAACAGAACTATAGTTGAGCGCCGCAACAAAAGCAAGTGGGTTCCAACTCGTGCATTAATCAACCACCCGGGTTCCGGCATCATGGCTAACAATGCAACAGATGGAAATTCAGGAACAATCTCGTTCTCACATGTCAACTCCCAGCGCAATATCTGTACTTTGTTTATTTGTTTCAAACTCGCGCCAAATAGTGCTTATCAAGCGCAGGAGCAAACATTTCGAAAGCACCAATGGGAATCTCTCAACTATACAACAATCATATCGCCCTTTGTTTCCATAGCCAATAGCCGTCTCCCTAATAGCGAGGGCCTAATCGAGATGAATCCCTCCGACGCTAAGTGGATTCGGGGTTTCAGACGCTCCGGCAAATAGCTTCAGCTCATCTAGCTCCAGAGAAAGGAGACTATCTGTCACACAATGAGTAGCACTGCAACAGGCACTTTTGAGACAAGACTGGTCTCTGCTATCAGCCATGAAACGCATCTTATATCATCGGAATTATTCCCCTCAAGTTTCCCGTCAGCGTCGGGAACACGGGCACCATGAAATTGCCGTCAGACGAGTTTCGCTGCGTCACTTCCAAGCTTCTACGGCGTACAGAGTACAAGACGCAACATCACTTTGGTGTGATACACGCTAAGAGCAACCCGTCCGAAGCTACTATCTTCTGGTAGCTCCGTGGGCTATCCCATCAGCATGGTTGCAGCAGCCAAGGTGATGTAATTCTCCCTGCTGATGGCTCTTTTTATAGCTCCGTTCGCATAAGCATAGCCTCCGCCTACTGCGATGCAATGCCACCCATTCAAGATGATTTCATTCCCCCTCTCAGATTTCCCATCCTGCATCAGTTCATCCGATCTTTGTTTCAAAACATCCACTCTCTCCAAGCAGATTCTTCTGAAACAAACACGACGACTTCCCATATGTGATGAATGGCGCATCTACCGAGAAGGTAGGAAAAGCAAACAATCACAATTAGAACTTAGACTGTGACACCCAACATGGCTATTCCTGAGCTGCTGGGGTCTGTGACCTCGGCCCAGCTTTGGAGCTTTGGCGCCCTTTTTCTAATCCTATCGTTCGTCATCGATTTCGCAAGCCACCCGCAGTATCCAAGACAGATTCCTGTGATGGGCAAGGGCCATGGGATGCTCAACGCCTTACTCGACAGCTTTCGATACATCACCAACTATCACGGGTGGGTAAGCGATGGCTACACCAAAGTGAGCAATACTACCTCTCCAAACTATCGCTCAGAGTGATTAACATGAGAACTTTCATAGTTTGGCAAAAAGGGCCTGCCATTTGTCGTGCGATCCCCGTTGTCTCGCCCTTCAGAGGTCGTCATCCCTCGCAACCAGATTGGCTGGATGATGGATCAGCCTGACCACATCCTCTCAACTTATGATGCTCACAATACCGTGCTATACTCTGAATACAACTTTTTGGGACGCCGATTAGCCTTTGATCCGTTCCCTAACCGCGTGATGCACAAGTATATAGCACGGCATCTATCTACCGTCATCCCCAATGTGGACGACGAAATTCAGCACGCAGTAAACACATCGCTTGGAGACGATACAGAAAACTGGAAGTCAATCAAGCTGTGGAACCTCTGGCTTGAAATCGTACCGCATGTCACCAACAGATTGCTCATCGGGCCCGAGGTCTGCCGCAATAAGCAATTCATCGATGGCATGGTCAACTTTACAAACGACGTTGTCCGCAACGGCCTCTTGCTCCAACTGCTCCCCAAAGTCCTGCATCCCATCTTTGGACGACTGTTTGGCATATCCAACTACATCCATTGGCGCTCGGCCAACGCTCCAGCTCAGCCGATCATTGAGAAGCGCCTCAATGCGATGCTGAAGAAAGCCGCAGGCGATGCCGAGTATAAGGACTACACACCACCCGAAGACTTCATCACCTGGTTAATCCGACAAGCTCTAGCAGACGGAAAGACGTTCGAGCTAGACCCCGTTGTTATTTCCAAGCGACTTCTTCCCATTGAATTTGCCGCAATCCACACAACCGTGTTGACAGGCCAGCTGTGGATGCAAGACCTGCTCACCTCGGATCCCGAAAGTGGCATCCTGGACACGCTCCGAGCGGAAATCAATGCCCACAAACCCGAATCCGGCCCCTGGACAAAGACCGCCATTACCAACCTCGTTCGCCTCGATTCTTCCATCCGCGAGTCCCAGAGAGTCAGCAACTTCGCCGTCACAATGATCGAGCGCAAGGTTGTCGCCGACGACGGCCTGTACAACCCAGAGCTAGGCTGGACTCTCCCAAAGGGCAGCTTTGTCACCGTCAATCTCGAAGGGACGCACCACGATCAGGATCTATACAAGGATCCTCATTCATACGATCCTCTCCGCTATTCTCGCATTAGGGAGGCCTGGGATGCAAAATCAGACCAAGAGAAAAAGAGCGAGCCCGAAGAAGGTACGAAAATACGAGGCCTCGGAATGGTGACTACGAGTCCCCAGCATCTGGCTTTTGGCCATGGACGACACGCTTGGTGAGTACAATTTGTAGGAATTCACGTATGGTTGCGTACTAATTAATCACGGATAGCCCCGGACGATTCTTTGTCGCGCACGAGTTGAAGCTCATCATGATTCATGTGCTCCTCAACTACGATATTAAACTGGTTGGCAAGGTGCCTGAGAAGCAATGGGTAGGCGGCACCATCATACCCCATCTGAATGCAGAGATTCAAGTCCGCCGGAAGAGAGTGGCGGCGTGAGGTATAAAGGATTAGGATATAAATGATGAAACAAGCGAGAAGAGACAATACTGGAATTATGGTATTTAATTGAATGCAACTGTTTTATGCATATACCAAAGGAAGGCTCTCGAGACGTTGAAATGCTCAGAGGCAGGAATCATAGCCACACCACCACTTGGTTGGGTTATTTTAACCAGGACTGTACAATAAGAGGCATAGGGGAAAGCAGAGGAGTCAATGTTCACTAGAAGTTCATCTTCTCTCGCTAGATCTAACAATGCAGTATTAACAGTGATGTCTTGATATTTTCTGCTCAACTCTTTGTCAAGCCGCGATACAAATCTATATATTCAGTCCCATGAGCCCATCTCCTCCCAAAAACAGCCCTCCAACAGAGCCCTTCTCCCTTTCTCTCAACAACGCACCAATATCAACTCTTCCTCCCGTAATGTACTTTTCGCTAACACCAAGATTGACCCTCTTGCTCAACTCCTCACGAAGCTGTGCCCGCAGCGCTCCCATCTCGGCTTTGCTCAGCTGGCGAGCCTCCTTCTCCTTCTTCTTACGACCTCCTCCTCGGCCACCCCAGTTACCCGGTGCGCTACCATCGAACTCTTCAGAATCGTAGTCAACACCAAGCTCCTCGGCAGCATTCCGCAGCCACGTGTCTTCGCTGTGGCCCTTCTCCTTTGCCAAGACGGCATCGGCAATGCGTTTGGCGAGATCAACGCGGGACTTTAGACGGGCTGCGATTTTCCGATCAATAGAGAGCGTCTCGATGAAATGCTCGCGCTTGACGCCGCTGCCACCCTCGCGCTCAGCATGGACTTTGCTCGCCAGACGACGTGTAGGCAGAACTTCCTCCGGAGAGCACAGAATGACGCTGACACCGGAACGGTCGCCACGGGCAGTTCGACCAGATCGATGGATATAAGTGTCTGCCTGGCGAGGCACGTGGTAGTGCAAAACTTGGTCGACCTCCTTGATATCCAGGCCTCGAGCAGCCACATCTGTTGCGACAAGGATGGAGTTGCTAGCCGCAGCGAAGCGCTCAATGGATCGTAGACGAGCTTTTTGGATCATTTGAGAGTGTAAGGGGAGTGCTGAGAGACCGAGGTTCTGGAGGAGAGGAGTGAGACGACGAACGGCTGAAATGGAGTTGGTGAAGACGAGAGTGCGGCGACCCGGGTTGAGGACAAGAACAGTGTAGAGATAGAGATCCTGGTTTCAGAATGTTAGGGCAACCGTAATCTAGAACATGAGACACCAAAGGATATCCTTCAAACTTACCTTTTCCATGGCACCACATTCAATCAAACCCTCCTTCAGGCCATCAGCCATCTGCGACACGGGATTGACATCGATAAACTTGGGCTGGCCCCTAAATTTGAGACACTTCATCAAATACTCCATCTTCTCTTCGTCGCTTCCCGCCGCTGCCTTGGAGCCCTTGCCTCTGCCCGCCAACTTGGACTGCAGATTCTTGTCGAAAGTAGCCGAGAAAACGAGCGTCTGTCGCGGGGGGAGTTCGTCGTCGTCTTCGTCGTCGGCCTCGGGATCTCGTCGATCGAGTGCGCCAATGATGTCTTCCGCCTCCTTAAACTGTCCTGCTTTAAACAATCTATCTGCCTCATCGACAACCAGGAATTTGATCTTGGTAAAGGAATCTTGTAGACTCATGTCGCCGTCCAGGACCTCCCAGAGACGACCCGGCGTCGCAATGACAATGTCGGCCTTTTCCAGCTGTCTCTGCTGCTTATGAATGCTCAAACCGCCAGTAACTGTGCAGACGTAGGGCGCAGTCGGCAATCCATCGCAAAGCGCCTTGATGTGGTCTGATATCTGCTTCGCCAACTCTCTGGTAGGGCTGAGAACAACCGCCGTCGGGCCCTCCCGCTTGACATTCGTCTTGTCCACGTAGAGTTCCAGCCACTTCTCGACGATGGGAATGCCAAACGCCAGCGTCTTTCCCGATCCCGTCTGCGCCTTTCCAATCACGTCGTCTCCCGCCAGAATCTCGGGGATCGTCTTCTGCTGTATCAGCGTCGGCTTCGAGAATCCCAGCTTCGCAATCGCAGACACGGTGCGCGTCGACAGGTTCAACTCCACCCAGGCACCCATGTCTGCTTCTTCTGCTGCTGCGTCGTCCACGGCCATGAGGGCGTCGAAGGAGTTGCCCTGCTGCTTGTGTGAAGCGGGCTTTTGTAGCTCTTTCTCGGCCGTCGCCAGCTTGCCGTCCCGCGACTTGTGCTTGTTGTCTGCTTCTTTCTTCTGCTCCTTGGCCCTGTCTTTTCTTGCAGCTTTCTTTTGGCTCCTCTTGCTCTCCACGCCACCTTGAGAATCGCCAGCTTGGCCGGGATGGACATCCTCGCCTTCCACAGGGCCGTCGCCAGGCCCTTGAGCAGGTTCACTGACGGCATCTTGCGCTTCTGTTGCTTGTTCCTTTGCTTGTTCTTCGCCCTTGCTCGACCCCTGCTTGTGTTTTGAATCGGAAGAGTCGGGCTTCTGCTGTTGCTGTTGCTGCTCCGCCACTAAAAACTGCACAGTCCCACCATTTCTTACCACATCAACTCCTTCAATCACCTCGAGCCCGCCGAATTCCTCTCCGACCGATTGCCAGGCGAGAGAGGCCGCGTCGATCAGCTGCCGCGCAGGCTTTGCCTTTGCTTTGCCGCCGGCTTTGGGGTTTGTTTTCGCAACAGCGCCTCTGGTCGAGTTCTTACTGCGCTTCGCGGCCGGTGCGGCGACGGAAGGAAGCTTTCTTTTTTTGGACGGAGGCACCATCGGGAATTGATTCGGTCGTATCGATCGCTTTGCCGAAGGTCAATGTCGCTCAGAGATGGAAGTTGTCGCAAAATAGTTCTTATCGTAGTGAAGCTTCAAAAGTTTTTTTTTTTCTGTTGCACTTATCTTAGCAGCAGAATCCATCCCGGCCGCACTAGGCTCCGATCCACCGATCAAATGCTCTAAGTACTGTGTACCTGAGCTCACACCTGTTGATGATGACGGAGTGTGTTCCCGGTACTTTCTTCATTTCTTACTGACATGTACTTGAAGTCAATCAATGCTGGCATCCATCAAGGTCATCCATATTAATAAAGGACGTGTATTCGGGGCCATGGAATATCACGGTATAGTACAAAGCCGCCTTCATTAGACTTATATAAGAGGAAAACGAAAAGAAAAGTGCCCGAGTTTAACTAATAATAATGCTATGAATACAGCAATGCATCCCCAAAGTCCTCTCCGTATCCATTTTATGTCTTAATCTTTTCCCCACCAATAACACGGCAAATCATTGATTAGATGGATTGAGAGTCCATCCTCCCATTCATTATACATTGCAAGCCTTGTCCCAATAATCTACCCGTTGCCATTCCTTCGTTGAGCTTAGTGAGCTCCCCTTGCTCTCTTTGCTCCAGCACTGGCGGCTTCTGAATCGCCTCTTGGACGCTTCGCTCCGGGCTGGAACTCAGTAGCAGCTGCATTCATGCCGCCACGACCTCCTCGAGCACCTCCGCGTCCGCCACGGCCAGCATGGGCCTGTCCAGCTTCGTTACCGCCAGCCGCCCTTTGGCTAGGAGGTACGTATGCTCCTCCGCGCCCACGCCCGCCGCCCCGAGGCATTGGGATGCCGGATCGCACTGGCATCTGTCCCTGCTGCTGGGGTTGTGGTGGAATCTGTGGCAGCTGCGGCGGCTGTGGCAATTGCGATGCCTGTTGTGCTTGTTGTTGTGGCTGCGCAGGTTGGGCCGCCGGAGCATTGGCAGTCTCCGGCTTCGCAAACGGGTTGGGAATACCAGAACCACTGGCACCAGCCGTAGCCGCAGGCACTGCGAATGGATTTGAAGCCTGGGGAGGTTGGTTTCCGCCAGTTGCAGGTACAGTCAAATCCGCAGCCTTGGGCTCAGGTGGAGGTTGTGTAGCCGCTTGTGAAGGAGTTGTTGCTACCAAAGGTGCTAGTGCAGGCCGAGCAGCCTGAGTAGCCGCCGGGGCTCCAGCAGGGGGGCCAGCAGTTGAAATAGGCATGCTGCCAGAGATGGACGGTTGCCTCACTGGCGTGTTTGCGGCTGAGGCCGGAGCCGGGGCTTTGGCTGCTGCTTGTGCCGGCGCAGGAGCCTGAGTAGACTTGGCAACCTCCCAGACTTCCACGACAGGCTTTTGCGGCGTCTCGTTCGCGGCTGTCTCAACCACCCCCAGTTTTGCCGTTGCAGTCCTCAGTTTGTTCTCAGCCATGTTAATTCGTAGAGTGGACTTCTTTGACTCCATGAGCTGGGCCTGCTCGCGCGCCGCCGTGATTTTGCCTTCATACTCGGCCTTGATCTTGGCGCTCTCTGTATCCATCTTCTTGCGAATGTTGGCCGCGATAATGTTTTTGACAGTCGTGTTGGAAGCCAGGAACTGCCTAATCGACGAGTCGTCTAACTGAGAGAGGTCAGGAGGCCCGCCTGCAGCTGGAGTAGCCGATACCGAAGGCGCTTCCGCCTTGGCTGGGGTACTCGGGGGTTGCTGCTCGGCAGCTGGAGTTTCCTTTGCAGGGGCTGCCTTGGAGGGGTTTTCAGCCTGCCAGATCAGCTTCTCTTGCTCGAAACGAAGCTTGAGGTCATCGTCTTTCCTCTTGAACTCCTCCTCCAGCTTAGCACGGCTCTCTTTGAGTTTATTGTTCAGTGTGTCCTTCATCCTATCCGACCGTTCCTTAATCGTTTGCTGGATCTTGGCTTCAACTTCGTTCGCCTTCTGTTCAAACTCGGCCGCCTTTGCCTCGGCCGCAGCAACCTTGCCTTCCAGCACTTTCCTCTCGGCATCTGGCAAACCATTCGCAGCGGGCTGGCCCTCTCCGGTCTCCGGCACTGTAGTAGATACAGCATCAGTAGAAGACGGCGCCGCAGCGGTGGCTTCCTGCAGCTTCAGCAGCGCGCTGTCACGCTCCGAGGCAGCCGTCTGTAGCTCGCTCCGCAGCCTCTCGAGCTGGTGCTCCGCTCCTAGTTTCTGGGCGTTGACTGCCTCCAGCTCCTTTCGCGCATCGGTGAGACGCTGCTCCAGTACAGCAACAACTTCTGACGATGCCGATGTGTCAGATTGTGGCTGTTGAGCAGGTGGCTGTGCAGCGAGAGGTTGTGTTTGCTGTGCTTGTCGGCGAAGCTCCTCGACCTGCTGCTGGAAGGAATGAATTTGCTTCAGCAACTCCGCCCTCTCCTCATTAAACTGCTCTGCTTGTTTTTTGGTGGCAGCAAGGGTGCCATTGGCCTTGTCAAGCTGCTCCTGCAAGCTGTTGGCTCGCTGGCTAGCCTCGTTCTTCTCGCCGGTAATCTTTCGAGATCGTTCCTTGAACTGCTCCGTGAGTTTTGCTCGAGTATTTGACCAGTTGGCTCGTTCAGTCTCAAGGACCGACTCAAGCTCGGCAACCTTGGTCTGCAGCGGCTGTTCGCCCTCTTTGAGAGCATCCCGCTCCTTTTCAAGGTCGGTGATTGTCTGCTTCAGCTGCTCCATCTCGGCCGGGTCAACGCGACCATACTTGGTCAGGATGCCCTCGGTCCTCTTCTGCCAACGATCGCGATCCTCCTGGATTTGCTTAATCTCTTCTTCCAAGAACGATTTCTGTGTGTTTAAGTTGTCAATCTCAGTCTCAAGAGGCTGGATCTTCTGCGTCATCTCATCAATCTTCTTGTTCTTCTCGGTGATCTGGTCCTTGAGTTGGTTGTTTTCCGTTCGAAGAGCCATGCTGCTCTCACGATAGAGGTTGAGCTCGTGCAGCTTCTCCATCAGATCCTTGTGAGCCATGGAAGTGTTGCCGCTTTGCGAAGCTTGGCGTTCTTGATCGAGCTTCAGACGCGTCTCATCCAACTGTGACTGCAAATACTCGACTTGCTGTTGCAGTCGCTTGGATTCGTTGGTCTTCATATCGTACTGGACCTCCAGAATCTCCTTTTCGCGACGCAAGTATCCGTTCAACTCTCGCATGCCCTCGATGGCATCGCCCACGCCAACGGGCGACATGGCTTCATCCGCATCAGCAATATCGCTGCGCTTTTGCTGCATAGCTGAAATCTGGCTGGTCAAGCTTTCGAGTTGCTGGTGTAGAAGCTTGTTTTGCGCGTTGGCATCCTCGCGCCGTTGTTTGAGTTCGGCCATCTCCTGCTCCAGCTGCTGTCTTCGGTCTTCCCAGGAGCTCTCACTTTGCGCGAGCGTGACCTTGGCAGATTCTGCTTCCGCGCGCAGTGATGCGGACTCCCGCTTGTATTCATTGTACTCATTGCGCAGCTCCTGAACCAGCTTGGCGGCTTCCGCATGCTTAACTAGCTCCTTCTCATAGTCCTGTTGAGCTTTCGAAGCAATCTCGGCTTGAGCACGAAGATCCTGCTGATGATATCGGGCAGCTTCAATGTGCCGACTGCTTTCTTCCTTGAGTCGCTTGATCTCCTCCTCTAGTATCGTCTTCTCATCTTCATACTTGCGCGCAACCTCTCCTTGAGAGTCCCGGATAGTGGATAATTCGGTGTTCGATCGAGAGAGTTCAGCAGACAAATCTTCAATCTGCTGGCCTAGCTCCTTGATTCTCGCATCCTTTTGTTGAATGAGAATCTCCATCTCCTGGCGGTACTCGTCTTGTGAGGCCCGCAAGTCTTCCAAAGCCTCTTCGTTGCCCTGACTGAGCTCCTTGTACTGCTCGGCTTGAGCCTTTGCATTCTCCAACTGCGTGTTGGCCATGTCGAGGTCACGCTTCAGGTCCGAAATATCATTGTTGAGATCCTGAATCTCAGCTTCAAGCTCTTGCTGGCGCACGTTGGTATCCGTCATGAGACCCGGCCGAGGCGTGGGACGGGGCTGTAGGCGACCAGCGCGCTCTTCGGCACTTCGAAGCTCTACAGTCAACTCATCAACACGAGCTTGAAGATGGTCGCGGGACGTCTTGATGCCGACGTGCTCCTCTCGGAGTTGACTCAGGCTGGCCATGAGATCATCAATCCGCTTCTGAGATTCCTTTGCCTCGTATTCCTTCCTCTGCTGCAGGTGCTGAGCGTCCTCTACGGCTTGAGACAGCTTCTTCTGCGCAGTGCTTAGCTCCAGTTCCAAGGTTTCAATCTTCGTCTGAGCTTTGCGGCGAGCCTCGGATTCGGTGATGTTGCGTTCATTTTCCAGGGATTGCTGAGCCGTTAGGAGGTTGCCCAGTCTGTTCTTCTCCTCAATCAAAGAGTCGTTGTCCTTGCTCATGCGCTCTTGGATATCCTTCCAAAGCTTCTTCTCCGCCTTGAGATTAGCTGTCTCGTTTCGCATGCTATCCAGAAGACCTTTGACTTCAATAAGCTCCTCCGCCACTTGCTGAGTCCTAATGTCCTGTTTGGCGGCCGTCTCGGAAAGAATCTGGGTTCTCTTTTGGAGCTCGGAATTTTCGGTCTGAAGGGCGACGTAGTTGCTTTGCAGCATCTCCCGTCGTTCAAATTCCAGCCTAGCCTCACCTTGTAGCTTGATGTTGGCCGTCTGGAGTGCGTTTTTCTCCGATGACAGGTGATCGATTTGATCTCTAAAGTCCTTCCGTACACCATCCTGGGCGTCTCTGAAGCTGTCGTACTCTGCCTGAATCTTACGCAGGGCTTCTGTCAGAGTCTCGGTCTGCTCCACAGACTCAATGCTGCCCATTGGCAGTTGGCCAGCGATGGAATGGCGCATGAGGGAAGAATGTTCCTCGCCTGCGCCGCGTTGCTGAAGAAGGCGCCGGAACATGTCACGCTCCATCTTGTAGCTTTCCATGGTGATTTTAGCAGACTTGATCTCTTCCATCATATGGGTGAGGTCCTGCTGCAGTTTCTCAACCAAGTCGTGGTCTTCCTTGGCCTGGTGCTTGGCGGCCAAGGCTTCCTCGCTTTCCATCTGCTCGGCGAGTTCCCGGGTGATGCGCAGGAGGTCCTCATTCTTAGCCTGTAGTGACTTGATGTCCTTGAAGACGACCAACTTTTGGGTGATGAACTGATGAGTATCCGACATGTCGGACAAGGCCTCCTCAGTGATCTCGCCCTTCTCGAGCTGCTGCAGGCGGTACTTTTCCTCTTCCGTTAGCTGATCCATGCCCCTTTCGATGGCATAGATGTTGAAGACAAGCATCTGGATCTGTGTACCCAAGTCCCGCAGCTGCGTGCGTAGGATCTTGCTCTCAGACTGTGCAGTAGCAAGCGTGCTTTCTGCCTTCCTTGCCGCCTTTCTCGCCGCATCCCGCTCTTCGAAACTCTGCTGTGACAACTCAGACATGTGCGCAATCTCATTTCGAAGAGTCTCGGCTTCGGACTGAAGCTCCTGAATTTCTGGCGTCTTGGCTTCCAAGGCAGCAATCATGCCATCAAGCTCTTCAGCGAGCTGCTGGTTTCGCCGTTTCTCGCTGGCGAGTTGACCCTTGACCTGGTAAAGCTGCTCAATTGCCTGTGTAGCAGTAATGGTCGACTTGTTTCGACTAGAACCAGGGGTTCCAAATGGAGAGTTGGCTCGCCCGAAGGCTGAGCCATTCAGTTGGGGGGTATGCGGCACCGATGACGCCGGAGCAGCGTGCTCCATACGAACTTGGGCCTCATCCAGATCGCTCTCAAGTCGTCGAATCCGCTCCTCCATCTCGCCAGTAACACGACGTTCTGATTCCAGCTCCAGGCGCACACGGCGAAGTTCGTTTTCGTAATTATCTTTGAGGCGCTCCTTCTCAGACTCCAATTCTCGCACGCGATCCTGGTGTTTCTTGCTTAGCTGCTCGGACATCTCAACAAGGCGTCGTTGGTCGTCTAGTTCTTGCTTGTAGCTCTCGACAGTAGCCGCAAAGGAGCCCTCCTGCTTTTGCAATTTCACGAGAGCATCGTCAGCCTTGGCCTGCATAGCATCAAGTCGTTCGCGCAGCTGCTGTTCGGAGCGCTTAAAAGCGTCGATCTGGGCCTTGGCGTCCTCGTTCTGTCTCTGAAGCTCGGCAATCTTGGAGCCCTTTTCTTTGCGGTACTTGAGGGCCTCATCGCTCTTGGTCTTCAGCTCCGTCTCGAGCCATTCGGCATTTTGACGGGCCAGATCAAGTTGCTGCTGAAGTGCCTCCTGTCGGTACTTGGCGCTATTCAGCTGTCCCTTGGCGTTTTGCTCCGACTGTTGGAGGGTGGTTACTTCGCGAGAGAGCTCGACATTTCGCTGGTGCTGTTTGGTGAGCTCCTCAGTCAAGGTCTGGTCGCGTTTGTTATTGGATTCGATGATGCTAAGATTGGTTCGGTTCGAGGACTGGAGCGTCTCAATCTTGTCGTTGAGTGCCTTGACTTCGGCATCATGATCGGAGTACTTGGCTTTCAGACTTTGAAGCTCGTTCTCTAGCGACTGGCGTTTCGTTTCTATGGCGCACACAAAAAGTTAGATGGAAGTCCAAGCGCGGCATTGGTGCCGCCCTGAGTTGAAAAACACGTACCCTCCTCTTTGAGGCGCTGTCGAGCTTCTTCCACGTCCTTGAGAGCCTTTTCGGCGGTGCCTTTGAAGGTCTGGGATTTGGTCTCTGAGTTTCGAACTGCATTCTCTAGTTCAATGTCGGTCTGAAGCTTTTCGGCGTACAAAGTCTCAAACTCGTGCGCCTTGGTAGCCACGGCTTGCAGCAGAGTAGCAACCAGGTCAGCCGTGGGCTGCGTCGTCAGAGTAGCCACCACAGGCTGGTCAAGGCCAAGATGGCCTGCGATGTAGCCGACGTCGACATCGACAGCCGCCATTGTGGTGCCCTAGAACTTAGGTCGACAATGCCAATGACAGCGCGAGTCTCGTCATTACTCGGTCGAGAGGTGAGGTGCACTCGGACGTTGATGGTTGTCGGACGCGGCGTGACCACGAAAGAAAGGAAAGCAAAAGGAAAAAGGGAAAGGAAAAAGAGGAAAAAGGGAACGACTGGATGAAATGGGGCGAATTAGTCAAAGCAGTAGCAGAGCCTCAATCTCATCGACGGCTTTGCGTGCCAACGACGAGATGATCAAGAAGAAGCAAGGCGAGGCTCGGGGAATGAAAAATGAAAAATGACGACTGCCTCGACGCAGAGCTTGATGGAAGACAAAGACGACGAGCTTTGGCGCGCATCGAGCAGCCGCAGCAAAATACAGCACGGTAGAGACTTGACCTTGAAAGAGCCTAGTCCCAGTTGGGCGGCAAGGCTTTTGGTGCCTGCAGCGTGACGGAGCTGCGCACAGACCACTTTTTGCCAACTGTTGCTGCAGCTCTCAGTGGCTTCAGCGCCCAGCAGTCACCAAAGGCCAGTGCTTGGCTTGCCCGCACTGTTTATTCGCAGCCCAAGGTACTCACCTTCTAGCGTAAAGTGCTACCCTGAAGAAGCCATCACGAAGCAATCATGTGGAAAATCAGCACAACAATCACGGGATATGCCTCAGATAAAAGGGTAATAATTCTTCTATTAATAAGGAAGTCTGATAAAGGTATAAAGATAGCTTTGTTGTGCGCTTCCGATGGTCAAGAGTGACTTTCCGTCATAGCTGCTCACCACCTAGATATGGAGGCTAAGTTACTGTGGTCAACGTTTGCCAGTAACATGACTCCTCCATAATAAGGGAAGTATGATGAACCATGATTGTGTAGGCACTAGCGAGCAGCGATTGAATGCCACAAGATCACTCATATATACCAGCCTCTGCGCTCAATGGAGCAATGGCCAATGGCGAGAAATCGCAAGTTGAGTCAAGATGTCATGCATATGAAATCTTGTCTCATATATGCATCAATGTCTCTCTTTTTCTACCGGGCTGGAGACTTCACCCACCAGTTCATCGTCCTAGTAGAATTGCGCAGGCTACCATGGTCATGTCACAGTTAAAAGGATCTTGCCGCTGAAAAAGTGTCAATGCCCCTTATATTTTTTGGAGACGCGTATATTCTGCTGGTCTTCGCTAAATGCAACACTCGACCCTTGTCGAGCGAGTTCACCCATATCCATCAATGCTTTCGTCCCCCATAACGCCGCTGCTAGAAATATCGTCAAAGTCGCAAATCCTGTAAATATCTTAGCTTGGCTTCGACAAACACACATTCACCGAAAAAAGACCAACCGAAAATGCCTAGTAAGAGAGTATGCTTCCTCGACAGAGCAAAGAGTAGCATCTCATCCAGAACTTGTGGTGTTTACTGGCCATAGATTTGCCAATGAAGATCAGCTCGGCCGCCGTCAGCAACATTACACTTGACGCTGCCTTCAACAGAAAGGTCGGTTCCCTCGGAATAGTCCTGAAGCGCGATTCTGAGGATGGCCTTGACATCCTGGTCTCCCATTGTGTAGGGCCCCTGGCCCTGCTCAGAAGCCTTGACGCCCAAGACGCAGCCCTCCGACTTGAGGACGGGGATAAAGGTGCTGCCGGAGACGTCGTGGATGCGGAAGGTTCCGTTCTCGCTGGCCCAGGAGCTCGAGAGGGCGGCACAAAAGCGCCAGTCGGCAGCATCGTCGATGGGAGCTTGAGAGAAGCTAGATGGATCGCATGTGGTCTGATCCGACGAAGCTGGGTTCCACGTAACGCCCGTGCTGTTCTGGAATCCGGCGGGAGCAGCTCTCACAACTGCGGCAACAGCCAGGCTGGCCAGAATGGAGAGGGACTTCATGATGGCCTTTTCTCTTCACTTGTGGTAAAAACGGGTTGCGTTAAAGGTATGGCTGAGATGATCGAGTCGTTGGTTGTCAAGGTAGAGAGGACTGAGTGTGAATGAACGTTTGGAGTGCAGGCTGCTAATCGAGATGAGAAGGCAGGATGCACGTGGTCGTGGAAAAGGGAAGAGAAGAAGAGGAGAGAAGAGGAAACAGAGGAAGCAAGATCGGCGTCTGTTTTGTTTCGTTTGTATGCGGTGAGGGTGAGGGCGAGGGCTGCCGCGGCAGAATTCTGAGTCGGCCCTCTGCCAACCGGACAATAGAACGGACAATAGAACGAACAAGGCAATTGTTCAATGAAACATGAGAAACGGACGGCGATCGCGAACAAGGTTGCGGACCTGTTGCTGGGATGGTTCAACTCAGTACGGATCGCACATGGGCCCTTGGGGCTGTCTGATTTGGCTCATATTTGCGTATACGGGGATAGCGATAGCCTCGGAATGAGATGAGAGCAAGGATGGCCGTTTAACTGACCCGCAGATGCGATTTATGCAGATACCCAGAGCCTTGTGACATGCGTTGGTCAACTCTGGTAACAAAAGTCCAACCTATTCACCTCGTTCCTGCATATCCAGTTCTTCCGTGTTGTGTCATCTGCCTTGATGGCCATGGCATTCATAGGCTCATCCACTTGGGCGACGCGGGAGTGGAAATTAAAGGGCCGCAGGCATAACCTCGCACCTGGGTAACCTGCTGATCATCTGCAGCAGCCCTGTCTTGCCTGTGCTCATATGAAAATACAGTACCAAAGTACTATGTATTGACGATCATAGGCCTGGTCCCGAAACCTCGATGGTCCAAACGGTTCGTGACGGGTTTAGGCCTTTCCCCGACATGTTGCCAAATCTAGGTAAGATTATCGCGCCGGATGCTCGCGCGATTCAGTAGCCGCGGAGCAAGGGGAGCTAAAAGGGGAATGTCTGCTTTTTGGGCAAATGCAAGATGAAGACCTCCTCGGAAAGCATGTCCAAATGCAAGCTGCCTGAAGTCAGGTGAGAGTTTAGCTGGATGGCCACGCAGCTGCGGCGAATACCTGGTACAGACAGGACTGATGATGATGTGGGATGCGTCAGAGCCCGGCCTATGAGTGGCAGTGTTTCCAGTTTCAAGGCCTCGTTTCCTGTCGCCATGGCCTGTTCACTATGTAAATGGCGACGGACCCGGTCCGATACTTTTGCCTCTATTTAATCATCCCGGCCCCGCATTTGTGCCATTTGTGCCATCTCCGACCCTTCTTGTCTGTTAGCAGCTGTGTTAGTCCGCAGCTGAGCTGGATGGCTGACGCGAATAACACGGGCATTTACGGGTCTATCATGCCAAACTCCGTATATCGCACTTTGGCACCATCGTAGTTTGCGTAGTTTGAAAGCCGAACTCGCGGCGATCCAACCACGAGGGCTGCACCCACCCAAAATCCGGGGTGATTGGACAATTGGGGCTGGGCTTCAGCCACCTCTCGCCTTCGGAACCGGATCATGATGCCATCATGCCTAGCATTTGCTTATGCCGATTGCCGCTTGGCCGAACACCGAACCCGGTCCTCAGCCGGAGCTTGTGTGGGCTGAAAGAACTAGAGCTAAACGTCACTCGAGCCGACCTGCCGGGAATTGATGAAAAAATCGAATATATCTAAGTCACCGCCCACTTTTACCTCAACTCCACAGCCTTTGGATGTTACTATCGCCATGGTTCTTGTGCGCAGAGCTGTGATAATACATGAAAGTTGATGACAATTTTTATCTCAGCCTGTACTGTCTCTTTGAAAGAAAAAAAAAATATCTTCCCTTCCCTTGATACCCGTCATTTCTCTATCCACAATGACAAAATCTCACGACCCCCAGAGCGGCCGCATCAAGAAGCTGGTCAGCCGGCTGCTCCACCACAGCTCCAATCTTCATGATACGAGCCCAGACGATTCTGATGCCGACAGTGGTATCGCGACACCTAAATGGCTGGGTTCCTACCGAGCCACACCCTCAGCATCATCCAGCTTCTCCGCCCCAAAGGCATATGGCCGGGATACAAGTATTTCCCTCGACCTCTGGAATTCAGCCTACAACTCCCTACGCGACAGTCTAAGTTCAGCTGGCCTGGTGACTGTCTACGAGTCAATCCTGTGCCAAGAACTGCCTAATAACCAGTCCATCGGCGGAATCAACCAGTCCCTCCCTCGATCTGATGACGAGAGGTTGAGAAATTTAATCACCATTACTGAATCGGGACTGAAAAAGTGTCGGACCAAATCCCAAGCAGACGACCAGGCAAAAGCCTTGATTCGGGCTTCTAGGAAGATCATCAAGTCTGTATGGGCAGATTATCCGTCCACCGCAGTGGCCTGGTCGGGCATCTGCATCCTGACACCGGTAGGATATAGTAACCCTGTTTCTCGTCTCCTGATCTGAACCGTTTGCTAATTATACGCCCCCGGCAGCTTCTTCTTGGCGCAACAATAGCGATAGAAGACATGAGGCGTGGCGCCATACATGTTCTTGGACGCATCCCATGGTACATGCACCTGTCAGAGCTGATTCTGGGCAGCGCATGGAAGAGTGATGCCGAATTTTACACCCAGCGCGACCGAACAAGGGAGAAGCTACTAAAATTGTACCGCAAGGTGCTCGAGTTCGAAATGAATTGCGTATGCGCGGCAGCGAGCAGCTGGAATAATGCCGCAAAAAATGTCGTTGGATGGCATAAGCTAGGAGCCATGGTGCGCGAGATTGAGGAGCTCGACGCCGAAATCAGCAATCTCATTACCAATTACATCGACAGGGGAGTGGCGGATTCTATTCGCAGATATAATGAAGACTTGAAGCTGGACGCAAAGGACGAAGGGCCGTGTCCCTTTGGCGATGGATCCAGTTCGACTGCGCCTTCAAGTGCGCCCTCAAGTGCGCCCTTTCAGTTGGACTCGAGCCACGCAGCAGACGCCATGACCGAGGTGAAGCATTCGACAGTGAGGGTGTGAAGCGGCGTGATTTGGATGAGTTGAAATAACTTGCACGCTTAGACAAAAGCCACCCATGGATATGTCTTTTACGAACCTTAGCACCTATCTATTAGCGTTAATGTATATTCACGACACGAGTTATGACGATGAAGCTGTTGTTTTCACTGCTTGGTGATGTGATATATGCCTACCCGCTACCCTACCTGCATGTAGGGTTTCAATCTCGATGGTAGATGCTCCATAATACGTAATTTAGTCTGTTGAGGGGGATACCCATAAATGATCGTTGTGATCGTTGAAGACGGCAAGATGGGGATGGTTCCATTCTTTTTTAGGGGACCACTGCATGATGTCATAGCCTTGGTGTTTCCAATGCGCATCTCAAATGATCCCTGCATGCATCTCATGATCCTGCGAGGCCGCATTAAATTTGTTCCGGCCCTGCGATATGGCTTGCTCTGTTAGGATTGAGCAATGCAAAATAGAGTAAATGAGGTTATGGTTTGGGGCTGTGGAATTGCGAGTACTGGATGGATTCTTATATGAATTCCATTTTCCTGGGATTTGGACACTGAAGCGGTCTTTCTTCATGTAGCGAGATTAGAGACAAAATACGGTTTTATTTGAGCAGCCTACGCTCAATTACTCTGATCTACTAAGGCACGTTATTATCAGTTCCTACTGCATCCATGCTGCCAATGATGAGAAACATCAATACGAGAGCAGCAGCAGCAACCATATTATTTAGTGATATTCCACGAAATAACTAGCAGAAAAATGAATGCAGAAAATTGCCCATCAATGTTCTTTTCTCTTCTCGTTTTGGCCGCTGCAGAATGACTTGTACTGGCCACTCCTCTGCCAGCTGCCAGCGCTCCTCCTGCATATCCTTCACCGGCTTTTTTTTTTCTGCCATTTCCTCTCAGCCTTCTTCTTTTCTCTCTTCTTCTCTTCTTCTACCTTTCTTCTACCTCTTCCCAATCATTGTTTCAACTTCGACTCCCTGCTCCTTGGATTGCCACCTGACCAGCCTGTTGCTCACTTTCACTTCGCCATTCTCTCTTCTATTCCTCAGCTGACTTCTTGAATTCTTGTCACCTGAGAGTTTTCTTTCAGTTGTTCTGATTTCTTACATTTCTATCATCCCTGTGTTCCTCTTTACTCTTCTTCTTCTTCTCTTCTCTTGCATCACAACGCTACGACGAACCAGACGTTGTAACTGGCCTGCCATCCTCCATCTCGACTGTCAAGCTGCCCCCTCTCTTCCTTCCTATTCGCCACAACGGCCCATCATGGCGAAGAAACGCACTACGACTGTCTTTTCACCTTCTTGGACTGTACAATTTATCTTAGCTTGGATCTTTCTCCTGATCCAGCCATCATCGTTCGTGCATGGCCTTGCCATCTCTTCTGCTGCTGATCAACGACCCAGAGCAGCTTTCGTCTCCCTCGCCCACGAGCACGATCTGCCCGCTCTCCTGTCGTCCATTTCGCAACTGGAAGAAACGTTCAACCACCGATACCAATACCACTGGATCTTCTTCAGCATGCAACCCCTGAGCGAAGAGTTCAGGCAGCAGACCTCGAACGCGACCTCTGCCATCTGCCTTTACGAAGTTATCTCTGAAGACAACTTGGCATCCCCAAAGCAGCCATTGGCATTCAACACGCTACCGTCGGCTCAGAGTAGTGGCGAGCATGGCGTCAAAAATGGTCAACAGGCGCCGTTTCTTGATCAGATATCTCGTTGGAACTCGGCATCATTTGCCAGTGAGAAGCGGTTGAGAGATTACGATTGGATTTGGAGAATCGAGCCAGGCGTAAGTGATATATTTCTTGGTGTACCGCCATCTATGAATGACTCTTCTGCTTCATGCTTATGAATGGGTGGATACAGGCGCAATTTACTCACGACATTACATTTGATGTGTTTCGCTTTATGCGAGACCATGAGATTGCGTACGGCTTTAACGAGGCCTTGCTGGACAAGGACGAGATACGGACTCATTCAGAACCAGTGATATCTTTCATCGACAAACACCCTGATTTGCTGCACGCGGATGCGGACTTGTCGTGGCTCCTGGACTGCAACGATGGGCCAATCGCAGTCAAAATCAGGAGCAACTCGCCTGAAGGCCGCGATATTGTTGGCAGCTCGTGGACTGACTTGATCAGCCTGATGATGCAGGGCAGTCTCAGCCATCCTGACTACCGTAATGCTGACAGGCAACAGGACAAGAACAACGGCGGTGACGGCGATGGTATGGGATCTCCTGCTGAAGCATTTGCGTCTTAGTTGGGCAACATGTACAAGACAGGACTGGAAGGAATGTCGCCAACATTTGACATTGGGTCCCTATCGTTTTTCCGAAGCCAGAGCCACCAAGATCTGTTTCATCACCTGGATGCTGCTGGCGACCTCTATTATAGCCAACCGCTGAGAGACATGGCCGTGCCTACCATCAGCGCTAGCATGTTTCTTCCTCAGAAGAGCGTGTGGAACTATCGGAAAAGGGATGTACGGCACACATATCGGCCCAGCCCTCCCGAATACACGCAAAAGCCGAAACTGAAGGCGTTTGAGCACAACTTGGGATTCAACCTCAGAAGACGCAACCGGATGGTTGGACCGCGGAGTCGGGATAGCATTCGGGGACAAGAGAGGAACCCTGAAGAGAGCATGGCGGAGTACTTTGTGCTCTGGAGCCTCGTGGCTCAAGATTTCAGCAGACAGGATGCTATCCCCGGCCTGCAGTCTGGGCACACGGTAATTGACGAGAGAAATTTTTCGTTGAGTTCAAAAGAGTCGACTGGCTAGATTTGATTGGTTTTTTTCTTTGTTTTGCGTTTCTTCCTTTTCTTGGACGACATGGCTATGGCAAAGGTGATGAAAGGATTGGGTCACGACTGGGAATTGCGTACAGGAAATTGGTCACAGGCATAAGAAGAGGGGCTTGAAGTGAAGATGTTAAAGGTCAAACAATTTATTTTCTTTCTTTTCGCAACGAAACAGGGTGATTTGCAACCAGTTGCGTTGTGTGCCGCTGTCAAACACATGCTAGGTGCGGAATACGGAGCATCTCTAGAAATTCAATTGCGATCTGCGTGGTTTCTTCAGTTGTGTCTTTGCCTTGGTTCCGGCAATCTCTGGGACAAATTGTCTTTCCTGTCCTTGTTTTCGTTTCTATTCTATCAATCCATGTACTCTCCTTTTCCCCTGGTGTCTCAGCGTGTGGGCATTAATGCTGCATGTCTGATACGCTGGCAATGCGGCCCATAACCGCTGCATCGAGAGTTAGAGGAGATGCTCGTATTACCACTTTAGCCCCTGGTTGGGCATCAAGACCAGATCTGTCTGACCAGCGCCTCAACAGCCAAGCAAATGATGCTCAACAGCTCCATCGAGCACCAACGGCGGCAAATAGAGGGACCAGGACTTGCAGGACCCAAGGGATCAAGCCTTTTGGCCCCGCAGATCCGCATCGAGGTGGCGATTCGGCCCCGTTTGTGCACTGACTTGCGCTGAATTTTAGTGGGTTTGGGGTGCTATGGGGGCCTGGAGCTGTGAGCATTGGAGCAGTACAGGGGGCGATTTCAGGGGCGCAGCCTGAATGGATCGTTGATGTGATTTGTGTTGCATTCGAGTCATGGATCGATTGAAGCTGTGACGGAGAGCACGTGGAGAAGGAGGATGTCATAGAAAATGGGAATATCATTATATCCTGTCTCAATCGGAGCATCTGCAGTGCTTTCATACAACTTGCCTCTCCATTCTATATTAGCTCCATTGGCGTAGCTGAACTGAGCTGAGCTTCACTATAGGCAGCGTCATAGAGACTGAGAGGGGTGTCGCGTGGCCACTGGCCGAAACAAACCACCACTAACCTGCTCTACCTACTGTAGTTCTAGCAGCTTTCCGACTTCTTCTTCTGACAACTTCATACCACACAATTGAGCTACTGTCGACGCCTCTCCCTCAGGAAGCTTCTACATATTTCTCGGGCCGACCCTCTAGAAGCAATTGATCCGTCGCATCTACACACACACACACACACACACACACACACACACACAGACAAACGCAGCTGCTTTCAATCTGCCCGCCATGGCGGTGCTCGACGGCGGAGGCTCAGCGATCAGAGCTGGCAGCTCTGGCAAACCAATCTCTCTAATCCTAGTGAGGATTCCTCTTCTCTTGCCATCTTCTCACTCCTATGATGATCCTACAATGCTAACAGAATCTCCAACAAACGCAGCTGACTGTCCAAAACTCGGCCTTCATCCTCTTCATGCACTACTCGCGCATCATGCCCCCCTCCGGCGACCACCGATACTTTCCCTCGACCGCCGTCTTTCTCCACGAGCTCATCAAGCTTGCCGTTTCCCTGACGCTAGCCCTGTACGAAGGGTCCAAGACGCTGGCGCCCAGCACGCCCGCCACGGTGCTGTTTGAGCAAATCTACAACGCCATGTTTGCGGGGGATGGCTGGAAGCTCATTGTGCCTGGCGTGTTTTACACGCTGCAGAATATCCTGCAGTATGTGGCCATTGAGAACCTGGATGCTGTGCATTTTCAGGTCCTGTACCAGCTAAAGGTGAGAATGGAGGGAACCATGGCGTTTTGCTATGCTGAAAGCCGAAAGCTGAAAGCTGAAAGCTGACCCCAACGACTGCAGATCCTTACAACGGCGCTATTCAGCGTCTATCTCCTGAGCCGCCCTCTAGGCCTCAAGCGCTGGCTATCACTTATTGTCCTCACCCTAGGAGTCTCGATCGTCTCTCTACCTGGATCGACCACCTTCAGCAGCGCCTCCAGATCCGATCCTTTTCTTCTTCACGGCATGCCTGACCACTTCTTCCCCCGATCTCGCCATGAGCTTGGACACGCCATCCCCGACGACGCTCCGGTGCATCTTACTCGACGCTCCGCCACCTACGAGGGCATTGACAACGATCTCCACTTCCTAGAGCCCCCCATGAACTACTCCGTCGGCGTGACTGCAGTTCTCGTCGCGGCGGCGGTTTCGGGGCTTACTGGCGTCTATTTCGAGAAGCTACTCAAGGAGAGCCCCTCTCAGGCTAGCGTTTGGGTGCGCAACCTGCAGCTGAGCTTCTATTCAATGATCGCTGCTCTCCTAGGTGGTGTCATGTGGCAGGACGGAGCTGGTATCCGCGAGCATGGCTTTTTCGAGGGCTACAATGCGGTTGTATGGGCGACCGTCGTTCTCCAGGCGGCGGGAGGCTTGCTAGCCAGCTTGGTGATTCGAGACGCCGATAACATCATCAAGAACTTTGCGACGAGCATCAGCATCATCCTCAGCTTTCTCGTCAGCGTGTGGGTCTTTGAATTCAAAGTGACTCTTACGGTAGGTTTGCCCCTCGCAGCGCGCGACTGTCTTAAGGCTAGACTACAAACTTTACTAACAAATGCAGTTTCTTCTGGGCACGATGCTTGTGTTGCTCGCGACGTACATGTACAGCATATCAGAAGAGAAACTCGCTCGAAGCCGCCCGCCCGCCATCCGCGTCGCAAGCTTTGAGAAGCCTGCCATCGAACACCTTCTGACGCCCGTGGGTACCCCCCGCTTGGGGCCCTCGAAGCACTTTAAATCCGTCGAGCCGTTTGATGTCAAGGGCTTGGGCTCGACGTCCAGCCGGCCCAGCAGTCCCATGTTTGCCCGGCCAGGGAGTCGCCTCGCTTCGCAAAAGGAGCTGTGATATTCGACACTGTTGACATTTTTCGCACAGTATTTCTTGTTTTGGGCTAGTCAATTACCTTTTCTTTCTCTCTTTCTTTTCTTCTTGGGTGATATAAGCAAGGATCGGACTACGGATATGGTGCATATAGAAGGGATCATTTGAGGCTTTGAGAGGCCACGCTTGGTACATGGAAGCAATGGAGCGGTCTTAGAAGTGGAAGTGTGAAAATGCATGGATTGCAAATATACCCAAATCACTTTTTGTACATGATGAGGAGGGGCGGGTGTTGTGGATGAGATTTGGTTTGATATGGTGCATTTATGAAAGATGGGCAATGAAAAATACCAATTCAGGTCAAGGCGTTCATTTACTACTCGTCGTCATGACATGCTTTATGATGTCAACAGTAAATGACTCTTTATCATGCGAATAACACTGGTTTCTCTTCCACATTAATATTCTATGGCGTTGTCCCAAACACCCACCCACCTGCGCGAGCCTAGGAATAGAATGCGTAACATCATTACAAGTCAGGGAGCCAATATTTTTCAGATTGTTTCTTGGTGTTAAAGCCTCCCCTCCTCGCCCTCATCTCCTGGGCCCCCCTTTTTTATTTCTCGTGAAAAATTCCAATTGCATACAACTTTCTTGTCTATCGCACGCTAACTCTTGAATTACGCTCTTTACATGATGACTTCGTTGGTGACGTCCTAAAAAGAAGAAGAGTTAGCATATAGAATTCGCAGGTTGAAGATTAGGGGCGATATGAGGGGGAAACGTACCCGCTTCAGCTCCTTGTATGGCAGGCAGACACAGTTCTGGACGCGAACTTCATCGCCAACGCCGCAGTCCTTGCCCAGGATGGAGATGCTCTGGACCTTGACGCCGTTCTTGATGATGCTGGTGGAGTGGCTGCCGGCAGGCGTGGGCGAACCCTCGACACGGGCCCAAGCGCCAACGCGGCTGCCCCAGCCGATGATGGAGTAGAGCACGCAGGCGTCGTGCTTGATCTCTGAGTCCTCGAGCACGATGCTCTCCTTGACACGGGCACCGGCGCCGACAACGACGCGGGGTCCGATGCTGACATTGGGGCCGAGCTTGGCCGTGGGGTGGACGTCGGCGGTTGGGTGGATGAAGACAGGGGGCACAATGTTGGCGCTGGCGGGGGCGAGCTCCTCGCTGCCGCTCTGCCAGGCCTTTTGCAGGTACAGCGCGTTGGCGGGCACGGCAGAACCAGCCGTCTTGATCTGGCGCCAGAAGTCCTTGGTCTCGTACACGAAGAACTGCTTGCTGTCGGCCATGTCACCGAGGATGTCCTGCTCGAGGCGGATGACTTCCTTCTTGTCCTCCTCGTCGTCGTCGTCGGCAACGGCGCGGGGCATCGTGAAGTTGTCGAGGTTGTCCGAGGATGGGTACGAGACGAGGCGGGCAGGGCGATCGGTGCGGCGCTTAATGGCGGATCGGATGGAGGGGAAGATGGCGTCGGTGGAGAAGAGGTAGACACCGCAGTTGATCAGGTTGCTGATGTGCGACTCGGGCTTCTCGACGTAGTGGAGGACACGGCGGGTGTGGGAGTCGGAGACGATGCAGCCAAAGTTGGAGGCAGCCTCGTTGCTGACGCGGGTGCCCAGAATGACGGCCTCGGCGTCTCGCTCCATGAAGAGCTTGAGCATCTCCTCCAGCGGGAACGAGCAGCACACGTCGGCGTTGAGGACGAAGAGGCGCTCGGGGCGGCCCTTGAGAATGGCATCACGGAAGTGGTACAGGCCGCCTGCAGTGCCCAGGGCCTCGTACTCTCGCAGGTATCGCAGGTTGATGCCGGGGAACTCTCTGGCCGAGTCCTTGATGAAGTCACGGAAGACGGACTCATCGTAGTAACCAATGATGTAGACCTCCTGGATCTGCTTGACGCGCGCAACGGCGGCAAGGCAGTGCCAGATGATGGGGTGGCCAGCAACGTCAAAGAGCGGCTTAGGGAGGTCGAGAGACAGAGGGCGGAATCGAGTGCCGCGAGAAGGACCACCGACCTAGACGGAACAGAAAAGAAAAAAGACATGTTAGCTGTTATTCGTATGCGATTGGTGGTGTTGCACGGCGGTGTGCGCTTAGAGCCAGCTGTCCGCAGCCATTGAGGGGGAGAAGCAGAGCATCTCAGCAAAGCACAGAGGCGGGAATTGGCACAGAGAAGTAAAAAGAAAATGGGCATCATTACCAGGATCACAGCCTTGGTGGCGGCGCCCACTGGAGTGGCAGAACGATGCGGCAAGGGGACGTGGAGAGACATTGTTGGGAGGTTTGGAGGTTTGGAGAGCGAGAGAGGGGGAGGGGTATCACTGAAATGATGGCGGGAGATGAGATGAGCTTCCAGCAGAGACGAGCAGGACAGCGCAGAGCAGAGCAGAGCAGAGCCAACAATGGGAGAATCGCCAGGTCGCTCGTCCAAACGCAAAGCAGATCAAATCAAATCAGCGTGCAGAGAGAGAATCTCGCCAGCGAATTGGCGGGAGCAAGGCGGTGGAGCGGCTGCTGCACGACTGGCTTTCTCGCGGTCTCGATTTGCTGGGATGACAGGGGGTTGCTGGATTGTTGGAGGAGGCGGGTTATGCAATTAAACGAGGGCGGAAAAAGGGTCCAGCATGGCGGGACGAGAAGCCCCGCGACAAGAGAAAGCCGCACGTGGTGGCCGTTCCTGAAGCTAGGATACAAGCGGGAAGAAAGAGAGGGAGAGGCAATCGAATCATGTTGACTTGTGCCGTAGTATATTAGTAAGGTAGTTATACATCTAGACACTACCTAGTAACGCTACAAGGCATCACAGAAGTTGCACCACTTTTGTTCTTTGCGTTTGCTGCTGCTATACGAGACATGAGACGACACAAATCAGCTCGCTCTCTCTTTCCACCTTTTGTTGTGTTTGCTGTACTAGTAAAGAAACAAATACATAACAAGAAGAGAATTCATACATCATGTATCAGCATTACTGTGGCCTCGTCCGAAGCCAATCTCCTTTCCAATTTTCAAGTCCTAGTCTCTCATTCACTCCATCAAAAACCGACTACTCAGTGTCCCTCTTTCGCCAGTTGTTGGATCCCATGGCCCTGGCGGGAGGTGGCGCTCCGCCCTCGGGTCGAGGGTTGGATGATCGCCACCCACCGCGTCCTTGGCCGCCGTTGCGATCCGATGCCACATTGGGGCGGTTGGACTGTCGGTCTGTCCTCTTAGCCAGCGACACCTTCAGCACGCCTCCGTCGTACTGGGCACCATCCAGGGCCTGCATGGCGGCCTCAGCCTCCTCCTTGCTCTCAAAGTCAACGAAGCAGTAGTAGTAGGTTCCAGCTGGGCTGCGAGTGCTCTCATGAGGCGTGATGCGCTTGCCAATGTATGAGCTGGTTTCATCATTAGCAACTGATGATAACAGAAAATGAAAGAATGAAACAAAGGTTCAAGAGACGTACGGGTTGAATCCAGTGAAAATGTCCATCATCTCCTGGTTGTTCTGCTCCTGGTCCAGGTTCTTGGCCAGTCCTCCAACATACAGTCGCTTTCCCTGAGACTCATCGGCCACCTCGTCGGAGCGAGTGAAGCCTCCTCGGGGCCTCTGCTCCCTAGGCTCGCCCTGGAACTGCTGGCCATCGTCACCAGACGGGCTTCGCCAGTCACCCGAACGCTGGAAGGTGGACCGGCCGTCTCCATTGCGCTTCTTCCTAGGCTCGCATGGACCGACCTTGACCTCACGGCCACGCAGACTTGCCCTGAGATCAGTCAGGGCTCGCTCAGCCGTGGCCCGCTCGGCAAAGTCCACAAAGCAGTAGCCCGGGTTGCGGGCGCTGACGGGGTCGACAGAGACGTGGATGTTCTCAATGTCGTCGAAGCCATTGGAGATGAGAAACTCCTCAATGTCCTGCGACTTGAGCACGTAGTGGAGATTGCCTGTGACCGGTCAGTGTTTGGGGCCCATCAGATCGAGAGAGAGCAGGTTGCCGCGCCTAAGTAGATGCGCCGGCCCTCAGCCAAGGCGTCGTTCCGCCCGTCTCCTGCAGCGTCCATGGTGATGTTCTGAGCCTAACCAGCAGGTGAGAGATAAAAGACAGAAAGGTATTGCTACTGCTACTGCTATGAGGCTGTAAAGTCTACGGTTGGGTTGAGCTAAGAGAGCCGATGGCTGAAGACTAATTTCTCTTGGAACAGTTTTTTTTTTTCCAATTTTTTTTTCTCCAAAGCGGTGGTGCAGGTACAAGAGTACTTCGGTAGCCTCGCTGAGTGCTACGCTGGGAATGGAGTTGCAGTAAGGATTAATACTATTCAAAGGGCAAGCTTGGGGAAATAAAAAATAAAACCGTGTTAGAAATTGCCGAGTCAACAGCAAAACAGCTACAAAACCACCATCCAGCATCAAGACAATGGCCCAACCGGCAGATGATCATCTCATATCAATCGCAGGATTTGCCGTGTGAAGGCGGTACATGTACCTGGTACTCCGTATGATAATGCACGGCATACTAACAGAGTCAAGGTAGGTACTCCGTACAGCGCAGAGCAGCACGAGCAAAGATCCACCATTTGCAACAAGGCTAGGCGCTTCTCAGTAAAAGCTGTGGGCTCTGCATGGAGTTGCTTCTTGTCAGGGGCAGCTGCCGAAAAGCCTCAATGTAGTAGGTAGTCTTGGTAGTGTTTATATGTCGGGATTTATAGATATCATGTACGTACTGATTGAGTTTTTTTTTTGTGATTGCCGCAGCACAGGTTGATCAACATCCATGGAACTTGAACTCAACTCATATTACAAGTACAAGGTACAGGGTACTTCCATCAAAGTTCAAACCCAGGTCACGTGGCCCCAGCTTCTTGTGCCTGACAGCTCCAAGCCCAGCCCCCCTTTTTTGGGCAAAAGCTCAAAGCTTCTAGCTTTCATGTCGAGCTCCAGACGGCATTCACTTCTGTTAGCACGGCGATGCTGCAGAGCTCGCAGTTCTGCCAATTTCGTAGCGAGTTTCTCCTCTTCTCGTCCGTGTCTCTAACAGAGGTCAATGACCTGTTCTGTGCCGCCACTTCCCGTTTGCATCGTGTAGCACTGGCTGACCGTTGCATCAGGCGCCAAACCCGCTATCAAGCATTAACCACCTACCCCTGCAATTCTATGGGGCAGCAGCAAAACACCACCAGTTGGCTGGGTGAATATCAGTTGCCAGCATCAGCATTTTTCCACGTCTGAGCCCAAGGCCATTCATTCACTCACGCGTCACTTTCATCTCATCTTGGTTCTTTGCTCGCAATTCTATCGCATTTCCTCCTATCTTTTAATACCCATTTACCGCACTATTCTCTTGCCTAATCACCTCCTCTTTACCTTCACCTTCTTTTCATCTCTTCTACACGACTGTCACTACCTGGATCCATTCACCTTCATCACCTCCTACATTATACGGCTATCTGCATCGCCATTGGAATCACCATTCTCCCTTACTGCGGAGCCGAAATCTCGTCAATGTCTGATAACAAGCAGCCTCCCAAGACGGATTAGGACTCCTCTGAGGATATCATCATCATGAATTCCCGCCGTGTTGTTCGCAAGCCTATAAAGGTGAAGCCTGAGCCAATGCCAAACTCATACGCCAACAGCGTGACTGATAACGGCACCCATGGCGACGACTCCCTGGATTCAATCCGGTTTCATCAATCTTTTATGGCTGGTCGTGAAAATAGATCCAATGCTCGTGAGTCTCCCGCGCATCATGAGAAGGCTTTTCATCATTCTGCGAGATGCTGACATTTGCATTTCCCAGCTGCGCCTAGTGAGCGTACTGTAGAGTCGGAGCCTGCCACAGACCCCATATTCAGAGAAGTCAGGGCCAAAACCGTAGTGGCGACGGCGAGCTTGCCGGCTGCAGGAAGCCCCAGAAATATGGAGGAGAGTTTCTTCCATACCTCGTTTCAGGATATCGGCAAGAAACTCAAAGCTTGCAATGATACTTTGGGTGAGCTCCAGCAGCTTGGCGTGTCCCATGACGTGCAGCTACCCGAGCTTGTCCTTGTTGGCGATCAGTCGGCAGGCAAGTCCAGTCTAATGTCCGGCCTTGCCAACCTGGATCTGCCCCGGAGTGAAGGCGCATGCACTCGATGCCCTCTGCACATCCGCGTTTCTCGCAACGCCGAATGGTCGTGTCGTGTTTGGCTCCGTAAAGAGTACTCGTACGGATCAATCCCCAACCGCCCCATACACGAATCCGATGTCACGAACAATGACCCCTTCTTTCCCTGGCGAAAGCGGCCCAGCACTGCTGTTTTGGAGTTTAAAACTATGCACGACAAGAACGAGATTGAAGAAGTCTTACGCTGGGCCCAGATTGCAATCTTAAATGATGACAAGCCTCCCATTCTCTTCGTCCCTGGACGAGGTTCCATTGCCATGAACACACCCATCGACAAGGCGGCAGAAGAGACTTTGGCAAAATTCTCGCCCAATGTTGTTTCCCTAGAGATAAAGGGCCCCGATTTGCCTGATTTATCCTTTTACGATATGCCTGGCATTTTTCAGAATCCAGCGGATGCCAACGATGAGTACTTGGTCAACGTGGTTCGAAATCTCTCAAGCGCTTACATTCAACACCCCTCTGCCATCATTATTTGCGCCATGCCAATGAATAGTGATGCTGAAAACTCGGCAACCTTTGGTCTCACTCGCAGATTGCAAGCAAAGGACAGAACTATCGGAGTGCTGACCAAGGCAGATCTCTTGCCTGACGGCGGGAATCACTCCCAGTGGCTCGAAATCATGAAGGGGCAAGCTCATTCAACCGGCTTGGGGTATTTTATAACCTCTCGCCCACAGGGCAAAGATTTGGAAGAATTAAAAAAATGGGAGGAAAGAATGTTCGAAGACGAGTCTGTCGACAAATGGCCCGACGCCTTTCATGCGTTTGTTGACCGCTGCGGTGTGGAAAGACTCAAGGCCTTCCTCTCAGAGCGGTTGGGCGAGGAATTTGCGAAAAGGTAAGAATCAATTTTCTCAAGGACCCCAAATCAGGTATCTTGACTGCTAACGCCAACATCTCTAGCTTGCCCAACATCAAACACAAAGTCAAATACCATCTCGATAAAGTCACCAGACAGCTGGCCAACCTTCCCGAGCTCCCCCATAACGTGGAGCTAGAGATCCAGACATGCCTCAATAGTTTTGCCGATAGTGCCCGGCTCAAGATTGACGAGTTTGCAGCTCGTATCAATAGTCTGCCCACCAATTTCCGAGACTGCCTCTTGGAGATTAAACCCAAGTTTACGCTCAAGGACCGAACAGATATCCAAGTGGTTGAGCTCATTGACGATGATGAGTCCGATGCGGCGTCTGTTGGTACTGCCACGACCAGTTTTGTTACTCCCTCAAAACGACGACATACGGCACCACAAACAACGCCGTCGAACAAACGGACGAGAACGGATCTTGCTGTCAATGGGACACCGAACATGGTCAAGCCCGAGGAAGCCGGCATTGCTAATGGCAACAGCTTTGGCCCTTCTCAGCCTGTGCCACCACAACCGAGACAAGGTCTTCCAGAACCATTTACCCAATTTAGCGACGTCGGCCGAGGATTTCGCACACTCCGAGCAGTGAAGGAAGAGATTCAAGCGAAGATGAAGGCAGGCATGCCAAGCATCATTCCACCGGATGTCTACAACGATTTGGCCATGGAGGCTATCAGACCGTGGAATGGACCCACCACGGTATATCTGAAAGAAGTAATTCGTCAGCTCCAAGCCGAACTCGATTCGGCACTGAACAAGTCTCTCGAGAACCTGAAGAAGCGGTTCATATATACAGAAGCTAAGCGGCACCTCAAGAGCTGCTTAGATGAGCACTGGAGAAAGACACAATTAGAACTTGATGAGCTCTATAACGATGAGGCGGAAAGAGTCATGACGTACAACACTGAAGCGTTTGATCAGTGTCTCAAAAGCGAGCGAGCCGTGCTGACTCGATTCCGCCACCATATGAGAATGATGGGAGCTGGCTACGCACAAAAGTCTCTTGTGCCGTGGGAGGTCTTGACGGAGGAAAAACAAGTCCAAGAGATCAAGCGGCGGGAGTCGGAGCAAACCAAACTGAAGCCGGATGAATTCGAGCGGGAGGTTGAGGTTGTTTCGTACGTTAGGGGATACTATAAACTCGCCGCCCTACGATATTCCGATGCTGTAACGCAGCGTATTGTCTGCCGCATGATCCCCGCAATTCGACGACAGCTTCGCAACTATCTCGATGACAAACTTGGCGTGCGTGGCTCAGACTCGACGGGTGTCTATGAGAAGCTCATGGATGAAGACGCGGCGACGGCTGCCAAGCGTGAAATGCTCAAGATGGAACAGGGCAAGTTTATTCAGGCGCTGCAGAGCATAGAGGACCTCGAGTCGGGAAAACTGTCGGACACGGCCAGCGTTATTGAGTACAGCGGCGTGCAGTCGGAACCGGTTTTACGGCGGCGCGAGTCGGATGCGACAATGGAGAATGATGTTCACTATGATGAGGCGTAGGTTGAGTGTTATGCCTTGGTGGGACAACTTGTGTCTTGCATCTTTCTGTTGGTTTACTGTTGCTTATTTTCCTTTGTTTCCTTTGTTCTTTCTCAGGGTTTGGCCGCGCTTCTGGAAAGGGAGGCTGGACGGATTTACTGTGATGCCATGATATTCGATGTGCTTAATGCGAAGAGGAATCAGACCACACATGCATGCTATGCGAAGCAGAGCGTATCTCTCTTTGCGCATGTGCTTAGACAGACGTCAGGATGGTTACCGATACTAGAGAAGACATGTGTTGGGGATGTGACAGTGAGATACAACCATAGGCATGAGATTAGGTAGTTCTGAATCTATGCACCGATTCTATGTGTATTGGTACGAGCTGAATGGCTTCTTGTCTTATTCCCTGCTATATATCTCCAACCATCAGCCACGTTGATCGAGTCGTTCATCTCACAAGTCAACTGAGTAATGCAGTTCATTATAGCTTCTCCACAGCTACAAATTAAACACGACTCGCCATCCATACGAGTATAAACTGCCCCCAATTTTCACGCCGCCTATCAACAGCTGCGATTCCCGCGATCCACCAGCAAATCCAGATAAAACCCGGACACTGGCAAGAATGTCCGTCGCCCAAAAAAAAAAAGCCTCCCCAGAGCAGAGCTGAGAGAGAATTAGTCGGCCCGATGTTAGTGCAGCGTTGATTTGATCGGAGCCATTTTAAGTTTAAAACTTAAGTCGAGATCTCTGCCATTTTCTCCCTTGTTTTTGACATATTATTTATAGCTTTTTAATTCTCACTCATCTTCTTTTTCTTCGTTTGAACATTTCATTTTAATCAACACAAAATCGTCAACATGGCTCCAAAGGTTTGGCAACGCAACTTTGCTTCGGGACTTGGTCTTGAAAAGGCCTTGGACGCAACTCGAAGCTCTGCACCCCCAACTCCTATTCAGAGCCCCCCAGGCGGAAGTTCTGCACAAGAAGTGAGTCTCACTACAGCTATACAAATAGAGATATCTGGCTCTTGATACTAAACCTCGTGAATAGCTTCAAGCTTTAGTCGACGCTGATGTCGGCGCCGACGGCTTCGTCCTCTCCTCTTTCACAGCCGACGATGCCGTCGAGCTCGGCAATCTCCTCTACGCCCGCCTCCTCCCCTTTGCCCGGGAAGGTCGTGCCACACTCATCTCCATCAGCACAGGCGCCGGCTCTCAGACGCTGTACCAAGTCGCCACGGGCAGCGGCGTGACGCCCGACAACGAGAGCTGGGTGAAGCGCAAGACCGCGGCGGTGCTGCGGTTCGGCAAGAGCTCGTGGTATCTGGGGCAAAAGTACGCGGGCAACGAGGCGGCGTTTGCGGCAAAGTTTTCGCTGGGGCCGAGCGAGGCTGGCGGGTATGCGATTCACGGAGGTGGCGTGCCGATTCGGGTTGCCAACGTGGAGGGGATTGTGGGAGTGGTTGTTGTGAGTGGGCTGAAGCAGCATGAGGACCATGGTGTGATTGCCGAGGTGATTCGGGAGAACTGGGTGTAGAGGGTGTTGGGATGCTTCATGTTTGAAACTGCATTTGATGAAAATGTCATGATATATTGGAAACCAAGCCTTGTAAATGAAATCACTATCTCTCTGATATTACCCTCAAGACAACTGAAAACTATAAGTGTTTCAAGACAAACAGAAATATCCATAACAATCCAAGCAAAACCGCATTAGTCCCGTAAGATTTAGATATACCATAGATACCCATTGCACACCGTTATATAGAATCACCCCGCCCATATCATTCATTACATCCAATCCCCCCTGAACATTACCGCAACCACCCTCTCGTAGCACTTCTTTATAGTCGTTTCCTAATCATAGGCACCCGTCCCCTTCGAAGCACAGGGCTGCCGGTGCCTGTTCCAAGTGGCGGCGCAACTCCAGTTGCCGATGTTCCATTTGTCCACATACCGGGACTCACCGTCACAACAACAGTGTTGAATGCCGTCGCTGTTGATGTGAAGATACCGGTTGTCAAGCAGGGAGACGGCTTGGAGTCGCATGGCTCGTCGCTGTCCTTCTTTCTGCAAATGACTTCTCCAGTGAATATGTTGATGATGGTGATTTCGATATTGACATCTCCACCAGAGGAAACGGTTTGCGTGACGGTGGTGAAATGGTCAATGCTGGGCGAGATTGTTCCAATCTGTGGCGGAGCTGTGATGGCTGGCTGAGGAGACGAAGAGGTTGCATTGGTGGGATTTGGTGGGTTTGGCACAAAAGTTATCGTCTCAACGTCTGGCTTTACCGAGTTGACCACAGAGGTCGCCGTCTGGGTACTCAGGCTTGATGAGCTCTTGGGTGAAACTGCCAATGCAGTCGAGCTTGACTTCGGGGGGTTATCGACAAAGGTTACACTCTTAGTGGTTGAGTTTGAGGTGCTTGGTGTTGAAGAACTAGCTGAGATGGTTACCGTTGCAGTGCTGGGGCTTGTAGGGGTTTCCACAAACGTCACGGTTTCGGCGGTCGAATTTGACTGATTGCTTGCCGAGGCCGTCGTTGTAGAGCTTGAATCTGAAGGGCTGTTTGTGAGGGTAACTGTTGCAGTACTTGGGCTTGCTGGATTCTCCACAAAGGTCACCGTCTCTGTGGTTGAGTTCGCTAGACTGCCCCCCAAGGTCGTCGCTGTAGTGCTTGAGGCTGCCGGATTCTCCACAACGGTCACCATCTCAACGGTTGAGTTTGCAGTGGTTGGTTTTGAAGGGCTGCTTGCAAGCGTTACTGTTACGGTACTTGGGCTGACGGGGTTTTCCACAAATGTTACTGTCTCGACAGTCGAGTTCGACGGTTTGTCTGCGGAAGGGACTGCCGTTGTGCTCGGGCCTGCTGGATCTTCCACAGATGTCACTGTCTCGACGCTTGGGTTTGATGGCTTCTGAATGACGGTGACAGTCTTGACACTTGGCTTTGACTCTGCAGAGCGAGTTGCCTGGATAGCAGCGGCGGTGGCCGTGTTTGCGCCGATTCCCTGGCCGTTGTTTGAGTGTGATGGTTCAGCTGATGGTTGAGAATTAGACGTCTGTTGAGTAGCGGTAACGGTCACAACCGAATTGGGCGATGCCTGGACAGATTTTGGTCCATCTGGCTTGAGTGTCACCGTCACAGTCTTGGGCGACTTGGGTTGGTCACCTCCCGCCTGCACAGTCATCGTGACCGTCTTGATAGGATCATTCTGAGATGAGGGTTCTAAGCTGGGATTGGAATCGACTACCGTTTCTATCTTGGCTGGAGACTCGGGATGAACTGTGACCACATGGGTGACGGTAGTGGGCGAAGTAGCAGCAAGAGAATGAGTGACAAAGACTGTTGTTGCTGGCAGAACAATTGTGTGGTCGATTGTCACGGTTTCTTGGGGATTTGTGACCGTAACAGTGACAGTCGTATTTTGCGGACCGAGGCTAGTCGGAATGCAAGGGCAGCATCGGAGCGTCTCATTGTCCTGTGATCTTGGCCTGATATCGAAACGAGCCTCTGTTAGTGGAGCAAGAGCTACCAAGGCCCAAGGCAATATGCTGAGCATGATTGTAAATATCCGAAAGTAATTGTCAAGGTAATAAGTGAAAGATCAAAAAAGGTGTGAAGAGAGAGAGAAAGAGATGATTGATGTGAGATGGTGAAGATGGCGATGAGGATGATGAGGATGATGACAACTGATTGGAGAGGCGACCGCCATGATTTCTTATATCTTTCTGGAAAGGGCATTTAGATTTAGTCAAACGAGGAGATGAATTCATGCTAGCACAATTCAAGAAAGTAATAGATGCGGCAAGAATGGGATGTCGATATAAAGGAGGCTGTTTAGTCCCTTCATGGACTCTAGTGATTGCATCAGCTAGAGCTGCAAGCTGAAGATGCGCTGCGTCCCTTGACATTAAGGATGGTCAATTGGACAAGACCATTGAATAGCGCATCATAGAATGAGGGCAAATATTTTTTTGTATTGATTTCAAGGGATTAATGTTACAAGGGAACACTCAATTTGGTTCTCTCGAGGGAGACCCTGCTATGAATCCTGATATTAGTCCAGCTATAGCGGTAGTGAGGGTGGGGCTGCGAATTGGCGGGTGCATTCCATGATATGACGATGCTTCGACGGTTATTGAATTGAGCAGCAAATGACAAGGGCAATTGCTCATAACCAAGCATCTGAGTAGATACAGAACATGTAGTAGTTGAGATGAATGCTGTAATAGTGCCTAGTACGGAGCGTAGTACTGGTATTGAGAGGAGCTGCCGAAATGGGCCTTGCCTGGCGAGTTGCGTGATGCTGCGCGGACCGAAATTTACCCGACCGCGAGCTCGTGAGCCCCCAAAGGCGAGAGCTTCAACCTTGACTAACGGACGACAAGCATCGCAGACAGGGGGTTTGGAGCAACAAAAACCACGCACGTTGCTCGAGACTTTTGCTGCGTGCTTTGGAAACATGATATGAATACGGCGGCGACTTTCCTGCATCCGATAAACGCGTCAATCAACCCGCGCCGCCCGCGCGACCCGACATCATGGGTCTCTGCCAATCATGCCTAGGACGGCGCCAGAAGGACGTCTACGATGAGGTGCGCCCTACACTACACTACGCTACTCTGCTTGTTCGCCTTGTTCGCGGCTGTGATACTGTGCGATGTGCGACTATGTGATTGTTGTGAGGCTGACGGCGTTTCCCCCGCAGAGCGAAGAGAATCGGCTCCTGTACGATGATCCAAACGGGATGCAGTACGGCAGCTTTGGCGACGCCGCGCTCAATGGAGAAGGCGACACTGCAGAGGTCCAGCGAGAGAACGAGGCGCTTCAGCGAGTAGTCGCAAAGACATCCAAGTTGGTCCTCTCCATATTACCTGATTGGCTTCTTTCGAACTGAGACACTGACTTTGGCTGCAGCAACATGGTCGACATCTTCGAAATCGCTCCGCAAGACTCTACCGGCCGAACTTCAACGACGACGCTATTCGCTTACGCTGGCCAAGGTGCTCGTGTGGCACGCTATCACCATCTCGTATCGAAACTCAGCACGCATGAGGACAGCCCTCCTGCCGGCATCAAAGTTGACTGGCTTGCCGACGAGGATGCGAGCGAACTACACGGCGATCGCCCTGCCAGCCTAAGAACACTCGACGATGACGATGCGGCGCTTGTCGGGACCTTTGCAGATGCGGCCGCGGCCATGAAGTGAATTGTGATTCCTCGGTGTTTCTTTGCCAATAAGACATGACGGGTGAAAAATGGTGCAGCGGGGTGTCAGGTGGACAAATGATAGATTCAACTCACAAACTCTTTCCTTTTTCCTCTTTCCTTTTTCTCTCTTTTTCTCGTTTTCTCATTTTCTCGTTAGTATCTTTTTTTTCGATACCCCGGGCTCTGTCAAAAAGGCCAGAAGCCTTCCAGAGCAACGGCATCTCAAGCGGGTTGCCTCTTGAACCGAGATTTACAAATTTCCCGGAACCACACTCCTTTTTTTTTCTTTAGAAAAAAAGAGCGCATGACCAGGGGTGGCAAGCGCTTGTACCAACAGGAGGTCTTCACAGAAGAGAACCAAAATGAACCAAAAAAAAAAGAATATCTTACGCTCCGTTCAACAACAAGCGGCCGCTAAATCGAATTGGCGTTTGACACCAAGGCCCGAATGGGGTCAATGTGATTGGAAGCACGGCGTACGGCCCTGCAAACGCCAAAAGATTGTGAATTAAGATGATTAGAGAAAGCCTCTTGCTCCCCTACGGCAGCATTGGGCTATTATTGTTGTCGAGTAAAATGCCAGCCCGCGAATATGCTTCACCGCAAGGTGCCCATTGAGCGTCAGACACGTGCACGGCCGGACAGTGGAGTCGTCTAGTGCCAGAGCATCAAGGACTGGCTGTCTAGCTAGCCGTCGGATTCCGTCTTTTAGCTTGGTTCTTCGTCGGCCTCGGCTCGCACCGCCGTTTTAGTTCCCACGCGTTCCGTTTTGAGGGGTGGGCAGGGTCGGGGGCACATCCAAGTCATCGGGATTGTGCCTGTCGAGGGATCCAAATCATCGGTAGATGGCTGTGAAGCGCAGTCCAGCTTTGTGGGCTGTCCAGGGCGAGACGATGAGGCCAGCCACCCCCGGCTCGTGAACCCCAGCAGCCGAATGAGGGTGACGGAGAGGCTAGAGAAGCCATGGCATCATACCTGTAAGCGACAGGAGGGGGGTGACAACGGAGAGCAGCTCGTCAATGGCTACGGCTTCCATTCGTTACGGTCAGCCGCTACAGACGGCAGTGGCTTTTGGCCCTGGACGGCATCCCGGACTGCTTGACTGCCCACTGGCGCGGGGGATCGAGGGAAAACGATGACATCTCTGCGGGTACCATGGCCCATACTGCTTCAAGGAAATCCGGGAGACCGGTCCTTCTTGGGCATTCCGCGGCGGAAATCGAATCGCAACGCATTCAACCATGGATGTGGTCCTCTTTTGCGTTATACTGTATCCATGTGATTGATCCTAACCCACCCCCGACTCTTCACGTCAGCTCCCTGGTACCAGTAAGCGTGCGTCATGGCTTTAGCCTGTTCACAAACGCGATAAGCGAGAGACACTTTCGTCAAAGTACGATACGTCGCCTGTCGACTGGCGCGAAGATTCTACGCATACGAGTACCCGTACAGTCCTGTACAGCTACTTGTACAGATCCAGCCCCTGTTGCCACACCCTCTCCGACCACAAGCATGATGGAGATTCAACGGAATACTCGTACTAATTGTTGGCTCTGGACGTGACGTCTGCTCCTGGACGCTATTCCAGTACTAGCCACCTCCATCACATCACGCAGTCGATGGACATTGGACACATTCTACCCTCACCCCGCCAAGGAGTTTTCGTCACAAGGAACTGCCCCCAGTCGTTTGCAGTAGCAGCAATTGGCCCACCCACAAAACTCATCCAGCCCACCACCAAATGAAATCTGTGTGGTGCTAAATCCAGGCCCCCGGAAGCCGCGCCTTTGAAGTCGACGAAAAGTACGAAGTATGGAGCGTGTCATTTCGGAATCCCAGTACCTAGGTATCTAATTAAAACAAAAGGAGTGCGAGACGACCCATTCGCTACCGGAGCCCAAGGGCAACAAGAAAAAAAAAAACAACCCAACCAAACGTCCTTGAGATCCATCAAACCGATAATACAGTGAAGTCGACCAAAATCAAGCCTTTTAACCGACTCATAAAAAAAACGCTTTTTTTTGTCTTGTGCCCAGGACCATGCTGAAAATGCAAAGATGAAAGACAACCCGAAATAACAGCGAACGACTTCCGTGGCTTAGCAGCCTGCAATAAAAAAATTTCTTCCAACAAGACCAGGACCCTTTTCTCTTTTTTTCTATTCGCTCCGAGTTGACCCAATGCTGTGCTGTGCCGTGCCTAGTCTCTGATATCCGCTGGCTAACCTTTGACTTTGTGGCCGTGTCTTCTATAAGCTGACTTTCCCCCCCTTACCATCGTCACTAAAGCAGAAGAAAATGTTAGCCACAGAGATGCCTCTTGTGCCACGGTGTTTTTCTCGTGCCCGATTTTTTTTCTGCATCTTGCATAGTGTGTCTCGACAGGGTAAGGGAGAGGGATATTCTCATACCTGAGTAAGCGTTTGCAGCCTTTGCAAATGATCTTTATCCATCGCTGCGATTTGGGCACTGACTCCAGCCATTTCTTCCTGTGTCCTTTCGATGGTGGCCGTCCGATTGCCCTCAACCTTCCAACGCTCCACATCTTGAATCATCTTGGCGAGGCGCCGCCTTTTCTTCTCCGTATCGTGACATAGCTTACAGACGTCGGGGTCAGGTTTTGTTTCATAGATGAGCTTTAGCCCGCACGTCTCTCCCATTCGATATTCCTTATTGCACTGCTGGCGGAAGTGGCCCCAACGCCAGTAACCACAACTCCAGCGAGTCTGTTCGAAATAACACATGGTCAATTCGTTCGGTGGATAGCGTCGATCGAGAGGAGACCAGGTTTGGGAGGAGAATAAGGTGGTGGTGGGGGAGAGGGGGGAGAACTGCATTGCGAATCAAGAACATCAGCAAGTGGACATTGGCAAACAATGGGTAGCCCTCAAGACCAATCCCTCCTCAGGCATAACGAAGGCATTCCCGCTCTCCGCTCCATGGCAGGAGGAAGACGATGATGTGAAGTGAAGAATTGCTCAAAGCTGCCACCTACAATGGACAAGACAACCCGGAGGAAGCAATTTCCAGACTAGCGCCGGAATCGTTCGATGCAGGGCACCCCGTTTAGTCCTGTCGGACCTCGCTTGTATATTCGGCTGGCGAGGATTGTTTCAACGTCGAAATTGAGTGTTTTTGGCTCGTCGCCTGTTTTCGAGTCTGGCTGGTAAGTCTGACGACTTCGATTCAGCATTGGGGACGGCCAAGCTAACTTATACTTGCCTGAAGTCAGAACAACTGCTGTCCATTCGGCCCTCGTCCTATCCTTTTACCATCCAGCGCTTTACAACCCAATCCTCGGTGGGACTCACAGCGACCAACAAGCACCTTCCTTTACACGGGCCAACAAACTTCGTCATTATCGTCCTGCTTCCTGCGGGATAAAAAAAAAGATGCTTTGATACGTGGATTGGGTATCCGTACTTTTGCCCTATACCAACATGCCAGTTGCCCTACTCCCACACACCCCTTTATTTTCACCCACTGGCACACCCCTGCTGCCGTGTGATGGCGTATCCTGTAGCACGTTCCTGGCTTCCCAAGTAGGGGGGGTGGGAGTGGAATTGTGCGTGTGGGGGGTCGATGTGGAGGTAGTCTCGATGCAGAACACCACCATGACTGCTACATACCTTGTCTTGCTTTTACCAATGCCACCGCTGTCAACGCGCTACAGGTACACAAATCTCGACTAACTTATTCAGCTATGATGAGAGAGCTTCCCTTCAACTGGCCCAATTCCTTGCTGCATCGGCTTTAGGTCGACATATGCTATTTGGGTTCCCCATATCCCCTTTACCTTTCCCTCCACTTGGCCGCTTTGGGGAGGGTGGTTCCTCCAGTGGTGTGCTCGTGAGCCTGCAGATTGCTTTGCCACGTTGGTCCAGCCTCATAGGCTGCCCGTAGAGAAGCCCATACCAGAGTCCCCGCGTTTCTTTTCATATGCTACACACACAAGTGTACCGGCACATTTGTCCTGTACAATGCTCCGTACAAAGCTCTAAATTCGGCTTTCCAGCTTGCGGAGGGCTTTTCGACACCAAGGGAAAGGGGAAAAAGAAGAGGGGCAAAAAAAAAAAAAAGGTACAGTTTCATCAAGTCTGTGAACGACGCATCTCGAAGAACCAAGGAGGGGTGCGTTGACAATGCTTTTGCCACATTCGGGCCTGTAAGTTTTGGTGCCTCCTGTCTGTCTCATTCTTGCTGAGCCTGACTCTTCTCAATTGGACAAAAAAATAGCAATTCATATCATCCCCCATCTTCTAGTCTCCTTTGTTAACATCATCACTGCAGGCCAACGGTTGATAACACCAAATGGAGCACCGATGTCTGCTCACGCATGCTACTGCCAGGAAAGATGTGTCCCTGCCACAGGAGGCCCTGGCTTTCGGGCCCTACTCTCTTCCACCACAAGTAGTGGGCGTCTCGATCTGCGGCCACTGTGGGTCTCTCTTATGGTTCGTCCCGAGGATGGACAAGTGTCATGGAACAGGGGGATGGATCCTGACCGCTTAGTATGTGGTTCTAGCTGTCGATTTCGGTGAATGCCAGGGTCGTGGTTCGTCCCGCATGGCTGTAGTGGCCATAGTGGCCATAGTGGCCATAGTAGCAGAACCTTGGATGGCACCAGCACCGAGCTTGTCGCCAGAGCTTGACGGATAGCTCCTTGACTTATCTGTGAGTACTCGTACGTGAGTGACTACAATGGCAGCAGTTTCAGCTTCCCACAGCCGGAACATCATCCAGCGGGTATGCTATCTCTTGATATAGGTAGCTCATATGCCTGTCAAAAAAGGGGGGCGAGGTCATATCCATCTCTATCCCTTTTATAAGAAAAGCAATGGAGCCACAATTGGCCACTGCAAGCTGAAAAGGGCTTTAGAGATATATTTTAATCGACGCCACACGGAATTCACTTGTGGGCGGTACCTCTGGTCCTGCCTCCGTACCGTCACACCCATTCTCCGGGGTCTACAGGCTCCCAAGTTACGGCCACGCTGCTCGCATTTGGAAGCGCCATCTCAATATAAGACTCTGAGAAGAATAATTTGGAGGTGCGGCCGAGAACAGCAATGCCAACAGGCTCCGGCGGTCACACAGCATTCGTGAATGCGGCTCTTTGGGAGATCCCCACATGCCACCGCGTCGATGACTCTCTTTCTTTCGGTCGCTCTACCGCTCAAACGGGGTTGGACAAGATGCATTAGTCGTGGACTTGGAGAGTTGAACCGCGGCTGCCAGTGTCAGGGCGCCATGGCTACTTGGAAGCACATCTCCACCGCGAGAATGGAGCATCTCAAGGGTAGTAACCTATTTTAAGGGACACATCCGGAACTACTACTTCACCTGCTGCGTTTAGTTTTCTTCTACCTTTCATCACGTCCTATTAGAACCGTACACGACGATGTTTTCTCATATGGGCATGCATGGTACCTATGCATACCTCGCGACTCACATGAATATCCCGGATGCCCGAGAAGGGGTGATGATTGGCCCTCTGGAGCCAACCCTGGGCCCTCAGATATCTAGATGGAGATGTTTCTGTACTCCTACATCTCTTGACGTATGGCCGTCAGCACAAAGGCTTGATAGCGGGGGCAAAGCTAGGAGAGCTGTGTTAATCTGGCCAACGTGGCAGCACTCGTCTGGACGCAATCAGCCTTTTCCCGGGGTGGCCATTTACAAACTGCATGGCAAACTGCATCAGCATTCAATTCAGGGTTGATGCTTAGGGGGGGGGGGGGGGGGCCTAGGAAGGGGAGGGGGGTTCGTTCAACTGAGTGGTCCCCTTGAGCTGACCCCATCTATATTAATGATGTATACAGACAGCCCACACGGTATCACGAACGAATCCAAGCCCCTGTCGCGGCTCTATTCTCCGGGGATCGCTAATGTGGCGTTATAGGAGGCTAGAGGAAGGGGGATGGGTTCGACACTGCCTCCTGAAGGGGGACTGGTGGGTTTGGGCGGGCGGCACAGCGTTCGGAACAAAACCAAGAAAACCCAAGACAAGTTGGTTGGGAAGCACTGCGTCAAGGTTGTGTGAATCGGACAAAGGACTTTGTCGCTCGCTGAATCGGAAAGCGTATCATTGCTTCCCCGGCAAGACACCACGCCGATCAACAGGCCATCCACCAGACCACATTGAGCCCGGGACCGAACCACAAAACGGAACCGAGCCATACATTCATCTAGCACATTGGAAAGCATGCTATACTTTGCGAACAGCGAGACGGCACAGCTGGCCCAACTTGCCACGCGCCCCCTCGACGCGGCTGAAGCTGGTGCGACGCCAGACGCTTTGAACCAGGATTGTGGCGTTGGCGGACGCAGGGTCAGCGCCTTCTGGGACGGAACGACGTGACTATACGCCCAGCATGGCATGTGCAGATTAGAGGAGAAGAACGAAGCTCGGACTGAATCGCCGATCATCCACATCGCTGCAGGAGTGCCTGTGACAAGATGGACTAGCGCAAACAACTCACATGGAGCAGCAACAGGCTGGGTCCTGTTTTTTTGTGCGTGTGTGTGTGATATGGGTCTCAGGAACACGAGTGGCTGAAAGCACGGGCGACATTAGCGGGTTGGAGATTCCGTCACCGGTCTCAAGCACTGCAAACAAATCGATGGAGAGAAATGCGTCTAAGTGACGGTGAGAGCCATGAGACCGTGGAGCACAGGCCGGAGAAGCCGCAACAATGATGAGCTGGCCTTCTGCTTTGGGAACAGCCTGCATCTCCCATGGCCCTTTTTCAAGCTTGATGTCGTGGTTGCTAGAGGCTTTGACGTGGACGGATAAAGATAGAGGAGAGGAGAGGAGAGGACCACGTCCCCCGTTGCATTGGGTACAGGTTGGGCTCGGCGAGTTGAGATACGTTTCAAGCGGTTCAACCTGCACCGGGGGATTCCGTGAATCGAGAAAGCCGCCAAAGAGGCCAAAGGGGGCCGGAAACATGCGCGCCAGGCGCCGTAAGTGTGTTGCCAAAATGACAACCAATCTTGCATTGCGGCATCGCTCAGGCTATGGCCGGCCGCTTATGGTGGCCAAGTTTGGTGTTGAGGTAGGTTATGGGGTGCCGGTCCTAGCCTCAGGGACAAGGGTCATGTACAGAGACTTGTCCATGCCACATACAGATACACACAGTACTTTCGTACATGCTCGCACGCACACACAGACTTGACACGCACACCGGCGTAATGAGGCGCCAAGCCAGCGAGTGGAACCACACCCTGGACGGCCGACCGAGTGTTGGTGCCCCCTCGCCACGGGCCGTTGATCTGGATCATGCCGGCCCGTTCCGTCTAGAACGTGCTGAGAGAGGCGACGACGAAGAGAAGAGGAGGGAAGGGAGAAGGGGAGGGAGTCAAGAACCGAGTTCTGAATTTGGGACAGTCAAGATTCACTTCACCGGGTGGCCTGGTGACGAGTTGTGGTCCCGTCCGGGCGAAACTGAGCAAGGTCTCATGGCTGGCCGGGTCTAGGACGAGGCTTGGTCGTGCTAAGTGGGCGACATGGCATGGGCCCGTAATCTGGCGCCGAGGAACCCAAAGAGGAAAAAAAAAAAAAAAAAAAAAAAAAAAACTAAGGAAAGGGAAAAGGAAAACTTGAGAGTCGGATGGGTCTCCTTGACGCCAGCCGTAACCGCCCGTCGAGACAAGAGAAGAGAAGCGTTGGAAGCAGGCCGTGTAAGAGGCCAAAACGGTGACTTACACCGTGAGCTGATGTTGGCAAACTCACACTTGCATCACACCTTGAATTCCCACAACGCTTGGCCCATTTGTGGGTCCCCAGAGCAAGAATCCCAGGCCTGCGACTCGTCGAAAATGATGTACATTTGGACGAACCAAGTTGCTGGGGAACTGCGAATCACGGCTCGCACAAATGCTGCGCAGGAGACGTGACTGGCCGACTAGGGGCGACAGGCGGCTGTTAGCAGATCGAAGCCGGCGGTCCAATGAGACGAGCGGATCTCGTTTTTTCGGTCAGACACGGCAGCTCTGGTTTTCGGGCGGCCGACTTTTGGAAGTGAGGAACCACACGAGCAAGGCCAACCCAGAATCTGTGGTCTGGTTCGTCTGCCATCTTATTCTGGCTACTGGGGTGGGCTAATGCTGTTTAGGCCGGACCTGCGACTGGGACGGACGCCTAGTCCTGTGGTGTGAAGGTATGAAGGCGTGAAGGATGATTTCCGTGTTTAAGTCGCGTCGGTGCCTGCATTGGACTGGCGAAAGCGGGCGCATCTTACCAAACTTGCTGACGGTGCCAATTTTGCGTCTAAGCGGGCTGGAAGGACGGTTGAAGATACATTGCCGGACAGACGAAGCGATTTTCAAAGACGGATAAGCGTCTTGCCGGAGATCCAAGTCCTAACTACACTGCTAGTGACGCCGTCGATGAAGATGGGCGTTGCTTGCAGCAGCAGGAGACGAGATGACTGGTGTTGGCCGAGGCGGGTGTGCAACAACTAACACAGGGCGTTCGCGCTAAGGCTGGCCAGATAATTAAGCCCAGCGGATCTCAGGCTCCGCCGTGCCGGCCGGAGGCTCAAAGCAATACGCGCTCCATGCTGCTGCTAGTGGTTGCGAAGGAAAGGATCCCCTGTGTGACATCAACCGGCGGCTGTAGAGTGCGGACTCGGCAGGTGGAGCCGGGCACTCTGAAGAGGACCGAGGAGGGATTGTTCTCTGATGAATTGCCTTTTCTCTGATGAATTTGTCATGAGTTACTAAAACAGCAAGGAACACGATGGATCACGAGATACGGCTGGAGTCCCGGCCTCGTAGTGCTTTGATGGAGATGGCCAGCTCATCACTGTTTCATGCAAGCGGCAAGGCGGCGAGGAACTGTCTGGGGTCAAAGACGGCCAACTGCGTCTTCTCATGACTGAAAAGGGAATAAGAGCAGGAGGTGATGTTGCGCAGGATCATCATTTTCGGAATCGCTGGGCTTGGCCTGGAAAATACGAAGGTGTACGAAGTACAACTTGCTCCATCGGTCATCGGCCATCCTTGTGCGGACTTTGTGAGCTGGCAGACAACGATGAGAGACGGCATGTCCTACCGCCCCCAGCTAGCCTTGCCAGCGAAGCAACGGTCATACATACATTTACTTGTCTGTATGTTGGGGGCCACCCCGGCTAGGACAGCTCCTTCGTGGTAGCCTGGCCTAGAAAGCAGGCCGTATCTGGAGACAAGGATAGCCGAGGCGAAAGGGCAAAGAGAAGTCTAGAAGCCTGATGAGCACGGATTGGGAACCCGGAGAATTGAAGCCCAATGGGAGCGACTAGGGTCAGATGGGCGAGGGGGACTACGTCTGGCTTGAAGTATTTTTTTTTTTTCTTGTTCTTTTTTTGGACAGAAAATCGGGATATCGACGCACACACGTCGGTATGAGGATCGTTTTGCCCGCTAGCTAGAAATGTGGCTGAAGCTAACTAAATTTTGGGTCTGCCTTTCCGCTCTCCGAGGTGGTTAACTTGCGATATAGGACGAAGACGAACGCAGTTGTTTGGCGCAGGCGGCGACGAGGCAAGGACAATGCATACAGATGGCGGCACGTGTGCGTGGCATGGCATTGCAGGGCGCATAAGTGCAATGTGAGTGATTTGGCTGGTGGTGTGTGATGGCGCTAGGCAGAAGGAAATGGAGGCACGTTTCCACTTGAATGACATGGACCGGGGCTATTCGGGGGCGCGGATTGTGGGTTTGCGATGAGCGTTGGAGATGGTTGCATACGAGTACAAGGTTGAGGTACGGAGATGAGGGCGTGAGCGAGTGTCATTTGGAAGAACTTGTGGTGGTTTTTTGGGTTGGTTCCTCGCCACGTCATGATGAGTTGGAGGAGACGGGAGAAGATGGGTTAGGGGGTTGAAGGGAAACCGGGGCGGCGCGGCGGAGGCGGGAGACGGAGTTGGAGATGGAAGGGTTGACACGGGAAGATTGTTGCAAAGGTGAGATTTGTCGTTGTGTCTCTATTCTTTTTCCTTCCTTTTTCTTCCCTTCCTCTTTGCTGGAACTAACGATGAGGGGCGGTTGTGAGACCGCGGCTGATGAAGCTGGGGAGACTCTGAAGACGATGCTTTTGCGTTCTCGCTGAGAGCAGAACAAGAACGGATTTGATAATTACAAGTATGTACTCTCACAACGACGATCACCTGGCAAGCATGATGTCTCTTTACAGATGCCTATTGGAACTAATTGCAGCTGCGTGGATACGTGGAGAGCGTCAAACGGTTAGTGCTCAACGTTGGCGGCGCCAAATGTGACGGCGGCGGTTTGCAGGGATGTTGTTGCTCCGCACCTTGTTCGTCACAGCCTCGCTGACGGTTTGTACAGTACAAAGCCCTGGCGGTGTGATTGATTGATTGCTCGATGCTACCGTTGTTCGTACATTACATTATGCTCTCTTTACTGTACGGAGCACGCTCCATGTTGTTCGATTCGCTGGCTGATGTGGTCGTGATTTTGTCGTGTCAGCCTCGGCCTCGTGTTTGTTCGATTCCGCCTATAAGCGACAGATGGACTTGTTTCCTCTTCCCCACCATTGTTCTAAGCGAGTAATAGCCCTGTGGGTTATTTATCCAGTATTTTATTACTACGTGTACAGGTATTATAGATAGACGTCTCACGATCTGTTGAGTTTCTAATGGAGGGATTTTTAGCAAGTTGAAACCGGACTTTGCTGGCCTCGGCGAGACGGAGGCCGTGTAAGTGGCCGGGCCGTGTCGAGCTGTGGTACGATGGACGGCCGCTTTTAGGGATGCAGTGCGATGGATTACAAGGATGATCCCTATCGAGTATCCTTTCTTCTTCGGCTTTATTACAGTACTCGTACATTTCTCTTTTTCTTTGTATTTTGCCAGGCTCACGATACCTAAAGGCTGTATCATGGACGATACCTGTCCATACCAGGTACCTATTCGTTGCGGTCCCTTTTGAACCTCGATGCAGCAGAGCCGGTGGTATGACCTGAGTACTCGGTACCTGATCCGTGCCGGTGCTTGGATGGCACGATACCTGAGAGCACAGGTAGCATCCGCCCGACGGAGCGCTAAACGGAGCCCACCGGTGCGCTATCGCACTATCGCTAGCGGCTTTTGCGCGGCTGCTTGGTCGAGCGAACCCCACTGATCGATGCCAGGTACCCCCGCCATCAGAGGCGCGTAGGGGTCAAGGTACCGGATACTTGACATAGGGAAGAGCAGAAGCCTGATGTGATCTGCACACTGGAACAGCTACTGGTACATACTTGTACAGCTACTGGCACAGGGCAAGATTTCGTACAGTAGGTATACAGTACAGTATGGTACAGTACAGCGCCGTCTGGTGCCTGCAAGGCCTGACGCAACCCCCCCCGCACCGCATCCCATCGACTCCAGCAGCTGAGGTGAAGTCGGATTCGTATGTACCGTCTAGTGGTCTATTTTGATGGCGTGGACTGCTATAGCAGGTTCATGGGTGAAGAAGCATCGCTAACAGACACTAACAGCGCTAGAGCAGAGTGTCGAGACTGCGCTGGCACTCGGCAGCAGCGCCCGACTGAGCCACAACGGCAGCTGCCAGTTCCCTCCTCCTGCTTGCAACCTCTTGATATTGGATCCCAGGCTATCTTATCGGCTTCACGTCAAGGCAGACAAAATCTACCTGCTGCTCAACAGCCTTAGTACGCCGCCTTCTTTCTCCATCTCCCTCCATCTCCATCTTCTTCGTCTTCTTCTTCTTCTCCTCCTCTTGTCCGTTTCCCTCGTTTCCCTCGTTTCCCCCGGCTTTGGGCCTCAATATCGGGTCCGGCTGCCGCTTGTTGTCGCTTTCGTCATCTCGCAGACACGCACACGCACACGCACACGCAGAAGCGAGGCAGACGCACAAGCAGGCGCAGAGCCAGACGCACACGCACACGCGAGAACAGCAGCTCTCCATCCCCATACTAGCCGAGCAAACGGCAGGCCGCTAGCAAACCCGGCAGAAGCAGCAGAGCACGCTAGACAAGGCCGTCGACGACAGCAGACAGACAGACGGCGGCGGCGACGCTGTTGTCTCTGCATCGTCTCTGCGGTCCAGAGCGACACCGCATCACGCCTACATGGGACTTGCATCCAGCACGCAGCCTTTGCCCACTGCCTGCTCACCAGCAGAACCGACGGCGGCAGCACCAGCACCAGAAGTTCGACAGGCCTCTGCATCCGCGGCATCAGCGGCATCAGCAGCAGCCTAGGCCAGTACTGCTGGCAGCTTTGGCAAAGCAACAGTCAGACCTTGCACCCGTTGCACGGTGACAACTTCACCTGCCCAGGGTCCGGCTGCTTCCGACAAGCGCGTTCTGGTCCGGAAACTACTGCAGATTGTTATCTCCCATCTCTTGCACCGTCTGAGTACTCGTACAGCTTACCGGTACTTGGCATACCTCACAGCCAGCCTTGCCTTGGCACCTATCTATACAACTGCGACTCGTACGTTGTGCATGGCTTATACGCGAGTGCGAGAGACCTTGGCCTCCCTTGACTTCTCTATTACCAAAGCTACCATCTCAATACTTGAGACAAGCAGGGCTCTGTAGCCCAGACCCATACATCATCACAAGAACAGTGATCTGGTCAAGATACCGCCACGATAGCTACTGTACCTTGCTTCTTTCTCACTCTCCCGTGCCGATCCCCCTGGTTTTGTTTCATATTTGCTTCGTACTATTCCAGATAGATGCGCTCGATCAAACTCGTGTTTCTCAAGGAGAAGAGAAAAAGACATCAAGGGGCGGCAAGACTTTTGTGAAACAGTGAATTGTGTTATTCTATTCCCTCTCTCTTTTCCTCCTGTTTCCCCAAATCCAGATACCAAGATACCACCGGCATAGAGTTGCAGGAATCGAAATCTCGATACAGGTGTGTGCTTGTCGCTTTTCACTGCATTGGTGGCGAGAAAACAACAAGCCAATGCTAAGCCGGGCACTGGCGAAATAACCAACCAGACCAAAGGGACTGGGTACTCGGGCATCAGACACGCCAGCAAAGCGGCGGAGAAGTGAAGCAGCTCCCCTGAAACCATTTGGTATTGATTCGCCCGTGTTGATGTCATGCTTGGCTAGCCTATCGCTGATATTCGCTTGACAATCCTACCTACACACGTACACATACACGCATGCATGCATACGTGCATACAGGCACTCATACATACACGCATCCTACATACCTCTCTTAGCACGATTACACACATCCTTGGTCTTATTGACCGGCTAGATACCAAAAGACCCCGGAGGAGGCGTGTGTCTTTGCAACTGCTGCAGCTCCCTCCCCGGCACCGACGCCAAAATCGTCATCCAGAGTCCAAATAGCCGCTACAATGGCCAACTCAACGGCCCAGTTTGCGGCCCAGACCCAGCTCCTCATGAGAGTATCGACCCCTGGCAATGCCTACGTGGATGGTGCCAGCTCTGCCGTTGCACCAGTAGCTCATACGACTCTCGATAGCTGTGAGGCCGCCACATCTGCTGGTGGATCTCAAGACGTGTTCTCGTCACTATCCGGGCTTTCATCCGCCCTCGCTATTCTCGGTAGCGTCTCGTCACCGCCATGTCTGGAGACTTTGCCAAGCGAGGTCTTGGCTCTCATTGCGAGCTTCCTCGATGTCGATGACTTGTTGCGTGCGTCTCGTGTAAGTGCTTTGCCGTGTCGTGCCGTGCTGACTGACTGACCCCGGATCACTCGCTACACACACACGCTATATGCACAAAAGAAGAGAGAAAGAAGAAGAAAAAAAGAGAGAGCCATGCTAGCCCCAACATCTTATCCCTGTGATTGTTGTCATTAGGCTTGTTGCGGAAGTCTCCGTTTGCTGACTAGGTAGCATAGACGTGCCATCGCCTTCGCACAATCTCTCTTGACCCTCTCCTCCACCACTACCGCCTCCGCAACGCCCGATTTCTGCTGACCTCGTTTCTCAACTCTCCGTGCCGCCCGTCTCTTGGTGATCTCATGTCCCGATCCATCTTCCTGACCCAAAACACCATCATATCACGGCGGTTGGCACGGTCACTCATCTCCATCCGCCTCTCGCGTCGCCTTGCCTCGCGGCTTTCCGCGAGAGACCTTGTCCAGCGATGTGTGTTGCCTCAGGAGTGCGTGCCAGGCATGTTCCCTGTGCACATTGCACCAGGTCTCGTAGCCAAGCGCAAAAGCATTGAAAAGGAACGTATCAAAGACGGCCTGAGGCGGTGGATTTCCGTCAAGTGGAAGCGTCAAGTCAACGAGCGAGCAGAAGATGCGCGCAGGTCGGACGAGATACTCGGCGTCGGCCGCGTCTGGAAACTGCGCCGCTTTTGGGAGAGGATGAGCCGTGGCGAGTTGCCGGTTCATGGCCGTGGCCAGCTGCCCGTTGATGGGAGCAGAGGTTGGTGATGATGGTCAGTCGAGTGTGTGTTTTCCCTTCCCTTTTGCCTTCCAATTATCGTGCCAGACTGAATGGCTTTTTTGGGTGAGTTTTCTTTGGAAATTTTGGCTTCTTCATATATATATATATACCCCGTCGATTTGCTTGGTCGAATTTATTTTGGTTTTGATTAGTTCTCTCTCGGCTACTATTAAGTAACCATTGGAATCTTGGGTTTGAAGACCTGGTTATACCTAGGTATATAGCTGATATTGATTGCTTTTTTGGCTATGAAAGTAATAGATGCTAGCATCTATTCAAGTGACGTCTACGCCGGATCCATGCATTAGTGGTCTAGGTATAATCCAAAGAGTGGTAAGCAGAAGAAAAGAAGAAAATTAACATGGCTTTATGCATTCATATCCTGCCAGCGTCGTCGTGGCACCTCCCGTTGTTCGCTTGCTCGTTCTACCGCCCTGTTCGGAAGCGGAAGCCATCCCAGTCATCTTCTTCATCATCATCTTCGTCGTCATCATCATCGGTCTCTGCCTTGATAGAATTGCCAGTCGCTTGGACATTTTCTTTCCCTTTGTCCTGTGGATCGGACGGAAGCTTGGTCGTCGTCCGAAGATCATCGGCTTCTGCTGCGGCCTGGCCCTGGCTGAGACTTTCGCCCCTCTTCCGCATCAACGCCTCGCGCTTCTCCTTTAGGCGCTGGACGCGGGCCTCGAGCTCCTGCATCTCCTCAAACTCGTCCTCGAGCGCTCGGGTGGCTTCCTCGCGCTCGTCTTCCAGATCGGCGTCAGCCTTGGACTTGCGAGACTCTGGATCCTGGGTGGCCTGTTCTTCGGCTTCTTTTGCGGCGGCGGCCTCCTCGGCCGTCATGGCGGGGCGGGAGATGACGGCATCGTCATCGTATTCTTGGGCGGCGGATGTGGCGGCGATTTCGGCTTCGAAGGCGGCCCATTCGTCTTCATCGACTTGCTGGTCCTGAGACGTGGGTTGTGGTGGTTGCTGTGATTGCTGTTGTGAGAGGCTGGCGGTGGAGGATTGTGGCTGGATGTTGATGCTCATGGAGGAGGAGGATGCGGGAGTGGCGAGGTTGCTAGCCTGACGGGAGGGGAGAGAAGTCGTCAGTTTTGGCACTGCTGGCTGCGAGGGAGTTGAGGATCGTGAGGGCATCTGGACCTGGACGCCTTGCGCGGGCACGAGAGGCTTCTTGGGGTTGGCTCTGTCTTCTTCTGGGCCTGACTTGTCAGAGGCTGCCTCGGGTCTACTGCGTTTCCTCCGTGCCTCGTCTTCGTCGTCTATGTCTGTGTCCTTGTCTTCTGCAGCTACTTGGTCGAGCTTCCGTTTCTGCGCCAAGGCATCGTGATCCTCAGCATCCTCTTCCTCTCCTTCGACTTCGTGCTTTTCTGGGTTCTCTTCTTCCACCCTGTCGTCGTCATTGGCATTGGCGCTCGCTGATATGGCAGAGAGCCGCTTCTTGTGCTTATCGCTCAGGAGATGAGCGTCCCAGTGGGCTTCGGCTCGGATCTGGTCGCGGCAGAGGATGCAGAGCAGCTTTCCGGCGTCTGAATATGTGGCGTATGGGTGGTTGATGCGACGGGCTGCTCGCTGCTGGCGGAGAAGTGCTCGAACATCGGCCATGGCTGGCTTGGTGATGTGAATGTAGTAGAGAAGAATAGGGAGAGAGAGATTGGTACGAGCTGGGATGAGCTGAGCTGAGCTGAGCTGTTGTCGGCTGGGGATATGGAGAAAGAAAGAAGCCTTTGCTGCTGCTTCCTAGAGTATGGACATGCCTCAGAAGAGCAGATTGGAGGCAATTGGTGCGTTTGCCCGATGAATTGGTCAAGAGCGCAAGAATCAGATGAGATGATGGCGCCGCTTCTGCTTCTGCTCAATGGCCGTAATTGCAGGTCAATGGATGGAGCTCGTATACAAGTACAGCCATGCTGCTAATTCAGAGACCCGGCTAGTCTAGTACTCGTACCTTAGTAGGTTTTTTTTTTTTCTAGGACGCGGTTCAGCTTCTCGACGTCACAGCGGTCGCTGAAGCTCGTCGGAGCCGATGTTTATCCGGCGCAGCTACAGCGGTAACTTCTTTCTGCGACGAGCTGCTACTCTTGCTGCTATAGGAACTTCACATCGTATACATCACATCACACAACATCAATACTCTCGATACTCCTTTGCGTCTCCTGTTCCCAGTCGCATCGCTTCTTCCTTGCGTCGTCCCTCTATCAAACTCCAATGAGGTGATATCCATCGACTCTTAGACACCGCGCGGGGAGGGGTTACGTGCACTTGGACAAGATCCAGACGAGAAGAACGACTGAGCAACAATGGAGGAGCAGCAAGAGCCTCATTCACTGGCGTCGACGTTTCCAAACCCACCGGATTTCTGGAAGGAATTCACGCCGGAGAGGATCGCAGAGATTGCCGAGCTGCGACGAGCTCAAGCCGCCGATGGCCAAAGCCAGGACGCAGACAATGTGCGAATCCCGAATCTGCCTGAGCATCTAATGGCTCTGCAGCCGCCGCCAGAACCGGCAGATGGACGGTGGCGAGTCTTTGGCGACCAGTACATGGTATGGCTCTATGAGAATGATTCATGAGTGTGCTTTCAAGTCGTCTCTCTAACTCTGTGCTTCTCCTCTCCAGCTCGACGACAGGCTCCCGACTCTCGAGGACCAGGGCATCGAAAACCTGCCTGCAACGGCTTCCTCCAGCGCCAAAGACGCCAAGCACTACGATCGTGCCTTTGAGCTCAAGCGTCTGACCAAGTCGCTGCTGCTCAACTTCCTCGAGCTGGTCGGCACCATGACGCGCAACGCGGCCGACGCTGAGGCCAAGGTCGCCGACGTGCGCACCATCTTGATCAACATCCATCACATTCTTAACGAGTACCGGCCACACCAGGCCCGCGAATCCGCCATCGAAATGATGCAGGACCATCTTGACCGCACGCGCACCGAGACGGCCGCCATTCGCACGCAGGTCGATAAAGCGAGAAAAGTGCTAGAAGGCCTGGGCAGCCTGGACTTGTCAGCGATTCAGAAGATTGGCGAAAGTGCCACTGCCCAGATTCTGTCGGAATCACCGACGGCAACGCGGACACTTAAAGAGAAGCTCGAATACGAGGAAATAACGAAAGAGGCCGAGGCGTGGGCTGCGGCTGATGCGTTTATCGAATAGTGGAAGACAACGGAGCGCGAATTGCAAGAGCTCAAGCTGACGCGGGTGATTTTGTGGCCGCGTGCGAAGCCTGGATGCAAATGCACCGCCAGATGTAGGCGCAGAGAGAGAGCACGAGGCAGGATTAAAGGGAAACACAAGCAGCTTAGATGGAGAACTACAATAGTTCAAATGGGGACAAAGAGGAGAAGAATTCGGTATTGATGGAGGCATGGCGTTGATTTTGCCATGATTGCAGGTGGTATCCGCTATTATTAATGCAGGATGCCGGCATGCAGTTGATGAATAATGATGGGTTACGACTTTGGAGGGAATGAAAGAGTGTTGCTGGGCTGTCTTTTTGCGACATCAGGATTCATTGGTATATCACGGAGAAAGGGGAGAGAAAAGATAAAGACAGAGTTGGGTTTATTCACCTAGATGGAACAAAAAAGAAACATTCAATACCATCAATATTCAAAAAATGGACAAGTTGTAAAGAAGCTGTTATTCTCACAAAGTGTGCATAAAACATACATGCAGGCATATATACGAAGAAACAGAAATAGGTATCATGCATTACATGGCAATATTCCCTAACTATATCTAGACAAGGCGAGAATCAAACAAGGGACATGAATAAAAAAAAAAACTCATACAGACTCGTACAATTCATTTCTTTCTCTCTGCCTTATGCTTGGGTTTTTCTCACAGGCGGAGGTCCTCCTCCTCCTCCTCCTCCTCCTCCTCCTCCTCCTCCTCCTCCTCCTCCTCCTCCAACTACTCCAGCAACCACCTGCGGTAACGGTGTTGCCGTTGCCGCTCCCTGGCCATTGTCGTTCCCGTTTCCATTTCCATTCCCTCCGTTTCCTCCGGTGCCTTCCTTCTCCAAGAGATCCGCCAAGTACTTCAAGTCGTCTCTAGCACGAACGTCTCGCTCAATGATAGTCTTGATCACCTCCCACTCCCGTCGCGTCATCTGGTATGCCTGCGGGAGAATGAACTGCACCGTAGGCACGCTAATAAGGGGGCCCAGGACTTCCCTCGCAGTAATGACGCCGGCATCTTGCTGTGCCTGTTTCCTCTGGTCATCTGGTGCCTGTGCGTGTTGTCCAGGGGGTGTGGCCTGAGACGAAGTGGACGACGGTACCGGAGCGTGAGCAGAAGGAGCAGGGCGGTTGAGATGCGGCAGCTGGGGGATGGGGACCGGCGTGGCAGATTGTCCGTGGCCGTTTGGAGGAGCGTTGGGGAATGGAGAGGATGCAATTTGGGGCGTCGCTGGTGAAAAGGCCGGGCCAGACGTCGAGTTGCTTCGCTGGCTGTATCCAGCCGGTGCAGGGACGGGAGGAGGAGGTTGCTGAGCCGTGACCGGGCTCGGGCTTGTCGACGACGCAGCCGCACCAGTCGCAACGGATGATTCATTGTGAAGCATCTGCTTCAGCTGGTCCGGCTCATTCCGGTAGACAAAGACGGCCAGCAGCAGGGGCTCGGTCCGGGATTTGGGGATGTAGTTGTCCACAAGGTTAAGCATAAACTCGGGATGGCCGTCCTCGCCAGCAGGCACTGGCACCAGGTACGTGTCCCTAACGTTGCCGGCGACCTTATTGCCGACAACGCCATAGCGGTTCTTGCTAACAAAGTAGTTGATGAGGTTGTTGAACTCCTGCTTTGCATCCGGCGATGTAGGCGTGATGTTGACGACGATAATATCAGTCAAATTGCTGTATCGCAGGCTGCACAGGTACTCGATGGCGCTCTGCTGCGGGATTCGGCCCGCCACGGTCATCTGTCGCGGGATCAGCTTGGTCCAGGGGCCAAACGAGGCAAAGTTGGCGCCTCCAATGTGCTTGGCCGTGGCCTGGAAATCGGCAATGGAGCTCATCGCCAGCGAGCCGCGCCAGATGACGTCGGGATCCGTGGCTTCTTCTGTGGGCGAGTAAGGCGGCGATTCGTTCTCGTCCTGCAGCATTCGGTCGACATCAGGATCGAATCCGGGGCCGTGTGTGTTCAAAACCGGCGCAGAAGGTCGGCGACGATGAGCAGCTGTAGGGGACTTGACGGCGGAGAAGACTTTGCCAATGTCAAAGTTGGACTGGCTGGGAGAGCGCTGGCTTAGACCGGCGTCGCCGAACTCGTTTCCTCCTATCGACTCGCGCTTAACGTGTTGATGTGGTTGTTGTCCCTGTTGGTATTGTTGCTGCCTCTGCTCCTGATCCTGTCTCTCCTCTCCTCCCGAGCGAGGGCCCCCAGCAGATGGCATGGGCGCTTCGCTGCTAATCAACCCCTCGTCATCGACAATTTCTTCGCCCTTGTGCGTGCGCCTCACTCGAGGACCGGTCTCTGAAGTGTACAAGATAGACTGCTTTTCTGCCCTCGCTTTCATCTCGGCGGTTTGCCTCTGCAGCTCAGCCGAGGCAAGTTGCTCCGATGTCATGACGGCGAGCGTCATGGGCGAGTGCTCGTGCCCCCAAAGGCCCTGGAACAGCTCGGGGTTGTTCTTGAGGTTGAACGACAGCGATTTTATCTGCTGGCTGTACTCCTTCTGGCCTTTGGAGAGCGGGTGTGTGTCGAAGACGGCGCGCTCAATCTGAAGCGCATACTTGTCGGCGAGGGATTCCGCACCTTCATCTTCAGGTAGCTGGATGTGGTTGCTTTTGGCTAGGGATCCGATGACGTGAACCAGCGACTTCTTCAGCGCCTTGGCAGGACCAATTCGCGTGCCGGGAAGATCCTGGATGGATGCAGTCAAGTCTTCGGGCGGCGCGTACTTGACCAGGGGAGAGGCCGAAGCAGAAACGGAAACGGAAGCGGAAGCAGAAGCAGAAGCAGAGGCCACAGCCTCGTCCTCCGATACGCGGCGCATCTTGGTGGTCTAGATAGAGAAAATCAGTGTTAGCATCAGTCGAGAACAAATACAAGTTAGATTCAACAAGACAAGACAATAGCATACCTTTCCGTCTGCATCTTGCGAGTCCTCCCTCGCCTTCCGTTTGCCCTGCTTGGCCACGGCTGTCACGTCCTTCTTCTCTCTCGACACGGCATCAGGAGTGGGTGAAGCCTTGGCCTGGGCAGCGTCTTTCTCAAGCTCGTCTCGAAAATCGCTACCTCGCTTCCCTCTCTTGCGCCCGCCGCGCTTCTTCTTTCGTTCGGCCTCCTCCTCGTGCGCCTTTCGCCGCTCCTCCCAAAGCTTCTCGCCGCGGGCAATGGAGTCGAGCAGCTCCTTGTGGTTCTCGGGCTTGCACTCTTCGCACCAGTAGTGGTCGGGAATCTCGTCCTCATACGAGCTCACGCCCACACAGACGTTGTGCTGCCACACGAAGCACGTCTCGCACGAGATCCAGGCCTCGCCCGAGTCTTCATCTTGCTCGGTGGCGCCGCAGACGCAGCGGATGACCTCCTCGGGGTCCTGCGACTGCTCCTTCTCCTGCACTGCCGCCTTCTTGTTCTTCTTGGTCTGTCGACGTTTCGGCACGGGGGGCTCCAGCTCGTCAAAGGCCTTTGTGTGCTGGCCCTTGGTGGCTCTGACGGAGCGTCGAGGTTCGGCTTCTCCTGTGTGACGGCTGCTGTTAGCAAAGTGTCTCCTCTCTCCTCTGCGACGGTGCATCTCTCTCGCGCGACCAGCCCGATGAATCGCATCTCAACGCCAGCTTGATCGATTGAGGAGAATCGTCGGCTCTTGTGGTTTTGTTTTTAGCTTACCAGACATGGCAATGGAGCACGCGCAAAGGCGTCGCCGCAGATCCAACTAATGCGATGCAAATTCTACTGTGGAAGCGAACGCGAGATGGCAGAAAAAATTCTTGCGCTTCGCTTCAGACGGGCATTGGAGATTTACAAAACAGGCAAAGACGGCAACTAGTAGGTAGTCACAGACAGCTAAAACAACAATTCCTCCCCTCGGCAAGAAGAAGAAAAGAAAAGAAAAAATAGGCCTAATTGCAGCGCGAGGTCCAAATCCAGCGACCAGCTCTTCTTGGGCAGCTATGGGATGGCGAGCGGCGTGTGAAGCTGCTACAGAGGCAGCGCGTGCCGATTTAGCTTGTGAAGGAGAAAAAAAAAATATCGAAGCTTGTGTTGGTGATGACGGCAGCTTGCGTGGGGTTCCGGGAGCCCCTTGGAGTGGATACAAATAGAAGGACGAGCGGGTGGCGCGCGTCTTTTTGGTCTCTGGAGGCCTGGGGATGCTAGACAGGTGGCGGCAGATGTGGGCAGCTGGGGGAGAGTTGAGGCAGGATTTGGGGCTGAAGAGGAGAGGGACGGATTGATGGTGGTTAGAACGAATGTCGAGTGTATCGAATATCGAATGTCGAGTATCGAGTATCGAGTATTGAGTATTCAGCAGCTCTAGAGAGACGCCTGGATGGATGTGGATTTGATAGATAGTGCAGATAACAGCGTGTCAAGGATGCGTCTCCGATGACGGTGAGATGGACGAGATGAGATGAGACGAAATGCCGAGCGTCGCAAGCGGGTGATGATGCCGCAAAGCAGCGTGTCTTGATCTGGGGTAGAGCAGGATCAAAGCAGAGCAGCTGGCGCAAAAGGAAGCAGGAGGGATGACGCAGTTAAGAGGGAAGCCGAAGCCGCAGCGAGAAAGCCGTGGCGATTGGCGTTTGGAATCTTGACGGCCAGGTGAATGAATGCCCAAGCAAAAGGCTGATCTCAACGGCGATGGGATGACGGAGCTTAGTCATGAGGGGCAATGAAATTTACTGTGCAGTTTTCGTTTGTCGCGTACGGCACAGCCTCGGCTAAACAACCCGTTGTCTTCAGCCTTGTGTCCATTTTGCGCTACGCAGTACTAACTGCTGCCTCAGGCACTAACGATACCTATCTTGTAGCACCATTCGTTCCTCTACAGCTGCTGACTCAGCCCCGCCAACGCCTGCAGAGCTCCAGGGTACAGGGTATCTGCCACAGCTTTAGCAAGCAGTACCTACGCGGCGGTCGTGCCTGGAGCTCTGCAAGTGACGCCGGCCTTGTTCCCCTCCATAGTCCAGAACCACCTTCTCAACCTCTCCCAAATCCTCGCTTCAGCCTCGAGATTTGCCCTGCCTCGTCGCAAATCCAACCAAGCCAATCTCTCTCCCAACATAAAATCACATCCATCCAGCCCTTGCACGATCGGAAAGAGATTGCCCCTCCACCATGTCCCGCCGTTACGATTCCCGAGTGCGTTCAGCCTGAGCTCCAATCCAAGGGCGACCAAATCAACCATCAGACTCGATGCAGGCTAACCCGCGTGCTGTAGACCACCATCTTCTCCCCCGAAGGTCGTCTGTACCAGGTCGAATATGCACTAGAAGCCATTTCTCACGCCGGTACCGCCATCGGCATCCTCGCCAAGGATGGCATCGTCCTGGCCGCCGAGCGAAAGGTGACTTCGAAGCTGCTGGAGCAGGACACCTCGGCAGAGAAGCTTTACGTACTAAACGAGTATGCTCCTTGTCACCCCGTGTCCGTACATTTGTATACAATCATCTCTGCTGACACCTCGCCCCTCGCCGCAGCAACATGATCTGCGCAGTAGCAGGCATGACGGCCGACGCCAACATCCTCATCAACTACGCCCGCCAGGCCGCCCAGCGATACCTCCTCACGTACAACGAAGACATCCCCTGCGAGCAGCTGGTGCGCAAGCTGTGCGATCTGAAGCAGGGCTACACACAGCACGGTGGTCTGCGACCGTTTGGCGTTTCCTTCATCTATGCCGGCTGGGATCCCCGGAGACAGTTCCAGCTGTACCTCAGCAATCCCTCAGGAAATTACGGCGGATGGAAGGCCACCAGCGCGGGCGCCAACAATGCCAGTGCGCAGAGTCTGTTGAAGCAGGACTACAAGGAAGACTGCACGCTTAAGGAGGCGTGTGGTGTAGCTGTCAAGGTTCTTAGCAAGACTATGGACTCTACCAAGCTGAGCAGTGAAAAGAGTAAGTTTCCGATGATATCCTCTTGCTTTCAAAATTTCATTGATAGCTAACCCTGCATGTGTAGTCGAGTTTGCGACGGTGGGACAGACAGAGGATGGTAAAATCTACCACAGGCTGTGGAGCGCCGACGAGATCACGGCGCTGCTAAAGGAGCACGACTTGGCCAAGAGCGAGGATACGGAAGAGAAATAAATGAATAGAGCGGGTGAATGTTTTGAACAAGTAGACTGAGAATGGGCGCTTAATGACACAAAAAGAACAAATGGCCCCTGTAACAATACGACAACATGTCCCAAGATGAGTTTGACTTGACTACAGGGAGTCCTGTGATGTAAGCATGCCGCATATCCAAAAAGTAGAAGCGGTAAAGACAAAAAAAAAAGAACACAAGGAAATCCCTATATACTTTTGACGATCCCCTTTTCTTAAAGGGACAGGGCGGTAGATGGTGGAGTTGGTAGCTATTTACATAAAGACAAACTCTTCCGGCTATGCTTATACTACATTGCACAATATGAAATCTCAACATTAGCCTCAAGCCGCCTCAACTTCGTCGAGTTCCTAGTGGGAAGGCTAGTTCACTACCTTGCTCTTCTTCGTCTCGCACGCGCTGCCATCCTGGCTGAGCCTCGGCGGCCGGGTGAGGATGAGGCTCATCACAAGTAGGGCTCGTCAGCTTGGGGAAATGCCGCCTATAGCTCCAATACGCAACCGTCATGCCCAGTGCTGATCCGACACAGACGTCATAGACATCGTGGCGATAGTCTTCGCACCGCGAGATTGCTATCAGGGCCGCTCCGATGAGGGGGGATAAGCAGATGAGGGCGCGGCTGAGATCGCGGCCACCGGTGTAGTAATTGAAGACGTGGAGTTGGCCGGCGAGGAAGAGGCTGAGAAATCCGAGGCCGGCGAAGGAGAAGGACGAGTGGCCGGAGGGAAAGGAGCGCCAGCCGTCCTGGAGGGTGTGGCCGTCGGGGGCGGTGCAGACGGCCATTGTGACGAGGACGTTTGGCTTTGTGTCGGCGGAGGGCTGGCAGCGGGCGAGAAGGTCGGGCCGGGGGCGTCCGACGGCATTCTTGACAATATCTGTGATGAAGGAGGAGAGGACGATGGAGATGGCCAGGGAGAGATATGTGGCCTCGTGCTTGTGGGTGGAGGCACGGGTGACGGTGTTGTAGGCGATGAGGGCGCCTAGAGGAATAAAGAGGGCGTAGAGGAAGTTGAGAGCTGTTTTTGGTGAAAAGATGGAAAGAGATTGATCATGTTAGAGGGGAGAGGATGAAACTGACAGCGGCATACGGGGTCAGGGGAGACGTACGGACGGAGACTCGCTCATGTTCGGCGTAGGGATACGAGATGCGCAGATCATTGATGAAGAACATGCGGTGGAAAGGATTGACGAAGAGCATAATCTGGAGTAGTTGTTTAGTTAAGGGGACGAAGATGCATAGTCGTGTTTGAGAGCGCACCATGATCCATCCTGCAAGGAGGATTAGGAAGCCGACATAGTCTGGCGCATGAGTCGTCTATATGCGACAGAAGAAGAAAAACAGCCAAGTCAGCCTCGAGAGAAAAATAAGACGAATATTCAGACGAAGATAGTCTCAACTCACTCTCCAGAACCTAGCCAAGGGGCCCATGGAAGCAGTCGGGTCGCCTCCGTTGGCAGAGCGCACAGAAGGCATGTTGCGCCGGGAGACGTGATGAGATGGCAGAGCGCGATGAGGGTTTATTTTATTTTATGAAAGACTCGGCCATGAAGAAGAGACTGTGGCGGATGTATGTGGAAGAATGACGACGAGTTTGTTGAAAAGGGGGTGCTGTTCTAAGGGTGAGTTGGAGGATGAGATTTGAAGATTGAGGCTGAGTTGAGATTTGGCGATGTTGCATGAAATGAATTTTGGGGGGCGCGGTGCAGGGTAGGCGGGATAGGCGGCTTCGGCGAAATGTCGAGGGACGCGTAATTGGAATGGAGTCGGTCTTGATGTGCATATACTCGTATGTGTATCCGGGCTGCATATAATGTTGATAATATTAAATAGATAATAATTCCGTACTGAGATCTTAATAAGGAAACGATTTTGTTTTTATTATACGGAGTAGTTGAAGCAATTATTTAGTGTGATGATGTGTGTGTCGTTATTCACGTCCAACAAGCCCCCACGTTTCAATACATCTGGCTAGTAATAGAATCCATACTACAGCTTACTAGGCTTCAGCGCCTTGAAACTCTTCGTAATCTCTGTAATCGCCGTCTCGACCGGCAATCTCTCCATCGAGCTCGCTCCGTAGAACCCATGAACTCCCTTTGTCCGGCTGAGGACGTACTCGGCGTCTTTCGGTGCCGCAATCGGGCCTCCATGACACAGCACAATGATATCCGGGTTGATCTTGACAGCTGCATCGCGAATCTCCTGAATCAGCTTGACGCACTCGTCCAGCGTCTTACCCGTAGTAGCACCTATGGAGCCGCTCGTTGTGAGGCCCATGTGCGCAACGAGGACGTCGGCGCCGGCATGAGCCATCTTCTTGCTCTCCTCGACATTGAACACGTAGGGCGTGGTGAGCAGATTGAGTGAGTGAGCCTCGCGGATCATGTCGACCTCCAAGTCGTATCCCATTCCCGTCTCCTCGAGGTTGGCCCTAAACTGCCCGTCGATGAGCCCGACGGTGGGGAAGTTTTGGACTCCGGCGAAGCCCAGGTCGCGGAGCTGCTTCAGAAACGTCGTCATGTTGCGGAAGGGATCTGTGCCGCAGACGCCGGCGATGACGGGCGTGTGCTTGACCACGGGGAGTACTTCATTTGCCTGCCATTGACCATTGTCAACATCACATGAAGCCACTTAACTAGGATATGAGACATCGTACCATTTCCACCACTATCCCGTTGGCATCTCCGTAGGGCATCAGTCCGGACAGCGACCCGCGACCGGCCATGCGGAAGCGGCCGCTGTTGTAAATGATGATGAGGTCGCCGCCGCCGGCCTCGATGAATTTGGCGGACAGGCCAATGCCGGCGCCGGCTCCGACGATGGACTTGCCGGCGGCGATTCGGGCCCTGAGGCTGGCGAGGATCTTCTCTCTGTCTGTAGGCGGAGCCATGGCTGACGAAGATGAAGACGAAGATGAAGACGAAGATGAATTGGGTTGGGTGCTAACCAGAATAGAGAAAAAGCAGCTCTGACTCAGTTTGCAAGCGCCTTGTCCGGCTCCAGCTCAGAGAGACCGCCGCTTGTTGGATCCATGATTCCCATCGTCATTTATAACAGCAGACCTTGACCGGAACTGGACACAGCGGGGACTAGCCGGGGATAGCCATGCTGGACTTTGTTGATGCCAGATCGGGTCTCCACCAAATCGAACTCAAATGGCCGTCACGCATTGCCACTGTGATTTTCATAGGGATTGTAAGCTTCATTGTTTAGTGTGTAGGATTATCCAGGAAGCACAAGCGAACCGGATCTGAGACATTGGAAACGTATTAAAATGTCGTCGTAACTCATGCATACCCCGCTTCTTCCCTTTCCCTTCTTCAAGTATACACGTCTTCACAATGTCCAAAATTGCTACGGTTGTAATCATCGGGACCTGCGATACCAAGCTGCAGGAGCTTCTCTTTCTTCGCGAGAGGGTTGAAGAAACCGCAGGAGGAGTTCAGACGCTCCTCATAGACGTCGGACGGAATCGGTGTGCCCACAATGCCATTGCCATTCCGCAGTATGAGCTCTTGTCCACCTTTGGCAGGGGCAAGGCCAAGGGCAAGGACGCGATAGCAGACTTGACCAGAGGTGAATTCGTAACGCTCATGACCGACTGCGCCTCTCAAGCTGTGAAAGGACTATACCAGCAGGGCCTCATCCATGGCATCGTCTGTGCAGGAGGCTCCAGTGGCACGGCGCTCTCCGCTGCCGTTATGCGTGATGTGCTTCCGGTTGGATTCCCCAAGCTCATCGTTTCGACAATGGCGAGCGGCGATACCAGGCCCATTGTCGGCGAGACGGACATTGCCCTGATGCATTCTGTTGTCGATATTGCCGGGCTGAACCCCATCTTACGCGACATTCTCAGCAATGCCGGAGCGGCGATTGCAAGCGCCGCGCTCTCATACGCTGCCAGACGGAACAAGAAAAGATACGGTGCAGCAGAGGAGTCGGAGTCGATGAAGAAGTGGCGGGTGGGCATTACCATGTTTGGTGTGACAACGCCCGGAGTCGACGCCATTCGCTCGCATCTCGAGTCCAACTACCCCGTCGAGACTTATGTTTTCCACGCCGTTGGCACTGGAGGAAGCGCAATGGAGCGCCTCATTCGCGAGGGCCAGCTCGACGCAGTCATCGATCTCACGACGACGGAGATTTGCGACCACCTGTTTGGCGGCGTGCTCTCGGCTGGAGAGGGACGGCTGGATGCTGCTGTTGAAACCAGTCTGCCAAACATTGTCTCCTTGGGGGCTCTCGACATGGTCAATTTTGGGCCGAGAAACACGTTGCCGGAAAAACATGAGGGAAGAGTCATATATGAGCACAATCCAACCGTGACGCTGCTGAGGACCTCGCCGGATGAGTGTCGTGAGATTGGAGCCTTCATTGCCCAGAAGCTCAGCAAGACAAAGAGGCCGGACATGATTGAAGTGTGGATTCCCAAGGGGGGAGTCAGTATGATTGCCGTTCCTGGAGGTCCATTTGAGGATCAACAGGCGGACAAGGCGCTGTTTGAGGCGGTCAAGTCGGGATTGAGTGGCAGCGGCATCAAGATTGTTGAGGATGATAGAGATGTCAACGATGGAGGGTTTGCGAAAGATGTTGCGGAAGCATTGGTTGCAAAGCTGGGACTGCAGAAGATCTGATGGTTTTATTTTGCTACTGAAGCGTTTATATAGCTCACGAATCGTATTCTAGTGGAACTTGCTGTTGAAATTCATCATACATGCACTCGTTTATATAAAAATCTGGATATTTCATTCATTGATGCCGATGTTATTGATCAATGGGTATGGTTACAGGTGTTTACAGGTACCCACCGAATTTGGTAGCGAGAGCCTGACCGCTAAGCAGCTCACTTACAAGGGCCGCCCCGCCTAACAAGAGGCGCTGAAGTCGATCCACGGATGCGAATAGCGCGTCAAGTCTTCAGTAACTGGACGCGCTAAGGAGCTTTAGCTTCTGGAACAGCCCCAAAAACGCGGAATCCGTCCCGAAAGGCATTGCTTGTGCATCTCCAGCTTCGGCATCTTTTTTTCTTCCTCTTCTATATCTTTTCTACATCCATATCTAACAACGTCTACCACCGCCCCTGCCACTACACCATACTGAGAAGTATCGCCAAGATGCTCAAATCAACTCACAAGCCAGTGCAATTGGCTCCCCTGCCGCCAGGCTGGACCGAACACAAGGCCCCGACTGGCCACTCGTACTACTACAATGCCGAGACCAAAGAATCCACGTATAAACGACCCGGCCAGCTGCCTCAGCCCGCACCAGAGCCATCGAGCTCTCCATACGCTGCCGTGCCCAATCTCTCCGATCCCAACGTTGCAAATGCATACCTGGCACAGTTCAACCAGCCACCCCAGGCGCAAAGGGGCAGCTTTGGCGCTCGAGGAGGATTCGAGAACCGGCCGAAGCCTCAGCCCGTGGACAAGCCTAGGAGAAAAGAGGCTATTCCAGGGTGCGAGCCGTGGATTCTGGTGTATACAAAATACTCGCGACGCTTCGTCTACAATCCAGTCAAGAATGCGAGCTACTGGCGCATCCCCGAGAAGCTCATGCCCGCCATCCTAGAAATGGACAAGAAGAGAATACAGAACAAGACTGCAGACGAGGAAAAGGGGGATAAAGCAGAGGATGGCGAGCCCAAGGCAGAGGAGAGCAAGGCTGTTGATGAGACGCCTACTCAAGGTCCAGACTACGACAGCGATGAATATGAGGAGGTCGAGGTCACCGATGACGAGGGCCAAGGCGAAGGCTGCGACGAGGATGAGAATGAGCACCCATCGAAGCGACAGCGTACCGAGATGACGGATGAACAAGATCAAGGCCCCGTCGAATTTACAGAAGCGGACATTGCAGCCCAACTACAAGCCATGGGCGAAGATTATGGCCTCGACCCCGGAGACTACGACGATGGCAACATGGAGGACTGGCCCGAAGGCGCGGAGGGTGTGGAATTCTCTGAAGAGGACGCCAAGTTCTTGTTCCAGGATATGCTCATCGACCTCAACGTCAATCCTTACAGCTCGTGGGACAAGCTGCTAGAGGATGGCAAGATGGTCGAGGACCCGCGATACACAGCTCTCAGCACAACAAAGGCGCGAAAGGAGTGCTGGGACGAATGGACACGAGCAAGGATTGCTGAGCTTAAGGAGCAGAGGGCCAAGCAGGAGAAAAAGGACCCCAAGATTGGCTTCATGGCGTTTTTGCAGGAAAAGGCTTCCCCAAAGCTGTACTGGCCCGAGTTCAAGAGGAAATACAAAAAAGAAGATCCCATGAAGGACATGAAGTTGTCCGACAAGGACCGCGAGAAGGCGTACCGGGAACACATCAACCGTCTGAAGATGCCACAGGCTACTCTCAAATCGGATCTTACTGCCTTGCTCAGGGCGCAGCCGGTGCATCTCCTCAACAACAAGTCGCTCGCAAACGGTCTACCCGCGCAGGTCCTCACGGATCTACGGTACATTTCTCTCGAGCCAAAGATTCGCGATCCTTTGGTCGAGGCGTATGTACAGACGCTGCCACCGCCTCCTCAAGATCCCAGCTCCGCCGCGGAGGATGAAGAGCAGAAGAAAGCGCGTGAGGCAAAGGAGCGGCGGGAGAAGGCGCTAGAGGAGCGGAATCGGATGGTGGAGGAGCAGAGGAGGAGGCGGGAGAGAGACGTGGCGGCGAGCAAGGCGCGGCTGAGAGAGGAAGAGATGGAACTGGAGTTTGCCATGAGGGTTGGCAAACGGGGGCTGCAGAGCCAGTTGGCGAGCATGAGCGTGAAGCAGCAAGAAGGAGGCGAGGGGGAGCCATCATCATAGAGCCTTAGGTTGGTTCACTATGTAAATAGTTGGCGAATGACAACATGGAGAGGAAAGCACACACACACATATATACCCATGTATGTAACTATACATATACCAGGTCAAAGATGATCAAACAAATGGCCAGCCTTTTCCTGCACCTCTCGCGCCCACGCTTCAACATGTTCCGTGCCCTCGGCGCCATCCTCCGTGAGATAGACGTCCACCAGCCGCGCAGGCACCCACTCGAAGTACACATTCTTGACGGCCACGCCCTGCAATTCCATCTCCGGGCCGAGCATCCCCCTCCACCCGCGGACGAGCTCCTCGCTGTCGTTTTCCTCATGCCCCGGCGGGTCAAAGGGCAGGACCTTTTCCTTTTCCGATAGCACGACGACTTTGACGCCCGGGGAGACGTGTTTGGCGGCGAGCACGGCGGGGAGCGAGCCCGTCTTGTTGCTCACGTTGCCGGCCTTGTCGATGAGATCTGCGCCGAGGAGGAGGATGTGTGCGTCTTTGGAGGCGAGAGCGGCGCTGGCGTCTGTGTGGACGGTGATGGTGCTGCTGTTGTTGTCTTGGATGAGGGTGGATAAGTGGCGGGCTGCGCTGACGCCTTCGAAGAGAGGGCGCGATTCGAGGATGTGGATGTCGAGGGGACGAGATGCTGATGACTTGAGAATGAGGGAGAGAGATGCTGTGATTGTTGAGCTGGATGACAGAGTGACGATTTTGAGGGGCTTGTTGGGGGACACGGGGAAGGTCTGTTCGAGGAATGAGGTGAAGGCGTTTGCGATTTTGGTTCCTGATTGGTGTCTTTGCTGGGCGAATTGTTTGATTGCGGCGCAGACTTGTTGGATGAATTCCGTTGATAGAGAGCTTTCGGTGGTGAGTTGAAGATGCTTCTCGATAATGTCTAGGCTGGAGAGGACGACGCTGAGGATGGGGGCTCCCATGCTTTCTCGCCCATTCTTCCATAGATGCCATGCCGTGAAGCGGACGTTCTTCCACCACGTGTCTCGATCACTAGTATCAAGCCGGGCAATCACATCGAGGTATATCTCCAATGCTGCCGACGCCAATTGTCTCGCGCCGCTCGCATGGTCGTCTTGAAGGGCTCTCAGCCCAGCCGCCAGGACGCCCCCCGCATCCTTGCCGAGATCAATGTCAAACCACACTCTCCTCAGACTCTCCTTGAGCCGCGGCACGCCTTGGAAAGATTCTTCGTCGGTGATTTCGTCGGGGTCGAACCACTTGTATCCCTCGTGTTCCCAGTCAATCGTGATGCCTTCTTCGCCTCTTCCGCCTTCCTTGGCGGATTTCAGGATGAACGAAAAGGGATTAATGGTCCACATGCGACCAACGCTGGCGTCTGCAAAGGAATACGGTTTGCCCTGTCGGAAGAGTCGCAGGGAAGTAGATGTGAGGGTGGTTTCTTCAGCAAGTTCGCGCCAGGCTGTTGCGAGGGGAGTTGCATCTGTGGCTTCGACGCCGCCGGAGATGGGGGCGTATTTATGCCTGTTATTTGAGAAATGTCGTTAGTATGATACATTAAGCATGAGGCAAGACAATAGATCCAATCGGATGATTATAGATGGTTGAGTTGGACAAGTCATACTGATATGTGTTGACCTTGCCGCTCCTTCGAAACAGCGCCACCCGCGGCTTCTGAGAAGGATCGCCATCTGGGAACTGAAAGATGAAGCTAACGGCAACGGCACGCTTGGCAAGCTGAGCCATTTTTGCTTTATTTATATGCAAGATTGGTTGTCACATTGTGTATTGAAAAGAGTGAGTGAGTGAGGCTTTGGGGGAGATGAGATGGTTGGAGCTTATCCCTCTTTGAGGGGGGAAAGTGGCATGACATCACGCTGAAGCACCAACAGCAAGCAAAGAGCACACAAGGTTTTGTCTTTTCTGTGCGCCAAAAGATGTGTGGAATGTGAGTAAGGAGTACAAGTTGATTGTGATTTAATTGCAAGTTGAATACGCCAGATTGAGGTTACCATTCATTGGTGCACAGAAATTGTAGCTGTTGATAAATAGGTACTAAATAGGTACTAAGGTGTATAGAAATACTAAAGTGATTGTATGGATTGTATTGCATGTAAGATTGTTTGCTGACACTACAGTGGGCGCTTTGTTAGTGACTGGCGATGCTACCAGAAATTTCCCGAAATGGCCATTGACTGCACGCTTATGCACCTCCTTCAAACTGCTTTATTCATTTTTATTCATCCTTTATCCTCTGCTTTCATGCGCGCTCTATCTCATGCGCTCTGTATCTATAATTGAATGCCTTGAAAATAAAAAAAAAGAAACAAAAACCAGCCCGTTGCGGGCAGTTTGGGTATGGAATCATGATTTTCGCCTTGCACCGTCCTCGATCAGATAAACCTGCCTCGGTCAATCTCCGTCTCCCCGTCTTGTCTTCCCATCACTGCGTGAATCCACTAAACAGCCCCGTGTTGTACATGGGCGGCCACTCATCGTCCACCCAGGCCACCAGTTCGTCGTAAAGGGCATGGTCTTCGCCGATTTGCAGGAGCGGCATTGAGTAGTCCGTGGGCGTCGTCATCATCGGCGGGGCAAATCGCTGCTCAGCTAGCCGGGCATTATTCAACTCCTGAGACTGGGCCATCGAGTTCATCAACCTCTGCGCTAGAGCCCACAGATGCCGCAGAGAGTTTGACGATGTTTGGCCAAAGTTGCCGAGTCCGTCCTCTTCCAGCTCGATGCCAAACATGATGTCGCTGTTTCTTGCTTCTCTTTCCTCGTCCGACACTTCTTCATCGGATATCAGGTCCTCCAGAATAAGGCACACTGTGGCATTGAATGAAAAGTGCTGTTCTGCGTGCAGCGGCGACTTCCGGCTTATGTTGAGCGTTGCCAATTGTCGTCCGAGGCGGATGTTGCGACGCGCAGCTGCAATGCACAGCTTCAGATGCTCCGAGTGCATGCTACTAGTCTCGCCTGCCTGAACCACGAGACGCTTGGCTATCGACCTCTTGACGGCACCGAGGAACAGCGGCCGAATGGCTAGAATGAGAAGCATGTTGTACCTCATATGGAGGAGGCAGCAGGCAGGGTCGTTGCTCAGCCCTCCAGGAGAGAGCTGCAGACGAGGCGGAAGGGTTGACTGCCACTGCTGCAGCATCCAGATGGCCTTGTCTGGTTGCCTGGACAAACCTCCCCTGGATGCCTCCCACGGAGCAACGCGATACGTGTTGCAAACGACATAACCGGAAATCCGCGAAAGCTCGACGTGAGCTCTGAGTCCCGCAGCGGGCGGCATCGATCTATAACAACAAGTCAGCAAGCAACACTTATAGCAAAGTGTGTCTTTTGTTTACTACTTACGGAGCATCGGCCGGCAGCTGGATCCGGATGGCGTCGTCCATGACGATATGTGGCCGTCCCATCAGACAGCTCAACCACCGGTCCAGGATATATACGGTCCAGAATACCCGCTTGCCTCTTTCGTCAACGAGTCCCCTATGAACGCCCAACATGATGCATATATGCATGGCCGCCGCGACATGCATATAGGCAGCATCTCTTCTATCCATCTCGATCAGATATGCCGCCATGAGACAAAGCGTGGCAACATCGCCAATTGTGCAGCAACGTGTTACATCTAGGGGGTTGCCCACGAGCACGGCCGCACGTGCAAAGTACGCTTCGCTAATTGAGGGCGTCGACGGACTGTTGAGCACCTCCTTTGATGAGGTGCCGGCTCGGACAATGTTGGCCATGGCGGCGTGGTAGAATGCCAAGTAGCGAAACTCGTTCATGTCCGCATCCGAGGCGGATGGAGAAGAGGCAGGCTGAGTGGGAAGAACGTCGAGCTCTCCAAACCAGTAGATGCCGCCGCTTGGCCATTCGCCATTTCCGTCCTGGATCAGATGTCTGAGCTTGGACAGTAGAGTGGCAAGGTCCTCACTGGAGGGCAGAGATATTGGCTTGGAGTCTCTCTCAATCAATGGACGAGAGTCGGCAGTGTAGTATTTTCCCAGGCTGGACAAGAAGGCACTGCCATCCTGCTCCCGAGATAGCTGCTGCGGCTCTACTTGAGTGAGGGGTAGCACAGCCCCAAGGAGCTCCTTTAGGTGGTCAAGGAACGTAGCACCGCTGGTCTCTCCGAGGTAACGCGCCGTGCCATCGGGATCCTGGAGAAGGCGGCCAGGTGTCTGCTCATCTTCAGGCTCAGCCTTGACCGAGGGAACGCCATGGTGAAGATTGCTGCCCTCCGAAGGAAAGGACTGGGTGGGGCTGAAGGCGCTCGGAGATGGCGACAGGCCCTCTGGCGTGGCAGAGGCGTGGCTGATGAGCTCCTGTCTCCTGGAGGGGTCTGGAATCGCCTCCTGAAGCGCCCGCTCATAGAGGTCAACCCTCCTCCGCAGCTCTTCCAGCTCGGCGCGCGGGACGTTGACTTTCTCGACCGGGACGGGATAGACGCATTCGCGGTTGGAAGCAGAGCACTGTCCACAGGGAGTTCCGCCAGAGCACTTGACTCGACGAACATTGCAGCTGTTGCATCTGGGCTGGGTTAGTAAAGGCTCTGGAGCTCAGGAGAGAGGCTGAAATACGCAGTGGCAACTCGTTTGCGCTGCTCAGGGGCAACTTTATGACGACGAGGGTTGACGGGCAACCGCTGGTTTGTCGAGGGCCGCCTGCCATCGCCGCTGTCGAGCTGCATTGTTGGTAACGGTAATGATGGCAGCGTCAGGAGAGGAGAGGGAGAGGGGAATGTTCTGGAGCCAGCCAGGAAGCTTGTGTGAGCCATTCATCAAAACAACAGGCAATACTCTGTCTTTGTAGTCGAGCCGCAGAGGCTTGTGGGCCAGACCGCGGCCCGCGATGCAGTACGTGGGACGTACGTGGGACGTACGTATGTGCGCTTGTCGATTCGGTCAATCACAATCACGACAGCCTCACGAGGGGGATGGACAGTCAAGGTCAAGGGAGCACTCGAGCAGCCAGGATGGACGACAGACCCGCCCGTCGTCGCATCCGGCCAGGAGATTCGTCGACGGTATCTCGATGGGCGGCTTGTCAGATCGGCCGACTAGATGGTTGATTCATAGCGCCTCAGAGCCCGTCACCGCCCACACCAGAGCCCACGCCAGAGCCGGACCTGTGTCTCATCGTCATGGCTCGTGGGATGCGAAAGCCGCGACTTCGCGAGGCTGGGGTCCTGGTTCTTTTGATCTGATCTTGGCTTTGCTCGTCGTTGACGCCGAGCGCGGGGAGAGGCTAAAAAGTGGGTGAAGGGAACAGGATCCGGTGCTAGCGATATAGTGCGTAAGCTTGAGTTGTTTAGTGCCAACAGGGCCTTTTGGGAGCAGTGAGTGAGTGAGTGGCAGCAGAATTCAGTGGCACTTGGATTCACAAGGGAGCACCTGATGGGCTATGCTGGATTTTGCTGGCTATCAATGGCTTTCGGGGAGATGGAAACACTATGTATGGACATCTATAGGTACATGGCTCTTAGCACTGCCTTGGTAGGCAACTATTGGTACTACCTACTACTCCATACTGTTACTGACAATACAAACAAACAAATAAACAAACAAAACAAAGCAGCCTGAAGCATCACCACCCGCATTGAGCCCGCCAAGGTATTTTTGGATTCCAACAATCAACTGCCCTGCACTCACAAAAGGTCTAGCTGCACCCTGTGGAATCTTCCGATAGGGCTCAGCTTCTGTGCAGGGTGTCGTCACAGCGGCTGCCCCCCACCCAGGCCACTGCCTATCGGAGAACTCCAGGGCTCCTCTTGGGCCTCAACGGGGCTCCATCTGTTCGTGCTCTGGTCCGAGAGCCGTCAATATTTGCACTAATAGCATCTGATTCCAGTCCGTATTCGAGCATTGCCTGAGCCCAAAAGAGCTGAGTGCTACGTCCCCTCTGACAGGGGGGTGCTTCTCCTAGCGGATTCCATGACTCCTCCAAACCGCCCGCTGACGAATGCCTCTGTCCAGCTACGCAAGTGTCTTCGCGGCCTCGCCAGCATGCCTCTGACCAACCTGCCCCAATTGAGGCTCGGAATGGAGCAGAGGTGCACGAGTTTTACAGGTTTCCGCTTTTGGAATACAATCGCCAGACAGCTGTCAGGTACCGTCTCATGCGATCAATAAGGGTTCTGCGGGAAGAGCACAGCCTCGGATCTTGCATGGACTAAGCACGGAAATCTGTACTCAGCCACTGCTGGGCAGAGTGCTAATGTATTGACAGCAAGAGAAGGCAGCATTATTCACAAGCACACATATAATAGGGCACTACTCGTCCTGCTGCTTGCCGTCTGAATGGGACAGTTTGCGACAATTTCTCTGCTTCACGGCCTGTCTTTTCCTCCGCGTCGTCTTTTTGTCGCTGTTTATTTTGTCAGCTGCCAACGCAAGGGCACGGCGGAATTACGTCTCCCAGATGGGCGCTCGCGTCACCATGCAGCCAAGCATCCACCATATTGCGCGTCCATTTCGGCCATCGTCCTTGATTACGGCCATTCCAATCACGTTTTTTCGCTCTTCGAAACTCCGCGGACAGCGCTCTCCCTCTCTCTCTCTCGCAGCTCCAGAAAAAGAAACGCATGACAAAGACGAAAGACGAACCCTATTTGCTGTCAAGTTAGCCGAAGCTTCAAAACCACAGACTCGGCGCTAGATTTGTGCCATTTTTCTTCAGCAGCCAACCGCTGACGGCGTTGGATGGCATCGGCTCGGAACGCCACTAGAATGATGTTGCCATCAGCCAGGCGGCGTTTTCATTTTTTCCCACTGGTGGACAAAGCAAATACAGCAATGGGATATGCATTTTCTCGGTAGGTATTTGTTATATCAGCAGCGTCTGAGTTTGAGTGTAGTTCAGGTGTAGTATACGGAGTAATAGCTGTACAATTCCAGCACGTGCATGTACTTCTGCTGGCTACTGGGCATCTGCAGACCATGGAGTACCTTGGTTTGTACTACTAGGTAAGGTCATGTAAGCAAGCTCGTGTCTGGCGCCAAGAGAACTAAAGTGTCAGTTGAAAGGAAGCTGCCACCACCCGAGGAGCAAGCACCTACCAAGAGATGCTTATCTAGATCACAAGTTTCATTGTGGCAAACATTTTCAGATCAGATCTCTCTCTCTTTCTATCTACCTACTAATTATTTGAAATTCATCCAACATTTACTCAAGCGCGCAATACAGCAATGTTCAATTTCATTCAATCTAATCAAGCCGTTGATAAGTATGCCTTGTTTGCCGTTGACACGCTTCAACTCCGCCCCTACCCTGGAATTGGAGCGAAAAATCCTCTCGCTCGCGCTCTGAAAACCTCATCGCCGACTATTACAAAGATGATAAAAAAGGATTTTTTTTATTGCTGTTTTTGTAAATGACAAGTTATGCTCTCTACATGGGGGATGTGTTGCTAATAAATCGCAGCCTACCGTCGCAAAATGATTTGACGCCTCCATAAAAAGACTCTCAGCTCGCCGCAACGTCAACCACTACTCTACATCTTTCAAACATCACCTCGACTCTTGATATATCCAAGGCCATTCTTGTGGGTATCTGACTTGTTCCGCACTCGCTACCGCTTTTCATCCATCATTGGCTACTGGGAAAGATGGAGTTTACAATCTCTGCCGATCTAGTTGCCAGCACTGATAGGAGAGTGTCGCTCAACTGTTTGCCGTTAGCACTATTTCTTCACCATTGGTAGACTCAACTTACCCCATGAGTGCCTTCACAGCATCCCTGAAGCCATATGCCAGACTCCTTTGACACTGATCCGGGCTTGAACTTGACTTGGTAGTCTCGGCCGACTGCCATCTTGCGCTCTCCCTGGTCTGTCTCGACCTTCCATCCAGTAATTCCCTTGTTATACTCTTGGCCAATCGGTGAGGCCTTGGGCAGCATATTCCAAGTATCACGGAGCATCTCGACATGCGCATTGCGCTGGTAGCCCGTGGCAGCAATGAGCAGATCCACTTCAAGAGTCTCTTCGTCGACAAGGTCGACAAACCCTTCAAACTCGCTATCTGTAACGTGCTGCACCTTAAGCTCTAGGGAATCTCCCCGTGGCTCAATGCTAGTGATTTGACGGCCGCCCATGATTCTATGAGGCCACTTTTTCTCGTCTGTTCCAAGGTCTCGCTTTTGGTCGTACTGACGCTCATACATCTCCTCAATGAGATTCAATCTGACAACGCCATAGTTGGTAGCCCGAGCCTCAGCCAAGAAGTTGTTGCGATGTCTTGCTGACTTGGGGAAGAGGGTGTCAATGTATTCGGGGTTGAAGACTGAGTTGACACTGCGCACCACGTTAGCATTTGGTCCTGCATTTGGGCCGTGGCAAACTTACAAAGGAGAGTCATCACTGGGCTTCAGGAATTCGGGGCGCATCACCAGCGCTGTCTTTGAATTTGGATATAGCGTCTGGATGTTGTGGAAGATCTCTGCAGCGCTCTGACCCGCACCGAGAACGGCTACACGATAGGGAGCGTCCTTCTTGGAAAGGATTTGTGGAACCATGTAGGCATATTGGGAGGAATGAATGATTCTGGGATGCTTGGAGGGGAAGCTCTTTGGAAAGTTTGGCTGTCCACCAGCGGCGATAAGAACGTTGCGACCTCGGAAAGAAAGCGTCTCACCGGTCTTTGGGTTTCGCGACCGGACCGCAAATGTGCGGACTGAGTCTCCCTTCTTCAACTCGGGAGAGACAGACACCACCTCTTGGCCATACTGAACCAAGTGCTCGAAATATGAAGCACACCAGCGGAGATAATCTTCGTACTCTACGCGAGCTGGCAGGAAGGTACCCAGGTTGGTAAAGTCTACCAGTCGTCCATTGCGGTGCAGATAGTTGAGAAACGTAAACTCTGACCGCGGATCCCGCAACGAGGCCAGATCCTTGATGAAGGAAATCTGCATCTTTGCACCGGGGAGAAGCATACCAGCATGCCAGGCAAAGCGAGTCTGCTTCTCGATGAACAGCACCTTGGGAGATGAGCCACCGGGGAGAAGCTGCTGCCCTGAAGCCACCGCATCATGAAGAGCGACAGCTACGGCGAGACTAGCAGGGCCAAATCCGACGCAGATGAGGTCAAACTCGGAATCCGAGGGCGATTGAGCTAGATAGGGCGACTTATTCTTGTGCATCTTGCTCCCTGACTGGTGTCCGTTGGTCAACGGCGCGGGGCTTCTGCTGTTCTGCTCGGTCGAACCAATGATGTATGGCGAGGAGCTGTCAAAGCCGACGTGGTGAGCTTGCTCGCTACCATTTGGCGTGGCTGGCTCACTGCCGTTCGGGGTCCCCAGATCGTTGAGGGTGATTTCACTGTGGGGGGACATGGTGACGTAGAAAGAGGTAATGGTTCCGCTTTGGGTGAAAGAATGGTGACGTTTTTGGTGAAGACGGACGGTGATTGAGCAGCGCTTCCGTCGAGTGATGGAAGAAGAGCAAGAAGAAAAGGTTAAATTCAAAGGGAGAAAAAAAAATGAAAATAGGGAGAGAAGGAGAGCCAATCTATGAGCTCTATCGACTTGCTCTCTTGAGTTGCGTGCTGTATGCCCTAAGAGAATATACACAGACGGCTCAGCAAGCAAGCTGTCAGTGGTGGCTATTTGTCTTACGACGCTAGGGCAGAGCTGCTGGAAAGCTTGTGAAAGTGGGAGGGGCTGTCCAAGTCGCTCAGCCGTGGGATGGGCCGGGAATTATACTCGCACACACGGGTGCCTGGCTCGAGGAACAGGCTTTTAGTCTCGCCTATATCAACTCGGATTCCGTTCTGGAGAGTCGCAGGAGACCCGAGACCAGCCGCCCAATGGAGTCTTGGAGCGGAGAAGCACACATGAACATGGTCCAATGCCGGCCAAGCTGCGCTCCGTACACAGTGTAGCTTGGAAGCTAGTGCCAGCAGGCATGTACAAATCATGGCTGCATGGGCCCATTCGACACCCTGTACAGCTCGACGGTGGGATGGTTTCTGTGACTACCACTGGTGCATGGGCCGTCTTGATCATCACGGCAGTTTGTCCCTTGTCAACCGGATCTCTCGTTGCGTAACTAGACCGGGGGATGGCTTCAAGCCCATCGGTGATACGTTCGCTGAATACAATGCCCTGGTTATGGTGGTCTAACATTGTGCCTTTGGGGAATCAATTCAGTCCGTAGCTGTCTTCAATGGACAGTAGATGCTCGCCCTGTCCCTCGGACTCGTTCAATCCACAACAGGCCGATAGCTCGTCTCTCCAGTGCAAATCTGGACCTTCTTAAACGAGCTTTAAGGAAATTCCGTCTCTTCTTGGCAACTATAGCGTGGGCTGATGCAATTTTGCTTTACAGGCCTTGCCATGCTGGCTCGGGTTTTCATGAGGCGATCAAAACTCGATGAACCAATCCAATGGCTTGAACCCTCCGCATAAAGGCCGATCTATGGACCGATGGCAAGTTTGCGACAACCGTGATTCATTTAAAATTAACCTCGTTTAGGCTTTCAGTGGGTGAAGCGGCTGCGAGCACGGAGGCAAGCCCCATAAGAACAAAGCGTGGTGGAGATTTGATTGAGGGAATTATCTGATCATCTGATAAAAACCGGATCAGATAAGATCAAGGCCCGTGGTTGGATCCGCATTCATCCGTCGCAATCCCAGAGCCCTGAGCCGGTGCTGTGGGAAAATTTTTTCATCTTCCTTCAACAGGCCCTTTGATCATCAAGAGCCGTTTTCACGAATTTTTCCTCTTAGTACGCCCCTCACTGCTCCGCCGAGGACCAAGTGAATCACCGCCCGTCACACTCGGGAACGCAGTGCTCTCCCCTTGCAGGGACTTGGCACTTTGCACATATCCGAACGACACAAAACAGGGCACGCAATCGTCCAAAAGAGGGGGATCGTTTCATTGCCTTTGCAAGTTGGAAAACACCGAGCCCCACATGAGTACTTTATGAAGACGGGCTACAGAGGATTCTCTCGGCTTGCTGGAGAATTCGAAGCCTCCAACGAGCCGATCGCTGGTAAACGCCTCGCTAGTGGTTGCTCATGTCAGACAAGGCGGCCGCCCCTCTTCGGGCTGTGTCACCCAAAGTGAGTTGAGTGCCTGGTTTTGGCCCTGGTTTGGCCTTATTAACATGGGAGACTCCCTTCTGGCTGTTATGCGATCGATGCCTTTGCCTGTGACGCTACCGTTTTGCTCTCCCACTTTCACACACACATCCTTCCTCATCCTCTCATCCTTGTTTGTACATGATCCGATTCAGTACCCGTGACGCCATCGTTACCCTTTGGAAACGAAACCTAACCTTCAAGCTAAGCGAAGCATAACGCGCGTTGCGTGTGGTAGCCGAACTCCGGGCCCTGCTTGCAATAAGGCTAAAGCTGCATGGTAAAGAACTATTCGGACGAACTATATCAACCGATATTTCCCACCTGCGCAGCAGCGTGACAGCGAGCGGCTACGACAGTGTCTCAAACTGACGATTCGATTGGTGGTTGGTGCCTCTCCTTACGCCTCGCTGATTAATTGCGCTCCTCTGAGAGGCCCGTTTCTGCCCCAGCTCATGCACGATTTAGACGCAGTGCCGTCGACGCAGGAATCACGAGCCCCGAAAGCCTCATCGGCGAATCATCGACATGCCAATTCAGCAGTAACTTGTCTCATACGCTCGGATTTGGGCTTTTACATGTCGCGTGGTTCAATCTTGGCTAAATGGCGCGCGGGCAGTGCATTCGAGTGACCAACGACCGTGAGGCTATTTCGCATATGGGTCGACGTGATGCAAACATTTTCTCGTAGGTAGATCGCGCCTTGATGCCTCCAAGGGCTTTATGGCTGTGATTTGATTGTGGAAATCAGCACTTGGTTGGTAAAAGTGCCTATTTTGGTCAGGGTTTTCTGACAGTCTTTGCAAACCACACATACACACGCACAAACGCACGCACACACACACACACACACACGAAACGGTGCAACGATGGAGGCGCCCGCTGACTTATCTGTGCTTAACCCACATCCAACTCTATTACCCGGTCCGGACCTACTGCATCACCTTATCAGGGAACCGGACGATTCAATAGCCCTGGACTATACCGGCAGGAATAAGCGCGTATCATTATCCTATCGTCAGCTCCATGATGCTGCAGATGCCCTAGCAAGCAGGATATGTCGTGCATTTGGTGAAACCAAAGATCAGTTTGTGGTTCCAGTTCTGGTTCACCAGTCGCCACACTTATACATAGCCTTGTTAGCTATTCTAAAGGCTGGAGGTGCATTCTGCCCGCTCAATGTGGATGCTCCTCCGGACCGAGTCAACTTCATTTTTAACGATGTTTCCGCGGCCGTTGTCGTGGCATCCGCGGAGCTGGCCTCCCGTATACCTCCACAAAGCGCCGTAAAGGTGCTTTTAGTTGATGAAGACGAAGAAGAGAAATCCCTGGATATAGAACCCGCCAACTGTCGTGCTCCTAGCACAAAGGATTTGGCATATGTCATGTATACATCTGGATCAACTGGAGTTCCAAAGGGCGTTGGTATATCCCACTCTGCTGTAACACAGGCATTGCTAGCCCATAATCAGCATGTGCCGACATTTTCTCGTTTCCTCCAGTTTGCTGCTCCAACATTTGATGTCTCCGTGTTCGAGATCTTCTTTCCGTTGTTTCGTGGAAGCACATTGATCAGTGTCGATCGAAAGGAGATGCTGAACGATCTGCCAGAAGTCATCTCGTCGATGGGCGTGGATGCTTGCGAGTTGACACCAACTGTGGCAGCTAGTCTGTTACGGAAAAGAGAAAATGTTCCGACACTACAGTTGCTGTTGACCATTGGTGAGATGCTCAATGAGCCTGTAATACGGGAATTTGGCGGAAGCCAAGATAGGGAGAGTATACTGTGGGCCATGTACGGACCAACAGAAGCCACGATTCACTGGTAAGTGCATTGTGAAAAGTCCATCTCTGAGTTGGTGATATCTAACGAGCCCCATAGTACCGTACAGGAAGCGTTCTCCTCCACATCTTCAATAAAAAACATTGGCGTGCAGCTACCCACCGTATCATGCTTTATAATTGAGCCTGCAGAAACTGCAGAGGCGAGTAGAAACGCCAAGATTCTCCCCAAAGGAGAAATCGGAGAGCTTGCAGTTGGAGGCTACCAGCTTGCCGATGGATATCTCAACCGACAAGAGCAAACGGCTTCCTCTTTTATACCTTCGCCCTATGGCTTAATCTACCGGACCGGAGACAAAGCACGCATAAGTAGCGATGGGACCATAGAGATTTATGGACGCTTATCCGAGGGCCAAGTAAAGCTTCGAGGTCAGCGGCTTGAGCTGGGGGAAGTTCAGTCTGCTGTATTAAAAACTCCTGGATGCCACTTGGCCGTTGGGGCTGTGATTGACTCCATCCTGGTTGTATTCTGTGTTGCGGATACTGGAGTCACGGAAGACTTGATCATGAACCAGTGTCGAAGCTGGCTTCCGCAGTTCATGATGCCGGGAGAACTGGTGTTAATGGATGAGTTCCCTCGGTTGCCGAGTGGTAAAGTCGATACCAAAAGGCTGAAAGCGGAATTCATTGAGCAAAAAGCTGCTGGAAGAGGCCAGAGCGATTCCTCGATTGCCTTGTCCGACACAGAGAAGACCATCCTGCGTGTCATATCGGATACCCTGGGAGCTGAAGCAAATTATGATATGACCCTAGCTTCCGCGGGAATTGATTCTCTCGTTGCAATCAAGTTGGCATCATCGCTTCGTTCGTCAGGATTTAGCGTGAGTGTTGCGGAGCTGTTGAGCATGCAGACAATAGCACAGCTATGCTCTGCAGTACGGCCTCTTTCATCTCTTACTCATTATGAAGCTTCATTAATTGATATCCATCTGATGGACAATTTGGATTCAATTGCAGAAAGCAATGCTGCTCTACAAAAGGACTTGGAGCTTGTCGAGGATGTGCTACAGTGCAGCCCTCTCCAAGTTGCAATGCTATCAGAGACGGTACAGCGTCTGGAAGCTTACTGGAACGAGATAGAACTTGAGGCAAATCCTGGAATTACTGCGACAGAAATACAAGACGCGTTTCACCTTCTTGCGCGGCAAAGGGATATCTTGAGAGCAGGCTTTGTCAATTGGCAAGGAAGTTTTGTATCACCAATATTCAAATCACTGCGATCTGACCAAATAGAAGTCGTCGAGGAGTTTCACCAACTGGAGCTATCTGGAGACGAAACGCTGCTTCGGCCGCTTCGAATACAGATTCAGCAGGCGAGATCTGATGCAGGCCCTCGCCTTTTGATTAATATCCATCATGCCATTTACGATGGCTGGTCCATGGATATCATACTATCAGATCTAAGTACTGTATTATATGGAAGACCATTGCCTCCCCGGCCGCAGTTTTCAAATCTCCTTGCATATACCAGCAATATCCCGCGAGATCAAATGGACAGCGCAAGGGCATTTTGGGCTGAATATCTCGTTGACTGGAATAAACCAAGTCGTCCAAAGTTGAGTGCTCGGCCAGCTGAATTTGATGAAACTTTAGTTGTAAAGACACAACTTGATATCCCCGCAGAGGCCGCTCAAGAAGTCTTTACGAACACGAGATATGGCGCCCAAGTCTATTTTCAAGCGGCCCTGGCGATCATTTGGGGTAGTATGGTGGGTACGTCAGATGTCCTTTTAGGTTCAGTGACATCTGGCCGAACTATTCCGGTTGAAGACGTTGAGGAGATTGTTGGACCAAGTATTGCGTCGCTTCCTCTACGAGTGGGTATCGATAACTCTGCTACGATGTCTGATGTCTTGCGGAATATCAACGAGAGCAATCGGAAAATCATGGAGCATTGCCTATTACCACTGTCAGAAATTAAGAAGCTCTCAAGTCTACAGGTGACCGAAAGCCTATATGACGTACTATTCGTTTACCAAGAATCCTTGTATACGAAGAATCGTAAGGAGGCGGCTATTAGAGAAACTCGGCACTTGGATCACCTGGAAACAAAACTATTGTTGGAGGTGGAGCCGAATGATGCCGGATTCTCGATGCAGGCTACGTATCACACGGAATGGTTTCCGTCAGAAATGGTCGAGATATTGGTTGAGCAAGTTAAGGCAGCTTTTCAGCACATCATTCAGTATCCTGATGGGTTAATTCGGACGGCAAAAGATGCCATTGCAACCGAGGCATCTGTTGCAAACACAAATCCTGAGAAACTACAAGACGAAGTCGACCTCGCTACTTTATTCGAGGCTGCGGCTGCAAAAACCCCAGATGCGGATGCCATTTGTTTTAGTAAATTGCTCTCAGAAGTCCCTATAATTGCGGATACGATGTCATACGAATCCCTAAATCACCTCTCCAACCGGATTGCTCGTTTCTTGCTTGAGCAAGGGGCCGAACCTGGTCAGGTTATTGCAATCGTCATGCAAAAGTCACCCCTTCTCTACGCCTCAATTCTTGGAATCGTCAAGGCTAGATGCGCATACTTGCCTCTTCTTCCATCCACACCAATCGAAAGGGTGGAAGATATCTTTAAATCAGGAAGCATTGAACGTTGTGTGGTAGATAAGGACTCTATACAATCGTTTCAAGGTGTCACTGATGTACAGTTCTTGGATGTCGAATCGGCTTCGTTAGATGGCTTTGCAAACAATAACCTGGACATACCAATGGACATGTCGAGGCTGGCCTATGTGATTTACACCTCAGGGACTACAGGAGTACCAAAAGGTGTCGCTGTGAGCCAGAAGAATATTGTCAACAACGTTACATACCTTGCATCTGTATATCCCAGCGCTCAGAGAAATCCTGCTCGGCTATTACAAGCTTGTTCGCAGGCATTTGACGTATCTGTCTTTGAGATTTTCTTTGCTTGGCACGCTGGCATGTGCCTTTGTGCCGCTGCCAATGATGACTTGTTCGAAGACCTAGAGCATTCGATTCGCCAGTTCCAGATCACACATCTTAGTTTGACACCTACAGTGGCATCCTTGATTGACCCCAAGAATGTGCCCAACGTTGAGTTTCTGGTTACGGCAGGAGAACCCATGACTCTATCGGTTCTTGATACTTGGGGAGAATTACTGTGGCAAGGATATGGGCCATCAGAGACGACGAATATTTGCAGCGTCAAGAGAATGAAGCCGGGCGAGTATATCGAGCACCTTGGCTGGTGCTTCTCTAATACATCAATTTTCGTGCTTTCTCCGGACGGCCTTTCAACTGTTCCGATCGGTTGGATAGGCGAATTCTGCTTTGGGGGAGAGCAGGTCGCCGATGGCTATCTCAATATGCCCGACTTGACGGCGGAAAAGTTTATCAATCACCCGGATTATGGCCTCATTTATCGTTCTGGTGATATGGGCAGGATGCTTCCAGACAAGTCGCTTCTTATTCTCGGTCGTATCGACGATCAACTTAAGCTCAAAGGCCAACGAATTGAAGCTGGCGAAGTCAACAGCGTGATAACTTCGGATCCCTCAATACATGCTGCAGTAACCACGTTGGTTAGACGAGAAAGCGGCGCGACTAATCAGCTTGCTTCATTCTATACGTTTTCCCAGGGAGCAGTCGACGAAGTGTTACAGACATTAGATCCCGATGCCGAATCTCATCGTTCTTTATATGCCACCCTGATATCAAAGTTACCGTCATACATGGTGCCTTCCTATCTGATACCAGTCTCTCGAATACCCCTTACATCTAGCGGCAAAGTTGACCGGCGGAAACTACAGTCTTGTTTTGAGGCGCTGTCTCAGGAATATCTTGAAAGTGTGTCCAGTACTGTAACGATGCAAGACGATGCTGAGTGGAGCAAGGCGGAAATAATGATAGCGGAGGCCATTGCACGGTCTTTAAATGTGTCCCGATCTGACATTGGTCGTTGGACGCCATTTGCAACCATCGGCTTGGACTCTATATCTGCGATTGGTGTTTCTCGCAACCTCAATTCTCAACTGGGGTATCGGGTTCCTATTTCGGCGATTTTGCAGCACTCTTCTGTCGCACAACTTGCGCGCTTTCTCCAAGAGCGTTCGGAGAGAGATGGCCCAGTAAAAGATGTTGTCTTCTTTTCTGACTCCTTCATTCACGGGGTCCACGAAACTTTTGAACAAGCGCCGTATTCTATCACTGGGATCTTGCCGTGCTCTCCCCTGCAAGAAGCAATGTTGTCACAGGGCAGCTATTATAACAGAATTCTTCTGCGCCTTCATCGTCCTGTTGACGAGATGAAAGGCTACTGGGATGAGATGACGAGGCGGCATAGTATTCTCAGAACCTGCTTTATCACTACTGATAGTGTTCAATTTCCAATTGCGCAAGTAGTTCTGGATAATTGGACGATTCAGTGGAAGGAGTTTGCCGTTACTACAGCTTCTCTCGATGAAGCTGCCCACCAACATGTAATCTGTCTATCTGACCCCCTGGATACAAAAGTACCACCTCTATCGTTTGCCATTATACAACAAGAAGACTCGATATTCTTATCTTTTATATGCCACCATGCCCTATATGATGGAGTAGCGATGGAGAATCTCTGGAGAGAAGTTGAAGCGCTGGCACATGGCGAAGCGTTACCCCCGCCTGTCTCTTACACACCTTTTCTACAAGCGGCACTCAGTTTACCTGATGATGTTGAGAAATTCTGGAGCAATCATTTCCGAGGGTATGATCCTTTAAATCTATTCATGCAGCCTTCGGGAAGCCAGATTGTTCAATGCGCACATCGGGAAACCCTAGATGTATCATATGGTGAGATCAAAACCCGACTGAGATCCCTTGGAGTATCTTTACTCTCCATATGTCAGGCAGCATGGGCAACTACTCTTTCAGTTTGTTCAACTTCAACTGACGTCTGTTTTGGACTCGTTATGAATGGTCGCACATTGGACATTGAAGGTCTCGATAGATTGGTTGCCCCTTGCTTCAACACGATTCCTGTGAGAAAAGATGTTTCCACCTCTTCTCGTAACATTGATCTTGCCAAGTCGTTTCAGCGCCTTAATTCTGATGTTCAAAGCTATCAATTCTCGCCTCTAAGATTGATCCAGAAACTCGGCACAAAAGAGGGCCGCAGGCTTTTTGATACGTTGCTGTTGCTTCAGAGCCCCTTGCAAGACATGGATTCTGGAATATGGACACTTGAAGCAGATGATGGAGAAATGGATATTCCAGTTGTCTGCGAAGTTATTCCGCATTCTAGCTTGAACGCCATTGCCATCAATATGCATTATGACAAGAGTGCTCTTAGTGAGGATATCGCATTAGCGCTTGCTGAGATTTTCAAAAGCTTCTTCCAAACTATCCTGGACCATCCTTCGTCCGCTCTACCTGACAGAAGCCATCTTCAACCTGCTCAATTATCCGTTCTAAATACTGTTACCGCGAAAAAGAATACACTCGCAGCATCAGAGAAACCTCAGATTAGCGACGCGGAATGGACGGAGCCTGAGAAAAAGATTCGCCAAGTCCTTTCGAGTCTCTCGGGAACATCAATCCAGAAGATCCATCCTGAAACAAGCATATTCCAGCTGGGGTTAGACAGTATCAACGCAGTTCAGGTGGCTGCCATGCTTCGACGAGAAGGATTTGTGGTGTCTGCCTCCGATGTCATTGAGTGCCAAAATTGTACCAGATTGGCACAGAGGATATCACAGACATCCGAGGATAGCGAGACAACACCTGGATATAACTTTGAAAAATTCTCCAAGGAGATATCGGCTCAGATCGCAGATAAGGCACTTGATGCTACAGACATAGAGGCAGTCCTTCCAAGCACCCCGCTTCAGTGTGCAATGCTGGTGTCGTTCATCCAGTCTCAAGGCCAGAATTACCTCAATCTTTTATCATATGCAGTTGATAATATCGTCTTAAAGGATGACTTGATTGCGGCTTGGAAGGCTCTCCAAGTCCATCATCCTATGCTTCGGACGGGATTCGCTGCAGTCCAGCATCAGTATAGCTCGTTCGCCATGTTGAGATACTCATCTTCATCAGATTCTACTGAGTCATTCAAGCATATATTCCATATGGAATCACAAGATGACTTGCAAGAGTGGAAGGAAAAGGAAGCAGCGACAATACTAAATAATCTCCATATTCCACCCTGGAGGGTTTCTCTGGCCGATATTAATGGTGGAATCATGATGAACATTCTTATTCATCATGCTCTCTATGATGCGCGTTCACTCGACCAGATGATGGGTGACCTATCTACACTTTTGAGTGGCCAAGATATCGCTCACATCCGACCTATTGAGCCCGCACTGAATGAAATCCTATCTAGAAGCCTCAGTGACCGAAGTACGGCGCAAGAGTTCTGGACGGAGAAGGCGGAAATGGCAGTGGTGAACACTTTTCCGGTCATGACACCCCTCCGAGAGGATGAGAGAACTATGCTTTCGTTTGAAATCAGATCCTCAGCGACACTTTCATCCCTGCAAATGGCGACCATGAAACAAGGTGTTTCCATCCAGGCCATCATCCAGGCTGCATGGACAAGAATTCTGTCTTCGTATTTGGGAGAAGAATCTGTCGTGTTTGGCGTGATTCTATCTGGCCGCTCTATGGACGAGACAAAAGATGCGCCGTTTCCTTGTATGAATACCATTCCCGTTATTGCAGTGAATCAGCCATCAAATACCGAGTTGACTCGATATATGATGGAATATAACGCCGACGCACATAGGCATCAGCACACTCCTCTAACGCAGATACAAAAATGGCTGGGTCATCCTGCGACACCTGTGTTTGATACACTTCTAGTTTATCAGAAATTGGAGACAGAGTCTAATATCACAAAGCGCTGGAGGCTCGTGAATGATGATGCAACTGTCGACTATCCAGTATCGCTTGAGGTTAAGCCAATGGATAATGGTGAAATCCAGCTCTGTATCACATTTTTCAGTGATATACTGCCAATAGAGCAAGCAGAGTTGCTAGTCAGACAATTTGACGCAATGATGATTCACATTGCTACTGAGCCTGATGGCGACGAGGATGGCATCTATCAATCGAAGCCTGATCTTTTTGCGATAACACCTCCCTTTTCACCAGAGCTACATGCACCTGTACAATTCTTACATCATTTCGTGGAACAAAGGGCGGTGTCTCATCCGAATGACACTGCTCTAGAGTTTGTTGGCAAATTCGAAGGATCCCGTCCGGTGAAGCAGGTGTGGACGTACGCTGAATTCGACGCGATGGGTGATAAGTTGGCCAACTTGCTGAGCGACGTTGCTGCCATAGGGAGTATCGTCGCGATTCACTTTGACAAGTGTCCAGAGGCGTATATCTCTATTCTTGGAATTCTCAAGGCTGGATGTGCCTTTGTAGCGCTTGACCCAAGCGCGCCCAAAGACAGAAAGGAGTTTATTCTCAAAGACTCCTTGGCGCCTTGTTTGCTGACGACGTCTGAAGGAAACATTGACTTTGATACGGATGTGAAGGTTATTCGTATTGACCTTGAGTCTGTGAAATTGTTATCTTCCGAGAAACGTAACCTGGGTGCTAATTTTACACCTGATGCGACGTGTTATTGTCTGTATACATCCGGCACGACAGGAACACCAAAGGGATGTGAAATCACACACGACAATTGTGTGCAGGCTATGATGGCCTTTCAAGAGCTGTTCAAAGGGCATTGGAGCGACGACTCTAGATGGCTGCAGTTTGCAGCTCTTCATTTCGACGTCTCAGTGTTGGAGCAATATTGGAGTTGGTCGGTTGGCATCACGGTTGTTGCGGCTCCAAGAGATCTCATTCTCGATGACTTGATTGCATCCATCAACAACCTTGAAATTACACACATTGATCTGACACCGAGTTTGGCTCGTCTTACTCATCCAGACGAGGTGCCGGGTTTATGTAAAGGTGTGTTTATTACTGGTGGTGAACAGCTCAAGCAAGAAATCTTGGATGCCTGGGGACCGAAAGCTGTTATATACAATGCCTACGGCCCGACAGAGGCGACGATTGGTGTGACCATGTACCAAAGAGTGCCCATTAATGGAAGACCGAGCAATATTGGAAAACAGTTTCTCAACGTGGGATCCTACGTTTTCCGCAATGGAACCGAGATCCCAGTGCTGCGAGGTGCTGTTGGAGAACTCTGCGTTTCTGGAAGATTGGTTGGCAAAGGATACCTCAATCGCGAGGAACTTACTAAAGAGAGATTTCCGACGCTTTCAGAATTCGGAGAAAAGATCTATCGAACCGGCGATCTTGTTCGTATTCTTCATGATGGCTGCTTTGACTTTCTCGGTCGTGCGGATGATCAAGTTAAGCTTCGTGGACAGCGTTTGGAGATTGGCGAGATTAACCATGTCATTCGTACGGGTGCCTCAGAGATTAAAGATGTCGCGACAATTGTCATCAAGCATGCATCTAGTGGCAAAGATGTTCTAGTCTCGTTCCTGGTCGGCCAGCAGCGGTCTAAAGCTGTGTTGGCTCCGTTGGTGGACGAGACGAATCTAGGTGCGAAGGCTAAAGAAGCATGTAGAGCTAAGCTTCCTGGCTACATGATTCCCACGTATTTCTTGGTACTTCCGTTCATCCCGTTATCGCCAAATAACAAGGTTGAGGCGAAGGAACTGAAGAAGCTGTTCAATGGCTTGTCGCACGAGCAATTAATGGATCTGACAGCACCAAAGGCCCCCCTTCGATCTGTCAACGGCGAAACTGGGTATAAAGTAATCCAGGTTCTGTCCGATTTTACGTGTGTTAGCTCAGACAACATCGATGGAGAAACAAGCATCTTTGATCTTGGAGTGGATTCCATCAGCGCTTTACAATTGTCTACTCTGTTCAAAGATCGAGGTTTTGTGGCATGCTCGCCTGCTATCATACTACGAAACCCAATTATTGCAGACCTTACCACAACGCTATTCGAAAAGCTCTCTTCATCTCTAAAAGACAGCCGCGTGAAAGAATCACAGCAAATGATACAAGCATATCATCATCGATACCGCGCACTTGCCTGCAGTATCCTAAATCTTCGAGGAGAAGATATAGAATATATTGCGCCATGCTCAGCACTTCAACAAGGAATTATCTCAAAGTCAGTTACAGATGAGATTCGAGGTACATACTTCAACTCATTTGTGCTGAAATTGAATGGCGATGCTGCAGAGGAGCGAATGAAGGCTGCTTGGAGTGAACTTATTGTCTCCGAGTCTATCTTGCGAACAAAGTTCGTCAACACTACAGAGGGTTACATTCAAGTCGCATTGAAGAACCAGGACTTGCGCTGGATAGATTCAACTGTGCAAAACGAGGTGGATGCGAAAGCTTTCTTGGATAACCGGTGGCAGGAATGGGTTCAGCAAAACAGTGAACATATCACAGCGCCAATTGAGGTGATCTTCATAAAGGGACCTGACTTCAAGAAACTAGTTATTCATGTTTTCCATGCGATATACGATGGAAATAGTTTCGACCTGATGCTTCAAAAACTGAAATCTATCTATGAAGGGAACCCTATGGCGTCATCTCCAACATTTATAGAGGCGTTATCTCATGGCCCATTATGGCGACACGACGACTGCCGCGGGTTTTGGGAAAACCACCTCCAAGGCTGGAAAAGTTCAACTCTTCAGCTTTCTTCTCCACACAACCCTGCTGCCTCACAAACTCGAGTTATTAGTGGAGCTATATTGGAGGATGCGCGAAAGAAGCACAAAGTTACTTTACAGCCAGTCATTTTGGCATTGTGGACATCCGTGCTTCAGAAATACTATCCCGAAGGGCTAACACTTGGCCTGATTGTGTCTGGAAGGTCGATAGATCTTCCTGGTGTCGAAAACACAATAGGCCCTCTCTTCAATACCGTGCCCTTCTTCAACAAGGCACTGAGTGGCCAAACCTGGGCGTCACTTATTCTCAGATGCAGCGAATTCAGCACAAGCATACTGCCATTCCAACACGTTCCACTGAAAAGCATCCAGAAGTGGTGCGTGGGTGGCCGACAGTTATTCGATAATCTGTTTGTGTTTGAAGTGGAGCAACAGGCCGCAAAAGACGAACTGACTCTTTGGGAAATAGAGGACGGGCCTTTGAATCCAGATTATCCGTTGGCATTGGAAGCAAAGAGGTTATTAAATGGCGATGTTCAACTTACTCTGGTTGCACAGCGAAATGTAGCAGATGCGCCAAAGCTACAAGAAATATTGGATGAACTAGATGAAAATATCAGGCTTCTGGTTGCTGATGTGCCGTTTCCGAGATCTATTGAAGAGGATGAAATACCACTTTCAGTCAAGCAAAACGGATTCAAGTCAGGAGATCACGAGACTGACGACGAAGTATTTGAGTGGACTGATCAGGCTCTTGGTATAAGGGATGCGATCGCATCGCTTTCTGGCCTAGATGATGCTGAAATTTCGGCTGCAAAGACAATTCTCGAGCTTGGCTTGGATAGTATCGATGTCATTCAGCTCTCTGCTAGGCTCAAGCAACGGGGCATTTTATTGCCGGCTTCTCAGATTATGCGCCAACAGACAATTGCAAAGATGGCGACATCTATCCAGACGCAGCAATCTGACGAACTATCCAACGGCAATACAGACTGGAGCTTCGAGGAACTTGAGCATAAACTCTGGTCATATGCTAACAAAGTCGGGTTGAGTGCAAGCGATATAGAGGCCGTGTTGCCACCAACACCTCTTCAAGAATCTATGGCTGCTGGGATGATACACTCTGACTTTGAGTGGTATTTTAATCACGACCTTCTTGAGATTTCGGCAGGAATCGATGTTGAGAAACTCCGAAAAGCATTCCTTGTGGTTATTGACCGGTCGCCGATTCTTCGAACGGGGTTTCTCGAAGTTGATGATTTGCAGCTAGAGATGGCATACTGCCAGGTTGTGCGGAAACACTGGAACCACGCGATTGAAAGTGTCGAGGTGCAAGACTTGACCGAGATGGGCGATCTTGTTGAAGATGCAAAACGAATCGCGAAAGAAAGCAGCGGAGCTGATGCTCTGTTTCAGCTGAAATTCGTGATGTGTAAAGAAAAGACGTTTATTCTTGTTTCGATCGCGCATGCTTTGTATGATGGGTGGTCCCTGAGTCTTCTTTATCGAGATCTGGAGACAGCGTATTATGGAGACTTGCAACCGAGGATGTCTGCGAAGCCTTTTCTTCAAAAGATACTTGCATCAGCCACTGATGATGCTAGTCGATTCTGGGCTGGTTATCTGGACGGTGTTGCACCATCTATTCTCCCAGCATCATCCGATGATAGAATGACGAACACCCTACATCGGAAAGAATATTCTGCAAGCAAGCGTATGTCCGAAATATCCTCTTTCTGCAAGAAACAGGGCATCAGTCTTCAAGTCTTGTGTCAAGCTTGCTGGGCTCTTGTGCTCGCTCATCGGATCAAGGCCCTGGATGTGACATTCGGTGTCGTAATGTCAGGTCGCGATTTCGAAGGAGCCGAAGACTTGATGTTTGCTACAATCAATACAGTGGCACTTAGGTGTATTCTGCATGGAAGCTCGGTATCGTTCTTACGATACCTTGAGGCGAGCATGGCGGACATCCGGGAATATCAATCGTATCCTCTGAGAAAAATCCAAAACGCGGTGCAGCTATCGAGCAGCGAATTGTTTAATACGCTATTTATGCTCCAAAAATTCCCGTATAACTCATCTGTGAATCCATTGCTGAAATCCGTTGATGGCGCTTCGGCAGTTGACTATCCTGTGAGCGTCGAAGCCGAGGCTGTCGGCGATGATCTTGTTTGGAGAGTCGCCTGTCAGTGGCAATTCATTTCCGAGGATGGGGCTGAAAAGTTGTTGGAAGATTTAAACCGGGTTCTGGAGTTTTTAACAAACTCAGAAGAGGTCGAGATACTCTCTTTCCAAGAAAATGGAGTTTCGATTGGTGGACTGCCGCATATCTCGCTCACTGAGGATGTTGCTCTGCCTGATGGTGGCGAAGAACAAAGTCTGGCTATTGAAGACGAAGAAGATGAAATTGATGAGACTGCACTGATAATTCGGAGAATTCTCAGCCATGTGTCATATATTCCAGAGGAATCTATCAGACCCCAGAGCAATCTCTATCACCTTGGCCTCGACTCTATCAGCGCAATCAAGCTGACCTCTCTCTTGCGCAAGGAGGGCATCTATCTAAATCCAAGAGATTTCATCAGAGCGACAAGTATTCGCCAAATGGCACAGCTCACGACTCCTCTCCAAACAAACGGCAGCACCGTTCACCCCAGAGAGACGGCGTGGGCTCCCGAAGGAGATGTCGACGTCGAAAAGCTTTTTGCCAGTGCACATATTTCCAAAGAAGATGTCGAGGTGATTCTTCCAGCGCTGCCTATGCAAGTTTATATGGTCAGTGCGTGGCAGAATGCAGAGGGTCATGTTTTCTACCCGGAGTTTCGGTATCTAGTTGAGGGAAATGTCAGCGTTGAAGATGTCTATTCAGCTTGGCGGTCTCTTGTCGTTCAGACTCCCATTCTGCGCACTGTCTTCATTGCAACGGATGATCCTCAACAGCCTTTCTTACAGATCATTCTCAAGGCAAATTCCCTACCCAGTGATAATTCCGCTGTCAAGCCAATGGTGAGACTCGAGGCTGCGAGAAGAGAAGACAACAAAATAGCCATTAGGTTGAAGATTCACCACGCACTCTACGATGGAGTTAGCATCCCGATAATACTGAATCGTCTGTCAGAGCTCCTCAACGGGAGAACCCTGATGGTTGAGCAAGGCATTGAAGAATGGTCAAGGTATGCCATTCAACCGCCACTTGAAGATTCTCGACAGTCTCGTAGAGCCTTTTGGATATCATATCTTCAGGGCTGCTCCTCTGATGGAGACTCTTCCGCTCTTGTCATGGCTGGGAAGCACCGAGTGTCTCATTTGCGGAAGTCTGCGGTATCAGATATCGCGTACCTTCAAACGTCGGCCAAAGAAAAGGGCATCAGCCTGCAGGCACTCTTCTTCGCAGCCTATGCCAAAATACTTGCAACAGGAAGTAGTGGAGTTGCAAACGTTGACGGAAAGAAAACTGTGGTGTTCGGAATTTATCTTGCCAATCGAGCTGATGAAGCTCTGCCCCTGGCATTCCCGGCGCTCAATCTTGTTCCACTGAGAGTTCACTTGGCATCCAGCGATAACATTCTCGAAGTTGCCAGCATGATACAGGATGATATTCATCTTATTGCCGCCGATGGCCATGCTGATGTAGGCCTATGGGAAGTTGCAGCTTGGACTGGGGTCACAATTACATCGTTTGTCAATTTTCTGAGCCTTCCTGATACTCCCTCCGAAGCACCAAACGACATTTCGAACAATATCGAACTGATCCCTGTGCAAAGCGATGAGCATGTCGCTCAAGACGCTTTTACGAATGGCGACAAAGAAAAAGAAGAAGCAGTATCTCACCTTTGCCTAATAAAGAATCCCGTGAGAGATGCATTCCCGGTGAGTGTTTCCCATGGCCGTTGGCCACCTATTTACTCCATATTTGATGAAATGCTAATTCAAAATTTGTGTACTATAGGCCGCCATAGACATTGAAGCCTCGATAAAAGGAAAAGGCCTAGACATTGGAATATTTGGATCCCAAAAACGACTATCTGACGAAGGCGCAATTCATTTGATTGAAGAGATTGTCTCATATTTGGAGGAATTGGATGACAAAGACGGCGCAGAAATGGCGGCATGGGCTTCGACTTGGTTGACTGGGAACAGCAAAAAGAACTGTTGATTTCCGACTATACTCCTAGGTGAAGGCGTTGCAAGACATTTATACACACGTGTATATGGATAGAGTACAATAGATGATTGGGTCATGATTATTGTTGCCTGGTTGAAAGCGGACAGCGATGGCAAGTTCAGCTTCACTCTCTCTTGCAGCCAGGTGTATTTAAATATAATTGAGATAACATTTCTTTTCTTCTACCTAAAGGGATATCGTTATCGTAAAGACGTCAGAGAATACAAATACAAGTGGCGACGAATCTATCGCGCAGCCTGGCTGAATACCAAAGCGCTCCTCGTCCCATTTTAACTCTACCATGTAATAAATAAAGTCTATGTGTCAACTCCAGTTGTACTCCGTCCAATGAAAGTGTGTGGGTATTTCATCTACAATCTCGACGTCTTGGGCTTCCAACCCTCTTCCATGGCAATCAGCTCTGCCGCTCGCTCGCCAATAGCCAGCACCGTAAGCATGGGGTTGATAGAGGGCATCTCTGGGAATACACCAGCGTCAGCAATGCGCAGCTTCTTGATTCCCCGGACCTTGAGCTCGTGATCTACGACTGCTGCCTCATCCTTGGTCACATCGCCCATCTTGGTGGTGCCGGCAGGGTGGTAGACGGTATGAGCGGCACGGCGAGCGTATTCGCTAATCTGTTCGTCGGTCTGTACCTTGGGGCCGGGAGCAACTTCTTCCTTCAGCCACTCCTTGAAAGGACTTTGCTCAGCAACTTTACGAGCCGCCTTGATACCGGCAACAAAAGTGGCAGCATCGTAGCCCTCGGGGTCGGTAAAGTAGCGGAAATCTAGAGCCGGCTTGACTGCGGGATCGGCGGAAGTCAGGTAGATGCGACCTCGAGATCTCGGCCGGGGAATGTTGGGAGTCATGCAGAATGCATAGCCGTCGGGGATTTGGCGATAGCCCAGTCGCTCAGTGTTGAGTGTGAATGGAATCTGGTAGCAGTGCATCATGATGTCGGCAGCATCTCCATCGCTGCCAGCGGCATTGGTGGGTTCTCGACGGATGAAGACACCGGCATCTGAGTCCATGGTGGTCTGGTTGGGAGGAACTGGGGTGTTGAGCTCCCACATAATGATTGTCTCTGGGTGATCAAGCAGGTTCTCGCCAACTCCTGGAATATCCTTAACAACGGGAATCCCCAGACCCTCGAGCTGCGAGCGCGGGCCAAGTCCAGAGTGAAGCATCAGACGAGGTGTGTCAACAGCGCCAGCACAAAGGATAATTTCCTTGCGGGGCTTCAGCACCGTCTTCTGGCCCGATGCCAGGTGAAGAACAATGCCACTGGCAACGTCATTCTCAACCAGGACTTTGGAGACATGAGCCTCGGTCAGGATAGTGAGGTTTGGCCGCCGCTCCTCGCCGCGCAGAATGGGATGGATGTAGGCGACAGACGCGCTGCTCCGGCGACCATTATCAGGGTTATACGAGACATTGAAGAAGCCTGCACCCTGCGTAAGCTGGCCCTTCTCGCGAATCTCGGTGTTGAAGTCGTCAATGACTGGGATATCGAGAGCAGAGGAGCAAGCCTGGACCCAGTCCTTGCACAGCTGATTGCGGTGGCGGGCATGGACAGGCTGAAAGGTGTTGCGGAGATTGTCAATGTGACGAGTAACATTTTCAAAGGTCCAGCCTTTGCAGCCCTGAGCAACCCACCGGTCCATATCATGGCGGAAAGGACGGAAGGAAATGAGGGTGTTATGTGACGAGCATCCTCCAAGAACCTTGGCACGAGAATGGCGGATATGGCTGTTACCCATGGGCTGCTCCGTTGTGCCATAATTGTAGTCGAGCTCGCCGCCCAGCAAGCTCAGCCATTCTCGCAGGTTGAGGACATGGTTGAGGTTAAAGTCGGAGGGACCAGCCTCGATGAGAAGAATGCGTCGTTCAGGCAGATAGCTTGAGAGCCTAGAGGCAATCACACAGCCGGCAGTGCCTCCGCCAACGATGATGTAGTCAAAGGCAGAGCTGCCATTGCTAGGAAGGGAGCGGGTAGTCATGGTGTCGTGAAGTTTGGAAAGGATGGATGAAAGAGTGGGTGCTGTCTCGATGTAGGAAGAACAAGTCTTTAAATAGTCTACTCTGGCTGCGGCTGTCTCCTTGAAAGATAAGGTGCACGCATGGAAGTTAATCCCAGAGCTTGTTCACAAGGTTTCTGTGATCTATTTGCTAAGGCAAGGCTGTGATGGAAGGATGTCTGTATCCAACAGAATCTGTACCCTCAAGTTCAAGTTGGACAGTGTGTGAAGCAAAAGCAGCACACTAGAACAGGACGACGGCGATATTTAAGCACAATGGAACAAGCAAGTCACTCAAATACGTATGCCTTCACCCAAAGCCACCTTTTGACGGTACGAACGAGTACACAGTTGCCCATTGACGCTAACGGGACACGGATGGCAACGGACTCGTCAAGGAGAAGCACTGGCTCGTTTTCGATTTGCTTGCGGTGGAGTCTGCAATCAGCAAGTGAGTGAGCGAGTGGGCTGAGACGGACGGAGTCGTTGCCTCATTCAAATCCGCCAGCAGAAAAAAAAGAGAAGAAAAAAAGAATCTCACCGTCCTAGTTGCCCAATCGAATCGATCTTCAGGGCTCCTGTCCCAAAGAGTCGCAAGGTTCGGCACCATGGTTTCTGGCTTGGCTGGAGAATGGCGTCTTCCACACAGTGTATCGTACGCGCATGACGTCAAGGGATTCTCCTGTTCCCACCGCTGGGCCGAGGATTCCTGGTTCACAGTGTGCCAAGAAGAACATTTTGCGTATCAGTTGCGGGGAGAGGCTGGCTGTCGTGCTGTTTAGAAGCCATTCTGAGCGTTGGTTGGTGAAGATCATGGCTCTTTCGAGGCGTTTGAGGCCAGGCTTAGCTGATGCAGGAGGGCGGAGTGGAGCATGGCTGGGCGACGGGGCTAAGTTGATCCGGGCAGTAAAGCGAGAGCTGATTGGCCGCAGCCGGGATGATTAGCGAAAGGAAGCAGAAGAGTGGAGCCAATCGCAATCAGGCGCCCCACTTGAAGGATATACTTTGTGTGGACGGAGAAGCTTCAAACTGTACGAGTACTCGTACTTTTTAATGCGGCTTGCATCGAAAATTGCGTTTGTTTGCATCGAGTTTTTTTAGTGTTTGCGGTCGGATCAATTGTTGTTACGGTGGCTGCTTACCTTTTTTTTTTTTTTTTTCTTTTTTTACAAGTGCAGCTGAACGTGGCCTGTTAGTCATAGTTTGGCTTCAGGCGGTCTGTTGTTGTCTTCAGCTGAGCTGATAATATTCAGCAACACCTCAACTGCTAAATTGATGGTCCTTTTACCGCTATCCAACCACCACGTCTCTCTATAGGTACCTATACTGATGCTGACATTCCGTTATATACTCGTTATTCCTCGCACACCATGAAATCCTCCACCGTCACATCCTGCATAGTCAAATAGCATATCCTACAGAATAGACAACGACACCCCCAAACTCGGCCTATTCTGACCGAACAAGCATCCACTCGCCATCATTTCTGCGCCAAGCCGAGCCGGCGCAATCAACTCGGCGGAGGCCCCACTGCCGGACCGGGATATAATCTCTCATTTTCTCAGGCCTACAGAACAGGATCCATCAGTGACGTATGGTGGATTCTCCTGTCTCTTTCATTCTCTCTCTCTCTCGTATACAGCACAGTACTGCTGCGATTTCTTCCCCGTCTTCTGACTAGTTGCCGGATGCAGGTAAACGCTCTCACGGCCTACAGTAGCGTGTCTTAGCAGCTGCTTCGCCCCAGACAAAGGCGCTGAAGCCCCGGTATGTCACCCCACAATGGCCTGTACATAATGCAAACGGCGTCCCTGGCAGATGAGACAGCAGCGAATGCATACTTGTACGAGTAGGTACTGCACAGTGCTTGTTCTGTCAAATCAATCCATTGGTGCTTGTCATATCCTGGGCTAAGTACATAACAATCGGAGTCATGGCGGTGGAGCGGTTGGTACTTGAGAAATAATGAAGTGACCTGCTACTGTAACAACGGAATTCCCCGTCCCTGTGCTGGTACTATTGGAGACAAGATCGACGTCACTCTCCAGCTCCCAACTTCAACCTCGACAACGACACTCAAGTTGAAGCTTCAAGGCATCCACCATACAAAGCCTGTGACAGACCATCAAGCTCAACATGACCTTTTCAAAAGAAATCCACACCTTCCATTCTGGACGGCCACAGCCGCAGTCCTCAGGATCGCACACCTTCCAGTCTCTCGATCCCAGCACCGCCAAACCATTGGCAACAATCTATACCACGACACCTTCACAGCTCAACGATGCCGTCTCCTCTGCTCAGAAAGCGTTCCCGGTATGGTCGCAGACGCCCGCCCCCAAGCGCGCTGCCATCCTCCTTCGCGCTGCCGCTCTCCTGAGGGAGCGAAACGATGCGCTCGCCCGCACTGAGATGCTGGATACCGGCAAAGCTTGGTCCGAGACTTCGACAGTCGATGTGGTTACTGGAGCCGATGTCCTCGAGTACTACGCACACTTCATTGCCAATAGTCAGCCTGGACAGCACACTAGCCTAAGGCCAGACGCATACGTCCTCACCAGCCACGAGCCCTTGGGGGTTTGCGCTGGCATTGGCGCTTGGAACTATCCGATTCAGATTGCTCTATGGAAGTCTGCTGCTTGCCTTGCTGCCGGCAACTGCATGGTCTACAAGCCAAGTGAAGTGACTCCCCTCCACGGAAACACATTAGCCGAGATTTACATCGAAGCTGGCATGCCGTCTGGAGTGTTCAATGTCGTTTATGGCGATGGCCCTAGCGTGGGAGCCCCTCTCGTCGCCCATGAGGGCATTGCCAAGGTCAGCTTCACCGGCCAGGTCAGCACAGGCAGCAAAGTAGCCAGCGAGGCGGCGAAAGGAATGAAGGGTATCACCATGGAGCTCGGCGGCAAGAGTCCGCTGGTCGTCCTCCCCGACGCTGATATTGACGAGGCAGCCGACATTGCCATGGCAGCCAACTTCTTTTCCACCGGCCAAGTCTGCACAAACGGCACCCGTGTTTTTGTCCCCGACACGCTGCTGTCACGCGTGGAAGAAGCTCTCATCAAACGTTGCCGTGAGGGCATCCGCATGGGTTTACCCCAAGACGAAACGACGAATTTTGGCCCTGTCGTCAGCGCTGCTCAGCGTGACAAAGTCAACATGTACATTCAGCACGGCAAAGAGACCGACAAGGCAAAGGTTCTATACGATGGTGCCGTCGATGCGCAGAAGAACAAGCCAACACCCAACGGATACTGGGTCCCACCAGTTATTTTCACCAACTGTACCGACGACATGCGCATCGTACGCGAAGAAATCTTCGGCCCCGTCATGGCCATCCTACCGTACAAGACACAAGGCAAATCCCAGGAGGAGTGGCTCCCAGAACTGATTCGCCGCGCAAACGACACCAAGATGGGTCTTGCAGCTGGCGTTGTCGCCACAGATCTAAGTCTGGCGCAGAACGTGATTCGAGAATTACAAGCTGGTATTACTTGGATCAACACTTGGGGAGAATCTCCGGCCGAGATGCCTGTGGGCGGATGGAAAATGAGTGGCGTTGGTGTGGAGAATGGGTTTGAGGGTATCATGGCGTACATGCGGGTTAAGAGCACGTTGGTTCAGCTGGGCAAAGGAGCAACAAAGGGCCTTTTTGCCAAGCTATAACTTGATCCTGGAAATTCGTTCTTACAAGATGGCGTTATAACTGGCAAAACATGTAAAATGTCGGGGGCACACAACTATATAGAGAAGCGATTTTTGTTACAAACAGGCAAACATGAAGTTTTAATTCACAATCTCCCCCACAAGTGCGTTTATAATTTTGATATACATTTTTGACAGGCCGTAGTAAATTAAATTGGGAGAGCTAGATAAATACTCACCCACTTGATTAAACTTGGCTGATGGTCTTCGGCGGTAATGTGTTGAGATTATGTTCTCGAGTGTAGATTGGTATTTTGTCGAGAGACTCTAAGCTAATATTGGTCCGTGATAAACTTTCTCCCTCAAGGGCTAGTCGGGTGGAAAGATAAGAAAAATGAGTGGATAGGTAGATGATACAGGCGCTTCAGCGAGATCTGGACCCAGAGTAAAGAGAGATTATTAAAAAATTGTCAGTGGCGCTTTAGAACTCTCTTTCTCTCTTGGTGGAAGTAAGTGGCCGAGTGACCCATGTATGACCCACCAGATATTTCACCTTCATGATTCCGAAGATGGAGAATAAGAAATAATTGGGATGCTGTGGCTCGTCTAGGTAATTGATGAGATGACTACGTGGGCGAGTAATTAACTTGCATTACAAATTCCAGACGCTCTTGTGTCAAAAATAGACTCATCGTTGTATCGCGAGTTATCGGTTACTCCTTTTTTTTTTTTTTTTGCGTCTACAGGGTACCACCACCTTAATCTAATCAATGACCCAATATGGGCTAGACTAAATCGATCCTGATAATTCATTCTTACGATATGGCGCTGTTACCGGCTAAATGTGCAAAATGTTGGGAGCACATAGTAAATATAGAGCGGTATTCTTTAATAACTGGGCAAGAAACAAAGCTGATTATCATACGTTTTCGATAGTTGGCTCCTCCCAACACGAATTATTGATATATCGCCTGCTATGAAGCCTCTTATAGAGACTCGGACAAAATTTCGGATGGAGACTCATGTCAGATGAATTATCGAGAGGCTCACACGAAAGATTGGAAGACGATTTGGGAGTGGGATTCGTGAAGATTCAGATGGCTTTATGATCTTTTATATCGACCTACCTCCAATCGGTACATTTCTCCATGTTTCGCCTGGAGATTATCCCAAGTAGGTGTCCATTTATTTGGGAATATTAGATCTGGGACTCCCTAGGGGCTGTCCAAGCAGCCGCCGAGGGACTGCGGGAAAGAGGAGTAGCCTTCTCCAGCACTTGGGTCTTAGAGAGAGAACAGGGTTTGTATTCAATTGATTGAGATTGAGTGGAAATACTCCACGTTTTCAAAGACAATAGTAAAAGAAGCGCATAGTGTGGTGAGAAATAGAACAGGTTAGTAAGATATGCTCCTCTGTATATGTAGCCAGCCTAGCTAGTAGCTTAATTCGACAGAGCTTGCATGCCCCGTAGTACTCGCAAACAGTCCACTGGCAAGCACCAGATCATCTTTTCCAAGTTTGATTTGTGCAGGACGTTCCCATTCTAGGATGGCGGCGCCCTTTCCGCGCTCAAAACGCCGTAGGTCTTCCAAGACAACCCCCGTCACACTCGATGTATTTCCCTTGCCATCTGAATATACGGTATCCTTGGGAGGCGGCGTTGGAAATTCTGGCCACTCAATGTACTCTGGTGCTTCGGTATAAAGAGCAATCTGCTTTCCATTCCGTCTCTTGTTTACCCAGTCGTTCAATACCGAGCGGTATGTCGAAACAGGGTGGTCAAGTGTGACATCTGGGTGCTTTGCCCACTCTTCAAGTCCTTGTACATCCGCAGGATTTTGCTCATGGTGAGCAACGTCTCGGAAATGCATGTCGCGGGTGATGATTTCGTACATGGTAAATATGACTCCTTTGACATCGTCCCGGTCCTCTCCATATCCGATGTCACCGATGCGTCCGCTGTAGTTGAAGTCGAACAACATAAGGGCGTCCGTCTTGGGGTCAACAAGCAGGTTACGCGCGGCGACGTCCTGATGGGCGATACCATATTTGAGATTCAAATCGTCAATGACGCAAATCAGCTGCTGGAGCCACTTGAGCTTAAAAGTGCGTGAGTTATTCTTGTCTATCGTGCCACCTGGTATGTAAAGACTTGTGAAGCCGACCACGTTGTGACATAGCTCATCTAGCACAAGTCGGTCGAATGGGACAAGGTTCGGATGAGGGGGAAGACGCATCCACAAGTTCAACTCGTTCCATATCTTGTGGATGAATTGAAAAAGAAAATAGTATTTGAAAACTGCTTTTCTTGTTTCCAGTTCGCTGGTGCACGGTGTATACGAAACAAGATCAACATTTGGGCCGAATCGATCCAGCTCGACTAGGTGTGAACGGAGCACAGTCTTGACGTGGCTGGGTGGCTGAAAGGCCTGTAGCGGAGGGTAGTACACGCATCCCCCTTGGTCGTCTCTGGGGTTTGTAGAGATTGACACCAATTCGCCGTCTTGAGATAGGCGGACGGCGTATACGTCGGGTCCCAGGGTGTCGATGTGCTTCCTGAGGTGTTGGACTGCAATATCTTCGCTCTCTTGTTCCTCATCCATTGTAACCGCAATGATGTGTCGCTGATCCCAGTCGAGTATATACCATGTGCTGGGTCCCCCAGGCGTGATGGCTCCGCCGGGAGCGAAATATCTCCATTCGTCCTCTATCATATTTTCTTTCTCCTTGGAACGCCTGGAAAGAGAAGTGAGGCTAGAGGATGGAAAAGCCGGAAGAGAAACGACGCAGAAATAAATGATTGCAGTGAGGACGGAGGCAGTAGGGAGCATGCTCGCAAAGACAAAGGACATGGAGTAGTGAAAGGATCAGCATCATGTGCAAGATGCCGTTTGCCGGCCAACAAGATCCAAACACGATTATGTGGGGCCTCGGGACGGTGAAGCAGACAACGACAACCATTGATGGTGTACCACTAAAGTACATATACATGCCTGTATCGCGTTGTGTTTGTAGCGCTGCATCGGCGCCATGGCAACTGCCACAAACGTGCTCTCAAAACTTGGTCCAACATACATGTACATACATACATCCCTACATACTAAGGTAGTACATGCTACATCAGGTATTCGTATATGCAATGTAGAGGGTGCTTCCTGCACTGAAGCCTTTCCTCGGCGTTGCACAACTATGCCCCAGAGAGGGAACACACGTTCCTTAATGTTCTGGTACTTGCAGACTCGTGCTTCTCAATACTTCAATGGTTGGCTGTTGGTCGGAGAACTACGTCGTACGGCTGGAGGCAGGAAATTACAGGAAGTTATACTGCTGCACTGCACGGGGCGGTCGACCAAGCAGAAAAGCGATGCTACCATCCGAGCGAAGGCGAATGGCCAATAACGAGACGGCTGCGTACATTGACCTTGTGTATCAAATAAGGAGTAGCATCGTACAGCATCGGGTATGAAAATAAATACAAGGTTTGATATAGCTAAAAGCAAAGGCATTCCCCTCCGTATTTAATTAATTTACAAACTCGCCAGATACCGTCTATCACCATCAAGAAAACGATTTGGACCGCTACCCATTTCCAAATTGCCACTGAAGCTTTCCACCTCTTCTAATATCCTGTGCTCAAGCCTCGTTTTATCTTATAGTGCTTCAACATGCAGAACCAACCTACAACTATCCATCCACAGCTGATACCGGTTACGACACAGGATCACCTCGTATATGACTCTCGAAATCCCCACAATTGCCCGTGTGGATGGTATCAATTCTATGGTATGTGCGGCCATTTGTACCAGCAACATCCTCATAGATGCGGTAACCGAACGACACCCTCTAGGAAAAGCGGCTTCTGCAAGTCTCCCGCGCCTCGCCATATTGTTCACGGAGTTTTCATCAGCGCCCCTTGTGCAGACTGCCTCGGACATGGCAGCTAGATAGGTGTAAGAGAACCCGAATTTAAATGCTATAATTAGAAGATACACATGCTTACTGGCCGCAAGACAACAGTGGACAAGCGTATCGTCTAGAAGCAAAGGAAGAAGATGATTCATTTACGATGATACGGAGGCAATACATTGGACGGATTTGGGTTCCTGACTAGTTATTCTAGCTTAATGGAGGTGGCTACTTCGTAGTTTTAATAAAAAAAAAATATCGTACTGGGCCAATATCTTTAATTCTCTGCTTGTGTCATGTAGATGGACCTGTTTATATATATATCTACGAGATTTAAATACATCTACTAGGTCTACCTATAGATACTAGATCTACCTGTAGTCGCTGGATCTGTATGTGTCTGCTACTACTTCTATCTAATTCATACAACATTCCTGCAGATTAGAGATCGCTTACTTGGTTAAAATTTACAATAAATGTCTCTTTTAAAGCCCCGGTCATTTACCTACAGCCTGTCACGTCTTGTGTGAATTCAAAGAAGGGCATCCTCAGCCATCTTGCATGTTTAACCAATCGCGATACGACTGAGGCCAAAGCTGCGAGCTGTGGAATCATCATCGCCCTGAATACGCCACAGCTAACCGCATATCTTTCTAGAAAGAAAAAAAAAGTCGCCGAGGCGGATTGATTACCTCATGAGCTTAAGCTCTTGGCATCTTGATCCATAATTTATACTTGCGGCTAAGGTAATCATGGCAAAGGGGCCGAAGCTGACAAGTGGAACTAGACATAGGCAGGGCGAAAACATGTCACCTTTAGAGCACAGCATGGTCCTAATCGGGAAATTTTTGGGAGCGCGCTAAAGTCGCAGTAGTGATGACATCAAATCTCATGCCGGCCATATTCTTGTTTAGTAATTAATTAATATCGTCGAGACAGGCATCACAGGCTTACAAATTTTAGCTTGAAGAAAATTGAAGAACTGCGCGACGGATGGGAATTTATAAGCCGGCGTATCCGTCAGCTCGGTGTGAGGGCATATACATATAAAGTAATACCATTCACACTTGTTATGAAGGGACTGTGCCTCAGACCCAGCAACCCAGACTCTTTTCCACAATGTACGGCATTGTACGTGACTCGCCTTTCGGGCAGATAGTCCGATTCGTTACTAAGAATGCATATTTCCGATATCCTGAAGAACAAGATGGGTTCACACACCCCTACTACAGCTCCGATCCTTTCCCAAAGGAGGCCGAAGCAGAGCATTCCACCACTTCCAATACCGGCCTAGAGGATGCTGCCACCCTTGGCTCCGGCGGACAGGATGACCAAGATTCTACAAGAGAGATTTCTGCATCAGATGAAGATTTGGAGAATAACCACACAGAAAACCCCATTGAAAGGGTTGTTACTATGCAAAGTCAGCATGAGGCGCATAGAACAGAGAGTCGCGCTATCAAGCCAACGCAAACAAGCGACGGAACAATAGTAGTCGACTGGTACACCACTGGTATTACACCTTCTTCTTAGCCACCCAGATTATGCTCTATTTCAGACATGTGGTTGAATACACCAAAGGGGTGCCGCCCAAATGGCTAACAATGCCTTAGACGATCCTGAAAATCCACAAAACTGGAGTGCGTTTCAAAAAAGCTTTATAGCTTTTCAGATTTGGTAAATTTGCACCAGTGCATTACTTACAATATGGGGACAGAGACTAATTGTTCAAAGTATCTACTCCTTTGCTGTGTATTTCGGCTCTTCCATCTATGTCGGCGCAGTTCCCGAGGTCGTCCAAAGGTACGGCATTAGCATCGAGGTGTCCTCCTTGGCCCTCTCTTTATATGTCTTTGGATGTAAGTGGAGGCAGCTTCCCGGATCGGATGATACCCAATCGCTGACTCTACGATACAGATGGTCTTGGTGCCATGATCTTTTCTCCTCTTAGCGAGTAAGCTCCCGACTCAGATGCGATTCACCATTTAGGCTCAACATGCAGTGAGGCTAACCGATCTCAAGGATCGCCGCTATAGGAAGAAACCCGCCATACATCATAACACTCTTCATTTTCACCATTTTATGGGTCCCGGCATCCGTTGTGGATAACTTTCCCGGTTTCGTGGTCCTTCGGTTCTTAACTGGTGTTTTCGGTAATTATATTATGCCTCTATGAACACGTCGTCGATGCTAATCAGACCAACAGGTGCCCCATGCCTTGCAACTGGCGGTGCTTCATTGAGTGATGTCGTATGTTACTCCCAGTGGGTGTGAATTTTGAATCTCGGCTCATACAAGTTTAGTACCCGCTTATACATGTGCCATATCTGTTGATCATTTGGGGCGCTGCCAGTATGTTTTCTCTCTCGAGTGTTACAAAAATGGATATACTAATAGTATTCACTTAGCCGTCCTTGGACCTGCCCTCGCTCCGGTCATCTCAAACTTTAGTGCCCCCGTCGAGGGATGGCATTGGGTATCCTGGGAGATGCTATGGCTCAGTGCTCCGATTCTCTTGAGTTTCTTCTTCTTCTTGCCCGAGACTTCATCCACCACGATCTTGTATTACAGAGCAAAGAGATTACGAAGAATCACCGGAAACCAGCGATACCGCTCACAAGTCGAGATTGATCAAGCTAAACAACACATGACGATGAAACATATCCTATACAACGCCATCATTAAGCCTGTCGAAATCAACGCTCTGGATCCTGCCGTGCTTTTCTCAACAGTTTACACCAGCCTTGTCTATGCCATTTTTTACTCCTTCTTCGAGGCCTTTCCCATTGTCTTTTCGGAAACATATCACTTTAGCTTTTCTGTTTCTGGCCTCCCATTCTTGGGTGTATTCCCGGGGTTATTTGTGGCATCTACTCTGTGTGTCGTATCTTGGCACTTCCAAGTCGTGAAGCCCTTCAAGACCGAAGGGTTCAAGGCGTTTGGAATTCCAGAAAACCGTCTAGTACCTGCACTGTTCGCATGCTTTTGGCTCCCGGCCGGACTCTTTCTTTTTGGTATGTCGCCTTAATAAATACCCAGGGTTGAGTGGTACGATGCTAATGCGCAATAATAGCATGGACGGCTCGTCCAAGTGTTCACTGGATTGCCTCTATTATAGGCCTATCGATGTCTATTGTCGGCACATTCACCATTATTGTCTGCATCTTGCAGTACCTAGCCTTCACTTACCCGAAATACTCGGCATCCTTGTTTGCAGCGAATGACTTTGCCCGGTCGACGCTCGCAGCGGCTGCCATCATGTTCTCGCGACCGATGTTTCTTAGCCTTGGAATACACTGGGGAGTGTCTTTGCTTGCATTTTTGGATATAATATGCTGCATTTTACTCTTTGGGCTCTGGAAATTTGGGCCCAGGCTGCGTGCCCATAGTCGTTTTGCTGAATCATGAGGTATGAAGTGGTATGAGAAAATAAGGTTGAAATGATAATAATGAAGCAGCGGTGTACGGGGTGGTTAAAATTTTTCGAGTTGATTTCATATAGAGTAATAATAAAGTGGTTTGTAGACGCAACCTACTCAGAGTATGGATATCTGCTTGCGTGACAAATTGGCCATCCATTATCCATATCCTAATTGACATAGGCCGAACATGTAGATCCCCCACCGGAATACAAATTACGAAGAGAATCTAACACCTTGATTGCCTATGGTTATGAAATTGAAATCGAAGATTACGTGTGAACCTATTGGTGAGAGTTAGGGCACTCTCCACCTCGGGATTAACTTGGGTAATGATATGGATATGGCGTTGAGTCTCAGAGACAGAAGCTCCACGCAGCCCAGTATTGAGTCGAACTATAGAGATACAGTCTTGTTTTGAATGATCATACCATTGACGGAACATCGTTTGATTCGGAAAATGATGCATATAAAGCAGGAAAATCCGGCCCAAAAGAGGATAGCCCTTGCCCCGGCGTTTCCGTTACCGCGTATCGAAACGAATCTCAGTGCATCATCTAGTGCTCCTTTCTGAAGCCTCGTTATCCCCTCCTAATGGTGCGCTGGGTATTCCAAAGCAGCCAAGTAAGCAGAGTGCCATGAATGGAATTTCCAGGCCAAAAACCGCTTGGAACCCCTTGAACTTGGCATTGGATATGTCTTGGTCCCATGATGCAGTCCCAGATCGCCACGTTCCCTTCATCACTTGCGAGATCACTGAAGCTGGGATATTGGCAGGTAGAGCTGATTGAGTGACGGCAGTCTGCAAAGCAGTTGCGATTGTCATACCAATGACTGAGCCGAGCATTCGGAAGAGATTCCGTGTCGAGGTCGCAGCCGCACGGTCTTTGGATGGACAATGTGCATGCAGGGCAACGAGACCTAAATGAAGTGAGCCGTCGTGCTAAGTTCATCCCATAGAAGAAGAATTATGATTGAATGGACTATACCTGGCTGAAAAACACACCCAATACCCCAGCCCTCAACTAGTAAGGCGGCCAAGTAAACCCCAACACTTGTGGTTTGGCCAAACATCATCTTCAAGCAGACACCTAGCAGCCACAAGACTATACCCGGATGGTAGATATAGTCGTAACTACTACTTGTCAGTTTTTCAATACTCTCAATTTCAAGGACTTAATCATGGATAATTAAACTTGCCTGCCAAAAATGGTCATGGCTGGGCCAGACAGGATGCCAGAAATGCTCGAAAATAGAAGAATAGGCAGCATCAGCGCAGATGTCTGCAGGGGACTGAACCCTCGAACTTCTTGAAAATATGCAGGCATAAAATACATCTCCACTTGCCATACAACGTTGTACAGAGCGCTCTGGATAAGGAGAATGGCAGTGGCCCTGTTTGTGAAAAGCCGAAGAGGGATTAGAGGGATTCGCGCGTACCTTTTTTCGATGACAGTAAAAGCAGCCACTGCAACGCCGCCCATGATCATTAGGGTGATTACTTCAGGGCTGCGCCATGGCCAGGACGTTCCGCCCAGATTGAGAGGAATCTAAGAATACCAAATCGTATTGATCAGCAGGAATGTCTTAAGACCATTGTAATAAAACAGCTCTTCGCACCAAGATGCAAATAGTCGCTACCAGAGATGTTGCGAGGCCCATCCAGTCGATTTGTCTTGCTTTGGCCCTCCAACTTCCACTAACAGACGTCAGTGGTAGAAAAGCCATCGAAGCTACAGCAGAAATGCATGCTAGGACCGGGGGAATATAGAAGATCCATCTCCAACTCGAAATTCCAGCGATTTTTGTCTTCTGTATCAGAGCTGCTGCGAGGAATGGCCCTATAGCTGATCCAGCGCCGATGGAAGCATTGAGCATTCCCTGGTATTTGCCCCTGTCTTTAAGACTCACGAGATCGCTGACAATGATTGCTATGATAGAACTGATGCCACCACCGCCAATGCCACTTATAGCACGACACGCATAGAGCCAGACAGGGGAGTGGGAATTGGCACATAGGATGTCACCAAAGACAAGAAACCCAACAGAGAGCATCAAGACTGGTTTCCGGCCGAAAATATCAGATAGACGACCGTAAAGTGGCTGGAAAGCGGCCTGACCCATCAAATAGGCCGTTCCAGTCCAGGTAATGCTGCTGCCAGCGCCAAGGTCACGGGCGATAATTGGGAGAGCCAGAGCAACGGAGTTGATGTCGAGCGAAGAGGTGAAGTAGATGATTGAAAGACAGAGATACGCAGCGATGAGGCGCCGAAATGGCAGTCGAGATGACTGGTCATGTATCTCATCGCTAGATCTATCGACCGAATTTACTATTCTAGCTCGAACAGTATGTAGATGTTCTGGTTGAGGAGTCGCTGTGGTTGTCGCTTCATGCTCATTCGGTAGAAATGAGCCATCACTAGTTACCTGAGCCTGAGCCGAATGACTGGCGGTGTCTCGATGATTCTGGGGTGACCGATTGGTATTTAACTCAAGAAGAATGGTGGTAGACATGGAAATGGTAGAGCAATAAATTCTATATGACGATTAGTGCGAGAGTAACGAACGCGAGAGAGTCACGGAATTGCAGATTCCTAAGAGAGAAAACCAAGCCGAATATCGGTCACTAATTACATGGTTGCGTCTCAAAGGGCGTGGCTTCGGTAACAATCGTAAACGACTGTTTACCGTGCCTTAACCTAGAGACCACTACTAGTTTAGGCTAAATAACCTGTAGTGGAAACGCTTGCTATGAATAGGTACATATACAATATATAGCTACGAGAAAGACGAGCGAGTCCTCTCTATCTTCTGGCAAGGGCAGTTAGGATCAGACGTAATCTAGGCACCCATGTCTTTCTTTTAGGATCTAGCTATGCGCTTATGACCTTGGAAGCTAAATTTATGTATTCGTTCATTTGAGAAGTTCGTGTACGCTGGTCTTGATACAGGCTTCTAATCATTGTTTTTGTAGACAATGGACATTGAGTATGGTGATGGCAATATCACCTTTGGGATATTATATAAAGTTATGAGTGGGCAGAGCTTCTAGAATAGCCATGATTTTGTTGCTCGCCCGCATTGTTTATCAGCTCAAAATGAAATCGCTGTCGAAATCGCTGTCGGTTCTTTCATATGGCTTGAATCATGATCAGATAATTTTCTGATCTACCGAACCAGCACTCCCCGGTACCTCATCTTCCCACTTCTCAGAGTATCAATAGCCTCCTTGATTCCATCCTCCGTCATCGGGAACTTCATGACTGTTGGCTTGATTCCATGCCGAGAAGCGAATCGAATCAAATCACTGATAGTGCGGCGCGAAGCCGTGAGAGATCCTTTGATGGAAGCTCCTAAACCTGTCAGTTCCCCAAGATCAATAGGGGTATGCTCTGCAGAGACAGTCAATGGATATATTGTGCCATTCACAGCCAGGAGTTCAATTAGACTGTGAATCTTGCGTCAGCAAATACCGTCGTGTACAGCGCCATCATTCTATATGGGATGACTCACTTGTTAAAGTTTTTGCTTCCAGTATTTCCGCACAGCAGTAGATGATTCAACGGCCTGAAGCCTGCTGGAGCCGGGTTCTCTGAATTGTAGACAAGAAACTCTGTTGCGCCATACTCAAGTGCTTCCTGTCGTTTTGATTCAGAGGTTGACAAAGCTACGACCTCATGGCCCATGGCTGCAGCGAGTTTGATGGCCAAATGTCCCAGGCCACCGACACCCATGACGCCAATTCGATCAGTTGATTTGACCTCGGGCCCAGTTAAAACCGTGAAGACGGTAGAACCCGCGCAGAGAAGTGGTGCTGCATCAGCAGAGTCATATCCGTCCGGAATCGGAAAGACCATGTCGGCTGCCCAAATCACACCCGAGGAAATAGTACCCATTTTGTCGGCGTTTCTGTTAAAGTCAACTCGTGACGAACAGTACTGATCCCTCCCTTTCCACCACATGCCTAATTAGTCCTTCGGCCAACTAAGGAAGCATTGACAGATATTATTCAGAGTGTGACTCACCGCTCAAACAAGACTCACAAGTGCCGCAGACCTTGTGTGTGTAACCGAACCCAACGCGATCTCCAACTTTAATATCTCTTGATACACCGGGACCTAACTGTCTAACAATGCCTACTCCTTCATGGCCGATAATGCGTCCACGTGCCAGGTAGTGAAGGTCGGTGCCACACAGTCCTGAGTGGGTTGTTTCAATGTATAGTTCGCCATAGCCAAGAGTACGAGCCGTCTGTTCAACAGCCAGCTCTCCTTCGGGTGTACCTCTGAAGATGTCGAGAGTGAATGTTGAACTGTTGTCGGCCATGTCGCTATACTGATCTTTTTTTTTTTTTAATCACCTTTTTTTTCTTGAGTGAAGAATGGAAAAAGTATCGTTAGAGTATAGAACAAGGCGTTTTCACTGTAGTAGGTAATGATGCCCAATTAATCTCAACTCCGACTTCTTCTATTAAAGAAATGGATTGTACTATTGGTTTATAGACAATGAGCCGGCGCACACACGCACACATATATAACATCTATACAACAATGGCGTCAATCACACCAACCTTTGCTGGAACGTGTGGCAAGGGGTCTCGTACCGGCTAGGGTCGGGTTCGTCTGCCCGGTGGGTCTCTCCAGCTTCTCGTCGACCCTGGACATACGAATTGTATCGCACAGACACTGGCTGCATTAGTAATTGAGCTTTAATGTGACTCTGGAAACAATCGGCCCAGCCAATCATTGCCATAACTGACTAATGTCTCTCGTTCTAGACCTGCTGTTTTGGTTATCCCATAACACAAGAAACCACAAATTCTTGCTTAACTTGCTTATTAACCAAACATCAAAAACTCATTGTCACTCCACTTAACTCCATCAGGGGTAATAGGCCGTATCCAGCCTTTCATCATTAGGAGAGAATCCCTATCAGAGGTATCCAGCACTTGCCAGTTTGCCAGCTTCCTTCCAGAAAAAGGTTGACGGCGCTTTCATGCGCCTTGCCGTCTTTCGTGCATATATCCTGGGTGGTATCTAGAAACTTGACGGAGTCGATAAAATCCAGAACAAAAAGTAAGCTGTAGCAGATACATGGATATGTCGTAACTGTTACTATAGTCTGCCAGACAAGACCACTCTGTAAAGTAGATTGAAAACCCTATTCCAAGCGACACCTTATTATCAGTCTCACTAGGGCGGTAATCTCCTTCCTACTTTGGTCTATATCGCGCTTCTTATTGAGCGAATGGTGCTAAGCCTATCTCTATACCTTGAAAAGCCTTGCATATCCCTTATCTTGTCTATCAACAACGTATCGGGTAGACAAAGGAGGCATAATCTAAAGGACTGTTCGGATCTGGACGAGTTAGGATATCGGATTTTTTTTTCTTCTTCGGAGTCGGACCGGATACTACGTCCTTATTCAGCAGCGTTTCCCAATTGATTTTCTTTCCTTTTTTTCTTGCTCCACAGGCAAAATTCTTAGAGCGCCGTAAGTGTTAACCAAGGCGGCACATCGCGCTCCACTCTCCATCGAGGCGACGTTTTGCGCCACTACTCGTATTTTACAGCTTTAGCCAAAACTAAGTTCTAAAGATGCTTGAAGCTGGGATATTGCGTGCTCATGTCTTGTGGATACAACGGATGTGAGAGTCGTCAAGATCTTCGTAGCTGCTCATACAGTAGCCACACGACTCTTAACTAAGTAGCCTGATCGTAGAGAGCAATTAAAATTGTAAAAATTAGAGAAACTGAACTTATAGAAACTGGAACTAGTACTTCTATACATTAGGCCCCTACCCCGTAGATTGCTCTGCTCTTTGGGTGCGCTTTAGCTAATTGGAAGTCTAATTTTAATCTTGCCTGTATCCTTACCATTAGAAGAGGCCTGATAGTAGCTTCCGCCAGTCTTCTGCAGCGGAATGGTAAACCGCATTTGCTTTTCGTTTCACAAACACATACAAACGCTATAAAATAGGTGGTAGGGGTTTTGTCATTCAGTTTAACGACCTCTTTAAGAACCTCCAAAAGTATATGCATACTCCTACAATAAAGTCGCTAGCCAATCCGCAAGTGGAAACTGGTGTGATTTAGGTATTTGGGAAAGTCGAAATACATATCTGTAGGATTAGCATAGCTCTCTGAATTCTGAACTAGAGTTATCTTTATTAGTGAGAACATACCAACCGAAATGAGGGATAGAAACATGTTCACAATGTTATCAGGTACGAAGAGCAAATCACTTCACCCAAGAAAATATATTTCAGCCAGTTATTTCACTAGTTGATTTACAGCTATTGCAGCGTTCTGTTTTATCAGTGACCCTGACTGACCACTCCAGCGATCGCATTGTATCCAGATACATTTGCAAACTGCTTTAGACAACCTAGAGCGAGCTTTCAGCCAGTAAACGCAGACCTAACGGCCGGATCAACCCCATGAAACCCAACATCTATTGTCCCCAAAACATGCGCTTAAGAAGAAGGTATTGCTGTAGAAGTGCCGAAAAGGCCAAAGGTTACAGTAGAACATGGAGTGTCCCAGTCTGAGGGAGTCACAAACTGGACAGAAGGGGTGTTGTTTGCGCCAAGTAAAATGTACGAATCCTTATTCTGTTCAAATTGTGGCCACCCCAAGCCGGTAAGACCGTCAACAGGATCACCAGCAAAGGACGCCCAAGCTGTTTGCATAATCCGTGTTAAGTTTCTTTGATCAACTGTCGTTGGCAGTCCGGTAATATCCTCTGAAGCCCCGAAGATCATGTGCAAATCGACCATGTGGTAGGCACCGCTCGTACTGCCGTTTATACTGTATAGGCGAGTATTATCCCAGTCGGCCATATATCGGAAGGTCCATGCCGGAACGCCGTGACTGCGACGAGCCCCAGCTTGAAATGTTACCGGACAAGTGAAAGACTCGAGAAGAAATCTGGTCACATCTTGAGAAGTCGGTAGCTGACCTGTTAGGGCATATGGAACGAGGCGATAGAAGCCATCTTCATTGTTCGTATTTCCAAACATGATGGGTACCTTGGCAAAGTTACCATCAATGGTTCGATTGATGTAGTCAGAAAAGACAACCTCCTCATCGGGGAAGGGAGAGAAATGGGAGATAGACCTCAAGAAGTTGTCGCTTGGAAGAGGTCTAATTGTTTCCGAAACCGCCAGAATATCCTGCCAGTTAGCTTGCCGCACGCAAGCCAATTGATCCTCGCTATTAGTACAATTTACACCAGCTACAATAGAATTCCAATTTTTCTCAACAGTAGCGGCACTATTGAACGGAAAACTAAAAGCGTTGCCAGAATGGGCGATGATGCCACTGACAATGGGATCTTGCTCGTATGCATAGGCCCAAAAGTCGACTGCTTCACCCCCAACAGACTGTCCAAATATGGTGATCTTATCAGGATTGCCACCAAACGCAGCAATGTTATCGCGAACCCATTCAACACCAACGCGCTGATCGCGGAGACCGAGGTTGGCCGGTTGGCTTGGGGCTCCAGGGAAGCCGAAGACGTCAATTCGATAGTTGACCGTAACAACCACGACGTCCTGCGCGTCCGCAAAATACTTGCCGTTGTAGAAAGCAGTGTCAGTACCTCCATAATTATATCCTGTCTCAGGTCAATACTACACCCTTACAGAACACCCTTGTAGATCTTTGACGGTTCAGTGCTCACCTCCTCCAAAGAAGAATACCAACACGGGCTTGGTAGCATCTGCTACGCTAGTTGCTTTAGTCCAGACATTCAAATATAGGCAATCCTCACTCTGAGGGGTACCAGCATCAACTAGGAAGTCAGCAACGCACTTTGGGCCCTGTGCAGTGAAACCTGGGTAGCCTGAAAGATTTGAGGTTGCATGAGGACAGTCTGCGGCATAATTTGCAGCGATCAAAGGTTTCAAAGTAGCGTTGAGCTTGATGGGAGCTTCGAATCGCAGTTGCCCGACCGGTGGCTGCGCATAAGGAATGCCCAAGAACTCGACGACACAGTTCGAGTTTGATGGAACGTGTCCAGTAATAGTACCACTAGTAGTAAGTACGTTAACATATTGGCTGACGTTGCACCCTGTGTCCGTGGAGACTGGGCTGGATGTTACAACTGTCCCCAAGACCAAAGCGGTAATCTGAGGTTGAAAACGCATGATAGAGGTGCTGGAAATGTCGGTCCTTTTAATTCAGTGGTTTATACTGTCGGTTTTTAATATTGTTGATAATTGGCAGTGTGAGAAGTCAGTGTTTATATATGTTGAGTCTCCGCGCTTACACTAACGAGTTTGGCCGCTACGCCAGTCGACGATATCTCACAAGCAAGGGCTTTCGGCAGCGCCGAGCTTGTTCCATGAAGGCTGTTGCATCTTACATCATGTCCACTTGCCAAATATTACGTTTTTCGTTGGATGCCTGACAGTCAATGGATAGAGATTCTGAATTGTTGCCCATGCAACGGGTAGTATGACATGTCTCAAGTGGATAGGAATTATCATCAGCTGGCCAATTGCGAATCAGCTTGCAGCTAAATATTCTACGTTTGCGCTTTTGAAGCCTTCTAAACTGATACTGTCATCTTCGGGCCAGCTTGCTCTATGTGCACTGCTGTCTCTTGCGATAACAAATTAACTCTGTTATGACAACTTAGAGTATACCTATATAACCCTTCATAGCTTGAAACGGGATACTACTAGCATTTATACGTCGTATAATTCACTGTATAGTACTTAAAGCGTGAAGAAGGTGCCTATAACTTATTCACATATGATGAAGATTATAAGATCTTACATTCCATCATGAAAGAAAAAATACCTGTTGTTAGCTAGCGCCTACTCAGGGCAGTCATCAACGCAGCTAATTTTAACAAAATGATTAAAAATCATGCAATGAACAATAACTAATCATTTTTGAGAATCTCCACAAGTTGTTGCAACTTTTAAGAAAAAAATCAGCTTGATGGGACCAGAAGCGGCTATGAACTCAAGGATAAAGCTTAGCCTCACTCACCGCGCGTCTTGATGCCTAAATATGATCACATTGTCAATTTTCCAAACTGGATAAGATGTTGCATAGGTTAGTACGGCATAATCAGTTTCACATGATTGTATTGACATACATAGCAAGGGGTGCACACAGTTGCAACAGCTTCTGTAATATTGATGTCAAATCTGAACTCATGAGGCATTTTGTGTATCTCTCAATCAATGACAACATCGCCGCCGTAGTTACTGTAGATAGGAGAACCTTTGAAGAGGGACGCCAACATTATTACGCGAAGTCCATTCGCGATTGGTTATTCCAACGATACTACCCCGATTATTCCGGGCAAATGTGGATGTTTCAATAAGGAACTTGTGTATGATAGCTAAAATTATCAATTAGTCTAATCTTTTTCTAATTTTCTTTTTCTTACTCATGCATTGCTAACGGAGTATTTTCCCAGCGCCCAGGCGGAAATTCGGTGTAACCTGCGTAGTGGTGTATCTATTTCCAGAGCGGAGATCCGGGTCAACTACAGCTATGCCAGCCGAATAACAGCGGTGAATATAGCGCCAAATAACAAGGGAGTACCAGACCTTCTTTGCCCGGCAGTGCCCTTGATGCCCTTTGCTATAGGAATTGGGTCTGTTGTAGATATACCCCGTTTGTTAAGCTGTCCAGACTTGGCCATTTACCGGTCTCGTGCGCATTGTCAAATTCATGGCACTGGCATCGCTTTTTCCACACTTCACTGCTCCTGTAGAGCACCATTTGCCTCTGAATCCTACATTTTAGTCTATGTTTCATAAAAATATGAAGGAATGAAGAGGTCACAAAAAGGAAAAAGGGGGCATAACTCCCGAAATTAGGTAAGAATGGGCGGCGAGTGCATTATCATCAGACAGCTGTACTGATATTAGAGTATAATTTGACGTGATAATACAACAAACCAAATGGTATGTTCTAGAGTCAGGTTAAATAACAGACGTTTTCTATGAATATTCTAAAAGGCTGTAGAACTGTGTGGCTATAAGCTGTAATCCATACCTGTAAAATTACTAGATTATGATAAAGAGATCGAGGGGTGTTGCCAATACTTCTTCGCATTTGACTTATAAGCCAGACGCATTTGAGTAACAATATACGAGGGTAATAGCATTACAATCATAGCTTGGGTGTGATATCGAGCTGATGAACGGTCTTGGATGTTTGGTTACAAAGTTGGGGGCAAGACCTCTTATACATACACAATCTACGAGATCCGCAGACAAATCAGTCGGGAGTCACCCTGTCGTTGAGAAACAGTACATGTACGCAGAGAATTGCGCACCAGCCTCGTTCTTGTTCGTATCTTGTCCCTATTTCCAAAGTACCAAGATTCCATGCTATCAGCGCCCTCCCTTATTCCTCTCGTAACCGCGGTTGATGACAAATTGGTTGAGCAAAACACCCCCTCGCAAAGGAGGCGAGATATTTTCGAACGAGAAGGAATGATGAAGAACGTATCGTAATGTGGTACCGAAATAAGCTGTAAACAATCGAAACAATGGAGTTCTTTGTGCTGATTAACCTTGTTGCAATATGAGGTTATCCGCAGAGTCATGGATTGCTTACACCAGCATCTGAATACGGCCGAGGACTACGCTAACATGCGCTATAGAGTCCACTGAAATTACAGCTAAAGGCCACTAACACATGCAGCCTGCAGACACCTACTTCCTGTTAAGGTACGGCGCTAGTGCAGAGCAGCAACCGAATTAGGAAATTTTGAAGTGTCAGTTGCCCAGCTCACTAGCTGGCGATCAATCAGCCCCAGAATCGAGGAATATGTCGACATGCCGCAAACAAGACTTGTAAGAATAGGACTGTCAGCTTCAAGTTAAAGAACCAATCAGGGTGATGAAGCGACAACCAAATTAGGAACAAACCGACCCAGGCCATTCTGAAGAAACCCTAGACTAGTAGCAGGAATTGGGAGGCATTTTATTGTAAACCTCTGGCGGGGTTTTGTCTAAGCGGAAGTAAGTGTGCTGAGAATAGGTCACCTAAGCTTCAGCAATTAGGGAGCCGAGATTCGCATTGCAATAATTAATAGGCATATGGCTTACAACAATCTGTGTGGTACAGAGTATTATTCTAACAAACGAGTTAGTCCTCGGCTTCAACTAACACCAGTTGAGCCAAAGACAAAGCAAATTTCGAGGATGTCAACTCTCGGAGTAACCCGTGCAACTATTTTAGCCAGCTGTAGCGAATTGAGAGTCCCACCATCTCAACTAGCGCTAGGAAGGATTGCGCCACTGCACTCGCGCATACACTAGACTGGAGAGCTCAGCCCGAATAGCTTTGTCATGGGGAGCCTCGGCCAGGTTGGTAATCACTGTGATGCAGGTGAATACAGTGTAGCCATATCATCATAGTATAGATCAGTTTATTGATAATTGTCGCTTAATTTGGAACAACTGGTGGTTATAAAACCTGGGAACCCCCTCCAAGAGTATGTGATTCTCGACATCATCTCACAGCCAATTTCTATTCTACATACCTTGTGCTTCAAGTCTCTCTGCTACCCTATCAATTACACCATAACCTATAAAAACAATCTACAACAACAAAAATACCAACAAGATGGCATCTTACGCAACTGCTGAGCCTCAGTTTGTTGAAGTTAATGGCACCCGATTTGCCTATCTTCGCTTCGGTTCAACAGCGAAGACCACTGTTCCTCTGGTGTTCCTTGTGCACTTTCGAGGCACCTTTGATCACTGGGACCCTGAGTTGATTGACCCTATCTCGGCTACCCGTGAGGTCATTCTCCTGGACAATTCCGGTGTTGGAAAGAGCAGCGGAACAGTCCCCGGCACATATGCCGAATGGGCCGACAACGTCGCCCAAGTTGTTAAGGCACTTGGCATCTCCCAGATTGACCTACTTGGTTTCTCCATGGGCGGTTTTGTCGCTCAGATGACAGCGCTCAACTACCCCACTCTCATTCGCAGGCTTATTCTTGCTGGAACCGGACCTAGTGCTGGCGAAGGTATTGAGGGCGGCGATAGTGCTGCATTCGGACGTCTTGCTTCAGCCTCGAATGATGATGAGGAGCGCGGCGGCTTCTTGGAGGGCTTTTACTCTCTAACACCCGCAAAGCAATCTTCGGGCGATAAGTGGTGGAAGCGCATGACAACTGCTCGCTCAAACAGGTCTGACTACCTCGGACCTGAAGGCACAAAGGCTCAGATTGGCGCCGTCCTTCGTTGGTCGAACCCTGAGTACGCATCTGAAGGCTCATACAACCGTCTGCATGAGATCAAGATTCCCGTCCTTGTCGCCAATGGCGATAACGATATTCTCGTCCCCACAGTCAACAGCTGGGTCATGTTTAAGAGACTGACCAACGCTGATGCCCACCTCCACATTTACCCGGATGTGGGTCACGGGTTCCTGAATGAGTACGCGGGCCAGTTCTCGAGCCTGGTCAATCAGTTCTTGGACGTCTAAACAAGGGCTCTTTAATGATTTATTTCTAGTTCTGGATAACGTGGTTGCTATCAATACTTGCATCTATATAGACTTCATACTTGGTAGATAGCTTTGAAAGTAATATTTCTTTAAGACTCTTTCTGTCTCCTCCATCGTGAACATAGCTACTCAATGAAAGCTGGCATAAAAAGATAGTAAAATGGGCTAATCAGTACTGTAATTAAAACTATATAAAGTGAATTCACGCTCTCTGCATAAGTCTTGAGAAACTTGTAGTTGAGTTGCTACGTCATGAAGAAGAATAGTTTCCAACCGCTACAAGGGCGCGTTTAGCAATGACAATTGGGGCAACCAATTTAGCGTCAATCAGAGTAATCACGTCAATTAGGTAGCTCGAAGGATTCACTTCCTAGAACCAACTAAGCAAACTATGCTGGACTATATGCAACGAAAAGGGAAGTAGGTATAGTTGACGCGGTGTCTATCAATCAGAATCATACCATTGTTACTAGTTTCTGAAGCAATAACGCCCGACTTCTCTTGAGCTTGTAAACCTTGTGAAGCTCTCCGGCCCAGCCTAGCGGCTACCAGCTCCACGCCAACCAGCCCCATATCGCGATTTTAGCTGCAACGCAAGCCGTTTGCTCAATTAGGCAACTTTTGGAATTGACCCACCGATCCTTCGCGCCGCAAGTGCCATCATAGTCTGTCAGTGCTCGAATAGTTGAATGCTCAGGTCATTTGGATGGAGAATGCGCTTCCTGACAAATGCGGTAGATAACTGACTATACTGCAGAATGGAATCATCTTGCTAAACCTTCAAGGCTGATTAATTTGGAGATGTACTTTGTTTCATGCATTTCAAATCATAGCGATGAAAGATTTTGTTTGTGGAAGGAAATAGATAAATACTTGGGCAGGCCCGACGATGAAGAGAAAAGAATTCGCTACAACACACTCATCATCTACAAAGCACTTCATCTACAAAGCATTCAATCCACACAACATTTCATCTACACAACAACTGCAATTCATATCAACATCAAAACAAACATCTGTGATATTTTCGAATTATCTACTATAAAAGAAATGGCTGCCAGCAATCTTATCGCCCTTACCGGAGCCACTGGCTTCCTGGGATTCAAGGTCCTAACCATTGCCCTCAACTCTGGATACAATGTCCGACTTGTGGTTCGGTCCGCTAGCAAGGCTAACAAGGTTCTCAACTCGCCATCTATCAAGGCTTTGAACCCTAGCCAAGAGAAGCTCTCCTTCGTTGTGGTTGAGGATATGGAAGCCCCAGGCGCCTTCGACGAAGCAGTCAAGGGAGCCACATATGTGATCCACTGCGCTTCTCCCATCCCCACTTTCGGTGGTGAGGCTCCTCCTACTCCCGAGCAATATGACGAGTTTTTCGTCAAGGCTGCTCGCCGATCGACTATTGGGCTCCTTGAAAGCAGCCGCAAGGCCGGCACCATTAAGCGTATCATCATTACCAGCTCTGTTGTCGGCATCACTCCTTTCCATTACTATCTCGGCCAGGGAGACGACAAGATTTTCGATGCTGAGTACCGCATTCCTGTTGACCAGGGTCCTTATGGCTTCGAGTTCCAGGCTTACAGCGCCAGTAAGGCTGCAGCTTTGAACGAGTCTGAGGCTTGGGTAAAGGAGAACAAGCCCGGTTTCGACCTCATTAGCATTCTTCCTGGATGGATCTTTGGTGCCGATGAGCTCTCTACCACGAAGAAAGACTTTGAGTCCAGCTCTACAAACTCAGTTCTGCTGAACTTCCTTCGCGGTGGACAATCCGATATTCCATCAAACAGCAATTCGGTTCTTGTTGATGACGCCGCCAAGATTCACGTATTGGCCCTTGATCCCAAAATCCCTGGCAATCAGGCATTTGTGACCGCAGCAGATGGTCTTGATGGTATGGTTTGGGAGGACGGCCTCAAGGTTCTTGAGAAGCACTTCCCGGAAGCTATCGCACAGGGACTTGTGAAGACAACTGGAAAGCAGCCAACTCTTACTATTCGCCTTGATGCTAAGAAGACTGAGGAGACCTTTGGTGTCAAGTTCGCTGGGTTTGATGAACAAGTTAAGAGCCTTGTGAGCCAGTATGTCGAGGTTGCTAAAGCTTAGAATGGAACTACATTAGATTAGCTATGTTCTCAATTGCAATATAGATTTTACTGAACCTGAAGACTTAATCATTCGGCGTGATCCTATCTAAATCTGTCAATTACAGGGCGACCCCTAACTCATCTATATCTACGGATCTCGTGGATTGTGTATATAAAAGATGCCATCCTGGAATTTGTAACCGGATAACCAAGACTTTAAACCAATACAATAATGGACCTAACTTCTATCTCAGCAAGGTCTACCTTAAATTGCCACTCTATGTCTTGCGGCATTTGCAAATTATATATATAAGGTCCCGGTAAAGCTCCATGCGTAACAAAAGCTAAATGCAAGAGAATTTATGGCAAAAATCCTTTATGTACATTATACATACAATCAATAAAATCCACAACTGGCTCATCAGAGTGTTCAGAACAGAGAAATGACGCCCCAGCCTTGCCTCCTTTTTTGTTGCACAAATATCCAGTAAAACGCACAATTTTTCATGCGGATCGGGCAATATCTCACGTGGATCGGCCTGCAGAGTATCCAATCACTAACCACCCCCGTTCATACGCCTTAGGGAGCATCTCAATTGCCCACTGGTCTTCTAGAGGCTGGCTGATGCCTGCTATCGCAAGGGCATACGGGCTGAGTGCATCTGCCCTGGCTCCATCTAGCTTGATCGGGGAGGTCGAAGATTTTCCTACATGGACTGTTGCACTTGCTGGCTTCTGGGGATACATAAGGAGAGTGATGCTCGTGACGCTGGTAGGCCGGTTCTGTTGCGTCCAGAACGGTAGCCTTTTGACTATGTCTTTCAACTGCATCTTTCCAGTTGAGGCTATATTTCTCCATTCAGATGAGAAATCGTACTTTAAGTCAATCGCTAGCGCTGAACTCTCAGTTTTGGAAATGAACGCCTTGGCAGCTTTGAAGCCTCCTCCCTCAGTGTGACCCCTCCATCAATGGACGTATAATTTATATGAAGTACCACGTCAGATATGGTATGATAGTCGAATGGCTTGAATACCTGGGGGAGTTCAATTTTCCAAGTCGATATAGCTCCAGCACCTTCAAAAGGCCCATACTCATCGGTGCCACGAAAATCCATATTGAAGATACCAGAATCTTGCACACCGTTACTGACAGCGATAGATGTTATAGGAACTATATCTTGCCGAAAGGCATCCTTCTCGGGCGTCTTCAAATCCGGTGAAATACGGTAGCCATGTTTCGTTAGCCTCAGTGTGCAACTGAGGGATGTATATGCTCCTAGTATGCAGGGAATTGAGACGGAGACTGACGAGATGCGACGACAGAAATGGCCTGGGTAGTCCATATCGAACAAAGCCTCCGGTACGTTGAGAATGGCTTCCCCAGTCTCTCGCAGCTTCAAAAGCTCAATGGGGTTCAGCTGTCGCAAGGAAATACTCTTTCTGATCTAAAAGTCATGCGTCCGGCTCTCCATATGCAATTTCTCTAATTGTTTCAAGTCGAGATACATAGACTCAGCAGATAAATGACCATCGTGCGAATTGTCCCAGTAATTAACAACCTTGGGCAACTTGCTATCATTATTAAACTGGGCTGCGTGCTCAAAGTTCAGTGCACGTCTTGCCAAACTAGCCATATCGGCCGCCATAGTATATGTTTGTTGAAAAATAATGTTCATTGAGTTTTCCAGAAGCGCGTATAATTGCTCGCTTGTGTATTTCTTGCGAAGCCATTCTTCTTCAGCTGCTGCGTTTTCGATTTCTTGCTCATGGGCTTTCATATCTGCATCGCATACGTCCAGGCGTACTCGCAATTGCTTAATTTCTTTGTCAACTTTAACCATCTCGCGACCGGTAACATTGATCTCAAGCCGGCGCTCTTGCAGCTGTTTTGTAATGGCACCAGCCCGCGCAGCCTTGACGGCTTGGTCAGTATATACTTGTGCACCTAACTTAACAGCAGCAGCTTGTGACTGTATCAACTGCCCCAAGACATATCCGCCGAGACTAACATCCGACCCCATACCCATTGGCTGTGTCTTGACAGAAAAGGTGGGAATTGCAAATGCGGCGGCAGCAGCGACATCTAACAATCCTGCTGCTATGTTCATATCGGAAGCTTTCTCAGACAAGTTCATTTCACCTAGTTCAAAGGGAGACATCCTTAGATCATCGGTTGTTGGTGAGGCGATATTTTGAACAACATCCGCCCAATGGTCACCCTCAGCCGTTGGAAACGTGGGCGTGTCACCTGTCAGCTGCAGGTAATAGTTGAGTCGCATCTCCAGCTGCTTTCTAGTTTCCTGCAGTACTTCTATGCCCTTCTCCGTCTCAAGTCTCTGATTCTTCTTTATACGCATTGTTAGTCCCAAAACGGTGCGCTGGTGCTTAGTCCGAAGCAGCCAGATGGCCTCAGCATCCCTCTTCTCTTTAAACTGGATTAATTGCTGGCTCGCCAGGCGTAATTCATTGACGAGTTCATATGCCTGGTGAATAAGGTACCTGAAGCGATATTTGGGAATTGGGCCATCTTGCGAGGTAAACGGGCTAGCTGAACTACCAATTGATCTGAGAGCTTGTGCGGCAAGCACCATGGCCGGGTCCAGGGGCGGTTCGAATAACGGAAGAGAAATCGGGATACCATTGATATCTAATCCGTTTCGGATATTGTACAGTCGTTGATCGATTTTTTTGCCCAGGTCGATTATATACGGATTGGTAGGAACGGAGAAATAGCTGTATTTAGATGGTGCAATCCCCAAAGTCTTAAGCTTATGTCCATTTAATACGGCAACTCCACTAGGGGCAGTGTCGAGGGCAGCATTATAGTTGTCATTTGAAAAATTTCGGTCGGGTTCTGTGAGTTTCTCATATGTCTTTGCTTTTGTTTCAATCAACTTTGGTATGATGACTGGCCTAGCACCAAACAGATGTGACGCCTGAATATATCGCTCGATGGCAAGCGGAATGCTCTCGAGCGTTGCTTGACGAAAAAATAGGTCTCCCATTCCAATAAGGACCTCTATATACTTGAGCATTATTCGCTTCATGTAAACCTCCGGAGAGTTGCGGGCCAAAACATGGACGTTATTGTTCTCATATTGTTCCATAATAGTTCGTTCCACAAGTGGCTCGTTGTCACGAGTATTCAATTTCTTGATAGCATCCACAAAAGGTGGAAATAACCAACACTGATATGGATCATCGCTGAGAGTTGGATCAAATATGGTGCGCAGGGTCTCTAGAGCTAGGTCATATTGCTGCGTAGCCATGAGACGCTCTGCCAGTAGCATTGGGATGTGAACGCCGAGCTCCCAATTATATATGGAAAACGGCCGAGCGCGTTCATGGAAGAAATTGTCGACATAATGATGCAAGCCGAAGGTATCACGGGACTCGGTGCTCTCAGACCCAATTTTATGAAGGAATTGATGGACTGCGTCGACCTCGCCGCCATTGTTCACGCAGTCTATCAATCTTGCCGTAAGCAAGTTTGTAAAATCATACAACTGAAATTTGACTTCATATGTTTCTTTAGAAAAGGCTTTAGGTATTCCAATGTATTGCAGACAACCTTGTTTCGAGGTTTCCTCATCAAAGACGAGGGCTTTCGAGCACGGTTTGGGGGAGAAGAACCCAGGAGGTATTTTAAATGATGTATGGGATTCATCGAATGATATAGTCCAGTTGCGCCGAGATATATCAGGAATTCCTTTCCCATCAACATGATTTGCTTTGAATGGACCCAGTACTCTCTCTTGGCTGAATTCGCCGTTCTTTGCGTAATTAGTCTTTTGGAAGCTTGTGATATCATACGGTGGTTCATGAGTATCATACAGCCCTCGCTGTCGACGTATCAGTTGATGGCCATGACATTCGAATGCACCGTAACTAAAACACTTTAAGATCTCCTTTTCCGAGTTAATCTTTTCACGGTATCTGTATTCGACCTCGATGTGCAGATTTGGATTGGATTCATCTCGGTATGTATCGAGTAGAGAGAAGTTGAATTCATCGATGGCGGGCCATTTTTCCACGCCGGCGTAGACGATGTCGATCCCAGAAAGTTTAACTTTGGTGTACGTTGTGATTGGTTTACATTGAATCGCCTCTTGAGGTACTGATTTTGCCAGCCACTTTCCATTGCGTCTTTCAGTACGTCCCATCCGAACGTCCCACCAACGTTGTGGAACAAGCGACGCCATTTTCGCATTGAGCAAGTCCTGACCTGTTCTTCCGCCATTCGAAGTAAATTCATTATTTGTTTGCATCAGTGTGATTTCAGGAAGGAACAACGTTAACCGGCCCTGTATCACTGCTGGAATTAGATATGACCCGGGTTTATCAAGTCGTCGTCCGTCTGCATCTGTTTCATAGACTGGCACGTCGATATCGAGTCTTTCCCAGGGCGTCCAGAAATACATGTCTTGTTCATCATCATGCTCCCTTGGGCGAATCTGTAATTTGCGGTAATAAAAGGAAACCGGCTGCGTTCTCGTGCGTCCGAAGAAATGTATGTCAGCGTAACGCGTGCGACCGTCTCCTGAGCCAGTCCGATCCCAAAGATAATTGACAATCTCTAAATTGGCAATTTTTTCGATTTCGTGTAGATACGTCTTGGTTAGGGTAGCAATGCTTTCTGGGTCAAGCTTGGTTTGTGCCATAGCCGTCTCAAACTCCAAAAACTGTTCCGTCTTGTCATCTCGGAGCGTGGGATCTGCCCAGGTTTCGGGATGTAAGAAAACCTTGCGTTCTGCCTCCCACAGCCTGTAGCGGAACATTGTATCCCATTCAACGGATTTGTTCGCGCGCAATTTCGGCCCCGTAATGCCGTGGCGACGCTCGACACCCAGCAAGCACCTTTGAACAAAGAGTTGTACCGTTGAGATGGCTTGCTTGAGTCGCGAGGTCTGCAGCACGGGCCCCATTTGAACGTCGATGAGCAAATGTTCAAACAGCTCTTCTGCATCTCGTATCTCGTTTTGCCTAGCGTAACTATGAGCTAATAGATATTGCACCATGGCATCACGCTGGGCTGTGCGTATCCCATCGTACGCTTTATCAAACGCTGCACCGCCACCAGGCATTATTCGGAGATTTCGAATCGCCTTTCGGAGAGCTTTCTCAAACTCAAAATAATCATTCCATACCATGGTATGTGAAGGCACTGGAGGCTCTGGTGGTGGAGATTCAGTTGGTGGAGATTCAGGTGGAGGAGGTGTAGGTGGTGAAGGTTCAGGTGGTGAAGGTTCAGGTGGTGAAGGTTGAGGTGGTGAAGGTTTAGGTGGTGGAGATTCAGTTGGTGAACGTTTAGGTGGTGAACGTTTAGGAGGTGGTGGATAATACGGAAAATGTCCACGCGGAAATAAATGCGCATGTACCTTTGGAAGCTCAAGTGTGTTCTTGGGAAGTCTAGGTTCCGCTAATGCAAACAACTGTTCCAGTGATATACCTGGAAGTCGCAATTTGCCAACCAGAGAGATGGAGTTGCTCATCTCTAGAAGGGTCGATAGGATTCGAAAGCGTTTTGCCAGGCGGTCGGCTTCCTCTTTTGTATTTGAAGTGTCGTCCAAGGCATACTTGGCTTTTATGTAATTAGCACACATCTCTGAAGACCAACCACTGACGGATACTAGAAGAGATATAAGATGTTCGACTGTTCCAGGGGGACTGTGATAGAGAGATGTATAAAAGTCACACAGCGGTTGCTTTTCTTTCTTATTTGGGAAGACTTCCCGAAGTTGACAATAACGCTCTAGTTCACGAATTTCTTGTAGATCCGGACGGGCGAAACCAATGAAGGCAATCTTGAGGTTTCGAAGCATTTCAATTTCAGCCTTCTTCAGTCCACATCGCCTGACGATCGCGGCAGTATGCATAAGACGCCTGACCAGCATCTCCATAATATATATAATATGCGGATTGGTTAGTACTATGGGCTTTAATATCTCAGGAATCCTGATATTCAATGCCAAAGGAGGCTTGTCGGTGATAGGCTCTGTTTCCATTGCAAGTATAATTTCCAGGCTAGAGCTCGAGGTTACGTTGCGAGTACCTGTAGTAATACTTGCCGACAAACAATATTCCAAAACATTTTTTTCAACATCGGGGAAGTGCGGATGAAGATGCTCAACAATTATTTGCCATGGTGAGGATAGCGGCGCTTTGCCGTCGTAAGTATCCGTCGCAGAGAAGCCTTGAATCATCGCATTTATAATTTTTTCAATATTCTCTTGAGTAGGATTATACGCGTCGTCAGACTTGATAGCGTTTCCAGTGCAAATAAAGAGAATTTCATCCAGGCTGAACCGTGATGCTTTATGATCCTTGATCAGAGCCAGGGTTGTTGACGGATCCTGGAAAGGATTGAATTGGGATTTGGATGAGTGAACGCTGATCAGGAGTTTGTATTTGTCTACTGGGACGTCGAGTATCTTGCAAAGCGTTGAGATGCGGTATAGTTGACTTAAGCTGCTCATTGTAAGAATTGTCGGCACGAGATCCTTGATCTCAAGATACTCATCCATGGTCAACCGAACTCCCTCCAAAATTGTAGGCAGATAATCTACAATGTTTGAGTCGGTATTAAAATATTGATAGGCCTCATCGACAGCTTTCTTTGGGAAAAAGATTTCGTCCGGGTGCGCAGACTGTAGAAACCGACGGGTATACAAGCTGTACACTTTTAAGGAGGTATAATCGTATGTGTCGATATCTCCCCAGAGGGGCTGTATCTCCACAAGAGCTAATCCCGTCAACTCTGCTATCTGCTGCACGCAGGCTATTTTCCCAATAACATCTGCGTCAATGGAGGCACTACCGGCAAACATAGATACGAAGATATCAAGCTCATGCAATGTCCACGGTAGTTTTCTCCACAGCCTGACGAACGCTTGGAGACGTTGGCATGTGTCAATCCCAGGCGTTGTAGAGTCCCCATCTTTCTGCTCTATTCTCGCTTCGCTGAGATTTTTCGGTTGATCGGGCTTCATTTGGAGAGTACCACAAAAATATCGAGACTTTGTAATCGAAAGCAATTCCTCAAAGCTCAATCCACTGCGCGGCATTGTCTCTTTTTGTACGAGTGTCAAGCCACTGGATGAACTCAGAATATCATGTTCGCTATCGTAGCCCCAGTACTCCCACGTTTTTCGGCAATCAACCGACTTCAAATAGTCATCGCTAGGCCACTCCTTGTGTGGATAAAAGCCTTCTGTTGTGATGGCTACGTAATCTTCATATTGCAGCCCGAGCACTTCTGCTGCCCACGCACGGTTGATAATTTCTATACGCATTTTTATGACGGTTGGAGTATTTGTGGCAAATTGAATTCTGTCGGGCGCAGAAAACGTCTCAAGGATTTGTATAAGTGGGACTCCACAGGCCTTCATCAATAATCGAATGCTCTGTATGGCGTGGTTGTAGGGGAAAACATTCATGGGAAACACCATAGGCTGAACGTATTTTTCATAAACCTCTAAACGAATGTGTTGCGGTTCGGAGGATTTCCGTTCGGCAGTGTCTTTAGACTCCATGTTAAATGGAGAAAGAGGATTTTGGAGTTTTTCGGATTGTTCCCAGGCAATGGCTTCAAGAATCTCATTTACAAGATCAATGTAGCGAATTTGGATGCTGGTGTTGAAGTAAGACAAGTCCAACTGTTTTAGATCAGGCCGCCGCTCAAATAGTTTGTCCTGTAATGTAGTCGCTTTTCCTCCCGCTGCCCCCAAGGATGCTTTCTTAATCGAGTCTAATAAGTGAACAAAAAAGGCTGCCGGTGAGGTGACAGAGATGCCATCGTCTTCTATCATGCTCCCCATGGGGAACATGGTTGAGAGGTTGATATCACGTAGAGAGTGTTGATTTACCAGCTCTTGATTTATGCTAGAGATTTCATGTTCCATGCCTCGATTTTTGCATCCGTTGGATCGTAATGCCTCTATTGCTATACGCTCGTTACGTATAGCAATGACAGATGCTCTCTTCAAAATTTTGGTGGCCTGTTCATGAGAGACGCCACTTTGTACAAGAGCATCACGACCACACTGGTGGTCCTCGATGACAGCTTCCACAGTCTTGTAGTTGCATGCAACAAGGCGCCGAAAATCATCACATTTGGTCGTTAGCGATAGCATCTGCTGCAGCTGCACGAGGTACTCTATCAGTGCTGGCTGGAGGACCTCGCTAATCCTTGCAATGAAAAACACGTTCTTCTCGGCATCTGAACTATCTTGGTCCCCTCCTAGTAGTCGACGGATAGTGTCCTTGCGAATGTTGAAGCTGAATAATTCGACAGCTAATTGAAAGACTGTTGTGGCACTTTCATGTAGTTCGGAGGGTACAACTAGCTTCTTCGATTGGAGCATTCCAATAATTGATGACATCACTTCTTCGGAGAATAACTTGTCTCGAAGTTTGTCCCATGCTGAATTGATGTCGATCTTCAAGTCCTCGGTAGAATTACTCGGGAGTAACTCGAATAAGTTATCGGGACCTGCATGAACACTGCGTGCTAAACTTTTAATAAACAAGCACATTTTGTCGTCGGCTTCCTTTCGTTCTTCCAGATCGGTAGCCAGGTCAAGGACTGGCAACATGGATTTCCAGATCTCTTCGACACGCAAGAGAAGCCGAAGTTTATCTTTCTTTTCATTGTCAAGGTTGCCATCTTGTATAATGCTCGGTATAGCAGGAATTAACTCGAGCTCATCCGAAAGAACAGCTTCCAGTTGACTTTTCAAATCGCCTTTCAATAGATTGACGGTTGGAAACACCTCTTTAGTAAGATGAGGAATCCACTCTAGCTCAACATGCTAATATCCATAAATGTCAGCAGCCTGAAGGCCGGTATATCGATCGCTAATATGTACTCACACTCGAATATATATCCATTGTGATGTTTCCGACGTTTCTAAATCGTGTAATAATTGACAAGACGTTTGTGTTCGATGCTTTTACGCATGCTCTCTCTCCGACACCTCCGAGCCCCCATATCTAGCCTCTCTATATATATTTTAACAGGATGGGCACGATTTCAAATCAGTATTCTTCGCAGGAATTTCAGAACCCTCCTGCAATAGAATGAACTGCGCACAACCTACTCCGCCTGACACACTGGGCTTCTTTGTTATAGTCCAATCAGCGTTCCCCCGAAAGTCAACACTCTGCATTATGCAAGTTTTACTCCCTAATACCACCCTTCTATCACGAAAGTTCCCTGCTTATCGCGCATTCAGCTGTCAACGGGATTAAATCCTTATACATAGACTTCGGGAATAACGTCACAATATTTTGGCCAAGAGAATTTACTGGCTAAGGGCAGTGGGCATGCCTCACCGAACATACCACATTGATGTTTTGTCTCTTGTTAAATGACATATCAGAATCCTACACAGTACCCTGCAGCCAATCAACAAGCATATATCTTACCTCTCCGTTGCACTTGTGTGGGCCTCGCAGATTCAGCTTGTTGGAAACCGGGCAGCTTCCCGAAAATAGATGTGCGTGCATGGAATACTGTCAGCTGATCAATATTGAGCTGCCATGGTCTTTGGATAGTTGGCATTATAGGAATACTCTAACTTTTTTTTTTTTTTTTGGATGTGTGTGTGTGCTGTAATCGGTAAGTACCTATGCTACTTGTGAGTTAATCCTCTGACTTGAAGATATGTATAGGAGACCAGTCCAGGCCTAGACTTTGTGTACGCATTACTTACTAGAAGAACACAGAGAGTAGCGAAATTTTTTTCATGAGAACTAGTATTGATAACTCAACTTCAAAAAGGGTGACGGATCAAGATGCCGGACTATATCCAAAACCATGCCAGCCTTTTAAACAATCACCTAGTAAGAATTGATCCCCTTTAGACCTACAGCTCCATATCGTATTCTAAGGCTCGTCGGAATTAACGTTATGACAGAGTGGGCAACCCGGACTGAGACCTTTTGGTACCCAGTCTGATAAACATTCTAATATGGGCCAGAAGGATGCCGAGAAAGCATCATCAGATCAGACTAGCAATGCACCTGGCTACTTGCTGGCAGCAAACGCCGATCAGAGAGCAAATAGAGAACAATTCAACGTCGACACCGCGACCGGCGGATTCAGTTACAGTGTTCCCATCCCTGATTCTCCGGGACGTCAAGACTTTAATCCAAGCCTGAGCCTCGTATATCAATCAGGATCTGCATCTATCAATGGGCCTTTCGGTTCCGGGTGGAAACTCTCCGGACTTGACAGCATCTCTAGGAAGGTATCTCACGGAGTTCCTCTTTACGATGATAATCGAGACATATTCATCCACTCAAGGATTGGAGAGCTCGTCCCGTCAACCGGACAATCAGGATCTGCTGAGTGGCAACATAATGGTTACCTTGTTCGAATCTACCGACCACGGGTGGAGCATGATGATTGCCGTATTGAGTGTTGGACTAGTCAAACAGACAGCGGTCAACAATACTGGAAGACGATTTCGGGAAATAATGTCACTACAGTGTATGGTCAAGACGAGAACTCGCGGATCTACAATTCGGATGACGACCATCATCATCATGTTTTTTCATGGGTTGCGTGCAGTTCCTACGACAGCTATGGAAACCATATAGTATACTCTTATAAGGCCGAAGACTCTTCTAGAGTTGCAACTATAAACAATCAGAATATATCTGAAACAGGCCGCACGCCAGCGAGCAGGTCAACGCAGCGCTACTTGAAATCTATATTCTATGGAAATCGTACGCCAAACAGGGATCTAGAATCATGGAAAGTATTGAGCCCTTCCTCTGCCGATACAGATTCGAGAAACTGGCTATTTCAGCTTGTCTTTGACTATGGAGAGCACGACATAACAACACCCACTCCGAATGCAATACAGGAATGGGACATTCGCCCGGATCCTTTCTCTGTTTATAATAGTGGTTTTGAGGTACGCACGTATCGTCGGTGCCGCCGGATACTCATGTTTCATCATTTTCCGGAGAAGATTGGCCGTCAGGACTGTCTTGTAAAATCCATGTCTTTTCAATATGAGAATGATCCTCGATCAGGAGTTAGCTACCTTCGTTCGTGTACATCCCATGGATATTCTCCTCTTCCAACCAAGGGCTATTCACATCTATCTCTTCCCCCAATTGAGTTTGAATACACCCGCTCACCTCCGTTACATGACCTAAAGACAGAGGAGGCAAGGGTGCCTGTGTCGGGATTTCGCCCTTCGGGGTCCGGTGTCTCATGGCTCGACCTCAATGGCGAAGGATCTCCGGGCATCCTGACTCAAGTTCCTGGGACTGGTTGGTACTACCAAAATAACCAAAGTGATGGTGCGGAATTATCCTTTGGTGACCCAGTAGTGCTCTCCGAGATACCAAATGCCGCCAATAATGACATAAATTGGCAATGGGATAATTTAGAAGGCAACGGTCTTTTATCTCTCGTGACGCACACACCTAAAGCTGGCAGTGGCCTTCGGGGGTTTTATCAGCGTACTGAAGAAGGAGGATGGACCAACTTTGTCCCCTTTGAGTCTAATCCATCTGGGGTGGATTACTCGCATCTCACTCGCATTAATCTGAGTGGTGCTATTCTTGCAGATCTCATTGACTTGCGTGCAACCGACAGCGAGTTGGGATGGTATCCAGCCCTTGAACATGGCATTAAAGGACACGGAGAGCGCCACAGTACTGCTGGCGGGCCAAATCTACGACTTAGTGATGATACGTCGGTCTTTATTTGTGATATGAGCGGCGACGGCCTTAGCGATATTGTCATTGTGGAAAATAGCCATGTCTGTTACTGGCCCAATACCGGCCATGGGCATTTCGCCCCAAAGATTGTTATGGAGAACTTCCCTTGGTTGCCAAACTTTAATCCCCAGCGCATACGCCCTGCTGACATCACGGGCTCTGGGTGTACAGATCTCATCTACTTACTGCCAGAAGGAGGTGCCCTTGTCTTTTATAACCAATCCGGAAATCGCTGGAGCGATGCATATTCGCTCCCTTGCTTCCCTCCGCTGGATGAATTTGTGGCAGTTGATATCTTTGACGTAGCTGGAAGAGGAACTCAGAGCCTTTGCTGGTATTCAAGTAACGATTTAGGTGCTGCAACCACATCGCTCTGCTATGTGGACTTGATGGGTGCGCAACGCCCCGGTTTGCTGAGGTCTTGTTCTCGAAATATGGGAGACAATATGGTGATTAACTATCGATCTTCCACGCTGTACCATCGCGAAGACGAAAGAAATGGTAGGCCTTGGACAACTCGGCTACCTTTCCCCTTGTATTGTGTTGAGAGCATAACAACCTCAGATCTTGTGTGCAAAACCTCTCATGCTATACGCTACGCTTATCATAATGGTTTCTATGATGCAGCTGAGCGAGAATTTCGCGGTTTCCAGATGGTGGATGAATGGGATCAAGAAGATTACGGTGATTACAAATCCCCCTGCCTCTACACCAAAAGTTGGTTCCATATCGGCTCAACTGAGATTGAGTCAAACGCGACGCTGCCGTACATCATTCCAGCTCTCCAAGGTCTCTTGGAATCACTAGGGAGTGCGAATATACCATCACAATTGAACCCGCGGGAGAAACAAGAAGCATACGGGTCTCTGGCTGGCTTGCTTCGCAGACAAGAAATTTACTGCATGGACGGCTCTTCATCCCATGATAAGCCATACAAAATCATTCAGCATAGCTATAAGGTAACGATGCTCCAGGCGGCTGATACCGAACCGAAATCACACCATGCAGTTTTTCGAATCCATGACCAAGAGAGTGTATCTGCCGAGTGCGGAAGGGGCCAATTCCAGGATGCAAGGGTGGAACACAGTCTGGTACTTGCCACTGATAATTATGGAAATGTCCTTCGGAATGCTATAGTCTATTATGGCCGTATGAATAGCGATCTACCCACCGAGGCCGATCAAAATGCGCAATCTGAAACTGTGATACTCTGTTCAGAGACTGACTATACAATACCAGTCAATGAGCTTGACCACTTCCGTCTGCCAGCATCAGCAGAACGTCGAGAGTATCGGTTATTTCTCACAAGTGACGAAATGCCTCCGCCTAATAACCGCCTGAAATTGGAGACGTTGCACCGCATTATATCTGAATATGACGGAACGAATGCCAGCGCCTCTGGTTCCCGCATGTTAACAGGAAGAAGTCAGACTATTTACAGTGCCACGGATCCTAACCTGCCACTACCCTTGGGAAAACTAGACCCATACTCCGTTGAGTATCAAAATTACCAACTAATGCTAACTAGCTCAATACTTGATGATGTGATACCTCCAGATTTTGTCATGTCTGATTATGAAGTGGAACTTCAACGAGGCGGCTACATAGAGTTAGAAAAAGGAAGCAGAGAGTGGTGGGCGCCATCTTCCCGGAAACTCTACACATCAGATTCCGAAAATAGCAATGGGAGATTATCATTCGTTCGCAGTCGCTTCTATCTACCTACTGGAGAGAGAGATCCGTTTGGTAACAGTTCCTCGCTCTACTTGGATCAGTATATCTTGCTTGCTGAGGCTACCGTCGATGCTGTGGGTAACAAAACAGTTTTCCACAACAATTACGTACATTTGCAGCCTTGTGTAATAATGGATACAAACGGAAACCGTGTCACAATGGCCATGGATTCTCTAGGCCGTCAAGTTGGTGTCGCGGTGATGGGCAAGGAAGAGGATACAACGAGGGATAGCCTAGACGGGTTTATTGCAGATTTAACGGATGAAAAGCTTGACAGCTTTATCAATTGTCCTTCTGGAAAAGTTGCCATTGATCTTTTAGGCAATGCGAGTCGGAGGACCATTTATGATACCAAAAGATTTGCAAAAACCTACAACGCGTCCTCCACATCTCAACTTGTTCCAGCATTTCAGGCTGAATTGATTCGTGAGACTTTTGGTCAAAAGCTCAGAGCGGACTCATTACGAGTTCAAATTACATATCTCAACGGGAATGGAGCCGTGATGCAAACAGCCACACTGTTACATGCACCGGACACTGATGACCAAGATGAACGATGGCAACTGAGCGGTTATGCATTGCAAAACCAGGAAGGGAAATTAATGAGACAGTTTATGCCCTACGAACAAGCTTCTCATTCCTTTCAACAAAATAAGGCGACAACTGGCTCCAGCACTAGTTACTTTTACGACTGCCTCGATCGTCGAGTCGCAGTCCTTCACAATGACCACACATGGAGCAAAACACGTTATGGGCCTTGGGGCCAAATTGTATTTGACGTTGGCGACACCATCATGGTAAAAAATCCTGTGGATGATCCAGACGTAGGGAGATTCTTCTCTTCCATACAACCCGAGAATTACCTACCTACTTGGTTAGAGCGAATGAACAATTCGCAGGACCAAGCGAAAAGAGAGGCCGCCCAAAAGTCTATTGCATATCATGACACACCTTCAATTGTGAATATAGATGCCTGTGGGCGAATCATTCTTATAGAGAATGACAATGGATACAAGATAGAGACACCAACTGAAAAAGAAATTCAACTAAATCGAATTAACTATAGCATCCGAGGCGACCTAGTTGCTCAGAGAGATGCCCGGAACCGAGTGGTGATGCGCTCATACAACGACTTGACGGGTCGTCCACTCCGCAGCAAGAATATGGACTCAGGCGAGCAGTGGAGCCTTCCAAGTTGTGATGGGCAACCCTTTTTAAAATGGACACATGGTGGAAAATTACAGAAGCATTTTCAATATGACAAACTACGACGGCCCCTAACAATCAAGGTGAAGCAAAAGACCAACTCCAGTGTTGATGAGAAAATCGTGGTACGTTATGTATATGGAGAAGGCCTAGCCAATGACAAAATGGACAATCTACGAGGGAAGCTTTATCAATGTTATGACCAGTCAGGCCTTTACACCAACAAACGATTCGATGTTCTCGGTAATTGTGTGAACACAGTTCAGAAATACGCGGTGGATTACAAGTCAGTTCTTGACTGGTCGGGTGTCAAAAATCATCAACTTGAACTTGAAGATCACTACACCGAAAAGCGGTTCAATGCACTCGGACAAATTGTACAGGAAATAATAATCGGTGGCCATACAAGCCATTATTATTATGATCTTGCCGGACGCCTAAAACGATTGGATTCATCCTCACCCGGCATCGACTCCAAAATTACACCTTATGTTCAAAATATCGAGTACACATTTGATGGTCAGATAGCCTCTCTCTTGTATGGAAATGGAGTCAAAACAACACACTGGTATGATACAGAAACACGTAGGTTAACGACATTACGTACAAATCGATTCGGCGCTTCTAGTCAGGCACTTCTACAAGATATATCTCACACATACGACTGCATTGGAAGGATTGTTCAGACCGCAGATAACTCTCAACAAGACATATTCTTTACCAATTGCCTTGTTAAACCAACAAAGACGTTCAGATACGATGCCTTGGGTCAGTTAATAGAGGCCACCGGCCGCGAACTTATCGTCGCTTCTCCGAGTAGGCAGAGGAGTATTCGGGCGCCTACTGAACGGTCGAATTCCTCATCTGGAAGGGACATGAGGCAATTGGTTGAGTATGCTGAGCGATACGCATATGACTTGACCGGCAATATCACAAAAATGGAGCATGCACCGGTCAAGGTAGATTCATTCACAGGATGGACCAGAACGTATCAGTACAATGAAACAAGTTGCATAGACTCCAATGCTTGCAATAACCGCCTCTCAAGCACAAAAGTCGGTAAAGAGATATGCAACTATGGCTATGAAGGTGACGCCGGGCTTCACGGATGCATCACGTCTGTACCAGGATACTCTTATCTTGATTGGGACTTCAACGACCGGCTCCGTAGCTTTTCCAAGCAGAAAATCACCAATGAGGATTCAAAGCCCGAGACGACCTGGTTTGTGTACAATGCCAGTGGGGTACGAGTTCGGAAGATCACCGAGCGCAGTGCAACAGCAGACAGTGCTATTCCTGGAAACCCAAGAAAGCTTAAAGAGACACTATATCTACCTCTACATGATGTTTTCATATGCTATAGCGGTGATGGAGCTACAATCAGACGCAAGACTATGACCGATGTTATCAAAAACGACCAGGTGCCGCACCAGCTCGCACTGATTGAGCGTACTTGCCATCAATTCGCCCAAGAAGAGGTACAATCCAAAGCTCTGGTGCGATATCAGCTAGGGGAGCAGATGGAAGTGGATGACCACGCACAGATTATCTCCTACCAAGAGTTTTCCCCATTTGGTGTCAGCACGTACCAAACTTGCAAGACCGAAGCTCCCCGCAAATATCGGTTTGCTCGCTATCAATATGATACTGAGACAGGGCTTTATATCTGCGGTGCCCGGTACTACGCAATCTGGCTTGGTAGATGGATGTCTGCAGATCCAGAAGGTACCGCGGATGGCCCAAACGTTTATTCTTATGTAGGCAACGACCCGGTGAATATGGATGACCACCAAGGCACAATTGGTACTCCTAAAAGATCCCGAGAGTCTGCAAAAGAGGAAATCAGAGATACAAAGGCAGTACACCAGAGCACCAGTGACGGAAAACTAGCAGAATACATTACTCAACGAGAGACAGATCTGAAGAAAAAAATGAAGAAACTTGAGAAGTCGAAAAACCAAGAGTATACATTATTGAATCCTCATATGTATGCAGAAGGTAGTCATCAGGATGTAACCGCCATGATGCCTGAATTGAGGTCCATGAAGCCGAGTGAATTGCTATATACACAAGATAGCATGTCTGCTAGGGTCTTTGAGAAGAAACAGGAGAATTGGCAAATCATTGCAGTTAAAAGATTGGTGGAAAAAAGCGTTGAGAACGTCTTGAATAAAGTCGATGAAGTCACAAAACTTCAAGCGCTGGCCCAGTACGACATGATCAGTGCTTATCCCATCAAGGCTGGTGACACAGTACAATACAGAGTTCTAGATCATCACAGAACACACATCGCCAAAGAGGCGCTCAGAGAAAACACGACAATTCCAGTCATCATTCGTAAAGATCGATTGGCATTATTAGATTTTTTGAAAAAACCCCCCAAAAAAGGTCTAACGGATGGCATTGAAATCGACATAAAACCTAATAGGGAGGTCAGCTCTAAAGATCAAATGGATGAATTTTCAGTTGCGTCGTTAGCAAGTTTGGCTGCTCAGGCATTTGGCAAATGGAAACTATTAAGTCTACAGCCAAATTACAGGTAGTTGCTAAGTGTAGAGGTTGCCTTTGAGGCTTCATAACTCTGGATTCTTTTCATTACTTGGAATACATTGGAAGAATCATATAAATACGCTCTATGCGTTTATTTCCGAAGCTCAGAATTTCTATTTATTTTATTTAACGCAAACAAACAAATTCAATACACCGTTAACAAACCAGATATTGGCCACCAACTTAATACTTAATAGCCGTGATACTTTATATCAATAGACTTTGGTCGCTGGAAAGGCGGAATCATTTTCAGATCGGCCAACTCCTCAAAGGTCTTGAAAAAAGAGTCGTTTGAGTCAATGAATCCATTCCATCCTTGCTTTCGGCTCTTGTTCATACTATAGAAAATCAGTCCGTTAGCTTTTTGCATCTCGTAAAAGATATACTGTTAAGTATTCCTTACCTCAAACTCCTTCCCCAAGGGCCAAGAATTTCTCCGTCCAGCAATCCAAAGATATCCTGCACCTTATCGAAAGGATCGGGCTTGGGTGTCAAATTGTGTCGTGCCTTCAAAGTCTCCCATGCCTTTTTGACTTCGGGCTTGTGTGCCCACGCCTCGAAACTGCGGGCGATTCTGATCTTGCCAGCAGGTCCAAAGCCTCGAGGAGGAGGAGCGATTGGCATTTCGACAGTTTGGAACTTGGAGTCATCGACCTCTGAAGTTCCATATGGGATACCGTAAGCAGCAGCAAGGACAGGCCAAAACTTGCCGTAGCTGAAAACGCTGCCGTCGGAAATATTCAGAGCCTGATTACCGGTGGATGGTGTCAGAACTGTCCATTCAGCGTGGTAGCTGATCAAAAGCGCAGACGACAAGTGCTTTTCAGCATCCCAGGCCGCAATGTCTCCAGGGAATTCGAGTGGCTGTCCAAGCTCCTTCTGGATAGCAGCATAGAGCGCCAATCCGTTGGCAATGTTCATCGCCGCATCAGGGACAGCACCAATGATGAAACCGGGCCGTGTCACGTTCCACTCAGTGCCATTTTCACGCGACCATTTCCAAAGAAGGTCTTCTTGGGGGAAATAGAAGTTAGGCTGGGCAAGGAAACGAGGGTCTGACTCCTCCATCGGGTTCAAGGCAGGTCCAAGGTGCACTCCATAATGCTTGGCACCTGTCTGAAGGAGGAACCGCTTCGGAACTTTTTGGGCCAGAGTCAATGCAGAGAGGAAATTGGAAAGAAGCAGCACTAGTATAGTCAGAATGCGTAGATAGAATGTGTTGGCTCAGAATGCGAACTTACTGTTCAGACGCTCCATTTCCTCGGCGTCAGACCAGACGCCCTGGCCTTCCTTGGGAGGGGCCTGGATGTAAGAAGCAAAGAAAACATAATCCCTGTCAGAAAATTGTCAGCCACTGCTTCTGGCTAAATGAAAGGAAATCCTCAAAGGATTTAAGGATTCACTTACACTTTCGGGACCTGCTCCTTTAATTGCTGCGCAATTTCTTCGGGCGACGCGAGAAAGTCAATGGCCAGGTATTTGACGTTTCCCGGGATGCGAACACTCGGAGGCTTTCTGCTCAGAGCGTAAATAGTTCCCCAGCGCTCTGGGGCCTCAGCCAAAACGCGAAGCATATGAGCTCCAGTGATGCCATTGGCGCCCGTCACGATGGCAGAGTACTTCTTGCCTTCCGCCTCGGGGAATGTCGGGAGTCCATAGAACTCCTCTTTGGAGGTGACGCTGTAAGACTTGACGGCGGCGGAAGCCATTTCTGGATGTTGTCTGGGTGGTAGCTAGCTGAATAGGTGATGCAGGTAATGAATTGATGGTGATGATGATGAATGATGCAACAATTGCCAGATCCAAGATACTTATATGCTTGAACTCACAGCTGGAGCCATATCAAAATTTGAAACCCTCCTGCTTAACAATGACGGAATTTCTAAGCTGGAAGGGAAATACAATCTGCAAGCTGCGAATTGTAATACAAATAGATTAGATATTAACAATCTAGAAGCCCGTGTACCTGATTGCTAACAACCAATCCAGAAGCCACGAGGATTCATGACACCCCAACTCCGCACACGCTATTTTTCTTTTCTCAGTTCAGTAAAAGGTTCACCACTAGCGCGTGAAACCTTCTGTTAACTCTAACTGCAACGGGCCCAGTCCGACTCCAACTAGTCTGCAGCATTCCAGCACACCATCAAGACGCAAAGACACCCCGGGGCTTCCGACCCAGTTGCGAAGAACAGTTTTCGGACGCTAGACAACTGCTATATTGCCACGTTGCAACCAACTAGAAGTTTCACAAGTGTCATTATCGCGGGTGGGCTTTGCCGGGCAAACGAGAGCTGGGTAACTAGCCAAGCAGCGCGAGATACATGTAGTAATGCGTCAAGAATGGCGGGGTTATGAGCCATCCACACTCATATCTAGGGCCTACAGTCTAGAAGTGTTTAAGTGCTAAAGCCTTTGAAACTACAAGGGTGTCTTTTGCAGGCACACACATCAATAGTTGACTTCTTAGTGCCTCATTATACTGTGGTTTATTCTAATTCTACATTGTTGTATTAAGATCAAAATAGCCAGTTAACTATTCAAGTAACTTTATCGTGCATTTAACCGCTCGTAATGACACCCATTTAAATTCTATTTGCTGAAAATCTTTACTCTGCCACCAGGACGCCACGGTATCTCATCTTACCCTCCCGCAGTGCCTTCATGGAATCCTCCACACCCTGAGTGTTCAATGGCCACTTCATGACAATAGGCTTAATATCGTGCTTCACTGCAAAGTCCAGCATTTTCCGGATCTCGGCGCGGGGTGCGCCAGCCGAGCCCTGAATGCTGATGCCCTTCACCAACATGGGCAGCATTGGCACTGGAGAAGCATCAAAGCTGACAATCAGGTTGTAAATCTTGCCGCCTATAGCAGTGAGCTGAATCATTCTGCATCTAATTGTTAGCAAGTCCTCATGCAGATTTCCTTTGTGCGTGCTTTTAAAGGTGAACTTACCGGCCAAAATCTGGCTGCGCGTTTCCGCAGAGAAGCATGTGCTTGACTGGCTCAATTCCCTCTAGAGAAGAATCTGAAGTCAGGACGTGGTATTCACTAGCGCCTAGCTTCATTGCGTCCTCTCTCTTAGACTCGCTGCTGGAAAAGACAACAACGTGGCAGCCCATCTTGGCTCCGAATTGGATCGCCAAGTGTCCAAGGCCGCCAACGCCAAGGACGCCAACACGATCAGTTGCCTTAATGCCATAGAGTGCAAAAGGCGACCAAACTGTAGCACCACCGCACATGAGGGGAGCAGCAGAGGCACTGTCAAGACCTTCAGGGATCTTGTATAGTGAGTCAGCATCCCAGACGGCATGGCTAGCGAAAGAGCCAACGTCATGGTCATGAGTGCCATATTCTTTCTTGTCGGTGCAGTACACATCCAATCCTGCGTATTAAATCAGCTCACCGATGAACCAATTGAAGCGAATGACAAAGGTACTTACCAGTAAGGCAGCTTTCACATCGGCCGCATGTCTTGTGAACCCAGCCAAATCCGACACGGTCGCCCACCTTGACGGAAGTGACGTCTGGGCCAACAGCCTCAATGATACCAACACCTTCGTGGCCTAGGGCCATGCCAGCGTGGAGATAGTGTTCATCTGTGCCACACAGGCCAGAGTGTGTGATCTTGAGATAGGCTTCGTTACGCCCCAGGTCGCGGTTGGAAGTGTCTTGAACAATCTTTCCGCTCTTAGAGCCACGCTGAACGGTGAAAGTGACGCTCATGTTGATGCTGAGTTGTTGTAATTTTCTTTTTGTATGAATAAAAGTTGGCTAATTGGGGATGTCTATTATTTAAGAAACTTGTATTGATTGAAAGGATAAGAAGAACAAAGACTTGAGGGATTGCAAGGGTTAATATAGTAATGCCGCCAACACTAAGAAGAAGCTGAAGATGCAGCCTCTTATTCAGGCAAATAGTCCATCAGAGTTACGTTGCTTGATAATACCTCACAACTCAATGAATTGATACTATGATTGAGCATATACGAGATTAGGAGAAGTTGAGGAAAGTCGGCATGACTGACGCCGCCGAAGCAGCTAGCAAATCCTTCCAAATCCTCAACTTACAAAAACGCCCCATTGATAGCGTGAAATGTCAGTTGAAAGTTAAAATTGTAGTTAAAACAGAAGAAGCTGAGAAACTAATGGAACATCGACTAGGTTGCTTCTCTCTGTAAACGTGTCTTGGATCTTCAGCTTTACCGGCAACTAGCGATGATCTAGTGGGTATTGTGGCAAAAATCCTGGCGCTATGGCAAAGCATTATCTCGATGCGGAAAACCTGGAGATGGCTGTGGAGCAGGGCTAGTGTGTAGCGTTTTCTCAAAAAGGAAATGTTTGAAGAACTGTGCTAACGCATGGCCCTGTCCTGTTTAGGCAAGTTGTGAGAATTGCTTGTCAGCATCCACTAGCAAATGATGGAAGTCTGGGAATTCGCCCTGCTATTACGGAAGCAACTTGAACTTGTAGAAGAGTTCACGTACTCCGTAATCAAGATGACAATAGGCAGTAGCGAAGCACGTATCTATCTGTTAGTCGATTTGTCAGAAATCATGCGAAACGAGATCGAAAGAGTAAATGATAAATAGGATGGAGAGCCGCCTCATCGGCGTTAATGGCCCACTGATCCATATTCACAACATTTCCATATTTGTGATCGAACCTGATTCACGACTCCACTGAGGCCAGATTCCAAAGGCTACATTGCGGAATATCCCGTCAATCAAGATGATTATTCTTACAGGTACCACACTTCCTTACACTCTAGTGCAGGGCACAAGATATCAACTCAAATACTAATCATTCGTCGTCTAGGTACATCGGGCGGAATTGGTGGTGCCGCGCTCGACACCATCCTGGAGCATAAGCTCCTTCAGCCGCACGAATTCTCCATCTCGAGCTGGAATGGCCAGACAAGGTCCAAAAAGGCTATAGAAGCAGGGATTCAAGTTCGTAAAGGCGACTTTACGAAACCCGAAACTCTTGCTCACACCTTTGATGGAGCAGAGGCTCTCTTCCTCGTGTCGCATCCATCTGTCGGCGAGGAGAGATACATCTTCCACCGCAATGCCATTGACGCCGCTAAAAAGTCGGGTGTAAAGCACATCCTCTACACCTCCTTGACTTTTGGGGGTGTTGACGGGGAGCAGAGTGTTGCGGGCGTCGCTCAAGCTCATATCCGAACTGTTGCCTATTTGAAGGCCTCCGGTCTCAAATGGACAATAATCCGATATGCGACATTCCAGCACTTGTGGAATAATTTCGCCGGATTCTTACGTCTGGAGACAAGCGGTGATGCTGAAGTGGTGATGCCGACCGATGGGCCAAATAGCTGGGCTCACCGTGCTGACATGGGCGAAGCAACGGGCAGACTGCTTGCCAATTGGGTATGCATCCATAATTGCCAACTCGAATCAATTCCATTCTCAAAATACTGACATTAACTTGTTCATAGCGCAATTATGAAGGCAAGACGGTTAATCTAACTGGCCCAGAGCTGTTGACCATCAGTGACGTTGTCAAGCTTTACAGTGCCCATACGGGCCGCAAGGTCGACGTTAAACTTGTGGGTGATGACGAAGCCATTGAGTACCACAAGCAGCACAAGACTTTGCCTCCTGAACAGGAAGACTTTTTGTCCAACTGGGCGTCATGGCACAACGCCTTGGCTCAGGGAGAAGGCGATTTCATCGACCCAGCTCTTGAGAACTTACTGGGCAGGAAGCCAAAGACTGTGGGAGACTTGGCAGATGTTCTGTTCACCGCGGAGACCAATGAGTTAGATACGACGGATTTCAATGGAGCTGCTTGAAGTTAGATGGTATTTTGTATCATATGTCTGGGGGCACATTACCTAGCTACTCCCAAAGGATAATTTAAAGATGATTTCAATTTCAGTTATGCATGAGACTCACAGTCATTTCCATTCAACACTACTGAGCCATAAACATAAAGCTTATATTAAACAAGAGACTATATCCGGCACCGTCCTCGTCAATATAGCAATAATCACATAGTAACTTAGTGATATCGAATGAAGACTAAGGAATGATCATTTTTGACAACAATAGTAATGCCACGGTATGTATTTAAATGAAGGCCAAGGAATGGTCATGATGGATAATTATAGCAATGTCGCTGTATGTATTATAAATCCAACGTATCTGTATTGCACCGCTGTATGTATTATAAATCCAATGTATCCCTATTGCATATGGGTCTATTCAAAGAACTCCTCATGACTCAATGACATGCTATCCATCTACAAAAGAACCACCTCCTATCCATAGACCCGCTTGAAAGTCTCCTTGACAGACTCCGGCCGGAAGGAGAATTTGTCATTATCCAGCTGCCCAGGTACGATTCCGTTTCCGGAGGCAGCCAGGGGCTTGACTGACCACATCAGCTCGGCGACCTCATCGCCACTCTTTCGGGCCTCGTCTTGCTTGGCAGCAGCCTCGGCAGGATCCAGATATGTGCACTGGTATTTAGCCCCCTGAACCTCGCCCAAGTCATCAATGAACTTTTGCCAGGTTGTACGTTCTCCAGTCACTCGGATTTCGCGTTTTTGAACTCCGGGAGTCAGAGGCAGCAAGATAGACTCAACAGTAAACCTCGCAATGCTATAGTGAAGAGCCTACCAGTTAGCCAATGTGATCCAATACAACTTGGGCTAGAAACAAAGCAATCTTACTCAGGAATTGATGTCACAGAGATCTGCGCATCCGGGCGTCCATAGGTATTTGCAACATGTGCCTCAACATCAACCCCGTAAAATGGATCTGCGGCCCACTCGGTGAAGATGCCAGTCAGCATGAGCGTATAGTAAAAGTCCGAATGCTCCTTGGCCTTGGCCGCAAGATGATCGCGAGTCACTCGCTTATCACGAAAGTAGCGGAAAGTTTTGAGACTGTCCTGGGCAACATCTGATCCGAATTCCGAGGGGTAAAAGTGACGAACTCCGCCTGCAATAGCAGACTCAATCATGGCAGGCTGCAGCCTCATGATGGCATTGCCCGCCAGCGATACAACAACTTCAAAGCCTGATTATTTATCAATTCACTGTCCTTTCATAAACTAGTGTGTTGGTAGTATAGTACCTTCATAGGCCTTGGGGTCCAAAAAGGAGCCAGGAACAACGTCGATACCTTGAGCTACGGCATCGGAAAACTTGGACACTTTGGCTGGATCCGCTAGGATGCCAACCCTGGAGAAGTGAGATTTTTGTTTGATAAATTCTTCCACCAGAGGCCGTCCAAATGCACCGCCGGCGCCAATGATGAGAACTGAAGGGGCCATTTCTGTGATAATTTTACTTGAAACGAAAGTATGAGTCGCAAGAAATATTTGAGAACTGAGATGGAAGTTGACCTTGTTTGTATTTGGTCTTAATGATGATAGATTGACATTCCAGAACAACTCTATTTCTCTCTATATATACTCTCGAAATGCGTACAACATGCATATACTATAGACCATTTACCTATTATGTCGACTTGCCTTGAGGATGGTATCATCGAGGAAGCTAGGCGCCGCTTTGCTCACTAATGAGATGCTGAGAAATTTAGACTTTGGCTTGCCAACTCACTCACATGGTTTCGATCACCTCGGGATGGAGCTGCCGAATTAATCAGCGGCTGGCCCGCCAAGAGACATGCAACACACCATCCCATTTAGCCTGGACTAGTGTTAGCTTCTGCTTATCGAACTAAAATGCTGCCGGGGTTTGGTCAACTAGCATTATTCGAATTGGGCCGTATTTTGACACTTCTAGAACTGAAGAGTTCTCTTCTTAACAATCATCTGCCGAAAGAGCGCGACTCAGCCCAATAGAGCGGAATATAGCTAGTGCTTAGACGAATGGCCATCGCCGAAGCCATCATGATAAACGCCGACGGATTATTCCCGTTCGCCCTGCTCAGATGGCTCAAGTGACGCCATTGGAAATAGCTGAATCCTTCACTCGCAAGAAGGGCTGAAAGTACGGAGTAGTAATACAGCTAGCTATCCTAGTCGCAAAGCTGAACTCTTAGCCCCCATTCTTGACACAACCATTCCTTTTTTTGTCTTGTCTATCTTGGTTTACAAGGATGAAATACGAAGTTGTCCATGCATTTAAGCAGGTTTCACTATACGGAATCATCATGGACGCTGGTGAACGCTTGGGAAGCCTTTAATTATACTCGCCGTTTCATAAATACATGCATATTTACTGAAGAATGCGCTGGTACCATGCTACCTCAACGATAAACACATCGGCAGCAAAGTGGCAACACGCTGCTCTGTTCCGCAGTTTACAGCGTCTTGTACCCCTTAAGGGCTCAGCTGCATATGGCCATGTACCTATTTCCTGTCTTGTGTATTTACGCGTACTCTCAATTCCTCTAGTTACGCATAATTAACCCCCAGTAATTTTACCTCCCCTGCACCGGAGGGAATTATCCCATATATGGTTCCAAACTGTTGTCCTCTGCCGACTTACCGGGCGTTCTATCGTATTCATACATAAAGGCCCTTTTACGAAGTTATCGTATAGTATACTAAATGTCACTGAATCCTACCAAAGCTATTTTAGGGTCTGTGCCGTTTTTGACTAAGCAAGCGCTGCGCCAAAGTGAGAGGGGCAGGTGAATAGAACTAGAGGCAACGTCTGATTAGGATCGAGAGATTAATAATGTGCATCCTCCATCATAATTTATCAATCCGCTTAGAGCAATTAACCATCTGGGTAATAAAGAACTCTCTTCTCTTTCTCCATTCTGTAGTAATCTCCATCTACTTGCACTATTGTCAACTCACTATACCGCCTCTCTAACCCTGATACCCTTCTCAACCAACTGCCAACCGCAGCTTACCTGAAAGCCTGAACATGAGTGGAGAGAAAATTTACGGGGCTTCCGGATTCGTCCACAACAATGGTAGATCTCTCTCTCGTGCTTTAGTTGCTGATATTGGATGTTAATTGGTGATGCAGTAGTAGTAGTAGATCTTCCGTCTAGGCCACACGACGAGAGGTTTACCTACACGGATGAGTTCGATGTACAGCCACTCGAATTCATCACAATAACTGGATCAACAACAGATAGGCCCGACAGAAATGTTTCGCGAATCGTTCGAAGCCAAGCGATGCGAAACTACGTCTGGAGACAAAATCACCCTACACTGACAGACGAGATGGCTGCTGCTGCTGCAGTCCCTCTGAAAGAAAAGCCCCAGCGAATATTCGAGGGGAAGTTCAGAGTTGGTTCCCGAGCACGCAAACAAAAGAAACCCTCGAAAGCAAAACGCCCAGTATCGGCGAAGGGCAAGGACGAAGACTCGATGAACGAGATTCATCTCATCAACAATTACTGGCTACTTCGTCAAAGTCTAATGCCAGACAAGAATCTTTTGATGAGAGGTGGTGCATTTGCAGATCCATATGATTCATTTCAATTTCCGCTGGGACCTGAGAGCGAGAAGTTTATATTCTACTGTAAGTGTGATAACCTCATCTTCCATTCTTCATTCCTATTCGCCTCTACCACCAAGGTCAATCTCATCCACGTATATGGATGGAGAAAGAATGTCGATAGTCCATGCGACTTGTATCGGCTGGAATCTATCACCCGTTTGTTGCCATGGAACAAGATACTAATCAGCTCGATTTTGATCTACAGACCAACAAGCGTACGCCGTCAATTGCATCGCCCTTAATCTTTCGCCAGATTGCTTCTATTACGTCAGAGAAGAGCTTGCAATGTTCCATGCTGTCATGTACCTTGTCAGCCTGGATCATAACCTAAAATACGGCATAACGGACTCTCCCGGAAGTCTGTACCATGGAAGAGAAGCTTTCCGTCTAATAAATGAGGGTCTTGAGGCAGGTGTGATAAGGGATACCCTCATTGCAGCTGTTTCAATAGTGATCTCTAGAGAGGTGAGATTCAACTTGGCACACACACTCTCTCTGTTCTCTTATCTTTCCTAAGCTTCGTTTACTAACTGTCTCTTTGCTCAGAATCTCGCTGGTCAATTTGATCAAGCCAAAATCCACATGAAAGGCCTTCAACTCATGGTTAAGGCACGAGGAGGTATTAAAAGTGTGATACCTGCACATAGAAAAGTGGTGACCTGGTGAGCTTCCATTATAAACTCAGCTTATCTCAGCTATATATGCTCATATTTATCTAGGGCCGATTTAAGCTATTCCAATGTTTGGGGTTGCAAACCCTCCTTCCCGCAGCTCACCTACAAAGCCTCAAAGGGCGATACAGAATTGCCAGAAAAATTGAAAAATAAAGTTCTCTCTCCAGAAAGCGCCTTCGGGGTCGCCTCGCCTACAAAGTCCATCTTCCGGTCTCTACGACGTATGTCCGCAGCTCTCAACCCGGAGTATGAAGCCCCCATGGAGCGGCTAGCACTGAGTGACCAAATTTATGGCGCCGAATATAATCTCCTCACTCTCCAGAATGAATATATCGAGTCTTTAGATCCGGTTCAATATCTCTCATCTAGTTCTGTGTTGATGAATAACGCCGCATATATCTACCTTTACCTCATATTGAGAGAGCTTCCAATTAAATCTCGCCTGCTTTTCAAGCTATCTCAACAGCTGCGAGATGCCCTGGAGATGCAAGATGAAGAGTGGTGGAATTCTAGTCCCGAAAGACAACGATGGTTGCTATGGGTGCTCTTCATGGGATATGGGGCGGCATCAGAGTGGCCAGAGAAATGGTGGTTTGTGGAGAGAATGGAGCCACTGGGTGCAGCACTCATGGTCTGGACAAAAGAGGAACTTGAGTCTGCTTTGAAGGGGATTGTATGGGAAAAGTCGTGCTCGGACTTTTTGGAGAAATTATGGAAGGACATGTCGCAACGCGACAGGTTTGAGCTGGATCTCTACTGATATTCTTTTATGGCGCTAATATCTGTGGGTTTACATGGGAAAGGCAACACGGCATTGAATTGACAACGATAATTTTATAAATACTTTTGGTCATCAAGTAGGTATAGGTTTGGATGCCCATGAATTCATCGCATTTATTTGTCAAAAGCAAGTTCTGTATTCATCAACAGCCGTGAAATCATACAGAAATGCATATCCCCAGGCTTTGATTGGTCTAGATTTTAACTTTGCTCTTTAAGATAAAACTGCCGATGGAATGCAAACATATCATCAAAGTGGCAGAATTCGGGCGCACCCAGCTCAAACTCGTGAGGAATAGTCTCATATCCCTTCTGCAGCAACGCCATGAGAGCCTCTCCATCTTCCTTGCTGACAGGAACTATCCTGTATGCGAGAGCGAGATGGAAAACGTACGTCTCATGGCCTGGAGCCCTAATTTGCAGCAACTCGGACAATCTATCACGGAGTCCTCGTAAACGCTTCTCTTCAGCGGCGTCCACAGCGGCCAAGTCGAGTCGAATGCCGGCCTTGCTCATTACCAGTCCTGTAACAGACAACTTCAGGGGAGGCTGTATTCCGAGGTCAAATGTAGAAAGTTTGTCGCGGAAGAGATCATGGCACTTTTGCAGTGGTGCATCGAGCGCCAGCTCCTGCGGCCAGGTCTCACGCTTGCGTTGGTGATCACAAACGCCCTCAAAGTCTGTCATGTGCCAGCTTGGCGGCGGCAGGAGAGTGTAAAATTTGGTGAATCTACTCTTCTGGAGTATCTCATGAATTGGCAAAAGTGTCTTGTATAGCTCACTGTCCTGTGGCAGATGAGAGATAATGGTATTGCCTGGAAATGGCAGCACGTTGCCCTTGTCATCAAACTTCTCGCCAGTCCATTTTGCGGCCCCTGCATGCATATTGTCTTGAGCTTTTACGGTGCTGGTCTCCGCGCCGATTTTGGATTTGGGGGCCATTGTTGCAAAATATAGTGTTGGATAGGACCGTTGGATGAGAAGCAGCGATATACCGCAGAGGCATATAGCAATGATATACCTCAGCTGCAAATGCATATATGGGCGACACGCTGTATTGAATGCCTTACACCTGGAGACAAGTACATAGAGAGGATACGCTGGACAGCTTGGGGGGAAAGACAGCATATACCTATATTAATATTCACAGTCCATAATACATCGTCGAATGAATACATGTGCATGCATTCGAAAGCGTGGTCAGGTTGATCCAATGGCATCCTGTGAAGCTTATCTCTTGCCGACGACTTATCTGCAACCGAGCATCGTGTGGTGTTTCTCACGAGAAAAATAGTCGATAGCCGACATCGAATCGGAGTCTGTCAACTCAAAGCCCACGATGTTCCCCAGAGTCCAATCACATCGCAGAAACTTTGGATTGTTTGAGCAGTGCAATCTTTTTCTCTCTTATTTACCAGATGCACATGAATATCTCACATGGTGGCGACGAATTTGATCAGTCTTCCATTTTCGGCGAGACTGAAACTGTGAGAACCCATTTGTACTGCGGATGGCGGGAATGAATTGATACATTGCGAAATTGTCGATGCTCAAGATGGCGAGAGCTAAAATATCGAAACCGACAAGGATGCCGCAAAGGTCATAAGACGCACACAACATCAGCTCCTAGACAAGGGCCAATTGCACTGCATTGCGACATGCATTGTGCTCGCTCCCAACAGTACTATAGGGCTTGAATTCCTCGTTGTTCACAGGTCTTCCATTGGGCGTAAGAACACTAAACCGGCAGCAGTTTTCGGGACACAGTTAGATAAATACTCCTCAATTGGTCGGCGCTGAAGCGGATCCGCACATTGAGCCCGGCAGGATGATGAAGAAACTCAGATAACAGCACTCAAAAACACTCAAAAGCTGAAAACAAGAAGGATTGCGATATATTAATACCGAAGAGCTGATTAATTGTCCATCAATTGTTCAACACTTCTGACCTATATTAATGTACAAGGCCTTCGGAGCTGGCGTCCCGAAGAGGCTATATCCGTGTGGGTTCCGGATGTACAACCAACAGCAATTTCTAGTTCTGGGTAAGCAGCAAAGCATGTGACGGCAATTATCGCGCCTTCAACCAACCCAACCGCAGCGCGTCTCTTTCACCAAGCACCTCATTCTCAGAACTTTAGGTCAACCTCCCGAACGCCAACCAACCCATTAACCATCCCAGCCAGGGTCTCGGCCAATTTGGAGTCCCCCAATGGAGAAGAGCACAGGCCCCAAGCGGAATGCCACAGCGTGTGAGCATTGCCGTACAGCCAAGGCCAAGTGCCAACCCAGTGAGCAGCCAGGAGTGTGTGGGAAGCAAGTGGACACAAACCCGTATTAGCTGGTTCATTTATGCTTATCATGTATTAGATGTCTTGCCTCGAGGAGAGAGTGCGTATCTCGCACCAAGGCGCGGCCCCGCAGAGCACGTCGGACTTTGTCGTAAGTCCTCCGTGGCCTATGATTTAGAACCACCGTTCGCTCCTCTCATTCAGCCTTTCTAACGTATTACTCTTTCCACAATAGCATCTCAGAGACGGAGCCGCCAACACAGACCCTTGGTCAGCCCAGCACCTTTAGCATTGACTACCTTGTACCTATCAGGTCGCATGTCGAAGATGATTTTGAGACTTTGCGAGACTTGCACAATTCTGTCCTTGACAGTGTTCTAGATACAAATGACAGCATCGACATATTGCAAACCACTACAAGCCGTTCTACCTGTCCGGCAAGCTCGTCGACCCAGACCCGCTCCGTTTTTGAAAGTTGGCGGAAGCCCCAGTTCAATATGGCTTCAGCCGAGACTCTCCTGCACAATTTCAGCTCCATGCTCGAGTACATCCCCTTTATAGTTTTACCCGCTAGTTCGACCGTCACCCATGTGGCTGCTACCAGACCTTTTACTCTACTGGCCATCTTAACAGTGGCTTCAAGATCGAGGACCGTTCAGAAACACTCATTATACGACGAGGAATTTCTTAGAGTCTTAGGCCTCAAATATGTTTCTGGAGGAGAGAGGAGCCTCCACTTGCTTCAAGGCCTTCTGATATACTGTTCTTGGTACGTTGACATTTGTGGCCGAATCCTACACATCCCTAAACTCACGCGGCGCCTCCAGGTATCCCTTTCACCTAAAACCTAAGAGCTCACGGCTAGTTCAGTGCATGCGAATGGCTGCGGATATAGTCCATGATTTAGGCCTAGATGAGGATTTTCTCACGTCTGATCCGTGGGGACAGGGGGTGACGGAAGAAGAGCTGGAAAAGATCCGAGCATATCTCGCCTACGTGTATCTCGTCTCCACGTGAGTCATTTTATCCTGGATCCCTCTTCACGCTGCACATAATTTTAACAATTTTCTATAATTTCCAGATACGTAGCTGTGTGGAAAGGGGATAAATGTGTACATACTCGCGTCCCCCCTTGGGCGGGCACTGCAATCGACATATTAGAGCAGAACGCACAGGTTGATGGCGACCGTACCCTCGCCGCCTTGGTCCGCCTGTCAAGGTTGTGCTACGATGCAACCGACGCCATCAACGAGAGAGAAAATCAGACTGTGCGCAACAGCCAGCTGATCCTAGTAGGAATCGAGCAACAGTATCAACAATTACGGAATAGCATGTTAGCTGCGTGCCCTACTCTCTTCGGTATGTCAAGATGGCTTAGTATCAACTCGTGATAGGCGCTTACAAAGCAAAAGAAAGGGAGCCTGTTCGGCTGCAAATCATGTTTCTCGACATATTCCTTGACACGGGAAGCTTACTCGCCCTTCCCGTAGCCAAAACCTCGTTATCCGCCAAAGTCGTACGCTTCCCACCCCCAGTGTCCAAAATCCAAAGCGGCGTGAAAAAGATTCGAGCCTATCTGGACTACATAAGCGAACTGGATGACAATTCGATATTGTCCTTTACCATCAACGACTGGACGCGGCTCATCACGGCCCTTACGTTGGCGTTTCGGCTGTCGTTTCCTCTCTCGCAATGCCCAGAGCTGAACTGGGAGTGGGCCAATTCAGAGATTCAACTGGATCAGTTTCTATCCAAGGTTTCGAGGGAGGCAGATGCCACGATTGCTTCAAACGGTGTTCTCTCTGCCAACCGTGCTGTGCTTGGCGTGCTAAAGTCCAAATACAATCGTCGGCTGAGCTCCCTAAGTGAACAGCCAGTATATCCAACCAGCAGGACGTTTGGATGCCCTATGATGAGCGGCGGAACAATCATAGCCGAGTCACAATGGAACGCTGGATTTGATCATGCCTCAGAACCGTCGACTGATTCTGATGTGCCTGAGATCATCCCGATGTTTCCCGATGTGTGGGCGACGATGGCCGCGGGGTTGCAAGACATCGAGGAGATATCCTGGGACTCGTTTGATGGTCAGTTTGTCAACAGCGTGGGCACCGATAGCAGTTGGTCACTGTGAAAGGGTTATAACTTTGATGAAGGATTTTTGTTTTCATCCCCCCGTACTATTTGAATATCAGCACTATGTTGTAATATAGTTACAAGGTAATATTCTCCATTATTTGTTCAATGCAGCAGAGAAATCACCCTTCTCGCAGTATTCTCTAAACGATGTCATTCGAACTCCGTACTAGATAAATCAAGTCAGCCCATAATTTACTTCACATGGCGTCAACATATGGATATTTTGCCTACTTTTCCCGGTCCAACAATTCCCGGCTCTGTACCCTCATATCCAAAGTCAAATGCAAACAAGACATTTAATCCAAACTCGTGGCCCAGGCCGCCCGGTAGAAGCTGGTCAATCTCTTCGTACGACAGTTCATCGAAGCCTCCGTACCTGACACCCTGTGTCTCGCAGACAATACGGAGATAGTCTGTCCAAGAAAGGTAGTCTCCCACGGCGAATAGATTGGTGTTGGGGGGCGCTTGTTCGACAACTGCTTTGACACAAGGCCCAAGATCCGTACGAACGTTTCCAAAGGGAATGGGCTTGTGGCCAGCACCAGGGCCAATCATTCGATAAGTGCCGTCTGGTTGCTAATCACATCGATTTGTAAGCTGGAGGATTCAAAAAGCCGCTTCCGCTACGGAAATAGGAGTTAGATGCTGTATTGTGTTTACCTTCTTTGGTGTAATGGGTAGCCCCCACTCGGTTCCAACTTGGAAATAGATTGGAGCTTGAACCTGGGAGAATTTCTCTTTGAGTGCCGGAAGACTCTGTGCGTATGTGGCAGCATGGGCCTTTGAATCCATATGGTACAGCTTTGAGTACTTGCCGCCGCTCGACTTTGTTGCATCGGCCATGGAGCTGAAAACATATCTTTCCAACGTTGAAGCTGTCGAGGCCGCAGCATCAGCAAGATTCTTGCCGTGCCGTAGCTCAACTTCATAGCAGTACTGGATAAGCTCTTGATTAGGTTTCTTTAGCTCCTGGCTTCGGGGATTTCCCCAGATGTTCCAGAAATCAGTAACACCGAAAATGACATTAGCTCCCTGGAAAGCCCGCTCCAGGGACTTGACATCATCAAAGTCACCCTGAACGATTTCAACACCTTTAGTTATCCATGCTTTGGCAGCTTCGGATTCGGGATTACGGGTTACGCCGCGGATTGTGTAAGCCGGATCTTGAAGAAAGGTATCAGCTACAGAGCTGCCCTGGTGAGCATGTTAATAATTAGTAGCAGTGTTGTAGCTTACAAATACGCCAGAAGAAGGCTTACCTGAACGCCAGTGATGCCTGTGATAACAACGAGTTTCGTCATGTTCCCAGCCTGACACCAACTTCTCAAATAGGTTGTAGGTCTCGAATGAGATGTGAGACGAGATATATCATGCACGTAATAGACTTGCGCTTGAGACCAATGGGTTGCATAAGGTCTGCGGAATTAGGTTTTGGGAAGGGGGTTGATATATCTGAGTTCATTTTGCTTGCTACGCCTTGTATAGTAATAGAAAACTACTTAATTTTGGTGAATGGAATCTTTCTCAACAGAAACATTGTTGCTGTTTAATTCACAACCAGTTTTCTATGTAAACTCAAGTTAGAGATTTGTAAGATTTTGGCGCCAATTCGGCAGAAGTTGCCCTACTTTATTAACCCACGTATGGCAGCTTGACAGGGAAGACCAATATCCAAAATGGGGATACGGCAGTTTTCTAAACCTCACTTACCCCGTTTAGGAAACGGGGGTTAGATCCGTTCGGCGCCATTTCGTCTAGTTGATCATGATCAGGAATTACAACTCTTGATGCTTCAGAGCTAGGAATGAGGTTATCAAACAGCAGTTTAGTTTGTGACTCAATTGAAAGGATTCTGCAATGGGATGTATCGATGGCATTTGTAATGCGAGAGTTGCGGAAGAAGAACAGAGTTGACAATAGCTATATAAACTATGCGATGGAGCGTGCAATATTACTTGCAGTTCAACAAGCAAACAACTATATTCATAAACAACACCATAAAATTTATTTCTAGCTCATTATCGCAAATCATACAAAATGGCTGTCGACAGTCTTTCCCTCGCCAACAAAGTCGCCATCATCACCGGCTCTGGCAGAGAAAACGGCATCGGTGCCGCCATCGCCCTTACTCTTGCCAAGGCCGGAGCTCGCGTTGTCATCAACTACGTATCCGATTCTACAGCTCCTCGTGCGGAAACTGTCCGCACCGAAATTGAGGCCGCTGCCGGCAAGAACAGCGTCGTGGTAGTCCAGGCCGATGTTTCTACAGAAGAAGGCTGCAAGAAGATTGTGGGGGAGACGCTGACCAAATTCGGCGTCAACCATATCGACATTATTGGTATGATAGCTTCCTCAATGCTTTACAATAGAGAAGTATCACTAACATACTGTTCCTGTAGTTAACAATGCAACTTATGTTACCAGTGGTCCCATCCTTCAAAGCAAGGCCCAAGACATCCACAATGCATTCGCAGTTTCAGTGGTCGGCCCTGTGCTCTTGCTCCAGGAAGCTTATCCACATATGCCCAAATACTCCCGAGTCATCAACATCGGCACTGTTGCTTCCAGGATAGGATTTGGTCCTCTGCCTATTTATGCGTCCGCCAAGGCTGCCATGGACCAGTTGACCTTTTCTTTGGCCCGAGAGGTAAAAAAAGAAAAAAAAAAAGATCTACTCTATCTGATACAAGTAACAAGGAGATTTACTAATTTTCTTTCTCTTAACTAGATTGGCCGAGATGGCAAGCACATCACCATCAATACCATTGCACCCGGCCCAGTTGAGACGGACAACTTACCAGATACCCCTGAATCAGCGCCGATGAAAAACTACCTTCTTTCGATGACCCGCAGCGAGAACAGGGTCGGAACAGTGGAGGATATAGCCGATGCAGTGCTCTTGTTGAGTAGTGAAAAGAGTCGTTGGATTACGGGACAGTTTATCTCGGTTAGCGGTGGCATCAACGGAGGTTAAATGCGAGAAAGGAATCCAGGCAAAGATCATATTCCTGCGCATCTCTAATTGAACTACAACTTGCCATGAAGAGGGTCCAATTATGTAACTAATCGAAGAAAATATTGTCAATTAACATTGATGATTCTACCGAGTAATATACCTGTGTGACATGTACGTATAAATATGCCTTGGAAAGAAACAAATCCAGCCAACTCGCTTTTATTTTACCAACTACCGGGTAGGATCCACATACGAGTAGGCAATCACTTTATTGGAATTGAGGCAAAACATGACGGGAGTGACACACTCCACTTGGTCACCCATACTCCTATTTCTTACAAGCACTGGATTTGAAAGTTTGACATTAATTAGCAATACTCATTATCTTCTATGTGGGTATGTGTATATATGTATAGCTATATACAAAGTGCATGCATCATTACGACATGGCTTTTTTTAATTATATTTTTTATTCTCTACCCAAAACCTCCTTCTCTGCCTACATTTACAGAGGGACGGGGAGGTTCCTCTGGAGGTAACCGCGCCAGGTGGGCAGGGTTCGCTTGTAGGGAGTGCCGCTGGTCTTCTGCAGGTCCTCGATGGCGCTGGCATACTTGATCAGCTTGGCCTCACCGAAGGCAGTCTGCAGGATAGCCAGACCAAAGGGCATGCCAGAGTCGGAGTGGATGCCGGCGGGAATGGTAATGGCAGGGTAACCAGCCTGGGCGGGAATCTGGATGCTCTGGGCGACATCAGGAGGGACGAGGAGGCCGTCCAGCTTCTTGCCGTTGTAGGTGAGGGCATCGTTGATACCGTTACGGGTGGAGGACTGGCAGAACTCAAGCGCCTGCCAGTAGGTCTCGTCCTTGATGCCCTTGGTCTCGAGAGAAGCGAGGAAACCGTCCTGGCCGGACCAGAAAGCAGGAGTGCCGTCGGGCATGGGGTAACCACCCTCAGTTCCGGGGTACTTGTTGTTGTAGGCGACAATGTCCTCGAGAGAGCGGATGTTGGTGTTGTTGAGCTCGGACAGGTAGGTCTTGATGTTGTTGTAGAAGTCAACCTTGATGTAGGTGTACTCGGACTCGTTGGGGAAGCCACGGGTGGTACCATAGTCCCAGTTCCAGCCGTCGGGGCTGACAATGGTCTGGTAGTCGGTGATCTCGGTGTTGTTGATGATGGTGGCGCCAGCAGACTTGATGAGGGTCAGGATGCTGGTCAGAATCTTCTGCTGCTCGGGATCGGCGTAGACCCAGAAGCTGTTCCAGGGGATACCGAAGGTGGCACCCTTGAGGGCAGTGCGGTTGGACAGGAACTGAGCATATCCGCCCTTGGGGGTCAGGCCCTGCTGAGCCAGGGTGTAGTTGTCTCTGGGGTCAACACCATAGATGGCATCGAGAGCGTAGGTAGCGTCGCGGACGGTTCGGCCAAAGGTGCCGACGGAATCCTGGTGCTCAGACTCGGGGATGACACCGGCACGGGAGGTCAGACCGACAGTGGGCTTGATGCCGACAATGGCGTTACGCTGGGCAGGGTTGATGACTGTTGAAAGATGGTCAGCACACAAAACACAATAAAAGAAGCTTATTCTCGTAGCGCCAAGCTCGACTCACCACTTCCGTCGGTCTCAGTGCCCAGAGCAAAGGCAATGACATTGGCTCCAACACCGACACCGCTGCCAGAGCTGCTGCCACCGGGGTTGACAGTCAAGTTGTAGGCACTTCGGCACTGGCCACCGCGGCCAGAGTAGCCCTCGGAGTAGTTGTTGCTTCGCATATCAGCCCACTCGCTGAGCGCAGCCTTGCCGAAGAGGACGGCACCGGCATCACGCAGCTTCTTGACGACAAAGGAATCGCGGGGCACGATGTTGCCAAGGAGAGCCCAGCTGCCAGCGCAAGTGTCCAGGTTGTCCTTGGTGGCGATGTTGTCCTTGACGATGAAGGGGATGCCGTGCAGAGGGCCTCGGACCTTGCCAGCCTTGCGCTCAGCATCGCGCTGGGAGGCAATGGCGAGGACATCGGGGTTGATCTGGATGATGGCACTGGATGATGTTAGCCATGATGAATTCTCATATCGAATTGAGCTTGGATGACACGTGAGACGTGATTGAAGTTCAAGGTAACGGGGATTGGATTTCCTTCTCGGCGTCGCACCACTTTGCGCCACCAGGGCGTAGCGAAGTTAAAGCCAAGCCATGGCAAGCCCCCCCGGAGAAATTATGATCGACGCGAGTCAAGATCGATCGCAATGGCGATCATCCAAGAAATACAAAGCATTTGGGGAAACAATTGGCATCAGTTCTTACTTGAGGTACTGCTGGGTCTGGAACTGGCGCGTCATGTAGCAGCTGACCAGCTGGACCGACGACAGATTGCCGTGGGCCATGGCGGCCTGCATCTGATCGATGGTGGCCTCGTGCAGCTTGAAGCCGAAGCAGTCGGCCATGGGGAACAGATTGTCCGAGCCGGCATTTTTCTGCAGAGGAATCAGGTTGGGCGTCATGGGGAACACCTGCGACACGTCGAGCGCGGCGGCTCCCGCGACGAGGGCCGACAGGGTGAGTTGGTACTTCATGGCGGCGACGAGACTGTCAAGATGCCAACGAAGAAGAGGAGGAAGAAGATGATGATATCAAGAGGAAAATGTCAAGATATCAACAAGGAGAGGGAGAGGGAGAAAGAGGTGAGGAGAGAGGTGAGGAATGCGAAAGCCCGGAGACTGCGCCTGCCCAGGGTATTAAAGAAAAACACACCCAAGACAGACGAGCTGCGAACTAGGCACAAGCAGGCAATCAACTGCGGACTCCATCGTCAAGCAAGCCAGAACTGGATTAGAATAGAGCGGCCAGAGCATTAGAGCAGACCGCTCTCACCTCGATTGATCGGATAGACGGCTGCGGCTAACCAGAGCTTCACGCCTAGTTGCAAAATGGAGCTGCGGATGAACGAGAAATTGGTTGTTCCCTTGCCTTGCGTGGATGGATGGCGAAAGTCAAGACTCAGGGTCCCTGCTGCAAGCACTGCCTTTGCCTCCCCAACCTCGCCTCACCTTGCCCTCAGCGCGCCCTCCAGCGGCTACAGCGCTGCACCGCGGACACTTAGCGACCTCCTACAGGGGCCCTTCCCTGTTGGCCACGCACCAGATGGGGCGCCTCAGCCCGCTAGCCTTTGCGGTAGCGGCACGCAACCTGACCGAGGGCGCCCCAGAATGTCACTCGCGGCATCCAATCACGCAGACGCCTGGAGTCGCTCCCGCTGGCATTGATGAGATCAATTTATCTGGAAATCCGTTCTAACCGTGGAGGGCATCACCTTGGGGCCGCTGCTAGAGGAGGGACAGGACGAAGAAATGAGGCAACTGTCCCAATACGGAGCGTGATGAGACGCTAGAGATCTTTAGTTGACCAAGTCTGTTGACGGCACGCAGACTAAATGGGATTCATAAGCTGGATGACCCCATGTATCCATGTATGTTAGATGAGCCGCCCAATATGCTGGAACTCGTAGATTTGATGAACGATGGCAACGAGGAGGGAGGATGCGAAATGACCCGGTCCAATCGGAGGTATACAGTCACAAATACTACATAGCGCATGGTACCTAACCAAGCGAGAGAAGCGCCAGACAAGGGCAAGACTCAGATATTGCAGACACAGCTGCAGCCATGGCATGACGAACTACAACCCCTGCACCCCAGTCTTGCATGCTCCATTCTTCAGGCAAAAGAAAACAAAAGAGAAAAAAAATTGCCCAGCCTGCTAAGGCTCTCCTCATTTCTGGCTACAGTGCAAACACGAACAAAAGGTGGGCTCCAATAAATCTCCGGCCCAGCCGGCGAAATTGCAGCGCAGTGCAACGTACACGTACGTACATAGTATAAGAACTCAGCTCAGTTTCCAGCTTTTACGGCAGAGCTTGGGGCAACAATGCCGCATCAATGACATCTTCCTCGTGGGCCTGTGCATCAATAGTCGATGCAGATGCAAGGGAAAGAGCCCCAATATGCAGGGCCCTGCCGAAGAAGCAAAGAAAAGAAGAACAAGAGCGGATCAAGAGAGGAACAAGAGGCCAAATCCACGGCATCGGTGCCCGAGAACGGCCTGTGGTTGGCCCGTCCGCCTTGTCAGGTTCACCAAAAACACTCACCACTGAACAAACCGCATCCTGCTTGTGCGTATCCAGCCTAGTTGCTTCTTTAGCCCTTCGACCTTCGTTCTGTCGGCACGGAACTCTCGTGGAACCTTCTCTTCTCCACGTCCCCTTTTGGCCCCTCCAGCTTCTGCATGCGGCATGCAGGGCCTCATGCATCACGACTGACTCGACCCACGTGGAGACTTTGTCTCTTTTCGCTAGTGCTAGTTGATTATCATCAGATGGGCGGCCCTTTTGTCTGTTCAGTTCGCCGAAACTTCGTATTAACTGCTCTCAATCTCAGCTGGTCGCATATCATTTCACACGCACCCAGAGGCTGCAAACCGGGGAACTGCACCATCCGTGGTTGTACTTTTTGTTTTTCCATTTCATTCTGCCATCAGTTCGTCTTTTTATCCAACATTGAACATTCTATGAATAAAAAACAAAAGAACAGAGACCTAGCCCATTTGGGGTATCAACATTGGCTGGTTTGGTTTGCGCAGAAAAGCTAACAAGCCCAGGCTCCCGCCTACACCGAGCCGAAAAGCTCATCATCATAAATAGTGGAGTCCTTTTTTTCTCCCTCGCACTCTCATCCATAACTGCCGGACATTTGATATGTGAAACATTAGAAGTGTATGAGCCACATCATGACAAAAAGTCAGGTCAAAGAAAATCGCAATTCGTAACCAAGGAAAAAAAATAAAAATAAAAATAAAAGAAATACAGCGCGAACAAAGAGCAGAAGAGAGAAAGGGAAAATGTAAATCAGATCGCTATTTCCTCCTTTTATTATTCTTTCACCGGCTATCCAGGCTCGCAGTTGTATTTGTATTGAGCCGAGCCTCCTTCAGTTCGAAATCCATCTGTACGTAGATGCCTTCCGTATCGTTGGCACGCCTGCTGCCGGCACTTGCCACGGCCTCGGAGCCGTACTTGGGTCCCTCGTCTTCTTGGCTCCCCAGTATGCTGTGCTGGCTGCCGGATTGGAACCTCAGCGTGCCAAGAGCAGTCCCTCGAGACCGAAAAGTGTTGGTCTTGCGGCCGTAATGCGATGCGCCGCTTGTCTGGCTATCGTCCTTCTTGAAGAATATCTTGTCAAAGAGCGGCTTGGCTCCGGGAACGGATAGAGCGATCAGCGTGGCTCCTATCTCGGATGTTTCCACGCCAAGCATGGGATCGTATGACCAAGATTCATCAGTCTCCCACTGGCCCAGGATGACGAGGACAAGTCGAGCAATCGAAATGCCAATGACTCTGTAACAAACGAGTCAGTAAATGCCATTATTTTTACGCAACCCCCAAAACGGGCCGCCTAGATTCCAAGAGTAGGCTATGATGGACTGGGGGACACCTACGCAACACCAGGCAGTAGAATTCCAGCCAACTGGATCTTTCGCTTCCGAGACATCTCCAACGTTCGTAACATGGCAATAGGAATGCCAAACAGAAGCAGATCGCAGAGAAGCGAAACAGAAGAGTTGACACTGTAAACGATACCCCACTGCAGGCAGGTATATAAGGGAGCAACGGGCTCCCAACCGTACGGCCAGTAACCCGTGACCGGTTTACAATGGAAGATTAGCAAAAAGATCTGGGGGAGAAACCCGGCGATCAAGATGCCAAACACAATCTTGATGGCGAGCTGAAAGTTGTTGTGCTGCCCACACACTCTCTGGTAAAATGCGAGACCCGATACGCGGCATAGGAGCAGGGCTGTCGTGTAGATGATGTGCGCGACGAAATCTAGTACCTGTGTCCGGAGAACCGTGGGGACGTCCATGATATATTCGATATAGGCGAAGTGCCTCCCAGATCCCAGGTTGATCAATTCAATGCTCAATCCAACAAAGCATATCAGTAAAGCCTGGCAGCGCACAGAGTAAGTAAGTCAGCTAGATGAGCAATGAGGGCAAAGAATCTTTCCGATGGCTTACCAATGACAATGTAGCCAGTGCATCATCAACGCCAACACGCCTCACAATGCATGATCGTGATATCAATCTTGTGCAGACGACCACAAAGGTCAGCGCTGTGACGAAAACAATGCCAACAATTGACGGGCCATCGCGAGATTCGCTCAGATATTCAGCGGTAATACCCGCCGGGACCGTGCCGTTGGCGATGGCCTGCTGAATGCGAGAGTCCACCATCGTCCCGAGATGGACAAAGATGACCACTTCTGCTGTTGGTGTTGGTCGTTGGTGAGGACGGGGCTGTCAGACGTAGAAAACCTCGCCCGGGCCTCCCGTATACCTTGTGCGTAATACAACAGACACAGTCATCCACAATGGAGCGGCACCACTGCCGAAAAAGAAAAGAAACAGTTGATATTTAAGAGATCGATCCGGCGGGTGGCGAGGGCCCTACCTGTACAAGTATGTGAGCAATCTATGGCTTGTGCCGGGAGGCACCGTCCGTCCAATGTTGCCCACAAAATTCTCTGCGTCAAAGCATCTGCGCCGCCGCTAGAGCCGGGATCATGCTGGGAAAAGAAGCTCGGCCAAGGAAGGGCTTGGTTCCAGAAAACCGATGGGGGGTGGTGTGGCTGCTTGGCTGCGACCTGGGACGGCCATAGACATCGTTCACATCGGCCCAAACGCGGACGAGCTCAACTTGCTAACAAGCGCTGGAGGGGGAAAACTCTGGTGCCCACCCAAATGAAATCTCCTATTTGCTCACACTGGCCAGCCAAGTACTGTGGTGAGTGCCTTTACTCGTTCCGGCACATCTCAACCTTAGTTCTGGCAGCCACCATCAGCGGGGAGGTGTCGCAGACAGTGTGTCTTACACGCACAAGGGGGTGCACGATTTGCCAAACCCGGCTGGCTGGGACACGCCACGAAGAGAGCCGATAGGCTAATGAAGGACCCTCCCCAAAGTCCCAAGGCGAATCAAAGCCAGCCAGCGACGCCACCTAATCACAGGCGTGGCTCGGACGCTTCAGCAGTCCCGTATCATCCTGTTTTTGTGGGCAACTTTGTTGAAGAATTCTCTTGGTTTTGCGGAGAATTGGTTCGGCTCGTCGAATAAGTTTGACCTTGAGGGCCAAACCTAAGCGAGCCCTCGACAGTAATAAGAACAGTGCCTATTGACTGCTCTTCTCGCAGCCAATCGATATTTGCACGCGGCAGCGAGGTATGCAGTACGGAAGCTCCCGAAAGAGCCGTGTCTCCCGGTGGATAACGTCAGAACCAGAACGAAGCATACTGTACTCGTACGGTCATCTGAAGCACTGCTCAGCTCTGAACACGAGGTACATAGTAGATGTCAAGCAAGGATCGTTGATTGAGGGGTTGCCAGGGACTGCCTGTTTTGCTCGACCAGCACGTAGCCGAATATGGCATCGTCGATGGTTGATTGACGCGGATAGGAGGCCGGTTTAGAACTTGACGCGGGTTGTCGAGCCGTCAATAGCGCCGTTGCTTTGTGTCGTGGGCCCTGAGCATCATCAACGGCGGCGCGATTAGCCTGAGCCTTTTTTTCCTGACAAGTCGTCTCGTGTGTCTGCATTTGAATCACTCGCCTCTCCCTTGATTCCGATCCCTCAACTTGATGCTTGGTAAATGCGGCAGAATGCTTGATCCCCGTGGTCGACTTGGCTACCTGTCAAATTTCATCATGCCACCTGCAAGATAATGGGCCCCTGTGACGCGACGATAGGTCACAAAAGCACTTGCGAGAAAAACTACCGTTCATGCAGCAGCCGCTAGCCTGGGCCCATCTGATTCCAAAAAAGGCCCAGCGGACGCCACGCTTCACCCTCTGTGCTACTTGCAACAGCCACATGTAAGCTGCTTGATTGCCTCCCCTTTCCCACCTAGCAGGTCCGCGGGCACGATCCGACCAGGGGAAGTGCAGAAGCTTCAAGCACTATACCAAGGCATGATACATGTTGCAGCTCGGGCCCTGTTTATTGGAAATTGGTGACAGCTTCAAGTGGCGAGCGTAGCCCCCCCGGCAAAGCTGAATCGATGATAGAAGCACTATCGATTGCTCCCCCTGAGGCTGCTTACAGACAGCACAGTTGGCCGAGGCGACAGCCATGGGTGGCATCAGAATCTCCAGATGGTGGGCGACAACGCTGGGACAAGCAGAGTGGTATTAGCATGCCCCTGGACTATTCTCCGGGTGGTCTAGCAGAGTCCTCGTAGTAGTGCTGGTACGGAGTACTGCAAATGCAACCCCATCGCCCAACTGCCGTTTCCAAGAACTGCAGGTCCTGGTCATGCCAAGTACTCGTACTGGACGAGCCCATCGCTCTCAACGCGATACGAGTAATAATACCGACCATACTCTTACATGGCGTCTCGGCATCCCATTTACCGCCGACGAGGTGAGGGTTTCTCTGGCAATCGAATCCTCTAGGCTACCTGGACACGAGTCAGTACGCACTCAATTTGTGCAGGGCCGGGCCACTGACAGACGGTCCGTCCATCGGTATGATCAGCCCGTAAACGCGAAAATCAGGTTGCCTAGAGTAGCCCCGATCCAGCCTAGCTGCGCCATTGCGACTCGAGCGCGTCCACTTTCCACTTTGCAGTGGGTTTGGAGGCATTTTGCGTTTGGCGCCATGGTGACACTTGGAAAAAGTTGCGAGAAGTTTGCAAGTTTTCTCGTCTAGATGCACCAGAATGACTTAGTCAGCCGCAGAAAAGAAGCCACAGACGGGGTGAGAGACTGGCAGGTACGATTCACTCACTGCCACATTTAGGCCGATGCAAAGCACTTCAGGTGGGTTTAGCCCGATTCGGCTTAGGGGGCCTTGGGGGCCTCTTCAAGTAGTACTTGGCCTTTGTACTAAGGTCTAGGTACTCCGTACTCGTACCAATGCACCTCTTCCTGGCCAGGCATAGGCTTTTCGTACTGCAATCAACAAGATTCTGAAGCCTCTCCATATCCCTCCACCTCCAAGCATCCTGCAGCCACGTTCCATTGCAATATCCAGCCCCTGGTAAGCGAGGCGAAGGGCTCGAACTAGAGCTGGCGATGAGAGTCTGATGCCACTGTGGACACGTTCTCAATCAGCAACCGAACCAGATCCTTCGCTCTGCGTCGTTTCTGCGCTTGGATCAGCTTCATATCAAAGCAACATTGGCTGACCCTGGTCTCTTTTACTACCAAATGAACGGCTGGCCAGGGGCCTTGGCTTTGACACTCTGACAAGCACACGTGCAAGTTCGTGGAGAAATGGCAGTGCTGCACATGAAACCTCTTCTCTCCACACATTCATCTCGACAGCCGATGAAGCCCCAAATCTCCTTGAACAGACAAACTATCTCATCATCCCCTTACCACCTGCATCAATCCACAGTGCACGGCGCCCTTCCGAATGACACTGTGGCGATGTTACAGTCAGCCAGATGCTAGTAATTTCCAAATTAGCCAAATATCAAACATCTTGTCTGGCATCGCCATCCGCCTCTCCGTCTGACAAGCTAGCCCGCGCCCTTGTGCAAAGAGGGAGTTGCAGAGCCAGGCACTAGTTGTCCATCCGGCGTCTTCTTAGCACTTCTCCTAGCTCAAGAAGGGGTAACTTCGCGCCAGCAGAGCCACTCGCCCCTCAGAATGGAGAATGCTCTGAGACGACGTCCAAAACAACAAAGCCGGCCCTCTTGATGTTACTTATCGATTACGTGCCAAGTCGTCTCCGAGCTGAGCCTACCGGCATCAGTTCCGTCAAGATGGCTGCACTTACGTACTCTATTTGTCTGCTAGTACAATATTTCAGCCAAGCAGCTGAATGTCAGCCGCTTTCATCTCCACCTCTCGGCGACGTTCTCCGTTGCACCAAGATATCTTTCCAATCCTTCGGATAATCCATCCCGATCACGGGATATAATTCCAACGTCGTTTCTAGGCGCGCTGGGGTCAAATCTCCGACATAAGCGACCTCACGTTGGCGACAAAGGTGGTTGGTTCGCGTTCGCGTTTGCCACATCCAGTATCTTCACTAGCAAGCGAACCAACGAACTAATACCATGGATGCCAAGAAAAGCTGCATCAATATGCTAAACCAGAAGTTTACCTGGCGCAGCGAGTTTCTGCGTAGCTTGCCTCACCAAAAATCTGCTACAAATTAATATTATTATGCCGCTTGCTAAGCATTTAGCCGCATCAGCTGCAGGTTGTGTGCGAACCCCTTTTTTGACAGGCAGCTCGTCGTAAAGGTCCGACGCATGTTTGGGTGCACGTATTGCTCAATTTGATTGCTAAGCGCTGAGAAAGGCTTCCATCCCATTGACGTCTTGTCAACATCGACGACTACTCACACACTGTCGTGCGACATCTGCCGGAAGCTGCCACGCTGCGGACCTCGCTCTTCGGCATTTGCTTTGACATTAAAATTGCTCCTACGCCTATGATGAAGCTTATCTTGAAACTCCAAATGTGCTTGTGATAGCAACCCTAGATCCTACCCACTGTTTACATCGCTTAAGCTTGAGTGACAGCGTCAATCCGGATCCCATGATGCCGAGTAGGGTAGCAACTTATCTCCTCCGCACTTCTCGACATCTCCTGAGAACAGCTCCGCAGATAGTTACATTGTCTATTCCACATATGGCCTAACAATCATTAATCTTACATGTGGCTACGCTAAATGGAAAACGAGGAGTTCGTCGATAGCTGCTTCACGGGAATAGCAGAGCCGATACGAGCATCGGGGTAGATACGGAGCACTAAAGATTCGAATTATTCTTAAAATGGACTATGAAAAATCTACTTATGGGAAAATAGACCCGACGCTCCCCGAATTAGCACTACTGTGTACTGACCGAGATGCAGCGACGATATGAATGAAATTTCAGAGGTGCCTGACTTTGGTTGCTAAAACCACAACAAGAAACGGCGAGGTAGACAATAGGAGTATATAACACTGCAATTTGAGCCTAATTTGTGCTCTTCTTAGCTTCACTGCTTTGCAGTCTTCTTCCACGGAAGTCGGAAGTGGAAGTTGTTCCATTTCCTGACCCGGAAGAGGTAGTACAGGGTAATCGCCGCGAAGATGTTGAATACAATATACGCCCAAACGATGCCGTAATTGCGCCATCTGTCGCTCCAGAAGATCTCTGACTGGGCAAGATATTGGTCTGCGTTGCTGAGCTGGCAGTATTGACATTGGGTTCTGGACGAAGGATTCTGCAGTTGTCCTGGTGCCTGTTGGAGGAACGGGCCCAGGTAATCGCCACAAGTCAAGCCAGAGGGCGGGTTAAAGATGGACAGCTCGCTCTGGGAACAAACAATTTGTCGTCCGTGGAGCTCCGTCGCAACTATACCCCCTACCCAGTAAGTAAAGACTGAGACGCGCCACATGAAGAGCCAAAACCCTGGGAGTGCACTGGGCACCTGCAAAACTCCGTTGAAGAGTGTGCTCATTAGGGTTAAGAAAGTCACAATGCTGGCAGCCGTCTGTGCATCTGGCATTGCCACGATGATCATGTGAGCGAATGAACTTGCAAAGATAAAGAGCTGCATGATAAACAGAAGGACCAGGATCTGTCTGATGGAGCTCTGGACGCCGACAACAGGGTAGTAGAAGCAGGCAAAGACCAGAATGCCCATGAGGATCTGGTAGGGAATCTCGACGAATATATTTGCAATGATGAAAGCCTTCCATGAGTAAGCTTTGCTTGGCCGTTCGCGGACCTCGTACAGCGATCTTTGGGTGACAAAGAGAGGTTGAATCTGGGTATATCTTGTTAGCCAATTCTTGAACCCACAATATAAAAAACTCATCTTACCTGCTGCACAATTGTTGAGAATATAGTTGTAACCATGAAGACGGAGAAAATGACATTCTGCATTCCTGCCAACGAGGAATTGGCATTGAAAAACGAGAAGCCAATGAACAGTCCAGCGGCGATACCGAGCAAAAGCTTGGCAAAGATGTAACTCGGCAAGCGCCAGTACTGCTGAAAGATTCGATATGTGACTTCCCAGAGCTGAGTCCCGAAAGGTGTAGCAAATTCAGAATGAGAGGACGGATCCTCCTCACCGGGGCCCTCGGCTAGCTTCTCCTCATGAAGGCGATCAAGCTCTTTTTGGACCATCTCGAATTCAGAACTGGACTTCCAGACAGAGTCCCAATCTTCACCTTTGTCATTGACTCCATTATTCACGATTTCGAGCATGTACTCTGCTGGATTCTCCTCGTCGCCGCATTTGCGAGCTCCGTGTTCCTCAAAGTAATCCAAAAGCGTATGGGAATTGTCACCAATGTTTCCAAAGTACACCGTCTTTCCGCCCCTGGCTAGGAAAAGCAAGCGATCAAAAGTCTGGAAAAGAATGGCGCTGGGCTGGTGGACGGTACAGAGGATTGCTTGGCCAGAATCGGCAAGTTTGCGGAGGAACGAGCAAATGGCCCACGAGCTCTGAGAGTCAAGACCGCTAGTTGGTTCGTCGAGGAAAAGTAGCAACTTTGGCTTGGCTGCGAGTTCTACTCCGATGGTAAGGAGCTTTCGCTGTTCAACGTTGAGCCCTTCACCTGGAACACCAACAACGGCATTGGCAAACTCTTCCATATTGAGCATCTTGATGACCTCTTCAACGAACGCGTATTTCTCCGCCTTGGGGACGGATTTCGGCTGGCGCAACATGGCACTGAATCGCAGGCTCTCGCGGACCGTGGCAGTTGCAAGATGCAGATCTAATCTTTCGTTAGTGCATAATGTACAAAGTAAAGATATTTGCTTTCTTTAAAATTACCTTGCTGTTGCACATAACCCGTTTTCCTTTGGAAGCTAGGGTCTCTTGGCCTGCCATTAACAAGCATATCGCCGGTAATGACACCCATGGTAGTTCGTTGAGCGAGCACATCGAGGAGGGTCGTCTTTCCTGCACCACTAACGCCCATCAGCGCGGTCAGTGTGCCTGGCTTTACCCAACCAGAGACATGATCCAGAAGCCTGCGGTCCTCGCTCTTAATCTTGATATCGTAAACAACATTTCTCCATGTGAAAATATCCGTTTGAGGCTCAAGACCTTGAACATTGGCGTTAGTATTGACCACGTACAGACCCTTCTCATCAACCCCATCATCGGTTCTGGCAGGACCGCTTTCACTCTTCAAAATGTGTGCAGGGACGTGGCCTCTGCGGAAAACAAGAGCCTCAGCGGTGCTTGATGTTGACGAGTTCAACTCTGTAGCGACAAAATACACCGCCATGAAAAAGAAGAGAAAGCCCATTAAAATGCCAAAATTGCGCCAAACATGGGAATAATAGTACTCGTAGTTGGTGGCAATGAACGCGTCACCGCTTACAGTCGTGCTACCCGCAACCGCACCAGGAACAGGACAGATAAAAGAATTGCCGATAGTTGGGCTATACGGTGGCACAAAAGGGCTACCACAAGGGAAGTTCTGACCGTGGAACTCGTTGGCGACTAGGATTTCAAAGGCGTAGTAAATGGGATTAATCCATCTAATCCAGCTGAACCAAGGATGCATTTCTGGCACTGTAATGGTGAATCCAGTGTAAATGACAAGCGCGAGAACTAGAATACCGGCAAGCGACATGGCCTGAGAAACTGTCTTGGTGATTGCGGCCATCGTTCTGAAAATGGCACTCATGACGAATATGGAGACATAGCCAATGAGATAGTAGATGAAGAATTGTGACGCCGTCCTCCTCAAACCGGCCATGAAGTAGAGGATGATATTGAAGACTGTGGAAGTGATGAACTTGATGGGGATATCGGCAGCGATACCCGCAGCTGCTTCGGTAGCGGGATGGTAAAAGGCATATGAGGCATGCTTCTCGACAATGGGCCGCTGTGAATACAAGCTATTGATTTCGGATATCGCTGTCAATGCATTGAGCAGAATGGCGACGAACAGAACTGAACCTTTGGCGTAGAAACCCGATGTATTGTTAGGGGTGTCGAAAAATATGGAGCCGATAATGAGAGCCATGACGATTTGGACCACAGTAGATGCCATTGTTGCATAGATGTCATTCCATATGCGCTGATAGGCCCGTTTAGTGTTAAACCTGATTTGCATTGGGATGCTGATGATGTACGGCGACTTGGGCCGCATCCTCTTAGCCTGCCTCAGGTTTTTCTGCTGGCGAAAGTACGCAAGACTCTCGCCTTGGTGCTCGCCGCCGAATTCTTCGTCATGCCGATCGAGATCTTTTTGCAGGGCACGGAACTCGGGAGATTGCAGCCAAAGCCGTTCGAAGTCTTCTGGAGTTCGAGGCACTTTCCCTTCCATCCCTGGACGAGCTTGACGTTCCACAGGATTGGTGACTGAGGTCAGGAAATCGCCAGTGGTTTGGCGCGGGGGGCAGTACCAGCCCTGTTTCTCGAAATAGGCCTTTGCTCGATCCGCCGGACCAAAGTAGATCTGACGACCATCATATAAAACTGTGGCTTTGTCGAAAAGATCGTAGATGGCCTGGCTGGCTTGGTAAATGGCAACAGCGTTAGCAAGATTACCTAGATCGGCGGCCGTTCGAAGGGATTTAACAAATTTGAAAGCTGTGGCTGAATCAAGACCTCGAGTACTATAAGCTCGATTAGAAATCTGATCACTGAATAGACAAACATAAGTAGACAAACCTGTTGTCCCAAGCAGCTAGCGGCGAGCCAGCCAAAACCATTTCCGCGATACTGACGCGTTTTCTTTCACCTCCAGATACCCCACGAATAAAGTCATCCCCAACTTTGGTATTGTAGGTGTGAGTGAGACCAAATATTGCCATGACTACCTTGGCAATATAGCGACAGTACTCAGCACGAGGCATGTTGTAGGCTCGATGGGATGGCGTTCGTACAGAGGCCGCGAATTCAAGAGTCTGCCCGACAGTAAGGTGAGGAAAGTGCCTGTCGACCTAGGGGATAAATTAGCGACTAATTCTGAGTAAGAGGCATTGGGAAAAGCAGCTAATCTTTTGGCATTTTCAATTTTGATGCTAGGCATGCGACCTACCTCTTGATTGTAAATTGCTTCTCCCCTGAATTCTTTCTTCATCTGCTTTTGGGGGATGCCGTTGTAGTTGATGCTCGACTTCTCCCCAATGTTCAGACCATGTAGCTCGCCGCAAATAGCTTTGAGGAGCGTGCTGCAGCCAGAACCGGGACGTCCAAGAACAACTAAGAGTTCTCCGCTCTTGAGAAGCCCATTGAAGTTGTGAAGGATGTGCTTTGGCTCCTTTTTGCCAAAACTGAAGAACTCTCCAAGCCTCAATGGTGCAGTGACGACAGAGCCCACGGTGTTTTGGAGCTGAATTGCATTACCGGAGCCAAAGACGTCAAGACTTCGAAACGAAACGCCTATTTTCCGGTCTGCGAGACCTTTCTCGTCGAGTTCACGGATAAATCGAAGCAGCCATTTCGAAAGGTCAAATTCGCGACGGTCAGGGTCAAGAGTGGCATCATACTCGTCAATAGTACCGAGACCCACTGACTGACGGCGAGAAGGCGCTGCAGCTTGAGACTGTCGACGAGAAAGTGCAGTAGCAATGCGTTTGAGTTCGGTCCTGTCTTCTTGTTCCATCGTTTCTCCGTTGTATGTGTTGGTGCGACTCAAAGCCGAGGGGAAAGTGCTGGCGTCATTGCCGGAATCTCTAGAGTGTGTTTCTCGCTGGTTTCTCTCCGTTGGTGATTTACCACTTTCGTCCTCTTCCATGACGGTAGAGAATTGACGATGTGTCGAGCTGCCGGAACCCTCCTCGACAGCTTCTTTTCCATCTTCTTGATGAGCCATTGTCGCTTGAAGAATGACCAACCATGAAGCATGAAGCTACTGAGGAAAATTGCCAAACAGAACGACGCGAGAGTTTGTATAAGTAGTCGATCGATGACATGCCGTCTACACCCTAAACCGGTGCAGCTCGAGGAAGTCCGGGGCTGGGCGGCCGGAGTGGGAGGCCATACCTAGGGTCGGCAGCTAGCTAAAACCTTGTACGGAGTTGATGGCTTGGCCGACTCAACGCGGTGTTTTCATACCGTGCGCATTTGGAACCAGACATACAAAACTCAGCGCCAATGATTTTGCTCGAACATGAAGCAATTGATGGTGAATTGGTGTTGATCATCGGGTTGCGGACTTTTCAGAGCCCGCCGACTGTTTATTCCGACGTGCCCTCCGTGGAACCGGAGCAGGTGTGACACGGCACTCCGTTCGACTCACCCGCAGTATCTAGGAGCTGAGCGTAAGGTAGGCTACGGACACCAATCGTCATTGTGGGTTTTGCAGGATGGCGAAGTCCCAAAGCCGATGTTGACTAGCGTCTTATCGATGACCCGATGTCTGCATTGACTGCGGGCTTCACATGATTCTCTAGCCATTAGTTTAGCTAAGGCTCTAGCTGAAGCTCTCAGTTTCTCCTCCTCGTATGCTGGGCAGAACCTCCTGCTAAGCGATTTCCAGAGGTGCAGTCCTGTGGCTTTCGGATAGTGACGAACAGCGCTGACTCTATTCGATGTCCAGGACTCAGCTGAGACCCTTAGATTGGACCCTTGAGATTAGGTTTGGGCCTCACGGCGCTGTCGACGCATCCGGGCGTCTGGACCCGTTAGCCGCCCTTTCCCATTCCAACTCCGTACTTGTGCTTGTGCGAGTGCCTTCACAGTGCCTTTGCCGCGCGGATCTTTATCATGTAAATTGATCAAGATCCCGGTGTTCTTGGCATTACCGACGAAAACGGTCCCAGCCCCAGCGGGCCTTATTCAGGGCAAACAATGAGATCGGTTGACCAAGTACCGAGGGCAAATCGGATTTGTGAGCCGCGATGCTTACAGGCTGTGCTATAGCAGCATTGTGGCAAATGGCTTCTCGGTATGGCGTTTTTTGTTTACGAGCGGATAATTAACCCAAGTTTTGGATTGTGAGGAGGGCTGCGATGCCACAAACTCGTGCCAATGCCACGTGTGCGTACATCAACCAAATGCAGCAATATTTACATGTGCTTGCGATCAGTTCAACACAACTACATTGACGTTTACAACCATCTACAACTAGGTACACAACTCTTGTTTCAACCGGCATCTGTATCTCAGTCAGCTACGCGGGCCAGATCAGTGTGGCGCCCCTAATGCTAGTGGGCTCACCGTTCTAGCCCTACCAAGCGGGGGCTGAATTGCGGCGAAGCATCGGGTCCGGGATCTTGACCCCTCTCAAGTTGAATCGCCCGAGACCCCGATGCTGCGGAATGACGGTATTGGTGGCTCTGGAGTTGCAGTTTGACAACCCAAATTACAAGCAACACTCAATTCAGTGAGTGTAAATCAGGAAATGTCGCTGTCTAGTCTCAAGTCCGCACCCGAATCCCGGCCCTGCTTGTCGTGCCATCAGCCAGCAAGATACGACAGGCCAACTGCAGCCATCGCAAGCATCAGCGGTCTGCTCAATGGGGCTGAGTCTGGCTGTCTTTCCTGCTCAGTATTAATTGCTGGTATCAACAGTGTCATTGATGATGATACAGTTCCGGATACTCAGCCTCAGGGCTCCGTCGAGTGGCTGCGAATGGATATAGGCATGGGAGCTTTGGGCTTCGGCCTCAACATAACCCTGTTTAATCGCGGGCTGGAAATATCCGTTTTTGCTCAACCATCGTCCAGTAAGATTGCCATTCCCAGTATAGGGCGGGTAGAATTGCATAGGGGGTTAGGGGCTGTATATAGAATATCAGGCTCCTAAGCCTCTGGTGATGTTCTTGGCATGCTACATATCGGTACTAACACCCTTTATTCCGTCAGAAACCCCTGAGCTTGAGCGCTTATTTCCAACTTTACCGGTCGGAGTTTTAGACCTTCCCAGTAGGACAGACTCTGAAGCTAGTCTCCAGTGGGTGGCTGAGAAGCTCAGGCAGTGTGACAACAGCCACGGATGCCGTCAGAAGAATTCTGATTTAACAGGGGCACGACCACGGCGAATTCTCGATGTTGGTTCTGCGGATAATAATCATGTCCGATTGAAAATATTTGATGCTACTGCTGATGAGATTCCCAAATATGCTTGTCTAAGCCACTGCTGGGGCTCGTCAAGACCTTTGAGTACCACGACCGCTAACCTTGATTCACACGAACGAGAAATCCTCTGGAGTTCGCTGCCTCCCTTGTTTCAAGATACAATAGCATATGTGCGGAGACTGGGAATCTCTCTGTTGTGGATTGACAGCCTTTGTATTATCCAAGATGATAAAGACGACTGGAGGAAAGAGGCCGCCAAGATGGCCTCGGTCTACCAAAATGCGTATCTGGTCATCTCCGCATCCAAATCCTCTGGATCCGAAGACAGCTTGTTTGGCGAGATCGACGAACAACTGAAGCCTAGCATCATTCCTGTCCCATCTCCAGGTCAAGGATCCGCTGTATGTTTTCGCAAATCGTTAACTCACATGCCTGGATACATGGATCAAAAGTTGGCTAAGCCCTCTGCACTTCCAACCTTCAATCGTGGATGGATTTACCAAGAGCGAATTTTATCCTCCAGAATACTTCATTTTGGACCACAAGAGCTCTCATGGGAATGCCTACAAGAATCTGCTTGCCAGTGCACAGGACAACATACTTCCTCGGCCACCATTGAGCCCGACATGATACATACCATGAGTGCACTGCGAATGTTAAACCCAAAGGCTATTTTCAATCAACACTATTGGCAGAAACTGTATGAAACCCAGCAAGTCAAAGCCTGGCATATGATAGTGGAAGACTATACCTGCCTTCATCTAACCTTTGAGAGTGATATTTTCCCGGCAATATCTGGTATTGCAACAAGATTTCAATCCTCCTTAGGGTCTGAATACGTTGCTGGAATGTGGAGAAAATCTCTCATACATGACCTTGCGTGGCATACAGAAAACACATCCGATGGCACCCCAGAGCGAATCGAGTGGCATCAACGTCCGAAGGCATGGCGAGCTCCGACGTGGTCGTGGGCAGCAGTACGAGGCCAAGTTCGGTTCCTTGATGTAGGAGCTGGCTTGAAGGCTTTATGTGAGCTCGAAGAAGTAAAATGCTCCTTTTACCAGTCGGATCCAACTGGTGAACTTACAGATGGCTATCTCTTACTACGTGGCTGCCTCATATCAACGTCGATTCAGTATAAAACTCACGTAGGAGAAAAGGACAGGAGGCCTTTTGAGTTATTCGAATTGGGCATTATGCAAGGACAAGTGGGCAATGTGTGGGCAGACTACGACTCATCAGTACCAGGACATGATTACATCGCATCTGGCACACCCGTTAAGTGCTTCATAATTTCCACTGGTATCGACTCAGGATCATTGAATCTTCTTATACTGAAAGAGACCCAGTATGATGAAGAAAAAGGATGCGCTACATGGCAGCGGTTGGGGCTTGCCCAACTGTCCAGGCCACCCAATGTCCTCGCAGAAGCGAAAGATTATTGGTTTGACGTATTCAAAGCGCAGCTAAGTGGTGAAACTTTAGTAAAGATTATATAAAATATCATTTTCTCGCTCATTCGTACCGGAGATGTGTATAGCATGTTGATAAACTTGGGGAATTGCAACTAGCGGCTGATAGACCAAGCGAAGGAGTATTCATTCTGCTATGCTATATTTCATTGACTTCACTTACCGTTCTTCGCATGAGGAGCATTCAATCGCCAACTTAGACTACCTATAGGATTCAATTGACTTTTTCAAGAAAAATTATGCCTTACACAAAATAACTTGCCTCCTCCAAACAGCTAACCGAGATAAAGCCCATTACCCCCACCTACATCTGCACATTTGTTCCTATACAAACCGCACATCTGCGCTTGGAGCGTTTCGGACATATGAATTCCAGTAATTCACTTCTCAATTAATGTTTTAACAGATAGAAAAATGTCGGAGAAAGAAACAATTATGAATAGGTGGTGTTCCAAGTAGATGTTTTTAGCTCGAGTGGAGGTGGTGCACGGTTCTCGAGACGCTCTTGGTATGGTGTTTAGAAATTTTAAAGAGACCGAGAATCAGGGAGCAGTATTAGTATGTGAAATCAAAATCCGACTGACTAAATTACTTGACAATTACACTTCAATCAAGATCAGTTAGTTCATGATCACTCGGCCGCGGAAGAGCTTCCTTGGAAACGAGATTGCTCTCCCTTGTATACATGCACCAAAATCCAAAATCCGAAAAAAAAAAAAAAAAAAGGTTCGGCACAATAAGCTGTAAAATAAAAGACATGCGCCTAGGGTGCAACATTATCTGCCTATCTGTGTTATTAAATTGTTGATTGGAACCGCATTTACGATGGAGTCCAGTTTCAGTATGTTCAATGAACCAGAAGTTGAATAAATTAAAGACTCTCAGCGCCGTGATTAAGTGAGATTCAGAAGCATACCTGAAGGGAAGACTCAGTTGCATCTCTCCATGAATAGGCTGGGCATAATCTCTAGAACCTGGTTGCATAACATTCACATTGTTGGTCTGCAGCAGATTTTTTTTTATCTTGTACTTCAGCTTCTATGCCGACAGCGTTTAGCGAGGAACTGGAAAGCTTATGAGACAATCTTTAGCGATGACAAAGTTATTATTAAGGTAGTCTGTAGCATAAAAAAAATGAAAGCTGGGTTACCACGAGGGCATCAAACACGATAAGTATCGGAATCCATTACCACTTACTTCAAGTGGAATGAATGCATCAACTACAACGCTAACAGGGGGATATAGATGCAACGTGGTTTAAGTTGCGAATAAGTATAAATGCAACTATATCCTACTACCATGTGACCCAAAAGAAAGAATCTGGGGACTTGTGGGCTTCAAATCCTCTAAACCTTATTCCTGATGACCCTTCCCCATACATATAACTTTCGAGATGAATATGGTCAAACCAAGATTATGACAGATTGTTTAAGCATACATATGGGTGGTGATTACAATATTGATGACCATGTCAAGGGGGGCTGCCGTCGACGAAGCAATTCATCTGCGGATCATCTGCGGGTCTTCTCCGTATATGCTATACGATTGCTTATGGCTATGCTTACTGTAAGTGCATTAAGATCCATGAAAATCGCTCGGTCATACTTGTATACACGTATAATTGTATCCTGTTATGATCCCTGTGAAGACAGCCAGGAGCCATGATCTCCTTAGACCCTGACGATGGGGCAGCGGACCGTTGCTAGGCTTTTCCCACTCGCCTAGTAAAACATAATTGGTATTTATAGCTCATATAGCGTCCAGTATTATATCCATCGGTTGATTTATCAGAAGAGTTGGGCAACCTCGGCATTCACGAGAGACAGCATTACGTATACTGTTGTTGGTTGACTCATGTAGCTGGCAGAGTATACTAACTATAGATTTCATTATATTACTCCCTTCATATGAATTCTATTTACTAACCCACCATGATGGCCCAGAATTGTGTTGCTTTGCACAGCGGGCGAATTCAACTATCCGTTGCCAAACACTTAGGCAACTGTCAATAGTATTTGGAATGCCATAAGGTACCTACTTAGTTGAGCTAGTAGTTTATTAAATTCGCCGGGTATAACGCCTAGAAGAGATATTCGGGCGATTCCCCCAGGTGCCAGAATATCACGGGGAGGGCCGTGGTTCATGTCAGAAATTAGTCCCTGTCCGTTGCATGCGGCATCGACTTGTTTCGGAGCTCACGGAGCATCATCTGGCCGACCGCCCCCAACGTTACCAACGTTACAATGTGGAATTACAAGATGATTTGCAACTGCATAAATTAGACCAAGATGTTCAAGCCAACTGGGGATGTCTACACTCGGTGAGATGTACGGAGCAAGAATGCTCAATATCGAATCTACTCCACGATACCCCCCCAGTTTAACGATTTCGGGAACGGTCCGAATCCTTGGCGGGACCAAATCATGTTGGGTTGTAAGACTCAATTTTTAGTCGATTGAATGGTAAACAATTAAACATAATTTGGTCTGATAATTCCACCTTATGAGCATCGAATGAGTGCATCGGCTATTCAATGCTCAAGGCTCGATTGGTCAGAAAAGCCCTACGAAACAGCCTTGTTCCATCAAGGCTGCTAATAATATCTTACAACGATTCTAGGATTCCACCAGGCCCACACCATACCAGCAGTGTCTCGGAGGATGCTGGGAGCAAAAGCGGGTAGTACAACAGATGAAGAAAAAAAATTTATCCTCAGCTTATTTGGTACCGAAAATAAATCGTATGCAAGACGATTATTCCGATTGTGAGACATAACTCACATACAACACGGAAAGCGGCATGAAAATTGCCTCTCGCACCATTCTCCGGCAGATGAAACGCAGAGAAGCCTTGGTAAAGCGGTCTGTAAGTATATAGGCCGATGATACGCCACTATATGACCGCATGACACTATCTAGACATTGTGTGACCTCCTGAGGCAAAATTTAATGCGCACAGGCAAATAAAACCTCCAACAAAAGTGTTGGTGGACCGGAAGATTTTGGTAGTTCCGATGTTGTTGGTTACATGCAGTGGGACAGGAAATCGCCTATACACATGGTGGACTTACACCGTCTCGTGTTGAAAAACTCTCCGCAGATTATGCTCCATATAGGTCGTTATAATAGCCCAATGAGGTTAGAGGGAGTAACGATTAGTCTGCATTGAACGGGGAATTTCTCCTCCTCTGTACAACACACGTGTGAAGAATATTGGGTCCCAAGAAAAGTGTTCGATTCCACCAGGCTGGGCGTTAACTCCAGTGGAGAAACAACACGAGGTGGCAAATATAGTTGTGGTGAGACGAATGTTGTCTATCAGGCTGGTCATAAGTGCAGTTTGATATGTGGCGAATTTTACACGTCGTATGGAGCCTGACAAGAAGCCGGGATTACTTCCCGCATGAGATGAAAGTGATGGACAGATATTGGCCATGGCCATCTACAACAACTATCAACTGGATGGAAAAGTCTTATGAAGAATTTTATGAATTGATGAAGAATTTAAATTTAATTCATGTATCTTAATGGCAGTTGCGCCTCATTCATCTTATATATACATTATTGAGAAAGTATTAGGAATGTTATTTAGTAAGGACCAGAGTGTCCGCTGACATCATAGCGGTCAAGGTCCATGACCTTGGCCCAAGCAGCGACAAAGTCATTGGCGAACTTGTTCTTGGCATCAGAAGAACCGTAGACCTCAGCAACGGCACGGAGCTCAGGGTGAGAGCCGAAGATGAGATCAGCACGAGAAGCAGTCCACTGGACCTTGCCGGTAGAATCCGTGCTCTGGAACAGCTCCGAGTTGGTGTTGGGGACGACGGACCAGCTGGCATATGAACCCAAAAGGTTGACGAAGAAGTCGTTGGTGAGCTGGCCAGGGTGGCTGGTGAGGATACCGGTGGAGGAGCCGTCAAAGTTGGCAGAGAGGGCACGCATACCGCCAATGAGGACAGTCAGCTCAGGAGGGCTCAGGGTCAGGAGGGCAGCCTTGTCGACCAAGAGCTCCTCAGTGAGAGATGAAGCGGTGCCGTGGCCAAAGTTGCGGAAACCGTCAGCCTTGGGCTCAACTAAAGCACAAAAATAGTCAGCGTCATTCATGCAGGCCACGATAAGATTGCCATAAGGGGATAGGACTCACGGAAAGCGAAGGTGGAGACATCGGTCTGATCTTGGGTGGCATCGACACGACCAGGGGTGAATGGCACGGTAAGAGTGATCCCGGCAGCCTTGGCAGCCTTCTCAATGGCAGCAGCACCACCGAGAACAATGAGATCAGCCAGAGAAACCTTCTTGCCGCTGGACTGGAACTTGGTCTGGACTCCCTTGAGCTGCAGGTCGAATTGTATTAGCAAAGCACTTATACAGTACAGACACAGAAACATCTTCACATACAGCCTTGATGACAGCAGCCAGACGAGGGGGGTTGTTGGCAGCGAAAGAAGCCTGGGGCTGGAGGGCAATGCGGGCACCGTTGGCACCACCACGCTTGTCAGAGATACGGAAGGTAGAGGCAGATCCCCAGGCAGTGGTGACCAAGTTGGAGACGTTCAGGCCGGGGGCGGCGAGAATCTGAGACTTCAGGGATGAGATATCAGAGGCGGCCAGAGTCTTGTAAGTGGCATTGGGGAGAGGGTCCTGCCAGATCAGAGGAGCCTGCTTGGGGACTTCAGGGCCGAGGTAGCGGGCGATGGGGCCCATGTCACGGTGGAGAAGCTTGTCTATATCGAGCTCAGTTAGGCCTCAACCATTTCTCCAATTGAGTTGATGGGTTTACTTACACCAGGCAAGACCGAACTTCTTGGTGAAGTAGTCAAAGTCGTTGAGGAAGGTCTTGGAGATGTTGTTGTAGACGGGGTCATCACGAAGACCAAGATCACTGGTCAACATAGTAGGGCGGCGGAACTTGCCCGGGATGAAGGGGTCGGGGTAGGACGCGTTGGCATCGAGAGCCTCCCACTGGGGAGCACCATCGGGGGACTTAGTGAGGGTGAAGTTGTTGTTGAGCAGGGAGAAGAGGAACTCTGACAGAAACGTTAGTGCGTGTCTTAGTTGTTGATCACCCGAAAAGATGCAAGATACTCACCATTGGCCCACTTGGTGGGAGTTCGGGACCAGATGACCTCGAGACCACTGGTGTATGAGTTCACACCGTTGCCAGGGACAGCGCTGTTCTTCCATCCAAGACCCTGGAGCTCAATGTCGGCAGCGTTGGGCTCAGGACCGATGTGGTCGCCAGTAACGGCACCGTGGGTCTTGCCGAAGGCGTGACCACCAGCAATCAGGGCAACGGTCTCCTCATCGTCCATACCCATGCGGCCGAAGGTCTCACGGATATCAAGGGCAGAAGCCTTGGTGTCAGGGGTACCGTTGGGTCCGCGGGGGTCAACGTAGATGAGACCCATGCTGACAGCTCCAAGCGGGCTTTCGAGTTCGTCCGCACGAGTAGTGAAGTCTGTGCTTCCGTTGTAGCGGACCACGTTGTTCAGAGCCTCAGGGAACATCTCTTGCTCGCCACCCCAGTAGATACCCTCGTCGGACTGCCAGGTATCCACACGACCAAAGCCGAAACCATACGTGGGGAAGCCCATGTTCTCCATGGCAGTGTTGCCGGCGAAGACGAACAAGTCAGCCCAAGAGAGGGCGCTGCCATACTTTTGCTTGATGGGCCCTGAATTTGGTTAGAATTATGTTTAATTTAACGCCTGCATGCCATTTCGGGCTTCATCGTTTGAGGGGCCAACTTACAAAGCAGGCGGCGAGCCTTGTCAAGGTTGGCGTTGTCAGGCCAGCTGTTGAGAGGAGCAAACCTCTGCTGGCCCTGACCGGCACCTCCACGTCCATCAATGGCGCGGTAGGTACCAGCGTTGTGCCACGCAAGACGGATGAAGAAGGGACCGTAGTCGCCAAAGTCGGCGGGCCACCAGTCCTGAGAGGTGGTCTGCACGGCAGTGATGTCCTTCTTGAGTTGAGCGACTGTCGGATATCAACATCGGCACTTGTAAGCTTAAACATTTTATGGGGCAGCAAACTTACCATCGACCTTGGAGAAGGCGCTGGCATAGTCAAAGTCAGAGCCAAAGGGGTTGGACTTCTCAGAGAACTGGCGAAGCACGGCCAAGTTCAGCTCACAAGGCCACCACTGCCTGCTTCGAGTGCCGCCACCAGCAACGGTGCTCTTGCGGGGGCACGAGCCGAAATCAGGGCCATCGGGGCTAAATCTCGACTCCAGGATGGACTCGGGGTGTTGAAAGCCACTGCGGGCAACGTGAACGTTGCTGTTGCCATTGATGTGAGGGCAGCCAGCGGCAGAGGCCAGCGGCAGAGCGCCGACAATGGCCAAGATGTTCTTGAGAGGCATTGTCTAGATGGAGAGAAGCAGAGCAGCCAAGGTTGTTGGTCTGGTGAGTGAACTGTGTTTCGTTGTGCCGATCTTGGCCATATATATTTTTTTCTCCTGTTTGCTTGCCCACTTCTTGTTCGCCCAATTGGTTCGCTTTGTCTTGCCCTCGTCATGCCCTCCTTGCCTCCTCCATACAGACCTGGACGCATGACAAGGGCCTGGATGGCCCAATGGACTCATGCGGCCTTAAGGTGTCCGTGCCTGGCATTATGCAGCTCGATGTGACACCATCACCTACGGTCCTGGACAGTAAGATTACACGCCAGGCCTCCCTGCGTAGAAGATTGACAAACTTGTGCAGAGATCACCCCTCGATCTCACCTGAACCCTCCTTCCTAAACCATACCACCGGCGCAGACACAATCTCAGGCTAACACACCGTTTCCCAGCCTCTACAGACACCGGTTCTCTGTCACTCCGCCTCCTCCGCTAAGTGCCGAAATCTGGCAGATTTCGGCCGTGGACAATGACTTTTCACAAAGACTAAGGGCGGAGATGTGTCCCTACGAGGCAAGTGGGCTCGGCTTTTCGTCCACTCACCCTGATTGTCTGCTTACCTTGCACATAGACTATGTTATCAGCGGACTAGAGTTACACGACTCCGTACGGACTCGCACGAGTACAAGCTGGCTGCCTTGCCGCCTCTTTCTGACCTACCCTGTTTCCGTCCGGGCAAGGATACTCGCCCTGCATACTTGGCTCGATGCTACGGTACCAGTCATCGTTATATATGCCAGCACGCGGAAAGTTTGCCCGCGCCGGCGGGTGAACCAAGCAGCCGCAGGCCCAATAAGAGCCCGCGGATTACAAGCCACCACGCATCACCGCGAAATATCGTGGTATTGGGTTAGAGAGGGCCAATTCTCAGCCGGCATTACAGCGCCTATTTTTAGCTTTGGTGTTGCTTAACCGAAAAGCCAAGTGTGTATTACCTCCTAGTCTCGCGCGACCATGGAACGTGCACGATTCCCATTCGAGTGTTAAGGCCCATTGAGGTGCCGACGACAAGGGGTCTAGAGGCCGAACTTGACTAGCGGTATGAGATAGTACTCCGTAGTATACTCCTGGTATTTGTCGTAGTCTCCAGTATGGTGTCATCCATGCAAAATATGCTCAATTATGCATCTTATATAAGCCTAGTTTGAGTCGAAGATCCGGTGTACTTTGAGAGAAGGTCTGTCACCGTTTACACCAATTGATTCAATTGTTGCCATCTGACCATGTTGCGGGCGTCAGAATGGATTATCAGCTCACAGTGGTGCAACAAGCAACATGAATCGTGAAGACTGCCGAACAGCTAGTCGGGCGAACTAGCCGGCGAACCTGTACTTGTGTTAGCACTCGTACGGGAGTTTCGACAGAGCGGGAACTTTGGAATCATGTGCGTCAATCAAAGCGAATGCCGAAGGCTCCGCAGAGCAATTGCACCATGATTTGCACCCATTATGTAAATAAATCTGCTGATTGGCCCATATACAGGAAATGTCGGGACACTTACTGTGATACAAATGATGCTAATTGACTAATGCTGTGGTTTATCTCCGACCTCCGTGGACGCGTTGTAATGGAATTAGGTAGGAAAGTGTACAAGGATCAAATTGGGCAAGAAAAATAATAATAATAAAAGACCCCGATGTACTCCGTAATCTTACACGAAAGCCAAGAGCAAGAGCAAGACTAGACCCAAACGACGGCCAAGGAAAAAAAAACGCACGTAACTAAGAATAGGTTAGGGAGACTCTATGTATAAAAAATAACAATATTGAGAGAGAGGACAGCAACCCTGTAGGAGGTGATTTAAATGTCCGGCTCTGCCCGGCGCTTAAATATGGTGACGAGATAACATATACTTGGCGTTGATTGGCTATACCGGATGAGATCTGTCTGTGTGAGTGGAAATAAGGTTGTCGATTCAATTGCGCAGGTGGGCTTCGTATTGGTATAAACTCATAATAACCATAAAGACCCTTGAAGATATAAATTACACTCCACCAACTTAACACCCAACAGCATGGCCAAGACCGAAGCCTTGGCGGTACCAAACGAACTGAATCCTTCGTGATTAAAGCAGCAAACCCTGCTTATGGTTAGTAACTCAATGGCGATTTGCAATGGAAAACAGGGCTATTACTTCACATTTCTTTAGAAAGGATACAGATAAATCCAATGTCAAGTTTATACCTAAATGCCTGTAGGAGGTTTAATAGCTGCTATGTGACGTTCATATGTCACATCAATATTATAGTAAGCCCCAGTCTGAGAAAGAGTAGAAAGCAACAATAACGTAACAAGAATGCCCGCTGCGTAGATGCCTCAAAATAAAAAAAAAGGGAACCAGCCTCCTTGAGAAGCTACTATAGCTTCTCCTCGCACACCACCTTGACCAATTCATCTAAGTCACGGTATTGTAGCGGCGGATTGTCCTGGCTGAGCCTGCCGCGATGCATCATCATCCAGCCAGTGCCAAAACCAGCATCGATCTGGAGCCAATGGAGAAAGTGGAACGCCGTATTCTGTTTCAAGGCGTCCCAAGTGCACTCCTCCAAGCCTCGCACTTCGACATACCGCTTGTCGAAGCCCTGAAAGACCAATGGCTCTGGCTTCTCTTCTTCGTCGGTGTCACTGTCCGCAATGGGTATGGAGGTGGCCCATGGCTTGCCTCTTCTCTGAATATTACGGTCGATAATCCAGAATTGGAAGCCATTGTGCATTCTCCCCTCTGCCACCGCCCAAAGAGTCCGGATAAAACACCCCCGAGGGCTATCCTCCAACCATGGCACGCCACCGGCAGATTTACTTGTATCCAGCCATGCTGGATCGTATTCTATTGCCGTATTCGTAAGTCTTGTTAGACTTAAACTTCCTGGAAGCCTATAAAAAGGCATGATGCACCATGGGATCCGGGTATGCTGTGGCTGGATGCAAAAGAGGTCTTTTTCTGGCGAGACCTTGAACTCAAATCTTTCTTGATTCCGTGTAAATTTGCAAGAAATGAATTGATTCCTTGACAGCTGTTCACTGAGCTGTCGGTATCGCATGGTCATGATATCGCGGGATTCCCAACACATCGTCCAGAGGGCGCCATCTTTGACGTATGCTGATGAGTTTTCCATCATCCAATCTTGGACGGAGTTCGACTTGCTCAGTGATTTGGGAGCTACAAGGTCGAGCCCATGGCCGTTCTCAATAGTGAAAATAGAACCTCTCAGGGTACGGCCGATTCTTCTTGGGTTCTCTGATGTTGCGAAGAAGTGGGCCCCTCTCTGGAAATCTCGGATATAGAAGTCCTGAATCATGCATTTAAGTTCAAGGGGAAGCCGAGTAAAAGGATGAAAGGTATCAAAGTTGCCCTTGGTACCATCTTCGGCCAACATGAGCATGGTATTATCCAAGTTGGACATTGCAATTTGATTCCTATAGGAGTGGTTAGTAAAAAGCAATGCCATAACGAGAATTCGACATTACTATCGAAATAGCCACATGGAAAAGACTCACAGATATTGAATTATGAATGGAAAAGTAGGTATAAACAGTGGCTGGAGCGTTGCTCTGCAATACAATCTGTTTTTAGGCCTATCGCATCAAATTATTAGTACTTATCAACTATCCATAGATCCAGTACATACGTTTACTGAAACAAGATGATTTATAATGGCAAAGCGCGTAAAGTTGATGAATGTAGATGCAGAGTGTCAGTCGAAGCACAGCTAGAGAGTGTATTGAGATGAATGATGGGCCGAATAGTTTTCTTAGAGAGAGCGGCGTCTTAGGGCTTTAAATAAATATAATAGGAGTTTATAATTTACGAGATAATCACGTAAATAACAACATATAAAAGATTTGATCAAGGTTTGGCTCATAATTTCAGTGTTGCGCCTTCCATTAAGGTTGAGGAAAATCTGGCTTGGTTGCTTGAGAGACATGCCTCCCTCGTTGATAAGCTCTATATCGCCATACGAAATCATACTTTGAGGGCATTTTGCTTTCGCCTACACGGATTATTGGCTTGGATTTTGCTTTTTGTTTATATGTAGACTTGACCTACCGTCTAATAGGCAGTATTGTGTTTTGTATACATTCACTTTTCGTAAACAGCACTGATGATACGGGCCAAAAGCTCATTATTAGTAGACACCATTCTATATGAGAGAAAAGTCTGTATATTTTTGCAGCTCGAATGAATGGGGGTTAGTAATTAGTTACTTGTCTTCAGGTTTGAATTATACACAGCTCCAAAGTACGTTACATATTCTAAGTTAGTGATGCTCTCATCAAGTGATGCTATCATCTCCATTATGGTTTGTAGCCTTACCAAAGTTCGTCTACCATCATAATTGGGGACTACTCAACTTATTACTTGACCACAATAGTCACAATCATTCACGTTCGAAGTAAACAAAGAAGCAATCGACAGCGAAGCACAGGGTCCATTCTACTGTACCTGTATACGCAGATTATAATTTGAGGGCGAATGTTGGAACATAATGAGTTATTTTGCATTAGAAAGTTTCATTCGAGCACGCACATTTGTTTCGATTCTGAAGTTGATCCCATACGTGCATTTTATTCGCTTAGGTGCAGCAAGTAGTTACAACTCTGGACATCTATGTCTCTTAAGCTCACCTTAATACCTATAGAAACCTTATTCAGAAAGTTTCAATCTTACTTGAGTGGCATGTGGAAAGATAAGAAACGAGTGTCGGAATCAACCGAAAGCCTCAAAGTCGAACAAGAGGAGGTACTAATATCTACAATGATTTTATATCGCAGGGCTAAATTACAAGGCTGTGCAAAAGTCACATGAGCATGCCAAAGACAAGGATACGTACATGTAGGTATAGCAGCGTTCTTTTGATTGGTCTTAATTCCCATTTGTAGGCTTCGTTGAGCTTTTTGACCTAGTGTTAGAATCAGGCACCAATGCATAACACAGCCCTTGTAGACATATGTAGTCGGGCAACAACATCTTAGGCTTACAGCCTCTTCCGAACGTGGCGGCGCAGCAATTTCTTGCAAACCAGCATATCTCTTATTCGGTACATCGACAATCTTACTCCAATATTTGTCTTGGGAAACACAAATTGGGTTTCCCACAAGATTTCAGCCGTGTTGGCGTGTAAATAGACGCGTCGGGCGCGTATCAGTCACCCAGTATCGAAAGCTTCAGAAGATTTACGATGCAAAGCCATTCACGACTACAGCCACCTCGCTGTGACTCAGATGGCTTGGCATTAGCTCCAAAAACGAGTTCTCAAGATCGTACAGAGCTACCAAGACACCATCAGCCATTGAGCCGCGAAGAATTTACGACCGCTATTATCTGTGCACTGCCGCTGGAATACGATGCGGTATGTTTAGTATTTGACGAATTCTGGGACGAAGATGGAGATCCGTATGGAACAGCGCCCGGAGATATCAACACGTATACAACCGGCAGAATCGGGGACCAGAATGTGGTTTTAACTCTATTACAACGAATGGGGAAGGCTAGTGCGGCATCTGCCGTGGTCAGTATGAGATTGAGTTATACGGGATTACGGCAAGCGTTTCTAGTGGGCATATGTGGCGGTGTGCCTAACACTCAAGATAGAACCGAGATCATGCTGGGGGACGTGGTCATCAGCAAAATGATTGTCCAGTACGACTTTGGGAAGAAATATCCGGATCGATTTGTCCGCAAGTATACTACCACGGAGGCCCAAAGAAGTGACATCCAGGGATTTGTGGTCATGGCCGAGACAATGCGGGGCCGGAATAAGCTCCGTCAACAAGCATCCAAGTTTCTAAGTCGACTACAGGATAACGCCACTGAACAAGAATGTGGAGCAAAATATGTATATCCAGGGATAGCAAAGGATGAGCTTTTTGAGCCCAGCTATCGGCATAAGCACCATGAGTCGCCTAGCTGTATATGCAAAGAGTGTAACGAACTGACGTCTCCAGTTTGTGATGAAGCTCTCACTGCTTCGTGCAATGAGCTCGGCTGCAATAGCAGATTTCTTGTGCAGAGAGCGAGATCGATAAATAACAAAAGCCGAGAACAGAATACGAATATGCCGAATGGGATGCGGATGCCGGCGATACATGTCGGATCCGTTGCCTCCGGTGACACAGTGATGAAGTCTGGAGTAGATCGAGATACAATTGCTCGGAAAGATGGTGTTATTGCGTTTGAAATGGAGGCAGCTGGAATTTGGGAAGAAATCCCATGCCTCCTCGTCAAGGGTGTGAGTGATTATGCTGATAGCCATAAACACAGCGAATGGCAACACTTTGCAGCGGCCACAGCGGCAGCTACCATGAGTGCTCTTCTCATGTCCTATTCGGAGAAAGAGAAAACTCGCCTTGGTTAGTTTCCATTCATTCATTCATTCATATACTATTATGCTATCCCAATTATTGACTGATGTACAAATGCTTAGAACACGGGATGATGACTACTTTTCTTCAAAGCCTTAGTCCGTGCGATAGAGAGAGGGCATCAACTTTCATTCGCTTCGCATTTGGACAACAGCCACGACTGCTGAAACAGGTTTCGTTGAGTCCAGTGCTGGTTATCGACGCCCGAGGGTGTAATCTACCTTTCTATTTGGAGACCATTTCTTCGAAAGAGGTTAGAAATTCTCTTTGTTGTTCTGTGTATTGGACATTTAGCTGACGCTTCGTTACATAGTCATTCGTTCATATTTTGAAAGATAGATTCATGGATATTGGAACCAGCAAAATTAGCAACGGCGAATGGTCCTTAGAACATTACGATAGCAAAACAAGACTAAATTTGTCTGGACCTTGGCTCTCAGTTATCAAAGTATGTATGGAGTTCCATGGGCGCAGAAACTTCATTGGCTCATAAACTTGGGCAGCCATACTCTGTATTAAAGATGCGCATCATGTTTGTCAGACGGAACAAGGGACATACGGAATGCCCATCATGTCATTTTGCGAGCTTCAGATCAGCATCAGATGACGAAATACAGTGGTACATTTCACCTACTTATGCCCCAATCTCTCCTCATGAGCGCACATATATATTCTACCACCTTTACGTCCCACTGAACAACTAGAGCTAACTGTTTCACAGTCATGTTTGTGGTCTAAACTATATACGTAAAGAGAGAGGTCAACATATTGCATCAGCAATGCAGGCATATTTCTCGGAAAGACAGGCAATCGAATGGAGAAACCATATAATTGATGAGAATCTGTCACACTCTCCATTACCCCAAGCTCCAAAAACAGAGAAGCCAGCCGCTTTCGAACATGATATTAGCAGATACAAGCATGTTCAGCTGATAGACGTCAATTTCATGAGCTTTTATTGGGTAAGATTTCTGATGCCTGTATTGCGAACACTTATCATCAAAACCGAAGATCCACAAGATATAGATCGTCTCGTTGACCGTGTACTTGGAATTAGGTGCTTTCAGAGCTAGATGAGAAGTTATTGGCCAAACGATTCAAAAATACATCTTTTAGTCTTGATCAAAGATGGTACGACATATCTCTAATGATCTGGATTAAAAGTCAATCGACTTTTGGAAACCCGGATGGTTCAAAACATGGGTATGATCGTTTGGAATCGATCATGCAACCTGGACTTCATGAGACGCCGGACGAGGACTTAGAGGACTTACTGGACTTTATGAGATTAATGATGTTGCAACTAAAAAGTCTGAGTTTTGTGTCTAAATTCTTGGATTTCCATCACCCATTAGACCGGGAAGAGGCCCTCCAAGAGTGGTGTTCGTGGATGCAGGGCATTGGTCGATTATTTTATTCAAGATTGGGTAAGTTGGCCTCTTACCAGAAGTCTAGAAGAAAATAGTGATTACGAGACAAAATACTCGAACATATACAGGAATTATGAAGTTGCGCCTTCAGGGCACGTCAAATAAAGTCGGCACACCACAGGTCACTATGGTTAGGGAGCGGAGATGATGTAAATGACGGCTTGACTACCGACCTAGGTAGTACCTACCTAGGTACCTATCTCTATATTTCTGGGGATGTAGCTACCTCATACATGTACCTATGTAGGTGCTCTGCACAATATACAGGTGCCTACCTATGTAGGCATCTACCTGTATGTAGTAGATACCTATAGGTACCTGTATATATGAGGTCATGTGGCCTCACAGTTCTATCCAGTGACGGAATAGCAGCTGGGAATAAATCAAAAATTGTACAGGTATTCATATCTGCCCATTGTAAAAAGAATCCTCTTAAATGCTCTCTACATGCCATTTATGCACCATATGGGCATCGCAAGATGCAAGAAACTTATTTCCGAGAGAACTAGGCTATCGTCGGCTTGGTGTCTGGGTAAGCTCTAATATTTCGGGCAGAGCGGCTCCGTAGTCAAGACATTTTCTTGAGCAAGCCCAGCATATATGACGCAGCTAGCGACTGTAAGGGGACTCCCCTTCCCCAATTTCCTCGTATTTTGTTGTTGTTTCTTTCTTGTCTTTGCTATTTTTTCCTCCCCTTTTCCCACAAGCTTTTGAACCACAGAAACCTGCCAATGGTCGGCCTTACTTGAACTGCCTCTAGAGAGTTATGAGAGAATGCATTCGATATTTCGCCGTCCTCTGTAAATGTATTTACTACCTAGGTATGTATGGGTCCTAGGTTTTAGCTCAGCCAGCCATTGAATGATGCTCAGCCAGCCATTGTATGTGCTCAGCCAGCCACCTATTGTTACTCTGACAGTTGTTGGCGGCTGCAGCTTGACCAATCCTGAGACAGCGGCCCAAGTGTAGCCATTCAGCTTTGAGATATTTGCCGTTGTTACATTCGATCGGCACGGCATCTCCTGCTGCGGATTGTGTAAGCCAATCGGCCTGTGCCCCTCTGCCGCTAGTACACAATTGATAAGGTAGGGATACAGAAAATTCACCGAGACAAGAGACCTTCAGCTACGTATGTAGTAGCATCATCGCAGCTAATTCTGCTAGGAGCAGCAAGTGACGTCTTTCTGTTTCGTCCTTAGTAAGAGTACCAATTCTGCCGTAATATCGGATCATCTAGAGATGTATGTACATGTGTATATATACCGGCCAAATCGCCTGTATCCAGCTGTAGAAATTCAAAGCTTCTGCAGTACAACAAAACATCTTTTCAAAACTCCTTCAATCTCATACCAATCATGCGTTTCAACAATTTCTTCGCCCCCATTGGATTAATGGCTCTGCTGCCAGCCCTTCCTCTAGTGATGGCCGATGACTGCAAAATCGATCCGCCACCAACTAAGAAATATGACATTGATATCAACTTCTGTTTTTATCACGACTATGGCATAGTCGACGTCCGACTTGAGATTCCAGGCGCTAATCTCAAGCCTGACCACGTAGAGCTTCCCGCTCATGTCAAGGCAAACGCTAGTCCAATTCATTTAGACGAGACATATGAAGTCGACGTTTACTTTAAAAATGATTGGACAAGGGCCCATCGCTGGGAAGCAAGCATTCCTATCGTTGGACCTACGCTATATGTTGACTTAGAAACTCGAATTGTTCGTTCAAATTGCAAACTTGGGTTGAAACTTCACATAACAGGCACGGGTATCTTGGGAAGGCTGGATGAAAGCATCAACTTAACCGAACTTGACCAAGACGGTATCAAGTTCCTCGCACAGAGTATGGGCTTGTGTTCGACAGGTTAGTAAGATTTACATATTACGATGCTAATTGCGTCTAACCTCTGTCTTAGAATGATTGGCGGGTGTCACTGCCGCTGATTATTTTGTTGAAGGCACTGTTCAGGCTGAAAAGGGGGTTGAGGGACCTAGACTCTAGTCTATTTTGCATTTATCTCTAGGTATTCAACATACCACTCTTCCGCCTCCTATGCATATTATTTGAATTGAACAAATTCTTTCTCAATATCAGTACTATTTCTTCCTTATTAGCCTGTCATGCTATATAACCTGCCCTTGTAGTGTACTGGACCAAGGTGGCTCGACTTCGCTTTATATCGTAGCCTTGTCACACTAGGACTTGTTGGTTAACGATGTTGCCTATACAAGAAAAAGACTCTAGATATGAAGCCACTCTTTGTATCTGTCAAGGTACTGAATCTTGGACCGCACTCCAGCATCACTTGTTCTCAGCATTCCTTTAGTTCTTTACTTATTGTGGCTGCATGATTCTCGACTCCCTGCCTAATTATCTAGCACCACTTCTTAGGCTTCCAATTTGGAATTACAACGCTTCCATCATTCTGAAGCATATTGAGAGTACCTTGTTGCCTCCAAGCATGGATAAAATATGCCGTGTTGTGTTCTTTCAGGAAAGCGCAGTTTGCATCCACTGTCTTCCAAAACTTGGTATAATCAGCTTCGCTCACTTCTGCAATAGCAAAACCAGTAATATAGCCACCAGCATGCAAAACATTGTAGCCTGTAGCCCACATCATCTATAAAAAGTGCCAATTAGTGTTCTGCAGTAGCGATTGGCCTTGGAGTTGCGTTGTATTTACCTCTGAGATGATGAGCGGAAACTGTGGAAGATACTTCTTATACCACAGAACCTGATTTGCAGTATAAGTCCAAGCATCGTCAATTTGAATGTTGTGATAGTAAGCCATGACATGGGCGTGGATAAAGTCCAATACTGGCTCAAGCGCCTTTCCCACTGTGCCCAATCCAACACCCAGTCCATCAGAACCAGGTGCACCGCTCATCAAATAAGGTCTATCCCAATCCTCGCTAATTCCTGCTGGGATACCATATTTGTGCATCTCCTTCCGGAAATTAGACATGCCCATAGTCAGATTCGTCAAGCTGGCCGGCTCAGATGCATTGCCGTTGCTGCCTGCGGCGCACATGTCGCAATCTCCGACTGGCTCATTGAGATACTCGGCAGCATAGATAACATACGGTGCAATTTTGGAATATTTGCTGTGAGCAAGGGTTTCGAAGAGCGTTGTTTCCAGAACCTTTTCCCAAGAGAGCTGTGGCGCTGGTCAGCAGGGGTGCAAAGAGGAGCATACAACTATGTCTGCGGGAAATACTTGCATCATTGCCACTGATCGGGAATGCTACTTGGACGACAACTCCCATGTTGTTCAAAATGGCAGCCTCTAGCACGTTTTCCCATAGCTGTGTGGTGTAGCTTTCCGGTATGTACATGCGAATCATTGTAGCGCCAAATTGGCGTTTCATCTGCTGCATGTGAGAGCTAATACTTGCAACTTCAAAGTCCATGTTGGTAAACTGAAAGGGGAATGAAAAGCCAAGAAACCCATAAAAGTCGGATTGAGGACACCACCACTCTTCTCTCGAAACGTGGGGGGGTTGAAGATTTGCATTGAGCTTCGCCTGGCTGCCGAATGGAAAGCAGTTTGGATTAGATGTTGAGCGTTCAGAGAACCGAGCAAGGCCGCTAACTCCAGACAGGAGTGCTGCTAGAGAGGCAAAGCTCAGCGAAATGGGCTTCATGGTGTTGTGCACTGGATGCCGGATTGGGTGGAGAGAGCCTTTGTCACTAGCATTTCACCAAGAATCTCATTACGAGACTGGATCTGTTCGACTTTTATGTCCTCCGTGGACTCGTCAAGCTCGTGTACATATAGGGCAAATGCGCGAGAGTGGGAACGGTGAGGCCATCGGCACGACGACGATACGATACGAGGTTCGGCTCCATTTAATATTAGTTATTCACAGTCATTCAAATGCATGACAAGATCTCTGTATCCCCAGATTTTCGTATCGTCGACGCGTTAGCTCTACTAAAATCTGTAGATTCTGGGGACCCCATCTTTTGGCGTTCTTGTTACTCGGCATCTCGGCATCCTCTTCGGCCCTACTTACTTTAGTTCACATACAATCCCTGCTTTGCTTTCCATTTACTGTGCTCTGCAACTTCTTCAAGTATCTATACTAGCACTGCTTCAGGATATGGAGATGATTAGAATACCAGGCTAACATGTGTAAGTGTTAAGAGAATTTGTCAACAGGATAGCGCTCTCCTGCACTGATCGCGACATGCCTCTTTTCAGCCCATGCACGTTCGCTTCTTGAGTTGCCGAAAACAAAATAGTTATGTAAAATAATACACAATTTTTGGAGAAGTTATGAATGAAACGCTATAAGGGTATGTACGAACAAAACTAGACCTCATCTCCGCTCTTCAGACAACTTCTCTAATAATGCACCCCAAGTCTCACATCCTGCACCTTGTCCACCACGTCAAGACCCAGCGTTTTCCTCGTGGTCAAGCTCAACTCAGTGTTTCGAGCTTGAAGGTTACCCATCGCGATATCCGGATCGTTACTGTCAACTAGGGTATAGCCATTCTTGGGTACTGCAGTCCCTCCCGAAACCTTGGGCTCTCCATCAACCAATTCACCATATTTCACCTTTCTGCTACCGAGAAGATCCAGAATCTGATCTGCCGAACTATTCGAAGATCCATGATTCAGCAGCGGCGCACCCATAGCCTTTGCAATCTCAAATGGATCAAGCGAGACTTCTCTACCCAGCTTCTGCCAGCCCCAGATGAGGTAGAGGATAATCAAGAGCTGGAAAAACATGCATCCAATCGCGATGCCGAAGAAGTTCCAGTGAGCCCTATACACTATTCCTATTCTCGTCACGAGCGCTTCTGCTTGCTTGAACTTGACGGGCGGCGCTCCGGTCGAGTTTGCCACGGCAAGGGCGCTGCGGAACATGAGCTCGCGGATGTTGTTGATCATGTCTTCCCTGGGATCTGACCATGACATGGTACAATTGCCATAGTCTTCAATCTCTGATGTTAGAAATGTGCTTGCCGCCTGTCCAAAAGCGGTCACTATAAACGGTGTGTTGGTCATGGTTCCGAGCTTGAGCGTTGTATTCGAGTTGTACTGCGCCTGTAAAACAGAGGCGAGGCCCCCAAACATGGTCAGAAATCCTCCGGCCCCGACACTTCCCGAGCCCAGCTCCAGCCAGCTGGTGAAGTTGGTGATGCTAATGGTGGTGTTTTGAGAGATATCCCAGGGCTGCAATGTAACACTTCCGTTAGTAATAGTCACTGTGTAATCGACCGCAGCGGCTCGTAGGGTGCAATTATGCTGCTGCATCTTCCCAGCACATGCACTTGTGGGTTTGTACAGGATCGAAAGGTTCATATGGTTGAGGGCAGCCGGATCCTGTGATGGCTCCCAGTCGACACTCGTCCGAAACGTCGTGAGCTTATCGCCTCTGGCTGATGCCATGTTACCAGTATCATAGCTGACCGTGCTGTCCCTGCAGTCGACATCGAAGCCCGGCGCAGCGATATGGACCTGGCAAGTTTTGTTGACACAGCTAGATGGCATTGTGATGATGCTGTGATTCGAATACTGCTTGAACACATAGGCGAAAGTCGGCATCAGCAACGAGGTTTCGGTTCCGCTACCTGCCCAGCCGCTAAAGTTGGACGGCAGGGTTGTGTTCAGGACAGGTATATCGATGTGGTCCGGGTACGGCCCAATCGTCTTGCTCGTAGTGTCCGAGGCCTTCTGCAGCACAGCACCGACGGCGATGCTCACTATAAGAGAAACTAGAGATGATATGGTGATAACGTTGAACAGGGTCGGTCTGAAGACGCCGACCAGCAGGTTACCAGTGACCTCGAGGTCATAGTGAAGCTCCTTGATCTTCGTTCCCTTAAGAGCCTTGAGCCACCACGAGATTGCGAATCCTTCCGAGTTTGCGACCGACAGGAACAGAACAGCAATGGCGCCCATAAGAGACAGGAGCACGGGAACGGTGAAGTATTTGTTGTGCGTCGGCCACTGGTTTGTTTCTTGGTCCTCCGACAGAGCAAGAACGAGGGCCATCATGCCGCACGTCACCATGAATCCGGTGAAGGAGCCCACGGTCCTCCATGGTATTCTCCTCCAGACGCCGGGCTGCCAAAGAATCCCGTCCATGACCATATTGGAATTCGTCCTCGAGTATCCGTAATGCGTGTTCACCATGATGGAAGGGTGAGCCTCGGGGCGTGTCACCGTTATGTATGCATGTGTGTGAAAGAAGCCCGTACCAGGGGTCGGGCTTTACCTTATATCTATCACTATTCAAAAAAGAGAGCCATTATTAGCGCTGCAGCTGCCACATGGGAGTTATCGAGCTTTGGGCTGCAGAGCCTCAGCAGGCTCTCTTGGTATTGGCATCGCAACCCAATTTGTGCATGGGACCAAGCCAAGCTACAACTCCATGTAGTCTAGTGGAGGTACAATGTGCCAGTTTCTCTGACCATCAGCTTATATCCGCGTAGACGAGTTCTATTAATATGTAACTAGCAAGAGCCGGCTTTTCCGCCTATCCGTTTCGCGAGCTTCAAACGGAGCAGATCGTGGTGGCCGTCCAATGATCAGTCGTTGTCTTTGTTGGCATATCCGTGCATTCGCAACGACTAGCTGTCACAATCCCTGTCAACGTAAGCGTCCCACCAAGGTGATTGCATATGTTCAGACAAGTCCTAGCAAATTTTTCCTAGCATGGTAGTAGTAATTGGTTGTGGATGGCATGTCTATCGGAAACCGCCCTATCCGGCGGGAAATGATAGTAGTATATGGCGCGATTTATCTGTGCATATTGAGCCTCGAAACACAAAGAGCGATTGGACTTGAGACAAAATAATAACAATAATGGGGGTGACGGCTCGACCGTCCGTTACACGCAGAGGTGCAAGCAATAGTAATCTATTAATGCGCGGTCAGCCTCGTATGTTACTAAATACAGAGAGTTGGGGACAAAAGGGGGTCGTGATTCAGCCTATCAATCTCACTAGATTATTATATGATTAGTGAAGGGCGAGGAACATTTTCACAACTGACGCCCCCAGGCGTTCCTCGTATACCCAGGGAACCTTTGAAGATCCACGGGTGAACCTGTAAGCATAATTTCGGAATCTGGCGAATCTGCTAGTAGAAATTAGATATAATGTTCATCATGATCATCAGTAATGTATGATAGTTTTCATGAGGCATCATCTCATATTTCAAGACAGTAGCAAGGGTTCAATCTCCCGCGTCGCGCGAACTACTCAAACTAGCACTTATTGCGGAGACTCCGAGTCCTCCATACCAACGTCTCACTAACCCCGTTGTCAGCTTAATCATTTCTTTTGAGACAAGTTCCGCTCCGTAAATAATCGATTTAAGCATAATCTTTCAACATAAGACCCACTGATATAGCCGCGCTTCGCCGTGGGCTGCGCTTGTCGTTCTCGTTCAGCTTTGGAAGCCGAAATACGAACTCAGCTTGGTATCAGTCGGCTATTACCCCGTGCATTCGCGGTGATAGCGTCTCTCCCGCCTCCTAGTCTATAATGTATGTGTATCATATAAGGTTCTCACCAACTTGCAATCAGTTGCCTAGACTACTGTACGTCTGAATATCCTGAGACGCCTTGTCATGGCTAAGGAGCAAGTGAAATTACGCTCTAGGGTCGGAGTTTAGGGAGGAGTCAAGCAAACGAACAAATTGCTAAACAGCTCTCGTATCTTTGGGTCGTTGGCCCAGTATCAGCATATGCCATTCCCTCTACTTACAAGGACGGATTTAATATTCTACCTGTTGGTGTTCTACATGTATTCATGCGGGTGACAGATTATTTGACGTTTATAACTAGCGGCCGCGGACACCAGCCGATAACAGACTTAATTTGCAGCTACTATAACCAAGCTCTATCTAATCGACGTTTTTGATGAAGAAAATACTCATCATCGATATTATACACCGGATATTATTCCTTTGTAACTCACTTTAATATCGAGTACTAGATCGGGACTCTACCACCTATCAAAGCTCTGTGCTTTCGGCAGATACGAAACGCGTAAAGCAGCTGACTGGACGCACATCGCGTTCAATTTCAATTGGATGTTCTTAGCAAGGTGCCGGGTAGTATATCTATTCTTCAGTAATGATGCCCGTAGAAGGCTCCGTCTTCGTAACTCCCTTTCTTGGTATTTTCTTTCTTTTTTTTATTCAATTATAATTCTTACTTTTTTAGTAAGGCAAATGCTAGTAGTGACGAAACCAGTGTATTGCGGCTACGGGGGGTAAAATAACATCGATGCTGTCTAATTGTTACGCGAAACATTATCCTAATTCAACTCCTAGATGCCAAAAACTAACTGTCCGAGCGCGCCGAAATAGTAAACCTGAAACAAAAATCACTACAACTGGATTGGGAACCGAAGCCTCATCCATTTGCCGTACTTGTATATCAGGATTGGGATGGGAATCAAGAGTATCGCAATAAACCCAAGCAAAGAGTTTCCCCAGCCCACGCCCAAGTTCTTATACAGCTGAGGTCCCGCCAAGGGCAAGAAAGCAGCGACAGTATTTCGCAGGACGGCGAATCCAGCAAGGCCGCTAGCAGCATATTGGGGGTATGCGTCAACGATGTATGTCTGAACAGGCATCAATACGCCGACGATGCCAATTCCAAACGGTGCGATACCGATGATGGGCACAATCCAGTGGACAGCTTTATCAGCACTCCAGCCATACCAGAAAAACGTGGTGGGCAGAATGAGGGCAAACCAGATGCAATCGGGAAGCCGCATTTCAGGTTCGTAGACACCATTATTGGCAGCAGTCATACGAATAACAGTGCTATCAGAGAGAATAGCAAACGACAGCAGGCCGATGCCGTATCCGACAAGCAACGTGAGATACACCAAACCCGTGATACCTAGGGTCCAGCCGTAGCTGCCCTCGAAAGTGGTCGGGATCGTGTTATAGAGAAGATAGAGGCATCCATGCGCAAAGGCAATATACAGAGACAGCCCAAAGATGATTGGTGAACGAAAAAGCATCTTTGGTGGTCGGATCAGCCCAAGCATCAAGATCTGTCTCTTGCTTAAGACTGGGGCATCCGGGTCGGTATAGCAACTCCGAAGCTCAGGCCGTTTGAGTTCTTCCCGAAGTCTCTTTGTCTTTCGTGCAATTAATACCCGGTGATTTGTCTCACGATTTAGGAAGACCATGGCCACCACGATGACAGCAGTGGGTATGAATGACAGCCAATTGACCCAACGCCAGCCGATTGTCTCAGACACGAAGCCACCAATGACGGGCGCAACAGTAGGGCCGACAATGGGACCCAGCATCCATATAGTCATTGCCTTTCCGCGTTCATTTATATGGAATATGTCGGCGATAATACCACCACCTATGGTTTGGCATCCTGAGCCGCCAATGCCGGACATGAATCGGAAGAAGATGAGCGTATTGAGTGATGGGGCAAGCGCACAGCCCACAAGCCAGATGCAGAACCATGCGCTTGCTGATATCAGAACCAGATTTCGACCGTAAATCTCGGACAAGGGCGATAGAAACAAAGGGCCAATCGCGTACCCCAGCAGAAATATGCTAACGGGCATTGCTCCTAAGGTAATGTCGTCAATGCCGTAATCTTTCTCCATCGCCGCCAGGGTGGGTGCAAGAATAGACGAAACAAAAGGCGTCATAAAGGTGATGGCCGATAAGAGAATCGTGATGAGCCATTTGCGACTGCGAGAGAAGTTGAGTGGCATATCAGGATCGTGCTCACTATCCCATCCGATGATGCCATTTTCAAGGTCCGTGACAGGGATGACTGCAGGCGGAGAGTCTGCTTCTTGCTCCTTTTTGTGTCCTGATGGTAACTTTGAGAATAGGTCAGATCGCGTTGACCTGCTATCTGCCTTTTCGACATCGCCATCATCCTAGTTGACAAGCGTCTGTTAGTAATGGGAGACAAGATAGACGGTCTGGCATTTTCAACTTGCAACTTCACTGGGCTCTTCGATCGCTTCGAATTCCAGAGTTTCTTTTTTTGATGAATCTTGCCATTGCTGTGGCTCTGATGCAGTGGAAGACCCAGACAAGGAATCGCTGACCATGTCGCGTGATGTATTGACCTTTGCGGCCAATTCCCGATTATTACTAGGGGATATTTGCAACTATCAGGGTGACAGTGCACATTTCCACTCAGAGATAATATTCCGAGACGACACAAATAATGCTGACGACTTAGACGTCTTCAGCGAAAATGAAAAGAGGGGAAGAAGGACTGCATAGATTAATATATTCCATAGCCACCTTACTCCGTATATGATATGCTCTGTCCAGGAAAGAGGAGAACTGCAGAAGCTGGCGAATAGGGAGAGGGTAGGCATTCCCGGTCAAAGTCCGATAAGCAGGAAGGATCGCAATCTGTACAGAGCAGGCCTCCCATTGGAGTGCTGGCCTCAGACGGAAACTTCTGTAATTGCCCTGACCAGCAACTTCATATTCTCCGTTACGCGCCGCCTACGGGGAATATAAGTGAGTCAGAAGCCCATAACACTTCACACTTAATCCAGGAGCATTTTATTATTATTATGCGGCATCAAACGAGATATTTCAAGCGTGGATGTTCCAAACGTTACGCGCATGAATTGAGCGGACACAAGGGCCCTGGTCTGCCAGATATTGAACTAGAACGAGATCGGAGGCTTTTCTCGCTCCCCATCACACTAATGTTTCTAACTAGGCAGCTTACAATGGATTTGTCCCGGCCTGTCCAATTATCTGTACGATCATTGCTGGAATAATGGACGTGGGTTGTAAGGAGAATCCCGCTCGTAGCCGTGCAAAGCCGCTGCTGAGCGAGCGTTGGAGACATTTAATGTCGCCATCACGTTGCATGAATTCCACTTATCAGAAGTCTGTGAAACTGGTATGATATTTGCCGATAAAAAATGGTTTAAAGGTTAATGATACATGTAGAATTATGGGAGTGAAATGGCAGCAATACTGGGCTAATAGACACCCTCCCTTCTAGTGTACATAAATATAGAAATATCAAACGCCATGACTCCACTGCCAAAATAACAATCATTCCTCTCTTCTTCGTATTACATCCTCTTTGGATTTATCCACACCAATATCTCCTCTACTCCCTTCCCGATGGAAACTCCACAGGCTACTAGTATCTCCCAGATCTTCGTAGGTAACCAGCGAATCAGTAAGAATACCAGGGCGAAGGAATAGAAAATCCCCTTTCCAAAAGAACCTAGAACAGTTCCGAGCACTTTAAGACTTGTCTTTCCAAACGTCGTGATGAAGTACGCAGCGGCTTTTGGAAAGTCGATGAATATAGCTCGGAAAATGGCACGGAGGCCGTTGGCAATATCATGCAGTGTAATTGCTCGAAAAAAGCCTACCACAGCTTGAATCGTCGTGTGAAGCAATGAAGCGACTCGCTTCAGGACATTGAAAGCTGCGGTACCAACCTTGCCAAGTCCTTTGCCAATCCACGATATGATAATCCACAAAGCGCCGGGTATGCGCTTCATAATCTCCCATATCTTGCCTGGCGTCTTTTGGATGACCTTTCCTGCGTCCTTAATTCCCCGACCGGCGAGTTTGGCTGCCTTCTTCATGCGGCCGGGAAACTTTGTGATTTGCCGCTTGCACCAAGGCCCGACTTTATGTCGACGTTGCCATATTTCTTTAGGCAAAGTCACAAAAATAGCCTTGGGAACAGTCAGAATGATATGCTTCGGAACTGTCCAGAGAAGGAATTTGGGGACGGTCCAGAAGAGGAACTTGAAGACTGATCCGATCTTCTCCATAATACGCCGAATAAGCCGCATCTGCTTCTCGTGCGTCATCTTCCATCTCTTCCAAGCACCACCGCGTCGAGTTGGGAGATGCTCAACTACTTCACGATGGCCATTCTCAGCAGCTAATCGAAGTGCCATTGCACCATCTGGAGCAACAAGCGAGTCGTCGGCACCGAGATCGCGCAATATCTTGACAATGCCAAGCTTGCCTTCTGTGGCTGCAACCTGGAGAGGCGTTCGCTGAAATTTGGTATGATGGCTATCCTGCGAGTAGGAGCCATAACCATCGATTGTTGCTCCGAGCGATACTAAAAGGCGTACCATGGCTGCATCATTGTTGGTGACAGCCTTTATAAGAGGCGTTTCGCCTTGATGATTTGGTGTATCTGGAGTGACGAAACCATTTGCAATGATGTCTGACACCACATCGATTTGCTTCTGGTTGATATAATGGAAGAAATTCGCAACAATCTCTTGTTGGGTTGCATGGCTACATCCAGCTGGTACGTCGCTTCTGTCTCCTCTGTCGCTTCTTTCAGCTGCTATGTCGCTACTTTCAACTAGTTTATTGTCGCCAGAGACTTCGGGTTTATCCATAGTATGGGATGCCGTATATGTTTATCGTCGGAAAAATAAAGTGATATTTTTAGAATGGAGTAGTATTTGGGTGAATAAGCTGCGGTAAATCGTTTGAATGCTTATGGTTGTGGATGGTGTCGAGGTTGCGAGTGGATATCTTAAAGATGGGGATGAGAATGTAGAAATCTCTAGTAAATATATATGAGAATACATCCCCAACAAAAACAACAAAGCGAAGGCAGCTATAAGTCAACAAAGACTCAAATGAGGCAGATCGTGAGGCAGCTTCGTGCTAATTGATTGCGCCACCGCCTCACCTCGGCCCATGTTTTCAGCTGTCCAACCTAGTTTCATGTGCAAGAGGACGCCTACATTCCCTGGTCCAAGGGCGCAAATAACATGGATTTTTGAATGACGGTAATTTTAATTAACATAATATTTTATTGTACTGAATAGAAGAGTAAAGCCACCGTATTTCTCTCCAGTCACCTTTACAGCGTGTTAGACAACATACGGCATACACTAAAGATGACGAATCTCATTAAGCCTTGTATGGGTAATTAGCTGCCTCTGCAATTTTATCCAATAGCTGGTGAAGCTTCAGGGCATCATCGAAGTCGGCGACTTCGGTTGGGGCCACCACGAATTTCTCACAGAGCCTAGATGTGTTTGCACCCATGACAGGGACGTTCTTAACATAGGGGAGCTCCTGGGCATCAGTAAAGTCAACGTCTTGTGTCTGCCCGGTCGAGTTTTCGACCAGACGCAGCTGCTTCGCAGCAACATCCATTTGAAAGTTGGGACCCTCAATAGTGATTTCCAGCTCTCCCTTGGTGCCCGAGATGAACCATCGCAAGCCTTTGCCATCAACCGTCTTCGTCACTTTGCGGAAAGAAAGGCTAGCAACGGCGCCGCTTTCCAGTTTACCATTAACAAAGATGTGATCTGGGGCCGTCTTTTTGCGAGCAGGTTCAGTGACTTCGCCAGTCTCGAAATCAATGAGCTTAACGGTGCTATACTGAATATCTAAAATCGACTGCAGGCTAGCAAAGTCCCCCATAATATATGTGAACGAGTCCAGGACTACTTCGTTGTTAGCAATTTACCACAGCGCTTTGCTTTGGTCAACAGGACGCAGCTTACAATGAGCGAATGAGATGGTATACTCATTGGTGCACCCCTCAAAGTTAAGGAAATAATCTGCTTTTGCATTCCATGTATCGGCTGGATAGTTGTTAAAGCATCCCGTAGCCGTTGTGCTCGTAATCTGGCCTATAACACCGTTGTCGACCAGCTGCTTGGCCTTGGTAATTAGAGGATCTGCGCGAAATTGCAATCCCGTCATAACCTTCAAGCCCTTGGCTAGTTGGGCCATTTCCTCTGCCTCTGCCGTAGTAGCGCCGAGAGGCCACTCGCAAAACACTTGCTTCTTTGCTTTCAGGGCTGGCAAAGCAAGCATATGATGCTTTGAGACATAGACGGAGATGACGACAAGGTCAACATCGGGATCATTGGCGATATCCTCGGGATTGCCATATGCCTTTGTAGTAGCAGGTAACTTGTGATACGCGATTGACTCTTTTGCGGCATCAACAGAAGAATTGCAAAGAGCGACAATTTCATAGTTTGGAGAGTTGGTGTAAGTCGGTAAGTGGGCTGCGATACCCCAAGCGCCTCTCCCCAGCGCTTTACCCTCTCCAACAGTAAGCCCAATCAGTCCGACGCGGATAGGTGCCATGATGAATTAATTGAGTATGTTATTTTGAAAATTGACGAGTAAATTTATAGCCAAGCTGTCTCAAAGAATCCCTGATGTCTGATACTGTAGTTTTTGCTATATATGCGATTTTGGTGGTGGTTTATTATTTGTTTGTCACAGCAAGACAAATTAATCCTCTTTATACTTGAAGCACTGAAATTAGTCAAGACGGCGCATAGATCCTCCATGATCGAGCTAGTGACTGCCAAATGATGGATTTGGTCGTGTTCACGTTATCATATCGGAACTTCCGAAGTCCGCGGATCTCCGCAGAGCAGACATTCAGAGATGAGGCGGAGTTTGAAGCTGGCTTGCTAGTTGGTACATTTCCATGTGCATGGAATAAAGAGTGTTTACTGTAGAAAATACAAAATGGTTGGAAATCATAGTCTCTGTTTAATTACAAAGCATTGCCCATTTCGGGGTGCCTCGAAGAAACATCCCACTCGTCATCCGAGCGGTTAGCATTGATGGATATCGAAAGTTACCATTTAATTATGACAGCGGTCTAATCATTTTTTAGGGATAAGATGACTGTAGTAAATAATAGAATGAGAATATATTAGTACTGTCCTAACCCCGGTATCCAGATCTCCTTGCTCCATCGGTCACTTGAGTTACGATTCTGTAGCAAAAATTGCCCTTGAGTAAAGCCAGAGTAATATTAATTCCTATCTCAATAGTGGCTTATTATATCACGAAACTATGCGGGAACAAACTACTTTGCTCCCGGTATTCTCACGATACAACTTCTCGCACCTCCTCGCAACCTCTAGAGACCCTTCGGGTGCTACTTATAATCATATCTATTGCTTGCCAGGTTGATGGAGATTCATGATATCAGAAATCATAGCCATCAGCACAATGCCCACACCACCCACAATCTTTGTCACACAAACCGTAGTTATCGCCAACGTCCGAGTGCCAGATTCCAGATCCCGAAAAAAGGCCATAATTTCTATGCTTCCAGCTGGTATTGCTTTCATTAACCCTCGACCTTGTTGGATGCTTTGTCTGGGTGCTTTCTTTGTTATTATTTCTTTCCTGGTTTTTCCCTATCTATACGGTGTTGATGCGTATTCAGACTATATCAGTTGGGAAAAACAGGATTTGGGACTTACGGCGTGTATTGGAGCATCGCGTTTGTGTTGTTGCATCGCGTTCGTCGTTAGGAAGGGCTTGCCACAGCTGCATGTCAATAGTGTCATGGCAATACTCGCCGTGGGCGCAGGCCGAGGGTCAATATTCTGTTTTGCATGCAGTGGTGAGTCACGCACATGCTGTGCCATGGCTTGAGAGCTGTTAAATCTCTTGCCGCAGTGGCAGCGTACTCGGCCGCTATCGTTGGACATTGTGTAGACTGGAACGATATGTTTGATTTAATGTTGTTTCTTGTAAGCAAGTGAAATGTGGTGCGGGGTATAGGGGAATGAACCTGGCTTATATCTTAAACAGCAATCAGCCTCGCTGGTTGCGAAACATCAAATTGTAGGCCTCCCGGATCCGGCAGGCTCCAGGCGCTTTTTCCCTTGGCCAGCCTACCGATCGATGAGTCTCCCCACCACAAAATGGCCCTTAATATTAAATACATATACATATATGCAATATTTAAATATTTACCTTGATCATTGTGGGTGTTAGTTTTTATTGCAGCCGCCGTAGTAGATACAGCATACCTCGTGAGAAGAGAAAGAAGGAGAAACAACATATATTCACATACAATGAACACTACTAGGTTTTTTATCAAACCATAAAGAAAATGTCAAAGAGCTTCTCATTTATATATCTGAGGCAATAAAGCTGGTTTCAGTATCTTATGTTGTTACAAAATCAACATTTTAATACTACCGGGCATCGGTTGCAACTGCTTTACTGTTGCAACAGGAACACAGAAGAATGACAAAGATTGCCTAAACGCGAATGATTCTCTCAAAGGTCTGCTTCACAGTCTCGGGAGGAGTAGGATCCAATCTTTCGTTATCATATGGCCCATCCACAATAGCATCGCCACTGTTCAGCAAACCTTTTGCGCTCCATTCCAGCTCAGCTTCTTCATCTTCAGCCTTTCGAGCGGCATCCATTTTCTCCAGGGCGCCTTCAACTGGTACATATACCGTCTCATACTGGCAGCCTTCGACTTCCGCAAGCGTATCGACAATGCGCTGGAAGGTTGTTCTTTCGCCGACGACTCGAATCTCTCGCTTCTGCTGGCCCTCTGGGAAGGGAAGCAAAGTGGAGGCCACGGTGTAACGGACGGTGCTGCAGTAATTCCATTAGTCTTGTGTAATTGCCATAGGCTATAGGGGATGTACATACTCTTTCAGGCTTGTCACATCCATCGGCATATCCTTGGTGCCGTAAGCTACAACCTTCTTGGTAGTTCTATCCACGCCATGGAATGGCATGATAGTCCACTCGGTGAAGGGCGCAGTAAGCATATAGGTATATTTGAACTGAGGGTGGAGCTTGGCCGTTGCCACACAATGGTATCTCGTCATCCGCTTGTCTTGAAAGTAACGAAAGTTTTTCAATGAGTCCTGGGCCGTGTCAGAGCCAAACTCGGATGGATAGAAATGCGTCACTCCGCCGGCCGCAGCAGCGTCGATCATGGCGGGTTGGAGACGCATGATGGTGTTTCCGGCAAGACTAATGGCAATGTCGTATCCGCGGTAGCAAGCGGGATCAGCGAATGAGCCAACAACGACGTCAACACCACGAGCCTTCTGATTCTCAAACTTGTGAGCGGATGAGGGAGAGGACAAGACGCCGATTTTGGAAAAGTGATCGGCCTTGCTGAGGAACTCGTCGACGAGTGGGCGGCCGACACTACCGGAGGCGCCGATGATGATGACGGATGGCTTTGACATGTTGAGAAGATGGATTGAATTGATGTCCAGTATTCAGTGGATGAGGATGAAGGGGAAATGCTAGATGGTTTTCACATTTCAGCACCCTTATATACTTGAGCTTCATCTGATGTCCACTGCGAGCTCCGTCTGATACCCACATCACATCTCGCAAAAACTTGATCATTTTGAGGCCGAAAGAGCGATTAAGTTACGCGGGGATAATCCACAGTATCCAGGAAACTAGCAAATTACAAACATTGACGTTTGATTCACTCACTTTCAAAGCAAAATCCCTACATCTCACTGGCGATTCACGTTGCACCCGAGTCTTGACATTTGATATTTATCATCCGCTAGCTCCTTTCTCCCATGTTGAGGGATCCAGTTATACCCACGTCCAAGGTGCCAAAACCCCCGATTCGGCATTAGCACGATTCTAGTTCCAGATTGCGAGCAACTTTTTGCGCGCTGCCCGGGCAAAGGGTGTGGGAGCCGCCATTAAAGTTGCGGCGTAAATTTGCGATGGCACCCAACGAAGTTGATGGAATCACACGACTCTCCTCAGGAGGTAAAAGCATGACATCAAAAATGAACACGGGAATTGACGTTTCAGAATTAAAAGACGAGACACGTTTACTGTCCTTGTCTCCATTCTGGACACCCGCGGAATTCGAATCTCCGCACTGATTATGAGATCATATTATGCAACAGCCTTCAAGACACCCCAAGGATATATGCAGCAAGGCGATGATCGGAAGTTCCGAGCTAGTTATGCTCTAGACGAGGGTAGAGACGGGTTGATGCTTGAGCTGGTTGATGAAAGCATAACTTCCAATGCCATTGAATAGTTTAATGTACTCACCATCTGTCCATCACATGGGGAATCAAACTTTACAAGTGCTGTGCTTTGTCAAGGGCGACAATAAAATGAACTTGTATTCAAGGAGAACGAACAACACTAAACAAAACTTTTAGATATGCATAACCTCCAGCACAACCATCTCTTCAAGATTTACTTAATAAGTAACCGCTCTAAGTTGACCGTTTACTCATCATCCCACTTCACTCCCCCCTCAACCTCGCCATCATCTCCACCAACTCCCGCATCTCAAACGCTCGATACGTTCCCTCCAGCAACTCCAACACGCCCAAAGCCGTAATCTCAGGATCCCAGCTGTCCTTGACAACAACCGCCTCCCGATCCGCGCCGCCCACCTCCATAAATAGCTTCACAATCTCCGCCCACCGCGCCGTGCCCTGAGGATCAACATCGTAGTACTCGATCCAGCCTCTCCGTCGCGCATCCCGCAAGTGCCGCAAAACAGTGATCCACGGCGTCCGCGGCATGTTAGTCCAGAAGTCGGTATATCCGTGGTTCGTGCCCGGGTTGATTCGGCACTGGTTGCGGAGGAGAAAGTCCACCAGGCGGGGATCCGACAGAGGGAAGATGGTCTTGTTGCGGGAGCAGAGAAATTCGGTAGCATAAGCAAGCAGAGGCGTTGATTCCGCCGTCTGGAGCTCCTTCTGTTCCTCTGAAATCTCGTCTTCTGCGGCATTACGAGCGAGGACTTCCTCCGAAACATAGCTTGTGAGGCCAAATCTCGTGGCTAAACAGAGAAACGGCTGCCACAATGGCGCAGCGACCTTGAAAATTCGATATGGTCCCAGTCCGTATCTCGCCCAGTGATCATACGGATCTTCGGGTTTGCTCAGCCAGTACCAGGAAATCGTCTTGTCCACTTCATTCACCATCGCCCGCTGCAGATGCTGCGAGTCGTTTCGCACATACCTCGCATGCGTCATGGCAAGCGCAATACCAGGCCACCATTCGTCCAGTTGGCGATGATGTTCAATCTCCTCGAGGGCATTCTTCATCTGGAGCACATATGATCGTAGTAGCCGCAGGTGAGGATCAAAGTCAAGCGGCGTCTTCTCAACAAGACGAGCCATAACGCCAGGTTCTTCCATGAACCAGTCACGGACTGTGCGATGGATATACGTGACTCGCCGTGCAGCCGCATCCATGGCCTCACTCATATCGTTGCCCTTGCCAGCAAATCGGAGGCCACGAGCATTGCCCTGTTCACGGCTAGCATGAACGCCAAGAAGGTCGGAGAATCGGCTCATGATGAGTTTGATGGTTGTACCGCAGCGATCATAAGCCATCTCAACTGAAGCCTGCTTCGCATCCTCAGATATCGCGGCTTCGTCGTCTTCGCTGCCTCTAAGAGCAAACGCAAGCTCCCAAACAGTGAGAGCATTGGCGGAGTCGCTGTTAATAAAATCGGCCACGAGTTCGCGTGCATTCATCAGGCTGAAGACAACGGCTGCCTCAGCCAGCTCATCTTCATCCTGATTCTCAAAGAAGAACAAGTGGAACAACTCATTGAGTTCCGTCGGCAAGGCCTGCAAAACCCCAGACAATCCCGCCAGCCCAGTGTCCTGGTCAAACTTGCGAATCATTTCGTTGAGCGCGAGCCGGACCCAGAGAAACACCCCGTCCGCTTTCTGCACCGCATTCTGAATCAGTTCCTCTCCAGGAGCGGTCTCATGCTTCAAAAGACGCCGAATGTGGACGTTCTCACGAAGCCTGTCCTTTGTATACCGATACATGTCACCGTAGGTGAGATCCTGCAGTCTCAGATTCGGCACAGCATACTCAAACGCATCCTGGAACACAGCCCACGGACGCGATGACAGGCAAATCTTGATCGATCTCCCCTTGTCTCCCAAGCACAGATTCTTGCAAAAGTCAATCATGGCCGTATGATCGCCTTCAAACTCATCCAGCCCATCGATAAACAAGCAAACATTCATCCGCTGTACCGCTTCATCCATGACCCCCTGAAACGCCTCCAACAAATCCGCAACAGACCAATCCAAATGCAGCGCAACTCGCTGCTTTGTCGACATACCCTTGAGTTTCTTCCACAGCTGCGGAAACGCCGCCGTCGTGAGCTCCGGGTGCGCTGTCAGAATCTGGTGAAGAAGAGAACGTAGCAATCCCGTCTGTGAGCGCTGCTCGCGAGAGCCACTGGTCCAGAAAAAGAATCCCGCAGTCAAGACGGGCTTGTCGCCAGCCCATGCATTCAAACGCTTCATTGTAGCCTCGTGGTCAAAGAGGAATCGAATAAAGGTAGATTTTCCTGATCCAGGCTTTCCAGTGATCCAATAGATAGGACCGAGCTCATCCCCTCGAAGCCATGTCGAAAAGGGATGCTCTGAACCGTTCTTTTCCTGGTCTTGAGAATCAGTAGGCATTGAAGGCAGAAACACCCATTCAAACGTTTTGCTATGAGCCTTTGTCACTTCCTGTTCACGAAAGTACATGCTTTTGTAAGAGAGAACGTCGAGGATGTAGTCGTGGACAATGGAGTCTGGTGTTGGTCGATGCCTAACAGGAACTTCAATGTAGACATTGTCGCCCGGCACAATGTTGATGCGCCGCATCTTTGCCTTTCCTTTTCCTGATGATTCATCCTCGTCTTCATTTGGTAGTGTGTCTCTATTGTCGTCGGACTCGTCTTTCTTTTTATTCAACGGAGTGACATCGGGTATATGCAGTCGACGAGTTCTAGAAAATGCATCAGCGCAATTCAATGAATCAAATACCATATTGGCAGCAACACATGTATATAAATGGGCAGCTTACTCAAAGGTCGAATCAACATCATCATGAAACCGCTGGCTCAGCTCCTGAAGTCGTGCCCCAAGCGTCGCAATATCGTGAATGGACCAGGTGTCAGCAAAATTGGTCTGCGGTCCATGGTCCTGGGTGGCAATTCTATCAAGATGCAGCATCACATCCTGTCCGACTTTGTAACAAGCCCCAGGCAGAGTGGTCAATGGATGGGGTGCATCAATACCAGCGGCGACGAGCTGAACGGACTTGAGTGCGTTCAGGGAGTCTTCAAGCTGGGCAGCATGGGCACCCAGGCGTTGATCTGGTGCAGAAGGGCTGTCGTCGGGAATGGAATCATCACCATCACCATCACCATCACCATGCAAAGTGAGCACATTTTGGTACAGCGCAACGGCACGCTGCAAGAAGCCGCGAACAGCAGACGCAGACGCAGAGCCTGGATCACGCATGGGAAAGGACACTGCTGCCATTTTATAGCATGTAATGGTCGCAGCGTCTATGGAATTGTTCTATCTGAATGTCTACGATGTTTTATTCCCTCGTTGGAGGATTGGATAGGTTATACGGAGGTGGAAAAAAGGAGAAGAGGAGCTGGAGAGCGGACTTGAGGGGTTCAAGCTGGATGAGCATCCCCGCTTCTAGCATAGGATCGGGCTGTGTAGGCGCATTAGCTCCGGAGATGAGGGTTGGATTGATGCATATTATTTGGCAACGCGGTATTATTGGCTGGATGGGGAGGAGCTGCTCCGCGGTGCGATGCAAGTAACATGTGATGGCCTCATGTCTGTGTAGAAGGAGTGAGCGTTGATGAGAACGTGAAGTCATTGATTACAGCATTGCAACTCTGGGCGTGCCAATCATTTTATTCTCATCAAAGTTTTATCTTATCTGATCCGACCTTACCTTACCCCAGCTACAAACTGACTAGACTACACATCTGCATCAACACCAATGGCTCCTCACAAACCCCCCTCCTCCAGCATCACCACAACCCTCACCCTCCTCCTCACCCTCATCCTCCCCACAAACGCCATCCTCTCCCCTCCCCCCCTCATCATAAACACCTGGTCCGGCCCCTTCACCGCCGCCACCAACGCCGCCTTCCTCGCCCTCACAAACTCCTCCTCCACCCTCGACGCCGTCCAGGCAGGCTGCCAGGCATGCCAAAGCAAACAATGCGACAACACCGTCGGCTTCGGCGGCTCCCCCGATGAGTCCTGCGAGACGACCCTCGACGCCCTCATCATGGACGGCCAGACGCTCAATGCAGGCGCCGTCGCGAATCTGCGGCGGGTTAAAAATGCGGTGGGCGTGGCGAGGCATGTGCTTGAGTATACGCAGCACACACTGCTGGCGGGTGATCAAGCAACGCAGTTTGCCCTGGAAAACGGCTTCACCGAAGAGAATCTATCAACAAAAGACTCGCTAAAAGCATGTCACGACTGGCACGCAAACAACTGCCAACCAAACTACCGCTCCAACGTCCTCCCAAACCCCTTTTCCTCCTGCGGCCCCTACTCCCCCCTCAACTCCTCCCTCAAACCCTCCAGCAACTCCATCTCCCACGACAACCTCTCCCACGACACCCTCTCGCTCCTCGCCCTCTCCCCCTCCGGCTCAATGGCATCCTGCACAACCACCAACGGCGCCGCCCACAAGATCCCCGGCCGCGTCGGCGACGGCCCCATCCCCGGCAGCGGCTCCTACGTCGACTCCACCGCGGGAGCCTGCGGCGCCACCGGCGACGGCGACCTGATGATGCGCCTCCTGCCGTGCTACCAGGCCGTCGAGAGCCTCCGCCGCGGCATGACGCCCCAGGAAGCCGCCGACGACGCCGTCCGGAGGATCGTCGCCCGGTATCCCGCGGCCAGGACGGGGATTGTCGTCGTGGATAATAAGGGCGAGCATGCGGCTGCGGCGAGTGGATGGGAGTTTACGTATTCTTATCGGGGGGCGGGCATGGAAAAGGCAGAAGTGGTGGTCGTCAAAGCGTTGAACGAGGCATCGGACAGGCTAGAGCTGTAAAAGCTTGGTGTTGACATAGAAATAGAATAGAAGTCATAGAGAATCTCAAGAAACTGGTATATAAAAAAGTAGTCATTTGCATGACGAATGCTTGCTATGCCCTGCCATGCCATGCCAACTACCACAGATATATATACATAAAGCGTGTGTATATGATGTATATGTGTAGATGCCCCCCAAAGGCCGCATATCCAAACTGACCTTCTACTGTTGCCGGCCATATTTTTTTCTAATGTAAGTGAAGATAAATTCAACGCCCCCAAGAACCCAAAGCCAAAAACATGAAACTGAAGCTTTCCTCCCTCCCAAGCTATATCTTAACTGTTGTCCATATATATATGCCCTAATTTGCAATTTCCATCTCTTGCTTGCCCAGTATAAAGGGCGAAAACCGTTCTCCCGACAAAAAAAAAAAAAAAAAAAATACGTAATGCATCATTCGCTTGCTTCATTCCCCATCCCCAACCAACCCCAGATAGAAAAAAAAACCACCAATCATTCATTCATGCCACATAGAATGCATCGCGCTTAAGTGGCGACAGATTGTCTGTGCTCCTTGCCCTTGAACAATGCCTTGAGCATATTGGTCTGCTTCATCTTGTTCCTCAGCGGCAACTCCTCGCTCTTGATGCCAGTCTCGTCAATCTGCTTCTTCCTGCTAGCGATAGACTTCTTAATCAGAGCCATGGAGCTGACACTGCTAGTATCATCGCTCTTCTTGCTGCTGCTGCTGCTGCTGCTCTTTCTATCCGAGGAATCTTTCTCATGCCTTGACTTGTGCGACTTGTGAGAAGATGAATGCGATGACGAGTGAGTCTTGGACGACCTATGCGACTTGGAGCTTTTTCGAGAGAAATAATCCTCTGAACCAGCCTTGGATCCCCTCCGCTCTCTAGTCACGCGGTCAGCCAGAGGCGTCATCAGCTCTTGATCGGCGCTCTCGTAGCCAGGGTCGACGACGATGCCGCGCCTCCAGGAGTCAATGCTGCTCAGGTCAACCTCGACCGTCTCCAAAACAATGGCCTCGTCGACACCGCTCTCGATCTGTGGCAGATTCGGTGCTGGCGCCGGCGCTGCTGCTGCCTCATAGGCCATGGCCTTCTTGGCAAACGAATTCTGCGTAGCTCTCTGCACAATCTTCCAGCCGCCAAACATGACGACAGTGACGCCAACTGCAATGCCCGTGCCAATGAGGAACTGCGGTGAGGCAAGTAGCGCAAAGATGGCAGGCGAAGTGCCCTTGAGGATGGCCGCAAACCCAGGCGACAGCTTGGTGATGATGCCCGAGAGCTCAGCCAGCGTCAGAGCAACGGCAGCAGCAGCATCGGGCCGCTCCTGGAGATGCGTAATGATGGCCGTGGCCGAATGCTGAGCGCAATGCGCCTCATCCAGGAGATTCTCAATCTTGTGAATCAGCTCCTCGGCCTGCTCCCGCTCGTCCTCTACATGAATATCGTGCAAATCGACATGTGGCGTGGTGTGCGCGTCCAAGTCCACTCTGTCTGCCAAATCGGGAGGGATATCGCCGTAAGCCAAGTGCAAATCGCTCCCCATGCTCATTCTCTTGTGAGCCTCAACTTCCATGTCGGACCGCGTGCGCGCCAGCGGCCGGGGCTGCACCTGTTGCAGTGCCATTGGTGGATCGACGCGCGAGAAGCCACTCTTGACCAGCATCGTGTCGGCATATGAGCCCTGGTATGATGATGGAGGCTTTGAGGGCGCAACGCTCGACACCTCGGACAGCTTCTCAAGGTTTCCCTCAGTTAGAGCTAGCTGGTTGGGGACCGGAGGCAGCTGCTTCTTGGCGATGGAGCTCTTGAAAGTCCGGTGAGAGCTGGCCACGCTCAATTCGTCATATTGCCTGTGAGGGATGCTGCGGCTCGTATCGAACGTCTGGGCGCGCTTGATGGGAACGGGAGGCGGCTTTTTGTCAGCGGCTCGCTCCTGAGCCCGCTCCTGGCTGAGCTCGTCCTTCTTCTCTCTGTAAGAAGCTTGTGCCGTCTTCCATATCGAGAGAAGCTGCTTGCCCTGCAAATCGGCACATGTCAAGTTAGCATGCAGTGCAACCCCACGGTGCGACGGAAGCAACTGATTGGATATTGAGAATCAAGAGGGAGGCGGGCGTGTGTGTGTATATGTGTGTTTGTGTGTGTGAGAGAACAGGGACCCAACATACGGTACTGATGATCTTGCCGGAGTTGTTGACAATAGTAATGGTCGCATCCAGCGGCAGGCCGGAATTGCTCATTCTTGCTTCGTTTCGTTTTTGCTTCTTATGTTAGGCTGTACTGTTTTTGTCTTTGAGCTCGAGCCCGCGACTTGCGTAGCGAATAATCTCCAATGTCTCAATGTCTGAGAGAAGAAGGAAAAGAAGAATAAAAGAAGCAGCGGTAGGGCTCTAGTTATTCCACAGACGGAATGGAATGTCACGACCTGGATCAAACCCCCCACTAAGCTATCAATGCTTCTCAATGTCGGTGAAGATCTCCCGGCTGGCCTTTTTTTGGGATCCCTGAACGGCCGCCCCGCCAGTCTAGTTAGTAGTCGGACGCGCGCAGCTCAGGAGAACGGCCGTGAAGAAAGAAAAAAAAAAAATTGGTTTAGCTTGCGAGAGTATGGAGGAGTTGGTGGTGGATGTCTTTTCTTGTCCTGTCTTGACTCTTCTTTTGCTTCCTTTTTGTATGTCTTCTCCGTTTGCTGATTCCAATGCTGGATGGTTGTTGTTCTTGTTCGTCACTTAAAGCGGACGAGCATGTGCAAAAGTATTAAATGGGGTGGCTGGCGTTTAAAGAGCCAAACGCCAGCAACGACAACGGTCAAGCGAACAACGATGCCCAAGATGCTGGATGGACCTATCGCGAGCAAACAGCATCACCGTACATGGGACGGCCCAGACACCAGCGCCTCCGATTGCGCCTCTGGCTCTGCGTCCCCACGCATCCCTCGCGAAGTGAATGATGACACGGCAATGCAGTCCAGGGAACATGAGACCGGGAACCGCTGGTGTGATTGAGTCACACCCCACGAAATGGCTTCCATCCAGCCAGCAAGCCCTCTCTCTCCCTGCCTCTCCTCCCCGACTCGCAGCCGCTCCTCTCCATACAGAGGCCTCTGTGCCGTGTTCCCCTTGTCTGCAGCGCAACCCTGGCGTCAAAAGGCTGTTCGTCCCTCCTCGTCGCCTCACAAAGCAGCACTCCGTCTGCCGCCCGGAGGCTCCGCCCAAAGTCCCCCGATTTGCTCCCGCAGTCAGGCGCCTTTGCATTTGCATGACGGCCACCCTTGCACCCACTGGCATTGGCAGTAAATGCTCTTCCCTTTTCCTCATATCATATCATGCCTCGCTCGAACCAGCACTCTAATTCGTATGCTGCCCTCGTACTCGCACTAGCAGCCCGCCCAGACAGCGCATTGCCTCTCCCAGCAGCCACCGCTTGGCCCGTCTTCCCTTTGGCTCGTTGGGCCGGGGTGCTCGACTCAATGCCCCAGTTGGCGTGACAAGTGGTAGATGTGCTGTCCTATCACTTTTTATGGGGCGCTGCCAGCGTGTAAAGCCCCGTACGGACGGATCGTTTTTGTTTCGTTTGCACCTCGTCTAGCGCCCGCCCCTTCCTGCAGGCCATTTCTGAGCGTTGAAGACGATGCCCCGTACTTTTTTTTTCCTCTCTGTCTTCTGTAGTAGTACGGAGTAGCATGTCCGTGATCCCGGGACGACGAAATGGATTGCATCATTCGAATTTGAACCGACAGGGTGGTGTTTCAAAATGATGGAACGATCAAAAGGGGAAATGCCGTAGAAACGATGAGGCAGAGAGGCAGAGAGGCAGAAGGAGAGAGGTTGTTAGTCGCTGAGTCAGCATCCATCATCCGTCATCCAGCATCCAGCATCCATCATGACATGGCCGTTTACATACAGTAATACTACTAAGGTATGCAACTCACAGCACCACCGTCCCTTAGTGGCACAAAAAGGGTCAATTCATAGGCATAGTTATCTCATACGACATGTATAACAGTAGTATTCTCTTTATACAAAGTCAACATAAACACATCAGTGCATGTGCCCAGCCACCAGGACCGTCTCCATCCTACCTCCAGCATCCTCACGCCTTGGGTTGGTTTGAATATGCCCCCAATCTCCCATCCGAGCATCGCTTTCCACATTGCCGATGAAAACAAGTCCTTTGAAAGAAGAAATATGTGCCATGCCACTCCTATTACCACCCCAATTATCGCTGAACAAAACCCCGAAAAGAGAGCAAGATAGAAAATAGAGGAAGAAAAAAAAATGAGAAAAAAGAGAATAAAAAATAGAGCCCAAACGCCTTGCCTCACACCCCTTCTGAATCCGTAATGCTGACAATGGTTTTTTCAGACAGCGTATGTACTATAACAACAGAACGCCGAGGGCAGAGTCGTATCGCCCTTCAGATGCGGGTTTCCATATCCATACCAAATGCTTATTATATATGCATTCTCTGTTCCGTTCGCTTTTCGTCTTCGGCAGCGCTTTTTATCGTTCTTTCTTTTTTAGATAAAAGGAAGAGAAGAAGAAAAGAGAGAGGGAAGGGGATTCCCTTCCATACTTGTTTAGAACCACTTAAGCCTCTTCCTCAATCATGGCACGAACTTCTGGCTCATTCAAGAGGATGCGGCGTCCAAGTTCTTCAGGCGGATGTCCGTCTCGGACGGCGCCGAAATCAAGAATCTAGCAAAGCCAAGTTAGCCATATTTCTCTTGGGAGAAAGGGTTAAAACAGAAAGGATCAAATCTCACCTCCACATAAGTCAAGTTATCCCTCTGGACGGCCGCAACGCATCGCCTTCCATCAAACTTGACCTGCCAGACCCCAGACAGGTCCGTTAGGAGATCTTGCACGCACTCTCCCGTCCTGACATCCCACATCTTGACAGTCTTCTCACTTCCACTAATCACCTTTCGACCATCATGTTGAAAGCAAGTAATGGCACCCGTGTGCGCCATCAAAGTGTTCTTACACTTGCCAGTCTGGGGGTCCCAAATCCGGAGCGTCGAGTCCGCGGCAGCCGAAACGAGGCGGTCGTCACGAAGGTCGAGCAGGCCAACCAAGAGGCTGTGGCCTTCCAGAGTGTAGAGACAGGCACCCGTGGCGAGGTCCCAGATCTTGACTAGTGAGTCCATGGAGCCCGAGATGCATCGGTTGCGCTCGTGGTCGAGCACCACCGAGTAAACCTTCTGGGTGTGTCCATGGAGCACATGCAGGGAATCGCCAGTGCTGATCCGCCAAACTCGGACCGTGCTGTCGTAGGATCCGCTGACCAAGATGTCGCCGTGGGCCGATATGGCGCGGACCGAGTGGGTGTGTCCCGTCAGGACACGGATGAAGTAGGGGCAGTCAGACTCCTGGGCCGGAGGGCCCGTCTGGATGTAGCGCCGCGATCCAACCTCGGGGAGACGCCAGACTCGCAGCTGGCTGTCTCTGGAACCCGTAATGATCAGCGGCTTCTCTGGCTGCATGATGGGAGTACCATCCGTGGCCATACCAGTCTCCGTTGGCATGAGGATCTGCAGGCATCGCACTGTGCTAGTGTGCCCATAAAAGACTTGTTGGCAAAGTCCGCGTTCAATGTCCCAGACTCGCACCGACCGATCGGTCGAGCCCGAGACTAGGATGTTGCCCTCATACTGAAGAGCCCAGACACCGCCCTCGTGGCCCTCAAGCTTCTTGCGGAGCTTGCCCGTCTTTGTGTCATAGATGTGGATGAGAGTGTCATCGCTGCCCGTGATGATCTTGTCGTCGTCAAACTGGAGGCAAGTGATGACATGTCGAGGGTGGGCGGCAAACGCTACGTGGCTGGGTTTGGTCGCGCCGTTGGTCCAGCTGTGGCGTATCATGTAGTGACGGCGATAGAGCGACTTATACAGATGGAGCTGCCGTAAACTCGGGAGGCCAAGTTGAGGGTCAGGCACAGCCTGCATCGCCTCATGGGCGGCCGAGAGGGGGCCGGCCGACTTGTGCTGCTTGACTTCACCCTGTGCTCTGTCGTCGCGGTTGGCAACCACTTCCTGGGTGCTAGCCCGCCGCTTCGAGCGCTCCGATGTAGAGGCATAGAGGCCACGCTTACGCTTCGAACTTCTCACCCTCGGTGTGACTTCTTGCTTTATGGCCTGGGTGAGCTCCTTTTCCGAAGAAGTCAACCGGTTCTGCATGCTCAAGTCTTGCTCGTAGCCGTCCACGCCAACAGGATCCTGCCATCCCCAGCCTTGGATAATGGCCTTGTTCAGCTCACCCGGCGGGAGAGTGAAGCCATCCCTGTCGAACAATTCTTTCCACCCAGTCTCGTTCCGGTCAACAATATTGCGCCACTGTTTTGATACCTGGGCGCAATGGCTGAGGTCGCGGAAGTCGAGGTATGACAGAATGTGGTAGCTCAGCTCGAGAGGCAGTTGCTGTAAAAAGTCACATTTGAGGGCAGGATTCACTGCATCGGCGACGATGCGAAGAGTGGGTCGAGGGCATCGACGGAGGAACTGATACATCATGAACGTCTTCATCTCCGTCTTCATCGAATCAAACGCCTCCAGTAGCGTCTGGGGATCGACAATAACAGGCTGGTCATATCGCCGCATCAAGGCTTGCTTGTCGTGGGACGGGTGCTCAAAGGACACCATGTCAGTGTATCCTTCGGTTACTTGAGAGTCAGCCATCCACGTGTCTGACTGGTCGGTCTTGAAACTAGACTGCGCGTTCTCGTCGGATTCGGCAGAGTGCAGCTGGGCAGCGGCCAAGGTTGGAGATAATCTCGGACTAGGAAGACTGGCATCCTGCGCAGCAACGACATCGATTGCGGGTCGATGCTGCGGGCGGACCGAAGGTTCAAGGGATTCGTCGGTATCATCGGCGAATGATTCCGGGTCGGCATCGGTAACTGGCGGCGTGGCTACGGTGCTGCTAAAAGTGTGGGCATCGCTCCCAGCGGGACTCGACGCCTCGTATGGAGGAGACTTTGACCGGCTGCGGAGCAGGTCTTGGGAGTTGAGTGAATAATCGAGGTGCAGAGGTCGTCGCTGTAACGACCGGCCTGGCATCGAATCGGCCGTCTCGGTAATGTCTGGCGTGGCGAGAATGCCAATGGAGGCATTTCTGGCTGCTCTATCGCCAGCGTCATGACGCAAAGTGCTGCTGCTGCTGTCGCTGTTGCTACCGGCGGCGCTGCTTCCTTGTATGACGGATCGGCGCAGCCTATTAGACACGGCATGAAGATTTGAGGAGCGGGCGAGTCGTTGTGAGGACCTGGTGGCAGCCGCTGTGGGGGACTCTGCAGCGGCTATTCGATGGCTGCGGCGAGAGTAAGGCTCGGATGGAGAGGCTGAAGGTATGCGGCTTAAAGGTTCTGGCGTTTGCACTTCACTGGTTGTAGATTCCTGCTTGATCAGGGGTGCTAAGCTTTGGCTTCTCTTGACCTGTTTGTCCAAAAGGCATCCTTGTATTAGCAGGGCAAAGACGGTGGGAAAAAAATAATCACGGCCATTGAGCCAAGCGTCCACTCACCAGTTGGCCATCAGCATGGTCATCAACGTCCTCAATCCTCTTGACATCAGAATCCTCCTCTTCAGCGCCAAAACTATAGGAAAAATCGACCAGCTCGGGAGGCGTCGGCTTCATGGCCAAGGGATACTCCTTGGTGTCGAGACTCTCGAGTGGGGCGGGGTCGCGGATGAAGACCTGGGGAAACTTCCTCGTCAGGCGAGTTGTGGTGGTGACGGTTCTAGTCTCGACACACTCGCTGACGTGCAGCTGGAACCGGCGCCCGCTTGGAGGGGTGCTCTCGGCGATGTTGACCGAGACGGTCTGCGTGTGGGCGCTTCTCGGCCGCCGTGGCTCAAGGCCCTGAGATGGCGAGGGCGTCATTGCGTGGTGTCGGGAAAACCCCCAGCGGCTGGATCTGGTCCAACGATGCTGTCCTGGGCCGCTCGAGTCTCTGCTGCTGGATTCCTGTAGATGTTGTTTCTTGCAGGAGGGAGAGAGGCGGCTCTGGGGGCTGGCGGCAGAGGGATCGAGAGTTTGCCTGGTGCGTGTGCGAGTCTCTCGGGCGAAGGAGGGTTTTGCAGGACACGAGGCTGGTGCGCGTGCGCCAGGCGTGGCTTGCTGTTGCTGCACTTTCGCGTGAGGGGACGGCGATGACAAACCAAGGACAATCCGGGACGAACAACAGGGAGAGGCAACGCAACACGCAAACGGACTCTCGAGGAGATGCGCAGGACACGCTGGAGTTTTGTCTTGTTCTTTTTTTTCTTTTCTGCTGTCTGGCGGATCAAAGGGCGAGAGACGGCGTGTCCGGCCGTGAGAATCCGGAGTGTCCCCTTTTGTGGCGGATGATATTAGATAAGGCAGCGGAGGTACCTGGAACAATGGTGGTAACAAGAGGCCGGCTGTGCACTCAACCGCTAAATCGCTAGCGGCTGGCGCTGTACAGTTGGCTGCTTAGCGGCTTGTGGACGTGGACTGTGCTGGAGCCGTTGGGTAATTGGACGTGTATCGCCACTAAAGGCGTTTCGTAGTACTACCTAGGAACTTACACCTACTCGTATTAGCCACTACTACCAGTGCGATACGGGGAACGGCAGTCAGCTGCTGCGCTTGTACTCCCTGCGCTGCGCAGCGCCTCCAGGTACATGAACCTGCTAGAGCGGCAGTACCCCGGACCGTCGACGGAATTGATGGAATTGGATGACATACACGGAAGCCACTTAAGCCTCGGCCACCGCCAGACGCAAAATTTTGATCGGAGAGGGCATTTCTAGGTACATGGACTGCTAGGCAGCTGTGTCGTGAAGGAGTTGTTCTAGATGACAAAGCAAAGCTTCCAGCTTGTCTCTGTTCTTCCTGATTGCCAGCCGGATGTATCTTTTGGCTGCCGTGCGGGCGGGCTTTATCACGGTGGGATTCACAGGATTCTTTTGATTTCAGTGCAAGGCGACCTACCTTGCCTCTAGTCTATTACCTGCGATTACATCAAATCGATAGATAGGTACATATACTTGATTGATCCATTAGGCATGTACTTGCCTGGGAAGTAAAGGCGCCATTGTACGCCAGGCAGATACTGTGCATGTACCCAGCATTCCGCGTTGGACAGCGGTAGGGTAGCCCAGCTCATACCTGGAGTCTAGAACTGCGATGCACATCATGTCAAGGTACCCAATCAAGCCAATATATCACATCTCCAGCTTCTCGCCATCGCAAGACAACGAGAGCCACTCCGGTGGACGCTATTGCCTCTACCCTGTTTTTCCGTCTTCTCCCTCTCTCTCTCCCATCCTAGCCGAAGCAGGACTACAGCGTTGCATCCTCAATCACATCACGCATCACCAACACATCAGGGCTAGTGAGCGGCAACACCTTGGCCCCCCTCTCCCATCAAGGGGACATCAAGGGCAGAAGAGGCACGGTCTTGACAATCAAGATGCCCAAGTCGTCATTGTCGTGTAATTGCAATCTATACTTGCATCTGCGTTCCTCCTTTGCATAATCAGGTGGCCTTTCCCCTCTTTCGACTTGCTGCGCGACATCTGCACGACCAGCGTTATCGAGGGACCCTTTGTGGAGGCTAGTAACAGATGCACAACGAATACACGTACAAACTAATGCAAAACCCAGGTAAAAGTCTGCTTGATACCCAATACATCTCCATTGATCTACTGCTGAGCTATTTTAGCCCAAGGTGAGCAAGACATGCCGAGCAAGTGTACGGGGAATCTGTAAGCAAGTCCAAGCCGCATCTAATACAGGTAGCCCTGTTCCGCTTCGAGCAGGGTATTAATATTAAAGACATGCTTCGTACATTGGTCACATATGCAGTTAGCAGAAAGAGAGAGAAGACGCCGTAATGGCACCAATGATGGCGTGCGTCTTTTTGATTCTGACCGCAGTTCGGTTCGTCGCATTCGGGCGGCAACTTTTGTGCTTCGTCCTTGTCCTCGTCCTTGTCCTTGTCCTTGTGCACTCCCCACAAAACTGAGGCTTTTGCTGCTCTCTCTCTCTCCGTAGGACAGACACAAGCAAAGTATCTACCTAGTTGTGAGAATGAGAAGCTGGATTGATGCTAATGCAACACGGCATCCGGCGTTGGCTGTACAAGTGCGGAACACCACCAGACACTTATTCAGACTAATACCAAGCACATGCAACATGTGCTACCTTGGGTACTATATACCATGACCACAAAGTCTCTGACTACGACTAAGACAAACCCTTGAAGGAAAACAAACGTTATTTTCGAGCATCCATACGATATCCCCCGTCGTCTCGTCATCAATCGTCTCACCCCAACAGCAACCCCAATCACCCAATACCCCGAAATTCCATCGGCCCGCCTAAATATCCCCCCAGACCATTCCAAAATCCCCCGTTCAACCGTCTCCGCAAGCCCCCCAAGACCAAAAAACCAGTCCGTCACATTTTCGTTTCCCCCTTCTCAACCTAAAAAGACGGACGCCACATCAGGCTGCCAACGCAACATGCGCCGCCCCCTAAAAGAAAAAAAAAATTTCAGGTCCAACGCGAGCCCTCTTCGGCCGATCTCCCAAAACGGGCACTCGTAGGCTCCCGTTCTGCTTACTACATGTACATGGAATGGCGGAGTACCGGTAACCTGAAGCAAGGAGGAGTTTTGGTGTGTCGTGCACGAGTAATATCGCAGGCGGGCGCCAAGTTTCGGGTACCTGGTACGGGTCCCGAGACCTCCGTATTGCCCTGTCCGGATGTCTGAAGCTGAGATTCAAAAGCGTCGACAAAGGTTATTAATAAGCCATCGTGAGAGGAATGAAACTGACGAGATAGCCTGAGAGTGAGCCTCGCACATTTCCCAGTGAAATATGCTCATTGGCCATCACGTTACACAAATTGCGTGCAGTAAACAGTACATGCAAACTCAAGCCCACAACGCAAAAAAACGCCTATCCGCATCTCTCAGGCCCGAGGAACCTAACGCCGTTTCACGAGTCAGGTGAAGGGTGATGACTGCAGCAGATTCTGTTCCTCCTGCTTGCTAATCGAATGTCTGCCCGGAATGGAGCAGCGGGATTGGTCTCTTGGCAGCTTGTTTTTCGCTTTGGCTCTGGTGTTGGAATGGATGACGTAGAGTCAGATCTGACGCTGCCTTGCATGCCCTAGTACTCGCCCGCTGCTAAGGCTGATGAATGTAATATGAATGTAATGGCTGATACGACACAAAATACAAAATATTCGCCTTGGGGTTGCTACTTCATTGATACAACTGGGGTTCCAAACAATTGTTTTCATCATTCACTACATATCGTTAAAATAGGTATAGACAAGCCATCAAACCAGAGCCGACTTTCTTATTCACGAGCCACCTTGCTCCAAGACGCGCTCGAATCCCTTAAAATTGCAATACCGCCATTTCCTAAAACCCAACAAATGGATATGCCCGTATAATGCCCTCTAATTAGATTGCCCAAAAAGCCTGAAACTAATGCCATGCATGCATGCCTCCACAGGTTTCACGTAACCAAGAATCTCGTTTGTACAGATGATTACAGAGATTCTGCTGTCTCATGAAATATAAACCGGCATTCGACTGCCTAGAAGCTCGCTCTTGGGCAACTGGACGTCCTTCTTGTTAAAGTTGTGCAGCATCAGCCAGCAGACCATGCGGAAAACAAGAGTGCACCACACGTCATGATGCGTAACGTCCAACTCAGCGAGCGAGATACCGCTATGACTTTCTTCTGACTCCACAGTGTTTCCCACAGCGATAGAAACCTCTCGCTGCTCCTCTAAATGCAACGCCACCTCCTTTGTCGAATGCTCTCCGCCCTTGACCATGGATTCACCCCCAGGGCTGCGAGGGAGAAGAGAGTTGTTTGAGCGAATACTTGGAGGGCCTCCAACAAGGCTGTTTCTTCGATCCGTTGTGCGAAAAGCGGTCGACACTACATGGGGTCGAATAACATCAAAGTATACATCCATGAAAATGTCTTGTCGATCATCGGGTCCAGCGGCGTCCATGTCTTCGAACCGCTGAAGCGGCGGCCTAGGACGAGATCTCTCTGAAGGGGCTGGCGCTTCTGGATGGAGAGACAGGGAATCCGAGTTTTGGTCTTCCTGTTGGTTGAGAAGTCTGACCACCTCCTGGATATGGTGTCTTAAGACGTCTTGAACAATTTCCCGCCGACGCGTGTGCCTTTCCGCGCTAGATGTTGCGTCGTATGGCTTCTCTGAGCCGTCTTCAGCATCGTGACTAGTCTGCCTTTCCAATTTTGTCCTCGCAGTGAGCACATCATCTGTGTCGTCCAACGCTGCATGCAGGGACCTCAAAAGGAGCCATCTATCAAGGCTTTTATCATCATCCAAATACTGCCTTATATGTTCGATATGTTGCCTGTAGCGTGCAATTACGATAGAATGATGCTTTGTTCCCATGGGGTCGAATTGGGACTTTATATAGAAGGCATCCAGTATTTTGGGTAAGGAGACCGACTTATTATCCCAGCTATCCGGCGTCGGATTAGGGAGGTACGTGAAACTGCTGTTTTCTATATGGAACACCCGGCTTACCATGCCGAGGATCTCGAATGATACTAGCAACAGATATTAGTTTGGGAATGCCAATGGAGAGAAGGGGGAAAAAGGTCACATACTAGGGAAGAGGTGAGATGTTCGTGTTCCAGGATCCAAACACATTCGAGTCGTGACATTGTTGCAACCTATCGAGGTCAAAGTTTCCGAAACCTCGCGTACGCTACCCATCAAGAGGGTGCTGAGGTTTCGCTGCTCTTCGCCAGGGCCCTTCAACCGCCTCTTATCGTACTTCTCGCGATAGATGGTTGGCACATAACCAAAACACAGCTCCTTGATCTCGTCGACAGGGATGACACGATTCCGCTTAAAGGTGCACTGGCCATTGACTTGAAACGAGAACATGAGCCCGGGATCACTAAGTCTCTCGCCCAAGATCATGAAGCCATTGCCTTCTCCCCAGTAACGGTCACGCTTGCGGTCAAATTCTTTCCAATACACACCGACCGCAGCCATCATTTCAATCAAGTGACACATGGTAGTGGTGGCGTAGGGTTTGGTGACGTTGAGGGGCATAGTATCCCAGCTCTTGCGTTTCCGCTGCACAGCAACAGTCAGGGTATGGTGATCTATCAGCGTTGGAGGCTTTGGTGGAATGCCATGTAGGTTTGCCGGGGGCCCAAAATCCTTGTATTGCTTCTCCTGCCACTCTCGCGATTCGGACTCCATGCGCTGGGCGGCAAAGAGCAGCACATACCAGGCAGCCTTTTCATTGTCAGACGTGTGAATCTTTTCCTTTACGCTCTTTTCCTTGTATTCTTTGCGCAGATCCAATGTCGAAGTCGAGTGTGTATCGTCCTGGGATTTCTGGGTACCGTCGAGATAAAAGATGGGCGCATCTGCCACGGGTCCGTTGGGGTTCGTGGGCGGAGACACGAAAATGACGGGCACGTCGAATTGGACTTCGAATCGCAGTTCGTCCAATCGAAACTGTCTCGTCTTAGTCTTAGCCCAGCCGCCCATGACTTTTTCATTGCACTGCGAATATCCTTGAGCAGACGCATAGTACTGCTGCAACACTTGCATAAACGTGGCTAGCAGAGCCACGACAGACACCACCAAAGCTACGGCGGCCACGACAAAATCGGAATTGTTGTTGCCGCCATTGTTGTTGTTATTGCTGCTATCGGTGCTATTCATCTTGGATCGAGGCTGACTCAACTCAAGGTTGAGATCGTACTAGGAAGCGACGCCGCTGCGCTCGATCGAGGGATTCGGTGCCTTTTTGCTGCAAGTCGTCCTGGATCATGAAGAGCTCATGTGGCATATGGAATCGGCAAGGCGTTTTTCATCGGCCGCCTCAATTAAGCCGTCGCGGCAATGTCGACGTCGAGTTGTGGCAAAGATTGATTGGCAGGATAGCCCATGACCTGCCTGCTGCCTCTGCCTCTTCTCCAGTCTGTTGCCCAAGGCTTGAGGCTCTGCGAGTGGTCGCCTTCCCTATCGATTTCAAGGAGTCGAGTCAGCCCAAAGACGAGGCGCGCGGGACGGTGCGGCGCGACCAGGCTGGCGCCATTGGCCCCAGCCCCCAAGCCACTTCTGCCTTTGATTGTTCCACGGGCCAATTAGTGCAGTGAGATTTTCCAAATGGCCAGAGGCGTTGGTTAGACCAGGGGTCGATACGACCCGCATCGTGGCGATTGCTCTAAGCAGCAGATAGGATCAACTCTGTATGTAAGAAAACTCAACAGCAACTGTTGAGAGCTGGGGTAAAATGAGGCGAGAGTGCTCTGAAACAGGGCAGAGACAAGGTCGACTTGGCCATGAGACTTGAAGAGAGACAGAACATGGCGGATGACGCAGTTTGGAATGATGTCGATGCCAAGATGGTGGGTGGGCACTATAAGGTTCCATATCCTGGAGGAAGGCGGAGAGCTCCATGGAGGGCTGTGGCGCTGTCTTTCAACGTTGATAGCGCTCTAGTGTTCTAGCGCTCCCCTACAAGACGTGCTATTAACCACTGGACATCTCTGATGGGTGATCTCTGCCTGGCCAAGTGCCCATCGTGATATTTGCCCTGAGGCATCAACATCAAAGCCACCAAAATGCAACACTTTCTTTGAAGAGATTAGGCACCACGGCAATCACGCGCAATCTTCAAGGAAGCGGCAGTGAAGTGCAAATGCGGCGTGTTGGATCTTCGCCCGAAAATGCTCGTAGCCGCCTGGCCACAAACACTGCATGTACACTGTTATGTGCATAACCGTCAGCTCGACGCTCGACCAACAGCAAATAGCCTCGTTTTGCCTCGTCCCATTGCAAGCGCCGCCAAGCTGCTCGCCCACGTCTCATCACACCAGGTCCCAGCCAGTCAAGATGCCGCTTCGGTCTTCCTCCGCTCTCCCAGCGCCGCTACAGCACTTCTACACTCACCGGAATGTTTCATCCTGTGTCCAGCAACAGGCAGAAAAGACCACCTAGACATGAACGCTATTGTCACGTTTCAAGCCCGAGTGCAGCCTCACCGCTTGTCTGGCAACACAACTCGTACCGCTGTTCACTAAAGGTAGGGTAACAGATACATATCGTATACGAGCCTTGGTGTTCTGGTACGACGGCCTGCGAATGAGGAGACACGCACCCAACAACTTGCAGTCTACCAGCACTAGTCGCCAATCAGCCGGTGCTTGTAATCCGGGAACAGCTGGCCAACGCCTCTTTTGAGCTCCAAGGACTGCCTTGCCAAGAGAGACTATCCAAATTGAATGATTTGTGTCGTCTACTGCCTTGCTTCTCACCGAATTCCACAAATCTGGCCGTACGACTTTACAAACCAATGGACTACATCAAGTAGGGACGGAGTGGAATATGGATGAACTCGTGAACCATCGCCAGCGCTCCATCCGTCCCGTTCTAGGCCTTTCGCCGGTTAATATTGGGCCATGGGCTAAACTAGAGCGGTTACGCATCACTGCTCTCGACGCTACAATGAAGAGTCTTCCGTGTGGGCCATGGACTCTGGAGACATCCATGGACAAAGATGGCATATTGCTCAGTCCCGGTATGCTGAGAACAGCCAGTCCAATGGGATTATAGCAACTACTTGACCAGCATCAGGTATTTCCCTGCCCTTTGCGATGAGATATCATAAACGAAAGCAAGCATATATATAATAATGCCGGCGGATTTCCTCCACTTTAGTCTTGTTCTCTCAATTCGGCATGCCTGCCGCCTGGATTCCGAGGTGAAAACGAGTTGGTATGTTCGACTTGAAGAAACCAACCAACAAAAGTGCCAAAAAGTGGAGAGCAAGAAGAGCGTGCGCTTGTAATATGACTAGCCCGCCGTTTGTCAATCCAGGTCATTTGTTGTGCATTTGCGGAATCTGATATCCGAATGCCTTGGGCGGTAATTTAACGCGGAGGATCCTCTTGGTCAGCTCTACCCACCTCACGGCGGAAACACCTACGGAAAGACGTACAAACAGGCGAGGCCATCAAATGACCGCCTGGGCGAGATACACCACCATCGCCTTCGAGCAGATATCGCAACACGATGGTACCAGATTCTGTCACGTAGCACATCTGAAATGATCCTTTAAAAGCCCAGGAAAAGAGAAAATCACCCTCGGACTCTAAGAGATCGGTGTTAAGATCTGTGGGGCAGCGACCATTCCTCTTCCCGATGGCTGTTTGAACACAACCAACAACAAACCTATCCGACCAATAATTCGACTATCCATTGACAAGGAACTGTGGAGCATGCAATGTGATACAGACGTGAGGTTCCGCGGATTATCTGGAGGATGTGCTCAATGTAAGCAATATCGGGAATGGACATATTCCTCGCCTGGCGCACGATAAGGGCTAGTTGAACAAAGGGGGTGGAGGAAGCCGACTCGTCACGCCAACCCTTGTACCAACAGACATGTCGAAGGCTTTTCCACCTCTTAAAGCTTTTATACTCTCTAACGACAGTAAAAGACCTTGCCTTTCTCCTTCATCAACATCCCCCTTGTGGCTCTCGTTTTCACGAGACTTCCGATTCATCCTGCCTCACTGGTGTTCAACGCTAAGACTCGTAAATCTGGAATCAATTGACATTTATCAAACATGGGCTCACTAGCAAAGTCTGTTATCGAGTCGTCTGTTGACCGGCTAACAATGCTGTCAAAAGCAATTGAAGAGAAGACGCGCATCTTGACCGATACACTGCGAGCAAAGGGGCTTGGAGCCCCTTCTTACCAGGCAAACGGTCTTTCAGATTTCCCTCTGAATGAGGTGGGCGATGAAGCCATCAGGGCTAGACAGGAGATTGTGGCACTGACCAAAGAGCTTCACGATCTCGTTTTGGGTCCTCGCGAATGTTTAAAGACCGTGGCCTGGGATGTAAGTCGTAATTGTCAAATCTTTGACTTATGGAGAAGTCAAAAATGTCTGGATATGGCACTGAAAACTGATGATTTGTTTCTTCCAGGCCGTCAGCTACATTCCTTTGCATGCCATATGCGAGTTCAAAATTGCAGAGGCAGTACCATTGGCAGGGTCAATCTCGTATGGAGACCTCGCGGTTGAAATACACCGTTTATCTGGCACTACCATAATACCGTCAGATCTACGACGTCTTCTGCGCCTTTCTATTGCCAACAACATCTTTCAGGAGCCAAATATTGGCTCGGTTGCTCATAATCGGGCATCCTTGCTTCTGTTAGACGACGCGGCATTGGCCAACTGGGTTGCATTTTTCACCATGGATATGATGGCTCCTATAGCTAACACAGTTGCCGCCATGAAGAAGTGGCCTGGATCTCAAGAGACAAACGAGACAGTGAGCAGAACCGCAGAAAGCACAAAGAACACACGCTAATATACTTGGTTTACAGGGGGTCAACATTACGTTTGACCACAAGGATAGCTTTTTCGACCATCTGCAGGCGGACGAGGCTCGGGCAAAGCGATATGCTATAATGCTGCAGTCTCATGGTAGCCGAGAAGGGTACGACATATCGCATACCGTTTTAGGATATCCTTGGGCAAGGCTAGGCGCATCAACTGTTGTCGACGTAAGTATCTGCTAGTTTTTTTATTTCTCCAAAACGTCGCTTGCTCACTTTCGGAACCAGATGGGCGGCAGCGAAGGAGTTGTCTCGTTTGCGGTGGCAGACGAATTTCCCCAGCTGCGGTTCATTGTACAGGATTTGGCCGGCATGCGCACGCCCGAAGCCATGGACAAGATACCCAAGCATCTGACCAATCGAGTATCCCTCACGACGCATGACTTCTTTCAGCCCCAGACGGAAAGTGCAGATGCTTATTTGTTTCGGCACATCTTTCATGCATTTTCGGACAAGTACACCATCGAAATCCTTCGCGCCCTGGTTCCCGCTCTGCGGCCCGGTGCTCGCATCATCATCAATGACATTGTTTTGCCGGTTCCAGGCCTGCTCTCGCAGTTGGAAGAGAAGAGTATCCGGACTATGGATGTGTTGATGAAAGCAGTGTGCAATTCACGAGAACGGGAGGTGGATGACTGGAAGAGCCTGTTTGAGCAAGCAGATAAGAGGTTTCGATGGCAGGGCGCGTGGAAGTCGAGTGGCAAGCTGTGGTTTATTGAGAGTACATGGGAGCCTTAGGCTAACGTTGTTGACTTGAGGATGATTCTGCAGGTGGCATATCTACATGTAGTCAATAGGCGGAGACACTTTGTGTGTTATTGGGACCGTTTCTGCTGTAACAGGGGTTTCCACAGTTCTATGTCATATTCTGTATTGAAGTCCGCCTTTAGGACAAGATGCATCGTGCCTGGTGTATAACTAACAAGCAAGCCATTAAACAATAAAAAATTACTAATACAATATACCCGTGCTCATCACATCTTGTATGTAATTCCAGCCAGTGGAGCTCTTTTTGCTGTGTTCTTCTCAGAGTTGACCAACATGGCCACATGATGACTCAAAGCAACCAAGTCACCAGCTCTATCAAAGACAATAACTTCAATGTCGAACCGGCCATTGTAGATCTGCTTGGCCGACGTTCGCACGAAGAGCCACCGCTCGCCCTCTGCCGGCAACGCCTTCTTTACTTCAAGGTTCATCGCCAGCGTAGGATACCACAAGGCAGTCTTGCGCGTGAATTCGCCTCCTGCGGCGGGAGGATCGTCCTTGGACCGAGGACGGTGCAGTTCGGGGATGAAAGCCGCCGTGCAGTCGACGACGAAGCCGAGAGACGTTGCTTTGAAGGACTCGCCGTTGGAGGTGCACATCCACAGGTCAAACGACGAGTTGGTGCCGGACTTTGCAAAGGCGGCGCGGTTGTAAAAGAAGCGGAGCTGCTGGACGGCAGTGACTCTTCGCTGAATCACCAGATCCAGGGCTCCCCATTCCGGATCCTTGTGGGCGAGAAGCTTGTCAAAATCAGCCGGTTGGGGCAACTGAGGCTGCAGCGACCATCCAGTGGGAAGACTGATGCCATTTTCCGCGGCGATGCTCCTATTTGTCAGATACGCAGCGACGACCTTTTCCGACTTTGGCTTTCCGGGCTGTGCGTCTGTCGCGATCCATGGCCCCTGGGATAGGAGATGGCCTTGGTAGAGCGAGATGTGCAGCACGGAGATGGAGCGGCCCGGCTTGGCTTCCTCGACGACGAGAACAGCTGGGCCGGAGATGGTGCGATTAAGAAATTCCCAGTGAGCGGTGATTGTGTCTGGCTGGTTCTTGTGGGCGAGATACTCTCTTGCTACGCGCAAAAAGATGGTGGCAACGTAGCCGCCATTGGGGACTGTAATGGATGAGATTCGTTAGCTTTCATATGGTGGCAACATAGAAGACGCGCAAGAGTTTATACATACCGGCGCCTATGCAGAAGCTGGGTGAGAGATTGGCAGCAAATGTCTTGTCGTCAAGTCTCCGGATGGTGCTCTCTTCCTCCAGAGACGCGGGAATCTTTGCCTCGGCTGTCATTGCACCTGCTCCTTTTCTTATTGTCCTGAGTCTGTGCTCTTTATGTTGCAGCTGTCAATTATACCCGACGGCAGAGTCAATTCCGGCTACAGCAGTTTATGTCAATGGCTTTCCTCTAGTCTGGCGGTGAAACCGTTACAGATATTACACAAGCACAGAGACACAGATAAGAAGAAACTATTCGAGCTTTTGAATACCCTCAAAATCCCATGCATATCGCCGGTCCGTTCCCGAACCGAGGCAACCCCACCGCATTGGTGATGGCGCTGGTTTTGTTTACTAACCAGCTGAAACTAGAATATCCTGTTTAGAAGTAGATTGACTTCTGACTGGCTTTTTAGTGGCTTGGGGGTTTTATTTCTAGAAGGGGAAATGGACTGGTTGTGGGGATTTGCTGTCACGATCAACGGTTCGTTGATTTTGCGGGGAAAATATGGTGAAATTGGAGTAAGAAATGGCCGAGGTGATACCCGAGAATATCCTCCTCCATCGAGGCTGCTCAACTCAATTGGGCAATAAAAACCTATTTCTAATTGTTCTGGAAGATGGATGAGCCTATATGTAAGTTATACAGAATCTAATTCCATCATTCACAGTTTTTATTCTGTTTCCATTGTGAAAATGAGTTTCTAATCATTAATACCATCTAAAAATGTCTGCTTTTCACTTTCAAAGTGATATAATATGTTCTAGAATAAATTAGTATGATACATACACGCGTCAAATCCCTCGCTGGTTTGAACCTTTTTATGCTCTATTCTCTTTGCTTGGTGTCTCGTCTACTGGCGCAAACTTGGACATCTTTCTCAGAGCGAGGCCATACTTCATAAACAAAAAAGGCACGGGAATGGCAATGACTGCAATACCTCCCAGCAGAGACATCGCGGGACCAACCCCCAAGTTGTGGAACATGGGCGTAGCCGCCAACGGAAACGAGGCTGCCAAAGCGCTTCTTAGAAGTGTATTGGCTGATGTCGCACTTGCAGCATATAAGCGATACGTATCGACGAGGAAGTTGATGCATTGCTGGAAGATGATGTTGAAGCCAGCTCCAATGAAGACGGCCGCCAATACGGGCACAATCCCTAACACCCATTAGCATCATCAAACTGGAATCCAAAGTAGTATCACAAACTCACAAGGTATCTTCGGATCCGCCGTCCAGCCAAACCAGAATAAGCCAATGGCAAAGACAACGCCGCCCACAGCCATTGGGGCGCACCGTGCTTCTGGTACAGGCTTTCCTCCCGCGGCATCGACGAGCCTTGCGTATCGTGGCTGATTTGCCAGGTTGACAAGCATGGCGCAACCCACGCCGGTCAAAAGCGCCAAGAACGGCAACGAGCTATGTACCAGACTCCATCCCCGGTTTTGTGCAAAGACAATGGGGAACACCTCCAAGGTCATATACAGCAGGCCGTAGACGAAAGACGCGTATAATGCTATGCACGTCACCATTGGCTCGGTAAAGAGCATGCGGAGAGGGCGAGAGAGATGCTTGGTGACGATGATTTTGGGCGAAAGCTTGGTCATTTCGTGAGGATGGTAGTAGGCCTGGTTTCCCGTCTCTTTACGCAAGCGCTGTGCCTTTCTCTTCAACAACACAGGGGCATAAGTCTCTGGCAAGAAGATCAGGATGATGGTCGTAACCGTGAATGTCCAGATGGCCTGGATGTACTCGGTCCAACGCCAGCCGAGGTGAGGATTCACCACCAGGGCCGCACCGATAACAGGACCCTAGATGCTGTTTAGCTGTGCTCTATCAGTGACAAGTTACAGGGATGCATCATACCAGAGTAGGACCGCCGACGACTGCAAGGGCATAAAACACCACGGCCGTGCCGCGAACTTTCGGGGGCCAAATGTCGCCCATGATTGCTCCCACGTTGCTCACCGGCGAAGAGGCAAATAGTCCACTGAAATACCTCGTTATCAGAACCGACTGGATGTTTTGACTCGTGGCCGTGCCTATCGAGAATAACCCGACTGCAAGCATTGGGAAAATTAGAGACACACGCCGACCCCATAGCTCCGAGATGGGCGCCCAGCAAAGCGGCCCAAATGCGAATCCCAGACTATTCAGTATCACGGTTAGAAATCATCAAGTTCTCTTGAACGCATTGAGTCGATGATATTGACTAACATGTAAAGCGAGATGCAGAGGACTGAAACCTCGTGGCTGATGTGAAAGACCTCCTGAAGCGTCGGTTCTGTAGGAGCCATTATGCTTGATCCCACACTGGCTGCCATGGCAATCAGACCCAATTGCAGGGTGATGAAGGCCCTATACGGCGTGGACCAGTTGAATGGATTGGCGGGCTCATTTTCATCCCACTTGACCAGAATCGGGGTTGCTTCATCTTCTGCTGGTGAGGTGCTTTCTTCATGCAACAGGGTGGTCATGAGTGATTTGCTACTTGAATCAATCACGCGTCTTGGATGAGAAATATGATGCAGCCAGCTCAGATCTCAATGTACTGTGTAGCTTAGAAGATTAAAAGAGAGTTTAAGAAGCAGGGCAAGAGGTGTGACAAGGTGCATCTAAGAAGAGCTAGCTGTAGAGAATCGAGATTTTCATACACTAAGAAGGGGTGTGTCAGATGAAACATAACCGAGAAATGGTTCCAAGGCGAGTGAATGAAAGGATCTTTTCCCTGTGTTGTAATAGAGAGATTGATAAGTCTTCATATTTTTCATCCGCGTTCTGGCGGACCACCCACCCGCCGGAATGCGTATCCGACACAAGGGGCAAAGCCGTGACTGACTGCCATTATAGCGTCATACGTCTTGTAGAAAACGGCAGTTATTGTTCCGAGACATCCGCAATAGCCGCTGGCTATTAGCAACAACAATGATAGCCTCAAGAAAAATATACAACTTCAGTTTCTTCTCTTGTTGGCATTTGAACAACATTAGTAGCTGAGCATTATTATTAAACTTGGCGGAATTACTTCCCAATTTCTCATACATTTCGTGGCCTTTGCTTTATATCCTGATACTCGACAACCGGATTCACAGGCTATAACATAGTTCTTCAGCCACCATCAGTTGCCCGGGTATAAACATGACACCCCCCCCCCCCCCCCCCCCCCTTTTTTTTTAAGGGGGGGGGGAGAGGAAAAAAAAAAAAAAAAAGCAAACACATCTACTTTGAGTTGCTATGTCGAATTTGTCATGGCAGGATTGAACTGAGTTGACCTGACAATGTAAGTCTGGGGGGAGAGAAGTATGTTACAATTCAACTCCACGTGAGAGACTGGCTTGTCTATATTGAGGGATACAAAAAACTTTAGTATTTATTTTTGCTATTTTTGATGGAATTTTAGATGGACTATGAAGTATTGTAATTCTCATCAGAATCTCCTCTCCTCTCACGATATTGGTACATATAGATAGTTTACTCGTAGTATAGCCAGTGGCACAGGACTTTCTATGTTGATAGCCACTACAATTCTCTTAAAAGTCGAATAAGACGTGCAATATTGAAGAAATTTGAGCCCTTGGTTTCAAGAATGAATAATTCCCTTTTATCATCACTTCATGACCCTTCTTCTTCACCATTCGCAAAGTGAAGCTTTGCGGCTAATGCGGATATTGCGGAGAGTCATCACGCCCAGCCGGAACACCCAGCCGGAAAGGTGGGTAAACGCCCCCCGACGCCGTGACTATTCCCGATCATCAAATCAGATCGGTTGAAGAGATGGTGGTCTCTTTCGACTGACTGCATTGGAACACATCACGATTGAATGTGGGGCACAGGACGAGATACGGGAAGCATGGCAATTCACACATTTGGCGACCTTTGGGAAGGATTGGTGTCTTAATCGATATGTCCGCCTATATGCAATAGCATCTGTGCACGGCTCTTTCACAGCATTTTTAAGCCCCCCCGAAGTCTCATCTCGTTCTGTTTGTAGTGGTCCGCAGCTCTGCCTGAGCCCTGATACATGTAATTGGCTAACGTTGCTGCAGTTTTGCCTACGTCATGTCGTTTGTGCCTCAATACACCGCATTCGATTGCCTTCACAGCATTTTTAAGCCCTCCCGAGGAGTCCTTTAAAGGTTTGTGGCTAAGTAAATATCGCGATGTTCCAATACTTTATCTCCACAAAAACGATCTACGTAAGCTGGCCACACACCACTGTATATTCTAGCTTACCTGCGCACACACATGCAAATATAGCTTAGCATATTAGTAAATCTTAAAAGTAGAGAATTAGGGCTATCTACACATATACAACATGCCTGGAATGCTTAGATATAACGCCGTAGGCTAAGCGCCGTATGCAAAGCCCGCTGCAAGCGCCCCCGGAGGGTAATGACAAAATTCACGTTGGATACATGTAGTAGGTATCTATGATAGATAGCGATAACTTGAAGTTTGATCAAATAGGATGACCTTGATCGAACGGGATGACCTTGATCTAGCTAGGTAGGCGCGATCAATCTAGCTGGCCTCGATCGATCCGGAAGACCTTGATGAAACAAGCTGACCGCGATCTATCTAGGTGGCCTCGTTCTATCAAGGTAGCATCAAACGAACGGGGTGGCTTTGAATGATCTGGAAGACCCTGATCAAACAAACTGACCGCGATCAGTGCAGTCGCTTTGCTTGCCGTATGAACGTCTTGAGCGGGCATCAGACTTGTACTTCCTCTGTTAGTGCCATTAGTTTCAATCATTTGTGCTTCACAGCATGTTTAATCCCTCCCAAGGTGTCCTATTCTGCCTATATATTGCTCCTTATATTGCTGCCCGACCCTTATTATTAGCTAATGGCGCTGCCGCGCCTCTTTTTCAAATTTTATGTAAAAGCAACAGTCAGTTGAATATTTGTTAATAGCGGCCTCTCTGTCTTACATTCTGGCAGGTTACAGATCTTTATATCATGCTACACTAAATGCTTGTGATTTACTCCGCGGCTCTCTAAAAATTTCGCCAAGAGAAAGGAGAGACTGGTTGTCTTTCCATTATATAAATCCAAGTACAGTAGACGGGGAAATGGGCGTCACCAATTATATCTTCCTCACCTTGCCGTCCAGTACTATGGCATGGCCATAGTTCATAATGGATTTAATTACTACTATAAGCTATGAGATGGTATCTGAATTTGATTTATTTTCAGTCTGCGGTGCTTTCCTATTACATATGGAGAGCTTGAACGAATAAAGGGAGAGGTTCTAACCACGGCAAAGTGGATCATTTAGCTCTTCCAGATGCCACTTCCATCATCATCAACAATGTGAAATTCTTGAACCAGCCTAAAGTAATCTTATTAAAGAAGCTGAATTTTTTCTTTTCTTCCTTTTTTGCCATAACTAGGAAGTAGTACGAGAGGACACAAGGCATCTAACTTTACCTACTATATATAGCTACGCACAGTACCGTTTTTGTAAGAGCCAGTACTTTGGCCAACGAACGAGGAATTGGAGCCTCTCATTAACTCTCGGGCTCCCCTCTGACTGTCAGGCTTTGACAATTCTGTGTATGCCTGCTTGCACCAATACCGGTTGAAATAGCGTTCATTCTTTACAACGTCATGTGTTTCATCAGGCGATTGGATAGGCCGTAGCTTCAAGAATGAGATGGAATAGATCTACAAGTCGTCATGTCATAGTCTGCAAAATAAGGAGAGACAGCATGCAGAAAATGACCCTCGGAGATGATCTCGGAGAAGTCACAGCGTTATTAGTGTTCCAGTATAACAGTGTGCGTAATAGTGGCGCTGAGTGCAAATTCCTCCACTGTTTTTTCCTGACCCACGCTTGGCTGGCTGCCTCCCAAACCTTTTAGGGGCACGGCCATTCTTTAATAGCGCTGTAAACCCGAGTTCAGATCGGCTCAGATCGGTTCAGATCTCATCTCATCTACCCTACAAGCCGATAGACTACTCTGCACGCAATCGGGTATCAATCCGTGTTTGCGACTTAGCTTCACTATATTTCGCCCCCTCGGTTTCAATTTTCCAATTCTGCGGTATCCATTAGAAGCCATGGAGACGCCCCTTACCGCAAACGACATCGAGCTTGAGCGGCTACGCAGCTCCCTCGTCAGCACGTCGAGCATGTCCATGTGGACGAAACTGGTCCATCGAAAAACTCGACGAGCATACAACTATCACGCCACGCAAAACACGCACATCAACCGTCTCGTCCAGGTGGCAGAGGATCCAACGGCTTCGCGATTGCTAGACGACCGACCAGACTCATCGGCCTTTCACGTCAGGGCCGCCATTTACTTGTCGATATATGGCACCATTGTCGTTGCAGCGCTGCAGGTCTATGCAGCTGTGACAACTCTTTCGTTGTCGCTCTTCGTCACCATGGCAGAGAGCTGCTGTGAAGCCGCGAGCAACATCGGCCTGAACTACCTCCATAGAAAATCCAAAAAACTTAGCGGTTCGCCCCGATGGCCCGCAGGTGCAGCAAGGCTGGGCAACGCCGGCAACATCTGCTTCGCGTTTGCCCTGATGGCCGTCTCCTTGGTTCTCATCGTCGAGAGCATCCGTGACCTGGCCAAGAGCGAGCACGAGCTCGGAAAGTTCTCGGTGGCGGCCATCGTCGCTGCTGCGTGCGGATTCGGCATCAAACTCGGTTTGGCAATCTACTGCTTCATCTTCCGGAAACACAGCAGCCAGCTCGAGATGCTCTGGGAGGATAACCGCAACGACTGTTTTGAATACGGCTTCGCCATCTTCACATCCGCCGCCGGCGCAAAGTTGAATTGGTGGGTTGATCCAGTTGGTGCTATGCTCATCGCATGTGTCATCGTCGTCACCTGGATTGGTACTGTCCGTTCAGAGTTTCTGCAGCTCTGCGGAGTTGGCGCCTCGCCTAGCTTGGTACAGGAGATTGTCTTCCTCACTATTCGTCACTCTCCTTTAATCTTGCAAGTCGACACGGTTCATGCATATCACTGGGGCGAAGACTTTGTTGTTGAGGTGGATATTGTCATGGCACCTGAGCGGTCCCTTCGCGAGGTCCACGACATCTCGCAAGCATTACAAGACAAGCTCGAGACAGTCGAGGGCGTTGGCCGAGCTTTCGTTCACGTTGATTACGGTAAGATTCCATCATAACCCTTCTGCCATTTTCGTACAATCTATCTAACCAAGCCGCGCTGTGAAATCTAGAAACTGGGCATATGCCTGAGCACCGTAAAACTCGTTGACGGGCCCAGAAGTGGTCATTTCACCTTGCAGTAGATCACGGGCTCTAATTCTTATCTGGATATTTAAATTCCATGTATTTCCGCTTGTATAGTAGTCTTGGTATACATGTATTTTGTCCAAAAGAATGTCAGTAAGCTATAGAAGTTTCCTTACTATTGAGATTGTCACGGTCGTAGGCATTCAAAAATTATTGACGTTTCTACATTATTCAATAACCGGTAATCAAGCTATTGTCTGGCATATCAGATAGATTAACAACCCTTCTGGCACGTTTGACTTAACGAATAAACTTCTCCTCCCGCCCATTATGGCCCAGGCTATGCTCACTCAAACGTCACCCGAATCACCTGTATATGGTTGTTATTCGTAAAAGCAATCGTCAACGTCTTGCCCGTCTCATCCAAGAACGGGTACGCAACTCCCGCATACACAAACCCCCCATCGATCGGTTCTGCCGTAAAGACTTCTCGATCTTCGCTCCACGGCCCTTCCGGTTTCGCCGCCGTTCGCAATGCCACCTTTGGGCCATCTGGATAAGCAAAACAGTTAGTCCTGTCCCCTCATATCCTGGTGTAGCAACTTACTCAGATGAACATATATATAGCACTTGAACCATTCGCTATACACAACCTGCCCCTGCCCAACTCCCCACAGCACCGCCGTCTCCGGATTATGCTCACTCAGCATTTCGCTCTGCCATCCCTTGGCCCTTCCCCACCAGTATTCGTACTTGTCCAGGTCAAACGCCTCTGTCGCCTTGACCCGTGCTTGATATATGTATTCTGTCTCCGGCCACTCTGTCACCGTCTTGGGCGGATGGCCCCAGACGTAGATGTACTCGCTGTTCACGTCCCGATAGGTAGCAACGTCGCCATACTTGGCGGTCGTAGAGCAATCCCACCACCAGCCGTCATCTCCGAGTCTCTTGGTGACGGTGGGAGCGCCGTCTATGAGTTCGACGCGGGCAATTCCAGCATGGCGGTAGTTTTCATGGTCGTTCTAGCGGTTCGAGAGTGTCAGCGTACATCCAACTAATCTCATCCATCCACTCTTCAACTCACAATCAAATAATACACCGCCCCAACACCTTCTCCCTCGCCATCAACCTCAACAACACTCGTCCCCCCAAATCCCACCAAATTCGTCTCCCCCCACCGCTCCTCAAACGGCGTAAACTGCGTCGGATGCGCCACCGGCTCGTCACCGTTCAAATGCACATCCCGAACCACCAACGGATCCCCCGTCAGCGCCGCCACCGAGTTCCGCACCATGCCGTGGAACCCTTCCGGGTCCGGATCCCGCTCCGGATCCGTCACCCCCGGGCTGCACCACAGCGTGTCGCCGTACACGCCGAACCATTTGCCGCCGATGTGGCCCGCGAAGCCGAGGTCTCGACGGATGGCGGTGTTGCTGGACTTTTGCTCGCCGAGGTATTCGGTGGAGAAGCCCTGGATGGGGTTCTCGCCTGCTGGCTGGGTGTTGTCGATGCCTGACCAGGTTATGGTCTGAGCCTGGAGGCGTTTCTCGGATTGGGTGGCATTGTCGCTCTTCTTCCCAGTCAAGTTCTGAAGCAATTTCTTGAAGCCGCCCATGGTGATGAGACTTGTGAGTATAACTGCTGGGACAAGGGCGAAGCTGTAGGCCGCAAGATAGTAAACAAATGCAACAAGTGACTGCACTATCAAGTTTAGCAGATCGGAGCATCGATCGCCTACAGATGAAGCAAAGGTAGGTGGCTTTATAGGCAGCGTTATAAGAAGATTAAGCTCAGCTACAGCAATCCTTCCCCACACTGACGACGTCATCTGCCCTCCGATCTGATCCAGGAACCAAAATAATGCCTGGCATGTGATGTGAAGTGGAGGCTGGCGGCACGGCTTGAGGTCTCCGGTCGAATAGCGCTCCTTCGCGGAAGCTTCCGGACAGCTAGCGTCCCTGTGGCAGAAATAGGGGCTTTCACCTTAGCAATATTCAAAACATTCTATTTTTGGGGGTATCTATCAAAGACTGCTATGCTCCGCACATGTGATAATGATAATGGTAAGAATACGGGGGACCAAACCCGTCTCTTGAAACAACAGCTGAAAACATCGTCTCGGGTCATCCGGCAAAAGTGAACCGCTAGAAATAGTGTCCTTAGAGCCTAACAAACACCTTGCCGAAAATCTCCCTTGCCTTGACCAGGTTGATGAGACTCATCCGCTCATTGTCCAAGTGTGCCGAGTCACTGGCCCGCCCGCACGGCAGGTGTGCCGCCGGCGCTCCGAATTCCTTCTCGAGGAAGCGAATAGCTGGGATGGAGCCACCTTCACGAATGTATAGGGGCTTCTTTGGCTTGCATATGGTGGGTTCGGGTGACTCCTGGCGAGGTGCATTACCGTCTTCGCTTGGACTCGTCTTTTGAGTGACTCCTTGACGCGCCTCAAAGCGCTCAGGCCAAGCCTCCACGATGGCATCACACAGGGTGCGGAAAATGTAGTTTGTTGGATCACCCAGCCACGGCTCGGCTTTGTTATCGATGCGAATCTTCATCCGATTTTCTGACTCGAGGCCTGCAAACTCTCGTCGCAGGAAGCTTGTGAGTGCCGTTGCCACCACATCCACCTCTTGCCCAGGTACTAGTCTCATGCTGATGTGCGCATTAGCATGGCTGCTGACTAGACTGCCGTCTGGTCCCGACACGTTGTACCGATGAATCGTCAAATTTGGTTCCCGCCACCTCGCCAAGAGCGACCTCTTGATTGCTGCCTCGGAGACAGCTTCCGTGCTGCGGCGCAGTAGAATGGAGGCAATATCATCGTAGCGAGCCTCTTCCTCCTTTGTCACTGGCGGAATGCCGTCATAAAAGCCCGGAATCAAGACTCGATTGCCACGACCCTTTAGTCTTGACAGAACCGTTGTGAGGTCCGAAAGGGGTTCGTCATTGATATGCGAACCGTCAACTCCGGAGTGTGAATCAGGGCGCGATGAATCGACGCAGACTGTAGCGTGGAGGACGCCACGCAGCCCATAGGTCAGACATGGAACCTCGTCATCCAGCCAGTAACTATTGGCCAGCAGGATGTAGTCTACGGGGCCAATACGTTCCTTGTTCCTCTGGACTACTTGTTCGAATCCTCTGGACCCAAACTCCTCTTCTCCCTCAATCAAGAAGATGACGTCGTTTTCCAGCTTCTGCGCCTGCATCAAGTCCGTCACGGCGAAGAGTGCGGCGAGGATAGGGCCTTTGTTATCGCTGATGCCCCGTCCATAGAGAAATCCATTAGTTCCGTGGACGGTAAAGGGATCGGTCGCCCATTTGCACTTTTCGTTATCAGCCGACACCACATCGTAATGTCCATAAAAGAGAATTCGCTTCCGTTTGTCAGCGGCCTCCTTCTTTCCGGAAAACTTTGCTAATACGACGGGGTTGTGCGACTCTTCGGTGCTGAGCATTTCAACATATCCGCCCATACGCTTAAACAGTGCACCGAGATATGTGGCGCCTTTGCGACAGTCCTCTGCAAACTCGGGCCGGGATGAGATGGTCTTGTATGAAACAAATTCCGTCAGGGCGGAGAGAAGGACATCATCCTCAGCTTGACTCTTGGAGCCTAATTGGGCATCTGCTTCATCCTTGATGTTCCACACACAGATGTCGTTGTCGTTGGCTCCCGTGATGTAGTATCGCTCGTTCTTGTAAGTTGAACAAGCCGATGCCAATATCTTGCTTTTTTCTTTGCCATTGTGTGCTTTCCACTGACTGAGGCACTTGTACTTTTCGGTGACGTTTCTTGAGACATGCTGATAATTTCCATAATGCGCCGTGCTGAATTTCTATAGAGCATACTGTCAGTGATTACTTGAAGTGGGATGACAAAGAAATGGAGGACATGGAAAGGAACTCACATTGGCCCAGCCATCAGCAGACGTAGTCCAAAGGTATCCCCAGCCCATCTGGAGCGACATGATGTCGTGGTTCTGCGCCTTTATCACTCTCAGTCTCTGGGCAGTGTCCAAGTCCCAGAGCTCCACGATACCGTCAAGCTTTCCGGCATATAAAAACGAACCATCCCGTGCCAGAGACAGCACCGACTCGCCATCGTCAGTACCGAGCGACATGATCTCTCGGAGGCCACTGCGCTGGGGATCGCTCTCATCGCTTCTGCCGGGCTTACCAAGGCACCACAGTTTGATTGTACCATCTCCGCCACCCGAGATCAGCACCTCTTCCTCGGGACCAGCCTCAACTGTAGGGCCCTTTGCAATAAGCATGCAGTATACGTATCCGTAGTGGGCAAACTTGCGAACCGCACCACCGTCGATTTCTAGGACAGCTTTGGCTTGGGGAATCAATCCCCATTTGTCCTCGCTCCGTCTCGGGGTGCTTGTTCCGCCAATGGCTTTGGAGTCGAAAAATCGATGGCTTCTTCGATCGGGATGTCGCTGGGAGTCAGGAGTCGACTTTGTGGTCGGATCACTCAGGCTGACCCATTGGATCGTCATGTTCTGCGCACCAATGTATAGAGTGTCGTGCTGCGGGCTGTACGCCGTGGAGAAGATGTCACCAACATCGTGATTGCCATAGATTTCATAGAGGCGGCGGAGAGATCGAGGGCACCACACATTGATGATTGGATCGCAGGCACTCGAGAACAGATAGTTGCCGTCGGGAGAGAGAGAAAGCGACATGACACTCCGCTTATGCGCCTGGACTTGCTGGACCTGATGAAAGGTAGACAACGACCAGACGACGATCTCACCATCCTGCGTCCCAGCATAGATGGAGTCGTGTTCGGGACTGACGGCGAGAGCGAGCACGCTGCTGCTGTGCTTGAGGCTGTGGAGCAGCTCCGGCTGTGATTCCAAGCAGTCGGTGGCTTCGAGCGTCGGCAAAACTGCCATGGCGGCCGGATCGGCCATGAGTGAAGGCATCGTGGCTAGAGTTTAATGATTAGATATTCCTCGCGAGCAACTTTGCAGCTGAAGGTTTGACGCTGGGATCAAGTGGAATTTGAGGTTGGCGGGGCACGCGAGTGTCGGCAGCGAATCATAACATGAACTGTGATTGAACGACGGGCAAAGGAGGGAATTGAATTTGCAACGAGATCGAGTCACACGCGCTCTGATGTGAGATATTAGGAGAAGCGCGTGGATCGCAGAATGGCAGATGCTGGAGAGGGATAATGGAAAAAAAAGAGTTTGCCTCTATTGTTGCTGAGGTGAGGCCATGACTCTGACAATGACGTGCTTAGCGCGGTATCGGCGCCATCCAGCGGGCTTATAGAGGGAGGACGATTTTGGGAGTCAACTGAGCTCCCTGTAACCTGTAACTGTAGCACCCAGACCTTGTCAGGGGTAGCGCAGCCTGAAATGAATCCGTTCTCCTCCAGTCTAGATCACCGAGGTGCTCTCCTTCATAGCATGAATGGCGAGATCGTCGTGCTTCTTCTTCTTCGTGATCGAGGCCCTGGCTTGCGTCTTCACGTAGCAATGCTACCGAGTACTGTGCTGACACTACATCAAGCACAGTGCCTGATCCAAGTCGCACAGCCTGCTTCTTCATGTTGATTCAACACTGTGTATGCCGTGGGATGTGAAGTCTGGAATGTGTGCAAGTTTCAAACAACATAACTCACCAATGATTCTTCGCATCAAGCTAGCGGCACAATGCTTCATGAACCGATCCTTCATTGACATCTTGTCGCATTTGAGACATGCTGCAGCCTGCCGTGGTTTCGCCATCTGGTGAGATTCAACTTGTAAGAGCACAGCTCCTACGGAATATGTACCTTTTTCGTACAATGCACCGCAACGATGTGTTTGACCAAGCAAGCAACGGAACGGCAGGAAAAGAAAATATTTATGCCTCGATGAGAAAAAAAAAGAGGCTAAACGGCTCCACGAACGTCCGTCGCTGTCCGATACTCGCGGTTGATCTGAGCGCCTCCTAAGCACACTTATTTCTGCTTACCGTCGTGTTGGCTCTGCCTCTGTGAGCTGACGCGTGCAGCTGAAACTTTGATTTTCGGCATGCTCTATTAGCTTTGTTGACTACATGTAGTCGTGCAGACACGGGAACGACAAAACACTAGCAGAGAGCCAGGGGTCATTTTGAGAGTTGAAAGCTGAAAAATGACAAAGATTAAGTGCCTCCCCCTATCATACGCGAACAAATATCCGTCTTTATGGCTACGGAATGTCGTTGGCTCTGTACGCAGAGTGTGCTCTTACATTTGAGCTACTTACCTAAAGATAGCATATGAGCAAGGACCACCATCTAAATACAATGATGGAATGTGTGAGACACGCAGCTAATGCATACGCTCGCGATAGGATATTCCAGCCGATGCTCAGCCACCCTCACGGTTACTCCCTAGGCTCTGATTAGGCTTCAAGACGCCTATTATTGCAGCTCACAAAATAATACGGATAACAGATGCAGAAGCCAGACTCACTTTGGATTAAATGCCTCCATTTCTACTCCTGTTTCTCCTTCAAACGCAGCGCCACCACATCGTGCTGCTAACACAAAGGCCACAGAGCCTCTAACAGCCTTAGCAATGTCTTGTGTTGCAACATTGAGCGGTCAACTTGGCAAGAACAGTCGAGAAACCATGCCATGGAGGCAACTGCAAGGGAACTATGGGCGAGAATTGCTGAAGAAGTTGGTTGAGGTTGAGACTTCTTTGAGAGCAGAAAGGGGCCAAATATCTACACCATATAAGAGCACATCACAGCTTGAAATGGTCAAAGATCAAAATCGTTTCAACTGCCATTTCCATCATTCAGAGAGTTCACGCCGCCAAACAATATGTATATCCACCTCTTTCTCGCACAGCTTATATGCCTCGCGAGTGTCGTAGTCGCAAACAACTACTTTACCCTCACACTTCATGCGCCCAAGTACGCATTTCTCAACGGCAAAATTATCAACGCTCGGGATAAATCTTTTATTGTCGGCGCTCTGGCCCCCAGCACACGCTGCGGCCTCAGTGATCCTGCCCAGTGTCCGGCTGGCGATACTACCCTCATCAACAGCGACATGTCGTTTCTTGCTGTAGGTCCACTACATGCCACTCCCAGAGAAATCTTACCATTATCTATAATAATAGTAAACCATTATACTAATACATTCCGTGTTGCATTTATACAGTCTGCGGCTCCTGGAGGCCAGTTCATCTATGTCGCTCCAGATGGCTCCATCAGTTATCCCTCTGCTCACTCAACTTTGCGTCCTCCGGGTGCCCAAGTCGGCGGCTTTTACTCATACCCAGCCCCATTTGATAATGGAGAATCCGTAAATGTTCTCAACTGGCGGTCGAATGATGGTACGACTGGCTTATGGGCGTGCCCTGTTTCTCCCGGAGCGCCTGTTGCGTACCAAGCCGTGCTCAAGGCGGCAACGGCACGATTCAACGGCCTGGGGTGTCTCGCTGTTGATGGCATTAGTATTCAGCCAGCTGGTAGTTCTTTTGGGGCCTGGGAGTATACATAAAGAGCTTTACTTGCTGAGGATATGTTGGCATGCTCGACCACATCCAAAGTCTGTGCGTGTAAGCGTGAGCACGGGCTAGACGCCAATTGTGATGAGAATGAGGATACCATCTTAGTGTATTGCCCTGGTATGCGCAACTAGCATCAATAAATACATGTAGCCAATATTTTTTTTTGTTGGTGCTGCATCTTAGCGAGTTCCTCGTGCGCAGTACATGTAGTCGTGTAGAATGTGTGTAGAATGATTCCCCCCTTTTTTGCCGTACGTTGTTATCACGGCTTTGGCCATAGCCAGACATACGCGGACTCATTTCTAGTTCAACTTCTAAGTAAATTGGAAACCTTCGTATGTGCATTACATGTGCGGTAGACTTCGAAAGAACATTTGCGCGAAGATCGCAATCAACTGATTGCTGTTTAGGGGGTCAAAGCCACATACATGTACCTAGGTACATACACGTATATAAATGCCACATGACACCTCCAAGACCTTCCGTGTTCCCTGAAACTAGGATCTCATTGGGGAATTCAACGCATGCGGCTTGGGTAACCCGGAACCCTGCTTATCTATCACATACTGATGGTGCTGTGGTTGATGCGCTTATAATAAAGCAACGTGGGATGAACATGGCCTTGGCCTTCTCTTGGCGACGACTTCAATGCGTACACCCTTAACAGGGTTTAAAGCCAACCTGTCGACATTCCGCTCTTCATTCCGCATGCGACAATGTTATATAAAGTCAGATACCAAAGTTCAAAGAACCTATCCAAAATTACAAATAAATCATCCAGATACGCCCTCTCAAACGGAGAGCACTAGAGCTTCGCTGCAAAATGGGTTCACGCATCCCAATAACGAAGCTTCATGAGCATCCAAAGGACTCGAGTAGCGATACCTCAACAGTCGTACAAGACTGGGACAAACTCGTCAAGCCGCAGCCTAACCAGGTGGATGCCAAATTAAAAGCGCTGATATACCGCCTGTTTGATGAGCTTGACTCTGGTAGCTGGAATTCTAGGATCAACGAAACAGGTGGCTCCTGTCAGCCCAGCAACGCAGCAGTTCGAGCCTACGTAAGCCAGCTGAGAAATGGCGTCTCAACAATCCTTGGACAAGGCCCGATCCCACGAAATCAGAGTTGGTCAGATGCCGTAGCATATGCCCGTGCTGTGATACAGGAACCCCAAGACACGGTGCAGCGCTCAAAGGCGACTTGGGCCAGGTCATGCTCTACAATTCACCACGAACTAAAAAAGCGATTTGGGCAAGGAGTGAAGTCAATGGCTGTTGAAGGGTGTGCTCAACTGGTGGTTGATCATTATCTCGGAAAAAGGCTCAGTGTGTCGCACGTGGATAAAGAGGAGAGCTTTCGCCAGCACTTCCTCACGCTGAAGCCAAGTCTCGCATACTATCCTAATAGCAGCCCTCTAGCAGTTGGAGCCTACGAAAGCGCTTTTCTGTCGTGTTCTTTGGTAGCATCTGCTTGGCTCTCTACTGAGGAGGCATTAAAGTACGCAGCTATATGCAACTTGTCGGTATGTGACGACTATTGGAACTTCACTGGCACAGAAACTGAAGTGCGGCTCCGGCTTGTTGCCCAGTCGATAGGAGCTGCCTTTGACTTTGGTGACAAGGCAGCCAATGTGCTTATTGATGGGACTGCATTACAAGCCGTCGGATCGAGCGAAGAGGTATCTCTGCAGTCTGCCATGGCGTGGAGGGCAGTGTGTGGCGGAGCTACGGCCTATAATGGACATACACTTGCGAATGATACTCTTGAAGAGGGCCTTATTGCCCCCCAAGTCATATTGGCAATCCACGATTTGTTTGATTGGAGAACTGATATTGCAGCTGGAAATTCAGAAAACGGTTTCTCGGCCGCTTATGGTCTTAGAATCGCTGACCCGTTTCACGCGTACCTTGAGGCTGCGCTGCTCCTCGCGGGCTCGCACGCGAGATCTGGTGCCTACGCGATCGCATCCATCGCAATAGCAGCCTTTACTGCTTGTCGATATTCGTCTTATAAATACCTTACAGTGGAAGTGGAGTTTCCAAATCCATGTTCTAGATGCACTGAGCTTCTCCAGGAGCTGACAATCGAGGCAGGTTTTTCCGGGGCTCCGAAATCGCCACCAAAGACTTTTGAAGAGGGGGAACAAGTTCGCCTGCTTTGCCAGCTCTGGGCTGACCGATATGAAGATAGCGGTCTGATTCAACTAGGACTTAGTTGGTTTCAAAGCCTCGTGGATACCGGCACAATACGAATATTTGATGCACTTGTCAAGATTCCTGGGATTGATAAGAATGCCGGGTGGGTTTAAGGCGAATGCCTACACAAGATGTGGTTTATTTCTAGTGTGATACTACTCATCGCAGTACTCTTCTAACGATTTCCAAATCACTGCTTGTGTCCAACACCACTAGTCTTCATCCACCTTTACAGCTCCGAAATCCAGATAACGCCACTCAGAGAGCCACTCTATTTTTAATAACCGTCCAAGACAGCTGGTGTCCATCCATCTTCACTCCTCCTCGTCCACTGAGTCGATATCAAGATTCCGATATCTATACTTGAAAAAGATTTGTCGAATGCTTGCAAGGGTTCTGTCGGGAAATTCGGCCTACACTCGAGACTCGTTAGATGACCGACATCAAGGGGCCTCACGAAAAGGTAGGGCTGTCTTACCGAGATCGAATCCCAGCTCGCTCCATCCATCCTCATACTGATGACACGGCTAATTTCATCAGTCATCCACTTCTTCCTTGGAGCTCTTGGAAGGCCCTTAGATTTCACCAGTGCATGCGCATTTTCTTCTTTCTGCTGGGGGTCAGGCTTCTTCACGTTGATTTCACCATCCTGGGCCTTGGGGCTAGCAACCTCGTCCTCGATTGTCCACTTCTCTTTGTCCTCAACGGCATGATGATCTTTGGTTTCGAGGTTGTTATCTGATGATCCGCAAGCCGTTTTGCCTGAGTCGTCGCTGCTCGTTGTTTGGGATTTTATCGGGGGTCTGGAGGAAGGCAATGGGGTCCTTCCAGCAGCCAAAGCCCTTTCCCGCCAGGTGAGTTCGGGCAAATTGTTGGATTCTTCCTGGGGCTCTGAGTTGTTGGATTCGACACTTGGGTTGCTGGCTCCATTTTGGCTTGTCGGAACTTTGAAAACACCCTCAAAAGGTAGCTTCTCTTTGCCAGGGACCGGATCGTCCATGGTGATCTCGGCAGCGGGAGTGCTGTATCGGTGTTGATGCAGGGAACGGCTGGGAAGATTTTCTTGGTGAGCTATTGATGAAGCAGGAAGGGGAGAAGAAAGTTGAGAGGGAAAGAAACATAGTTATTGTGAAAGATTGCAAACGCGGAAAATATTTATGAACAGCTGGTGAATCACTTAGGGGGGCCGTTTACAGTTGACATTTTCCTCAAGGACTAAGTCCAAGTGTCCAGTCAATAAACTGCAGCGGCGTTTCTTTTGTGTAGAGAACAGTGGGGAAAAAAGACGAGAGAAAACATTGAAGTTTGATCCTTTATATGGAAATATGGAAGGTATGCTGCATTAGAAATAATCTGATTGTGCGGCGCTTGCCTGTAATATGCTTTGCGTTTCTCAAGGTATGGACGTATTCGATGTGTGTATGATACCGTCTGATCTGGGGGCTGGATATAACATTTTGCCAAATTAACTGCCGCTCGAATCGAACTTGGGTCTTGCTTCGAGTAGCAAAAGTTATTCTGCGGCATCAAAAGAAGGCTCAAATAGTGGATTATGGTGAAGCTGCCATTTGTCTTGAGAGTGTTCAAGGGGGTGTGGAGACGAGCAACAGAAATATGAACGGCTAAAGCATAAACAATGCCTAAACAATACATAATCATGTAATGCGCCCTCCTAAGATACAAAAAATCAATTTATATCTCCTCTAGAGCCACGTATGATATGTTGAAATTGTCGTCACGGCACTGTGGAAGAGCTTCGATGAGGCACTTGCGTGATGCCATCATCACCCCGCCTCTCAAAAGAGTTCCAATTATAAAAGGGAATAGTGCACAGCCGCGCCCTTTACTTTTCAATCATCTCTGGCTTCGTACCTATTCTTCCTCTTTCTCGCAGACAAGTAAAAGCTCAACTATTGTTCATCGTCAGGATATTCGAGCGATGAGCGCGGCTGTGGTTATGGCGCCTGACCGTCCAGCGCCAGACGTGGCTTCTCGGCCCAGCATTTTTCTCGCGGGAAACGCCAGTCCTACGGGTGAAGCCGACTGGAGACAAACGCTCACAGAGGCATTATCTTCGCTTCCCATCACAATATATAATCCTTACCGCAATGACTGGGACGCAACCTGGAGAGAAGACGGTTCCGATAAACGTTGGTCGGAACAAGTGGGCTGGGAGCTCGAGATGCTGGACAAGGCAGACCTTGTTGTCGTCTTCTTTCATGGAGGCAGCCTAGCACCCATCAGCATGTTGGAGCTGGGTATGTGCATTCGATCCAGAAAAGTCATAGTGTGTGCCATGCCGGATTACCCCAAGAGAGGCAATGTGGAGGCTGTTTGTCGGCGACATGAGGTCAAGTTTGTGAGCTCTGAGCAAGATTTGAAGGACGCTGTGAAGGAGAGGCTGGATTGGATGATTGCGATGTGCCCTGGTTGAACTATATTTATCGGATAAAATGCAAGGAGATGAGCAAGGAATGCTACTTCATGGTTCATCCTGTTTGGTTACCCCTGAATTCCATCCGAGTGCATGCAGACAGGAATTACCTAGGTTGCTGTTGATGCATACTCGTATACGATACCCTATACGCGTAACAAGCTCGATACGTAGAGTCTGAGTTGGCGACTTACATATGCAAAAGTTTTACAGCGCAACAATACCTGCCGCACACTGTGTTTACTACTAGGTATCCAATTATTAGACTATTGGGTCGTTGGAGAGTATCGAAAAGCCGTGATGATCTGCTTGGAAGAGGAGCCTTGAACGTTAAGTGCACATCATATACTTTGCGACACAAGCCTTGAACTTTACCCTCGCTTATACACAATGGCAAAATCATCCACGGGTACTATATCTGCCAAACTACCTACTATAGGTACTAATCTATGTAAAACACATGGCAACTTTACGCTGTTAATGAAAGAAGAATATTCAATTACTTTTCCATGAACCTGTTAATGCGCCCACCATAGACAAGCCACAGCGCCGCAAATCTTGTTTGCGCCACATGGTTCCTCGTTTTAGCAGCAAAAGATGCAGATGCGCCGGGAGCTGAGCCCCACACCCCACACTGTGGCGGGGCATTGCTTAAAGCGCTTTCTGTCGCATTCTTCCGTCTTCATGTACTTGTTGTTTAAAACTGAGCTTGTCCCTGCTGTCGCATCCTCATCCTCAGCCGCTACCTGAACCTGTGCATATTCCCATCATCATCTCTTATCCCTTGCTTTTTGCTTCAGTTTCGCTAATTACCACGTCCGATTATCATCGCTATGGAGGACCAGTTCGGTGGCCGCACAGACGACGATCTGTTCTACGACGATTTCGAGCCCGTCGAGTCTGAGGCTGTTTTGATACAGGAGGAGCAGTATTATCAGCATGAGCATGAGCCCACACCTTTGCCATCGTCAATATCTGCTCCAGTCCCTGCTCCAGCTCCAGCTGCTTCAGCTCCAGCTCCTGTCCCTGCGCAACAAGCTGCTCCCCAACCAGTGCCAGCACCCCGGCAGACCCAAACTCCCCCATCCTCAAAGACCTCACCCGCTCCCGCTGCTGCCAAAAGCAAGCGGCCGCTCCAACCCGGCAAAGGCCTTTCGTCCTCCCGCTTCGCTGACAAGCCAGCTCCGAAACCGTCGCCAGCGCCCGCAAAGGCTTCTACACAGGCCCCGAAGCCTGCTCCCGCACCGGCTGCCACAGAAGCACCACCTGTCCAAGCTCCCGAGGAAGCGCCCGCGCAGTCCCCCCCTCCTCCCAATGCAGCTGCTACCACCAAAGAGAAGCCTCAACGCTCATCGCCATCGCAAAACACCGCCGTGAGCGCCGAGGTTCGTGCCAAGTCTGGCTCTAACCCGCGCCAAAAGCTCACCGAAGACGAGCTGGCTGCAAAGATGGAGAAGATGAAGCTTCTGTCGGCAGAAAAGGCACGCAAGTTCGAAATGGCAGAGCAAGATGAGAAGCAGCATGCTGCAGCATACGCGCGAGGAATGGAGGAGGCTCGCAAGAGAAGAGCCGAAGATGCTGAGAGGAGGAAACGTGGTGAAGAGGAGAGACGCAAGCTGGAGGATGAGCGAGCGAAAAACAGAGAGAGGAAGCTCAAGGCCATGAACATCAAGGACGGTAGCTGGGATGAAGGCAAGGAGGCCTTGGCCGAAGAGGAAGCTAGGCGCGGCTTCCGGGGCGCAAACGGCGGCATCAGAGGGGCCAAGACTCGCGGCCTAGGTGGGAGTCGATATGCTAGAGATGATGAGGCCCCCGACGTCGATCGTTTCTTGGATGATCGCCACCGCGGTGGTCGGGGACGAGGTGATCGTGGCAGAGGCGCCAACGGCAACGGCAGAGGTCGAGGCCGAGGCCGAGGTTCATATGATGGGCCAGTTGGCGACTCTCGCCCAGTGAAGCAGCAACAGGTTCCTGCTGCAGACGACTTTCCTTCTCTTCCTTCCGACAACGCCAAAGCCAAGGCAGAACCGGGGCAGAATAACAATGCGTCATCAAAGCCCACCATGGCACAGGCGGCGGCCGCCCCTCCCCCGCCTTTGCCCATCGTCCTGGGTGGCGGCAAATGGGATGATGAGATGGAGGAACTCGACGCTTTGAATCAAGCCAAGTCATAGGTTGAATGCTGAACACCAAAGAGAACGTGGGAACTTTGCGGGCAGGAAAAGGCGGCTGTTTTGGTTTTAGTAGCTGCTTGTCAACGCTTGTCGTGGGAATTGTCAGAAGCCTTGTTGGGCCTCGCCTTATGATATTGAAATTGAGTTGGATACACGATGATATGACAGCTATGGAGGAAAAGGAAGGGCAGAAAAAAAGACGTGTGTACCAGGACAAGGAACACTACGAGGTCCTTTGGGCATTATTAGTATCAGTCTTATTAGTTAGTAGTTACTGCTACTCGAAGCGTAATATATTTAGAGAGAATCATGTCCGAAACGCTCCTTGATCGCGAGTGTGATGAGCGCAGAATTTGAAAGGGTATATCACTCCGTATTCCGAATCCTATATACGTCTCTTTTTCTCGCCCAATAAAGTAAAAACCCCTAAACACAATTATACCCCGATTATCTTCCGTGGAGTTCCAATAACGTTCCCAGACGCCGAGCTGCAATGCAAAGATATTAAGACGCCGCGGTAGCTGATAGATATCACCACCCGCCGCGATAACCTCTTCCTCTCCCACTCCGGTACCCTCCAGGTCCCCTCGGCCCCCTAGGTCCTCCTCCCGGCCCGTCATCATCCATAGCGGGCCGTGACCTGCCCTTCATCTCCTTGGGAAACGCGTCGTACGTCTTGCGCATCTGCGCATACCCTAGATGCATCTTGCCGTAAAAGTGGTCGGCCAACCGTCGGTCGTTGTCGAGCCTGCTCAGGTAGGCGCCGCAGACGTCGCAGACCTGCAGCTTCTGGTGACCCGACGGGCCAGAGGTGTCGGACAGGGCCTTGAGTTCCTTTTCGCGCTCGGCTTTTTGCTGGCCGGCCTGGCGCACGCGGAAGAGCTCGTCCTGCGCGCGGGAGACTTCGCCTAGGGAGCCGAGGATTTCGACTTCGAGGAGGCCGCTGTTAATGGACGCTGAGAGTTCGGAGATGGTTTTGAGCTGGTTGCAGAAATGGTCAGCCACAGTTCTTTTTCATTGGGAGATTCCAATTGGGTAACAAGATGTCTCACCAAAGCATTGGTCTGCCGGATCTCGTCCGGAGTCTTCTCCAGACGCCTTTGCGCCGCATCGATCCGGCGATTGCACTCGTCAATGTACTTTTGCAGGTCGCGCATGTAGTCGTACTCGAAGCCGTACTTGTGTTTTTCCCTCTCCGAAAGCCCCTCGTACTCCGTCTTGAGGCCCTCGGCGTGTACCTTGGGGCACTGGCCAATATCCTGCTTGGTGTTTGTGAAGAGGTCGTGCGGACACGTGCCAACGATGTAGGATCGGCAGACTTTGGGGTCGTTGAGCGAGAGCTGGGCAGCGCGCGACGACGATGACGCGCCCATGAGCTGCTCGAGCAGCTTTCTCTGTTCGGCTGCCATGGTGTGGCGTGCTTGGGGGGTTCTGGGCTGCTGGTTGCAGAAGGTTGGTTGGTGAGGCTCGGGCTGATGAGCGTTTGTATGGTGTATTTTTTGGATTCGAGATGACGGATTGAACTGTGGCTGGTGTTTTCATTAGCCGCTAGCTTAGTAGTGGCTGGGGCCCGTCGCTCCCAGCACGTTGCAGCCTGTGGAGACGCTGAAACTGGTGCTGGCCAGTGGAGGGAATCGGGAATTTCAGCTGGCCTCACCCACTATCTGTGGCGCATCTGCTTGGCAGTGTGGCTGCTTCTGTCCTGTCCCGAAACGGTACGTACCGAATCGCAAGGGCCCAGCTCCAATCTGGCAATATCAAGTCCAGTCCATCCATTGTCAAGAGATGTGAATCTCGCCCGAATCGCGCCAGCGACTCGAGTATCCCCTCCTTTTCTCCTCACTCTCTTTTCTCTTTCCTCCTTTCACGATGCGCAGCCTTTTGTCCTTCTTGTTACTAGCCGTCCCCAGCGCCCTGGTATCCGCGACCGAGTACCACGAACAGCTGAATCTACGGCCGCTGCCTCTGTCGGCGCTCCTCGCGAGCTTCAACTTTCGAGCCAACACGTCCATTGCCGACTTTGAGGCGCAAAACTTTCGACTTTTCCCACGATCGCTGGGCCAGATCTTGCAATATGCGGGCACACGAGAGCTTCACCTGAGATTCACGCTGGGGCGATGGGATGCAGAGAGCTGGGGAACCCGGCCTTGGGACGGAACCAAAGAGGGCGGCACTGGAGTGGAATTGTGGGCGTGGCTGGATGCTGAGACGGATCAAGAGGCGGATGAGAAGTGGTTGACGCTGACCAATGCGCTGTCTGGATTGTTCTGCGCCAGTCTCAACTTCATTGACGGCACCAGGACCATTCGACCGGTTGTGTCGTTCCAGCCCGAGGGCGACCATCCCAACACGACGCTGGATAATACAAGGCTGCTGCATGGAGTGCTTCCCCACGAGGTGGTTTGCACCGAGAATCTTACGCCGTTTCTGAAGATGCTGCCGTGCAAGGGCAAGGCCGGAATTGCGAGCCTGCTGGATGGACACAAGCTGTTCGATGCGTCCTTTCAGAGCATGGCCATTGATGTGCGACCAATTTGCCCCTCCGAGGGAGAGTGCGTTCTCCAGCTTGAACAGACAGTCGACATGGTCCTGGACGTTGATCGATCCAAGCGACCTCATGGTATGAATTCTACCGTTATAACTACTTATGCTCTGAGGCTAACTAACACAATCCAGATAATCCCATCCCAAGACCTCCCCCCAGCCATGATTTGATTTGCGATACCACGAAGCCGTACCATAAACCGGATGATTCCTGCTTCCCCGTGGACCATCTTCGCGGCCAAGACTGGACACTATCCCAAATCTTTGGGCGAACAATGAAAGGCACCTGTCCCCTGACCGATCCCGAAGTTCCCCCAGTCTGTGTTCATATCCCATCAACTCGCGACATCTTCTCCGCGCAAGGTGCCCATGAAATCAAGTACCCTAACAACGATTCTCTGCGATGCTACCACATCGAGCAAGATAAGGAGTTCACTCTCATCTTGACTAAACCCGAGGCTCCTGTTGACGGCGAAGTTGCCCCTCTGGGCATTGTCAAGCCAGAAACACCTGTGCTGTACGCCGAGCGAAGCTTCACTGGCCATGGACAGGAACACGGCGGCATGCAGGCCATTCTCACGAACCCGGGTGACGACACGGTCGAGTTCGTCTACATGGAGTCTCTTCCCTGGTTCATGCGCGTCTATCTGCACACACTTTCTGCCCGCATCTCCGCCTCATCGCCTAATACCAACACATCTGCCGAAATCGTCAAGCAGATCTACTACCGCCCGGCCCTCGATCGCGCCCGTGGCACACAGCTCGAGCTCCTCGTCAGCATTCCCCCTCATTGCACCGTCTTTCTTACCTACGACTTTGAAAAGTCTATCCTACGATATACCGAGTATCCCCCAGACGCAAACCGTGGCTTCGACGTCGCCGCCGCCGTCATCACCACTTTGGAGCCCAAGGCCATGAACATTCGCACCACGAGCCTGCTTCTCTATCTCCCCACTCCTGATTTCAGCATGCCGTACAACGTCATCATCTTCACATCGACAACCATTGCGCTCGCTTTCGGTGGCCTGTACAATATCCTTGTCAGGCGCATGGTCGGCGCAAATGAGGCCCCCCCAGCAGCCATTAAGGATAAAGTACTAGGCTTCATTGAGAAGCTGAAGAAGAAGAAGAGGACGGTAGCAGCAGTGGCAGCTGGAGGAAGTGCAAAGCCTGCCACAGGGAAAACTGAGGCGAAATGATTTTCTTTTTTTTACTTGTCGTTAGAAGCTGCATACATAATAAAGAACATTTAGACTGGATCTTGGGAAATTTTGACATCACAGGATAACGGCGCAGAGAAGATTTTTTTTTTTTTCGCTTCATTTTACTTATTTGAATGGTAACAGGTTACCTATCTGCTTACTTGTTTCAAGGGACCAACCGCCAGTTTCCCTGCTTGAGCAGAACTTGACTCCTCACATCCATGCTTCAAAAACACCCCTCATCCAAAAGTTGGTTCTGACGAGAAAAATATTTAGCAGACACCAGCGGGGATGGTGAAGCTCTCAACTCGGGCAGTAGGAGAGTATCTGGCTCCGGAACCAAGACCACGCTTAGCAAAGGCAGTCCACAGCTCGCACAGGTTCTCGCCACCAGTCAGGGAGCGGTCGGCATCAAGGATGGCGTCACGGGCAGAGACAAAGGTGGGCGTGCAGGGCTGGAGGGCGAGACCGTTGAGGACGAGCTTGAGGGTAAGGTATTTGCCGTCGGTGGGAACGCCCTGGCTGTCAAAGGTCGGGAGGTCTGCATCATTCTTGCCATACTTGTCGATGAGGTTCCAGAGGACCTCGTAGAGGATCGTGGCCCAGGTGGTGCCGGAGGAGTGAACCTCGGTTTGTGTGTTGACCGACTTGTATGTGAGCGGGTTGGTGGTCAGGCTGGTGGAGTAGGGGTACTGTCGGATACCCTTGACATTGTTGTCGGCCCAGGCTCCCATGGGGTAGTCCTTGGCACGGGTGTCGCCGGGCTTGAGGCGGATGGCAGTGGCGAAGAGGTCACTCCAGCCTTCGCCCATGCCGCCAGCCTCGACGCCGCCTAAGCAGCCGGAGTTGGCAGGGCCACCGGTGAGACGGGTAGACACTGGTGATATCCAAGTTAGTAATGGCATAGGAGACAAACACGCAGGACGGAGAGGGTGACGACGGAGAGGGGGAGAGAGGAGGAGATGAGAGGAGGAGACAAGGAGGGGAAACTGCTATCAAAGACTTACATCCGTGGGTGTATTCGTGGATGACGATACCCGCCTCGAGAGAGCCGTCACGTCGGGGCGTGGACACGGTCCAGATGTACATCCTCATGCGGCCGTTGCTGCCGTCGGCGGGAGTGGCAAAGTTGGCGTTGTTGGTGCCAGAGCCGTCCTGGGCGTTCAGAATGACAAAGTCATTGCCCAGACCACCCTTGCCGTTGTTGTTGGCCTGGAAGTTACCTGCAGCCTCTGTGAAGCCGAGGGCATACAACAAGTCGTGGTACTTGTTGGCAGTGTAGAAGAGCTGGGCGATGGAGGCATCACGGTAGTCCGTGGGGTTGGTCTGGGTCAGTGAGAAGGGGTACTCAAAGGCGCGGGTTGCGCTGGTTGGGCGGTAGTTGTTGAGGTAGTCGTTGCCTCCAGTGGGGTTGACCTGGGCAATGGCGTTGTTGCCACGCGTGGTGGTGTAGTTTGTGGTTCCGTCACCGAGCCAGGTGAAGGGAGAGGCAGCGATGCTCCATGGGTCAGTGAGGGTCTTGCGGTCGCCCTCTGTGGGGTCGTTGAGGCCCCAGGGGAACACCTCAAAGGTGGCAAAGTCGGAAACATAGTCGACGACGCCGTGAACCTCCTTGTTGGTGGTAGCATCGATGTAGGTGAGCAGCCAGTTGTCGACGACATCAGTCTCAACTCGCCAGGTCAGAGACAGAGTTCCGTCATCCTTGACAAGGTAGACCAGGCGGGCCTCGGGGTCGCTGACAGCACCAGAAGTGCCCTTGAGAGTGTACTTCTCAGTTCCCTCCTTGGCCTCGGCGGTGGCGCCATCAGCCTGGACGGGGAGACCCAGGATGTCGACGGCACCCTTGAGCGCATCTGTGGGGTCGGAGAAAGCACGCTTCTTCAGGGGGCTCTCTGTGGGCAGCTTGCCAGAGAAGAAGCTGTTGCCGTGGGAGAAGACTCTGCCATTTCGGCCAATCTGAAACAAAGCATGATATGTAAGCGTTTGTTCAACTGAGTTAAGGAAGGGGTTTCTTCTTCATCACACTTACGTTGACCTTGAAATCAGCGTTGTCAATGTCAATACCGTGAACAGTCTGCTTGAAGTGGACGTGGCCAATGCCATCAACGTCAATATAGTGGTCGTTAACCACACGGAATTCCGCATGGGGAGCAGCTCGCTTGACAGCTCGGGTGGCAGTGGCAACGTAGTCGCGCTTGAAACCCTCAGCCTGTATAGACACTTCCTCTTCGACGTGTGTCGAGGGAGTGTAGTCAGACAAGCTAGGCAGGGAATACTTGCTGATATCAATGCCACGCTTGGTCAAGGTAGAACCAGTCTCGTGCTGCTTAGCGGGATGAGCGTGCACGTTGGCAGCGAGGCCAGTGAGGCCAAGGAGGATAGCAGACTTCATAGTAACAGTAGAGAGACAATCAGAGGGTTAAACAAGCTTGAGAGGCACCAGAGCTGACCGAATGATCGATCTTGTGAAGCAACCTGCTGGCTCATCTATTGGAATATGAGAAATCATGGGAGCCTTTTATGCCCATGACTTTCGAGTTCAACATTTTGATATCTCGCAAGATATTTCCTTCCAACTTCCCTTTCAGACTATAATCCCCGGATGTTACGCTCGAAGTTGAGTGTGATCACTTGCTTCAGCCAAAGTCGAACAGCGTCGTGAGCCTTGGTGGGTAATTCACGCAAAGACGACAAGGAAATAGGAAGGTGTTGTGTCTCCATATAGCTCAATACCAAGAGTGTTGTTGAGAACTTTTGCAATTACTGGATTCCACATCGCCAAGCCCCTTAGGGTGAACAAAAGTCCATGTCAGTGGCACGCAACGGCTTGGCTCGGCTGGTTCGGGAACAAATAAAGAGCGGCAGAGAAGGTAAAATATTACCCAAGAGATTGCCGAATGAGAGATATCGAAGCCTGTGGTCTTATCGACGATCCTATACAAACTGAGAGCCCCAGGCAGTGACCAAGTTGCGGGCGATGTAACTATATCCCACGCAACAAACTTGGGCAGCAGAAATTCGTCAGCTGCCTACAACAGTCATCACATCTATTGGTCACTCTATAGGCCCTCAGTTGAGCATAAGAAACTTCTTCAGCGGCTTAGTTTGCGGCATGTATAATACCAACTTCTTTCTCGGGCCTAGGCGATCCGCGACCCCTCAGGCGTCGGGCATATTCTGTCGAATTGCCTTTGGGCAGCGGGGGCCAGATTAGAATTTGATGGTAACTATAAGTGTTAAGCTTAACAAGGCGGCCGCATGATTTTTCGTTGCCGGAGCCGGGATCTCTATGGTTCGCTTAGACAACGCGCATTATCAGAGGGCCAAGAACGCGACGCTACGGCTCGCGGGAGTGTGTATGACCTGCCAGATCGGGGCGGGATTCCGGGGTTGCGTTCCGATCGGCTGTGATGATGCCATTCCCCGACTTTATGGTATTGGATGAAAAGCCCTATTTCGAATGCCGGGGTTTAGGTTTTCTTCCGAAGCAGCTTAAATAGTGCTCTGAACCGGCAAAGAAAGTGGTGGGGAGAGAATATAGTATTCAGGAACACGTTGTCTGAGATGTTACTAGTATCAGGCACATGGGGTTTGCACAACGTCTTATCTCGTTCTAATATGAATCTATATCATAAATGGTAGTCCAAACACGATGCCAATGCATGCAAAGATAGATAGATAGCAGTTGCACGCATTTGCATGTCAGGGGGCAAGATATCCAATAACGAAACTGCGGCCATATGAGTTAAGCCGATTAGGTGTATTTTCAATGAAACGGTTTCATTTTCCATATCAATAATAGATCTTAAGGTTGGCTCGACCATTACTTCTAGATTCCCATTCTGCACTTGGTAAAGGATGCATGTAACCCTTTTAGCATCGCATTCTCTTTCCACAATGGCGCCTAACGACGGCTTTTCCTGCCAGGGACATATGGATCGGCGCGGATATCTGAGGGATGACTTGTTGATTAGACGGGATTGCTCCACAATATCCGAAGGATATACTGCAATAATACGAGAGTTGTGATGAGGCTCTCATTGAGGGGTGGATGGTGCCTTGAGGTAGGATGCCCACTTGGGAACCAACATTCGGCCGATTGGCTAGAAGGGAAAGATTCCGATTGATACGAGGAACTAAAATAGATCAAATGTGAGTTAATTTGTAGATGATTTACAAGCCGGGGGAGTGAGCCATCCATCACTACATCTAGCTTGTTGTAGGGTAGCAGAAGGATGAAATGCCATACGAGATTGAGGCATTATGATTCGTCGTCTCCTTCAACGGCATTTCTCTCTTTATTTCCTTTTGTGGTTCAATTTGGTCATCATCTGATGAAATGTTATTACATCACCTGTGCATTTATTAGAGGCTGTTGCTCTACTCACTACCCTGCAATGCCTCACAAGATTGTACTCAACAAAATGCAGCCTCTGAATGATTCAGTTTGTCTCTTGTAACATGGCGAAATCGTGTTGGGGTTAGCTTAACTTTATGATTCGAAAGTAATTCACCAAAAAGAGCCCAGATTTTGTCAAATGTAAATTCAGCCATATATAGACAGGTGCCAGGCTGTTGACATGCTGTAAATTACAATGTAGACAAGGCAGAGAAACAACGAGGTTGTCCATGTGCTACCCATGTCCAAGCAGACGCTTTCGAGTCAGGCCAACGTCACATGTGGATTCCCTTCCGTCAACCATTTATAAACTAATGTGGAACTTGCTTAACTGTTGGTCCTCCCCCAGCCGTATGTAGTAGTCTGTCAAGATCTCGAGTTGTATGTTGAAAGTACGTTATTGTTACGAGCCAACGCCTTTGTAGTCGCAACAAGGGGCCTACAGGTTAGACACTCTAGAACTACGAAAGACCGACAGTCCAACTAGCAGTAAGGCTTGCGCAGAGTCGAACCTGAGTGAGTGAGCCAGTTGTGATATTACTCTCAGATTGAATCTAGTGATACTCTCTACTTAGTTGCGTGACTATTACTCCGTACATTGCCCCGATTATCCCTATACTAAACATATAGGAGCCCGGCTTGTCACAATGCAAAACGCGGACGGGGTTATTACTTTGTAAAAATGAGGTTGTTTGGGCCATTTATTGCTAAATTAAGCTCAGGAACTTTGCCCGATCTTTAATAAATGTTTTCAGATTCAGGGCAGTTTTATGGCTAGGCATGTGTAAGCTTGGTTACATCACGTTGCATTACAGGATGCATTATGACAAGGCTGGAATTAGCCGTTCCATCGGAAAGCCACATCATTCTTTACTTTACTTCTTCCGGGAGTTCACAAAACGGCTCAATTTGAGCCCACAATTCACGATCTAAACGAGCCTTGAGCCACAGTGCATGTTCTGGATGCTCTCTTAGGAATTCAATATCCCTTGCGAACATGGGTATACCAAGGTTGAGCTTGGACTTGATAACTTCGCGTTGGACTTTTGGTTCAAAGTTCCCATCTGGTCCTCTGGGCAACCGATGAACCGTCCTTCCTTCCCATGTGAATGGCCATTTCTTAAGCTCTTCTTGTATCCAGAGAGGTAAAGTATCGTTCATATGAATACTGAGAGCTTTATCAGCTTGGGCTAAGGGTGAGTTCAGATGATTCAAAAGATCCGACTTACAGGGACTCCCCCGTCCACTTATACCATATGACTGGTACTTCTTCCTCTTGAACTGTGTGATCATGGCCGTGGTGATCAATCAGAAAAAAGCAGTTTCTGTTCTTGAGGCCGAAGAAGTCGCCGTATGGGTACATGCGCTCTTGGCTCCGGTCGAAGTCCCGTTTCCAGTGACGTTGACAGACGATATTTTTTACGAAGCTGAGTTTTTCGTCACGATCGCTGCCAGGCACAAGGTGAGTAACTGACTCCAGCAAAACCCGCACCTTGCCTTCGGATTTTGACACGAGTTGCGGTGTTTCTGGGTTCTCCATTGTCAGGTGCTATAGCAATAGCGCTTGTGTAGTTCTGAATAAACGTATCTTACGTACGATGAGGCAGGGTTTGGCAAAGCAGGCGGTCTTTATATTTTCATGGGAGAACTAACTTTTCTGATGCACAGATATAAACCTCATCTGCAGCCAGCCAGGAACCTTATCTTCAGCCAAATGTGGGGGGAATGTGTGATTTTGGTGTCCTTGGCTGTGACATGTGGTTGAAGGTGTGTAATTTCCTTCGTGTAGTCTTGCGAGGCGAAATCCTCTTCCTCATCAAGGATAATATCAGCCCCTCTGGCCTTCCCGACATTATGGAAGCCTGCACGATGAACTGAGCTGAGAGCAAGGACAACTGGCGGATTAGTTTCGTCACATATCGATGCCTGGACCAATCAGGATCTCCTTTTTGCCTGTTTGGATCTGCTGGCAAGACAGTAAAAGATGGCTGTGATTTCAAAATAAAGGAAGGGCTATTAGTACCCAAAGCTGGCTATCCAGCACCCCAGCGGCTAAGAGGAGCTCCGAATGGAGTAACAACGTAAATGAATATCTCTTATCATCGTTACTTAGATGGATATTACACAATTCCTAGAGTATCCGCTACTATCGCTAGTATCTGCTACTATCGCTACTCTCTACTACTATCGCTACTCTCTGCTACTATCGCTAGCATCTGCTACTATCGCTAGTATCTGCTACTATCGCTACTCTCTGCTACTATCCATATATACCTCTAATATCTGCTATTATTACTATCTAGGCTGCTTTAAAGTTAAAAATGGATTGCTGAATAGCGAACTTGGGGTGCTGAATAGTCACTCCCCAAAATAAGCTACCCTTGTTGACACTGAATCCGAGAGTTTGATATGTTGCGACCACCCCAGATGCCACCAATAGTGACATACTAATGGCAAGCAGGGTGACTCTCATCACATTCAGCCTTCGGATTGTAGTGAGGACGGATGGACAACAAGTAGTACTGGGCATATACGTATTTGCATGTAGTTTAAACTCTAGGCAGTGTGTATATCTGCAGTGATAAGGCACTCGTGAATGCCCCAGTGGTTCGTGTTACAGAATACAAAATATCCAAGTCTACTTACATATTTTAACTCCAGTAGACATTCTACAGATTCTATATCCCGAGGGGCAAAGAGACTCGTCAACGACTACCCTTTCTCTGAGTCGATGACACAGGCTTCAGCCGTTTCCGTACTCAGTCTTATGGCTTTGGCTGCATTTGGCAAGATTCAGGCACGTGTCGAGCAGCTGGAGGCGAATCTGGGGAAGAAACCAGGCCATGGAGAACGGTAGCACGCCGGATTGATGCCTAGTCTGTCTAGCAGTGTAGTGACTAACAGCCTGAACTCTCGTCAGTTTAATCTCTTCGCCACCAGACGTCGACGCATATGGACAAGAACACGATTTATTAAAAATGCCACCTGATCGATTTTTTCATCGGAGCTGAGGCTTTGAGCTGAGGCTTCCGCTTTCGGCTTGGTGATTGTTGCTACCACTCGTACTCGCATATTCACACCGGCCGGAAGCATCCGCTCCGGAAGCGTCTATGATTTCATGGAAAAAAAAAATCTAGAACAAGCTGGCTTCTCCGCGTCGAGCTTGATTGCGTGGGCATCGAGGCGCGAGACGTTGCTGTGGCGAGCAAGATGGAACGGAAGACAGTTTATAGAAGCGACGCCATAGAAAGCCAAGAACAAGACCGATTGGCCAAAAATGATTAATTGAGTTTTCCCAATACGAGCCCTCCTTACCCGCTACACACTACCCATTCAGCCGTAGATTAATCAGGTCTCGTCGGTAGGCCGGAAGAGGACCTGCACAAGGGCGCCGCTAGTGCCTCAGCGGATCGTGAGATCGAGGGTTGAGGAGCCTTTACCGATGGTATGTATGGGGCCACCGGATTCGCAGAGTTTTGCTTTCAGCAGGACAGCGTCACGGGGCAGCTGTTACGTTGTGACGAAACCTGCATCATCGAGGAGCAACCAACAGTAGTAGAACTACCAGAATCTTGTTCGAAAGAACAATTGATGGAAGCATCCTCGGTGTAACTAGGGCGGGGGACGCGAGGTTTTGCTCATAGTTTTCGTTTCCTTGAGGGGTAGGATCAACTGAGACACGACGCTTCGTCCATCCCTGTTAGTGAGGCTTCACGTACCGTCCCATGTGAATGGACTAAAATATGCTTCGTTTTAACCGGGAAAACTTTCGTTGGCTAGCCGCGTCGTATATGTGGGTGTTACGCGGTGGCTAGTACTAGTGTCGATGTGTGTTTCCATGTATCTTGTACATCTGCGCCTCCGGTTCTCATGCCCCTGAATAATTACTGGATATGTGAATGCTTTGATTCTCCCTCATGAAGAGTAATTGATCTGCGTGGGTATTCATCCAATGGCGCATCATTGATGCCCGCGGTAGCCGCACTACGGTAAAGCGGCTGCAAAGGTGGAAACTGGACACTGATGAGCAGAGCCGAGGACGGCTGGGATGGAAGCAATTAGTTGTTTCAAGACACGGGCAGTTTTTTAATAGCAACTTACGATGTCATTTATTGGACATCTGACATCACATCTCTCATCTCCGTCTCTAGAAAAGCTCCCGAGGCCTGCGTCCAAGTGGACCAACACCCACTTTGGGTTTTCCCACCTTTGCACGCTATGCGATATAGCTTCGTGGCTTGCCTATACACTACTGTACAGCTCATCGAAGCGGAACGATCGTCGGTTGATCACGGGCCAGAATGTGACTTCCAATGACGGTATGACATGTCTCGCCCCTCGTGAATGAATATTTGAACCCAGCCTCCTCCCGACTCCCTTGCAAATTTGGTTGTTCTACAAGACATCCTGGAATAATTCGGTGTGGTTGATTCATCGGGCATTCATTACTTTGTTCTCCATTCATCCATCGTTTGAGGAGAGAACTGGTCTATCGTTTAGTAAGCCTCTTGTTCTGAAACATAATACGACAACAAGCTTTGCAAGGTATGATTCATATATAAGTCTTATCATATCTGCCATTAGATGTTCAGCTAACAATCACTTACATAGTTACGATGAAGTGGACTCTAGCAGCCGTTGCTCTCCTAGGGTCGGCATATGCCGATGCGATCATCGCCCCCCGTGATGGCAGCTGCGATTCATCGTATAATGGCAAATTCCAGGTCACTATTGCCAAGGTCAACAAACGGGATATTCAGGTTAGTACCAAATGGACGAATCTTTCTCATACACTTGTCTGAGCTATACTGACATCTCTGACAGAAGCGCGATTGCGATAACGCTGACGCCTTGCTGCTGACACTTGACGGTGGAATTCTCAAAGATGCCAAGGGCCGTACCGGTTATATCGCTTCCAACTACCAGTTCCAGTTCGATTCGCCGCCTCAGGCTGGTGCCATAGTCTCCAGTGGCTTCGCTGCCTGCCAGGATGGCTCATTGGCCCTAGGAGGAAAGACCACCTGGTTCCAATGCCAGTCCGGAAACTTCTTCAACCTGTACGACCGCAACTGGGCTCCGCAGTGTCAGGCGGTCGAGATCCTGATAATGCCCTGCAGTGGTGGTGGCAGCTCTGGTGGAAGTGGTGGCAGCAGTGGAAGCGGCGGTAATAACGATGGCAGCGGCGGTAGCGGAGGCAGCGGAGGAGAAGTCACTGTTGGCACCAAGGTCGTCCAGACTACCGTTGTCACAGTCATTTCCGATGGCCAGCCGCAAGTCCACACTACTACCATCGCCATCCCTATCTGCCAGATTAACGACGGGCAGATCCAAGGTCATACAACTCCATGTGGTGGTGGCGGTGGCCCCCCTGTCACTCAGATTCATGATGGTCAACCCCAGGCTCCTCCGGTTACCCAGATTCATGATGGCCAACCTCAAGCCCCTCCGGTTACCCAGATCCATGACGGTCAACCCCAGGCTCCCCCAGTCACTCAGATTCATGACGGTCAACCCCAGGCTCCTCCGGTCACTCAGATCGGTGATGGTCAACCCCAAGCCCCTCCAGTTACTCATGCCCAGCCTCAGCCTCCTCCTGTCACTCAAATCGGCGACGGGCAACCTCAGGCCCCAACACCACCTCCGGCCCATACACCCCCTTCCCAGCCAGAGTCTCCCCCTGCCAAGCCAGAATCTCCCCCAGTCACTCAAATCGGCGACGGCCAGCCTCAGGCGCCCGTTGCCACTGGTACCGCTCCAACCCCTCCTCCTCCGGCTACTACCACTCGGGCTCCCATCAGTGGTGGTTCCAGAGTTGTCCCTGGTATCTCAGTCGCCCTTGCCGTCGCCCTGGTTGGTATGGTGGCCTTGTAGGAGAACGAGTGTCACAAAGACAGCAAATTTGAATCTAGAAAGAAAAACTCTCCTTCATCGGCTTTAATTATTTCTTTGCCATGTTAATATGGTGCATGGTTGAAGATTGTGTTGCATGGGCATAATCAATGTCAGAGTCATGGTCGCTCACGAGGATGTAATATGATATGGATTATTGCGTATAGTATTTGTGCAAATAAAAACAATATGGAGTTGGAAAATAAAATTTGGAAATGAATTTTGGCACTTGAAGTACACAGATTGCCTGCAATCACAAGCATGTAGCGACTGAGAGAGTTGAGTTGAGTGGACTGTAAGTTGTAGGTTGTAAGTTGTAAGTCGTAAGTTGCGAGGCCAACTGTGGCTGAGAGAAGCCTGGAATACAGAGTGCCATTCACCGATTATGTAATCACATGCATTATTCTGCCTACAGAACCTTGTATAGAGCTGCCGCGCCTATGGATTTGATTTCTCCATGCTCACGCGACGGCTTGACAATCTTCCAGCAGAACAACAGCCACCAGAGGAAAAATGTCGGAATACTGGAAATCTACGCCTAAATACTGGTGCAAGCACTGTTCGTGCTACGTGCGCGACACCAAAATCGAGAAGGCCAACCACGAGGCCACTGCAAAGCATCAGGGCGCTTTGAAACGCTCGCTACGAGATCTACACCGCAACCACGAAAGAGAAGAGCGCGAGAAGGAAAGGGCAAGACAGGAGATTGCCAGACTCAATGGCGTTGTCGGCGGGTCGTCCTCAGCTGGTCCTTCGGGAGCTTCAACGAAGCCTTCAGGACCGTCAGAGTCGCAGTTGAAGACCCAACGGGAGCAGCTCGCAGCCATGGGAGTGGCAATGCCAACCGATTTCCGACCTGAAATGGCTCTTCCTGGAGAATGGACAGTGACCAAAACGACCGTTATTGAAGAAACGAACGAGGCGGACGGCGAGACAAAGATTGAGGCCAAGGCAACTGGTATTAGAAAACGCGAAGAGACGGAAGAGCAGAAGGAAGAAGAGGAAGCTATGCGAGGACTTTTCAAGAAGCCGAGAAGATGGGGCCGCGACTCCAAGACCATGCCGGACGACGAAGACGAAGATTTGGATGCGCTGCTGAGTTCAGCAGTGCCGTTAAAGGCAGAAGCAGCCGAGGAGAGGGGCGCAGTGAAGAAGGAAGAAGATGTTGAAGATGACGATTCTTCCGAGGCAAGAAAACCCAAAACGGAAGATGTCTCTATCAAAGCAGAGCCCGACACCGGAGCGCAGGATCAGCAGCCATCCATCAAACGGGAAGCAGTTGTCAAGGCCGAGGAGGCAGAGGAGTCGAGCGGCATCACGCCGGTGGTCTTCAAGAAGCGCAAACCAAAGGGGATCCGAAGCAAATGAAGGGATTCGGCAGTTGGCCATGTGTCGGATCCGAGATATGTCGATGCTGCAAGTCTTCGATAGCGCTCTTATCAAGCTACAGTTGTTGCGTCTTGAGGGAGCAACTCGCATTAGCAAGCGCTGATTGATTGCCGGCTGATTAATCACGATAGCTCTGAGTCCTGAGTCCTAAGTCCAGACAAGACTCAAACTCCACAACAGCGCTTACATTCCTCACGGTCCCGAAATAGCCCCTTGATAGCCGTTTCTGATCCGGAATTAGGAGTTAGGTGGGGTTAAACCTCGCAGGTTCCTTTTCTCTTTACACAGAAAACGTTGAAAAGCGAATTGTGGCTGTTTCAAAGCCGATAACTCCTAGCGGTTAAGAGTAAGCAAGACAAAGGCCAGAAAGCAGGGCGCAAAACTAGATAGTGAATTGCTGACAATAAATTTCTCCAAAGCAGCCCACCCGCGGCTTCTTAGAGGACAAGAGCCTGCCCCGTTTCCTATTTGACGAAATATTTCCTAATGCATATGAGTTTGAGAATTCCGAACCCCGCGAGGATGGAGCTCGAGAATTGCGTCACGGCAAGCTGAGTCCAAAGCAAGGAATTGGCCCGTCTCCGCTACCCCACCAAGCCGCTCAGGAACCTCTGAGACTTCAAATATCTGACAAAGCGCGCTATTTTGTCTTGTCCAAACAACCTCGTTTCCAGTCAAGCAATAGCAATTACAGAGAATCAAATCTCAAAAATGGCTTCAGGTCACGTTGACAAATGCTGCGTTGTCGGCACCCTTCACGAGTGAGTTTTTGTTTTCTCTTGTTGACTTGATCTCAGATCTCATATGCAGCTCGGCCCAGATTCCGTCTCCTCTTTTTTTTTTGCCTTGCCCCGCAACGAGAGAAGGACGACAGAAATGTTGACAAATCCATGAGCTGGACGTCTGATGAACGTTTGAAAACTGACGATGAATAATCCGGGAGAAATATGAAAAGAATCTCAAATCGCTAACTGTTACCTAGGGGTGAGGCCACTGGCAAGGACATCAAAATCGACGGCACCATTGACGCCTACCTGGCCACTCCCCCTGCAGACAAGGCTCAAGAGGGCAAAGGCATCCTCTTCATTCCTGATGTCATTGGCATCTGGCAGAACAGCAAGCTGCTGGCCGACAACTATGCCGCCCAGGGATACACTGTCCTGCTCCCAGACATCTTCAACGGCGATGCGCTCAAGCTGAACCGAAGTGGCGAGTTTGACTTTGTGTCCTGGGTCACCAAGGGCTCGACTGGCGACAACCCTCACACCCCCGCTGCCGTCGACCCCATCATCATCAAGGGCATCAAGGCTCTCCAGGATCTGGGTATCAAGCGGATCGGAGCCGTTGGCTACTGCTTCGGTGCAAAGGTAAGCGTCCAGCATCAACTCGCCATTGCACGCATCAACTCACCATTATTGGCAGTACGTGGTCCGTCACTACAAGGACGGCATTGACGTCGGCTTCGTTGCTCACCCCACCATGGTGGAAGAGGACGAGCTGGCTGCCATCACCGGCCCCCTGTCGATTGCCGCGGCCCAGACGGACAGCATCTTCCCTACGGAGAAGCGCCACAAGTCGGAGGAGATTCTCATCAAGACCGGCCTGCCTTTCCAGATCAACCTGTACTCGGGCGTTGTGCATGGATTTGCCGTCCGCTGCGACACCAGTGTCAAGATTGAGAAGTTTTCCAAGGAGCAGGCCTTCTTCCAGGCTGTGACTTGGTTCAACGAGCACCTGTAGGGGATGTGATGTTGATGAAGAAAAGAAAATTGTCGAGGAGTACGTTGCTTTGCCAGCACTCACTGCTGTTTAGTTGTCGTATATACATATCATGGATGAATTCAACTACGCTGAGGTGCTCTTTGGAGATGATGCATTGAATCCCGTATGAATCTCTGTAATTGCACTCTCTACTTTGCGCCTTCACCCATTTTGAAAGCATTCTAGCCTCTGTTTTTTTTGCATCACTACGTAAATCAGAGTAACATACAAAGTCTCAATAAAATTAAATTCGAAAGAGACAGCATCTACAAGAACAGCATCGAATGCGCCTACACATATTCTATGGACGTCTATATATCAAGATCAACCTAATGATCTCAGGGCTCCAGCTCCATTATACCTGTTGTAGTAGCCTATGCTTTAGCGCCTGTAGCTAGCGGCAGCGCCTGTGGCAGCGCCCCCACAGCGCCGTAGCCCGAAAGCCACTCGCCACTTTTGGCCACATGGGCCTCAATTCTAGCCACTGATCTTGCGACCACCTGCATACATGACCTAAGAGTGTCTCTCTCTCCAGAACTTCAACCGCGTCGTTGTCATGCCCGTGTGGACGCCGACTCGTCTCACCATCACCATCGGCAGCAGCATGATAAACTAGAGCATCCGCCGGCATGGCCGTGACCGCAGACACGATGAGCCCGGCGATGGCCTTTTCGGCGTCGTCGAGGAGGAACTCGTCCAACAGCCTGGCTGGGCATTACGAGGCAAGGGAGGAGGCGGCGACGATGGTTTACAGCGCGAGCTGGGAGAATGGAAATGGGAATGGACATGGGAACGGGTATGAGCATGGAAACGGGCACGAGCATGGGAATGGCCACCGAAACGGACATCGAAATGGCGGCAGCGCAAATGGCAACGGCAGTGCGAGTCCCGTCATGAACCAGAGATCGAGCTCAAGGCAAAAGGACGCCGACATGCAGCGGCAGCGCAGCGGAAGCGGCACCATCAAGAAGGCCCCAAGCCATGACAATGTCCAAAAACTCTCAGCCGCCGAGATGCAGCAGCTGGCCAGCGAGCCCAAGTCTCTGCCAATAGCGCCAGCGCCAGCGCCCAGCTTCGTCGACGAGCGCGAGGCGATCCGACAGGCGCTCATGAGACCACCAGAGATGCGTCCAGACGAGACACTCCTCCAGCTCCACGGCTACACTGTGGTACCCAGAGAGGCCCGCACGCCCTTGCGACGATCCGTGTCCGCCTCGAGAACAGTCTCAACACCGCCGACGAGCCGAGATGGCCATGTGTTGGTGCTGCAACCCTCCACGTCTCCTCGACGGCTGTCCTTTGCGCATCAGGGGCTGCAGCTGAATCTCGATGGCGCAAACGGCGGCGCAAACGGGAGCGTGGCATCACCGCCCATCAAGACCGGGCCGGCGGCCTTTGCGACTCAACAGCCTGTCCAGCCTCCCAGCTCCGCTATTCGACCACCATCTCCGATTCCACCCATTATACCGCTTCCTCCAATGTCAATTCCTACTCATCTTCAGCTGGAATTAGCCCAGCAACGCCCCAGCCCTCTCTATATTCACCAATCCTACACAAACGACGTTCCATACGAGTCCCACGCCGTCAAGTTTGAGCGTCTCAAGAATGTCCTGTTGATCCCCCCATTCCTGGAGCGCACGCTCTACTTTGGTGCGCTTGCCTGTCTGGACGCCTGGCTGCACACATTCACTATCCTTCCCATCAGGTTCACCATGGCCCTCGCTGTGCTAGTGCGGTGGTGGATCTACGTCATCTTCAAGGAGGTCAAGTGGCTGGTTGGCTTCGTCTGGTACGGCCTCGGCCGGCTGTGGAGACGAGCGCGAGCGGTTCGGGGCCGCAGGATTAGTGACGCCTCCGACAGCGGCCGATCGCGTAGCTGTAGCAGGGCTAGCGAGGTCTCTGTCGACGGCATGTCGCCCGGCATACGGCAGCGCCCGAACGGTGTCCGGGCAGACTCGCGCGTCCGCAGCGGCGACACTCCCACGCCCAAGACGACGTCGCTTCCGGCACGGCGTCCGGGGCCCAAGTCCGGCTCGTTCCGCCATCGACGGACAAAGTCGATGCCGTCCAACCTCTCGTCGTTCCACAAGGCCGATCTCCTGCAGGGCGCCGTCATCATATGCAGCTCGCTCGTGCTGATGAAGCTCGACGCCAGCAGGATGTACCATCTTATCCGAGCACAGTCGGCCATTAAGCTGTACGTCGTCTACAACATCTTGGAGGTCGGAGACAAGCTGCTGTCGGCCCTGGGCCAGGACATTCTCGAGTGTCTGTTCAGCTCCGAGACGCTGTCGCGCAATTCGTCAGGCCGCTCCAAGGTTCTCTTGCCCCTGGGAATGTTTGTTCTCGCCCTAATATACTGCGTCCTCCACTCCATCGCCTTGTACTATCAAGTCATCACCCTCAACGTCGCCGTCAACTCCTACTCCAACGCCCTTCTCACTCTCCTCTTATCCAATCAGTTTGTCGAAATCAAAAGCACCGTCTTCAAGCGTTTCGAAAAGGACAGCCTGTTCCAGCTGACCTGCGCCGACATTGTAGAGCGCTTCCAGCTCTGGATCATGCTCCTCATCATCGGCATGCGCAACATTGTCGAGGTCGGCGGCCTGTCCGTGCCGGGAGCCGGTATGAACGACGCTCCCACCAACGCAGCGCCTGTCCATTCGCCTAGTATCCTCCCTCATAGCTTCACCGTCTTGCCGTCCTGGGTCATGTCGGGAGAGGTCCTGTCGCCGTTTCTCATTGTCGTGGGCAGCGAGATGCTGGTAGATAGCATCAAGCATGCGTACGTGACAAAGTTTAACAACATGAAGCCCAAGTTTTACAGCAGGATCCTCGACATCTTGTGCAAGGACTACTACACCAATGTGAGCTACCCATCATCTTCCCATTTATATCACAGCATCTAACAGTTCATCAAGGCCTTTACAGCTCCCTCCCTCACCAGGCGTCTCGGCCTCGCCGTCATCCCCCTATCCTGCCTCTTCATTCGCGCCTCCATCCAGACATACCACATGCTCCTATCCGCCCACATCCCCATGCCTCTCCCCATATCCACACAGACCTCCCTCACAAAGGCCTCCGCAACGCCCTCTTCGCCCGCTATGATCGCCGCTCTCAACCGCTTCGACTCCCTCATTCGCGACTCCCTCGGTCGCGCCACATACGGCTACCCCTACGACCACCCCCTCAACTCACGCCCCTGGTACAAATGGACCTCTGACGACGCCATTGCCGCCATCACAATGGTCGTCGTCTTCTTCATCATCTTCCTCGTCCTCCTTATCCTCAAGCTCCTTTTAGGCATGATCCTTCTCAAGTACGCGCGCAATCGCTACGCAAAAATGAAGCACAAGGAAGCCCTTGTCGCCGCAGGCAAAGCCGAAATAGACAACTACAAGGCCAACGGTGTGCGCGTCGGCGGCTTTGGGGAGGTCGAAGTCACGGAGGACAAGAGGCGCTGGATCAACGCCGATTCCGCCGAGGGCTTGAAGAAGAAGAAGAAGGATGATAAAAAGCCTACTGCTGCTGAGGGAGATTACAATGGCGTGTTTCGATACGATATGGTGGAAAAGAGGATTTGGTAAAAGAGGGTGCGCTTAACAGGTATTACTATTATTTCTTTTTCTCGTTATTGGTTTTTGTCACGGTTTTGTGTTAGAGTGTAAAACAAAACTTCATGGGGTGGTGTAACTTTTACTTTCGACTTGTCCATTTATTTGCATCAGCATACAGTACATAGGCACAGCATCATTGAACATAAAAAGATTATTCACACAAAGGGCAAAACAGGACCAAACAAAAGCATGTTGAAGAAAAGCGAAATACTTTCATCATCATATTCTCATTTTTGTATTTTCATTTTTCAAACTTATCTTTGTCCCATCCCGTCCTCCCATCAGAACCAATTTGAGTTATCCATCCCATCAAAAACCAACCTCCCAAAAAAGCCCAACATATATATGAATTCTATGCTGTTCAAGTCCAACCCTTCTATTAAACGCTTCCCAATTTTTGCTTATTGTGGTTGTTGTTGTGTTCCCTAGTATACCCTCCCTCATCCCATCAACATTTTTGTGTGTAACTCATCAAAAGGGGTATAGGTCATGTCTTCATGTCTTCATCGTCCAGACGCCAGTCGCTTTTTTCTTTCCTTTTTTTCCTTTTTAGCTCAACGTCTCTGCATCGCGCGCGCAACTCCCAAAATTTACTGAGAGGCACTGGCCAGCTGCAGCAGGTTGGGGTTGTTGGCAAACAGATCCGGCTTAGCTCCATAGAGAGCCTGCACAGTTCGGCAGAGGATCTGGCGAGTCTCAGGCTCGAGCTGCTCCTCAGGGGGGGAGAGGACCTTCTCGAAGATGCCAATCAGCTGAGGAGTCAGCTGCTGGACAGTCTCGTTGGACTGGTCATAGAGAGTGTGGATGGCCTGGTAGATGGGCTCATTCTCCTCAAACTCCTCCTGGAGAGGCAGGATGTTGACAATGGCAGGGAGAGCCTGGGCAACGAATCCGGCATCGGCATGCTTGATCATCATACGAGAGAGAGCTCCGGCAACGTTGTCCGTAATGCGCATCTCCTGGATGGACAGCATGGGCTCGAGCTTCTCCCAAAGCTGAGGGTAAATGGGGATGGTCTTGGCGGTATCGGTTGAGTACTGGACCAACAGACCGACAGCATAGGCGGCGTTGGACTTGGTCAGGGCATCAGGATCTGAGAGACGGCGCATGAGGGCCTGTCCAACAGACTCAGTGTAGGGGGTAATGGCCTGGCCAGTGTACTTGATGATCTCAGCAATGGTGCCGATGGCGGTGGAGCGCTGCAGATCCTCGGTTGAGCTAGCCATCTTGAAGATGGCCTTCTCAAAGATTTGCCACAGCTCGCCGAAATCAGGGCCCAGAGCAGCGGCAAGGCCAACAATGACATCCAGAGCGGTGTCAATGGCCAACCAGTCGTACTCGGAGGATCCAGCATCCTCAACCTCCTGCTCCTCGTCCTCGTCGCCAAGATCCAGCTGGCAAGGGTGAGAGCGAGTGATGAGAAGAGTGATGACAGAGACAACCTCCTGCAGCATACCATCCTTGGAGGCAAGGACCGCAGGACCGCAGGCCTTGAGGGTGGCGGCAACATTGCGGTTGATGTCGGTAACGACAGACCTAGTTTGCTTCGGTTAGCAAAAACACTCGAATTTCAAGATTCAGAAATATTAGTGTGAGAGAATATGATGCAGATCAGAAGTAGATTACACGCTTTCTCAGCAATTGCATTTTGCATCTGAGTGAGCTGGGTATAACGCAATGTTGTCATCATGCAAATGGTTGGGTGATAATAAACAGAAATGGCAAAAAAAAGGATAAGAGCAACATACCGATCGCTGTCATTGGCCCAGATGGTCATGCTAGACTCGTGGAGAGTCTGGCCAATCTTGACAATGGAGGCAGGGGGAGTAGGCTTGGGGGGAATGCCAGGCTGCCACTTAGAGCCAGAGCCCTCTTCCCAGACCTGGAAGACACGGGCATAGGTTCGCCAGAGAGTAGAGATGGCAGTCTTGCGGCAGCCCTCGTAGTCGTGGTCGGTGAAGGGAACGACCTTCTCGATAGTCTTCTCGACGTAGGTCTCAAGGTTGTTCATGTTGCAAGAGTTGGAGATGACGTCTCCGAGAACGTCAAGGGCAATCTCCTGCTCCATGGCAACGGCGGTGGTGCCACCAGCAAGGTCGGCGAGATCCTCAATGTCATCCCACTCGTCCTCGCCGCCGCTGGCAATGGCAAGCTCCTCCTCGCTGTGAGCCTTGACCTTGATACGCTTTCCTCCGACGATGAGGTGACCATCCTCGAGCTGGCTGGCGTCAAGGCCAGGAATATCCAGCTCCTCGTCCTCGAGCTCCAGAGAGGCGAAAATACCCTTGAAGACACCGTCAAGGAAGTGCTCAAACTGCTCGTGGTAGACCTTGGACAGGTTAGACCACAGGATGAAGCTGGTCTCCTTGAGTCTGGGGTTGTCCAAGCTGAGAGCCTCCTCGCTGGCCTTCATAAGGTCCATGACGTAGGGCTGGAAAGCCTCAGGGCCGACAGCCAGGGCAATACGACCCAAGCTGTCGCAGGTGGAGCTTCGGAGGTTCATGGCATCCTCGCTGTCCTTGATCATGACAAAGTTGCCAAGAGACTTCATCACGTTCTCGAAGTAGGGCTGGAAGTCCTTCTCCATGGAAGCGGCAATGGCACCGAGGGCAGAAGCGGCGGCAGCCTTGACGCCGAAATCCTCGTGGTCAAGCAGCTTGACCATGGGGCCAATCAAGGTAGGGCCGTACTGAGCCATGATCTTGGTGTCAATGCCATCGCCAAAGGTATCGAGGGCACCACAGGCGCATCGGATGATGCTGATGTTGGTCTTGTCGGAAGGACCCTGAGAGGCAGACTCCAGGTTCTTCAGAACAGCCTCAATGATTTGCTGGTGGTGAGAAACCATCTCATCGGCCATCTCCTCGGCAAGGTGGATGAGGCCAACCAGGGCAGCGTGTCTGACCTTGAGCTCGGGGTCGAGCAGCAGGTTGATGATGGTGGGGAGGAGAGGCTGAAGCTGGGTAGAGATGAAGTCAGGAGCACCCTCTGCAGCGTTGCCCAGGGCCAACATGGCAGCCATGCGGAAGCGCGGGTCTTGGTTGGTGGCGAAGAGAGGGAACTGCTCAAGGAGAGGCACGATAACCTGGCGAGGGGGGAGCTCGTTGGCCAGCTGGTCAATCAGGCTGATGGCGACTCTAGCGGGCGACATGTCCTCCTCATCTTCAGAGTCCAGGTCAATGACAATGTGCATGGCCTTGACCATGAGCTCAGCGCCAACATCCTTCATGGCCTGAATTTTCATGCGACGGTAAGAGACAACCTGGATGAGGAAGCCAAGAGCCTGAGAACGAGGATCATCCTCGGCCTGGGTGTTGCCAGCCAGCTCAATCATGAACATGAGCAGGTCGCGCAGGTGAATGGAGAGAAGGGCAGAGTCGTAGGCAATGAAGGAGTGGAAGACGTCAAAGACGGTACCGTAGCTCTCCTCATCACCAGCCTCGACAGTAGCCTTGAGGATGTTGACCAGGCTGGGGACGAAGCCCTGCATGACCTTGAGGGCATTGGGGTCCTCCTCGGGGTCGATGAGCATGAGGATGGCGCCAATGGCACGAACAATGTTCATGCGGACCTCCTTGCTGTCGTCGTTGATGCGAGACTGGAACAGCTGGAGCAGCTGATCAGTGTGGTCGCCAAAGTGCGTGGGCTCATCCTCCAGCATGGCATAGAGGACAAAAGAGCCGACCTCACGGTGAACGACGTTGTCGCTGGTGTTGAGGGGCAGGAGCTGCTTCAGGAAGTCCTCGCCATCACCAGCCTCCATATCCTCGCCGACGATGCCAGCAACCAGGCGCGCCAGAGAGTGGCGGTTGGCAGCGGACGTCTCCTTCAGAGTACCCTCGAGAAGGTGAGCGCGGACAAGAGGCTTCTGGTCCTGGGAGGTGGAAGACCAGAACTTGGAGACCAGGCGCAGAGCCTGGACGGAAGCCAGCTGTCGGATAGCATTGTCTCCGTGTGTAAGAGCGATCTCGATCAGCAGAAGAAGAGACTCGGGCTTCGAGTAGTAGTTCTTCTGGAGGTCGGCTGTGACGGCCTTGACCTGTTCCGTGTTGGCTGTGCGAGACAAGACGTCAGTAAAGGATTTCCTCGAGTAGAGCAGCATAGAAGGGAATATCCATTCCCTCTTCCGAGTTTCAACTCTTCAACCGGCGTGCGCCTTGACGAGAAGAAGAGATCAAACCCCGCGACGAGCAGGAAGAGAAGATGCGCAGAGATAAGAGAAAAGGCAAAAGCAACTTACGAACTTGGCTGGCCTGCAGCAACTGAGTGAGCTTATCCTTGTCCATCTTGACTATTCGCTTGGAAGCCCGCGACCAAGAGAAATGCAAAAGATGAAGAAGAAGAAAGAAAAAAAAAAAGTCCAGTGGACGAGGTGCGAAAAAAAAAGATTTTATTTATTTCGCCTAGAGGGAAAAAAAAAATTAATATCCAGACTCCAGTCCAAGCCAAGCAGGGACTTTTTTCCTGCCCCGCTTGGCCGAGGGGTCGAGTCCCCAGTTTCAAAATTGCGACCAGCCCAAAGGCCAGGCGGCAGCAGCAGAATTTCTCACAAGCGTGAATGGCTAGATAGTAGATAAGTTGGAGCTTTTGCGCCGAATTATAGCCGCCGTTATCTGGAGAGTGAAGCTTGCAATGCTTGCTGCTTGTGATGTGGGAGATGCTAAATTAGCGCTAGCTGTCTAGGTGTGTTTGACCTATTGAAGCTCGCCAGATTGACTGGATGACGACGAGGAATGCCCATAGTAGCGAGAGAGTGAGAGAGATGGTAAGAGAGGCTGCAGAACCAGAACGAAGACAAACACTTCCAAACATGGTGAATGAGGAAACAAGAAAACGACGGCAACAAAGGAAAAAGAAGCATGTCAGACAAAATCACGGTGCACCGCCAATGATATCATCCCCATCACATCACATCACACCGAGAGACAAACCTCATAGCCAACCGCCAGCTTGCCGCAATCCAGCCCAGCATTCATCGCCACAATCTCCTCCACGCTCACGCCCTCCGCCTCGGCCAAATCCCAGCACGTATCGCCCTCGGCAACCGCGACGCTCCGCCCGGGACACTTGACAACCACCTCGAGCGTCTCCTCGGGCGCCCGCCGGCCAATGAACCAGAAGAGCACCAGCAGCGACAGCCCGACTAGGACGCCAAAGTTGAGCAGCGGCATCATGTCGTGCCGCCACGACGTCTTGGGCATCGGCGTCTGCGACTCCAGGAACGGCTCCGAGTCGCTCGCGTCGTCGGCTGGCCCGGAGACTCGCGTCAGGCGGCCGTACTGGTTGCCCGGCGCGGATTCCCAGAGGCTGCCGTCGGCGTCTTGGAACGTGTAGACTTGGGAGTCGGCATCGTAGCCAACGCGGGTCATGCCCTCGGGGAGGCGATCCTCGTCGCTGTCGTAGCGGGAAAATCGAGACATTTTTGCAAGACTGTGGATGTAGATGTAAATGTAAATGTAAATGTAGATGTAGATGTAGATGTAGTAGACGTAAAGATTGAATGCCAGAAACGGGTTGTCGTAAGCAAGGGAGGGAGTGTTTTATAAATATGCAAGGTCGGTAGGCAAAGAATATCCTGATTCAATTCAAGCACAAAACAAAACAGGTCGCGGGTTCACAAGAGCTATGGTCTGTTCACGATGATGCAAGAGGAAAGAATCCATCGGGTCCCTCGGCCAGATCAGGAGCAATTTGATTCCAAGCACGCGAGAGGCGAAGCACACGACCAACGCACAGCCCGAAACCAAATCCGTGTCAGCGACATGAAGCAGATTACATGTACCTTTCCTGGAGAAGCACACAATGTACCCTCTGTTACTAGCAGATGCGCGGAATAGGGCTGTCCCGCTATCAGCAGTGACCCGCCACTACGCAGCTTTCCTGCAGGGATTTGTAAGGTGATGTAAGAGTGAGCAGGCGCTTGCATTGGATGGTTCTCGCAGATATTCCGTAGATTGGGCGCAAACCCCATCAATTGCAAGTGAAAAATGAAAAAAAAAAAAAAAAAAAAAAAAGAACAAAAGAGCGAGTTCAGAGGGCGTATTGCCTGTAAAAACAATGCATCCCAACTATCTTTGTTCCATTCAACTGCCTTTTCATATCTACTACAAGATGTACGAAGCAAAGCATCTCACTTACACCAACCCACACAAATGCAGGGTAGTTCTCACCATCGTTTGTAATTGAGGAAAACACTACAGCCATTATAGATAGCTACCTAGCGAATACTTGGACATCTTCAAGACAATAAAAGTGGAACTTACACTGAATCAGACACTGAATCACGATCAATAACTCTCTTGGCGTTAATAGACGCTTGCAGAGTACCAATTCATACCAATGCATCAACACATCATCTCATGTCATTATCTGTAGTAAACATCGCTAATCTGTCAATCAAGTATGCTACCCCAATAATAGCTGCTACGCGTAGTCGTCCTCATCCGTCTCATCCCCCCAGTATAGTCCTCCATGCTCTTCCTGCATGTGGGTGTAAATCTCTCCCTCATCGCTCTCCTTTCCACACGCATAGCACCAGTGTGTTCCACAAGGACAAGTGATATGATCGCACCCATACGTCTTCTCGGTTGCCACTCCACACCCTGGGCAACGTCGAATGCGCCTCTGCTTCACTGTCAGATAGGGCGTGCATTCTTCACATACCCAATCAACCAGCTCGGCCGGTGCCCCTGCGGCACAAACTCGCTCAACATACTTTCTTGCAAAGCCGCACTCTTTGCACCATGCATAGATCCAAGAACCGCCATCTTCAAGTGCATCGCGGAGCAAGCCGATCTGGTGGAGTCTGAACTTGCTGATGGCCTTGGGAGCAGGCCGGCGGCGGCAAAAGGGGCAGTGGAGAGCGGGAATGTTGAGGATGCTGCCTGGAGAGTTGATGCCATACCAGCTGTCACGACAACTGCTGCAGATGACCTGATGGCAGCCAGAACGCCCACAAGCAGGGAGAGCATCGCTCTTCCGAACGCTAGAGAAACACAAGCTGCAAGTGGCGGATTCGGTTCGCCGAGAACGTACCCAGTTCAACAGAGACGCCTTGACCTCATCTGGATTGCGCACAAGTTTCCCACGGATGGTGAGGCTATTCTCGTTGGTAGCAGGAAGAATCTCTACCTTGGTGTCCATGTCGGCCAGATTGCAGTTCGAGGCAGTAAAGAAGACCGTCCTGCCGCTGAAAGGCTGCTTGATAGTCTTATCCTCGTTCTTGAGGAGCCAATCCCAGTTGTTCTCGTCGCTCAGCTTTCGTGCCGTGGTCTCTTCCTCGACGATAGTCTTCTTGCCAGCAGTGCATGCGGGACATTGATACTTGGTTAGGTCAAGGTCGTCAGGCCGGTACTCCTCTGGCCAGATGATTCGGCCCAAGCACGTGGAACATTCGACTGTGGGTGCCTTTCCTACATCTGACCGGTGGTCACCCTGAACGTTCTTAGAGCTTCGGCTGGGGTGTCGGCAAAAGTAGCACTTGGGGCGCACGCGAAGGTCCTTTGGATTGTAGACTACGTACTGAGCTCTGCAGGAAGTCTGTCCGCATTCGACCCAGTACGCTTCCGACAATTCTGTCTGGTCTGCTGAGACGTTGGTCTTGAGGCGCTCCTCGTGGTCTTCCACCACGACGCATACAGGGCATGAGCATCCATCGAGCTCAACATCACATAGGCCGCACACGCCTCCAGGGGCCATGATGGTAACAGATCGCGGAAACTGGCACTTCTTGCATATGACAAGTGGGCCCATGGCTACCTTTGTCTTCTCCGGAGTCCAGGTAATCTGTGCTCCGAGGACGGTGTCAAGGTTCAGCTCAAGCATCTTGTAATCCACAAGCGCCTTGAATGTATCCCGATCTTTGACCGAGAGTATTCTAGACTCGTCGGAGGACCTGGTAGTTACGCCGTCGGCTATTCTCTTCTCGTAGTCGCTGTCTGCATCCAGCAAAAGATTGAGGCAGCCCAGGTTCCACGTTTCGGGGATCTCCAGCGTATTCCAGTTTCCACTGAATGCCAAAAGCTCCCGGTCTGCTGCCTCTCGCAGGGGGACGATGCCCATGCGAAGGGCCAGCGCAGCTAGCAGGCAGGCGGGACGGGCTCCCAGCTTTGTTCCTGGGAGAACGGTATGCAAGAGGATTTTCCAGAAATCCCGGTTGTATTCCGCCTTTGCCAGGGCAAGAGGCACGCAAGGCACGGGGTTCTTGGGGTCCATGGTCTGAATATGATGGGGCAGCTCGTCCTTGGTGCCAACAAACGTAAGACGAGTCAAGACCTTGCCCAGGCGCCGGAGAATCTTGTAATCACACGATCTTCCAATCTCAAGCAATTCGGGTCGACTAAAGTCTTGCAACCGTCGCCGCACACCCTCGTCATCATCCACAAATCCAAAGTCTGCTGTGGGATCTAGGAATACCATCGGGAAGCGGTCTTCAGGGGCGACGGCCTCGATCAATGCGTTTATCTCATCAACGTAGTTGTACGACTCAGCAAGCCACGTCTTCATACGTTCCTTTTCATCTGCGTTTGAGATTCTGTCTACGTGGAGGCCGAAGAGTGTAATGAGCTCATCCCGCGCAGGGTTGAGTCGATCATTACAGACGGCCCGCCAAAGACTTCCAAATATGGGATTCAGCGAGATTGCCGATACGTTGCTCTCAATAATGGTTTTGAGCTGCCCAATAGCCATTTCCTTGTAGCTCATGTCGTTGGCATACCTGTCAGCGAAGCTCTCGACATTTGGACCGCGGGATTTGATCAGGCCTGGCACAACACCTAGAGTAACTGACTGGCTCTCAACATTGTCGGAACACTTGCGTATAGCTGGGGTTAGTAAATTTCCCCTTGCAATGTACTTTTCCAGGAGCTTGTCATCTTCCTTGGTAGCTGTGAGGATATCTGCAGTCGACTTGTACTTTGTCAACCGTCCTAGCCGCGTGCTTGAGTCGGCGATTGTCTTGCCAAGTCTCATCCATGTAAGCAAGACACCAATGGTCAACTGGGAGATTTTGTCGGAAACCATTTGTTCAATCTCAAACAAATGGCCTCCGGTGACTGTAGATAGATATAGATAGGCTGAGTGTGTGTTAACGCTGACCTCCTGGATCATGCTGAACACCACTGCCTTCTTTGGTCCAGATCGAAGCGTCTTGGCCGCCGATGCCCAGTCCACAAACAGCTTCCCATCATCTCCCCACATCTTGGTGTTTGCGAGCGCCGCGCACTCCATTGAATAGTTCCGTCTGTCGGATATCTCCTTGAAATGGGGAGGGGCATCCGCATACAGCAATATGATTGTCGTTGCGCCAGGTCGCATGACGCTGTATGCCTTTGCAAGACCTGTCTTTGTAGCCTCTGGCCAGTCACCACCTCCGTAGGGCGTCATCTTGCGAGCCATTTCGAGCACATCCTGCTGTGATACAATATCTTCTCCTTGGAACTTTCCCGCAGGCGAGCACCAGCCCGACCACGCGAGAAGCTTGTCAGCGCCGTCACAGTAGTCGCGGTAGGCGAGAACTCCTATTCTCTCGAAGCATCCTGTCAGGGCAGAAATGCTGATGACCTCTGGAAGTGACTTGTTGAGAGCTTCGACAAAGGTGCCCATGGACGAGGTGGCATCCATCAGCAATAGGAGGTCGAAGGGCCCATTGGCCGCATCCTGTGATGATGTCGCCATCGTGGTGAACCTGTTGCTGATGAAGTCAGGTCACAAGGAGAAGGGCCTTGATGTTGGAATGAGGAGAGAATAGTTTAGAAGATCCATTGTGCGTGGACACGATATATATACGTGTATATGCCATGCTGAAGTGTTTGCCAAGAGTAAACACATGCAAATAACATTGAAAGCTTATTAGCGAGAGGCGGGCGTCGCTCCGGCTGAGTCACGCCGCTCCGAACAAAAGCCATCCAATCTATGGATTTGGCTGTTGAGTCAGTGCCGATGCTACGCAGGGGGGAGCGCAGAAGGGAAGGGGAGAGTAATCCAAAAAGGGTCAATGTTGGTGTTGAGGCCGCCTCGAGTGTTGCCTGAGGCGGTGCTTGGCCTCAGCCGCAGGCTAGTGGTGCGATGCCTACGGTTAGTCCACTATAACCTCCATATAACAGGGGTGACTGGCGTTGGGTTGAACGGTATCATTACAACTGAAAGCACAGTACGACACAATTGATTGAGTCGTGTATCGATATCGATGTGGCTGTGATTTTTATCGAATCTCAAACTGCGGCGAGTTGAGCACCTTTTACGGCGCTGCAGTGGAGGATTTCCTGTATGGGGAAATCCGCGGCCTGTGATAGGCGCAGTCACATTTGAATGACAAGGGCCTTCTACAACGATGCGAGACCAACAGCCATCCTGCGAAATCCAATTGTGACTCATGATATTAAACAATGGGAGCGAGTCCCTACATCGGACCTCCCAAACCAAAGTTCCACCCTAAACCGACCACTCTTGACTGCATCGAGCAACTCCCATGAACCTCATCACCAATCAAGTTTGCTTTGGCGCGGTAAGACGCTTCTTCAACGCAGCAACTCCAAAGAAGATGTTCATCATTCCCTCGGAAACCCAGGCTGGCAACATTGAGAGCAGCCAAACTTGCGTGGAAAATCCTCCCGCCCAAAACCAATCCGGTGAACCTCCAATCAAGCCCCCAAGATAACCCTCTCCCTTGAGCGCCGAGGCCACGAGCTTCTTGGCAAATACCTCGGTAGGCACCGTGGCGTTGTTCTGGCTGAAGACTAGACGGCGCTGGAAGTAGTCGTTGATGGGCATGTAGAGCGACGTGCTGGGCAGCGAGCGGTGCGGGTGGCTGGCAATCTGAGACCGCACGGTACCGGCCATGGCGACCATGACGCGGACGTTGAATGGCTTGAGCTCCATTCGCAGCACGCGCGAGTAGCTGTTGATGGCTCCCTTGGTGGAGGCATAGACGGAGCCGAAGATGTAGCCGCTGATGGAGCTGAGGGAGGAGATGTTGACGACCAGGCCTCGCGCAGCAATGAGGAGCTCGGCAAATGCCTGGGTTGTGAACATGGGGCCGAAGACGTTGGTCTCATACGTCTGCCGGACGTCATCTATCTCAATGTCCAGGGCTGGAATGGTGTGAGTCCGGCCACTGAGAGGATTTGAGGACTCTTGTTAGTGAACATGCCTATCAACAAACCAAGACCGAGCAAGCGTGAAGCTTCTTACGCATTGTTGACGAGAATGTCCAGTTTACCACCGGTGATGTTGGCAACCTCGGCCTTGCAAGCCTTGATGCTGTCCCCGTTGGTGACATCCAGCTGGACGGCGCTCATCCCCATCTCTGCCAGCCCCTTGAGCACATCGGTGTTACGTGCTGTAGCAATAACATGGCACCCTGCAAGTCCCCCAAACATCCCCCAAAGTCAGCATTTTGGAGAAGCACATTGCATGTCGAGACGCAACCGCAAATGACGCACCTTTGCGATGGAACTCCAAGGCCAGAGCATGGCCAATGCCTCCAGGCGTACAGCTATAAGCGCGGAATTAGAATCGTCCCAGCAAGCCGGAAATATATGAAATAAGCAAAACCAGTCAATATCAAGACACATACCCCGTAATAAGGACGGTTCTCTTTCCTGAAGCCATCTCGAATGTTGAATGTTGAATATTGGAACGGAGACGGACGTAAAAAAAAGTCCAGATGCGGGGGGAGGATACGGGCCTGAAGCTCGTGGATTGTTTATCATGCCGGTCGGCTGGCACATGCTAAATCCTCCAATCCAGGCCAATCCAATCGCGGGCCGATTCTAGCGGAGCTATCTGGTACATACAGGAGCTTGAGGAGCTATTATGGAGCTACATGCCTGTTGTTAGTTTGGGGAGAGTGTACAAGGTGTAATATGGAAGAAAAACCTCAACTTTTCACCTATACGTTGATTACCTACATGTGAGAACGGCTTCAAGCTCTGGGTTACACTGCATAAAACATGACATGCAGTTGCTTGGCATCAGGAGTGATTACTGGGTATTTTCGCGTTGACAATGAACTTCTATTGTAGACTCTTTTCTCAACCCCCACTGGTTTCTTGTTTCAATTCCCCATCTGTGCATTGAAATTGCCAAGTCCCATATAAGAATCCCGTTTCTTGGCATCCGCAGCCTTGCGCATCTCACTCGGCACCACAAACCATCCCAACGTCACAATGTACCAACATCAACATCAACATCAACAGCAAAAGGACAAATTCTTTTCGCTACATGCTTCTACCGAATCAAATCATGGTCGGTAGTAATGAGACATGTCCAACTCCTGGCCGCTCAGATCCCATTCCATGCAATACAAAAATCCGTGCATCCAGAGCAGAAGAATAAGACAAAGAAAAAAATAATGATCAAAAAGACAGCGCCACCAGCCTTTGGCCGTATATTCTTCCCGAATAAATATGTACCCTCTTCGCAGCAATGACTCCCGGCTACCATGTAAAGAGAAGAAAACCACAAACAAGAAAAGCACTGACTCGCAGCGAAACAGCACGCCCAAACATGAACCTCCACCGTCTTTTGGCCATCATCACCTCCTCTGCCCTGTAGACGGCACATCTCCCTGTATCTCAACTGGTCCCGACAACGGCTGCGTAACCGTCGCATCCATCTCAAACACCATGCCCATACTCGCCGTCTGCGGCGGCAGCTCCACGGCGCCATCCGGAGGCGCATACGGCCCCTGATACGCGCCCTGCGTCGCATCCCACGTCGCCGCCGAGTACCGGTACGGATCGGGGCTCTGCAGCGGCGACACCCACGACGCCTTCTTCGTCGCCTCGGAGAAGGTGCTGAGGCCCGGCGACGGCGTCGGCTCGGACAGCGGCGGCTGGCTGCTGAAGCGGGCCTCCTCGTTGGAATTGGGCAGCAGCATGGGGCGGGCCTCCTCGCCCTGCTTCTTGGAGCGGCGGAGCAGAAAGTAGACGAGGCCTGCGATGGCGCCCACGCCGCCAAAGGACGCGCCCAGGGCGATGCCGATTGTCGCGCCGGTCGAGAGGTTCTCGCTGACGGGCGCCGCGGTGCTGGAGCCCGTCGGCGTCACGGTGGTCGTCGCCGTGTTCGTCGTGCTCGTCGTCGTCGACGTCGTCATTGTTGTCGCCGCTGTTGTCGTCGTCGAGACCGTGCCGTTGACGGCGCCGTAAAACTCCTTCGGGGCCACGACCAGCGGCGTGTTGGAGTCGGCACACGCAGAGACCATCGTCTTATACACGGGCACCGCATCCGCCTTGTCGTTCTTGCCAATGCATATGGCGGACAGGATAACAAAGTTGCCCCAGTTGCCACATAGACAGGTGTTGAGGTCCATAACGGTCGAGCCGTCGCATTTTGACGTCGTGGCGGCTTGGCTCAGACAGGATTGGGCGCCGACAGGGTAGAAGCTGAAGTCGGCATGGACATCGGCAAGGGCTGGGGCGAGGAAGAGAAACAAGAGCGGCATGGAAGCCCATAGTCGTCTGCGAGGCATTGCGGCTGTGGTTGGGGGTATATTTTTTGGTGTTTTCGTTTCGTGGAACTCAACCTCTCCCGCCTCCGTCTTGGTGATGGCCAATGATCGAGTGCTTGCTGTGTTATGCTGTGTTGTGTCCCTTTGTTATGCTTGTGTTGATGTTTTGCTCCACCCTTGTCTATTTTTGTATGTCTGTTGTATCTGTATGTAGCAGCTTTCAATGCCGTCGTTGCAACCGTGGATTAAATTTTGCGTCACAATAAGCTCAGTGCCAGACCAAAAAAATGAATATGCAAAAGGTTAAAAAAAAAGTCTCCTGAATTCTGGGCGAGAATCATATGTATGGCGCGGATTGGGCCAACCCAAGGAGCGGTCGCACAGACGGTCCGTGGGACGTCAGATCCAGATTTAGAGTCGTATTACAGGGACGGTAAACACCAGGAGGGTGGATCGCAGATGGAACCCAGCGGGAAGCGAGAGTGAGTGGGAGACGGATAAAAGAGAGAGATGGAAAAAAAGAATGCAAGAGGAAGAGGAAGAGGAAGAGCCGCAGCAGGGTCAAGCGCCTGGAAGATTGATCAAAACACCAAACACGGGAACACCGCATAGCTGTGATCCGGCTATATTATCGTTGCCTCCTGCTATTTTCCCTCCCATATGACGGCCGTTCCCACATGTCTGTGGCTGGGCCCTTCGACTGCCCTCTCGCGAATGCCCTCGTTTGCCAATCACGCGGCGAACCGCCAGATTGCAGCCCAGGCTAGCAAAAAGAGGCATGAGCACTAGCAACTTCTCCTCTGGCCAGAGATGCAGGGATCGTCAGCCGCAGCCCGACGGGGCGCAGGCTCACCCAGTCCAGTCAGAGAGCAAGACTCGCGGCCCAATCCCAATGGAATGGAATGGATGCTAAAATTGGCTCTTCTTCCTTGTTTGCTCCTCTCTGTCCACTTGCTGCTTCCTGGGAACAAGCCAACCCGACGAAATGTTCCGCACCGTTGGCACCCTTTTCGTTTACTTCCCGTCGTCTGCGCTGTTACCGTGTGATTTGCTCTCCGATTTCCCCATCTGTTCTCTTTCATTTATTCTGCTTCCCGCCTTCTCGTATTCATCATCCTGACTTACACAGGGCTACAGTACCCAGGATAGAGAGAACATCCATGATACAGGCGATGAAAGTCTCGCCGCCTCCGAATAAAGGGAAAGCTGCTCTGTAAGATCTCCAGCAGTCCATCTATTAATACACTCGGCACGGAGTGGTTCCTCGGAAACAACCAGAGCCATCAACCCCTGCTGCTAGCTCGCGCCTTGTCTGGAGCTGTCAGCATTCTGATGTGATCCAAAACGGGGGTCGCCAACCCCGCCAATTTCGACAAAAGGTCTTACTGAGCCACTGAAAGAAAATGGCCGTTCTGGTAAGGCATGTGGCGAGTACCGTTGAGATGCTGTATATATATAGACACTCGTCACATTACTAAGTTGCCACTACGAGTAAGTCAATGTAAAAGGATCGAGGCAAGCTGGCAAACACACCCGTTCGCATCATAGACTACGGAGTATGAGATTCAAGGTTATTTTTAATTACTCAACCTTCACCTTCTCAGGAAGCGCATCAACAAACAGCGTGTCATCTGACATCAGCGGCCTTCTAAACCCGAGAAGCCCAAAATTTTATTTGATGTTTATGCGTTTCAGTCCCATAATTTCCAGGCTAGATTAAGGTGGAACCAGTCCAGTTCTGGGGTAGAAACTCGGGCTGGCAGCATCAAAATGCCCAAGGTGTCACGGCAAGTCACACTTTGTCACGCAAATCTTGTCCAAATTTATTGATTGAATGCGCAAGGATGCGCGGGAAACAAACAAGGTTACATCGCCAAATCAAGCAGAAACGTGAAACTCGTTAAATTCAGATACAAAGCGCCTAACATCTAACCACCGCCAGTATCACGGTAATAGTAGTGTCTCTGGTTGTTGAGCTTCTTACCATATGAGTACTCCGTCTTCCTAGACCGGTAGTGCTCCAGGTCTCGGTTGCGCTCCATGGCCTTGCGCGCTGAGCGCTTCTTCTCCTCAGAGACGCCAGCCATGCCAATAGCACCACGGGGCGCCATCTCGCGTCTACGGTTCTTGATGACGGCGACTTGGTTCTCGCTATTGGGCTCGACGCCCTCCTCGTTCCGCGCAGCTTCAAGCAGCAACTGCTCTGCCCGTTCTTCCTCCGAGGGGTGGTTGTACAGGTTCTGGCGGTAGTATTTGTTCAGGGAACGGTGACCGACGGATTTGCCCGACGGGAGATGAAGCTCGTACTCGTCGTAGAAAGCAGCATGGGTGTGCTTGTGAGCCTTGGAGTGCCATCCGTCTGCCTGGTGGTGGCTCCGAGGGTCGTTTGTGCTGTGGTGAGGGTGTTTGCTCAAGCGTTCAAACTGGTGGATGTGACCTTCAGCAGGGACTGCAGTCAAGTCTTCAGAGTCGAGAGAAGAAGCTGAGCTGTCAGTCTCCCAGCCGTCCGCATCTTCTCCCTCTTCCAACTCTTCTCCCTCAGGACCAGTGGTCTTGGCCTCCCGTCGTGCACCCAGCTTGGCCCCACCATTGCCGTCTTCTGTTGAGCCGCTGTCTGACTCATCGTCATCCTCCTCCCCATCTGAGTAGGTACTCCTGAAATCGTAGAAATCGCCAATGGCAAGTTGATCGTCTTCCGTAGAGTACGGAATCTTGCAGTGGCCCTTGTCTCTCATATGGGTCTGCACAGCAAAGAGGCTGTTCTTGAACTTGCCACAGCTGATACACTGGTGGTCCTCTCCAATCCTCTCTTGCAGATATCCGATGAGGCCCTCCAAATTGACCATGTATGTTTTTTCCGGAATAAACATTCCGTGGAAGCGTTCCATGTGCTGGGAGTTCAGAAGAGGTGTGGGGGATTCGTAGTTGCAGAAAACGCATGTGTTCAAAGTCCACACTCGTTCAGATCCAGACTGCACCGGAGTAGGAGTAGAGTCGGTACCAGCTTCACTCTCAGAAGCGGGATGAGGGACTGCCGGCCTCTTGACAGGCGAGGGTCGCTGCTCGGCCACCTTTGCTTTCTGGAGACCCTCAATCACCTGGTTGAACTCGTCCTCGGCGGCAGAGTCCACATCCTCATCCTCATCAGCAGCAGAGGCTGGCTCTCCGAGAGAAAATGTTGAGCTCATGACAGAGGTGGTTTCGTCATCATGTTTCTTGGTCGTGTTTGCCTTGTTTTGCTTGTGTTTTTGGCTCAGCAAGTGATTCCGGTAGGCGTTTTCACTGTAGTATGTCTTGCCGCAAGGTTCACAGGCACGCTCAAACATGGCCTTGTCAGCTTCGGCTGTGGTATCAGCACGAGCCTGGAGGACCTTTTCGGTGAAGATTTCGGCGGTAATGGGGGGCAAAGAGGCAACTCGTCGCTTGAGGTTATATCGGCTAAGATTGTCATGTTAGAGACGGAGAAATGGCGAAGCAGGAGCAGCAACAGCAGAGGTCCCCCTCAGCCGGCTCCTCCTGAACCAGAACCGCACTTACTGCCAGTCACTCTTCATGTGAGTCTTTTGGAGATCGATATTGCGATAGGCGACCTGACAAGAGTTGCACGTGTAAGGATGCGAACTCGAAGTCGCCTGCCCCGCGGCGGCGGGCTGGGCGCTCGCCATGGTGGAAAAAGGATGTCTATGACCAGTCGCAACAAGTTTGTTAACAGATCGAGTCTGCTGTGTCGGTGAGATAGGGAGTTCAAGCCCTTATAAAGCCCGGGGAAGCCAGCATGCGTGACTCGGCTCTGACGATGTTTTGCAGAATTATTAATTCTGGTGGAAGTTTTTGAGTGGCGGGGGCATCTGACGTATTATCGAGCGAGCGCTTGCCAAAGGTGGGTCGTGCCCTGCATTTTTCTGCAGGCGATGTGATATGGCACGCAAAATTCCTGCTTGGCCTGCAAGCGGGTACTCGCCCGGTACTTTGAAAGCCTGCGGCCATGGGGGCGCTTACCTTGAAGCCCACAGGAGCCGTTGACGTGACGCCCTAACAGCGCCCCTGCGTGGCATCTGCCGGGTGCAGATAGCGCTGGCGGTATGCTGTCGTGCGCTGAAACTCAGATCCGGGCCTGGGGGTGGGCTGTGGCGGCCCAACTCCAACGGAGTACCTTGGCGGTACCTGATAGCAACGAGGTAGCAGATACCTCATCTCGCGGCAGACCCGGCGACTAACATCGTCGATACGAGCGTCTCGTCAGGTAGCCGGTACTCATGCCGCAACTCCCCGGGGCGCAGCTAAGCAACTGGCCGTGCTCCCTCCCCACTGCCGTCACTTCAGCCTTGCTCATCTCCGTTGTCAACCAGCCGCCACCAACCTTTGCCTCTTCATCCCTACGCGCATCTTAATCCATCATCTCCTACCGCAGCATCATCGTCCACGCCGCATCGTGTCGCCTCCCGGTTGTCAGCGATTCCTCAAAGCATGGGCTGTTGATTTGCACTCACCACAGCGGCTACCTCGTCAGCCATGAGCGCGCCGCACAAGACGTCCTCGTCAGCAAGGGGCCTCGAGCCCGGCCATGCCGCCGAAGCCCGCCTCCGGGGCCCCTCCGAAGCAGACGGGGAGCTGGATCTGCTTGCCGGGCTCTGGCAGGTGGCTCCATTTGCTCGCCTTCCGGCCGATGCGCCTGTCGAACTGAACGACTACGTCCAGCATGTCGAGAATCCCCGTCGCGTCTATGCCATCCATCGAGCCAGTCGTCGTCACGACTTCCAGCATCTCGTCGACAAGTATGTCATGCCATGTCCCTCTGATGCCCTTCCCTTTGCGCCGTAACAGATGTGCTGACGCCTTGTCTTTCTAATGATACAGATACATCTCCCAGCTGAGGACCGGCTGTGGTGCTTCGAATTGCTCGACGGCTACCTGCTTTACCTGCCGCAAGCGTCTCGCTGGCAAGGCGCCCATCCGCAGATATAATCCCACTAGCGCCAGAACGCTGGCAGTGTACCTAGCCAGTCAAGACAATCCAGAGGCCGGCCTCTGTCCACATCTCGGCTCACCCAGAGAGATACCCCCGGCCTTCAACAGCCTCATCTTTTCCACCCGGCCTTCACCATCCCAGCACAGCACCCGCAGGCCTCCTGATATCCAGACTGCACCTCGACGGAAACCAAGCACCGGGACTGCTACCAAGTCTCCCGTTTCCCCAACTACAACGAGATCCCGCTCGCCATCTTTGGATAAGCAACACTTGGACAACCAACCTAGTGAAACCAAGAATGGCGACGCTTCCACACGGCCTGGACAATTACCGGCCTCCCATATTAGTGTGTCAGAGAAGGCAACACAAAAGGATTATAGGTCATTTGCGGTGGCCACCTTTGGCACTGTCGCATTCAAAATGCTGGAATGGCTTACACCGCAGGCAATTGAAGCCATGACGGAGAAGTTCTCCGAGCTGGGTGGCTTTCGACAGACTACCGATAGTCCTGTTGTTAATACCAATGCTGCCGCCACTACTGCCGGTCCAACCAACACAGAGCAGGCTATAAGCTCGCAGACACATCAGGCCCAGGCGCAGCGAGCCGCACCTCCACCAGCCACACATCCTAAGCGGAGCAAGACTTCAAAGCCGGCAAGGACTTCGAGCCAGGACGTAATCGAACCACCAACACCAGTGAAAGATGTATCCTCCAGACCTAAGAGAAACTCCAAGCCGACTCTTCGTTCTTCTCCCTCCAAATCAAACAACAGGAGGACCATGGATCCCGTTGCCATTTCAGCAGGGACTGAAGAGGCTAAGCCAACCTCACGACCTCCCAGTTTAAATGGTTTCTACCCCGACAAGCTGGCTCGCGCTGGTAAGACATCGCCCGCCATAATTACTCGCGGCGTTCCCGAAATACCATCCAAGCCTGCCTTTTTCGAGAATCTGTCTACTCCCACCCCTACTGCTACCACCGCCAACGAGGTAGAGGATGTCGAATCGGGGTCCTCTGATACGGAGACTATTGACGAGAGGGAGACGCCTAGTAGTACCCCTCCGGCTGTGAAGAATGAGCATCTCGACACTCGAACCAAGCCGAGACCTATTTCACCAATGCCCGAGGCAGATTTCCCCTCGGCCAAGTCTCTATTACCTCAATCCTTGTCCACGCTAAACGTTGAACTTGTCGATTTCATATGTGATGTGTTTCAAGAGGACAATACCTCTGAACGCCACTTTTTCGGGCCCTTGGAATCTCACGCCTCGTATCCCATACCCCAGAATTCGTCGAGAAAGCTGGCCAGACGGCGATCGATATCCCGCTCCACCTCCCCCAGTCAATGGAAGGCCTTCAATGAACAGGCCCTCTTCACCGTCCTTAGTGACCCTCACTCCCTCGTTCAGTCCTTCTCCCGGGATGGCAAGCTGTATGACTCGCAGACGTTATTCTACTGTATGCTTCGGATGACTCGTGCTGCGCCAACCCTGGTCCTTCACAGCCTTTGGATGGCGGCAGAGTCCCTATTCACGGCACCAAGGTCTTTTCAAGCCTCACAGTCTCGTCCCTCAAGGGCACTGCCACGAAGTCGGAAACCGCTGTCAGACTTCGAAGCCGGTTGCGTCGTGTCCGTCTGTCTACATGCTCTCGTTGCGGTGGCACCCTTCGTCTCGGACTCTAAGACTCTGTATGACATGTCGCGCATCCGATCTACGGGATTGACTCTGGGTGGCAACGGCCTCTCCGCAAGACAGCCGCAGTCCATATGCCTCGAGTATGAGGATGTCTTTTCAAACGACAACGCCATCAGACTCGCACGCCGTGTCTTCTCTGCCGTGTCTGCTCGCCGATCACTCGCTACTTTGATGCGTATGGATGGCAAGACGAAAGCTGGCCAGTTGGACATACTTCAGCCGCTGCTCAGCCAACTCGACCTTGTGCACTCGGGACCTCTCCGAGTTTTGGAATTTCCACAGGCCGAACGACTGCTGCACGAGACCCGCGTCCCCACCCTATTACTCGACTGGGCGAGGACGGTTCTCTATCACGAATGGGACGGAAATCCCGAAATTGTGTGCGCCGGTGCCTTTCACGGGGCGCTGTCTCTGATTTCTACCATGTGTAAGTCATAAAAACCTGTCATCCCAGAGCGCTCATTATTGCATGCTAACGAGAACACAGACCAAAACAGGTCCAGACTCCTCCTGGGAGACATTCAATTCCGGGCAGACTATTTCTCAGAACGCTTGGACACCATGGAGATGCCAGTGTCGTGGGCTGAATCCAGGGCTCCCCGGAACAAGGGACACATGCTCGACTACCCCTATCTCTTCAGCCCAGAGTGTCTCGTCACGTTCTTCCGATCCATCAATTTCGCAAAGATGAGTCGGATGTTTGAAGAGAGTAGTTCTCTCAAGACTAGGATGAGCGCCATTGTCGATCCCGGTAGTCTTGTCGCCAATCCTCATCATAAGATTGTGCTACAAGATATGCTGAGAGTGGCATCATCCAAGTATCTGGTCCTGGATATCGGCCGGGAAAATGTGCTCAGAGATGCCTTTGACCAGCTGTGGAGGCGAGAACGGCGCGAGCTTCTCCGTCCTCTCAAGGTCCACCTTGGCGAGCAGAGCGGAGAGGAAGGTTTTGATTCGGGTGGCGTTCAGCAGGAATTCTTCCGAGTAGCCATTGCCGAGTGCATGGACCCCAAGTACGGTGCTTTTTCAATCGATGACCGAACGCGCATGGCATGGTTCGTCCCCGGCTCGGTTGTGGAGGAGTGGAAGTTTGAGTTGATGGGCGTTCTCGTATCTCTGGCAGTGTACAACGGCCTCACGCTTCCCGTCACATTCCCCAGGGCCCTGTACCGGAAACTGCTGGGAGAGCCGGTGGAGGAGCTCTATCACATTGCTGACGGGTGGCCTGCGCTGGCCAGCGGGCTGATGAGTCTGCTGGAGTGGAATGAAAAGGACGGCCAGGTTGAGGATATCTTTGCGCGCACTTACGAGTTTTCCGTATCTAACATTGGGGGCAATGTGACACGAGAAATGACTAAGGATGTGGTACAGTGGCCGCAGAACCTCGACTGGAAGATGCGCATCAATGTTCCCGAAGAGTCGGTCGATGATCGAGAGGCGCCGCTGGTAACCAACGACAACCGCGATCAGTATGTGAGCGACTATATCCGCTACCTGACTGACGTCTCGGTCCGACCGCAGTACGAGGCATTTGAGCGCGGCTTCAACAGCTGTCTCGAGTACAAATCGCTCTCCCTGTTGAGCCCCCAGATTCTGCAGTCCCTCGTCGAGGGCGTGCAGGAGATTGATATTTCGGAGCTTCGGCGATATACTCGTTATGTGGGATGGGATGCTTCCCACCACACGGTTAGAGATTTCTGGTCCATTGTTAAGCGATATGATGACAGAATGAAGCGCAAGCTGTTGGAATTCGTCACCGCTTCGGACCGCGTCCCCGTCGGGGGCATGCGCAACCTGCAATTTGTGGTGCAGAGGAATGGTGATGGCGAGGATAGTGGGAATCGTCTGCCCACCGCGTATACATGCTACGGAACACTCCTTTTGCCGGACTACAGAGACAAGGACATGTTGAGGCAGCGGCTTACTATGGCGCTTGAAAATGCGCAGGGATTCGGCTTTGCATAAAAGGGGAAAAGCCTTGACTCTTTTTCTTTTGTTTCAAGCGGGCTCTTCATTCTTACTACTTTTTTACTATATAAGCGTTTGAGTTTGGCTATTGGAATTGGAGCGATCATTCGGGTTTAGAATTTGTGCTGGAAGCAAGTTTATTGATTGCATTGGGTACTCGTGAGCTTACATCTATACCTATATACTTATTTGTATATACTATACGCAGCTGGTCTGGGAACTGTTTTTCGTTCTTCTTTTGGAAACGCTCATTGATATTTACATGGACCAGACTGCACACTTTGTAATGTAGCTAAAAAAAAACATACAATAATCAATTCATCTCATCTGTCTCACGTTCAGGTTGATTCTCTTGTTCTGCATCCAGCCCTTCCACTGCTCAAACTCTCCATTTTCTCCTCCGGCAGGCCAATCTGCCAGATAATCCGGGCATGTGCCCTTCATTACTTTTGGTACGCCGTGCCAAGCGTAGCGCGACTCCTTGGTCATGTAGATGGCGTCCCCGGAGCGAAGTCTCAGCAGAAGATATTTCTTCTTTTGCCCCTCTTTGTCTTGTTCAGATTCTTGATCTTGGCCTTGTTCGTCGTCGGGGCCGCGACTGGGCGCAATCATGAATAGGCAGTCGCATCCGAAACTCAGACTGACGAGACCCTTGTCGATTTCCTCGCTGACGTCCCTGTGCATCATCATTGTATCTCCCGGAGTATAAAAGTTGACAATGGCAGCCTGGGCGAGCGTCTCAGGGAACAAGGCCTTTAGAAACGACGCGAGATCTTCCGGAAAACTGGGCGGAGCAGCTTCCGGATAGACACGATTCGTCCAGTCGTACTGGCCGCCGAGGGTGACCCAATGGAGACGCCGTTGGAGGACTTGTTTGATGGAAAGGGGGTTGTGGACGGCCGGGTCTTTGGGGAGGAATGAGGGGGGGGACTCTGGGGAGAGGGAGAAGAAGGATTCTGAGGAAGGGGGGTAGGGGAGGTCGTAGTGGAGGTGGAGGTTTGTTTGGTGGGTGGGATTGCTGAGATCGCGGTGGATCATGGTGTTGAGGAGGTGTGTTTGGACGGCTGGGGGGATGAGCGAGGGGAGGATGAGGAGGCCTGTTGGGAGGGAATGAGTTAGTCAGTTGAGTATAACTGTAGTGAGTGTAACAAGCTTGAATTCTTGAGATTATTATGAAAAGTCTAGTGTAATGGAGACAAACCTGGAAGCAAAGGATGATATAAAATCGGAGCATCGCCATCACCCGCTCCCTCACCCGCAAACTCGGACCCCAAGTGCGAAAACGCCTCTGATATCTGAGACCGCGGGACGTGCCCCGACAGCACAAACCCGCTCTGGTCAAGCGGAAGCTGGGGATCGTCGAGCGGCGTCTCCTGGAGGAGGACCGTCTGGTCGAGGCGCGAGAAGTGCTTCCACTCGGCCTTCATCTGGTCCGAGGGCTGCTCGTGGGCGTCGAGGTCGAGGGCGCCGGGGGCCATGATTTTGGTTTATTGAGTTTTGAGTTTTGGTTATTGTAAGTGAGGCTTTTATGATGATGAGATATGGGGGTTAATGAGTGAGTGAGTGAGTGCATATGATATGATTTTGCCTACCCTAGGTGGTTTTTAGTTGTGCCCATTGGGCTAATGCACTGTGCTTATCTACATCACACGGTGTTGGGCGATTTGGCACCCATTGAATCATGATTCTGCTTTCAATGCTCTTTATACATGGCTGGAAATAAATATTTGAGAATTACTAGTTAATAATATGTTTTTATCTTCTTTATATAATATGCACATATCTCAACGAAGAAACGTGTACTGTCGACTCTTCCATCTCTCCTCTCATATGTAGTGATTTTATAGTGGGTCGCCTGTATTTTCACCCACTGCCAAATACTTGCTTCACTCTCAGCTCTCTCAAAATCAACGTCACCAAACAAAACTCACATCAAGCATTCCCTTACAATGCCTCCACTAAAGCCACCTTCTATAAAACGAATTGCAGCCTCATCTCATCTCATCTTATACCCTAATTCTCGCTCATGCTTTAGCACATCCGTCCCACGATGGCCTCGCCTGCGACCCAGTGCAAGACCATCATCTCGCATCCTCGCCACCAACAATGACATTCATCACAGCAATCAACTCGACTCAACGCCATCACCATTAGCAGCACCAATCTCTCCTAGAACAACAACTGATATTACTCCGCCTGAAACTACAATACCTCATAAATCCAGCTCCTTATCCAAAACTCCAAATCCACCCTCACCATCACCATCACCTTCATCCTCATCAGCAACCCCCAAACGCTCCGCCCCCCCAAACACAAAACCTCACAAAGAAACCCTCTTCACAAACACCCTCATCCGCCAAACCCCCTCCTCCCCCCTCATCACAACAACCACCACAAAGCCCCAAGACGCCCAAATCGCCTCCGCAGCCTCCTTCTTCCAACAGGGCTTCCAGTTCCTCTACTCCGCCGAATCCCTCCGCCACCACCCCAAGAACGACCACATCCCCGAAATAATCATCCTCGGCGCCTCAAACGTCGGCAAGTCCTCCTTCCTCAACGCCCTCGTCGGCCGCCCCGGTGCCGCAAGGGTCAGCGCCCGCCCCGGCAAAACAACCCTCATGAACGCCTTTGGCCTGGGTCCCCTCCCCAACATCCCGCGGGGCCTCGTCCGTCAGGGCGAGAAACCGCCGCGGTACAGCCTCGTCCTCGTCGACACGCCCGGGTATGGGTTCAAGAGCCAGGCCAGCTGGGGCGATGCCGTGTGGAAGTACATCAAGGCGCGAAAGATGCTGCGCGGGGCCGTGGTGCTGCTTTCTTCCGAGAAGAGGCTGATGGAGCAGGACAAGTGGCTGTTGAGGACGCTGGCCGAGGCAAACACCAGAACGCTGGTTGTCTTGACAAAGGCGGACAAGGGCGGCGGCTCGTGGACTCAGCGATGCGGCGAGATGGCCACCCTGCTGCGGGAGGAGCTGCGAAAGATGTCCCGATCTGTAGGCAACGGATGGGCAGAAGGGTCAGGCTGGAATCCAGACATACACGTCACTGCAGCGGGAATGGACAAGGTACCGAAGCTAGGCAGCGGAGGAGGCGTGGGAGGTGTTAGGACGAGCATCCTGGAAATGGCAGGCTTCGACTTTGACCTCAAAGAAAAAGAGGTGAAAAAGAAAGACGAGACGGTCACGTACGGAGGACCAGTGGTTTCATTTGATGATATTAAATGGAAGACGTGACTATGTATGACTATGGATGGCATGGGAGGTATTGGGTGTATTAGAACTTTGTACACACATCAACAAATATGATGTAAGGAAATTTTCAGATCAGAAAGCCAGGGTATGGTAGAGAGAATGGGGTACATAAAAACAAGATGAAAAAAGAAACCTCCCTCCCAAAAACAATATTGAATCCCATGCTTGGCGGTAGATATAGCCAAGAAAATAATGAAATAAAACCAAAAGATAGGGGGAATGGAAGGAAAGGAAGAATAAGAAAGAAAGAAAGAAAGAAAGAATATCCCAACCATCACACAGCCGTCATCAATCTCCCTTAATCGACCTCGATGACTTGTTGGATCTGATTGAATGAGGAGTGGTTGGCCGACTGGCCTTTGACTTCTTCTTCTTCGTGTCGAACAAGCTCTTGACCTTGCGCAGCCTCGCCCATCGCTCCTTGTCCTTTGCGTCCCGTGTGGCTTCATCATCCTCATCATTGATAGCAGTCGAATCAATAGAGATATTCGGTGTGTGGTGCGCAGCTGGTCGGGACGGCGTTTTAAGAGGCGTAGATGGATCTGCGGCCGCAGCTGGCTTGGACGCTGGCTTGGACACTGGCTTGAGCCGGCCTTCGTATACCTTTCTCAAATCAGATTCGTTCTTGATGGACTGTAACAATATCTTCCACGCAGGCATATCCTCCGTATCGTTGCTTTGTATACTGTGCCCCCTGCTCTGGGCGGCGGGATTCTTCCAGGGGCAGAAGAAGCGGTGCTCTCGCTCGGGATCAAGATAGTCCATCGGTGCAGGCACAATTACCATTCCGCTTTCGTCCACCTCTTTACTCTTAAACATCCATAGACCCAATCGTCGCTGGCAGGTGTGGCATGACGCCGTGTTGGGAACAGCGCCGATGCGGGTGTTAGTCAGGCCTTGCCAACCCAAAAGGGCCAGAGCAAGCGCAGGTCTATTGGGTGCATCCGTCGAAGCCTTGTCACTGGTGAAAAAATCGGGTGGCAGCTGTTCAATCACATGATCCAAATTCATGCCTTCCGGGAGGTGGAGGTTGAATTCATATGGGAGAAATGTCTGCCGGGAACAGAGCTCCTCATATCGCTTCTTCAGAGCTTCGATGGCAGCCTTTACGCTCATGAATGACAGCCGGAGCAAGGAATCTTGATAAAACGATTAGTAAAGACGACTAGCCTGCTTAATGGACACCATGAGCTTACCATCACATCCTCTTCTCTTCCATAGGCAGTCGGACTGATGCGCGCTGACAATCAACTCTGCATATTTGTCGACCAAAGCGGCTTCTGTTTATAACGAGTTAAATCACGGCCCTCATTGGAAACAACATCAACAAACCAATAAAAAACTCACCAACTTCAGCAGATGTCAGCGCATCTCCCTCGCTTTCTCCGGCCTCCTTCTTCAGCTTAACCACCAGTTCCTTGTGACACAGCAAGCATCGCACCCTTTCCTTGCCCTGACATATCCATCCCCTCTTGGCCCACTCCACCTCGTTGATCTTATCAGGCTTTGGAGTCCAGTCGGTGATTTCCTGAAACGTCGCCAGCCTCTTCAGCAGTTCCTCCCTATCACCAGGAGAGTACCTCGCGGGCCCATCTCTCCGAACTTTCGGAGTCGTCGCATCAGAGACTGTCCGCCTTATGGAGCTGGCCAGACTGGTGAGCCCCGATGTAACGGTGTTGTCCAGACGCGGGGCGGTTGATTCGGGAAAGCCCAGGCGACGGCGCTTCTGAAGCAGCGCCTCATAGTCCACCGTCTTGATGGTGCCGCTGGGTACACGGTTTCCAAACATGGCTGCTGGAGATTCTCCGTCTGTGCTAGGGCGCGGGCTGCTCAACCCCTGGAGCAAGGCGTTGAACTTGCGTTTGGTAGAGTTCATGATGGACAGGGAGTGAGAGGTTGATGAGAGCGAGTGAGTGGTGAGTGGTGAGTGAGGCTGTGTGCGCCGCTCGCGCTCCGTAGGCCCGGTAAACCTATTATTCCGGGTATATACGACGGCAAACAGTAAAGGAGATGTCCCGGGTAGAAAAACGAGAGGCTGGCGGTCGATATTCCGTCTGCCGTTGAAGCTCCGTCAAGGGTCCGTCCCCTGATAGAACGGATGGGTATGAGAGAGAACCGAGCTCCTGGACGCGCTAGAGAAAACAAAAGAAAAAGGGCGGATCCAAGGAGACGAGATTCGAATTATTGAAAGAAAAAGAAAAGAAAAGAAAAGAAAAGAAAAAAAGGATTCCGTCAGCAGAGGTGAAACGCGCTCTCTCAGGCGGAAATGCGCGGGGCTGTGAGGGCTCGAGATGCCCGGTATTGTTTTGCTATATCCAAACCCATCACAATCACAATCCAAGCTTTGACATCACCAAATGAGGCGTTGCCAACGCCAACCTTGTTGCTGACTAACGGAGCACGGCGCATCGTTAATCCCGGCTGTTCCTTGATAAGCGATAAGCTCCTCCACACCGCCCGTGCCTTTTTGGGCCCTTGTTCCTGGGCGCGTGGCAGAAACTTGCGGCTAAATAATTTTTTTTTTTTTGCGGCTTCAAAGTTTCGCATAGAAACTAAGTCGTGAAGTTTCAGCGAACTGCGATAGACGGCAATAGATATTATCTTTTTTTTCTCCCCCCCTGAATTTTCCCATATTCAGGTCCAATTGGGATTCACGACTGTTTGACAAGTCATTCAGCTGTTTCTCACATGTCCAGCGCATCTGCAAAACCACCTTCCTGGCTCTTCTCCAACAACACCAACAACAACCCTACCAACAAGAGCCACACGAGCACCTCTCCAGCAACCACCAGCACAAACGACGACGAAATGGCCAAGTCAAAAACTTCCACCGACAACGGCGCCGAGGCTCAATCCCAGCCCCCCGCCCAGCTGCTCGACCTGGTAGAGCAGTTCCTCTCCGACAACGCCTTCGCCAGCGCCCTCAGCGCCTTTAAGAAGCAGCGGGCCAAGAAGGGCTGGGGCGAGGCCTCTGAGGCCAGCAGCAGCGGAACTACCCTGGTGGGCGTTTTTCAGGCCTGGCAGAACGCCGCCAAGGCCCCCGCCGACCGAGATGTCGACATGGACGACTCCAGCAGCTCGAGTTCCAGCTCAGACAGCTCCAGCTCCAGCGACAGCAGTGATAGCAGCGAGAGCGAGAGCGAGAGCGAGAGCGAGGACGAGAAGCCTGCTTTCCGCGCAAAGTCTCCTCCCAAGGGAAACAAGAACTTGAAGCGCAAGGCGCCCGCAAGCTCAAGTTCCAGCTCGAGCTCCGACTCTAGCTCGTCCGATTCCAGCTCGGACTCGGACGACGAGAAGCCCAGCGCCAAGAAGCAAAAGGTTGCTCCTGCTTCCGACTCGGACTCAGACTCTGACTCTGATTCCGACTCCGAATCGAGCTCCGAGTCGAGCTCCTCAGACGAGAGCTCCAGCTCCGACGAAAGCTCCGACAGCGAGTCTGAAGTCGAGGCCGCAGTCGCCGCCAAAGTGCCCCTCCCCGACTCTTCCTCCGACTCATCTTCCGACTCCTCCTCAGACTCGGATTCCTCCTCCGATGACGACGACAAGAAGAAGAAGAAGACCAACAACACCAAAAAGGTCAACGGCGTCTCCAAAAAGGCCTCCGCCGACGAGTCCGCCCCCTCCGACTCCTCCGTCACAATCGACTCCCTGCCCAACCCCCCCTTACCCCCCAACCCGCGCGACCTGCCCAACGGCAAGAAGCCCAAGAACGAGCCCTTCTCGCGCATCCCCAAGGACATCAAGGTCGACCCCAAGTTCGCCTCTAACGAGTACGTCTCCATCAGCTACTCCCAGCGCGCCCACGAGGACCTCATCGTCACAAAGGGCAAGGGCTTCACCAAGGAGAAGAACAAGAAGAAGAGGGGCAACTTCCGCGCCGGCCTCATTGATATTGACGAGAAGAAGAGTATCTACTTTGATGACTAATTGGAGAGAGAGAGAGAGAGAGAAAAGAGGTACGTAAATAGTACTTCTATAAAAAAGAGAGGTTCAAGGAAGCTTCTAGGGGTGCATTCAACAGCCGGTGTTTAAGGGCGGCGCCTTTGTCTATTTTTCAAAAAGTCGTTTTTCCTTTTTCTTTTATTGTCCATTTCCTAGAACATTTTTTACAACTTTTGTTAGAATATGCTTCATTTTTTTTCTCTTAATCCATGATATTTTCAAATATATTCAAAACTTCTTGATTAGTAGAGATCTCCCCGTATGTATGTAATCTCGAGTTATGATTGATTATATGTCAAGTCTATTTGCTCGCTTGTTTCGTGATGTATATATCCAGACTGTAACTATAGTATCCAATTCCAATGCCAAATGCCTGCTAAATGGTATATAACAGTCGTAACGCCATATGTGTATCCAGCATGCCTGTTCCCCAACTTGCTGTCTCGTAAATCCGTCTCTTTTCACATAAACACAATGTAATGCCCAAACCTCAAAGCCTGCCAAGACAACTAAAACGCAGCAAATCCCAAATGAAGAAGTAAAAGCCAACCATGTATCATCATTTCCATCAAAGCATAGCGAAATCCGTCAAAAAATGAGAGAAAAGGGAAATCCTCCGCCTTAAAAGGCCGCCCTCGTTGTTCCTGTGCCCGTTCCCGCAACCTGAACCTCGGTCGCCGGCGCTCTTTGCGTTGCAGGGTCGCTTCCCTCTTTGCTCGCTTGAGTCATAATCTCATTCTTCCTCCTGACTGCCTCCCAGCTGCGGTTGCCAATCTTTGCATTGTGCAGTGCCTCATTGAGCCACTGTTGCCACTGCGGTGTGCCCGGCGCGGCGCCGCTGCGCTCGACCCAACCTATGGCCTGTGTCTCGCGAATAGCATACCACAAGGTCCGTGTGAAGCTCGGGTGGCCCTCGCGCTCGTCATTCCGGTCCGTAACGGTATCAGCGTTCTGGCCATCTTTTTCAGTGGCATCGTCCCAGATATAGCGCGAGAGATCCCAGAAGTAGGTCCGGGGTATCATGCCAAGACCCCAGTACAGTCCGTTGAGGACAATGTACGACCCTCCTATGAAGATTTGCGAGTTCCAGGTGCAGTTGCCGAGCAGCACGACACTGAACATGAGAAGGATTGTGCCGAGCGCCATAAAGAACCTGTAGGCTCTCTCGCCGACGTAGTACTCACACTCTTCGGTTCCAGAGTATAGCTCGCGAGTAACGTCTTCAGAACAGCGAACCAAAACAAAAGCTCCCTCGCGGGTACGTATCATGACATCACCGCGAGGTACTTCGTTAGTGTGCGTGCGTTGCATGAGGATCGGCCGCCACGAGGAAGCATAGCCGACAATGCTGGAGGCAGAAGAGATGAGGGTGATGGCGATGATTGCGGTACCGTCCTGCCAAATAACGGCAGCAACGAGAATGGCAACGCTGAGAAAGAAGGAAAAGGCAGAGAGGAGATGGAGAGGCGAGAGAAGTTTGGGGGGCACAATGGGTCGACCACCAGTCACAGCCATGGTTCCAGTCGAAAGCAGATCCTGAAATTTTTCGGTGGTGCGTCGGCGGAGCGGCCCAGGTTGGCCATTGACTTCGACTTCAGGGTTGAATCTAACAGTCGGAGTTCTTGACTGGGACTCGATGTCGACCTCGTGTGGTGGTCCGGCCAGCTTTGAAGGCGTGGGGCGATGATCCAAGACCTTTTCCGTCTCTCTAGCCCTGGAAAGGCCACCCAAAGAAACGTCTGACACGCCCTGCTTCCGGCCCCAAGGCACGTGTCTGGTGATGAAACCTTGGAGACCGCCTTTGTCCTGATGATGGTGGTGATGGTGGCTCGCATTGGTGATTGGCGGCGGCACACTTGGCGCGTGCTGAATGTCCAGCACCAGGAAGCTGTACGGCGGCAGGGCATCCAGCGGCGTGATGATGTTGGCGAAGAATCCCACAGAGTCCAGGAGAGTGCCGTTGTAGACGCCCACCATCTTGGCGTGCGTCTCGGGCAGTCGAGCCGGCCGCGACGGCTTCAACAGGGCCTGGGGCGCGGGCAGCAGACGGGGCAGCATGCAGAGCAGCGAGGCGGTGATTGTCTGCGAGTGCTCGGCGATGGCAGACTCTCCCATGACGGCGAGAAGCGTGACGACGTCGAGGCGCCATGAGGGCTTGTCGTTGGGGAACCATTTCCAGCCAGGGTCGCCTGGGTTGGACATTTTGGACGGTGAAGCTGTAGTGTATAATAGTAGTAGTAGGAGTAGCGAGAGAGGAGAGATGGCGAGGCTGCTTCAGTCACTGAGCGAGATTGAGGCAGAAAACCAGCGGCGATGCGAGACGAAAAGACGACACTGCGAGACAGGACGAGAACCAGAAACCGATGATGCTAGAACAAAAACATGATTACACGAGATGAAAGTGAGATGAACAGGGACAAGTTTTTTTTTTTTTTGTCTTCTGTGGTTCCATCCATGTTGAAGAATCGAGACAAGGTAACTGCGACAGGGCCATGTGATAGGTCCTTCCTCAGCTCGCCTGGCATGGCTCTTTACCTAATGCACGTACAACCTGCGCTTCTAGAGCGTGCAGGAGGCTATGCTAGTGCAATAGCCTGCGCGGGCTGAGGCGAGACGCGTCATTGCTGGAATGACAGTCGGAGAATAATTGATCATCAGGATAATTGTATATAGGTATGTTAATTACCAAGGCGAGGTGTCAGGTTCCCAGAGAGAGAGTTGAGTCTCTTCGCTAACTATGGATACAACTAGGTTTATTTTCCTCTACCTTCGTATAGGTGGCTCTAACTGACTTAGTAGTCCCAGCGTCAACTATAATTTAGGCCCCCCTCCATCTAGTTCCAGTCTCTACAGCACTCTCTGTTGAGCCGCTAAGCCTCCATTAATCAATTTGCCACAATCTGTGTGGATGGGCCATGTATTGATCGACTGCACAGCTCTAGAGCAACCTTTGGGGGGCCTCCAGATCGATATCAAACAACTGCTTCCGGTTTTCGGCATAGCCTCCAGCCATCTTTGTTTCTCATTTTAATACACAATAGTTGATGACATTAGTACTCCATAGACACCAAATATAGAGGCAGAAACTGCTACGGAGTACAAGTTGCTCAACATTCACTTCAGTTCCAACAACAATCGGACCAACCATCTCTCCGCCCCATAACCACTCACTTACCGCCATTATCAGTCTTCTCAACATGGAGACAGACCACACGCATCCTTATTACCAAACGGGAATAAGCATGAAGAAAAAAGTACCGGAGCTAATATTGCCTACGCTGACACGCATAAGTACAAGCGTACATATCCCGGCACTCATCAAATCATCCATCGTACCATCATCCATCCAATAGTACACAAGGTAGTATATACATATGAAGTACATATGTGTAAAAAACGTAAACAAACATGATATCAACAGACAAAGAGTATCGTATCTACGCAAAAAGCAACGGGCCCAACCCTCATCTCGTCGTAATCCGTCTATCCGGCCGGATCCCCAGCAAACGCCTCTGCCTGCCATGCGGCTCCCAGCATAGCCCCCTTTAGTCTTCAAACGGCAAGACATATCCGTCCCAGAAAACGACCAAATCAACCAAAACGCCGCAATTCCGCCTCCAGGCTGCAAACAACAGACATGTAGTCAAATCTTGGCCACGTCCTTGACGAGGTGGCCATACTCTTCATCTACCCAGTCGAGGAATCTATTCCACAATTGGTTCCACTCATTCAACATCTTCTCTGTCTCCTTCTCGCTTAAACATGCATGCTCGATACTCCACATGGCAAGCTGCTTCCACCCGTACAGCCCCATGTCTGCTTTGCCCACCATGACTTGATAAAAGTCGTGTGACAACGATGAGCTGTTCCTTTCATTAGCTCTAGGTCTCATCACATATGTATATGGCGGTGTTGCGGCAACCTACCTAAAAAGTGCCCCGTTATCAGAGCTTACAGTACAGTGCACGTTATTTGCCAGCAGCTGGTACATGGAGTGTCCGCTCACTCGCGGTGTGAGCCCTAGGATCTCGTTGGAAATAGGGCATAGTTCCAAGCAGATGCCCTTGGCCTTCATGTGCTGCATAATGTATGGGTGTTTTGCCAGAGCAAATCCATGGCCGATGCGCTTTGACCCCAACAAAAGAGCATCGACCAGATTGCCATCCGTGTCGGTGCCCATGTCCAGTGTCTCACCACAGTGGAATAAGAAGGGGATGTCGAGGTTCTGCTCAGCACACTGCTTCCTGAACTCGAGCAGCTCGGGGACAAACTCCTTGATCGGATAACCCTTTGCCTCTTCGCCAACAAGGTCAAAGCCTAGAGGAAGCAAGACATGTTAGCGTTGCTTTCAAAGGATAATGGGTAGGGCTCTCCACATGCTTACCTGCAATCCACTCTGGCCACTTCTTCTTAAATGCAATGCACTCAGCAAGGGCAACTTTTACTTTCTCCCGATCCATTGATCGTGGTGTGCAATATATAACTTTGAGGCCCCCAAAGGACTGGCCCTTCTTAGCCAAGTCCCCTTGAAACCGCTTCGTCTCTTGGATGATGATTTCCATGATGCCCTCGTTATCGATGGAACCGTTGCCGTCGTCGGTATAGAGCTGATTGGTGCTCATAAAATTTGGTCGTATCTCGGCGTATTGGATATTATCACGGACAAAGTCTTCAAGGCACTGGTATGTATAAGCGCGATACGCTCTCTCATAGTTGAAAAGACCCTTCATCATGCGTGTTCTTCCGTTGAATTTTTCCCAAGCACTGTACATGGAGGGAAAGGAAGCCTGTTAGTATTTGAGGAAGAGGGAAGAAGGAAAGAAAGTAGAAGGAGATGAAAAGGGGGTAATTCAAGTGCACACGAGTAAAGTGATGAGAAAAGAATAGAGGAAAAAGAAAATGCGGACTACAACGGAAGAAAAACTCACCCAGCAGCTGTCTGGAAGGGATTGTGGGCCTCCTGCTCATCGAACAAGAGTTTACGCAGCAACCACTCATCAACAGTGGCCTTTGTATAATGACTTGAGAACTGGCCTAAAAAGTCTGAAAATTTCATCGTATGGCTAGGTATATATTCGGCGGAAAATGGGTTGCCGGGCTTCTTCTTCTCCATTTCGTGACTCATGATGGAAAACTGTATCTCGCACTTGTCAAAATTTCCATACTCATCCTCACCCCCAGCCTTGCGGATAAGAGGGAGAGTACTTGAAATAAACATGCGATCCATGCCTTTTGCAATATCAAGCAATACTTTCGGCGGCAGGCAGGCATTGAAGTGAATGTGTAGGTGGGCGCCCTTGGGCATCTTGGATGCGATCCGAAACAGGTCCGTCTTGTTGATGATGTCGACGTTGCCCAAGAAGTGGTCGCCTGCGAAGCGATCATGCATCTGGCCTTGATAACCCCTTCGCTTAGGTTCGGACGCGTAGACTTCTCTGTCGTCATGCTCTCGCACCTTTCGAATAATGGCATCAACACGAATTTCCTTGTGCGTGGCGCGGGAGCGGCAATGGGCATCAAACGACAGCTCCTGCTCTCTGGCGAGGGTGCGTTTTCGCAATACGTCGTATTCATCTATACTTGGTATCGGCACTCGCGGTCCAGTGCCGGTAGTGTCGAGGTCCAGGGGCAAGCCGAGAGGGCCGGAGACGGGCCCATCTCCGCTCCGCCGTGTGCTGATATCGGCGTCCTGTGCCCTGAGAATCTCAAACGCAGCGGCCATGTCGTATTTGCCGTCATTGTCGAGAACGGCGTCTTTCTCAGAAGCGCTATGCTGCTGTGAGCTCCCACCAGCGTGATTAACACGTTCTTTTGCGCCTTTGCTCTTGGTTGACCACATGGTGAATCGCTTGCGACCCCGAACCTTTAGACGAGAAATAGAGAACTTAGAGCCCATGGACGAAGCCTGCGATGTCGGACAACTGGCAGAATCGCCGAAGCAGGAGCAATATAAAGGTGAGGAGGTGGTCAGGCTGGAAGCAGGGCTGAACTCTGGCATGAGGGGAACCATATATGAAAATTGCCGGATCGTAGGTGGTGGGACGGACAACGGGGGTAGCGCAGGCAGAGATCCCCTTGTGATGAATGTCGCTTGGGTCCTTTGTCCGAGATGAGCTTCACTGCCACTCTGCCTTTGTTCGCTCTAGGAATGAAGCAATCCAAGGTGCTTTGCTTTGTTCACGGATGCAGGCCTCCCCCTCGGGCTATATACTCGTCTGCTGCCCTTTGATGCTGAAGAAATCTGTGTCAGCGCGACTAAAATTAAAATTCAACCCAAAAGCCCAATAACAAAGCGAAAACCCCCAATCGCCTAACCGCCAGCACAACCCTCTGGCAGCCTAAAGAGAACAAAGCCTCGAGATACGAGGCTGAGGTGAGAAGGAGAGAGCAGCCAGCCCTCAAACTAGGCCGTCCAGATGCGAGTTGGTCACAGCGGCGCTTGCAGTCACGGGCCCAGCACTAACGATGGAGTCGAGTCTTTCGGCCAGCGGACAAGCCACAGCGCTGGGGGGGGGGGGGGCCCGCTGACTTGCCTTGGCCTAGGCGCGCAGCACATGAAAGACAGCGAGACAAAGAGGGAGCATCAACTCCTGTAATGCGTCCTCGTAGACATACCTGGTATGATTTATCGGTGAATGCGCTGGGTTGCCTCGGCGCTCGCAAGCCACTCGTCTGTCTGTCCTGTCCTGTCCGTCTGTGCGCAGCTGAAAGGAAATGAACATGAAGCTTCCGTGTTTCGCTTGTCTGATTGGTCGCGCGGCCTGAGCCCTCAGCTGCTTCGTCAAAGAAATGGAAATACAGGTGGACACTCGACAGTAAGTCGATAGCTCAAGCGCCAGACCGAGTTACCGGGAAGCCGAGGCGATGCAAGGGTCGGAGATCTGGCGGAGAAGAGGGAGGAGTCGAAGCATTGATGGAAGTCGACATGTTCAGGTTTGTTTACAGCATCTCTTCACCACCCACGAGGCACTACTACTGGGTAGGCACTAGAGTTGCTGCCCGCAGTAAATCACAGGGCAGGCACTAACCCGTGTGACGTCTTTCCGTCCATCCTTCCGTTCCCCCCTCGTACCAGGTACCTGCTAGGCGCCACTGTACCTGCGCGCCTGCAAATCCCCGGCCAACGTGCTGTGCTAACCATATGGCGACCCGCCGCTAAACCCCCCAGCCCTCTCCGGAGCTCAGGTCCCCCCAAGCCTGTTAGGCCTCCAGGGCGCTAAACAGCCACCCGTGCTGGTCCCTTGCAGCCTGAGTCAGCGGGTACTAGCTACCTAACCTAGTACGAGTACATCAATGCAACCACTTCCTCCTTATCGAAAAAAAAAAAACAGCCTTGCAAGGTGCCTGAATCCTCTCTAGTCGCGCAATCTGCCAAATGTCAAACTACGAGATTTCGGCCAGCAGGCTTCCGACTGGGCTTTTCATCGTCCCCGCCATCGAATATTCCGGCGACTGCCAATTCCGGCAAATGTCTCCTCACGGCCCGATCTGGATGGAGTCGACTTCCAAGACGGGCATGTCTTGATTGACCTTATCATACTGACATGAAACCGTCCTCCCACGTTGTCGAAATCCTACCAGCCCGTACACATTTAGTTTTGATATGAAGGATATTAGACAGCAACCCATCATCATGAGACTCACCGGGCTATACCAAACGGCTCAGAACAGCAGAACAGCCACTCTCGTAGGACCTTGCCCTCCACAGCCACGACTGAGTAGCACGTCCACTTCACCGCTTACTCACCGTCACTCGTATCAGCGTCCTGCAAGGCTAAACAAGGGGGCTCCAACGATCGATGCGTTGTCTCTCCTGAGTGGTGATGGCTTCACCTGACCGCCCCGTCTCATGATTGATACGTGGACGCTCGATTCACCTCACAGGTGCCTGACCGAGGTGTAACTTGGACACATGGCGCAGGTTAGCATCACCAAGTCTGCCAACACACGGTCCGCCCCTTTTTGGCAACTTTTACTGAATTCTTGCCCACTTACAACTCACTCAACTCATTGCCTAGCGTTTTAGTGCCCTTGGGCAGCTGTCTAGTTGCAGGAATCCCCAAATCTGCCCATCTTACATCCGTGGGATGAAATTCTCACCCCTGCATCCAACAAAATAAAAAATCAAAACCCCAAACCTGACGATTATAATCGAAGCACCAATGACTCTCATCTTCGTCATATATCCCAAACCAACAAAAAAAAGCTAAAAAAGATTCAAGTAGATTCCGCGCCCGAGGGGGGGGTCGAACCCCCAACCTTGCGGTTAAAAGCCGCACGCTCTAGCCAATTGAGCTACCCGGGCCGCGCTTGAAGTTCACGTGCATCCGATGTTTTGCTATTATATATACCCTTAGCAAAACCACTCCGTTTTAAAACACCGCAAAACACCAGTTTCCGATTCTCGTATCATAAAGCGCCGGTAAAAAGTCCTCTAAGTGAAACTATATAAATAAAGTCGCCTAACACTGCTCTTGTTATTTGAATCTTACTTTCTCTTATACACTTGATTGTTTTATTATATCTTGAAAAAAAAAAAAATCGCGGCGATACTAATCTGTATGTATGATTAGCCGATAAAGGAGCTTAGCATTAATGAACATGTGTATTGGAGTATCATTAGTGCCGTGACTTGTACAAGGCGAGTTGCTTGTCATTGGTCGTATACTAGTCCAAGTAGTCGAATTGCTTTACGATCACCAAAAAAAAAAAATATGAACGCTCTGTGTTGTGACAAGCTCCTTCGTATTATGCCTGATGACTTCTATCTCTGCATTGTACAGCGTTTTATGAAATTGACGCAGGACACGCAGATACAAATCGCCAAAGTCCGATTGACCAGCAGTTCATGTCCCCCTTTTTCACCATCCCAGGCGTGAAGCGCCATTCCCAGCCTCCATGGGCAGTTCCCCCCATATGCCCATGTAGAACCGCCATTCTCGCCCTGTGAACTGAGCGATAGGGGATGATTCGAAATCGAAATGATATCGGACAACGTTCGTCGGTAACTGCGGACCGTCCTCACTAAATGACCAAGTTGGCCTCGGGTTGTTTGTGGTCGATGGAACAAAGAAACGAACGGGCTTTCGATTTATCAACTCTCCTGTCAGATATGATGTCGAATCCTCGGTGACTTGAGACGCCTTGTTGGCACATCCAAATAATCCCCCAGATAATGCAACAGCAGCACACGGAGTGTGTACCGCCACACTTTTTCGCGTAATGTTAACCAAGTGTCGTCAAATAGATCAAGTGTAGTCAGCAGTAAAGGGAAATATGTACGTCGATAGTTTCTCATCTTCGCAGCTCTTCTTAGCCCAAAACGGTCGGTCATGACGCTTCCTACCATGCTCGTACATAGATTTTCCCTCGCCTTCCTCATTTCATGACTGCCTCAGGTCGTTCACGCCGTGTACCGCGTTCAATATCCTCGGGCCTGCCTTTCCGTTAGTTTTTGCTGTCTTCCCGTGGCGTAATTCTCGCCTAGCAGATTTTATTGCAAATACGTACTCTGTTGTATAAATATCCGTTGTTTTACTCTCCTCTCCTCTTCTTCTTTCTTCTCTTCTTCTTCCGTATAGTAGTATTGCCAAGACAACAGAGTCTTTGTCGGCTCATCACGGATGTTCAAGGTATCTGGATGGGGGTTGACATTGCCAAGGCCCTGCGTGAGGCGACTAACACCTTGGGATGATCAGCTAGTCTGGTAAGTACTCCGGCACAATTTTTGATTTGTTTTCTCGTGCCCCTGGTATTACACTTCCTCCAGGTGGCACTTGTTTTTTTCATTGCATTCGGCGGCTTGTCCGTTGATGCGAAGAAGAATACATGCTGCCTTTGCCTCTTTTTGTCCTCGTCTCTTTTCGTCATTCTCATCGCCCTCCTCCTCGTTTGTTTTGTCGATGGGCGCATGACCGGTCCACTTGTCATTCATCGATGCGCAGGGACCGCGATGGCGGTTTGTACTAGGTGTTTCCTGTGTGAAATGATATGGTCATGATGTAGTGGCAGGCTTGAGACGGATGTGGTAAAGGAGTTGGGGCGGATGTGGTGGTCTGGAAAGAGAGGGAAAAAGGGGGGGGGGGGGATTTATTCTATTTGTAGCCAGGATTTACGCGTCAATATGATCTATTAGACCATCAGATGCGTGCGGTGAAATAATCAAGTATATATTGTCCCGCCGCCATGAAAGTATAACCTGTTTACATATTCTCTGCACACGCCTCCGAAACTCTAGATTGCGCCTTGGCACCAATTTACTACGCAGGAACTACATGTACTCATCACAGTCTTTGGAACAAGGTTTGAATAAACTTTTCAGGGGCTCCAAACATCCCGCTGTTTGCCTTATCTTACAACTGCGGTGTAGCTTGGCTTACGGGCAGATGCCTTAACCAAGTGTCCTCGCATAGAGTGAAGGCGATGTGGCTGAACTTTATACATAGCACTATATACCTACGTATCGAGATTTATTTTTTAGTAATTTTGTTGGGTTAAAAAGTCTGCAACGGCCGAGTGCAAAAGAGGACTGTACCTAGCCCTTGGTTTAGATGAGTGGTTGGATAAGGATACCCGAAAAAGAAAAAACACGGCTTAGAAAATCTATTTACATCTAGTAGTAATTGGCTTAATTATAAATTATAAAGTATATATTTTAAATTTTATTAAAATGTTCTGTGTTATCCTCTGGCACTACGCATGGTCCGGCATTTTCAAGTGGTTTTTACTTCTTTTACAGACACCCTGCTTTTTACACGAGCCCAGAGTATAGGTAAATTCTGGAAATAACCCTCCGTCTTCTTACATCCTGGTTTTAGGCCCTTCCATGAGAAAAATCAAAAAGAGTAATGGCCGGGCTGGATTTATGTAGTTGAAGGCGGCTAGGTAATGCTCACCAAGGATCCATTTTGGTGAATACCTGCTCGTATTAGTTCCATTTTATTCCCATCCGTCGTATATACACTGCCATCACAACCCCACCATAACTTACACAGCATTCCCCAACCTGGCAGGACAGCTCTTCTTCCTTTTAGGCAGCACCCGCGCGTGAACAAGGAAAAACCATAGATTAAAACACCCCAAAATCTACACAGCCTCGCGCTTCTAGAAAACACCCCCAAAAACCTACAACGCCATCTGTTCCCCCCCCCCCCTTTTCAGACAGAGGTGAAACCCCCCCACATGGACCTCAATTTGTGGCTTATACACACACAACACAAGGCCTCCAAGCTCATGCGAACAAAAGCACTTCCTTTCAAAACATCCAACGAGAAGAAAGGAACAACACACGAAAATGCAACGCATGAAACCCCATCAACTGGCCAAGGCACATGCGCCAAGTCCATCCATTCCATCTAGTTCACCGCTTAGACCAGCCCCCCCCTTTCACGAGACTCTGCTTCGCCTCCAAGAGGCCGCCGCACAAACCATCCATCGACATCCAAAAACTGTTGGGAGAAAAGACAAAAGAAGAATACACAAATGCATGCTCATAATGATTTCATACACTAACAACTACCTAGTCATCACCATTATTCGTATCCCATCATCCGTCCAACTCACCACACAAACTTTCCCATCAATGCCTCCGCAAAGTCAAAATATTAACAGAGGGGAGAACTTCCAATCCCCGGTTTACCCAAGTGCGAGACTCCGCGTCCTGTCCACCCGCATCCCTATACCGCACTTTGCTTTGTATGCCATATTCCGAATCCTTGGCTCCACCCAGAGTCCCCTTCACCCAAAGACCGATGCCGATGCCGATGCTGAATCTGCAGTATATTGCGTCTACAACTCCCAGCGACCTCCTCTACATGCTTTTTTCTGAACTGAGAACCCGCACAAGAAAAAAATAAAGGTGATCAAGCAAAGTAGCTCTTCCACAAGACTCCTTCCAAGTCCTCTAGCTGCTCCTGAGTGAAATACTGTGAAGAACTAGTTAGCATCTCTTCTCTGTTTGCGTTGACCGTGAGGAAAATTGAGCACTCTTACCTTTTGATCCACAGTCCAGCTATCCTGTCTCGTCTTCTTGAACTCACTGAGAATTCCCTTGGCTGCCTTGCCTACAACTCCTGGATCACCTGCAGCTCGTCGGGCCACAGTCGCCAGCACCTCCGGCATCCACTTGGGAGGTGGTGTCGCATACGGGAAGGCCTCAACAAGAGCACCTAGGCCCAAGACGGCGGCGTGTCTCCTGTTGATTTGCTTGTGCACGTCGACAGGCGTTTCTGTTCCGGGGAGCTTGGGCCCGCGCTTGGGCATGGGGTTTTGATCCAGTTCAATCTCGAAGCGACGCTTGAGGCGCACAATCATGGGGTCACGGATGCGGCTTGGAGAGCAGCGAATCATTCCTGCGAGCGTCGTTGCTGCGCATGCTCGGACCTCGAGCTGGGGGTCACCGAGCATGTCCGATACGGTGGTAAACAAGAGATCGCGCTGAGGTTCTTCCGTCAGGAAGATGCGGCGGAAGTAAACAACTTGCATATTGACAAGCGCGCGCAGCCGTTGATGCCAGCTAGACGCGGTTCTGCCAATTCTGACTAGTCCATCGATGAATTGAGCATCTTCTCCGTCGCGGAAAGGGATATTGGGGAGATGGCGATACACATGATATGCCAGTTTCATGAGTTCGGGATCCTCCTTTACGTCCATCATGTGTAGAAGCTGATCCATGAACGGGATTGCAAAGAAGGGCACCAGCTGGGTGCACTCGTGAGATGACAATGTACAATCAAGCCACACCAGCACAGTCTTGGATCCACACGTGTATGGAGACTGATCCTGCTGTCCAGGGGTTCGCTCAAGGCGCCACTTCTCGAGCCGATCAAACACGCTCGTCATTGTAGCCGTAAATTCATCCGAGGCTTTGTATGGCCGCAGACCAATCGAGGAAGCCTCCTTGTTCGCTTCCAGCAGCGTCTGCACGTTCTCAAACGCTTCGTAGTACCTCGTCTTATAGATCGTAGATATGACACGAGCAATGGCCTCACGCACGGCTTTGTAAGGGTGGTCGATGTGAGTTAAAAAGTCCTCCAAAAGCGGCTTCTCTTTGCGGAAATGCCATCCGGCGTCAGCGATGGAAAATTCGAGCAACTGGATCTTGGAAGACTCCTTGAAGGCGGCATTGGACGACATATCGAGACGGAATGATTTGAGGTGGTCCACAATCTCGTGAGCCCGGCGCGGGTCCTTGGAGTCAAGGATGAGATGGAGGCACGTCAGCCAGTATTGCAAATTCTCCGGCGTCAGGTCCCCCTCAAAGATCTTGAGCATGAAGGGCGCGGCAAACTCCCACACCTTGTTTCGGATTTCCGGTGGATCATCGCTGGACCCGGCAAGTAACGCACCAAGAATCTCCGAAGTAGCACGGTGCTGATGCTTATCATTACCGTCCCCGTAGATGTCTGTGGTGAGCTCTTTGATGTCTTCCAGGGTGACGACCGTCCGGCCATAGTGCATCAGATCGAACACATGCATGAGAAGGTAAACCTCGTGCATGCGGAATCTGTCCGTACTAGAATCTCGAGGCTCCTGTTTGAGGTATTCGAAGCATTGAGAGACCCACTCCTTGGTCAGAATCTTGCCAATGTGGTCACGCACTGCTCGCTCGGTGTCGTCGTAGTTGTCAAAGTACTTCGGACGAGCACGGAACGCGGTAAAGCTTTTACCCCAGACCAGCCATCCGGGGTGGTCGGCGTCCACCATGTACTCGGCATCCTCGGGGGACCCTTCAAATGCATCCAGGAATTTTTGGGTGAACTCGGCGTCACCTTTCTCAACGGGGATTTGGATCTTATTCCTATAATCCACTTCCTTTTCTTGTAGATAGTTGTTGAAATCGTGATCATAGACCGCTCGCATATCAATAGTCGAGAAAAGCGTGGTAAAGGCGGAGAGATAGTAGTTTCTCAGGCCAGGATGCGGGTCATTGGTACCGTATGCAACCAAGTCCACGAATTCCTCAGGGGCGATTGTGTCGAAGCGGAGGCAAAGGTTCGTTGCAAAAATGGCACACCGGGACGCTATCTTCCAGTGAGCTCCCTTGGCCAATTTGGTCAGCCAGAGCCCGAGTTCCGCCTTGGAGGCTTCCACTTTGTCTCGCCTCTGCAATATGAATTGGTTCCGAGTGCGAATTGCCGATGAAACATCTTCGTCGGGCTTGATCGTATCAACCAATGAGGTGTCGATCAAAACAGTCTTCTCGAATGGCTTCCCGAATTCGACCAGCGTATATATAACTGATGTCCCGAGGCTTTGTATTGAAGGCTTGTCCATACTAGCCGTCTCGATGTAGAGACGCAAGGCTTCGGGGGCAAATCTCCAGTCTCTGATCAACGTTCTCAACAGTGACGTGAAAAACAGGGAATACATGGCTCCCTTGACCCGGTCGTGGTCGTTTTGCTCGATACTCTTTTTGAAGCCCTCCAAGAGGACGGGGATAACCAGGGGCTTACCCCCGATGAGCACCTTGAGCGACGAATCCTGAGCGCCCTGGGCAATACGACGGACATCTGCGTATGAGGAGAGACACGACTGTGCAAGATCTAGCAACAGCCGCTTGTCTAATTCGCTCTTTTGCCGAGCCGATGCATTGTGCTTCATGCGCAGCATTTGATACGCCTCGGCACGCTTGATGAGCAGAGGGCGGGGGTAAACCTTTCTCAGGCCCTTGATCTTGAAGGCAGCAATGTCACATTTGTACAGCCGCAAATGTCTTTCCAATGGGTGCGCTGACCGTTCGATACCAACATCTGTGATCCATGTGCGGTAAGCGATGTACAATGTTGTGAAACATTCAACATCATCTTCCTCGTTTTGGGTGAGGAACGCGTGTGTCTTGGTCAACAGCTGACCAAGCTGCTCGCGCAACTCATGGATACGCTCATAGGCAGGGTCACTTGGACTAAGCAGATATCCTGCCTTATACCTGTACTGAGGACGCAGCTCTTCATCCTCAGCCACCTCCGCAAGGGGGTCGTCGTCCATGCCCACATCTTCGGATTCTTCTTCATCAACATCCATGTTGACGTCGTCACCTTGGCCATCCTTCTCAGCAGTCTCTCCCGAGGCCCTCTTCGGATCAAACATGGTAGCCATGCCGCTGGTGACCAGACGGATTTGCTGCATCAAGCGGGATACCTCGTCGGACCACTCTTTGTTCTTGCCCTTTCGACTCACGGGCGGATCATCGCTTATCAAAAGCTCCAGCTGCTCCGCTGCTGACTTGGTCTGCGAAGCAAAAAGCTCCACGGCAAACTCAATCTCTGGCGGCGATGGCTGGTGCCATTTAATGGTAAGATCAGCCGGTGCAGTGGTCTTTCCCCAGTCGGTGACATCAAGACCCCTCTCGAGAACCTCAGGTTCGTACAGGGCATGGTCGATGGGGTATGTGTGCGTCAGGTTGAGCAACAGATGATGGATGTAGTTTGAGACAAGAATAGTAGGCAGGCCTCGGCACTTTTCCTGCATGTACTGCGCAATACCAAGCAGTTCCTCCTTGTAATTGAGGACCTCGCGGCCAACGTGCACAACAGCCATGGCTAGCATGGTGACATGCCACACCAGGGCTCGATCTCTGGGCAGATAGTCTGTGCCGCTAGTGCGATCGGAAGCTGCGTGGTTCAGGTCGATCTCGTTGCGAATATTGACCACGAGCATAGGGATAAATACCTTGAGCGTCTTCTCTGGGTTGACCTTGCAGAGGGCGTTGAGGATCCAAGCCATGGCATCACGGGCTTGGTGGACGACGTGCGATGAAACAAACGTCGCAATCTTTTCCAGGGTAATGTCGAAGAGATCCGGCGACATTGATGCGAACAGAGGCGAAAGGGCGGCGGGTAGAGCATTGACAACACTGTCCTCCGGTGTCCCTCCCCTCACCTGGTTAGCATCAGGAAGATTCTCCAGCAACGTGAAGACTTTGCCCAAGAGCGTAATGATGAACTCGCCAAAACCGGCAGTCGAGGATCTCAAGATCATGGCCTCGTCCTCGTCTGTGAGTTCGGAATTGTAGTCAATCTTGACATTCTGACCCTCGAGTTCCATGCGGGCCATCTCTCCTTGCACCCATTCCATGGCCAAAGTCGTGTCGTGGATATGACTCTCTCCGCTCGTCAGTGGAACGATGGGAATGCTATAAGCCACGGCCTGGATGAAATGCAGGGTATACTGCGTCTTGTTCAGGTCATTTGCGTCGATGCCAGGAAGCGCCAGGGCCAAGAGAGCAGTAATGTGGCAGCGGTAGCCCTTGAGCTTGGACATGACGTTTGCAATCATTTGCAGGCCATTCAAACTAGAGGTGGTCCTGTGAACCTCAACCAAGCCTTGAAGACTCGGGTAGAAGCGCTGCAGCGCACCAGGGAGGACCAGATCAGGCTCTAGGTAGGCCAGACCCTGTAGTGCATTGTTATAGATTTGCGCAACACGAGTGCTCTTGGAGAAAATGCCCATAAAAGTGACTTCCTTGAGCGAGTTGACGAAGCGCTTCTTCAAGGCATCATTGATCTTACGATCTTTTGGAACTTCTAGCTCCGAACTCTGCTCACGGTTCCACCGGGACACAAAGGCGTCTGTCAAGTACAGAACTAGCTGGGCAAGCATACCTGACCACGCGCCCTGGTTGGAAGGGTGGAAGAAGGTATCGATAGACTCTATCAAGCCTTCTAGGCTCGACATGATGGACTCATCGTGCTCACAGCAGATGGGAGACAGAGAGCTCACTATGAGCCGGGCAACCATGTAGGCAATCGGGTACTTTTTCTTGTCTTTCTCGAAATACACGCCAGTTCCAGACAGGTAATCGAGGGGTGAGTAGGGCGAATTGGCCTGACCAACGGGAATCTGGGTCAACCGCAAAATTGCCGTAAAGACGAGGTCGGACTGAGCCTTTGTGAAAATGCCATGCTCTCCAAAGGGGATGTAGGAGCAGTTGCTATGGTCCCTCGCTATCCGAGAGAGCAAGTCAATAAAGGCCACATCGACAACCTTTGATCGGTTGACCAAAGACCACAAGTGGAAGAGAGTCGGGAAGAAGTCGGCCGGGTGCGATCCCACATCTGACTCCGGGGCAGGATGGCTGGGCAGGAGGCTGTTGAGAGCTCCTATTACGACGAATGCGTTCTGAAAATCGTTGAGGCTGAAGTAGGGCAGAAACTCTTGCAGTATTGCCAACCTCTCTCTGGGATCAAAGTACGTGTGTGCATTGAGAGACAGCCTCAAGAGCTGCTTGGCAGCTCGTCTTCGGCTGGCCTGGTGAGCCGCTACTTCGGAGGGGAGCACGTATGCTTTGACCTCTCCCCAGAGCAGTCTCCAGTCGAGGGTCAGATCTTCGCCGGGCTTCAGATAGTGATTCTTCCTAGATTCAGAAAAAAATAACAACAATTAGCTGACGGTGATTTGGCAGCCCACTTGCCCGCACCCACGTACCTCGTCAGATTGACGGCCATTCGGACGAATCTGTCCGCAACATTGCTATCTATGCCGGGAGCCAGGGCCAGGGAGTAGTATAGCTTGGCCAGTTTGGCCCTGACGTCCCTGGTCATCTCAAACTTGAGATTCAGCCATCCCTGGAGCTCCCTAGTCCAGTGCAGAGCGCCGGGAGAGAAGTCCTCGGCCTGGATGGATATGTACAGCTGCTTGAGGATGCCGTGGAGAGCAGCATCGCGCTGGGCCTCCTCCTCAACCTCAAAGGGCAGCTGGCGGAAGTATGCAAAGGTTCGTTGTCGGTATCGCCTCTTGTCGTCGTCGTCGGACTTGGAAAAGGGCAGGCCGGGCGAGGTGGCACGCGAGATGGGCTCGTAGGCGGCGAAGCTGGTCATCAAGTGCGAGGCGGCACTCGCAGACAAAGCGGCCGCGGGCCCTTCATGGCTGGGACCGATGTTTTCGTCCATCGTTTTTTGGGGGGGTTGACGTTGTGCGAGGCTGAGAAATTGGCAGCGCAAGAGAGGGGTTCGCGGCTCAAGGGGGTTCGAGAGAGGAAGCGATTTGCTCGAAGCCGAAGCTCTGGGGCAACGACCGTGGCGGTTCAAGGACGGCGATGGGCGCTGTGGCTACCCATGGGGGAATCCGCAGGAGGGCGGACGCGAATGATACGGAGGAGAGAATAGGATAATGGGAAGGGCAGAGGCCGGGTAACGATGCAGGTAAATGCAAACGAGGCCAGCGATGATGCTGATGCTAGTTGCAAGCAGGGGCAGGATTAAGGCCAATGGATGGCATTACGACACAGGGTCGTGGGCCTAATCCTACCGGTACGGGTACATGGGCATGTGGCCGCTGGAGCGCGCCGCCTCAAGTACCGCGACTTCTGGCGCTTCAATCCCTCCATCAAACGACGACAGCTGCAGCCAAACACAGGGAACAGGGCACAACCAGCGGCAATACAGGCAGCACAGCACTGATGTGGGCTTCCAGAAAGCTACATTAGCGGCCGCGTTAGCAGGCAGCTAGCTCCAATGCTACCTGTGAGCCCCCCGGAGCGTTGGCCTAGTAGGCAGTTTGGGGGTACTTGTCACGGAGCACGCCAGGCCATACTCCAGGTCCGTACCTCCGCATCTCCGCACCTCCGTACGGCACTTGGGAACACGTCAGTAGCGGCAGCCTGCCTCGCCGAACTGGACCCTTGCCGCTCCAAAATAACGGCACGGGCTAAACAGCGTTCATATTTGGAATCGAGGCATTTCGGGGGTGTGACATGATGCAGGCCTTTGATTCTTGGACTATACAAAGTATATCCGTAGATGCATCCAAATCCCTGGAACGGATATAGCAAAAGCAGTTGATTCATGCATCCATCAGCCTTCATCGTGCATGGAGATTCACCGTTGCATGAATTAGTGTCCGCCTATTTTTGTCACCCGCCCCGAACAAGCCGGCAGTGATTGCAAATTCAATCCATGACAAACTCAACCAGGCATTAAACATCCCTACCGGGTTCATGTAGGTCACTGGAGCCTCGACTATGCCTAATGGGATTCAACTCACAGTTGCCAATCATGCCTGGTCTCGTGCTCTGCCAGAACCTCACACAACATCCAAGGGCCACCAGCTTCAAGTATGTCAGATGCACGTTATAGGAGAGTATGTATTTGCTGCCTAAAATTTGAGAGCACAAACAAAGAAAAGAGCGCTGTTGATGCTAATATTGGCTTCATTCACTTTGCCTTTGACAAAAATATATACAAAGAATAAAACGATCTCTCATCCCTGCAGGTCCTCGCTACACAAAACGGTGGAGCGCCTGCCAAAAGATGGTCGTGCCATATGCTATGAAACTCGTTGATTGTTCGAGTGGTGAAATACCTTTTGTGCTAGCCGCCTCACACGCATTCGGCATGTCCCTGGCTGTTCCCTGATCTTGAGATCGTCCGCGTGCTTTTCATCCGACTCCCTTTCCGCGATACTAGACGTAGCTGATACCGCCGCCGCCTCTCGTCGTTTCCTCATAAACTCACTCCCCGAGGACATTGCCCGTCGAAGCTTGCCAGAAGTCATATTTCGTGCGGCAGCCAAGTCCTCGGGTGAGTTGCCCCCCTCAGCCAATGACATTCGGGGATTCGCCTCTCCTGTGTTGGCGCTCTCGGTAGCCCCTCCTTGAGTACGCCCTGAGCTGACGCGCTGGGATACGGCTCGGGGAATCTTGGGCGTTGCCGATGCAGGCCAGCCCCTCTGGCGGAGGCTGATCCAGGTCGCGGTGGCCATCATGAGGGTCTTGTTGTACTCGGAAACTTCCATCGTCGGTCGCTCTTCTGCAATACTAGTTGCCTCTTCTGAGATGCCACTCATATCTGGTGTAATAGGAGAGTAGATGCCACTCGATGTGGACATGGTAGTGTATGTGTCGTAAATTTCCAAGCAACCAGAATCAAGGATTCCTTGTATGGGATGTCTGCGTGTTGATGGCTCTAAGATGCTAAATGTCCACTTGCCATCTGGGGGCGTGGGAGTAGATGGTGAGGAGGGAGTTGTGCTGGCAGTATAGGCAGATCCCCAACTTGCCCTCGGTGAAAATAGGGGTCTCTTGATCCATCGAGCCTTGACAGCCTCCCCATGGTCGTTGATATGATTAAACTCATATGACCCATTGGCCTTGGCACTCGTAACCCAGCTTGTTCCGTCCTGGAGCACAATCTTGGCATAGTCGTCGTCCTCAGATGTGCAGATAACAGCAAGAACATCCTTATGATCAAGACTGCTGCTACTATCATATGCGTTGTCATGGTCATGACTGCCGTGTTTGGGGGCAAAATCGTCCCTTCGGACCAACAGGAGGTCATTCTGGCCAAGGTGAGGCTTGGCATGGAACATACGAGGGAATGCCTTGACCAATGCTGGGATAATGAGACTTCCGGCGATGAGACTTGACGGAACAACGTCAAAAGCCGGAATGGCACGCTTCTCCCCAAGCTTCTGAAGTTGCAGCAACACTCGTGGCCGGATCTGAAAAAAGGCTCGCTGCTTGGTGCGCAGGCCGGGAGCTGGAAATGCCAGGGCATAACGTGAGGATTTGCGTGGTCCGCGCTTCTTCCTCTTGATTCGAATTGAAGAGTCTGTTCGCTCACTTGCTTCGGAACCAGAGATGGAATCTTCATCCTCGCTAGGAACGTCGGACTGGCCGACAATATCGGAATGAGGCTCACGAAACCGGACGGTGGCGATGTCAGACGTAGTGCGGCGTCGACTCGCCAAAGAGGAACGAGGATTGCGAACAGTCTCAGAGACAGAGGCTGAGCGAGCTGGGGCGGAGTCGCCAGATTCGGGTTCGGGTTCTGGTACTGGTGAGGTGGGTTCTGTGGGAGTTGTCGGTTCGGTGTCAAAGAGTGGTCGTAGAGCAGACAGAAACGAGAAGCGGCTTGGCTGAGGCTGTTCTGTCTGTTGTGTTGAAAATTCATGCCCATGAAGGGCCGCTCCTGAATGCACAATCATGATGTCCGTGGTTGGTTGTGTATATGCGAAGTAATCTACAAGGCTGCCTCAGGACCAGGAGTTGGTGGACGAACCAGGGTGATCGTGCTGTTTCGTATACTATAGTGGCATGCGAGCCAGAAGGTAAATGAAGTGTGTGAAGTCGTGGTGGATATCAAGCATATATAAGACAAAATGAAAAGAGTGCGTCTATGTGGTGGGTTCGTATTCGTCGTCGGATATGTGAGAGTTGAGATTCAAGGAAATTGTACGCCGCGCTGTGGAAATAAGAAAAATCGTGATAGATGAGCTCTGCTCTTGATAGCAATTGTTTACGGGCTCGGTAGCAGAATTGTAGAACTCGGGTGGTGAAAATATGATTGAGCGACGGTTGAGAGAGGATAAAGCGACCGGCGCATATAGCAAGTTGGGTAAGGTTGTATAAGCGAGGGTTGATGCCGCAGAGCAGTTGGAAATATGCCGTACTCCAGGTACTGATGCGATGAAGGAGAGATGGGAAAAGAGTGACGGGAATGTCGACAAGAGACGATCAAGAAAAAGTCAAACGTCGCTTTGTTGATGTAGCTTGTCGACAGAGTAACAGAGCAGAACAGTCTTCGAGAAGAGAGACTGCGCTGGGAGAGCCAGAGGTTACCGGTACATCAGACCGCACGCGACCAGAGCCTTATTAGTGGGACGACAGCCGAGTGGGCATGTACCATGTACGGGGGTCCCTGAGCAATGCCAAGGGGTGGCAGAAAAGCCCGCGTCCGATTCAAAGCGGAGTTTGATGTGAGCGCGGCAGTCCGAGGAGACAGACTGGGATTTTGTTTTGGCGTTCCCTTTTTGTTTTCTTCTTCCTTTTCCTTTTTCCTTCCTCTTCCCTGTTTTGATCCTTTTGCTCAAAACAAAACAGTGTAGAATATTCGCAGGGAGCAACAGCGACAGAGTCAGTGCGAGACCACGGAGGATTCGAGGATTCAAAACCTGAAACAGAGTCGAGTCGAATAATCTAATGGACGGCACGCCGTATTAGTACACAGACATGATGTAAATGCGTCCGAGGACCAGCTGCTTGGTCTTAGTAGAATCGAGTGCCGTCAGATGGGGCACCGCAAGTGGCAACTGGAGTTGCACAGCTTTTCTGATTAGCGTTCAAATTCAATCAAATTCTCAGCACCCGAGGAAGGCTGTGGCGTGGGACATGTGGACTTATACCGCCATGTACCTGGTAAGTTTAATATTAGCGCCCATTGGCTTGGTTTTTCTTTTTTCAAGGAATGTCGCCACTTGGTCGGCAGACTGACAAGCAGATTCGACTTTGTCCGTGGAGCCCGGATGAGCCGCTCGGATCTGGGCGTACAGACCATGTCCGGGCCATGTACTATGACCGGTGCGTCATTGAAGGGTGAGGGCAGTGAGACACGCATCTGGCTGCTTGACTGGCCCTCCCTTGCCTTGCCCTCCATGAATGTACATGTTGCTACCTGGACGATACTTGTGATGACCCGTCCCCCGTTTGTTTACTTTCATTGTGCCTGTACAGATCCAGACCACGGAACTGACTGATACTTGCAAATGCTTACCTTACCTAGCCATCAAACTGGGTCTTCTATATTAGCTCGTGATGTAGAATAAAAGTAGGGCCAGGAGATATCTTTTCTTGCAGTGGAAACCCAGAAAGGAGTGCATGCTCAGACGATGCCCAGCCAGAAGAAATGACATGTGCGGCATGCGCTTACTGTACATGTTCCGACCCAAACAGGTACCTAAAGGGCTCGTCCTGCTACGCGCCGGTACTGCATACAAGTCGAGGCAGCTTCTGTCCGGTAAACAAGGTGCCATTTACGCCTGATGGGGAAGTAGAGGATACAAGCCGCAAATGATGTAGTGCAGGCGCCTAACGTACCGGTACGCGGCCGAATGTATCTTCCAGACCGACTTCAGTTTACCAGTATCGACGATAATGCCTCTAGCGTTCTAGTTTTCTACTTTCTGCCGTCATGCCACAGCGTCGGACTTGCATTTCGTCCTCCTCCTGACTCTTCTTGCTGTTCCTTTTCTTCTTCGTCCTCGTCGATGCCTCCACCAAGTCGGCGTATTCGGACTCGCCAGGCGCCGCGACCACTCGTGGCGGCCCGCCGAGAAAAAGATAGTGCGTGCGTTGCCGGCGAATGGAGAATTTGGAGATCAGCCCCTACTTCCAGTCTCTTCTGACAGGGATCCGCCCGCGTTTCCGAGGCAGGATAGAAGGCAGCATCCTTGCAGGCATTCAAAGCCTTGTCGTCCAATGGCTCGTCACCCACTCTGCCTATCCACCTGCCGAAGGATGGGCAGAAATGGAGGGAGCACATGCGCAGGTGGCAGATCCAAGCGTGGGCTCGTCTACGAGGGGGTATTCGATGTTTGTTTTAGGTCTGCCATGCATGAATCTGGGCTGCTCCTCGCACTCCGATGCCCCCGTTGGTCCAGCTGCGAAGCGACGAAGCGAGGCCGGCCGACATCAGATCAGTCTGCCTCTGTCTGTGTCTGTGCCTCGCCACGGGCACGACGGGGGCCAACGGGAGCACGCTCCTCCAATGTTGCCTATGCACTGTCCCCCTCGTTCTCGTCAATACTCATACTAATTACCTAGTTAATAGCTGTGTCTCATTCCGAGGGTGATACTAGGTCATACATTGTACTCAATCGAGCACTACTAGCCAGCTGCGGCTCCCACACGGACCAGTCCCACCTCCGACCTTTCCGCCCTATTTAGAGCAAATGCTAGTCCGCGATGGACTCAAAAGCCAAAAGTCGGGCTTTGTCGGGGCCACACCTCACCGACTGTTTGCGGCTGAGAGGCATCCGTCAAGTGGCTGGACTAACCTTGCCTTCCTTGCATGATGATGGCCAGTAGCAACAGCCGATAATCAAGGGCAGATGCGACGATGGCTGGACTATCTGGCACCAGCACACACAGCACTGCATACTACCTAAATACAGATACACGCACCCGTACGGAGCTGCGTGTGCTCTGCCTCCCGACGTCCAGCGGCCACCGCCGTGCGATGTAACTCAAGCCACGGACAGGACAAACAAATCCAGGCCCATCGAAAGAATTCTATCAAAACCTTAACCCAATTATAGCTCCGCCCGCTGCGAGAAATTTGTCACGCCAAGTATTATTGAATTGTCCAAGGAAATAGGCCCAAAAAGCACTGACGCTGTGGAAGAAAACGGGGACTCGAAAATGAAATGCTCGGCCGGGACCGAGTCCGCGGGCCCGATCTTCCGGGTCGTGCTTTGTTTCTGCTGCGCAAGGCTAAACTGATGAAGCCGTCACGCTCCACCACGCTCGAAAAAATCCCCATTCTGCCTAGCCTCGGCCTTGTAACCCTTCCGAAATCCAGACTTAGCGGTTGCTGTGAAGACGGAGAGAGAAAAAAAAAAATGCTTCACTTGTCCGGTGGATATCCCGCTTGGTAATGCTCACCGAAGCTTGGAATCATCTGTATCCCCAGTGGTTCAGAGGAAAAGGGACGATGGCGCGCTTACCAAGCCGCGGCAATTCCCTCGACATGCTCCTAGTTTTTCATTCACGGCCCTGAAGCTTTTTACGACTAGGCCAATGACAGCACAACGCCCTCGAATCAGCCCTTGGCAATGACAGTTGTCTGCCTTTGTTCTCGGCACAGCTGGTGTAGGATCCTTGCCAGGAGCCGGCTGGGCATGCCACGGCTCTTAGTTCCAGCGCCACGCTGCCCCAATCCAAGGCAATGGCTCCCTACATGTACCAAGAGAGCCTAAACAAGAGCCAGCTTGGGTGGACATGTAAGCTGCCGCGCGGGCACTGTACCCAAGGCAAAGACCATGACGACAATGCTTCGTTGGAGGATTACGTCTCTCAACGCCCTGGACAACAGGCTCATTGGTTACTCTTGTCTTTGGCGGCATGGGCAAGTAAGCTCCTTGAGATTGGCGTCGACTTGATCAGATGGCGCGTGGTGCGGCTAAATGCTGATGTTTTCATCTCGTAAAGGCCCATTGCCGTATTTGGGCCTCGATGAGGGTCACAATCCCAATCCTCTGGGCCAGCCTTGGACTCGGTATTTCCCTGCTTGGCAGTATCCATAGCAGCGGGTCGTAAGATATTACCTAGCAGGTCCAAGTTAGCCATATCAGTGCATACATATGATGCGACGATTTTGCGATATCAAACCTTAAAACTCAAAACGGGATAGAGTTGGGAGATGAGACTGTTCGCCCTCCGTCTCATGATGTACGAGTAGTGGTTCGTACGCTTGGACGGGTGATGGCGTGATTCTCGAACCGAAGCGTCTTGTTCCCTTGCACGCTCGGCTCATGATCCCTGGACATCTCGGGCTGATACCCCACGGCTTCGGGTCTTGGTTGTCGTTGTTTTGGGTAAAACAGACAGATCACATCTCTCCGTGTGACTTGCGAGGAAGCCAATCAAGTCGATTCGGCGGCGTAGCGAATGTTATTGGCCCCTTAAACTGCCAATGGAAGCTCGACAATGGTCAACATGCACATGGCTTGCCCTGCAGATGAGATGTGGCCAAACCCTCTTTCACATGCCATGACTCAGTCGAACTCTGTTGATTCATTATTCCGCCTTTGCTCTTTTTCCCCAAGACGATAAGCCTCAAAGATGGTGTTGATATACTTTGGACTAAAATATCATTGACATCAGGTTGTGGCCGCACTAGAGAGCTGACAGCTAACGTGCCGCCGCCCCGCGATAACACTGCCATGCTACTGGGTAGGTGCCTTGGTAGTAATCAATATTAATAGCAGAGTTTCGGGAAAGGGACGGTTGTGAAATTGGATCTGATGACCATCTTTTTGTTCTAGTGGTGAGAGGTACTAGTAGATAGATAGATGGGTAGGCAGATAGCTGGCAAGGCTGGATGACCACTTTTGCGCCCCAGCATGTGCGAGTAGATGCTGGATGAAAGGAGCCCCTAGTGCCACACACTCTAATAGCATATGACCATCTTTGGGGGGAAAAAATAAATATGATGAAAAGCTTCAGTACTCGTATTGCTGGTCTCGCATTCCTGCAGGAGTATGTGGTTGAGCTGGCACATGGCCGGTTTTAGTCTTTGTTAGACATTGGTCTCGGATAAGCTTTCACCTCTTTTGCGAGTCCGAATACGAACAAGACTGAGACACTGCGCATTAGGCCATCGTTGGAATGCGCCCGTGTCTCCCCTTTGGATTTTATTTTGTTTTCTTCAGGCACATGGAAGATTCGACAAAAGACAATTTGCCATGGCAGAAAGTAAGACAAGTTTTCTGTAGCGTGTTTCTGCGTGAGAGGGAGGAGGGAAACCCATTCCGTGTTAGTCAGTGATGCGATGGATTGATTATCTGATGCAGGCAACTCCACTGCCAAATACGGAAAATCTACGGACCCCTCGTCGGGCAGTGCGATAAGATAATATTGCATCACTGGGCAAATCTGCGCGCAAACCGCCAAAAAACACCAAGAAGAAGCATTCTCAACACCATCAAACACCCACCCACGATAACGTCCAATGGCTGTCAACACTAGACCTTCGCCCTGAGAACCCGCGCATTAACCATGTCGCGCTCGACATTCATCGCCGCCCGCAACTCGCGGCACCGCACTGCAGCTCTTGCATTGTATCGTGCTCTTCTACGGACCGCGAGTCGCATCCCCGTGGCGCAAGATGTAGCGCAGAAGCCGATTACGCAGATTGTGAGGAGGCGGTTTGAGAAGAATGCGGGGTACACGAGCTTCAGACTTGTGTATGCGGCCATGGCGGCGGGATACAAGGTGAGCTACATCATATCACGACTTCGCGAAAGAACATTTTGAACTAACATGTGTAATACAGTTCTTGAATCTCCTGACAAAAGCCCAAACACCTAATTCTTCCGAACACACCCAAATCATGCAACATCTCCAATCCGTCCGCGATACAGCCGCCGCCTCCCGCGCAATCCCTCATCCTCAACGGTACAAGCCCGTGCTCCCCCCCGAGCCACTCCTCATCAACACCGCCAAACCCTACGCTCCCCCGAAATACACTTCCAACATCCTTCCCCGGCCAAAGGACTTGCTCGCAGGGCCCAGAAAAGTCCCCTCTGTGAGCGCCACTGCAGACGGCCAGCCGTTTGTGCGCTTGAAGAAGCCGCAGCCGCACGTCATGTCTAGGATGATTGGGCGCAAGAATCGGATTTTTGAGAGCCGGATTTTGAATATTTTGGATGTTGATGAGAGGGTTGTTCCGGAGGCTGCGTTGGAGGATGACTGGGATCGCATGATGGACGAGTTACTAGCGGAAGAAAGATCGAAGGGGGGGAGAAAGCAGCAAGACACAAATCAGTCCGTTGGGGCGGAGGGCAATTCCAAGATGGAGACGTATAGCTGGAGCGTGCAGCTCTCCCGACTCTGGTGGGAACTGAAAATCGAAAAGACGTGGGAAGACTGGATAGCCAGGGGAGAAGCCCTCCACCACCTCGTCGAGCAAGAGAGGACCCTGGCCGAGCAAGAACAGGGCGGCAGAAGCGATGCTGCGAGGAGAAGCAACCGTCGGGCTGCTGCGTCGTCGCGGCGAAATGCGCTGGATTACGATGATTCGCCGCCTAATGTTGGAGTTAGTCCTGTTCCTTCGCTGCCTCTGTTGGAGGCGATCCGGAGCAGTGTGCCTCGGGATGAGGAATTGGCAGAGGGCGAGGCATCGCAGGATCCGTTCTTGTCGCCGGCTTGGGCTGCGTTGGTCAAGTCTCAGGAGGGGAGGATGTTGAAGTGGGCGGGGAAGCGTGTTGTTGGCCAGCGAGGCGACTAACATGACAAAAGATGGCCGCCGTTTTTCTTGTCTATCATGACATAGAAAAGAGAGCTCTTGCATAAATGATGAGATATGATTGTAACATCATGGTTGTACAATATCTATGTACTATATACTATATACCACTGGGAGCCGGATTGAACCGTGCTGGGCGTTTTGGAGAGTTTAAAAAAAAGAGAAGAGCTATAGACGACGAATATGTATTCGTATTTAGTACATATAGAGGGTATTGTGATGACAAAGAATGATTCATGACATTCATATCGATCCGTACAGTCGCCATGCCAAGTTCCTATTAAAACACGACAAAGCAATGCTTTTTGGTATATACGCTAAGACACCCATTGGCCGGTCCAAAACTCTCGCAATACATTGCCTCTCTCGTCTTCTCATTAAATTTTCCTTTCCTTTTTTTGTTATTCATCCTTGCAACCTCCTGAGCTGCTTGATTTCCTTCTTGGCTACCTCTGCCCAGCTCCTCATTGGCTGTAGCGTGGCAATCTTCCGCGGCCTCACAGTTACGTTCGGGTCGGCGTCGTCACCATACGCGAGGTCAGCCTTCATCGATGTAGGCGATGACATGACCGAAGGAGACAGCGACAAGCCTGGGCTTGGAGGAGGTGGCGGTGTTGAGGGTCTCCGTTCCCTGTGAATGGGGAGTTCCCCCCAGTGGACATCTGGTTCAACGTCGGCCTCCAATACTTTGCTTACGGCCGGGCTGTGAGTGGGCGTTGGCACGGTATCCACGCTCTTTCTGGAAAAAACGGACGACGCCATGCTGCTGTCTGTCAAACTTTGTTCCTGATTGAGGTTGGGAGTGCCTGATCGGCTGCCGGGAGTTACGGGAAGGGGCAGTTTAGATCCCGAACCCCTGGACCGCAGCGTGTATCCCGACAAGCTTGTGGTGCTAGGGGTCCTATTCGGCAGGCCGGGCGATATTTGCTGAACGGCCTTGATTGTTGAGCTGTTGCTGAATCGCGATAGTGATTCCGTTGAACGAGACGGTGGGGTGGGCGTATGAAAGTTGGCCGAGGAGGCCCGAGGCGACGACTGGAACCGAGGCCGGACTGGCGGCCGCTGTGGGATAGCTGATGGAGTCGACTGGGCCTTTGTCAGGCCGAGACCAATACCGCGCGGAGATGGCGAAGGAGAATTGTGTGGTTTCGATCCTTGGCTGCCTTGGCGATGATGGTTCTGGTGATGATGGTCGCGATCATGGTTTTTTCTGCGGCCTCCCTGCGCCTGCTCTAGCTTCTGACATTTTTCCTCGGCACTTTTCAATAGTGCCTGGAGCTTGGCGACATCATGCTCATGCGCCTTTCTCGCATTCTCCAATCGTTTCTCATACGTCTCATCTCTGCCGTGCAATTCGGCAATCTTCTTTTTTAAGTCCTCATTTTCTGCCTTGAGGCTCATTAGTGAGACGAATTTCTTGTCCCACTTATCTTCAACCCAGGAGACTGGGCGTTTGCAGCATTCGCCGTGGTATATCTGATGAATCCCTCCTATCATGGATAACTTTTCGTCCACTTTATCGGCCGGTAGCCGGGCACGGGGCGAGGGTGATATCATCTTGGCAATGAGATTCACGAGCGGTCGTGGCCTGACCGTTTCTTGGCCTTCATAAGTAAACATGAATTGCGGCGTTACCAAGGCATGGGAAGTGAGTTTTTCAAGGAGACGCTGGAGGTTGTCTTCTCGAATTGCGAGCTTCTCACTACGGGCGAGATCGGCTTGGTAGGCCAAGGCGTCGTCGAACTCGGAGAGCCTCACGTTGTATAGCACCGTTGCAATGTTGAGATAGACCAGTCCCAGAGAATACATGTCGGACAGCTGCATACTAGAACCATTCTGGCTGTAGAGCTCTGGGGCGCGCCACTTTTCTGTCCCAGGATTGCCATCGATGGTGGTTTGATCCTGGCCACTAACATCCTTGGAGATGCCAAAGTCGGCCAGGTACACTCGGCCGGGCTTGAGCAGGATATTAGATGGCTTGATGTCGAGATGGCGAACATCGTTTAGGTGACAGTATGCCATTGCACGGGCCGCGCAGCCAACGACGCCGCGGAGGAACTCGAACGGGCATCTCGCAAGCGAGTCCATGTTTTGCGTCACCGTCGACGGCTCAATCGCGCTCAAGTCGTTGAGCTCCAGTGCATCGAGCCGTGCCAAGATCTCTCCGCGGTCTCCTTTGCCTGTGCGTATCGAATCCAGATCGTCGAGCAGGGTGTCGAGATCGCAGACGGCGGCGGGCCAGATGAGCAGACAGAGCTCATGCGGCCGCGGCATGTAAGCTGCCACTAGCTTGACGACATGGCGATGGTCCAGCTTGCGCATCGTCAGCCCTTCCTGGCGCAAGTCGTCGATTGTCAGGCCGCGGCGCCGCATGATGCGCTTCCGGGCGAGGCAGACGGAGGCATGGGTCACTTTGTCGACGCGGCCAAAGGCGCCGCCGCCAAGGTAGTCGAGATGGGTCAGACGGGAGTCGAATCGCTTTGCTTCAGGGCCGTTGAAGTTTGGTTTGTGCCTGGTCGAGAACGAATTGTCCGAATTAGCTTCTCAGCCTCCAGTTTTCAGCTACACAGCTGTAGCCTTGATTCCAATTGCAACCCCAATTTCTCCAAACCCCGGCTGCATCTTGTTCAAATGACTCACACACTCGGCCACTGCTCGTCATGATCCCATGCCTCGATGACCTCCCGCTCCCTCACCTCTTGTTCGGCCCATGATGATTCTCCTTCAAGGGCCAAGCGTCGGCCCACGGTGATCCAGCCGTCGCCACGATCGCCCATGCTGGGGCGCACAAGATGATCAAGCAATGGCAGGCGGAATACTGAGATATCAACCCCGTCTTGCTCGCTCCTTGCCGTTTTGTTTCGAGGAAGAAGACAATGGGTTTTGGCGGCAGCTGGAGAAGGTTTGAGGCTGAGGATAGCTGCGCCACTGCCGTAGTCAGGTAGCATTTAATCAATGCTTACTAACTTGATCAAGCTTGTGTGGGGTTTTAGCACGGGCCCTATGTTAGTAGTACAGGGTATGTATCTTATCTCCAAAGGATTGGTCAGGACGGCTATGGGCAATGCAATATCAAGTAGCCAGTAGAGTGGTATTTGAATCCAATCTGATTGCTATGTTAACAACTGGCTATCTAAGTTATCTAAATGAGTGGAAAGAAGTAAACTTATATACCCGGTTAGTTGGGCTGGATCATTAATTTTTCTGATGATCCGTGGAATGGATCATCTCAAGATCTAATGATCCGTTTCCTATTGGTCGGGCAGGCCGGCTTGTATTAGAAGCTGCCTTGTGTACCCTGTAAGCCCATTGCCGTAACCATATGAGTTGGATCGTGACAATATGACATTTATATTGGTGGCTTAGAAGGGTAATATACTTGGTACAAACCCATACTAGTCAAGCCAAATCAGCCCCTAGATCATAAAGGAGAGCATCTTCAGCTATCGAAGACCCTCAAGCACTTCTTTCATCCTTGGAGCTGTAATATCGACGTGATTCTCCGCAAGTTGCACTAAATTGCCTTTCATTCTTTCATGATGAATTACCAAAGGCTCCACCTTCTTGAAGAGCTGCCGATAAAGCTCCTTCAACTCTATTGTCGTCCTCGTGTCCAACTGCTCAGAAAATCCATAGTCCCGCGCCGCCCAGGCAATCTCGGGCGCGGCAGACTCGACAGAAACATCTTCCATGGCAAGGAAGTGACGCAACCTCCAGATGGACGGACGAGGCGCCTTTGCCTCGAGGAACACGCGCAAGCGATCAAAGATGTTGTATGTAGTGGTGCTCTTGGTCTTCAAGTCTGGCCAGTGTTTGTCGAACAAGGTCATAAGTTCTCCTCTTTCCCACGCCTTCCAGAATTCGTCGAAGCTGCAGATAGGATCTTTCTCGTTGATCTGTTCCGCCATAGTTGAGGATCCGAGACTCTGCATGTATTCCTCTTGAGCTGTGGACCCGAACAGTATGGTGCTGTACATTGCCCCCAGCAAGCTTTCCTCGTGCTCGTCGTGGGAGACAACGAAACCAAAGTCAAACCAATGGCAGTGTTCCCGGTTCAAAGGCGGCGGGTGTTCATTGTCCAAGGCCATGAGATAGAAGAAGAAGCAATGAAACTTCGCAAAAGGTGTCAAGTCCTTAATATCTTTGTGCCGGTCCTTAGGGGCCAGATACTTGCGGGCCCTAGCCTCCCTGTTTCGTAACTGCGTTATTTGGCAGGGTGCTTGGACAGTTGAATGGTCGAGTTCGAAGCGGGTACGGTTTCTCAGGAACCAGGGGAAGTATCCTCCCCTGTAGTTGTCGGGTAACTCCTCGAATTTCTCGACTATCTTTGCGACCAGATATTGGTTTCCGTCTGGGTGCGATCGCCACTCGTGGAGCTCTTCGCGCGTAATACGGTGAACATGGAATTTGAAAAGCCCGGCGAAAAGGCCACCCAGGTGCGACTCTTCAATCTTGTCTTGGCATCGGTCAAACCAATAGTCCTGTCGTACTTGGGGGTCTGTCGGAATATCTTCCGCGAGGGCGTCCTCGTAAAGGTAGTCTGCTGACGTGACTTGCCGCATGTTGCATTTGAGGAGGTGTGACAACGGCATTTTCCGTTCACAGCTCTTACTACAGAACGGAGATGCTCGGCAGTGAGAGCACCGTCGAGTAGTTTCTACCTCCCGACAGCTAGCGCAAAGTTTCGAGGTGTTTTCTGCGAGCACCTCGCGTCTGGCTTGGATTCTCGAGGCTCCCTCGTCTTCGACGGGATACGAGAGACTAGTCAAAGCCCGTCTCAGCATACATCTCTGTAAATGTCGAGGATAGCGATGAAAAAATGAATTGAAGAAACAAACCTCTCCTTGTTGGATTGCACATGAGAATTTTGAGCGCGTTGTCGATGAAGATACTCGGATACGGCGTAACTTCGCTGGCGATTTTCTTGACTCATCCCCGGGATGGCAATGAAACTGCCACCAATTGTAGATTCCTTGACCTCTGCTCTTCTCTGAGCCGATAGCATTACACTACCAATCAGCTCCTTTCGCATCCACGATATAACCTCCATCACAGCCCCGTACAGCATATGCTGCTCGCCTTCCCCCAGGTTATCTCCAGGCGGAAGAGTCCAGCTGTGGTTGTAAAGCTTGCCATGACACCCACGCGTTTTTATGCCTTGGAAATAGTGAAGAAATTTAGAACATAGTAGGCAACTATACCTGCTACAGCCAATGTAGTCAAATCTCTTTCCGTTGGCAACTTGGTCGGGGTGACTGAGGATGAAGAGTATGAGCTGGATTTCGGCGTGCACTTGCCAAGTTGGGGACTTCAGTCGAGAAAAGCCGGTGGAGAGCTTGTCAACCTCTGTATTGCTTAGCTGAAGCTTGAGTGCGTGAAGAGTTTGGTCGAGATTCCATTCCTGGCCAGACCGTTTCTTTCCAGTCTTCAATCTATCTGTAACCACGGGGATAAGGGACAGGTCATCGAACCCGAGTATTTGCTTTGCGGCTGCAACAAGGATCTGGAAGGACCTTTTAAGACGGCCCAAGAAGCCAATCGCTCGGTGTAGTTTGTCACCTGCTGGACCGAGATCCTGGAAGCGCTCAACCGGAATATCTTGGTGGAGAACATAACTCAAGCTCACAAGACTGTCGTATCTTTCCAAATCCGAGTCAGCGTCACTAGAAAGCAACTTAACCAATCGCTTTAGGCCTAAATCAAGTATAAATCCGTCCAAATCTGTAACAACAACAACATCGCTGGTCGACTCTAGAGAGGAGTGCTGCGGAAGAAACCACTGGGAGTTTTCCATGATTTTCTGCACGTCGCCAATAGCGGTGTTCAGTCTCGAGGACTGGTGGCGAAGCAACATTTGCCAAAGTGCGTTCTCATGCTTCTCCGTCTGGTTGTCTGTTGAGGTATGTATTAGCCGCAGCTTATGAGCGTGTTGCCCGTCAAAATCGAACCTGGAACAGCAGCAATCTCCTTCAGCACTATACATAAGTTGCCTAGGAAACTAGACAAAACATCATCTTTGGCAAACCCCAAATTTATCGCAACAAAAACTTTGACCTTATCGGGCCAGTAGAACATATGACTGGCAACAACATGGGGGCCTCTCTTCTCCGAAGAAACGGTCTCGGACAGCCTGTCCAGAAATTCGCGACGCAAAAGGTCCTCATCAAGGTTGCCAAGGGGAACATTTTTGAAGGAATCACCTTCATTTCCGGATTCATCTAGGGATGCCTCGTCTTCGGGCTCTTGATACGAGGTTTTGTCTTCAAATTGGCGGCCACTGCGGAGATAGAGCAGCTTAGCATACGCGTGGAGCTCCTTCAATGCGGATTCTACCAAACTAGGTCCCGTGCAAGTCTCCATTTCCGCATTAAAAGAAGAATGATGACATAGGAGAGATTTATCTGTATGTGTACGGAAATCATACAGCCTTCACGTTTATGAAGGATTCCTTTGTTGGGCGGTAGGGCATCTATCTGCGTGCATTCTTGGGGGGAACTAGCCAATGATATGAATAGTTCTAATATTTTAATAGCACTTTGAGGTACAAAGTGGATAAATGGAAGGCCATAAGTGTCCCAAAATGAGGGCCTGTACCAAGTAAGGACATTTACCCCGCAAGAACCCCATTGACGGGGGGGTTCTGTGACGAACCGGTATAAATAGGTGACGTTGGAAAATGCAGACTCAATTCCCAAGAAACCAACTTCTGTTCTAGGCTTATGTTGGCGGATCAGTCACATTGGTATTGCGGTATCATGCAGCTACTAGCAATAGAGAGGTGCTGTGTTAACAACCGGTCGTATAATTGTGACATCTTGATATGGTATAGGGTAGGTTCCCAAGGTGATGAACACGTCGGGGGTTTATGTTGGTACAGAGGACAAGAAGTAGCGTTAAGCACTACCTAGTAAGTAGTCACAACTGAGTGGAGTAGAATAGGAGATATAGCTTGTATTGAATCTTATTTACTTTGTTAGCGATTCGTTATCTAAGCCATCTGAATGAGAGTGATGAAGTGGATTTATATGCCCAGTTGTTCCGCTGTAATACTCGGTATATTTATCACGAACCGTGTTCTTGGAGATTGATATAGGGCACTATTTCCGAGATACAAGCCTCTGGTTCCAGGTTTATGGTGGCCATCCGGTCATTCACACAGCTACTTGTAATAGGATATACATCACTAACACAAATCAACTACTAGGAGACAGATAGAAATCTGATTCACGTAGTTGGACATTCCCATTCTCTTCAATTCTATCACTCATTTATCTGATTCTTGGAGTAAGAAGTAGACGGAGTGTAATTTTCTTCGGACATGGTTTCTTGGCTCCTCATGATGCGAGAAAAGCTCCCGGTAAACCAGTTGAGTTCGGATCTTGTAAACCCTGTTCTCGATAAGCTTACTGTGTCCCATCGCCTTTGCTAAATGCGGGCCGAGAAAAAGCCCAGGATCGCGAGAGGGTCCATACTAAAAATTGCGGGGTCCCCTGGTCTCAGTTCATGTGCTGCTCATTAATTTGTCAAAGAGCAGAACTACAAACAAACTACCTCGTAGATTGCCTGAGAGACTAAGCGTAGAGGAAATTGATGAGGCCTCGAGCAGCGGTGGAGCGTGCAACTGTACTAGCATGATCTCGGGAGTTTATTCCGTAGTGCAGATTGCTGAGGAGAATACCCTGGAGCTATTGGAAATGTTCTTGGGCATGTTAAGTATGAGATCAGGAGTTGTTGAATTAGTTGTAGCAACGAAACGTGGACGTCTGCAGTATCTATTGACTCAATGGAGTATAACTATTACAACTCCATATGTATTGCGCCAACATAATGCGAAGAGTAACGATGGATTAACTGAGAAGCGCTTGAAGATGATCTTCAGTTTTGATGAGATTCATTGAGCTTGATGTTTATAAGTGAGAAAAAGTAGACATATTTTATCTTATTAGCTATAGAATAATCTCCAAGATGTATATTTGTTCGCTTGTCTCAACTCATTGATTCTCTGTCTTCTCATCACATCAGCTCCTACCAATCTGCGCTTCTGTTGTGACCATCCTTCAAATGCCAACACCTCATCGGTTGAAAAATCTTTGGGGTTTCTTAATACTTCTCATTAAAAGTGTGAATAACGAGACAAATGTATCTCTTAATATTATTATGAACTTTGCCTCGTTTGTGTCTCGTCAAGCCTCTCTAAAACAATGCTGCGTTTCTCGGGGGTAACATGTCGATATTTTGCAAGATGATTCCAAGAACATGGATGAAGGAAGCTCATTTGTAATCTTATTTGCTCCATTCAGTAATATTATTTTACTTTGCGCATGGCCTCACGTTCATTAAAACATAAATAACATTGTGTCCATCGTGCGGCATGAATCACTGCACTTTGAGCACACTCCCTGGGTTGCCTTGACTTGAAGCAATCAGGTAAGTATAACACTTTTTAATACACAATATAGCCCTATATACGAGAGTTGTTTACATTAGTTTTGATACAATAAGCAGATATGATGTTATAATGGAGAAAGATGGAGAAGAACGAAGAGGCGCAAAGAGAGCGAATTGTTGGCACTGGTATCACACTATCAACTGGAGATAGATCAAATACTGTATTATATCTAGTTATCACAAAGGTTATAAAGAAAGAGATGTATGGCGACAGTTCACCGGCTGGTCAATCTTCCAACTCCTTATAGACAGCTGTAAGTTCCATATCTACGACAAGAGCACGAACTATACTCTGGTTGGGATTCCAAATGAGATACGAGTTATTTTTAATCACTGTTGTAACTTCAAAGAGCGTTAAATATGAGAAAACGGGCCTCTTTAACACTTTATTTCTTTTACAAATTTCGTATGGCCAGTCTGCCCCTGATCAAAACTTCGCTTCGTATTATCAGATTCTCCATACACCACATGAAGCCAAATATACACGGCATATGGTTTAATGATGCTGCTGGATCATATTATAATGCTCGAATTAACTGTAGCAACAGTCTTAATCCCATTGGCATAGAATACTCCCTTTGTGTGCGTTGTTGAGATTCCCACCTCGAGCGTGTAACCGCAGCGAGGCGTTCTATCACGATACTCTCCTTTCGTACACGACAACGCACTCGTATTTATACTGCTTCATCTTTTCAATAATTTGATTGAGCTGATGTGGGAAAACACTACATCTTCTTCTCTTCTTCTTTCCAGCTTCCACGAGATTTTCAATTACTAAACAACCCCCTCTTCTCCCCCCCTTTTTTTTTGGTTTAGTCGTGATATGTAACCTACACAACTGAAAACAAAAACATCAGTGACAATCGCCAAGCTTAATTCGCCCTATGTACCTTAATCTATCCGAAAGCTAGATTAGACGAACACTAGATGCCGTGCGTTGGATATGATAAATTTCGAGATCCAGCCCATTGGTTTTGGCCAAGTATCTCCAAGTTTACTAAACCACCACATTTTCCGACTTCTGCCTCCATATTTCATGATAAATACTACCTAAATCGCTCATAACTCGGAGAATCACTCGGTATATTTCGTGGAGAGACCTCCAACTTGAGCCTCCAACCTCCAAATGCTTCTCACACGCTAGGCACTCCGAGCCGTGACCCACGATGAATGTCAGACTTTCCCACTCTCTCCGGCTACGGCGGCTATTGCGGATGAACATCCGTTCCAGTAGTTCAGCGGAACTAGGATAGAACCGGAACACAAAATAGAACGGCCCAGGTTCCTTTCTCCCGTCTTTCTTACCTATTGACTTCAGTGGGGGTGCGGCTGGCCATCAGAAAAACCACACTTGGACGGGCTGCGGCCCAGGTGAGCCGTAAGCGAGAGAGAGGTGTGGCAATCCCACGCCCACGGCCAATTCAAAAAGGAAATTCATGGCGATGAAAATCACTTTGCTGCACGGAGATGGGCGAATGGGACGCTGCTCCGGACACTATTTCGATGGCACAGGCAGGGTTGTTGAAGCTGTGGATTCGACGATGGAGTTCCACGCTGCGAGTTCCGCTATACTAGGCCGGCTGTCGGAAGCATACTCGTACAAGCTCGGACGTACAGTCGCCTAATATGAAACTAAATACTTTTGTTCAGTATATGTACCTCTCCATGTTTAATTTATTAGTTGTATTTTGCTTTCTCTCAGTAATATTACATATTGGACATCCCACCGGCGGAAATGTCCCAATTTTTTCTTGTCAGGGGTCGGCCGTTCCGCTCCTAGTCACACCTGGTCACACCTTGTTCGAGGAAGCACTAGTATTACTTTATTGGTCTGTGCATATTCTAACGAAACTAAAAAGCCAGCACTACCTTGCCTACGTAATTCTGGACTCTCGTGTGCTGGGTTGTCCAAATCGTGATTGATGAAGAAGCGGAATTCCGCAACAGCTATAGGACTCGGTAAATTATGGACATTATCAGCGTCGGCGTTAGGTGATAGCCAAGACAAGTCGGATTGCGGCAGAAAGACGCGTGTCTGTTGATCGGCTGGTGGAAACACAATACACGTATCCATGTTATAACCTATTTGAGAGAGTTGGTGAGAATTGCTCGGCAAAATGCCAAGCCAGACTTGACTGTAGTTACGTGTCGCTAGAGAAGCGTGTTTACCCCCCTCGCAGATCCACCAAAGGGGGTAGTCTGTGTAAGTTTGACGGAGTACTCTCGGGGAGGCAGAATACTTGTGTTTCGTATGGTTTTGATATTAGGGGTCTGGGCTTGAATCGAATAGATCATGAAGGTCTGCTGTGAATGATGTGGGTTTACAGGGTTTACAGGATTTACACTCTCTTGCATCTCATGATATCAAGATTGATGACGGCAGACATCTGGAAATGCTCTCAACTGCTGCGAGTGGAACCAAATCAGAAAAGAAGAATCAAGTCCTATTGACGTGATATGTACTCCGCACCGCTGTACTTTCCATACAAGCATGAGCAAAATAACTCCTATTGCAGAGCATATTAGACTAGGATCGTGGCACTATCGGCACGATATAGAGGGCTCTGCTGTATCTTGTACTCGATAGTCATGTCAGATAGCAAATTAGAACTGCAGCATGGATCCATGTATCAACCTTGAAAGACCGGTGATTACTTGAGAACCAGAGTTGCAGCTGCTACAGCTTGGCAGAAAACCACAAATAGTCTTTGCTAGAGGACGGTGATGAAAAGCAAAGTCACCGGCCGCTGGCTTGGAGGGACGAGCAGGCACAACAACACCACTTTTCGGAATTACGGAGTCTAAGTAGTCTCCTGGATCGGAGAGGAGGCCGCTGTATCACTCCATGTACGTAGTAAGCGAGTGGATTCGAATCAGGGAGTCGCCAATCGCTCTCTCTGCAGGTTGCAGATGGTCTAGTCCTAGAGCATCCCGAGAGTTTTGCCACGAGAGCCTGCGGGATTATGCTGCCACTGTGGTTGTATCTCAGCAAACAGTGCTGCAGTAAAGGGGGTTGCAGCCAGTGTTGGCAACTTGGACACCATGTCGATCGACGTGGCCACAAGCTTCAGTTTCACGCTAATGGCTCATGATGTTGGCCAGAAAGAAATGGACTACGGAGCAGATGATCCCCTAATGGTGGCTATGTCAGACATGGAGATGAATGTCACGATGATGAGTTCGCGGTGAGGAATGAAGCATTACGCCATCTCTATAGGATTCTACGATCCCTTGGCATCATAGTTCTTGTCCTCTGCATTCGACTGAAGGGATGTGCATGATTAATCAGAAATCAGAACATTGGCATCCCATCTTCGATCCAGATCAAAGCTCGCATCGACACTGCCAAGCTTGAAGTTCCGACGGCTACTTCCAGACTCAGAATCAGACAGGGAATCCCGCACCACTGATTCATTTCAAACCAGAAACGTCAGAAGCCACCAATATGCAGAGCCTCAGGAGTAACTCGCAGGCGTCTGTGTCCATGTATCGGCCTGTAGACAACGCTATCGACTCCACTTGATCGTCTCCATCCAAACTAGGCGCCCGGGTAGGTTTTTGACAAGTAGCCGGGGCACGGGACTGAGCCTCTAATGGGGCCGCAATTTCACAATTGCCGCTTGCCTTTTCGCACACGGGACCATGATTGAGGCAGATTTTGTCCAGAGTTATTTCAATGGACAGCTCATCCAGCCGTCTGCCTGGCCAAAACAAGATATTGGTCCCCCTGAATCTTTCCAATGGAGGCCTGTCTCAGAGATAAAGATAGTCTGCGGACGCCTTCGGACGAAATCGTACCAAATAAAGGTGTGAGATCTTGGATTGAAAGCCACTGTAGTGGTAGTACATTGTTACAAGGTATAGCATAGGTATGCTAGCAGAAGCATTTCGGTCGACTAATTGGTTGTTGGCAGGATATCGGACATTACGAGGCCTAATTCGGCGATAGTGTTCCAGAACCACTCGCTTGGCAGGCACTCGGTCCTTGTCATTGTATTTTGTCGTTTTATGCAAGATCTTGCGTGATCTCTAGGCATTTGTACTCTGGTCAGCCAAGTGTTGAAGAAGTCCACCTTTTCTTATGCAGTTGTCGTCATTGTCATCATTGTCATCATCCTCACGCAACCATGTGCTAGAGTCGAGATAATGCTTCAAGTGGAGGCGCACGGGATTCCGTTGCTAATATTAATTCCTGCCATTAGCGTGCTGGTAGGCAAAATGCCGGTGTATGCGAGTAGTACGAGTATGCGGTATTCTGGGTTAAATTGCCCCTTGCAACCTCTCTGCATCTTCATCCCATCCCGTCTGAGGCAGAGACAATGTATGACTTTTCTTTACTCGTATGTCGTATTTCACAAGGCCCTTGACATCTTGATTGAATGACTCATCCGCAACCACTATTTGAAAGACCCCGGTTGAAAAGAGTAACAGGGGAAGCTTTGACCAGGCAGTCCAAAGTAACATGCCGGATGCAGACTGGCATGCGATGGAACGTATTGTCAATATCAGCCCTGTTAGTGTATAGTTAGATTCGACATGCGGCATACGGCTCGGTTCTGTCAAATATGAACCATGAAAGTAAACAGGCATCAACTATTTCCTGACTGGATGACTTGTAATTGCCTTTTTGGGCTAACGGTCTAGAGAGTAGCAATAATAGAGCAGCTGACATTGTCCATTTGGGAATATACTCCATCCCGCGTAAGCAACTTTGAGGCAGAATTGAGTTGCAAAGGTGCCTGTACAAGGAGCTTTCTTGGACTTGGTAGCACCCCCCAGTAATAGTTGCAACTCACCTCCTCGCCAATCGTTCTTGCCCTGGTAAGCTGACTCGTACCACTCATATAGCCGCGTGTGGGCTATGAGGCCCCCTATGCGTCCGGAAGATGCCTCAAGTTGGACTATCTCGACCGGAGTCAGCAAAGACAATGCATGCAAAATTGGCCGGCGGTGTATCCGCGCTACCAAACACAGGACCCCACGATTGTCTCAGTGTAGTTGGGATTAATCGTGTGACAGGCGATTCAGTCTGCCAGGCATGCATGAAATGAGGCGTCTGTGGACCGGGCCAACGACGGGGCCTGGACGACTGAGCCTAACGGCAAGATTGGAAGATTGGATCTCATCTGGCGGGCTGGAACAGCGGCATTGAAAACAGAGCCCAAGCCGCGCAGACTTAGGGCCCAGAGGCACTTGCAAGAGGGCTATGCCACACCGCTGCAGAAAATCAAATGCACAGCAGCATGAAGCTAATGCGGGGAATGCGGCACGGGAGTCGCTGGGCGTGTGCTCGTGGTACTGTACATAGTATCATATCAGCAAGGTTAGTGAGAGCCGGAATTCAAGGCAGCTAGTGCTGGCATCACGCAGAATCCATGGATGGTCTTGTTAGTGACGCCCAGTCTAGACCAAGCCAAAAGGGAAAGAAGAGCGCCACGCTACACTGGAGCTACGAGAAGCAATGGCTTTTGATAGGGCCCGTCGTACTTAATGCCTGGGCGTGGACGAGGGTGTGCGAGTGTCTCGAACTCGAAGCTGTGCAGACGTTGTGTTGACATCGCGCCGTCTCTGGGGCTTACAGGCAGCACGGAGCGGAGCCAGTCTGGCGCGGTTCTCGTTTCTCGCTGGTTGTTAGCATTGCTGTACTGCTGTAGCATTCGACATTGACGACTGAAGAGCTCAATTGTGCTGAAACCACGGCATCATCAGCCTCTTGGTCACAGGTTTGGACAATGTCGAACCGCCCCGCTGCAGCTGCGAGGTTGATTTTGCTTTTGCTGCGGCCGCGGTCGGCCACTGATGGCAGCCGTTTCCGTCCATCACGGTGCAAATCTAACGCTATCTGGCAGGCGGTGGCAGAATCAGGAGCCTACTTCTGGAAGGCGGTGGGGCCCATGGCAAAGAGTGGAGACACCAGCCTTGTCAACTTGTCTTGGCCATGTTGGCCATCAACAACCTGGCCGGAGCACAGTGCTAATTTAGTGCTAGCCCCTGGTACCGGAATGGCAGTGCTTCTCCTTACGCGTACCTTGTTTGGCGGCAACAATGCGTGCAGAATCGTCGCTAGGAAGATTCCGTTGATACCCCCCAGGAGCGGCGGAACTTGCCTGAGCTTGTCGGTAATATATTCTCGAGCTACTGCATCGGCCGGTGAGACGAGATTTGCATGGGTTAATGCTTACTAAGGTAGGTGGTATCCAAGTACCGAAGCATTTTAGCTTGCAGGCATTGTACTGTACAATGACGCCTTTCGGGACTGTGCGTCGCCCTTACTTCCCAAACGAGAAGTGCGCCCTCCACCAATCACTGGGCCCCATTGTGATGACCAAGACACATTTGAGGCTTGGGCGAAAGGCTCCCGGCACGGAAGTCGCACTCCGCCCTACACCGCGACCAGGCTACCGACTTCCTAAGACGGCTAGCTACATCTTGGACAGCTTCGAGCTGCTTATTAATTGCGCTTAGCACGCATTCATGTGGCCTAGCGGCGTCGCATTATCTAATCGTGCCGGCAAGCCCGTGCGAGTGCGAGTACCAGTATCAAGCGCGGCTGCCTGCACGCAACGGCAACTCAAGTACCAGCTACAGACGCCGCCGCAGAGCAAAAGCAGTGAAACCAGCTGATGCCGCCAACTAATTGCTGCTAGCACACGTGGCTGGAGGTTTAAAGCACGATTTCCAGTCATCACCTCGGCTTGTTGAGAGGTTGAGAGTTGACGACGTCAGAAACGGGCTTTTGCTTTGTAATTCCCCAGTATCGGGCTAAGGCGCAATTCTGACCTGTTCTGCTCTGGCCTGCTCTGACGTGCTCTGCCAGAAGAAGGAAAAAAAGGCCGTTAGAACCCCGTTAGAGTCCGTTGGGAGTTTTGGGGGGACTCAACATTCCACAGCTGCCCATGTGTTTGTTTGTTACCGACACACCACTGCCAACTTACGAGTTACTCAACTGGACTGGACTGGACTGGACTGGACTGGAGAGGTGCAGTAATATTACGGAGTGCTTGTAAACAGCACTGACAAGGTTCCTCCTTGCTCGCTCGAGCAGCTCATCGCCTATACTCACTCGTAGGGCTGCTCCAAGTGCCAAGCGCACAAGTCCCAGCTCTGAGGCGGCCCCTGACCTGAACCTGACCTGACCCCAGAAACAGGCCAAACCAGGCCAAACCAAGCCAAACCAAACCCTGCGTCGGATCCATCCCATTCGCATTCGCAACCCGGTAAGCCCAGCAGAAACCCGCGGCCTTGTGCGGTGTGGAGCGGTACGTGCGGCTCATCAGCGAGATCCGCCCTTCGCCAACTGTGCTGTGCTTCTGCTCTGCCTCCTCACCGAACCTCCCCCCGGACGAACACGGATGAAATAGTTGACTCTCCGGGCTATACAAAATAGTATTACTATTAGTATATTCTTGCGTGTGCCCCGCGCCGTTCTTGAGCTCCGACGTCACGTCCAATATCTCAATCTTGCCGCTGGATTATTCTCTCCCAGCCCATAGGCTCGACTAATCACCCACAGCCGCCCAATTGCACAGCAACAGTACAGCGCAACACAGTACATCACATCACAGCTCAGCTCAGCTCAGCTCAACGCAGCGCATGATGAGTCGCCTGTCTCGGGCTGAGGGCCGGTCCCCCTTGCCGTCGCTGCAGAGCGAAATCTCGATTCTCAATGCTGAAAAGTATGGCGAGGAGCCCAGACAGGTCAATGGCAAGCGCTCGCCATCGCCGGATCATGACGAGGATGACGCCGTGCAGAAGAAGCGCTCCCGGGGCCGTCCGCGGCTCGACACCAAGGACGAGACAGCCGCTGATGTGAGTAACGAAGCCCAGCAGACATCCATCTCTACCATCGTCCTTAGCACCGCAATGGCTGGCGTTGTACCATCTTTTTCACGCCCTCTCTGTTACCCCCCCCCTTCTCTCTAGCTCTAGGCATGCATACTCGTACTCTCTCAGGTACATTGGATGGTGCAATGTAGTCTAACCTCTCCTCGTTGCTGCAGCGTCGTCGAACCCAGATTCGTCTTGCTCAGCGAGCATACAGACACCGCAAAGACACCGCCATCACCACGCTCGAGCAAAAGGTCAAGGACCTCGAGGCCTCAAATGAGGCCATGAGCAAGGAGTTTACCAAGTTTTACGACATCATCCTGGCCGAGGGCATCTTTGACATTGCCCCTCATGCCGCGCCTCGCCTCAGACTCATCGCTGACAGGCTCCTCCGCATCTCCAGCATGGTTGGAGCTAGCAGCATCAATTCACCAGACAGCGACGAATCCATCGTGGCCAAGCCTGGTGCCGGCCGCAAAGGAGCTAACGACATCGCCATGAGCCTCGGCTCCCAGAGCACTATCATCGAGCCGGAACTCACGGCTTCTACTTACTCTTCCTCCCAGCACCAGCATCCGGCTGCATTCAACTACGAAGTCATTGCTCAAGCCACGCCAAACAACGCCAGCTTCCCCTTCTTCACCTCCATCGAGACACCCTCCTCACAGCCCCAGAGCGGCAGTTATCTGGGCAACTCCATCGCCAACCCTTCGCCCTATCCCCGCCTCTCCCCGCCCGCACCATTCGGCTTCGGCGAGCGCTCCTTTAGCAAGAGATTGCAACGGACCACCCTGGAGCGCGGTCTCAGGCTGGCCACGATGAAGAACCCGCCCCCTGAGCAATATGCGACTGTTTTCGGCTTTTGCTTACTGTTTGAATCCCGCGAATCGATTATCCGGAGATTGGCCGCCGGGCTGAAAAAGGCACAGAGCGAGGTCATGGACTGGAAGCTGTCGGCAGCTGACCAATTTGGATTCTTGGACGGCAATTTTTCGTCGAACGGCTCGGATGATTTGAGCCATGCGCTGCTTTCCTTGGGCAAATCGAACAGCACCTTCTCTGGCCTGACGTCGGCATTTGGCCAGCAGACTTCGGCTAGTTCTGAGGACCGAACGGAGCAACGGATACGGATGATTTGCCAGAACTTTGAGGGCGAGTTCTTCACGTCTGAAGAAGTAGAGCTGTTCCTACGCAGGCTCGGCTTATCTATTCCTCCCAACGTCGACTATCTTGAAACGGAACTAGATCTCAACGACCTCCAAGCTGCCGACGAGGCGAGCACAAAGAGTCACTTTGCCAGCATCGGACTATCTCCCGGCAGCTCCGGCCTGGGCAGCGGAAACGGACTCAGCAACATGTGGCAAATGAACACCTCGATTGGCGATTTTGGAAGCTCTCTCCGGGGAGACTCATCAGAAGGTCAGAGCAATAGAATGACAGAGTTTGGCGACGATTCTGACCCGAATGGAGGATTAGTCGCGTTTATGAACAACCCCGATTTCGGCCAGATGTGGTCTACAGGGTCTAGCTGGCCAAAGACGAAGGTTTCAGTCGATATTCGCAGGCTGATAGAAGGTACAGCTCCATTCTCCTCTTTCCCCGTATTCTTGACTTCAGTTTGCTGACATTCTTCAGAACTGGTCGGCCGATCAGTCTGCCTTGGCAGGGTACCGGGCGTGCGGCCCAAGGATGTGATTAAGTCCGTCAAGATTGCCGCTGGCCTATCAACCTCCAACGCATGATGAACTCTAAACAATACATCTTGATCTGGAGCATATAAAAGTCATATGTTGCTATACTATCGGACCAAAATGGCCATTTTAGAGAAGGAGTTTTTTTGTTACTGATTTTGACGGTACACCAGGCAGGCGAGGGAAACGGATTAGGGGCACCAAATAAGCCCATCGATTGATTCTTGGAGCAACAGGAGTTACAAAGGATATACCACGGCAGTCCAGGCTAACGGACTCCCTGTCTGCACCGGCGGAAAGCGTATTGTTGATATTATTGTCTTATTTGGGCGTTTCCATCCATGGCGGCATTCGCTTCATTTGATTTCGGGGGTAAAAACCATCTTTTTAATCATTTTGCTTTACGCATACATCATGTTTTACATAGGAGTTTCCTTTTTTTTTTTTTTTTCTGATGAAATGTCTGTCTCATGTGCGATGATACAAGGAAGGGCACAGAGTTGGGTTGGGATGGGACATGATTAAAATGAACCACTGTCAAGATAAATAATTGTAAAAATAGCTAGCCTTGTTGTACGGAAATTGTTGAAATTAAACCATACGATGAAAAACATGCCTTGATATGGATGAGAGAACTGTTCCGAAGCCGAAGCCGGGTTGAGTAGGGGATGCCCGAATAGGCAGGAGATCCGCCCGCTCGGTTGGCCCTGTGGAGGCGACATTTCAACTCCGCTTCGTTCAACCTTCGAGCTATCAAGATCGTTGTAGACGAGCCAGTTTTGATCCGATTTCGCAGTAGATTCCATCTTATTTATGAGTATTTTCCGGTATATCCATTGAATCCTTGCTCTGAACCTGTAACTTAGAGTCCTCGATTCAACTTGATTGCTCCTTCACGTCCCCCCGCAAGCTATTTTCACCCTTATCTATCTCGCCATGGAGTACAGACAACAACAGCCCGTCTCGGACTCAAAAGTCAAGATCCAGCCTCGATTGATTATCCACGGCGGCGCGGGAAACATTCGTCGCAGCAACTTTCCCGCCGACAAATATGCCGCCTACCGCTCCTCTCTTCTATCAATTGTGGGTTTTCCCCATCAATACCATCTCCACCCAACCGAAGCTGATATGTGCATCATGAGATAAGGTCTCCAAAACGCGAGACTACATGAATCCTCCCACGCAATCATATCCCAGCGAAAAACACGCAGGTCACCCTTCCGCACTGGAAATCGCCACTCATGCCGTTGCGCAACTGGAAGATAACCCGCTGTTTAACAGCGGCCACGGCGCAGTCTTCACGCGCGACGGCATCAACGAGCTCGAGGCCTCCGTCATGGTCTCGCGGGGCTTCAAGAAGCGCGGCGTAGGCGTCATGGGATTACGAAGAGTGCGCAATCCGATTCTCTTGGCGCGCAAGATGCTTGAGCACGGAGAGCAGGATCTTGCGCCCGCGGGCTCTGTGCCGTCATCGTCGACTTCGTTGTTGGGGGGTCTTGGTGGGGATGGGGATTTGGATGTTCCGTCTGCGCAGGGACATACACAGCTTCATGGACAAACGGCGGAGCAGTTGGCGAGGATGTATGGGCTGGAGATGGTGGAGCCGAGTTACTTCTTTACGCAGCAGCGCTGGGACGAACATGTTCGTGCGTTGGAGCGGGAGGAAAAGGGGTTGAGCTCGGGGACGTGGCATGCGGAGGAGTATCTTCCTCAGGGAACGTGCGGAGCGGTTGCTTTGGATGCGGACGGCGTGATATGCGCTGCCACGAGCACGGGCGGGATGACGAACAAGTTGACGGGCCGGATTGGCGATACGCCCGTCGTCGGGGCTGGATTCTGGGCTGAGGAATGGGATGGGCAGTTGGAGAAGCTTGTTCTGACGACGGAGCCTGGGGTGAGCTTTGTTGGGCCGTTGAAGGGGTTGCTGGCGGATTGTTTCCCCACGCCGTGGATGTATTCACCGGCGAACCAGCACGTTCCCTCGTCTTCGACACGATCCATGGGGTTCTCGGGGACTGGCAACGGCGATTCATTTCTTCGTGTCAACGCTGTGCGGACTGTCGCCGCTATTGCGCGATACGCACCCGCTCCTGGTAGTAAGGCGCTGGCGAAAGTGGCCGGCCAGGGAGGCGAGTTGCAGAAGAGTGCGGGAGATCGATGGGGCCGGACGGGAGAGGGCGAGGGCGGAATCATTGGAATTGAGTGTGTTTTGGAGCGGGATGAAGACGGCGGTGTTGTGGGCGTGAAGTCCGAGGTGTTAATGGAGTATAATTGCGGGGGAATGTATAGAGCTTGGATTGATGATGATGGGAGAGCGGTGATGAGTATTTGGTCGAATGGTTCTGCAGACGAACTGTGAGATGAAGATCAACGGGTGCCCAGTAATAGAGATTTAGATGAGATGCAACCAAGTGCAGTTATTCAAGGGGACTATTGCCCCAATTCATTCATTCTTCTTCATATTGGATTACAGCATCCACCGGTCTTGTTTCCAAAGAGTACAGCTATACACAGGCAGCGTGTCTCGTCCCACGCCGGCTCTCTTTTTATATATTCGTACATTTGTGAAATGACTCACAAAACACCAGTTTCCCAGCACCCGCGTGTTATTTCTTTCTCTTCTCCTTTTTTTCGCGGACCCAGAGCGTTTCCCTCCCCTTTCCCCCATATCTATAATTCACGGGAAAACGCCAGTGCGATGCGATTTGCAGATTATCCATAGATATTGGTAGTTTTTCGGGAGATTTTTGTTATCCCCCTCCTCTTCTTTTTTCCCTTTTCTCCTTGTTCGTGTTTCGGGTAGTGTTTTCTATCCTTGCAAAGCCTCTGGCGCCGCAGAGTAAACAAGGCGAGAAATAAGATAGTTGTGCGTTAAAAGTGTCGAAAAAAAAAAGCCAAGACCAGTAAAGTGGAATAAAAGACAAGACTCAAGTAAATAAAGGCAGAGTTGAGAGAGGCATAAATATCGATTCGGGGTTTTCGTTTCATTTCGGTCATCCTATTCCGCCTTTTTCCTCTTACAACGCCTGGACTTCTGAGTTGGGCGGCGGCTGGGGCATCTCCAGCTTGGTTGTTCCGGACATCATCTTTCCAAAGGCGATACCGACGCCCTCGATGACGGCTAGCAGGACGGCGCAGCCAATGGCGTTGTTTCGGGCGGCCTTGACACCACCACGGAAGGCAAGGGAGCCGCCGGTGAAGAAGCCCGCACTACAGCACGAGTGTTAGCAACGCCAGTCACCAGATAGATGGTCGGGGGGTAAACGGATGGATGCAATGCTCACATGATGGCGTTGTAAGGATCCTCCTTCTTCCGGATGCCCTTGACGGCGCAGTCAAAGGTCGAGAAGAGACCACCCCAGACGCCAAAGTTGCCGCCCAGGACGGGAGCTCGCATCTTGACGGCGGTGATGGCACCAATGCGGCGCTCGCCGTAGGGAGAGTTTCGGAAGCCCTTGATGCCGTGCCAGATGGTTCCGCCAATGGCCTGCAAAACAAAAACAGTCAACCAGTCAGCCCGCCACGATAACCCAAATCTGCGTCGATGACAACCTGTGGTGTCAATGTGGGGGGAGGGGAGAGAGAGAGGCTTTATCACATACGCCCATGGCAAAGGCACCGCCAAAGTCATTGAGAATGACAAAGGGGCAAGGGTCGCGTCCGTGATCCATGGCTGGCAGGGGAAGAACGAGGGAGCAGCTGGAGGGTTCGAGGGTTGGGCGAGTCGAGATGCCTTGATTGGGTGGTGAGGAAAAAAAGTCGGTTGGCGCTGGCTGAGCCGGGATTTGGTTTTTTGGCAATGGAAATCTAGAAATTTCGGGCCGCGGCGCTTGTTCCGTTTTCGCAAAGGCTGTAGACTAATAGAGCTGGGGTGGCGGAATTGGCGTTCCGTTTGTAACGGAGTCACATGATCCGTTTGATACGGGGGCTTGCGTTTAGAACGGAACTCGGTCTCTACTTGGCAACTTGGTATTATTATGCTCGCTCAACAAATTGTATTTCAAGGCAATCTTTCATTTGTGGGTATTGACGATCAAAGAACAAATTTCACAGCTACAATAATACTAGCAAATCTATAGTTTACAGTATGAGCTGTCTATGCTATTAGTGAAATGTTAGACATGGCACTCTGCATCATCAGCTCTCTCCCGTCTCACACCTCTGACCAAGTGAGACAACTCTACTACTTAGTAGTGCACTCAGTCTATCTTCTCTTCAATCCTCGCCAAAGATGCAGCCTTATGCAGCCTTGTCAGATCATCCATATTGCCATCCAGCCGCATCGTGCAGTTCCCGCCTGCATTTGGCAGTTCGTTCGGCATCCTTAGCGGCAGAGCAGAACTCCAAAAGAACCACCTACGGCTTCGGCTCTCCGCGCGGGCTTCGGCTTGAAACTCCACACTGTTGCTACCAACGCAAAGCACTTCCAAGCCTCTTATTTCGCGCTCATTAGCCATGTTGGGCACGCCGTTGGTCGATAAGAAACAGCCATGAGTGATAGTTGGGTTCCATTTCCATCAATGAGATTCTTTGCTGCACCGGATTTGGCACTTTTTGCCCCAGTATGGGTTGACTTGTGTGACTCGGGAATCTTGCGCGGGTCCGGCGTCCTTTCCCGAAATGGCTCGCCGTGGGAGGCAAAGGATCCTCGAGAAATCTAGAATAGCTTCGATGGATTTGCTCAATCTGATACACGACGCGGCAGATTACGTGTCCACGACTTGCGTAAAGACTTGTATATAAGACAGTCCATCACCTTGTAGTCCTCATCTCTCAAGTCACATCCGCCATTCTGCATCTACCCCATCTCGCCCATCATGCCTCTCACAGTCGCCCCGGCTAGCGAAGCCGACTTGCCTCGCTCCATCGCCATCGAAAAGCGAGCATATGGCCCCAACAAGTCATCTCCCATCTTCTTCCCGGGAGAGGGCCTGAGCGTCCAGGATCGCATTTCCGTCATGACGACGCGCATAAGGGAAGAGTCAGCCGCCCAGTGCATCAAGGTCGTCGACACCGAGCTGGAGGGAGAGGCGAGCATGATTGCCTTCTCCATGTGGTTTATCTGGTCCGGAGACCTGCGGCCAAGCTTCCCGCAGCGGAAGTGGGGGGCTGGCACCAACCTGGAGGCGTGTGATGCCTTTTTCGGGGAAATGGACCGGAGATGGTGGGCGAAGTTTGAGGGAAAGCCGCATGTTTGTAAGTGGCCTCTTTGGAGTTGTAACTATAAGACGTGAAATAGTCTTACTGATATTTCGCAGACCTCAAGCTTCTTCACACCGATCCTGACCACCAGAGACGCGGTGCAGGTGGCAAGTGTCTCCAATGGGGAACCTCAGAGGCCGACAGACTCGGGCTTGTGTCGTATCTCGAGGCATCTGAAGAGGGACGCCCGCTGTATGAAAAGTACGGCTTCAAGGAGGTGGACAGGATTGTCGTGGACCTGACGAAATGGGGTGGCACTGAGGATGCCGTTGCTTATTTGATGATTCGCGAGCCGGTGCTCAACTAGAAATTTCTAGTTTCTTGTCAATTTACCGAGTTTTGGTTGGTATGATATTATGACCTTTTTTTTTTTTTATATATCGAGTTGCTTTTTTGGGAGGGGTTTTGGAGAAGTGAATAGACACCGAAATGTACCCTGTCATCCGACCCTCGTTACCTTCAGCCAAAGACCACGCAACTACAGTCACCGCCATTATGAGTAATAGCAGAATAACGAACAAGTTCATCTTTTCTGCCATACGTGCTAATTCACATTCTCAGCATCGTGAATGCGCCGCACCCTGCACTCGCGACGCCCAAAAAGCCGTGACTGCACGCAACCGCAGCATTCTCTCGCCGATGAGTCAGTGAGGCTGAATCCAAGCAAGTCACAGATGCGCAAAGCCACAACGAAGCTGCTATCCAATGAAAACAAACAATAGGAAGTTTCAGATGAATAACCTCAGGAAATACAAAGTATGAGCGATGAATGATTTGTGAAATAAATAAGATCAACTTTTCCCTGGAATTGCTTTGTTTTGTTTTGTTCAACAATCTCTCGTTTTCAACTACTCTCAGCCACAGAGACAAGGATAAGTACAACTTCGCCAAAATGTCAGAATCTTCAACTAAAGCTCAACAACCCATCTACTTCTGGAGAGAAACAGATCCTAAAACAGGCTGGCTCTCACAATGGTACTACTGCCCCTTCAAAGATGACAAAAACCCAGCCATCGTCTATGAAACCGCCGAACAGTAAGCATCCAACCCACCCCCGTATCAAATATCATCAGCCTGCTAATATCCCATCAGTTACATGATGTATCAAAAAGCAATGCTCTTCGGCGACCAAGCCTCAGCAACAAAAATCCTCAAACGAGGTCTTCACCCTCGCAAAATCAAGGCCCTCGGCCGTAAAGTCACAAACTTTTCTGAAGAAACTTGGAATGCCAACCGCGAAGCCATTGTGCGACAAGGGAATTATCTCAAATTCACCAATGCAGTAACAGAAGAGGGGTTCTGCCTCGGCGCGACGGGCGATATTCCGCTTGTTGGAGGCTCCTTGAAGGAGACGTTGCTGGCGACGCACGAGAGGGAGCTTGTGGAGGCCAGTCCGTTTGATGCCATATGGGGGGTTGGTTTCAAGGAGGCGGATGCTGAGATAAGTAGAGAGTATTGGGGGCTTAATCTGTTGGGCAAGGCATTGATGGAGGTGAGGGACATGCTGAAAGATGAGAATCAGGAGAGTCATGATTAAATGAGGCATAGCGAGCAGACTCGGCATCTATTTGAGCGGCACAATGATTTGCACTTGAGGCTTATGAACACTAGATTGAATGACAAAGCATAAGGGTAGTTTTGAATAGACACTCTCATCTTTCCAAGTGCCTTGAATAGCCTTTTGTCCATTTGATGATTATGTCTATATGTCTATAATCCAACCTCTCGCCCGCCCTCCCCTCCTCGTATCATCATCGTACATGTTAAAGCGCCTTATCTAGACGCCAGTAATAGAGCGGTGTTTTCATCCTGGCATGCTGTTCCCATGCCCCCATACCCTTTTCTTCCCAATTTTTTTTCTCCTTTGTCCCTTGGATATACATCTTCCACATGATTTGATGACATATTATACATATTTAACACAGATCAACATGGCTACTCGCCAAGGATCACTCCCATGCTCCCAGACGCCGTGAATCATACAGAAAACCAGTACAAGTCATGCTTTCTTCTTTTTTTTCTTCTTTCTCTTCTTAGACCCAGTCTCTTCCACTCTTCTGCATCTCAATCAGACGCCAGCCCCTCGTCTCGGGGTTGTTGACATCCTCTGGAACTCTGGTGATACCAATGGCATATGTCACCTGCTGCACCTTGTCCTCCATACCGGCTGCCAGCTCGTTGGTCTTGGCGTTGCGGTAAACGTGGACCTCCTGGGTTCGGCACGTAATGATGAAGACGGGAATCTCGCCAGGATCCAGCATGCGAGCCTTCAGGATATCCACGTTCCTGATGTCCAGGATACGGCCATCCGACTTCATGCCTGCCTGGAGGTATTGTTTCGTGAGGGCCTCGTAGACCGAGAACTGGGCAGCTGAGAGCCACTGCTTCAACACCTCTGTGTCTCCCTTGACATAGGCGTCCAGCACCTCGGGGAGAATGTACTCGCGCAGCTCCTGCAAGAAGGGCTCGCTTCGGAAGCTCGGGTCCATTGAACGGAACTTCTTGATGACCATGGCAGTCTCGTTCTCGGCAAAAAAGCCGCCAATCGTGTCGGTGATGCTTCGGGCAGTCGAGATGAGGGGGTTTTCTGACTCCTCGTATTTGCCCTTCATGCTGAATACACCCTGCACAAACTTGTTGCTATCGCGGAAGTCTCTCCAGGCTTCCTTCCAAGCTGCGTCCTTGTGCAAAGTGACGTTGGTGCCGGCGCTGGTGACAAGACAATTAGGAACCTGTTTTGCAAGTATGACGGTTGGACAATATTGTAGACTTACTTGGGATCCTCCTGGAGGACTTCATCTTCACCACGTTCCTTTGCCAGCTGCTCTCTCCTCTTCCTACGCTCCTCTTTTTCAACCCATCCACCATACCTAGAAGAGCTGCCATCATCAATGACATTCTTGACGTTCTTGTAGGCCTCGGTGTCTCGGATGGGCTTTGTGGCCTTGTCGACGGCATCGCCAGTGACGTTGGCAGCCTTTCGCACACCCTTCATAACGGATGTGTCCCAGGTCCAGGCTGCGCCCTTTCCAATGGCCGTGGCGGTGGTCTTCACAGCCTTGGATGTGGTTTCTGAGATGGCGCCGGTGGATTTTTCGTAAGCCTCACGAGCTCGTCGAACTGATTCGCTCTCGGCAAACTGGTTTGCGGAGGCGGCAATCTGCTTGGTTGACTCGTTCCATTCTTGGGACTTTTGAAGCTCAGTGTTCATCGTCTCCATGAACACCTGCCAGGGTGTCTTGTCACCATGCGGCGGGGGAGGAGGCAGATCCTCTTTCTTTTCTTCTTTGCCCTCTTCCTTGCCATCTGCCTTGGCATCCTCCTTACCATCGGCCTTTTCTTCGGAGTCCTTGGTCGGCTCTTCCTCAATCTTGGCCCTTGGCTCAGTCTTGTCCTCGGCAGCCTTTGCCTCGGGCTTTGGCTTCTCCTCCTGGAGTCTCCGGCCGCTTACATGCAGGAGCCGGGATTGTGAGGCAACTAAAGAGATTCGCAAGTCGGCAGGAAGAAAGCTCGATCTCAATGGCATCGCCAGCGCAGCGGGAAGCGCCGCACGCTCGAGATTCGCAGCATTTCGGACAGGCTTCTGCGCAAGCTGAGAAACTAACCGAGTGTATGCGGCGGGACATCGGCCATGGGCGGGGGCAAAACGAACAGATGCCCTCGAGAGAGCATTTTCCGAATTGGCAGCGCTGCGGGCAAGGGAGTTCATTTTCTGAGCAAGGAAAAATCACAAGCAAAAAAAAAAAAAAATCTGCAAGTGACTGCAGCACTTGAACAGAGCGGCGGGGGGAGATGATATGCGGGAGGATTTGGCTCAGGTGCGGACTGGAAATTTTGGTTTCGCGATGTCGGCTGGCGGCGGAAGGCAGGCGGACAGCCGGTAGAATGCCGGCACAATCCCACATTTGCCGCCACTATGGCCGCGGCCATTCCGATGGCGTAGGAAATTTCAATGGCCGTCTGGATCTTGAGGTGATTTGACGAGGGTCCAATTCGCAACAAAGATGAGCTCACCCTTCAGGAGCTGCCTTGCGGCCCGGCCGCTGGCTCGGATCTCGCAGTCAATCGCATCACGAAACGGCATCCAGAGCGTCAGGTCGCTGTCCCAGACAAGCGCACGATGGGAGGATTCAAAAGATGCAAAGCCAGAACCACCCAAGGCGGTGCCTCCAAAGCCTCGAACGGAATCGCTCCTCGACAGCATCTACAACATTACCCAGACGCCAAATAGCCGATCCGCGCAGTCCAATCCCATGGGCAGTCTCTCCCAAAGCATGGTCTTCCAGGCCCTCAGCAAGTCCAACATCGACACCAGCGTCCTATCAGGCGGCCCCTCGCAGGCAGCGCAGAAGAAGGAAGACGAATTGGAGCCGTACCATTTCCACGTCTACTCGCACAAGCACAACACTCACATCACATGCACAAAGCCTAATCGGGAGCCCATCATCTCCATGTCATGCGGCAACATTGGCTTCAGGAAATCACGGCGGGGCACCTTCGACTCGGCCTACTCTTTGACAAAGTACGTTTTGGAGCGATTGATTCACACAGGATGGCCAATGAAGATCCAGCGCCTCGAGCTGGTTCTGCGAGGATTTGGCCAGGGCAGAGAGGCTGCCGTCAAGGTGTTGATGAGCCCAGAAGGCAAGGTGTTGCGGGACAAGATTGTGCGGGTTGCAGATTCAACAAGAATCAAGTTTGCAGGAACGAGAAGCGAGAAGCCAAGACGTTTGTAGATGCTCGGTTGCATCAGCTATATGATGACATGCTGCCGAATGTACCATATCTTGTACAACCTATACCAAAGAAGAATGAGAAAAAAAAGACAAAAACAAACCACCCAAACTAAGCTACAAGCGCAAACTAAAGCGTGACGACATCAAGCTCGTGACATGAAACTCCTGACCCTCATGAAATATAATGGTATCGTGCTGACCCAGTAGCCTGCAAATGGTAAGAAAAACGAAGGAAAAGGCTTGAGCCATGAACGCCAATCTGATCTGCCCATCAACAAAAGAAAAGAAGAAGATAACAGAGTCGACACGCTACGGGCTTGGCTGTTATCGCGGCCGAATAGCCCGCTCTGCGGCCGGAAGCTGTCTGCCCGATGTGTCCCGGAGGATCTGCTTTCCCTTGCCGCTTCCTCCTCTGCGGCGCTCTTCGTCGCTGGTCCATTCGTTGTCACGTTCAGAAAGAAGATGCGGCCTCTGCTGCCCCAGCATGCGCGACTGCTCATCCGCATGCTCATCGTCGTCCTCATCATCGACAAGCTCCCCATCTGCGCTCATATACTCTGGAGGCTCGATCCAATCCCTCGGCACGACGCAGGGCAGCGCGACACCAATACTTGCGGCTCGATTCAGCCATCCCGGGCCCGCATCTCCCGTCAGCTTCTTGCACAGATATGACGTAAAATGGTTGCAGTTCTTTGTGAGCAAATTGTACGAAGTTCCGAGGAACTCTTCCGAAGCGTCCCGCAGAGCAGCGTCAATCTCTTCCTGCGTTGCCAGCGTGAAACCGTGCAGGATCTCGCACTTGAAGGTACCGCCTGGAGGTTCGATCCTGGGCTTTGTCCAATACACTCCGGTGACTCCGCGCTTATCGTGCCCGCCATACGCGTATTCTCGACCGTTGATGACAACTCCTGAGTGAAGCAGAGATGCCCCTATCGTCCACAAGACAGAGGCGACCCTCCCGGGCTATTGATGGAAAGCATGCGTTAGCAATCGGAGCAGTTGGTGGCACATCGAGGAACCGAGCAGCAGCACAACGAGCGCTGCTGCGAAAAAGTCCAGTTTTGGGGTGTGTTCTTACCGGGAGAAGGTCGTAGACGTGGATTTTGATCTCCGTCTTTTGCAGCGACAGTGTCGATCTGTGTCTGCTGGCGCGCTGGCCCGAATGGTGATGCTGCTGAGAAGGCATTGCGACTGTGGTTGCGATTACGATTGCGGTTGCGATTGCGATGCAGAGATGGAGATGGAGATGGTCTTTGTCTCGCGTGTAAGTCGTGAAACAATGCGGGGATCGGGGGTTGGGAGAGGCAAGACAAAGAAATGGAGGAGAGAGAACAGTGGCGAGAACAAGACCAAGCCTAAGAATGAAGACGCCTTAAGTATCCTTATCTCAGCTCTGGTGCGTGACGATCGCCTCGAGGTGAGATGCAGCAGATTGGATTTGGATTGATTACGTCGGCTACGCTGAGCCGGGGAAGCCTGTAAGAAGGGCCCAACAATTCAATATACAGGCTCCGTAGCGGCAAATAGCGCCGGTTCAATAGCTTTTTGGGCGCAGGTTGAATGGCGACGCCCAAAGCGCCTCTCAGCTCAACTGCTTCCGGCAGCGCCGCAATGCCGAACAGCTCCAGGCCTGTGGATTCCGCCTGCCCTATGACCTATGACCTATGACGCATGCCCTGACCCAAGTTGCTAAGGCCCGGGAAAATCTAGCGCCGAGCCCGACATGAGCTTCAGCTAAAGCCCAATCAATGTGGGGTCGATGCTCAAATTTCATTCTCACCATCTCCCCTCCTCTCCAGGAAAAAATAAAAAAGAAGGCAAAAAAGGGCCAGCTTCCATCTGCGCCCCTTTGCTCTTCCAGCTTCCGATATTCCCCTCGAGTCGGTCGCTTCAGGCTTGCAATAGCCAGACGGCCACATTGGCGCCCTCCGTCGCGTCTTCAGCCTCATTTTTGGCTTCTCTTCTCTTCGTTTATCCATCGCGCGCAGCAAGGTCTGCAGCCCTTGGACCTTTTCCGCCCTCTCGACTCCTTGTCCCTTTTATCCCCTCCCGTCACTACGCAAAATCAAGAAAGATGCCTCCCAAGAAGGCCGTTGTCGAGGAGAAGATTCCTCTGGGAAGGCCTGGCAACAACTTGAAGAGTGGCATTGTGAGCAATTACTCTCTTGCCCAGCCCTAGTGGCTGCCCCCCCTCTGCTACGCGAGTGCTTCAGATTTCCTAACATGTCGTCCGCTCTCCAGGTCGGCCTCGCCAACGTCGGCAAATCTACCCTCTTCCAGGCCATCACAAAGTGCAACCTTGGCAACCCTGCTGTATGAAGCCCCCCGCCTCGTCTTTCTTCGTCCGGGGTGCTGACAGCCTGAAGAACTTTCCCTATGCCACCATTGATCCCGAAGAAGCTCGTGTCATTGTGCCCGATGAGCGATTCGACTGGCTGGTTGAGAAATACAAGCCCAAGTCTGTCGTTCCCGCCAACTTGACCGTCTATGATATTGCCGGTCTCACTCGCGGATCTTCTACCGGAGCTGGTCTTGGAAACGCTTTCCTTTCCCACATTCGTGCCGTCGATGCCATCTTCCAGGTGGTCCGATGCTTCGACGATGCTGAGATTATCCACGTCGAGGGTGATGTCAACCCTACCCGTGATCTGGACATCATCAGCGAGGAGCTGAGACTCAAGGATATTGAGTTTGTCGAGAAGGCTCTCGAGAACCAGAAGAAGAAGACTCGCATGGGTGGCCAGAGTCTTGAGCTGAAGAAGGCTAAGATTGAACAGGAGATTATTGAGAAGATCCTGGCCTGGCTTCAGGACGGCAAGGAAGTCCGCAAGGGCAACTGGGCCCCCAAGGAGGTAAGCCAAGTTTTTTTTTGTTTTTCACGTCGAATTCCCGCAATTTCCCTGATGACAAAGGGCCTTGACGGCCTGACCAATATAAACCCAGCTCTTCGAATGTCCATGACATACTGAGAAGAAAAACATTCTGAACACATTGCTTTACACCTCTATCATGTTTATTCAAGCTTCTAAGGTGTTGGTCATGATACTGACAATTTCAATCAGATTGAGGTCATCAACCCTCTGTTCCTGTTGACGGCCAAGCCCGTTGTCTACCTTGTCAACTTGTCTGAAAAGGACTATGTTAGAAAGAAGAACAAGTACCTGCCCAAGGTCGCCGAGTGGATCAAGGAGCACGCCGAGGGCGACCCCATCATCCCCATCTCCGTCTCATATGAGGAGCGTCTGACCCGCTTCGAGACTGAGGAGGAGGCCAAGGAAGAGCAGAAGAAGGTTGGTGCCGAGTCTGCTCTGCCCAAGCTGATTGTCCAGATGCGCAAGGCGCTGCAGCTGGGCAGCTTTTTCACAACGGGAGCCGACGAGGTCCGTCAATGGACTATCCGCACAGGCACCAAGGCTCCCCAGGCTGCCGGTGTCATTCACACCGACTTTGAGAAGACCTTTATCCAGGCTATTGTCTACAACTTCAGCGCCATCAAGGAGCTTGGTGACGAAGCCGAGGTCAGGGCCAAGGGCAAGATCATGACCAAGGGCAAGGATTACGTAGTTGAGGATGGTGACATTATGCTCATCAAGGCTGGTGCTGCCAAGGGTTAAAATAGCGTCTCTACAGAGGAGTGTGTGTAGTAGGTTCTTTTTGTCCCTCGGTTAGGAAAAATGAAAAAGTAAAATACCACCCAAAATTGGAATCTCGTCTTCAGTTTCCTTGTAATGTGTTTGCGTACGACTGAGAGGTTATTGACTGTAGATTGACTAGAATAGCGGTTTATCATTAGTTTTGCATTGCATAACACATCATCACACTCACCCAAGATCAATCATCTGTGTGAGTCTCTTCAATTATTCGTTCTAAATAGTTACACCATACTTTAGCCATGTCCACGCCATTCTCAGTAGAACTCAAGTCACGATTAAAAAAAAAGCCATCTTGTATAACAGAACCATCGTGTATTGAATAAAGGAAAACTTCAAAGAGTGTTTGATTAGGTAGCTATCTACATATATTGAGGTCATTTCAATCATAAAACCAAGAACCACAAAAGGAAAACAAGAAGGAATAAAGGAGAATTAATATAAAAAAAAAATTACTAGTGTCGACCTTGCTCTGGAGGGTTGCGATGGGGAGCAGAGTACGGAACCAGCCGCGAAAATCTCAGCAAACCCGCCATCACAATCCACCATACTTGACGCCTCTCTTGCCCATCTCTTTCCTCCCGACGGGGTCCTCGGGCCACACCCAACCACGACTTCGCTTGGCCTCACGCTTCTCGGCCAGCTGGGGCTTGGGAATCCAGTTGTCGCGAGCCTTGGCCTTTCGCCTGGTGCCGTCGGCGGGAGCGCCAATCTCAGCTTTCCAGTGGGCGTGACCGGCGGGAGTGTGGTCGCTGGCGAGTTGGCAGAGGCCCCAAAGAGCGAGACAGGCCGTCAGGGGAACGCTGTCCGACGAGTCGAGCTCGGCATCGGAAGCAGCGGCGTTGAGCTGAACGGAAGTGATTTCCAAGTCGCCGAAGAAGGGGATCGACTCGGTACCGGCACGAACAAGGACGAGCTCAATCTCGGTGAGGATGAAGCCGTAGCGGCAGCCATGCTCGCGCATAGCATAGTGCAGGGCGGCAAGGCCTCGCAGGTAATCTACACGCTTGATGTTGCCTTCAGCACGCATGCCAGTGTTGAAGCGATCAAAGCTGCGGACGAGACCAACCACTCTTGCCGTGGGCTTGCCACCGAAGATTGCAGCAGCGGTGGACGACTCGCCGATGGCATTGGCAACGAAGATGAGGTCGTTGACGCCCGAGGCTGTCTTGGCTGGGACGGAGAGCTGCAGGGGGCGGTTGGAAGAAATGGCCAGTGCAGAGTTGAGCTTGGGAAGATAGTACGAGGCGTAAAGGCTATGCAGAGCAGCCTCAGTCTCGGGGTGACGAGATGAGAAGGCAGGTGTCTGGAGTAGAGGAGCAGGAACGGGAGAGTTGAGCAGAGCAGAAGCGCCAGGGAGAGACAGGATGGCCGAGGCATTGAAGCTCGACCATGAGGAGATGTTGCGGACATCCCACCAGAAGTGCTTGATTGAAGGATCTCGAAGAGGAAAGGAGATGGTTCGGACCAGAGACGCAGCAGGGTTGGGACATGTCAGGTGCTCCATGAGAGTGGTTGACGGCGCTGGCTCAGGAGTAGCGGCGGTGGCCAGGCTCAAGGGTGATGGGGCACGAGGGAGGTAAGACGGGAACATGTACTCTGACTGCTGCGAAGCGGCGGTGGTGGTGGGCACAAAGGGCATCTGGCGATATGTTGGATAGCCATACTTGTCGATAGTGGCAGCGTCAACGTTGAGACTTGTGCGGCGAGACGGCGGCAGGCTGTCATGGGCGAAGCTTGCAGGCGAAGCAAGAAGCGATGAAGGGAAAGCCGTGGGCTCATCATGCGTCTGCGGGGGAGGGGTGGCAAAGGGCGAGATGTGAGCAAAGGCCATGTTGGCAACGGTCTCGGGGTTGGTGTAACTCCGGGAGTGGCTTGTGCGGAAGGGCTTTGAAGCTGGGGGAGGCGGCGTGGACTGCTGGCTGGCAAGCCTTGCTCTTGCTGAACGAATAGAGCTGGAGCGAGAGTGTGATACCCGCGACAAGTGAGGCTGGCTGATATCCTGATCTTGAGAGCGAATCTTGGGCAGCAGAAGGGGACCATGCTGGCGGACGGGAGGGCTGGCGCGAGGAGGAGTTGAGAAGCGAGAGCACGCTGAGTCTGCTATTGAGTCTACTGCAGAGACTGTTGAGTAGATGGATGAAGCCTTTGATGTAGATCGGACATGGCGGCTGTGAGAGTTGTATGGCAGCGCCAGGAGGCTTGAGGGGTAGTGGTCGAGGCTGTAGGCTTCCATGAGAGGCATGCTCTCCATGGGAGGCGTCGTAGGATCTTCCACTGAGGGCGAGGGAGAGGGGAATGTGAAGTCGAAGGCGACGTCGGCTACCAGACTGTGTTTTGACATGTAAGCATGAAGATGGTACGAGAGATTCTCACAGCGATGTAGGCTGAACTCACGCTGACATGATGGCGGCTGTTGTGGTGCTGTGAGGATGAAGGCGAAAAAAAAAAAAATATTAAGTAACCGTATTAGGGCGATGAAGGAGGCCGGCTCCAAGTGAGTTTGTTTTCTATTTGTTTTTTTGTTTTTTGTGAGAGTGGTGTATATATAAAACGAATCTCCAAGTGTTTGGAGTATGTTCGGCCAGCGAGCAGTGATGCGGTCTAGATGAATATCCAACGTTGTTTGACAAAAAACAAAGAGATGCAAGCACAAATCAAGAGAGGAGAGGGGAGGGGATTATGGGGAGGAATGGAGAGGAATGGACTGAGGCGAGAGAACGATTGGAAACCAAGGGACGAGGCCGTCTTCTTATCCTTGGTGCAGACCTTGGGGGTTTGAGGGTCCGAAGATGGTCGCCAGGCCACGGCCGTCTGTCTGGGGGGCGTGTGCGATGGCAGCGGCCGAGGGCGTGTTGCAGGCGAGGTGTGGAGCAGCCGAACTGGCAGCACAAGACAGGCCTCATATGGGCTCGCAGCGAAGCATATTGCTAGCACCACCCTCTGGCCATGGCCCATCCCCATCCATGTTGCAGCAGCCGGTCTCTACGCCGTGAGAGTCGCCAGCGGCTCGTGGATCAGCGAGGCGGCGGCTTAGCCCTTTGCCCACCCCCCTCGAACACCCGCGTCTGCCCACTTTGGCTTGTCTTGGGCACGATATATCATGATGGCATGAAACGCGACCCGACGTGGACGGGGGTTGAGAGTCATTGACGGACTGGGACGCGCAACCAGACGATCTGCGTTGTACAAGAGCTAAATACCGTCAGGCGTCAGTCAATATGCTGGTGGCTTGCTTCAATGTTAGCTATCAATACGATACGCACCATGCTATGCCATGCCATGCCATGCAATGCGGCCCAGAGCTTGGGATCCGGATTCGTTGCCGCCCCCGCCCAAGTCCTACATGCTCTCTTTCACCTTGAAAGACCAAATGCTACCAGGATCTGCCCCAGCCTGCTGACCGCTGGCCGTCCATGCAGAATTGCCGGCAGACGAGGCCACGGCATTCCGGCTTCTCAGTGGATGGAAGCAGCGAAGCCACCCTGGACGCTTCAATGTTCTTTTCTAGGCCCTGCACTTTTGAGGTGGGGGTTGTGGGGCCTCTCTTTCGCACCACAGAAAAGAGAAGAAGAGCGAAATATCCCAAGGCTGGGACTTTGAAAATAACTTACAGGTACTGTAGGGCTCAGAGGGCTCTAGCGGCGTCGGGTCTGCTGGGGCTTAGCGGGTTGCTGCAGGCGCCGACCCTGTGAGTGGCCAGCAGTGGCCCATGACTCATTTTAGCGGATTTTTTCGTGCGCTGGACGTGTTTTTTGGGAGGGGAGGGAAGAAGATGGGAGTTGGTTCGTGGGTTGTTGGACGCGCGAGATGGGCGATCTCGCGGATCTCGTTGGATCTTGGCGTTGAAGAATTCGCGAACCTCTCATTTTTTTGGGTTTTGGGTTTTGGTTGTATTCTTTGTGCTTGCTTGAATTAGGCTTTGGGTAGGCTTTGTTACAGGTACAGTAGATGCATCCTTTCTTTCGTATCGTGTTTCTGCTGCCGCGCCAAGCAAAGAGGCTCCTCCACTCACACGGCTGTATTGTCTGGACCCCATATTCATGCTCTCGAGGTATTATTACTGTACTGCTTCTTCCGTATGTAGTACCATGTAGCAAATACTACTAGGTACCGTTGCCTTAGGTAGGTAGTACAGTACTCTGCTGAATCAAATTAAAATTCAGAACTAATAATCTAATAATAATAGCAATAATCGCCGCAAGTCCCAGTCCGGCTCGTACCGAAAATCCGCTCTATTTTTGCTTACTTAAAATTGCGACGACGCCGCAAATAGGCGCACGGCAAAGAGCCCTTTCCGGGCGCTTAGAGCGGAGACTCCAGGTCCCCAAAGCCGCCGGGCGCTTAACGGCATCAAAATCTGCTGTGCTTGTCTTACACGCATTGCCTGCCTGCTGCAAATAAGAACATGGAATAAAAGAAAATCCGCATTTAACGGCCAGCTCTCGTCCCAGCCCGTGATCCGAGCGTCCCTCGCACCACCGATCGGGGGGGATCAGACGCTTTCCATTTCTCAATCTTACGGTTCCCGATGGGAGACGTCCCACTGCGGCGGCTGCGGAGATTCGCTTTGCCGGGTGCAGTGCAGTACTAGTTGAGGCTCTCGTCTATTATACCGGATCCCAGCTGTGCCGTAGTTATTGTACTACCTAGTATGGATACCTACTACTACTATACAGTATCAGATACCAAGAAATTCATTTCAGCATCGATGCTTCGCCTACTTGCCTTTCGCATCCAGGCGCGTACCCGCAGCCAATAACCATCCGCAAAGCCTCCCTCATTGCGCGGCTTCTCATTCGCCACAGCCGCCCACGCGCCTGCGTACAAAGCAGAGATCTGCCTCACCTTGTCCTCCCAAATAGACATCAGTCCATATTCGTCCCACGATCGCGCATCTTTTCTTTGCAGCAAACACGTGTAATTCCCAAAAAAGGACCATCCATCTTTCTTTCAACGCGCGCCTCATTTCTTCCGTCCATCGCGTCTTCTCTCCAGCTCTCTGTCCAATCGGCTTCTCGCACGCCTCCTCCACGCAATGATTGGCTCCCGTCTCTTCGAATCGCCCGTTTGGTGCCCACGCTAGCTCTTTAGTTACCCATCTAAGCCAGTCGAGGTTAACAAGAAATTCAACAACTTACAAGTACAGCAGTAATACGCACCCCACATGGAAAAAAGATTCGCATCCATCATCCATGCCATGTGTGCGCTGTCTAGTTCATGTTCCGGGTCCTGTCAGGTTCGGGTTCCGGTGCGTGTTTCATCTTTTGCTGCCCACGAACCCAACCTGCGAATCTTTTTCGTTTCGAAACATGCCCAAAGCGGCGACGGCACTCGTAGAAACTCGCGATCCTGTGACTCTTCGTCCCAGTTTAGGCTGCGTGCATGCACGCTATATGCACGATTTCGCTAGTATGGCTGTCTGCTGGCAGTAGAAGAGTTTTTCTTCTTCTTTATCTAGCCTTACATTCCACTCGTTATTCAACATGTCGTCGGGTATCAAACCTGTTTCACCGTCATTTAATCTATCTGGCGTACATACAGCCATGTTCAAGGTGGAGTCGTAAAAGTTCGTCAAGATGTGCCAACTCATCATTAGCATCCACCAGTGTTTTCTTTGGTTCCCTTATTCTTATCAAGAAGAGTCATTAGCTTGGGGTACAGTAGCAGCGACACGCACTCTCTCGTTCCAGGGTAAGGCAATATACACTCCCAGCATCACCACAGCTGAATATCAAGGTAAAAAGATAAAATTTCATCGCTGTCTTTTCTATCATGATAATTAAAAAAATTGTAAGAGTATTGTAGCGTCATCTTTATCGGTTCTTCCCCAACGCCCGGTGCCAAACCAAAAGTTTAATCGTAAAGCTATCCAGCACCGACACATCATGCGCAAAACTAGCCGTCCCATTCGCCCTTCTAGCCCCCCTTCTTAGTCGAGCCCAACTCTGCAAGTCCCTAGCCAACGATTTGTGCGCTGTCGCGTCTTTTCTGTGACGCGTCGTCGCTCGTCGCCTCACTGACACGCTGGCATGTGAGCAAAAGTTCGTCTCTTGTCCCCTTCTTGTGACTCAGTCACTCCACTCCGCTTGTTTCGTTTGCTGTCGGCACGTCATCCCCGTCCTCGGTTTCTTGTTTCTGATCTGTTGGGGGCGATGGGGGTCGTCGTTGTGACATGGCATTCATCCCCCCCTGTTGGTAGTTCCCCAGTCGGACTATCCTCAACGCTCGCATCATGCCTTCGAGCCTTACCCGTTCCTGCACCACCATGCCCCGGGCATACTCGCGAATAGCCCGGAGACCCATTTGGTCGTGGAGTTCCTGCCATCCAGCCAATTCGCTGGCTACCGTCTGTTGCGTGTATCGAAGTTCCCTCGAGAGAAACGACGCCTGCTCTCTTGATTGGCGGGCCTTCTTCTCCTTCTCCTCCTGGTTTCGCTGTCTGGAGTCGTCGAGCAAGCCAAGGGGCCACCTTGAAGGTCGCATCGCGGAACTATCGTTTCTATCCGCCTCTCGCTTGGCTGCCGTAATCTGTCCAATAAGGTTTGTCGGCCTGGACAGCGCAGAGAGCAGTGCCTGCACCGTAGATTGAATCGCCAGCAGCGTCGTGTGGAATATGACTTGTGGATTATGTTGAACAGGCGCCATGGCCCTAACAAACACTTCCAGGCCTACAATGTGCTGCGGAGGCAGGTATTGAATGGTAAACACTGCTCGGTAGAGCAGCGCTGATGCATCGTAAAAATCTAGCAAAAGGGGGTGTTTCATCGTCAGTTGTAATCCCACCATTGACAGGCAGTTTCAAAGGCCGAGCACTCACCTGTAGCAACTTGGCCAACGGCATTCGCACGCCTCGTCACGCTCTTCGTCGAGTAGCTGATGCTTCGGACCATCTCTCGCGCATGGTTGACGAATTGTTCCACTTCGCGTACGTCCTCCATAGGTTCGTATTCTTCGCGGATCTTCTCTACCCTTGTTTCTGTCTTGAGCTTTGTTCTCTGCTCCATGGCCTCCAGTTGCAGTTCCGGTACGAGGAAAAATTCCCACAGCATCTCGTGAGTAGAAAGGGTGGGGTGGCTCAGCATGATTTTCAGGAACCAGTCCGTTCGTATCTGGATATCCCGCAGCGCCGCGCGAGACGGCCTCGAGGGCAGCTGGAACGGCCACCTGGTATCCGATATGGAGGGAATCCAAGACGCCGGATTCTCTTCGGACAGGAGGCGTGCCAGCTGCTCAAAATCAGTCAACGACCGGCGACTGGTAGTGACCGTATAGCTATCGTGATCTGTTGGAGCTGCCGACTTTAGCACCAACCTAACTGTGCTGTCCTCGACGAAAAAAGCTCTGACGACTCCTGTAATCCGGCCGTCCCTTGCTGGTGGCATGCTGAAAAGGCCAAGGTCGTCAATTCTATTTCTAACATCGTCATCCTTAGCCAGCTCCACGGCAGTGAGACCTCGTAGTTCTTTAGCCCCAATGTCCACTCGAGGGTCGGCAAAAAGGGCCCTGACCATATCGTATCGGCCATATTTGCTGGCAACCATCAGTGCTGTAAACTTCTTCTCGTTCGTCGCGTTGACATCCACGTCGCAGTATTGCAAGATTCTCAGCGCCAACCTCGGGTCATTCATAATGTGCAACAGGGTATTTCCCTTGCCGTCTATATGTTCATCGACGTGCAGGGGCTGCCCGTCAAGCTGTGTCTGCTGCGCGGCTCTAATACCGTCCTCGACCATGGTATAGTACTCCACATGATCATAGCAGCGACACAACGCGAAAAGCGGCGTCTGCCCATTCTTGTCTCTCTGGCGCCAAGGGATCAGTGGCCCTATCACACCAATCATCCAAGGCGCATTAAACAGGTAATGCCCGACACTTCGGCCCCAGATGTCTTGCACTGAAAAGTACTGCTCTAACTGTCCCGGGCGGGCCTTGTCGAGAAGATAATCGAGAAGAGAGTTGATCAGCTCGCGATTACCTAGCTGAGTGGCAGCGCTCAATAGTGTGGTGTTTTCGTTGTTAACGTCTCTCAGTACGCTGTCAAACGGATAGTATCCGGACAAGGACAAAAGATAACCCAACGTTTCCACGCTTCCACTCTGCACAGCCATCATCAAAACGGATTCACCCAAGGCACTACTGGTTTGAGCAAGCCTCTCCACAGAGATGTCACCTTCTAGCGCGCTTCCCAGAGTGCCAATGCTTGCCGTCATTGAGTGGTAGGAGAACTCGGATGCACTTGATAAGCTCCTGGTATCCATGGCAACCCTTTTGGTTCTCTTGAGTGGCAGATCGAGTATCGACTCGTTTGCGCCATCACCACCGGTGATCTGAAAGGGGAATACGTGGCCTAGCCCGGTGCCGTGCGAAAATCGATCCGAAGAGTTCAACACAAGTGATGATCGCCTCGAGGAACCATGCGCTAGCTTGAACACAGGCTTGGCGGGAACTTGATCGTTTACATTGTCGTCGCTATCTTCGATGTCATCGTCATCTCCAACTGCGCAAGGGTTCGGTTCCATGATGTTCCTCAGCTCTTTTAGGTCTGCCCCCTTGGCGGCATCCCACAGAGCCTTGTTCTTCTTGCTGGCACGACGCAAGCCAGCCGAGTCAGTAAAAAGGTATGCTAGTACGGCCTCAAAGGTACTCAAAGCATACCCCATCTCCCCGCTGTCCACATCCTCGACGAAGATGAAATTTCTAACATAGGCCAGTCGAGCCTGTAGGTTCTTGGCTTGGGACCGAATCACGACGTATAACAGCAGGGAAACCAAGGTATCAGCATTCACAGTCATGATGGCCTTTTCGGATGACGGTAGCTCTGTCCCAGCACCGCCCAAAGATCTTGAGGTATCGGTCAGTTGTGAGGCAATCTTCATGGTCGACAGTAGCAAATCCAGCATTTCCTGCGGGCTCATAGCGGTGGAAATCTTTCTGAATTCTTCGACGGCAGGGTTGAGTTGTGTAACGAGATCGTGTTTGGCTTTCAAGCCCCCGTCAATCGCAATGCCTAATTGGGAAATATCGATGAATTCCATTTTGCGAATCTTGGCCTCAAGTTCCAAATCATCCCGTCGCTTGATGGCGCTGAGCTTGCCAAATAACAGGCCATGAACGTTTTCAGCAATGTACCGCTCGATCAGTTTCTCCACAAGAGGGCCTGTCAAGTCTGTTGTGGCACCTAGCAGTGACAGCTGTTGCTTATCCACTCCTTGGAAGATATCAATAGCAGCCGTAACAGCACTCTCAAGGGATGCGCGCATAATATCCTCGTCATCCTCGAGAAAAAAGTCCTCGACAACAGGTAAGCTATTATTATAATTTGCTTTGCCGCTCTTAACCGTCAAGCTATCTGCCCTTGCCCGTCTGGCGGCGGTCGCAACGGGACCATCTGGCTTCGGATCTGGAATGTATGCAGCCGACGGCGGCGGCGGCAGTGGCTTCTGGAAAACTGTTGAAAACTCTATAAAGAGCTTCTCCAGCCCCGGTTGCATTTGGCGAGCAATCATGGGGAAGTGGTTGAGAAGATCGTGGAAGCTCCTAATATCCTTCTTGCGCGGCAGAGCGTTATCTGCCGAGTCGCCATTGGCCTGCTTCTTTTGTTGTTGCTCCGCAGCGGCGCGACTCCTGGTGCCGGAGACGAGGACCGCGGGCTCGAGCCTAATCTCTTCCCATGTTCCAACAAGAGGCTTGGAGATGAAGTATACCAGCCATTGTCGAGGCTCGAAGACGTCCGGGTACCATGTGGTGTCGTTAAGGATCTGGGCTTGCGCAAGAGACTTGAATCCTGCGGCGCATCCAGGTTAGCTGTGCTTTGGCTTGAGACACAATGCAGTCTCGCAAGTATACCTTTGTTACTGTAGATGAAAGAGTCCTTGACAATCACACTCCTCCCGTTGAGAGTATTGAACTGGCGAGCCTTGCCTCTAGCCTCGCGCAAGTTCTGGGTGCTGTCCTTGGCGCCCGCAGGCCCATCAGGCCCGGCGATGCGCAGTACATGGCTGGCTAGAAACTCCTCCGAGGCGACGACCTCGTGGGCCGGGGCGCCGCTCTCCGTCTCGCGATGGGTGAGAAGCACATCGGTCAAGGGCACCAGCAGGATATGGTGGTGGACGGGGGTGCACTGCGCAACGACCTGGCTCTTGAAGAAGGCGGACAGAAAGGGGTTTAGTGGTTGCATTCACTCGACTTGCTGGGAGGACGTCGTCGAGCCGAGTCGATCTCCTGGCGGGAGCAGTTTGGTTGGGAGAAGCTGGAGATCGAGGGGGGAGAATCGAGGGGGCGATCGAGGGGGGAATCGAGGGGGGAATCGAGGGGGTGACTGCGGAATGGTCGGCCAGCGAGAGACATGAAAAAGCGATGGAATGTGCGGCGGGCGAGGTATCAATTCAACAAAATGCTATCGTAACAAAAACTGGAGCGGATCTCGGGCGGCGCAAGGCGAGGGTTTGCGCTGGAAATGTGGAAATACAGAGCTGAGCTGGTTGGAAGAGGGCAAGATGAGCTGCAAAAGATACTGACCTCATCCCACGCGTTTCTGCTGGGCTTAGACCAGTCTGGAATCCCTTGTACCTGGAAACCTTGTGCGCTAAGATGCGGGAGGAGCACGGGCCCCAGCAGGTTATTGTCCGATTGCAGAGGGAAGAATGGATGATCCGGGTTTCTTTTTTATCATGTGCTTACCCGGGAGTGAGAGTGTGATTTATTGATATTATTTGCGATGGATATCTCTATTTCTCTGTGCTTTGGAGGGTTGAATGACGTTTGATATTGCATGTGATGATTATTCAGGACTTTCGGAGAAGTGAGGGCTGTCATGGCAGCTATGGGGTTAAACTAAACTTGACAGCTATCTGCCTAGCTCCAATTCGATACCTAACCACAACAAATACATGCCATCCATACTCTGCCCTGAAAACAACCCACGTGTCTTGAATAAAGTTCAATTAATCACTCTCATCCATTAAAATCTCCATCTGCTCTGCAAAATCTAAAGAGACGCCCAAATCTTTCTCCACAGCGGTACCCTCTGTGTCTGCTCCTCGTATCCATCTCCCACTAAGCCACTCTTATCCAGATCGCTCCTCCGTCCACTATCCAAGTCAATGTCCCAGCTCCTCTTGAACGGATCATCTCCTCTCCAGTACAGCTTGCACACCACGTAAATAACACCAAAGAGCGGCAATAGAATATACGCATCAACAAACTTGCCCGCGGTAAACGGCGACAACGTTGTCCATCCTTGCACCAGCGCGAGGAAGACATTGAAGAAGACACCAAAGTATGGGCTGTATGGATAAAACATGCTCTTAAACGGCAAATCGCTTACTCGGCGCTGCTGAGTCGTCCACGCTCGGCGGAAGCGGATATGGATGAAGCTGATGCTTCCCCAGACCAGGAATGTGCTCACACCAGCGAGGTTGATGATGTAACTGTAAGCCTTTGATGCTCCGGTTGAGACGTTCATCATGGAAATGGCGCCAACGGCATTGGTGAGGACAATGGCCCAAACAGGGACGCCTCGCTTGTTAACCCAGCCGAGAATCTTGGGTGCCTTTCCAGACTGTGCCATGTATAAGATGGTCCGTGAGCCGATATAGATGGATGAGTTGACAGCGGACAAGCAGGTAATGAGGATAAAAGCATTGATGAGATGGACACCTGGAAAAACATTCGTTAGTACATTTTGCAAAGGCAAATGAAGGATTCTCAAACAAACCTCCATTCCAACCAGCGTTCTGGATAGCAATCGTCATGGGGCTCTGCAGAGCCTTGGCACCTCCATTGATCAACTCGTCGGAATCAGCTGGGCAAGTGAGGCCGAAGAAGAAGGCAGATCCCATATAGACAAAAATGATGCGGAAGAATACTTGACGGATAGCCCGCGGTACTGCAACGCCTGGGTTTCTCGTCTCGGTGGCGGCAACGGCAACAGACTCGACTCCGGCATAAAAGGTAGAGCAAAAGACAAACACAGTGGCAACTCCTCGGAAGCCATGGCCGTTGAAGGCTCCAGGATGATGCCAGTATCGGAACCCAATGGGCCCATCTTGGCCAATGAGTCCACCAGATGCATATACAATGGAGAAGATGAAGTATGCCGTTAGACCAAGAATCTTGATAAGCGCCAGGATATACTCTGCTTCACCAAAAGCCGTGATGCCTCCAATGATCTGAAATGCCAGGAATACGGTCCAGAGAATAAGAAACCAGCCCCAGAGAGGAACCTTGGGCGCCCAAAAGTTGAGAATGCTGCAGATAACGTTGTACTCGCTGGCCAAGACGGTGGCCCAGATGATGAAATAGTTCCAGCCAACGGCCACGGAGAAAGACTTGTCGACCATGCGTTCAGCTAGAGAAACAAAAGCGCCACCTCCTGGGTATAGAGTGGTGATTTCACCTAGAGACTGCATGACGGAGAAAGCAATGATACCTGGGATAAGGTTAGATATAGAAGAGCTGGTGTCTGATACCGGGAAACATACCAATGACACCAAATCCAATGATAAGTGACGCTGGGCCACCGCTATTCAATGCTCCTCCTGAGCCAACCAGCAAACCAGGCCCAATGATTCCAGCAAGAGCCATCATAGACAAGTGACGATTCTTCAGCCCGCGCTTGACACCTGAATCCGGGTCGATCAAGTCATGGTCACTGGCATCCACGCTGCGCGCTCCAAACTGCTGTTGATATACCGGAGACTCTTCAGCTGAGACATCGTCCAGTCGCGGCTCGTCGTCAAACTTGCCGGATCTGTTGTGGCGAAACATGGTATCTCAGTTTCTCGACTTCTACACTCCTCGAGTTGACACGGCGAGAATGTTTAAGGGTGGAGAAGAAGAAGTGCTGACGGGGAGAAGAACGAGCTTCAAATATAAGACAAGTTTCAAAGCAACGAATCCCCAGCACGAGCCCGAGAAATCCAAAAAAGCGGAATAACCATCCAGCCACCGCGATGATGCAAGAATAGAGATTTAATGTAAGACGGCTCAAGTCCGAACATATATCTCTTATTTGAAGTCGCTCCGATTTGCGACGGACTAACGCACCTGGGCACAGCGCGCACCGTGATGCTACGATAGTGGTTTTCCCTCTGTCTTTTGCTCTGACTCGTTGCACTGCTAGTTTGCCGTGTTGTTCGGGACCCTTGCATCTAGCCTGCGATCACGTCACTTCACGTTTTTGCCTCCACATGGCGGATGGAGAAAAGCGTTTGCGGTGTAGAATGAGACATTGCGAGGCTGGTGCGTGGAGGGAGATGTGCCCCTACCTATGCGAGATCGCTTCATGTGATCAATACTTCAATCAGTTTAAACTTGCAGCTGATTTACTAAATTCGTCTAAATCTTTTCTTCTTCTCATTCATTCGAGAATATTTCTCGCAGGCTGCGTCGCAGTCCAAGGCATCCATTCATAATCCCGGTCCTTGATATTGAGCTAAAAATGGCGCCGATCACGACATCGCCATGGGGCCGATAGTGGAGAGCCTTGAATGGCCAAAGCGGCACAAGGCTGTCAAATGGTTAGAGGATGGCCTAGTGACATTCAGTAATATGTACGCATGGGAGATGAAGATGAAGCTGGACTGAAGCAAAAGAGTAGACGACGATGCAGGTTGCTTGCAGAGACTTACATGTATCTGTCATGGATTTTGGACGTATTACGGGATGAAATGCACTATATAATCATGTATTTCTTTAAGAGAAGTCTCAAAAATTGTATCATCTTGGCTACTGATTGTCCATCTTCCAATTTCTTACACCTAAGCCTTTCTGTTGTCGCAACACGATAAAGCCTTGAGCCCTTCCGTTCTTCAGTGCGGCTGACAGCTTCTCCGTAGCATGATCTATCTACGTATATCTCGGAATATATCGTATCTGAGCTTACTATGCCCATCCAAGTTCTTTTAGTAATGGATGGGAGATTTATTATTTTACTGGTTTCACAATACTTGGAATTGTCAAACGTGTACTAAAGTATCAGGTAAGAGTCCTGTTGATCCCACTAATGACAGAGTAGCACAAGCGCACATCTTGATCTATTGCCAAATAATCACCGAGAGTCCGATCGGACTCCTGGCCAGTACAGGTAATTTCACCTACATGACTACATACATGTATGTGAGTTGCCGTCTCTATTGTGACACATCGGAACAATTATTGGGTCATCTATTGGGGCGAATTATCATTGCTTCTCCATTGCAAAATGTTGTTTGACCCTGCGCGTTGAATCATCTTGTTCCATTCTCACAAATGCCGTTCGAATACCCCCTATGAGCAACGTTCGATGAAGATGGACCCGGTCTAATCTTCTATAAAAGACACGGAACGTCGGCCTGAGAAAGAACAATCATCTTGTCCCAAGTAACTCATTCATCTTCTCTCAACTATAGATTTTCATACCCATATCAGCTCAATTCTTTATACAATCAACGAATTCCTCCCTATTTTCAACATGAAGTTCAATCTCGCCATCCTCTCTGTCATCGCTCTGTCATCCGCTACGGAAGCCTGCAAATGCGTGATTCACGGAAGACCTGTCTCAGATATTACCCGCCCTTGCTGTGTGGCTTTCAGAGGAAATATAAACCAAGACGGTAACAATTGTGATGGTCTTGTTGGCGATGCATTCGGCAGATTTGAAGATTGCTGCGAAAACTTTGGCAATGCTGATTCGGACTGCCCGGTATGGCCATGACCTGTATGAGAGCAGATTCAGCTGTGCAATCACCAATCAACCTTGAGCACTCTCGAACTCGGAACTGATCTCTCTTTGTTTTACGATAACTCAGCAACTATTATCATGCAATAATAAAATCACTATCATTCAAGGTCGCAAACGGATGCTAGACACGGGATGGGCAGTCTGCAATAATCGCGTTTTGTGTGACTGCTGGCATTGTTAAGGGTCCGAGAGAAAGCATTAATTTTACATCTAGTTAGGCATTTGATGGGTAGATTTGAAATTTTGTTGTAGTATAAAACCGGTTCTCAATCACTCATAAGTATGTGATGTGAGTCCAAATACTCAACCTAACGCGTTTGAACAGGCGGTGAGAGATCAACCTCTATCAGGGGACGTATTAATGTTACAATTAGATGGTGCTGGGTGGCTTATATGATCTGACGACACACACTCGTTAATGGCTTCGGAGTTGCCCTTGAGGCAAGGTGGTGTAGCACCCCTTTTAGACTGGTTGGTAGGGAATACTAGACGTTGGCATCGTAGACTTCCAACTACATGGCTATGCTGTGCTATCACCATTGTGACATATCGGAATAGTCCCTCCACTAACCAATGGGCGTAGTAAATGTCGGGCGGCCCCGTGCAGCAAGCCCCCTTATTTTGTTACACAGGGCATATGGAGTCCCCTGGAGGAAATCACGTCATATATCAAGATGAATAAGAATCAGAATATTGAGATAACGTACGCCAAATCACTTCAAGACACAGCTATCGGGCTATCGAACAACTATTTCAGCACAAGCAACTCTCATTCCTCTTCCAACTAAAAAATCACACTTATCTCAACCCAATCCCCTCTATAACCAAGTTTTCTCGATATTATCGCCAACATGAAGTTTAATCTTGCCATTCTTGCTGGAGTAGCGCTATTTTCCGCTTCAGAAGCGTGCAAATGCGTTTCGGAAGAGAGTTCTATCGTTGGTCCCACCTACTCTTGCTGCCGGATTGTTGGGGGACAATTGAACGAAGACGACAGCGATTGCAACGACCTTGGAGGCGGATCACTTGACAGTTTTCTCAATTGCTGCAGAAACTTTGGTGCCGGCTTGGCTTGTGAGCCATGAGAATTACCGGGGTAAGAGCAGATCTAGTCGCAGCGCTCAATCACCAATCAACATCTGACATTTTATACAAGATTATTGATGGGAAACGAAGATCAGCTGGATAGAACCAATACATCTGACACCCATTGAGCTTAGTTGCAAAGATTTATATATATTTATCCCTATAATCTACTGCGGAAGCGTGCCATTGCATGCTTGAGGATGGAATGTTTCCATACAGCAAAAAACTGCATTCAAACTGTGAATGATGAAACGATTGTAACAAAAGCTCTGCCCAAATATTGTTCAGACCTGTGCACCGTGAAGGACGTCCCGAAATATCTCAAAATCTCCATCTCCATTAGGATCAAATACCGCAAACCAAATCGCCTTCCACCAACCTCCCCGAAACTCATCTTCCCGCAGCACTTCCAACCAACATTCCGCAACATCATCGCTAGGATTGCCAAATGTACCGCAGCCAAACGCTCCTAGGACGAGCAAGCGGTGACCTTTAACTGCCGCTATTCGCAAAGAGAGCCTCATTTTCGTCTTCATCCGTTCCCTGTCCTCTGTATTGCCGTATAGCTGTTTCTCCACTGTCACCTTGCTTACTCCATCGGTGATGATGAGCTTCTCTTTATCGACTTTGAAGTCTTTTAGAGCGCTGATTCTGATTACGCTCACAGTAGGGAGATCTTCAGGTTCAGTATCTGACTCAAATAGTTTATCAGAACCACGATACTTGCGGAAGACGACAACCTCGGGAACGTAAATGCCCGCCCCTTCACATGAATTCAAAGCCCAAATCTTAGAGGAGGGTGATTTGTAAACCATAGACATGAGCAATGAGGTTCGGCGACAAATATCCTCTTCCTGTGCGATTGTCATCCTCCCCCAGTCCCCGTCAAGGGCCCTGAAATCGGCATTGCTCAAAACCACAACACGGCCGCCATATCTCTTTTGAAGTTTGATGGCCGCATCTACCATGTGTTCATTATACACACGGATGGAAATTTTGACTGAAGATGTTTGAGCCGGACCATGGGAGTTCCGTGGGAACGACCAAAGCTCCTCGTCGTCGTAACAATCTGATCTTCTTAGCCTAAAACTATCATCGGATAGTTTGTCCCAAAGCTGGTTGAGAACATTACGTGACTCTTCTGTTACTTCGTTTAATATGAATGTTTCCATGTTGAATAAGGAGGAAGTAAGGAGGTGCGCCGAAAGTAATTTTATTGTTATTGTTGCTGCTGTTGTAGATGGTTCTAAGAATATGAGAGAATTACAGTAGACTAAGGTCAGCATTTTAATTTAGCCTACGTTGCAAGCCTCTGCACTTAAAGACAAAGAAGCGAATTAGATCAGCCGCCTCTTTATTCACAAACTATATGTACGGCGGGAATAATCCAAGCTATTGGCCTACTGTTTCTTTGTCTAACCGGGTATTCTTCAATTTTGAAAAGTAATGTACATGATTGGTATACAGATAGTTTCACAAACCGCCACATTCTCAGGCCGGCGTCTTGATGGCTCCGTCAGGGCTTGGGTCTTCAGCTTCAAATTTCCTTGGAATCAGACCTTCTGCCATGTCAATAGCACCCTTCATATCATTCTTGTTGAATAGGAACAAGCCCTGAATAGCAGCAGCGCTCGTATGGCGATTCGACGGTTGCCCATCCTTGTATTGCCCAAATAAACCGAGCTCTTCCAGGCGTCCCAAAAATCGCGCCCGACCAGAGTGATCCTGATCAACATCGCCGTAGAAGCGATCCCACATCTGTGTAGCCTGGTATTTTGTCGCCTCACCAATTTTCAGCATCATATCCACTCGGCCTGGTCGGATGAGTGCAGGATCTAAACGCTCAATATGATTGGTCGTAAGAAACGCGATACGCTCTTCTCCAGCTGCGACACCGTCCAATGCGTTGAGAAGGCCAGAAAAGGTGACATTGGCGCCACTATATCCGTCTGTGTCTCGCTGTCGGCGGTTAACAAAAGCTGCATCGGCATCTTCCAAGAGAAGCAAGCTTCTCTTGGGCAGTTTTGTGAGGAGGTATGCCAGCTTATCATCCGTCATGCCCATTTCGCTAAGGTTGATCATGGCAACACTAAAGTCAAGTTCTCCCGCCAGCGCTTGGATGAAAGAACTTTTGCCACTTCCTGGAGGTCCAAACAAGAGGTAACCTCTCCTGTAGGGAATGCCCCGATCAACATACCATTGTTGCCTCGACAAGAAATCTTTGACATCGCCAACTATGCTCTCTTTGATGCCCTCGTCCAGTATGACCGAACCAAGCGGCCTCTTCTTTCGCGGATCTCCAAGTGGGCTCCATTCAAGCCCGCGTGCAGAATAAACTACCGTCTTTCCTTCGTTCGCCTTTGCGGCCAACTGGTGCGCCTCTCTGAAGAGGTCTTCAAACACATGACGATGCGCCCAGAGAGTGGTCAGCTGGACAATCTCATGCGGCTCTCCGGTGTTCATGTTCGCCGTGTTGTGCTTCTCTCTATTGACTGAAATGAAAGCCTTTCCAAACTTGACAATATGGCGTCCATATCCAGGCTGAAGAAAGAAATGAGCATTGATAGGGCCACCGGCTCCTGGTCCTCTTGAAGCCGTCGCCGTCGCCACTGACAGGTTGTGAATTCTTGTGAGCCGCGAGACAATGAAGCCCGGCGTTTCACGAGGCTGAGACAGCCATGCGAGAATCCAGGGATATGCCGGATCTTGTTTGCTTATCTCAACATTGACAAGAAGCCGACGGCGAGCAGCGCCGAGGATGACGATTGATCCCTTGCGGGCGAACGCTGCGGCAGCTCCTAAGGAGGCGAGGCCGATGCCTCCAGCGAACAGAGGATTATCGAAGAGCGCATTGAAGTTTAGCACCGAGGCAGGTGATGGTGAAGTAGACATGCCGAAACCTGCCAAAGATGGAACATGGATTTGATCTCGATGATCGAAAAAGTAGATCTTCAATCGGAAGATGACTAAGCGACACTGTGCCAAAGTGTAGAAAAAACCGCGGGAAATATGCTGATGAGACGGCAATGCTCTTCAACTTGTGAAATCAACTTGGCGATAACGGAGCAGAAAAATAATATTAGACGGAATTTGGTTTCAGGTAATGATGCTATTGTAGATAACCAAGTCCATGATATCGAGATCATGTAGAGTCAGGCATCTGATCGTTTGTGCTTTCTAAGTAGAGCATCTCATATCTTATATGAGCAACAATAATGATCCGTTCGTTCAACGATTCGGAGCCACTCGCTGGCTTCGAACCCGTTAATTCCCTAATTCGGATGCGCTTCCGTAGCTCAGTTGGTTAGAGCTTCGTACTAATACTAGATTTCACCATCTAGCCTTGGTAATGCGAAGGTCGCAGGTTCAAGCCCTGCCGGGAGCAAAAGCCCCAATGCGTTATCCAGAATTGGGATTAATTTTTTTTCTTGCTTTTTATAATCCTCTGTCTGAATTGATCCATATACGTACGCAATGTATTTTTCTGATCCTCCCTTTGTCCATCTTCTTTTTCCATTCCCTCTTCGTACATCACCATGTACTACCGTTACCAAGTAAAGTTCTCCCCAATTATATCACAGTCTATCTGACCCCAACCATTATTCTTCAGCTATCTCCTCATCAGTACTCATTTCCTTCCACGCATCGAAGTCTCTGCTTGACTCCTCTGAGCCTGGCTTTGCCCCCTTTTCTACCAACTTATTAATGAATCTGCGATAGTCTTTGGCTCTAGAAACTGCTAAATCTAACGGCGTAAGATTATCATCATTCTGGGCATTGATGTCAATCTCCGGACTGATGCTTAAAAGTTCGTCAAGCATTTGGAGCATAATGTCCTCATCGCTCTCGTAATAAGTCCATTGACACAGAGTGTGCATTGGAGTATTACCATCCTTCCCCTTTTGTAAAGCGGCCTTTGTTGTCGCCTTTTTGTCGTGCTCAACAAAATCTCGTACAAGCTCAAGGTTTCCAATATATAACGCATGTTGTAATGGTGAGAATCCGCGAGAGTTATACAGCGTGGTACTGGCTCCTCTCCCGAGCAAGATCTGCACAATATCTCTATTACCATTACGAACAGCAATATGCAATGCTGTTTGGTTACCGGCCTCACTAACGGCGTCAATATTCGCGCCGGCTTTTAATAATTGTCGAAGGATGTTGAGCTCTTTTTGAGAGACGGCAAGGTGTAATGGTGTGTATCCGTCTTCATCAACAGCGTCAACCTTGACCTTGGCTTTCAACAGCTGCTGTACAATCTGCTTGTTTCCTCCTGCGACGGCACCAAGTAGCGGCGCATACCCTTCTCTACTGTCTGCCTCAACATCTGCGCCCTCTTTTAGCAAGAGCTCTGCAATTCCCCAATTCTTTTTGTAGATTGAAATCAGTAATGGTGTTTGTCCAAAATCGTCCCATGCATCAATATCGGCCCCAAGTTTAAGTAACAATTCGATAGCTTCAGGTGGGCCATATTCTGCTGCTATGTGTAGTGGAGTTGCTTCGTCTTTAGCCTTCGCTTTGGCATAGGTAGTAGCTGCAGAATCAGACTGAAGAAGTCTCTTTGCAATGTTGAATCCTTTTGCGCCAAGACTAAGCGCCATGTGTAGTGGCGTCCTCCCATCCTTTGCCGCAGTTGCGACGTCTGCACCCTTGTCTATCAACAGATCTGCGACTCCAATTGTACCGTCTGCTAATGCCTGGTAGAGTGGCGTGCGGCCCTCAAGGTCAATTGCCTCCATGTCAGCATCATTATCGAGAAGAATTTGTACAATATCCTTCCGCTTAACTGCCATGTGAAGCGGAGTTGAACCGTCTTTTGCTTTGACATTGACATCTGCATGGGCATTGATCAACAAAGGAATAACCGCTTCCTTGTCGTTTTCGATTGCAAGATGCAAAGGCGTGCGAGCATCATTGTCACCGATGTTTATATCTGCGCCACAATCCTCAATGATCAACAGGAGCAGTTCTTTGTGTCCGTATATCGCCGCTAGATGGAGGCAAGTCCAGCCGAACCGATCTTTAAGACCAATATCATCCTTCAGCAGCCAGATTAATTGGACATCTCCTTTGACTGCAGCCCAGTGAATAGGGTGCCTCTCGTTACGGTCAACGTGGGCCACACTATTTCTGGAATGCCTCTTACGCCCTGATTTGGACTTTTCGACTAATCTCTGTAGTATTTCGATATTTCCACTTCGAACCGCACAATGCATCGGCGTGATCCCATCATACCCAGCGGTGTCAATTGGGGCTTCGCGATCAAGTAACATATCCACCACTCTCTCGTTGCCCACAAGGCAAGCATGTTGCAAAGGTGTCCATCCCATGTAATCTCGGAGGTTGAGAACTTCACCTTCTGGAGAAAAAACTATGCGCATATTTTGCAATTGTAAGTTGGCGGCATAATGAAGCGGTGACCAACCAAAAGCGTCAGCTTTCTCGAGCTTATCAAAGTCCCAAAAGTACAGGGTTCTCTCCGACTCGCTCTCTTCCATGAAACTTTGGTGATCGGTGGTAATCCGGAAGCTATCTGGCAAGGTTTTGATGTCGGTAAGCGCATGGCCGATCATTGTGTTGAAAGGCATAGCATAGTGCCATTCCTTCATTTTTTCCCTCGCTGGGATTTCGAAGTTAGGCAACTTTGTGAATGGCTCTTCCTTTAATTTCTGTATTAAAAGTTTCAACTGCTTTGCAAGTTCTTCTTCTTCTCGCCCTTCCGATTTTTGAAGTGCAGACTCATGACGTAGCCTGCTGAGAAAACCCAAGCACACAGCTATGGCTAACGGCCCAGAGGGTTCCCTCTCGAGATCAAACCGAAGAGCCAAGTCAAGAAGGCAAAAACAGCTGTCGACCAACTTCTTCCATTGGCATGTTCGCTCATACGCCTGTGCTTGTTCTGTGGCTTCGTCGATGACGTTTTTGAGGTTAGTGAGTTTTTGCTCGAGACTCAGAGGTACAATAAGATCGAAGTATATATCTGACAGTGTGCCGAATCCTATCTTCTCTAACTTTCTGGCCAAATTGGAAATGGTGTCGTTTTTTATTTTCAGTTCCTTCCAACCGTCTGTCATTTTACTATAATTCACTTGTTGTACACTCGACGCGCTTGAGATTGTGACTTCAGGCATCTTTGCGATCGCGCGCATGAATGAAAACAACAAATCCCTGGAGAAGAGCCTTTTTTGTTTTTCCTGACATTCTAAAACAAGATATTCTTGGCTAGGGCTGTTTTCTCCTTCAGGCTTATCAGAATATTTCGTATTTTGAGAAATCTCGGAAGTGAAGCCAACTATTGTCCACTCAGGCTTCATCTTCTTCTCATCGACCTCAGCCTTTGGAAGCGTAGTGATTTCAGTAATGACTTCCGGCATCCACCATTGAAGGTCCCGGCGTAAGCGGTCTTCGTGCTCACTCGATCCATAAAGCCGTAATTGACGAGGCTGATTAATATCGAAAACCTTTGCCGGCGTTGCTGAGTACGACCATAGTGACAGAATTGCCTCAATTCTCTCGCCCATATCTTTGAAGTTCCATTTCTTATCTTTCTTCTCAAGTTCGATATCAAGATACCCATCTTGCGATCCATTGTAAGTTGCCGGAATGCTCCACGTATAATCTCCATCGGGCCATTCCTCGCCAAGAAGTGAATGGACAACAGCTTCAATCGCAGCTGACAGACGGGCAGCCTCTTCAGCCACTGGGCTCTTCCAATTCGAAATCTTTTTTAATTCTTGTCGCGCTATCATCATCTCATGAACTTTTGACTTCTTCTCAGAGCGGCTGCTGTCATCCGTCGTCCTCAAAGGAAGATATGCCTGCTTATCCCCAGTGCAGACTCTCCACTTGGGGAAGTGGTTGTGCTTCCGCGCTTTCTTCTTATTCTCATTCTTAGATTTGTCATCGAGCATCGCCCATGGAGCTGTAGTTAGATCCCCAAAGCTGAGAGCGAACCAATCAAGCTCAGTTTTCGATATCAAGGGTGTGCGATTAGGAGACTTCCCAAGTCCCCGTCGCACAATGACCCTCAATACAGTGACCACGATTGTAATGCCTAGTTGTACCACTGATGCTGTCCAATTCAATCCTCTCATTCCGATAAACTGTGAAATAAATCCAACAAGAGAAATGAGAGAGCCGAAAAATGCAATATGCTCTAAGGGCCGACCCCAGGTCGGTTCAGCACTCTTATCATCTTGATCTGTAGTGTTTTCATCCAAAGTGTTTTGACTATTGGAAGTTTGAGCATTGGTTATCCCTTCTCCTAAAGATGTCTGTGGATGGTCAGAGCCACTATTGTCCTGTTTGAGTGAAGTGATATTTCGCCGAGACATTGTAATATATTTCCGTTCGGTAGTTGGGTAAATTGCAAAGGGCCTAAACACCTGGTCACTCAAAGTATGATGCTTTTGCAACCAAACGATGAACATCCGGTGATGCTTCGCTTCATAGCATGTTTCAGTCGTACTTTTTTCAACAACCCATGCACACATGAATAATCCAAGTACCAAGAGAAGAGTTCCTCCGGCGGCACATGGAAAAGCGTACTCGACTACTCTCCTGCCATCCTTCAGAAATTGATCCTTGATAGGTTGGTGATAGGTAATGAAGGCAAAATATATTAAAGCTCCCAGCTGTAATATTACACCTAGTGTGGCTGCAAGGTAAATTTCCCGTCGCTCGACTCTATCGTGGCAATTGAGGAGAAGATTCGGTGCGCTGTCATCAGAATCAACAACGACGATGATGTCCTTTGCGTCTTTGTCCGAATCTTGCTGTGTATCGGAGTCTCCATTACCGGAGCCTGCCTTGTCGGAATCTGTTTGTTCAGAGTCCGTCTTGCCCGAGTCCGTCTTGCCAGACTCGGTCTTGCCAGTGTCTCTTCTTCGGATGGAATGAACGGTACTGATCATCACAGAATTCTTCGCGCTTTCATCTGTCTTACCAGTGTCTCGTCTTCGTATGGAAGGAACACTACTGATCAAAAAGGAATCCTTCGCGCTTTCGAATGGATCGACATCTATTTGAGTGCTGTTGCTAGACCCATTTTGTAGATTTCCGGTCTCTAGGTCCAAGTCACCGCGAGATGACATATTTTGGTCCCCTTTCCGTGGTCGAATTGGCGAAAACGAAGTGTGAGAGCTCCGCAGCCTTCCATAGATGTCGTATATGTTACTCAGAATCAATGCTAAATTTTTTTGGAATGCTTTCCACGCGTATGATGGACCAGCCGTCTCTCCAATGCATCTTAGCAGATGGCCAAAAGAACCCAGGTACCTATGTATGGATGCATCAACACTTACCGATCTTCTGAAGTAATTTGCTCTCGTCCACGCCCTTTATGTCCTGTAATTTCTTGTATTGGATTTTGAAATCCGTTTTGGACAGAGTTTCGGCATCACACCCTTTTGGCAGCAAGCAGATGAACTGATATATATCGGCCGATCCCGGACATCTAATCACGCTGTGACCGTTCCAAAGCTCGCATGCCTCCTTGGATGTGGATGACATGACATCAATCTCTGCCGCTGAGAGATTCTCTCTGGCCCTTCCAATGAACGACTTCAGCCATGGAGGTCCGGCCACTCGGATGGCGCTTATAACCGTGGTGATGGCACCAATCGGAGCTACGGCCAAGAGAATGCAGTCGGTTATACCCATGGCTTGGCTCATGAACTGCATGACAACACGTTCGCCAAATAGCGCGATAATACTACACACCAAACTTTTAGTATTAGAAAAGAATAATAACACCCATTATTTAGATAGGCATTGACTTACGGTCCCAGATCCGAGGCAAGATTATTTGCAAAGTCATCCCCGCCATCGGCCGATGCACGACCCGCAAGCCATAGCATCAAAAAAATCGAGAAAACCATAGCCTGTGCCATTTTGAGACGCCGAGTCGCGCTTGAATAGCGACAAGGCAAACTCGATGAGCGCTGGTTGATGAATATTAAAATTTGGCGCTGTGAGGGCGTGTCCGGAAGACGTGGACAACCATGCTTGAGGGGAAATCGTGGCCGCCAAGATGTTGTTTCGCGCCAGGCTGGGCTATATACGGTCCTGATCGCAACTTTGCTTTTTATTCGAGCGAAATCAGCCGCATAATCATGCCCCAGAGCCTAATCCAGCGTCCAGACACCCCCGACATGTATTACCAATGCAGGCCCGCCCTCACACACCCATTTTGTGAATAGCTTTTCCGGGCTGCTCTACCGCTACGAACATGTCTATAGAGTAGGTCCTTCTATCAGCTACCTAGGTGAAGATAATGGAAATAGACTAAAGGGTAGAACCAAGAAGCTGTCGGCGCTTGTGTACATGTGCATTATGGAACTGTATTGACAGAGAATGGCTCCCATTCCCTAGAGAGAGAGCTTAGCTGCCCAGGCACACTAAGGTAGCGATCGTGGTTCGGGTCGGCCCACGCCGAGTTAGCTAGCGGGGATGTAACACTTAACAGAGAATACTTGATATCGAGTCAATGCTGTTCTTGATACTGGAGTAGAATATGATAGTTGAGTGTCGATGATTCGAGAGGGGTTGCTTATCCCTTTTGTTGGTCCTCAGTTTTCGTTGTGGCTGTCACCCAAAAGGTTATGGCTGCAGCTTTATGTAAGGATGTAGGCTACATGCCTCCCGGTTCGAGCTCTGCTCCTCCTCTGAACTGATCCGACGGCTTATTTCTGTAATTTCCAGTGGCTCGTTGCGTGAGGTTACATGCCCATATTGGGTACAAATATGCCACCTGGACTTGGGCTCCAAAGATAAACACACGTAGAGCACTGTGCATACGAATCCGGGATTAGGCAACTTGAGGCTCCCGACGCCGAATCTCAGCTGCACAAGGGAGGCTGCAAGGTGTGACCGTCGTGGGGGCGCCATGATTCCATTGGTCACGATTTTGATGGTGTACAACGGTTGACTGAGACCGTCTAAGCCACTTTGATTCAGGCTGTCTCTGTAATCCTTTAAGCCCCGCGAGGCTCTCCCCGCAACCCTAGCTGCGGCTCTTATCCGCTTCGTGTAAGTGGTGCAACTCGATGTCACGCTTTGACCATTGCGAGGATGACCAATCAATTCAAGCAAAGATCCCAGAGCATGAAATACTTTAATTCAAAGTTAAATTTCCGGTTCAATCTAAACCTGGTACTGGAAGCTAACAATTACAAACCCCGATCCCAGTCTGGCAATGTATTGCCCTTGTATCCACTTGGAAGCTCTTAAGAGGGGCCTTTAACTGCTTAGTTGACCTATTTTATCTTACTGGCTGATAGAAAGTGACTCTTACCACGGAATTGTGATACGCACACTTAATCATAAGTAGACACATCTGTAGGTGTGACAACAGTGCTCGCCGGGCTTAGTTCCCAATGCTGCCCGCTAAGATTGCCGCCAGCTAGATGGGCAACGAGTGTATCCGAGTAAACATCCAGGTGCTTATCGGGTCCCGTAAAGGTATTGCTCAAGCGGTATGGATAAGCCTGACCACCGGGGGACCAGTTGTCGAATCTCCAATACTGGCCCGAGTAGTTGCCCGTGTCGGCCATATGGAGATTGATGTTTTGCACTCCATCGTTGATGACATCGAGAGATTGCTTCACGCCATTGGCAATTGTGTGTAGGCGATAGTAGTTGCTCCTGTTTGTTGGGGTAAGGAACCAGAGGGCATTGGCGCTGACATTCTGTGTGTCAACCATGGAGAGGGAAGCGCCGCCTGAGGACAATGCAAGTACTTTATTTGAAGCTGTGTAGCTATTTTTCAAGACATAGAGTCTACTAGTGTCGATTGACGCCATACTGCGGCTGGTTATAATAATGTAATTCTATCTTCTTGTCTCTTGTATAGCTATGCTGAGAGAACTACTATGCAAATTTTTCCATCGCCTCGAGCTATCTTTATACTTGAGAGCAAAGGCGGGCCTTCAAAATAGGATCATGTTCATTTTCAGCTCGAGTGGCTGCCTAAAAAGAGTCATGTGAACAACGCCAAAGAGAAAATAGTGCGCAACTACTGGGTGAATAATGCTCCTTTTCGCAAAGCTCATGCTGTGCAACTTTTGTGTCCACAACCGGGCTGGCTGATCTGACGAGATTTCAATCATCATTGGCGCACTTTCTGGAATACTGGATCTTTTGTTTCACAAAACTTTGCTTTTTGAGGTACACCAAACTACCCGACGCTAAGAAGACGAAATTGACAGCATGAAACATTGTCAAGTCATCCTTCAGAAACTCCGAGACAATTTGGTCATACAATAATGCAATAGTGCTAATGTATTTGAGCTGTTAAATGATAGCCTTCACTAATTAGCCACCAGTGAATGATCCCCAATCGGGACAGAGTAGACAATTGAGTGTGCAACGTCAGTGATCCTTCGCAGAGTGTAGTCGGCGCCTTGAGGGGAATCGAGACTGGCTGGAACGAAAAACAAACCTAGTGATAACCTCCCCTTCTCCTGGACTTCATTATGTCCCTGTGAGTACAGATAAATCAGCAGAAGGAAATCCAGCCAAGCTGAGAACCTCGAGAATATAGGTCAGGTTATACTCTTTGACAGGGAATACCTCAGCCACAATGTCCTAAATTCGAATCAGCCAAAGTGTTTTGTACAACGCCACATTTTGCTTTACCGCTGGAGTCTTGATGACCACAATACCCAAGAGGTCAGTCAAGTTAGGCTGAGACAAGAATGAATCCAGACCAACAGTGGCGACTGTGCGCGCATTATTGAGCACGATAGCAGCAGGATGGAAACCAAGGTTCGTCGGGATTCTTTGTTGTTCGAATATACTTCGAACCCATTCAAGCCTAGGTTCTCCCCCAAGGCTCTGTATTAGGAGACCATTTTCTAGGGCGCCAATAACAATAGAACGGGCGCCGCACTGTTGATTGGGATTATGAGCAATGTCAAACAGGTCTCTAGCCGTTCTAGCTGCTCCAATTGCCTGAGGAGTGATGATTGAGTAGTCCATGAGAACCTCTGGTGGGACAGACCGGATTGTTTCGTTAAAGTCGTTGTTGTTGCCATCGCCGATATCTGCTCTGGACACACTGCGGTCATGGTCAGTGAGGCCATGGTTGGATGGCTCATGGAGGCCAAATGCAGCAAGTCCGTACGACTTGGTGAGTTTGCCTAACCCTACAGCAATAGGAATCTCTGGTGAGAGAATAAAACTCTCGAATGCTCTGCGAACAATATCGATTATGGTAATGTTTTTGCCGCTGTGAGGCAAGAAGCTGTGGTTGGCGAGGGAGTTGAGACCAGGTCAAGGCCCACGAGCTGTCATTTAACAATGAGATGAGACCGTTGTAGACACTTTGATACCGAATCTCACTTGCAGTCATCAGGGCCGGCTGGCTGCCAATTGTTGAACCTGGGGTCGGAAGGGTCGAATATGGGGAGGTCAAGAATCTGAACAACTTCGATGTTGCTCAATGAGGAAGTGACTACTAGTGAGAGAAAGAACTCCATCTTTCATTTAGTGAAATAGAGTGGCATAAGGTTAAAGTTGGTGGGTTCCTCATATTTGCTAGAATTTGTCACTGAAACCCCAGTTGATTTGTAGTTGAGAAGCAAGTCACAAAATTGTAGAGTACCTTAAATTCTGAGGCCGGGTATGCGGCAAATTTTTTGAACATTTCATCGGGTCTCACTTTGACTTTGTTTATCCTGCACCAATAGCATTTACCGATGCTATAAGTTTCCCTCACAGCATCGTTCTTCGAATTGGTCAAACAATTTGTGAGGTCTCCCAATGCAACCCAAAGAGTTGCGGATAACATGATCATTATAATTGAGTTAAAGTATTGCTGGATTAAATTGTTGGCAGCATGAGGGAGCAGAGGGTGAATCTTATACAAAGTACGGCTGGGCAAGCGACTATAAGAGCGGGAAAGTCAATATACAAAATGCGGCGATATATCAACATGGTGTGTAAGTGTAATTACAGGATGTTTGGCATGTGGGATTTCATGATAAGACTTGGTACATGTATTCTCAATACTCGGCAGTCAGCAGCCACAGCGCGCTAATATTGGGTTAGTGGCGTTAATGGTCTCTTTTAGTTCTTCCGATGATACAAGAGCCTAGGGCTTTGGTTTGAAGGATCGCTAAGGGCCGACCCGATGAGCTAGAACAACTCACGAGACGACGTGAGTTGTGGGAATAGTTCCCAAATTGGGTCATCAAACTAAATGAATACGAGTACAAATACCTACACGAATACTCCAAGCTGCTTATTATAACCTCAAACTACGTAATGCATGTGAGCCTACATGGAAGCATGTGAGGACATTGTAACCCACCATATGATCCTATACCCACCAAGAAATGCTTCAAGCGTAGTTGCCTACAATCGCTTGCTCAGAATGGAGTCAAGTTGCAATCTGCGGGGTAGTAGTGAGGCGGTGCGCTTCTTTAGAGCCTTGCTTCCTGAATACAAATATCATCTCTGCTTACTCTCTATCTTGGAGAAAATTTAGTTTCTCTTACAGTTGCGGGATATTGTAGACTCGGACCACAATGAGGGGCCAGCAATTAGCAGATGATGTGCCGACCAAAAAGCCGCCCGAGGGGCAGCAGTTGACTATGAAGGAGATATGGGATGCGGCGGCCAAAGAATTCGAGACCATATGCGGAGAGTCGCTACAGAAAGGCCAAGTCAGGAGTTTCGACGATGTGCAGAAGAAGATCAAGGCCGCCGGGCAGGTCTCAAATAGCGCCGATGACGAGAATGTCAAGTGGGAAAAGGCCAAGAGCGTGGGCCTCCAGTCGCTCAAGTATCTCAAGATGCTTGTCGGCGCTGCTTCTCAGGCTTCCTCCTTTGTATATCAGACCACATCGTCTTTGCCATATATTAGACGCGCACTCACTAACGACTGTAGATACCGATCCCTGAAGCGGCGGCCAATATCACTGGTTCCGCACTCTGCTTCGTCTTCGACATCCCCGAAACCATCAAGGGTTACAACGACGCCATCAACCAAGTCTTTGGCGAAGTATCCTCGGCTCTCTCCCAGTTTCACATCTATCAAACAATAGATGACGCCAACCCATTACTCATCCAGCAGATCCATCTGGTCTTGGTCAGTTTCGTCAAGGTCTGCGCCTATGTTGTCAAGTACCGCCAAGGCCGCAAGAGAGACCGCTTCCTGAAGCAGTTCAAGTCCATCTTTGACGATGACTCTGGCCTGGCTGACCAGATGGCAGAGTTTCGGCGTGCTCTGCAGCAGCAGCGCGATGTTGAAGGGACAGTCACTCTGGCTGTAGTCGTAAACACACAGAAAGACGTCGCACAGCTGCTTGAGCAGTCCGCCGTTTTTGGCAAGACAACTCAAGAGACGCACCAAGCAGTGCAATCCATGAAAGACGATGTTGACCGCATGAGGACGCTCATCAAGATCCGCGACACTCTGGGCGTGCCGTCCACTGTGCGCCTCGACACCAACACCACCCAGACATGTAACGACATTGCTGACAAGTGCCTCAGCGGCATGGGATCTTGGATCTGGACACACGAAGCATATACCGCTTGGACAGCAACCAAAGACAAGGATGCGCAGCGTTTACTACTCCTAACTGGTCCAGCATCTTCAGGCAAGACATGCGTCAGTGCCCTCATCACCAAGCGCCTGGAAGAGCAAAAGGGGCGCACATACGTTGCGCACTACTTCTTCCCCTCTAGCACGAAAAAGGCCGACAACGAAAAGAACTCGATCCAGTCGGCTTTGAAGTACATGGCCTTCCAAATTGCCCGCGTCGATGCGACGGTGCAAAAGATACTAGGCAGGGCCTGTGATGACGAGCCTGCCGCATTCCGCCGCTCGGCAAGCCTTGATAGCCTGGAGAGTCTCTGGGAGAGGCTAAAGATTGGAGCATCTGGGACGAATGCCGTATATTATCTCGTGTTCGATGGTATTGAAAACCTACCCGATCAGCAGGTCAAGATGTTGCTAGACTTCGTCTTCAGCCCCCGAATGGCAAAGGAATCGGCCGAGCGCGTGCAAATTCTGGTGAGCGGAACAGACGATCAGTTCACAAACTGGCCGGAGAGTAGGAGTGCTCTGAGGATCCAGATGGAGAATAATAATGTACCAGACATGCGTATAGTAATCGAAGAGGCGCTCAATCAACGGGGAATGCTACAGAATGCAAGGCCCGACTCGGAGCAGCAGAAGGCCAGAGATAAAATTCTCGATAAGCTGCCGCAAAACGTTGAGGGAAGCTATTCGCGGCTTCAGTTTGGGTTGGAAGATGTGATTCGTCTCCTTAGCACGCGTACAGCAATGCGGGAACTGGATCGGATGCTGGACCAGTCAATGAGTAGCCACGAAGCGGCCATTAAGAATCTGCAGAGGTCTTTGACAGCGGATGAGATTAGTGAGTTGAATGAGTTACTAAATTGGGTTCTATTTAGCAACGAAGAGATGACACTGGAGAAACTTGAAGCCGCTATGGTATGTGTTGTCCTATACAGAACTTTGCCGAACGCTTTGCTAACGACCTACCTCAAGTTTTTATACTCAGAGACTGAGTCGCTTGCATCTCTCGAGTACATCATAAAAAACAAATACTCGGCTGTCTTAAAGCTCGATGATGGATGTGTTTATGGTCAAGATGGTGTCAAGGAATACTTGCGCAAGGATGTAGACTCGGCCGGCCGGTCATCAAATACCAAAGATCGTGCCACCATCAGCATGACCATTACCATAAACAATGTGGACCAAGAGCTCTGTGGGCACTTCCTCTGGGATCTTGCGCACAAGGCGATTCGGGACAAGTTCAACTTTAACCTTGATGGCGACGCCTCCAACGCTCTACACGGCGGCAGCAGGGGCACCATTGCTGTGGATGAATTTGAAGCGCACCACACCATAGTGATGCGGGCATTTGAGTATTTCAACAAGCCGCCTAGGGAACAGACTGCGGCGATTGGGGAGTACCTTGTCTGCTGGCTCCCGTTTCACTTAACCCGCCTCCGCCAGCTCGAGGACGAAGACCAAGGATCGCTTATGCCGAGTGAGCAGTCTGAAATTGGACAGAACCTGTATAAACTGTTTAAAAGCGGAGAAGTATTCTTGCGTCACAAAGAGAGTTTCCAGAATGTGTGGTGGATAGCAGACGAAATGGACGATGTGCAGAAGTGGTTGATGGACTCGGCCATCACGCGAAGGCTGGACAAAAGATGGCGTGATGAGGTACAAATGGCTGCAAGTCCAACAAGAGGCTATTTGAAAGAGCTCGCGAAGGTAATTCTAGAAGGGTTTCTGAGGGAGAGGAGTTGGGGGTTCTTCTCGGCCAACCGGTGGATTCCCCAGTTGATGAAGGCCGTAAGTAACGATTCATGGTCCAACTTTGCAAAGTATCACGCATAAATTGACATCCGGAAACAGGACGAGAGAAGACTGGAGGGACATATTGACCCCTCTAATACCGATGCTGAAGATTACGACGAGATAGACTGGAACCGCGTGGGCACCTGGTGTCAAGGTATCCTGATGTTGCCAGACTCGGAGCTCAATTCCCTCTGGTACGAGCGCCTTGCCACAGCCTCGGGCATGCAGGACAGCAATTCCGATGCTACCATATCTCTATACCAGCGCGCCACAGAGGAGAAGAACCCCAGTTGGCTGTGCTACAGCGGCTTAGGAACCGCGTTTTATAGGAAAGGGCAAACTGAAGAGGCCATAACTCAGGTAGAGCTGGCGTTGGAGAGAGCTCAACAAGAAGACGCCACCCCTAAGCCCGAAGCAAAAGATATTGTTGGATTATACTTATTATTGGGCCAGTATGCCTATGAGGCAGGCAATATGAGCATTGCGGACAAATATTACTCACTGGCATGCGATGGAGAGGATGCATCCCAAGCGAAAGACGGACAGATGGGCCGTCTAAAGTCGAGACTAGGCCACCTGAGCGCAGAGGGGGCAAGGGAGTTGCTCAAGAGTACACTGTCTCAGGAGAAAGGGAAAGAGGAGATGACGGCTGCTATGGAGAAGTTGGCGCTAGATGCCCAGCATGACTATCTTATCGCAAGGATGTTCGCTGTGGCAAAGGAGGATCCTGATCTCCTGAAAGAAATCGTGGCCGTTATGGAGAGAGCAATAGGGAACTTGATGCCAGGCAAGGACCGTGGCTCTGGGGTGTCCACGGAGGACGAGCGTTTCGCCGAGGATGAGGCTCGCAGTGTTCTCCTCTGCGATCGGGGATTCGCGGCATACGTGTTTAAAATCTCGCCTGAAGGTACTGAACCCGTCAACGAGGCCCTCCGCCTGTGGGGAGAGAGTCGTGATTTGCTCGCCAACGTCGGCGGCACCAATGCTTTACTTACACGACAGCGTGCCGCCACGGCAATGGCCAGACATTACTTCCAGAGTATCGTAGACGGGTTGCAGCTTGACTACTACGATTCCCTCGCCAAATTGACCAAGCTGGCTGATTCAGATCCTGACTATAATTTCTATCGAAGCGACTCTATCGGCTTCTTGGGATCTGTTTTGGTGCTTTGCGGCAAGAAAGAGTCAGCCAAGGGAGTGCTCATGCCACGGATTAAACTAGGACTGCAGATCCTGTCTGATGACGTGCTTGAGAATGATGTGGCTGGTTTTTCCGTCCTTGAGAAGGCACTGGAGCAATACCAGGACTTTAAGAATTCCGTCGTCGCCCTATCTCTGTTGGGACAGGCAGATCTCGTAACAGAAGCGTTATTGTTTGAGATTGACGACATCACGGAAGTTGAAGTTGACGAGGAAAAGCAGCGAGCATTGGATGTGGTGTCAAACTTGGCTACAGAAGTGATCCATGCCATCGATTCTCAAGTCCCAGATAAGAAACTTCAAGTCCTGCGTATTGAAGCGGCCAAGGCGTATGTCGACAATCTAACAACTGCGGAGGCCAAGGTTGCGGAGGCCAAGACTGAGGTGAATGGCAATGGCGAAGAGAAGAAGTCGGGAGCTTCCGACATAACTGCCTATGCACACCACCTGCTACAGTCTCGTCTCCTAACTCTTCATCAGAAACATACCCCAGATATAGATATTGACGATCTTGCATGGTCCTGGGCCTGTGACGGCCGCACGTCTGACGGCAGGGGATGCGGCAAGTGGAACATTTTTGAGGATGACTTATATCACTGCATCTACTGCTCGAACAGAGACTTCTGTGGCGATTGCCTCGCCCGGCTTCGCAGCCCCGAGGGTGTAGAGATGATGGAGTGCAGCGCAAAGCATAAGTGGCTGCAAATCCCCCACCAAGGAAACAGCATGTATTTGAGCACGAAAGCCAAAAGCGTGCGAGTCCCGATAGATGTGAGGCCTTTGGATGGAGATGATAGGATATTGAAGGCTTATTATGCAGAAGATGGAGGAGATGAGATTACAGTAGAGGCTTGGAAGGAGGGATTGGCTGCTGAGTGGGGTATTTCGCTCAAGGAGCTCAAGAATTTGAGTGATACCTCGAGCGAGGCTGAGAAGAGCTGAATCTACTACAGATCTAGTTCCTCTACGTAGACTATTGGGGGGCCTCCTGCCTCATCGGCAGGGAAGCCGGGGAGGAGGAGAGGGACGTCGGAGGACGTCCCTATGTATACTAGGTCATCCAGGTAGTTAGACAGACCATCATCATCACTCCTCTCTCTACATTTGTCGTTGCACTTTATCGTGACGTCCATAGAGATCGGGAGAGACCTGATATAGACCTAGTCTCTCTGGGTAGATCTAGTCTCTCGAGAGCCTGGCGCATACGGCACCCGCCGAAAACCTTTCATCCGTGACACTTGATGGACCTGAGGAGCAGGAACTCCATCACCTCATCAATTTCCACTGGCAGAGAGCCCCCAGCCCCTGGACCCGTGACCTGGTCGGCTCGTCAGCCGCCCCCCCCAAATCCTCGAAGAAGACCAAGACGAAGATTCCCTCGAACATCATCGATTCGACAGGTGAGGAAGATGGACAGGAGGTGGTGGTGCCTCACACCCCACGACCCTCGACGCTGAAACGATCTCCGTCTGCTGGACCTATACCAGAAGAGCTTGTACGTTCCCGACCTCGACCGAGGGAGTCTAACTCGAGACAACCGGGAACCTGGCGGAGAGGCCATTTCTCTACTCCTGCAGAGAGGCTGAGCAGACGCTTTGGCACCGGACAACAGGTACCTATTGCTCAACCATAATACTCAACCTTCCGAAAGGAGGGATAATTTCTCTGCGTTGTGTAAGCCAGGGAACTGCTATTGAATGTATAAAGTGCTGTAAAATGAGAAAGATATCTATTTCCTATGCAACATTTTACATAGCGAGATTTCGAGTTTGTAAAATCAGCGTAATCACCATTTTTCAAATCCCGTCTGTGGTGTCTCCGTATTCACATATTTCCATACTTGTCTCCTTGGTGAATCTCTGCGTTTCCTTTTCCAATTGTTATCCCGAATTTATGATTACCCCTGTTCATCGGAACCTGACCTGTGAAACCGTTTCCAATACGGTCACCTTGCTCTAACTTGACACTATCATCCACCTCGGTCCGTTCCCAGCGGTGGCCAGGCTCCCTATTTTCAATAGCTTCTTTAACGGCTTGCTCCAATACAGCATCACTATTTGCCATTGAAGCGTCATGAAGTAGCTCCAAGACAACTGGTGGCTGGCCATTCTGAATTTCTTCTACTTCCATGCGGCAAAGCTCACGTTGTGGCTCGTTAAGTTGCGGCAGTGTCACCACCAGAAGATTTAGATTCTCAGTAATATCCTCGAGAAGTCTGTCGAAGTGTTTCTTTTCGAAGAGAGCCCATTTTGCTCTTTTCTTAAGTGATACACCCTGAATACGTTTAGCAAAAATTTTGCTTGTTTTCGATTTCAATGCTTGGGTTGGTGTATCCATCTCGTTCAGCTGCTTCAAGAAGTCAGTAACTCTTTTTTTCCCGTAAGAAGAAATATGTGGTTAAACGGGTACCATTGATTCCATTGCACTTGTATTCCCAGACGGATCTCCATACCTCCTAGATTTTCTCTCTAGCTCTTGAGTATCTTCCAAGATAGAGTTAAGGAGCCTCTCAGCGGTCTCGGCTGCATGCGCATCAATGCTGACTCTTCTGCACTTCCCTGTCTGAGGATCGGGGAAGGTGCCGCTAGAAATTCCCCATCTCGTGATTTGAAGTTTCAACGCTTCTAAACGAGCCTGTGACTTATTGAAATCTTTCCCGAAACGCCGACCAAGCTCCACGTATTCAAAGCACTCCACGATTGACACAAGTGTTATAGGAAGTGAAGTCGTAAGTGACACGGCTCCGAAGGCTGCTCCAACTGAGTTATCCATTCGATCAATTCACTTGTTTTGAAAGTTTCGTAGTATAATATGAGAATTATGTCAGACTAAACGTTAAGATCAAGGAGATGAGTCGGGAGAAGTTAATTGTGCACTGTCATTGAATATAAAGAGGCAGTAGATACTAATTACCTTACAGCATGAAAAATCGTAGGAATCTGCCATGTGGTCTGAGTTATATAGGAAATTAAGTGGGTACCCAATAAAGGCCTGACCATGCGACCAATTGAAGTCGTAGCCTTGCGAAACGTATCATCATATAACCAGTAATTGGGCTGGTTATACAGCCCCATGTGGCTTGAGGGGAACTGCCTATCAAATTTAGCCACGACACATGCGTGTATAGGTATGCATGCCTAATAAACCCATCAGGCTGGGGAGGGTCGAGGCAGACCAGTGGGGAGGACTGACTATAAATCGATACGTGATTGCTCATTCTATAATATTATTACACTTACCTCAATTTCTGTAAAAATTACCCTAACCTCATCTCTTCATGCCCAGTCGAAGAACTTTAATGTTTTTTTAACTAGAGATGGCGTCGAACGGAGAGTCGAGCGGCCAAGGAAATGCATACGGCCACACCACAAATTATGGCACGTCCCACCAAGGGAACATATATAATATCTATTCAACTAACGAGACATCCAAAAGTTTGTTTAACCATATTATTCTTTGTTTTAATATTAATGCCATTTACACACTAACAAACGGGAAAACAGTCCATTGCCGAGACAAACTGCTGCTCACTGATCCATTGACCCATAGAGAGACTCTCAAAATGGAAAAGGGAAGAAGAGCTCCCGGAACTTGCGAGTGGATCAGAGAGAATGAAGCATATAAATCTTGGCTTGACGGTGATGAGAAGTGCCTGTGGATCCATGGTGGCCCTGGAAAAGGTAAAACAATGCTTTCTATTTTCTTGACGGAAGAACTTGAAAGCAAAGAAATAACTTTATTATTTTTCTTTTGTATTAATGGAGATAAAAATCGAAATAATGCGATTTCCGTTCTAAGAGGACTGGTATACCAACTTCTTACTAAGCATCTAAATTTATTAAAATATATTTCGTCATATTTCGAAACGGAAAAGATAGCTGAAAATACATTATCATCGCCGGTTGCTCTCTGGTCAATGTTCAAGACCCTACTACAAAGCCCAGAGCTCGGCGCCGTCTTTTGTGTACTCGACGGGCTTGATGAGTGCGATGAAAATTCCCTGGAGAACCTGAGCAGGCAGTTCCGTGACTTTTATTTTCCATCGGATCACAAAAGACACATTGCTCAAAATTTGAAGTTGGCGATTGTGAGCCGAAAAATCAATGGGCTACAGGGCTTTCGCCAGATTCGATTGGATCCTGACAATAATAACTGCATAAATGAAGATATCAAACAGTTCATCTCCGCCAGTGTGCAAGAGCTGTCACGGCTGCCAGGCTTTAACGATGGCTTCCGCAAGAATATAGAGAAAACTCTGTTGAGTCGGTCTGAAGGCACCTTTCTATGGATAGGTTTCGTCATGTGCGAGCTCTTAAGGTGCATAACGTGCACAGAGGTGACTGGCGTTCTCAATGTTCTTCCGAGTGGACTTCCTGCCATGTACGGCCGGATGTTGAAGCAGATTAAGAGCAGTCAACGACGCCTTTTATCCTCGATCTTAATTTGCGTCACAATGGCCCTTCGCCCAATGAAATTGGAGGAATTAAAGACAGCTGTATCCCTCTTGAGCGACACATCGATTTCCAGCAATCATGTCATGCGTGATCATATCATATCTTGTGGACCTATCCTCCAGACTTATGATGGACAAGTTAGCCTTGTTCATCAATCAGCGAGGGACTACTTGTTACGGGAGGATGTTGATGACGATCCAATACTCGAGGAGTTTCGGATCAAAGCGGAAGAAGCGCATGCTAATCTGGCAAAAATATGCCTTGATTACATTGAAAAGAGCGACTTCCGCCATCAATCTCTGAATATTGGGGATCCAGATGCATCAATTTTGCAGAAATGGCCTCTATTACAGTACGCAGCAATGTACTGGCCCGAACATGCAAGGCGGTCTTTGTATGCAGACGAGGATGCGATCCTCTCTCGGCCTTTCTTCCAGAACGAATGTACTGTGCGGGATCAGTGGTGGCAGTCCTACCGAGAGACTCTCATATGGGAACGCCCCTCCGCTGCCTTACCTTTGTTGCACATGGCTTCTTATTTCGGGATCGATTCATTGGCTCGGAAGCTGCTTGAGACGAAGACTTGGTATTCATATTGGTTTCGAAGACGTGTCATAAATCAAAAGGATGAGGATGGCGTTACGGCGCTAGAGTGGGCTGCCGGCAATGGCCACAAAGCCGTCGTGCAGACACTCCTCGCAAACGGCGCTGATGTTAACGAACCGGATGAATATGGTTGCAGGTCTAATGCGCTTGACTCTGCTGCCGGCAGAGGCTACGAAGCTATTGTGCAGCTGCTGCTTGCAAACGGTGCTAATGCCAACACGAGAGATCATCATGGCGATACAGTGCTAATATTGGCTACTGAATTTGACCACGAAGCTGTTGTGCGGCTGCTAATTACATACGGCGCTGATGTTAATACAGATAATAATTGGGGAGGCGAAACAGCGCTAATCATGGCTGCCCGCCGTGGCAGTGAGGCTGTTGTGCAGCTGTTGCTTGCGAACGGCGCTGATGCTAATATCCCGGATAGAGGTGGCTATACTGCTCTAAGCAAGGCTGCTGGTTGTAACAAGGAAGCCATTGTGCAGCTACTGCTTACACACGGCGCTGATGTTAATACAAAAGATAAACATGGTTATACAGCGCTACGCAACGCTGCCTACAAAGGCCATGAAGCTGTTGTGAAGCGGCTACTCACACACGGCGCTGATGTTAATATAAAAGATAAACATGGTTATACAGCGCTTTCCTCCGCTGCTGGCAACGGTCACGAAGCTGTTGTGCGGCTGCTGCTCGCACATGGCGCTATTTCGGATGGAAAAGAGATTTAACGACATAAGGCTGAATACCTGTAGCTAGGATTGGGATTGAATTTTAATGAGCCTGCTGCCTGAGAGCGACGATGAGGCCCATGTGTAGAAGACTAATTAATTGTACGGAGTATTTGAGGCGAATGCTTAGGTGCCTTTTGCTAATTTTTTTGACCGGGCTAATTAGGCCATATTTGGGAGAGATACGATCAATATTGTTGTAAACCTGTCTTCATGTAGCAGTTATGTGCCCTTTGTAGCTCGAAGCTTGCTGGAGATAAGAATATGTTCCATTCCTTTCACATCATAAATCTACTCCCAAAGATCACCCAAGCCGACGAGTCTCAACTTTATCACTCCAACCTTGCTTATAGTACTAGTCGTCTTTACACATAAGTCCATGTATCCAGCCTTTTCCAATAACAATGTAGTGCTCGCCTTGCTTTCGCAAATACCATGGGTTTCCAGAACTAGCGAGAATAGCAACTACATCGCCAACCTCTACTCCAGGAAGCCCAGTTCCGAAAAATCCGTTTTCTGTGACAATAAACTGTTTGGCTACCCCCACTTCGGTGGAGCTCCATACGGGATCATTCTCCTGCTTGAATGCTTCTCCAATAACTTCCATGGGTATGTGTTTTAACAGTCTCTGAGGAAGTGGGTACGCTTTTCCCCCTTGCCTATATTTCTCTCTCATATCAGCAATCAGTGGTCCCAATATCGACCGAAGCTTGAGACGGTGTCGACAAAGAGCGTTGAATAGATTGGCCGTCACACTCAATGTGGTGTCGCTTAGATGTATTGTTCGTCTGCCAACCTTGGCGTCTCCCCATACATAAGACAGCGCCCTATAAGGGCCTGGGTTTTCCAGAGAGACAGGTTGCAGCTGGATCTTGATGGGATCGGGACCACTTCCAGGTAATAGCTTCAGTAGTCGGATGCAGCGAGGGGCAAGAGTCTGATATACAGACGCGCCAGATCTGGCCTCTTTGCTAGGTGAGGATATCGAAGCGCCTTTGTCTTCATTGACACCCAGAGTATTTTTGGCGTTTTTGAAAGACATATTATACGTTTAGCGATAGGAGTCGACACAACAACTTGCTTGTTTGTTGCAATATTGTACTACAGCATATATATATATATATATCTAATCAGTGCTAAGAGGGGAAGACCTCAAAAGATGCCTGTTTAGGAGCCAAGGCAGATTTACTATCAAGTCGAGTCTGTGCTCTTTTGTGGTTAGATGCATGCATGATGCGCTGCACCCCAAGTTGAGAAAAGACTAGCTTCATTGCAATATGGCTCTTGGCATCGATACTTGTATCTCAAGCTAATGGCGAGGCTCCAGGCTGGCTGAATTCATACATCCCGTTCTTCTGGCCTGGGGTTTGCTTGATACGAATATGATCTCCCTTAAGAGCTACTTTGCACATACCACGTTATATAATGCTCCACTACTCGAAGCACTCTTCCGCCTTCACATTGACAAATAAAAGGTATCTACCTCCATCTATAGCTAAAAGCTTCCATGTCCCCTCTTCAAATGAAAGTTCTACAACTATTCCTCTTCAAAACTCCTTAAACGCCTCAAAACCGTGGATCATCTACGCCACGCAGCGTCTTCATCGTAGCATATCGCCGCATGACCTGTCCATAATACGCACGTGTTCATTTATTCTTCTCGTAGCCTCAAAATTTTATACAACAAGGTTTCGGTCCTCTTGTGGAGTGCACTATTCAAACTTGAGAATTATTTTTTTCCAAACCCCCCTCGTTTGCGTCATACGATGGGTACTTGGACTTCTATATGAACCTGCTCGGCGCAATATCCCTGAGCACTCTGAAAATTTACTTGCAAGATATTCGCTTGAAGTGGTAACTTTATTCAGTGTCTAAACGGTAAGTGGATGACGTTGTAATGCAGAACTATTGCGCAGCCGCCATTGCGATAGCATCCAGTTAAGTGTTCCCATCCAAGATAGACTTTGGCTGCAATGACAGAGTGTCCTATGCAAGCATTGTCTGTCTTTGTCCTCGTCACTATAAAGCGAGGCATCGATCCTCTCTTCTGCCATTTCTTTCTTCCTCCTACACATCATCATCATTCCTCTTACCGCGCCGGTCCTCGGAAAGGTTCAAAGCTACAAACAATACTACTTTGTCAGCTCTATCACCAACCTTGGTTTGTTTAATACCACGAAATAAACAATATGAAGGTCTTCTTCGCTCTGGTCCCTGCATTTGCCTTATTGGCATCTGCAGCCCCCTTCTCTGGCAACACCAACGTCACTTCCCTTAAAGAAGAAGACGCGTCATTCGAATACCTCGCGGGCAACACCACCACTCCCGGTGTGGAAACCTTGCCCAGCTGTGCCATCCCCTGCGTGCAGATCGCCGTCAACTCTGCGTCCGATTGCGAACTCACGGATGTTCCTTGCCTGTGCAAGAACCGCGCAAAGATTGCAAAGGCAGCCAAGGATTGCCTCGTCAGTACCTGTGGCGCCAAAAAGACCTTGAGTACGTATATCCCTATTCGTTCCTTGTCAGATACGCGGAGTTAATAATTTGTGTAGAAAAGGTGAAGCCTCAGGTACAAGCTCTCTGCAAAGGAGAAGATGAAAAAGAGAAGAAGAGGCTGAAGGAAGAGAAGGAAAAGGCAAAGGAACTAGAAAAGGCCAGAAAAAAGGCTGAGAAGGAACAAAAAGAAGCCGAGAAAAAGCAAAAGGAAGAAGAGAAGAAGAGATTGAAAGAGGAGAAGAAGAAACAGAAAGAAAAGGAAAAGGAGGAGAAGAAGAAGCAAAAGGAGGAAGAGAAGAAGAAGGAGGATGAGCAAAAAGCGTGGGAAGAGCTTCAAAGAAAGGAAAAGGAGAGGTTGAGGAAGGAAAAAGAGGATGCCATGACCCCGGAAGAGAAGAAGGCGGCGTGGGAAAAGAAGAAAGGGGCGATTATCCAAGGCCTCACTACCATCCTCAGAAAGCCCGAGTTTGCCAAGTTTCACGGCCATGGCGGATGAAGAGGCTGACGTATGAATATGTGGAGGATACTCATCTACGGCGCCGCTACTACTTACACGGGCTCTTTATTGTCTTGTGATCTTTTTTGGGAGTGCTATGATTTGGAGTTTGTAGTAAATGGATACCTGGTGAAGAGGGAAGTGGTGGAATTAATTGTACCCTTTACATAGTTTCTTCTTCTTTCTTTTTTTGGGGGGGTTTCTTTTTTCTTTTTTCGAATAATCCCAAAAAAGTCTTGACCTGATATTACCGTTCTCTGATCACCTTTAAGGTTTGCTTTCTTGAAACACAGCTATGTGAGAGTCCCCCAAAATACTACAGAATAGGAGGTATCTACTAGGATAGGTATGGCTGACCAAGTTCATACAATGAAACAAACTCGATAAAGGCGGAGAAACTAGATGTAATAGACAAACTCAATCTTGCTCCTGATACTCCATACACTAGTCCACAGAATCTCCCCCAAGTGGAATCCATCTGATAAAATTTTATGAACTTCTTAAAATGGAGGGTAAGTTCGCGAGACCCATCTCCCCGCCAGGGGAAAGCAGTGAAGAGAATATACAAGCCATTCCACAAAGGATATCTATCAACTGCTCCATACTTGAGGCAGCCTTGTTGCCTCTCGCTCGTATGGAGAGTTTTCTTCTGGTAGCATAGGCCCGAATGTGCCAGCCTCAAACTTTATCAACCAATTCCAACATTTGTACCATTATGTGTAGCCTAAGGGCAGCGTTGCCCTCTATCTGGGTATACTATCCATCCTCGCAAATATAGCGAAGAATAACAAAAAAGAGACAAAGAATAGAAAGAAGGAAAGGAGAGCAATATCCGAAGCCGTCACATCCACATTAAGGCCTCATCCTCTCTTTCAAAAATACGCACATATCCATCAATCCGCTTTTCTTCTTCTGCTTCTGCCCGAATCACACGTCGTTCGGGCATTCGCTCCGCACCTATTTTTTCGCAACTCAGTTTCCAAATGTGGCCACCTCCTCATCCCACTGTCCGGTAGAAAGTTTCCTAGGCCTTCTCCCATCCAGCCGGGCCTTCAGCCTCATACACTCCCCTCTTCGAGAGGACGCGTCCGAGACCTCGGTGGATCTCAGCTTGGAACGGCTCGAATGGGATGCGCTCTCCGTCGATGCTGATGTATCCGCTCTCCTGGTTTCGTGGAGTGATACGATACGCCGATATCTTCTTGTAGGTGACATGGGGGTTGTCGAAGAATTTACCTGATTCAACGGCGAGAAGAGCCTTGGTGACGGCCACGGGTGAGATGTCCGCGGGTATCATGACCAGGTCCATAAGGCCGTCCGTAGGCACAGCAGCAGTGAAGAAATTGGCGTCGGGCGACATGTACGCCATCTATTCCATTATGTTAGCCAAGTGTCTTCACTCCTGGGGACACCTCTCTTTCGCAGACTTACGTTTCCGACATAGAATGTTCCGATATTGTCATACGGCGCCGTCTCCCAGTCTCCTGGAAGCTCGTCTTGGACCGTTCCGTACTTCAACTTGGGCAAGCCCTCTTCCCCATTCGCCGCAGCTTCAACATCCACATTCAAAAGAGTGGAATCAGAAGCATATTTCTTGTAGTGCTGCTTAATCATCTCCTTGCCTTCGATTTCCAGCTTGACAGACAAGTCAAATGGATACGACTTCTTCTTGAAAACGCGCGTCGCAAGGCCGACCTCGAAGCGCGTGTTGCCCATCCACCGCAGATTTTCTGTGCCCAGGTCACTCTCGGCAATGATTCCCAAAGACTGAGACAGGAACGAGAGGATGCGTCGATCGCCCTGTGTAATGGACACAAGATCCAATGGCATCACCACGCCCTTTACAACTGCTAGTGCTGACAGTCCAGCATCATTGGTACCGTTGCAGTTCAACGAGAAAGCATTGCCAGATCCGCAAGGGATATGGCTCACAGCAATCTTGGCTAACGCTTTCGCAGCATCAGGTCTTCTTCCGAGTCCGTTGAAGATTTCGTATGGCGTTCCATCTCCCGACAGTGCCATAATGGTATCATACTTTTCAATGTCCGCCTTCTCCGAAAGCTCCGTAGCCTCTCCACCTCTGCTCAGGTTCACCACATCCAACTCCATCCTGGCAGCCTCAAAAATTGGCTTGACATGCTTCTTCCACTTGCCCACCGCTCCTCCAGGACCTGAATTGGGATTGATGAGCACGTACGCGCGCTTTCGAGGCTTTGCTCCGCCATAGGCAGCCGCAATGAGTGCCAACACAAACGACTGAGGTGTCGGGCCGCCAGTCTCTGTTTCTGGGGTCGGGAGTGCAAACGTCCACTTTTGCAGCTTCAGTGACGACTTCCGTGGTGCCGCGTAATCCACTACCAGAGAATCGCCGCTCAATTCGGCCCATAGAACATTATACAGCGGGATCGTGTGTTTCCCCTTGCCATCTGCAGCTCCGAGTGGTAAGCAATTGAAGCAGGAGAGGTCGTCGAGGAGCTGCTTGCCGGAAGAGGCCTTGCCATTGGATGACTTGTTGCGTTTCTTTCCATCGGGATCTGTTTGGATTAATCGTCAGACTGACATCTTAGGTAGAACCACAGCATCTTCTTGTTTTCATACCAAACAGAACGAGGTCCTTCTCGCCAATCGTCAACGTCTTGTTGCCCCCCAACCCTAGGCGCATTCCAATTGCTTCAGAGGCCGCCATCGTCTTTGCGCCGTTTTCCATATCTGCAAGTCGTACGGGGTCCGTCATTGAAGAATACGGGGTTACGAGCTTCGGTGGCCGAGGCACCCGAGCGTCCGCGTGGGAAATGAAATTGAAGCAAAGACGGCTCGCTTAGCGAACTTTGTTCAAACAAGGAGCGAATCCTACAGCAACGCCAGAACGAAACAGAGGAGAAAAAGAGAAACGGCCGAGGGGGAAGAGAAAAGATGACGAGTAAAAGATGATAATGTCAGCGAGCGTGAGATATTGGGCTAAGGAATGACAGAGGCAGTTGGCGAGCAAAAAGGGAGAAGCTTCAAGCCCCTTCTCACGCGTAAGATGGACTGGTGATGGAACATTAGTGACTTGTGACGGCCGCGGCACTTGGGCTAGCAGCTCCGATAAGGGATAAGGACCTGGATAAGGTACCTGGAGCAGGCACTAGCGGAATAGCTGCAGCGCTCCACAGGCCCCAGTCAGCCGCTATCCGGAGAAGCGCACCAAACATGGATCGCCAAGATGAATCCTGTCAGCATCGACACCTTTGTGCTTCTGACATTACTTGGAAGAATCGTGACCAACGGGTACTGGTAATTCATTTTATTTGTTGTAGGTAGTAGTGAGTACATCTTCAGTAACATTTTATTGTCTTTTGCCCAAGAGGGATCCAATACAAATTACTACCTAGGTAGGTAGTACTTAAAGCACCTAATCGTAGGTACACAGATCTCCACCATTCTGTAGCAAAACGCTCGGCTCAGCCCAAGGCCACCACTCACTCTCAACGCAAACGCAGTGAAACAAGTCGGATCTTCTTCCTTCATCCGTTCATCACTCAGCGTCTTCAACCTAACAAATGCCTACCAACTTTTATATAATGCATCCGTCCCTCCCCCCCTCCAAAATAAAACTCCCCAGAGTAAACCATTTCCATCCATAGAGAGAGCTCGTCAACAGCCTCTCTACCAACAGATTTGCATGATGCGTAAATGCGAAGCGTATCCAGACCCCGTTATGTCAAAGCTCGCTTCCAAGCCAGTGCCATTCTTCTCCTTCTTCTCCTTCAAAAAAGGGTCTCTATCAGATTACCAACCTGTAAACACCACGTTCTGAACCTTCACCAATTCTCCCTATTTTATCCACTATTGTTCAGATAATCTACTCGGATAGTCTTGAAACATTGGGCCACTTGGCCAGCGCGGCCGTTCTGAACGCGTCCGTTTCTTTGCTTCTCCAGGTCTTGAGAGTTTCTAGGGCTGCCACGGCATCCGTGAATGTCGCACTGGCGTGCTCAATGAGGCTAGAAACCTCCTTCTCGCACTTCGCCAAGTCCACACCCAACAGTAGCCTGGCCTTGATGGCCGAGAGCACGTGAAGAGGGCTAGCCTGGTGCTTTGTCTGGAAGGCCTCGTTGTATTTGCTCAGATCCGCGGTCTCGTCGACAGGCTTGAACTCGGCCTTCAAGGTTTCGAGAACCTTGGGCGGGAGGTCTGACGGGGCGTTGTCTAGCAGCTTTCGGAAGGCGACGACCTGTTCGTGCACCCTTGGGTTCTCGGCATCGATTCCTAGAGCTCGGTTTAGGCACTGCAGCGCAAGGACATATTTACCTAGAAACAGCATGTTAGCATCCTTTACTCAAAACATTCCCACTTCAAAGACAGGCTCTGCTTACTTCGGCGCATGTAAACCTCAAATCCAGCAATCTGGGCCTCGATGCTCTTCGGGCTCACTTGCAGCATTGGTCCTAGGAACTTCATTGCCTCGCCGAGGGGATCTGTCGTTGCCGCCAAAGTCAAGCCAAGAGGGTCTTCGTCCTTCTTCTTGACTTCGCCTGTGTGGGTGTGGCCGCCCTTGTTGGGATCTTGCTTAGCCTGTCTCTCCGCCTCTTCTCTCTCGAGACGCTGCTGCTCCTTCCTGGCCTTCTTGGCCGCCTTCTTCTTCTCGAGGGCATCCGCTTCATCTGCCCCATTGGTTCCGTTGGCCGAGGGCTTTTCTGCCATTTTGAGATAAAGGTTGACAGCATCAAGGGCCACTCTCGTGTAGACCGGGTGGTCCCGGAAATGGTCCTCCCAACGAACCATGTCGATGTAAGCTCGGATTTGTCCCTTTCTCAGCGAAAAGCTGTGGAAATCGAACTGATCATCCTGCCATACCTCAAAGATGTTGTTCAGAGCGTGGAATCGCTTCAAAGCAAGGCCAGTGTTTCCCTGTCTAGCATAGGCCTCTCCATCTTCCGTCAAGAACCAAATGCATTGCATTTCCAGAAGGTCCGCAAGAGGGCCACCGACGGTCTCTGCTCGCGTGAACAAACCAACAGTCTTGAGAGCCTTCTCGTTCTCGTTATTTCGCAGCTGATATTTGGCACACTTGCTGTTAATGTATCGATCCTTCGTATCAAGTTTCCGGGCCTGATTCATCATCTCTGCCGCCTCCTTGATGTTGCCCTCATGCTTCAATATCCTGGCCTTGGTCATGTGGAAATCGACACTCTTGGCGTCCTTTTCAATGGCACGATCAACGTACTCGTGAGCCTTTGCCAAATCGCGACTCATGTGGTAGTTGTAGTGCTGAGCCAGGTAGTACAGTGCAGCGGCCTCTCCTTTGTCTTTGCTCTCAGAGTCGACGTCTTGGGATGTGAGATACTTTTCGACAATCTCCCTCAGAGTATCCTTCTTGAACGAGTCAGAGTAAAGATGCTTCAAGTTGGCAAAAAGAGAGGGGACGCCCTTGTTCAGCACAAGGGTCAGGTAAGATTCCGCGACCTGTCGAAACTCATCACCTGCGAGAGTAAGTATGTTAGAAATAAATCCTTTCACTCAAAAGCCACCCAAAATCATGTTATTTGACCGGGACTTTGTTGCTTACCACTGAGGAAGTCGAGTGGGACCCGTCGAGCAATGTCACAGCGAGGGAACTTGGCAGCGTACTCGTCGTAAATGGCCTTTCGCGCGACCACATCGTCGGGAGAGAGCTCCATAGCCTCTTCCAGCTTCTCATAGTAAAGAGTGTGCTCCGAGTTACGGTCGATGAGAAGTCGGTAAGCCTTGACAGCGTCCTCCTTGCGACCCAGCTTGAGGAGGTAGTCGGCGCGGCATTCCAACACAGCCAGGCGATCCAAGTTGTGCTTAGCGCCAGTGTCCAGGTGGTCTAGGGCTCGTTGGTAATCACCCTGCTCGGCAATGATGGAGTTCTTGTACATGACGGCCTCGGAGTGCTCAATGTCGAATCGAGAAGGGGGGGATTTAAGCGTCTCCTCATATGTGGTGAGCACCTTCTCCGCTTCTGTTAGGCTTCCAGCCAGGTGGTGTGCAATAGCCAATGCCGTCCAGCTAGAACGCAGCTGTGGTCTGGCCTGGAGCATAGCTGTCCGGCTCTGGATGTATCCCTGGTAGTCTCGAACGTGCACCTGGAGAATGGCAAGGTCTCGCTGGATCTGGGCAGAGCTAGGATCCAGCTTGAGCGCGAACTTGTATGCCTTGATAGCCTCCTCAAAGTTCTTGACCGATCGATACAGGAGACCGTAGACGTGCCAGCAGATGTGAGATTTCATGTCCACTGTCAGGGCCTCCTTTGCCAGAGGGAAAGCCTCGTCTGACTTTCCCTGGCTGTTGAGAATCAACGCCTTCATGGCCATGGTGTCTCCATGCTTGGGGTGCTTCTTGAGGATCAGCTCGGCCGTCTTCAAGCCTCGCTTGTATTGCTTGTCCTCGAAGCTGCGGATGATGGTTCGGAACTGCGCCGCTTCTTTGGGCGCCAGTGGTTGGGGCATCGTGACGATTTTGCAAGCGGCAGCTCGTTGGAAATGCTCGATATGTGGGCGATGGCAGGTCCTGATGTCAATTCGCAATGCAGCCAATCAGGTAGCGACGGATGTTGTTTGTCGAGTCGAGGTGGGTTGCTCTGTCGCGTGGCTCGAGAATCAAGAGAATCAAGAGGACAAGTAGCCGCTCGCAAGTTGGCAATGCAAGAGAATGCCTCTTCCCAGGACTAGTAAAGACGTCGGATTTCGCCCCTCGTCAACAGCCGTCTCGAGCTTCGGTGCGCGGTCTCGTCAGAGTTGTACGGATGCCTGCAGTGTTGATTGGAGGCCAGAAATCGGCGCAGGAAGACTGGACGCTGCCGGCAGCACTTCGGAGTTGAGTCCCTCCACTTGAGCAAGGCCAAAAGCCCCCACCATCTCGAGGCTCCAAAATCCCAAGACAATAGACAGCTTTTGGCGGGGTAGCTGTGCTCTTGATTCGGAGGAAATTACCAGCTGCAGGTAGCCAGAAGCAATCAATTCGACCAGAATTCCAAGAGACGTTGCAAGGTCTTGACCTGGATGGAGCTGTTCATAGTGGACGAGGCACAAAGTATAAAATTGACTACTAGAATTAATATACAAAAGGTAACTCTGAGTAAATACCTGGTACTAATGGCAAGAGGGGGTTCGTGTTATATTATTGTACAGAGTGCACATTGTCCTATTGGTGCACTTTTCCATGTATATACAAGATTGGCGTCTATATTCCAATCCATACCTTCGTTTTACATTCAAAATCGTACATGTGCATGCTACATCGTCAGTGGAGGTTCTCATCACACCCCTTGTCATGATGCCCGGCGGTCATCGCTTTGGCTGAGCTTCTGTGTTGCCTCCCAATTGCTCATGGCATCTTGCCAGCTCTGGCCAGAGCCACCACATCTGCCCTGTATGACTTCCCAAGTTCTGCTACGCACAATGTTCTCTACAGCTCGTTCCTGTCGCATTAGGAGGGCGAGGGACTGGGTACGAGCTTCTCGGGGAAAGAAACGTCCGGAATACGGATCCAGTCTTTCGTCGACAATCCGCTCGCGATCTCGCTGCTTCTCCAGTTCTAAAATGGTAGCCTCCGGATCATCGGGGTCCGGGCTAGTGGCAACGATGCCACAATAGCTGAGCACTTCGGCTCTAGCCTTCCACGAAGGGAACAAGACTTTCTCTTTGAACGACTGGCATGCTTCGGCGTCGATCGGCTCGGCAAATGATCGCGGGGTACGTTTCGAAGTTGAGCCAGGATCGAAACCCGTCCGAGCCGGTGTTACCAGAGCATTGAGATTCTGGGTAATGGAGTCGTCTATTGATGATCGAGACAGCCGCAGGAAATCTGGACAGTGAGAGTAAGCGCAATGTCGGACCATACCGCAACCCCGAGGGGCAACAAACCACGAAGCGTGCCAAACGAGAAGCAGAACTGGGGTGAAAGACGAGGCTGTCCGGGAGGCTGCGACATTATGGGCTCCGGCCTATTGGGGCCACCCACAGCTTCCGCTGTTGGAGTGGCGCCTTTCCACAGGATTCCCGCCACTATGTGGGAAATGAATAGAACGACCTAGGCAAAGCGTTTCAGGCGGTGACGCGGCTCGCTGGGCTGTGCGTCGTCGCAGATGTCACAGATATGGAGAGGCTCGGCGAGTTGATGGAGTGACGCGAGCATCTGGGAAGGCGGATGACATGATGGGGCCAAAAGTTGAGAGACGGCGCCGTGCCGGAACAACAGGGGCGATTTTCGGACCAACGTAGACCCGCCAGGGAGGGCTGCTGGGGTGCTCTCAGGTACTGTACATACTTGGATTAAAGATTTGGCCCGACATCATCGAATAAGGGAATGTCTGTGTTCGATGTGATTATAGTTATTCATGTGATTCTTCGAGTGTGATCGACACAATACAGCTCACTTTACGGCCTGTCCCAGCTGAGTCTCCAGAATAGCTGAGACAAGCTCACGCGAGCACCCGGGTACTAAGTTACTAAGGCAGACTAGCACAAAGTCCCAAGTTGAGGTTACCTTGAAGTCTCAGAGTGCAGGGTGGAATTGGAATAGCATCCATGAATCACTATCTATCAATAAAGCTGCCTTGATATGAAATCACGCTAGATTGGTGTTTCAGCCGGCTTCTGCTGTGAATGTCATGAGATGTCCGGAACTGCGACCGAGTCCGCAAATTGTTGGCGCAGCTTTGGGAATCTTTGTAGGAACAGGGGGTTGGTTGCTGTGAAATCATTATGTCCCGTCCATCTTCTGCTTGCACACCAGGTCCTACGCTAAACCAATGCTAATTTGACAGAGAGGCAGCCTCAACAGCGAACCAACGGGTCGGTCCTTGGCATAATTCCCAATAAGCATCTCACCTCCCTCAGGGGTCTTTATCACATTGATCCATTTCACACAACAGAATCCATGCAGGAATACTACAGTACCTACGGAGTACATGTACGAGTAATCAACAGCCCGGAATCCGGAGCCCTCCTGGGATGGAGTCGCAGCTTAGCACCACTGAGAGTCCAGCCCTGGGAGAGCTGACAACATCCATCCATCCAGTAATACAATGCTGCACTCCAAGCTCGTACTCGTATTCCGCCAGCCCTGCACAGCTCGCACCTTAGGGCCCTAAACCCGCCCAATCGCGGGCTGCTCCAGCGCTGCCCTTGCCTGCTGCGGTACGCACCCCACACGGCACGCACCCAGTCCGGTACATCGATCTCCCCTGATGACGATGGAGGCTTGTCGCGTGGCCAAAGTCAGTGACGTGCTGAAGGGCATTTCCAGGGCATTTTGCCGCTTGTGCTTCCAGTGAATGTCCTGCTGGACGGTGCCTTGCATCGCCTACACGCTCCCCAATGGAGAAATCAAGGTGCTTCTCAAACGCCCGCATCCCTGCTTTTCCCACCAAGATTAATTCCATATTGCGTACATGCATGTACATCCTCCGTAGCCACAGCAAACCTGCTGCATGAACAGCATCTCGACTGTCAACCAAAAATACAACGTACCCCATCACTTGCTAGTCCCAAAACAGGCCTGCACACACCCGGATTGTGGGCTTGCCTCCTTTAATTATTAGAACCCCAACGAGCTCATCTCAAAACCTTTGAGACAAAGTCCGCATTCCTCTTCTCCCTTCTGGCTGCCTCTTTTGATCTTTCATCTCTTTATTGTAATCTTCCTCTTGGTACCGCTACCAGTATTTTATCCTTTTAGTCGCCCATCATCAACTCCGCCTAGCGCTCAACTAGGTAGCTTTCCGCTTCTTAGCCAACAACGCCGAAAACCCCACGCCGCACCGTTAATAGGCATCGTCTTTCGACTGCTCTCCTCCGGCTTCTTCTCATCCTCACGACACCAACGATAAATCAACACTAGATCCAAGATGGCGGAAGCACAAGCAAACAGCGGCAGCTGGTCGGCCTTCCTCAAGGTAACTACCAACCCTCTATCGCACCGTCAATTGCACTGAAAGCCCCCGGCTAACCGTCGAAACCTGCAGTCCATCGCCTCCTTCAATGGCGATCTCTCCTCCCTGACCGCCCCTCCCTTCATCCTCTCGTCGCAGTCCCTCACCGAGTTCTCCTCCTACTGGGCTACGCACCCGCCCATCCTCATTGCCGCCGCAGCTGAGGCCGATCCCGCAAAGCGTGCCATGCTGGTCCTCAAGTGGTTCCTCTCCACCCTCAAGCACCAGTACGCCAGCCGCAGCGAGCAGTTTGGCAACGAGAAGAAGCCCCTGAACCCCTTCCTCGGCGAGCTCTTCCTGGGCAGCTGGAACGACGAGGCCGGCAAGACGACGCTCATCTCCGAGCAGGTCAGTCACCACCCGCCCGCGACGGCTTACTGCGTGCGAAACGAGAAGACGGGCATTCAGCTCGAGGGCTACAATGCTCAAAAGGCCACCTTCAAGAGCACCATCATTGTCAAGCAGATTGGCCACGCCGTGCTCACCATCCCCATCGGCTCCGGAGAGGACAAGGAGCTGGAGCGCTACCTCATCACACTGCCCTCCCTCCACATCGAGGGCCTCATTTTCGGCGCCCCCTTTGTCGAGCTTGACGGCTCAAGTACCATTGTTAGCTCCAGCGGCTTCTCTGCCAAGATTGACTACAGCGGAAAGGGCTGGCTGTCTGGTAAGAAGAACACGGTCATTGCCTCCGTCTTCCCCACCGGCGACGAGAAGGACGTCCTCTACAACGTGACCGGCCAGTGGACCAAGGAATTCGAAATCTACCAGGGCCCCGCCAAGAAGAACTCAAAGTCCACGCTGGTGTCCACGTACGACGCCGCCGGCACCGAGCAGACCAAGCTCGCCCTCGCAGACCTCGACAAGCAGCACCCCCTCGAGTCCCGCCGCGCCTGGAGCAAGGTCGCCGAGGCCATCCAAAAGGGCGACATGGACTCCGTCTCCATCGAGAAGACCAAGATCGAGCAGGCCCAGCGCAACCAGCGCTCCAAGGAGACCGCCGAGGGCCAGCCCTGGGAGCGGAGGTACTTCAACGCCGTCACAGAGGACGAGACCCTTGCGCTGCTGGGCAAGGCCGCCGGCGTGCCCCTGGACGGCGACAAGGACAAGACGGGCGGTCTGTGGAGATTCGATGCTGCCAAGGCGGCCAAGGCAGAGGCCGAGCAGCTCAACGACGAGCAGGTTGCGCAGATCGAGAAAGAGCTTCTGGGTCAGTAAAGCAGCTTACGAGCAAAGTACATTAGACGGCGCGTTTCGATTTCTATATATTCTATATATAAACAAAAACAGAGGGCATCAAAAGGGAAAAAAAAGCAATGCGAGGGTTAAATCAAGAACCGAGCTGACTTGGGCGAATATAACGGGACCTTTGGATGTGTTTGCGGCGTGCAGCGTACTTGGGAGGGGAAGGAATAAATCTTGGAAAGACGGGATTACACCAGAGGAATGATGGGTCACCAGCTACCTTTTTTTTGAGTACGCTACCTATGGTTTCACGGAGAGTAAACATTTTTAATGTAGAGATGAAGATTACTTTTTTTTTTTGCTCTTGGATTTTTTTAATCATTGAATTCTGTCAACTTTTTTTGGTATCATTTCTTTTTCCTTTTTTTCATCGTTTTGCTGACGAATAAAGCCAGTTCGCGGTGCCCCCTTTCCCTTCTGCGCATACCAATAGGTACGTAAGAGTATTCTAGAGGTTTAGGTAGGATCCTACAAAATATTTGGAAGCTTGTCTCTCAAAGCAATGTCCCATTGTGAAGCAAAGCGAACGACATTTAGAGCTGGCCAGCAGTGTTGAAGTCCTTGAGAGCCTCGGCGACACGCTTGGACATGGTCTTCTCACCCTCGCGGACCCAGACACGGGGCTATATGGCGGCAGTTAGTCATTAGGCTCGACATATTGTGTCACAGGTAGCAGTGATGGAAAACTTACGTCAAAGAACTTCTTGTTGGGCTTGTCATCACCATCGGGGTTGCCAATGGCAGTCAGGAGGTAGTCCTTCTTGTTGAGGACGTAGTCACGGATACCGGACAGGTAGGCGAACTGCATGTCGGTGTCCATGTTGACCTTGACGACACCGTGGCTGATGGCGTCGAGGTACTCCTGCTTGGAAGAGCCGGAGCCACCGTGGAAGACGAAGAAGACGGGCTTGTCCTCCTTGGCGCTGATGGCAGCCTTGACGTGGGCCTGGTGCTTGCCGAGCAGCTCGGGGTGCAGCTTGACGTTGCCGGGCTTGTAGACACCGTGGACGTTGCCGAAGCCAGCGGCAATGGAGAAGTAGGGGGAGATGGGGGAGAGGGTGTTGTAGATGTTGAGGATATCCTCGGGCTGAGTGTAGAGGGCGTTGTTGTCGACATCCTCGTTGTTGACACCGTCCTCCTCACCACCAGTGATGCCAATCTCCATCTCGAGCCACTGCTTCATGGGGGCAGCGCGCTTCAGGTACTTGGCGGTGGTCTCAATGTTCCAGTCAACGGGCTCCTCAGACAGATCAATCATGTGAGAAGAGAAGAGAGGCTCGCCGGTAGCCTTGAAGTAGGCCTCATCAGCAGTGAGCATGCCATCGAGCCAAGGCAGGAGCTTCTTGGCGCAGTGGTCGGTGTGGAGGACGACGGGAATGCCGTAGGCGGGGGCGATGGATCGGATGTAGTTGGCACCGGCGATGGCACCGGCGATGGAGGCAGCCTGGTCGGCGTTGTCGACACCCTGATTCCCAAGTTAGCAACTTCATCTTGGAGCACGCGCAAATCTAGAGGTCCAATGAGGTTTTTAAATTACCTTGCCGGCGAAGTAAGCAGCACCACCCTGGGACATCTGCAGGATGATGGGGGACTTGGCATCACGAGCGGCCTCAAGAGAAGCAACGACGGTGGAAGAGGAGGTGACGTTCTTGAAGGACACCTGATTAGCTGCAAAGCCACCTAATGGGGGAGAAAAAGAGGCTCATTTGTAAACTCACAATGGCGGGGATGGCAAACTTGTGCTCGCGAGCGTACTCGAACAGTCTCAGGACGTCATCGCCGACGATGACACCGGTCTTGCGGCTCAGGACTTCGGTAGCACCCATTTTTGCGAGGTTATGAAATAGATTGTGGTGAAGCAAATTCGTAGGAGAGTAGAGGAGATGGTTTCTGTAAAGTTGCGGGAGGACAGGTCAGCAACGGGGGCGTCCTAAATACGATTTCGTCTGTGAAACGCAGGAGGAGATAAAATGAGGTGAAAAAATAGAAAGCTAATGGAATTGCTGCATGGTAATTGCTACTCGTAAGAGCGCGGGGTTTTTCAAGCGCAAGGCTCAGCGTAATTGACCGACTGAGTTATCGATAATGAGGGCCAGGGAGGGGCAGCTCCGTTGACGGACGGGACGAGCTGAGAGATTTGCTCCAAATGCCGGACCTGACTGGCTCAACGGCTCGTCGATAGCGCAATCAGCGTGTCGCAGGTGGAGATGCCATTGGCTGTGGGAGGTTTGCGATATGCCTCGTGCGGTCGAGCATTCCAATTGATTGCAGTCTGCCCATTGCAATCGCCATTATCATCACCCGGTCGCTCTCTCGGTTTCGGTGATTTGCTCGTGTTGCCCCTATTCCGCATCTCCCAGCTTGGTCTCCATCATTCGATGTCCTGTCGCGCAACGAGATGCTCTGCCGATTTTGCAGCTGCTGAGAGACATCATGGTGGGGCTGATGCGCCCGATGGAGGGGCAACGTGGGATGTGTGAGGGGCAGGGAGAGGGCAGAAAACAGGGTAGAAAACAGGGGCGTCATGAGAGAGGCAGAGGCACTTACAGGGGCTGCCGTGATAAGCAATTGGGAGTCGTCAGTCGGGCGCAGGGGCGATGAAGGGAGAAGAAGGAGAAGAAGAAGAAGAAGAAGAGAAGAGGTTGGCGATGGCAGATCTGATGTAGATGTACTGTAGAAACTAAGAGGGGATGAGCGGGGCGCTGGTAATAGCTCCAAAGCGTGTGACCTCAGAGCTGCTCCTCTTTGCCGGCAGCTTCTTCCTGTCGTAGCCGAAGCTTCGGGGAGCGCAACGGAAACATGCGGGACGAGGCTGCTTATGGGGGGAAATGGCGGCGGTTTCATTGGTTTGTTGGAGTAACTCGTTGAAGAGTTTTAGAATTGGCATTTTGTGTCAATACAATACGTATTGTGTTAGTTTTTATTATTTATTTTGAACCTGAGCTCGCCAGGCTAAATAGATAGTTGCGTCTTCAATGACATTCATTCATACCTGTCACACATGCAAATCAGCACCAGACGCGTTCACCCCATGGAGCGCTCACTCCAATCCCTCTCCCCCCGTATTTTACTCCTACTCCGCATGTCATCGGGAGGCGATGCTACAAGCATACAAACAGCCATGACTGTGGATATTTGGGGAAGCCAAAACATTCCAAGATGGGGCCTGTCCGTCCCGATTTCTTCCAATGCAGGTACTTTTGACCCGTCCCGGAGCGGGAGGCCGGCCATTCGGAAGGGCAATGCTATAAAAGCAACCACATGGACGTGCCCACGGGGTGAAGTAATGCATACACCGCTTATTTAGATCAAGGCTTCCGGAAATTGGGGTTGATAATTTTTACATACTTGTACATAATGCTGATGCATTCCGCCCTCCGTCCTGACTGGATGAGTACAGCCTCGGCCAACGATTTTGCCCCCTGCAGTGGTTCTCTGCCGATGTTTCCCGCAGCTCCTTGGCGGTTGGGGTCAGCAAATACGAGCATGGTTGCCCGACTTGTGCATCGAATTGGGGTCACGGAGATGCCATGCGGAGGTAGTATCCAATGAGATACTATATGTGCTAATTACCTATCTTATGAGTGATGATGTGAAGGAGATTCAGGGTATGAGAATGTGTTCGTCCTGGGGAAATAGGTTTCTAGTTGGAACAACCTCAAGTTCCCATAATCAAAATTAGGCATTGATAAAGATAGAAATCATGGCATTTTATTATAAACGATTTCGACTTTTGCCACTTTTTCATCCAGACTTTACATTCTGTAAGTACATGTTTGGCTAAAGTATTGGAGCCTCGAGGCTGTTCCTGCTCTGGCAGCATCAAATTCAATACCTGATTAGATAAGCCCCACTGCCTGCAGCTTCCCTGGCGGGGAACTTCAGACGTCTTGTTTACTTGCACATTCCTCCTCATGGCCTGTTCCTTTTCTCTCAGTAAACACACGCCCATGTCCATCTCATAATGCCGCATAAAGGTGGCAGAAATCCATCGGGCCCGTGGGGTCGCCTCAAGCCCGTCGAGCAAGACCCTCTCGAAAGCATCGGGCTTCCATCCAAAGGCGACACCAGGTTAGACGATGGTCAACACGTGTGTGACCAAGGACGCATAATTAACCACCACGTGTTAGGTTATTGGATTTAAAGACGCAAGAGAACTACTATACCAAGATAGTAGAGCGCTACATGACGTTTTGCTCCGATGCAGGTCAGCGGGATGAACTGCTTCGGAGATTCTCGTCATTAGAAATCTCATCAAAAAGTCCAGATCCCACTCCCGCCAGCTCTCGAATGATTCTGCCCACAGTCGACCATGAAAAGCTTCAGAGCCCTGCCAACACCAAGGCTCTCTCCGATGTCATGGCTGCTCTAAGAAAACTCAGAGAGGGCATCGTTGCCACTAAGAGAGCTGATGATTTCGCAGTCCAGGCCTATCTTTTCTGCATTCGACTCTCCATATTAGTTAAGCATCCAGAATCCTATCATCCGGCCATTCTCCATCTGCTTCGTTCGATACACCCGCAGCAGCCTCTCACATCTGTCGAACTTCAAGAGGTAGTTGGCTATCTGGTGCTGGATACGGCTTGTCGACGCGGGGAGTTGGCAGAAGCCTTTGCACTGCGGCAGAGATACGAGCTAAAAGACTCCAAAGTAAACGCGGCATTGATGGCGTTGACGCACGACAACTATGTCGTGTTCCAGAAAGTGAAGAGGAGCGTAGACGGGCATCGGGCAAGGATAATGGAATGGGCCGAGGGCGATGTGAGGATGCACACGCTCAAATGCTTTGGGAAAAGCTACTTTTCCGTCGAATTGGACTTTTTGGAAAAGGCAACGGGGTCAAAGTGGTTAGACTTGAAGCAGACTGATGGGGTTGGCTGGGACCTTGAGGGAAGCAAGGTGGTGATTCGCAAGGTCAGGGCACGATGATGGCAGAGCACAAGGTGAAAAGAAATGGGAACCAGGGGAGGCCAATGTGCCCTGAAATCTGTCATTTTTCACTAAAAGCCCCTGGTGCCTTGCTGGAGATGCTTGTGAATTGGCATGTTTCTTTGGCACCTGGCAGCCAGCTGGCCCTCTCCGGAGTGCTTCGTCTGAAGCTCCGGCAAAGAGAGATTCACCCACCACCCACCGTTGGGGCCCCATTATCGACCATTCACTTTACCCTCGTAACGGGGTAGATAGAGATGGCCGCTTGAGGCCCGAAACATTCTAACCCAGGGTTAAATATCTCCAGGCGGTTAAGAATTCACTCAGGCACGCACCACAACTCCCACTCCCGCCAAGGCTCACGCCCACCACCAAAGAGGCAACGCACCTCTCCTACCTCGAACCGTTCCATCTCTCCCTCTCTATAGCAAATACAATTCGCGTCGATAGTATTTTTGGCCGCCTGCTTCTTGCTATGGCGCCGGCGAAAAAGAGAGCGAGAGCCGCGCAGTCAGATGATAGAACCACGTCGGTGCTTCTCGCCGATTATCGCACGGCCTGGCTCCTCGCGTATGTACCCATTTCCATGCTCCTTTTGGCATCGTTCAAATGATGCCGATAGTTTTGTGCCCATTATTTCTTTCTTCTCTCGTTATCTGTCTTCTCAATGGGCGGTTTTGTCACATGCCACGCTTTTCAACTATCAGCTGGAAACTAACTGGGGGGGAAACGCAGATCTGACGAGCCTTCAGTTGAAATCGTCTGCAAGAATGAAACATTCAAGGTCCACACGAGCGTCCTCAAGCAACACTCGGAATACTTTGAAACATGCCTGACCAAGCCATTCACCGAGTCTGATGGCGTGGTTCGCTTTGACGACATCGAGCCCCGATACATGGCCTTTTACCTGGGCGTGGCATACAGCTACTCATCCATCATGCCGCACACGCCGCCGGCCCCCTCTAAGAATCCCGAGGCCAAGGCGCTGCGCACGCCTCTCCGTGACTATATAGAGGTGTATAAGCTATGTGATCGGTTCCTGAGCGGCCACATGGGCGAATTTATTCTCAAGTGCATCAAGACGGGCATCGGTGATGGGCACCGCGCCTTGTTTCGCTCGTCTGTGGACAAGGACCAGCAGAAGGCGCTAATGAGAGACTTTGCGGATGGATACGAGGCGCTGGAGCCCGGCCATGCGGTGCAAAAGGAGCTGTCGCAGATCATCATTGATTATTTTGTCGAGGGCATCTCTTATGACGCTTGGGATGACTATATGGAAGAGGTCATGCACAGGCCCAAGTTTGTGGCGCAGGTCTCCAAGGGATTCGCGAGAAAGTTGGCAGAAGCCATGTCGGCGAGGTCCAAGATGAAGCGCAAAGAGCTTAGCGGCCCATGAGAAGCGATTTATCAGGAGAAGACGGAGATTGAGGAGAGAAATTTGCTAGCGATGAGGTGAAACGGTGAGCCTTGTGCATTTGCTGGGTTGCTCTCGACGTACTAACTGTGGAGGGGGAGTGAAGTCAGTCTGAGCGAAGTGAGGATATGAGGCGTCGATATTTGCGCTGGGGCCAGAAGAATTTCGTGCTTTCTAGACCCGGGGATGGCCAGCCTGATTGGAGGTGAATAACTAGGAGAACAGCATTGACCCTTTTTTTCCCTAGTCGCGACGGCCTACTGAGGATGGTGAAACATATACCTCAAGTGCTAAATTTGCGACGGATGGCGAATGCAGGCTGGGTTTTGTTTGGTATGTATGAGAAAAAGAAAATGTGAGAAAAATGAACTCGCATGAGAAAATACGAAAGTGAAGGCGAAAAGTGAGTGAAGTTGGCGATGAAGCCATCAATTCGCCCGCTGCCGCGGATCTGTATATGTCGATGTAGAATAATGCCAGCCACGAAAACTCCTTTCCCCCAGTCCCTTTCAGTCCATCAAACAAAAGAAATATAATAATGCCCGGCCAGTGTATATATGAAAACTCCCAGTCCCATGTATGCTCGCTCAAGGGCACCCCTTGGCTCTGATGCAAATCCCCCCCACCCGAATGCCTCGACGTATTTTGTGTATAACAAATTGATTTTCGTTTTTTGTTGTTGTTGTTGGTTTTTTTCTTTCCTCAGTGGTTACCTCTTCCCATACTCTGCAATGCCCTTCTCCAGATCCTCCAGGCTCTCGCGCCCGCCGTACATGCTGTCCATGATGCGCTGCCTCTCGAGGGAGTCGTTTTCGAGGGCCAGAGCAGTTGCGCGGCGCTGAGCGCGGGTGGTGTCGATGTAGGATTTGGAGGCGTAGCCGACGGCAGTGATTACGACGGCGGTTTTTAGCCTTTTGAACGAATTATTAATTAGCATGTTTTTTTTTATGTTTCTTATGTTTTTTTTGGTGGATTGTTTTGTTGTTTGTGTGTATTATGTGGTTGTATAGTAGAGCAAGGTAAATGAGAAGGCTTACCAGCGTCGGATCGGGGCTCGGCGCGGCGATGGGCGGAGATGTGGCAAAAAGGGCGGGTGCACTCTCGCCGCGGTTGAGAAGCCTCGAACAGTCGAGTTCATTTTGAAGAGGGGCTGTAGGGGTATATTCAAAAATGGAGACGGATGTATATTTGCAACAAGTTCTGTAGTGTTGGTATTATGTAGCGTTGTTATTTTGTTGTTGCTGTGGTTGCAGCTTTCTCGACAAGTTGGTGTGCAGAGAGAGAAGCTTCGTGTAAGAACGTCGGCTTTTGTTTTGTAGCTTCCCGCCACCACCAAGCTACCTAGAACTATATTAAAAGGGGGAACCAGTATGTAATAAGTGGTGGCTCAGCTTCTCTCCCATCAAGAAACCACAAAAAATCATGTGAGTGGTATTGACCCCCCCCCCCCCCCGGAACTAAAACTTGTGTCCATGGCTTAATTTCTCTTCCGTCACATTGGCATGGCATGTGCATTTTGGTGCCATACCGACATAATAGTAGAGCCACTGGTCGAACCACTTGCGCCGCTCTGGGAAATTAGCCGCGGCGTCCGATTCGACGGGAGAACGCGGGGAGGGTGGCCTCGATTGTGGGCGCTTGTGGGGTAAGGGAAGTTGCTTTTGCTTCTGGTCCGAGGTTATGAAGAGGGTTTGAGGCTGTTTCATTTGCGTGTTAATATACGGGCTGTGAATGGATGGGTTACATGGGCTGAGTCTTAGGTAGTCGTTGGAGAGGAGAGAGAGAGAGAGAGAGAGAGCAATACTACAGCAAGTCTGAGTACTATTAGTCGACAGCCTGCATGTATGTACATGATGCATCATGCATGTGTTGTCACACTTGTGTTTTACTGCACAGCAAAATCTCTCTCCCATCGGTACTTGCCCTTGTCCCGGTCTCGTCTGTCGGCAGAGGCGTCTATCTACTAATATCTGGCTTACTCTTACTCGATGTGGTTTCATACCGGCATCCTCATCGCCTGATTCCCCCTGGGCGGTGCGCCAACAATCGTGTGACCACCGCCGCAAATCCCTTTTTACCGCGTCCAAATATTTGCACATCATAGATTTCTTTTTTGCTATTTCCGCGCAACACTGATAACGAAAATTTTCACTGCTAAAACAATTATTTGAATAATGTTACTGTATTGTTAGGTATTGTAGGGCTCTCTGAATGCCGTCAATTACCGGCTCCCGGATTTTACCGTTCGCGTCACACAGACCACTGCAAACGGCTTCCTTTCTTCCCTTCGGCAAACCAAAGTTCCCTCCTCATAGCCGAGCATAGCCAGCAAAGACTGACACACGCACAAAAAAAAACTCACGATCCGCTAATACGCCTACTACAATCCAAAACACATCAATGCTGTGGCAACCCATCGTCTCCGTGCTTCTGCTGCTTCATGTCCCTCCATAACGGGCCTCTGGCTGCTGTTCCAACGCCACCAACGTATCCAACATCCTTGTCCAGATCCAGACCTTTGATCAGACCAATGGGCTTGGGCACCAGATCTGGAGTCTCTACTTCTGCCTTTCTATTCTTCTCTTCCTCATCCGTTTCGTCATCGTCTTCATGACTCGAGTCTCCCAGCAGCGGATACTTGTCTAGCCACTCCTGCCAGACCTCGTCGCACTGCTCACTACCTCGGCAAGACACCCTCTCGAAGCACTTCTCCCTGTCCAGCAGCCAGTAATGCAGAAGCACCGCTGAGAGCAGCTCGGCGACGATCCACGGCTCCCACGCCCAGCCTCGCCGCCGAGTATGTGTCTCATCGTGTCGTCGCCAGAGCTCAATCGTCAGCAGGAAGCGCATAGTGCAGCCCTCCTGTGTCCATGGCAGGGGCTTGTCTGTTTGTGTTTGGTCAGACTGTTGCGGAGGCTGTAGGGTGCGATGAACCACCATCTCTGTGTAATCGCCGTCTAATTTCCCCGGGTTCAACGTCTCGATAAGGCTGCGGAACTGGGGCATGGCCACCGAGAGCGATTCTCGTAAACGGGATTCTATTGTGAAGTTGAGGCCATTCTTTTGGCAGAGTGATCGAAAGTCAAGATATGCTGCTCTCACGGGTGGCGAAGCAGCAAAGGCCTCGATCGACTGCGCCTTGAGTATTACATCGCTCTGCTTCTCTATAGAGGGCCATATCCGAGTGGCTGCGAGATATGCAAAGTGCGTTTGAATATCCTTTACCGGAATGTCATCAACGCTTCGGTCCTTGTCACCAAGGAGGTAGTCGGGGAGATAGTAGCGGGTCGTCTTGAAGACGTTGCAGCAGCGCAGCAAACACTGCTCATTGCCGCATAGCTTCCGTGAGGGACGTGGCCGACCATGCGAATACTGCTCTTCCTGGCGTCGTCTCTCGTCTCGTTCTCGACGCCGTAGAGTTAGAGCCACTGGACTAGGAGGTGAAGAGGAGATGCGGTCGCTACTAGGTGGCGTGCTCATTGTGTAAGATGATACGCCAATAGGTAAGACTTCGGCCAGAAAGCCTATTGTAGACTTTGTATGCTGTTTCCACATACAAGTGAGGCTTCTCCTAGCTCACTTTATACTCTTGTAAAGAAACCGCCACACGCGGATAGATGTAGACATGGCGAGACCGCATCCGGCATATGCTGTACGGCGTGCGTGTTCGGCAACGGGAGAGCGCGCACAAACGCTCTGAATATGGGGTCGCAGCTGCAAACAAGACTCTGAGTCAAAAGGATGAAGCCGCTCGTTGTCTACTCTGAAGCTGGTGAATGCATGTAGTTGTAAAGAGGAAAAGATGTGAGGCGAGTAAGAGTCGAGACCAATGGCGTACTAAGACCGTCAAACAGGAACACCCGCTGAACTCTAAATTCTCATGGCGTTTGTTCAGTAACAAGAGGCTCTGCGAATTGCCGGTTTAGTAATTAGACATCCGAGGAAAAGATAAGTTTGTCTTGTTTGGCGTGATGTAGGACTTGACAATGTCCTACGAGATGCATTCACTGCATGGGTTGGTATGTATCCGTCACATATGAACAAGCACAGCGAACCATGTATTCAGCTTGGGTCCAAGAAGAGAGAGGAAAGAGGAAAAATAAAAGAGAAAGAGAAAAAAAAAATAGATTCACCACAAATATCCTCTACATTTACGGCTTCCACACAAACACTTGGACATATCCCCCGGATTCGCACTCCCCATCTCTCCTCCATCCTCCGTCACCCCATCGACATAATCAAACGTCAACTCCTCGCCACGAGGGATGTCGCGAATAGCAAACAGCGCGAGATCATGAATGTGCTTGTCGGCATGGTCGCCCACGCGCGCAAAGATGCGCAGATTCGGCTCGCACGAGTGGTTGATGAAGCGCGTCGGGCCCGACAGGAACTCGCCATCGACTTCCAGCGGCGGACCCTTGAGGCGCGGGTCCAGCGACTCCGGGTCGGTGAACTTGTCGAGCGCAAAAAGGTAGACGTCCTTGCGCTTGGAGATGGCCGAGGCGGCGCGGCGGCGGTCGGCTTCCGCTGAGGTGATGATTTCGCCGAGATAACGGTCGACGAACTGGCCCTTTTTGATGGCTACCTGGGTACGGACTCCTGATGCAAAGTTTAGCAGTCACGCTCAAAGAAACGCGTTGATGGATAACCATTCGACTCACCCCATCCCCTGTCGTCGGTGCGGAAGATTTGCAGCGGAATGGTTCGCCCGCGTTCAACCACTCTATTAGGGCAGTCTTTGGAGCATGAGCAGCCTGCGTGGCACTCGTACAGCGGCTCTTTGGAGTTGAGCATCTTGGACCGTAAAAGACCTGCTTTGGCCCCGTGCGTATGATAGGCGTAGGCTTTTCTCTTCACCTTGACCTTTTCCGGACGCCCTGCTTCTAGTCCATCTCCATTAGCTCCATTGGCGTAGATGTCGTCTTCATCGCTGCTGCTGCTCTCTTGGTCCTCTAAGTCGGCGAGGCACAGACACCCCATGTACTGGCACTCGCCGTCACTGGTACAGGAGCATCCGCTGCGGAAACTATCCTCAGCCGGCTCGACACCCTGGCCTAGCACCATGCGGTCAATGAAGCGGAAGTTGGGCGGAATGGCGGCCTGGTCATTGGAGTTGACGATGGTGACGGGGTTGTCATTATGGATGGGAAATGCGCGGAGCTGGCAGAAGTGGCAAGAGTCCTTTTCGGCAGCATGTTCCTGTCTCGTTCGTCAGTATGTGTGATGGGATTTTATATTGAAGTTGTCTTCTTTTTTAATGCTAGTACGAAGCTTACCGGCTGGTCATGGAAGAAAAAGTGCTGTCTTGTAATGCCCTCCATGGTTGTTGAGTTGTCTTGATCTTGTCTTCACTTGATAGATGCACGCTGCAGAATGTCTTGTTTGATCATGAAATGAAGGAGCTGGCCATTAGGCATGACCTCTGGCGTGCGGTGAGAGATGAATGCTGCTTTGGAGGTGTAAATGGACGCTAATACGAATGGAAAACTGACGCTATCATGGGCGCTGAATGGATATTCAAGGCATTGAATGAAGATGAAGACGCATTATCGAATGAAGGTGTGAGATGAACATAGCTAGAGGATGGATGCCCACAGATTGCCACAGCTCCGACCTAACCTGGAGCTCTCGGTGAGAGCCCAAGTACCTACCAATCCAAGGCCAAGGTGAGCGCGCAACGGGCTCGGTGACAAGGCCAAGGCAATCAGTGGAGCATTTTAGAATTGGATGGATTCTGTTTGGCGCTGCTCCACCTGCAGGGAGCTGAAGCTGTGGTGTTATGTTGTGCATGGCAATTACGCGCAGGTACAGATAGATGCTGTATTCGTACTGGATAATCTACCTTAGTGAATCTGGTGAATCTGTACCTGGTGGTAGAATGGATGGATGGGATGGATGCAGGTACTTACAGCAATACTAGATACTAAGCACCTATGATGATTCCATCCATATCTGCTGGACTGACTCGCTTGGTAGCGCCAAAACAAGCGTCAGTCCCTGTAATCGCAAATACGTCAACGCCGCACAATGGAAGCTTTTATTATGGACTTTGCGCCGCCACCAGAACGGATGGAAGCATCATCATCATCAGCCTCTCATCAATGGCTTGCGGTCCTGCTCCTTGATGCCTTGATGAATCAGCAGCTAATACGAAAAAGCCCAAGCCAGGCGCTGGAATCTGGCCGAGCAGCGCGCGCCATCTGCTGTTGCTTGTTGCTGTTGGCCCTGGGCGAAGCTTCAGTGGATGCCTTCAGTGGGTTTGCGGGGCGGGTCTCGCCTGGAGCTTCGCTGACAAACGGCCAAGTTGAGTGTCGATGCATCGATCTCATTTGTCGCATCGCCAGCACGTGTAAACGCAGATGCTGGCAGGCTCTTTCTCGTCTCTCTCTCTCTCTTCGTATTCCCCTGCATGTTATCCTCTTCTACAGAGTACGAATATTCTCTTCTCATCCAGGTCTATTGCATGGCCAATGCATCAATCAATCGCATAAGCTGCACAACTCCGCTGCGCATACTCATCGGCGTTATTTCTTCCAACACCTTGTTGTCTCTCTCTCTCTCACTCTCTCTCTCTTTATTCCCCCGAACCCCGGTCTCCTCCAAAACCTCAACACACTTCGGCTCGACATCCATCCCAAAAGCTTTTCCCCCACTGGCCCAAAAAGATAGCCTTTTTTCCTCACAGCCACACAGAGTTGCTTAGGGTGCGCGCCAGTCAGCTGCGCCGTTTCCCGACAAGCTCAACCGTCGTTTGTCCCGCAGTCCGCCCAGAACCAGAACCAGAACCAGAACCAAACCAAACCAAACCAAAACCAAACCAAAAGGCTTCAAAGAGGCTGAGGCTCCCGTTCAGACTCGCCCAGTCCTTTTGCTTTGGATTTTTCTTCTTCCTTTTTATTGTTATTTTTATCCTGGTCAACCTTGTGTGTCTGGCATCCGCAGCCAGATCTGGTATGGCGTTGGCCAGCTCTCCATCCACCCTCTCGTTGCGAAGCGTTGCGAGCTGAGACGCCACAAGCAAAGCTCAGCTACCCACCACACAAGCCGACATCATGGTGCGCAGATTCTCTTCTCCGTTTGCTTCCATTCATTGCAAGTATTAACAGCGGCGCTCTCCAGGGCTGCTGCTTCTCTCGTTCCGCGGGTCCAAACTCGCCCTATCCCGGAGGCGTTCCCGATGCCTCTTCTCGCGCCATCAACCCGCCGCCCTTGAGCTTGCCTGAGGGCATCATATCCAGCAACCCGCAAGCCGCTGCTCTGAGTCACCACCGCCGCCGCCGGGACCCGCGCCCTCTCGACCAGCACATCAACAGGCCGCTGCGCCGACACCAGTGGACCTCTACACAGCGAGTGTGGACTCGCCGCGACCTTGTCAAGGAGCGCGCCGAGTTCTTCGACACCAGAGTCGTCTGCCGGCCCGAGATCTGGCAGACGCTGCATGCCGCGCTGCAGGTGCTGTGGGAGTCCAACCCGGAGGATTCCCAGGACGAGGACAATGCTCTAGCTACGGCGCAGACCATTCTCACAGCTGCCGAGATCTCGCTCCCGACGGGCAATCTCGTCAACGGTGCGTACGACGCTCTGGGCAACTTGTATGCGCTGCCCGAATGGGTCGTGGCAGACCCGGAAAACCTAGCGGACGACAGAGACCCGGATGCCAAGGGCGACACATCGACGGCGGGCGAAGAAACTGCCGGGGAGGACGATGACGTTGACTCAGAGGAGGCCGAGAGGAGAAGGGAAGAAAAGGGCAAGGGAGTGCTGGATGAGCGGGAGATGGTTACTCTCCGTGCACGGCTGAGCGAGACGGGCCGGGACATCAAGGTCAACGTGGCCAAGACAGACAGCGTACGGACTGTCATTAAGAGGATTACAGAGCTGTCATCGGTAAGTTCTTGTTTTATCGTTCTTCTGATGGTTTGTGGAACTGGTCAACTAACTCCTCCATCTACAGCTTCCCTCAGACAAGAAAATCCGCCTGGCCTACATGGGCAAGATGCTCAAGGAGAACTCTTCCCTCGAGGCCCAGGGCTGGCACGTCGGCCACGTCATAAACGCCTTGGTCTTCAACCGATGACCCCTCCCTCCCCCTCTTCTTCTTCTTCTTCTTCTCCCCGCCTTCACACATCCTTTACGCCTGAGAATTCTTTAATTCTTTTCTCAACTCACATATTTTTCTTCTTTTTCCCTTTGGCCTTTTGTCTGGATAATACCCCCATATCTTTTTTATTTCTTTACGCTGTGACTTGGAGTTTTAACGGAGTATCATTTTCCATTCATCTTTTCTTTTTCTTTTTCTTTTCGTTTTTCTCTTTTTTCCACAAGAACGTCTTATTTATACCCAAACACAATACACTACACTTTGCTGTACATATTACGACATGGGCAAGGAAGGGAGGAGCTGATGGATGACACGACGAGAAATGGCACAGAGGAAAACAGCCTGTATCTAAAGAAATCTGAGTTTCAACATCATGTCTGTTGGAAGGGAAAGCATACAGCTAACACAATACGTTTTTTTAACGCTACACATATTTTTTAATCGATATTTGCTGCCCATCTGCAGGTAGTCATAAGCTTTTAACACAACAACTATAAAAACAAATCTTTTAAATGCTGTCAAGATTCCGCCTACAAAAAGATACACGCAACTAACCCACCCGCCCCCCATCATGGCATCATAGCATCTTTCACATCCCCCCTCCCTGTGGAAGATCGAAACAGGCCAATTGAGACAACCTTGGAACCTATTCCCCCCTCCTGGATTCTCTTTTGTATAGCCCCGTTGCAACTACTCCCAAAATGTCCCCCCCTTCCTCCAGATCCCCCCTTTTGCCTATGTTAAATAATGAATAAGAGTATAAAGTAAAGAAACACCGCACACCACCACCATCTAACCTGTTCTACAAACGAATAGGAGAAGAAGACAGCAGTCCCTCATGAATACGCGAAGAAGAAAAAAATAATAGAGGAAAAAAAAAAGGGATTCGTAAGATTATCTAAATTTTTTTGGTGGTGGTGTGTGTTTGTGTGTGTCTTTAAAGTCTTCTTCCGGCATCGGTGTCCTAAATCTAAGCCGTCGAGCCAATCTTATTCAGACCCTTTAGTGAGCCTAAGCTGAGGGCCAGGCCTTGTGATCTACTCCTTATGCGCACGAAGCCTGTGATGGGACCGTCCTCTCCTTCCTTTTCGATGCTCAGGTTGGCCAACGCATCCTCGCCTGCGGGAAAGCAATCAGTAATGAGTCCTTGGGAAAGCATGTAGACATGATATTGTGAAGGGTGTAATTGTACTTACCAAATACGCTGCGAGCGTACAGATTCGCGCTCAAGAACTGGCAGTCTCCCTTGAGACTGGCCTCGGGTGTCAGGCAGTTCATGTTCGTGCAGGCCATGAGCTGATCCAGGAATTCACGTAGTGACTTGGCCTTGGAGTTGATATTAACCTTGTTCTCCCATTCAAACTCTGTCCACATGGTTCGGAACTGTGTCTCGGTGCAGGTGGCGGGCTGGATGTAGTCCATGATGTCGACGTGCAAGTCGTTCAGGATGACAACATTGGTATCGGTTGAGTGTGCGCCATCGTACACCACGTTGCCAAAGATGACACCAGTGTCTGTTGACGAGACCTTGATGGTGCACTGGACGTTGTGGAAGTCGTGGGGTCCCAGGTTCTGCGTAGTGGGCCGCTCAACAACCTTGAGGTCACCAAGCGTGGCAAACTCAACCGACAGGTTCTGAAGAGTGTCGGTGGTCTGGTTGACCAGCAGAACATCCAGGATAATGTCAAACTGGTGTACCTTGACATACGCCTCGGCGTACACGGGATCGGAGAAGCCAGTCAACTGGACAACGCGGCTGAGCTTGGACGTGAGGTCTTCAGCGCCACCCTCACCACCAGTTGCCCTCTCCAAGTCCATCTCGATTTCGTCCTGGCCGTCGGTGGCGTTCTTCTTGGACAGCTGGCGGATTGGAATCACGTCGTCGACTTGAATGGCCGTCTTGGCCTTCTCACGAGCCTCCTTGGCGGCACGCTTGGTTTCCTCAACCTGAACCATGGCACGGAATGCCTTGCGCGTATCGTCGAGCCACACTGCTTCCAGCTCCTTCTTTTCCTTGAACTCTGCAAGAGAGCGCACGCAGGCCATGATTCGGTCGACGGAATCCTCATCAATGGGGGCCTTGACAAACTGAGACTGGCCAACACGGATGATGGAGATCATGATGAGCATGGCCTCGGCCTTGAGGGCATTGGTTCGTGCCTGTTCAGCTGAGATTTCTGAGTGGCGCATAACCAGCTTCACCAGCGTTGAAGACAGAACCGTTGACAAGTAGTAGTCTCCGTCAAGGATGAGCTGCCTCAAGGGTGGCTTCTGAGCGGCCTTGACAGCCTCCAGCTTGGCGGCAGCGGATGACTGGCTAGTGAGCGCAGTCTCGGTCGCATAAGTACCGTCAGCCAGCACCTTGCGGGAGCCGGTAGGCGCTGAGGGCTTCGAATTGCCGTTGGTCTGATCGTCCTTCTTCTCATCGCCATCCTGCTCTTCCAACAGCCTCTGCTCTGAAGCCACAATGGGGATCTCTCCCAAACTGGCTCGGATACCCTTCCAAGCATCTCGAATATCCTTCTCCTCCAGAGAGTACTCTCCAATGATCCACAGGATACCACGGTAGACCTTGCCGGCTCGCACTTCGCTGAGGGTTGACACAAGACGGCGCACAATGGTAGTTCGGAGCTCAGGGAACTTCTCTACAACCTCCTTTACAAAGTTGATGACATCGACAGCAGATGTGTTTGTGAAATCGGCAATAAAGTCCATGAGAAGCTCCACAACACTGGCGGCAACTTCTGAGAATTTGATGGCGCATTGGTGGATGGAGTGGATTAGGAGGGATCGATACTCGGTGTTCTTCTCATACTCTTGGTCAACCGTCTTGGACAATTCCTTCTTCAACAACAGGACCACTTCTTCGACATTCTTGCTGGAGACCATGGCCAGGGCCAGCTCAAGGGCCTTTTTGCGGACATCAATGTCTGTGCTGCTGAGAACTCGCAGGATCTCCATGACCAGGTCGTCCAGGACGCCCTCATTCTTCTGGCGCAGCTGATCGACCCGGTCGAGGACAATAAGCTTGACGTTGTTGTCGGCCTCCTTGATGCTAAGCTCGATGAACTTGGATGCCGCAGCCTTGACCGCGACGGGGTTGTTGGTCAAGGCAGTTAGCGATGACGCCGCCTCGTAGACGACTGTAGATGCGCCGGCTTCCAAGAGGTCAAAGATTAATCGCAGATATCGAGCCTATCTCTGTTAGCTTAGGATTCTCCCAATGGACAGCCAAGTAAAGGCCATACCTTGTTCTGGGAGTTCTGCACGGCGTCCTTGCGGATAAACTCCAATTCGACCAACTGCAGCAGTTCCTCGGCGTTGGGAATTCCGTCAAAGACGGAGCTGAGATATAGAAGAGCGGCATCGTGGTTGATGCTGGCGAGCGCTGCGAAAGCATTCCTCTTGCATGTGGCATCCGTCTCGCTCTCCAAGAAGGTGGCAATCAGCTCTGCGGCGTCGGGAATGAGAGAGGGTGAGTGTTGGTAGATGGAGGCGACTGCGAAGACAGCATTCTTTCTAACATAGGCATGTCGGTGCTCAAGGCAGGATCGCGCTGAAGAAAGGAGAGGCTCAATGAGCTCTGCCTCTCGGAGCTTGCAGAGGAAGCGAAGGGTGTTGCCTCGGATGTATTCGTTGGGGTGCTGCAGGTCGTTTCGGATACCGTTGCTGGATTATATACCATGTCAGTCGATTCAAGATTCATTCCAATGGCTCACAACAACCGCCAATTGCAGAGAATGAATGGGCTTGACTAACCAGACCAGAATCATCTCCTGCTTCAGCTTTCCAGCAGAGTCGAGCTTGGGGCATATCTCGTAGTAGAAGTAGAGGAGCTTCTTGAGCGGCTTGTACTTGGAGGGCATGACGAATCGGATAATGTGCATGAGTAGTGACGGCATCGGGTCTCCGTTGAGCATGATGGTCAGGATACGCTTCATGGTGTCGACCTTGCTCTCGTCAGTGCCCTTCTCCAGCTGCATACGCAGGTCGGAGAGCGAGGGCACGTCCGAGGCATTGTCCTGGTGCACCAGGCTGTACGCGTTTTCCAGGAACCCAGACATTGTGGCCGACTGTGCAATTGTAATTCGGGGCGCAGAGAGTGTGTGTGAGATCTGGCTCAGCGGGATTGCGTCGAAGCTGCGGGGAGGATAAGGGGCCTCAAGAGAGAGCGGGATGAGCTTCGAGTATCGGAGAGCTCACCAGAGCCATGTGCCGGAGAGTCGCAACAGCACCAATTCCAGGGCTCGAGCTGCCAGAGTCGCCGCGAAGAGTCTGGAGGGCGGGCGGGCGTCTGGATGTTGTTGTTGCTGTTAGGCTGCTTCAGCTTCAGACAATCTGGCTCTTCACTGGCGATGGCTCGCTGGTTACAGGTGGCACTAAGCAGTAGGTTGAGGCAGCGTGGGGGCTCACGTGATGGAGCTATTCCCTTGTTCTTTGCTTAGACTTGCTACTGTTCGTACACTGTTCGTACCTGTCGCTGCTTCACCGCCATTGATTTCTGCCGTGCCCCACCATCCAGTGACGGAGCTGTCCTATGAATTCGTTTCGCCGCAGCCTCGCGACTCGATCTGGCCCTGGCAACTCGACAAAGCCTCAACAGCAGCTATGGCGGCACCAAACGACCAATTTTACATCCGATACTAGTAAGAGACTCCCTCGGGAAGGCGTATGACCATTTGTTGCTTCAGCTGCTGATTATGAGCTCAGCTCGGGCCACATGGGCCGTTTTGGCCACGAATTCTTAGGTACGACAACCACTTCAACAGCCATCCACCGAGGCTCAACCTCAATCTGCGATTCACAGCTTGGATGCTTACATGGACGATAGAATTCGACTTTCGTGTTGTCGGAGATGGCCGCAGCGCAGTCGCCAGATATGCCAACAACTCCAACTACAGAAACGACAGCCTGATTCGGAAAGAAAGTAAGGGGACGCCATATCCTATCCAATGCCAAATAGATTACCCTTGGTGGTTTTGACTTGGCAGGATTACCGACGGAAGAAACGGAAACACTAACGACATGTCCACAGTGTGTGTGAGCTCCGCAGTTATCGAAGAGATCAAGCGAATTGTCAAGCAGAGCGAGATTATCAAGGAAGACGATTCCAAGTGGCCGCAAAAGAACAAAGATGGCCGTCAGGAGTTGGAAATTCGACTGGGAGGAGATCACATTTCATTCGAGGTTTGTATTGTGTTGAATTATTATCAACATATCAACGGCGGCGAGCTGAGACTGACTCCTCGATAGACGGCCAAGATTGGGTCATTGGTTGATGTCACCGAATCAGCCGACCCCGAAGGCCTCCGAGTCTTTTACTATCTTGTGCAGGACCTAAAGGCGCTTGTTTTCAGCCTGATAGCGCTCCACTTCAAGATCAAACCAATTTGAGTGGGCATTGGTATGCTGGAGAGACAGGCACAGCAGAGTTATGATACCCATTCGCCTCAACGAGGCATCGGCGATGCGCATGATTGTGGTTTTCATGTAACAACATGCATGGGAGAATTAATTCCAGGTCTAGGGTGGCGTATGGGGAAATGCAAAAAGTAGCTCATTGATTCATTAGCAGCAGCTAGCAGGGCCATGTGGAAGCATGGGTAATTGTTTGAATTAGCACATCATCGGGAATATAGTCAGTATGGGTACCCTAGGACGGCCCTCCCATGGCGTATTTCAATCTGACATTTGTTAAAAAACCTTGTGTCTCGGGAAGATGTCTCTTGTATTTTCCCCCTCTAAGACACGGCTCTGTCTTGTACGTGGTAAGCACTATCACGGACTGACATGATTCAATGTGGTACGATGTTGGAATGTAGATGCGATGCTGGGCGATGAAAAGAGATGAATTGGTTGGATGATTCAAGCACAATGATATGAATATGAATATGAATATGAATACGACATACTGCCCCCCTTGCTTTACCTGATTACCACCTGCTGAATCTTGATCGAGCCATGATCTGATAACATGCGTGTTTGACCCCGAGTGGGACTTGGCTGCATCTTTCTCCGTCCGTGATCCACACCCCTGCTTGGTGGCTTGGTACAGTGCCGCTGCCTTGACGAGAGTCAAAACGGCTATTCTGTTTCTGCTTGCTGTCACTGAAAATCTTAATTCTATTCTAGTACTATAACCCTAGGTAGTTCTGGACTCTGAAGTAAAATCCGTCAATTTGTGCATGTATTCCGCACCACCTATTGGGAACTATAGGTTGCCTAATGCAGACGAGTCCCAGCATGGAAACCCTGCTGCCCAACACCGCCCGTGCAAAGTACAAGTACAGGTACTCCCGAGTGCCTTAGTCCACCTATACCTAGGTACTCCGTACACCACCAGCGTTTCCCCGGTTGGCCGCGCTGCCAGGGCCACTAGCACCTCCGCAAATCTCCATCTGACTGCTGCCATGCCATGCCATTGTGCCAAGTACCCTCGCCGTACGGAGTACCGACACATGAAAGATTTGGGAGGCGCCCCAGCCCATGCCTTTGCCCCGGATTCTCCCAACTCGAACTCACTCGAGTGACCACTGCTCTTCTCACCTGTACACCGTCTGCCACGCAAAGCAATCCGCCTTGCGCAAGTACCCCTCATCGGCACCGTTGTACTACCAGGTAGGCATTCAAGTTGGGCGTAGAATCGCATCCATCCAGGCAGGTACCGTACATGGTACTGCAGCCATCCCAAGTGGGCGCCGCTTACTGGCAGTACCGGGTACGTCCCGTCTTCAGCGATATCCAGCTTGCCAGCACCCCAAAAGCCCAACTTTCGCCTCCCGAAGAAAAGCCATCCATCTCATCTTGCCCTGTGGCTTTTCCCATTCATCCCCCATCACCCGTCGATCCGTCTCTTTGTCTCCCTCATCTCATCTCTGGTCTATAAACTCCAGCTCGTGCTATTGCGAGATGCACGCTGCGAGCCATCCCTGAAGCCCCCCTTCCCGGCCTCGTGCTACCTGTACTTGTGCTGCATCTGGGACTATCACCGCCATCCTCCGAGTCAATCGCAGCTCGATCCGCTCTCGGACATCCACATCCACGTCGGCGCGGTTGAGACATCCTCGCTTATCGTCTAATCGTTGGCAGCCGAGCGACAAGGAGATTAGGATAACAGATCTGCCTAGTCTTTTTTCTCTTTTTGTCTTTTATCCTTCTCTTCTTTTTCTTCTGCGCACTGCTGCTCTTTCCTCCCATCGGCTCCCTGCACCAGCCTTGCCTGCCACGGACCGACTCGGCGCTGTTTGTCGAGCAAAACACCAACAATGCCGACCCCGTCTTCCAATCCGCCTCCTGGACAATCTTCTCCGCCTCCCTACAACTTCCCGACATGTCCTGAGGATCAGCCACACTCCTCTCGATCCTCCCGACCGGCCCAAGACGCCACGCGACCGACCTCAGACGTGGAAACCAGCCAGAGCTCGTCGACAAGCGTTGCCTCTCCTACAGCGTATTCATCGGAACCATCTCGCGACGGCCCCGCACCAGAAGACTCGGTGTTAATAGACGGCCAGGCGTCTACTGGGGCATCGCCCATGGATACTACCTCTCCCCGACCGCCATCTAGCGGGACGGTTGCCACATCTCCCATGTCGAGTGGACGTGACGATGACCTCAAGCACCAAGCAGCCGACGCAAGCGATCGCCTAAGCCGGGAATCATCGACCTTGTCTGCACATTTGCAAGTCGAGAACCCGGCTTCCTTTCGACGTGAGCCCGACTCATTGGAATGGCTCGAGGAGGAGGATGAATTCGACTCGCCACCCATGCCATCCGACTGCACAAATCTCCGAGTAAGAATGCCGCTGTTGTTATTCGTGATGGAGCGTATGTAACATACTTACACTATGTACAGAAAATCCCCATCTCACCATCATCGTTCCTCCGACCCGGAAGCAGATTCCGCGGCACACAGCAATCCGAGAGACAGGTCTACGAGGTCCAAGTCGAGATCAAACATGTTGACCTGCGCGAATCTTTTCTCTGTGGCTACTTGCGTATCCAAGGTTTGTTTCACCCCGAGCATTGTCGGCGCATTTTTCTACATTGCGTCATAGCTAACCGGCTCAACCCCTGCTTATAGGTTTGACCGAGGACCACCCAACACTCACCACGTACTTTGAGGGAGAAATCATTGGTACCAAGTATAACTTCTTCACCAAGCACGATGACTGGGGCGCCAATTCCAAGGTCGACCTCAGCCACTGGTCCAAGTTTAGCGCCTTCCGGCCGTATTCAAAGATTGCTCGCAAAGGTCCTGTGACCATCACTGACCTTGAACAAAGAGACCACATCTTTATGCGGTGGAAAGAGCACTTCTTGGTTCCGGACCACCGAGTCCGAACGATCACCGGGGCCTCCTTCGAAGGCTTCTACTACATCTGTTTCAACCAAGTCAAGGGAGAAATCAGCGGAATCTATTTTCACTCCAAGAGCGAAAAGTAAGCCATCTCTCACCGCCCGCCCCCCCTTCAACTCGTCTTGATGACGCCGAGACTAACAGCCCGTGCGCAGGTTCCAACAACTGGAGCTGAAGCATGTCCCTGATCGGGGATGCTTCAGTGCTATGGAGTTTCGGTAATGCCAAGCGAGGATATTCATACTGTTGATTAATAGCGGAAGTGATTTATGGGATTCATCAATAGGGAAGTCTTTCTTTTTTTGTCTTTGCTTTTACTACGACATATTGTATTTTGGGAGGATTCGATTATGGAAGCGGTGTTCTACGGGATACATAGCATGCGTGCAAGGAGCCTGGCTTTTTAGTATAGGTATGTCGGGATGCACTGCACGGGTTTCAACTGAATATTTGGCTGTCATGAGGGTCGTGTGTTAGCTATCAACGTGACGAATATGAAATAGACGGGACCAAGTGACATTTGAAGGATAGGCCACGAGATGCGATTTGTTCCGAGAGGCAGCATAGTCTGGCAGATAATGTGTGTGTCTTATTATTCAGCCTCGAATTTTCTAAAGTAACCTCGTCGAAATGGGTTGAGGTCATCTGCTGTTGTGCCCGTGTGTGCGGCTGCGGCCTCCTGCCTCCGCTTCTCGTGTGCTTCAAGATCAGTGCTTGAGACCTGCGAGTCGGGTAGACGCCGGTAGGTTATCAGCCTTCTCGACCCTGGAGAAGAAGTTAGCGAAATATGGTCGTGCTAAATGATCGACCTGGTTAAGGCATGGAGGAGGGGATATGGAGTACGTACATTTGCTAAAGACTTGCACGCAGACCACGACCACTTCGAGACAGGGATGTGTCGGGACAGGGATCTCTTGCTCTTCGTCGTTTGCCGTGGGCATCCAGAATGATAGACGGCCGTTGTCTACTAGGGTATCTGCGGCGAAGGAGAGAATGTCGTCGAGCATGGCTAGGAAGCTGTATGGCTTCTTGGGAGGGACGTAGTCTGGTGATCTGCAGGGCAATGTTAGGTCTCCATCTTCATTCTTCCTATTATAGAGAGAGAACTTACTGCCACTCGTTTATTCCGAGCTCAATCAGCCATGTGGCGTTTTCGGGATTCTTCAGCCCCAGAACCTTCAACCCTTCTCTCACCCCGTAAGGCGGATCACACACGATGCCATCCCATGTCCTCCTCCGCCTGATGGGCGTATTCGTCAAGTCCGCGGAGAAGAAGCCTCCCAACTGGGGCTTGAGCCCGTACTGAGAAAAGTTGCCCGGCAGGCTCTTCTTCTTGTCGCCCTCGCCACGCATGCTACGGCCGTCAATATCGCTACCCCAGCCGATGGCGCCAAAGTGGGCGCAGGCAATTGGGAAAGAGCCCGTGCCGACGAATGGGTCGTAGAAGAGCTTTCCAGGGGCGGCGAGGGCGATGTTTGCGGTGACGAGGGAGAGCTCGGCGTCCATGCTGGTGGTGGAGATGTACTCGCGCTTCTTGAGGTCGTATCTGTGGATGATGTCGCGGGCAGAGTTTGCCACGAAGCGGCCCAGGCGGATGACATCTGGGTGCTGGATTTTCAGGGGAACGCTGTTGAAGGGCCAGAACTCGAAGACGGTGAATGTGTCATCGGGGTTGGACATGCGGATGGGGCCGTCAAAGGGGAGGTAGCTGAATGTGTCGATGAGGGCAAGGCGCTCCTTGTTGGTATGCGCTCCTTGAAACGAGTCGACGACGAATTTGAATGAAGTTTCTTTGTATTTAGGCCAGAGGTGGGAGGTTTGAGACTTGATTACCTCGTGGAGGGCGTCGAAAGTCTTGCCCGTTCCCCATAGCTCGTGTATTGAGTGGGCGAGAACTGAGCGCCGGAGGAGTTTCTTTGCGTCGTCTACTGACGGAAGTTGGACGACGCAGAATGGAGACTATAGAGGAATCAGGATATGCTTTGGTGAAGAGCCTGGAGGCTGAGGTTGCTCTTACCTCGCGGTCATATTCTTTGATTTTGAGATCCAGGCCTTCGATGATTGCCAGCGCTTCAATCTCAGGGACCCTGAAGGACTCGTGCTCGGAAGCAAACTTGATGAGAAAATCCATTTTATGGTCTATGCCCGGAAGAATCCGACGCCCGGTTTTGTAAGAGTTGATCTGGGTGAAGTTGGTTTCAGGGTATCTTGAATGAAGCCAGGATGCCTGCGTCTAATGTGAAGAGAAGAAAATGAAAAGGGCAATTTTTCCCATACGCCTTATTTAATGCAAGGATGAATTTTCTTAAAAAATAATAATTAGCAAAAGTCAGTCACTTTTCATCAGTCAGGTGATATTTACCACAAGTTTATATGTCACTTAAGGAAAGAATGAATGAGATTTGCACTTCATCGCTTAGTGTCTATGAAAATTGTAGCCCCGCCATGATGGCCGAAAAAATTATGAATTTAGTACTCCGTACAATCGCTGCATCTTATCAGGCGGGATGCGACAGCCACTGGCGTTAGGCGGGTACCTGTCGCTTGTACCTCCCCCATTCGTCGCTTTTTGATGTGCCCATCCAACCATCTTAGCTTCTGCCTCTAAATTTCGGCGGTTCGAGACTCGCTGCAAAAGCTTCATAGAGCTGATTTCATTCCCGAAAGACGCATAATCCGTCAATCGAGCACTGAGTTTGCTTGGATACACAATGCTTCATCAGGCTCCATCGATATACCAGTCGCCAAAATGCTTCGCCACGTACGGGATGATGGGACACGTCGATCCCAAGCAGATTCCAAGTAAAGGAAAGCCTTGGACGGCCATATCGGATCTTGACTTTATTCACAAGGTAAATATATTCTTTGATATATACTTTGACATATGATGCCGTTGAAATACCATTCCTGATCGGAAACAGGTTGACTTGATCATTCCTCAAGATGTATATGAGGCTGTTGTCCAGAAGATGACCGAGCGTGATTCACCGGCATATTACAGAGTCGTCATGACATTGAGCCAAGTGCTGGAAACCAAATTTCTTACCCAGTATATCAAGTTAGGTGAGTCTGTTTTATTTTCCCTTGATTTATTTTAGCTGCACTTTATCCTCTTTTCGCGCTCCAAGACTGATCTGTTGCAGGAAACATTATGATGCTCTCAGAAGGCAAAACAACCATTGGAAATCTATTCACTCTTCGAGAGGGAAAGCTGGACCTCTATCTCGATAGAGAGACGTATGAACGCGCCGGACTCGAAGGAAAGCCCTACGGCATCAAAGGTGATCGGGGCTCGAAGCCCAGGTGGAGTACGTCAATGAACTGTCTGAGGGCTCATTTCATGCATGCATGCTAATCAAATCAACAGAAGTATCCTACAACCTGAGGGAAGAATCAATGCTGCATGGGAGGAAAAAGTTTGATAGGCTGGCATACGCTTGTAAAAATGTATTGAACCAGCCCATGACATGGCTCATCTGCAATGCCTCGACCTCTGGTAAGTGCATACATATATACCATAATTGCTCTTTTTATCGTTGCGAGTCATCTATTTATGCAGTTTTCATCCACTGGATACTAACTCCTACCAGCTATGAGTGTAGATTTGCTGCAGAGTCTCAACGCGGCAGAAATGACATCTTCGCCAAGGCTATCTACAGACACCGGAATCTACCAGATACCCCTCAGGATACCTTCCACAATCCTCGCACAAGGAGACCGCGAGGCTCTTGAATATTCTGCGACAGAGTTGTACGAGTGGCTATCACTGGTCCGACTCGAAAGCCCTCGTGTTGTAGCGGGGGACACCATTGACCCTTACCTCTCGCGATACGCGCTACCAGAAGCAGACAGCACCGTGGCCCAAGTGCAGGTCTGCAAGCTGAGTTGGCAGGGATTCCTATCCTCGAGCTGGTTACGGAGCCTCTTCGTTGACATAGTCACCACCTGTCCCTCGCAATCTTGGTTCGCGCTTAGCGGCACAACCTTCTCTAGCAGTATTCTTGGCGGATGCAGCGAGCTGAGTTTTCTTCGGCCGCCGGAGAGCTCGGGAGAATTTCTCATGTGGGAGACCAAAAGTCAAGACTGATCAAAGATGGAGCTTAGGCTTGCTTAGACCGCACATTACGCTCCTCGGACAATCCTTGGTCAAGAAGAGCCTCCTCCACCAGCCTGCGCAGATCCGCCTGGCCCTCGGCCGTATTGAAGTCTTCTCGCTGAGCCAGTTCCTCGATTCTGCGGCGGAACTCGGGATCGAATTCGGCAGGGATATCCTGCGTCTCGTCCATGGTGCCAACGGTGACCTTCATACCCTCTGGGGCATTCTTCATGAACTCGGCTGCGCTGGCCTCGAGTTCCTTGCCAGCCTTTTCAGCTTCAACGGTAGCAATATAGGCGGCAACTTCAGGAAACTCGTCCTCTCCCTCAATCTTTTCTCTCGCAGTCAGTCCCTCCAACCCTCTGTGCAAAACATCCACGCCCAGCTCGACCAGGGCCTTGGCAGCGTCGGTAGTCTCGACGACGAATAGGGCGGTCTCGTTATCTTCGTCCTTGAGGTTGACGTCGACTTTGAATTCCTGGATCAATGCGCGAAGCAGATCCAGGTGGTTGTAGCTGGCTGCGGCATGGACAAGCGAGTATCCGTGTTCGTCCTGGGCCGATGCCAGCGCAGGCTTTTCTCGGAGGAGAGGCAGCAGCGCGGGGCTGTTGTCAGCTGCCAGGAGGAAAGGGTTTGACGACGCCATGGGGCTTTTGTTTATGGAGTTTGTAGGTAGCTTGATAAGAGAAGCTGTGTTTGCGCAGACGATGTTTGTTGGTCGGTTCTTGGATGTGATATGGCAGCTCTGGAGGGGTAGAAATTTGTCCAAAAATTTGAGCATTCCAGGGTTGCCCCTCCCCCACCATGCAGTTGTCATCCATCTTGACTGCCTAATGACCCGAGCACCCTGTAACTCAGAGCTAGGGGCTGCTGTAGTGGGCACTTTTACTGGGTTTGCCAGCGGCCTTCAGGTGCTAATCAGGCGCCGAGCGATCTGCACTGGGTCGGGTGTTTTGCCCACTGACCCCACACAGCTTAGAGCTAGCAAAAGAATTCATCGTGGAAAGAGTCCAAAACCTGAGGAATCCAGAAACTCTCCCTTTACCTTTACCTCCATCCGATTCGATCAAGGGCACACAGCAGATCCTGGTCGACCCTCCTCTGGCCTCTGGTTGGTCTGTGCATGACCCAAGTCTTTCGGTGAGGAGTAACTCTGCGCTTAGTCTGCGTCTGACTCACCAAACTTACAGGGCTGAGTAAAAAGAGGGCAGTGTCTGGTGCGACTAGCCGTCTTGATATTACTGCAAGGGTAGTCGTGTGTGCCTTGCATCAAGGAGGGAGACGAGCTGAACCGGTATTAATACGACGGCATAGCTCTGATAGAAAGCCGGATCATCAAGCAGTTATCGTTGCCGTGAGCCTGCTATAGAACCGTAGCTGGGGACAGCCAGTGTATGACCTTTACGCCGCGAATTGCACGTCGAGCTTACGGCTTCATCTCTCGCAACTTCTTCACGCCCAACTATTCCTACGTCATTCAAACTACTTGGTTGACCAGCGCAGACAAGATCCAGAGCGCAAAAATGGCGACTCCATACGTGGAGCAGGATGTTTCGGCCGTCTCTCAGATGATTTCAGCTCTGGAGGCGGCTCGAAAAGATAAACGACATGGCGGGTTTTCCTGCAAAAAGACTACTTTCAAGGTCAAGCCCTCTCGAGACGGTATCGATGTCGACTCTTGGAGAATGCAGGACTGGGACTATAAGAAAAAGGGCCTTCCCACTTATGCCCGCGGCCTCTTTACCACAAAGAACAGCAGAAATGCGCCGGAAATTGCCGTCCGAGGCTACGACAAGTTCTTCAATGTCAACGAAGTGAACGAGACCAAGTGGGACGTGATTCTTAAAAACACCAAGGGGCCGTACGAGTTGACCCTCAAGGAGAACGGCTGCATCATCTTCGTAGCTGGCCTCGAAGACGATACTCTCCTCGTTTGCAGCAAACATTCCACTGGCGACCGCAGTGATGTCGAGCTTAGCCATGCGCGTGCTGGAGAGATCCGATTGGAGAAACAGCTGGCTGCCGTCGGCAAGACCAAGGGGGATCTTGCACGAGAGCTGCGTTCCCGGAATATTACTGCTGTAGCAGAGCTTTGCGATGACTCGTTTGAAGAGCATATTCTGGCATATGAGAATGATAAAGCTGGACTCTACCTTCACGGCATTAACCTCAACCTTCCCGAATTCGCAACCTACCCAAGCAACCTGGTCCAGGAGTTTGCGGCCCAGTGGGGCTTCATCAAGACGGATCTCTTGATGATGGAGGATGTGAACGAGGTCAAGACGTTCTTGGAGGATGTGGCCAAGACGGGATCATATTCCGGCCGTGATGTCGAGGGCTTCGTTATCCGATGCAAAATGTCACACAACCCGACCCAACTACCCTACCAAGACTGGTTTTTCAAGTTCAAGTTCGAGGAGCCTTATTTGATGTACAGACAGTGGCGCGAATGCACAAAGGCCATGATCTCTGGGAAGCAGCCCAAATTTAAGAAACACATCAAGATCACCGAAGAATACCTCATGTATGCTAAAAAGCAACTGGCCGCGAACCCGAATTTGTCAAAGCTCTACAACCAAAACCACGGCATCATCAAGCTACGAGACGACTTCCTTGCATACAAAAACATCAAGGGATCGGATGCCGCCAACCTTGACGTCTTGGATCGCGTTGTAATGACGGAAGTCACCAAAAACGTGATCCTGGCGCCCATCGCCACCATTGGCTGTGGAAAGACTACGTTGGCTCTCGCCCTAAAGCACCTCTTTGGCTGGGGCCACATCCAGAACGACAATATTTCAGGCAAGGGGCGCCCGCCGAGATTTGTCAAGGCTGTCATGGATCAGTTGAAGGAGCACCCCGTTGTCTTTGCAGACCGAAATAACGCACAAAGGCATGAGAGAAAGCAGCTTATTGGTGATGTCAAAGCACAGGACGTCGAGACTCGAATTGTTTGCTTGAATTTCCGACACGATGAAGAGACCATTGATGAAATCAGGCGGATTACTCAAGAACGTATCATTGAGCGAGGAGACAACCACCAGACCATCCATGCGGCGACGGATCAGGAGAAATACATGGAGGTCATGGAAGGGTTTATCAAGCGATTCGAGGAGTGCAACACCAATTCCCCTCCAGATGCAGGCTTCGAACTGGTCATTGACCTGGATCCCACGGCTGGCACCAGAGTGAACCTGGAAACGCTTGTCAATGAACTACATCTGTCTCTGCCCAACGTGGTCAAAGAAGTGCCAAGCCCTGAGAAACTCGACGAGGCTATGGAATATGCACTGGGATACACACCCGACTTTAAACACACCATTCCTGACAGAGGTGGAAAGAAGGACTCCAAAGCAGGACAGCGACAGCAGCAGCAGGCTCAACCAAAGAAGAAGAAATTGGAGTATATGGCTATAGGCGTGGCGACAGATCTGATTAACAAAATTCTCGACAAGGCATTCAAGGGAGTTGGCCCCGAAACCTCCCGATTCTACTTGCAGCTCAAGAACTCAAGAAGAGTGCAGCGCGCGTTCCATGTCACGCTGATGCACAACGCGATGGCGCCCCAGTACCCGGAATTGTGGAAACGGTATGTCGAGCTTCATGAAGCTGCCGGGGGCGGCGATGCTCTGCTTGGTGAATGCGACGTGATACTCGAGCGGGTAAGTTGACTTAATCATGACGAAATTCGTGTCCATATATCTAACCTTTTCGGACAGGTTGTTTTTGATGATCGTATCATGGCCATTGTCGTCCGCATCGTCGATGAGGAGAACAAGTGGGTGTGCGTGAACCGCGTTGCGCACATCACGGTGGGAACGCGGGATGCCTCGGTGAAGCCCAAGGAGAGCAACGATTTGCTGGCCAAGTGGTTGGAAGTCGGTGCTGGTGGCGATGGAAATGTGATTCAAGAGGTGGTGTTTGCTGATAAAGTAACGGCCAGGGGACAGGTCAAGGGTGTTTTGTCCCGATGAGGGAATATGAGTAGTACTGTACCATTATGGCAAGCGTTATGAAGCGAAAAGAGAAGAAAAGGGAATATGAGAAAAACGGCAGAGAAATGCCGAATTGACATGGTGCTGTGCTTTATATCGTATACCCGCTCACTTGGGCGAGCATAGTCGCCTAGAAGTACCTATATGCATGCTCATGGAGAAATAGCACTTTTGACTCTTTTAAAGGCAGACGGTGTACTTATTAGGACCCTCGTCGTCGCAACAGTTGTATATGCAAGGAGGGAGAAGAAGAGGACTGAGCAGTTCAACTGGGCCATACTCTGCTGGAGAGGCCTTGGGAAAGGGGTATAAGTAGGGACAGGACATGCGTCAAAACAGGATCCAATAACATCAATACAATGAGAGCCATACCGAACCAGCCATACCATACCAAACCGCCAAACCAGAAAAAAGGAAATGTGCGCGCAATGCTCTACTCGTCGTCTAAGAATCTACTAGCTATCCTTCCGAAAAAGGGAACCTCGAATCTGTTATTTCGATTGTTAGTCAAGCTAGCCTGTGATATTCGATGTTGATGGATCGTATGTGTACCTGTCCAGGATCTCTGCGTCTGCATATGCTTTGTAGGAGAGGAATCCGATCAAGGCAAGGTCGCCAAGGAAGAAGATCCAGCTTAGGAAAGAGGACCAAGAGAATAAGACGTGGAAGACCATGACGGCCGTGAAGAGGAGGGCGGACTGCCAGGCGTGGAATCTACAGAAGAGTGTTAGTTGCAGTGCGCTGACTGAGAGATCAAGATGAAAGAAAGAACAAGGACAGCATGTATATACCTGACATAGTCGCTATTCCTCTCCAAGATCAAGAGTATCACAGCACCAACAGGCGGAAACGCCAGGTACGCCAGACAGGCCTCGTAATCCAGCCTCAACCCCAGACTCGTATCGAACTCGCTGATCTCAACGGGATATGCGCCGGGCATGGGCGTGCCGCCGCCAGCACTACCACTGCCGCCCCCGAAGCCCCAGAAGCCGCTCCCGGACAATGCGCCGTGGCCGCTGGCGGCGCCGTCGAGATCGCCGCTCCATGCGCGCTGGGGCTGCGGGTGCTGCAGCGGCGGCGGGCTGCGTGCGGAGGAGGCGATCGCGGAGGGCGAGAAGGGGCGGCGCGAGATGTCTGCTGAGGCGCGCGGGGAGCTCATTGGGGAGCGGGCGTGTTCGGGGGGAGACGATTGGTAGGGTGCGAAGTCCATGGTTTTCTTTTCTTTTCTTTTTTTTTTTTTTTTTTTTGGTGATGCCTGTCGTATGTGGTGTTGAAGGGAGGAGTTTCGAGGCGAGGGAGATGGATGGAGGACGGGAGACGAGAGCTAGGACGAGGACAAATTGGCTAGGAAGAAGCTGCTGTTATCGAGACATGCGACGCTGTTGGAGAGATGAGTTGCCCGAGTGAGGGCTTTTGGCTGGAAAATGGCGAGGGCACAGATGCCTTTTCTGGAGGAGAGGGACAAGAGAGACGAATGCATATGCATGCTGTTTAGAGTGGAGGTTGGTTTGCAAGGGCAATCACATGAGCTGTTGCGATTGGATGTTTTTGCCTGTTGCCGGCTGCAGGGTTGAGCTGCTATCTAAAGCGGCGGGCCCTTGTTTGGATGAGCTACAGCTGGAGCTACAGGGCCTGATGGGCGCTGGAGGGGATTGTTGGTGGGGATTTGGGGGGTGGGATAGGGCCTAGCTTGGGATTTGTTATGGAGCACATGGCGATTAGCAGATATTGAGCCTGGCTCTGTATAAGTGTAATATCCAAGCTGGAGAGTGAAGAGCACATTTGCTTGATATTATCTAAGAAATACTAAAGTATGCATATCCACGTCATAATCTTATTTGGAACCCATATAAACATCCATGAAGGCTGCTGGGGAAGAAGATTAACAAAAAGAAGAGATCGCTGCGGCGCATTGGAATCATTGGTCTCAATAGACATTCACACATGCTTCATTTGTATAAGTTCTTTGTTCATTCCTATGAATACATCCTCCATAGTGTACACGTATAATACTTTTTTTTACAGCCCTATATCCAAACCGCTGGCTTTCTTTTTTGGTCTTGTTCGTTTCCATCATACAGACATCTAAGAAGATGCGGGCGCCTCTCCTTTTGACTCTCCCTCCAACTGCTCCTTTCGGCCCTCCAGGGCCAGCCACAGGCTGCGGCTGCCACCCTCTAGTGTAGATGTGATGCCCAAGCCTGCACCCTGCAGAATAGCCACCAGCTGAGCGCGGAGACCGTCAATACCGCCTTCAATACCTCCGACCCAGTGGACACCAGCCTGGTCAAAGACTTTGCCCTCGATGCGTCCTCCTATCAGCATCAGCTTCGCTAGGCCGTTCTGGAAGATGGGATCGTAGTATCCGGGGTTCTTCTTTCGCGTAGGCGCAGGGAATTTTCCAGGGACAGGAGCGAGAACGCTCAGTGCCGCTGCAACATGCGCTGGAGACACGGCAGGAATAATGAGGCCGGCCAGGGGTCCAACCATGAGAGGCTCAATCTGGGCATAGGCGGACTCGGGGGAGATTTCAGCCTTCTTAATTTGCTCATACGCAGCCTCGGACAGATCATGAACAATCGGACCCTTGGATGTTCGTTTCGTAGATGCTGATGCGGCCGCAGTCTCAGGATTGTAGAATTCCACCAACTTGAGCGCCACGTTCAGCATGTTGGTCCTCAACACCTGCAGCTGTACTCTTGGAGACAAGTTCAGAGGCTCGGAACCCGGGGCGGTGGTAATAGGCGCAACGGAGTCCAGGGCCTTCTTCAGCTCTCTTCTTACAGCAGCCCACTCCACTGCTGTGAGATTGCTGTGCTGGAAGAACAGGATGAGGGGCGTGGTGCGGAGGAGCGAAGTGTACGTTCGGATCAGCTGACTCTTTCGGGTATCAATTGGTCGAGCGCTGGGCGGTTTCGTCGCGGGAACAAGGTCAATTGGCGGCTGAGCGCCTTCGGGGACGGATCGCAGGCCAGGCGATGCATGTTGAGCATCTGATGTCGAGAAGCTGTGGGCAAAGGCTCCTCGCACGTGTGTTGCTTCTAGGCTGAGCCGTCGCAGGCACGGCCGAGCCGCCCGGCTTATTATTCTGGTCATTCTGCCCTGGTCAGATTCTGCATGGAATCAAGGAGGATTCTGGTGCGGAAACCTACTTGTATGGGAATCTGGGTCGACTGACGACTTCGATTTCGACCAGAATCTTGACATGCGAACTTTCAAGGTCCCACCCTGGGCAGGTCTCGGATCAATTACCCGCCGCTCCGAGGGTGCAATTGTCATCCAAGTACCTGCATGTACAGAGGGGCACTTCGATGCGTAGCTGAGCGCTAGATAATGCCAATAGTCCCCAGCAGATACCTTGCAGTACTTACCGCATCAGCTACCAGGCACCCAGACTGATTGCGCGCGACTCGACTTGCTTGCTGCCCTGCAGCTTCAACCTGTAAGCTGGCCAGCAACTACCGGAGCCACACTCCTTCTACTGCATTCTACACAGCGCCAACCCCGATATATCCATTCTTCAGTTGTATTTCCAATCCTTCGTTTGCACGCTCCGCTATCCATACCCTCAAGGACCCCCACAGAAACCGATTTATCCAGCTTCGACTCAGTTCCAGCTGAGGACCTGCTGCCACCATGTCGACCCTCGAAGAGCTCGATGACCTCGACCGCCGGGAGAAGGAGGAGAAGAGAAGAGGAAACGGCGGCAAGAAGGCCACTGTTACCGATGAAGACGACGAGATGAAGGACGCGGAGGAGAAGGACGACATCCTCGATGACGAAATCCTCAGCCTGAGCACACAAGACATCCAGACCCGGAAGCGATTACTCGAAAACGACTCTCGAATCATGAAGAGCGAGCTTTCGAGGTTATCACATGAGAAGGCTGCCATGGGCGAGAAGATTAAGGAAAACATGGAAAAGATCGCAAACAACAGGCAAGTCTTGTTCCGAGTAGCATGCAAAAAATGGGAGCTTGCTTGCTTTGCCCCCAGTCGATTTGTCATGCGGCTAACCCTTTGATCTGATGTATGCAGACAACTCCCTTATCTCGTTGGAAATGTTGTTGAGCTGCTAGACCTAGATCCCACTGCGGAATCTTCCGAAGAGGGAGCTAACATTGATCTCGATGCTACACGAGTGGGCAAGTCAGCCGTCATCAAGACCTCCACGAGACAAACCATCTTCCTACCGCTGATTGGCCTTGTCGATTCGGATAAGCTCAAGCCCGGTGATTTGATTGGTGTCAACAAAGACTCATATCTCGTTTTGGACACGCTGCCCGCCGAGTATGACAGCCGAGTTAAGGCCATGGAGGTCGATGAGAAGCCAACAGAGCAGTATACCGATGTTGGAGGTCTGGACAAGCAGATTGAAGAGTTGGTCGAGGCTATTGTGTGGCCCATGAAGGAGGCGGAGCGATTCAAGAAGATTGGTATCAAAGCACCCAAAGGTAAGACATGTCACGGAGGTTTTTGTTTACAATGCTGCTTTTTCGGCATGGCACTAACTGACGCAAACCCACGATAGGCGCTCTGATGTACGGTCCCCCCGGTACCGGAAAGACTCTAATGGCTAGAGCTTGTGCGGCTCAGACGGAGGCAACGTTCCTCAAGCTTGCCGGACCTCAACTTGTGCAGATGTTCATAGGAGATGGCGCGAAGCTCGTGCGTGACTGCTTCGCCCTGGCGAAGGAAAAGGCCCCCGCAATCATCTTCATCGACGAGCTTGATGCCGTCGGCACCAAACGATTCGACAGCGAGAAGAGTGGTGATCGAGAAGTCCAGCGAACCATGTTGGAGCTGCTTAACCAGCTCGATGGTTTTGCATCCGACGACCGCATCAAGGTCTTGGCCGCCACCAACCGAGTCGACGTGCTCGACCCTGCGCTGCTACGATCTGGCCGTCTGGACCGAAAGATTGAGTTCCCCCTGCCAAACGAGGAGGCCCGAGCACAGATTCTCAAGATTCACTCACGCAAGATGAAGGTTGACCCCGGAGTCAACTGGGGCGAACTGGCTCGAAGCACGGATGAGTTTGGTGGTGCCATGTTGAAGGCCGTCTGTGTTGAGGCCGGCATGATTGCCCTGCGATCAGGGAAGAACCAGATTGGCCACGAGCACTACGTTGACGCTATTGCCGAGGTGCAGGCCAAGAAGAAGGATGTGAGTTGTTCCTCCACCGGACAGAGTTCCCGCTGTTGTTATTGCTGCAATTTACTGACGTGTATGGCTCCAGACTGTCAACTTTTACGCATAATCTATTTTTCATACTTGCGGCAGAGGATCATGGGGTGGTAAAGCTGTGCTGTGCTGTACTTGCACACGGATGCTCTGGGCGGCTGGCGGCTGGCGTCTGACAAGGGCATGATATTGGCATAGAGGGACAAAAAGTCAAACCCTGGGAGGACGCATGTAACGATATTCCTGGCAGAGGCAAGCCGTTCTCAGTAGATTAGAGACAGATGCCTCTTTTGCGAAGCGAATAGAGTATTGCGAAACCAATTGACGAGTGCCATTCATGTATGGGAGTTTTTGTGTTAGATATGCAGTATTCGTGTAGTACCTAATTATTGTAATGAGACAGACACATATACTGCTACCCTGGTGTTTCCTTGGGTGGGATGGTGTTTTTATCAAATGGTGTTTGGGCTCATACAGAGGCATGTACACAGGGATCCTCTCCATCTCGCTCCATGCAAAATTGCAAACGATTATATCTATGTATTAATATCTATTCAATACCTATCTACAAAGTATGTTTGCAAATCCCATCCCGGTCCAGGGTAGCAATACAAGCTTATGTGGTGGAGCTGATCCCGGACCGTTTTCTCCTTGTCGCTTGGCCTTTGCAAGCCTTTGTTTCCCCACACTGCCCAGCAGCTGCCACTACGTCATTGTGATCGCGATCAAAGTCAAGCTGTTGGACGATCTCAACCTCGATCTTGCGAGCAGACAATTCAGGGAAAGCTTAGTGCATGTCCGCCATGTATCGGCAGCTGCTAGGTACACGTGTGGATAGCCAAAATGGGCGCAATTGGCGGGTACACTCGCGGTGGCGGTACTTGTGTTTGCCAAAAGCTTGTGAATGTGCCTTCATGGTGATTTTGGTGTCATGGAAGTGACGTGATGGAGGTGTTTGGCATTACCTCATCTCTTTTCTTACACCTGGCATAACCTTGAGATTCCGCCATTCATCCTCTTTTTAACGTCACTGCTCTTTCGACTTGATTTATTCTCTGCTTTGTTTTATCTTCGAGACAACCTGCTATTGACTCCTGTACCTCTGTCAAACCTCGGAATATTAACACCAACATAGAGCGTGGGCAGTTGAGCTGCAAATAAACTCATCACTGCTTGTGGACACCTCAAAGTTTTACCGTTTTGCATCATGTGGCGCCTTCGAGATGTCCTAATCGTGGGGCTCGCCGTGTCGGGAGCTGCAGCCAGCAACTGGTTCCCCGGCTCCAAGACGGGTAAGTCCTGAACCTACGCGGGTTTTGCTGTTTACGATACGAATAACGTTGATGATGGATTGGATCTGACTCTGAGCTGACAATAGGCGACGCAGTCTACAACAAGTGGCACGAGACGGAGCTTGAGCGATGGCTCTCTGACCAGAACATTCCCTATCCATCTCCGGCTGACCGCAAGGACCTGGAGGATCTCGTTTCGAAGCACTGGAACGACTATGTTGTGGAGCCGTACAATAGCTGGGATGTTTCTCAGCTCAGCGCATATTTGCAATCTCGCGGAAATGACGTGGTGAAAGAGGCCCAGAAGAACAAGGACAGCTTGCTTTCTCAGGTGAAGTCGAACTGGTATGAGACTGAAGACTCCACCAACCAAGCATGGGCCAGTGCCAAGGATTGGATTCTTGATACGTGGACCGATTCTCAGCTCAAGACCTTTTGCGATAAGAATGGAATTCCAGGTATGTAAACGCCAGCCGCTGTTGAGGCTGCAACGGATATATGCTAACTTGGTCGGACCTGTAGTGCCTCAGCCGCGTACTCGTGACACTTTGCTTCAACAGGCTCGCCAGGTTTATGAAACTCTTGCAGAAAAGGCCGGAGAAACCGCTTCCTATCCTGGTGATTGGTTGTATTCTACTTGGTCCACGTCTGACTTGAAGGAATGGCTGGATACACACGGCTTCCCTGCTCCACAGCCATCTGGTCGGGACAAGTTGGTTGCTTCCGTTCGCCGCAACTCTCGCCTTGCCTACCTGAAGGCTCAGAGCGAGGCTGATAGTGCTGCTGCCAAGATTCAGGCCGCCTATACTTACCTCACCGACACCATCATTGAGGCCTGGAGTGAGTCCCAGCTCAAGGAGTTTTGCGACAAGAACGGAATCCCAGTCCCGCAGGGCACCAAGGTCAACGAGCTTCGAGCCCTCGTTCGAAAGCACCGCGCTGATATCTTGGGCGATACCATTGGTGCTAGTGCCAAGGCGGCCTTTGGCGCTGCCACATCCAACGCTCAGAATCAGTATGCCAGGGCGACCGATAGCGCTTCGCTTGCCGCTCAGGATGCTTTCAACCAAGTTGTTAACAAGTGGTCAGATAGCCGGCTCAAGGCCTATCTGGATGCTCGCGGTATCCCTGTTCCCCAGGCCAGCAAGTCTGACGAGCTCCGAGCTCTTGTTCGAAAGCATGCACACAAAGCCTCCGCTGGCTGGCAGGCGTGGAACTTTGATGATTACAGCTACGAGAATTTGAAGAATTATCTGGCCAAGAACGGTAACGCTGCCGCAAAGGCCGCAGCCAAGAAGAAGGATGTCACTCGTGAAGAACTTGTCAGCGCTGCCCAATCTGCCTATTCATCTGCTTCATCCGCCGGTGGCTCTCAATACGCCTCTGCCACTAGCTACCTTGCCTCTGTGACGGCTGCTGCTAAGCACAACGCGTTCGACACGTGGTCGGAGAGCGAGCTGAAAGCCTATCTCGACAGCTATGGAGTCCCAGTTCCCCAAGGATCCAAGATTGACGAGCTCAGGGCAGAAGCTCGCAAGCAATCCACCTACTTTAGATATGGATCTTCTTCTCCTGGAGGAACTGTCTTTGCTAAGCTCGGAGAAACAGCCAGGGACAGCTGGAATTGGATCGCTGAACAGCTGCATCTTGGTAGCGAGGCTGCTAGACAGGAGGCTGCTGAGGCTGAGGCTGCAGCAAAGAAGAAGGGTGAGAAGCTGCGAAAGGAGTTGTAAAGGTGCTCGGGAATGCACATTTGCATTGATGGTCGGGGAGGAAAGGAGAGGTGCGATGACGCTGGAGGACGTGGTCGTCGTGTGTACGATGTAGAGAGATAGCATGGAATTTGCTCGTTTCTTTTAACTTTTTATGAAGTAGGGGATGGAATGGATTTGAAGGGCACAAAAGGCCGTTGATGGCTATCGATGATGAATAGGGTTGAGGTTGTGTGACGTTACGGTAATATGAATCGTTTGCATTATTTTGAAGATTTACATGGCCAATCAAAGTGACATGTAGCACCTCACCAAGGTGTTTATTTACAAGCACAAGCACACCTTCTTTGTTGAAATAGTAGCAAATCTATGCATTTTTATTACCGCATTGCAACCCAAACTATATAATAAAAAATGATACAATTCTCCATTATTCCTTTTTCTTTCCTCCCTCGTTCCCTTTACGCCCATAGCCTGCATGTCATATCGGCACCGGCACTGACAATCCAGGGGTGCTTTGGATGCCAGTCGACGTCCATGACACCGAGCTTCTTGTCGACCTTGTGGCCTCTGAGCATCTTGACGGGGACAATGGTGGCGTTCTCCATCAGGTCGCCGACGACCTTTCCGTGGAAGATTTGCAGCGAGCCGTCGTCGCTGGCGTCGGCGAACAGGGGCAGCCCGCGGTGGAACTTTACGGCGCGGATGGCCTCCGGGTGGAAGCGCATGGTCTTGTAAGGGCGGTTGGACAGGTCGAGGTCGTGCCACAGCAGGCGGCGGTCGTAGGAGCCGACGATGAGGTTGTCGCCTCCCGGGTGGATGTCCATGGAGGAGATCCAGCGGGCGCCGGGCTGGATGATCTTGACGAGCTCCTGGCGCTGCAGGTCGTAGCAGCGGATCATGCGCTGGGTGGCGACGAAGAAGTAGGGGCGCGACGGGTGGAACTGGGCCGTCTGGGCGAGGCCGGGCAGCTTGCGGAAGGGCACCTGGCTGAGGTGCTTGGAGAGCGTGTGGATGATGACGGAGCTGCGCTGGCCGGTGGGGGAGACGGTGCACAGGAAGTCGCCGCGGCGGTGCCAGTTGATGGTCTTGATGGTGGAGCGCACGGCGAACTTGAGCAGCACGCCCTTGGCCACGAGGGACGCGCTGGGGCGCGACCACTTGGCAGGGGGTTCCTTCTTGACGCCGTCTGCGGTGGTTGCCGCTGCGGAGGCGCCGTTGGTTGCGTAGCCGAAGCCGGCGTCGAGGACGTCGCGGCTGGCCTGCTCGGTGGCATCGCTGACGATGGGGGGAGCAATGAAGAACAGGTCCTCGCCCGCGGCGGCGGCCAGGATGAAGGTGTCCTTGCTGGGGCGCCATCGCACCATGTTGACGGGCTCCGGCTCGTCGGCCGAGCTGAGCTGGGCGCTCCATTCCTGGTGGCCGTTGAGAGCCCAGATGCGGACGGTGCCGTCGTCGCTGCCGGACGCGATCCATTCGCCGTCGGGGCTGAAGGCGACGGTGCGCACGCGGCTCGTGTGGCCCTTGAAGATGGTCTGGCACACGGTAGGGAACGGCCGCAGTTCCTCGGGGCGAGGCAGCTTGGGCAGCAGCGAGTTGGGGTCGATGTTGAGCCTGTTCTTGCGGACTCTGGGCGCCAGGTAGAGGTCGAGGCAGCGCTCGAATCTCTCCTTGACGAACTCGCCATAGGCGGGCACCTTGCGCAGGGCGTCAAACTTGCTGGGCAGGTATTCCTTCTCTCTCTCCTCAGGATCGAGCTTCTCCCACGTATCCTTCTCTTCAGAGGTGGGCAAGTACTCGGGAGGAGGGTTATAGCTGAGATCGTAGCCGGGCGGCGCAAGCTTGGGCGCGGGGATGTGCATCACATGTCGTTCTTGGGGCTCCTCGTTGGCCCAGATGTCGTAGTACTTATCCTCCTGCTCCGTCTCTGGTTCAGGCGGCCTGTAGGGAAGAATCTTTCCTTCCTTGATGGCGCGCACCAGCTTGGCTATCCTCTTCGCTTCGTGTTTTGAGGGGACGAATCGTCGCTTGGGTTCTGGGGCGGCACTCAGAGGCATCTTCTCCTCGATGCTGGTGAAGTAGGGGATCATATCCTTGCGAGAATTTGTTAGCTGGAACTCACGCAAAATCTAGTAAAAACATCTTGATAGACTGGCTTGAAAAAGACATACTGGGTAGGGATCGTAGTCGTCGCTGGGGACTTCATTCATCTGCAGTTTCTTCAGAAGCTCAAGCTCCTCCTGGCTGAGGTTCAGCGGCTTGCCCGTCTCGGGGTCGGTCAAACCAGTCCAGCCCTTGGGGAGCTCAATGCTGTCCAGCAGGGCATCGAGAGCCTCGCCGGTGGCTGGCCGCATAATTTTCTTGCCGTTGATATCATATCCAATGTGTGGGTAGGAGTCGTAGAAGGAGAGCGGAATGTTGCCAATGGTGTTGACTGGTCCCTGGGCATCCGAGTCGTCGCTGTCGTAGACTGGATCTATCTCTGCGTACTCGTAGCGCACGCCTCCATTGGCGTCTTTGACGACTCTGTAGTTGGGTTCATCGTCATCCGCCTTGTCGTCGCCGTCTGTCTTGCTCTTGCTCTTGGGCTCGCCATTGATTCCCTCGGTCTCCTCGTCGTCGCTTCTAACATCAGGATCCTCATCCTCATCTTCGTCCTCGTCCTCATCGAGTTCGGGCTCTTCGCCCTCTGATTCGGAGTCCTCAACATCGTCATCATCTTCGCTCTGCGACAAGATGCCCTCGAGTTCGGCGCCGTCGAATTCATCGTCGGACTCGACAACTTCGGAAACCTCTTTCCGTTTCCGCGAGGGGATTGAAGGACCCATTGGATCGGTAATTTGTGGCTGTGATGTTGGGCGAATGGAAATGCGCTTCCGCGATATCACAGACACTCACAGCAATAGTTCAGTTCTGATAGTGTAAGTTTTTTTTTTTCTGTTGGCGATAAGAAGCTCCATCAAGGCGCGGAATTTGCTGTTGGCGCGCCCCACTTTGCGGAACAGCCCCGCCATCATTTTGCCTGTCGGCTTGAGTACCGTATTTCAGCAACTTCTAGGTAGAGAGTGTCTCAACTTGAGGCTTACAACTGAAGAAAAAATGAAATAGAGGCCAGAGAAAAGTTCTGCTTATGTAAATCATAGCCAATGGTCTCAATAGTACCAAAAGTTGTTAGTGGCCCACGAGTGAGTATCCAACATCCTCCGTATTCTCACTTACACGTGGTTTGCATCGGGTCTGAGTATCGTAGGGGATAAAAAGATTTGCCTTGCCAATTACAGAAAATCCAAAACGAGTAAACGAGAGTAAACGAGATCGAGTTTTCCCGTTTCTAGTTTCTCCGGTTCTCGGTTTCCCCATGAAATGCGCCGCCGCTGTGGATTTTCGGAGTAGAGATTTCTCGGCTTGACTTTGGTCGTTTCCGAGACCTTTGTCCGTAGCCACAGATCTCAGCAATACCTAACTATAGAAAAATTCTTCCGGGTCATGCTAACTCTTCACGGTGAATTAAACGAACCTCGAACCAAGTTTCCCGTTTTAGAAGCAACTGTATTGTATATCGAGCTCGGTCTGAGTCACACCCCGATGGTGCAGAAAGGGGCTAATGGCATTATATGCTTATTGCGGCTAGTCAACCAAGCTACCCATGCACGAATAAGTCTACACAATGGTTGATATCTGGACTCCGTGGCCCGTAGATGAATGAAACCTTGTATGTTCAGTGAAGAAATCGTTTGAATTTTTAAGCTTAATCGATTACGCCCCATCGCGTTCACACTATGGAAATACGACGAGTCACGAGGCTTACAAGGGATAACGTCTCGGGCAGAGACTTCTCCTTTGAGATATCCGCCCAAGTGGCCAAGCCCTATGAATCCCTTGCCCTAGGTGCGGAAATTGCGACCAATCCTGTTGCTGTCGTCAAAAAAGATTTCGGATTTGATGAGTCCGAGTTTGAGAATATCAAAGAACCAGACGGGGTTCTCTTCGCCGTAGTGGAGGATGAAAGGGTTTACGGATACGTACATGCAGCAAAGTCCTGGAACAACATGGTCGAGATTCGGTGGATCGTGCTGGATGTGAGCATTAGAGGACAAGGTTATGGTAGAATGCTGCTGGATGAAGTGGTTAAGTGGGCTCGCCAGCTGGGGGTTGCTGGTATTCGCCTGGAATCTCAGTCAAACAACGTTGCCGCATGCCACTTCTACAGACGATACGGATTCAAGTTTGGTGGATATGATGAGTATTTGTACAGAGGGATTCCACAGAACCGGGATGAAACGGCTTTCTTTTGGTATTATATGTTTGAATAGCATAACGTGATGATTAGGAGAAACATGAAAAGATGAAAAGAAAAACAAAGGAACTTTTATAAATCTCGAAGGGTATCTAGTCTAGCTATTTCGATCAAAGGTTGTCCACACACGGGTAGCCATCCTCTTTATTATATAGCAAACTTTGCAGGGCAATCGGGTCCATCTCCAGATCAAATCAAAGACACAGCAATCGTGAATCGTAATTAAACATTTGTAAAAAGAGAAAAGAATCGGCTTTCAGTGAGCCTGTCATGCACTGTGCCACGCTGGACTCATCGCAGACTGTAGTGATGCGCCTATAGAACACGTTAAAATCCTGCACGAGGTAAACGAATGCATGGACAAGTAGCCAACTTACTAGAATTTCCCAGCTGTGCTCCTTTCGACAAGCTTCCTGCGCCTCTTTCCATGTCATCTTTGTCTCTTTTTTGGAGGGACCTATAGAAAACAGGTGTAAGTCATTTTGCCTTGGATTATACACGAGATGAGAATCGGATCTTTACCAGCTGAGGCTTGTTTTTCGGACATTGTATTTGATTGCCCGACCAAAGTCACTTCTGATGCCATTGCTTCAGGCTTGGTAGCGAGAGCAGAAGACTTTTTTGATGGGAGTCCGAAAGGCATTTTGCTGAGAAGTGTGTGGTAGTTGTTATGTCGGCAAAGTGTTATTATTTCGAAGGCTGCCTATGAACTTCGTCGAGCAGGTAGGTAATGCAGTCGAGTGTCTTTTAGTTCGGTATTGAATTATATGGATGCTATGTTGTCGATGTTGATTTCGAGATATGTAAATAGTCGAAGTATTTGTGATAGGACTGATATCTCAAATAATAGTTCAAGCTTGTTCAATGCTTTAATTGTAAGCTTATGTTGCTACTTGTCGATGAAATTGGAGCCAGTGGAGGAAGAAGGCCTACATATATATATAAATATATTTCTACCTACGTACACACCCAATTTCATTCAGCCGCGAACCTTATTCAGCCCTGGATCCAAGAATTCTCACACGTGTGGGCTCTTGCATGCCGCACAGGCTCGGACTGACCCATTCCGTTTCCTGAGTCACCCGCCAGCCACCAGAAAGTGTATTTGATATCTTGCTTGAATAATCATAGTGTACGTGGACGTGTACGTGTAAGTCGATATACGGTCATCGTAGGGCTATTATCCTGCCGATTGGCTCGGCGTGACTATTCGGTCCACTCTTCACGCCCTTGTTCTGGCGTTTGCTGCCAAGCTAGGTGCTAGTGTTTCCGAGCTGACTGAATCCCCCCAGCCCGAGCCCGAGTCCGAAGCCGGTTAGCAAATCCGAATTTCTTGAATGACAAAACATCGACTCTTCATACTTGCGTCTTGCTGCGTTTCTTAGCACAACCACCCCCCGAACACGGATCTTGTGCATTGAGGAAGCGTTTCTTAAACATATGAAATCCCCTGGCTAAATGGCGGCAGCGTCGGCGGCGTCAGCATCGTCTCCGATGTTGCTCCGCAGGCCGAATGGGCGACCTGTGGCTTGTGACAACTGCAGATCTCGGAAAGTAGCTTGTGACCATCAGCAGCCGGTTTGCAAGCGATGCATTGATAGAGGACAAGAGGCTGAGTGTATCTATACCTCTTCAGTGCCTCGAAAGCGACCATTCTCAAAGCAGGATGCATCGCATGACCCCGGTGCATCAACCCGAGTGGTGAGCCAATATGAAGCTGTGGTAGCTCCGAGGACGGCCGGCCCGGTTCCGGCGCATCGGTCAGTATCCGCCGAGGACGACAGATCACTTCGCCGTGCAGAGCTCCGGCGTCAAGCTCATATGGAGATTCACGATGGCAGCGCAAAGGTGTCGTCACCCCTAGAGCCGCACCATCGCGTCTATTCCATTGAGTCACCACTTGATCTTCCTGGACATCGTCGTCGATCAACCAACCATGACCACGCTTCGGCTACGACAACCCCAGGAGGACATCTTCCTTCGGAGAGGGCATCAACGCCTCTAGACCGTGCTTCGGGGTACATGGGCTTTACCAGCTACTCGTCAGTCTTTGAAGAGACGCAAAATAGTCTTTCCATGCTTCAGGGGTTCCAAGCCTGGCTGCCCCAGCCAACAAACGCCAGGCTAAGACAGGGCGAGGGCACCGAAGAACTCCCCAGGTACCTTTGCTCGCCGACAAAGGAGATGTCCCTTGTCGTGCTTCGGGCTATCCCGTCCCCGAACATGGGCTATATTGAAATTGTCAAGGACTCTCCATTCTACCGAGATGGCTGGCTCAGGGTGACGGCGCGACGTGTGCTCTCGGATTTACACGAGAGGTTCGGCTCGTATCTAGGGCCTTGCCGTGTGGACTCCCAGCTTGAAGACATTGCGCTTTTCTTGAGTGATAACACAACTAAGCCATTCATAGAGGGCGAGCCAGACCCTGAGAAATGGATCGGCCAGTTCACGGGGCCCAATTTGAGATGGGAGTCACTCGGACTCATTTTTAGCTACGGCGCACTAACCTTTCTGGACGTCAACAAACCAAACAGTGGATTTGACAGCAATGCGGCCAAAAAAGAATGGGAAGAGATATCTCGCGTCTCCCTTGGTCTTTGCATGGACCTGAGCAGGAGATTTGCATCGGCGAACAGCCTGTTAGCTCACCTTTCGCAGCGGCGAAGCACACTGGAATCCATCCACGCGGGAGATGCTAGTAAGTAGACTATTGTGATTTGTGACTCCAAGCCTCCGATATACGGTGCGGACGGGAAGTGAAAACATTGCTAACGGCACAGGCTATTCCACATGGAGGAGCGGAGCAGAGTCAGTGGCTTTGGCGACATTCCTTGGGATGCATGCCGAGTCCAATTCCCCGTCCTACGAGCCGTCATTGGCTTCTGAGTCTCGACGGAGCCTTTTTGCTCAGATGTTTGTCGGGGAAAAACACGCAGTCTTGTTCACGGGTCGGCCGCCCAGAATCTCGCACCGATATGCGTTTACACCCCTTCCCTTGGACCTGCGGGACGAGGATCTGCTTGAGGGGGGCGAGACTCTTAGGGCGGCTGTGAAGGCTCTGGATGAGAACGGATGGAATACGAACGGGAAGGTGTACCCTACGACTTTTACTCGAGCGAGATACATTATAGCGCTTATACGAGATGAGTTGGTTGAACTTGGTATAGGCAAAACCAGGCAGAAAGTTGCCAGTGTTCTTCTTCGGTAAGCTCAACGTCCTTGATACTTTAATCCCCGCTCAGCCCCCGCTAACTCATTTGTGTTTCCAGTGATCTCAAAGAGCGGCAACATGAGGCTGTCAAGGAGTTCCCTGCGACGATAGCCTACAATCCCGCTGATTTTAACGACCCCGATATCAACGTCAATCTGATCGTTGCGCGAATAATACTGCATCTTGAGGAGCTGGAAAATTTGTTCCTTATTGAGCGAGTGCTGTCAAAGCACGGTGAGGCGGATGAAGGAGGAATATTGCTCATTGCCTTCCAGCTCGTGTCGTTGACGCTGTTGTTCTGGACTCACAAGGATCGCTTTGCCCCTTTTAGGAATGACTTTGAGTGGCTGGTGAGACAAACAAGCCCCCCATTTTTCACGAGCATATTTTTACTCACGCGGCTGTGGCGCTTCTAGGTCATGGCCTTTGCAACGCCCAGCGGTGGCATCCTTTGCATGGAGCTCCTCAACCCCACGTTCAAGGGAAGTCATCCAAAGAACCCCTCCATAACACGATCCAACATCATCCAGCAGCTCAGCCTCCTCATAGGCTTCCTTGAATGGATTGACCCCTCTAGACCGAATAGCGACTTATGTGCGACGACGAGCGCCGTGATGAGGCGCGTGCTGGACCATGTTCTTAACACTGCTAACGAGAACATGAGTTGGCGGCCGGAAGCAATGGACAACATGCAGCTTGACTTTAGCTTTGAGCTCTTCGATACGTTTGATTGGATGAAACATGATGTGATGACGAACCCGGCGATGGGGAATTGAGAGGTGCCAGCTGTGGCTTGGAGTTGCTCTTTGTAAGTTTATATCGTGTTGAGATGAAGCTTGCTTTAACTAGGTACGCACACGTAAGGATGAACATACCCATGTATCTTGACTCTGTTGATAAACATTACTATACCTAGATGAAGAACCCTTTGAAGTATAGGTAACTAAATAGACATATATTACACCAGATCCTATGCTTCATCTTTCTACATACCACTGTTTAATAAAGTCAAACGTCATCCCCCTTTCACACAATCTCCTTCCCCAATCCCTCGACTTCCCCTTAGCCGCCGCAGATCGCTTTCCTGCATGAGTCTTCGCCAGTTGGATGTTCTCGCCGAGCTGCAGTCTTTCATGTGGCCACCTGCCATGATACCTGGTGAAGCTTACATGGCTCCCTCTACCCCTAGCCTGCTTGTATCCCAATGCCTCCATCGCAGCCTTGAGCTGGGCGTAGGAAACCGAAACTGCTTCGTCTTCTCTGACTTTGATGCCATAGATTGCTTTTAGCGTGGCCCATTCATGCTTCTTGATGATGCCTTTGGGAGAGCCATCGGGGGCATTGGGCGCTGGCCCGATGGCAGCGTTGGATTTTGGCGCAGTGGTTTGAGATTGGGCCAGAAGACGAGTTTCGTGGATAGATGAGAACAAAAACTGTGTGAGACTAGCATGGAGTGACTCTTCCCATCGCGGGTTGTATATGTCCTCATTTGCGACGCTGTCTTCTCCCACATCTGGCGTTGTCTCGTCTTTCTCCTTGCCTAAATCGGAGGTTGGCTCACCGGATGGTTCTGCTTGTGTCTTTGATCTTTTCTGACGGCGAGCGAGCTTCTTCAGCCGCTTCTTCTCTGTTGCCGCGTTAGGTGGGGATGATTCCAATAGGTCGATGAAGGCATCTCTTTGTCGTTGGCGCTTTGCTGCCGCCACTATCTCCTCAGCCTTGACGTTGCGAAATACTTGGGTTTGATTTACAAGAGCCACCTTTACCCCTAGCCCTACTTCTTCTTAGTCCAGATTGAATGGCTTTTCGTTTAGCTTATGCATGTAATCGGTTCCAGATACGCCCATTGCCTTTTCGAGCCGAGAAATTGCTTCTTCGTTGGCTTTGAGACCCCCGAATTGCTCGTTATGGGGGTATATATAATCGCGGAGCAGCGACGCTCCGAATCTCTTTAGATCGTATTTGGCATGTCCCATCGAGATGGATTCGCGCGCAAAGCCCTGAAGTTCATCGAAGAAGAGGAATAATCTGTTCATACGCTCCTTTGGGATCTTGTCAAAGTTAAACTCGTCAAAATGTAGAAAGTTGATGGAGATATCTCTGCTAGCTTGGTCAAAATACTTTCGGCGAACCGTTTCATCAACCTCTCCGCCACCGATTCTGTCCATGGCAGGCCAAAGAGACTCCAAGTGGTCGGCGAGCGAAGTCAGGATATCGAGACTGTATATTGTATCAGCGATTAATTCTGTGAATACACCTTCCCTCTTGTCTTCTGTGACCTGCCGCACTTCCTGGAGATAGCGTACTGCCTCCTTGATTCCGCAGTTCGTGCGGTCTAAAGGATTCACGATGAAGGTTTCAATGGCATCAAAGACAGATACTTTGAGGACGTTCTTTTCTAATTTGTTGATATTGAACTTTTTATCCCTGGTCTTTGAGCGGTATTTCAGGTCTGGAGCGTAATAGTGATTCTTCTGTATGTTGCATGCGCGGTCTTGGATTTCTTCCTGAGGTGGTCCGATGCTATATACTAGATGGGACATTATTGGCGAACCAGCGTGAATGCCCTTCTTACGGAATTCATTGACGAAGAAAATGGCATGGTACCGAATCAAAACAACCAATGACATGTATTCTTCTGCTAATTTGGCGTGCTTTTGTTTCATTTTGTCAGAGAGAAAAACCGGAGGCTGCTGGGCCCTGTTGGTTCCATCTGTGTCAGAATAGCCTTCCTTGCCGTAGTCTGGAAACGTTTCTTTCATCTTGCTTTCGAATTCCCGCAGGCGGGTGTAGATAGAATACCACATGTAAAACTCAAAAATGTGCCGCCTCACCACTCCTCTTATGAGATCATAATAGAGCATATGGCAAGTCTGCTCATTTGTGTATTGTTCCACGTATGCTGAATATTGATCCACTTCATCAGGACTTTTCTCGTCACTTTTCATCCCAATATTTCCCCAATGATGTTCCCTAAGCTCGTAAACCATGTCAAAGAAAAAGCCTGGGTCGTTAAACAGCTTTCGAATACTCTCCTCTGCCTCTTCCATCGTGGATTGCAGCTCTGTAAAGTAAATTGGTGAGATCTGTGTGGGTGGAAGTAAGGAAGGCTGATTCCTGGCAAAATCAAACCAGTCTTTCAGATGGTGCTCCTTACTCATCGTGGTTCTAACATTGCTCAATACCTCGCTCTGTTCTTTGGGAGATTTGAGAGCCAATCGCGCGCTAGGGTTAAGTTTCATCTTGTCGCAGATATCTGTGAGGAGATGCCAGAGATAGTAATAAGTAACCCGCTGACTTTGAAGCATGATCCAAGCCTCAGATGGCGCAAAGAGCTGTCCTCGATGCCAAAGATCATCATATTCTTCCTTATCCTCAGCGGAGAGTTCATCGTCTGGGCGATTAGTCCATCCCTTCCATAGTTCTGGACGATAGCTCTTTACGGAACCAGACTGGGAGATGTCAAAGCTAACCATACGGTTTGCAATCAAAGGGTCTGTCAGATAATTGGTCCGTCTGCCAATAAAAGTCATATCATTGTCCTTTTTTGCAAAAACAGAAGGGTGTTGCCTGCCACGAGAGTGGATCAAGGAAAACAGCCGACCAGGCTCTAGCAAGTCAGATGAAGCGATGTGAGGGGCCAAGAACGTGAGACGTTTTTGTTTGTAGAATTCGCGTGATTCTGGCCAATTGGCTGAAGCCGGCGGGTTTGTGATGACAGCGGGTTCGGGTTCATATTCATGTGGCCAGTTTATTGGTAGCCGGCTATCGTAAAAGTTGTAAAGATGGTTATAAAAAACAGTATGATGATTTCGAATGTCGCCTACTTGAGTCATTGCACTCGCCGAGAAATATCGATTGATAAATATAAAAGGGAATAGTAAAGGTGCGTTCGAATCGGGGATTTTTATGTGAAAATCGGATTCTATCGAGTTAGGTTCCATGAAAGTGCTGATGTCTGGGTGGCAGTTGTTAAAAGCCGTAACAGTTGGATGCCAACTCGATGTCATGGAGGCATATGGGCTGCTGTTGGTAAGAGGTTCTTCGTTTTCTAAGCTCATATAAGAGTCAAGGATCCAACGTTGGATGTCATCCTCGTGGTTTCTAACCAATCGTTGGATCTTGTCCCAAGTCTCTTGCACATCAGCAGCCATTGCGTCCATGCACTTTTCGTAATCTTCGAATCGCGGATTTGGATCACCCGGTGGATATCTTATGAGATACCCCCAGCCCCATCGACTCATGAAAGCTCTTGTCATCTCTCGTGGTCCATCCGGCTCCGCTTCCATTTCCAGGGCAAGTGTCTTCTGTTTTCTCTCTATCATAAGAGCCGCGCGCCCAGGGGCTGGGAAGAAGATAGGGTCGGCAAGCCGACGGTTTTTCCCCAAGTAAATGTCATGGGCATCGCCCTTGTAATTTTCAAGAGTTTCATTGGACATGATGAAATTTGTCAGATAACAAGTCTGCAGTGACGAGAAGTGGCATACGGAAGAAAGTGGCGATTTGGAGTATGAAGAGCATGATGGCAATAGTTTACGCTCAACATTATATACATATAAGTTGCACATGTACATGTACATGTGGTCAAAGAAATGCAATGGCATGGCGGTTAATGGCCGCCGAAGGATTGTCTATATGCCTGGATAGGCTCTTTGCGATTAGCTGTCAAACAACGGTTTTTGGGGTCAAAGGGATTAAATCAGTCTAAATTGAGAAACACAGATATTAAGCATTACATTGAATTTTCGAGTCTTTAGTTTCTACCAAAGAGAATTCTCGTCTCGGCATGTCAACGAGAGCAAAAGGAATGGCTACGACATCCTCCCTTTGAAACAACCATTCGACCCGAAGACCGACAATTGAGGGGCACAGCTAAAATACTTGAAGATTATATTAAATCTTAAGTACATCATTTTTCTCTCCTTTGTCTTTCCAACGGTACTGAGATCAAGTTCTCGAATGAAAGAAGAATTCTTGTCGAAAAGCAAGCGCTTCATTTGAGTGGCTATCTGCTTAGTCATCAACTCTAGCAAATGATCAATGATCTTTTACCAGTGAGTGAGCAGCCTTTGATCATCTCACAGAGAACTTCCCTTTCTCACGTCAATGGCCAAAGCAACACGTGGTCGGCTGACGCGATTCTCATACGAAGCAGCCTCCCTCTCATTTTAATACGTTTTGTTTACATAAACGCGCTTCGAGACATGGCGCGCCAAAAAGCTCAAGCCGCTGGGCCGGCTTCAACTCAACAACAACAAACGGCATCTGAGCGAAACCAGGACGGTGAAGCCGTAGAAATCCAAGTCCCACAGTTCTTCAACACGACTTTTTCAACTCACCGCGTGTCTCCGCTTTATATCGGCCCGCAAAAGCTTGACCAGGCCCGCCTTGACCGACTTGCTCACCGGCTCCGTGACACGCTGGTTGGAGATGTGGTTCGCGGCGTTCAGATTGGACTCGAGGCTACAGACACGCCAATGGGCCAGGTTGGGCCGCTGAAAGCTGTGACTTTCCGTTGGTTTCAGGCAACGGACATACTGGGTGACAAGAGCTCCGAGGGCTTGGGCCATGAACAGACAAAGGGACTCTGGATCGAGTTGCGTCATGAGAACGCTGCCTACGTCGCGCTGTTGCTGCCTGGATTCTCACAATCACAAAAGGCTCCTAGCACTTCAGCTGCCTCACTATGGACCATGAGCCTAGACAAGCCTGAAATCGGTGGGGCTGACAGCAGCCAATTCCTTCGCCTACCTCTGCTACTCCTTCGAATGCCCCAGCCTCTCAAGGCAGTCATCAGCGAGTGGCTGTCAACAACATTTGACTGCCGTGTCACTAAACTCAATCTGGGCACCCGAACTCTGGTCGATGTACTAGAGCGCTGGATTCAGGAAACTGGACTACCCCGAGCGGAGTCGGACCTTGTGTTGACTCTAGCATTCAACGCACCTGTAACAGATAAAGGTCGAGCACCTGTACTTCCTTCGAGCGGGGATCCAGGGGACGGCGACGGTGAAGATGAAGAGGCAGCTGAGCCCGGGCTACGGAGCGTGGAAATTTGCATATCCGCATCGGATTTGCGTCGCTTCCTACGAGCTGGAAAGGAGTTACTGAAGTCTAAACAGACATCGTCTAAATCGACTTCGAATACGCCTTCATGGGAGCATGATGACCGAGAACGACGCAGGCTCGCTGGTCCGCACATGGACGACGGGTGGGGATGGCTAAAGAATAAAGAAGGACCTTCGTATCCCTTGATGGAAGCTTTGGCAAATCATCTAAACCACCACATGGCACTGAATTTGTTGCATCCAGGCGTTCGTGTCACTCAGGTCTCATGCGGGGGATTTGTCCTCTCACAGTCTCGGATCAAAATTGTAAAATCTGGAGAGGTAACCGATGATCTCTCCAGAGCGGCTTGGATGTTTGTTACGCTGCTGGGTGAAAGAGTGCAAGGCGACGAAATTCCTTTGGTGACTTGATTTTCACTGTTGCGTCACGTTAGAGCTTTGAAGTCGGACAATCTTTACCTCGGACACGTGCAGATTGATGTTGGTTCATCTCAGAGCTAAGTGGCTAAAGCATTCTAGGCAACAATGCCTGTACGAGTAAAGTAATCTGTCACGAGCATGGCCAAGGATCTGGGGCTAGGGAAGCTCAAGCTTTTGTTGAGACCGTGTCCAGCGGATCTACATACAAGTATGTGCCGCTCGCAGTGGGTCGCTTCAGTTGGAGTATCAGCCGCTTCTTGCGACATAGCCAGACAAGGAAGCGTAATACTACCATATCAGAGCTAGGTTGTTGGTTGTTGTGCGCTCTGATCTGGCCAAGTGTCACGATGCCTTTCGAGGCTCGCAATGGTGTTGATGGAAAAATGGCAAGTTGGATGCCGGCTTGGCGAAGCAGACAGGAGAAATAGGTCTAGTGCTGAATCCTGGCAGCGGGAGGACATGATTTGTTGAACCGCCATGACAAACTCCGTGCCTTGCTAGTCACGATGAATACCCCCATTCTTGTAGTAGCGAGGATGCGATGCTGGTGTTATGAATAAAATCTCGCTACATACTCGTACATAAGCAGCATGTGTTATCTGGTCTTTATGGAGCTGGGCCGACATTTGCTTGTGACTGTTTGCTCGTATTCACCCGAACTCCGTAGCCCAGGATGACAGGCATCGAAAATTCTCCAGAAGCCCACCGCCTTATGCATCGACGCCGGTGATGGTGTGTTACATCGATGCTAATTTACCATTCCTTGTTAGTGACTTGTCAGCCGGATTCGGAGTAAGAATAGCGTTGGTGGCAGTAGCGAGTCTGATGGAGGAGGGACAAAAAAAGAGGAGGGAGAGAAACAGAAAGAAAGAAAATAGGAGTAAAAATGAGGCTCTTCGGAATATCAACGTCTCCTTCTTCCCCCTAGCCCTAGCGACATCTGCTGTACGGGAATAACGCATCGGCTAAACGCCAAAGCACTTGTAACCCAGTAGTAGATGGAGTTATGGGCATAGTAGGGAGTACTCAAGCACAGATAGACGCTCATCCAGCTGTCAAGGTATTGTTCAAATCTCGCGATGTAGTTGTGGTGTTTCGTCTTGCAAGATTTCCTGCATCAAATTGCCAAGCAAATCCAGACCAGGCCAAGGCGCCAAGGCGGGAGGCCAAGCCTCTACTGCTGAAATCCGCGGATCCCGTTGGCTCCTTCCTCGCTGCCAAGACCCCAGATTCAGAGTTCAGGAACGGTCCAGCGATCGCACCTGCTCGATCCAGGGTTCAGGACTTTTGCAGCTTCCTCTCCCATGCAGAGGCGTTTGCTTCTTTTCCACTCCATCACCTTCTCCATACAGTGCTCTCAATTCAAAACCAGAGCCGCAACAACAGCAGAAGCATCGCCACTCCGACAGCCGCAAGACCCGCGTTATCTCCATCATCTGCGTTCCCTGTGCCGGTCACTGGACTGTACCGCACTGTACTATACTTGTAATACACCACAGAGCAATGAGGGCGGCATCAAGGCATACTCCAACGGAAACACGGCATCACAGCATCGTCTGATAGGCTCATCCCATCGGCCTCCCCTCCCCCAAATCGCCAGGGCGTGACAAGTCGCACAGTACTCCGTGCTAAAAGTCTCAATGGTAGACTCGAATTGCCCTGTGTGGTACCAGCACGGAGCACGGAGTACGGACAGTCTAATCTCCACTGCTTCGTATTATTGCTGCACTATCATCTCCTCCGATGCATCGGTACCACATCGGCGCGTTTCTACTATACTGCACTGTATTGTGCTCTCCTCTCTCCCTCTCCTCGCAGTACAGGAGCAAGCAAATTGCAAGCCAAGATCAGCAGTTGCACAAGCATCTCGCATCCTTGCACGGAGCAGATCGAGATACGCTCGAGCCGTGGGATGGACAAGATGGAGCACAGGGAGCGACGCCCAAGAAAGGAGAGCGACAGAAACGGCAAATAACGCCAGGGTCTTGGCCATGGCACACTTTAGGCCAGAGTGGCTGCAGTTTTTGGCTAGCTGGCATAGATTACAGTTGGCGCCAGTCCAACTCCGCATAGAGCTGCCTCACCTCACTTCACGCCGGATGACGGAACCGAAGGCCGCATCGCCTCGAAGACTTCTTTCCCGACTGAATCATGCTCGCCAACTAACGAGCGCTAAGCACCAGTGCCAGTGTTTAATAATACTAGTCACGGGCCTCGAAGCAGATCCATGATGGAGGGAAATGCTCTGTGCGGAGTACAATTAGCATCTCATTTCTCCAGAGCGTTGGATTTGATGATGCAGTTGCAAAGGCGCGCCACGAAGGCGTCTGATGCCGCCTTATTCGCTAAGCTCCACGCCTGTTTCTCACTGGCACTCTGCTCTCTCTTTCTCGGTGTCTGATAATACAAATAACGACAGGGACGAGATCCGTAATTACAATTTACAGCAGCCCTAAAATCATGTTATGCACCACCACAGTTGTGTCGGCCTGACCCACCCCGGCACTGCTGTAGCCGGCTACACGGCTCGGCCCAACACTAGGACCCTTGCTCAGAAAGCTTCCTGAGGAAGAAATATTAATTTCATGGTGCTAGCTGGTGAAGATGATCTGCTGTCAACGACTAGACTAAAACCCAAGCGAGCCCCGATTAGCCTTCCGTCCGTTCTCACCCTTCTCTCTGTGGTTCGAAAATCATGCTGTTCATTCGATATAGTAAATGAGCTGGGTCCGCTGTCATACGGACTAGTTGGACGTCTAGACCAAACTGTGCAAGACCTCAAGCTATACTTAATCATCGCCGCTCTCCTTTTGCCCGCCATCGACGACAAGCCGAGGCGAAGTCGCCTAACCAAGTGCACGTCATACCAATATCAAGTCAAATCAGATCGCAAAACACCAAAAGGGAGAGATCAAGGATAGATCGCTTACTTACATCGCCATGAAAGTTCTTGTTTTTGGGGTGACTGGCAATGCCGGCAAGGAAATCGTCAACCACTGCTTTGCAGATGAGCGCATCACCAAGGTTGTGATCTTCACGAGGAAGGCGGTCCCGATAGATGTCGAAAGCCACCCCAAAGCCGAAGTCATCATGCATCAGGATTTTTCGCACTATTCTGAAGAGATGATGCGCAGACTTGAGGGGGCCGAAGCGTGCTTATGGTAAGAAATTTCCGAGCATACAGCATGATACCTGTAACTACGAACACTGCATACAAGGGCTTTTGCTGGATGTCGTGTGCTGGAGAGTCTATTTGATTACTTTGCCACCTCTTTTTACTAATACCAAAATTATAGGGCTATTGGAGGGAGACTCAACCAGTTCAACAACGACAAGGAATTGTGCCGCAAAGTGAGCGTAGAGTTCACACTGGCGGCAGCGAATGCGATGCTGAAATACCTGGCCGACAAAGTTCCCCAAGGCAAGAAATTCCGATTTGTCTTTTGCAGCGGCAAATACTCGGAATGGAATCAGAAAAGGCCTCTTTTGTTTCTGGCTGACTCCCGCCGCATCAAGGGAGAAGTTGAGAAAGGCCTATGCGACCTTGCAGATGCAAACGCTGACAGGTTTGAGACTTGGATCTTACGACCTTCCGGCTTCATCGAACCCAACGCTCCATTTTCCAAGAGGCTCGTCGGCAGCCTGTACGGCGCCATCACGACCACTCAAGTTGGCAAAACGATGGTCAAGGTAGCCTGTGAAGGATGGAAGGACAGGATTATTGAGAATGAAGCGCTTCTCAAGATGTAATTCGGTGCTGTTGCCTCTCTTTTTTTTTCTCCTTTTTTTTATAAGAAGAGGTGTTCTTGCAGTCAGACAGAAACAGCATATGTTTTCAGATACCCATTTGTCATGAGAGAGGGATTTTGCGTACCGGATTAACACCGAGGTTTTTATTTGAAATGATGAACAGCGTAGGGGCGCTCAATGGACATACGGACGGGAGTTATTCGAGTCGGGAAATGAGACATATTACAACTACTGACCAACTTGAGGTGGTCTTGGTGTTCAGTTGAGAAGGTTTCACACCTAGCTTTTGCCGATCTAATCATTGGATCATTATAATATTATCGTCACATAATTACTAAGACATGTATTCACTGGCTGTTAATTATGTATTGTATGTTGACGTAACTATAGGCAGAAGGTCGTAATGTCCAACCTCCATTTCGGACGATAAAAAGTTCCGGGGCCTTATGGGGTGAGTTTCTGTTTGTATGAGTGCTTCGCGTGTGGATGGTGGACGATGATGGATATGGAACTGTGGGGTAGCAGTAACTAACCCACACCCTAGAAGTAAGTGACAGACAGACAGACGGCTAGGAGTTGAAACGCCCAAGTCTCCGGCCATGTATAAAGATCACCCTACGTAGATGTGCTTTCGAGACTTGACTTAAAACTGATCTGTAGAGTTGATGCTCAGTCACACCCCCCTTATCCATGGCCCGAATCGCATGATAGACGATATACAATGCGGTGGAAGTGATACATATCAACTTCATTATATAGTGTACCGTGGAAAGTTGTGGGGATCTGACTTGAACAGCCGGAGGCACAGCCGCAGATACTGACACCTTGAGAGCAGTGTGAGTTACTTAGAACGACGAGACGGAAGCCATGGTTGCGAGCCTATGAGAATTGCCACTGAGAGAAATTTAATAAATGTTGCCATAGACTCGGCAATCGTCAATTTGCGCAACAGTGGACGGAGAGGCTACATGGAGTTTAAGCGACGAAATAACACGCAGTGTAAAGATATTTTGCTTAGTATTACTTGAGTAGATACGTGGTTCTTTATGCATCTGCTCTCGTTCTACCACTGCTTTGTAGTACTATGGCTACTTTCTGCTAATGCCGACATATTCTTCTAGTATTTGCTATTGTCACCAGCTATTAAATCTTTTCATTTGGGACACGGGATGCTGGATAGCTACATAATTTACAAGGACAGTTTCCACCTAATTAATGTCAGTACCAGAGTTCATAACTCTGAAATGTCCCTACAAAAAGCCAGTCGAACATGGTGGCTCGCCATACAACCATGACTTACTCTTTAATAATATTCACATCTTTGGAGATCTACCATGTTACCGCAGTAGTTTTATACAATAATTATGTTACGAGTCGAATAAAAGTTTCTTCTGTTCAAGTTTTGTGTAATGTATAGATCACCGTACGCCGGAGCCAACCACCGGCTCAGTATACGCAGGATACTGATCTTTAATGTGAGAATTAAATGTCAACACTTGAACTCATAATACCCAGCTAAGACACACTTTGGGCAAAGTATTCACTTCTTTGAAAGCCAGCAACATCTAAGCTTATCAGCAATCAGTCCTTCTTACCTACCATCTCTATGCCAAGTATACTCTCTTCTTGCCTCTCAATTCAACATACTCACTGGATACTACGTTGCATTACAGCTAGATGGATCGGGCAATATGACATCCATGTGTAGTCTCAAATGTCACTGTGCAAGGGGAAATATGGAACTAGGACAGAATGAATTGGCTGGTATAAAAACTAAAAACAGAACTAGTGGCCGTTAGCAGACATAAAAATGTATATACCAATGCAAAGCCTTAAATATTTCTCGGGAGCTTCTCCCTGAGGGGGCACGGCTAAACAACATCGTTGAGAACCGTGGGGGCCATTTGAAGGCGGTGGTTTACGGGAAACTCCATATTTCCTCGGGTACCCCCTTAAGAGATTTAGTTCATAATGACAATTTTTACTACAGGGAGTCTATAATCGGATTGGGGGTATTGGGCTTCACAGCCAGTGTGCAAGGCTGCATGGAGGTGGCGTCGGAAATACAGAATCCTCGTGTAAGAAATACACATGCGGGAGAGAGCCGCAGATCTTAACTCCAAAAACCCAAAACAGATCTAGTCTACATGTGAATATACCCAACCAGTTGAGGAGAACACAAAAATGATATACCCTGAATGGCCTGCAATTCAAGTTGTAGCTCCATACGCTTTAGTCAATTCAGTATCTCAGCACAAGGACTTTCGGAATTAAATTTATTTCTCCAAGGGGACCAACTACTACAACAAGCCAAGACACATTCACAGTTTGCCGCTTGACCAAAGCCACCGGCTTACAGTTCAATTACTTGACGGAAAGTCTCCCTTGAAATCGGCATACAAAAGTACCTCAAGGGACATATATATCATCATTCTAATTAAAGTCTTCATCATCTCTCTTCTTCTCCTGTCACCTACCCTGCACACCGTAAATACCGTATCCAATCTTATCTAAGCATACTTAATTATGGCGCATCTGGTAACTGGGTAGCATTCCATGTAAATCCAGAGCTTATTATTACTGGGGTCATCATGCATGCGCTCTCATGCACTCTATCATGCTGACGGATTATCCGCCAGCTGAAGTTGGTGGCGAATGATCCTCGATTATGTATTAGTACTTGGTTCATCCTGGTAACAAGGTTACATTGAATGTCTCGGCGTCAAATCACCCGAGAACAGAGATGCTCAGCCTCGATCCTCCTTCGGACGAGTCCTTACAGTCTCTATATCCCTTCGAAGATGGGAGCCCAAGTAGGAGAGTTGAATGATGCAAGTGAAAGTGTGCAATTTGTCTATCGAACCTCCTAGCCGGTACTTACAGTAGCTTATAGGCAGTGATATAGCTGGCCGTAGCAGGGGCGTCATGTATCTGAGATAGAAGTTCATACTAGGTACATGATTACGCCTCTACTACTCCGTACTATGTATACATCTGTGTATAATTGCACTGATGACAGATGACTTGCATTCGATACTACCATAGAGGCTTGGCTTTATACTACGTTTCATGTTTTGACATATACATTTCGCACAGCAGACAGCATAATCCTATCAGCATCTGCGGCTTCTTCCGAGAAGCGCGAAATGCCGGATCGTCCATTGTCGAATCGTTCAGTCGTATGTATACACGATTCCATGTCGAAGGATCCAAGAACGAGCCTGCGGCTACAAACCCGTTTCTAGCCCTAACTTTGATGAATCAAAGGTCGTCTGCTTTACTCAAATCATGCGTACCATTCCCTACGCGCGTTGTTCCCGGTCCACCATCCTGAGATTGCGCGCCTAGGGTCTCCAATTGGAGAAAGCCAAGAACGGAATACCTTGCAAACAACTCCTCCCCCCTACCGAAGACAAAATATCGCAAGATAGATCAAATCCGGAAGCTCAGTGCCTTTCAACTGCCCACAACGGCCCGTTCGTAGTGAGATTATGGGGCGAGCCCGCATCGCCCTACTGGCAGTTGTCGGGCAATTAGAGCTCTACCCGTAGTCAACCGACAGAGGCCAAGCCGGTTGGGCGGCTAGCAGCTGGAACTTAACTGTGTTTGCAATGGCAAAACACATACTTGTAGAGTGAAGACATTTCCGCTTCCGCCGACAAAGTGCAAGGATATTCGCCAAGGAATTGATTCAGGGGTTCACTGGCAAAGTCCTCTTGGACTCATCTGCTATACAGCATCGCAGTCTTGGCAGCGGCCAGCTCCGACAAATTGTCACTGATGCGCGCTGCGTGCAGTGTGAATCGCTCATGGTTGGCTGGTCCCTTGAATGAACCGTATGATCGTTGGTCAGGCATCGTATCTACCGCTTGCAATCCGTAGCACATGTCATCTCATCTCATATCTACTGTAACAACCCAGATGGCTATCCTGGCGGCATATGCCACTGCCCCATGCCAGTCTCGGCATGCTACTTTTGCGGGTTCGCCGCCAAAACTTGACTTAATGAGCTGCCACTGGTCATCGCAAAAAGAGACTCGCTGGGCCCCTGTCCTCGCTTTAGTTAACCTTATGTGGCCCCTGTCAAGCCGCTTGGCCTGACTTAAAATGAACGCTAAGGCTGCGCGTGAGACCGCCATGGCCGAGTAAAGACCCGTACAGACATATTTTCCGTTAGACGACATTAGACGACGTTCCCGCAGTTCATTGTTAGACGAAGGCGCTTGCCTAACGCCGTGAAGATTGAAGAGTAATAGATAGCAAAGAGAGACACATCATGAGCCTCTTACTCTTGAAGTCAGATGATATGAAACTTGCGCTTCCGACTTCATAAGCAAAATAATAGATGGATGCTCAACGTTTTGAGAATACGAGCATCATTAGTTGAATCAGCAGTCCCTCAGCCCCCATAGTGCACCCACTCTGTGCCGCTTCCTCGTACAATTCCCAGGCGGCCTGTTGAATACGCCTGTAAACCTAAAGGCTCAAAGAGGCAACTCATAAACAACGTGGAAACCGGACGCGGGGGTTGCATCCCACCGTCGTATCAACGGCGAGGGCAGCGGTAGTGTTTTCATGGCTATTCCAAAAGGTGATCTCATTGCTCGTGGCAAATGAAGTTGATGTAACGGTAGAGCCGAAATCAGTTGATCTAAGTCCAAAATGGAACTTTCTGTTCCTAGCAATCATGATGTAGGAATGGATTGAGAAGAAGTCATCATTTTTTGTTTCAGTACTCTGACCGTGCAAAGTCTCCAAGACCAAATCCAACAAGTATCTGGATAGCATCTAAGCAAGAGATGAGTAATTCACAACTGAGCTGCAAGCGACTCCATTTCTTCAAGATTCCTTATTCGCGGAGCTGCATATCAGAGGCATCGACTCGTACAATTGCCTGCAGCGTCATGCCATCCTTCGGAACCAATCATCATGACTAAGGGTGCCATGACCAATAGTATTGTATATAGCTGGAAGTTATATTTCCCCTCGTTCACGCCCAGCATAGACCATGCCACCTGCATTCGGCCGTATTCACAGGGGTGGTCTAAGAAACTCCATGTGGATAGCATCGCTAACCGATCCTTTAGACCTCATTCCTGTTTGAGAGAAGCCAAGACTCACTCCAGGGGTGAGGCCGATGAGCCGATTGATAGGATCACCTTTTGCAAAAAGTCCTACCGAAGGCTGCATAGTCTTCTGCCGTCCATACTGCTGAACCTGGTCAACTGTTGAGATGCAAACTTATATATAAGCCAGCATCGCTCCCCTTCAAACAAAGACTCTATCCACAAGATCTTCCACTGCCAAAGCATCCCTTCAACCAAAGAAACGACCTCGCGTTGATCGCCATGGCTTCTTTCAAGACTGCGGTCCTCGCTTCTCTCGCCGGCACCGCTGCTGCCCGCTCGGTGCCCGCCAACGTCCAGAGTCTCTACAACTCCATCGTTTCCCAGGGCTCTTGCAGAAGCCCCCTTGCCACCGGTTTTTACAGCTCGGATGGTGATGGTGGAAGTAAGCCTTGCCTCTCAAACTCATCATCAATATCTCGGGAGTTGAATTAATGCATTTCCTTTCACATAGGCACCTCTTATTGTGGTGACCATCTTGCCGACTATGGTATCGTCTACCTCCAGGGTACCAACGGCAGACTCGCCAACATGGATATCGACTGTGACGGTATCCAGAACGGCCCTGCTGATGATGGCCGCTGCGGCTCTTCCGGTGATACCCAGAGTGTCACTTCTTTCTCTGACACTGTCCGAGGCTATGGCACCGGCCAGAAGGATCTTGACGCCAATGCTCACCCCTATGTTGTCTTCGGTAACGACGGCGGCCGAGGCTGGAACGTGTGGGATCCCCAATCCGTTGGCATTGAGCCTCTCTCTGTCATGGCTGTTGTCTGCAACAATAAGCTGGTAGGATCTCACTCCCAGTCCCCTCGATGAGGTCACCTGACTGACATCCTCCTCCTTAGATCTATGGTGTTTGGGGTGATACCAACGGCGATGATGGTCGCTACCCCGTCGTCGGTGAGGCCTCCATCTCTCTCGCTACCGCCTGCTTCGGCACTGGCGTGAACGGCAACAGCGGCCACGACGAGACTGATGTTCTCTACATCGCTTTCACTGGCTCCAGCGCCGTCCCCGGTGCCCGCGGTGCCCAGTGGAACGCTCAGGACTACAACACCTTTGAGAACAGCATCACCGCCCTGGGTGACAGCCTCGTCGCCCGTATTGGCACCACTGGTGGCGGCGATCCCGGAAATGGCGGCGGCAGCACCCCCCCTCCTTCTGGCGGCAACTGCTCATGGCAGGGCCACTGCTCCGGCGCTCCTTGCGGCAGTGATGACGACTGCTCTGACGATCTTACTTGCTCTAACGGTTACTGCGGAGGCAGCCCCAGCGGTGGAAACGGAGGTAACGGCGGTGGCAGCACTCCTCCTCCTTCCGGCGGCAACTGCTCATGGCAGGGACATTGCGCTGGCGCTTCTTGCGGCAGTGACGACGATTGTTCTGATGATCTTACTTGCTCCAACGGCTACTGCGGTGGTAATCCAAGCGGTGGAAACGGCGGCAACGGAGGCAACGGTGGTGGCAGCACGCCACCCCCTTCTGGAGGCAACTGCTCATGGCAAGGCCACTGCGCTGGCGCTTCTTGCGGCAGCGATGACGACTGTTCAGACGAGCTCGCGTGCACCAATGGCTTCTGCGGTGGCAGCCCCAGCGGTGGAAATGGTGGCAACGGCGGTAACGGTGGCAGCAACAACTGCTCTTGGCCTGGTCACTGCTCTGGCGCTTCTTGCCGCAGCGACGATGACTGCTCTGACGACCTTGAGTGCCTCAGCGGCCGATGCTCCTAAGGGGGCTTGATAAAAAGGGAAGCGTGGCAATTTGGGAGCTTAGGTGGAATCTCACCTTTTTGTATATAATTCCTGAGTTGCAAGGGGATTGGGGGCTCGTCGAGGTATATAGGAGATGTCAAGTATATAGGAGAGGTCAATAAATGATGTATTGATCGGTAAAACCAAGCAAGAATCCCGCAAGCTCTGATCAAGTGAAACAATGAAACAAAATGCATGACCTTTGCCCTTTTTTAATAATGTGTAGAACCAGTATTGAGTTGCTTATGATCCGACAATCTTGATACGTCCTTCAAGCACGGGTGCTATCACTCTCGTCCAGTCAACGGCACACTCGGCCTCTTTCAGGGGGTCACAAACACCACTCTTAATGCCCACCCTATGAGCCCATCGCCCCCAAAACTTTCTCATCAACAATATCTCAAGGTCAATCTGACTATCCGAATCGCTTCCTGAGTGATCACTCTCTGTGGCTGAATCAAAATGGTCGTCATCGTCATCGTTGTGAGGTCTCTTGCTGTAACCCAGTCGTGATCGCAAGAACTTGCGCCAGGGATTCCCATCTCCGTTGTCTTTATCCTTATGAAGTCCAAGTCGCGCCACGTCGCTGTCGCTTTCTCCCTTGAACATTTCAGATGGCAACTGAGTGTGGCCACACTCCTTTACGACATTGGTCCAGTGTGAGGACAACTTCTTCCACTGGCCAACAGTTCGGAGGGCCATGAAGTATTGGCGCAGCATGGCGGAGAGTAGAATTCCACTCTCCTCATCGACAATCTCTTCTACCTCTCCACCTTCTGACTTTACGAGTAGGCTAGTGAAGCCGTCTATAATTCAGTTAATACAGCGGGCTTAGCGACACTCCGAGGGACTCATTGGACTTACCCTTTCCACGACCCATGTAGCCCCGAGTTGCCAGAATATATATCTTCTCTGGCTCATATGTCTTACCGTTGATCTTGACTGACAAGATCCTCTGACCAGACGGCTTCGATGGATCAAACTCATACTCGATACCTGAAACCTGAGAGAATCTCCCTTCCAAGGCAGGGTATAGTGAAACCCCGTTTTCTAGCGCATCCCAGATAGCCTGTCCTTTGGCCTTCAGCAAAACAACAGGATCCTCGAAGGGGAAACAAGAAGTGATATCTTTGATGCGGATTGCTCCAGGAGGATAAATCTGATCACCACGAATCGTACCACCTGCCATGATGGCGCAGTCAGCATTATGATAAGAACGCATAATGTCGCATACGAAATTGCCCATGTTAGACTCCTTCAACCGGGCGGTGATGAATCGCGCATCGAGCGGCATGGCTGTCCACCCAACAGGCCGGGACAGTGACTTTTGTAACTTAGACGTCAAGGTGTGCACCAATTTGGCCGTGGGCTCATCCTCGGGTACCTCGGACGTAATGTCTCTCCTCCAGATGTCAAAGTCCCATCGCTTGGGATCGTCCTGCTTTCGCCGCGCCTCGATATAGCTGAGCTGCTTGAAGTCAGTTCCCGAGCGCAGGACGTGAGTTCCATTCCTGAAGCTGTGAGCATAGTAGTGGTCATGTCCACCCAGAATAATGTCGATGATGCCATCTGTCTGATCGGCCAACTTGTTGTCGTTTGGCTCTCGCATGTGGCTCAGACAGATGACAATTTCAGCGCCTTCCTCTCGCAACTTTGGTACGAGTTCCTTGGCGACGGCAGTGGCGGATTTGTAGATGAGATTTGGCGGAAGGCTGTTGATGGTTGCGAGCCATTCTCTCTCACCGAGACCAATAAGTCCCACCTTGATACCGTTGGAGGTAGTGAGCATATGGGTCCTCTTTGCGTTGCCCAGAGGGACATCCTCTCCCAAGGCGGGATCCAAGACATTGGCCAGCAGCCATGGGAATTCACACTTTTCAGCCAAGTGCTCAAATTGCTTCACTCCAAAATCAAGATCGTGGTTCTGAATCCACGTAAAAGGCTCGGTCAGTAATTGTGGCTTGTCTCAAAATGGACAGCATTGACTTACTCCAACGCAACTGGCATCCGTGCCGACAGCATTCAGGACTGAAACCATGTGCGCCCCTATCAACAATAAGCATCCAACCGTCTTTAGCAGCCTTGATATTGTGAAATTGAGAAACATACCCTTGGTAACACTGCTCTCCAAGCTTGGGTTGAAGGCATCGCCTGAGAACAGGGTAAGCAGCTCAGACTGGCCCTGATACTGCTCCCCATTCTTGTACTCCTTGCAGAGCGTTATAAATCTCGACAGACCACCCACTGGCTCTGCACTGGCCTGGTCAACATGATAGACGTCGTTGTAATGTAGAAGACGCAGGTCCGGAGCTTCAGAACTGCTGCTCCCAACTCGGCCTGACGAAAAGGTCACCTGAGGGGCTGCTGTGGGGGCTGTGTTTTCCCCCATCTTGAGATCGAGATGGTCCGTCCTATGCTTGAATTGTAGGGATATCGGTATAGCGGTGATGTCTTTTAATGATTCAGATCTTTGTCCGCTTCTCGTTAGGCCAATTGGGTTGATATTGTCGTGTCACCGCTTCGTCAGCTCGTGACCTGCGAGTCGACTCCAGGTGTTCCGAGACTCACGTGATACTTGTCGTGTGTTGAATACAAGTGCCCTGTTCTCAATCGCGCATCTACAGACTGCTGACATAATATTTCTAACTGAATGATCTGTTACATGCTGCTTGAAGAAATTGACTCATATAAGTGTACTTTCTCAAGTCAATTGGATTAGATCCATGCCTCCCTGCCGTCCACGAGATTGACGAAGTGCCAGGATAAATCGAGATCCCCAGCCAGGCCCATTATTTAAAGTAACCAATCAGCACCAGGCTATTTACAAAGCCACGTTCACCCGAAAATGACAGCAAGCCATCCAGAGGCAGCATTGCCGTAAAAAGTAAACGCCAGGAACAAACTTTACGAAGAGAGCAAAAAAAGAAATGAATCAGAAGCTCCGATACTGGGAATCGAACCCAGGGCTGCTCGGCGCTCATTGATGAGAGCGAGCGATGTTAGCCACTACACCATATCGGATGTTTTGATATGCTGACTAAGGAGCAAATTCTGATCATACACCTTCACCGAGGTCGGTGAGAAAAAATATTCACGAAATGGTCAAAAAAGAGAAATGTGTCTCCGATACTGGGAATCGAACCCAGGGCTGCTCGGGTCAGTAATGAGAGCGAGCGATGTTAGCCACTACACCATATCGGATTGTGTGATGTTGTTGAGCGACGTCGACGAGAATCGTTACTTGAACCAAGCCCGCCATCCTGTTTGGTCCATTTGCCAGCCAGTACCACAAGTTGGATATTCAGCATCTCGGTGATTTCTCTATGAACAGTAATATTATGAGGCGTGGCATATAGAGATGCAGATAAAGCGCGTATCAGATGGTACATTTAGCCTATCTGGTTGGTTCTTCAAGTAGGTATTTACTCTAATCGTTGGCTTCATCGAACATGCTATTGTTCCTCGTAGTCCACTTCCACCCAGTATCTGGAATCATGTAAATGCCAAGGTAGCTAATGTTCTTTAGCTGATAACTCCTCGTCATACATTATAAACTACCTACTTATATAGGTAGTTTAGAACACGGGTTGCTGGATAGCAAATACCCAACAATAAAATAAAGAAGGAAAAAGCAGTGCTAACAGGGGCAAAAAACATATCATAGCATCATTAACGCCGCGATGGCGAAGCTTACAGCACCAAACATTGACCCCATGCTCACAGACCCGGTTGGCTGAGACGCTCCATTCGACTTGCTTGTAGCTGTCGGCCTGGCAGCCTTGACCCATATGTTGCTCGCCAAGCTATCCTTGTCCGGACTGTATTGCTGTGGTGGAAAGTCGCATACGGACATGATAACCTCCATATCTACACTTGGTCAGTTTCGAGAGGAGACAATAGAAGGGCGTACAAGGAAGACTCACCGTTTTGCGTATCCGCAATCATACTTATGCAACTCGCGCACAACCCAGCAATCTCTGCCACATTAAAGCTAGTATTTAAACACACGCACTTTTCCTCTGCGTTTTCTGTCTCCCCCCATCCTCCAGTCATATCGCCATCGTCTCCAGTAGAGCCTATTATGGTCGGGCGGAGCGATGTTTGTTGTTTAGAAGTTGTGGGTAGACTCTTTCCTGTTTTAATCGCAGCGGAAGTGAAGGAGGGCTGAATTCTCCATGTTGTAGATGTCGAAGGAGATTGAGATGCTGGGAGGATAGTTGACGAAGGTAAGTAATTAGGTGTAGTTGGAAGAGTTGGGGCTGGAGCTGGTGGAGGCTGAACAGGAGGAGAGTAATATTGTGGAGGAACAGGTGCTGAAGACTGCGACGGCAATATTGATGTGGGCGGATATTGGTCGACTAGCAGATCGGAAGGAAATGATGTTGGCGCTGGGACGATGATTGAAAAGCGCTTCTCGATTTCATCTCTCTCGTCCAATTGTTTTCCGTTTTGCCTCTTGGCCTGTCTGAGGTGCTCCCTTAGATCTGATCGATCGTTTTCTAATCCTCCCAAAGACCTCTTTGGGCTACACATCGAACTCAGCTCAACGATTGGCCCGCAGATGGCGGCACACATGACGGGAACGGCATTAGGCGAAAGCGCTTCTCCAGCTGCAAGGGCGAATAGAGCGAAGAAGATGGGATGACAGGCCTTCATGGCTTGTTAGAGGAGCTGCTCACCACCTACCCGACTCCGAAATGTCGGCTGTAGTATGTGAAAAGCCTACAGAATGATGTTTACTGATGCCAAGTGTGTTTCGCACATGTAATGGAGAATGGTAAGAAAGAAGAAGATATAACGCATTGATGTAGATTTGGGGACACCTCGAGAAGAGAGGTTCCTCTCAGGGTTTCAGGTCTACATGACATTGTATACTAATAGGCAGAATATGGGCAAGGGACGTGTATAGAGTCTCGATGTTCGTTAGTCTGGCAGGAGGTTGTTTTGCTGAAACGTGGCAAAGGGGCTCTGTGGCCACCCTTGACCGAGAAGAATTAACTTGATACGGCCGTCTCCGGTGCGCATCTTTGGTATTGAATCAGTAAGACTGCCAAGCATGCACCCACGTATATACACAGTAAGGTGGAACTGAAGAATGGGGAAAAAACACAAAATCGCAGATAAAGACTGTCGGTAAGTAATCCCTGATCAAGCACGGCCGATCTAGCGGTTCATCAACGCATTGACATAGAATCCCCAGAGAAGATGCGCAATGCCGCTTGGCAGCTGTCAACTCCCGTATCCAGCAAAATTCAGTTCGTGACTCCTTGACCGGGCTCTGAAACAATCTAGTTGCGGTGCTTTCGAGAGGCGGACAGAGCCGTGACAGCGCGAAACACAATGCGAAACAAGATCGCGGAGACCTTTTACCCGCTTTCGGAAATGACCCGGTGCTTCGTGCGAGATAGCGGCTTTCGCTCTCTACATCTAGTTTGCAGACTAGGTACAAGGCAGAATAGAAAGAGATGTATGGATTTAGATATGTGGTGCTAGGTTAATTATCGTCCATGGGTATTGGCATTGTGGGGGACCCTGGACTCATGATGATTGGCTGTGCTGAAAGTGGTGGTTGTTGCACTATCGCGAGAAGTAAAGATCACAACTACACTCCCAATAGTTGCGGTGAGGCGCGGATCAATCAAGAATGACTGACTCAATACACAAAAAGGATAGAAAGGAGTCATTTGTCAAAGACTGATTTTGACAATGCCATGAATCCTTCAAATGTTGCAGCGCCCCAGCCATGATAAACGGCGAATCAGCATCAAGTTCGGTGTGGCTTCATGCAAGGGAAAAACCTCAGCAAACATTAAGTGGCTACGCAATAATGCTTGGCTTGCTACCCCGCACTTGAAAGAGAGTCAGGCATGTATTTCGTCTGAATACTTATACCGCCTGATTCACGGCTTGTAACATATAGATACTCTTAGCAACGCTGTCTACCCTTTGTCTATCAAAAGTGAACGACCTCTCAACAACAGCCATCTACTTCAGTGACATCAATATAATATGGCGTGGCCTCTTCTTGCCCCGTTGGTAGTTGCCGCTGCTCCGAAGATCTACGAGGAGGTTATCGGGCGCCCTCAGAAGAGAGAGCGTCAAGCCCGGGAGAGGCTGAGGGAGGAGCAGAAAAGGGCACAGCAGAGCGAACAAAGACTAGCAAAACTACTAAATGACCTGTGAGTCTTCAATGGTGGTTTATTTTCCAGCCATGTAAATGGTGTATGTTTAGTTAACCTTCATGCCAGGGGTTATGATGAAGACGAGCCGGCAATTACGGAAGACGTTATAAAAAACGCACGGAAAACAGTGGGTTACGATCCGAAGAAAAAAAATATCGTTTTCGCCGGCAATGTTAGTGTCGGCAAATCGTCACTCATAAACGGCCTTTGCAATAAGGGCGGAGACGATGACGGCGCTGCTCGCGTGGGCTCTAATCAAGTAACGAGGAACCTGGCTCGTTACGAGATTCCTAATCATCCAGAAGTGGTCCTCTATGACATTCCCGGAGCGGGAACTCAAGACGTGAGAGCCTTCCGATACTATCACGATCAAATGCTATACGCTTTTGATACTGTTGTCGTTGTCCACGATACAACCCTGACTGAGGTTTGTTATCCGCCTGATGCTTTTTATATGCAGATGTGACGACTAACCTTCCCCAGGCCGACATTCGGTTGCTCCAAATGTGCATCCATTCGGGTAAAAATTGCTTGGCTGTCCGAACCAAATCCGATAATCATATAAGAAACTATGCATACGATAAAGACTGTGAACTGGAGGAAGCAAGGGAGATATTCCTTAGAGAGACCCGCCACGACATCCAGAGCTGCCACAAGGAAATCACTGCCCCTTGGCCGGAAAAAGAAATTAGAATTTGGGATTACATTATAAATTCCCGATCGGTACGGACCTTCATGAAAGGTAAACCATCACCCAAGGAGGCGGATACTGCCTACATCGATGAGTTCGATTTTATATTCGACTTGTCTCCTGGTCTTGTGATAAATCCGAACGACTGAGTGAATATCACAGGCAACGAATAGAAGTATATATCTTGTTCTCACTATGCCTCCTGCCGTTCATAGTCCATACACGTATACCTACTCCATCGTCTTCTACTTTACCAGTATCGCTTGCTTCCAATTATTCACGATTCTCACATGATTTCTAGATACATGTAATCATGATAAACCCACCCTTTGCGCTCTTGCCTACACGCGTCTTGTGTACTGCTTGTGAGCCGATATATCCATAGGCTTTCTTACGCAGAACATTCAGCCCCCTTTCCAACGCGTATAGTAGCACAACTACCTCGATCATGACGTAAAATTGTATCCATAGCCTCATTGTGCCACCACCGACAAGTCAACATACACCGCTTCTTGGCGGCCTCCCCGGGTAAGGACGAAAGCAAGAACATGAAGAGAAGCCGAAGAAGAAGAGAAAAAACAGGCGAAGTCACGGCAGCCTAATGCTGGTTGCAGCCATACGGCACCAAAAGCCGTCAAAACGTGGCTCAGGCACTTGACCAACCCAAAAGCGGCATCATAGCACGAAATAAAATGACGAGGCCACCTGCGCCACTTGGCTACGAATCGAGGCTCTCGGGAGAAGCGTAGATCGTCAAGAGGCGGCGCCTCGTCGAAAATGCAAGGAACTAATGTACAAGACCCGTGCCATTCTGTTCCGTTAGCCGTGTCGCATTTGCGCCGTCAAGCCGTATCCCTCGCATGGCTCACTCAACCTTCGAATTGTACACTAAACCGATCTCAACTACGGAGTAAACCAATCATTCTCCACACTAGAAAGGAAAATGGTCCCCAGCTTTAAGCCCAAAACGGCTTTATACCACGAAAAAGCCATCTAGGAACACCAATGAGCATCATTCCCCGAATAAATGTGAATCAACGCTCGGCACAGCCTGTTAGGCGCAAACCAAGCCGCATCCTTTCCCCAAGCCAATCCCCCCTTTGAGTCTAGAGAAAGTCAGGACGAAGGGGCGGGTTTATCCCCTTTGCAGCATCATGCCACGAGCTGATCGCCAATTTACGTGTATCGCCCAGCAAAGATTCAGCTGAGCAGAGCCGCGTTGATCTGATTCGTCCGCCCGGAACCCGGCAGGCCTAGGCTGATAATCTCGGGGCATTGTTGGCCCTGGGTGCAGCGTTTTAGATCGGAATGCTTGTTTCATGCTTTTATCTCCATGTTAGCGGCTATGTTATGAGAGATATGATGCAGTAGTAGCTAAGGTAGTAATTTATTTAAAAAAGGTCTTGATGCCTTTGCACTTCTCATTGAGTTGTAGTTGTGGGTATTCAATCTTGCCTCTACATCAAGTCTCTCAGTCTAAATAACATCGACTCTGCTGTCTACCCAACTATCCAACAAGTGACAATCATCCCGGACAGACACGTACTGTCGCCAAATCATGCTCAACCCTCACGAGTCCCTGGGCATCGCCCAAATCGTCTTCTACGTGCCCATCGTCCCAACCGCAATCTGGCTCATGAAGCGCAACGGCAAAATCCGCCCACGCCTCGCCTGGTGGCCTCTGATCCCCTTTAGTCTGAGTACGGCTCTGCAATTTTATCCATTTCGACAAAAAAGAAATATCCGTCAGCATAATCTAACTTGGTTCTTGCAATAGTGCGTCTCGCCGGTGGCCCTGTCATCATCGCCTTCGAACAGAACCCCAGCATCGGCCTCTACGTCGCAGCCATCATCCTCCTCAATGTCGGCGTTGTTCCTCTCATCATTGCTACACTAGGCTACGTCCGCGTCGTGTAAGCCTACATACAATCTACCCAAAAGAATAAGCAATATCTAACACGCCATAAACAGGCTCCTCGACAACTACAGCTCCAATCCTCGAGCCAACAAAATCGGTGTCATCATGCGTCTCTGCATCTTCGTCGCAATCGGTCTCCTCGCTGCCGGCGGTGGCGTCAGTTCCATCGGCACACCATCCGCAATGTCCACCAGCCGCACGCTCACTCTCGTCGGATATATCGTCTTCGCCGTCATGCTCGCCGTGCTCATCTCCATGATGGCCTTTTTCTGGAGAAAGAAGCAGACCCTTCTCCCCAGCAGCCAAACCGTACGTCGAGACACCAACTCTCACTTACAAAAAGTAGACAGAATGTTGACATTGTTTGCTTCCTTAGGTTTTACGTGGCGGTCTCCTCGCATCCCCTTTCCTCATCATCCGCACCGTCTTCGGTCTCCTGGAAGTCGTCCTTCAAAACAGCGCCACCTCTCCCTTCAATCCCATCGAGGGTAATGCCGTGGCGTTTGCACTGATGGCTCTGCTGCCAGAGTATATCGTCGTACTCACTTACATCTACACCGGCTTCTCGATTCCCCCTGACCGAGGCGTCCCTTCTGCTCTAGAGGCAGAGAGAGTCACACAAGTCGCCGATAAAAGCAACGTCTAAGCGGGCTTGATTCTAGATGCTCGTTTCTTATATAGACCATGTAATACGATAAGCGGGAGACGTCTAGGGAGATGGTTAGTTGAAGGGGTGCAAATGCATTGTCAGTAAAAGGAAATACGGACAAGTAGCGCATCCACGATGCGAAAGTCTTGTTTAAAAGGAAAATTGTTTCGGATACCCCCTTAGCATGCACATATAGTTATCACATGTAGTTATCACATGTCAATAGATTTTACCATTATTTATTATCTAATCTCCCAGACTTGCACCTCATCACTTCACTCGTCCGACAAACTAAATGTATCAGGTATTCGTTTCTAGATTGCTTTAATCCAATTTTATCTAGAGGTTGTGGATTAGGCCAGGTAAACCACAGGCCCATGTCCAAGTCTCGCGTGGTGACCGCCCTTTTTCCTTTCCTCTTCCCCAGGCCACCAAACAGCCAGCAAAACAAATTCTTTCCCAAGTTATGCAGAATTATCACATCTGCCGCCGTACAATGTCATCCAAAGGTTTAATTAAAACAAATACAAGGTAGTTTTGTTCTAGGCCCACCTGCATTACTGATGCACAGCCTCAAAAAAGGAGTAGCTAAAAGGTCGTATAGCAGCATCCGCCCTTTAACAACGAAGAAAAACCGCCGACATTATATCACGCACTTTAGAACCGGTGCTGGCGACCGACACTCTCGACGCGAACTCCCAGCTTGACCATCTCGCGAGAGTCGATGACACCACGGCCATCAAACACCCATCGAGGCTTGGCCATGGTGTCGGCAATGCGCACCCAGTCCAATCGCTCCTTGGGCTTGTACTCTTCGGCGCTGCCCATTCCGGTGGCGAAGCCGGTCTCCTTGCTCTCCCGGGCCTGAATGCAGTCGGGGCAGCTCTCGTCGCAGTCGGGCTCGACGTTGAATCGATCCAGGGGATCCTCAGAGGTCTGGCCATCACGCTGCACCAGGTGCTTGTGCAGCGCCAAGAGGTCGTTCTCCGTGGGAGTGGACTCATTGAACGGTCTGGGGTCCGCCTTGGGGTTGGGCTTGCGGCCAAGCATCTTGGGCGTGGGCTGGTCCACAGGTGCGGGAGCAGGCTTAGAGATGGGCTGGTTACGGAACTCGTCGAACTCGGTCGCGATAACGACTGCTGTGCTGTCCTTGCAGGCGTCGTAGGCATTGCCGTACACGTGGACGCTGGCTGTGACTTCGGGTCCGAGAAGGGCCTTGATCTCGTTCTTGACAACGAATGGGTTGCAGCAAGGATCGAAGACAGCAATCTCGCGGGGTCGCTCCTCCAGAAGCGTCTTGATCATTTCCAGAGCAGGGGCCTCACGGGTATCTGAGGTGTTCTTCTTGAAGGCATAGCCAAGGATGGTGACCTTCTTGCCAACAAGGGTGTTGTTGAGGCATTTAATAACACGGTTGGTGAATCGATCACGAGCGTACTCGTTCATTTTGACGACTTGTCTCCAGTATTCGCCAACTTCAGGCAGACCCATGGTGTCGGCCAGGTAGACGAGGTTAAGAACGTCCTTCTTGAAGCAGCTACCGCCGAAACCAATACCGGCCATCAAGAACTTGTTGCCAATACGGGGATCGACACCAATGGCGCGGGCAACCTCGTCAACATCGGCACCAGTCTGCTCGCAGACGGCGGAGATGGAGTTGATGCTGGAAATTCGCTGAGCCAGCATGGAGTTGGCAACCAGCTTGGCAAGCTCAGAGGACCACACGTTGGTAGTCAAGATACGCTCGCGAGGAACCCAAGCGGCGTAGACCTCGAGCAGAGCCTCGGCGGCCCGCTTGCCAGAGGGGGTGGGAGCGGAACCGATGAGGATTCGGTCGGGGTACAGGAGATCATTGACGGCAGTACCGGCGGCCAAAAACTCGGGGTTGGACAGGATCTCGAAGTGGACACCGGGGCGGTGCATGGCAAGCTATGCGAGGAGAATGGGCGTCAGAATCAAATATCGGGGCATGTCCCAGGCCACGCAATAGGGGGGCTATGTGTGCTCTACTTACAGTGTCTGCCACGAGCTGTGCGGTTCGGCAAGGAACAGTGCTCTTCTCGACAATGATGGCGCCCTCACGCGCATACTGGGCCACAAAGCCGGTGACGGCCTCGAAAGCGGTCATGTCTGTTGCGCTGCCAGCACCAACACCACGCTCCTTGGTGGGGGTGTTAACGGCCACCAGGACGATGTCGGCCTCGGCAATGTGGCCGGCGACGTCGGTGCTGAAGAAGAGGTTGCCCTCTCGGCGAGCAACCTTGGTCTCGCCCTTCTCGGAGGCGGTTCCCTCGGAGGGCTCGCCCGAGATGTTGGTCTCGCGGCCGCCATCACGGGCAATGCGGACGATGTCGTGCAGGCCGGGCTCGTAGATGGGAGGATGGCGCGAGTTCCATCGACGGATACGGGTCACGTCTCGGTCCACAACGGTGACCTTGATGTGCGGGTTCTGGAAGGCAATGACCGCGGCGGTAGGGCCACCTGTTCAGCACAGAGAGAGGCATGTCAGTCGAGTTCCCAGTCCAGGTTAACCGTCGTCGAGCGGAGTCGGTCGACAGACACAGACACAGACACATAGACGAGACGCAGGGGTGACATACCGACATAGCCAGCGCCAACGCAGCAGATGTTGCGAATAGCAATCTTGTCGCCGTTGACCTCCTTTAAGGAGCCATTGAGGCTAAGTGTCTTGACCGAGTCAACAACTGAGGCCATGGTTACGTGGTGGATCGAGGGGCCAAAGAGAGAAGTGACCGATGTCTCCAAGCAAATGCAAGTAATGGCTTCAACGAGGGGATGGGGATCCTGGAATGAGGGTATATGGATCGAGCCCGTTTGCGAGATATAAACGAAGATATAATGCTGGCACTAAAGGCAAAAAGAAAGGAGTTGGGGATAGGTAGAGTTAGTAGGGAGAGCGAAAAGGGCTATTTGGATAGGTTTGGTCCATTTAATCAGCAAAGCGGGAAATGCACGCATGTCTAGGCCATTTTTGGATAACAGCCCATTATAGCACTATCTGGAAGCAGCCTTAAGAGGGCCCTGCCTAGCGCCGGTTTTTTTTTGGTTCAAGGTTTTTTGTTGGAGGGGGGATGTGACGATGTTTAACTCTTGGCGCAGCGGGCAATTGAATTGAGGCCAACATGGCTTTGGCGAGGGTGAGGTGGGATGGGCACGCCGAGTTGTAGAATGATCTCCTCAGGTTTGCATCGGTGAGGTGCATGACTTCAGCTGCTGATGCTGTTGGACTTATACTGGGCGTCAGCTGTGGCTAGCGCCTGTACACGGTATTTACTGCAATAGTGGCCGCTGTACGGAGTAGATTGTACAGGCTGTAAGGCGCTGATGCGTACGGAGTACATGTACAGGAGGACTCCGTACTTGTCCGAGAGCGTCCAGCATGTGCAAATTCTGCCCCGCCGTGTCCGGATCTTTCAGGCACGCGCTATCTAAGGGGATGGAGGGGCAATGATTCGACCGTGGCTGGCAATAGATTGAAGCCGTCGCGTCTGATTAGGTGAAGGAATAGGTATTAATAGGAATCCACGGAATTTAGTTCGGATTATTATGTAGATATGTACTGGTGCGAGTAAGAACTTGATGTGGACAACTAACTTGGTTCCTTGCGCCATGAACAGAGAGAGACTCCAAAAATACTACAACAAGGCGGTGAGTTACTGCCAAGACTTTCGCAACATGCAACTTCGATAAACGACCCCATCCCATCCCATCCCATTCCATTATTTCATCCATTGCCCTGTGCAGTACTACCTTATCAGATGCACCACCCTGCTTGCGCATTACAACCTCGTACCGGAACGGCTACTTCGGGGTTTCCTCTCGTCTCTGCCATATGAATTCTTTTTACTTTACACTGTGCCGTGCCGTTTCGCCGCACCGAGCCTCGTCGAAGACCATTTCCTACCAACCAATACAATTCCAGGCCAAGCACTGTGACTACACACGTGGTTCCTGCGTCGCCGCTTTCAGGGTTGCGCGTTTTCGGCCCATGGAGGGGTCGTTATTTCATGGACGCTAACATGACAGGCCTGCAAAATGAGGTGTGATGGAAGTGTGATAGTCTCCATCAGCTGCGGTATACAAAAGCCCAGCATGCCCATCCAGCTGAGGCAAAAAGGGGCCATGATGGGAGCACATGCCACAGCTGATGATCAGCCAGTATTACTCCGTACCCCCAAGTACAAGGCCGGCTAGATGCCACCACCGGCGACCAAGTTTTGCACCATGCCAGCGGCGAACGCTTCAGAAACAAAATGGAACTATTACCAAGTACTACGGAGTACATACCCGCCCCCCGTCCGATATTATCCACACCATCGTGACGGGGCCCCTGCTGCATCCCCCATACAGTTACGCCATCAAGTGGAACGACCGTGCGCCTTGAAGATTGCGTATATACGGAGGGTTGGCGGGAAGATGGACGCGCCTTATTACCGCTAGCACTGTCACTACAGCGCTCACGCGACACGAGGTTTTCTGCCGGACTGGGATGCGACGATTCTTGGGGTTTGTCGGAACCAGGTTGACCAGGTTGCATGATCTTGCCTTGACGAGGGCCGAGCTGATGCACCCAGGGCATCGAGGTAATTATGTGATTACTTATACTACTATTTCGTACGAGGACTCGTACGCACGTAAAAGGAGTTGCATGAGGGCAGTTTCCCGTCTCATGCTGCTACTCCCGGAGAAATTTCAGCATTGCCATTGAAATTTGGCTTGGCGCTGGCCAGGGTCAGAGGAATTACGTCGTTGGCCGCCAATGTCACATACGGGGGACGAGTTGCTGCATGCCGATGCTCCCCCTGAGCAAATATCGAATGCTGGTATTTAGCATATTCAACACCTGTGGTAAAGTGTAGAAAAGAAGCATGCGCCTTTTTACTAAGAATTGGCAGTGTCCTGCATCATCCTAAAGGCGATGCGAGTCGGTTAAGCATTTGGTGACGCGGTACGGTAAAGAGCGAGAACCGTGTCTCGCTTGATATCGGGAAACACGGCTATTGGCGCGCTAGGACCAAGATATCACAGGCAGGGGCTTCAAACTCCATTCGCTTTCTGAGTGCTCTGCTAATTAAATCCCAATCCGTGCCTGTCGTGTGAAAAATGCAAATCTCACTAGTTGGATACGAAAGCCAGAGATGCGTGCTTTCTCATCGTACAAGAGTGCTTGGCAATGTGTAAGTACATCCCTATAACAAAATAGGTTTCTTTTTGTATATGACTTGTACTTAATCTTTGTGATGAGAAGTCTCATGCAATCAATCGACGCTATCCAACTAGAAATGAAGAAAGAAGATGAAGCCATCACGAACAGGTATACCATGCTGATGTTATCACGTGATGCTACACGTGATTCTCTTTACTCTTGACATCATCTTCAATTACGATGTCTACCTATGTATGTAAACCAACGAGAACTGTAGACCAAGGAATCAATGTCCGATTTATGGAATTCTTCAGCTGTGGAGGCCGGACTTTCAATACTGATGTGTTCTCTTAGATGTAGGGACCGACAGCTAACAATATTAAGCTACTTATATATCTAGACGTGGCTGTTTGTTTTGCCGATTCACTTGTGGAAGCAATACTTGAACTCTCCCTCCGATTCTATTACTTTATAAAAGTATTAATCGCCCCGCACCCTCAACGTCTATAGATCAGAACATTTCTTCTATGGAGCATTCTGGTCAGACCTCATGCTTGGGGGTGGCATGTCATCCCCACGATGCATTTATTATTGGCATCGATCAGGAAGGTCGTAATCCTGACGCGAGCGGGGTCTTGGGCTGAACTGAGCCGTTACGCTGTAGCGGGAATATTCACACATAAAATCTTCGTATTTTTCACATGCCGGAAGTTTCTGTTCCTTGTCATATCTGCCGAATTTAGCTTACTTGGCGCTTCTCCGCAATCCATCGCAGGTACTTGGACAATAATAAACTGTAGTCTCAAACAGCTTGGGCTTAAGGTTAGTTATAAACTCATCATCACATCTTCAAAACTAATAATATTATAAGTCGTAAATTATGTTTTACAACCGATTTGCTCGTCAAAGGCCGAAGTTTGGTCTCCCTTGGGCCTCAATGTTTCCACCTCTCTCCATCGGAGACATCGGCCCCAGCACCGATGAGCCGACGGACAAATTCCTCATCTAGTCTCTATGTGGTTCATCGTGTAATTCGATGGCAACCAGGCTATATACGATATTGCTGACAGGAGCGCGGGTTCAGCTGCTTTGGAAAGCAGAATACGACTCCAAAGATCAAAATAGATCGATCCTCCGTGAGTCTTACCACTTCAGTTATGATGTCCGTCTGGGGTGCATCCAAGTACATAATGCTAATTAAGAATGCGGGGGAGAGTTGCAATTCAATACATGTGCGGGGGGCAATACAGCTCCGATGAGAATCTATTCTGACGAGAAAAGGAGCACATGCTTATGACGAGGGCTCTCTTCCTCGGCATCCTGCTTTCATAACGACTATAAAGTCAAGAGTTTCTGGCCCTCGAGATTTGTTCGTTCCGTTCCATATCAGACATAAAAACCACAACTTCTCAATCATCTCTATCGACTCTTACCAGCTTAAATAAGCTTCCGGTACCAACTTTTCAAAATGAAGTTCACTCTCGTCCTTGCAACCTTTGCCGCTGTCGTCTACGGCCAAACCATCGACGATGTTCCCGCATGTGCCGTTCCTTGCATTGAGGCTGCTATTGTAGCTGCTGGTTGCGCTGAAACCGACTTCGTATGCGCTTGCAAAAATTTCGATGCTATTGAGGCCGGTTCTATCAACTGTGTTGTTGGGGCTTGTGGCGCTGCTGTCGCCATTGGTATGTATTCCCTCTTTTTCTTTGGCCGAGGGAAATAATGGAAATGTTTCTCGTATCAAATGCTTATTTATCTGGTGTATAGGCCAAGTTCTGCCTGCTGTCCAAGCTATTTGTGCCGCTCAGTGAACTCATTTACCAGGAGCGAGAACATTACATGCCCGGGTGAAAACTCTTTTGTATCTAACGAAATAAGTACATAGCCGAATGGGATAAATAAATAAATAACCATACTACTTGGCATCGTGCTGTTTGACTCTGCATTGTGACGATTATTTATGCAATATACAGAGTTTAATTGTAGGTACGTAGGCAGATTTATTCTTCAGAAGAGTTTCCACACATAGGACTTGACTAATAAAGCTATACACCTGATAAGAAACATGCACGTGCCAGTCAAAGAGGGAGGAAACTGAAAAAAAATTGTCGATTGATGAATTAGTAACTGGTGGTAGAGTAAAGTCAAAGGTGTCCATCATCCGCCACGAAAGTCGGCGTGATTTGAATACACTGGCATTTGTCCTTACCCTGTAGGAATAAATAATGATAAGCATATCTATTAGAAGAGAAAAGAACTATTCCAATGGGCAGTAACTGGGATTTTAACTTACATAATAAACACCTAGAAGAAGGAACTGATGTCTCAGATCTAGTCTACAGGGCGGTAGTAGTGTGGACGGGACGAGGAAACCACATCCTCTCTTCGTTCTGTATGTCAAACTAGGCCGACGAGATCTGATACTTGGCAGCGATCTGATTGGAACCTTGTGTGCATTTTAGTAAACGCACTCTTGTGCTACTACCTGCACCTATCTACCTATCAGGTAGTAGTAGGTAGTATTGACAGGATTGCATTTCTTGGTGTACTTGGCGGATTGACTAAGCGACAACGTAAGCCCCCGCCTCTGTATGTCTGCAACGCTGAGCGGCATGAACCTCAAGCTGTTACTAATGTCGAATCATGACGGATGAAGCACACGCAGTTATTGTGCTTACATCTACTGAAAACGACGTGTCACTGATAACAGCCGCCAACGTATGTATTTTGCTGCACCCCATAAAGAGTTGACTTAGACTTAGGTAATACCCCATACTCTATGATCCTCGCCGCCAATATCAACTTCCTTCTTGGCCAACCACTACCATCACCACCACCAACATTTTCTCCGCTACTAGGCCAAAAGGAAATAAAAAACGAGAATGAATCGGACCCTAGTCTATCAGTGTTTATGCGCCCCATGCGCGGCACGCGAATCGTACATGCTGCACTCCATGGCTAGCTTCGCTGTCACAAGACGCCAGTCACTTGGGCAGTACCTCACACGTGACTCCGGGCCTGGACGACTTTTTCACGCTCAACAAAAACTCGCGACGTCGCAAAGCCTCTGAATCTCTGCTCTTTCGTCGCCTCGAGTCGCTCACGTCCAACCACGCAAAGCACGAGGGTCGTCCTCAAGGCCCCGATTCGCAGCGTTGGCTAGGTCGACACACTGGTGGGATGCCGTGCGTCTATTGGTCAGCGATAGCAATGTGGTTGCGCTACGGCCGCTGATTCGTCCATCTGGGGCCCGTAGATCTTGCAATCATGCCGCTCGAAGCTTGTCTTCGCTTGACCCGGACCGCAGGACAGAATGGGCAAGGTCAGTGAGAATGCAGGGTCAGCCTTGGAGAAAAAAGGTGCCGTACAAGTGATCAAGATGTGGCTGCAAGGACGTCTTGTTGGGCAAAAAGGTGCAAAGAGAGCGAGGCAAGGACAGCCATTTCAGCTGATAACAATGTTGATTCGCCGCTGGGCAACCACCAAAATACAGCACTAACATTGCCACTATGTTATGGAATAGGTACTCAGCCTCCTACAGAAAGTGGTGTACTTACACTTGTATAATAAAGAAAAAAAACTGAGAAAAAGGCTACCAAGGCATGAGGCCCTGACATCGATCCATCCGGCGCTTACCTCGCCACATGATGGTGAACCATACCATATACAGATCTGGGCAAGTATTACACGAGAATATGCCTCTTTCTCCCCACGTTATTTAGTCACTCTTTCTCGACGAACTGCATCCAGAGCCCGTTCCTCGTGCCCACTCTCAGGTTATCCTATTGCAGCTTTCCTTGTCTTAAAGCCACTCCCGTCATGCGCAACATATCAGGTTGATCCACGTGGGACTGCCTTGTTCGGACACCGTTGGGCCTCTCGTTGCAACGTCTGGGAAGACAAAAAGCAAGCACACTCGCTCTGTGGCCACCAGCCGTGTATTATCCCTCATAGCATCTCTTCACCTCATCTCTTAGCCAGTCCCTCAACGCAGAGCCATCACGCCTCTCTCTTTGGCCGCCATGGCGTCAACTTCGCTGATTGGATCGGGGCAGTACCCAGAGCATGATCTGTCCGAGTTCCCGGCTGCTCTCAAGGGCAAGCGTATTCTGCTATGCACCGAATCCTTTGGCCCGGTCAACGGTGTGAGCCGGACGACTCTCATGCTGGTCAACCACTTGCGCGATCACGGCGTCCAAGTTGCTGTTGTCGCTCCTCATAACCACACCAACCACAACACCTTTTCACCACCTCCGTCTCCCAGCCTCTCTCCTGCGGACAAGCAGCCCGAGGTCCGCGTCACTGGCTATCCCCTACCCTTCAACCCTGAGCTTTCCATCGTATATCCCGTTCGCAACTCAACGCTCTACTCTCGCACCTTTGGCAATGATGCGCCCCCGGATCTCATTTACCTAGCATCTCCGGCTAGTCTGGGCTTCCAAGTCATGCTGCAGCTAAGACAGCAGCCCAAGGAAAAGCAAATTCCCATCATCTGCAACTTTCAGACTGATTTAGCTGGCTACTGCTCTATTTTGTTCCCCGCGCCCCTCAGTCATGCCGCAGTCTTTGCGTTTGATGCCGTTCAGAGCTATCTTTTCAGGCACTCATCTATCAAGACCATCTTTTATCCCTCCAGATTCGTCAGGCGGTATTTGGAGAACCAAAAGGTTCAATCCAGCAAACTCGAAGTTCTAACCAGAGGAGTCAATACCACCATGTTCAACCCAAGCCGCAGGAGTGAGGCCTTGCGAAAGGAGATTGCACCGAATGGAGAAATCATTTTTGTCACCGTTTCTCGCATTGCTGGTGAAAAGGGCTTCGATTTCCTCGCCAAGGTGGCCAAGGAAATGGATGCTCGGAGGCTGCCGTTCAAAATGGTCATTGTTGGAGGAAACCGAAACCCTGACGTCGAAAAAGAAGTCCAAGAGCTATTCGATCCTCTTAGGGAAAAGGGCACCGTCACTTTCGCCGGCTTCAAGGTTGGAGAGGATCTCGCTACTTACTATGCCTGTGGCGATGTTTTCTTGCACTGCTCCGTCACGGAAACCTTTGGCTTGGTCGTCCTGGAGTCCATGGCCAGCGGTGTCCCCGTAGTGGCTCGTGATGAAGGTGGCCCATCAGACATTATAGCTCATGAGGAGACGGGATACCTAGTCCCACCTGATGACTTGGATGGATTCGTTGCCAAGGCTGTCAAGCTTGCTGAAGACCATCAGCTACGGTTCACCATGGCCAAGGACGCTCGCGTCGCTGCTTGTGAAGCCACATGGGAAAAGATCAACAACAAAGTTGCCTGGCGCATGGCCGACACCATTGCTCGGCGTGAGCTAGAACAAGGAAAGTTGCCTCAGCCAACCAAGGCGGTGACAACTACAGCCCAGCAACTGGTGCCTGTCTACGGTTGGCTCATGATGAACAATGCTCTCCGGGAAACAGTCACTCGCAGCATTGTCGATGCTCGACTGGTAGGTGGCTTGGGAGTCATTCTAAGCTTCTGGGTCATCACTGGTGCGTATGTGGTATTCACAGAGGGTCTTTTGTGGGCCAAAGGCCGAGTCCGCAAGGCCGCGCCTACAAAATGAGGGTCTGTTTCCCCCATCCTCGTGGTAGAATATGGGATAACTTTTTGATGGAAATTGGTATTTTTGAGGATATATGGGACTGGACAGAATGGAGCCGGTGTTAAGGCGCGTAACTTGGTTTGAGATTTTCGGGATATCATCTTTCATTTGTTTTTCTTTCCTCCCCTCCCCCCCTTTTTCCCCTGCACAATTTTACCTACGTGCTATAGAATTGCAGTTTCTATGGAGTAGTGAGATTATGATAGATGTGCGCTAGATGCATGTCTTATGACGTTGACGGGTTCATGCCTCTTTCTTCTTCTCTCCTTTATCTCCTTTATCTCCTCTGGTTTTTGGTTACACGGCGAATGAACAGCCGTTGCTGGATATACCCTACAAGATTGACATTTACGAATGCTGTCTCGTATTTTAAGTAGTATCAGATAGAATTTCATTATGCACTACCTTAGATATCACATATACTTATATATACCCCAATTCATGATTCGTGTCTTTGCCTTATTTACTTTAGTTGTTGAACATATTTAGTAAGTTTTAAGGAAATGTTATGCTATATAGTGTTTGGGAAAACATGTGAAATAATAAAAAAAGGCAGTAAAGTACGCTTGGGGAATCATAAACCATCTCACCCATAATAACCAGTCTTTTGTTCGCAGCCCAACCTATCTGACACCCTACTCTTCCTTACGCCCACCGACTTATTCATCCTTCTAAAAAGTGCGATAGGCAGCGGCATCCCTAGAAGCGTGCATGGTTCTCCGCTTATAAGCCGTGACATGCTGGATCCTCTCATACGTGCCATATCCATAGGCACACAACCCAATGAACAACCAGGTACCAGTAATGACGAGACCAGTGGGGAAAATCAAGATGTTGACTCCTGGCAAGACAAACGCGACGGTGCCGTTCTTGAGGCCGTCGTGCTGCAGCGTCACAGCCTGTTGGGCGGCGGCAAAGTCGGACAGGATGACGTCCTTGGAGAAGACGCCTACAAGGAAAACGGCTTCGTTGAGAGACACGTTGGAGCTGATTCGGGCGCCGGTGGAGGTAACTGCGGATAAAGTGAGGGTGGGCATGACAAGAGCTTCGAGATCGGCACTGGGGGTTTCACTTGTTAGCTTCTTGGAATGAAGAAATAGTGTGTGTGCCGTTGACGAACTTACATTGACAAGTTGTTCTTCATCTGGTCCTTGTCGATTTGGCCAACCAGCATGTAAGACTGCAGCAGAGTCGGGGCATTGGAAGAGGTGTCTCTCTTGGTGATATTGACGGGCGGGCTAGAACTCGACCCTGAAGTCACTGGCTTCATGGGAGTCACACTGGCGCCCTTGTACACCACGCCCACCTGAATTTCACTGGGCGGCACACCAACGAAATCATCTCTCGGGTCAGAAACACGATACAGCCGCAAATCCGCCTCAAACATGCCGGTAGTGACGTCCAGCATCGGCAAGTTGTAGCAAATGCAGTCTCCCGATGGATTCGAAGTCCGTGTGAGTGAGGCAAGGCGCGCCTGACAAGCCGTATTGGTGAGATTGTTCCAAGCAGTAAAGTCCAGCGATCCGTCGGGAAGCAGTTGAACATCAGGCGGGATACTTGAGTTTGTCGCAGCTCTCTCATCCAAGCCACGGGCTACGGCCATGGTGTCGTCGGCGAAACCGAGGAGCGAGGCGTACGGCGTCGAGAGAACATCGTCGGTTCGGAGGACGGAGGCCGCATGAGGTACGCCCTGCGCGAGAGCGGTGGCGGCGAGGAGAGATGCCGCAAGATTGAATTTGGCCAACATTTTGAATGGATTTTTTGATTTGTTTGAGTGGATGCTCCCAGAGCAATTGCCGAGCAGAGGAAATTGAGAGCGAGAGAAAAATAACGAAAAGATTATTATTAAAGATGGTCCCGTCCAGCGGTAATGCAGAATAGAAGTCCTTCAACACTCGTGTATTACGTCGTCACCTACAGTCAGTCAACCCAGTGACAGATAGCAAAAGAAACAAGTAAACAAAGCGAGGAAGATATTAAAAAGATGAAGAAAAGACACCCCGAGAAGCACGGTTGCGGCGTGAAACAAAGCGCCTCGCTAACCGCTTCTCAGATGCCCTTCGATACAGATCCAGCAGAGGACTAGCCTCAAGTTCACTTCCATCCCTAGCAGTATATCAGGCCATAATGGCAATGCCGCGACAGCTTTGACAGAGCAGTAACTGTGCCAAGACGTCGTCAACTCGCCCTGGTCGTTGCAGGTGAGGTTCCAGGCAGCGCTAGTGAGGCATCAAGGGGGTTTCCAAGGGGTTGCTTCTCTGCAAAATACAAATACTGTAAGAGACGCGGGAAGCCCCCGGCGCCCGGCTACCAGTGCCCTGTTGACTGGACCATGCAATACCACTTGATGTTTGCTGTTGAATTTCCAGCTTGAGCAGCTTGAGTTGCCGCATTGTCTCGCTAATGTTACTAATGTTACACTGAGTGTTTGGGAGTTGTGGCACCGCCTCGGCTTGGGTGGGGGGTCGGGGGTTGAGGGCCAGTCGGACGCGTCCAAGTCGCAACTAAGCGCCGCCAAAGAAGACGGAAATCCCTGTACAGGCGACAATTGGAAAAGACATTCTATGAAATAAAATAGACGATTTTGTGACGCCAGCTGATGTTGTGATGCCATATGACTGCCCAGTGAGACCGCTTCCCGCTTACAGAACTGGTGCATACCTAATGCGCAAGACCATGACAAGACGCAATGAGAGAGCATTCCCCAGCAAAGCCCTACCATGATTACCATCAATGCCCTAAATCATACCTGAGGTCGTGTCTCAGCTCAGGCCAGGGGCAGCTCAAACCAATCTCCGGCGCCATGCTTGTAGCTGTGCTCCGTGGTAGCCCTGTAAGTACGGAGCTTTAGCGTCCGCGCACCGCCGTGGAGGTCCTTGAGCGTGATTGTTTCAGACGAATCTTCCCTTGGCAGCCCTTCTCTGAGGCCGATCTTGTGCTGCTTCTTTGGGGAGATTGGGATATTCGGGTGTCATTCCATCCTTATCTGCTATCGGATCAGTCCCTTGTATGCGGCAAGATGCGGCCATGGCGGCTTCGAGTGCGACCGCGATAGCATCGCTTCCCGATTTGGCAGCTCCTGTAGACATACTGTAGAAACACTGTCTTTATCTCATCCCCGGTATGCAACAACCGCCGGCGATAACCCCTCTTCACAGTGTCGATATCACCGTGGCGTACTCTCGACATCAACCGCCAACAGCCACCTCACCACCACCATTTATCCTTCCCCGCGATCCAGAATGCGGAGAAGCTCTTGTGATTGGCATACAAGGCAGCACCAACTTCCCTTGCGAGCACCGGAGATCCGAAAAAGGCTATCATGGCGCCCTCCATCTCGAGTCTTAGTCCCCGATAAGGGCCAATTAAGTGCATCAGCATCTCCCAACACGAGGAACATCCCGATGGACATCCGAGAGGAATCCTGATATTCGCTATCTATTATCAAGAGGAAGGCCGATATGCCAATGCTGAAGAGGCGGGGTGATCACTTATCACGACAGGGGATTAGTATTTGGAATCTGTTCCGTGATGCTTCGTAGAGACGAAGCCGATTTCCTCGAAACGCCTGATGATCATCATGCATGGCATGCACACACACTCATTCAGCCACCCGGTTATAAGCGGGCAGTCCTTACCTGCAATTGGAGCGTTGCATTGCAGCATCTACCAGAGTTCTGCACATATATCTGCTACAGGTTGCAACCAATTATTGAGGCAGACCATTCAGTGCTTCTCAAGTGTTGCAAAACAGCTGAAAACACCATGCCCGGCAAGATCCGAACTGCGCAAACCGTCTCTCTGGATATTCCAGCTGCAGAGCAACCAGCCTTGCATAACCGATGGCATCCCGATAGTGAGTCGGCGCTGCCTATCTGATGGCAGGAATTCTGAGGCTGATTCACCACTACGTAGTTCCTACAATTGGCACCATCGAACCTGGAGAGACTGTCAAGATTGAATGTGTCGATTGGACCGGCGGTCAGATCGGGAATAATGACAGTGCTGAGGATGTGCGCACCGTGGATCTAACCAAGATCCATTACTTGACCGGTCCATTCGAGATCAAAGGCGCTGAGCCAGGCGACCTCTTGGTTGTAAACATTACGGATGTCCAGCCATTCGATCACTCACCATGGGGATTCACGGGCATCTTTGATCGCCAAAATGGCGGCGGTTTTCTTGAAGAACACTACCCAAAGGCTGCCAAGGCGATCTGGGACTTTGATGGCATATATTGCACCAGCAGACACATTCCCGGAGTGCGATTCGCCGGCCTGGTTCACCCGGGTATCCTTGGGTGTGCCCCGTCAAGGGAAGTTTTATTCGAATGGAACCGTCGCGAATCTGATCTCATCTCGGCCTGCGTCCATAGCCATCCCAACAAGACAGTTGCACAGCCACCGATTGTGATGAATGCGCACGCCGGCCAAGCCACTGGGGATCTCAAAATGAAGATTGCTCGCGAAGGAGCAAGGACCATTCCTGGACGGCCAGAGCACGGAGGAAATGGTATGTCACTTGGGGGAGAATAGCACAGTATGCGTAATGTATTCTGACAATTCGAAAAGTGGACATCAACAACATCTCGAGAGGATCGACGACATACCTTCCGGTCCACGTCCCTGGCGCCAGCTTTTCAGTCGGTGACCTCCATTTCAGCCAAGGTGACGGAGAGATTAGCTTTTGCGGTGCGATTGAAATCGCTGGAGTCATCACCATCAAGTTCGACCTCATCAAGAATGGCGTCCAATCGCGAGCTATCAAGAGCCCCGTTTTCCGGCCGGGCGATGTAGCCCCCCATTTTGGCCCTGGTCGGTACCTTACGTTTGAAGGCTTCTCAGTCGATGAGAATGGCAAGCAACACTTTATGGATGCAACGGTGGCTTACCGGCAGGCTTGCCTCCGCGCGATCGAGTATCTCAAGCAGTTCGGTACGTCATTGAGCAGATCTTTTGGGTGCTTTGTTTGTCCATGTAGAGCCTGTAGCTAACCTCCCCGGTTTGGGTGTCAGGGTACTCTGGAGAGCAGATCTATCTTCTCCTATCGTGCGCCCCCATCAAAGGCGCAATCGCTGGCATTGTAGACATTCCCAATGTTTGCACAACATTGGGAATTCCCATGGACATATTCGACTTTGACATCTCTATTGAGGCCGTGCCGAAGAAGCGAGACCTTGGATCTTGCCCCATTTCAAGCGTCTAACTTCAATAGCTGCGGACTAGTCTAGTACCAGAGAGGAAGCTGCATGTTGCTATTGCTGGCTTGGCCCTGTGTACCTTGTACAAAAATGAAGCAGCGTACCTAGGTAGCCAATATTGATGACCATGGATGCCAGCTTTGCCTCGTTTCAAAACAAAACTAGTGACGGTTCAGCTCAGCTACAGCTGGGCGTGTAATGGAGTCGCGTCGACCTTGTACATAGGATTTCTTCGCGGGGGACGGGGCTGAGTATGTCAACTATGTATCCTGGATGGGATGATTAATTAGTATTCTTGCCGAGACTCATCGACGTCTAATTGGTGTAGAATTTCCTCGCGGAGCTGATTGTCAGAAGCTAAATGTTCCCGAAGCCCCAACCGCGTAACGTTATGACATTGCTTAATCCTCATTCAATGGTTAATTCATTAGTTAGTCCTTGGATCTTGTTAAGCTGCAATTAGTGCAGTTCCCGACTCCTTGGCTGGATGATATTTGCTGAATGTGTGGGGGAAATGCTGCTTTCAGCCGTTAAGCATAGTCTTCAACCTTCTCCATATTTTACCCCGGACTTTGAGGAGTTCGGGATGATTTGAAAATATCCGCCAATCATGCAAAGGTAGCATTTTGTCCGCCAATAAGACGGCCGACTTCCTGTCAGCTTATAGTCGCGTTAGGAAGGAGTCTCCTTTTATTTCTATAGATATAATAAGGAAATACCCCTTGCGAAAAAGTGAATTTGAGGAGTAGGCACAGCGTCAATCGGTCTTGTGCTTCATCGTTGAGAGGCTACTCCTGTCCCTAGCTGCTTGAATTAGAGTCCTGGCAATTGACTCCAGGCAACATGAAGCTCAATTCTTTGGTGAGCTTCGTGGCTGCAACGGCCGGCGTTGCGCAGGCCGCTTCTTCAGATGATCTCGCGCTCTTTGCTAAGAGGAGGACGGCGGATCTGGCCCAGTTCCCTGATCCTACATGGTTTGCCAAAATCGATACGTGGCTGTCTTCTCAAAAGGCAGATGGCACTTGGTCCGATGTAAACTACCTCTCGGGATGTCCTGCGCGTAAGTGAAAGACCGCGCCGCGTCTTGCTGACAGCTAGCGAATAGCTGCCCTATACTGCTTTTTGGAAAAACGTGCTGACGGGTGTGCTTTTGAAGAACGTGCCAACTGGCCAATCCAGGAGCATTGGAATAGGCTGATTACTTTTGGAGCTGCGTGGAGTGGTGTTAATCCTGCCGTGTCGAGTAGTTGGGCCAAGGATCCGAAGCTTCTTGCGGCGGTTCAGAAGGGCTTGGACTATTGGTTTAGCAATGACTATACTCCAGATGACTGCATGGGAAACGGAGGTGACGCGTGAGTATTGTGAAGGTGGTTATTTGCTGTTGCTCTCGCACAGAGGAACTAATGATGAACCCAGGTCAAAAGGTTGCCCTTGCAATACGCCTGGTCTGTGGAATACCGTACGTTTCTACCACTGAACCCGGTAGTCTCATGAGCTTTTCGCTGACACAAGCAATAGAACTGGTATGATCAAGCAATTTTGATTCCTCAGCTGTGCTCGACGGCGTGTCTTCTCGTCAAAGATGCGAATCTTACCGAAACACAACGCGCTGGCTGTGAGCGTATCCCCTATCGAGCGTACGCTCTCCGAGATGGTACCTATGGTACCGGCGGCCGCATGACTGGAGCCAACGTAAGCCCAAAATTGAGTCCTCTTCGCTAATTTGTATTCGACGCTGATCATTTTGTTACATAGATGGTTTTGGTTATGCAAAACTCGGTCACACTGGCCCTTTTCACCGATAATAGCACCATTTTGGCGGATTCTATGACTAGAGCCATGTCTGTGATGACTGTGAGTTGTCTCACTTGTACTGTTGGATAGCAGGATTGGGCTAACTGAGGGGTAGTTTATCGATGATGCTGGAGTAGATGGCATCCATCGTGATGGCACATTCCTTCAGCATGACGGTCTCTTGTACAACGGCAACTATGGCAAGGATCTGGTGAGATTTAACTTCTTCCCAATACCTTGACCTTGTATTTCGTGCTGACATGATGTACAGTTGAATGCATTTATTCAGCTTGAAGGCGAGGCCATTGGAACCTCATTTGCTGCCGACGATAACACCCGAGAGGCCATGTCCACTTACATCAAAGGCGATGAATGGATGATCTACACAGACTCTCAAACTAGAACCGAGCACTGGGACTTTGTAAGCATTCTTTTGCCCCTTCATCAAAATGGAAAAGCCCAAGGCTAACCCCTAGATCTTTGTAGAATGCCATCGGTCGCTTTGTTTCTTTCCCTACCGTTGACTTGCAAGCCAGCGCAGATATCAACTTCAACGTCTCAAAGCTTGCAAACGCGGTGGCTGATTTTACAGGACCATACGCCGTCAACGACACGATTCGCAGACTTCTTTCCAACGGAACCGAGAAGCTCACTGGCAATAAGGGCTTCTGGGCAAGCGACTACATGGTTCACCGCCGGCCTGGTTACATCCTCACAAACAAGATGATATCAACCAGATCTTCCAACTCAGAGAGTGTCAATGGAGCTAACCCTTATGCGTACCACATGGGCCAGGGCACTCTGTACTCCTACGTCCAGGGCAATGAGTACAAAGACATCATGGCAGCGTGGGATTGGAACCTTGTGCCGGGAACGACTACTCTGCTCAACCAGCCCAAGCTCCAGGCCTCCCAGGTGAAGTACGATGGCCTGAAGGACTTTGTTGGCGTCGTGAGTGACGGCAAGTTTGGTGCTGCCGTTGAAGACTACCTCGATCCTTTGACCCAGAATCTTTCCTACCGAAAGTCTTGGTTCTATGTTGACGAGGGTGTTATTGTCATTACCACTGATATCAAGAAGAATGCCACTGCTGGAGATGCTGCTGTCATAACAGTGCTGGATAACCGCGCCGCGGAGCCAACAAAGGCACTCCTCAAGACCGGCCCAGTCTCCCAAGCAGGCGAACAACACCTCACCTCAGACACTCTGTACTACGCAAACAATGGCTACCTCTCCTACGACACACCTTTCCAGCTGACCCTATCTGTGGGTAAGCGAAGCGGCAACTGGTCAGAGATTTCGACTTCGACTCAGGGTGTCAAGACCGTCGACATCTTCTCCGCGTATACCACAATCAAGGGCAGCCAGTTTACATATGGCTACTTCCCCGGCATTTCATCCAAGAAGCTAAACAAGGAACTCGAAAAGCCTACCTGGAATCCCATCACCAAGAAGGGCATCTCGGGCATCTACGGCAAAGACAGAGCGAGTCTCGCCTTTTGGCCCGGCGGCGATAAGTCTGTTGCGCTGGACTTGAAGGCGCTCGGATGGTCCAAAGCTGGCACGCTGACCTTTAAGTCTGACCAGCCGGCGGTGTATCTTATCAGTGCGCAGTGCAAGGATAAGAAGAGCATGCGCCTTGTTGTCACGTTGGCCGATCCCACACAGAAACTCACTGTGGCTTCGTACTCGATCAAGATCTCGGGGCAGGGCCATAAAGTGCGGGATATGGGCAAGAAGAGTGAAGGGCTTGAGAGGAGGGGTGATGGAGGTATTGGATTTGGTGTGAGGCTGCCTACTGGAGGACTGGCCGGATCGTCTGTTAGCCGCGAAGTTCTCTTGGAGTTGGACTAGAAAGAGGGGGTATCGGTCTGCTAATGGGGGGTGACATGAATATTTATATGAGAAACGCTTTGATTTCTCTATTTTAGGTAATAGTACATCTAATAAGAAAGATATAATACGGTCCAAGGCGGGCAGCATATATACAGTCCCTTGATAAGTGTACACAACCAATTCGAACTTGAAGAAGTCAACGAACGAAATTCCACCAATGAATACCTGCTGTTAACACTAAAAGGGGTAAACTATAATGGGGTGGAAAGCAAATGCAACATGGATATGCATGCCGCTATATCCTGTAAGCAAAGTACCTTCATCATGCCCTTTATCTTATATTGAGCTTATGCCCCAGTTTCTCTCATGTTTACCGCGGGTAGTCGGTCTGCACGCAACTCTTCTTCGACATGTATATGCCTCAGCCTATGGCATCTAATTGTACGATCTCTGAAGCATATCAGGGCATTACAATACAGTGTAAGTCATCGAATCGCAATTGCGTGATGCACTAGGCTATCAAAGCGACAGTGGATCTACATCTAGCGGAGAGGAATGCAGCAGCGACGACAGGCCGTCAGCATATGTATGTATAGGAAAGTACACTGGTATAGAAAAGCATTAGTCTACCTATCGTACAATAGACTTTCATTGTCTCTACAATGTATTGTCGTGGGATGAGTTGAGCAGGGCTCAAGGGGCTGGCACGTATGATAGTGGCGTTGTTTTCTTGTTGCTACCTCCAAACTCCAGGACCATGGTGCCCGTCCATGAGCTGATTGCCGCGAGTGATGAATTGCTGATACTCGTATCTACAGGGAACGAGTACTTGCAACACTAAATTCAAGACTGACTGGTGGAGCTGGTCCGGATGCATTCCACACCAATCCATTTCTTGAGTGGGATCCATTGATATTGCTCCTGGTGTGTATCCACCTCTCCGGATGTGAACAACACTACCATTTGTATAGCATAGGATGACAATATCCAATTGGGCGAGACGCTATTGGTGACGTGAGCAAAAATACCTACCAACAGAAAATATATCGAATCGGCTTGAATCATGGCCAAATCCGGTCACCAAACGGCAGCCAAGAGGACACCGGCCCAGTAGCCACAACGCCACCATTGCTATTTCCATTCCCATCTGCCTTTGGCCAGTTTCGGTGACTCATCTAATACTACTGATGCTGCTTGGAGAGGCAGCAATAGTTGGAAAGAGAAGCTTGGAACAACTCATCCCTGTCGGCCTATGGCGATAATCCTGGTGAGGTAGCCTTGGGCTGGTCTAGGCTTCGGTGACGCAATTGAATCCTCGTCTAGGTAGCGCATTTATGGAGTTTCTGGGTACGTAAGATGGGAGATGAAGACAATAAGAAAAAAGAGAAAAGAACGGATGTTTGAACCGGAGAGGAAGGCAGAAGCAAGCCCAGCAACGGTAAATGAGGAATCAGGGCGCACGGCTTCTTGATATTATGCCGTATGTACCTGTAAGATTCTGGACTGGTTCGGGCCCTGGAGATCTGCACCAGGCGGAATTATGCTGCCTGTTAAGATCCCACGCCCTCTGCTTGTACTACCACGGCCAAGTCTACTTGTGATGATGCCAGCGACGTTGCGTTGAGTCGAGTAGCGGTCATAAGATCTGTACATGCTGAGGTTTCTGGCAGTATCTACCTACCTATCTACCAAGCACATGTATCCAGCCGACGCCAAGTTTACTCTTTCGTATTAGCAGTGCATTCTTTGAGTCTACGGAGCATGTCTTCCTGAGGCTCAGTCTGTGAGCCATACATCTCATGTTCTCACATCACACCAAAACCCGCCGCCATTGATCCTTGCTTCGAGCACGGCCTGGCCGATGCGTCGCCTCCAACTCTCCAGCAAGCCACCGTGAGTGATGCCGATCCTGTCAATCAGGCCTTGTGAGTCGTCCAACAGCCCTGTCGACAGCCCATCGCTTTTCTGGTGGTCCCTGTGCCGCATCTCAATCGTGATTCGTGCAAGGCCGATCACCAAAAGCTGCGAGATATTGCGCCATCGTCACTACACAGCTCTTATCCCAGTTCAGCTACCTCTTAGCCTCTGCTTGTACGGAGTCACTGCAGGCTACGGACATAGATGCTTGATATTACGATACCAGCACACGATCAAGGCCGCGCCCTTGACAGAAAAGGTGGATGTGAAAAAAAGACTTTCCGCCCGTGGAACCGCGGCGTGCGCGTAGCCGCAATGGTGATAGATTCCTAGCGTCATGCAGCATCAGCTGGTAGCACCATCTTGAGGTCGTGTGCTAAGGTTGCATTGAACAACGCCTTGGCCGCGTACATAATGAAGGCCGTCCCGCGTTTTCTGCAGCGAGGCGATAAGCCGAAGGATCTATCCGTGCAGCGACTCTTCTTTTCTTCTTCTTCTTCCGCCTCTTTTCAGCCCTGCTTCTGGAGAAGTTGCGAGCAGCCATTGTGTTGAGCCTACCTGCAGACTGTCTCTTGATATAATTGCTTTCCTCTGTAATCGCTGCAATGGGTACTCCGTCAGACGATGGCAAGGCGGCGCCAGCCCGTGATCCTGTCGAGACTCAAAGCATTTCCACCGGCAGTGATGAAGACGTCATTCCCAAGGGTGCGCTCGATCCTGTATACGAGGCAAAGGCCAAAGTCCTGAACCGTGCTGTAAGTCTCAAGCTCGTATTCTAATTGGCTCTCATATCCATTGCCAAACCCATGCCAAAATTGTGCCGTGCTCGTCAGATTAATTAACACATACGCTCGTCCAGATTCAAGACATTGGCATGGGATGGTATCAATGGCAGCTCTTCGCCGTTGTCGGATTTGGCTGGGCTTCCGATAATCTTTGGCCAATTGTCACATCTCTCATCTTCACGCCCGTCAACAACGAGTTTACCCCCCACCGCGCACCGCTCTTAACTCTTGCTCAGAACATTGGTCTTTTGGCTGGTGCTGTCTTCTGGGGCTTTGGGTGCGACATCTTCGGTCGGAAAATCGCCTTCAACTTTACCCTCGGCTTGACAGCCCTCTGGGGAATGGTGGCTGCTGGAGCTCCCAACTTTGCTGCCATTGGTATCTTTGACTGCTTCTGGTCCTTTGGTGTTGGTGGCAATCTCCCCGTCGACTCGGCCATCTTTCTTGAATTTTTGCCCGCGACTCACCAGTACCTTTTGACTATCCTGTCTATCGACTGGGCCATTGCTCAAGTCGTTGCCACTTTGATTGCTTGGCCTCTCCTGGGCAACTTGACTTGTGCTCAGGACGAGAAGCCATGTCTTAAGCAGAACAATATGGGTTGGCGATACCTTCTGATTACTATGGGTGGAATCACGCTTCTCATGTTCTTGGCTAGATTCTTGGCTTTCTCCCTTTACGAGTCGCCCAAGTACCTCATGGGCAAGGGCCTGGATGAAGAGGCTGTCCGAGTTGTTCATGAGGTTGCCAAACGCAATGGCAAGACGAGCTCACTGACAATCGAAGAACTAAAGGCTTGCGAACCCGAAGGCTACGTGTTCCAGGCAGATATCTCTACCGCTGTCAAGAGGCACTTGGTTGAACAGATTGACACCAAGCATATCAAAGCTTTGTTCTCAAATTTCAAGCTTGGCCTGTCGACTAGTCTCATCTCTGCTATTTGGGCTCTAATTGGCCTCGGCTTCCCCCTTTACAACGCTTTTCTGCCGTTTATTCAGGCAAACAAGGGTGTCGATTTTGGCGATGGAAGCACTTATCTCACATACCGCAATAGTCTGATCATTGCTGTGCTCGGTGTTCCCGGAGCTCTGATTGGAGGTTTACTTGTCGAGCTCCCTCGGGTTGGCCGCAAGGGAACACTCGCTCTTTCTTCCGCTCTGACAGGTGTCTTCCTGTACTGTAGCACGACTGCCAAGAGCAGCGAATCGCTTCTCGGCTGGAACTGCGCCTACAACTTCTGCAGCAATGTCATGTATGCTGTGTTGTATGGATACACCCCTGAGATCTTTCCAACTCCCCAGCGTGGTACCGGCAACGCCATCGCTGCTACTGCTAACCGAATTTTCGGCATTATGGCTGTACGTGTCTCTACATCTTCTCATCTAATTGTGAATCTTTGTATGAATGTGTCTAACTGTTTGGAAACTATAGCCTATTATCGCCATGTTTGCCAACCTCGAGACGTCCGCGCCAGTCTATACCAGCGGTGCTTTGTTTATTGCCGCCGGCGTTCTTACCCTTTTCCTGCCGTTCGAATCACGCGGAAAGGCAGCGCTTTAAGAGCAATCAACCAGTTCAAGAGATTTAGAGAGCCGATTAATTCGTTTGTACATAGAACAAAAGAGTGCCGTTGGTCCTGGTAGTGAAGATGTTGGAGAAGAGATGTGACAGCGTGATACCCAAGGTAGTTTCTACTTAATGAAATGGTTACAGCCTATTTAGCATAAGTTCTGGAAAGTCGCCAGATGTAATATGGATCGTACACAGCTTAATGGAAAATGAAATTCAACTGAGAAAACCTATTTAAACATCTGTATTACAAAGCGCCAAGACAGAAAAGTAAACCAAAACCCCGTCTCCTTTCCACATCATCAAACCAGAATGGCATTATTCATACAATCTTTTTATTCCCTTTTCCTGCTCCCTCCATCATGCCAACGTACTCAATATATTCAGGGCAACAAATCCACTTAGCTAACAAACCACCAAATCGAGACTGCCTAGGCTAGTTCTAGCTGTGGGCTTGACAGTCCCTGTGGTGTTTGTTCCGACTACGCTGTTATTGTATTAGTGTTTAACATGCAGTTCTCTATTACTGTGTGTCAGGTGTGTGTGATATCAAAGAGATGCAAATGATCGAAGATGCTCCTCCGGCAATGATCTCAGAATCCTCAAGGAAAAGCTTTTGTGGGTTAATTTCAGAATGAATATCAGGCAATTCAGGAGGAGGGAACGGGACAAAATGGCCGAACAAGGTGGCGGGCTAATACGTATGTTCTCTCGGCGCTTGACTTGTCTTGTAGTTTTGTTGTTTAAGGTGTTGCCATTCTTCTGCCTCTTTGCCAGGAAACCTCTTTCTAGCCGCTGTGACTTTCGAGCAAAAAGAAGAACCTCAACCGCTTGGCTAACCAGAGACTACTCCCTATAGTACAATATGTCTACGAACATCAAAATCCCCCGAGAGTGTTCAAGGAGGTGGCACCATGGCTCTGGAAGACTACATGTAGCGACGGTGTAGAGAAGAAGAAGACGAGCAAGCTGATCACGGCTAGCCAACTGGTCTATGCACAAACAGTGAGAACACTGACCAGCGAGAACCATCGCCAGTGAGCTATACTGTCTACGGGAGCTCAAGCCATGGACTGCCCATCAGATAAGCCCAAGCGAAAACTGCAGACCCATCTTCAACAAGTTGAATTCTCGAATGTTGCTCTGAAACTTCATCCGCATCCATAATGCAATTGCGGTATTGTCCGTTGGAGGGCGTCACGCGATACAAGGGAAACACAAATCCTAGGAAGAGAGCTTACAATGAGGAAGTTTGTTGAGAAGGAAACAGTTCAACAAAAAGAATAGGGAAAAATGAAAGAGATATAATTTGTTATGGTACGTAGAAATCATGTGGCGGGTCCAAGAGAGGGTGAAGTAAGTGTGACAGCTGTTAGCTGGTAATGAGGAGAAGCCGGTTTATATTATTATTATTTACTAAATATGTACTTTATTATTACATTGAAATTCGCGTCTTATAGTGACATAAAACTTGTCGCTCCCGAATGTCGACAGAGCAATATGAATAGTGGTACCACACTCAATAAGGTTGATAACGCCCTTTGTTGTTGTTGTTAGCCCCAGACTTGGGCCTCTTCCGATTGGGGCATTCCTTTTTTTTATGGTCTTCTCGACCACAGGTAAAACATTTTTTTACGTTGGTAGCGGCAGTGGTGTAGGAGGAGGAGGAGGAGGAAGAGACGGCGACGGCGGTGGTGGCGGTAGTCATGGCAGCGGCAGCGGCATTCTGCTGATGTACAATCTGTTGTATTTGGCGCTGCTGATGCTGCGTTTGCTGCTGCAATTGCTGGATTTGCTGCCGCAGATCGGCTACTACGGCCTTCAGTTGATCAATCTCAGCTAAAGATTGTAAAGTCAGTTGCCGATAAATAAACGCAGGAGCGCCGTGGTAGCATGCTCAAACTTACATTGCATCGTTTTCTTTGGAGAAAATGAATACAGAGGCGGCGGGCTATGTTCTTCTTGGATGGCGTAGAGGTTGGCGTTTTCGAAGTTGGAGACAACGTAAAACCTGTTGCAACTCGTCAGTAACACGATCAGGGCTTTGTAGTGATGGTTTCATGTTCATGTGTTCACAAACGTTAGAAGGATAGCATACTTATGGTACTGAGGTCATGCCGGTGAGATTTTCTGAGAAGAAAAAGAAGAAGAAAGAACAGAGAGAGAGAAAGAGAGAGAATTTGACATCGTGCGCAGGGATCACGTGTGCAGTGCATAGAGGTTGAGGTAAATGTGATAAACAGCTGCCAGCTGGCAAAGAGAGAGAAGCTTGTTGACTGCCAGGTAGAATATGTACTTTAGAGCCAGTATAATAACTGGTCGAGCTCTAGGTACCCTCAGAATTTGGTCAGGCAAATGTGATTGACAGCTGCCAGCTGGTAATGGGGCAGGTTGTTAAGTGCCAGGTAGGAATAGCTTGGAGCCAGTATAGGTAGGTACCTTAATAAGTGGTCGAACTCGAAGTACCTTCAGAATCAGATAGGGGGAATCAGTGTTCGCTTGAGCTCCTGCAGAATAGAGTCAGAGAAGAGCTCGCTAGCTAAGGTTCTCACTGATTGCTCGTAGACTAGTTGCGCGGCCATGACCAGCTTCTTCATCTGCTTCCTATCTAAGCAGTCGCTCGTCTTGTAGAGCCGCAGTGCCGGCCTCTTCCGACAACCTTGAGCATTATGGGGGAGGGGGGGGGGGGGGGGGGGGGGGGGAGATTGTGATGTACATACGTAGATAGTATGTTCCACTGTTAGACGTACTCTCTAGCATATACAAATCAGCTGAGATCCTCTTTCTCCAAGAACTACAGCGGCGATGAAAGTTCTTTGGTAAAGGGCTCTTGAGTGAACGCTTAATAGGTAGTTACGTATAATTCCAATTTTAGTTTAAAAAGTTGCTGACGTTCTCGATTAGAGTGGCGAGCAGGAGCGCATAATAAGGATATCAGCAGGTCCGAAACCAGGATGTCCATTCTATTGTTTTAGTGTGAGGCTACCTTATTATCGAATTTTATGCTAGGCTCGGAGTAGGCTGAAATACAGAGGAGGTAGTGGTTGCGATGCTTCCGGCTGTTGTTTCTGATACTCTTATGCGCAAAGCTCGAAACTTTCGTAACTCCAAGTCCTCATATTGAATATGTGCTTGCAGCGGAGTTTATCACTAATGGAGACGGGTGACGTATTATTCTTCCTCGTAATCTGTTTTTCTGGTGTGACAGGCATGGTAGAGTCTGCTGGTGGTAAGATTAACCGAGGCGGCTATCCTCTAAGAAGAATTGTCGGCGTCAATGGGTGTGAATAGTTGACTCTTTGGGGCCTATGGGCTATTATAAAGGCAAAAGCTAGTGTTGATATCAATGATATATTACTCTTTCAATATTTCACCCACCAGACATTTATATACCAAGGTAGAGAGTGCTCATCATGAATGAAGAAGTATTTGGCAAACTTAAGGATCAAAAACTCGAGCTCGGCGGAGACTTCGCTGATGTAGCATTTGACCTGAATTCTATCGTAAAGCATAGTTCCTTGAAGAGAAGATTCTCGAGAGAACGTGAGACGCAACCTAATCTTAGAAGAGAGTCGACTTCCAAGACTTTGAAGAAGAGAGTTTGAGGGGAGGAGATGGATCAACGAAAAGATTGGTGGTAAAATGGGAGTCATTAGCCTCCATATATGGGTTTTAAGGTCTGCCGAAGCTGATCCTGGAGATATGTCTTGAGAAGCCGTGTCTGATGAGCTGCGATTTGGGGCTGCAATGCTGAGCGAAAAATTTCAGGGTATATCTAAAAGAAGACTCCCAGTGGTATATTTTCCGCCATAGACGATTAGGAGAGCGTGTGTTGTGCGGAGGTGATTACATGTAGCTGGAGTACATATATCCGGCTCATTGGTGGTACTGAGTACGTGCGGATCATGGGTACCGAAGCAAGACCACGGGAGAAACTCAGATGATATGGATAAAGTAGCACTTGGTTAACTGGTTACTGGATTCCAATTCTCACTTTGTGCTTTGTATTGTATTGGACATACAAGAAGTAGGTGCTCTCTTCAAAGTCATGATTAGTGAATTCGCTTGAGCACCAGCCACCAGTCCCATTTTTTGCTGGTCTACTGCCACTACTGATGACTTCTAGCAGAAGGTAAACTTTTGTGGGATAAGGAAAAAACTGATGGAGAAGTATTGATGTCTTCTCTAACCAAGTGACGGGCTACAGCTATCCATCTATGTTTTGAAGATCGCGGTCGTGTCGCCACAAATTAGTTGTAGTAAATCAGGTGGGTTAAGGAAAATACAATTGGATAGCATTAAGCGGGCGAAATTAATTGCCGACAGTATGTGTTTCAGCCTCAACTGAAATTTGGTTGGAACCTGCGTTGGGTATTCGGTAACAATAAACTCAATTGCAAGAGCAACGAGCAACGAGCAACGAAGCAACGAAGCAACGAAGGCACCAAGTTACCAAGTTACCAAGTCTCATAACAGCTTGATCTATCCAAATAGATTAATCTTCTTATTGTGTCTCGACAAACTTGCTGACCACCTTTTATTTTATTTTTTTTATCGTTTTCTTATGTCTGCATGTATTTTTCCCATTTTTCAATATTCTTCTCTACGGAGTAGTTGCCACACATTTGTAAAGGGAAGGGTTATTATTCAGCACCACAACTTGGCTCTCCAGCACCACAGCGACTAAGAGTTCCGAATGTCGCAACAACGCAGATATAAAGATCTTTTTATCACCGTTACTTGAATAGATATATAGTTCCTAGAGTATGTATTTATTATTCTCGCTGTTTTCTGCTACTATCGCTATTTTCTGCTAATGTCGCTGTTTTCTACTACTATCCTTATATTCCTCTAGCGTCTACTCGCCTACACCCTGGATGTCAAACAGCTCATCGTCGCCGTCAACAAGATAGACATTGTCAACTAGGCCGAGACTCGCTACCAAGAAATCGTCAAAGAGACAGTAATCATGTAATAAATTTTGTGCAAAAGTAGTTAGCTCATCTTAAAGTAACTTATGTACTGACTGAATGAGATTATAAAATACCTCCAAGTAAAATTCTTACCTGTTATCACCACTTGTTCAAGAAGGCAAGGGCCTTACACCTTATGACGGCTCATGTAAGGTTCGAAGCCGGACGGCCTGCGACCAAGTGCCACCCCTACTTCCCGCCCCATTTCTTTTACACGGCTTAATAGCTTCAAGTTCAACGGTTTAGAAGAAATACGAGAAGAGTAGAAAGAAATTACTTCAGCAAAAAACTAATCAAAACTAACTGTAAGCCCTATACAGGGCATAATTCACATAATATGAAACACCCGTACTGCCCGCAATTGAATATCCTGTCCCTGTCGTTCCACGATCTCGCCTTTTATTTCGGCTCCGTCCCAATCAAACGATTCCTCCAAACTATACTAGAAGCGACTTGATCTTAATCCACTTTCCCAAGAGTCCGCCCAAAAGCCCACCCAAAGTAGTTCCGGTCGTACCAGTGGTATTTGTGACGGTTCCGGTGGTGTTTGTTCCAACTGTACCCAACCCTCCTAGGAGACCTGTTCCAGTGTTTCCAGTCGAGTTTGTTGTCGTGGTATTGGCTGTGCCAGACCCAGCAGTGCCGGTAGAGCCTGTTCCGCCCAACAAGCCTGTCAGAAGACCACCGCCGCTTCCAGTTGAACCCGTCGAGTTCGTACCCGTCGAGTTCGTTGTTCCAGTACCGGTTGATCCTGTGCCTCCAGAGAGCAAACCACTTAAAAGACCACTGCCGGTGGAGTTGGTGGAGTTGGTCGCGCCAGTTCCAGTGGATCCCGTGCCTCCTAAGAGATTGCCAAGTAAGTTACCCGTGGAATTCACCGCACTGCCTGTTGTATTCGCAGAACCAGCTGTTGAGTTAAGAAGGCCAGAAAGTAAGTCACTTGTTGAATTTACCGCACCACCAAGCAGTGTGCCGGTGGAATTCACAAGATTGCTCGTTGCGTTCAGAAGAGCGCCAATAAGGTCGCCACCAGTCGGCGGAGCCGATCCAGTTGAATTAGTCGACCCAGTGCCGCCAGTCGTTGAAGAGCCACCTCCGCCGAGAAGATCGCCGAGGAGGTCGTCGCTTGAAGTAGTGTTACTCGAGCCAACGCCGCCTGTTGAGCTATTACTCCCAGCTAATCCTGTGATTCCTGAGAGTCCATCCGTCGAATTGCTTGTGTTGTTTCCAGCGCCCCCCAGGAGTCCAGAGAGATCTCCAGTAGTTCCTGTGGTATTGTCGATGGTGCTTCCAACAGTACCGGTTAGATTGAGACCAAGCTCTCCAGGGCCACCCGTCGTGTTTCCGTCGGTGGTGCTTCCTGTACCGGTTGAGTTTCCAAGCAACCCTCCCAGGAGATTTCCAGTGTCATTCGCTGCGGTTCCATTATCTCCTAGTCCACTTAAAAGATTATCTGTGCTGTTTACTGGGTTTCCCATGATGCCGGCTTCTGTGCTGTTATCTGAGGTTCCGAGCAATCCAGTTGAGGTATCATTTGCGGCGGTTCCATTACTTCCGAGCAATCCACTGAGAAGATCGGTTGAATTGGGGGCGGTTCCTTCACCTTCTGTACTATTGTCGGGGGTTCCAATCAAACCTCCCAGCAATCCAGTGTCGGTTCCAGTTCCATTGTTTCCACCAGCAAGGCCGGTATTATTCAATAATCCGCCTACAGTGTTGTCGATTACGCCTCCAGCACTACCAAGTTCTGTGCCTCCGAGTGTATTGTTCAAAACATCCCCAAGATCTGTACCCTCAAGAGTGCTATTCAGGGGGGTTCCGGTTCCGTTGACCAATCCGTCCGCAGTGTTGTTCAAATCACTTCCTAGATCTGTGCCTCCAAGAGTACTGTTTAAAACTCCTCCAAGATCTGTACCCCCAAGAGTACTATTCAGGAGACTTCCGGTTCCGTTGACCAATCCGTCGGCAGTGTTGTTCAGAATACTTCCCAGATCTGAATCTCCAAGAGTGCTGTTTAGAACGCCGCCTACACCTTGATCAACGCCTGTGCTACTGGGTAAACCACTCAGTTCGTCAGTAGTATTACCTGCAGTTCCATTACCCAAGCCATCACTTAATAAACCATCCGTAGTGTTACTAGGGTTGCTTCCAAGATCTCCTAGTACAGAATCGGTACCATTGACCAAGCTCCCAATGGTGCCGTTGGCCAACCCCCCAAGATCTCCAGTCGTGCTATTGAGTAAACCACCCAAGCTTTGATCAACCGTTGTATTTCCTGTAGTTCCATTGCCAAGATCTCCTGTCAAAGAATCTGTTCCGTTGACTGATCCAAGTATTTCTGTTCCGTTGGAAGTGCCGTTGATCAGACCTTCAGTACCATTGATCAAGTTTCCAATCGTGCCGTTGGCCAAGCCCCCAAGGCCTTGTGTACCATCGCCAATCGTGCTATTACTTAAACCGCCCAACGAGCCGGTGTCAGTAATATTGCCTGCAGTTCCATTGTCGAGGAGCCCGTCTACAAGAGAACCTGTTCCATTGAGAGTGCTGCCGTTATCCGTGCTTCCGAGATCAGGTAGGGTTCCGTTGACAACTGAACCCAAATCAGGCAAGGTGCCGTTCACAATTGAACCATCAGGGAGGTTGCCTGAGTCCAGATCAGGCAGGGTGCCGTTCACCGTTGAACCTAGATCAGGCAGTGTTCCATTCACCGCTGAGCCTAGATCAGGCAGGGTGCCGTTCACAATTGAACCATCAGGGAGGGTACCTGAACCTAAATCAGGCAAGGTGCCATTTACCGTTGAACCTAGATCAGGCAGTGTGCCGTTCCCCGCTGAGCCTAGATCAGGCAGTGTGCCGTTCACCGTTGAACCTAGATCAGGCAGTGTTTCATTTAAGGCTGAACTTAAATCAGGCAGTGTTCCGTTGTTTGCTGAACCTAGATCTGTACCATTCAACCCGCCTAATGTATCGTTCAGCAAACCTCCTGAATCAGTGCTATTGGCCAATCCCCCAAGAGTATTGTTCAGGAGACCTCCTAAATCGGGGTTGCTGCCCAAATCCCCGATCGTACCGTTCAAGGTGCTTCCGAGATCAGGGAGGGTTCCAGAACTATCAGGGAGAGTGCTGTTGACTAAACCCCCCGTGGTATTATTTAAGGTGTTCCCAAGATCAGTGCCCCCAAGATCAGTGCCATTGACTAATCCCCCAAGAGTATTATTTAGGAGACCTCCTAAATCGGGGCTGCTACCCAAATCCCCGATCGTATTGTTCAAGGTGCTTCCGATATCAGAGATACTGCCGTTGACGATTGACCCCAGATCAGGAAGAGTGCCATTTGCGCCTAAATCATCAGGGAGAGTGCCGTTGACCAAACCCCCCGTGGTATTGTTTAGCAGACCTCCTAAATCGGGGTTGCTGCCCAAATCCCCAATCGTATTGTTCAAGGTGCTTCCGATATCAGAGAGACTTCCGTTGACGGCTGACCCCAGATCAGGAAGTGTGCCATTGGTTAGCCCTTCAAGACCTTGTGTTCCGTCTCCAACGGTGCTATTACTTAAACCGCCCAACGAGCCAGTATCGACAGTGGTTCCGTTGCCAAGATCTCCAGGCAAAGAATCTGTCCCATTAATCAAGCCCCCAAGGTCGCCTCCGAGCGTATTATTCAAGAGACCTTCAGTTCCATTGAGCAATCCGCCTGATGTATTGTTTAAAACACCTCCAAGATCTCCAAGATCGGTCCCGTTGACTCCAACCGTATTATTGAGGGTATTCCCAAGATCTGGAAGGGTGTTGTTGAGAATCGATCCAATTGTGCCATCAGTCAAATTGCCCGCCAGGCCTTGATCGATAGTAGTATTGCTTGCGGTTCCATTGCCCAAATCTCCCAAGCTGCCAAGACCTTCTGTTCCGTTGAGAATCGATCCAGTTGTGCCATCAGTCAAGTTACCTACCAGGCCTGAATCAATAGTGGTATTGCCTGCAGTACCATTACCCAAATCTCCCAAGCCGCCAAGACTTTCAGTTCCGTTAAGTAGCGTTCCAATTGTGCCATCAGTCAAATTACCCAAGAGGCCAGAGTCGATGCCGTTGTCGTTTCCTGAAGTGTTATTACTAGGCAATCCACCCAGCAGCCCATCATTGCCTGACGTTTCATTTCCTAGAAGACCTCCGAGGAGCCCTGCATCAACGCCAGTGCTATTGTCCAAGCCTCCAAGGCCTTGTGTTCCGTTGAGTATCGAACCAATTGTGCCATCAGTCAAATTACCTACCAGGCCTGAATCAATAGTGGTATTGCCTGCAGTTCCATTGCCCAAATCTCCCAAGCTGCCAAGACCTTCTGTTCCGTTTAGAAGTGTTCCAATTGTACCATCAGTCAAATTACCCAATAAGCCGGTATCAATGCCAGTGCCGTTACTAACAGTGGTATTGCCTGTAGTCCCGTTGCCGAGAAGTCCGCCCAGTAGGCTGCCAAGAATGGTATTTGTTAGACCGCCAGTGGGGATGAAGCCAAGGCCAATGTCAATAGAGATATCGGGGGTACCATCGCCATTCAGGTCAATGCCCCCGTTGGAAAGAATGGAAATGTTTGGTATTCCGACGCTGCTTAGGTCAACAACATCAATACCCCCGATGGATTTGATAAAAATATCAGGTGTGAGATCTCCATTCAGATCTATGCCGCCATTAGGATCAATGAGCGTGTCTCCTATGCCATCGCCATTCAGATCAACTGCACGGCCGATGAGGGCGTCAAGGGGGAGACTAAGGAAACCTCCGTTATCAGTACCGGTTGTGTCATTGCCCGTCGTGTTTGTGCTGCCAAGAGTTCCATTACCAAGCAGGCCACCTAATCCTACACTGCCCAAAGTTCCATTGCCGTTGAGAATCGTACCAATCAGACCAGTGTTATTGGCAGTGCCATTGCCGAGAAGCAGGTCTCCGAGTCCAGTGTTGTTGGATCCAGCGAGACCAAGAGTCTCGTTAAGGGCTTGAGAAAGGAGTGCAGTAACGGCGTCGCCGAGGGCCGTGTTGTTGCCAGTTGCATTAAGTGGTGGAAGAAGCTGGCCAATAATGTCGGCTCCGAGGAGTTGTCCTATGACGCCTGGGTCTGCCGTGGTTCCGTTACCTCCAAGAGACGAACCTAGTAGGGAGTCAAGGCTGGTTCCATTAGCTCCAATGAGCGCGCCGATAAGACCAGTGTTACTGGGTGTTCCATCGCCTAAAAGGAGTTGACCAAGACCGGTGGTGTTGCTGACAGCTCCAGTAGCCTCACCAAGAGCCTGTGTAAGAACACCAGTGAGAAGATCAGCAGGGGAGATGGTCTGATTGGCGAGGAGCCCACCAAGGAGGCCGAGAATGCCGCCAATTATATTACCTCCAGGCAGTAGAGCTCCAAGGCCAGTTGTATTGCTGGTAACTCCAATAGCCTCACTCAGAGCCTGGGAAAGAATAGCGTTAAGCGCATTGCCAGCGGCAGTATCATTGACAGCCCCATTGATTCCCAATAATTCACCCAGGAAGCCTGTGTTGTTTGCTGTGCCGTCACCGAGTAAGAACTGTCCGAGGCCGGTGACATTGGTGGTGAGTCCAAGAGCCTCGGTGAGGGCCTGGGAAAGAACCCCACTAAGAAGGTCGCCTGGGGAGGTAGTGCCATTGCCGGTAGTTCCATCGCCTCCACCGACAAGGTCACCGAGGCCACTAAGGAGATCAGTTCCGTTGCCAAAGATCCCGCTAATGAGGTCGCTGAGAAGATCAGTTCCATTACCCCCAGTCAAGTCTCCAAGAATGCCACCTGCCAAAAGCTGGCCAAGGAGGCCGGGGTGATCGGGAGTTCCGTCACCTCCAATGAGTGAACCGATAAGGTCGGGGCTGATGGCGGTGCCATTGACACCAAGGGCCTGACCAAGGGTCGCTTGAAGAACGGCACTAAGAGCATCCCCAATGATACTCGTACCGTTGCTAGTTCCATTACCTCCTCCCAGCAGACTGCCGCCTAGTCCTCCGGTACCAATTGAACCTCCTCCAAGGATACCGGGAAGGATCGTGATTTCATCAATGCCATCGCCATTAGTGTCGATGCCTCCACCGGTGCTAATAACGACATCAGGCTTTCCATCTCCGTTCAGGTCGACCCCTCCACCAGGTAGGATAAAGACGTCCGGAATACTATCACCGTTGATGTCGATACCGCCATTGGATCCGATTACAGTGTCTGGGATTCCGTCTGCATTAAGGTCGACGAGAGAGCCGATACCAACTTGAAGGGCGAGGCCAAGCGCGAGGCCTCCAGACACGTCGCCAGAGCCGATGCCTGAGCCGCTGAGGAGACCAGGCAAGACAAAAATATCTGGTATACCATCACCGTTGGTATCGATTCCTCCATCAGGGCCAATAGTAACGTCAGGAATGCCATCTGCATTTATATCAACCTGGCCACCAGGACCAATGATAATATCGGGAATGCTGTCATAGTTGGTGTCGATAGCGCCTCCGAGACCAATTGTAGTGTCAGGGATTCCGTCTCCATTAAGGTCAACAGGAGTACCGATGGTCAGACCTTGGAGGACAGAAATCAGTCCGCTGCCGAGAGAACCCAATAGGCTAGTGACTGTGCCAACAACGCCGGAGGTGAGAGCGTCGATCAAAACGGTGAGGTCAGGTTTGCCGTCTCCATTGAGGTCAATGTCTCCGTTGGGAAGCATAGAGGTATCAGCGATTCCATCTCCATTGATGTCAACCCCACCACCATCTAGGATGAAGATATCGGGCTTCCCGTCTCCGTTGGTGTCAATGCCTCCGCCAAGAGCAACAGTGGTATCGGGCTTCCCATCTCCATTAAAGTCAACGCCAGCGCCAGTGATGAGATGTCCGTTGATGGTGAGCAGAGGAATTCCGCCAATGGAGGTACTGTTGCCATTACCACCAATGCTGATTCCACCGACCACGCCGCTGAGCGCATTTTGGATAGCCTGGAGAAATCCGAGAATAACCAAGTCAGGTTTTCCGTCGCCGTTTAGATCAACACTGCCATCAGGGCCAACCAGAATATCAGCTTTCCCATCGCCGTTAATGTCGATGCCTCCATTTGATTTGATCCAGATATCAGGCTTTCCATCACCATTAGTATCAATGCCACCATCCAGGCCGATGACGGTGTCCGGCAGGCCATCGCCATTGGTATCAACTCCGAGCCCTGGGAATACATAGCCAGCAGCGGGTTGGGTGAGAGATAACGGAATGTTTGCTCCAAAAGTCTTCAAGATGTAGATATCTGGTTTGCCATCTCCGTTAGTGTCGATGCCACCGTCAGAGCCAACATGAACATCAGGGGTGCCATCCAGGTTCAAGTCAACGCTGCCATCAAGGCTAACATTGAGGTCAGATTTTCCGTCTCCATTGGTGTCAATTCCTCCGTCAAGGCCAATAGTAGTATCTGCCGTCCCGTCGCCGTTAAGATCAACGCCAAGTCCTGGGAGAATCGCAAAAGCTTCAGTGATGACAGAGCCACCAGAGCCTGTGGGTCCAGTCACTGTATTCCCAGATATCACAGATCCAATGACGTGTTTGAGGATATAGATGTCTGATTTACCATCTCCATTGATGTCGATACCACCATCTGGCTTGATCAGAGTATCCGCTATGCCGTCAAGGTTTAGGTCCACCCTACCGTCGGAAAGGGTGATTAGATCTGGTTTGCCATCTCTATTGGTATCAATGCCGCCGTCAAGGCCAATATAAACATCGGGTTGGCCGTCGCCGTTGAGATCAACTCCCATACCGGCGACAGGTAAGAAAACGAAGGGAGTGTCAACTCCGTGTCCTGTAGTGCCATTGCCCACAACGCCATTGCCCACAACGCCGTTTCCTACAGATCCCGTGGTTGGTGTAACTTGTGCAATAGCTCTCAGGATCCAGATATCTGGCTTGCCATCTCCGTTTGTATCGATTCCACCGTCCGAACGGACAACTGTGTCAATGAGGCCATCAAGGTTCAGATCAACATTGCCGTTAAGGTCGACGACAATGTCGGGCTTCCCATCGCCATTGGTGTCTATGCCCCCACCAAAGGTAATGGTGGTATCAGCCTTGCCGTCGCCGTTAAGATCAACACCAGCACCCGGAATAGTAAAGGGAATTGAACCAGCCCCAGAACTGCTGCCGAGATTGCCTGAAGTCAATGGATGCGAGCCGCCGCTCAACAGATTGCCAGTGCCAAGAGTGACGGACGTACTGCCATTGCCGGAAACAATTGTGCCGTTAAGGTTAAGCGTCACATCGGGGTTGCCATCGCCGTTAAGATCCACGTTGCCCTGGGAGTCGACGGAGATAGATGAGGTCCCACTACCACTTAGGCCAACAGTGAGACCACCAATGAAGATGTCGGGTATACCATCGCCGTTGAGATCAATACCGCCTCCAGGAAGAATGGTCGTGTCTGGCTTGCCATCTCCATCAAGGTCAACATTGCCGTTCAGACCAATAACAAGACCTAGGTTTGCACCGTCATTGCGCTGAATAACACCAGCTGTGGTCACTGTGGCATCAGGTACGCCATCGCTGTCAGTATCAACTGGTGCACCGACGATTGAGTTGATTGTAGAAATTCCATCACTATCTGCGTGATCATATAGAATTCTGATGTTAGGCTGGCCATCACCGTCGGTATCTACGCCGCCATCCAGGTCGATCATGACATCAGGAATGCCATCACCATCAAGATCGACAGTGCCGTCACCCTTGACGAAGACGTCTGGCTTGCCATCGCCATTCAGGTCAATGCCCCCATCAGGTCCAATGAACAGATCAGGTGAACCGTCACCATCGGTATCTACGGGGGTGCCTGGAGCCAGGTTCGCAACTGGGAGGCTAAAGAGAGGTGGTGTCTGAATACCCACAGTGGTATCAATGGGAGTTCCAACCGTGATATCAGGTGTACCATCCCCGTTTACATCAACAGCACCACTAACACCGACGAGAGTGTCAGGGATAGTATCGCCGTTAATGTCAACGCCTCCGCTCACGTCGATAGTAATATCTGGTTTACCGTCGCTGTTAAGATCGACGCCACCGTCAGTGGAAATGAAAGTGTCTGTTTTTCCATCGCCGTTGGTGTCGACACTAGTTCCAGGCACAATAGCTAGAAGAGGAGTACCAATTTGGTCTGTCGCATCTGCTCCGAGAGTGCCAGAACCATCGACTACAGTACCTGGCTTTATATCGCTTAGGGTGCCGTCGCCCATGGTGCTGTCCACTGGCTTGATATCGTTGCTTGGCTTTCCATCGCCTTTGGTCCCATGGCTTCCAATGGAAATGCCTGGAATATTCAATGTGATATCTGGGAGCCCGTTGCCATCAATATCAATACCACCGTCAGGCTGGATATGAGTATCAGGTTTACCGTCTCCATTGAGATCTACAACACTGCCAGATAAAAGAGAAATATCTCCATTTCCATCGCCGTCGATGTCAAAAGTGCCATCTCTGTCCGTGTCAACACCGACAAGAGGGCGGTGAGGCAGACCGTCCAGTACGCCTGCATTCCCGATAATCACTAGGGGAGATGCCTTGGGCAGAGGCTTTCCGCGGTGGTCAGTAGGGAGAACGGTCCGGGTTTCAGCTTTTCCTCCACGATCCCATCCAGGGTGGGTATACGTCGAGAGATGGTCGGTAAAGCCGTGTGTGCCAATGACAACTGTTGGGGGATGTTCCGGGCGCCTGGCTGGAATAGTAAATCTGGGGTCGTCGGGGCCAGCCCCTTCGCATGTATAAGTTGTGGGAGTTGGCTTTGGAGGATTCTTTGTTTTGGGTTCACAAATAATAGCAGTACCCTCGCAGCCATGGCAAGTAGGATGAATAGTAGAGACATAGGGCCTGTCATAGCCGTCGACAATGGATGTAACGGTAACATAGGGATCTTCGGTAGGCTCATAATGAAAGACAGTTCCTTCGCAGACCGGACACTGAGGGTGTTTGGTTGAGGTAGCGTGCTCTGATTGGCAAGTCGGCAGAGTAAGCGTCACATACGACGGCTTCTCTTGAGTTGTTTTGAAGACATTCTTTGGATTGCAGGCATGGGTGCACGCAGCCAAGTCAAGGTAGGTTGTAACGACAACCTCAACAGTAACAACCTCATCTTTGTGGGCCCTCACAGGGGCAGAAACGAGTGAACCTAGGACGGCCGCTTTAGCCGTCCAGGACAAGATACCGGTTGCACGACGGCCGGCCATCTTTGAGAACCAGTCGCAGCGCAATGACGGCCTATAGAAGCGCTGTCAAGTCCTAAAGACAAAAAAAAAGAAAAAAAAAGAGTGTACGTTGTCGCCTTTCTACAAAAGGTCTAGAGATCGGTCATCCCATGGAATAATATATCAACCTAGAGGCATAGGAAGGGTTAGAGGATTGCTTTTCGCATTTCTGCGCCACAGGAAGAAGTTCCGAGGAATGTTCCCGTCAGTGGGCTCTTCAGTTGGGAGAATAACGAAGGATGGCTACCCGTCTGAGAAACATTCGCGGATGTGAGGCCATATCCTTCAATCTCCAACTGACTCAAACAGTCATGCAACATTCCAGAGTATGTAGCATTATCAAGTAGTTTTAGCCCTCCCAATATCTCGGTCCCTGCTGTCACGAGAAAGGCTGGGTAAGACCCTACGCGGTGACAGAGCCATTCCATTGCCTGTAAACCCTGTCGCATCTCGGGCGACTGCCACCGACCTGCAATGTACCTCGACGCGATACACAATCAAAAGCTGCGATCAAAAGCTGCTGGCGCAATGCCCCGCGCACAATGAGCAATCTGAATCTAAGCTTAAGCATCTTATCCAGGAACACTATGTCTGAGAGCAATGGAATCGACAAACCGCACATCGACACCCTTTTGCTCGTGAGATTGACAGCATTGGTGGGGAGCTTCTGCTTCATGGGCCCTTTATTGCATCATCCTATGCTCATATTATCACGACCCAAGCCGAAATAAGTTTGTCCTGGGCTGCGGCCTGTAGCTTAGCAGCAGCATATCGAAAGAGAGGACCATTGATGCCTGCCCCCGCTGCAATGGCAGGGCAACAGGACATCGTGCTCAAGATACCCTCGGTCCCCAGGGTAATAAATTAGGCTTGATTCCTCTGAGACACCGTTGCCGGGTGCGTTGTATGAGCGACATCGTCAACAGGGGGAGCGCGTGAGACACGCCATGACTGGTGCCCTAGCCAACTGTTCGAGGGAGGAGAGAGCACAAAGATCGACAGACAATAGTATTTGGAGACGACGGTATTCTTTAAGAATTGTAGGGCGCCTGGTTCATTTAGTGTCAAGTATGAAAGTTGAATATGGCTAAACATTATATGATTGCTGTTTGAAGGGAATGCCATTTCTCGCTACAGCATTAACCCATAATACAGCTTCAAATCTATCCAGCTAGTTCAAATCTCTGCTTCTATTTTTTCGTCCTAGCTTCTTCTCCAAAATCCAGGCGCAGTAGCTCCGGCCGCATACTAAGCACCAGCGTTATGCCTCCTCACGACAACAGCATACCAAATGCCGCGACAAACCGCAGGTTGTGTCCTCAAAATCACCACTAGGGGCTGAAACGGCTCGGAATCCTCCCGGCCTCAAACGGGATATATATGCTCAGATTTGAAACAAGTTGTCTGCGCTATAACACAATGGCTCGCCGAGGCTGCTCCATGTCTCAAGACTGTTTGCCAAAGTTATTCGCGTCTCGAATGTAAGTTTCGCGCGTAGACGCGATTGAGATGGGTATCTTTGCCTCGCCGGGGATTGCTTCACGAAAGTTTATTAATTTTTTCTTCCTTTTTTCGAGATTTTCTACGCCAAGACATGAAGTGAGACTCGAGAGTTTATGCGATCATGTCTTCCAAAGAATTAGTTGTATAACGAATCTCAAGCTGGAAACAATATGCATGGTGGTGATGGTATAAACTAAAGAAATAAGCTTAACCCCAGATCCTTTCCCGACCGACTGAATAACTAAAATACAATGGCTACCGTTTCTCAGAGGTATAATATGTGATCGGCCAATATCCTCTCACGAGTTTGGGTTGCCAGCGACCCAAACGCTCTCCGATTGGGCGCCTTCCTCCAACTTCAACCCCTTGCCTTTACAATTTCATGATCCTCCTGAAACCGACATTTTCAATAATCCACGAGCCGCCCAATTTAAAGGCACCTGGTCCCTCCAGCTGCGAATCCACCTTCCCCATGGCCATCCTAGTCAAGAAATCTCCCAGGTACTCTGTTGGCGAATGCATCCCCCTCATCAGGCCAATTAAGGGTGAGAGTGCGGCAATACTAGCCTTGTATAGAGCTCCCGGGTCCGGAACATATGGCAGAATAGCTTTGTGCTGTCTTGCATCCACAAAAGCCGGTCGCACTGAGTCTGCCTGGATGCTCGTTGGCATTGAAGCTGTCATTTGACCCAGCTCTGTCTCTGTTTCTCCCTTGACACGAGCAAATATGGCAGAGAAGCGGCCTGGCTTCTGCGTGGCACCCTCGCCCGATACATAGATGAAGCGGAATGGCTCTGACGGCGACGTCGTCAGTGTGGAGAAGGATCTCGCAGCGGCAAGGGTATAGTCCTTGGTAATCTTGACGTATTCTTGCGCATTGACCTTGGTTTGGCTAATGCCAAGGGCCCAGACGCACGCCTTTGCGCCTTGTAGTTGTTCTAACACCTTAGAGTCGTATTTCTCAAAGTCTTGGTGGATGATGACGTTGATTCGGGGGTCTTTGGCGTCCTCGGCCATCCGTACCGGTTTGCGGCTAAGGATGGAGATTTTGGTGATGTCTTTGGCCTTGATCATGGCGTCCAGGACGGAGCTGCCTACTAGGCCAGTAGCACCTGTCAAGATGATATGCATTGTGGTGAACGATATGGGTTGTGTGTACGAGTAAGGCTGTTGTCGTCAAGCGTAGTCAGCGCCGCTTATAAGTCGAATTCCTGCAAAAGAAAGATATCTCTAGATCTTATCGGACACAATGCTAGGTGTAATTAACAGATCATAGACGGTTGGACGTATTAAGGTAAGATAAAGACAATGCTTCAAGAAAGAGTCGACACCCGTCGTTATATAAAGCAACCCAAGTGCCGGGAGCTTCACCTGGCGGATTTATTAACTCCAGCCCAAGAGGTTTAGTCTCGGATATAAGTGCCGCTACGCGTATGCTGACAAGTTATGCCCCGGATTGGGAGAAGCTTGGATGCTCGGAATCCGCCAGGATGTCGGAAAACTGGATCTCCGCATCTCCGCTTCCTTTTATTCTTCAACTATCCCAGGAGGCCAGCTCGTTTACCGCGAGCGCTCTAGTAATCTCCGTCTTGGCACCGTTGGTGTACGAGTAAGGGTTTGGTGATTTTGATAACGCAATCACGGCACTATAGTTATCTGTGTTCACTCATAATCATTCAATGATGTAAGGTGAGGGTTTGAACTCTATGCCTTGTCAAATCATGTACTGACCCCGCAGATGATCCTACAACAAATCCCATTCTAATGCAAAGATATCATCCAATCCAATTAAGATTGGGTATCTTGAGGATTATTATCCTAGACGCATTTGAATCGGATCCCTGTGATGAGCTCACCACTGGCAGAGCCCCGGACTGATGCCTCATCCATACGTGCTGACGTTACCCTGCAGGAGGAGCAAACTCAATAAGATGGGCCCAATTGACGGCTTATACTTGCCAGACTGTTTGTATTCTGCTTCAGATAGCACACAGATTTGATTGCAAAAGCTGAAATGTGAAGTTTGTATGAAAAGAAAGAATGTATGGGCGCCGATTGTCTTTGGGTAAAAATAATAATATTTGCTCCGGATATATGCATTGGAGACAACCCCACACAATGATTTCCAATCTCTCGCTAGTGCATTTCATTCGAGCTCAAGAAATGAAGGCTCCCTTTCTGCGCTTCATCTTCAGCATAGATGAATCAAAGTGCTGACTTCAAGTCAAAACCTGCTGCTGTATCGCCATCAGCCATGAGCCATTTTAACGTTCTGACTGCCACTGCTGATGACCTTCAGCGCGAGCTAAGCGCTGGCGGCATAAACAGCAAACAGCTCGTCAAGATCTATCTCTCCCAAATCGAGCGCCACAATGACTATCTCAAAGCTGTAATTAGCACAGCCCCCGAATCACTTCTGTTAGAGAGGGCCAGCATGCTGGATGACGAAAGACAGAGAGGAAAGCTTCGAAGTCCCCTCCACGGCACCCCAATCCTCATCAAGGATAATATCGCAACGCATCCTTCGACTGGTCTGGACACAACGGCTGGTAGCTTGGCGTTGGTCAACTCGAAGCCACGGAGCAATGCCCCCATTGTAGACCGAGTAGGTAGTTATTGTAAACCTTGATATCTAGAATAAGCTAAATTGAAGGCAATCAAGCTGCTGGAAGCAGGACTCATCATCATAGGCAAGGCTAGTCTGTCAGTAAGTGGCTCCCCAATTGTCAAACCAAAGGACTCGATAGCTAAGCCACAGGCATAGGAACTGTCATGGTGGAAGTGGGTGACGGTTATCCAATCAATCTTGAGCACCAATAAGCTGATACTATTAATGCTGCAGAGGCACAAATATACCCTGTGGCTGGAATAGTGTGAGCGGCCAGTCTCAATCACCCTATGTTGCAGGAGGCCTTCTCCCGGACGATTCATACGCGGGACACAGTGTAAGTGAAAGAAGCAGTAGCCGTACACCCCAAGCACTCACTGATTTGCAACATTCCTCAGAACCCCGGCGGATCTTCGTCTGGCTCTGCGATCGCCGTGGCCGCTGGCTTCGCTCCACTCAGTATTGGCACCGAGACATTTGGGTCTCTCATGTTGCCTGCGGGCCGGGCCGCTCTTTACTCGATCAAACCTGGCCGCTCGCTGATCTCCACGACTGGCATTATTCCTATTTCTAATTTTTCGGACCAGCCAGGTCCCATGACAAAATCTACCAAGGATCTAGCCATGTTGATGGACATCATTGCCGATCCCGACCATCTCCCGTCTGGCGGTTACGCTTCACGGGCAACGGCGTCATGGGAGGGTCTCCAAATTGGCACCTTGGATCCAGAAAAATGGAAGTACTCTTCCGAGGTTCGGAAGATCTTGGATGAAGGAATGGAAAAACAGCTGGTGAGATCTGCACCTTTGTTATGTTTTGTCAGGCTTATACTAAGTCGACTAGAACGATCAAGTCCGAGATGCATATGCAACGATCAAGCAACATGTCTCCATTTTCAAGGACAACGTTCCTTTGAGCACCGCAGATGCTTTGACTCTTAACGGTGAAGATGTACTGCTCAAGATTTTCGGTACGTCTGATGCGCATTGATTTTACGCTACGTACATAGCTGAAGTGACTGCGAAACAGAAAAGGATTTTAAAGAGCAGTTTGAAAACTATCTACAGCTCACCGAAACTCCCCAAATTAAATCTTTGGGCGAGTTGATTGCTTTCAACAAGAAGCATGCGGATAGAGAGCTACCCCCAGGTGACTTAAAAGACTTCTCCCGGATACTGCTCATGAAGACTACTGGGTCTGACAACTTCTAGGATATGATAACCAAGACACTCTTGAGCGCTGCGAGAAGACGAATATCACTTTTGAAGATCGTGCAAATTATGTTGCTCACTTGGAGAAATTCGGCCGTGATGAAGGCATCGATAAGATATTTCACGAATATGACATCAACATCGTGATAGGACCACTTGAGTCTCCCCTTTACTATTTTGCTGCGGCCTGCGGTATAGTCTCCCATCTTTCCGTTCCATCTGGCTAGATTGTATGGCTAATACTTTTTGTATCAGGATATCCCGTTGCCGCCATGCCAGTTGGCTATCTTGAGTATAACGGACGTCCTCATGGGATTGGCGCTGTTGCTAAAGAGGAGGGCCTTCTTATCCAACTTCAAAGCGCTTACGAAAGTGTTTTCCCGCCACGGAAACCGCCAACTATTCTTGGCTGAAGTCGGGTTCACAACAGCGCGCTGATTGGCATAGGGGTGAAAATCAATGTGAACAGCTACAACTTAGAAACAATTCAATAGCTTTGTTCTCGCACTAGATGAAATCGCCCGCTTGACCACCCTTGCTCTGATGCCCGTAGCCCCACCCCAAGATAAATAGCAGAAAAGTCTGACAGCAAGAGTAGCTACTAGAAAAAGTAGCGATGGTAGCAGCTAAGAAAAAGCACCGACAGTAGCAGGTACTAGAAGAGTAGTGATGGTAGCAGCCACTAACTTGCTGGGTTCTATCCAGTATCAGATCCCAACACTAGTTTCTTGACGAAAGACAAAGATGGCATTGTATTTGTGTCTGTTTGTCTGCCTCTATCTAGGTAAAACAAAAAAAAGACCTACAATCTTTAGGCACACATCTATATTTACAAATGGACGAAGAAGACGGTGAACAGGAAAATGAGTGTTAATCGGGGCATAAGAAATCTCGATAGCTTCGTCAAAAACTTAAATTATAATGTAGTATAGGTACTAATAGACTAAAAATTTGAAAGCCATCGTCATAAAATGTCAAAAACCCCGCTCGTTAGAGAGCTTGGGGGGCTTCGGGGACAGCTTTCACCAACAGAGACCATGGAGTAAACTTCCAGGTGGGGGGTGAGTCTTGTGTCGAAACATGTTGAGCCCAATCCAGTACACAGATAGGAAGGCAAAACTCTAGTGACCTTTTTAATCTGTGCATGTTTGGGAGTACATAAAGTCTTGGCTGCGTAGACAATGGGTGATAGTAGCATTGGAATGCTCAACCGATGTAATCTCGTCTTCCTCTTCTGGTGGTGATTTATATACCTGCACTACTTTGTTCCTTCTATCTCTTTTATTAAATAGACTGTAAGCCGGGTAAATTAGAATTGTTTTCCCATCTAGGTATATAGGTAGTGCTGCTTTTACGTCTTGTGTGTCATTCCAGTAATCTCCCCTCGCCATCATGCGACGCAGAAAGGCTCTCCCCAGTAACATTTCAACCGTATGATTCCCATCACATAGTTTTTTGCTGCAGCCGCTACCACAACTCAGACATATACATGTTTATTCACCCTGCCTATATGTCGTTTGCCAGCCCTATGATCCCCGTGATAGGAGTAAGATTTGAAGAATTTGGCGCTCCCGGATGAAAGGGGCATTTGTGAGGTGGACGGGAGAGCTGACCGTCTTACTGTACAAATCATTTCACTGTCGATTTTAAGTATTTCCCATAATCTTTCATGGCGCCTGCTGTAAAGATTAATCAGTTTGCTATCAACTGGCATAAGAATTATCCGGGGATTAACTCCGCGGGATACCTAGGTAGGTACCTAGTTATAGGTACCTTATGTACAGGTACTAGGTAGATGCCAGTAGAGGAGATAGCGGCAGTAGCAGGAAGTACCGAGAGTAGCAGGAATTATCGATAGTAGCAGGAAGTATCGATAGTAGCAGGAGGTATCGATGCGCAGCTGCACTTGGAAGGTATTTGACCAATCTAGAGTTTTACTGTTCTCAACCCAGACTTCTGTTGGATTTTGACATTTCATCTCTTTGCATCTACGCGTTTGACACTTGCAGGGCTCGAGGTCACGACGGCATCTCTATGTATAACCATTCCCGACTAGGACGCACACACACTCATACACACAATGCCTTCGTCTGCCGTCCAGAAGCGAGGGTTGAGGTCCAACACTCGTCGAGCATCTCCTTCCCCATATTCTAAGGAATCTGCGATTACACCAACAAATAGCAAGAATCGCAAAAATAAAATACATCAACTGACGCGCAAGGTGGCCGAGCTCCGGCAAACGATAACGACGACGACGACGATGCCATGCCCATGGTGCTGGCCTCCACCGTCATCACAACCACCGCCGACGCAGTGGTCTCGGTCCTTGTGGCACAACCTGTCGTCTGCTCCTCCTCCTCCTCCTCCTCCTCCTCCTCCTCCTCCTCCTCCTCCTCCTCCTCCTCCTCCTCCTCCTCCTCCTCCTCCTCCTCCTCCTCCTCCTCCTCCTCCTCCTCCACCATCACCACCAAACTCTTTGCTGGTGAAGTATACTTTGACGAGGTCAAGGAGATGTTTGATAGGTACGGTGCAAAGGGTACCAGCTTCGGAGAGGTTATTTTGTCGCTCGTGGATTGTAGCGAGGAAACTCGGGATGAGATAATCGAGTTTATAGGTAATGCAATCGATAGGGCGCCCCATGGCCATAGGGATGGGAGCGTTGCCCCCGAAGGGGAGTGTGCTTCTTGGGATCCTGCAATGGACAGCGATTGGGATAGGTTTGCCTCCGAACTCCAGGCAGTAGGACTTAATGACAAGCAGGTGCGAGAACTATCGAAACCATCCAGGCCGCGGGATGCCTTATTGTGCTATGGCACTATCCGACATTTTCAACGCAGCGTAAGACTATGGACAGACACTGGACAGCACAAATAGTTCCATCAAAGTGCAGTGTGATAAGATCCTTGATCACAGTAACGTCCGAACACACGACACATATCCGATTCGAACGACGTATAATAGGCTCGGGCCACAGTATGGGAGATTTTTGGGCAATAAGAGTCGAAAAATCCTAGATGTATGCGAGGATTTTGCATTTGAAGCTGTGAAGATGGCCCCCTTTACCATCTGCCTTGGGAGGCATAATTCGGAATTCCTTCAGACGAAGTTTCAGGATGCTGAGGGACTATCTGTCGAAAATTACGACATCCAGACGTCGATAACAATGTACGGCAGAATACCATCTTGCCTGGTAATTCGGAATGCCGACGGGATCATTGTAAATATGGTCTTTTTCGGTTACCACGGCATGCGTTTCAACAAAGAGAGGAAGCACGCCCGGGAGGTTGTATTCCTGCGCAACTTATCCTTGAAGCAGCTATTTCTACCGCAGCTATTGTCGCTATCTTCTTCTACTATCGCTACCTTCTTCTACACATCCTTTTCGAAAGTGTTGGAAGCCTGGCTGCATTCTCTTCATCTGTGGCGGACCTGCTTTGATGATTGAGTTTGCTATGAGTCTTCTCTCATTCCGGAGTGCTCAATGCCTCTTGCATTCGAGTCTGATATGTTGTCCCTTCCTGTTGTGGTGGCGTGGCCGATAGGCAACGTATTTCCGATGCAACGACACCCATGTCTTGACGCTCGATACAGTACGCTTTTGCTTTTGCTCAATTTCAGGTAGAAATACAATCCTTCTTTATGTACATTACCGCGCTAATGCTTCTTATCCAATGCAATTCAACAGAGCTCTAAATTACCATTTAAATGTCACAGAAACTCCACAGGATACCATACCATTTTCGTTTACGTATCATTACAATCGTTTCCAATCGTCCAATAGCCGCCGTCTACATCAATCGGGTCATGTATACGGCCATCAATCCGACTCCTCCGATAATCCAACTGGACATGATGCCCGTCGACGACGCGGCATTCGTACTTGTAGGTTTGACATTCGTCGCGCCAAAGCCAAGGTACCAGGACCCAATATCAGTCAGCCGGCCTCCATTGTTCAGAAATGACGCATTGGGGCCAACGTTGGACGTCTTTGAGCGAAAGGCGCCAAAATAAGTGTACCGGGCAATGTAATCCAGTTTGTCAAAGTAATCGAGTGTCTGGTTGAAGAACTCTTGCGTCGTCTCTAGATCTTGGTTCGCAAATGCGTATTCCGTCACCCAGATGTCGGCATCGGGCCATCTATCAGTTACGGTAGTCAGCATGTGCACATTGTCGAAACTGGGGAAAAGTCTCACGTTGCCCTTCGCTCTCCGATAAGCGACGCCAAACCAGCAAAGTTGTCGTACCAATGCACAGGCACAAAATCCCATGTGCAGTTCTTCTTTTGACTCCCCGTGCTCACAATGTCGGAGCAATTCGCCAGAAACTGCTTCAGCCATGGCAAGCCATCGGGTCCGCCGGTAGTCGCTGGCAACCCAAGCTTGATGCCCATCTTGCCCAGAGGCTCGAAATTAAGGACCCAGGCTTGAGCAGCATCCCTGGGCTCAATGTCACTCCCGCCGTTGCTGGTTGAGCCGTCTGGCTCGTTGAAGCCTAGCACGTGCGTGATATTGGTGCCCTGGTCGATGAGAGCTTTGACCTGGGTCAAAAATGTCGTGTCGTTGAGGTTATCCGTGACTCCCCACATCATGGGCACGAACTCAAACTGCTGCTGCGAAATTGAGGCATAAGCTGGCGACGGCTGCGACTGGTAGTTGTAGTACCATGTGAGATCACTGCCATTCTGAACCCAAATCTGGTTGTCACCAGGGAAATTGGGATTAGGCGTGAAGACGAGACCCCGCTTGTCGGAAGATGAGGCGCTGGCGAGGCCTGCAAGTAGCAGAATGGGAGCGAGAGCGAAGCTGGCCATGGTGATTCTGCTTCTGCTCTTATCGGCAAGAGAGCAGGGATTTGTGAGATCGGTGCTGACGTGGGGCCGGATCGTCTGGGAATTTGAGATTCGCGATGAAGCGGTGTTGAAACCAGGTTGAGATCGTCAACAGCTGTATCGTCTTTGTTGTGGGCAATCGGAGCGTAGCGATCAAGGCAATATCATTATCGCGCAATACTAGACGTCAAAGCTCAACAAAGTGAATTTTCTCTATCCCCTCTATCCAGGAAAAAACACGCGATCCAAGAATAGGACGCCGGACGCAACGGGAATTGGCCGACAGGCAATGGCACGATAGAAAAGGAACGGATTGGAAAAGAAATAGTAAAAGAGGAACCCAGTGAGAGGCAAAGAAAAGAGAAAGGAGAAGGAAGCAAGCTTGAGCTGAGAAGACGTAAACACGTTTCTCAGCTTTCAGGGCGCAGCTGAACGTTATCCAAAGCTACTCCAACTTTGCCGCCGGATCGCCCGATCCGTGGACGCGGGAAGGATAAAAAAGATGACATGGCGCCAACCAATCCGGTTCCAATAGTCAGGGGTCATCAAGAGGCACCGCCCAATAATGCAACGGTGTTTAATCTAAGCCCCTTGGCATGCAGACGAGGCCAGCGTATCGCCGCTAACGGGCGGTACATAGGATCACAACTTTCGCAAGGGTTGAGCGGGCGGAAATAGCGCATCACGATGGCGGACTTTGGTGTTGTTGGTGTTAGTGCCTCGCGTGATTCCATGTCACCACGCCAAGGTTCGTATGCTGCACAATGATGCACAACAAACCAATATTCTCCATTTTGACGAGATACGGTTTTGGCCTCTGCCAATAGAGCCGTCGATATGGCGCCCGTTGCGACCATTACGGTGGCACAGACAGTTTTAAATCCACTCACTCACTCACTCGCCCACTCTCACATGCTGGCTCACTTATTTTCTTACTAACCGACTCACTTAATCAGCAAACAAACATCAGTAAATAAAGTTTATACTATTTCGCATACTATGCCGTTCGCTCGTATATCATCTATACCAATACAAAACAAGATCCTTGTCTGGATGCCAGCTATGCTCAATACACACGTCTCCATCTCTACAACGCATTCACCCAGTTGACAGCCTCTTGGGGCTCGAGTCTCTGCATCCAATCCGCCTCTGCGAAAATGTTCTTCACCACGCCCTTCTCGTCAACCAGCAGTGTCGTGGGAATAACCATCTCGGGCGAGTCGTTGCCATGACGCTTCTCCAGATCCGCACCAATCTGGTTCAAAGTAGCCACCAGGTCTTCCGGCTGCTTCCAGACAATGTGTAACTTTCGCGCAAGCTCGAGCCCATCGTCAGTCAGCACCGGAAACGCGAGCTCGTTCTTCTCAGCAGTGGTGAGCGATGCATCAGGCTGCTCTGGCGTAATCGCAACCAGTGTGACACCGCGAGCCTGGAAATCCTGCAGGCGCTTTTGAAAGGCCCTCAAAGTGAGGTTGCAGAAAGGGCACCAGCCGCCGCGGTAAAAGAGAATGAGAAGAGGGCCCTTGGCTAGGAGGTCGATGCTGCTGACCGGCTTGCCACGAGCATCGGAGAGGATGAAGTCGGGCAGTTTCTCTCCGGGTTGGATTGTGCCTTTAACATCAAATTCTTTCTCGACGTTGGTCTTGGCCTCGAAGACGACAGCCTTGACGGCTTCAGGCATACGCTCTCCAATAGCTTGAGCGGTCTGTTGGAGCTCGGCAGCAAGGGTAGTGGCCATCTTGAAGAAGCTTTTAAATGTTTTGATTAACAGAAAAATTTGTTCCGACTGAATAGGTAAACAGGAAGGGCTTGAAGCTTTTTTGCGCAACGTTTAAATCTATCGAAGGACTTGGTCTAGGGAATAATGTATTCTCTCACACGACAACTACACCACATTATATAGAACGAGAAATGGCATGAGGAACAAGCATCCCTCCATCAATTGGCTACACGAATCCATTAGCAATGCTGGATTGGTAAAAGATTTCGTAACAAGCCAAGCGAGCTTTGTAATTTCCTTCAGGAATCTTGAGTCGGTTTCACACGGTAGCTCTCTCATTACGAAGACGGGCATTGCCAAGCTGAGTCAGGACACTGCATGATTTACAATCCATGGCTGCAGACAAAGCCGAATCAGAGCGAGGATTGTATAACTCATTCGAAACACCGAAGGATTGAAGGATGTAAATGGAAGGACAAAGGGCCAATTGGCCAACCGGCGTCATGATTCCAAGCTCATGCTCCTTCGTCCGAACTGGTCCGCCCCGGGATCGACAACAACCCCGAGCATCAGCCAATCACATCCGACCACCCCCAGCTTTCCATCATATTACTAAGAATACCGCCAAGTCTCAGCCAAGCTTAGATGCTTGCTCCCGGCTAATTGAACGCCAGCGGACTTTGTTGCCTCCAAAGACAACCCAATTATAATCAAGCGGTGGACAAGGCCCGGACCAAGAGAAAGACGTTACGAGCCGCCTGCAACTCCCACAGACAGACGCAATGGACGACCGGCCCGCCAGGCGGATGCGGCTGGGGACCAAGTCGTGTGCCGAATGCCGTCGCCGGAAGGTCCGGTGCGTCTTCCCGCCAAACAGCTCCGTCTGCCACGGCTGCGAGCTCCATCAGACGCCGTGTCGGGCCCAGCAACCGCGCCCGCGAGACCGGGACACGAATCTCCAGACGATTCCGCAATCACAATCACACGCTCAGCTGGCGGCTGATAATGCGGCCCTGCGCCGACGCGTGGTCGAGCTCGAGGGCCTTGTCGGCAGCATCTGCGACGCCCTCGAGCCGGCCGGCGACTCTCCCGCCTCTGGGGCTGCTTCGATCTCTGCAGCGTCTACCTCAGCGTCTACTTCTAACGACGTCAACGCCCGGGCCATCCAAGTCATAAAGAATCTCCGTAACCACGGCCTTCTGCACACAGCGCCATCTCCCAACAGCCAGGCCTACAGCTTCGGCGCCGCCCCCACCAACCCCGGCGCGCTCCTCCCCTCCGGTCCGCCCTCATCCTTCCTCTCGCCGGGATCCATCGACCCCGATATCGCCAGCAGCCCGCCGGATTCCGCCGACAAGTCCGTCTCGGCCGGGGACGCGCCCCTGATCAACCTCTTCCGGGATGCTCTTCTGATCCGCGACGGTGAGGGCGAGCTTTACGACGACCCGGAGGATCCGTCGATGCTGTACCTGATGAAGGAGTCCCTCAGCTCCTTCAGGCCGCCCATCCCCGACCCGGAAACGCTGCGGCTGGTGCTCGAGGAGTCACACAAGTTCTGGACTATCTGGCCGACCTTTTTCTTTGCCCCAGATCAATCACTCACCATGCAAAAGACCAGCATCGACGACGCTGAGGCCTACTTCAACCAGGTCCTCAACTTTGGCCGTGGCGTCGAGTTCTGCTCGGCCATGCTCTTCCTCACCCTCTGCATCCAGCAGCTGCCGCGAAATTGGAAGCACATCATCATCTCGCCCAGCATCTCGCGCCAGGTCCTCATCGACGCGTACATCCGCTTCGTGTCGGTGCTGCTGGCCGTCGAGGGTGAGGAGAGCATCCTAGTCGTGCAGTGTTATTTGCTGCTACACAAGATCCTCATCAATATGGGCCGTCCTCAGAGAGCTTGGGTTGCTATCCGTCATGCCCTCAGTGCCGGTACCCTCGTCGGCCTTGACAGACTCGATTCTGGTGCCAACATCCAGCGCAAGATGCTATGGACGCAGACGTGGATGGTGGAGCGACAGCTGTGCATCTTGCTGGGCTTCCCTTCAGCCGTCACCACCAGAGGAACCAAGGATGATCTTACCCAAGTGCTAAGTCCTAGTCAACGGATCTATCGGCGTCTATGTATCATCATGGGCAGCGTCATCGAGCGCAACCAGAACCCAGCAAAGGCCTCGTATGCTACAACCGTACAGCTAGACCAAGACATGGAAGACCTCAAGAACAGCTTCCCTCCGGAATGGACTGGACAATACGGCCCCGACGCAACGACCGACTCCATCTACTCCCAGGAGGCGGTCTATATCTTCTTTTACTCAACTCTCAAGCACATCCATCTACCCTACATGCTCAAGGCCAAGGGAGACCGCCGCTACGAGCACAGCCGCCTGTCCGCCATGGAGGCCTGCCGCGGGATCATCAAGAGCTATCTGCGCCTCCGTGGCTCGACAAAGACGGAAGTTATCCAGTGCGAGCTCATGGACTTTCTCACCTTCAGCTCCGCCATCGCCCTCATTCTCGGCATCCTGTCTGGGGCCGGAGAGTCATCGCCTTCAGCGCTCACAGGCTACGCGGAGGAGTGGCAACTTGTCGAGCGACTCATCGGCGAGCTGAGAAAGACAAACTCGCTGCTAGAATGCACCGTCGCAAAGCAGAGCGCCGAGGTGCTCGAAACTCTCGTGGCCGCTAGCTACGGCACTTACACTGTCCAAGACGATTTTGTGCTTGTAGTGCCTTACTTTGGACGTCTGCGTATTTCCCAAGGCAACAAACAAGATACCAGCCTCGTCAACAACAACAACAACAGCATCCAAGCTGCCCCCGCCCTGCTAAACTCCAACGAAATATCGTCCGTATCATTATCGTCGTTGCCGCCAAAGTCCGTCCCCGGAGATCCGTACTACATCCCCCAGCCGGCAAACACAATCGAGTTCAGCTCCAACGATTTCCTCAACTCCACCTTTAGCGACTTTGACTTCCAGATGGACCTCAGCCAGGACTGGTGCAACATTGTCGACACGGGCGTCTATGACTGGAACCAGATGTTTAACTCTACTACCATGGGACTCCTGTAGAGGGAGCATTTATGCGAAACACGGACGCGGAGTTGATTGGCAAAATGGGGGGTTAACAGTGCGTAACGGAGTTGAGGCGGCTTTTATGTCCTCTTTGATCTTTTGCAAGTTTGATTTTAGGTAATTTTTTCTTTTTTTCTTTTTCGAGCCGTAATGCCTGTAGTTTAATCCACAAAGCAGGGAGTGAATGCAGCGACCTTCTGCGCCTACTCGGTACTTAGCCAATCTCACTTACATTCCATTGCGTACATTCCGTAGTTGTCAAAACACACAAGAATCCGTATCCTCAACAAACCACAGCCAATAGTAAAAACAATAACAGCCAAAAAGAAACAACATAATCAGGCCCACTACCGCTTTTCCAAACTCCCAGGCCCCGCCAAGACATGTCATGTTAGGCCCTTGCCTCAAAGCACTCAAGCGCTTACTTTACAGGGCATCCATGAACGTCTGAATAAACTCGTCGTATTTTTCGTATCTGCAACTCAGCTCTAAAATTGAGCCAAAACTCACAACTGCCGTCCAGGATTCGCAACTGCAGGTACCAAAAGAGCCAAATAGGCGAAATGTGCCCCCAGATAAACACATTGTTAATTTTGATTATAGGCGAATCAAAAGCTCGGTAAAAGCCAGCGTTCTGATTTTATGCACATATCACACAGTAAGGCGAGTAGACTCTGTTGTTATTTAACTTGATTGACTTTTTATTTCAAGAATAGAAAAGGTATTGGTATATAGGCTCAAGAGTTATTTACGAGCAAGATATTAAAAAGTATTTACACAGGTGCAGCACATCCAAATGATGTAGCGACAGTACCTCCAGGTCCGAAGATCTCGATAAGACCCACAATGGCAGCCCAGGAACCCATGCCAGAGCAGACGAGACCACCGAGGAAGTAGATGATGTTGATGATGTTGATGTGCCAGTTGACCTTGAATCCACGGGCCCAGCGCTTCCAACCAGCGTCGTGACGAGTGGTGACACCAGTGGCGGGGTCGAAACCTTCACCAGGCAGAGCAGCGTCGACCTTGACGCGGTATCCGATGTAGAGGAAGGCGGGGAAGGTGTAGGTGAAGTTGAGGATGAGAAGAGCGCCGACAATGCCAGAGATACCGTTCAAGTTGGGGACGGCAGCGCCGACGACGAAAGCAAGGGCCCAGTAAATGGGTCCCAGGGCGTACCACAACCAGCGGCCCTTGCGGGTGGTGATCGGGGGGAGACCGAGAATCTCCTGGAAGACCTCAACGTAGACAGTCTTCATGCCGACGTTCATGTACATGACTAAAAGAAAAACGAGTTAGATACTTATTCATATTTTCAGTACTAGAGGCAGAAAGTACTTACGACAAGCAATAGCTCCTGTTATCAAACCCAAGACGTTGTTGGCAGACTGCAGGCTGAAAGGCTGAATGACAGTGTTGATGTTGGAAGCAGAGTACTGTCCGTAGTGACCATAAACAAAGGCACCGAAGAAGATGTAGACAACGCAGATGAAGGTCTGAGCGCAGAGCATGCCCTTCCAGAAATCCCAAGGGTGACGCATCTCAGCGAGGAAGGCAATGAACAGAAGAGCACCGCCGTAGCTGTACACCATCTGGTTGATACCGTTGAACTGGCCAGCGAAGCCAGTTGCCTGCTGCTGATACGCGTCAGGAGGAGGGCCAGCAAACAGCTTGATGGGCTCAATGGTCTTGATACGAGTGGATGCGGTAATGGCAGAGTAGTCGATGGGGTAGTTGGCGCAAGCAACCATAATGATGATGAAGGAGACAATGTTGATCCAGACAGACAGATTGGCGAGCCAACCGATACGCTGAAGAGATCGGATGCTACCGAAAATCATGCCGACCACCATGAAGATGATGAGACAGGCGATGAAGCAAATCTTCTCACTAGCCAACTGAGCAATAGTTGTGCCACTTCCGAGAATCAAGACAGCGACTGTCATGAACTGCTGGATGGCTTGGGCGACATTGATGAAGTGGCGAGCAAAGGGACCGTAAACGCGGAAGTAGGTATCACCGAATGAGACCATGGGGAAGCGTGATGAGTCGAGACCAAGGAAGACCTTCCACAGAATGAAACCAGAGAAAGCGGCGGCGGCACCAAAGACAATGTACAGAGCGACACCAGGGCCGAATCCAACACTGGCAAAGACGAAAGGGGTGGATGACCAACCCAGAATATCGGTTGTGATGAGATAGAACATGGTACCCCAACTGGCAGTTCTCATGGCACGAGAAGCCTGCTTCCACTCGGCCTCGGTGGGGAGGCTGGCATTGCGAGTAGTGACACCAGTCTTCTCGTCAGGAGAAGCGGTGCCGCTGTTCTCAGAAGCAGCAGCAGCCTCAGCCTTCTTCTTGTTCTCGTGGTGGATACCCTTTGAGAAGCGACCCAGGAAGGTGTTCTGGATGGTTCTGGGGCCACGCTCAGCCTTGAACTCGAGGTTGGCTTGGTACTCTTCCTCTCGCTCGATCTTGGCCCAGTATTGGTACTCCTCGAAGGTAACGGTGGGGTCGATACGTGCTGCGAAACCCCAGACTCGTTCACGAATCTGGGGCTTCTCGAGCTCCTCAGCCTCCTTGTCGACAGCGGTATTGATAACGTCGTTGTCAATGCCAATGGGCTGGAGGCCCGCAGTGGGCATGATGGCGGCCATGGTGGACGTTTGGGGAGAGTCCTGTCCTAGTTGTGGCAATAAAGGAGGAAGGCCAGACAACACACACAACGACAACCCAAGTTGAGGTGCGGTGGGAGAAGGGGAGGGTATAAAAGATGAAGACTCGAGGGGATGAGTTTAGAGGAATGAGGAACTGTTACACGTGGGAGGACAGGTCTTTATCAACAAGACTAGGGTACTGGTGTTGCAATGCAACCCTCCTCGTCGTCCATGTGCGTCTCTATCAGAGCATGGGTCGGACTTCTCCACCTCCACGACGATACGACGCCTTGGCTGAATCAGAGATAATGCTAGTTCAGCTCGCTGAGCGGTTTGAGAACTTCTGTTCATCCTTCAGCCATCCCCGGAGAGCAAGTTAGCCGGCCCGCTTTCTCCGGGGAAGAGTCTGCTATCTCACGATGCAATGCAATGCAATGCGATATGGAGAGGCAATCCGGTGATTGCCTCCCAGCCATGGTACCAGGTAGTCGTAGTAGTAGCGGTACTAGAGGCTCCGCCCCCGCGACCAACAAAAGGCCTCGCCGATAGAGAGAGGCTATCACGAGAAGATGGGCACAAGCCTGACAGGGCAGAGTACGGGGAGGCGAAAACCAAAAGTTCTTCACCCTCCCGTACCATCCCAGTTTGGCTGGCGTGTGTGGAGTGTGTCTTCTGGAAATCCGTGCCGATCCCAGAAGCCCAAATACGGTAGCAGCGTTGCAGGCTTGGGCCAGGGCATCTTGGAAGTTCGAAGACGGATAAATCGGGTTCTTTTGCTCTGATAACAGCAGCCGCAAAAGTGACGGGGCGTGTGTTTCGGCGTCGAGATGGTGGTGGCGCCAACTGGGGCGAGCCACTGCTTCAACATGGTTTGGGCAAACGTGTGGGGTTTTTGCTAGAGCAGCACCCCAAGTCGGCCGTCCAGGATCGCACAGGGATGAACGCAGAGCAAATGCAAACACAGAGTGTGTGCAGTAACCGCGATGTAACCGCGATGGGAGCTGATCAGAAGGAGAGAAAAAAAAATTAGCAGTAGCAGGAGAAAAGAAAAGAATTGTAGTTGATACTTGGAGTGCCAGGTAGGAAGATGACGGACAGGTATTTTCTCCATGCCACGCCGAAATTGAAGATAATTGCAAATACTGTAGAGTTATGAGCACAAGAGGAGGAGATGGGGGGGAGTGTAGATTAGACAAAGGCAGAGCAGACGGCACATGATTGGCCAGACGATGGCACGATTCTTATCACGTGACGGCGGGCGCTCTTATTCCCGGCCTCTCTACGGAGAAAAGGCAACTCCATGCTGCTACTATCACCATCTCAACTGAGTCTCAAGAGTGGATGAGCCAAGCACATGGTCTGACTCGCACCGAATTGCTTGTGGGGAATCATCTCCTTGACAGCTTGGCATCGGCATCGCTAGAGTTGACACGCGACAACAGGCAAGGCGCTGACCTGACGATGGCTTCATGTTGTATCAGATGGCTAACTCTGCCCCATGTAGCAGTCTGTATGCATAACCCAAACTGCGACATGCAGACAAGCGCGTGAGGCACCACTTACAGTATAAGCGCATCATAGCTGGGCGGGAGGAGCCCCTTGTGAAAGATGCATAGGTCCAACCTTATGCCTCGCCAAAGAGTGCATAAGAAGCAATGATTGTCCCATGATGTGGGCTCCTTGTCTCGAGCAACACCCCCCAGGGTACTATCACTCCAGAAACGAGTCAATTGCAAAGGGACCCTGTCAAGCGGGCATTCATTCTCGTGGCAAAAAGCCGAATACATCTCCATCCAACTATCTCCCCGGACCCGTAAGTATTCTCGTGGCAGGCTGTCCAGTGACCGATTCAAGCTCATGTGCAAGATGGATATGGATTAATTCGACGACCACCATGGATCCTGGATGAAAACCATCAACTGCACTATTGGTGATATGGTTGCAAGCATCAAAACTCTATCACAAAGCCGTGGCCAAGCGAACATTCTCAACGTGTCTGGAGGTAACCAGTGATGTCACCAACACCCCTGCCAATACTGCCGCGCAAGCACCCCGTCCAATATAGAAACAGAAGTTCCTGCAAGCCGTATCACACCTCCCGATCGTCCATGAGCCGGCTTGGCGCCCGTCCCGTCTTGGCTCCGGCTATACATTTCCATTTTCGTGAAGAGGTGTTGCCGCTACTCGTAAAAACCTCCGCGGCCGTGCATTCTTAGAGCGTTGGCTTCGGTGTCCGACTTGTGTGTGTACTAACAGTAGTCTGTTATGCCAACAGCAGGACGCTTGAGCAACTAGCCAAACAAGAATGGGGTCAAAGGATACGGCGCTGATGCCCAATCCAGGAACACGAGGTTGTCATTGGATGGTTGTGGCGGGGGCGAATGGGGCTTGTGAACCAGCTCGTGTCCTCCTTCTCGGGAATCTGCGATGATGGCGCTGCCAAGAGACTTGTCCATGCCTTCTAACTGCCATCTGCCGTGATCGGATGAAACGTCAAGGGAATAAGAAAGCTACTACAACTATTCCTTTGGATGAAGAAGTGGCATCCATCTCAGATCTTGTCAGTTCAAAACGCTCTCAATCAGATATGGCAGCCAGATTTTGCGCCTTCATGCCATTCACGACACCAAGAACCCTCTCCACCTAACAGCCACTTCAGCAGCAGCAACAACAACATCAAGCACACTGCCTTGATTTCAACGGTACTTTTTGTCCTGTGGCTTGAAATAAGAGGCCTACGGACAAATAGCGAGAGAAAAATTCCCGCCTTAGCCGATTAGCGGCACGCCCTCCTTGTGAAAGGGTCCACAACTTCCCCGGATATTATAATGCCGCTCCAAAATATTGCAGCTCACCAATGAGACCCTTCACCTTGCCGTCTTATCTAACACACTTAGCTGCGAACGAGGACGGCGACCGGGGACATTTGCTCGCAGACCGGCAGGGGTTAGCCCAGGGGTGGCCACTCTCACTTTGTTTAGCGCGGCATCCATGATCAGCCCTCTGGACGAATAATGGGGTCGTATGGATCGTACCGACTCCGTACATCTCGTATATCTGAGTACCACCTACCAAGAGCAGATGTTCCGTAATGGCGGAACCAAGCACTCGCAGGCGAAAGAGAGCAAAACAGCGCAGCGCCCTGGAATGCAACCGATGTGCCGTCCGAAACACAAAAACAATTCTCACTTTTACCAAAGGAAATCAAGGTTCAAGACAGACTTCTGACTCTGCCGAATACATGTAGGCGGGAAAAGCCTTACACGTAATTTTTTAGCCCAAGATTGCGGTTTCATCCGTCGTCCGCCACCATGAAAAGAAATTCCAAAATAGTTCTATGCTTTAGCATCGCCTCAACTCGCCACCACCGACAACCTATCCGGGCAAACGGTCCCCGGATCCGAAAGAGCAAAACAGGTTACGGCCGGAGACGGTAAAAAGTACATTCCTCAACTTGCTCTACCTCTACACCAACTCACGGCCCATCATATCACTCTTGGCAAAGTCCGACTACCGCTGGCCGCTAGCTCATGACATGATGGGCAATGGTGACCTTCATTTCCCCGCTTAATGCCGATGCTCCGGTAGCAGCTCAACGCAGTGCCACTTTGCAGCCACACAAACTCATGCCAGGTCGCAGCCATTGGGTTTCTACCTGACTGAGGCTGTGGCTTTTCGCCTCGAGTCAGGGCCGATAAGTCTTCTCGTTAAACTTGTCTCGCTCGCTCCGCCTCTTCATAACACAATTACAATTAAACACAATTACAATTACCCCAAGATTTCGTGGAGAAAAACGGAACAGGCCGCAGTACCGGCTTTTGCCTCACTGCAGACCCCTGTGTCATGCTGTCGCTCTAGTAGTTTACGACGAGATGCTGCACCGCAATGTCTTGCCGCTAATCAACGTGGGTGGCCAGGACCGCTGTCGCCATCCGTATTCAACACCCGGAAGTGTGGCTCCAATTGGAGTTGTCTGATATGAAATTGGCAGCAGCTAACGGCAATGAGACATACTCTCTTACATGGAGCGCGCAGGCTTACTTGTATCGGCTGCTGTCACCAATAAAATTGCCCGTCTTATGGGCATCTTCGACAGGGTGCTTTGAAATCCTGCAAAAAGGACAAGCCATGACACCCAATTTGGGATGATCCTTGTTATCAGGCGTGCATGCAGGTAAGATAGCGCTCGCATGCCATGTGGCCTGTAGCATCCTTGGTGGATACTAGCCTGGGAGAGATACCACCGAAGACGGCAGGCTCCCGATCCATGCCTCGTCGTGCAAACGTTCCCAGTAGAGGATTGCCTGTCTTCATGGCCAGCATCCATCTGACCATTAACAATCATGCAGAACCAACATCAGACAACTAACTGTCATCTCCCAATGCTTGCTTTGTATCAGCTCTAGAATCCATACGGCTTTCATGCCGAGGCTTAATGCTACCTCATTACCACATTGAATAATCCTCCGCACAACACATGGTAATCCTCCGGGATCTGTATAGCGCGCCCTTCTACCCCAGCACGAGGAAATGATGTGATGAGACTTTTTCTCCTTTGGTTCGAGCCGGGAGCCTGATTTTCAAGCCTCGTGATCCCACAAATCATTCAACAGGCCATCTACAATCCTTCTTTCTTTCAAAAGGACCTATCACAAGATGAATCCATATCTCAGAATGAACAACTGCGTAAACTTGCACAGAAATCACCGTTCAATACGCCGATGAGTTTCCAAAAAACCTCCGGCTTGGCATCAGCCTCCCTCCGCTTCAAGACACACACACTCTCTCTCTCTCACTCGGCTCTCACATGCTGCATGCAGACACACGCCCTTCATCCCGGCCACCCAGCTATCCCAAAACAACATGAAAAGCAACATCAACTAACTTTAACTTATTCAAACAGAGTAAGGCTTCTTTTCATTGCGTATTCCGCAAATTCCGTGCTACCCCGTCACCGCTGTTACTCTTCCGCCTACCTACGCTACACTGCTAGGGTTGTGGGTACGGATCCTTTTACCCAATTGTCCCCAACGGATCATTTAACACTTTAGACTAAGCTTAGGGTTGCCACTTAAGGGGTCCTCTTGATGGAGACTCCTTTTATCTGCATGAAGATGTTGATACAAATAGTATGTGCTAATTATTAAGAACTTCAGCAACACTTACGTTACAAGTAGAACATGGGCTAGCACACTTACATGTACGTATCGTAGTCGTAGTACTCCTTCTTTGCTTGTACTATTACTACTCCTAGTCTCAATACATTCTTCTGGTATCACTATCTTCTTCTTCATATTGAATATATATAAACACTGCTCATTATCAACCATGATGATCAATAACTCCAACTACGTACTAATGATTATTGCGCTCCACTCCATGTCTTACAACGTTATTTCGAGTATGCAGTCATCTCTAGGATATGTTAACTAATTTAAGCCGAAACCAGAAACTACGAAACGTTGAAGTTCCATTTCTAAATCCTACAGGACTACCCGCTGTTGCACCAATTCCTTTCTGGTAGCGCCGAGATGAAGAAGCATCATCTATTGCCTCCAACAACTAAAAGCAAAAACCCTTACCCCCGTTCATGAAATTCGATGTGGTGGACTCGAGGATTTCCCGAATCGCAACAACGCCATCGCTGTGACCAAACACCCCATTTCTAATATGACGGTGTACGAGTTGGTTCAACTAGCCCGTAGTTCACCTTCATCCACGATTATGGCAAAAGGAGTCACACCTTGCAACATGTGTGACTGTGATCTCAACTGCATCTCTCGTCGCCCAGCAACTAATTCCTTGATATGAAATATTAATCAGACAGAGCTCATCAAGATCGCGGTCAGGCGCACCCATTGTCACTGCAGTTCCATCGAAGACGATCACCGGTGTCCCGACAAGTCAACCATACGAGCCTTCGGCAAACATCTCAGGACAGCCCTCAGTGTAAGATGCCACGCGGTGGAAACAAGAGAGATTGGAATCTGTCACATCTCGAAATGCCATCGAAATTATCCACATCGAAATGCCCTGTAGCATTATTGTCTCTTCGAGATTCATAGCCATTTCGATACAACCTCTCCGCAAGATTCAATCGCTGGGGGTAATTGCAGCGCCCATTCAAGAGTGCTGGCATCGTAGCCTCCTCTGAGAATCTTGCCCTAAAAAGAAAGAAAGAAAAGAAAAGAAAAGAAAAGAAAATACAGCCGTGCCCATATCGAGCAAGGGCTTGGATCCTGTTAAAGGCCTTCTGAAGCTGCGAGAGAGTAGCTTTGTGGAATCTGGTTCTTGGCAGTCAACTCGATAAAATCAGTCGTGTCGTCCGATAATTTGAAGCTTTGCAGAGCTGCTCGCCACTTGTCTAATGACAATTTGCTCAGACGGCTTCACAAGATCCAATGGTAGGCCATAAAATAAAATTAGAGCACTTTACATTGTCGATGTCTTCAGTGTCGACATGTACAATGCGAAGTCCTGTTAACATGTTGAATTCTCTCTCGACGACAACCCTCGGGCATTCAATTAGGTCCCACGCGCAGGCTAACTACGCATCACATATTCATATATCACTATGTCACAATTCAGGCCGTTTCTAGCAAAATGGGGGTATTAGTACGGACTGCGTAACTCGAGCTGAAGACAACCTTTGACAACTAGACAAAGACAACCAAGTCTCAAGTCCATTTGCGTAATGTAATCTCAGACGCGTAATTAAACAGTGTCAGCAGCTGAATACTGGGGTTCGGTTTGGTTTAGTTAATATTACGCCATGTGGGGGCAAAATGCATCTGAAAGAGCAACACGCTTACGAACAGATCCTCACGTACAAGATCTAGGGTAGTAGCAAGAGGGAAGACAAAGAGGACAACTCCTATTCAGGGGCAAACCTCTTGGATGGATGTGATACAATTTGCAGAGTTTATACTAATGCTCTGATAACCACTGTGTTGTTTTCTTGCTGCTGAGTATGCGGCAATGTGTAGGCTGACATAGTAAGCATTAAGTGTAGTCATATATCCCATCTTCGATCCTAACAAGTATTTATCTCGCTTGTTGATATGAAGAGACTACATAGTAGTTAACCTTTCAATATAATTCACCCCTCTTAAAAAATAATAAAACAAAGCCGTGATACTAGAAGCAAACACCTGGATATCTTTGTCAAACTACATAACCTATCAAATACATTTTGGTCACGTCCCTTTCCCCCTGTACGTCTAGGTTTATACATAAATACATGCTCTCGCCCGATTTGCAATACCTGGCCGCTATGTAAAAGCCAAAGCAAAGAATGAAAGAAAAGAAGTGGGAAAAAAAGGAGAATAATAGAGAGGAAACAGAGAATTCGCTGTAATGCATAGCCTCATAGCTTCATCCAAAACTTTCATTCGACTCACCTCGCGGTGGCCTTCGTCTTCACTGTGTCATCACGCTGTCTTCATACTCGGTTAACCGCAGTGCCGCATCAACATCATTGACAAAGTGCCGCTCGCCGCACAAGTCGACGATGCCACTCCTGTCCATGAGTTGCCACACAGGGTGATCCCGGTGGCTAGGTGCGCGGGCGAAGAAGACTCGTACGCCCCTCTCCCGGTAATCCCGCACGATTTCCTCGAGCACTTGCGTGCCAGAGCCATCCATGGACGTCACACCATGGATGTCGAAGATGATGTTGCGGTTTGAGTCGTGGCTGCGAATGCGCGGCAGGGCAGGGTGCGCTCGCGATGTGCCGTAAAACTCCAATCGCCGAAGACGTGCTTTGAGCTCGCCAGTGTTGGCAAAAGTCAGGGGCTCTGGAATCTTAACTATGAGGCATCCCTCAATGAACTCGATTCTGGAGTCGAGGGATTCCGGGTTCTCGTAGCGGTTAGTGCCGGGAACGCGACCGAGAATCTGGATGCGGGGTCGAGTGCTGTGTTTGATAACTAGGAGCAGGGAGATTCCTACGCCCAAAGCCATGCCCAAGGTCAGGGAGTAAAAGATGGTGGAAAGGAAGATGGCTGCCATGAGACCCAGCTCGGTCCAACCCCGAATCCGAAGGAAGAATGAAATATCATGAGGTGCCTCTTCTATCAGCGACCATGCCACGACTGAGATCATTGATGAGAGTACGGGTTTCTGCCACGTGCCTTTGATTAGCCTACTGTGACGAAATGTGTATAGGGGGGTTGCTTACCGGGAGGAAATAGAAATATGGCAATAGAAACAAGACAGATAGCAATGATAGTAGACTAAGGAACACGGAGCTCATCGGAGTCTTTGCACCAGTCGTCTTATTCACCTTGCTTCGTCCATAGCCACCAAACGCGGGCAGTGCCGTGAACATAGAGCCAACGAGATTAGCAGTTCCCAAGGCAATCATCTCTCGGTTCGCACTGAGTTCGATTCCAGGGATGGAGCTACCGCCTAGACTCTTGGCCGCAACTGACGACTCGAAAAAGCCGAGAAGGGCAATGAGAAAAGACGTTGACATAGCTGAGCGAATGTGCTTCATTTGGGCGAGCTGAAAAGGCCATCGGAATTCAAAGATGCCTCCGGAAGCAGCCTTGACGGATCCCAGAACCTCAACTCCCTTGTCTTCCCAGTCAAGGTGCCAGCACAAAACAGCCGAAATGACGACGACGAGGAATCGATCAGGAAAGAAGGCAACGCCGGGGAACCTCTTCTCCAAACGACGCTTCAGTTCACTACAAGAATCAAGCGTTAGTCATTGGTTGGCTCTGCCCAATCGCCAAGGTTGCTTCTCCCCAACATACCGGAAAATCATGATTATCACGAAACTAACACCCGCCACAACAAAGGTCAGCTTGTGAGTCTCACCAACGTTCTTGAAGATGAATCCGATTTTGTCGACACTGCTTCCATGATTTACACCTTCCTCTTCCGCAAGGGCAGCAAGACCAAGCTCGGGGATCAGCTGGTCGACGGCAATAACAAAGCCGATGGCGGAGATGAATCCTCTCAAGAAGGGCCTGCTCAACACGCTGTCCAGGAAACCCAATCTGGCCAAACCCGCAATAAGGACCATGGCGCCAGCCATACCACCAACCACGCCGCAGACTTGGGCTTGCAGAATGTCATTGTCCTCTGAGCCTTCACCTCCAGAATCGACGCTCGATTTCACCACAGTGCCCACGAGAAGAGATCCAGCTGCCTCGGGGCCAATAACCATTTGCGGGGAGGATCCGAGTAACGCATAGATAAAGGGGTTGAAAATGAAGCCATAGAGACCGAAGATGGGCGGAACGTGTGCCAAATTAGCTGCAAGCGACAGCGCCATCGGGAGGTAAAACGAGGCCATGGTAACGGCTGCAATGAAATCGCCCTTGAGATATGATAGCTTGTACTGCTGAATCCAATTCAGACACGGAATATAGTATGCCAGATACCTGTCCCCGCGAGTCAGTCTGGGCTGCCATACGTGTCGACAAGAATGGCACAAGATACCAGCAAGAAGTAGGCTTACATGAAGGGGGTATCTCGAAAACCAGCCTGCTCAGCAAGCTCGCTGCTGTGACCCATCTTAGTGGTTCGCATCCTTCTTGAGAGCCACCTCTTCCAATCATCGCTTCCTGTGACGGAGGAAAAGAAGCCACCGTTTGTCCCATGCTCGCTATCGTCATCGGTGCTTCCGCCAAAGAGGCCATTGGGCGGCGAGGAAGTCTGAGGATTGAAGGTGCCGTGGCTGCGGGGCCCAGACTGGTCGTCCAGTATCAAGGGCGTCGATTCGCCAACAGCCGTGATGGACGGATATACATCGCTGCTCTGGCTGTCGCCGCTCCCTGGACGGCTGGGAGGTGTATGGCTCTGTCGAAGAGTGCTCGGCTGCAGAGGGCGGTGGTCTTTGGACGAGTCCGCCCGGTTCAGCGGCGGCGGGGGGCCCGACATTTTCACTCAATCGGGGTCGTAGCGCTCGGGGTCGTCTCGCGCATGCGGGATCTTGGTCTATGGGTGTTTCTCTGCCAACGATGAAGGGCTTGGGCGCTTTCCAATGTGGTTGGAGGCGAGTTGTCCAGTCAAAGGGCCAACTTCCACCGCTTCGAATCAGCAACTAGCGGAAGAGCGAGTCGTCGCCAAAAGATTCCATAAAAGCCGGGGCCTGGCAACGCGGAGCTGCTTTCCCGTCTCTTCTTCCCAGCCGAAGACGGCCGGATGCTTCCAAGCGACAAAGAAGTGTCTGGGGGAGAAGAGGAAGAGGATCACAGTTTGCGTCCAGGTGGAATGGAGTCTTGGAGTCTTGAAGTCTTGGCGATGGGAAAAATTCTGGTTCTAGTGGCCACAACCGCAATACAGGCAAAACGGATGGTTCCCCAAGCCCCAAGCCGAAGCCGCGGGTGACATCAGCGGGGATACGGCGGGCACAGCAGCGCGACACAGCGCTGAAGAGGCTTCTCCACAGGGCACCGCTCCACTGGAAGCCGGGGCGAATGCGGTGAGGGAGCGCCTCAACGTGCAGGGCCAGACCGCCCAGGGCCAAGCGACGCCAATGAGAGGCCGGCGATTGACTAACAGGATGCGCACCTGACACAACAAGCAGGTGCTCGTGGGACGGGCTGCATTGTTGCCGCTGTCTCTGCTGCCGGTTTCGGTGTGCGAGATGTTCAATTTTATATTGCAGGGGTTTTCAAGGTGCGGATCACTTTACAGGTACAAGCTGTCAAATGTGTCAAGTGTCAAGTGTCAAAATGTCAATGAAACTTTCAGAGATGATTGATAAGATAAGAGATGCCGTATATCTTCAACCCCAAACTACAAATGAATCCAGATTAGAAGAAGAAAGGAACAAAGAACACTCAGAAAAAAGAAACAACAACGTCACAAAGCAGCATTCTGCTCACATGCCTCGCACATTCGGTTGTACAGCACGCCCTGTGTACCTATCTTGCTGCAGGGTAGTACTACCGCATACCTCAGTAGGTACCTGAAAGGTACACTTCAGCCACATTCCATCAATATAACGGCCGAGACACTGCATTGCCGGGATCCGCGCTCAAGTCACACGTCGTGAATCAATAACAAAAGAGAGAGAGAGAAAAAAAGCACAGGGCTTTACGAATTGCTCAGGTGTGAAGAAGAAACAAAAATTATTCGCTGGCATTTCATAGTACACAAACAAAAAGAGACATCTAGTAGAGACCTAGCTATACATGACCCTGTTCTCAATGATCCATATTCCCATCCATCCCGTTTTTTACACCTGCTCGTTGACAAACAGACCAGCCATGCCCTGGCCGGTACCAATGCACATGCTGGTCAGCAGCAGCTTCTTCTTGGTTCTCCGCAGCTCGCTCAGGCCAGTCACCACCTGTCGGGCACCCGTGGCTCCCAGGGGGTGGCCCAGGGCAATGGCGCCTCCCTTGGGGTTCATCTTGGACCAGTCCAGGTTGAGCTTGTCGCGGCAGTAGACAGCCATGGAGGCAAAGGCCTCGTTGACCTCGACGACGTCAATGTCGTTGAGGCTGATGTTGTAGATGGAGAGGAGCTTGGGGATGGCGATGCTGGGGCCGATGCCCATGATGCGGGGAGCAAGACCAGCGACGGTAGAGCCGACGTACTTGGCCATGATGGGCAGACCCAGCTTGATGGCGGTGGATCGCTTCATCAGGACAACGGCGGCAGCACCGTCAGTGACCTGGGAGGCATTGCCACCAGTAGTGGTAGGTCCCCACTGAGGGAAAGCAACACGGATCTTGGCAAGGCCCTCGGCGGTGGTGCCGGGACGGATGCCGTCGTCCTGGGTCAGCGTCACCTGCTTCAGCTCGCCGTTCTTGTCCTTGACCTGGGTGGTGATGGGGACAATCTCGTCGTCGAAAAAGCCGGCCTTCTGGGCCTTCTCAGCTCGCTGGAAACTCTCGGCGGCGTACTTGTCCATGGTGACTCGCTCAATGCCAAAGTCCTTGCTGACGTTCTCGCTGGTCCAGCCCATAGGCTGAACGGCGTCGTGGGCCTCCTGGTTCTTCTTCAACACAGCCTCGTCCAGCTCCTCAGTGGGGCGGCCGTTGGACATGCTCTCGGCACCCATGGCAATGCCCACAGCAATGGAATCATTGGAGATGGAGTGGGCAATGTCGGCAATGGCCTTGAGACCGGACGAGCAGAAGCGGTTGACGGAGCTGGCGCCGGCCGTGTTGGGGAAGCCGGCAGCGAGGGCAGCGGTTCGGACCTTGTAGGCGGCTTGGGCATCGGTGACCTGTGGGAGACAATGGTTAGCGGACTATGCTCGGATATATGACCGGGTCTGTGCAATCCGGGACACGACATACGTTGCCGAGGCAGATGTCCTCGACGAGAGCAGGGTCAAGACCGCTTCTCTCGCGGACCTTCTCCAGCAGAGCGTAGACCATATACTCTAGGCTGGTGTCCTTGAAGCCGCCTTTGCCAGCCTTGGTGAGCGGTGTTCGAGCGGCATAGGTGATGACAATGTCGTCGGGGTTCTTGGACTGGCTACACGGCGAGTTTTGTCAGCATGTGAAAGGACCTGAGCGCGTCATTCCAATTTCTTACATGTTGTTCAGCGATGACCCGGGGGCCAGGTGCTTGATGATGGAGCCAATTCGTTCGACAGCCATGGTGAAATGTGAGAGTATCTTATCTGCAAGATCTAAGAAGCAATTCGACGTAAAGACAGTATCGCTTTGCAACAACCAAGTCGCCCCTTGCAGACACTCTGGGGATCCACGAGCTTTATGGATGGTCGGCGGCCGGGGTTTGTGGGGTTGAGCCGAGGCAACCGGCAGCTTACATAAGTTAGACCGAGTCCCCGGCCTGGAGCATTGACTCGGGATTTCTTCACGGGATTGGGGTTCTAGCCGAGAAGGTCAACTTTGCGGGGAAGCTTATTAACTCCCAGGGATACCTCGGAATATCTGCATACGAGTAATATTTGCCGCCAGAGGGGTGAGAAACTTTGACTGAAATGCGAGATGCCGGGCTGATGTCTTTGATACACCGGTGCTTAGTCATCGCATCCAGTACCGTACCTAGGCAGCTCGCTCAACGACTCCGTCCACATCTCCATTATTCTCCGAATGCCAGATCCTGCTGTGTCTCTTCTCCAAAGGCTCTTTTTCGGTATACTAGACTTAATCGTTCGGAGATGCAATGGCCTACCATGCTCTCCACTATTGTAGGTGTTGTTAAGGGTACAGTTACAGCATCTTGACGACTCTAAAAACTGGAAGACTGCCTGTACGGAGCAGAGGAATGAAGCACGTCCATCTACACGTGGGACCTGTCGTAGCTGTAATTTTTCTACCTGCTGCTACTTGCTACTGCCTCTACTACCTCTACGCCTACTACCTGTTCCTGTTATTTTGGCGAATATTAAGTTCTTGTATTCACTGTACAAGGGGAGTAGACACAGAGAAGGTGGTCAAGATTGTGATAGACCAAATGGCGATAGCCTTCGAATATTGGGTATTGGATAACTAACTTCGCTGACAATATAATGAAACCGTAGTTCTCCTCTTCACCGCCTTAGCAAGCCGAGGAAGCAATTTAATAATACATTTTAGCCTAGGCCCCAAAAGCCTCGCTCACAATCTCCCCTTCATCTGGGGTCACAGCCATTTCCAAAAGCTCGTGGGCCGCTTCGACCACTTCGCCCTCAATCCCCGCCTCCATGACCAAGTCTTCCTCGGCAAATGTCAGTCTCCCAAGTGCAATTAGGTAGCGTTGACTTCCTCCATGCGAAAGCGATAGTTTTCGAGTGATGTCGGCCAAGTTGGCTGTGCACGGGTCCGTGGCTAACGTGTGGATGAGAGTTACACATTGGGAAATGATGCGGTAGAGCTCAGCAGAAGTCGTAGATTCGGCAAATTTCAGCGACGAAGATGTCATGACATCCGGGAGGGGAGGGAGGATGCTGGGTGGGATTGGCTGATCGTAAAGTTCGTCGATGGAGGTACTCAAGCAAGCTACCAGACGTGGAAGGGCGTTGTCGTGAGATGCTAGCTGCTTGGCACCAAACTCATGTCTCGCGAAAGTAACCAATGTTCGGAGAGCAGCAAGTCGCACGCTTCGTTTTTGCGCCGGGGTAGTTGTGGCGCGGGGATGCTCCATGAGCTTGGCAGATACTCGCTCGATGACGGCTCGCGCAACGGATATCGCATCTTTCTCATCAGATATTGGGCCGATAGAGTCGGGCAGCGAAGAAGTGGCTAGCAAGTCGAGCATTCCAATGATATCGACAGTTTTCTGTTTTGGCATCAAAAGAAGAAGAGTAAAGTCTAGAGAAATGAGTTTCCAAAATGCAGCAGAAGTGTATCTAACGCCGTCTTCTGTCTCAGTAGGTGTCGTTGCGCAAGCCAAAGACGCAGTGTACAGCAACGAGAGAATATGGGTTGTGTCAATCTGCTGTTCCAGCATGGCATGCTCGTCATTGTTGGCCGCCGCCCCATCTGAAAGACGAGAAGGTCCTTCTGCAACGGTGAATATTGTTGTTTGTGCTACTGGCACAAGCCTGGAGATGATGAGTGGCGCAACAGATGAGGTATGAAGCTGAAATGTGAAGGAGATGAGCGACACAAGGTATTTGATAGGTTCCCAAAATTGCTCTTCAAAGCACCGAGTCCAGAGAATGATGATCTGTTCAGCGAAATCGACAAGAAGTTGCATTGGCTGGTAGGGATTTCCCATTAGGGGGAGTCTTTCAAAAATGAGGGTTGAAAATGAAACTGTTGGATCGGAAGGGAATGAGATGCGTGAGAGTATGTCGAAGGTGGGGGGCTGGCCTTGGGCAAAGCCGTGGTCAAGCACAACTTGCAAAAACTAACAGCACTTAGATCAGTATATAAACAAGAGGGAGTTGAGCTGGCGGGCTATTGCTTACATCAAAAGGAGCTGTGGGAGCGGCTATGATGACAGGCTGCTGCAATGCTGGCTGAAAGGTAGGCTTCGCTTCGCTCATCTCGGCATCACCCGTGTGTATATCGAGAGCCTTCATAGGTGATTCAGATACCTGGCGCTTTCGTTTACCCTTGCTCGGCGTCCTCTCTCCGATATTGGCAGCAACTGAGCCAGCAGTCTTACTTCTCCCTTGACCCTTGCTTGGGCTTGCAGCGATATCCATCTCGTCGAAGCCATCGGCGAAACCCCACGTTTTGGCGGCTTTTTTTGGGGTCGCTGTATTGGTGTTGACAGGTTCTTTTTTCCGAGCTCGATCATTGGCCTCCTTCATATCGCGCTGCATGAATTGAAGCTCCACGTTGGCATGCTTCTCAGCTGCCAGAGCTGCTTCCATTGCCTTCTCCTGCTTGTTCAATTGCTCGGCATTTAGCTTTCGGAGGCGCGCAATCTGCTCGTCGTAGTTTTGTTGCGCCTTTGTCGAATTCGAACGGAGGATGGATGCTTCGCCACGAGCGGCATTGAGCTCAGCTTCCAAAACACGAATTCTCTTCTGGAGTGCCGTCACCATGGTCCCCGACTGCCCTTGAGACGGCATTGGCAGAGCAGCAAGCTGTGCCGTCTGAGGCCGACTAGCACTTTGCGAAGAGTCCGGGAACCGCTGGGACCCCATGAACGGCTGGTTCAAGGGCCGAACGCTGGCAATTCGAGTCCGCTCTGCAAGCGGAGCCCCGGGCCTGGCGGCGGCAGAGTCGATCGCGGGGTTCCATCGAGGATTGGGCACGGGAGGTCTCTGCTGCTGCTGCTTCTGTGGTTGCTGTCGCAATGTCTTGTCGACAATCGGCCGGCCAACAGGAAGTCCAGCATCGTTGGTCACCTCGGTGGTGTCCAAATCGTCGTCTTCCTGCTCCCAGGCATAGTCGAACTGCTGCGTAAACGCATGCTGAGGCTGGGCCTGGGTGGACTGAAGGGCGTGATTCTCAAGCTCTTGGAGCACATTGTCGGTGAGATCGTCGAAGCCGTCGTCGGAAAACTCGTCGAGATCCATCATTCATGGATCGCCAATCCATCAGCTTCATGGCTCCAGGCGGCTACGAGCGGCGTACTTGGCACGGCTATGGCTTGCTTTGCTTATGCAGTCATGGCGGGACAAGACAGAAGCAGAAGCTGGTGCGCGGTCCAGCTTCCCCACGATTAAGATGCTGGGCGAATTGACGCGACGCGAAGTCACGTTTTTTTTTCTCGTTTCTCTTGGTGTGGCTGAATGTTTAAGTGTGGCTGAAGTTTTACTACCAAGTACCTGTAATTACGCTACGGAGGTAAGTTCTCCGTAGTAGCGTAAGTTCAAAGGCGAAGCCTTTTGTGGCCGGAAATGAAATTTACTTGCAAGGTTGGTTGAGACGAATAGTACGTCATTGAATTTCGAACGGAATAGCCAATTGCAGGCATAATTCGCTGTACGCATGCAGCTCTACTGCCGGCATGAAGCCCTGGACTCAAGGCTTATCGAAGAGAGGCGGAAGAGGCGGTGCACCTCCTCAGCCCTGATCTACACATCATGTCGCATGACGTCGTCCCTGGTTAGAGACAGCGATCTAGTTGGCCACGAGTGGCATTGTGCATTAATTACTTTACGGGCTGCCTCTAGAGGAGGCGAACGAGATGATCTGACGGTTCCAGAGAGATGCTGCTGTGAAGTATTTTTTATTTTTTATTTTTTATTCACGTCTCTGCTCTCTGTGTTATGCGAAACAGGCAAAATCCCCAGCGCTCGCACTACGGAGTACTTATTCAACATACAAAATGCCCGTCACATGCGTTTGCGGGGAGGCCAGGCGAATGCGGTCATGGCGCACGGAGAGTCGCAGGACCCCGACATTAATTTGAGCGCTCAACATCCTTACTAAATTACACCAGCTGTACCTTGTCTAGTCTACCCAGCATACTTGATCAAGATCAAATGCCTATTAAACTCTGTTGAGTTCTGGAAGAATATAGAAATAGTAGTATTAGATGCTAGAAGAAAGTGTATGTAGCGAAACATAACTCAATACTATGGATCTAGAAGAAATCCAAAGCTGGAGTGCATCCGTCCACCAAAATTTGAGGCGTTTGCTGGCTGGTTTCAGTGAAAGTGGCCACAGCCGTGCTCAATCCCAGCAGCTCGCTAGCGCTAAGCCCCAGGCATTACAGGCGCACGCCAGCAGCCGCAGGTCCATCCATGGGAATAATGGGGATCCAAAGCCAAAACTCGTCAGCTCCACGTAGCTTCTGATTTCCCACATCACCAACTCGCAAACGCATCTCGACTTAAATTGCCCACCACCGCCGCAGGGAATGTCGAGTGCCTATACCTAGCCAGATTCCCAAGGTGAGAAGCAACCACCGGCAACCCAAGCCGCCTGTGCGCCAGGCTAACCACATCGCAGCCCGCCAAGCTTCCACTGTCGACAACCTCGCTCCGAGCAATCCGTTGAATCGCGACTCCTGTCCTGTCCTGCCATCCTAGCTATCCACACTCGCCATGGCCAGATCAAAGAGAGGGGGGAAGTCCCCTATGAAGAACGCAAATGGCCAGCTCAGCGGCTCCGAGGGCCGCCGGTCCAGCTTCAGCGACAAGAGCGAAGAGGGGTCCCCAACAAGAACCAGGGCACAGGCTCAAGCCAAGCTGGCAGCCGTACAAGAGGTGAGCTCTTACTGCTATTCCTCTTTGCGCACGCCCTTGTCTCAGACTTGAATGGGAAATGGAAACTAACGGTGTGCGACAAACAGAAACCCGCGACTGCCGCCGAGAAGCAGGCCGAATATGAAAAGAAAAAGGCCAATTTCTGGACACGGACATTCTGGACTCTCGTCATGATATCTGGCTTCTTTGGCGCGCTGTTCATGGGGCACATCTACATGATCGCCATTGTTACCGCTGTCCAAATCATCTCTTTCAAGGAAGTCATCGCCATCGCCAATGTTCCCAGCCGCGCCAGATCGCTGCGCTCCACCAAGAGCTTGAACTGGTACTTCCTTGCGTCCACCATGTATTTCCTCTACGGCGAGAGCGTCATCTACTACTTTAAGCACATTGTTCTTGTAGACAAGGTTCTTTTGCCTCTGGCCACCCACCACCGCTTCATCAGCTTCGTGCTCTACGTCTTTGGTATGTTTATCCTCCTTATTTGCATCAAAATGTCCAGTTGGATTCTCTAACGCCAGCATAGGCTTCGTCTACTTTGTCGCTTCGCTTCAAGCCGGACACTACAAGTTCCAGTTCACCAACTTTGCTTGGACTCACATGGCTCTGTATCTTATCGTCGTCCAGGCCCATTTTGTCATGAACAACATCTTTGAGGGAATGATTTGGTTTTTCCTACCGGCGGCCCTAGTCATCACCAACGACATCTTTGCCTACATCTGTGGTATTGCTTTTGGCCGTACGCAGCTCATCAAGCTTTCGCCAAAAAAGACTGTCGAGGGATTCGTCGGCGCATGGATCATGACCATCATCTTCTCCTTTTTGCTCGTCAACATTTTGATGCGCTCCAAGTACTTCATTTGCCCTGTCAACGTAAGTGGACCAAGCAACCCCTCTGCCCCTTCTTAACATGATGCAATCGTTTAAATACTCACATCAACTCAACTTGCAGGACCTTGGCGCCAATGTCTTCTCTGGACTCAAGTGCGACGTGAATCCCGTCTTCCTCCCACGCACCTACAAGCTTCCCGAGTTCTTCTTCCTCCCCCCAAACACCAACTTCTCTCTCACCTTTGCGCCGATGCAGCTGCACGCCCTGGCCCTGGCTACCTTTGCGTCTCTCATCGCTCCCTTCGGCGGCTTCTTCGCTTCTGGTCTCAAGCGCACCTTCAAGATTAAGGACTTTGGCGATTCCATCCCCGGACACGGTGGCATGACGGACCGTATGGACTGTCAGTTCATCATGGGTTTCTTCGCCTACATGTATTTCCACACCTTCATCGAGGTCCACAAAGTCACTCTTGGTAGCGTCCTGGAGACTGCCATTACCAGCCTCAACCCCGAGGAGCAGGTTGAGCTGGTCAAGAGCATGTGCCGATATCTGAGCAACCAGGGCATTATGCCCGAAGAGGTGCGTCTCTACTAACCACTGAAACTGCCCGTCATGTCAACTAACTAGAGATCTTTCCCTGAACAGCTTCAAGCCTGCCTCGAAAAAGCCACATCTTCATAATGACCATTTATTTAAACCGGAATCATTTTCTCATGTAACCCTAAACCTCTCCAAGCTACACCTTTCATAATGACCAGGCAACTCTCCTTGTTATATTTTTCATCTCACCCGTGGATCATCATGGGACGGCAGAAAGAAATTTGTGTGGATCAATAGGCAGGGGAAAGGGGGTGTGACAGGCGTTGAATAAAAGGAGGAAAGAATAATGGATGTGGAGTGAAAAAAGCATGCTATGTCGTGTTTTAACTTGTGGAACGGATCGTGATGTAAACGGTCTTTTTTTTTTTTTTTTTGCCTATCTTCTTTTTACCCTTCTTCTTTTTCGCTTTCTTCTTATCCATATGTATTTTGTCATTGTAGTTAATCATCCATCACCGGAGCATACATAATGCAGGAAGAAAACTGGAAGCGGGTAGGGACAGGTCTCGTTGGAGAGGTTATTCTTATAGCCGACTAGAGTTTACGAATAACATTCACCTCAATATCCTCTCATCTAACTCTACAACACTAATATACAAATGTGATTGTTTGGTTCAAATTCAACAAATCGTGAGACTCTCTGCAGGTAGCATCTGAGATGAAGGTTCGCAACTCTACCCCACGAGATGTCGCGGATGAAGGGAATTAATAATTGTGGTCGTAATAACATTTATTCCAATTACGGAGAGGCCATAATCTCATCTAACCGAGCTACGGCCTCCCTCACGGCGTCCATTCCTGGAGCATCATCCTCGATGAACTTCTCCAGCTCATATAAATGAGGCTGGCCATCAGCAATAATCAACGTGACCTTATCTTCGCCCAAGCAATCACGCATGTCCTCGCTCACATTGAGCTCCACATCGGGATCCTGGTTGCCGTGGAAGATGACCGTCCTGGGCCACTGTGCGACTCGGTCTCTGGCCTCGGGAAGTTTCGCCCACTGGTATCCGGGATCGACGGAGTCGACTATGCCGACGAAGGCGTTGTTGAAGGTGTAGTAGTCGTAGAGCATGCCCCGGAAGCTACCGTCGGATGATGCCGTTCTCTCAGGGGGAACAGGAGGTACGAAGCTTGGGTCTTTTGCGCCGTCGGGGGTTAGTTTGTCTAAGACAAAGGTGGACTCGTCGGGGGGCATTTCGCCGACTTGGACGGGGCCGGCGATGTACTTTTCCATTATGGCATGAGGAATTTCTTCGCCGGCGGTCTGAATGGAGGAATTGAAGAATGGGTGGCGGAAGGTGTTGATGCCTTGGATGGAGAGGAGAGCAAGGGGCTTGGGCTGGCAGTGGTGAGCGATAAGAGCCGCCATGAAGACGCCTCCGCTGGCGCCTCCAACAATGACTTGTCGTTTGGAAGAAAGCAGAGTGTCCCAATTCAGCGCGAATTCATATGCCGCCGTGGCATCTTGCAAGAGGCCCTGTCCGCCAGCCTGAGGGAGAAGACGATAGCTCGGGGAGATGACTGGCCATTTCCGCTGGATGCACGTCTATAGCCTCACTTGTCAACACAACGACTTTCCAAGTAAAGCATGTTTCGGTATTTCGATTCTTCTCACCTGTACGAGCCAAGGCGCAATGCAATCACGGTTTCCGTCGACAAGGCCTCCGGGGTGAAAGTACAGAAACACGGGATTCTCTTTTGGGTAGTCGTCTTGAGTGTAGATGTCGCATTTCAGCGATAGGCCGTGGTTGGCATACTCTTGCGTTAACTTTTGGACCATGGTGAGTTATAAAATATGTCCGTCTGTCTACGTATCCAACAAGAGTGTTTTGTCGAAGAAGAGCATTGTGAATTGCAGCATTAACTTATATGTTGAAAGCCTGGAGCTGGAGCGGGGTTTCAACCAGTACTATGTATGTGATTACTTGCTATGAACTGCTAGGCAACAAGAGCTCCAAAACGCCCTTTGTCTGCAATTTAACGCCTTTCGGATAACGAGCAGCAACGCGCAAGCACACGCTTGATCCGTCGACAGCACCACTGCCCTCAACGCGTCATCACGTGGGCGTAAGCAATCGGTTGAAGTTGGTCCTTTGGCCGAGATTCGTGCTAACGAGGCTAAATGAGGGTTTTTACGGGCCCAAATCTGGCGCTTGTACGGAGCAGGGATCGATTCATGATGCTCCGAAGTGGTTCTGGATAAAGTCCGATGGGAACTTTCAATGTTCATAGCTTAAAATATGTACTTCTGAATGAGTGGTTGTCTCTCTGTTACGCGTAATCTGTCCATATACTCGAGCAACAGCAACCAAGCAGCAGTCTTTGGTACGTGGGGGGACGCATCGATATGTCCGGGCATGCAGATATAGTGCCATCATACTAAGGTATTTGGCTGGAGGAGCTCAATGTCACCTTGCAGCACAGAGAGGTACCGCCCACTGCAAAAGTACCAGACAATAGGCTGGTTGAGATGCATAGCCGGCATGTCACGGGATACTGGGCGAGGCGGGACAGATTGTGTTGGGCCAAGAGAGACTGATTGAGAAACATAGCAGGGGGATTTGGTCCTTGAAATTGGCATTGGCGACGATGAGTAAAACAAAGCAGCCGAGGCAAAATGCGAATCTGCAGGCGGAGAACCCTATGCATCTACTGTACGTGCATGGAGCCAACACCACTAACACACATTCCGCGATATTGCGAAGATTACGTGCAGACAGCTCCGCAGAACAACGAGTCAAGGGTTAAATGGTGTTGTCTTGTGCTTTAACAAGCATGTCCCGCTGTTGGAGAGGATCCAATGCCTGCCCCGGAGCTCCATCCTCGAGACTGCTCGTCCTCTCGGATCGACGGGAGTGGGTGAACTTGAGCAAGCAGCGCCCCCTAGTAAAGTCTTTATCAGGCCATTCACTGCATGCAGCCCATCATGAGACCTCTTTTGAGCGGGGGCATAAAGACGCTGCTAACGGGAATCGGATAAATAGCCTTTACACAGTAGAACCGTGTAGAGGTAAAGAGGGCTCACAACTGTGCAGATCGAACCAGGGCGTCAGCGGTGTTGGGTTCCACGAGTACGGACTGCCGCTGTTGCCGCCTTTCTGGCAGATTCTGACAAGAGGCTTATGTAGGACAAAGGTATGGTCAGATGGTCATGATGGTTACGACATGCCCCGGTCGCTTTCCTCATCCCTTCAAGCTTGTCTGATGGCACATCTGTCGCGTGTTCCACCATGATCCTACGAGGCTTTGCTAGTGTGTGACTGGCCAAGACTGAATATTGCCTGCTCGTTGTGGCAGCTGTATATGATATTTGGAATTGTGCATAGGCCAATGACTTCAACTCAAGCCCTTCCTTTTTCCAAGTGAATTATCCCTTGGACACAATGATTTGAGATTGGCCAGGTCGTATCCATATCCATGATGCAGTCGTATACCAAGTCCTCCTAGACTTCGCGCCCTCTCTATATTTGCTTATTGTGATTCGTCCCATGTCCCATGCTGGGTATTAAGGGGGCCACACAAGCCTCATCTAGACCAGGTCTTGCGGCTATCGTACTACGAGGAAACTTTAGATCCAATCAATCTCCATCGCCGTCTATCATGGCGCTATGCAGGGAGTCTGGCTCTAGCAAGAGAGAAGTAGCTGCAGGGCTATTGGCCAGCCATTCCGGGAAACAGAAAGCTTTACGCCATCATCTTGCTTTTTTCTCCTTTCTGGCTTATTACTGGTTTTGAGAGAGGGAATCCTATCGTTTCTAGCGAGGAGGAAACAAAACTAGTGTTTCCCTAAGAGAGCCCATGAATCAGCCGCAGACTAGCGAAGGGAGAGGAAAAAGAAAAGAAAAAAAAGAAAGTAAAAGAAAAATTTCAACCATACTTTGCGACCATGGGAGGCAAAAGCAACGATCCAATGTTGTGGACAGGGAAGCGTGCCATGATTTGCTTTTTGCTTGTCTCAGCTAAGGAATACGATGGCCGGGGACATGGATCAGCCTCACCGTGGAAGATACAGCCGAATACCTAGGTAGTGGCTCGCTAGCATCCCTAGTCTACTGCATTATATGCCAAATTTCCCTGCTGATCTGATAGCTGCCTTATACAGGGAGGTATCTGCTAAGAGTACTAGAGAGGAGGGAGTGATGATAGTAGAGAATTGCAGAACTAGGCAGATTAATGTGTAAAGTCCGCACATCTCTATGGCGCTCAATACTGATAGGTACCTAATATACTGTCGGAATAACTGTTATAGTAATATTTGAGTATGAACTGCCCCGGGCATTAAATCAAGTGCAGCGATGTACTTGTGGCTTGCATATTGCATGAGGCTCGTGAGGCTTGGGAAATAACCGCATCTTGCACAGGCGGCATCGGGCAGATCGGTCAAGGCGTAGAGGCAGAGAGAACCCGTAGCCTGGTAACTGAGATGTCACAAATGACAGCAGGCCTTGTTTGGGGCAGGTTGCCACAATAGAGAGACACTTTGCTGCTACATCGAGATCCATTGGAGCTGAGAGAGGGAGAGAGTCATGCTAGTTCTGCCGCTATTGCTCTGGCTAAGATGCCCTAAACTAGGTGCCGGTACCCCGTAATACTCAGACATCACCGTCAATGATCCAATACTATCAACTGAACTAGCAGGTTGTCTACACCGGACTTCATCTGGCCTCTTGTCCATCCTCTGTCTAGCCCGCACGCCAGATCCGATATTCTCGCCAAACATCCCAGAACTTTTCCGACTGCTAATAGCCGGTTCTTGCTGACGACGGCAGCGGGGTTCCGTTCCTGGACACACTCTCCGTCTCCACTCACTCTTGTCGGGACATGATGGAATCAAGGCAGATCAGAGCATCAACTTTGACCGGCTGCTTTCGGGACATTGAATACAAGGATATACTCACTTACAATTGCTGTACATACATGCACACTGGATGTATTATTATGAGGCCGGTCCACGTGTCTCAGGCCAGGCAGCCCCCCTGGGCACGGCCCGACGCCAAATCCCCCACCAATTTGGTTTGGAGCTCTATCGGAGGCCAGGATTGCAGCCCAATGACAACCAACTGGGCCTTTTCGCAAGATGTGCCTTTTCCTCTCCCCTGCCTGCCTGCTTGACCGGCTGCACACTAGTACGCCATGCAGCCCAATACTATGCTTACAAGCATGCGAGTGCAGACACCTGCTGACTGTGACACCGTGCTGTACCGTGTCTCAAAGCGGCCGCTCTTCAGCCCGGCAGGCACAGCTTCGACTGAGACCTCTCAGCTGCTTCACCGGCTCCGGTGTGCTGCTAGGTGCAGGAAGGCTGCCCCCTCGCCTCGCCTCTGCTTGCCCGCTTGGCCGTGGACGAGCCCTTGGATGGCTGCGTCACGAGCGGCAGGGCTGGCAGAAGTTGCAGGCCCTCGCCGAGTGGGTGGGTAATGGCATGGGCAGATGGAATCGTCCATAGTAAATAAAGAGGGGCCGGGTTCGGCCCTGTCACACAGAGAGACGGACTGAAACCTGGACCAGAGCATCAAAGCCCGCAACCAAAGGGGCCTTGAGAATTGCTTTTTTGGTTTTCGCGGCTGTTGCGTGGCGGGTCGGATCCGAGGTGCCCATGCTGGGTTACACAGAGTTTGTTTTGTTTCCTTGTCCAGCTTCGATGGCGTCCTAAATTTGCCTAATGGCCCTACACGCCAATACAGATATCCTTGACCTCCGGCCCCTATATATAGAAGATGCCCCCGGATGGCCGTGGCTGTCTTGCTCTTCACCTTTCGATGGGATCATCTTGTGAAAGAGAGAGGATAGTGCCAAGATTTTGTCCGGTATTTTGGTAAGTCAGCCCAGCCCACTGTTTGTAAAAACAGAGCTTGATCCATCCCGGGTCCAAATCCCTCTTTTTAGTCCTGCACAGTCGTGTGCTCACTCCATGCTCTAGGTTGTGTGGATCATACTAAGACGAGTCTTTTCGGCCTGCTTACAACAGAACAAGGGCTCGCTTGTTTTTTTATTTTATTTGGATTTGATCCATGTGAATCTTGTTCCATCTCTGACAAGACTTTGGCTCGTCCTTCCTGGCTGTTTTCTGAGATTGCCTCATCAGGCGAAACCAGTTTGGACCAGCCAATAATAGCCGCTGTCAAGACACAATCAGGGTGCGGCAGACGCTTGTTAAGGTACGGCTGACAGGCATCCTTGTTTTGCCGATTGGTAGGCAGTATTATTAGCTGACCAAATGGTCTGCCCAGGTGGACACTTTTGTTAGAGAACACGCCTCAGTGCGCTTACAAACAGTTAAACTGGATTGTCTACTTTCACTTCTTCCTAGGAGGATCAGAAAGGCTTTGCGAGGCAATATGGGCAGCGACGACGCATACCTGCTTACGGCGTCCCAGGCCCTCGCCAGAATTCGCGCTGGCGAACTGACGATTGAGGGCTATGCACGCTCATTGCTGCGGCGCATAGATGTGCGTGATACCGACGTCGGAGCGTGGGCGTATCTCGATAAGGACTATGTCCTTCAACAAGCGAGAGCTCTAGACAAGGTGCCGATGAAAGACAGAGGTCCTCTCCATGGAATGCCCATTGCCGTCAAGGATGTCATTTACACAAAGGGTATGCCGTGCCATTTTGCTTTGCGCCTTGACTGTGGAGATGTGTATCAGCAGAGCTAATAGCAGCGCGCGTCTAGATATGCCGACGGCTCACAACTCGCCAATCTACAAGGACGACTTTCCGAAGCTCGATGCAGCTTCCATTATCCTCCTCCGCCATGCTGGTGTATTGTTTCTTGGTTAGTTTGCAGTCTATCCACTCTCTTCCTTTTAACTCAGTATCGCTGACATGTTGTGCCCAGGCAAAACAACGACGGCCGAGTTCGCAGCCTCTTATACCGGGCCGTCCTCGACACGCAACCCGCACAACCCGTCCCGCACCCCGGGCGGCTCCTCCTCCGGCTCCGGAGCCGCCGTTGGAGATCTGCAGGCCCCGGTCGCGCTCGGCACCCAGACTGGCGGGTCCACCATCCGCCCTGGCTCTTTCAATGGCGTTTATTCCATCAAGCCCACCTGGAATGCCGTTTCCCGGGAGGGTCTGAAGATTTCCTCGCTGATGCTGGACACCATTGGCATTTTCGCCCGCGGCGTTGACGACCTAGACCTCGTCGCTGATGCATTCGCGCTGCGTGATGACGAGCCTAGTGGCTTTCAGAGCATCAAAGGCGCGCGCTTTGCCCTATGCAAGACGGTTGTCTGGCCAGTCGCAGGAGAAGGTACTCGCAATGCGATTGCCCGCGCTGTCGACATCCTTCGTGCTCATGGCGCAGAGGTAGAGGAGGTTGATCTGCCAACTGAGTTCGACGACCTGCCTCGCTGGCACAATGTCGTCCTGCAGACTGAAGGAGAGACTTTCTTCCTCCCCGAGCACCGCACTGCCAAGGACCAACTCTCTCCGCAGTTGGTTGGTTACGTCGAGCGAAAGGCTGGCTATGACCACCGTGAGCAGCTGAAAGCCCTTGACGGCATTGCTGCCTTGCGACCCAAGATTGACGAGATTGCCGGCAGATACACTGCTATTCTTACCCCCAGCGTGGTCGACGAAGCCCCGGAGGGGGTCGAGTGGACGGGCGACTCTGCGTTTTGCTCATGCTGGTCTGCGCTCCATACCCCGGTAATAAACATTCCGGGCTTTCAGGGACATACTGGCATGCCGATAGGTGTTTCGCTTGTGGCGCCGAGATATCGCGACCGCCATCTTCTCAAGGTGGCGAAGGAAGTGGGTAAGCTTTTCGAGGCAGAAGGCGGATGGAGGCGAAATGTGTAATAGCCGAGTGAAACCATTGTTTAAACGCTACAACAGGGGATTTACAGATATATGTGGTTTGTTACTTGCGGGTACATACATTAGACGTAGAGAACATGCTGGAAGAGCGTGGCAATAGTAGAAAAAAAAAAACTTAGCAGCAATATATGCTAAGCTCGATCTTATTCCTGTCTCATCTCATTAGCCTTTTGGGGGTTGTCATCCCTCTGGTATTAATTCGTATGTCTAGTTCATCAAGTAGCCGCTGGTTTGACCCGTACGATTTGTATCAATTATACGCATCTATTTGGCTGCGCAGGCAGCCATCACGCTTGCCGCAATAAATACGCGGTACTGGTTGCTCTCATTCTGTCAACTTGGCTGTTTGTTTCTCTTCGCTGCGACATTTTGATAGCCGCCCCAATTTGACCATGTCTGCATCTTGTACAGCCACGTTGATGTGTCCAACCCGCATATCCCCAGCTTAAACGTATTTTCCTGCCCCCTAGGCTACAGGTACATAGCCGGCAAGAAGTTAGCACAGTGTGAGAATTTCGTCTCAGAAGGCTCGCTTGTGCAGTCGGGCTGGCTCTACTAAATATGTATGTTGGCCTACCAAATAGGTAAGGCCGCAGCCCAAGACGCGGTCCAGGGGTAAATCAGGCAGCAACCGTAGCGAGAATATGCCTTGGGGTACGGAATATGCCTTAGGATATAACCTTGAGGTGGTTATATATCCTGACTTAGTCCACGGTAAGCTTGATTCAATCTTAATTTCATTCTCAAAAATTGATTGGAATGCGATCTAACCTACGTCTAGATGGACCTATGTCGTGACTGTCACAGTTTTGCCTGGGCCATCTCTCAAAGACTCGAACGATGGCCTGGACTAGATTCTTTCTGGGATGTCGACAGGCTGCGGGCAGATTCACGAAACTGCCGCCTTTGTAAAATGATATACGATGACCTTTTCGACGACCGTCAAGTGTGTACAAACTGTCTTGAGAAAATACCAGAGAAGCTTTCAAAGCTATTATACAGCTCATTTGATGATATTATATGTAGTACCACACTTAGTTGTTTGAGACTTTGGGGCGGTGGAAAGGATCTCATCGAAATAGCAATATGGAGCGATCACGGTAACTACCTTCCACCCTATATGTTTTCTCACTAGAGTGATGCATGTCAACACCAGTGTTAACAGTGCACCTAGGATCGCCTGCTGCCATTTCTGGAAGAATTTGCACTAAGCCACCCTTACCAAGTGATAACTGTCCAGAGGCGTTCACATTCATCAGATCTTGGTTTCAGACATGCTCTCAAAACCACGATTTATGTCGAAGAGCTCTGTCTAAATCGTATCTAGACGAAGTTGTAGGCCCAAAGCTTCCAACTCGAGTATTGGATGTTGGAACAACGAATCATGAGTCTGTTTCTCTCTTAGAAACCAACGGCCAGCGAGGAGATTTCTGCGCACTCAGCTACTGTTGGGGTCCAGAAGGTACCCAGACTATGATCACAACGAAAGATAATATCAACGATCACCTGAGCGGCATTCAATTCAGCAATTTGCCAAAAACCTTTCAAGATGCCGTCACTATTACACGTGAGCTTGGTATTCGTTATCTCTGGATTGACAGCCTTTGCATCATACAAGGGGACAAACGTGATTGGATGAAGGAATCTGCCAAGATGGCAGGAGTTTACCAGAACGCACACCTGGTGATTGCAGCTTCGGGAGCTACAAATCCAAAACAAGGTTGCTTTTCGAACAAGCGTCGATGCCCAACTGTTGTAGAAGTTCCATATTATTCAGCGGAAGGCCAGGAAGCTGGCTCTATGAAGCTCTCTATGCGTATCTATGGCAACGAATCACCTGCGTGGGGACCATTGGTTAAGAGAGGATGGGTCCTTCAGGAGTGGTATTTGGCGCGAAGAGTTCTGCATTATATGCCATCCGGCATTTCATGGAAGTGCAAGATGTTGGAGACAGGTGAAAGGTACCCATATGATATGCAGCAATACAACGATACATGGGAAGGTGTACTGGAGCAAATGTCTAGACGCCAGCTTACTCATAAGGAGGACCGGCTAGCAGCCTTGGAAGGATTGGCTCGGGCAAACGTCGAGGTGACAGGTGACAGATATAGCCTGGGTATCTTTGAATCAAGAATTCCAGAACAACTTCTCTGGTCAATGACGAAAAGAGCACGAACGTCAGAAGACCTAGGGGATATGCCTCATTGGTCTTGGGCTTCAAAGGGGGGGTGGAAGGCATTTTGGGCAACAAGTGGTACCAAGTGGCAGCAAATACACCACACGCAAGCCGTCATCGAATCATTTGGCATCCTGAAAGTCGATGGCTTTGTGGCACAATCTAGAACTTTCATCGCCAAATCTAGAAAATCAACCCGTAAGAGCGAGCAAGTATTTCGCGATCTATTCTCTACACTCAAGATGGACAGGAAAAACTCGTTGCACTGGATTCACAGCTTATCCAAAAAAGCTCGAACCATCGGTGTAGCCGCATTTGATAGAGAGCACTTTCCAAAGGTGCATATCCTTTTTCTCAAACGATGGAGAAACTACAGCTCGTAAGTCTTACATCATATATTACATTAATAACGGAAAGTTAAGTTGATTTGCTTGATATAGTTGGCACGTCTTCGATAACGAAGGAATGATTAGTAGAAATGATGTACGAGCATATAGAATTTTCGGCACTCATATGGAAACCGCTAACGAACTGATTAGATGCCGTACGGTGTCTTGCTCTTAGTACCGAGTCATGATAAAGAGGGCTGCTTCCGACGAGTCGGCATGGGATTTGTTATTCCAGGTCCAAAGAGTAACGAGGTATCAGCAGTTCGTCAAACTATCAGGCTCATCTGAGTGGCCTTATTTATTGGTATTGAGGTAGCCGTTCACTTAGCATTGTTTAAATACCTAGGTACCTATATATAGGTAGATACCTACCTATATATAGTCCCTCGAGTATCTACTACTATCGATACTATCTGCTACTATCTAGGTACCTATATATCTCTCTAGTACCTATCTGCTGCTGTCTTTGCTACCTAGGCAAGCAGCTTCAAAATCTACGTTGCCGTGAGCAACATCGATGGTAATATCACTCTTATTCTTGGCTTTAGACTTGTCAAGAGCCGCCGCATCCACCAGCACCGACACCGCCACGGCCCTTGCGCCTATCACTGCCACCTCCTCCGTTCGTTCTCCTCCACCGCAGAAGAAGAGCGGTGTCATATCTGCAAGAAAACGGGACGGGAGCTGGCAGCTTTAAATCACATTTGCATCACCCTCTATGCACTACACACGTGATGCCTGCCCATCATATCAATTTCCCTCTCTTCTCTTCTCTTTTCCCTCTTCTTTTTTTGCCCTCTCTCTCTCTCAAGAAATCTTATCATATGTAAGTATGTGAACCCATTGTCATATCGCCCGCATTGCGTTACTGACGGCTGGAATATATTCGCGTATTCCAACCTGTGAGCCAAGTGTGTCACCATACAGAGCAAGGACATCCAACCCGCTTCGCCCTTTGCCTTATTCTGTGATGCCTCTGTCCTCCTTTTGCTACTTTCCTTTCTTCCAGCATCTGCCACTATCTCAACTCGTGTGCCTCGCTCCAATTAGTTTTCAGGTCACCATGTTTGTTACAGATTGCCCGATTCCTTTAGGTTAACTCCAGTCCTCATAGTACGATGGAGCCTCAAGTTTCCACACAGCAACATCAATAGGCAGTGGCTCAGTACTGCTGAGAACGCGCAGTCTCTTGTCAGTGTGCGTAATTCTCCCGAACCGGCGCCTATCCCTCTTTCTATTAGGGCAGTTATTTTATGTGGCCGTCTCGGCCACAGTTGTAGCAGCTCCTAGCCTCGGCGGAGGACAAGTTCGACGGCCGGCGCTAGGGGGGCAGGGATGAGCGCCATGGAGGTGTCGGTGTTCGGTGATGGAGGCTGGATCGGGACGATGCGATGGCACCGCCTGCCATGTTTGTTGTTGCTGTTGCTACTGTTGTTGCTATGGTTGGAGCTGCTCTAGCTCCAGGTCCAGCTCTCGGGGCTCGAGTGCCTCTATCGTCTCCATGTGGTGGTTCTTCCATTGAACTACCTAGGTGAAGATGATGATTGGTTGGTGAGGAGTAGTTTTACTCTGCAGCCCCCCTTACGTTATATTCCATCTACCCAACTTCAATACGTTGGGACACATAATGCTAGATACATGTACGGAGTAGCCACTCCCTTTATCTGTCGCGCTCCCTGCGTATCAACTGCTGTGCAGCCGAGCGCTATCCTCAATGCTATCCTCAATATTTGTTCTCTTGAGCGCACCCATCAAGCTGCTGTTATTGCCCCGAGGTTCTATCTCGGCAGTACATGCAGGTTAGGTTGTCAATTTAAAGCCCGCCGTTGGCGCGTGCAACATTGGGGGTTGTGCTCAGCACTAGGCGATGACGTGGGTTGTCCAGTGTCTTTTCTTGTTTTGTGCATGCAGATTTTGTATCAACCACGTACTAAGTAAGGTTGAGTTGACGATGCGGTAAATGGAGTCTAGCGCATTCAACAAATTTGCATGGAACCCGGCCGTTAGCAATCGCAATGACTACTGCAACTCTTATTCGCAGCCTCAAAGCACTAGAAACTCCCAGCCATCGAATCTCTAGCCTGCAATCGGCAGCCCGTCCCCATGCGATCTGCGTCTCTGACCGAAACCGGCCCAGATCTCAATGCCGCTTATTCGCGGATCTGTGATTGTGATAGCCGAATCTGCGATAAGGGCCTCCCCCCAACGGCCTGAACCAGAGCCTAAAACCACCCGCTGGATCCCCCTCCCACAGCGCCGGGAAGCTCGCTGTGGCCCCCAATCGCCAGCGGGATCGGCTATCAGATAAAGCACCGAGCACTGCCCAAAACCCCAAAGCGTCCCCTCCACCTTTTCTCGTCTCGCACCAAGGCGATCGCTGACTCTGTCAACCCTCTGCTAGATGCACTTGCATCAAATCTGACAGATTCCCTGCAGCCCGACTGTCACCATCCGCCCCGGTCCCGCGCACCGCAACGCAAAACAAGAAAGAAACACCTCAACAGCCACGGCCCCAGCCCCCCCTGGCACTGCCAAAGTTCGCCTACAGCTATAGCTATAGTGTACTTGAATAGCTTCCTACAGATCCGGCAAGCGCTGGTACTGGTACAAGCACGAATCAAGGCGTCTTCCCAAGCCCGCGGAATCATCCGACCCCTTCCGAGCAGGCCCCCAATCCCCTGCTCTCGTCTCGCCATCTTCCTCAGCCCCCAGACCCCTTTCGAACGACGACGACATGATTCCGTCGCGAGTTGGAGGCCAGCCCTTGCGCTTGGCCGCTTCCCGTCCCATGCCTGGCTCCCGGCCCTCCATGAGCTTTAAGCCGGCTCGCCGCCCTGCCACCGGAGGGAACCGACACTGCTCATCATCTTCCAACGCTGGCTCTGGCTCTGGCTCTGGCTCTGGTGCAAACCCAAACGCAAAGATTCCTGCTCGTCTGCCTGGCATGTCTGAGAACGACCACGACGTTGAGCGCTACCTGCGCGAGAACCACCAGCGTCTCTTTGAGAACAACAAGAAGTGGGCCGATGAGAGGCTCAAGCAGGACCCCGACTTCTTCAAGCATCTCGCTGCTGGCCAGTCCCCCGAGTATCTCTGGATTGGATGCAGTGACTCTCGTATTCCCGCCGAGGCAATCACTGGTCTCCAGGCTGGTGAGGCCTTTGTCCACCGAAACATTGCCAACCTGGTCATCAGCACCGACCTCAACGTCATGAGTGTCATCAACTACGCTGTGCGCCATCTCAAGGTCAAGCACATTGTCGTCTGCGGCCACTACGGCTGCGGAGGTGTCAAGGCCGCCATGACCCCCAAGGACATGGGCCTGCTCAACCCCTGGCTGCGAAACATCCGCGACGTCTACAGGCTCTACGAGAAGGAGCTGGATGCCATTGAGGATGAGAAGAAGCGATACGACCGCCTGGTCGAGCTCAACGTCATGGAGCAGTGCCGCAACGTCATCAAGACGGCTGACGTGCAGTACTCGTTTGAGGAGAACCGATATCCCATTGTTCACGGCTGGGTCTTTGGCTTCGAGGATGGCCGCATTACCGACTTGAACGTCGACATGAAGAAGATGCTTGGAGACATTCAGAAGATTTACAACTTGACTGACTAAGGCGACTCTTTTGGGATATTCTTTTTGTACATTCCTTTTTTGTACTGTTCTGGATATGGATAAGGATGCAGCATGAGATTTTGGATCTGGGTGTGTGTGGGTGACAGGAGTCGATGGTTGGGTACATTGTTTGTTACTTTGGCATAGCATTCACAGATTGCGGTCATGATAGGTTCAGTTCAGTTCAGGGGTGGTGTTGATGCAAATGGAGTCTTTTTGCCCCGTCTCGCCTACAGCCAGCACCAAAGAGAGATCACCCGTCCTTTCCGGTTCTGGCTAACCAATCGCTGCGTGTGATTATTCCCAACTGTTCGACGACCCCCGCGTCTCTGCCCACACCTGACCAGGGATCGTCCCACTCAAATAAATTACCGCCTTTTTTATCTCGCAAGGCTGCCGGATCTAGACCACACGTGCCCTTTTGCTCAGGATAACTGGTAAATGGCCGAAACATGATAAGCTTGGGGTAAACGGGCTGTGCGTTGCATGTTACTCAGCTGACTACGGAGTACAGTATTCAACCTGTAGGTACGGAGTGCCAAGTTTACCTATCTGTCACAAACGAATCCAAGCTTGGACAATGGTCATCATTCTGCCAAGGGAAACGATCGCTTCGTATCTATATCCTGCCTTGCCGGTGCTGGGTATATTTTGCATCTTCAACCCCTTAAAGCTACAGCACGTAAAATAAATCCCTCTTCGGATGCTCGGACGAATCCTTCCATATCTCGCATGCTCTGATGCTCGGATGCTTCATCCAAATGACTCGTTTTTTTATGCTGCTAAGTAAATTAGCCATGGATAAGTGAACAGACATATCGAACCACTATACAGTTGCTGTCGTTTGCTAATATCTGGTATTCTCTCGACCTTCTTCTTCTATCGACTACTGCTACTACTTTTGTCATACCGAAATCTATATATACATAACATGCCACATGACAATCGGCCCATTACTAAACACAAAACTTGATAGGAAAATGGCGGTGTTGCGCATATCCCTCATACCTGTACAGGTACATCCGCTACACGAGTCTGAGTATGCGCTCGCATCATGACACTATCCCCTGTCTCTCTTCTCGAAAACGACACCCATGTCTTGAAGCTCGATACGGAAAACGTCTTCTTGAATCTTGGTCCGTCGTCTTCCGGACCCCCTTGGCCCCAGTGGCCCCTCTGCACGGCACCGTCTTCCAGAAGCCGGAAGCGCCGCTTGACGAGTTTCCACAGCTCGATGCCTGTAACGAACACCAAGGTGAATCCCACGGAGAGCGCCCACTCCCAGGAGATGCCAATGTGCTTAAAGAAGCGGGTATTGAGGAAGGGAATGTAGACGACGGGGAAGACGGACAGGCTGCCGATGATGACGGACCAAAACAGAAACCGGTTGCTGTAAATGTCCCTGAAAAAGGGGAAGAAGCTGTCGTCGTTGGGGTTGAGCCGGAACATGGACCGGCGGAGACTCTTGAACTCCCATGCGGAAATGAGGATGAGCCACGTCAGGAGCGCAAACGTCGCCGCTCGAGCCCGGAACACGGGGATGCAAGCGTCGGAAAACTTGGTATTGCAGTCGTAACCGAGGTTTCCGTCGTTGGCCCCGTAGATGATGATGCAGAACGTGCAGAGCGTGCACGCCCCCATCAGGATGCCGTAGACAATCATGTCGACGATGATCTGGTTGGTGAAGACGCCTCGCTTCTTGTCCTGGGGCAGCTTGCGCATCACCTCCTGGGCCGCGGCTTCGCGACCAAGTCCAAACGCCGGGAACGACGACGTGGCCATGTTGATCCAGATGATTTGCAAGGGGGAAACGGGGAAGACGGAGAAGCCCATCTCGTCGACGAAGCCGAGGCCCGCGACGAGGAGAATCACTTCGCCGACATTGGACGTGAGCAAGTGCAGCACGAATTTCTGGATATTGTCAAACATGCGACGGCCCTCGCGGATGGCGGCCACGATGGAGTTGAACTTGTCGTCGGTTAGCACAATCTTGGCCGCGGACTTGGCCACGTCGGAGCCAGAGCCCATGGCGATGCCGACATCTGCGCGAGAAAGGGATGGAGCATCGTTGACGCCGTCGCCAGTCATGGCCATGAAGGCCCCACGCCGACGAAGTGCCTCAATCATGCGGGTCTTGGTATCCGGAGCACAGCGGGCAATGACTAGCGGGAGCTCCTCCAGCGCATCAATCTCGGCATCTGTCATCTTATCAAACTCCGTGGCTTTCACCACGACCGACGTGGCGACGCTTTCAGGTAGGATATTGAGGTTTCTGGGGATGATGCCGACTTCTTTGGCAATGGCCTTGGCCGTCTCCGGGTGGTCGCCTGTAAGCATGTGGACCTTGATACCGGCCTGTGAACACTCCGATATAGAAGCTTTAGTCTCCCTACGGGGAGGATCGTAGATGCCGGCGAGGCCGAGAAGCACGAGGTTTTGCTCGGCTGTTGAGCGCAGTTGTTCGTCTTCCTCGGCAGAGCTTGATTGTTTGGATGTAAATCTTCCTTCCCACGGGCGATACGCCACGGCAAGGACTCGCTGGCCTTGTGATGCAAGAGCATTCATCTGCCCGAGAACAGATTCCTTTAATTCATCTGTCATGGGCTGCTGAGCTTCTCCAATGCCGGCGAAAGCACACATGTCAAGAATGCGCTCCACAGCACCCTTCGTAAAGACGATGCTATTCTCAGAGCCGGCAATCAAGCCATTTTCATCCTCGGGGGCGTTGTAGATGACTGACATGCGCTTGATGGAACTGTCAAAGGGGAACTCGGCGACTTGCTGCCATCCCTGCCCTTCGAGATTCTTCTTACCGTAATTAAAGCGGTGCGCAAAGACCTGAAGTGCAATCTCTGTTGGTTCGCCGGTGGTCTGCCACTTTTCTTCCTCTTGGTCGAATCTCACAGTGGCGAGGTTGCAGAGCGCAGAAGAGAGCAGGAAAGCACGTAGTTCGTCCGTCATTTTCGTCTCCGGCTCCGGGCTCTGCGGCTGCTTCGGCGACGAGATATTCAGTTTCTCATCCGGCACATCGAACTTGAGCACGGCGGCACTGCGCTCCTTATCATAGTCGCGCTTCTTCTCTTCCACGGGCTCTTGTGGAGTCTCGTCTTTGCTCTGCGAGTAGACGACACGTCCCTTTGTGGGATCGTTGGGATTTTGAGAATCGTGGACGGTGTAGACGTGGGAAGAGGGGATCCATGCTTGGCGCACAATCATGGCACCTTCAGTCAGCGTTCCGGTTTTATCGGAGCAGATGTTGGTGACGCCGCCGAGAGCCTCGAGGGCGGAGAGATCACGGACGACGACGTTGGCCTTGCGCATGACAGTTACGGCGACGACCATGGTGATTGTTAGGACACTATAAGTAGAGTCAGTTTGATGATACAAAATGATGAGAGACAAAGACTTACGCAACAAGAGACTCGGGAATGATGGCGATGCCAAGAGAGGTCGCATAGATGATGACCTCGTGCCGCATGTTAAAGTGATTAACACCAAACACAATCATGGCGAGAATAACGGCACAGCCAAACAGAAGATAGGCCAAGGCCGACAACTTGCGCTGCAGTGGCGTTCCCACCGTGAGGCCAAGAAACTTGCCCACAAAATCGTAGATGCGCTTCGACAAGCCAACGACAGGTTGCTTCTTGCCATACTTGCGCCAGTTCATCGACCGCCCAGCCTTGCGGCTCTTCTTGGCCGTCGAGGCAGCAATTTTGCCCACCTCGGTGGCCATGCCCGTGGCGACGACGATGCCTCTGCCGCGGCCTTTTTGCACGACAGTTGTGGCATAGGCCATGTTGATGCGGTCACCGATGCCGACCTCTGCTTCGGAGGTGGCAGCCGTATCGGAGCCATGGGCGGTGATGTAGTTGGATGTGATTTTCTCGACGGGAATGGATTCGCCGGTGAGTTGGCCTTCTTCGCAGGCGAGGTTCATGGCTTCGAAGAGGCGGAGGTCTGCGGGTACGGTGTCGCCCATTTTGAGGAAGACGATGTCACCAGGGACGACCTCGGAGCTATTCACCTGATTAGTATTGACAAAAATTGTTATGTTTGAAGATGGGAGGCTTACTTGGGGATGACCTGAGTATTGCCATCACGAAGGACCATGGCGCTGGGAGACGACAGAGCACGGAGAGCGTCCATGCGTTTCTCTGCACGGTACTCTTGCCAGAAGCCAATGGTGACGTTGAGAACGATGACACAAGCAAGGACTCCTCCTTCAATATAGTCTTGGATGCCAAAGCTAAGAGCCATGGCAAAGACAAGGACCTAGGATACAGCAATGTTAGGGGCCATAATGGAAAAAAAAAAAAAATTAGCAGATGGATTGTCATCTTACAATGATCATGGCATTGAGGATTTGCTTTGCGAGAATGCTATACCATGGTATAGTACCGCCCACGTCGAGTTCATTCTTGGGATATCTCGACTGCAGGTCAGAGACCTGCTCCGAGAGCAAACCTCGATCGACATGGGTTCCGAGGGCCTGTTCTGTTTCCTCGACGGTGAGCAAGAATGGGTGCTTGGGGAACTCAGCCATCAGGGCCTGGGGCTCTTATCAATAAAGTGGAAGATGGCAATGATAGGGCTGGACATAGATGACAGCTGAATCAGCGGTTCTGACTACAACAAAGTCTGGCTAGGTAGTTTGAACAAACGACTTTGAATAGAGATCTGGTTTTCTGGAAGTTGGAAGTCAAATATGCGGGGAATCATTGGGTATAAGTACTTGTCGAGAGGAGACATCTTGGCTGATGCGAGGCTTGCCACGAGCAACAAGTATTGCCATCATGAGTGAACTTTCGTGTCATGGCTTTATCAAGGCGGGTCAGACCGGCTACTAGTCGCCTTGGCGTCGGGTCGATGAGCGCGGAGGCTTGAATGGATAGTTTGCGTGGTGTTGAGGAGTTGTTTGCGGGAGAAAGGCACATTTGGATAGATTTATATTGTATGTAGTGACTGTAGCGGTGCCTGATTACTGTTGTTATGCAACATTACGCTTGTGATACATGTTCGGCACGAGGCTGTCTCAGACATTCGCGACGTAAACTCTCGGGAACTATTTTCACTTCAGCACCATCTGCATACGAGACAATCACATCATCCAGCCTCCAAGACAAGCCAAGACCTTAAACGCTCCATTTCCCACCTTGGCGCCGCGCGTACCCCAGTCTCTGGGCTTATAAGACCCCGAGAAATCCCACCTCACGCAAGAAATATGACAAGAGAACGACGAGACAGCGGAACGCCTTTGCCATCGAATCTTGGCGAGCGAAAGCCAAGATCTGGTTATCAAGCACATGTGTGTATTTTAAGGTTGTCTAGTCCAAGTCTATTCGACCTCTGGCCAATGGCGTGTCTGCCTAGGGGGGGGGGATTTCGCCAAGTCGTTTTAACTATTCCGTATTGACTTTGGGCGGATCTTGGCGTCCGGGGGGGCAAAATCGACAAGTGGCGAAAGGGCCTGTTTTTGGTTGGACTTCTGGAAGAGTTGTGGAAGTGAGGGGCTCTTCTCCGCGGCTTTGCCTTTGCTGGTGTGGTTTGCCTCGGTTTAGGCGTGATGGACATGTCCGTCGATGACATTGAAGGTGCTGGTGCATTGAGGTTCGAGCTGGAGAAATGTATACACACCAAGGCTGTTTACTAATGAGGATATCGACGGCGTCTTCAATCGCTTCAGTCTTGCTGCCGTCGGGGCAGGTGATGGCGAGGATTAAAGCTCCCATAATAAGGATGGTAACGGTCTGTTCTTCGATTAGGGCAATTGCTGCGACTGTGGCCCCGACTACCACAGTGGTAGCACCTGTGGGTGGTGCAGCCGTTTGGTGCTCCCGTTGAAGATGGACGAGGAGAAGAAGGTGGAGGAGGAGGTGGTGATGCATCAACGACTTCGACATCTCGAGATTGCTGCTGTGGCGGCGACCGATGCAGTGGCTGTTGAGACTGTGGTTGATACAGTGGTTCTTCATACTGGAGTTCTTGATACTGTGGTTCTTGATTTCGGGGTTGTTGGGGTCGTGGCCGTTGAGGTCGTAGCTGTTGAGGTCGTCGTTGACGCAGTTGTCGCTGTAACGTAGCCACATGCTGCCAGAGTAGCGCAACCTGCACCTCCAAAATTTGAACTCGTTGTCGTTGGTCTTCGATTGTAACGTTAGTCCTTAACATCAGGGCATGGACGGAGTAGTGGAAGCACGTAGACTCACTGTCCGGAGGCACGCTCGAAGAATCCCGTTGAGACATTTTCATATAGTCTAATTGTCATACGCATCAGCTCAATGTGTAATGAGTAAATAAAGTAGGAGAACGAGACAGAAAGTAAAAAGGCACGAGAGCAAGAAAAGACAAGAGGGTAAAAGCCAGGGTGAGAGGTCGAGAGACGACGGTGAGAGAAGTCAGAGGCAAGTAGTTATGCTTACCAATGAGGCGGCGGATGAGATATTCTTATTATGGATATTGGCCTGCTAAACGTCCTCGCAGAGTGTTGTTGGAAGATGTCAATAACGCGATGAGACAAGGGCAAGATGGGTCTCACCAATAAAGTTTACAGCTTCTTAGGAAGAGAGGGCGGCGAACAAAACAAGAAAGAGAAATGGAAGAGAGAGAAGAGAGGGTGAGGCAAGTGTGATTGACAACAGACAGCTAGTTTTAAGGAGGAGCCGGTTCATATTATTATTATTATTATTATTATTTTGATGGCAATGCCACACTCGATTGAGCCCAAATTAATAATATTGTCTCCTATCAATGTATATAATTCTTCTTCCAGAAAGATTCTGGACCGTGGTGCGTCCCCTTCGACTGGGACAGTTCCTGCTTAGATGGCCTCTTCGGCTGCAATCGTAGCATGGCCTGATGCTGATGGGGGCGGGGGCAGCGGCGACGACGGCATTTTGCTGCTGCGGCTGCTGCGGCTGCGGCTGCTCCTGATCCTCCTCCTGCTGTTGTTGTTGCTGCTGTTGCAGCTCCACGATTTGCTGCTGGAGCTGCTGGATCTGCTGTTCTTGCTGCTGCTGCTGCGCCTCCAGGGCGCTCACTCGGGCTTGGAGCTCTTTGGTCTTCTCTCGCTGCCAGTAGACCAGCAGGTATAATTCATCAATTGCTATAAATGGTAGTGTTAGTCGTTGGCACAATACAACAGAAGCGTGGTGAAAGCGTAGTGAGACTTACGGTTGGAATCCATTTTGAATGTAATCTAAATACCAAATATGTTAGCTAAATGATGTATGGAAATGGGGACGAGCGGAACAGAGAACAAGAGACAGAAGTTGAGCAGAAGAGCAAGAGAGCAAAAGAAAACAACGGAGGGAGAAAACACGCAGAAAAGGTGATTGGGAAAAAAAATGAAGAATGAAAAACTGGGCGAAAGAGAGAGTGAGGGGCGAGCAGTTAGTTATACTTACCACGGAGGCGGCGGGCGAGTTGGATGTCCTTGCTTTGGATGGTGACACGCTTGGTGTGGATGGCGTACAGGTTGATGTCCTCGAGGAGAGAGACGTGGAATGACTCGACGGACTCCTGGAGAGCACTGATGGCAGAGAACTGGAAGCGGAGGTTGCTCTTGAAATTTTGAACAATTTCACGAATCTGTTGCAATATGTCAGCAACAAGGTAAAGGTGATGTGGTGATAGCTTCATATACTCACCAGACGCTGGAAAGGGAGCTTGTGGATCAAAAGTTCGGTGGACTTATGGTAACGACGAATCTCATGAAAGGCTTCTAGAGAAGAAAGAAGAAGAAAAGAAGAAGGGGGGGAGAGAGAATAGAGAAATTGATATTGTGCGCAGAAGTCACATGGCTTGCCGAGCAAGAGGAAGAAGATTGCCGATGGCCCAGGTATACCATGGAAACAGTATATCGTTTGCCTGAGCTTCAGGTACCTTGAAGCAACTTGGATACGGTTGAGATGATTTGTGAGCCAGCTGTGAGCCAGTTGCAGACCTGAGTTGCCAGATGGCTGTCAGATAGCCTGTGGACCGACACTGCGAGCCGTAGCCATTGTTTTAGGGAATGGCTACCTATGTATCCAGCACCCTGGCTGACAGCTGGCTTGCAATTTGTCTTGATCGCACCCAAGTTGCTTCAGGGTACCTAAAGCTCAGGCAAACGATATACTCAGTGTTTCTCCCAGATGTCAAGTGTGATACTGAGATGGCCAAGCTGCTACCGGTGAATAGTCCCTCACTCCACAACTCCTGCCTCGGGACCTAACAATTCTCTCCAGGTCTAACAAATCCCTCCCAGCAGACAATCACAAGATATCAAATTTCTCGTCCCTATTTCTTCTCCCTACGTACTATCCTTATGCCTTCCAGATCTTCTTAATAGCCTCAGTAACGCCAATATCGTTAGTCTCAAACTTATATAATCCCACGCCGACAGTGACGGTCGCCAGGTTTAGGCCCCACCAGAGGATCTTTCGCAGACTTAAGTAGCGAGTTTTAGGGATATAGTCGATGATAACGGACTGGAAGCCAAGGTGAGAGTGCAGGAGGATAGCGGAGCACAGGATGGCGTCGGTGGTAGGGTTAAGGGAGCCAGCAGCGGAGGGCATAATAGAGAGAGGCATAAGACCGACGGCGAGGAGGCGCTCAAAGGTCCAATGGTAGGAGCCATGCGAGGCGTTGGGGTTAGGAGTAGGGACAGGGTCGTTAACTACAGCCTCGTGGTTAGTTATCGTATAGGTTCGACATGTGAGAGCGCGCTGTACCTGTGCCCTTAATTTTCTCTATACGGACGCCATGTTAGCAAGATTTCAAATCCGTTTATCAACTAGCTGAGGGGTTCTCACGGGGTCCTGGAGGCAGAATGGCAGAGCGCTGAGTATAGGCATGGAAAGCCGAAGCCTTGATGGCGTTGCTTTGGAAAGCACATGCAGGCTTGGTGTAACGAGCCGCCAGCGCAGTTTGCCGCAGTATAGAAGGTCGCATAATCGATGACAGTTTGACGGAGATGGTCGGACTTCGTGCTGGCAGAATCGCAATTTCAGAATGCAAGGACTCCTTACTTTTGTGTTGCGTTGTTTCGTTGTTTTTTTTTTTTTTTTTTTTTTGGATCTTGGAAGGAATGCGCAATCCATTTTCGATTCGAGGATTGTCGCCATCTTTTAAGGCTCGACGAACAATCAGCCTTTCTGCTTTGGTTGAGTCATTGAACTATAGTTCGACGTCTTTGCGTTACGTTTGAACTTTGTTGTCCGGCTTTAGACATTAGTCTTGAAGAGTGAGTACATGTATCAGCACCCCACGTGTATCTATTTAAGTAATGGTACGTACTAGGTCATAAAAGATCTTTATTATGCGTTGTAACGACCTTCGGAACTCTTCTTCTTAGTCGCTGGGTGTAAAATTAACTACCAGATGGCTGCCAGACATGGCTGACGAAATTGTGAACCCGTAGCTATTGCTTTATTAAGAGGTGAAGTGGATTGAACTGAGAAATAAGTGAGACTAAAGTGATAGGCAAAACATTCTTCAAGGCATTGAAAGTTGCGAATTCTCTATATTGAAGAGCAAGACTAAATGCTACACTAGAAGATGACAAGAGAAAAGCCATCAGGCCGCAACTCTGTCAAACCAAATGTAATCATCCAGCTCCTCCTCAAACGCAATCCCAACTTTCGCCACAACATCATTCTCAAACCGAAACTCAACCCTCATCGCCATCCCAATCCCCCCCACAACCTCCCTCATAACCGCAACATACTTGGTCTGCTCGCACACGTGCTGCAGCTTCATCGTAAAGACATACGATCGATCCGAGCAGTCGACAAACAGCTGCCCCTGCTCGACCTGAACTACGATGCCTTTCCATCCAGGGTTCCAATACTCGCCTGTGTACGCGCTCAACGGCATCTTCTGCGGTTCTGACTCCTTGATTCCTGGGCACAGCTTCTGTCGCTCTGCTTCGACCTCCTCGGCCTCGGTCTCGGCGTCTTCGTTGGGGTTGGTGTCGTACTCGTCGTACTTTTTGCCCGTGTTCTTCTCGTATAGGACCTTGTCCCAGCTAAGCCGTTGGTCTTGGGGTAAATCCAGTAGTTCGTCGATGAGTTCCTGCATGAGAACCTCGGCGACAAAGGCCGCGTCGTCAGAGTTTCCAAACATGGCGCCCCCAAAGTTGAGATCAGGTATGAAGAAGTGGATGGTGGAGGAGCCGGCTATGCCTCCGTTGTGAGCGACGACCAGGTAGCCGCGGTAGTGATGCACCTCCCAGCCAGCAGCATACAGCAATGGAGACGTAAAGGGGGACAGCTTGTCGTAGTTCTGCGTGATTATGGATCGTGGCCTGATGAGTCCCTTGTACACGTCCTCTGTAAATGGGCCCTCCTTGTTCATCATGGCCCGGACATACTTGACGTAATCATCAACGCTGGTAATGATTGAACCTGCACCTTGAGCCTCTGGGGCGTCAGGAATGACAAACGTCGAATACTGCCTGGCCTTTCTATCCCACCAGTGCCCAGGACTGATGCGGTCTCCCAGCCCCTTGGCACGCGCCCGCTCTGGCTGCAAGTTGCTCGAAGTCATGCCCAGAGGCTGGAAGAAGCGCTGCTCAAGAAAGTCGGCGAAGCTGATGCCGGTCTTTTGCTCTACTAGATACGTCGCCACCGTGAACATCATGTTGCAGTACATAAACTTGGATCTGATGGGAGCCGCAGTGGCTAGATTCCTCAAGTTTCGCGTCACTGACTGCGGGCTGTCTGTATTCTTCGCCCTGGGGCCCAGATACGAATTATCATTGCTGTAGGGATTCATATTAGCAGCACATCAAAGCAAAAAGGCATTGAGCCGGACTCACGGCGCCAATCCGCTTCTGTGGCTCAGGATATCATCGATAGTGACGCCTTCATAGCCTTGGCCTGGCATGACAAACTCGCCCGGCAGCAGCTTGGCCATCTCGGCATCATACTTGACGTCCGGCAGCTTTTCGTCCGCAACCAGCAGTGCAACCGACGCCGCGGTGAGAGACTTTGATGCAGAAGCAATGTCAAAAAGGGTGTCGGTAGTCATTGGCCTCGCGGGCTCAAAGGAAGCCATGCCAAAGGCCTTGGAGGCAGTAACATCCTTGTGGACGAGGGCGATGGCAAGGCCGGGGACGTGGAATTTCTTAATGAGCCCCTCTGCACGGGCAGAAAAGGCGGGCGAGTTGAAGAGATCCATGGCGATTACTATTGAGTCCTTGCTAGCAGACTAGTTATGAAGCTGAGAAAGGACGAGAGCTGCTATGGCTAATATACACCTCAGTCTCCAAGTGAGGAGTCGTGTTGAAGCAGATCGCTCGGCATCGTACCATTGGGCCAACGAACGGAGCAACCTCATTTGGGAACAGCCGCAGATCAAACCGATCCTAAAAACGGGGTTGCTCAAATATTGCACGGCGAATTGACTCATCATATGGAACAGCACGGCCGAAGGAGTTGAGCGGGACAATTGGGGCTGACGCCAATCCAAGAGGGGCAACCTGCGCCCCCAAGGCTCGACAAGTTCTTACGGCAAAGCCCTCGGCAGCAAATCACAACTGTGCATTAGTTATGGTAGATGGAATCGAATAGATGTCGTTGTTGGAGGCAACCTGGTATGGTTGTGTACTCGACAATTTACAGTCTCTTCACTACGAGCCACATACAGGAAACTAAAAGTTCAGTAACTGTCATTATCAGCACGCTATGAGACCGTATGAGCCATGATGGCTCCATTAAACCATCATCGCTGTACCCGATATACATACCTAGGTAGGGTATATATATACATTCATGCCATACATACTCCAAACATATGAGAAACAAAGACCAAAACCAACAAAGCAAAGCAGGGGGGTGCAACCGTCCATTTCCTTCCATTCCCATACCATGTCCGGCCTTCCTTTTAGGCCGTTGACGTTCGTTCCCAGCCGAGATCCCCCATTCCAGCCATAAGGTCCATTACCATATAATACCATGCCGACAGACTTCTCTTGCCGGCTAATGTAGCCTCTCCCACAGGGTATAATGCCTACTCAAACAAAGGAAATAACAAAAGGCGACAGGGCATGATGGAAGATGCAAGCAGCGCCTTCTATGCTCCCCGACGTTGACTGGTGACAAAAAGGACTCCAATATTGGAAAGTCGTAGCAATCATCCCATCGAAAGTACAACCCTTACTCAGAGACATTCCACAAAGACAGAGCCTAGTCGTAATCAGGCAGCCAGAGCGTGGTAGTCGCGCACACAGCCAAGACTGTCGCGTGTCGCAGTGGCGCATCGGAGTGCAATCTGCACATGTAAAAAAGCCGACAGTAAATAGCAAAACTAAAATCGGCACTTGCCAAACGGGAAAGCTTCCATTTGTTCTCGGTATTGGTATTCGAGAGAATCAGAAGCGCCACGACTCCATATTTGCGCTCCCGGGTAGCCGATTCCCGATTGGGCGGAAATGGGTGTAGCGGGCTGGGCTGCTGATTGGATTTGATGCAGCCCCATGACTTAGACCCACGTCCAAACATGTTCATGGGATTCGATGACTCCCAAGAATAAGAAAAGACTTGCGGCTATGACGACCTCTGATCACGAGATATGGAACTTGTGCCAGAGTCATCACGCTCAAAATAGCTGTACGTCTTGGGATGAACCGCCGCTGCAGCGATAGGAGAGACGTGATGGATGCTCGTCCGTAAACCCTTACGCTCTGTGCGAGGGTTCTCCATATGCAGCGGTGCTATAGACCGATGATGCACCCGGCGGTTGCTGCGAAGTGAGGCCTGGATAGCCACTGTCGGGATAGGCCGCGGGCGTGGTATCCCACCGGGGAGGCGTTGCAGTTGCAGGATGGTGGCTGATCGGCGTGTGTAAACCGGTGCTGCCATAAGGACTCGCTGCAACTCCTCTGGTGTCGTAGGCCGAGACGGCAGGCAGCTGTGCCGTACTGGTGTTGATACGCATGGAAGACGACTGTTGAGGGCTGTGATGGTTGCGAAGCGTGGGACTAAGACCCCGAGCCGCGCTCGAGTATGGCGCCCAAGACGCCTGTGAGCGAGGCGACGGAATTGCTTCGTGATGAGCCGAGCCGTAGGCAGAGTGCAGCGGATATTGGCTGTGGTCTGCATGCTGTGAAGAGAGGCCATGCTGTGACCCGATGCCGTGGTGACTAGGCGGCGTGGGCAATGTGGCGTATGACGACGTGCTCGTGGCAGGTGGGAGAATGCTGCTAGGGCTGGCACTGTATTTGCTGATAATCTTCTTGAGTGCTGGCTCGAGGGCTGTCCAAGGGAATACCTTGACATCTTTCTCAATGTTTCGAGGCTTGGGGTGAGGAAAAGCCATAATGATCTTGAAGAACTCTTCGCTATCTGGCTTGGCCTTGGAGACGGTGGAGGGGTGGAATCCCTCGAGATTGCGGCGGATGCGGTTCTTTTCCTCGACGCTGAATCGGTTTGGCGCAGCGACAAGCTGCTCAAGGAGATGAATGGTATCGACGGAAGTGACATAGCATTCAGACTTCTCTGCCCACCAGATGCACGAGATGCAGATGCTGTTGGAGGGTCTTTCGTTGACAGCAACGGCCTTGAAGCTCACGTTCAAGACTGCTCCGTTTTGAGTCTTTTTGAACATGACGATGCGACGGCGGTTTTCCCATTCCTCTTGGTTCCAGTCCCTGGCCATCTCAGAGAGCTTGCCGCGAATGTTCAGAACCGCCTTGGGGGTGTACAGAGACATGGAATGGTAGGAACCGTTTCCACTGCTGTTGGTAATGGTGCTAGTGCGCACTAGCTGAGGCGCTCCGCTGCTCCCTGATGACGGTATGGGAAGATGGTGTCCGGTAGATCTCCCGGATATCGAAATGGGATCAAACGTGGACGAGCTCCTCCCCACCGCCGCCAGAGTAGTACTTCCATACGCACCCCCGGTCCATCCCTGGTGAGAGCGCCGGTGGTGGTGATGGTAGTGCGGGTCGGTAAAGCTAGTTGTTCGGTATGTGGTGATCATGTCGGTGTTGCCCGTGGCGAATGCGTTGCCGTATTGGCCTTGCGTTGGCGGGTATTCATACGTATTTGTAGCCGCTGAAGACGGTGCCTCGGTCTTCGGTGAGGGACTCGCCTGATCCATCTCGGCGGCAGGTGTCGTGGTGTCATCTTTGGGCAACTTGTCTGTGCGCGTGATGTCATCCACGGACCCTTCCAAGTAGTGGAAAGTCCCTGCCATGGTCCGCGAGATCTCTACTCCCGCAGGGCTGTCGATAACAAGTGACAGCGGCACGTTGTTATTACCACCTGACGGCGGGGCATCAACGCTGCAAGAGTAAACGAAGCCACTGTTATCCTGGACATCGCGTATAAGATCCACGACGTATTTTGTCGTTCCAAACATGACGGATGGCTGTGTAGAAGATAGGCTAAAGAGGTCATCTTGAGACGAGATCTTCAGGCTGACAGTGGTTCCACAGACTCCAGAGGTAGGATGAAGAGAGACCACAGTGGGTCCCGTCGACATGTAATGAGCTACGTTGTTGTTATTTGCAAACGACTGCTGGTTCATCTGGGCAAACTTTTCCGTCTGCTGGGTTGAGAATGACTGAGCAGGGTACGGCTCAAAGGCGGCAGCCGCATCCTGGTATCGTGTGGCATCGTAGCCTGTCCAAAAAGACTTCTTAGCACAACTCTCTACTACTCTGTCAACGCCGAAAACTCACCATTCAAGGACGGCAGTTGAGCTTTGCTGTAGGCAGCCATGTTGAAATCGCTCGGTGGGGAGTCCCGGTTTGGATCCCCCCTTTGTGCTGCCTGAACAGCTTCCTCGTATCTAAGAGTCAGGGTTTCTGGTGACCCAAACTCGTCGTCGACGTCGACAATGATGGTCTTGTTGGGTAGAAAGCCCGGCTTCAAAGTATATCTTGTCAGCGTCGGCGTTCCTTGATCTCGTCAAGCAAAGGTTTCAACTCGATTTTGCCTGCCTCTTTGCCATGTACAACCAACAAAGACAAGAGTAGTGTAAAGGAATTGAATCAGAAGACACCCGTTGTCTTCTCGTAGTGTATTTTGAAAGAGTGTTGATATTGGAACAAAGTCTAGGATGCGACTCACCTCGAAGAGTCTGTAGGATGGAGACTGGAACTTGGCAGTAGACATGAAGTTGTTGGAAGATGGAACAAAAGCGGTGGAGGGGGGATTGATCAAAGGAAAAGTAAAGTATGCAGGCCCTCTCTGTCTTAGCTAAGAGGCCCTGGATGACAGTAATGTTTTAAACCAGGTCTTGACGAGGTTTTATCCGGTGAGGATCATGTAGCCAGGATGGGACCCCCTTCTTTTGCGTAGCTTGGGCTCGGAGATTTGATATGCGACAACCCCAGAGGCTAAGTTGAAGAAGGCCTACGCTTCTTGGACGTGTGAACTGAACTGATACTGCCGTGTGAGTGACTTGTTGTTTTTTCCCTGCCAAGGGGTGGGGTGTAAGTGAGACACTCACTAGGTCCGAAGGAATCTTACTGGGGAGCCAGGAGGTGCTAGCAATGGCGGAGAAGTATTCCAATCCTGCACAGAAACAGTTGCATTCCAAAAAGGTATCAACCAGGTATGCTGCGAGGGAGGGTTGCCTTCCCTTTCTGCCGTACTCTTGTTAAAGACAAAATAGCCAGCGGTTGAGAGGCTGGCTATCAGGGACTAGGGAGAAGCCGAGGGCAAAGGAAAGAGCTCAGAGTTGCCAAATACGACAAGGCCAGAGCTGATGTCAAACCCAGAGCCTTCCAAAACGGGATTGCTGGTGTGAAAGCTGCTGAACTAGTATATGACGAAGAATATCTCGTCATGAGGTTTCACTACAGACCGAATCAAACAAGTTAGCATTCTTCGCATCCCAATAGTAAGTCAATATCTGGTGTTGGCGATCAACATAAGCTGGGACATGCATAGAGATGCGCCAATGCAAGGGAGAATGACGCCGAAATTGGCCATCGGAACGATCAAACATACAGGCGGTAACGTGTGAGTTGATGGAACCTGTGGCTAGATTCGCTGGTGCGCACGGGAGCTATTCGCCGCCAAGGAGATGAATATCAGTAGTATTCAATAGTAGAACTCAGAGCGGCCGAATCGTTGCGGAGATGGTACCAGTCCAAAAGGGACGGAGGTGTGGGCATAAACACAGCAGAGAGCCAACAAGACCAAAGCACGATGGCATGTAAAAGAAGGGCGAGCCACATATGCAGGTAAGATTGGGGAGAGTCAAGGTCTCAGGCTTCCACATAGATAACTGTTGTCATGTGGGAAAGAGTGAGATGCGAGATGCGAGAGGAGGTTCTTTTTGAAGACCGGATGGTACCTGCGAGCCGTACTTTTCGACGGCAGTTGATCGGCGCCAAACAGAGCCGGGTCAAGAGCAAGATGACTAGGGCGATATGAACGTGAACGGGGGGCAGGGGAAGGGGGGATTGGGGGTTTTTGGGAGGCAGATGAACCAATCAATGAGAGGGTCTGATTGTTCCCACAAGGGCAGTCTCCCTTGGGCGGGCACGTCAGAGAGAGGTGCCACCTCAGGGAGAGGGGAGATAGACTGACGGGGCTATAATTTTTTCCTTTGTTCCCTTTGGGACGCTGGTTATCGCCAAGCCCAGGTTCAAAGCGGCCTGCGAACCGCAGCGGCAAGGGCAGGTCACATTGAGCGGAGTTGGCTCTGACGCCAGCAGACAGATCAGGTCCGTCTGAAGATACACAGAGCAGCTCGGATCGGATCTAACAGCATCGCATCTGGGCAGGGCACCTTGAACAGCGGCCGACTATGGGCGGCTGTGGGTCTGAAAAAAGAAAAGAAGAAGCACGCGCATCTGGGGATAGCAGGGATAGAGAAGGATCATGGCCAAAAATGACAGTAGCCCATTCTCTGTACCCTGTGTCCTGGGTATGCCAGATTTGCACATCCAAAGGGGTGGAACCAGCAAGGATGAAAAGAGCAATGGGCCAAAGCGGGCGATGGGAGGGGGTGTAGTGCAAAGAGGTGCCAGATGCGCGAAGCGGAGCTCGGCGATGATCTAGGAGAGGAGGGGACTCATACAAGCACAGTATAGCCCTATGCCGACAGACACCACACATGGTCGGATGGGAGAGGATGGCCAGCTATAGAGCGGGTGCTCCATATAGGAGCTGATCGCTGGTTCTCTTTTCGCGGGTGGAGTTGCATTAGAGGCCGTCATTTTGCATTCAACTTTTGCAACCCTCAATCTTATTTCCTTGAGCCTCTCCGACCGGACTTGTAATGTCCGCTCGTATGCCAAGGTCATGATATAGGAGGTCGGGGCAGTGACAAGCAAGACTCGGGCAACCCCGGCAATGGCCGCGGCATCGCTATCCCTTGCTGAACAACAGCAACAATAACAAAAACAACAATAACAACAATACGCAAAACGCAATAGGGTCGAAAGAAGGGTAAATGTCACCAGCTCACCTCGGACGTGCGGGCGCCAAGAGCTCTTTGGCTCTGTATGTGACCCTGTATCGGCCGTAGAATGTTGAATTGCGTGTAAGTAGTGACGGCCGCTACTGCAATTAAGCTACCACCGGTCAAGGTATACACTGCGGGCTCGCTCTTGTATCGTCTCGACTCTGCCGGGTGTGGCTATATCCGTCTATCCTAGCTCTCTCCTAGCCCTGATGTGGTCAGCAAGAGCCAATGATTGGTGTTATTGTGCTACTCCAACCAGAGCCACTTGGTCGGGCTTTGGCGGCGGGTCACCGGTAGCGGTGGGCCTCGGCAGCACCGCAGCGCCTTGCATTGCAGCATTGCAACATTGCGGCACCGGCTGGGAAAGGGATCAGCGGCCAGGAGATGCACTGAGATCAGAGCTGGGGCGTGCCCTCGCCAGGCCAAGCTTAGCGCCCATCTGCCACCTGAAGACCGGCGCAGCGGGCTACGAGGGCAGGGATCCGGAGAGGTTCAAGCGCCTCAGCTGGACAGGGAAGACCCTGGGCGCTCATCTGTTTGCTCAGCCTGTGGCAAAGCAGTACCTGTAGTACCTGTACGAGTACCAGTACTACTTTGGTACTGGAGCCCTCCGGGAGCTGAAGTAGACTATCCTCATCGAGAACTTGATGCTTATGCGCATCGAAATAGGGGATTGCGGAAGAGGTTCCGGCGCTTCGTCATATAAAAAAAAAGAAAAGAAAAGCGCCGACAGCCTACCTGTGCGGTGTGCTCTAGACTCCCTTGCCGGCTGGCTAGAGTCGCCGTTTGCGCGGACAAAGTTTAGGCAACCTTGTATTATCCCTTCCAAGTCTACCCAGCAGGCAATCTGAGAATCGACCTGAGCTAAGCGGAGCGGTCGGCAGCGTGCCCGGAGTTGCAGTCTTCCAACGAGGGGTAGAGTATTTCGATGTGGTGTGCAATTCCTGCGATCGGAAACTGTCTAGGGCAGATCAAACCCAGCCAAGGACCAAAGAGGATTTCTGTTGCCAAGATCGGCGGCAATATTATTCACCCCTCTCCTCTTTGGTATCGCCGTCGTCGGCTAATGAGTGTCGCTTTCCCCCTAATCACATCCATTTCGGTCAGCGGCTTATCACCTCTTGAAGTGCGGGCGAGATCTGTCATTGTGATATCTGTATCGCTTCAACGGCACCCGCGGGGGGCTAAGTGTTCAATTACAAGCACAAGCATTCGTCCACGCCCCGCCACCCAATTTACAACCCGTCTAGAGCTTGCTGCCTGCTTCCACTTCTTTTTCTGCAACTTGTATCAAGCAGCACGGACCAAAAGGCAAAGGGCAGACCTCTTGATGGTACTAGCATATGCTCTGCCCACCCCATTCCCTGGGCACACACCAACTGGCTGATGTGATGGCCACGATGGAAGGGAGTCGGGGAAGCGGGTCGAGAAATAGATAGATTTGAAACAATATAGCATAGTGGAGAGAGGGAAAGTGGACGCACCTTGGCAGCTTCAAGTCCAGCGGTGGATATTCCACTCCAGCAACCTCGCTCGTCCAGAGATTGGTAGCTTATTTCACGCTTTCTTGTTGCCTCTAGGTCATAGTAATACTCTTAGTGTGATGCATTTAGTCATATCAGTCAACACTCATGTCTCACCTCTTTCTCAACTCTCCCTGCCGTAGCCCTTGCTAAGAGAGTCACCTGTCTCCACGACTCTGAAAAGAGGTATAGGTTCGTAGTATTGGGAATAGCTGTCGTCTGTAGCGTGGCAGGAATGATTCTAGACCACTGCCGAGATTGCCTGGCAGCGAACTTTTTATACCTGGAGCTCTCTTGACCTTGCGAAACCCCATCTAACCGCGAACACAGTAAAACAGGCGTGTGGCGAGAGTCAATCGTTCCCCCACAGATTGATGCAGGTACCTCTGAAACGCGTCGATGATGCAGGTATGGAGTACTTGGGTTATACGTATACTCGATCCTCAAGGGCCATCGACCTGGCGGGGAGAGGGGATGGGTGCAACTCGGCGGCAAATAGACCCCAACATGTACCTGCAATGTACACAGAGGAGTCGACACTGGCACGAGGAAAACAAATCCATGGAAATCTGCAATCAAGAGAGCAGTACTAGCGGACTCTAATCTGATGTTGTGAGAGGTGTGAAAAGCCTAGTCGAATTTGATTACTGGTGTTGCTACCGTGGTGGAAGGGTGGCAAGCGGATTCGCATCCGAGATGTGAATCCATGGCAGGGGATATGATAAGGTTCGGTCCTGCTCGAGCATTCGCTGACCAGTCCCACGAGGGCGAAGCAGGCATCCAGGCATCGTACTGTATACGAGCAGTCAAGGTGAAGGAGAGGCGACCAGGCACAGAGCATGTATTGCTGAGCACGAAAGCGCCACTTCGGCTCTTGAAAATGGGCTGGCAGGTGGCATTTTCGCGGTCACAGTCACGCGTCAGCCATGAATGGGGACGAACTGGCGGATCCTGGTTTGCCTGGCACCCACCAGTGCTGATCTGAGTTCGTCCAGGGAATGAGGAATGAGGAATTGCTCTTCTTCGCAGCAGGAACCCAGACCCAGAGCGTGGAGAATCGCCATCTCAGGGCGGCAGTTGGAGCTCGCGCCGTCTCTCGTCCAGACCCAGCGCCAGAGGGGAGAGGAGAGAGGAAAGAGGAGAGAGGGGGGAGTGCGTTGACGATGGGCGTCGAGTCGAGAGGGGGCGTATGTGCATCACGGAGATCGACACAGGGGACGGGGACTCGGGCACCTGAATTTGCAGGGGGTTCGTTAGCCCAGTGACGGCGCAAAGCTTGCGCGCTTGTAGCGACGCCGTGTTCAGGTCAGGACGAAGGGCAGGGCGAAGAAGCAGGACGACGAGCGAGAGGAGCGAGAGGAGCGCCAGACAGGTGGTGATTGCAGAGGAGGAGAGGACAGAGAATCGCTGGGTTTTTCCGCTTCGGAAGATGATAGGCGAGCAGGTGCCGTGGCAGGTACTCGGCGGGTACAAATGGTGGCTCTGCAAGGGGCTCCAGGTTAGCACTGCAGCGCTGGGCATGGCGGGTACTGCACTTGTACAGCACTTCTTGACGCTCTGGATTCTTGTTCTGGTCTTCCATCCGCTGAAGCTGAAGGGATGCGATGTGAAGGTGAAGCTTTGGACTACTGGAATCAATGTGACACGCTAAGTAGAGAGGCGGCAGCTCTGCCATCGGGATGGTGGGTTGTAGCATACTTGCATACATAGCTGGTGGCTTCTCAGCACGCCACAGGATGGATGACACGCACTCATTGAAAGCACGATACTGAAGCCAATACACGTATACATGTATAATTCCTAGGTGCCTCTACTATGGATTATTCTCGCTGCTGGAGAGATATTTGAGATACCAGTACGCAAGCTCTAGCGGCAGTGTTCTCAGCGGAACAAGACCAGTGAAGATGACCATGTCTCGCAAAGCACATGTATTCCTACCAACATGTATGTAGGTACACACAGATCCATCCCCGTATAGAAGATACCGAGCTGTGTGCGTGTACGTGTACTTCATAGACATCCCATACTCACAGGGATCTTCACCTACCCCATACGAGCACATGCAACTTGGAACGTCCAAGTGGCGGCTTTGCATCCGCATCAATCATGGAAGCCAGACATCACCACTCTGGCGAGCACAAACACCCCCCTCCCACGCAGACGGCCGCGACGATGAAGCAGATACCCGAAAAGGGGGGTAAGCCCTCGGTCTCCGGCGTCAATCCATGTCTTTCCCCCATCGTCTGGCTCTCAACCATGCCTCAATCTGGTAAAACCGTCGCCGTCTGACACTCTCTGCCTCTTGTCGCGCCTTGTGTATCCCCATGGGTGCGCCAACCCCCTCCGCCATTCTGTGCTTGATGCCACTACTGCTGCTATTCTGCCGTTAGCACTTCGTATACTCCGACCAAGATACCAAGCGTCAATGAAACCGGGCTTCTCTCTCACACTGCCAGCAGTTAGTGTGTGGCACCTGGATGCTCCCGAGGCCTATCCACACGGCTTCTCCACTCCTCCCGAAAAACCTCCCGCGACAAAAGACACGTCCTGTTGCCAATCATGCCGGCCTGTTGCCATTTCACAACGTTTATTTGTCTAACCCTCCACGAGGCAGTGCGAGCAGGACAGTTCTCTCCTCCTCATTGCACAAGCCTGGGTGGGCGGCCTCAGCTGGAAACTTCTCGCTCGCCATGAGAAAACAGGAACGCCATGCTCGGGACTGTAACACATTGCTGCGTGGCCATGCCGTCCGTGTTTCTTACCAGCCCTGGAGCATTCTTTGATGATAGTGCCAAGGTTTGGCGCGACCCGGCTCCCAACTAGAGAGAGGAGACTCCAACGTTGTAGGCCCATCGGACGGGCGAAAGGATCGAAACCTTACTTGAACTGACATAGCTAGCCAAGTGCATGCAGTAAGATGCATATGAAATGCTATTGGAATTCATGCCTACGAAAATAATGCGTGTTTGGCGTTGGTTGGATGGCCGGTGGTGCTAACGAGGCCGGGGTTGCTCGGCTGGGAGGGTGCTTTAGCATCTGTTCTATTGACTAGTAGCTCGGCAGCCATCGTACGAGTATACGATGCATTACAGTCAAACCATTGCCCTTGTTGTTGATTCGTCATTGCTGAGAGCGTCTTGTCACATGTGTGCTTCCTCTCTTGTATGCCACCGACGAGTTCACGAAGCAGTGTATACACCACTGGCAAAATGGGTACGTAGAACTCCTCAACTGCCAGAGGAATTGAACACTCCATACCATCCACTTGTGTACGTTTATTCGATTCATTAGAGGGCATTGTCGCTTGCTGCTGTATTGCAAGTAGAGGTTGCGGTCGCCGCTTACATTCACTATTAGTAGAAACTCCACTCGCTCATAAATTCTGAGAAATTTTGTAGGTATTTTCCCTTCTTTTCACAAATGGGTAAACTGCACTTTCTATTATTATTATTATTTTAATGCTTTAATCGGATTTTTTTCTCTCATTCTCAGCAACTCTCAGCAAGAGCTGTTTATATGACCCCTCTTCTCACATGGTGGATTGACAGAACAACATCCGGATTCCTTGTATAACCATCCCTTCCATGCCGCTCTACGCAAGTGTACCAAAACAGCTTCTATTCATATCCCGGCAGCAACCCGAAATTCTCGAGGCGAGGGCATGGATGAGGAAATATCAACATGGATGAGGCTCTTTGCCCTCTACAGATCATGCACATTGAAGTCGTACGCACATCTTTGTACGCAGATCTCGCGCGTTCCCTAGCGCTCACTGTCTTATTGGCACGCTGGCCGTCCTGCCGTGGCACCTGGCCGTGGCTCTATGCCCTCCCAATGGGATGGATTAGCTGGTGTTGTACCGGTGTGCCGGGTCGGACAGTGCCTGTGTTGTTGGCATTGGGAAGATCGCTGCAGCTGAAAATAAATTAAATAAAATAAAAAATAAAATAAAAGGATGATGGTGGTACCGAATCGCGAAAGGCGGGCCAGTCTGGGCCAGTGTGAGTGAACCGTCACACCCGAGAGAGAGGATTAACAAAGTCGCCTCCACCGGCAGGTCTGTCCTTGTGCCGACCCATGCTAGAGTGTCGTCATAATACCGGGAGCATGAACGTTTAAACTAGCCAGTTGTGGGCATAATTCATCGGCATCAGGTCTCCATTGACCATTTGTGTTTTGTTGTTTCCAACCTAATCTAACCTGAAAGCTGCGGCCTTGGTAGGGGGCAAGGAGCTCATCGCACTAGCAATGCTACTGTCCAGGCCTAGGACGAATCGAGATTTGCGGTAGGAATCGCAGATCCCTGTCGACTCAATTCCATTTTCGAGAACCCTTGCATCGATGGGGTTTGGCTGCTGTGTGGGTGGGCTAGCAGATTGGTTTCAGGGGGTGGATATCCCGCCCAAGCTGAGCTGAAGCTTGGGAGAGCGTCAACATGAACTTCTTGGTCATACCTGACTCGATTCCCGGCTCTAGCTGAAGATGAGAAGAACCCCGAAAAGCGCGATGCCGAGGCACTATTCATAGCACACAGCCTGATGGACGACATGTCCAAGAATTCTACGTATGGACGAGTACCTGTATTACTCCACTTTGCATGCCGATGACAAATTCTCGTAGCAGCGCAGGTCGCGTTTTTTGTGGATTACAGGTACGGAGTACATGGTGTAACGAACTCTTCTACTTCTGCTCCCTCTTCTTCCCCTTAGCAACTGGCCGCCATCGTTCGTTCGCTCGTCGACACCGGTTTCCCCATTAGGAGCTCTTTCACGGGTGTACTCGTAGCATTGAAATCCTCCATGTTTGAAACCACAGACGAGAAGGACCAGCTAGCTGATTCAAACTGTCGCAGCCCCAACCGAACAGCCGGGGAAGTGGTCTTGGAGAGGCACAGCTTACATGTATGCAACCAACATCTTCTAAAAAAGGAGCTGGGGGGGGGATGGCGAGAGAGTCAACATAACCGCCACCGTTGTACGGCATGAAGCTCGTCTTAATTAACAGCTGGGGGTGGGGACCTCGAGGTTGACTCGCTCTTTAACCGGAGACCCGTTCGGCGACCAGATGCAGATATACGGAGCCCATCCCCTTTGGTACTCTTGCAACTTGCCTGTTCGCAGAGCTGTCCGTGATTCGACCTACCACGTGCCGGCGCGAAAAGATGCGCTTAGATCAAAGCCTAGTCAACATCCCGGCACCTGGTCAGTTGAAGCCAAGCTTGTCCTCATCGCCTATCTTGGCCCTGGCACCCGTACTCGTAGTTTTGAGGTGTACAAGGACGTTTACTCATCTCTCTCTTGGGTGTTCTGTCGCATGCGGGTGCAGTTCTGCGGCCTCACGCCTGCCCGACCACTCGCAATTATACATCATCTCCTGCATCGTGGTGTTGTCTCGATCCTGCAGCATCGCTCCCGGAACCAAAACAAGCTGAAGTCTTATCTTACATTGCATGTTGCCCCTCAGCCTTTGACGAAATTCTGTCGGTACAGAGACAAGATAACCTCACAAGTACGCATCTGTAACATTCGTCAGAGTTTGAGCGTGCGTTGTGGCTGGTTGGCTGTGTGCCTCCAACCCTGTAGTCAATGATTTATTGGTTGGGCAGCAGGCCCACCTCTCCCGTTAGCTTGCATCAGCCGCATCTTACAGTAACTGCTATGGGTGGTGATATGGGACCAACACCGAGTACGAGCAAGTATTGATGGATAATCTACAGAAGGGGTTGCAACGGTTTGGCTATACAGGGGCTGTTTTCCAGGTTGTAAATACTACAAGTTGATACTGCTCCATCTCCCAGGGCCAGTCAAGTGTCTATACTCGTACATGACAGAGGGGAGTGGGGAGGATTTACATCAATGAGATGAAAAAGGAGGAGGGGTGTAGCAGCGAAAGCAGTTATCGACAGTCCCCGACGCACTAGTTACGTATACCAAGCAGTGACATGAGATGAGAGATTGTGATGCTGCATTCCGGTTGGGCATATAAAGACGGGACGATTGATTTCTCGCTCCATGCAACGTTCCTATTGGCAACGCCCCGGCTGGCTAACGCAGCTAGCCCTGGCCCTTCTGCGGCCTTTGAATGAAGAATGTGTGCGCAACCATACGCTCGGGAAGGCTTATATCCGGCATGAATGATGTAGTCTTCCTGCAAAGGACATGTGCTATCTCAATCACGAGAGCTTGAGGCAACAGACGAGTGGCCATCTATGCAAGAGTTTCGCTCACGGTAAGTGGGGGAGCGGTCAAGCTGTTGCATGCAATCGGGCAAATTCCGAATCTATGATGTTGAGCCTTATAAGCAAGAGTCCATCTGATGGCGACGATTTGTCCGGGAATGCTGACGCGGCTCTGCTTCTACAGTGGATCAAAGGGACCAAGTCAACTGTGGGTACATGTATCACCAACTCTTTGGACGTATTTGCGTGTGATTTCCCATCAAATGCATTATTCGTGCTCAAATGAAGGGTTTCTCATCTTTCCATTACAGCATGATGATTCCAAGAATAATCTTACCAACAGAAACTCAGTGGATATGGTAGTATCAAGTCCAGGAGAGGCAGACTACACATTCAAGTGCACAATTGGAACTTCTAAATTGATGCCCAATCGCGGGAATCGTGCAGGGTAGCATGAGATAAGAGTGCGTGTACATGTGCTCGGCGGCTAGTTTTACTTGCCATCGCTACATCCAACTCTAGGGCCAGCGCCCGGCACTCGCGTCAAGTAGAAGCCGAGATGCCACACTTCTAGAGCCAATACAAGGTTCACTCTTAAGCATGCCAAGAACGCGGAACCTAACTCATTATCCCGGTACTAGCATCTTCCCAGTAGGTTCATTTGGCGTCAAATTCTCCGTCTCGCGGATGAGCAACGGGGCTGATATAAGCCAGTAGCGACGGACATAAGTTGAACCAGGACGGCTGTGGAGGCCATCAGAGGAATTATATCAGCCGAGAGAATGTCATCAGCCTGCCCATGATCAGTGCTCAGACCTTCGTTCTGTTCTCGGGCCTCCCCTGAAGGGGAAATGGCTGCAATGTGGCAAATCACGCCCTGTACGCTGATGATAGACTTGAATGACCTATGGCCAATCGTCCACATCACTGACGAGGCTGCAACATCATGAAAAAAGCAGACCTATGGTGTCGTGACAACTAATTCAGCTGAATGCATTCCTCGCTCTTGAAGAGGGGCGAGATCCTCCCAAAGGAACCAAAGCGCACACAACTGCAGCCCCGTGCCCTCCACAGCGGGTCAACATCGAGAGGAAGGATCCCGATGCACGAAATTTGTTGCTAGCATTCAATTAGACCGTAGACAGTCCACATATATGGGCAAGGTGGGAGCCCACATACTATACCCAAAGGGATGGGGACAGTGCTGCACAGTCGCCGTTGAGGCTATCGAATCAACGGCCGCGAAAGACACTCGTCATATATCATATCAAAGAAAAGTGATATATTGTATACGTAGTACTTCAAAGAGAGATTGCAGAAATACCTCTCTGTATTTGGTACACCTCCTGGTCTAGCATCGACCGCGCTGCATTCCTACCCTGAAGCAATCCCACTGGTTGACAAGACGCCCGCCGCCGCAACTATGACGGTGATGGCCCCGGCATTCTCTGCTGTACCGTCTTTTGATTGTATCTTGGCTCAATTAGGGATCGGGTCTTGCCAAAAGGTTAGCAGTGAAATGCATTTACAAGCTACAGGTAGCGTGTATAGGAATGCGTATTGCCCCAACTCATATCGGCTCATTGATGAGATGACTTTGCCGTCATGTACAATCTACAGAGTGGTCTATCCTTGATAATACAGATTACAGACGAAGCAATGATTGGCTTTGCTGTATTATCGGTATGCAAAATCGACCAACACTGTTGGCTTAGTACCTAGCAGGGAGAGCGCGGCTGTGCACATCTATTCTGCAGGGAGATGACTGAGCTGGGACGTATTCAACGCACGGATCTGCTGTAGGGTTGTCACACACATGCAGATACAAAGATGCGGAGCCCACTCCGCGACAGCCGAGCACCAAGGCTCTATGTCGAGAGGAGGGCAGAGCCGGTGTGCATCCCACGTAAGGGGCAAACAATAGAGACGGGGCTCATGAAGAAAATGGGGATTAGTATGAGGTTGAAGATGATCCTCAGCGAGTCTCACTCAGAGCAGAGTACATAGATTGAGAGAGACAATACTACGTACATGTAGATAGCAATCGAGATGCTGTCTAATATTGTCGCTCAAGAGACAGGCTGTAACTCACATGGTTCCTACGGCAAAGGTCATGTCGCCTCCCCACGAGTGCTGTCCCTTCAGATGCATTCGTACAGGCGTCCTCGTGACACTCTTTGACACATCATGGGATCTCTTCTCTTTTGCACCAACCAAGCACTTCGGGCTCCATTCCGAATGGAGTGATTGGACACCGTTGATGGGGGCGGGGAGGGGACTTGGTTAGAATTTGTCACTCTCTTGTCTCCCATCTGCTTGGCACCCTCCCAGGTACAAGTACAGGAGCGCTTGTATGAGATAGGAACTCACCAGGGAAGATGGTAGGATTCTCTGCGTCATTGGTACAGCCTCGAGATACGAAGTACATGTACGAGGATGTACTCTATACGGCAGGTCAAGGTCACCGCAAGCCGTAGCAAAGTTGCCTAACGCAGAGCGTCTATCGCCCCCATCGGCCGTAGACAAGGAAGGGGTCAAAGCTGTCGGCCGCCGCTCGTCGGCCGTGGGAGAAGCAAGATGTGAAGGATCGAACTGGGCTGGGCCTTGCGGGCTTAAAGATGAATTAACGCCGACAGCAAAGCTCCTCTTTCAAGCTTCAATTCCTCCCATGCTAAGACTTGGCATCGTCGGGCTTTGAAAGCGCGAACCAATACGGAGTACAATACGGACGGATACAAGGATATGAGGAGGGGTGCGGAGCGACTCGAATCTGCGCAGAGCACGTAATGCCACTGCCAATTGCACGCGGGTACCTGCTACCTTGTCAAGAGTACCTCCATCTGCGTCCGCGGGCTGGGGGCCTTTCCGGTGAGGCGTGCAGCGCGCGCGATCTTTTCGTCGTGATCGTGGCTCGTGGCGGCAGACAGCCTGTGCGATCCTTGCCGAGCTGCGGATGACGACAAGGGACCCCTAATTGCTCTAGCGCAGGCCGCTGGTCGATGTTGGGACCAGGCCATTGGTATCCGGCTGTATACGATGACTTCCGCATCTTGCTGGCAGGGGTGGGATTGAGGGCAGAGATTCGCAAGGGGGCGTGTCATTTGGCGTACTGGGGGTGTCACGTACAAGTCGGCAGTCAAATCTCTGCGTCCATCTCGCCGCCTGTGGATACGATGCCTCCCTTCAGTTGAAGGGAGAAGAAAGAGCGTGAGTGGGAGAAAAGGGAAATGCGACTCCTACTACTATAGTACTAGTAATGTCTTGCCCTACGGCGGCAGAGGCCGCGTCCGAGTGAGACACGGAACTGTCAAACAAGGCAGCGCTTGTCTCGAGAGCCCACTGGCGGCGTTTCTCTGGTCCGCAATCCAGTACGAATGGCGGCCATAGCAAGTCACTTGTAGGGAAAAGCGCGCCGTAAATGGCGAGACGACTCGACTCAGGGCATCCCAATTGGGGTCATGAGCATCCATCTCTGGAAATCCAGCCAGCCACTAGGCCCGAGGCAGGCTGTGGGCACTTGTTACTGTAAGCCTTTTGGTCTCTTTGGTTCTCTTTCTGTCTCGCCCTTTTGCCGCGGCTTGATGGATGAGAGACAGCCGGGGCAATCTTGCATGCTGTGAAGAACGTCTGGCGGTGAATGCGATCCGGAGACCTCCGTGAGGCCCGGAGGATTCTTGACGGCAGGCAACAATCACATACATGCTGTATCGACGAACCATTTCGCGTGTACCCATACCGACAAGGGACTGGACGGATAGGATACTGTACTAGCAGGAATGCTTGTACAACGTCGGCCGCCGCCAAGGGGGCGAGTGGTCATCATGAAATTGCATTAACTAACTGCTCTAGTTTAGTGATTTCCAGTCCTAGCCTACGGGCCTTTTCGCGTCAAGCTTTTCGCCTTACTACTCTGATGCTCTCGCAATGTGAGGGATGACGGGATAAGCGAAAGGCGGCCTGCACAGTTATTTCCTCCGCAATAAGCATCGGCGCCGCTAAAACCTCCTAGTTGGATCTTTCCGACGCCATCCATCTCTTCCTATAGGAAGGGGGAAAAAGTATCCGAGAGATGAAATATGGAGCACCCCGTATCTCGTTCTAAGTCGGCAAGGATGCTTGAGGTGGTGATTGGATTTCGGTTGCCCGCGAATGAAGCCCGAAAAAAGGAAGGGAACTCCCCATGCTTGTAGGTGACGTCTTGCTCTGTACAGCTGAAAAGGAGCCTCGCTACTTCAGCTCGGGAACTTTTCCAAAGTTCCTAGGGCTCTTTCCGCCTCAAGCGCACCTGGGTAAAGCCCGATCTAGAACTGGATGCTTGCTGATATGGAGAGTACGTGTAAACAAGGTTCCGAAAGGCACTCGTAAGAAGCATCGCCCAGAGCCATGCCACGTCAGGCAGAGGCAGGGCGATGCATGTAGGGCGTTTGGCCAAGGAGCAACGGCAACTCCATACTCATTTTCGTTTACCGCTGACCACAGAGGATTCATGTTACATGCTAATAATGTTAATGGGCCTCGGCCATGGCGAAAGCCATGGGGGTATTTGACTGTATCACCCCTTTCGGGAGATAAGAGGCGTGAATTGAGTCAAGACTCGGCCATGAATCTTGGTGGCGTTCTTTGTGTGATTTGTTGTGCTACGTGGCTTGACTTGGTTCATTCAATAGCCACGGAGCCAAGATTCGAATATGCAAAGTAGCATGTAAGCGGCGCCTGGTGAGTCTTGGGAGCAACTTTTGACGTGACCAATGAGTGTCGCCTTGTAAATGGCATTGGCATTGAGGTATAGTCGCAGGTTTTGTTAGATAATGCGTCTGCTCAGGAAATATGCAACTGCTGGTGATGATTAACATCGCTAGAGGGTGAATGATATATGGTAATTCGTAAAGGGCCTCTCGTGTTCTTATACATATCTAAGTAGATGCCATTGTTTTTAAGTCATCTATGTTATAAAGCTTAAGAGTATATAGTCTGCGGGAGTTTACATGTAACGATATAGCTTATTCATGGCAATATTTATTATTCCAACCCATATTGCCTTGTTGAGTAGTCGACTTCATCCTGTATCCATTTGCAACAGCAACAAATCGCCGAGACCAATAGCATTGTTGCATCGCTTGAATATGTTACTAGGAATATATCGTCACCATAGCTCGATAGTATTTATATATTGTATTCATTAATTTGATTCATCGCTTTTTGTACAACAGTCTTCTCATCCAAAAACACTTGCCATCGACTTCTTCCTTATCAATCTACCTAACTAGCTACAACTAATCCTTCCTGCAAGCCGCGAATGGCCACCATAGCTCCCCAAGCACCCGGATCGGGGGGCAGCTCCTTGTTCTCGCTCGACACGCCAACATAAGTTGCTCTGCCCAACCTAGGCTTCATCGTCTTCGTTGCGTCTGCCCCATCCTCGGCCGCCTTGACGCCGTTGTCAAAGCCAGACTCGCCCATGACTGCAGCAAAGGGGATGAGAGTATCCATGACGGTGCGATCCCCAACCTTGGCGGGAGTGTATCGCCGGAGGTTTTCGAGGGCAGTTCCAAGAGCAGTGCCCCACAGAGCGACTGGGTTCTGGGCCAGTCCGATGTTCTTCTCGACGGCTGCGCGCAAGGAGACGAAAAAGATGCCCAGGATGCCGCCCAAGGTGCCGCCCATCTTGCTTTCCACGATGTCTTCGAGCTCTAGGAGAACCTTGACGACTGATCCAGCCTTGGCTAACCCGGAGTCAAGCGCTGTTAGAAGAGACGTAGCACCAGTCTTGAGCGTCTCTCCACAGTCTCCATCACCCATAACGGTATCCCACTTGGTGAGGTCAGGCTCAGCCTTGATAAGAGCTTCGCAAGCGTTTCGAAGCATACTTTCAAGAAGATCAGGATTAATCGCCAAATCTCTCCTCTCATCAACTGTCTTGATCTCTTCCTTTGGTGGCTGAACAAGCTGTTGCTGTCGAGTACGTCGTTGAGCCTGGGATCCGGCCATAGATTCCCAAAACGTAGTCGTCCTGACATCGAAGAAAGACTTGATTTGTTCAGCAGAGTAGCTGCAATTCTTTGCCGCGGCAGTTACGTTAATGACGGATACGGAAAACGCAGGGGCGTTGAGAGATGTTTCGAGAAAGCCGGCACATATCCGTACGGGTTCCATCTTCCAATTCTTTGCTAGCTGTTCCAGGATCTCGTCCACCAGTGCGCCCATCTCCAAATGTGACATGCCACCAAAATTGCTGACGAGCAACATGACTTCATCTCCAGGGCCAAAGTTCACGTAGCCGCGCTCAGGGTCTTTTTCGTCTAGGCAGTTCTGTAGGATCTGTCTAACGAGTTCAGACGCTGATGGCGCAGGAGATAGCTTCTTGTGGCCGGGTTCATTGTGAGGGCCTGTGCCGAGTTCAACTTCGTTCTCTTGTAGCATGCCGTGCTCAGTGCGGCCTGGAACGTGGCAGTGATCTAGAGTTGCGGCAATAGAAACAATCTGTTGTGAGAATGCCACTCCAAGGTCGTATACTTCATCAAGAGAACCTCCAGCGCCAGCAGCACCACCCATAACCTTGAGAACACCAATCTGACCAGCCAAGCCTCTGCGGCCAACCATGCTTCCGTTTTTGCCTACGGAAACATCATCACCGCAAATGATGGTCCGGCAGTTATGGCCTTTGGCATTGGCCTTCTCGTTGGCGAGTCCAAAATGTAAGCAGTCACCAGTGTAGTTTGTGATGACCAGAATGGTGCCCTTGTCACTGGGAACAGCATCAACTGCTGCAACGATTTGCTTCGTGCTGGGACTGGCAAAGATATCTCCTTGGACAGAAGCTGTGAGCATGTTCTTGCCTACATAGCCAGTCCATGCTGGTTCGTGTCCGGAGCCACCTCCACTAATAAGAACCACCTTAGACTTGTCATAGGTGGTATCGTAAACAACTCGGTTAGTTTCGTCCAAGCTGAGAGACGGGTTGTAAGTGATGATTCCTCTTAAGGCCTTGTTGACGAGGCCGTCGGCTGAGTTGAAAAGATGTCTATTTGACATTGTGTAGTCCTTGTGAAAAAATTATAAGGTGTAATCGAACATATCGTGCGATTGGAACACAACAAGGACATGGGCAAATGCAGAGGATATAAGCAAAATGCGGACCACGAGGACCACGAGGACCACGGCACTCCTACATCGGAGCCCCTCGGCTGCGGATGGACGAAAAAAGACTTCCATATCATCGTGATATCACCCAAAGACTTGTACCACCCACATCCAGCATATTGTGGCCAAGGAGGTCGAGAACCATGATTTGATGTTACCCCGAAAGTGCTCCGCCTCCACACCAATCGGCTCTCCTGTAAAACAACGATATAAAAATACATCTTCTCCGCATTTTTACGTTTTTCTCCACCAAAGTAGACCCTGAAATCCAGGGCTATCGGGTTGGCCCTGCGTGTTCAAGCTTCCCGTTTGCCTCCCCGTCTGACCCCAATCGGATTTCCTAATTAGGAAATACCGAACATATTAGCAACGGGGGTAACACTGCTGTTCAACTTCAGAGGCTGTGAACCCCGCAAATAAATCAGACTGTATGAATTCAGATGTACTCTCATGGAATAGGAAAATCGGATTTGAGACGGATTAGTTGGTGTGGGGTTGTTGGGCAAGGACAAAGGCAATGTCAGTTGACCGAATCTCGGATCCCGCTTGAAGCCATAAAGACATGCACGAAGCTCTTTTCTTTGATGGCTTCTGAGATAGCTGGAATTTACGACTCTAAAAACCCCGAATTCATATCGTTTTAATCTCTTGATTTGCATTTTCTGAATTCATTGCCGATTCACAATGGCACCAAAATGGAGGATCGCCATGGGCTGCGATGTAAGTGAACCTGTTTTACTCGATCATTACTCGAACCAAGGCAAAAGGAGACTTCATTCCCGAAAAGACTGTTACGATCATCTATGTCGTGAATATGATCATACTTTGATTACATGAAGAATCTCAAAATCACAAACTAATACCAAGTAACCTCCATATAGGACGCTGGCGTCAGCTACAAAAACACAATCAAAAAGGACTTTGAAGGCGACGCCCGTGTAGACGAAGTCATCGACGTAGGGTCCGACGAAACCTCCGACAAGACACCTTATCCTCTCCGAGCCGCCGCCGCTGCCCGCCTCGTCGCCGAGGGCAAAGCCGACCGCGCGCTGCTCATCTGCGGTACTGGCCTGGGCGTCGCCATCTCGGCCAACAAGGTCAAGGGTGTCCGGGCGGTTACGGCACACGATAGCTTCAGTGTAGAGCGCAGTGTCAAGAGCAATAACGCACAGGTGCTGTGCATGGGGGAGCGGGTTGTCGGGCTGGAAGTTGCAAGGAGGCTGGCGACGGAGTGGCTGGGCTACGAGTTTGATCCGTCAAGCGCGAGTGCTAAGAAGGTGGAGGAGATTGGACAGCTGGAAATGTAAGATATAGAGATAATAAAACTGCGTATTCCGATTCCATTCCATTAGCGTTGGGCAAGGGGCGGATGCGTGTAAGAGACATCAGGTTCGGTAGAAAGTAAATTGGTGGAATACTCGATGTGGCAATGCACGCACATGCAGGGACAATCCGAGCTTAGAAAAAATTAACTTATTTCAGCAAAGGCATGGAGCACTAACGGGGCTCATGGCATTAGGAAATACGGAGTATAACTAGGTACTAGTGGATGAGAATGAGATATGAGGACAGTCTCACGGACGAAACTGCTTTGGTGTTTCCGACCAACTGTTCATGGGACCAGCCTATTCGGGCGAATCGGGATCTTGTAAGAGGGAGCAACTGTACGAGTCGTATACTCGTATAAATTCATTCTGGCGTAAGCTTATCCGCAACCGGAGATGAATGCAAAATAGCAGCCGCCTTGCCGGCATCCCAGAAGTGGAATGGGCGGAACGGAGCCGGTGCGCGGGGGAAGCTTTGCTTGACCCGCTCGGTGAGGCTGCGTGGAGGGAATAGCTTGGGTCTCTGGAGCTTAGCTTTGGCTTTGTTTGCTTCTGTTGCAATTGTTGTTATTGTCGATAGATATTGCTTTATCTGACCATCTTCACTTTGAAAGTGAGATTCGTGAATCATCAAGGCTGTTACAATGTCCAATCCGACGCCTAGGCGCCGCCTTGTCGGGCTCTCTACCAAAATGTATTTTTCTCTCCAGCGAACCAGAGACTTTACGAATAGCTTCATTTCGAAGCTAGCAGCCGTGCCTCAGGAGCTCTTATCCAACATCGACATCTTCATTATCCCCGACTTCATCTCCCTCGCCAGCACTATTGGTCAGCTAGAATCAAGCCCGGTTCCCATTTGGACCGGCGCTCAAGACTGTCACTGGGAAGACCAGGGCGCATTTACCGGCGAAGTCAGTCCCTCTGTGTTGAGTAGTGCAGGCGTCAAGCTCGTGGAAGTTGGACATGCGGAGCGAAGGAGAATTTTCGGTGAAGACGATGCTATGGTTGCGAAGAAGACCGCAGCGGTGAGCCGCAACGGCATGATACCGCTGGTGTGCATAGGGGAGAGAACGCAAGGCGACGTGCATGCTGCCGTCGATGAGTGTCGCGTGCAAGTTGACGCCATCATGAGTTCTGTGGCCGATGAAGCAGAGGTTATCCTAGCATATGAACCCGTATGGGCAATTGGAGCAAGTCAGCCTGCTGGAGAGAAGCACATTCTCGACGTTGTAGCTGGGATTCGAGATCTGGACTCTGTCAAGTCGAGGACAGGGACAACGAGAGTCCTGTATGGAGGTAGTGCCGGGCCAGGGCTTTACGAGAAGTTGAAGACTGGGTTGGATGGATTGTTTCTGGGCAGATTTGGGCACGATCCGCAGCAATTTATCAAGACGATACAGGAAGTTGCTGAAGCCTGAAACCGAGAGAATGCATTGTGCTTCTTTGTGGACGGTTGAAGGTTTGATTACAGGCACTGAATATCCTACATTCAATTCTTCAAGACTGGACTATGGAACGAGAATAAGTTTGACCCGTGAGAGTTAAACAAAAACGGCATCATCCTTGTTGCAGACTCTGAGCTCAACAACTTTGTCAGAATACTCAGATACAAGCTTTCCCCATCTAGCGCCCGTCTCTTGAATCCTTCAATCATCCCGTCCATTCAGGTTTAGGGCATTAACTAGAATAGAGAACACGAACCCTCAACCCACAAATTTCATATCACATCTCACTTCCAGCATCAATCCCCATACAAGCAAAGATCCCACGATAACAAAAATTCTCTCATCACTAAACCGGGTCGATACGGCCAAGCCCGGATACCCCCGGGCCATTTCCGCCCGGTTGACGTTGTGACAGGAGCCGACATCGCCGTCACTATGATACTATCGAGAGCCGATCAACTGTCATTTACCCCTCCTTTGAGACAAGGCGTAAAAAAATGCATATAAATTGGGGGTTTGAAAATGACGCAGAACTTGACTTTTTTTTCTTCCTCACAACACAACAAACGTGATCGATTCAACAATTGAATAACATACCGAATTGAAAAAAAAGTATCCAGTGATATAATTCACAGTTTGTCATTGACACAACCCCAATTGCATTTGCCCATGCATCTAACCATGGTCAAGGAAACCACTAAACCATTCGGTACACCTCGTCCAGTCGCCATGGCGTCTTTCGGTGGTAGTCCGTCCAGACGGGATCATGTCTCTTCAGGTAATGTGTATCGCATGAGCCGGTGCCCGCTCTCTCCTTGTATTCACCAACAAGCCTCTCATGCTACTCTCTTTGTCTGCCTCTTATAAGAAGTTGCTTGCAAGAGTCGTAGATGGAGAGAAGCATCTGAGGCTGGTGAATGCGAGGAAGGAGCGCGGCTGAGAATATACGGCCCTGAACTTGATCTGGATAATACCAGCGAAAGGATCATGCTTGTCCCCCTTACTATCCTGTCCAGGCTCCTAACCCTCGTAGGCCCATCATGAGTCCTCCCGCCGCCGTCTCTCCTACTCAGCGCACTGCTGAACTTGTGACGCCTGTCTCCAAGCTGGCCGTTGCTCAAAACCAGGGCCCTCTGGCCAAGACCGTCTCCGAGATGCAGGGTCAATGGGACTCGTTCACCTTTGCCCCTATCCGCGAGTCCCAAGTCTCGCGCGCCATGACCCGTCGCTACTTCGAAGACCTCGACCGCTATGCCGAATCCGACATTGTCATCATCGGCGCCGGATCTTGCGGTCTTAGCACCGCGTATGTTCTCGGCACCCAGCGCCCGGACCTCAAGATCGCCATTATCGAGGCCTCTGTCTCCCCCGGTGGAGGTGCCTGGTTGGGTGGTCAGCTCTTCTCTGCCATGGTGATGCGCAAGCCGGCTGATGCCTTCCTCCGCGAGATTGGCGTCCCGTACGAGGACGAGGGCAACTATGTTGTCGTCAAGCACGCGGCGCTCTTCACTTCGACCATCATGGCCAAGGTGCTGCAGCTGCCAAACGTCAAGCTCTTCAACGCCACTTGTGTCGAGGATCTCATCACTCGCCCTTCTGCCGAGGGAGTGCGCATTGCTGGCGTTGTGACCAACTGGACACTTGTCTCGATGCATCACGATGATCAGTCCTGCATGGACCCCAACACCATCAACGCTCCCCTTGTCATCTCCACCACCGGCCATGATGGCCCCATGGGTGCCTTTTGCGTCAAGCGTCTTGTCAGCATGGGCCGCATTGAAAAGCTGGGCGGCATGCGCGGCCTCGATATGAACAGGGCTGAAGACGCCATTGTCAAGAACACTCGTGAGGTTGTTCCTGGTCTCATTGTTGGAGGCATGGAGCTCTCCGAGATTGACGGAGCCAACCGTATGGGTATGTTTATAGATCCCTTCTTTCATAACGTGCTAGTCAGTTGAAGATCTCGACTAACATGGTGATTTATAGGTCCTACCTTTGGTGCTATGGCCCTCAGTGGTGTCAAGGCTGCGGAAGAGGCTCTCAAGATCTTTGAGACTCGCCGCAAGGAGAATGCCATCTAAATGTCAATTTGTGGCCTTGAACCACCAATCTTGTCACTCATTTGCTACTAGTTCTTGTATGGCTGGTCGCTCATTTGATGGAAAGCAGTAAAACCTGAAATGGAAAAAAAAAAATATCAGCTGCCAAACAGACTGAATACAAAACTGCAGCTATACTCACAACTCTCCACCAATTTCATTCCCATCGTGATCCTGTGTCCCTTCATAAACAAAACATTAATTGTATCAAGCATGCTAGTTCAGACGTAAAACGCTGTGGTATCTCAATGCTCCCCTCTTCCTCCGTCTACCATGGCTGCCAGTAAATGCCAAAGGCCCATCGTGTATATGCCTATAACCCTTTACCCCATCTCTATGTCGAAAATTCATCAATTACGCTCCTCGCTTGAGTAAACTCCCTGTCCACCTCGACAACCGGCATCTTGAACCCAAATCCTTCTGGGCCGCCCACTCTTATGCCCCTTTCACTCTTCCAAAGAGGATGCGCGGGCAGCGCAATAACATTAACGTGTAATCCATATCGGAGATCCTGTGAGCCGATTGCCTCACCGTCTTGTCCCAGGATAGAAATGAGATCTGGGACCGTGCACACAACCTCCTGCGTCTCTTCGGATCCTTCGGAATCAGTAAGTGCGGCATAAAGATATTCGTTTTGAAACGGAATCGTCATGTGCCGACTGGTTGATGCCGTCTGCTGTTTGCTAACGGCTGTTGCATCGCGTTCTGCTTCGTCAAGGGGAGCAATGATGACGGCGCCCATGGTGTAGCCTCCGCCGAGATGGCGGCGTACATCGACAATTTTGCCGCTAAAGAGGAGCTTTCCAGCACTCTCAGCGAACTGTTATTTTCTGTTAGCCGAATGGGAAACGAAAAATGGCAAAAGATTGTGGGAAACATGGAATTTCAACTCACAATGGCGTCAATGTAGCTCGTCTTGCTCCTCCTTGCCTTGTGAATAGCGCGGCCCAAGTACCACGTCTGAGACAAAGTATTCGGAATACCGTACTGTTTGACAATCGACCCAGAGAGTGGAGTAGAGCAAGCTGCGCAGCTTAATCCAAGTTCGATGGCTGTTGTTCGCAGTATTGTCTCCAGCCTCTCAGGTGTATCAGTGCTCTATCGGGCAATTGTTAGTCAGTGAAAAAGACCTCTCGTAAAAGAAGCCTATAGAAAAGTAGTCAACATACCATGACGACGCTCACATTGTTACGAGCATCTGTGAGGACGCAGGGGACTAACGAAACACCGTATACACTAAAGGTAACTGCCATCGATTCAGTTAGTAATTTGTAAGCCAATATCTGGGGAGTGTTTCCCAATCCACTTACCGTGATACATTGTTGGATATGCTCGGCCCATTGCGTCGCCGTCCACGATGGGAACGTCGAAGTGAGCACTTGTAGGGAAAGATGATAGTCCATTACCACCGCCGCTAATCGCTCGTTAGCCGCATTTCGTGTACTGGGCGAGCGTTGTTTCAACTTACATTTCATCCGGAAGCAGTGCATCAATGGACTTTCCTACGATTCTTGCTGCCGCTTCGATGCCGCTGGGGATCTCGTTGCCGCCGGATAATCGCTCATTGATTACACTCGGGCTGCCATACCACGAACCAAAGCAAACTGAGTCGGTATCTTTTAGCGCTTTAGGAGAGATAATCCTCATCTTACCCTGGCCCCCAGTCCGCAGTGCATGCAAACTCTTGAGAAACTCGTAATGAGTAGGGCCACCACCACCAGTGCCGAGAACGCCGCATCCCGTGGACATGAGTTCTAGGTCGACTTCAGAAACGTACCAGACGCCATCTCGCACATCAGGGCGGTACGTCTCCAAGTCTACGTACAACGACGGCTTTGTGGTGGGTTCCAGGGCATTCGGCACACTGACCTTCTCTTCCTCGACCTCCTCCTCCTTGTAGTCTGGGTTTTCGCCAGTTGGGGGAGTAGGCGGCGGAGTCGGTTCGTCAGGGATAGCCAGCTTGCCTACTGCGCGGACTTGGATTCTAATGGTGGTTTGGGACATGTACTGCAGGGGCATCTTGTTTATCTCAACAATACGCACATCGTCGGGAGAGGCCCCTTTCTCGATTGCCATGTTCATGGCTCGCGCGCAAGCAGCATCAAGAACGTCCTTTTCCGTCTTGCCTTCGAGGATTTCCACAGTGTCGACCTCGCCAGAGACTTTAGCAATAGCAGCACCGACTGCGTTAGCAGCTCCCTGATGAATTGGGTGGATACATTTATCAACTCCTGCCAGCTCTTCCGTCACTAGGAGAGCACCACCACCAACGAGCAGTACATGGACCGGGGCGGATGACACCTTCATCTGGTCAATTACTCTTTCTAGCTTCCTCTTGATCTCCATGCGAGCAAGACTGATGGTTTCTTCAGGCACATCCTTGATGAGAGATGCATCCCCAAGATCAGTCTTGCCGAGAGCAACAACGATATCCGTTGCCGTCAGTGTTGAACCGCCAAAGACTTTGGCCTGCTTCTTGATGAAGTGTCCAACAGAGCCAGGACCCACGCGGACTGTCCCGTCTTCTTCGACCTCGACTTTGCTTCCGCCTCCCAAACCAATGGATACAACTTCTGGCATAGAAAACGCTGTTCGAACACCCCCAATTTCGACGAATCCAGGGGCCTGTCGTGGAAACCCGGAAGGCAGGAGTGCGCACACATCGGTTGTGGTGCCGCCAATATCAACTACGAGGATCTGGGGCTCGACTGCATCGTTGGGGTTGTCGTTTGAAGCTGACGCAGATTTGGTGTCAAGACCGGCGAGAAACGCAGCACCGGTCATGCTATTCGTCGGGCCGCTGGCAAACGTCTTGATGGGGTACTTGGAGGCTGTTTCGACATCGATGAGAGTACCGTCGTTTTGGGAAAGGAACAGAGGGCAAGTCAACCGCAAACTGTCCATGGCACGCTTAAAACCACGCTTGACCTTCTCGCCCGTCCTGAGAATGGCGGCATTGAGAATAGTGGCGTTTTCTCTTTCGAGAAGGCCGGTAGGTCCAATGTCGTGGGAGCAAACCACGCGTAGCTCAGGGGCAGCATCGAGGATGATGCGCCTGCACTGCTCTTCATGGATGCCGTGATGATCGAGCGGTGAGAAGACCCCAACGAGAGCAATAGCACCGATGCCAGCAGCAACGACTGATTTTACGGCTTCACGAATTTGGTCTGGGTTCAAAGGAGCAATTTCTCGCCCGTCCATCTCCAACCCTCCATCCAAGTAGTGAACACCTCCATCGAGAATGCCACGAAGACCGAGTGGGAAATCAGAAAAGGGGGGGATCTGCTTCGTAAAGGGGCCGCACAATCGGAAAACGGCGACTCGATCCAGCCTCCTAGCATCGGCCTCGATAAGAGAGTTGATAAAGTGTGTCGTTCCGATTGTGACGCTGAGGATGCGGCTCTTCTCAACCTTTGAGCGTGTCAGCACCTCCCTGATGGCAGCCTCTATGCCGCTTGTGATGTCAGGAGTCGTCGTGGCCTTGTGGGATGCCAGCACACCGCGTCCAGGTTGGTCGAGAGCCTTGATGTCCAGAATAGCGGCGTCGGTGTTGGTTCCGCCAACATCGACGCCGATGCGATATAGAGACATGGTGCCTAAAAGAAATCAAATGGCGAGGAGAGTGCAAGAAATCAAAGAGCGAAGGGGGAGAGGAGGGCAAATATTTGAATATTCTTGTTCCTTTTCTCTGCAGAAATTCAAATGCCCCAAAAGGACGCTTTCAATAAGGGAAGGAGAAAATGATCTCAAGGTTCTTTGCAAGCTAAAGACCAACAGTGAACAAGACGGCGTGAGGGGCTCATGCTGGGAGCAATTTGGGGCCGGTTGCAATTTAGTGCGGTACAACTTTTTTTCCCTTGAGATGACAAGTTTAGAATGGAGCAAGAAGCACAACGGCGAAGTTTCGCTCAACGTCTGGAGATGGAGTCGCCCGCGGACAAGCCCAGTGCATCGTCGCCTAGGTAGTGGAGATGGCCGGATTGTGGGGGACAAGATGGCCGTTACGAGATAGTAATAACAGCAGCATATGATTTGATTGCATCTCACAATGATCCATAGCGAGGTCACGATTCGAAACACGGCGAACTGAATCGGCGCCCCCGACCGGGGCAAGGCTAAAACATTCCGGCTACCGTTGGCCCTGTTGTGCGGATATATGGAAATAGCATTACGGGCTCACCACACACAGCCATATTAATCATGGGCACCACGCGCCCTATGAACCCGTCACACCACCTACAGCAGAGGCCAGAAGAGAATGTAGCATCGGGGAAGAATCATGTCGGCCAACTATGTCGCAAATGAGTTGGCCGAGGGAGCCGCTAAGAAGTTCGCCGATCACTATGCAGTCAGAAACGAGAGCCAACGAGCTCGAGATGCTGTCTGAGACGAGCAGCCAAGCGATAGCTAAATGGAAGACATAGAACGAGAGTCGAGTCTAGAAGACACGTTCCGGACAGAGACCGCGGCTGTACAGGTAACCTCACCCGAGGCAGCTGGGCGAAAGGAGGGGCGTGCCAACATGAGACGAAAATAAGCAATGCAACCAACCACACACACCCAGCTGCATGCTCGAACAAGTAGAGATTGATCTCACACCCCCCTAAACACCAAAAATCCACCATCTCGAAGGTCTCTTGCGGAACGATCCCCGATCAATGGGCTGTCAATGAAATGTTGCGCATAAATGGCTCGACCAGGGCTCAACCAACAGCTCAAATTGCGGGGGAGTTGTCGGCCGGCTTTTATCTTTATCGGCGTTCCGGGAGGACTCTGTCCTGTTTGCGACGCCCGTCGCAGCGAGCCCGCGCTGACTAAGGGCGGAAAGGAGTTGCTTACTTGTTTCTGGCCTGATTACTTTGCACATGAGGAGCTGCGCCCAAAGGTGGTTTGGCTTGCCTGGACCAAACAACTAGCCGCGGTCGGGGGGTGAGTGAGCTGACTTGACTCGAATTCGAAAAGCTAAAAACTTTCAAGTCCCCTTTTTCTCCATCCCAACCTCCACAAGGGCTGTTTTGCTTCTCGCGGCTGGCACCAGTCAATTGCTAGCCATACAAGTTCGAGGTTTGAGAAGTTGGACGGCTCCTCCCGGTCGAGCCGCTTCCGTTGCCGGGCAGATCTGTCACCGCGACGCCTCGCTTGCGATCCTTTGCCTGGCTTCCAGCCCCACCGGTGTGACGGTATCTCATCACCAAACACAAGGGCCTAGGCTCGTGTATTTTGTTGGTTCAAGGTCCGTCCTAGGAGAGACAACCAACCAGCTGCTATTCCGAGCCTGTAGGCTGCGACGCTGGGCATTGTCCGAGAGCTCAATCAATCATTGAGTCGAGAGTACGGCGAAGGCCACTGTCTTGCACGCGTCTACCTGAACGCGAAAATGGGGCTGGGCCTTCTCATTGAGCGCGTAAAGCTCCCCTACGTCTCACAATGGATTGTAAGTTGTGTGTGCCAAGGCTGCGAATACTGTCTCTACCAACACCGCTTTGCTGGTGCTGCTGCTCTTGATATTATCGACAAGTCGCTTGCGTGTGAGAAGCGATGCAATTGGCTAACCAATTAACTCGGTCTGCGTGTCCTAGAATGAGGATATTCGCCCTGTGGAGTCTGCCAGGCGAACATGGAGCTTCTGGACATTTCACAATTACTGTGAGTCGCGACCCTGGTGAAAGTTGTCGCATAGGCGAAATGACGAGCGCTGTTACTGACGAAAAGTGATTGCTCTTTTTCCGTTATCCAGGGTTGTTGGTCAATTGCAGCGTTGCAACCTTTTTGACAGGGAGTGCGCTCATACCGTTGGGACTGAACTGGTGGCAAGCCATCATTGGTACGGCCATTATCCTGATTTGAGAGATGCCGCTGGATCAATTGGCTGACGGGCTGCTGTAGCTATCGTCGTCGGAAACATTCTTGCAACTACTGCAATTGTCATCAGCTCGCTTTCAGGCGCCCACTATCACAGTGAGTTTGTATCCCTCGCGTACATCTAGAAGACAATCATACTGAAAATCGCTTCCTTCCAGTTGGCTTTTCCGTCTATAGTCGTGCGGTCTGGGGCATGTGGGGATCCCAGTTTGCCATTTGGAATCGCATATTCTTGTGTCTCGGTATGGTACATCTCTGCCAGTATAGAGCTCGGTGTTATTGCTAACCGTTGGTTGTACAGTTTGGTTCGTTGGATGAATATTCCGGAATATGCTGTACATTCGGCAGCCTTTGCTAATTGTGTTTCCACAGGTACGGATTCCAGTCTTGGGTTGGTGGCCAGTGCTTCGAGCTCATCCTCCTTTCGTGGGATCCCAACTATGAGTCCCGCATCCCCAATCACATGCCTGCCTCTACAGGCATGACGACGGCCCAGTTTGTGTCCTACATCATCTTCTTCGTCATCAGTCTTCCGTTTGTGTGGATCAAGCCGCATCGTCTGCAAAAGTTTTTCTACTTCGCCTGCGTCGTGACAATGATCTTCTTTGTAGTCCTGTTGATCTGGGCTCTGGCAACCATGGGTAGTGAAGGCTTTGGCAGCACCCTGGACTCTGGAACCACCCTTCCCAAGACAGGTGGGCCAGGCAGCATCGCCTGGCTAATGGTGTACGGCATAATGTCCACCATTGGTTCGATTGCTGCCGGCATTCTGAATCAGAACGACTTCGCGCGTCTGGCCAGGAAGCCGATGGATGCAGTCTGGGGCCAGCTGATTCCGTATGGCCTCTATAGCATCTTCACCTCCGTCATCGGCATCCTTGTTGTCGCCGCCACCCAGAAGCGGTTTGACGGCGAGGCCGTCTGGAACCCGCCAACCATCTTTGTTCGCCTATTGGAGAAGGACAACAGCCCCGGTACGCGTGCTGCGCTCTTCTTTGCCGGCGTTGCCCTGTGCATCTCTCAAATCGGCAGCAATGTCCCCGGAAATGCCCTGGCTGGTGGCATCGATCTCTCGTCCGTCTTCCCGCGGTACATCAACATTCGCAGGGGTGCCTACATTACGGCTCTCCTTAGCCCGATAGTCAACCCCTGGCAGCTGGTCAACACGGCAACAACGTTCCTGTCCGTCCTGTCCAGCTACGGCGTCTTCCTTGCGCCCATGACAGGCATGATGTTTGCCAACTATGTCGTGGTGAATAAGCGAAAGGTCAAGGTCGACGACTTGTACCACGGCCACAGCGGCAGCATTTACTGGTACAAGTACGGCGTTAATTTCCGCGCCCCCATTGCGGTAAGTCGCGTCTCGAGACGGTATTTTCTTGGTGTAGTTGTGAGAAGTTGAAGCTGACTTTGGCGGTTCTTAGTGGGTGGTGGGAGTTGCCCCAACCTTGCCCGGCTTTATCGCGGCGGTCAATTTATCCGTGTCGCTGCCTGAGGGCATGACGGAGCTGTACTACCTCAACTACCTGTATGGCTTCGTATCCAGCGCCGTTGTCTACGCGCTCCTCCACTGGATTTTCCCGGCCAAGGAGGTTGACGACTTTGTCAAGACTGCTCCGAGCGCAAGGGAGGTTCAGCAGTACTACACAGACCGCTGGGAGGTGAATCTGTCTCAGGCGAGCCATGTGCTATCAGACGACGATGGCTCCGGCGTCATGCATGTAGACGTGAGCCCAAAGCACGAGCCTGCTGCGGCATTCTGATTTCTTCGTCGCGTCCATGTTATTTTTTATTTCCCCCTTTGTTTGTGTTAACTATTTGCGACGTAATATCGGCCAAGCTGTGGCATAGGAGGCGAGATGCATGCAGGATGGACACTGTCATTTCGCCAAAGCGTTTGATTAGAGGGGTTGTAGAAGCGACAGAGCGCATATGAGAGCCATGCTTTATCTGATTTAGAATGACTATACTGCTTAATAGACGGGGTTTGTTATCGCCAATTGGCACCCTGGGCAACTCGCCTTGCCCATCCAAGGCACATGTAGTTGATCGTGTACGTATGCAGCTTCAAGCTTTCAGTTGTCCGAGGCTAGTGCTACCCTAGCTAATCTGCAATACCTTGCTGTCGGATATAATGGGATCAGCATCATGGATAAGGAGAGTCCCATGTCTCGCCGTGTCTCTCCGTGTCTTGAAAATTGGCCGACAGCAAGACACGGAACGACGCCGGATTAGACGAGGGTGGCCTGCTTTGATAAGGTCCATCCATTCGTCTTACACACCTGCCCATCCAACCGGCAACTAACTCCCTCCTTGGTGCTAAGATGAAGATTCAAGGTTCCCACTGTACGGTTCCGACGGAGAGCGGAGTAAGCCTCCAACTCCAACCCATTTGAAACAGCCTGATGGAAATCGTCAAGTCCAAGCTATCATGGATGCAAATTAAGGTACGGGGCTTGGGTGCTAGCAGAAGCCAATATAGGGCTTGCCCACCACTAAACGGCCGCTAACGTTAGTCTCCGAGCACTGAAAGCTTCGGTCATTTACAGCGCTGTACGGAGTACTATGCAGAAGCAGACCTGGACCAATAGGCGAAGCGGTCACGTTACTCAACGCTAAGCCATCGCGCCATTACCAAGAGTCGTTCCCCGCCTGTCGGCCAACTTGACCAACGCGATGAATCGACAAGCAAGGAGTTTCGCCGCTGTGTTCGCCGAGCGACTCGAACGGGAACTGACTGACTCTCCTCTGGATCGCACAAACTCCACCACCCACGGCGCCGCGGCAAACAACCAGCCAGCCAGCCAGAGCCAGCCAGAGCCCAGCCAGAGCCTAGACACGGACCAGCGCGAGGCGGTTCGCCAGATTGGCCTTGAAGCATCCCCAAGCCATGCTCAGCGGCGCCGACTCGGCCCAGGGCCGTCCCCGCAAGTTCACCATCCAGAGCCAGTTCGGCCGGGCTCGACTGCCGCGGAGCCGCAAGAACCGGCCCTGCGACGCCTGCCGGAGGCGAAAGACGGCCTGCGTGATACCCTCGGAGCCTCCTTGTAAGTTTGGCCTAGCTCTCTGCCCGTCGCCGCCTTGCTGGCCCCCTGCGTCTGTGCTGCCGTTGCTAGAGCTCGAGCCGAGCCGCTGAGCCTCACCACGCGTCGACAAGTATGTTGTGCGTGTCCGCTGCGCGTCATGGTGTGGCCGACGGCGGGTGGATGTCGAGGTGGATGTCGACAAGCCAACGCCTCCCACGATGCTATGCTGCCCATTGTTAGCCATGACGCGCACGTGTCCGCCCTCTGCTTGTCTGCCGTTGGCTTGGGCAGCTATGGAGCTGTGTGACTGGCCCGTGTAGGTGCGGTGTCTCCCAAGTGGGAGCGTCCCCCTTTCGTTGGCCGATACTACATGCACACGCTGCTGCATCCTGCCCTCCACAGCTTCATTTCGTCCCAGCCCGCCTGCATATATACCCAATCCCCGATTCGCGGAGTCCCCGAATGCTAAACCGTCGTCGCAGGTCTCTTCTGTAAAAGCAGGGGACTGACATGCAAATCTTCGCCGAACCCTGATGAGATATCGTCGCAACAAGAGAGCGCCGTCGACAGTACCACTGAGAATGGGGCCTCGGATGCTGAGCTCGTTACGCCTCCGGCCATAGACTCTTCACCGGGTCTAGCACGCCGAAGTGTCTCGCACTCCAGTCCGGCAGACACCATTCAGTCGTCTGCAGGCCTCAGTGCCGCTGGCGATCTGAGCCTGGAGCAGCAGTCATCTGGTGGCTCTGCGGCAGTGGTACATCAAGGCCTGGTTCGCCAGTCGGCGCAGTCTACGGATGCATTGGAGCAACCCTCATATGGCCTCTCTCCTCCTGTCCCGCCGCCATCAAACCTTCCTCTCCACACACTCGAAGACAACTTCAACAGGACCGCACACTCCATGGGGCCCTCAGCTGAGCAAGACACCTACCTCCTAGATGCCTTCAGGTGTCTCATCATAAGCGAGAATGATGAGATTGATGCCAATATCATTCAAGTCTATCCAGGGGGGCCTTCAGCGGATGATCGTCCCGTCCACTTCCTGCTCTTGGAGAATGAAAACCCAGACTTCACCAACGAGGCAAAGCAAAGTGCATCGGACGGGACCGAGAGGCTGGTGTGGCCTTATGGCGAACACTTAGTACGCTTGTACTTCAAGCACGTTCACCCTATATACCCCGTTGTCACCAAGACTCGCTTCCTTCGCCAGTATAAAAGCAATAGGTTGAAGATTCCCGCCTCGTTGCGTGGTGCAATTTACGGCATGGCATGCGTCTTCTGGGACCGCGACCCAGCCATCAAAGAGGCCTGCCCCTTCCAGCAGCATCAATGCATAGACCATGCTCATGAGGCTCTACGGCGTGAACATGAGAATCCCAATCTGTTCAGCCTGCAAGCAGGCCTTTTGCTCCATCACATCACGCCTCCCGATGTTGACAGCGTTGAGACACCGAGCATGTGGACCATGACAGCACAAACCACTGCTTGTGCCCAAACAATTGGCCTCCATCAAGATCCTACCCGATGGAGCATTGAACCATGGGAGAAGAGGGTAAGGAAGAAGCTCTGGTGGGCAGTATATGCCTCCGATTGTTGGTCTGCAATCTGCCATGGGAACCCTCCGCACATAAGCCCAACCTCATTCAGTACGATCCCGCCTGACATGGACGATATTCGAGCCGATGAGACTGTCCCTGAAGATCTGCGATATCTAGTCGAGCCCGAGGACGCCATTTTCCAGGCTTCGGTTGGAGCTCGATTCTTGCAGTTTATCAATCTGACTATTGTCCTAAGGGAAGTGTTGGATTGCGCCTTGTAAGTCATAATCTCATTTACAAATACTATGGCCAAGCTTTATTGGCAATTACTCACGCAACATGATTTATGTAGTCAAATTCGACCCAATCCATCAACCCTTGCCGAAAGATCAATGCAACTCAACATGTTGAGGGAAAAATTCAACGACTGGCATAGCCTGCTGCCGCAATGTCTCGCTCTCGGTCCCGAAAGAGGTCAAGATACCATTAGCAACTGTAAGTTTCGCTGCAATGAGAGACTTAGATAATCCGGTTGAAGTGGGTGCTGACATACTTGCCAAGGCCCCCTGCATCTCACATACTACGCCACCCAGGCCCTCTTATACCGAGGCTTAATGTATCCTGCAACAAGAGCGGCCAAGGCCAATCCCGAGTCAAATCTTCGCAAATGGTTCATCTCCGCCCTCGCTGAATTTCAAAGCTTTGTGTACTTTTTCAACTCTATTACTGAGGAAGATTTACGTGGCTTTTGGTGTCGCCGTAAGTTTTTTTTTCTCTTGGGCATTACAACCCCCAAAGGTGAAATATGTTTCATAACTGTACTGACGGAAGAAAACAGATGCGCGATCACAGTTGATCTTGTGTGGAAACTTTCTCATCTACCTCTTTCTACTGGCCTCTGACCAGCAGCACATTGAGGCTGCCTACCAGCTCCTGCAAGAATTCCATCTCTCCCTCAAGCGCCTTGGGGAAACCACTCACAAGCCTGGGCGGCTTTTGATCCGACCGGTCAGGCTTAGGTTGGATTCCTTCTTCCGCCAGGCGGCTACGATCTTGCGTGGGAATGAGGCACCCATCATTTCGCCTGTCAACACTACGGTTTAGATGTAACATTGGCCATTTTAGGCGAAGAGGAAAGTTGAAAATATTATACAACATGTTCGATACAGTATTCATTAAGCCAAGGATACGTTGTAGTTACATATCTAGTTTAGTATCGCCCTGGCATTTGAAATGGCGCATTGGATAGCTCTCATTCATCGGTGGCCAGCGAAGGACTTTGGTCTTAGTTGTCAATCTGACTTGTTGAAACCGATAATTCATACTCTTTAGGTTAAGCCTGCCGCGCATCATCTCAGGACGTCATCTCCAAGTTCATACCCAAGCATCAGCACTATGCACTGCTTTTGCCTCGGCATGCTCGCCAAGCAGACAAGGGGACACAGTACTCGTACATTCTCATATACTGTTGATACACAGGTGCGCTCTGCATTTCACGCGTGAATAAGCCCGTATATAACTAATCACAATCTCGCACCGTGTTGTATCATGACTAAGGAGTTCTCTATTGGGCTACAAGTCAAGGTAGCTTCTTGTGTAAGTGATTCCGCCTTTGTTATTGTCTACAGTATTGGTAAAAGTATATACATTCCAGATCCTTCCCTTCTTTATATGTACCATTGTGCACAGTCACTGTCGAGGCAGAGCATTTCCCTCGTTGTTATCTTCTCTCAATCTTCCTACTAATCATTAAATAGACCGTTGAAGCCCAAGCTGTGACCACAGCTTCTGTGCAAACACGTTCCCAATTTCCCACTTCTTCGCCCCGTGTGATAAGATCGCCGCAAAGGGCGAGAGCCAAACATCTACGTTGCACTTACACAGATGGACTCCATGCAGCCAGATATTCCCCCCGTTCCGTATCCAATGGTCCACATCGGGACTTTTCCCAGCACCTAACGGCACAAACCCAAAATCCAGCTCGCTCGTGAGTGACATATTCATGCAAGTGCACGCAGATGTGTTGTTCTGGATCCACGTCCACAGGATGGCAGCCCCCGCCGCGATAGTCATGTGTGCGATGGGATCGACCGCTTCTGCATTAAGATTAGAGGGGGACGTGGTGGAACCGTACACTCGGTATGCAAGGATGGCGTGCGAGACGGCGATCCGGCTCTCCTGAGATGTAGCCCAGTCGTGGATCTCGGCGTTGTTTATGGGGGGTATGGAGGAGAGGTTGGCGGGGGTCACGCCGTGAGAGGAGACGACGGGGAGATTTTGCATGTAACTGTAGACGTCGGCGTAGATGTGCATATTGAGAAGATGGTAAAGCATGGTGGCGCTGAAAACGGAAGAGAAGAAGCGGGCCCGGACTCCCTTCTCCCAGTCCTTATGAAAGGGTTCCTCCGTGGCTGAGTAGGCCCTCAGAAGGAAGTCAATATGCAACTTGTGCTGTTCCGGTTCTTTCCATATAGAAGTCATGCCGTCGAGCTGCAGCTTGCAACGCCTGAGACGAACTGATACCAGTTCCTTCTGTTCGCTGGATGCGCATAGGGACGGATTTGGATTCCCTCGCATCTTGTTGAGGATCCAGACGTAGTTGGTCACGCCCATCATGCGGATCTGGAGGTCTTCGACGAGAAGGATGGACGAGATTGGCTGCACTGATCCCAACGCGATGTCAGATATCCTGTACTGGGAGCGTTCCATGGGCTCTGTAGGCCATCTTCTGAAGAAGACGTCGAGGCCGAAGGCGTTCCATTGGCCAAAGGTGGATGGTAAGCTAAGGCCCAATTCTTCGCGCTGCAAGGACGGGGGCTGCTGGGTAAGCAAAGATATGTATGAGTCAATTTTGAACATGCTTGCGGCGAGTCTATGCACGACGCACGCAGAAGTTAGCATGACGAAATTCTTTCTTTGCCATTCATGCACGACTTGGCTGGCTTCGCTCACCTTTTCCATTTCTCCTTCATGGAAAATGCCCAGGGCGGGAAATCGCCGCTGAAGTGAATCCTTATTTGACGTTCGATGGCATCAGGGGCGAATAGTTTGAGTTGTCGAAATACAGTAACGAGGAGGCTGAAGAGAAGACGGGCCCTTCTCATGAGTTTTTCGCGCTACGGGAATGGATTAGCATTGTTGTCTTTGTTTTGCAGAGGGTATACAGAGGTTTGTCCATCTGGCCAAAACGTACTCCGCTTTCGAATGCGAAAATGATATTCAGCAAGGATGATTGGAGCGTCCGGAGGGGCCAGACACCGTTTGGATCTGTGGTGGGTTCTGTCTGTGGCAAGCGTGTGTAAGTAAGTATGATGATTATATATATAATTAATCATCTCATTGTCAGGGAGGCCGCTACTTACTAACTCGTCGAGAAGGCGTTTGACAAGGATGCTATGAATGTCAAATATGAGGCTATTATCCTCAGTCTCATTCTTCATCCAAGAGCCGATTATAATGGCGGTACTTCGCAGTCTTACGGATTCCACCTCTTCTTCGAAAGTCGGAGCATGCAGTATCGGCCATCGCTCGTGGAAGCGGCCCATGTACGCTTTGATACATGAACTGGACCATTTTTTCACTTCTGGGGTCGGTGGTTTCGGAAGAATAGACGAAGATTCTGATGATATTGGCCTAGAAACGGCATCAAGTACTAGCTGCAGTCCCTCGACGGCAAGGGAGGACGCGTTTTGTTGCTGGGCCCCCTGGCTCACTGGTGCTGCGCTGTTCATGGTATAAGACATGGGTATAGCTTGATTTGTATCAGGCTGAGAGCCGCCGGTAGAGGCTGAAGCATCGGTGGGGACCGATCTGGAAGGATCTGGGGAGTGTGATCCATGACCCGGAAGCAAGGACGAGGCGCCACCTTGCGGCGGATTGGTTGCAATATTAGGGGCTGACCCTCTCGTGAAGGCACAATCTATGCCTCGCTTGGTACACAGAGAGCATCGAGCGCCTCCATCGCATCGGATCTTGCTGGCATGGCATGCATCACATGCTCGGACCCGTTTAGAATCTGAGGGAGCGGAGCCATCGTGTAGAGTCAGGTGGCGGCGAAGGAGATCACTGTGACGACGAGAGTTTTTAACCTTTAGCATACGTCTCTCGGGGTTCCGCATGGGGACTGCTTTCTTCTTTTGTTTGTTTTCTTTCTTTCTTCTCAAATACCTTATCTACAGCACCCAGACGGAAACATCGGTCATGAGGCAGAGGAGGGAGGGGTGTAAAAGGAGAATCATTGCACTCACCTGCGGCTGAATGATCGAGAACACACATGGCACGTGAAGGAAGGACTACCATGGGTAGCTTGATGCCGACGGAGATGCTCTTTTCTAAGAAAGCCTCTCCCGCAGTGGCACAGATGACGCTCTCCCGAGGGGGGCCCCATCTCTCGCGCGACTAGAGCTGTCGTCTCCCACTTCCCATCCGAGGTGGACTCTTTTTCCTCGTCCTGGTTACCTAAAAGAATCTGCTAGGGACTGGTTGGTCGTGCTTGCAGTTGATTGATAGATCCAATGAAATGGAACCCGTATTAGGCAAAGGCGTGGTGCAGCGATCTCTCTTGGGAGACGCCGATATGCTGCTCAACCCACTCTGCAATCTTCTCCCACCGGAGCCGAGATGCCAAAGAAGCACGCCCAACGGCCGGAAACGGAATTACGCGGAATACAAAGAATTGTGAAGACTTGGAGAGCTCCCACGGAGACTTGAACGAATTACCAAGCAATGCAGCCCAAACCAACGCGTGTTGATGCAGACAGCCGAAGACGCTAATGAATGCAATATGTGTTGAGGAAGGGTCGAAGCCTCGGTGGGATGAGAAATGGGAGAGGCGAATTAAGGATCTGGCCTAGGACAAGGCCAAGCAAATGTGGCAACCCAAAAAAGATACACCAAACCAATAGTCAAATCGAATATCGAATACACCGAATTACTCAGAACGGAGGAATTTTTGAAAAAAGAGGAGTTGGGAACAGTGGGATGAGGGTAGAGTCTCGGGGTAGAGGGGATGATAAATCTCCGTATTATTGATGGCTTACAAGAATGCGAGTTTCACGTCTTGAGCCGGCCATCCCACTTAGCGCTCGGTGAGTTGCGTCTCGGCATCTCCCACTCCGCAACAAGTCTAGTTAACGGGCTAAGATATGTCATCTTGAAGCTTGTGCCTCTTCCAGCTAGGCGCTGGCTAAGACTCGGAGGAGGATTCCGAAACGGTCCACAACACCATGATGACTGTGCTGGACGCTGGGTGGGCAAGTGGGATATGGAGAGCTTGCATATACCCCCTCAAAAGTGCCCGGTTCTGGGACAGTCTCAGCAAGGTGGTGTTAGTAAGCGGGCGATGCGACAATGCCAGATACGAGATTGCGAGATAATCCAAAAAATATATGCGATTGCACCGAGGATTGCGTAATCGCGAGGGCCAATGAACACCATCGACTATCGGTGACTGCTTGGAAATCATGGCGTGGATTTCAGGATCGCTCATCTGCCTCCTAGGGAGAGAAGGGAATATATAATGTAGGTGACTATCCTGAGATTTGGACTGGAGACTCTAGAAACAGAAAACATAGTATATCAAAACCACAGCATTTCTTTTAGGCTTGCGTCTCAAGTCTAGTCTATACTAAAGCATACAACTATATCCTCTTACACACGATACATCGAACACATCACAACTGAAGCCATGGCTGCTCCTTTCAAGAACATTGCTATCACTGGCGCCAACGGCTCCGTGGGCAAGGTTGTCCTCAAAGCCCTTCTCGACGCCGGCAATTTCAACATCACTGTCCTCCGCCGCAACAACTCTAGCTCAACCTTCCCCGACAGTGTCAAGGTCGTCGACGTCGATTTTGACTCTGTCGACTCTCTGACTGCAGCTCTCGCCGGCCAGGACGTTGTAGTGTCTACCGTTGGCTCGGAAGGTCTTAACAACGAGCAGAAGAAGCTCGTCGACGCCGCCGTCGCTGCCGGTGTCAAGCGTTTCCTGCCCTCCGAGTACGGCTGCGACCTGAGCAACGAGCTGGCCGCCAAGCTTCCCGTTTTCGCGCACAAGATCGAGGTGGAGAAGTATCTCGAGGAAAAGGCCAAGACGACGCCTCTCACATACACATATGTCTACAGCGGCCCGTTTTTGGACTGGGGTCTGCAGTACGATTTCATCTTCAAGAGCACGGGTTCCAAGCCTGATCTGTATGATGGTGGTGACACCGCGTTCAGCACCTCGACATTGGAGACCGTCGCCCAAGCTGTTGTCGCCATCTTGTCTAAGCCCGAGGAGACCAAGAACCGGGCAGTGCGATTCCAGAGTGTGGTGACTACGCAGAACCAGCTGCTTAAGCTGGCGAAGGAGATTGAGCCTGAGCGAGTCTGGCAGCCTCAGGCAGTGAAGCTGGACGACATTACTCGTGTTGCGGATGAGAGATTGGCCAAGGGACTCTATGACATCCAGACATTTGCGCCTTATATTCTTCGCGCTGTCAATGATTCTCGATATAGCCCGACTTTTAAGAATTTGGATAACGAGCTGTTGGGATTGAAGCAGTTGACGGAGGCAGAGCTTAAAGAGATTGTGAAGGCCAGCCTCAACAACTAGACCAAGAATTGGAATGCTAGAAATTGGGTTTGTGGCTTACACAACTTTGTGAAATAGAATAAATACATAAACTTCTCTATATCTTCTTACCGCACCTATCAAAAAAGTTGTTCTACAGTGCATGCTCGTAGTATAGGTTATGCATGTCGTATTAACTACATACATTTAAAGCATAACTAATTACAAATAGTTTCTCGGTAGACAACGTCGGCATGGTTTCGCATATGTAGCGCCAAAGGAGTATTTTCCCTGCTGGGTCTAGCCATGTATGTATAGGTAGTCTAATTCATCTTGGCGAAGGATTCAGGGCAAGGATGGTTGGCCGGGAATACGCGAGTGTGAAGGAGTGCCATGGATATCTACTCGTTGAACGGATATAGCTCCATTCACTTTGAAACTGGGAATGCAACGTATTTGGTAGTTCGCTCTGTTGATGCGGGATGGGTCTTGGGCCTTATACTATTGCGCTGCCGGTTGAGCAAACGCCATGTATTGTAATCATAACCATGAAACCATGGGGGTTTTGGTAAAACTCAATTATTAGCATAGTTACAGTAGTGAAGCGACTGCTGCATGGTCTAAATGCGGATTATGGCGAATGAATCCATCGACATTAACTAAACCTTCTCAAAACCGTAAGTAATTGACATCTTAAAGAGTTGATCCTTCTTAGATCCAAGCTCTCAAACCTCCAATACACCTCTGAGTAATTCTATCGCCGCTTGATTTCGATTAGAGTCATTTAAGCCATAGCAATTGAGGAATAGCTCAAAGAGACTCCATCGATTACCGTCTTCAATCTATGATGACCAAGTAAACAAGACGTCCAGCGAGGCATAATATGTTGATCCCAGTCATCACTTTCAGCCTAGTAATACCGTATCTTCCAAAGTTGTTCGAAGATTCTGAGCTGGGGATCAGCTCCGCCATGTGTCCCGCTCCTCGATGGCGCAGCCTAACAAGGTAGGAAATTTCGACGATCCCCATGTAGTGTTTTGAGGAAGGTATCCTAGCACTATCCACTAAATATGCTAGAGTCTGGGGTTGGAAGTGCATCTGTGGAACTACTACATTAGAGAATCCGCGATATATCACTAGACGTGGACAGCCCCAAGTTCAACCTTGAAACAGAGACAACAGTCCCATGAGCCCATGAGCCCATGAGCCCATGCAATAATCACAGGAGACGACACGATAGATCAAACAGCCATGATGAAGGTACTCATTCGGATATCATGTATACTGCGGCGACTTGAATAGGCGCATGGAGGCTTTGCTCGCTGCTCCCTTCCTAACCTCCACCTTTCCAATATATTAATCTGTCACCTCGTAATGAAAACGACAGGAACAAATAACGCAAGCGAAAACACATCGCCCCAACCCATTGTTCTTCTTCTCGCTACTCCTCGTCCGAATCATCGACAGTCTTGGCGGGTTCCTGTTTGACTGGAAACTTCATCTTCCTGGTGCCCTCCGTTCCCCAGCCGCCAAGTCCTCCTGCCGCCGCAGCTCCAGCGAATCCAGAAGACGCTCCCACGGTGAGTTTGCCGGCGGCTTGGTTCTTTCCAACGCCGGGCTGATTCTCAGCCCAGGCGTTGAGCTCGTCGCGCGTCTTGCCAGTGTACTTGAGAATATCTTCGTCGCTCGGTCCGGGGCCACGCTTCTTGTCTTCGTAGCGCCGATAGATGCTCTTTTTGTCACCGTTGCCGTCGGTTGAGTCGGGGGCTGAGTTGGAGTTGCCCATTGTTGTTTTTGAGAGAACTTTGATGTTTGTGATTGGTGATTCACTTGAGCGTAACTTCAGATGGGTATTATTTCGTATACACGTATGAATGGATGCCCGTAACAAGGCAGACAGAGTTGAGTCTATATAGACAGACATGGCTTCACGCTAGCCCGCGTCATGATCGACTAGTTCGGGCCCCCAAAATAAGTTTATCCCGGGTTATGCTTCCAAAACGAGTTCGATCTGATTTGATTCAAAATGATTCGCCTCAGCAGCTTCTAGGGCGGTGCAAACGCGGGGTCAACAACAAAACGGGCCGAAGGAATGGCTTTTGTGACACCCAGCCTCACAATCAGCCTCACTTTCAAGTTGGTGATCAGACGCTAGTGTTGGGCCAGGCCGTGTTGGGAGCGAATCGAACTTGGATCTCGAGTTTTCCAGTGCTTAACCACGTCAGCGTCTAATGTCACGAGTCCGGCCCTGATCGGCTCGAGCCGAGGCCAGCCCCCTCGACACGTACAGGGCCGTTCTCAGAAGCAGCTGATGCGTCGTCTGCAGATTCCGCAGACATGTCGGCTGCTTTCTGCTGCGCCTTGACGGCCACCAGCTTCCTTCGGCCGCCAGCAGAGCGTTTATAGCCCAGCTTCCGCAGAGTGTGGCGGATGCAATACTCGCCCACATCCCAGCCTAAAGCCTGTGCGATCTTGCCGTAGGGCATCCGCTCGTTGTCCTTGGACGCCATAAAGGTCTTGAGCTCCTGGATCTGGGCGTCGGTCAGCTTGCTGGGCCTGCCGGGCCGCGTGATTGGCGTCTCCGTATGCGAGAGAGCATACTGGACCTGGCCCAGCGATAGGCCCAGCTCGGCGCTGATTGCGGACTGAGTGTAGCCCAGGCGGCGCATCAGCTGGGCATCGCGTCGTTGGTCGCGTGTAGTATCGGGGCGTCTGGACTGCTCGGGTTCTTGCATCGTGAATAGTAATCAATCGAGTGAAGAACTCGAAGAGCTAACATGAACGGAGATAGCGCCCATAGCGTTTATAAACTGCACAGATTCGCATGTGGGGAAGCACATGTAATCTTCTTCAACCCTGCCATGTGCTTATCACATCAACCTATTGCTGTTCTGTCTCGTGCGCCCTCTCAGCAACTACTATCGAGTTGCTTGTAATATGTCTTGCCCTCAGGGGAATGACACAGATAGCGCCGGAAGTACTTGGAGTAAGGGGAAGTTACAAAGAACACGCCACTCAGCCATGGAATTACCCGTCGGCTGTGGAGTTGCTCACGCACAAGAGTGCAAGTCCGACTCCATAGAAGAATATCATGCTTAGAGATGGAGAGCGGAGCGCAACAAGATGAAAAACAACGCATCACACGAATTCGTACAAGCTGACTCGAGGAAAGAAACAGAAACCAGACAGTTGAATGAAATCACGGTTCTTTAACAGATGGGAGTCCAAGACATCCGCACAACGACTGTGCCATTTAGGCGACGGGGGAACATTAAAGTCATAGTTCGGACCCTAAATCTGAAGGTGTCTATAGTTGCAGACACGGGGATTTTTTCGCTCTACTTACCGCCAATCACGGAGCATCAGCACGGAGGAAAGGCAAGCAGCACGGACTATTTTTCGCAAAGTTCTTTTAATATTTCCTTTTCTATATTTGTTCAAGTACCCTCCCTCTCTTTTTCTATTATCTCGCCTATCTCGCCCACTTCGCTTAGTTATGGGGGGCCAGTCCCAAAGTGTTGTTGCCAATGTTAAAGGCAACAAACTGCGACTTGAAGAAGATGTCACCATAGACACCCAGACCGCCCTGGGTCGTAGCCTGAAGACCACCGAAGCAAGCTGTACACAACACATGTTAGTCATCAAAATCTCATCAAGATGAAACCGAAGACGGGATATTAGCAACTTACTGTTTCCTGAAACCGGCGAAAAGTTGAGGTCGGAACCGCTGATACGGGCAACGTAGTTGCCACCAACATCCAGATCCAGATCGGGCAGCTGAGCATCGCAAGGGACGGTGAAACCACCGGCCTGAGCGTCGTTCTGAGCACCCTGGACCTGGGAGTAGTAGCCCTGGACGATGATGGGGTCGGCAAGGAGGAGAGTGGTGCCGGTATCAGCAATGGCCTGACCACCGGCAGTCGCCTTCTGGGTTGCGCCACCGTTAACGGCGAAAGACTCGCTGCTGAACTGCCAGAACCCCTGAGAGTTGTCGACGTTGACCCAGGTCAGGTCGCCCTGGAAAGCAGAGGCATCGACAGCACCAAAAGTGTAAGTTCCGGGAGCGCCCTTCTTGAGATCGGCAGTGAAGACAGGCTCGGCAAGAGAAGGCGCAACGTTATCGAGGAAAGTCTTTTGTTGCTGGGGCTGGACGGTGTTGAGTGTGGAGAAGGCAAGGCCCATGAGACCGTCGTTCTGCTGGTCATCGACAAACTGCTGGGTAACCTGGGTGGCGATCTCGACGGCCTGGGCGTTGAAAACAGCGCCACCAACATTGACAACATCAGTACCGACAGTGCCCTCAGCGCCGGAGCCATCACCATACTGGACGAGGAACTTGGCGCCCTGGATCTCCTGGAAGGTCTTGCTCTTGGTAGGGTCGAAGAGAGTGTGGCCGGCGGTGAGCTGAGCGTCCATCTGAGTGTTGAACACCCAGAGATCAGAGGAGCCAGTGTCGAAGTCGAGGTTGAGAGTCTGGCCACCAATGTTGACAGGAGACAGGAACTCGACATCGTTGCCTTCAGGGGTGTTGGTGACACTTCCGCTCTGGCCAGAGGCGGGCTGCTGAGCTGCGGGGTCTGCCTGAGTCTGGTTTCCGCCAGCTTGGCCTTGACCGTTACCGGCTTGACCCTGACCGTTACCCTGACCGTGGTGGTGATGTCTTCCACTGCCAGCGTTGTCGTTGGCGTTACCACCAGCGTTGGCATTGTCACCAGCATTGTCGTTTCCATTTGCGTTACCGTTACCGTTGCCAAAGATGCCAAGCTCACCCAAAATGTCCAAAAGTGATCGACGGCTCTTCTTCTGGGCGGCAGCCTCCTTGGCGGCAACAGCAGCAGCTCGGCGAGCGATATCACCAGCCTTGCGGACTTCGAGAGCATCCTTCAAGTTCTGGGGCATGTCCCAGCCGAACTTGCGGTACGCCTTGCCGAGGGCCTTGAGACCATCGTTTCCGGTGAAGTTGGGGTTGGCCCTTCGCTCAACCTTGAAGGAACGCTTCTGGACGGGGATGGCCGATGCCGAGACCAGGGCAATGAAGCCCAGGAACAGGGCGGCTAGAAGAAGCCGTGACTGCATATTGAATTTGTGACTGGTTGTAAAATATGCCGAAAAAGAAAAATGAATGAAATAGGAAAAGATTGGTTTTGTCTTTGTTGTATGTACAAGAAAAAAAGAGAGAAATAAAGCCACACCAGGTGGTTAACGAAGAGAACTGGAAAAAAAGAAGAAAAGAAAAGAAAAAAAGTAACTTTGCTTTTGGTCCCTCACAGAGGTGTTGGCCAAGAAAAAGAAGAGAAACATAAACGAAAAGAGAGGCCGGATATATATACACGCTTCCTTGGCGATGGGAGATCGGATCCAGGGATCAGGGGGAAGACGACAGGAGACGCGGATAGTCTCAGCAGCTGCCAGCACCAAATCCCCTGTCTACCAATAACACGGCGAATTCCCCATATTGGCGGTCCGGCAGATTTGGGCCTCGTCTCTTCATTTCCACTCCATTAATGAGGCTATATTCCGTATTGCCCTCTTATTCACGGTTTGTGGGGACTAGCTGGGAGCCAAGCTTCAGACACAGGACGCCTCACAATGGGTGGGGCCGCGATGGCAACTGGCTAGAATTGGAGAATCCTGGTCGGTTTTTCTCCTTACTAGTTGGCATCTTGCTTTGATCAATCGATGCTGCTGTGCCGTAGATCCGGAGGGAGCTGGTTGCCTTTGTTTTGAATCTGGGGGATCAAACTGAAGACGTGTTCAGTTACACCAAGCTGATGATGCTTGTACGAGGACGGTATTATCAAAAGTGCGTATTAAGGTTACATCTGCACGATGATGGTGATGAGCACTAAGACGAAGATCTCGTGTCTTGTGGCTGATGATCAAGGTGCAAATTTCCGATGGTTCATGCTCAATTTCGGGCCACTCCCATGTATACAGAAAGTGAACAGCGCCGCTCCTTGAACTACGATCTGGCTAATCCCACGCATGATAATATGCATTGAGCTCCTCATTTCACGCATTGAAGGCCTGCCTCTTCACGAGTTCGGCATCACAACCTGCCGCTCTCCTCGCGATTCATCATCCACCAAGCAAACGCAATCGCACCGACAGTCGAGTTCTTTTGCGAGACATATCACTATTCAGTTTCCCCCCTTCAAACAGGCCGTTTCAAAAGACCAAAAAAAAAGCCCCGAGATTCCACAGCCAACCAACCGCTTAGGGAGATTGTTTCACATGCGGAGGCGCTGAAACAGCGACCATCCCGGCGCTTGGCTGATGCCCCCATTTTCTGAAACAGGCAGCGTAGCGCCCACTTGGGCAAGTGAATACAATGGAATCCAGTCCCCTCCAATCACGGTGCGATTTCGACAGTCTTTCATATGTTTGGTGGCTTTGTTATAGCCTGTGTGAAAAACAAGGCAACTTTTTATGGTTGTTTTGAGACAGCTGCAACCTTCTAAGAAAGGTCCGTGAAGCCGGTGATCTTCATGCTTTGCGGCTTGGACTGCCGCTTCGGGGATCGGATGATGCGAGTAAGCTTCAATATGCGACAGCGGGCTAGCATCTGGATTGAATCGCCATGGCACTTTTTGAGGTTCTTTTTATATAGGATGCTGCGATTTGAATTAATGGTCGGATGAATTGATGGTGCCGATGGGGGAAGAGATGATGAAACCCGTGGAGATGTCAGTGATGTGGTTGTGAAGCATCATGTAGATGTTGACATGTGCAAATACTTATTCAGCAGACCCATACTTGGCTTTCATATTCCACATGATTATTCATAATCACATGTAAGATAGACGGTGTCTTATTCCTACTAACAAATAATTTGATGAGCTAGACGTGCACTGCTGCCGATGCTTTTCATGTTAGTGTAGGGTAGCTGCGCAATCATCGTGAAAGGCATCACGACCTGTAAAGAATCCATGTAGATGTGAAGCACCTATACATGTAGAAACTTTTGATTGTAGATGCCCTGCAATTTCCATGGGAAATCATTGCAGCTCTTTCATATGTAAAAAAATATTGTGATTCCCTCATTCAAGCGTCAATGATCTAATAATACCCATGAAGCTCGTCATGCATGGTCTAGCAACACAACAACCCAGCTCGACACCCTGACAACATACACAACCAACGGTTTTAATTTATGCATAACTAATATGTCTACTTCACACATAACCCATCTATCATTCAAACCACCACCCCCAGATCAAGCCTTGTACTCCCCCTTGCCAACCCTCTCCACCAACTTCTTCAGCGTCTCCGCTCCATACTCATAATCCTTGATATCCAAGTAAATCTGCGCACTGATTCTCACCCAGAACCTCTTCCCCAGCCAAAACATAGGCACAATCGTCTTATAATCCTTCGCCATGGTGCTCATCATCCACACCACAATGCGATCTCCATCCTCAGCCGGCACCACAACATCCCCCTCCTTGGCCTCGCTCTTGTCGCCTCGCCATAGAGGAACCGCAACGTTCGCCATGGAGCAATTTGTCAACGTGCCCTTGCTGTTTTCTAGCACCTGTGTGCCCAACTTCTCGGCAACTAGCTTGCTACCCTTCTTGTTCAGGTCCCAGAGATAGTCGATGATCCTCTCCTCGCCGCCCAACACATCCTTGCGATACGCCACGGCGTCCTTGACACACAGATTGGGCGCATAGTCTTTGGTGCCCGTGAACTCAAAGTTATTGACAAAGAAACTCTTGTTCGCGGGCTTCACCGGCGGGTCTTTGCGGATGTTGTGATCTCCGCTTTGCGACGAATAGCCGTGGCTCGTAGCCAGAGTCGTCGGCAACAGATGTTGGTTCCGCACCGGCACATAAAAGACGGCGCACCCACGCGGCGTATAGAGCCACTTGTGGCAGTTGGACACGAAGAAGTCGGGATCAGCCTCGGCCATATTCAAGTGCACCATTCCGATACCTTGCGCGCCATCGACGAGACTCAACACGCCCAGCTCGCGACACGCCTTGACCATTCGCTCCCAGGGGAACAAAACGCCCGGCCGAGACGAAACGACATCGAAGAGGCACACCTTTGCGCGCTTACCCTCGTCCTGGACCTTCTTCACGGCATCGCGGAAGCGCTGCAAAATCTCATCGTCCTCGATGGGATACTCTATCGCAATCTCGCGGCTTGACATGCGTCCATCGCCATGATAGTCGTACAGAAAGTCAATCACCTTGCCGCACGCATCATACACGGTGGAAAAGCACAGCACGACGTCCTTTCCATCGGTGTCCCACTTGAGGTTACGAAACACGGTGTTGACACCCTCGGTCGCATTGTTGACGAAGACCACTGTTTCGACGGGCGCATTGATGACGCCTGCGACGGCTTCGCGTGACTCATCTGTGAGTCCTGCGTGGGCGAAGCGGATGAAGGGGTCGGGACGGGCTTCGATGTCGTCCTGGTAGCCTCGCAGCTTGTCCTGGATGGCTCTGGGGATGCTGCCGTACGAGCCTTGGGGATGAAGTTCAGTTATAAGTGATGACGTGAATCGAGCGTGAGATTGAAGCTACTCACCGTGGTTGAGGTTCGTCCACTCGGGAGCAAACAAAAAGTCCTTCTTCATCTCGGCGCCAAACACCTTGAAGCCATTCTCGTCAACCTTGGCCTCCTCCCGCTCTCGTTCGCGAATCGTCAAAGACACCATCTCGATCTTGGTTATGAATCTCTCAATTTGACAGCTTCACAAAGTCTAGCCAGCGCCTCTAGTATTTATCCCAAATCGCTCTCAGTCTTTCAAAGCTGCTTCAGCAATACGGCCAAACGACTCACTGTTCCGGAACCGGGCTATGCACCAATCAATGATTCAACAATTCAAAGAAAAAATGACGATTAAATAGCAGCTTCCATCTTGACTCTGGTTTCTGACTCTTCTTTACACGTTTCGCTGCCCCGCTGTCGACCGGCTTCGGCTTCGGCTGCTCCCCCACACACAGCCGTTAGAACAACCACGGAAGGATTTTGGTACGGAAGGATTTTCGTACTGGACATGACGGAATTCACGCTATCAGGCGCTGTTTGGCTCAATGCTAGGTGAATACGGGCACCGTGTCTACTTTATTGGATCGGTTTGCGGCCCCATTAGCAGTTAAGCCTAAAGCTAAAGCCCATCAACGGCGCCCTTTGGTGAGGGGGAAAGCCCGTGAGTAGCCGCTAAATCAGCGTGGGAGAAACAGTCATGTTGATTCATTCCATTGAGTAGATATAGATTTTGCCAAGTCTATATGGTCTGATCTGTAAAGAGAAAAAAATAGAGGTGTAATGTATGCACCACGCTAAAGCATTTGTATAACCCTGCCTCCCCTATGGTTCATGTCTTCTGATGTGTGCCTTAGTAACAGAAGAAGAAGACGAAGAAGAAGAAAAGGCCCAAAGTCCTGTATCCCTAGCCCTGCCCTTATTAAACATCATCGTATCCGCTAACACCCGTGTAAATGCTCATCATATATGCCGGCTTCCTATGATACCGCTGCCCGGGGTCTATCAAAAATCCCCATCCCTATCGAATGAAAAACAATGAATGAAGAAAAAAGAAGAGAGAAGAAGAAAAAAAGGGTCAACGACTATCTGAAGTTGGCACAACCACATCACTTGCACTCCTATTTCTTGCAACTCCAAGTGGCTGCCCAGTTGGCCAGCTCCGTATAACCATTGCCGGGTACTGCATGGGCAACTTGTGGCACCATGTGACTATTTGTCCTCAGGCCAGCCAGCGCAAGTGCGGCATTAGCCTCGGCCTGGGCCTTGGTCTCCATCTGCACTTGAACCGGGAGAAATCTCTTAGATATGCGGCGCTTGTTGCGTCGAAGTTCGCCGTGGTTCACCTCCACTGCCTTCCATTGCGGTGCCTTTTCCAGCAGCGTTACCAGCGGGTCCTGGATATAAAATGCTTCTGGCCGCGTAAATGTCGTTGCGGCTCGTACATTGACCGAAATTGAAGCGAGAGGCTCCTCTTCGGAACCTTCAGCCTCAGTTGGGAGCGACGCCACTGCAGGTGCTTGATCAGGCATTGGGCGTAGAGGGGGCAGTTTCTTCTTGTCCTCCTCCGTGCCCTTGTACAGGCTATCCACCGCGCCGCGTTTCTTCCCAATGGCAGGGAATACGAATTCCTCTCCGTCAATCATCTTTCTCTTGCGAATGCGCGGATTGGACTTGACAGAGTGCAGGATGGAGCTGAACTCTTCCACCGTGCTGACTGGAGCCTGGCTGGGTGTCTCGGGCGTCTCGGGCACCTCTTGCTCTTTGACCTCCTCCACAGGTTTCTTGGAGCGGCCGTGATTTGGGTTCAGCGTCGACGGCGTCCTCTTGGGCCGGTCCAGAGCTCCCGGAGCCGACTTACGCGGTCGCTTAGCCTTTCCCCTTGGCGTGCTGATGCGTGTAGGAGGATCCATAGCGGCAGATCGGGGGGCCGCCTCGGCGGGAGTCGGGGGTTTGGGGTCGGGGTTGGCCTGCGTGGCGATGGCAGCCGAGTCGCGACTCAACGGAGGCGGAGGAAGTGGCAGAGAAGGCGAAAGGGAAATGGTGAGAGAAAGGGGAGGAGGAGAATATGGCGGAGGAGGCGAGGTGGCCGCGATCCTTCGTAGCTCCTTGAGGATTTTCAACGTGCAGTACGCGCCATTCACCTTGGTGTCCCGTAATGCAACAGGATTCTGCGCGGGTGGCTTCTTCTTTTCCTCCCGGTTCTCCTCGGCGGTCCCTCCCGAGTCGCGCTTCTTCTTGGGCTTTGGCGGCTCCGGGTCTTGCCAGAGCTTTGGTATGCGCACCTGGAGATCGGCCACCCAGGCGTCACAGTCCCACTGGATCCAGTAGTCGATAATGTCCCCCCAGGAGCTCTCTGGCGGCTTGGTGAAGTTGACAAAGACAACCTTGCCGCCCTTGCTGTGGACTGTCTTTGCAAACTCCCTGACCATGACCTTGAGGCCGTGGACCCGCAGGCTGGTCCCCAGGATTAGAAGCATGTCCGGGTACAAGGCGAGATCGTGCGTCACGATGGGGCTGATAAGGTGGGCGTTTGGATGCTCTTCGCCGTATAGCACAATGTCAGGACGCAGCTTGCCCACGCCCAGGGCTCGCTTGCCCCTTTCCTGGCGGGCTTCCGTCGCGCCAACGCAGTGAGGACATTCAGGCTGTTGGCCAGAAAGCGTCTCCACCTCGCGGTCTTCGTCGTCCCAAGAGCAAACCTGCCCGCAGAGGAAACATCGTAGAAGCTGCAGAGAGCCATGCAGGAATACGCACTCCACACCGGACCGCGGTGTCGGCGCCTCCTTTCTTGGAGCTGGCTTGGGTTGTTGATCTGGCGGTGTAGTAGTACTAGTTTCATCCTCTTCCGTCTTACCATTGGGCTGGGATGATGTCTGCCGCTGGTCTGCAGGCGTTTGCTCACTCGACCCGGTTGGTGGTGATTGGCTAGACGCGCCAACATCGCCAGCATTTCCCCCTTCACCGCTCGATACTTCTTCCACCATCTTGTTGAGCTGCGCCGTGTTTGCTGTTGACTTGCGCGAGAAGCGACCTCGACTGCCCGGCCCTGCCAGAAGAGACGTCGACAGGCCGACTTTTTCTTCAATTTGGTCAATGTTTTGCGTATAGCACCGCACCAGCTTGCCCCGATCCCTGAGATGACCGATGAACTTGTGGGAGCTTGTAGGCTCGGCCTCGCGGACCTTTTGCCGTAGAGACGTTGCGAATTGGTAAAAGACGGAAGTTCTCGTAGGATCGGACCATATCGAGGCGTCAAAGAGATCTTTGCCCTTCATGTTGGGAAGAGTCGTCTTTCCGGGATTGGATGCCTGCGAGGCGGGTATGGCATTTGGTAGGTCCTGCGTCTCATCGACTTCCGATGGCGTGGTGCTGCTGCGACGGCTCATGTTTTCGTCTGATGGAGATGACGGGTGGAAGGGATCAAAGAGGACCGGCGGCGGTGAAGATAGAGGAGATGAAACGACATTCTGAGAGACGCCCGCAATACGCTCGCGATCTTCGGTTCGCAATGACGATGATGCCAATGCCAGGGGAAGCATGAATTCTTCTCTTGGGGGAGAGCATAGAGGAGATGTCGTTGTCGGCTGGGGTGTGGAGGGAAGCGCGGGCTTGGGACGCGGAGTGCTCAAGCAGACATTCTCTGACGCGTTTGGCTCTGATGCGGCCACGGCTGGCTGCGTGTCGGCGGCTTGACTGGACGCAGCTGGCCTCTCGGCCTCGGCGCGCGCCCTGATGTCTTCGTTTAGCTGCCGATCAACCTCGTCTAGGTCTGGAGAAGGCTCTCGCGACGTCTTCCTACGTTTCGTCGGACGAGGCTCCTCTCCGCCATCGCCGTCGGCGTCAGTCTTGAATCGTTCGGCCGATCGCGTAGGCTGGCTGGCAGCGTCGAATTGAGCCTGGATGAGTGAGTAGAGCCCATTTTCGGAGCGAAAGTCCTGGTTCAGCAGTCAGCATGCGCCAAATCTCAAGCACCTGTGCCTTGTCCAAGGACGAACCGGAATGCCTGAGTTGGTGCTGATGCCGGCGCCGGTGACAACCACCACCTTTCGCGCCTTGAGTAGTGAGTTGGCAACCTCTTGAAGCAGGCCGTGAGTTTCGGGTTCTACGTGCTGCGTAGGCATCTTGAAAACGAGTAAAACCAGTCGCCGGTTGTGTAACAGGAATCTATAAGGAGAAGAGAGAGAGGCGACTGGCGGAAAACAACGAAACGAAGCGGAGGAATAGAAGAAGCAGGAAAATAAGGTTAGAAAGTATCAGACGCCAGCGTTCCAAGGCAGTCGAGCAGCAGAGCTCGGCGGCGCTGCGCCTTGAAGGTTTAGTTCTCTCAAAGTTTAGATCTCTTTCAAGTTGATCCAGCGCACAGCCTGAATCGGCATTGTGATGATTTGTTGCGAGAGTGCGGAGAGGAGGCGGTAGTGCGAGACACCCTTGCAGCTGCGTCGGCCAGATTGTTCCGGTAAGGCGTGATTCGGAATCTGAGAGCACTTCCGGCTGCTGCTTTGGGCGTTATCGATGATCTGATGAGTAGGCAAGCGGCATTGGCCGAGGACGATGCTGTTTGGCGCGCGCGAACCGAAAGGCGTCAAGCTGCCGCTGCAGGAGAGCCGGAGAGTTGATGAGCGGCCGGGAACAGGAACAGGCAAGCCGAAGAAACGATGCAGAAACGATGCAGAAAACAAATTCGAACCGAAATCGACAGAGGGGCGAGACCGAGATCCGGGATTGACGCCTGGACAGAGACAACGCGCGAATCTGAGGTCAAGCTGAGCCCTGGTCGTTGTCGGTGAGAAGCATCTGACGCGCAAGTGATTTGATGTGATTTCGAGGTCGCGGATGTTGTCTATTGCCAAGGGGGGCTTAGCGGCACGGCTTGGGGGGCCCGCAGGCTTCCGTCGGTGGCTTCTGGAGCCCTGGAGCGCGTGGCCAGCGGACTCGGCCAGCGACCCTCAGCGGGTCGGGGTTCCAGGCTTAGTGCTGTGGGCACGAACTGCGCATCGGCAGGTGCTGAATGCATGCCTATAGCGGTTTGAGCCCGCTAGAACAGTTGAGGCATGGGCTGGGATGGGCAGCGGATGGTGTGCGGCACGTCAGTTGGAGAGTCTCGGTATATACTCTGGATACTAATAGATAGAATATGAATCAACAAATCTGTTATTGACTGCGACTTCTTCTTTACGTGTTAGGTATCCAATATGAGCTGAGATAGCTGATTTAGTTGAGGACTTCATGTACATTGCTAAGCACATACAGGTGTACCTACACCCCCATAGATCAAGTGACTTCAGCACATGCATCATTGATATCCTACAGACATCTACTGCCAAAGGCTGGCTTCAGTAACCATCTGCGCTGATACGAACAAAGCTACCATTGCTTGTACAATTGCTCCCTCTATTCCGATTCACAACCTATTATACATCATAGAGAACCTTCAGAAACTTGTCAAACTCCTTGGGCACGCCCAACCCCGTAATCGCATCCCACCCCTTGGCCGCCGGCCATCCTCCCGGCACTTCTGTGTCGTTAAACACGCAAGAAATACTCTTCCCCGCCGTGATGTCCTGCAAAACACCCTTGACCTTGTTGGAGTACAGATGATTGTTCAAGAATCCCAGCGACTTCTTGCCGGCGCGCAATCGGGCGTCGTTGATCAGCGCAACCAACGAGGCGAACACGGGAGCACTGGCGCTGGTGCCCTGCAGGAAGCGCGGGATTCCACCGGCAATGATCTGGAAGGAGGTGCCGACTGCGGAGACGTCCGGGATGGCGCGCATCGATGGGTTGTACAGGCCGTCCAGGTGGCCGTTGAGCGTCTGGACGTAGCCCTTGACGGCGCTGTCCTGCCAGTTCGGCCGGGCAAAGTACTGGGAGAAGCCGCCGGTGCTGAAGCTGGCTCCGCTGGGCGGCTCGGCGATGTTGGTGACGGCGCCGACTGAAGTCACCCATGGACAGGTGGGAGGGAAAGTTGCCATCGTGACGGGGCGCTTGGTGCCGTCGTGGGTGAGACAGGACGAGTCTCGGCCACCTCGAGCACCGCCATCGCCAGACGAGAAGATGATGGACGTTCCACGGCTTGTGAGCAGGCCAAGCAGGCTACAAACGCGCTTAGCGTAGTCGCGAGGCACAGACAGCTCGTCGTCAGAGTACGACAGCGACAGCACATGGGGCACCTGGTGGTCGGGCTTGACCAACAGATACTTGAGGAAATCCAGATAGGGCTCGTTGTCGTCCTCTTCGCCCGAAATGGGCTGTCCGTTGTCGTCCAGCTTGACGCCTCGTCCGCCCGTAGAGTAGTATACGACGTTTGAAGGGAAGCCCACAGATACGGCATAGTCCACATCCAGAGCCGCTTCATGGCCAGACTCAGCCAGGTCTTGCGAGTTGACGCCGCCATTGACCAGCTCAACTTTGATGGATCTTCCGGCCTGGGCGACATTGGGTGCAGACGTGTTGAGGAACTGCTGCAGATCCTGGAGGTTGGCGTTTTCCTCGAGGAATCCAGCCACGCCAAAGATGACGGGCGAGTGGTTGTTGGCAGGAGTATACGATGTAATGTTGTAGAGCTGAGCAAGGCACGATGGCGTGACAGTGCCAGAGCAGTATGCAGTGTTATCCAGGGTGACAGCACCTTTTGACGCAGGCTTGGACGGTGCAGATACGACCTCTGGCCCATGGTGAGCCGACATGAAGTTGGCCAGGGGGTGGATGAAGCTGATGGCACCGGCAACAGAGTCGGGCACCGTGTACTTGGTGGTTCGCAGCACCGTCTTCTTGTCTTGATATGCGAAGCGGTTCACCTTCATCCCCAACAAGGGCTCTGCTTGGGCCACGGTGGCCGTGAAGTGGATGAAGTCATTGTCGACAACGCCCTTGAGCTTGTTCTGGGACAGCCACTGTAGCACAGCGTCAACATCCTTTTGATCCGGGGCCTGCAGCTGCCGGATTTCTTCCACCGAAAGACGGTTGCCGCTCTCTGCCATCTTGGCCTCCAGCTGGTCGATGTTGGGCTGCCGCAGGGCGATCGATAGCCGCATGTGGCGCGCTGGGTTGACGACATCTTGGAACTTTGTCCATCCTTTAGGGACGCTCACGACCTGCTCGACGTTTCTGCGACTGGCGCCGAGGCCAGCCAGCAGCGAGAGCTGTATCGCCCAGAGCAATGCCGACTTCATTTTGCGTGGATGACAAGGGCGGAGAGATGGTAGGAGGAAAACAGAAACATCCAACAACCAAAGGACGGCGTTGCCCAGCTTTTAAGAAACTTTTCCACAGAGCATCCACTCCCCGTTTTTGCCTTTTCTAGGGAGACGCCGAACTACCAACTTGTGCTCCATGCTCCATCCCAATGCAATGCTCGCTAGTATTGCTTGTGGCAGCCCTTCCCGTGCTCGCGTTCTGTGAGACATCCACAAGGGCAGGTCGCGATCAATACCATGTCCGCCAAGACGATAGGAGAGTTAGCACTGCCGACGTCGGCAGCAAACGATCCCGGTAAATCCTTTGGAAAGCAACTAGAGCACAGTAGATGCTGATAAAGTATTACCAGATGCGGCACGATGGCGGGAACAGGCCAATAGAGGAGTAATACTTGTGCTCCACGGGACAATCAATCAAACATGTAGCCTCGGCTGCCACCCGACATACGCCATGTCACCCTCGTTTCAGCACCAACAATACGCTTTCTTTTTAGGAAATGAGACACTGCATAACTGTGTCTCGTCTCGCCATTGGCCGAAGCGAGAAGCCAATTCCGAGCTGCCAAGCTGGGCCGCGCCGCACTTGCAAAAGGTCGCCTTGTGATTTGATAAGATGGAAATTGATTGCCTGTGAAAGGGCACGGACTGTGAAAGAGGGGGAGAGATCGGCAGGTCCCGATATTGGAACTGGCAATCTGCCTTTGGGGTTCCAGAATTAGCGCAACGATGGGAAAGAGCCGAGATGAGATGCAGGTTTGACATGAACAAGGGAGAGGGAGAAGGAGAAGGAGAAGAGAAAGAAGAAAAGAAGCACATTGTTCCAGCTCGAACAGGATTTGAAGCATTCGGTATATGTGTAGCAAGATCTGTATCTCAGCGCATTGTCTTGTCCCCATTCCAAGCAAACAAAAGCCCCAGACATCAATCACACACTCGGAGCCGCCCGTGCGATTGTCCATACAAGACAAATTGGCCCGCCTCCGCGCCATCCCCGAAAATGTCTCTGGGCCACGACTTCTAAGACAGGCAGGCCGCAAGACGTGTCAAGCGGAGATGCTGTCCCGGAAAAGGAGGTCGCCCTAGGGATGGCACTTTTGGCTTTAAGCTTCTATTTTTTGGTTCGGAGAGCTGCAGGCTATTTTTTAGGGCGTTGATTGCGCCTCGTTAGATCGACAAGGGATATGGCGAAATAGATTGTTTGCTAGGGTCCCCTCAATCCCACAAGGAGCGCTGCTGACTGATTGAACGAGTGGCTGATAGCAATTGCAAGAGTCAATTAGGAAACTGTGCCTATTCTAAGTCGTTTACTTCCATCAAAACGCATCCGGAACGCCTTTCGTGCTGTATGTAACGAGTATCATCCCCATGTATAGGTGTGCTGGTTGAGGTGGACAATGGGAGGGAGAAAGCATTCTGTAAGATGCATCTCACTCATCAAGTGTATCCGAACTCATTAATCACACAAAGATCAATTGGCCCGTGTCTCACCATAGTTCCAGTGAGTGCACCGAAAAAAAAAACCAAAAAAAAAAAAAAAAAACCTCGCTCAAAAGCTCATCCTTTTCTCAATGTTCACCGACTAACCGACGGCACAGAATCATCTCGCGGAGGCTTGATGTACTCCGCAATGCGCTGGCCAAACGTCCTCGACGGCTGCGCCTTCAACCTCGCCGCCCCGGCTGCCGAAGCCGATGAAGGCAGAGACGGCGAATACAGCCCGTGGTCGTTGCGGCCGCCGTTGGATGCCGAATAGTAGCCGCTGTCTCGATAGTGGCTTCGTGCTCCCTGCCTCTGAGACGCTGCACGACGGACGCGCTCCTCGGTCTGCGCGGCGGCGATAAAGTCGGCAAAGTCGGTGGTATCAGGCTCGGACTCAGTATGGACATACAGGTGGCCCGCGGCTAGGTCACTGAGAGGTGATCGAGCGTGGACGTTGATGCCCGATTCCCTGCTCGATGGTCGCTCGTCTGATCGGCTTCTTCGCTTGAACTGCTCGCGTGGCGTTGACGCGGTTCTCGAAAAGCCAGAGGCTGCATTCATGGGGACATAGGGGCTCTTTTTGGTGGGATTTGCCTGAGGCTCCTGGACGACATCATCTTCTCCGTCATAGTTTGCACTGGTCCTCGCCCAGAAGCGATCTCGAAAGGATGGTCGATGGCGGAGTTGTGGCGACGGCGCCGACGAGGTGGCAGCTTGTGGTATAGAAAGATGCTGTCGACTGTTTGGTCGATTTTGTTCCATGATTGCGGAATATGGTATCTGGTATCTGATGCTGACAAGAACAAGTATAAATAGGCCCGCGATAAGGCGTTGGAAGGAGATAGTGATGGCTGGGGATGAATGAAGATGAGATGAGGGAGCAGAAGCTGAACGGAAGCAAGAAGATGATGAGTAGAAGTAAGGGAGAGGGTGAGTAGAGATGCTGTGCAAGCTGGCGGCCTCGATTCACGTCACCAAAGCCCGCCCAGCCAATGAAGTTATGCGCCGTCCTGCTCAGCTACGTAACAAGAGAGACACCAGGCTGATTGCGGTCGCAGCCTCTTGTAGTGTATTACCAGACAGCCTTTCTCCTGCTGCGGATATACTCTTCATTCTCCTCATTAGTCGATCGCCAGAGCTACAGCCCACTCATGTGGCTAGTAAACAAGAAAAAAAAAAACTGTACGGAGTAGAGGCTCCCCTGTCGTCGTGATAGGTGGCGAGAAGCATGAGATAGTTGGTGTCTAAAAGGCAATAATCGGAGGCTAACAGCTTCAGCCACGCTAGCAACACGCCATACAGGATGTCTCTAGGTACGAGAGACAGGAGAGAGGCGATATACAAGTGTCAGATGTCTTGGGACAAGGCTCAATGTCTGTCTAGGCATGCAGTCCCATCCACTTTCGAGCGTTGGCGTAATTTCAACACGTCTTGGACTTGAGTCAAGCCACTGTCTCTCGGCATCAGGACGGCATGCGAGGACGTGAACCAAAGGTCTGGAACTGGGCACCAACGGGATTATAATTACCGCTGTCTCGGATGGGAGGTGCGGAAAGACAAAGTCACGGGCCCAGCTTTTGACGAGTGGCTGCATCGCATTCAAAGCCAAAATGATGGTGGGCCATCTTATTGTATTCGATGAGCCGCTAATAGGATGACTTGTCAACATTTCGAGACGGGCACATGCGTGTCATCCCAAGACGTTCATAGGCCTCAATGGCGCCTGCGGCGATATTAACAAAGTGATAGATGACAACGTGGGGTGTTAATCTCCAGGGCTGCTCACGCGCATTCGCCCGTTCCTTCTCGGCCGGTCCGCAAAACATGAGCTGGGCTGAAGAAGATGAGGCTTCCCGCGATGTGAGTGGACTTGACAGGTTGATAATATTTCAGTAGTCTGCGAGAAGCTCGCGTCTTAGTGCGGCCTTAGGTCGAAGAAGCGCCGTAAGATGCGAAACTATAGCTTCACGATCTCCAATAGCCCCCAACACTGGCGCCCGCCTAGTCTGTTCCAAGGCTGACAATTTCAGCCGGGTAAGCTATTGCCGGCCTTGCTAGGGTCGCTCTGGCTAGGAGGGAAAGTAGGCCGTTTTCTGTTTTAGTACCATGACGACCTGGAGATCTGATATTGCGGTTGCGAGTATCGCCAATATACGGACAAAGGGACATGCGGGACTCAATCCAACGGCCGTCACATTTCTCGCGGTATACCCTGGTTTCTGGCTCTTGCAGCTGTGCATGCAGGTATACATGAAGCCATGGCTAAATTTAGATGGTCGTTCGCCAGCTTTCGGCCCATTCGTGCCGTTTGTGGAGGGGAGCAATCACGGACGCACGATTCGTTTCGCCTTTGCGAACAAGGGCTGGCGGTAATCAGCACAATGAGAATTCACTAGGCGGATGCGTTGAATAGAGAAAATGAAAACCTTGAGATCGCTGCTGCAGATTTCAATGTTGTTTAGGCAGCATGCTTCGTGAGGTTGAGGAAGCCCACTGGCCCTGGATTTAAGCTCAGGCATCGTTACTAGCGTACGGCGACCAAGGTGGTGAGGAGATAACACCAAGTTCGGGCATCAAGACTAGACGCTATGCGTTCACCACGAGTAGAATAACAGGGGGAAATTGACGGAACGATGTCGAGGCGATGTTGGAAAAGATGGGACTGTCCAAGCACGTGTTGTGTGTCGGTTGCTCAAAACAGCATGAACCTCGGTGCATCCTTTGGCCGGGATTCCGACGTCGAGTTCGTGAGACAATCCATAGCTAGTAGGGACCGAATAATTGCTATTGCGGCCTCTTCACAGCTATACGAGAAGAAATTGGTATTTCTGATAGCTGATTTCAACATCTGCACTAGTACACAGCTGGGAAGATGCTGCCGTGGGGCCTGTTCTAGACCCCACTTGCTTGCATCTTCTCTTCACGTTCATCATATAATGGCGATGGTCAAGAGGCTGATCTATGATGAGAGACAGCCTCCAAGTACTTCATGTGGCCGTCATTATTAGAAAAGCCCTTGAACAAAGCCGCCTAAGCACTCTATATCAATTTTGCCACTTCTCAACACATCTCTCTATATCTTCAACTCAAAGTGTTGACAAGGTATGTAGTCTCGTCTACTGGAGACGGCTTATCTCACACATATTCATTTCGTTCCACCATCAGATATCACAAATATCACTATAGATAATGGCGAGTGATGCATGCCAATAAAAGATGACCACCCAGTATCCAAAGCCCAATAACAAATGCTAGCCAAATGGCAGTTATCTCACAAATTACATGTGTACAGCAAATGCCTTCAAGCTAGTAGTGCAGAGCTTAGACATCTGGTAATATGGAGAGCCAATGGCACTCAAGCTTATGAACTAGCCATATCCGCCGGGAAAGGCAAAGCATTGAGCAACGGGACTCCCAGATCCATCGTATACTCACAACATGAGCTGGAGAGTCATTTCACCGGCTTCGTTCATCGCCCAACCTCGTAGCGGAGCTGATGAAGGCCATGACCAACGAAGGGTCGACAGAGGTCGTGGAGACATCTGGCCAGCGGTGTTATGATTGGCTGACAGACCAATGAAACGACTGCTTCTACCGTGGCAACTTCAATCTGGAGATGAAGAGCCCCGTTCATCTGCCAACCCGAGCTGGCAATCGAGAATGGCTCCGCTTCGCAAAAGCATCTAGCCGCTTTCTTCGGAGCCGGAGTGTACAAGTATCTTCCTCTGCTATCACAAGCCTAAAATGACGTGAAGCAGAGGAGCAAGGCGAGGTCAATATGCTGAGAATTCTTTTCTGCTGTTTCACCCTCTGACTCCCATCATGCCAACATCATTTCTGAGGCGGGGGATTTGGATTTCTTCATCGTCTGACGAGTCAGCGGCTTCGGCACTGGCTCGGTCGAGCATCCTCTCAATGTCTTCATCTCGCAGGACCCTCCTAGCACTAGTATGCCCAGCACCTAGCCCGGTGGGAAGCGAAAGAGCTCCTCTCAGGTGGCTATTTGGCCCCTTGAGGCGTCTCTTCGGTGTAGCTCCATTCGGGCTGTAGTACGCGTGCTGAGGAGAATCTACTTCCATTGGCGACCCAGGAGGGTGCATCATTCCTGGAGACTTGTCGAATCCAGGTCTCCGATGGACATTTGTCGGTCTGTGGCCGGGGAGACCTTTCCTAGGCGCGCTGGGCAAGGCGTGTCTTCCAGCGACGTTTCTGAAAGCGCCGGACTGGGGGTTAGGAGAGGCCGAAGGGGAAAACGTATGCTTCAGGTTGGCGGAATTGTTAGGGCTGCTCATGAATAGCAATGTCTCTATAGCATCCTGCTCCCTGATATTCTGATGTGACGGGAATAAGATGGGGTCGGCCATTCGCGCGGGCTGAGACAAGGATTGATGAGAATCGACAATCATTGGCTGGCCGGGGGTGTGAGGAGATGCCGAGTGGGAGTGCGAGAGCATAGTGGGAGTATATCGCGGACTAGAATTGCGGCGCGGGTTGGAGCGTGCTGCAGAGAGGGAGGGCTGAATGGTCGCTGGAGGAGCGAGAGAGGGCTTGTTGGAGAGCACGTTGGGAGAATCAGACTTGCGGCGAATGCCAGCCTGCTGAGCGAGGTGGACTTGAGCAGATGCGGCTGTAATGTCCAGACGCGGACTTGCCGAGGAGCTGTGCCGTCGTATGGTGGAAGATCCGGAAGTAGGAGAGACGGCCTGGGAAGCGGCCATTGATTCCACCTCTTCAATGGAATGGCCTTGCCAGCCAAAGTTTACCTTGACCATGGCATAAGAGAGGCGAGTCTTGAGCTCGGCAGACAGCTGGCAGCGGAAATAGTCAGTTCATGTCATCGTCTACAAGGTCAAAGAGCTGGCCAACGTACCTCCCCTATGGTGCTGCCGGTGGACGTGATGCTAACAGTGCTAAGGGTTCTGGAGTGACCATGGCCACGGCCCTTGGCAGGGCTCATGCCAACCTTGACCTCGCCATCCGCCATGCGTTTCCTAGATGCGCCAGCGGTCGATATTCTGTCCTGGGCGGCGGCAATGGTGGACAGCTGCAGCAGATGGTCGTTCTTGTCGGCAGAGGCGTCGTGTGCTAGATATCCCGCGGCACCGTCCGTCACGCTGCTGATGTCGCTGGCGGGGGGGGTCATGGCATGGACCGAGGAGCTGGTGACGTGGGATTCCTGCGAGTTGGTCACGGTCAAAGGAATGCTGAGGGCGGAGCCGGGGCCACTGGCGTCGTGGGCGTCTGATTGTTGCGATTGCTTCGGCGACGGGTCACGGGGCGTCTCTACGACCTCGTTCTGTGAAGACGTAACAATATCGGCGTCCATGTTGCCCACGGCCATGTCGGTGGCGGACGAGGAGGAGGCCGCTGCGACGGCGACGGCGGCAGCAGCCGGCGAGGCTGGCACAGCTGGCATCTCTGGCGCGCGTGCTTCGACGCCCACGGCCGGAGCAAGAGGCACTGGGTGCGACATGTCGCGCGGATTGTCGAGAGCGCGACAAACCCCACTGCGTGTGTGTGCGTTACGTGGGACGTCTGGAGATTCAAGACCAACAGCGGCGCGTTGGCGCGTCTCGAGAGGGCGGCTGGAGCAAAGACGGCGAGGGTTGGCAGCCAGACAGACAGCAATGCGTCTGGAAGAGCCAGTCTGTCGATCGACAGGTATGTGAAGCGAAGCAAATGCAGCGATCGTGGTTAAAGGTGGGTGTCAGTGAGGCAGCAGAAAAGATGTCGGTCCTGGTTTGTGTGTGTGGGTTACGCGCGGTCCAGTCGCGACGGATGCGGGAGGGACGGGCAAGGACGGGATCCCCAAAAAGTCCCCCCAAGACCGCCAAAAGCGCAGCGCTGAGCGTTGAAGCCCAGCGCGGTGACAGCACCAGCAGGCGCTGCGGTCGCTAGAGACTCGGCCAGAGCCCCATAACTTCTGCACTCTACTCGCTGAGCGTCCAGTGGCAGTCGCCATCACTCAGTGGACCTACCTCACTGAGGCTAGGCGCGAAGCCATCGACAAGTTGCCAGAGTGCCAGAGCATCACGCGCACTAAAGCACCAGCGCTAAGCCGGTGGATTAGGTGGACCCGGCGTCTTGTAGGTTCAAAGTGACATTGAATTGAGAGAATAGAGGTCCAGGAAACTGTCCAACCTGAAGCCTCAAACTGTGTGTCGCACGAGAGGGCGAGGGAGGCGAGGGGAGAGAGAGAGAGAGAGAGAGACAAAGAAAGAAAGAAAGCGTAATAGGTCTCAGGCTGGCCTTGTTTAGTGGTTCGCTCAGTGCTGTGTAACCACCGTGGGAATCAGGCTCGTTCCATGGATGCTTCAGCTTGCAGGGCTTCCATTATTTCTTTCGCCTCTGCAGAAATCTTCAGCGGCTGGGCTCGCTAATACCAAAACAGGGCCACCTGCAGCTCTCTCACATCATCCTACCTGACCTTGCATGGACAGAGGCGGAAAAGGGCGCTACTGTCAAGTTTTTCTTGTCTCGTTTGCCCGCAAAATGCAACCCTCTGGGCGCGACTTTGTGGGTTGCGCATTTTTGCACAGGCTGGACAAAAGCCTCACTCAAAGGGCCTGCATATTGCATATTGCTCGTCGATAGTGACTCCGTTCTAATCGTACAGGGTTCGTTGTTAGTTTGAGAGCTTGGTGGGACATGCTGCACGGTTTCTTTCTTGGCTTGTGCTCTTCAAATCGCTCCCCCAAAATAACCCCGCGAGTACGAGTAATGACTGGGCGATTTTTTTTTTCTGCGCCGGCTGGAGTCAATTGCAGATTGCTATCCAGAATTCAGCTGAGGAGCCGAAAAGGGCTCTAGGCAAGGCCAGTTTCGCCCTTGCCGGTTTTTAAGTTTGCTGCTGGCGTGGCAAATCAATCGGCAACCATGGAGTTTCCCGTGTTCGACAGCCTCCAACGCACTCCACCAGTTTACGTTTCTTGAGGTGTGGGCTGTGCAACCTTGCAGAGGGTTTTTCAACAGTTTCGGCCTTGATGGTTCGTGAAATTCGTCATGACACGAAGTCACGTGGATGACGCGACACGTCTTTCGGTCTTAGTCAGCAGCCAAAAGTCTGATTTCAGCCAGCTGCAGCCTCAAGATATTATTAGCACGGCTAATGGGTAAGGGTTTTTCATGCCACTTTGCCCGCACGTGATTTGAAAACCAATGACCGCCAGTCATTGTATTTCCATGAGTGTCTACTTGTACTTGGTTGTACCTCGGTACCTAAATGCTATGGTGTAAACGGGCTATTTCATGGCTTCTATAAATCAATGTTTAGGTATGCGCTCGCTCTTCTACGAGCATCATTTAGTACAACTTCATGAGACATTGCAGAAAATGCGCTACCCACGCCCTGGCTCGTCTCCGCCAGCGGCTTGTAGTCCATATGCTCCTCCGTCCAGAATGACTCCCTCGTTGTTGTCCAAATCGTCTTGAACCCTTCTCCATCCCTTGCTGCGGCTGCTTCGGCCCTCTGCTTCGGCCCCTTTCCCTTTGGCATCGTAAACAGGCCGCATTACGGCTCCCAGGAGCGGATTTGTGCTAAATGCCCCGCCGGCATTCCTGTTTCCGGAAGTCTCTTGTAGGACACCAGAGTCTACATCCTCAGCTTCATCCTCCTCTGGTGTCACTGGCCGTTCAACAGGTGCAACGGTCCTCACAACTCGACGGCCAGAAAGATCAATGCTAATAACCTGCTGCCGCTTCTCGTACTCTGGCCGTGCGTTCCATTCCATCTCTCGCATGATTTTCTGCTGTCTTTTCAGCTCCTTTGCTCGTTCTTCGGGCGTCGCCCACATGCTGCCCATTCCGCTCATGGCACCCGAAACGTCAAAATCTGATGCTTCATCTCTGACTGTTGTTCGCCTGGCATTTTGTGCCTGGAAGTTGAGCAGCTTATCTCGGTGGTCTCGTGCTTTGGCAGCCGCCTCAGACAGTGACGGAGCATCGGTATCCATCCCCCGCGGCGGCGTAAACGGTGCAGGTGTCTTGGCAACGTCTGCCCTGCGATGAGCTGCTGCATTCGCCGCCATCTTTTCCCTGCCACGCTCGTCTTTAAGCTCTCTGACCATGGCTTGGATTTCGTCGGAACTTAGTAGTGGTGTTCCGCAAAACGTACATGGGCCCAAGCCTTCCTTTAAGCAGATGACTTTTCCGCAAGAGAGACAGTTGGGCGCAGCAGCTTGAAGAGGGTGTCTAGCTGCGACGCAGTTGCATTTTCTTGACTTGGCATCCTTCTCTAGCGTTGGGTTCGTTGTAATCTCCAGAGACCGGATGGCCGCATCCAGATCGGCCAACGCTGTAGACTGGCCAGCCATTGGCACACCTCCTGAAATAGAAATCTTGGTGACATTTCCAGTGTTGGTTGGCTTCGGCGTCGACGTACGAGAGACCGGTGTAGACTTGGGTTTTGACTTCTTTGGGCCGTCGGATATGAGGTAGCCACCCGCAGTAGAATTCGATTGCTTTGGTACAGGCGCCTCGACCTTGGTAGGCTGCGCTGTTGCTGTAACGGTGGGTTCCTTAATGGAGGGCCTTGCCGGCGAGGACGGTCTTGAAGGGCGATTGCTGCTTGGAGCACTGGATCGCTGAGATATGTACTCTAGATCGGAATCCTTCTTGTTGTATGCCTTTCCAGATGGACCAGCATAATCGTCGACTTTTCGAGCTTCTGGCGTGTGCAGCGGCGCTTTCTTCTTCTTAGGTTGCTTGTTCCATTTCGGCACAGGCTCTATTGTTTCGGCAGCTGCAGGCTTTGGAGCCTTTGATGGCGCTTTTGACGGAGCTTTGGATGTCGAAGCAGCTGGAGGGGCTGGAGCAGCTGCGGGAGCGGCGGGATCTTTTCGGCGAGCATTGAATGTGGATATAAAATCGATTACGGCGGGCGCATCGCCAAGGAGATTGCTGAAGTGTGTGACGGCTTCGGGTTTGGAGAGGGTCGAGGCATAGTCGAGAACCTGCTGAAGCTCATCATCTGGCAGGGGGAGCAGCCGAGCGAGCTGGTAGATGGACATTGAGACGACAATCGCAGCAATTTGCTTTGTGTTGGGTATATGGGAGCTCAGGCTTGGATTGAGTGCAGGTATTGAATTGTGTCACTCGTCTTGATATTTGATATGGAGGGGCGCAAGCAGAGCTCCAAGCTGCTGTCCTGTCTCTTTATCAGTGGATGCAGGTACTTATCTGTAGCGGCAGATGAGTCATGCCGAAAGGAGGAACTGCATTCACATAATCTGGGGAAATAGGTCAGGTCACTCAAGTGGACTGACTGGCGGCTGATTGCATCCATGCTACTTACGTGTAATTACCTACCTATACTGTTGTGAATCGTCAAGATTATTGATTGCCATTGGCACATGTAGCTCGGCTGTCTTGGACCTGTAGACTGAGCGTAGTATACCTAGGTAGTACTAGATATGGTGGGGTTAGAAGTGGAAAAGCTTCCATCTCAGCCTCAACCGCGGTTCCGGGCGCATTCGCCTCGTTGCTGCACCGATATCCGTCTTGCATCATGGATGTAGCTTCGCCAATCTGATAGTCTTGCCAGTAGCTGTACATAGTATAATCGCAGCCACAAACGTAGCACCTTGGAAATAAGGTTGATGTCTTGTAAGCATATCGATATTCTGACCTACAAACATATACTCCGTACACAGACCTCCAGTAGGCCCTCCCTCACACCCTCCGACAGCAACACAATCCATCCTTCTCCAGCACTCGCTTACGTCTCCCGTCAGCTGCCAACATGGCGAGATCTGCACCCCTCTCCCGGCCATCTCGCCTCGCTCCAGCGGCTCCTCTGGAACATCAAGAATCAACAAAAATCCCTCCCACTTTCTCCCTCCGGCCGGTCCGTTCTCTGTGCCTGTCCGACAGCCGCTTTTGGACACAAGCACGGCATTAATGCGGACCTGGCCCCATTTCAGCAGTTCAGCCGGGAAATCCCGGACTATAGCCGGCCTTGTGCCACAGCCGTGCGCATTTTGTCCTCACCACCTACAAGAACCCTCACCATCCTCAGCGCCGAAACCTTTTCTTGCTCTCCACCACCGCCCCAATCCCTCTGTCCTTGGATCAATTCCTTGTATCTCTCTTTAGAACATCATGTTGGCTTCCAGAATCCAGCGCAGGGCCTTCTCTGCCTCTGCCCGCAACGTATGAGCCCCTCCCCTCCCCCGCCTGCTGTCTCCCAACGCCCAAAACTCTGTCTGTATACCTGATCGTGTGTGCTGTGCTGACCAGCTGCTGTTCCGCATATTAGCTGTCCAAGGTCGCCGTCCTCGGTGCTGCCGGTGGCATTGGCCAGCCTCTCTCTCTCCTCCTCAAGCTCAACACCCGCGTCACCGAGCTTGCTCTGTACGATATCCGTGGCGGACCCGGTAAGTCCACGTTGCTCGTGCGCCAATTTTCCTCGGGCGTTTCGTTCCGGCCTTGCTGGCGTTCTCAAATCTCAATGGCTAACCGTCTCTTCTCTTGCTTGCAGGTGTCGCCGCTGACATCTCCCACGTCAACACCAAGTCCACCGTCAAGGGCTATGACCCCACCCCCAGCGGCCTGGCTGAGGCCCTCAAGGGCTCCGACATTGTCCTGATCCCCGCTGGTGTCCCCCGCAAGCCCGGCATGACCCGTGACGATCTCTTCAACACCAACGCCTCCATCGTCCGCGACCTGGCCAAGGCTGTTGCCGAGTCCGCCCCCGAGGCCAAGCTCCTCATCATCTCCAACCCGGTCAACTCCACCGTCCCCATCTGCGCCGAGGTCTTCAAGGCCCGTGGTGTCTACAACCCCAAGAAGCTCTTCGGTGTCACCACCCTCGACGTTGTCCGCGCCAGCCGCTTCGTCTCCGAGATCAAGGGCACTGACCCCAAGGACGAGAACATCACCGTCATCGGTGGTCACTCTGGTGTCACCATTGTTCCTCTCTTCAGCCAGAGCAACCACCCCGAGCTGTCCTCCAACGCCGAGCTCGTCAACCGTGTCCAGTTCGGTGGTGACGAGGTCGTCAAGGCCAAGGACGGTGCCGGCTCTGCCACCCTCTCCATGGCTTTCGCTGGTGCCCGCATGGCCGATGCTCTCCTCCGCGCCGCCGACGGCGAGAAGGGCGTCATTGAGCCCACCTTTGTCGAGTCTCCCCTCTACAAGGACCAGGGCATTGAGTTCTTCAGCACCAACGTCGAGCTCGGCCCCAACGGTGTTGAGAAGATCCACCCCATTGGCAACATCGATGCCAACGAGCAGAAGCTCGTCGAGGCCTGCCTGGGCGATCTCAAGAAGAACATTGCCAAGGGTGTTGCCTTTGTCCAGGAGAACCCCGGCAACTAAGCGACTGAAATGCCTTTCAGCATGACTTGAGCGTTTCTTTTTTTAACGAGACAAACGTCCGAGGGGGGGGGAAAGGATGATGGGACTGGACCACGGGGACTGGCTCGCTGCTACAGGCGGCTTGGTTGGGCTGGGGCTTTGTGAGGATGGTACACGGAAAATATAGGGGAGGTTTGGATGAAAGAAAACGTACGCAAGAGAAAAAACATGGCTTTTATGAGGCTCCCTTTTTCCCCGCTGTTCTGCAGCTGCCATAGACTTCAATCGGGTCTCTGTAACATTAGCAAACAAAACAAATACAACAAAATCCTAATTTTCCCAAGTTCTCCTTGTATCATCTCGTCTTCACTCGCTATGAATACCTAGATAGGCACGCATTGTTAAGAGGAAACTCTATTAGATTCAGGCTTTATCGGTCTACATTACTCAGCATCCTTTCCTAAGCATCTAACAGCATTATACAGCCTCCGACTCTATAAGTATGCCTCTTTTCTTGTCCTCTCTTCTTTAAATGATTTTCGCCGTTGTCGCCGTCCGCCGGAACCCAACAAGAAAAGAAAATCATGATGACCCAGACGCCGCCGGCTCCTGACGGCCAGTGGCCCATGCCTCAATCTTCCTCTTGCGCTCCTCCACTCTCCTCTCAAACTCAGCGACCTTCTCCAGTCTCTCCTTGTCGTCCTGCTCAGCCTTCTTCTTCTCAACCTCCTTCTTACGCTCCGCCTCGCGCTGGAGCTGCTCGGGGCGGCGCTCGGCGATGTCGCGTGGGCGATAGTCGCTGAAGAATCTCTTCAGAACGACTTCAATAAGCCAGCAGAGCACGTAGTCGAGAACCATGACGGTACTCATCTTGGTCTTGAACTCATCGGTAAAGGGCACAAGCTTCATTTGCTCGTTGATCTCGGGCATGAGCTCGAGAGCACAGACAAAAGCGAGACCGGAGACACCGACGATACCATAAAACATGGCCCTGTTCTCCGTAATGGACTCACGGAAAGGTCGGCCCTGATAGTTAATGGCGAATGTAGAAATTTGCTGAATCAGTTGCAGCAAGTAGATTGCAGAGTTGAGCAGCGACGGCGTAAACTCAGCCTCCAGATCAATGTCCCCAGAGCGACTATAGCAACGTTAGTATGAGATCAAGGAGCGCTTAGACGTAGTGAGATACTTACGGTTCAAGTTTGTCGCACAAACGAGCAATGTAGATGAGAGTTACAATATGAACAGCGAATTGTCCCAGGATAGATCCGATGATGTAGATGTTAAAAATGTTGGGCTGGGGTCGCTCTTTGCTGAGTCCTTCCACAACGCGAGCTCGTGAGATGCTCAAAAAGCAAACAGACATGAGCATACCGCTGATGGTGTACTGAGTATCGCCAAACTTGATGCCTTCAAGGTACAAAACAGACAGAGAGTAGGCGCTGATCAAACAGTTCAAGGCAAGGATCTTGTACATCTGAATTGTGGCGACGAGGGTGCATCGACCTTGACGAATAATGTTGGGAATAGCCATAACATCGCGAAGCTTGGAGGTGAACGGAGCAGCAACGGAAGCGTCTCCCAGTTTCAAAGTCGGAGGCTCGTCATCACCCATCTCAGCTTCCATCATGCTGGTGGTCAGTTGGTCAGCCAAACTGGCTGCTTTCTTATTGACTTGCTTCTGGCGATCGTTGAGGAGGTCCTGAGCACCGGGAGAGGTAATGGTTTCCACAGGGTGGCCATGCTGTTTGATATATTCCTCGGGTGTAATCTTCTTCCTGGTAGCTTCGCGTTCGATAGCCTTTTGGTAGTGGGGATTGGTAGGTCCAGGCGCGTAGAGGTGGGCAATCATGACGGGGACGGGGGGTGCGGGCTGGTTGAAGCGCTTCATGAGATCGCATTGCTTCTGATACATTTCCTTGAGCTTGGTGTTGCGAGCGTGTTCTGCAATACGTGTCAAGTCATCCTTGGTACCGTTGAGGAGAGCAATGCCAATGTGGGCCTGTTTCAGGGCACCGACGTCGTTGGTGCCGTCACCAGCCATCAAAGTATAGTAGCCCATATCCTTCAGACCCAGCAGAATATCTTCCTTTTGCTTTGGTGACACGCGAGCATAGACCCAAGTATAGCGGAGAATATCCCTCCATCCAGGCTGACCCTTGAATTTGGCAAGTGCATATCCAGTCACACAGATATCCTTGTTCTTGAGAATCTCCGGGTCGATGGGCTTTGAAGGATCAACATGAATGCTAACCTTGTCGTCGACGCTCTTCCAAATAAGCTTCTCGCCGCCATGGTTATCCTCGGGGGCATCCAGAATAAGGACATCGCGATCAACAATCTCGACTTCACGGGCAACATGCACAGCTGTCAGAGGGTTGTCGCCGGTAATCATGACCACACGGTGGCTGCTTTCATTAAGCATCTGAACGGCCTCCTTGGCGTCTTCTTTGAGGGGGCAGTGAAGCACCAAAAAGCCAGCGAATGTGAGATCGGCCTCAACCTTCTCGCGCTTGAGGTCGTTGATTTTGCTGGCGCCCAATTCGGAATCAATAGTCAGTTGCTTATATGCCAGTGCGAGAACTCGGGATCCCTTGCGGGTGAAGTATTTGTACGTCTCCTCATAATCAGCAGGCACCTCGACGAGCATCTTTTGGATTGTCTCGGGAGCACCCTTAACACCAGCAAATGTACCCTTGATCTTCTGGCCGGTCGCGGTATGAATTCCGTTGACAAACGCAACGGAGCTCTGGCGCTTAAGTGCAGAGGAGAACTGGAAACGGCGCTTGATGTGAACGTTGCCTTGGGTAGTGCCAGCCTTGGGAGTGCTTGAGAGAACGTCATTGCGGCCGAGACCCCAGCCAAGAGAGGTAAGAGTAGCTTTCTCCATTGGGTCACCCACAATGTCGCCTTCATCCAGTCGTACCAAGGCGTGAGCAGTAGCGAGTACCAATTGGGTCTCCAGACTAGCCTCCTTGACTGCAATGATGGTAGAGTGAGCGCCATCGCCTTCTCGCTTGTCCTCAACGTCGGAGTGGTTCAGTCCCAATCCGGCAATACCCTCTACAACCAAGTCTTCGCCAGTGAGTGTTCCAGTCTTGTCAAAGCAAGCGATGTCAATGCGTCCAGCGAATGGAATTCGGAATGGCTCTGTGCAGAAGATGGCCAGTTTGGCAAGAGCTGCCAAACTAGTGTTGACCGCAAGACTAAGTTCCATTGGCAGCTCGGGAGGCACAACGCTGGTAATGATCAAAACGCAATCAAGCAAGAGCTTGGAGCGCTTGCGATCCCTTCGCACACCCTCATCCCAGACGTACCACGAGGCTGCAATCGCAAAGATGAGGAGAAACAGGATAAACAGGAGGGCCTCAAAGTTGTTGGCTGACACACGCTCGGTGGAGTAGATCATGGTTCGGACAAGGCTGCCTTGCGAAGTCTCAAAGCCAGTCTTGATAACAATAGCCAAAGCTCCATTGTCAGGAGCAGCAGGGACACCCGAAGCCAACTTGGGCTTCTCCTGGTCAGGGTTTCCATGGGTGATTTGGAGAATTTTGGTGCCACCCCACAAGAAGGCGTTCTTGTCGAGTCCCTCTGGCTCAAGCAGAGCATCGGCCGGGCGCAGTTGAATGGAGTCCTTGAGCAACGGGGTACTTTCTCCAGAAAGCATGGCCTCGTTGACAATGGCAGTGCCTTCAACTAAGAGCATATCACATGCAACGCCGCTGTCTTCTTTGGTTCTTCCAACGGACACAAGATCACCGGGCAGGAGCGCATCACTCTGGACCTCAGTCCATTTGCCTAGGCGGTAGACCCAAACATCGTAAGGCTTGATGCTCATTCCACGAAACTCGTTCAAGGTACGCTGGCGTTGCCAGACAACAGTACTCTCAAATGCGACAAGCATAAACAGAGTGAACAGCGAGTAGTACCAGTATTCGTCAAGCATCCACAAACCAACACAGAAGATCTGGAAGACGAAAAAGGGCGCGACGGCGTGCTCCTTGAAGAGTTCTGTAAATGTCGGGACGGGGATATCGAAAGTGTTTGTGCCATAGTGTTGCTCGATACGGGTCAACTCGGACTGCTTGTCGATACCCTTGGAAGTCTGGAAGTGGCCAATGGTGGGCTTCGGCTCGCCATCGATGGGGTACAGGAGGGTGCCAAAAGTCTTGGTATCCGGGTCGTAGAGGAAACGGCGTTTCTGGAACAGGAACGAGATGTTGGTCTTGCCCCCAACCTACAGAGTAGTGGTTGCGTTAGTTGATGAGGCACCGTGATGGCTTAGAACCGGAGGAAAGACATACCTTGTCCCGCAACAGCTTGCAGATTTCGCCGGAGCCGGCGTTCGCAACGGGGAGAACCTTGATCAACTGAGCATCTTGGATGTCCTTATCCTGGACCTTGGTCGCAGTGAATCGCGCATCCAGGGCCACGCTCCAGTGCGTGCTAAGCCAAACGAGAGACTGGAGGGTGATGATGGTGCCGCACCACACAAACGTCCATTCGGATGCGCCGATGTGCTTTTCGTAGAGATCCGGGGTCAGGTAGTATCTCAGGAAGATGGGCCAGAGAATGGCAAAGGGCCAGACATAGGCGTGGAAGTGAAAGGGCAGGGGACGAAGCAACTCCGCATGCTTGATCTGCGGGTTATCCACGAGCGCCATGACGGGCAGAGAATATGAGGCACCCCAACGGCCTCCAGACAACAAATAGAGCGGCGGCGAGGAATCAACAGTAAGGGGCCGGCGCAGGTCCAGTCATTGAGGAGATTGGAAAACAAAAGAGCCAGACGGAAGCCTCGTCGGCGGAGTTGGGGAATTCCACAATTTCGGCTGGCCGCTTCAAAGCCGCGATCTGTACTTTTCATTGACTGGCAAACTGGACTAGCGACCACTTGGTGGCGAGTACATTTGGCCTTAGTCAGCTATCGGAGGCAAAGAGAATGCCGCTGATAAGGACGGAGAATCCGCACGTCATTTGTCCCCCGCCAGGCGAATACGGACCAGCAGGTACTTTTGCACGCACTGTGGAATGACAATTCAGTAGGCATTTTCTAAAAGATGAAAAAGCGTTTAGTAATGGAAATAATAAAGGCTTATTGCTCTAGTGCTAAGATGCGGGTAGATCTAGTGGACATAATGCGTAACTAGTAGATCTCGTAGATGTAGGCAAATTTACTAGCCATGCGTAAACTCTGTAGATGCAAGTGGATGTAAAAGATTCAGGCAGATCGAAGACTGCAGATTAATAGTTTACTTATATCTAGTAACTACATGTAGCCTCATATAACTTGTCAATCTAGAGCCCTGTTTACATGTATCCTTCCATCTGCTTGATTGCACTTCGCTTTGGAGAGATGCAGATGTGATGACTCTACAAGCACGCAAAAAAGGCTGGAAAGTCAAGCTCCATCTGCTCCATCTATTCACCTTGAACGGAGTACTTATCATCAGAAAACTCATAGAAGAGTGGGATTTTGGCTGTGAGTAACAGGTGTGGTGTCACTGCAGAACATATAGACTTTGGGTTCGTATTATCGCCACATTTTCATCATTAAACAGCCAAGGGGATGATGGCAACTTCACCAAAACAACGATTAAAACAATACAAAATACAAAATTATACCGCTAAAATCCAAATACTCGCCCATTACAATAAAAAATCGCTCATAGATGAAGACAGATTGAGCAATTAGATACATACATAGACTTACAAAGTGTCTACAGGGTATCGCTACTCGAGGGCATCTTGACCCAGCCCATCAACATCCAATCCCAAATCCAATCCGTCCAAGTCGGTGTATGCATCCATGTTCCAGGTATCTGCACCAGTTGTAAATTCGAGACTTTGCACCGAAATCCCGCCACTTTCCCCTTCTTCTCCCCCTCCTCCCTCCTGTGATCCCTCGTCAACGCCCCTTGGAATAATCCTGCTCGGTGAGCGCAACAATGCGTCTGCTGCTTTGAGCCGTATCATATCGTACAGTCGTTTATCGTAAGTTAGGAATGGAGAAATTGTCTGATACATGGCGTGTAGGAAATCTGCTGGTCCATATTTCCAGCTTTCGCGTTGTAAACCAAAATATGATTTCCGGCGAGAGTTGTAGGAATCTTGCACAAGAGGGCTGCTGTAAGCACTAGTAGTGCATAATATCACATCTGCCAGTGTATTTGTGATTTCGAAGGACTTTATAAGCTATGCCATTGTTAGATCTGAGCCGAAAGGTTGTATATATATATGTATGCGAAATTACGTACCTGGTCTCTTCCCAATGAAACCAAGTGCTCCTTCGAGTTGATTGTAATAGAAGTAAGAAAATCTTGTGCTATTTGAGACGGAAAGAGAAAGGTCATTGAATCATCATCTGCACAAGACGACAGCAGACTTTGAGACATCGCTTGCTGCCAAATCAGAATTCGCATCCAATGCCTTGTTATATTATAATCCGCCCGTTGCACTAAATCATATTCAAAAGCTTTCGGGGAGATGCTTTCCAGGGATCGTTGGACCGCTATGAGGCGATGCTGTTGAGAGTTGCCTTGGCAAGCTTCGTACATGTACCGGGCCGTACGATAAAAGAAGGCATCAAAAGCAACAAATAATGCGGCAAGTTCAATCAGTCCCTTTCCGTACTTGTCGAAATCATCCATGTTGTCTGTAGGAATTTGAACTGTATCAAGTATAGAGATGGGGAGATCATGTTGGATAGCATAGCCCCTACATAGTTTTGGATACAGAGTGTTAGCCTCCCATCTCTCCTTGAATCGGAAACATGGCTTCAAATGCGGATTACCTTTCACTAACCCACAAGAGGATATATACTAGGCGCTTGTGAGCAGTTACTGGGGATTGGCCATTGTCGAGATTATGTTGAAGTTGGCAAGATTCGACCTCTATCCGGTCCAGACGGAGAAGTCGAGCGATTGAGATGCCTTCTTGTAGAAAGACCATTGATGCATTTCTATTGTCAGCCTTGGCATGGTAGACATGAAGAAAGAAGGACGTGAGAGCTCCTTCGATTGAAGGATGTTCTCGATAATTTGTCAGGTTGCGATGCCGGTTACACTCTTTCTCCATGTATTCGCTAGTGACATGAGGTGGAATATCCTTCATTGCAGTGAGGTTCAATTGAGCCATTGTCGCTGAGCATAGTGCCAGTGTCATAGCGTAAACATCAGCATCAGACGATTCACCCATTTCCAACTTCTCAAGCCTGTTGAGGAGATCCGGCACATGAAGGACTGGCCAGACGGGATACATGCGAGAACTATAGGCCTCAATCACCGGCCTGAGTATAGACAGAGGCAGCCTTTCTGCCTTGTAATAAGCGGGAGCATCGGTGGCAACTCTCGTCGAGTTTGGGTCGACATGGCCAAGAGATTCTAGAGGTGGGTTTTGTGCCTCAATTTTCCATTTCCAATTGCACCGCTGCGTGAGCTTCGAAGTCTTTGGGCCGCGTTTAAGCACCGGCTTCAAATAGGTGCATTCGAGTGGAGGTTGTGCGTCGAGGCACTTGCGGCATGGCCGGCCATTGTCGCACCGAGTTTTGCGTTGAACACAGAAATCGCAAGATCTCTTGGCCATGGGCGATTGAGCGCAGATGATGGGAATGGCCCTAAAAGCTGAGTCCGGAGTAATTTAAGGAAATACTGAAGCCTCTGGCCGGACAATTACTGAGTCCCGTCCTGATTCCAGCCACGGTGGAGCAGAAGACGAGTGACAACATGCTGCTGGGAATTCATGCAAGTTTGTCCGTCGAGCGAGTCACGCATAACTCTAGGTCCAGTCTTTATGTATGGAATACGAGTTGCTCAGTTGGCCCCCACGAGGGGGTTGAGCGGGGGTTTGAAGCTTGGGGAGATGCATTTACGATGCCTAAGCTAAAGAAAAGCTCCGACTGCGGTGCCATGGCGGGTACCGGGTTAGCTAACCCAGAACTGGGCTTGTATGGGGTCTGTATGGATAAAGAATGATTTCAAGCTCCTTTACATCGTGAGTTAGTTACACGACGAGGCACGTCGTAGTAGTCAAGGGGGTTAAAGCAATGGAAATCAATGTTGGAAGATGGAAAATGTTCAGCCTACATACCTACGTGCAAGTTATATCGTCTTTAACGCCTTCACCTCATAGACAGAGTACAGATACCTCCGGGCATGTATGAGACAATGTAAATTGGATCACACCAAAGAGAAAAACTGAAGTAAGCAATCGATGCACCGAAATCGCCAAATCACATATGCTCAGTAAATACAGCACCATAACCAAACTCGATCGACACTACCGATCTGGTCTAGCCACCCGGACAAATGCTGGACAATTAAACGAATTGGCGGGGAAGTTGGAGAAATTGCGTCGACTTTGTATGTGTAACCAGCCTCGTGACTGTATGATCTCATCCGTACAAATCAAGGCATTTGGTAGTGAAGATGGAATTGATGGTTCACATCAGGATATCTATAAAAGATCAAAATTTGTCCATCAAAGGGACGTGGTATATGTAGTTGTTCAAGCGCGCTACGAATCAGTCATCTATCCGCCATCTATCCGCGACAACTGTGTTTATCCGCAAACATTTCTATACTCACTAGAGTAACATCTATCCGCGACCGTATTCATTTACAACAATGGTCAACATTCCCAAGACCCAGACGGCTGCTACCGTCCCAAAGCTCGGCGGCGGAGTTGTGTTTGTGCACGACTATCCGGTGCCTCAGCCGGGTCACAATGAAGTTCTAGCAAAAGTTCTCTACTCAGGCGTCTGTCAGAGCGGTAAGAACGAGTTCACTTACACCAGGCTGTATTTCCGCGACCAGGGAATAGTTGATTACAATTCTAAGCCATACTCCGTGCAGATCTCCACACTCAAGCTGGCATAGCAGCATCAGCTAACGGAACGCCAATTCGCAATGTCAAACTACCTCATGTGGGAGGACATGAAGGTATTGGCCGTATCATTGCTTTGGGTCCTGGGGTAGATGAGGACATCAAGGTTGGCACATATGTTGGTATTAGATTCGCAAGTCGAATTTGCCGGCGATGCAATTTTTGTTTGGCTGGAAAAGAGCAACATTGTATCAAGAGCACAAACCACTTGCATCATGAAGACGGAAGCTTTCAGGAGTATATAGCCCTGGATGCCGGCTATCTTACCCTGCTGCCTGATGATATCGACCCTGTTGTTACCGGACCAGTTCTCTGTGCTGGATTAACCACTTACAAGGTAAGCTATGAGATATTCTTCTGTACAACTGTCAGTTCCACAATAATTAACAATAATAATGCATAGGCGGTAAAGAATTGCAATGTCAAAGCAGGTGACTCTGTTGTAGTTGTTGGTGCTGGTGGTGGATTGGGCCATCTCGCAGGTATTTATCACACGACTAATTATCTCCACATGATTTCATCAATACTGATAATAAATGTTTAGTTCAATATGCCTTGGCACAAGGCGCCATTGTGTACGGCGTAGATGGCGGCGTCGAGAAAGGAGAGTTCCTCAAGTCAATTGGTGTAACCGGTTACGTCGATTTTACAACCACACCTAACCTCACTGAGAAAATTCACGAAATCACCCACGGAGGAGCAGATGCAGTCATAGTAACAGCGGCGAATCCAAAAGCGTTTGCTCAGGCCGCCGAAATGCTCGCTGTTGGCGGAACTCTCAGTTGTGTGGGTATTCCAGCAGAGAGAGGGTTTCTTGAAACACCCATCAGCACCATTGTAATCAAGGGTCTTCACATAACTGGTAACCTAGTTGGATCGCTCAAAGAATGCTTGGAGGCTGTAGATCTCGTACGAAGAGGCATCGTGAAGCCCAAGGTTACGGTCCGTCCGTTTGAGGACTTGCCAAAGATTTATGAAGAGCTGGAGAGAGGTGATGTTTTGGGCCGTATCGTGTTGAAAATTGCAAAGGACGAGTGATTGGATTGGATGATGGAATGTTGCATTTAAGACTACCGTATAGCAAAGTAGCATGCATCATTAAGTTGGGAAGCACTGATCAACCCCAGGAGATTTTATCATGCGATATTATTTTCTTTCCGATGTATCGTGTCTGTATATAATGTATATCAGTGGCGACTCATCAAAACAGCTGAAGCATGCCGCCGCACAAGACATGCTTGCAGGTGTGCTGTCCTAACCCAGTAAGTACTCCATGGCACTAATCATGTTCCCCAAATCAGAGTTCTAGGTTACATACCAGCGGATCGTGTCCGGAAATACGGAGTACCATTGGACAGGCTTGACAGGCTACGGACCGTAGGGCGCGCCAAAAGAGAGACATCCGAAGTGCGGGCCTGGACATGACTCCAGTCGCCGATAACTTCTGTAAGCAACTCCAGTATCGAATTAACAATTCGATGGGCTGCAGAGAATCGAACTGTCGAGTCGCTGTAGCTATATAAACTAGGATTGTCTCCCATCGATCACATTCTCTTCCCTGGACTTATCTTTAACTATTATCTTAAAATATTTGATTACAGCGAAGTATTTGATCACAGCGACTTCCAAACTCTTACTACTACGGGGTATCGTGTTATAAACTACAGCGTCAATCATGTGCCAAACAACTGGTGATTCTTCATCTACTGGGCGGGCCACATTGAGCGCCGCTGCCAGAGCTCTGGTGCCGACTCATCCCGCTGCTCAAGAGGCTCTTGAGGTTGCCCTCAAGTCGCTTTCGCCAGCCCTTTTCAACCATAGCTTCCGCCTGTACATCTACGCCCAAGCGCTACTCAATTCGACGTCATCTGGGGTGCCGGGTTCCTTTGAAGCTTTCAAGGGAATTTCAGTTGAGCCTCACGTGCTCTTCGTTGCTTGCATCTACCATGATCTAAGCACAATTGAGAAATATGACGGCAATCCTAAGCGCTTTGAGATCGTTGCTGGCGACGAAGCCGTGCAACTCCTCCGTAAACATGGCGAGAGCGAATCGGTCGCCAGAGAAGCCTGGCTGGCCATGTCACTTCACACTACGCCCCATATCCCAGAGAACCTGGGAGGAGCTGCACAGGCAGTCCGGCTGGGAATCAGGACTGAATTCCGGGGTTTCCAGCTAGCTAAAGAAGCTCTCACAGAGGAGCAGTGGAGGATCATCAAGGAAGACTTGCCCCGCCTTGGTATAGAGAAAGATTTGTCCGATGCAGTTGTTCGACAAGCGCTGGCGAATGAAGAAAAGGCACCAAGAATAACATGGGCAGGAGAGCTATTGAAGTGGAAGAAGGCGAACCCAGACTTTCAGGGCACCAACCAAGCATTTTAAGTTGATGACGGGTCCAGATGCATTGTGAATAGGTGGGAATAGTTATGGCGTACATATAATTCAGGAATGCGAGTGTAAAATCTCGGGTACCCACGTCCATATGTCAGTGTAAACACATGTATACCCGATTTGACAAGAATCTATCTACGTATTATTACCAAATCCCCTGGCCTTTCATTCGAGTCATGTAGATTTCTCCAGCACTTCCCTTGCCGGCCGGATCATACAATCATCAGTGCGATCTATCTAGGCGCATACATGTAGGAATGAAATAGTCTTGAATAAATCGCCTCAGTTACGTCAACTTTCGATTACGATATCTTTGAGATAATCCGTCTAACGTCGGAGTACTCATGAGTTGAGTTGAATCTAGAAGCGAGTGAATTCATTATGCCGTGGTATGACCCACTGGAAACGGCTAAAAAAACAAGAAGATGGCGGCAAAAGCAGAATGATACCGAGAATAGCCGATTCCACAATTCCAGTTAACTAAGCCAAGTTTCCTCTCACTTCAATACATCCCTTTCGGAGCCTCACTGGGTGTATTTACACAAGCTGACCACAGAGCATAACGAATATGAAGGGCACATTTTCAAAAATCAGTAGCAATGTCGCTATTCGTGCAATGCGACCGTCGGCTCGCACTCTGACGACCACGGCTAAATTACGTGCAGCAACGCCACCAAAAGCATCGGAAAACGGAGCGATTAACCCAAGATGGTTATCGGATTTACAAAACAGATTACAGAATTCGCTCTCACTCAAAATTGCGCCGAAGAAGGTAGACGAAGTGAGAGAACGACTGGCGTATCTGGATGAGAATTGGCTGGAGCTCTCAGCAGGACGAGAAGGGTTCTTGGCCGACCCGGAGAGACGGGGGATGGATAGACACGTTGTGCAATGGGGAGATATGGTGAGATTGTGATATCATTTCTCTGTGATGTTGAGATAGGAACAGTGTTGACTTTTCTCTTGTTGTTGGTTAATGAAGGACGTAATGGTAAGTCTCCAAAATTTGGGATTCATTTCATTTAGAGCTTCATTCTAATGACGTATTTACATCTCAGGGTAACTGGCCTCAAATGCACCCTGCAGTTGTTTCGAGATACTAATTATACCAAGGACATGTCAATAATGTCATTTATAATCGGCTCGCAGAGTCTGGCCGTGTCAATTGGACAAGGAATCTTGCACAGTTTTCAGAACCCAAGTATCAACAGGAATGGTATGACCTCATGTCGCCAAAAGCCGTTGGCCTCATTCTCGCAAGCATCAGAACAGACTTCAAATTCGTAAGCCAACTTCAATTTCTCTATTAGCACATTAGAGCTGATTTCGACGAAGCCTATGACCTTCCCAGACCGTGTTACGGTTTTGCATAAGCTTGCCACGAAGCCGGATTACACTTCCGACCGCTTCTACCTGGAAGCTGTCATGTACTCGGATCAGCAAAGACGGCCGGCGGCAAAATGCTTTGAGGATATCGTAGTCTACGATTACAAGACAGCCAAAAAAACTCCTTTGAAACCCTTCATGGTTGATGAGCTGCGAGCGACGTTTGATCTACAAGAACAAAGAAAGCAAGAAGCCGAGGAAAAGGTGGCTGAGCTGCATGCGTTTGTTCAGCAGGTGGAGGATAGTGCTGGTGCTGCATAGAAGTTCTGTAAAGTGTTCCATGCTGGGATATATAGTTTTAGAGTAATAAACATGTTCAAAGAGCGACAATGGTGGCCAACCTCTTTGCATGGCGATATTGACTGACCGTTTAAATGCAATTGATATCACTTTACAAAATAGAAACAGCATGTATGAGTATAAACATAAGCATCATCAATTCGTACTTATCCACTCATCTTCGCAATGCAAAGCGCAATATATACATGAAGAAAAAGGATATATACATCATAAAAAGGGCATGTATGTGCATAATGACAAGCGGGAGTGGAAATGGTCATCTTCCCAGTTTGCCACTGAACCCGAGAACTCAGGTATATGTACTGTGGTATCGCATGTCACAAACAACCACCTTAAGAGAGCAAGTTTCTTAGGTAGAGTATTGAGCGACGTAGCCAACCTCCATCATGCTTCCGTAGCCATCGAGGGTAGAGCCGTTGGGGTTGCCGGGCTGTGTTTGAGTTAGCAAGTTTGTTTGATAAAGCTTGAGCCAAAGAAATCATGTTGGAAAACGTACCCAGTTGCCACCGACAGCAACGTTGAGAATGAAGAAGAGGGGGCTGTGAGCAATGTTGTTCCAGACACCCTGGTTGCCAATGCGGGAACCAGTGATCTGGAAGAAGTTGGTGCCGTCGAGAGACCAGGTGAGGGTCTCGGATTGCCAGTTGTTGGAAGTGCGGTCAATCTCAACACGCCAAGTGTGGAAGTCGTTGATGTTGGCAATGTTGACAGGGCCTCCAATACCGTTACCCTCATTGCAAATACCTCCGGGGTAGACGTCGCAGTGAAGGGTACCGTGACCGGTGGCCTGACCGTTGACAGTCTCGAGGATGTCGATTTCACCACAGTTGGGCCAGCTGCCGCCGTGACGGAGCGAGTCACCCAGCATCCAGAAAGCAGGCCAGATACCCTGCTTGTTGGCCTGAGCATTGCTGCCGAAGCGGATGGAGGCCTCGGCACGGGTGACCTTGCCGGCCTGAGGAGTGAAGGTGTACTTGGACTCGAGACGGCCGGAGGTCCAGCCGCCAAAGGTGCTGCTGTCCTTCCAGGGGACCAGCTGCAGGGTGTTGCCACCGCTGAGCTGAACATTCCTGGTGCTGGAGGAGTAAGTCTCCAACTCGTTGTTGACGCCCAAGTTTCCGGTGATGATGTTCCAGTTGCCCTGGTTAGGAGAAGTGGCACTGTTGCCAGCGAAGGTGTCGGTCCAGACCAAGTTGAAACCGCCGTATGACGGAGGTTGCCAGGCGTTGGTAGCACCAACAAAGGCGAGGATAGCAGCAGCAACCTTAGGAGACCACATTTTGTATATGTTTCAAAAAGGGGTTAAAAGGAGGGTATGTACTGGTGTTGTATATACAACTTGAGGATGGGAATATGTACAAGGATAGGGACTTTCGTAGGAAAGGAGAGACAATGCTGGGCTCCTGAGCCAAAAGAAGCTACTATATCTTCAAGATATCAGTGGTGAAACAAAAAGAAGACGAAATCGATGAGAAGAAGCCTGCTCCTTTATGTACAACAGCATCGAGATCGAAGCCGACTGAGAACGCTCATTCTTGCCCAGGCTTGCCTAGTGACTCCAAGTCATACCCAATGCCATTTTGGAAGGTGAAAACTATCCAAGAAACTATCCCCAGGCATGCCACCAATGAAAACAAAGACACGCCATCGTCATCTGTGATAACAATAAGGGAAGGCCGGAGCCGTGATTGGGCCGTAGTGGGGAGCGAATAGACAGATGCCCTCGAGCCAGGGCCATATGAACCCACAGCGTGCCTGGCCAAGAGACACACAAGCTCTCTAATGACCTTGGCCCACCAGTCCAGAAGGGGGACCATGTTCCGGGAGAGGGACTAATTGGTGGAGAAGCGCCTCAAGTCTCGATTGGGGTTATCAAGGGTTGTTGATAGAAATGCTACCTCGAACAGGAATCTGTGCGCGTCTTCTGACGGACGGGCCGATAGGCTGGATGGAACACGTGGGATGATGGCTTTTGGAGCAGAGACTCATTATCAAGGTCGCTGGATCTTTCATGCGACCAGCATGCATCATACTGGGGTTTCCGGATGAGAGATTGAGGGCATGATCGGGTCAATCTGCCGTTCAGCATCGAACTTGCAATAGCGAGCAACGATCTCCGTCGTCGACATGCTCCATGTCCTGTTCAAGTATACATGTACATGATGGGCATGGAATAGAGGACGGGAGATATTAGCCTAAGGAGAAATAGAGGAGAATTCTGGCTCATCGCCTCCGGGTCTTGCCACCCCTCGGTGTCAAGATCCGCAATTAAGGAGCGGCGGTAGACAAAAGAGATAGACGAATGGCATAAATCCCACGGCGCCAAGAGAAGCTTGGCCCGGTTGGCGCCGCGCACCATGCAGACGGGGGCTTCCTCTTTCTACTTTTCACCTTACTATTCGAAAGAGACATATCGGAATAGCCTGGTGCCTGACTGTGGTCATTGCCCCCTGTCGTGCATGGGGTCGTCTGGGGTACAGAAGCCACCACGCGCGAACGACTACTAGGGGGAAGCAAGACCGGCGTTTGAGGCGGCATTAACATGATTCGATGGCGCATTGAGCTTGTGATGAAGGTAATCTACCGCAAATGCGCCAGAACTTGGCCACTAGCAGCTGCAAATGCCCGAGGCAGATGATGGGTCGATCATGGCAGTCATGTTCACTCATCACTCTCATGAGCCCCCTTGTAAGCCATCGTGGAAATGTCACGCCCCCTCTAGCGAACTCAAATCCTGGGGTTTGGTTCGCCCTCAGCGTGATGGATGGAATATACTGTACAAGTAGGGCCGCGTGCCCCCACACCATCTTTCCATCGCACGCGCGTGCTATCAACCCTGCGAGTTGCTGCCCTAGAGCCACGAGTTTAGCGCCTCCCAGATTAAGGTTAGCGGACGACTATAGAGCGAGTGAGTGGGAATATGACTGCTAGGGTCGGCCAGGTCCTGATGTCGCCGGGAATAGGACAAGTGAGTTTCCATGGAACACAAGCAAACAAGGTCGGTTTCTAGGCCAGCTTCGCGCGAGTCATACTGTTGTATATTTCAGACTGCATGTACAATTTCATAGATGCATTAGTATGTCTGCTAAGCATTCAAGGAACTTCCGGGAGCGGAAAAGGTTACCATAGCCGCAGATAATATGTGGTGCCAATAGCCGGCATTTTGGCTGTGTCCCCGACATATGGCCGTCAAAGCTAGGCAAGATTAGACATTTGATGTTTCTGGCCCTGACAGAAGGATTGCAATGCTTGAATCGATACTGAAGGGGAAACTCCACAGCCGATCATATGGTGGTTGTATCTTCAAAGATAGAGGCAGAACCCGCAATAACACACCCATTGTACGAGCGTATCCATGTGAGGATCATGTCTTCTCCAGACATCCTCGGTACTTGAATCGAGCCTCGCTGTCGGCTGAAATATCCCCGAACGTAGCGTCATGTCAGCACACCAGGACCTGCAATCACCAGCCTCTCGCCAGCTGCGTGTATAGATGCAAGTATGTATGTAAGCTGCCGGGGACCTGCAGATTGTCTGTGCGCACTAAGATTAAAAGAAGAATCTCTAACAGAGCAGAGCGTTGCACCCGGGTGCTGGGCTGCCGTAATCAGCGTCCCATCGAAGAAGCTTCAGAATAAGCCTCACCCGCATGTCGATGCTCTCAGCCAGCCATGCTGTGCGACACAGCCGCTCTGTGCATGCATAGATCTTTCCTACTGCCTCATCCGGACTGCTGTACGCATACAGAGAAGCGACACTTGCTGGGAATGCTGGGGCTGAGCGTATTCGATTAACGCCTGTCCTGGGGTCCGCTTTTGACAAGCGGTCTTTGAGAGATGCCTTTTCAGGACACAGCCTGAGCCCATGCCGCCGAAGCTTTTCGGGAGAGTCTCGCTCATAGAGGATGCACCCGGCGCATTGGCGGCTTATTATGTACATTATATACATGTGCTACCAAACCCTGTAATTCCCCTTTCAAGTCAATTCTTCGCATATGATGGATCGGAACTGATCCTAGCCCCAGCAGCAGCATATAGTTGTTGGCCCTCATGATGAACCTGGTCAAGTCTCGTGCGTTGAAAGCTTGTCTGGTTGTACGAGTATTAGGTGATGACCACCATTCTCAGAGCGCAGATCTTTCGGTCGCAGCCTCAATCTTTATCGGAGACGAATAGAATCCAAGACAATCGTCGAGTTATATAGCAATTCTCTTTCACTTTCTATCTAATTTTGATATACGATTGCGCCCGCATTTAGGTTTTTAAGACACCTTATCGCCGAATTAGCCATCGGACTTTTACCCGGAAGCTTCACGGATGTCGTGAACCCCGCGTTTTGTGGTCTTGACGACCCCATAAACGGCCATTTATACGTGGAATGAAATCATAATGTGGTTTCACGATTTGGTAGCAACTGGATAGTATTGGATGGGATATAGTCTCTTGGGTTTAGCCCCGTTGCTGATTCCGTTCTGATTTAATACCTGCACGACTAGAAAGACTTCGCCATCGTTCATTGCACAATCACAACTAGCATTTCTAGCTAGTCCATCTTGCTTCGAACTTCATAGTCCGACAACTGAGGTTTCTTTGCTTCTTCTGCGCATCCTACCCGATCCATCACCGCGAAAATGTCCGCCGCAGCCGCAGTTTTTGCTCCGGGAGCGACCGCCCTCATTACCGGCGGCGCTTCCGGTGTTGGCCTGGCCATTGCTAAGCTGTGCCGCAGCAAGGGTATGAAGCTACTGCTTGTAGATCGCAACGCCGAGGCCCTGGAAAAGGCCAAGGCTGAAGTCGGCTCATCGTCGTCAGATGTAGCCACTTCTGTCCTTGACGTCAGCAAGCCTGATGACTGGACTTCGCTTAAAGACCAAGCCACAAAAGCTTTTGGTTCGATTGAGCTTCTTGTTCTGAATGCTGGCATAGGTGGAAGGGGTACTTGGGGAGATGCCGACTACTTTAGAAATGTACGTGCCAACATTGAACCATAGAGGCGGGACGACAGCTTGAATGAAGAAGAAGATGGTGAAGCAGCTACACGATATTTCCACCACTGACGGTAATACGTACTACATAGATCCTCGAGACGAACCTTTTTGGGGTAATCCATGGTATCAACACTTTCCTCCCGGTAGTCCAGGAGGCCGCAAAGAGCCGGCCCACCTCCGTTGTCATTACCGGCAGCAAGCAGGGCATCACAAATCCCCCAGGAAATCCTGCCTACAACGCCTCTAAATCTGCCGTCAAGACCCTTGCCGAGCATCTTAGTTGGGACCTTCGAGACACCAAGACTAGCGTCCACCTTCTCGTCCCGGGTTGGACCTACACTGGCATGGTGAGTAGCTGTCGAATCTTGTTTCCTATTCTTTCTTCTTATTCATGCTCTATGCCATTCAACCCTTTCTATCATTTGATACTACATGAATCTCACGTGTTACTGTTGGTCTAGACTGGGGGAGGCCTGACCAAAGAGAAGCCGGCGGGCGCTTGGGCGCCAGAACAGGTAGCCGACTACTTATACAAGAAGATGGAGCAAGACAAATTTTATGTCATCTGCCCTGACAATGAAACCGCAGAGGAGACGGACAAGAAGAGGATGCTGTGGAGCGTAGGCGACATCATTAAAGAACGGCCGCCGCTGACGCGCTGGCGACCAGAATGGAAGGAGGAAGCTACAGAGACAATTGCGAAGACTCAGATCTGAATGGCGTCTTGTCAGCCACGGCTCTTGGCGAAGTGGAAGTGATGGGTCGGTTGGCAAAAATGGAAGGATGGCTCTATCGCCTGCTTCTTTCAGTCTCTTACTAAACTCTTGTTACTCTTGGTACCGAGGCTGTTGAGCTGCGTCAGCGGACGTATACTTGTTAGAATTACCTTATCAATTCAGGTCAAACTATTCATCGTCGCATCTAACCACCATCGGAGTGTAACGTTTTACCAGCCTGACTTAAATTAATCGGCGATGCTATCATATGTGTGATATAGTGCTGTCAGTTCCGGCCTCAATTCGGCGAAAGGATAGTTTCCGACATATAGGCTAACCCCAGTCCGTTAACTAGAGAAGAGTTTCTAGCGCAGCGGCCATCTAGTAAATGATCACACCTCTTCTATCAAAATTAAGTGCTTAACTACCGTCATATTCGTCCAGTGCACCCCATTCCCTCCTTGTAGTGGAGGACAAGGATCACAGCAAGGGACAAGGTCTTCCTTACAACATCATTGGTGCAAAAGAGGGATAACTATAGAAGAAACAGAAATAGCCCGACTCTCTGGCCGGGTATTCGAAATAAGCCCGAAATGCTCGGCTTTCAACCGGGAGCATCATAAAGCCCCGCTTGGGGATGTAGTCACATCCACAGCGATGTAAAAGATGGGGAAATTCTAATCAATAATAGCTTACCGAAAGGAATCTAGGCAGTATCTCATAAAAAAGGTCCGTGACTGAGGCATGCGCATGATATCACTTTGTGTTCTTTGGGGTAACACCGTTGGGCCACTCATTAACAATTTATTCGGTCATTCGCGCTCTACTACTTGGCTCATTGAACTATTACACCAACTCGATCCTTTGTATTCTCAAGGGCAGGTAGCTTAGCGACACAATTCCTCACGACCTATTTGAAATCCCGATTACAAGAGTCAAAGCATCTACAAGCGGCGTGTCTCATGACCCTCAGAGCATAAAGGCTGCAATGGATTTCCCCATTCAGTATCATCCTAATAGGGTAATCTTATGAATAAACATCCACAAACGGGTATGCAATTTTACGAACTAGAGAGCAGAGTAATTGTGGTGCCGTTTCGTGCCATCGGCCGGTGCCTCTCGAGAAAGAGACGAAGCAACCGGAAGTAAAGAAGGAAAAGATGCCCTCGCGATGCATAAATATCATATATGCTAACAATACGAAACTTATACGCTTGAGCAAGAGTTAGTTTCAATACATCGGCAGTGACTGTGACAGGAAGCAATGCTGCTGGCGCGTACTTGGCTATGTTTGCTGAAAATTTCGATGATAGGAATGAGGAATAGAGTTAGGGAAGAGAACTCTACCTAAATTTGGGAGACGGCCGCCTGCGTAAAATTGATTTCTGATATGTAATTATGGAAAATAGATAGGAGCTCCGTGGGAATTACCTGGCGTTGCTTTAGTAAAACTTTACTGTTTTAACTCCTGCTGTTATCAAACCAAACTCACATCGAATCCGGATTGAACTAACCCCAATTCGCGGTGAAGATCTTGAATCTATCTAGAATTAAAATTCCGCCACGACGTGTTAGGATCTTTTCTTCCTTTTTCTTTTTTATATTCGTACCATCACCGCTACTTCCTCTCTCTCCCCTGCTGTCCAGAGAGTATGTGTCTTGAGGAAGAAAGTGTTGTGCACGTAAAAAAGTCGCTATATCGGATGGTCTTTTCTGCTCGGAAAAACAACAATAGGTTTGTGAAAGCTACGGGCTATGATGTTTGGGGACTATCAAACCCATGCCGAAACATAATGCTAAATTACTTCTCAGTTACTCCAATAACCGCTGTCATTGAGAAATGATGCTCTCTGTTTAGTCTAGACTTTACCACCGGGTAATCTAAGTCGCGCGCCTAGATGTCTGCCCAGAGAGCAATCGAATCGTAAATACGGTAACTTCTTAACATTGAAGGGTCATTAAATCATGCACTTAGTAAGTTGATGACATGCTCCTGCTATAGAATTCTCACCGAATGTGAAGATCTTCCACTAACCCATACGAATGGCGTTGTTCGTCTATATGTGGTTTGGAGGGCCGTCTCTTCTACGTCCACCTCCTCTACCCGCGCTGGGCCTAATTCTGTCCCTGAACGAAATCGGCCCAGAGGCAGGGGCCTATGTAAAGGCTACATACCTCCGATATATAATTACGTTAATAGTCATGCATGCGGCTTTGTGAGCTATCGATTCCCTGCCGTCTGAGTTGTGATCGTTAGAATGGCAGATTGTTCTGCGTTAGGAGAAATAAAAAAACATGTGTGTTGCGGTACTTTTTTTTAAAAAAAAAGGTTAAAGGCGATAATGAGCCAACGTTAGCTTTCAAACTACCTGTTTCTTATGGCTTATGTTGGCACCTAAACGCTCTGTCGGAAAATAGAACACACAGCCTTTAAGCATTAATGGCGGTACAATACTAGTATGCCATCCACGGCATTGTAATCCACGGCATTGCATCTGTATCTAGATGAGGGTACTATGACGTTCTGATAGCTTCTCAATAGGCCAATAGAATACCTTCTTCCCTCCATGGAGGCAATTATTTATACATATCACTCTCTGATGACATATGCTAGAATTGTGTTTTTACGATTAAGGAAACTTAGAGAAGCACATGCATCATCCAAAGTTTGGATAGACAAACATTCGAATATATGTGGAAACGAATATGCGTTGGAAAAAACAAGAATACCTTAGCAGGGATGCGAGATTCCGAGAGAACGTAATATAACTTAAAGAATAATATTAGAGTATGGTGAATATTAATGTATTAATTCGGTCGTCGTTATCATACAATTTTTTGGCGCTTACAAAACTACTCTACATATGTCCCCTGTTTAGTTCTGTTTATGTGTTTCTCGATCTTACTTTGGCGTAGGTATAAGCTGAATACCGTATGGTTCTATGCGCGTGTAATGACGATGGGATCTTCTGCGTCCCATTAATTGTATCGTAGCTGTTTCCTATTTGCGCATATCTGTAATTGAATTTCTCGCCGAATCATCAGGTGCGCCAAGAGTATTAAAGTTGCTCCAATCCCATAAACCTGTAGCTGCTCTTTCAGAGTCTTGATTTGATGACGGCTTAGCTAGATTTTGCTCAAATCCTCTGGCAATATCGTCCTTGATTGGCGCTTGGAGTTCAGAGCTTGGCACGGTGGCGCTATTCAGATTTGCCACAGAGCTGTTCCCATGCAGTTCTTGTATCTCATTGCCAGCGGATAATTCTGCCACTGTTGCAGTTATACCAAGCCGCGTATCACCAAGCTCAGGTTTCTCGAATGCGGTACCTTTCAGCCCACGAATGGCAATGCCAGTGCTGCCGTGCAGTTCTGCCTTCAACGCTGTATCTGAGTCATCTCTCCCAGCTGACTCTTCCTGGTCTGGCGCTGACTGTAGCTTTTTTCGACGTAGTAAGTAGACGAGCGCTACGCCTATCAAAAAGACCACCAAAGGAACGACAATTCCGACTGCGATTTTCGCTCCTTTCCCAAATTTGTCTTGCGAAGGAAATGTTTCTTTCGCGGGAGAAGTTGATGTTGGAGTATTAGACTGTATCAAGAGTATTCTCATCGCTTGGGCGGTCAGCGCGGTTGAGGGGATCGAACTTGTTATATCGGCTCCGTCACAGGATATGCCGTCTGTTATCGCCATGATATCGCCCGCATGAGGTCGTGAAGTACAAATGTGAGGCGAATTGGAATCGCAGGCATAGTTACTAATGTAAGCAGAAGTCAATAAATACGTCCTGAACCGTAATGCATATATAGTAAAAGTAGAATTAAATGGCGAAAGTACATAGCCATGATGAGATTGAGCTGGTTACCTGGTTGGGGGAAAAGATGTATGGTGATGCTGACGAGGGGAATAAAACGAGTACACTCACGATGGACAGCAGCCTATTGCAATTTCATCGTCATTTAGCATGCTCCATATCGTATTGTCGGCATGTGCCATTGTATCTGTGACAGCTGGATCTGAGAGTCCTTTGACGCGCTGTACGGTACACTGAGGCGAATAGCCGGAAGGGCAAGCCAGCCCAGGAGAGTATACCAGAGGTTGAGCTGTCCATTTCCCAGTATTGTCGTCCGTTAAGCCATAAGAGGAGGCGAATCCCAAAGGATAGCACGATTGTATTAGTGAGAAATCATAGCGAGCCCGATGGGTCGTGCAATCCCAACTTTCATCAGACTTTTTCTGCGTAGAGCATGGGAAATATGTCATAGTACCCTCATGTTCAGAACTGCAGCGGAACGGTTGAAAGGAGGTTTGTGAGCATGGCACCCATTCTGTCTCAGAATCATAACAGCCATAGCCTATGGATGCACCCATGAATACTTCATTTTCAGTAATGAAGCGCAGTGAGGTACAGTCGCTCGGTGGATTGAAGGTCGTTGTTAGAGGACCCAGATTGACACGGGTAGCTGTTGCGGAGGTATATGTAGTCTGCATCGCTAGCAGTGCGCTTTCAATCAGACAGCATTGGTGAAATGCAAAATTGATGCTCTTTTAGGGGACTAGAAGGTCCAAAGGTTGAAAATTTGAATTCGACATTCAGAAATTGTGAAGTGTTGGTCGCAAGTATAAAATCACACATGCTTCGACAAGGACAAGTGCAAACAGCTACCATCTTGCTTTGGAAGAACCCCCTCCCCATTTATGCTTCCCGGATCTTTAATTTCAATATCGCATATCAAAAGTTCTTCGGCCTACATCTTAGCCGTGACTGAATACACGAATGAGAACCCTGCAAACAACCCCTGGTTATGTAGCATCAGCTGCATGTTGGTTGAAGATTGTGCACTTTGTTGTTGGTTGAGCAGCGGAAAGCAACGCCTAGCCTCTATTGGGAGCTCAAATGCATCTGTCGCATTAATGACCCAATTATCGTCTTGGCCGTCGCGCCATGTACAAAATTGAATCATGGAATTGACTTATTACTTCTAGAAGAACAAGGAGCAAGGCTGAGACGCACATATAGCTGAAGCATACCTAGTTTCCTATCAGGCCATACAAAGTACATATGATTCAGTATATGCAATAAAGGCAGTCTAAAACCAAAAGAATGTTATTGATCCTCTGAACCGATGAGACGAAAAGTTGGTCCAATGTTTGACAGCAGAGATGCCCGCGTCTCCATCCTGTGAATTTGACTGTCAAGGTCTTCAAGATTGCTCTCAATGCGCCTCCTTTGCCGGCTGCTTGCTTCATCGTCATGATCAAAGGTACCAGTATTTGTAGTCGTGCGGGAAGGTTCACCAGTATCAGGCTGTTGTGCGTCCTTTTCGCTGTTTTCTTGTACCCTAAGGTCGTCGTGCTCTCGCTCTAGCTTGAGCGCCGCCTCCACCCGTAATCGCATTGCCTCCTTGGTAGTTTCCTCCATTATGACAGCATAATGGCATCGTTTATAAACACCGATACCCGTTAAGATCAGTCCAATTACCTCATAGGCGAACAAGACCGGAAGAGCATAGGACAAATGTGGATTACAACCACTGGACCAATTATCTGTAAGCAGTTCATAGGCTGCGTGTGCCGGCAGGGCGTATCCCCAACGGTAGAATGGAGATGATAAGCTGAATGGGAGTATGATTGAACTAACGTTCACCACGATCCAAGTGACGAGGGCCATGGACACGTACTGCGGCGGTATCCAGATGGTAAAAACATCAAACGCGAGGAAATTTGTATGTGCAAATAGCCATAGGATGAGCCAGTTCAAGGCAAATTGATCGCCGGATACGTGCCAGTTAGCTTTAAATGCCCAGAGGGCTGCGGAGTTTACCAATGAACCCAACATGGTGAATGTGAGAGAGATGGTATCGCGGACGAGAATTATGCGCAAGGGCGCTATTCGTGAATAAATCCTGAACTGGGCATAGAGTCCGTTGATGGTAGCAAGATAGAAGAAATCTTCAATCAATATCAATACAATGACTATTGTGTTGTAGACTGTGCGAGTGCCTTGCGTTGTGGGTTTGATGTTGATAGATGTTAATATCCAGGGATTAGTGAAAACAGATATGGCGGCAGAGTTGTTGGGTGGAATTGTGAGGAAAGCAGAGGTGCCGTTGAGAGCGATGTAAGAAACGCGGGCGACGTCGGAGAGAGTGTGGAGGTTATTCGAGATGGCGCTGTCCATGACAGTAGGGTATTTGGCTTCATTCCAAATAAATGACAACACATTTGAGGCGTTATATTGCGATGTATTTAACCCTGCAACGGCCAAACCCAGGTTCGCAGAGGCTTCGGGAGAAGTAAACAAGGCGGCCCAGTAATGCGAATTGCACACGGCTTCTCTGAGGTCATTGGGAGTTGGGAACTGAGAAGCTGATCGCTCAATTAATGATGGAAATTCAAGCGACTGTAAAGAGCTGTACGCATTGCGCACGGCATCGCCGACGATGCTGCCATCATAGTCTACCCATAATACATGGAGGTTGTGGGTTCGAGGAACTTGCTGGAAGAGAGATCCATATAGGTAGCAGAAGAGGCAGAAAAACAACAGGACGTAGATGACAAAGTTCAACAAAGCCGCGGTAAAGAACTTGGCCCTGAATGCTTTGATCTCCGGATGATTGATAGGAAGCCTATTCTCGCAGGCGCGAGGATAGAACCTGTTGATAATCGGCAACGGCATGGCGGATGCTTGTATGGAATTCCGAGGAGATGAGGCTGATCCACACTAAAATGGCTTGGCAGCCATTCTTGTACACAAAGTTTCCGGAAGCTCCGGCTTACCACCGGCCCCTCTTAACATTGATCCGGAACGCTTTAACTCACTTTACATGCGTTTGAGTGCTTATGGTGTTGATGTGCTCAATTAGGCTGGTTTAGGAGAGACAATAATATGGTAGTGACAGAATTACAACTAAGCATAAATCCATAAAGAGCGGTACGTCAGAGCGTTGAAGTGGGAGTAAACCATCCACCGAGAACAGGGCTGGGGATACAGGAATGACAATAACAGTCATGCTATATAAATTAAGCCCAAACGAAGTGATTCATTCTTCCATAAAATCCTATTATTCCCTCCCTGCCTGTGTTTGTGTACGGCACTAGGCACAGCTAGACCTGTATCTCGTCAAGTTGCGTAATGACCTTGTCAACGTTAGTAGGGTACGAGGTGGCAACAAGAGAGGAATTACCTTTTCGATATATCTCACGCCGACAAGAATGCTATTTGAATCTTGAAATTCTCATTCGTCCTCAAAATCACCGTTGTCTTCATCTAAGCAGGTGAGGCATGTTTCCACCACTTTCGCATACCGCGTGCCCATTCGCGCAGGAAGGGATTCGCTAGCCAAAGTGAGGAACTGCTTCTTAAAAAAGGTAGATCCTTGGCTGGTTGCAATCTGCCTGGAGTGGGCGAGAAGGCCCGACATTGTGGGAGGGTCTTCCGGTTTCTCGTATGATATGAATGACTCCCATAATCCAATTTCTAGGAGACATACGCCCAAGCTATAGATGTCATGTTGCATGACATAGCTGTCTTCTGCCCTAAGGCCATATCTCTTTGGGTGAGCGTACATGTTCAATTTCCAATCCTCACTTCCTATGCGCGCCGAGTCTCCTTGATGCTCTCTGAATTTTTCGAAGCCAACTAGAAAAGGAGCTAATGAGTTTGTAGACGGCTCCTGGAAGACAAGAATTGCTTCTGGTCGAATGCTCTTATGAACGAAGTTCAAACTGTGTACAAAACTCACTGATTTGGCCATTTCCAGGCCAAGTCGAACCACATCAGAGAGAGTGTGTGGCTTCTCACGACCTAGTAAGGCCGAGCGAAGGCTTTGTGGGTTTTGAAGATTCGGAGGCATTTTGAATACCAGGTCAAAAGTCTGTCCTTCGCTTTTTTGCTTCGAGGGCTCGTTTTCGACCACGCCTTTGCATTGAAGTAAACCAAAGGAACTTTTAATTTCTCGAAGGTCTTTTGCGAGATTTTCGACATCATGAATCACTGTCTGCTGAACGGATGTTGATGGAGATGCAGACACGACAGTGTCCACGATGAAGCTTCCGGTGCCTTTAGTGAGAAGTCTTGCAACGCAAAATGGCAACATGGATATTGATGTTCCATTTGCTAGTCTCCAAGGAGGGAGAAATGCTGTTTCTTTTGTTTGCCGACTTTGCAATAAGGCTCGCGCGTTTAGCATATTATCTCGTATGCTTTTTGGTGCCGCTGACATCTCTTTCCTCATTTGATGGATGATATCACTATCCATCCTCCGAGTCAAACGCCAGCAGACATCGGCTGTTTGCTGCCATTTTTTCAATTCTGAGATAGCCAAGTCGATTGCCTTTTTCCTCATGGCATAATTGGCGCTAGACGACAATACGTCCTTGCTTTGAGAAGAATTTATTTTGGTGTCCTTTTCTCTCTCACCTTGTTCAATTAGAGTTTGGAATTCCACTAGTTTCTTGTTGACATCTTCAAGCTTTAACCGTGCTTCCTTCAGCGTTTTAGTGTATAGTTGTCGGTGTTCAATCACAAGGAGGGGAGAGACTTGGTCCAGGAATTTTGTCTGTGCGCATATGTCTGCTGAGTAAACTTCCACTTGAAGAGCTCTTTCTGAGAGCTCCTTCGTCGCATTTTTTATAGATTTGCAGAATTCTTGCACCCTGTTATGTTCGTTATCAGCCGTTCGTTGGTGATAATGAAGCATATTATCGATCTCACCACTCACTTCATCGCAGATTGGATTGTTCCGTTCAAGCTCAATGACATGGCCGGCAGAGCCATCTTTACTACCAGAGTGATTGCTAGGTGAGAATTTTGGCCCCTCCAGGAAAATTAAGGTATTTGTAAGGAGCCACGAACTGGATGCACAGCATAAAGGTAGTCAAAGATAGTATAGATAACCCCCCTAGTAATCGGAATCACACGGAGAAGTTAGTCACTTATGTGGGAATATTGAGTTACCCATATTTGGAATGAACAACGTATATTGTAACACTACAGATATGCTGTGGGAGACGGGGTAGTTAAACACCAATCGGAACTATGATATGGATACACAACGTTCGTATTGTTAGAGACGAGATAGACAACCACCAACCAGAGCTGTACAGATATGCTGGGCGCTTCCGTGAGGAGAAAATAAATGCGTGGGGATCCATAAAGAGCTACACAGCATTCATAATGTTAGAGACGCGATAAACAAACACCAATAGCAATTACAAAATGGGTACGCAGCGTTTGTATTGTTAGAGACGGGACGGACATACACCAACCAGCCAGGATCACAAGGGCCTTGTGGTCGCTTAAGACCACCTGTATGATAACACAGCACCATAGCCAAGGGAGTGCATGCAATTTGCCTCATCAGTCGATTAACACTTTCACGGTCACTTGCATTTCGTAGGCACCAGCAGCTTCATTCTCAACATTTAAAGAACTGTTAACCCAGGAACTCTTGAGGCTTACTTGTTCATCAGCATTCCTCATAAGGATATCAGCCTTTTATGCCAAACGCCAAATTTATTCTGAAAACCTCTACTACCGGCCGTTATGCCACAGTTCGACTTGTCAAATCTCCCTGAGCTCGTACGAGATACACATCTTGAGGCTACCGTGAAATCTTTAATCACCGTTCACACATTTGAGGAATCACCAAGCCCACGACAAGAAACGTGGCGTCGGGAAAAAAAGCCCCTTGGCCAAGGCGGCTATGGACAGGTCTGGTTGGAGAAATGCATCAGCGGTCTGAAACCCGATAGTCCAAGTCTCCGTGCCGTCAAGAGTATTCGTCTAGATGGTAAACTGGGAATACTAAAACACGTTCGGGAACTTGAAGCGATTGCCAAATTTTCCCAGCCCAAGGTATGAAGCGGAGAGCACAGCTGTGGATATTGCTAATGAATCTCATAGTTCTCCTCTTTCTTTCCTAAATCATTCGGATGGTACCAGACAGATGATGACTTGTTCATTTCCATGGAATACTTTCCATTGGGAAATCTACATGAACAAACTCTGTTGAAGCAATCTGATCCGTTAGCTGAAGGTGACGTGGTCAACATAATACAACAAGTTGTCCGTGCGTTACGTTTCATGCATAACGAAGGGTTTGCGCACCGTGACCTGAAACCAGCTGTGAGTGAATTTGCACATTGATTCATTTGTGATTTGGATGCTAATAGTGAAAGATAGAATATTATGTTGGTGTCTCGGCAGCCTGAGTGGCGGGTCAAGCTCATCGACTTTGGCAATAGTAAAAGGTTCAACAAAGAGACCGAAAAAGTTTCAGCTATCATAGGTACCAATGGCTATATTGCGCCAGACATTCTTGATTATGCTATCAAATATCAGCATTCTTCTTCAATCAACCCAGAAGAGAGCATTACTCAGGATGTATGGCTGGCTGGAGATATTTGGAGCCTTGGGGAAACCGTTTTCCAACTTATCTCAAAGAAGCCTTCGTTCCCCTTTTCACGAAACCTGATGGAATATTTCCATGGTAAAGCAGCCTTCCCCATTGAGAAACTTGAATCATTCGGGTATAGCTCCGAAGCCATGGACTTTGTACAATCGGCGATGAAAGCAAAACCGGATTCTCGTATGACGATTCATGACGCTGCAGCACACGCTTGGCTGAAGATGACTGATTCCCGACCCTCATCGAAAGTCGTTTCTAATACTATGTAAGTCACAAAATCTACTATCTATTATGCACCTAGTACTAACGCTACAAGATCAACGATATCATCCACCCAAGCTGAAGAAAGGCGTTATCGCGATTGGGATACTTCCTCAAAGCTCTCTCAACGGATCACATCATCAGCAGCCATAGGGTCAAGTAAAAACCAAGGCACTTCTAACCCAGACGCTCCCGGCTCAAGAAAATCAAAATTACGTGAGTCGCTGGGTTTCCTTGTAAGGAACGATTCGAACATAAATTTTAAGTCCTTTTTGGGGAAGCTATCTTCGTCATTGGCATCGCCGAACGCCGCTATAGGCACTTCAGATGACGAAACATCCACGACGACTGGCTCTATTGCCACTAGGAGGAGCAGCGTTGCCGGTTCTGATGGCTGCTCAAGATATACTGGACAAACGACGTCTTCATTTAGAGTTGAACCAACTGCATCATCTATCCGGGCCAAGAACAAGGCATATCTGGCCGTCTATTCCTCTGGTGCTAAATATCTCATCACGGCTTCCGATGACCAGATTTCTGTGTGGATGATGGAGCCAACGTTCCGTTTTGCTACGTTATCGGCTCCATCTAGTAGAGCAAAGGCAATTGCATGCTATACATCCAATACCACCGTCTTCCTTGCTATTTTACTGCAAAATGGCGATGTAGCAATTGGGGATACAGAACGAATGACCACACCGCTAGTCGTGTTCAACGACAGAAAAAGAGCGGTTTCCATTGCCCTCAACGGAGAGCATATGATTGCTTTAGGGTATTCCGATAGCACCATCAGGATACTAGACACCGAGAAACATACTAGTCGAATTATTAAAGAGAAAGGCAAGTGTACCATCAAGTGGATTTTCTTCCTTCGAGGCCAGAATCCGCGCATGATATCAATTTGCTCCGAAGGGACATTACGCTTTTGGGAATATCGCCACTCTGATTGGGGCCGAGTGGCGACACATCAATTTGGCGAGATTGAGCAGCTGGCCTTCGATTCTGACTGCCGTCGTATTGTTATAACTCGTGGCAACCAGTTTCAGGTATATAATAACCCGTCTGCGACCGACACATATAAACTCGCATTCTCAGCATCCATATCGGACACCTGTATCAACAGTATCCGATGCAACTTCAATGATGACATCATCAAGAAACGCATCGAGAATGAGAGGCCCTGGTCATGGAACAAAGGAAATGATACACCCATGTTTAAAATATTGTCCGAAAATGGGACCAAGGTCTGTAATGCTTTGTCAACAAGTTGGCCATGCGAGATCGTGACAAAGGTGGACGGCAGCATTGAGATGTCCCACCAGATGATTGAAATCACTGAACACAAAACTCAACCGAGTGCAAGCGAAATGTATTCGTCAGGGACTTACCAATGCCCACCAAGTCCACGAGTAGGCGTGTTGAACTACGACGATTGCGAAAGCACTCATAGGTGCATCTGCAAACAAAACTGCTGTCCTGGGAGCAGCTATAATATAAGCGGCTATCATGAGGACTGCTATGACGAGAACAGTTATTCAAGGGGCTGCTATGCTGGAAACTACTGTACTAGGAGCCGCTGTCCTGGATGTTATACGCACATGTAACTGGGTGCCACTTTTATGTAATAATCATGGTAGCAACAATCCAACGCTGCCTGGCATTGGTGGATGACATTCCATGGTATCAACTAATTTTCTGTGCTCCGCCGTGTCTATCCGTGTCAGGAGACACTGTTGTCTTTGATAAATGTACATGTATGTATATTAGCGACACTTTGTCTCAGAATTCTAATTCGGGATAGTAGATGCTTTTTGTTGCCCGAAGCTTGATCAATGTTGGTCAAACTGAATGAGATGCTTAGTAAACGGTATCTTCATGGATTAATACTACAATTGAAACCCTCTGATTATGTCCCCATTTCGCCTTAGTCACAAACAGAGAATAATTCACAAGCATCAAATCCATGGTTTGCTTCGTTTAAAAAAGCATAGTTTAGAACTTACGTATTTTACCTTTCTCTTGACGCTTCTTGTGTAATGTGACAATCTGCTTTATGGAGGAGAGTGAATTCATCGAGACGAAGAACTGGCATAAGCCTTGGGCACGCTTACATCAAGAAGCAGACGGCGCAATAAGCAATCACATGCAAAAGATGTGGCTATTAATATTATCCCCGCTTTTCAGCCCCCGTATCAATTATACCTTCAAAACGTGGATGGCGGATAATATGATAGCTGGTAATGACGTGAAAGAGCCTCGTTTATTCGAGCTGAGAACAAGTGGGGGAACTTTGGAGACCAATAGATGCCTTGAAAGAATTGCTGTAGGCTCGGCATCCTGGGGATGGCAGCCTCGGTGACTCAGATATCGACATCGTACCCACCATTTAGAGCTGTCGGATCCATTCTATTCCCAAAGAGTGAGCCAACATCGCTTAATTAGAAGCGCGGCCTGATGAGTATGCTGCAACCATGGCGGATCTGTTCGACCAGAGACGGCATAGAGCTGAGCAAAAGACCGCAGATTCGTGAGTAAGATACCCGACCTTTGCATCACATGCGCGCTCCGACGGATTCAACAAGGGGCTATGCTCCAGGCTCCAGATTCTAAACGCTGCTCCAGAACCTCCAAACTCCTCGTTCTTTGGGCAAGGGCCGTGCCGGACGGGCGGCACGCTAATATATTGTCGAGCCTTTATTGGCCGAGGTGAACCATCCCAGCAGCAGTGTGCTTCACTTAGTGCAAGTCTTGCCCCGTTTGGGTCGTTGCTTGAGACTTAGAACCAACAACATCTTTCGAAGTTTCAGAAGAAATCATTTGTTAGATAAGGGGCTTCTATTTCTGGAGACGGATTTCTCCCGACGTTTTGTTTCAGAGACGCAGATACTTCTCCAAAAAGTACATGTACCGGCAGGGAACAAGCTCTATCAAACCGCAATTGCCCCCATCTTACAAAACGAGCACAAATTCGACAGTACAACTTGGAGCCTGCAAAAGGTAGAGATTATAATGGAGAATATTATCATTGCTTCTATTTGAGGCAATGAAAAACGAGATTCTGGAAGACATTTCATTGTTGAAGACATACTTACACCCAGTACCGGAAGAGAACCAAGGCACGGCAGATTAAAACATGTAGGATTCGCCGCGCGCTGGGCCTATATGCAGAATAACAAGTGAATAATCATCTAGTTTTGTATGCCATTTCTCTCGTGTGTAAATCCGAGCAGATGTACCTATACTTCTGCCTGCATACGAGTCTAGTCCATTTCCTCCTCACCAGTCGATCACGCGGCAAAGCCGAACAGACTTAACCTAAGGCAATCAAAGAATACTATAGTCCTACAAATAAGCTTCCGCATTGGATTAGCTGCATACTATTGCAGCATACCGTGTTCAAAGCATCCTGTCTTCAAAAGTTGGCCGACATTGCAGGGTTCGGTTGGTGAAGATGGCAGTGCAGCTGATATACAATTTACCGGCTAAATGAAACCCCAATCGCCCAGTTTATAGTCGCTACATACCTTATGTTAGTATAAATGTCTCCCCTTTACGTGGTATCGGGACTAAGCACACCAGAATTCATAACCACGAGTCCCCTCATTGCAACATGGCTACAACGAATTCAGTTAAGAATCCAGTCTTTGAAGAACTTGCAGTTATACAAGCAAGTTTTAATAAATTCCCAAACCCTAGCGATTCTTCTGGTTCCATTAAGTGTCGCGCTTCAATAAGCGATGGCTCCCGTCGCTGCCGTAAGGAAGGCTGTCGAAAAGACGAACGGCAACAAGTTAAAGACCTGTTTTCTGAGTTCACAAATATGACTGATTGTCCTCAAACGGAAGATTTCCATCAAAAGATGGAAATATTTATCACTTATACACACTGTCTTTTACACCGCGAGAATGCTCTCAAAACTTTCAGCGAATGGAAAAAGGGACGGACAGCGGCCGCTGCTAGTCTACCACCACCATCTCCACCTCTATCTCCATCAATATCTCCATCTGCGTCCCCATTTTCATCATCTGACGATATTTTTTCATCATCAATGTCTCAGACCAGCGACACAACGTCTCAAACATCATTTTTAGGTGACTCCATTTGCGCAGAACCAGTTTCGGATTATGAGTCAGACGGTGCTGGTGAAAATCACACGAAGAACATCGCCAAAGAGACAATTTCTGCCGCAACAACTATCAAAAATGTTTATTTTGAGACACATACCAAAAAAGGGGGCCACAAGATAAGATATGTAATGCCTGGTGTTGGTACTGTTGTTAGCCCTCGACGGATGCCATCATTGAGAGACCATGCGCCGGTATTCCAAGTTATATACAGCCACCCAGGCGAGTCAATGATGCAAGAAGGGTTTGTTTATATCTTTAAGCATATGGAAAGGCCGAATTTATTCAAGATTGGGTTCTCCACAAAGGGTGCAGAAGAGAGATGGCGCCAGTCTAAGTGTTACGGAACTGACACGGAGATCATCTATGAAACTAAACGGAAGTTTCGCGGAGCGCGGCAAGCTGAGAAAATTATACAAACTTGGCTATGTCACCAAAATGTCTTGATTAAGTCATGTGTGCATTGCGGAGGGGGCCACAAAGAATGGTTCGAAGCGCCTAGAGAGGACATATTCAAAGCCGTTGAGGCCATAGAAGCCTTTGTCCAGATGCCTGCATACGTTCAGACTGATGGAGTATGGAAGCTCTCTGCTGAGGCATACAAAATAGTCGGGCCAATGTGCCACTTTGATCCACCAGCACTGTTGAAAGGGAGGTGCGCCGTTGAAAAAGAGAACAAAGAAGCTGAATCACCTCAGGTGACCCCGGATGCCACGCCATCGAAAGATACCGAAGAGGCAGATATTTGTGAGAATTCTGATGCGACTGGTCAAAACACACTTCCGAAACCTCCAGGAGATGGAGGTGAAGTTGAGGAAGACAGTGTTACGGCACTTATCCGCCAACTATTTGGGAAGCTGCAAATATCTGTGAAGGCCGCTTTGGAAGTAAAGGCAGAATGGACCCTCTGACATTGACACTTTAGGTTGAGGAAACGTTTAATTAACAAGGGAAAAAATGCCACATGTTTTGTATTCCCTAATAGCTATATCATTGTCAAGTGCGCATGTGAGTTGTTTAGTCTATTTAAGTGTTTTTCCCTTTGAATGTACATCTAATCTGCATCATTGAGACTCATATAAACAAGATATTTCCAATCTTCGAGTTATATTTCCTTCATTCGCGGCTTTCCTATGTATAATAAACTGGCCAAAGTTTCTGGCAAACAGCATACTTTGTCTCTGGAGATGTTTTCCTGGTTTTGGTCCCACCCTGCTCATGTCTAAACATCACTAAACAGCTAATATGAAGGCGTGTTGTTGGTTTAACAGTTCGGATATAAAAGATAGCTCGGTTCAAGATATTACCATTGAATTTCTAGTCCAGTGATACGATATCAATCCAGCCATGAGGAATTAGATCTATCCCGCTTCCCCCGCGAACTTGATCTTTTCGAAGTTGGAGTTGTCATTCGCGTCTTTATATCCCCACCCTTGGGCGGCGAATCTTTTGCTGGGTCTGAGTTTAAATGAAAGCGTAGGATTTGCCAGAACGGAAAAAAGCAGCACAGTTGAAATCAGAATGAATAATGTGGCTGTATATCCTTGGAGATGATCAATCTCGAACATGCGCCGACTCATAAGTAATGGTAACTTGCGAAAGGCTGCGCGCACAATCCTTGGGTGTGCTTGCATGTAACACACATGTAAGAGATTACATAGAAGAAATTATCATCAAGCTCAGGTGAACTTAGATCACTATTAAAAGTTTTTTGCGGGTTTTCAGACCAAATTACCCAGTCAAGGCTTCCCGTTTAATTTGGCAGAGCACAGTGCAAAGGTATGACCAATCTGCTGTAGCTCCTAAAGACGACAAAGAGGCCCAGGGGCACGGTACTTGGTTAATGCTGTTAGTATTGCTGAAGGCGATTAAATCTGAATCCGACAAGCCCAATGCACTCCCATGTCCTTGTTTTTACGTAGTGCAGACGATCTGGCTTCTATAGAAGACATTTAGAATCTACCGTCATTCCGCCCAAGAGATTGGCTAGAAATAGTCTCTATGCTTAGCGAAGGCTTACTGACACAGAGTGATATAGCTATTGGTGAAGAAGTCCATCTTGGGGAACAAGAGGCACAATCGCTGTATAGTTGCCCACCTGTGGACATATGTTCCTCCTCCATAACGGCGTCTGTGAGCATTCTCATGTATAAGGCGGCTGGCTTGTAGTTCGTTGAAGGGGACATGCTAAGCGTTTATATAAGAGGAGCTATAAAGTTTGCCGCTGGACTTATGCGAAGCTGGCCATTGCCCCCCCCCAAAAAAAGTGAATTACTTAACTGACCAAACGTATTAGAGCATAAAGAGCGGGAGGCGGGAGGCTTCCCCAATTTCCCTGTTTTGTTGGATTCATCGCATTCTATTTCTCTTCCCTCGACGCCACTATGATCGGACTTTTCACACGTGACTAGGTACGCGAATTAGTAATCCATAATTTGTGGAGTGATGGTGAAAACTTCAAGCGACAGCCCGAACGATGAGACGCAAGTTGTTGACCGCAATGAGAATCCGGTGTCATTAAAGCTTTCTGCTAGATCCTTCACGGCGTTGTTTGTCTCTTAAAAAGATTCTATTTTTTTCCTTTATTTCCGTTTCTCTTTTCTTTTTTCCTTAAAATAATCATCCTCCCTAGTCTTTACGTGTAGTCTTGCGCCTGTAAACTCTATCCCAAGAGGCTGTGTGTTGGACGGCTGCCCGTTCAACCGGACCAACAACAACATCCAAATGTCAAACCTAGACGACTCAGCACCCGCTGACAGCTTTATTAGCAAGGAGGATGGCATAAAATACTGGGAAGGCATCAGCGCCGATGTCAATGGCATGCTGGGCGGTATCCCAGCTGTCCAGGGCTTTTATGGCATTTTGAGGATGGACCTGCAGGGCTCGCGTACCTTTTTAGCCAAGCTGGGTATCGGCAGCAAGAATGGTCGGCACAAGGTGATCAATGCGCTCGAGGGTGGAGCAGGGTCAGTGTCTCGTACATGTGTGTAAGCAGGCTCTAGAACTGATCGCTAACATCATTTGAGCCCTGTAGCATCGGGAGAGTAACAGAGGGCCTGCTGCTCAACATAGCTGAGCAGGTTGATGTCATTGAGCCCGTAGCCAAGTTTACTGCGGCGCTTCAGAGCAAGCCTGGGGTGCGAAACGTCTTCAACGTTGGTCTACAAGACTGGCAACCAACGGATGAGGTTCGGTATGATCTCGTCTGGGTGCAGTGGTGCGCGGGCCACTTGACTGACATTCAGCTGGTGGAATTTCTTGGCCGGTGTCGAGAGGTTCTGAGCCCGGATGGAGTTATCATTCTGAAGGAGAACATGAGCACAAGGGGATGCGATGTTTTTGACGAGGAGGACAGCAGTGTTACCAGGTGAGGCCTATGAAAGGCAAACATATTTTACTGGATGGCTAATTTTGCTGCAGGGAGGATACCAAGTTTCAGAGCCTCTTTGAGCAGGCCAACTTAAGAATCGCTGCAACGGAGCTGCAAAGGGGGTTTCCCGAGAGTCGGAATCTGAAACTTCTTCCAGTGCGAATGTATGCATTGAAGTCGAAGGCTTGAGGTGCATCGAGCGTTGTTAAGCCATTGAACCTTTGACACTGCATGGTAATTGGGAGCGAGGCGTTGAAACAATAATAGACGGAATTAAGAATCACGACTTGCAGAGAGGCGCACCTTCACTCGCACCTTTGGGATGCAACCAGGAAATGGCGGGAACATGACCACACACCACGCCATGCATACAGTACCTGACGGTTGATATGAAACATATATAAGCGCCTCTGCAATAGATGAAAGACAAGAGAGTGATGCTTGGGACAATATTGAAGAGAAGGGAGGCACTAGCTCAATCAACATATAGTATATTGGCTCCCATTACCTGTAATATCGGTGTCGTTTGTTGTGAGGCGGTAATCACATTATTTTCTGTATAGAACTGGTAGGAGAGCGCTTCAACATGGGCCGTATGAGTTTCGCTTTGTTACATTAGCTTTGAGATCACACATAATTATCCGTATTCGAAAAGAATATCTAGAAATAACTTGAAGAGACGCTAGAAATACACTTGCAGAATAGTTATTTCATAGCTGTCAACTTGAACCCTTCTCCGTATCTTTCATGGAATTCGGCGTGTCGACTGGCAGGCTCCCTACCAGCCGGCCCTGTTGTTGGAGTGCCGCCGCGCGCAGGCGGCTCATTGTCATACACGTTCTTGATTGTGACCGTCACCATGTCTCGCGATATCTGCCGCACAGTCTCGTCGTTCATGCGCCCGCCGATCTGCCTCGATCTCCATCCGAGACCACGATTTGTTCCATGAAGGGTCTTCTCGTCGGTGGTGACCATGACCTGGTGAGCGTCGCCAGTCGCATGGTTCTCTATGACGCTGGTTTCTTTCTCAAAATAAGAGCCCGCCTTGGATAGGATATTCATGGACTCAAAGGTAGACTCCCACTCATCCCTTAATCGGGCAATATCTGCTGCTTCCTCCGGGGTCGAGCTAGAGGCCTTCATCTTTTCTGTGAGCCGACTGAAAAGAAGCCTTTCATGCTCCCTCAGCTTCGCTGCCATGCGAGAAAGGCTGTGCTGACACTCTTGCAGGCCCTCGTTTGTGATTTTTTCGGATATAGAGGCCTTGTCGGTGCCGCCGCCGGTGCCTGCGGCAGGATATGTCGCATACTGGACTTGAAGTTGGCTGATATGCATAGAGAGCTGGGCGCAAATTGCTAGACTCTTCTCCGTGCTCAATTTCTCCTCCTTGATCTGCATCAGCTCAGTTGTGTCTGATACGGATTCCGACCCGCTTCTTCCCCCAAGCAAGGTGTCAAGCCTTTCATCTATCCTCTCGAGGCGGTCCTCCAAATCCTCCCTGGCGCTGCATAGGAGGTCATTATAGCCTTCTATGTTTTCAGATGTGATGGCTGATCTGCGCCTGCTCAGAATGTTAGAGTTAGATCCGTCACGCCATAGATTGGCGCAAGCAACGCAGGTACTTACAGGTTTGCGTCTGTGAGGGCTACCATGATGGTCATCTTGTAGCTGGCCAGCAGTCTCCTGAAGCCATCCATATCTTCTCCCATGTATCGCAGCCTTGCCCAATCTCGAACGCTGGCTCGAGCACCAGTAGATCTTGACGAGACCTTCTTTATCTGCTGCTCAAATGTTTGGCAGGCCTTGTCGCACTGTCGCAGAGGCATCTCGAGCGAAGAAAGGTCAATGTCCGTTGTCGCCTTGACTGTGTCGACCAGCGAACCCAGCACACCACTGAGGGCGCTTGCCTCCTCTGCGAGCTCGCGCACACGCTGCTGGTGAGATTGGTAGCTGTTGATTGTCTCATAGAGGGAAACGCTAGATTGGAAGGCAAATTGGCTCAACGCCAGCAGCCCAGATGCAATACCGATAGCTTCCGCCATTGTGTCCGTTATCTCAGTAGCAGCAAATAGTGATGTAAGATTGAGGGTATATCGAGAGCTATCTCCAGCCCGTGGAACATAGCCAGGAGATATATAATGGCCCAAGAGGCTCTTAGGCAACAGCTCGTCTCTGGTTAGGCGCCGGGCATGAGGCTCATCTCCATCTCTCTTCTGACTGGCAGTGGAAGCGCCAGGCTTAAGCGCCAGGAGAGCTGTCGAAATCCACTCTTGTGCGGAGGGATTGAAATGGGAAATCCGTGACGAAGATTGGCCCATTTGACTTTTAGTAATGGCCTCCAGACCTCGGGCTGGCGGCTGGCGGTGGCTTAGTCACATCCCCGCCCGTAGATCGTCTCCCGCAGGCGCTTGTATCTGTAGATAACTGTACCTGCAGGTAGAAGAACATGGTGAATCGCAACTACGGAGCTGTTAGTATGTCTTGATGAATTAGAAATATGTCGTTTTTCTCTTACGGAGACATGAGCCACTCAAATCTGTGACCAGCTACTGCGAAGAGAAAGGCCATTGGAACCGTGTCTTGGGTAAGTTCAATTGGTTCAACCAGAACTGAACAGAGTAGCAGAGATAATCTTGGGAGGGTGAACAGAGAGAAAAGCGTCAATAATAGCATCAATATGAAAACAAAACTTTCTAAAAAAATGAAAGATCATTAACAGCGAGGAAGAATTATTAAAGGCACGGCTCTTGACATCACGTGCCAAATCGCGCGGTAAGTACACCAGCTGCGCTGTGCTTCAGCCAAACTCGATGTCGTCACCCAAGCTTTTAAACGCATCATACATGTATATTTGCCATGAATATGTATGACCTTGAGTTCCTACACTGTTAATTCAGTGACAAGAAATCGGATAAGAAACCCATGTTTAGATAGGTACCAATCATGTACGACAATTACTGCCTAGGTTCATGTGGTGGGCACTAGGCGTAATCTCCCTGTATTGCGTCTACCTGGATTCATGAGCGTCTCATAGGCGCCAGACTGTCTTCAGTGTTTCGTCTCCTTATTAAATGCCTCCCATCAGACCCATCAGGCCCCTTGAAACTTTCGTTACTGTTGCGCTTCCATCCAGATGTATTCTTTATTTTGCTTCTTATCAGAGACCCAAAGGCTCTTCTCTCTGTTATGTTTTGCTTCGCTGTCGCCGCTGGATTCCACTCTTTCCATCGCGCTTCAAGCGATATCTGACTGTTCATATCGTGGAATGTTGATGACGAATATTGATGGCCTCGGTCTTGCAACATCCAATCACGGATCTCTTCTCCTTTGTAGCCATAAATAAATGCCAGCGATAGAACTGCTATCGTCATTGGTATTCCGGTTACCCAAAATATCTGTTGATTCCACTCTGAATTCCTCACATCAGCCGTATTCATGCCAAGGAAACTCGAAACAAATGACAACGGCAGGAAAAATAGCGTAACGACGGTAAAAACTCTGATCGCTTTTCCGTGGTCTTCTTCCATGATTTCAATGGTTTGCTTCACTTGATCTTTCAGTATCCATAATCTTGTCGCCAAGTTGTCAATTTCTCGCCGTCTTTCTATTAATTGGTGCAATTGAACATTGCCATACTGGACTTCTGCTCGGAATTCTCTAACTCGCGTCTCTGTAGTGTAACGAGAGGTGAGAGGGTCGATGAGGGTCAGAACATTATAGAGACAGCTCTCTTGGCTATCTACCAATTTATCCAGTGCTTGAAGCTCTTCTTCGAGGCTGTGTATATCTAAGAAGACTCGTTTTCGAGGTCGATTATTGGCTTGGAAATGAAGTCGAGATGTGTAATCTTTATAGAGTTGTAAAAGTGTATCCTTTACATAAGAGCGACCCGTAAAAGATGGCTGCAGCAGAGGCCTCTGGATCCCTGATATGAAGGCCAAGGCAAGAAATTGGACTCGAACAGTCTCAGCCTCAAGCATCTCGGAATGAGATCCAATACCAGATAGAAAGATGTCTTTCTTGGCATTTTCTAAGAGATCTATGATGCGCTCGTTCGCATCCATTTCTAGGGACAAGAGTTCATCAATCTTCCGATCGATTCGTTGAACCAGCGGAAAGTTCTCAAGCGAGCTTCCACCAACTAAACTTCGCCGCCGGTTGATGAGAGACAGCTGCTTGGACCGAAAGACGAACATTTTGACAATTTGTTGAAACGAGTGAGTAATACTCACCGACAAGGGCGGTGTTGGTGCTGCATCACCCGTTGAGGAGTCTCTTGTCGTCATATTGTGCAACTCTCTCACGTAGTTGCAGATATATGAAAGCTCCTCTATGAAATCTCCCATAATGCCCAAGAGTCCATCTCTTGAGCTTCGCATGGGGTATCCATCATGCCAAATGCGATGTAGCCATACATAGCAAGGGTCGTCATATGGCCTCTCAGAATTATTATGCTGGCAGTCAATGTGCTTTTCGTGTAAATGGTCCAGGGCATCTTTTGCCGATTGGTAAGGCTTTGCGGCCTTGCAATCTCCACAAACCAGATAATGTATCTTTCCTGATGCTGGCTTTCGTCTTTGGACATGTGATTTCTTAACTTGGCTTGAGAAATTTCGTATGATATAAGTGCATTCGGAATCGTGTTCCCTTTGGCTCTCTTCCCAAAGAAGTTGCTACCATGAATTAATGTCATTAGTCCAGCAAATTACGATGTAGAGAGGCGGTGAAGTTGCTCACTAGGCACATTATATCCACACAGCCCCAAAGCCGTTTCATTAAGGTATGTATCCTAGAACCGCCAGTGTTTGGTATAAATGACCATACAATCTGTTGGCTCATCCTAACCAATTGTTTTGCGAGTGCCTTGTCATGGCTTGTGAGACCTAAAGCCTGCGTTTGCTTACATCTTGTTTCTTCATTTGATCGTTGGCCTGGTGAGCTATTTGTTAGATTGAATGCGTCGACAAGTATAGTTTTAGTATCTCTTGCGGTGACTTCGGCGTTTGTCAGGTCATTACCTAAATTGGTGCTCAGTGCTTCCACACTTTCAACATTGTTCTTATCGCCAAGTTTGTTCATTGCTTCGGCTTGGTTTTCAGCAGAATGGAGGGTGAAGATGCTGGTCGTTCTCAAATCAATTGTTCCTGGAACACCCAACTTATTCGATTGACTGGATTCATCTTGACCAATATTCGAGCCCTTCTCCAAGCCTGCTTCGTAAAGGGATTCTTGTCTCATCAAGACATCATCCATAGTGAGTTCTGGTACTTTCGAATAGTACTTGCTAATAGGGTCGTCGGAAATCCGTTCATCAATTTGATCAAGAAGCTTAATAAGAATCTGCTCTGGAGTGTCGTGAGATGAGAATGTACTTGATATGCTGGTTTGTCTCCAGAAAAAGAACGGTACAGCTGTTTGTATAGGCAATGCATCTACCTTGGTTGCATTTGAACTTCCGTAGGGGGACATTTCTAGGTTGTCCTTGTCACTTGAGTTCCGTTCTTGAGGGTGAAAACGCACACCAGGTGGTGAAGAAGAAGAATTATGGAACAATCCTGGACTATCCCATCTCCATGGCCGTTGTCTCCTTGTACGGCTTCTTCCACGCGAATGGAAGGAATCGTCAGTTGAACTTGAGACAGAACGAGATCGTGAGTAAACCCCGTCATGTGAAACACCCTGTGGAAAGACGGCACTATTTCGAAGAATATCTCTTTTCTCTGGTGCATTTTCCCGATTCTCCAGTTCAGTCGAAATTATCGGATGAGAATTATCATTCTCATCCTTTAGCATCGCATCATCCGCCACGTTCAACTCGGTAGTTGTATCCGCCGCAGTAGCGCGAGCTAGACCGAGGTATGCATATACATCTACATTGTCTTCTTCAGAAGACTCCGACCCGTCCTCTACCTGGACTTTTTGATATGCTGTGGCAGGTTTTTTTGATTGGGTTGCAGATGTCTCAATATATTTGCTAGCCCCTTCATCACCCATTTGAATGCCGAAATTCTTGGTGGAGCTGATCCCATCTTCTGACAATAGCACATCTACGGTGTTTTCTTTTGATGTCTCATTTTTATCGTCATCATGCAAGTATGAAAAATTGTCTTCGAGGCTTGTGATGTCTTCTCCTCTCTCTTCAAAGTCGCTTGCAGGAGGCTGTTCTTTGTTAATTGAAGAATGGTCATACCTTGTTGGAGACCATGCGTGGCGGATATCATCATAGACATTACCGGAAGATGATGGCCGCCGGTGCTCTGATGGTGTAAATACGTTATACGGAGAGGTTTCATCTTCAATTGAGTCTTTTGCATCCTTATAAGCATTGTCAACATCTGGAGAATCGCGCTTGGAGGGAGATGTCCCGTCGGCCTCTGAATAACTTTCGTCACTGCTATCTATGGTTTTTATTGTAGCGGCGGATGGCGGATAAAAAACTGGGTTATTCGTTTCCGAGTAAGAATCTGTTTGCCCTCTAGGTCGTTGGTATTTCTCCTCAGTTGGCTCGTCGTACCATTGAGTATCAGTGGGAGACCTTGGATACCTTGCCCGTCCTGGTGTTGCGGCCCTTTTAGATACCGCTTTTCTTTCACTAGAAGACGAATCTTCATCATGTCTTCCATCATGATGTCGCAGTATGCTGGATTTTGAGTTGCGGCGATGGTCACGGCGTGCATAATCCAGCAACAAAAGCCTTTTAATGCCCGAGCGACTGCTTCTTCGACTAGAAACACTCGACGAGCGCGATACTGGAGTCTTTCTTTCAACAAGATAAAACTTGAGCAGGGATGGTCTCGTTGCTTTTGCGAGTTCAACCCATCTTTCCGCCGTTACAACTTCGTCTGCCCGGTCAACCAGCTCATAGTCCATGATGCTAATGAGATTACCATGAACAGTGAATATAACATGCCGAAAGAAATCCACCCATGTGGTCTTTGATGATATACTCATGCTGTGTTGAAAGCCATCGATATCAACAATCTCGATTCTTAACGGTTGCCTGAAGTAGTCGGTACGTTTCTCGATCGTGTCACCAAGCATGTCGTATGCAGGCCTGTCTGACATTGTAATCAAGATATCTGAACCTATCACAAGGCACCACAATTGATTGACAAACAAGGTATCATTTGGTTGACTGCCGACCGGCATCTTATGTATCACTTGATGCTTGCCCTGACTTGTGACGACATCAAATCCGTAAAGATTCTGTAGGAGCGTTCGAGGGTAGTATTCGTCTCTTTCATGAGATCCATGGTTATTTCTTGATGAAGCCAGCTCCACAAATGGGAAAGCAACAAACACAACGGGTTCCGTGGCCACAAAGCTGTGCGAATCATGAGGCGTGTGGCGGGTGCCCGCATAACGCAAAACCGAACCCGGCTCAATATACGCACCATTTTCAGACTCTCGGAAAAATGACCTTTCGACGGCCTCAAGTAGTAAAATGGCAACTCTTCGAATGTCTGCGTTAATTATTGGGCAGTCCATGACCAGTTTCTGCATCCTAATTAGTCAATGCATTGATACATAGTGAGTCAACACATTCCTACTTCCAGAACTTTGACGCTCATTGAAGAACGCTGAACATGGCTGGAAAACGAGTCAGTTTCTGGAGATTTATTTTAGAGACAGTATGTATACTTACAGCCACTTGGCTTGCACTACTGCCAAATTTTCATCGTCCCTGAGAGGGCCTTGTGGGCAGAAAATTGTAACTTTTCCTTGTCCCATCTCACTGATGGAATATTTAATTGAATATATTGATTCAAGACTTGTTGTGCCAATCTTTTTGTCGTAGCTTTTTTCTACTTTCCAAACTGAGTTTGATTCGGTGAGATTTGTGTAAAGCATGCTTTGTTCGTTATTAGTCGGGAGAGTCACCGTCCACGACAGTCCGGCCTCCTCGACTTGTTCAGCTTTTCCTCCATCATTTTCAATTGCTTCAACGAAACTGGGTATTTTTGGGGTGTTTTTCTCCGAAATGTATTCGTCACTCAGTCGAGATGGCGTTCGCAATGAGGTAGTTCTTGTGTCGTAAGATGCCGCAACGTCTGGGGCATCCGTCCCTGCTGGAAGAACCGCTACCGGCTCTTCTCCATAAAAAACTTCAAAGTCGTTGTCACTGATTTTGATGTCTCTGAGAGACGGACGAAATTCCCTTTCTGGGCTCAGTTGTATGTTGCTCGAAGTTCTCTCAAAAGAACTATTCGAGAAATCTCTGCGTCTTCGGTGCTGCTGATCAACATCCTGTCGACGGCGTGAGGAAGATGAATGGTCCATCATTCATTTCGGACATCATCTGTCACATCACCATATGAGACAGTTTCGGCTGTTTAGTTCCGGATAGAAAGTTCCTGGAACCAAATATGTAACCTAATAATATTCTGCGTACGGATGTGAACAGCCGGAATCAAAATCGCGGTGAGGCTAAATTTCAATAAGCAGGGATCATTAGAGACGTCTCTCCACTCTGGAGATGTATGTACCTATTGGCCAGTCCTTAGTTCAAGAGGCAATTGTTGACATATTAATTCCAGCTAGCGTGAGTTCGGTAGCAGAAACTGCAATGCCAGGTCGATGTCCGACAATACAGCGAGCGGGGATGACGGCCGTCCTTGCGAATCCTTGGAGGGGCTTATTAGGCTGCCATCAGCAAGATAATAGGACACGTGAGATCGCGCGTATATAGAAGTACATGTATGAGGTGTGCGGAGTAGAACTGCCCTAATAGCATAAGTTGTCGATTTGCACCAGACTTGAGAAATTTCGATCTCACAGTAATATTTTTCATTTTTCCAATTTGTAATCTTTTTTTTTTTTTTTTCGTTTTCTATTTTTCACTATGGAAGACGACGACCATTCTGATGAGGAGTTTTTCGAAAAATGTCCCCATTCACGATTTGATTGGAGTCGAATTGGTGCTGGTGCGGGGTTAGACACCATCATCAAGGAGGCCGATCAGTGCATCGAGTGCAATCTGTTACTACAAGCTGTAGCCAAAATCAAGCCTGGATGGATTGAAGCCAACAAAGGCAGTAAATGCCAGATATATGTCGAGAAGGGGAAAACATACACGATCAAACTCCTTCCACGACGAAGAGCCCGAGATCCAATCGTCTCATTTCAGTACATCCACCGATCAAAGGGTACGCTACGCATGATGTCTCCTTCTGCTTACGGAAGCTATGCATTGTAACTATTTCCTCTTGCCATTTATTGACTGCGTCTAGATGAACCCTTTTATGAACCGGAGGATCAACATTCTGACTATAAGGGTATCCTGCGAAGACCTCGGGCTCAGACGTTGGAAATTATCCCGGATTCATCTTCCAAGCCCGCTCTGGATCGCGCCTCTCAGTGGCTCTCACAATGCCTTGAACACGATGAGGCGTGCGAATTACCAAACACAGGGTTTATGCCTAGGCTACTTATCGATGTTGGTTCTCAGGATGACCCTAGAGAACCATTTCTCTATAAACCCACTGAGGTGGCACCATATGCATGTCTGAGCTACTGCTGGGGATCCGATACCGAAGGTGTCTTGCGAACAACTACAGAAAACTTAGAATCTCACTATGAATCTCTTCCATTCTCCAAGATGCCTCTTGGTATACAGGACGCCGTTACAGTCTGCCGCGGTCTCAATATTCGCAATCTGTGGGTGGACTCTCTATGCATCGTCCAGGATGATCCCATTGCTTGGCGCGAGGATGCGTCACAAATGGACCGCATATATCTACATTCTCGCCTTACAATCGCAGCTCTTGAGCCCGCAACTTGCAAATCACCATTTCTCGGCCTCCAGAAGTTTGCGCACCCTGCCTGGCAAAGCCGCTTTACAGCCGATGTCCCTCTCGAACCGAATGAACCGCCTCTTGAGATATTCATAAGGTTATGGCGTGAAGGAGATTCTGAGTACAATGAAGATTTCACAACAAGCTCCCTTGATAAGAGGGGATGGTGTCTTCAAGAAAGCCTACTTCCAACTCGTCGCTTATGCTTCAACGGGGATGAGATGGTTTGGCAGTGTCTTTGTCGGACAATATGTGAGTGTGGCCACATCTTGTGGAAAGCTCAGCCCCCTGGGTTTGGGCGTCTGGGAACACATCTCAAGTCGAAGCGTCTCAAAGCAGAGGTCGCCCTTTCCAACCCACAGCCGGCGCGGCCTCGTTATGAGGATTTTCACAGTTACGACTATGCTCGAAGTAACCATCTTTATCCACACAAGTCATATAGAAGATGGAGGGACATTGTGATGGAGTACACAGAGCGTCATCTCACCTTTAAAAAAGACAAGCTGAGCGCCGTCTCCGGGTTGGCTAAGCTAGTCCGTGAAATTCTGCCCGATGATCAACAAAGCCAAGGAGAGGGACATCCCGAAGAGTACCTGGCTGGTCTATGGAGAGGAGAATTTCATTATGAGCTTGCATGGATGGTGGCATCACCCATAGCAGAACCCAGCACGGCAGAGAATTTTGGCGTCCCAAGCTGGTCATGGGCATCTGTCAACGCTCCTGTAACTTATACGTTCGACAAGCCCATAGAGATCTGGAAGTACCAACCTTATCTTATAGAGTGCGTCAAGGTAGAAAGTGTTTCATGCCAGAGGGAACTTGCAAACGAGGAAACAAGTAATGTCATGAGTGGCGAGGCCGTCCTGACGGGTCTTGTATCTCGCGTGGAGCTGGCTGTAACCCTTGGGTCAGAAGGAAACTCAGAGGCATATGTGAGATCTTCAAATTTACACGCCTATAAAGTGGAGCTGGACCGACCGAGAAGTCTGACAGTCTTTTCTGAAGACCGTCAGGGGGCTTGCTGGAGGGAGGGTAAATGCCAGAACGGAGATGACTGTTGTAAGTGGATGATGGATGGACATGATGAGAATCTTATCTGCCTTGTGCTGTTTTCGTGGACTGCCCCCGTCTCGAAAAAGCACGATAATGGTGATCCATATCCGAATATGGGACCGGAGACTTGGTTCTTGGTGTTGAAGCAGTCTCGTTCGGTCGAGGGCGCTTTTGAGAGAATCGGCATCGGACGTTACTATCATAATATGAGTAAGAAATGCATGCTCTTTGCGGATGAAGAGTCTGCTACAGTGAAGATAGTTTAGACTATTTGGATGATAAGTATTAATAAAGATCTGTACATTTACAAGTTAACCAGCCCCGCCCTATACATGCAGCAACAATTAGCCGTGAAGGTAAGACATTGCCATGAGTTGATACCAGTGTGCTGACACCAGGCACAAGCCACAAGTGGAGCCAGGTTGCACCTCTGAAGTTTGGCGGAATCCCAGAACAGCGGTAACTTTACTCCGTAGCGTGCTGTACTATGATTGAAGACTAGACCAAGATTAGTTTAAAACTCATCCAGCGTTGGTTTGGGATCTTATTAGCGCATAACTCCTAATCACCACCCAACCAACGAGTTTTTGACAGCACATGATCTCAGAAAAGACAATTTTATCAAACCAAACGCGCAAAAAAAAGGTAGAAAGTTGTAAAACTAATTAAAACAAATGATGAGAAAGACGTCGTGATTCAGACCGAAAATGGCGATATGTAAGAACAGGTGCTACAAGATAGCATTCGAACAACAGCGCTATACACGTGCCATAGCCTTTGGCATGACCGCTGTTTTAATATTACCTCTTCCATCTTTACCCAGGCATATAATGTCCATTTGCAAGTTTATCCATAAGATACAGAAAATAACTTTATTTAACATCTATAGAATGCGAACTCTGGGCAAGTTTACCTGTAACTAGTCACTCTATTTATCGTTCCATTATGAGTAGCCATCCTCTATCATGGCAATTGTCGGTGTATCATTCCATAAGAATTGTCTCTTCTGTGGGCCTGCTCATTTTGTCGACTGCTGACTGCCAACAAGCACCATCACTTCTTCTGCCTACCTATTTAGCGAGGAGATTGGCGGAAAGTGAACTGGGCAAAATGCCTCGTTTTCTATTGGCTTAGGTGCCCGCATGGAACAAAATACGGCTGAATAGATTATGAAAACACCTACGCTTTCATAACCTCCCGAAAGAAAGAGCCAAAATCGCATTCAAGTCACGGACCCTTTAAAACATATGTTGGTACTTGCTCAATATCCACCCATCAAGGCCAATCACGCTACTTAAAATGCTACGGAAACACGCACGGTTAAGACGGAATGTAAGGTGATGTTAGGCAGAGGCACAAGATGAAAAGTCATGTTTTATCTCATCATATGCCCCTTCGGGATTAGCACACGGATATTAATTAATATCGCGGTGCGTGACTCTGTGCGAGGCTCAGTCGAGGTGCGGGCAACTGAACTTTCTACTATTCCGAAAACCAGAGGCTGGCCGGAAAGACGTCATTCTCTGGAGATTCCACCGTCCTGTTTCAAAACGTTAAGCCATCTATAATGCTTCTCTCCCTTGGCTAGGCGAAAAGATGGCCATGGCGACAAATTTCGCGACGACTGGCCGCCTCCAGGTGTTGCGAGAACCAGCTGATAACCCTCAGGACGGTGTCGAGTAGGGAAAATTTACTACCTGATCCAGCGCAGTGCGTTTACTTACTCTCGAATCTTAGCATTGTCCTCATTCCAGGCATAGGAACGACCTTGCCAGAAAATTGGCCGTTTGCCGATCAGGATTGGCTCACGAGTCTACCCGGATCTGGTGCTAGGGCTCGCATTCTCGCGTACGAATATGCTTCGCCATTTGTGGGCGCCAAGCCATCGTGGGAGTCGATTTTGATGCTAGGGTATGATCTTCTCCAACAATTACTTGACGCGCGATCACAAGCAAGCTATTATATGGTAAGTGAAGCCAGCTATATTCGACCACTGGGTTCCTTAATTTGTCAGTGGTGGACTCCTGATGCACATACTCTAGGTCGACACGAAACCAATTGTGGTAGTCTGTCACAGCTTAGGCGGTATTGTTGTCAAGCAAGCTTTGTGTGTTGCTAACAAGCAATTTCCTCGATACGGTTCGATTGTCAATGCTATAGCTGGAGTCATCTTCTTAAGCACTCCTCATCGCTATGGAGACAAGACCACGAGCTTGTCACGTTTTCGAGATGTATTGGAGGCAACTACAGGCAAAAGCTTAAAGATTCCGAGCGCGAATATTGAGCAAGAAGGTGCAATTTTGCTTGATCTCGCAGATCGATTTGAAGGAATTTCGTTTCGTACCCCCATACTATCAGTCTACGAGCTGCGTGAATCGAAAAATAGCTCGACGCCATTGCGCCCGAAGTATCAGCAGGTCAGAGTCTGAGCCTTTTACGACCTACAAATGTTAACTAAGAATTCTAGTTGGTCAACCGCGAAGCCTGTTCGACCCATGCCCCAATGGAGACTGTGATCGGGCTCAATCTCAACCATCACGACACGTGCTGCTTTACCAAGAGCGTTGGAGGCGAAGGCTTATCCGAATTCAACAAATTCATGTATGAGACTTTGCGTGATGCTGTGCAGCTCGTTGCAATCCGGCTTGAGGATCGTATGTGACCCAAATTTTACAGCCGAGTAGGAGAGTACTAATCGCCGCCAGAGGAATATCAGTATGCAACGATGAGCTCTTACTCGCCTACGATGAGTGAGATGCCCATTAAACGTAAGTTTATAACTACTGATTTACCAAATAGCCATACTGATGCTAATTAGTCGAGCAAATGGAACTCACCGAATGGCCTTCAAACAACGCAACTGAATGGCCGTCCAATAGAGCAACCGACGGAACATCTCTATCGGGCTTTGAACTGGTCCATCCTTTTACACCAAATCCCGAGTCTCGAAAAATCCTCCATTTGCCATGCTTCCTTCTCAACACACATACTTCAAATTCAGACTTCTGTGGCCGCGAGGACATCTTGGAGCGACTTGCGACCGAATTATTGCCTTCTAAAAACATCGTTACAGCATCAGGGACCGCTCTACGCCAATTTGCGCTTTGTGGATTTGGAGGAATTGGAAAGACTGAGATAGCTCGGGAGTTTGCCCGACGCCACAAAGAATCCTTTGATGCCGTATTCTGGGTCATGGCAGATGAGATTGCAAAGCTCGACCACCATTTCCAGCAAATCTCGTTAGCACTGGGGCTTGAAACTTCAGCCGAGTGTAAAAGTCAGGTAGTAAGCCGAGAGATTGTGAAAGGATGGCTCTCGAACCCTCGCAAGAATTTATCAGGGCCGGACGAGTTTGTTCAGCCTGGTCAAGTGAAATCGGAAGCGACCTGGCTGCTTATCTTCGACAACGCAGACGACCCAATGATTCTGGCTGATTACTGGCCACAAGGGAGCGGCTCCATTCTCATCACCAGCCGTGACCCATTAGCAAAGAGCATGTTTACGAGGAGACCTCTAGGTCTAGATCTCGGACCTTTGTCAGAACAAGACAGTATATTCCTATTCAATCATCTCACTACGGCTTCCAGCGAGTCAGAAGGTGATACAGCACGGAAAATTGCTGATGCACTTGGTGGAGTGCCTCTGGCCATCTCTCAGATGGCAGGTATTATCCGTCGTCAGGACCTTACCTTATCCGAATTTTTGGAGCTGTACGCGGACCATGAAGAGCATGCCAGCCTTTATGAGACAAAATTTGATACCAATTTGATCACGTATCGCCATTCCCTTTCCACTGTTTGGGCATTTGAGAAACTGAAACCTCAAGCTCGGCAATTGCTAGAGCTGATCTCATTTCTCGATCCGGATGTTATTGGGGAAGACTTGCTAATGGCGGCGTCTATGGAGCTGTTCTCTGACAGCGTACAGTTTAAGAAGAGCAATTACATGGAGGCTCGATCAGATCTCTTACAGTCATCTCTAGTCTACAGAGATAAGCAAAAGCAGCAGATATCAGTCCATCGCCTTGTTCAAGATGCAATTTTGACAACAATGGACATTGAAAAGAAACAATTCATGTTCGATCAAGTTGCCCGAATTCTTTGGGCTGACTGGCCATCGGCCATGCCCAAACCATCAAAGGAGCCAGAGCTACCCAAGCCCAAATCGACTGGTGGTAGATTGCATGTCGCGAGATGGCCTGTATGCGCATCAATTTACCCCCACGTTCTAAAGATGCATCAGCTTTGGGCAACGATGTCGGATCTTTCTGAAGCAACTAGTATGCTTTTCGCAAAGCTACTTGCTGAAGCTGCTTGGTACGTATCAATAAATATTCCAAGATGTTTTATTGTTGATATATAGCCTAACATTACCAGGTATCAAAAGGAGCGGGGACGAACAAAACATTTCGATGGCTTCTTCTCTACAGCCATCGGCATCTGCGAGTCGTCAACACATGCAGATCGAGATGCCCTACTGGCAGACATACACTTTTGCTTAGGAGCCATCGCCATGGATGCAAGCGATTTCAATGCAAGTCGAATTCAGAAGGAGCTCTCTCTCGAACTGGTCTCAAAAATTTGCAAAAATCTGGGAGCTCAAGATGAGAGGCTGTACCTCGCTCTCGCTGAACTGGGCATCTCGCGTATCCAGGATAAACGATATGAAGAAGGCGAAGCTGCTCTTAAAGAGGCTTTACGAATTCGCAAAGCTCTTGGCAACTACATTCCTCGGTCAGGAGAAGCCAACCTAAGTTGGGCTCTTCTCGCACAGGGCAAATTGGAGGAATGCAACACACTTCTTCTGGACAGTCTAGCAGGCAGAGAAAAGGCTTTAGGGAAGGACGATAGAGAATCTGTTCGAACTGGATTGATCCTCTACGCACTTGGCAACCTCCGCGCCGCTCAAAACAAATGGAATGAGAGTTTGGAATACCACCAGAGAGCATGGCGCCATATGCTTGCGACGGTGGGAGAACGAGATTTCTATACTGCAAATGTCTTCCACAAGCTGGCTGAGCACTTTATTCGCTTAGGTCAGAACGAAGAGGCCATGTAAGTTGCACAGTCTACAAATTGTGAGCCAATCGCTGGTTTCTAACATTTCTTAGCGCAATGATCAATAACGCGCTAGACATCTGGTCCGTAGATCCGTCAGCACACAAGAACGAGATTGCTCGAACGACCTTCCTCAAAGGCAAGTTATTTGAGGCAACGGGTAAGGCGCAGAAGGCTTCCATTGCTCTTAGAGTTGCTTGCCGCCTAAGAAAGGAGATTACCAAGGAAGATCGAGATGCAAAAAGTTTGACCACCAAGGATTTTGACGAAATTGTTGCTTTTTGGGCTCGCTGATGATACTCCCTTCTGTTGTTTGGTTAATTCTCGAAGAATGTGAGGAACGAGATGATTATAATCATATATTATCTGATTTTATTGGCAAGCGGATATGCACGCCCAAAATTGAATGAGGTTTACGCATCCAGTACTCCAGCGGTCCTTGCGAATTTACCTCGATATTAGTAGGGCGTTGAATGGCTACTCCACTTCAGAAGTCAAGTACTTGTCCAATTCTTGTATTAGACCACATAATTACACTGTATGGCTTGGATCTTTGTCGCTTCCCCCAGCAGCACTTCCTTTCCTATGATACAAAAGACCTTTCCAGAGCCTCGTCCAGCATCGTCTCAGGAACTGGTAATCCCAGAGATAAAAAATATAGGCAAAAAGCGTAATCGGGGCACACAAGACAAAAAACCACCAAAATCTCACCGCATTCTGCTGGAGCAGATCAATATTCATACCAAATAGACTGGAACTGAAATTGAGAGGGATAAAAAGCGTGGCAAGAATAGTAAGCTTCTTGACACGCTCCGACTGCTCAATAGCTTTTCGAGATTCCTCAATCGTAGCTTTGTTCATTGCCAGAGTTATGCCGCTGGTGCAAAGATTGGACAATTCAATGCAACGAATACGAAGTTCCTCATAGTCTTCTAAAACACCCTTTGTTGTGAAGGTGCCGTCGGAACTACTAGATCCAAAATTTCTGACTGTCTCTGGGTCTGATGCCTGCCGCCGTGTGCCAACTCCAAGACTTGGTGGCAGCGGACTTTCTGCTCTAGCTCTGCCAAATATCTGGTTACTTCTTTCGGCCAACTTGTTAAGTACAAGAGTACTATCTTTCAACTGCTGTGCATGTCGATTGAGAATGTTGGAAAAATATTGAAGAGTTCCCAGCGCATCGGTCGAAACACCTTCAACAATGGTATTTATCTGAATTTGTATTCTCGACTCGATAAGATTCAAAAATTGAACTTCGGAAAAGGCGGCGTGCGAAAATAACGGAATGCACATAGAAAGCGGATCTTGAGGGGCACGGCGGGCTAAATCGACAAGCGCGATCAACGAATCGTATTGTAGGGGTAGAATAGATGTACTTTGCTGAATCTGTGCTGAAACATTTGCATCTGGATCCAGACGATTTGTGGTCGTTCGAAATGCCATCTTAGGATGATGTTGAAGGACGGGAAGAGGCGTAGCTTTCGACTCGATGTGACTTGTCCATGGGCCGGGAGGGGATTTTTCCAAGGGTCTACCTTGGTCCATCCAGGCAATAACTATGTTCCCAACTTTGTAAATATTTTCTCGTCTCGTGGTGGTAAATAATATTGTTCCTTACCAGTCCACCCGCTTTCGGTTTTGGTGATACAGAGAGAGATCCATTGCTCAATCACAGAGAATGAAGAACAAACAGTGGAGTACTCTCGCACCAAAGAATCTCCACAGCACACTCGAGTAGAACCAAGTTGTTGTATCTTGTACGTTGCTAGTTCGGTAGATTGCTCTGAGCGCTGTGACTGGAGATCCTGTCCACCGAAATCGTCGCGATGAAGAAGTGTGTTGACACAAAGTCGAAACAGGTTTTTCGAAGAACTAGGAAGCGATGGAGTACTATACGCATGTCTGTCAATACTCGCGGACAGAAAATCCATGTGCCGCCTAAAGAACTCCGGGTCGATGCTATATTTGCTGCCAATTGCTGACACCCATGATGGTGATATAAAGCCACGAATAAAGACTATTTGCCCTGCGCCTCCCGGCGGAATGGATGTGACCGCGGAAAAGGCTTCATGTTCGTGCTGACTATACTGTTGCATATCCCATTTCCTTTCCCCACTGTTGTATACGATGACTAGATCATGGGGCTCTTCGGACTTGGAGGCGAATAGAGTGGCGTCATCCCTTGGATTTGCTGCTGAATGGAGGAGACTTCGGTCTTGTAGCATCCATTCTCCAATGTCGACGAAATTGTTTCCTGGGAAGACTGAGGTGCTTGAATATCTCCTCGAAAGCGAAATAATTGCTCGGGTATAGTTTTCGGGCGAAGCTATTGTAGAGTCAATAACTGTACCGCGTCTTGCAATCACTTCTATTCGGTGAGGACCTCACATGCAACCTTTCTGCGCTCCATGTCCTATTGGTTACCATTATACGCAAACTGGTTGGCATAGCACGCGTGTCTTGTGTTTCACACTATGTTGCGCAATAGTCAACGCGACAGAGAGTTGAAGAGCGCCGAACAGCTAGTCATGGTACGCGATCAAGACAGAAGCTGACACAGCACCTGGTCTTTATATATTAGCAGCACAGCTGAACGAGGCTGTATCCCTTGGCAACCCAGTCCTACGGCCAGCCGCCCATGGAGAAGCCCTTGTGCCGATGCATGTTGCCGTTATGGAAGCTCGGCATAATGAGTTGTCCTACTAGGGTTAACCATGCAGTACAGAGAGGGATCACAACCCATGTAAGTGTGTGTCCTGAAGAAACTGATGTGCTCTTCAACAAATGGAAAAGGCCGCGGATAAGCTGAAGCTGGCGGGGCAGAAGCAAACTTTCCAGACGCTATTCCTTATCCTGACGGGCGCTTGCTGTTGGCGACCCTCCAAAACACGCACTATCCAATCTAATTCCCCTGCGTTTGGTCCAAGGACTCTTGCTAGTGACATCGGCTGTGGCGCGATGGCGTCGGGCGCTAATATTGTGCTGGAATTCTGAGCTATCAATCTATCTGTGACCACGTGAGAGTGGCTCCTTTTAATTCTCAATAATATTAATGGAATATTGACTCGGGTCATTGCTTACATTGAGTATCATGATTGGTTGGCCGATACTAGAATCTTTCAAAAATGTGTCCTCTCAAGCCTGGCGCATTAACAAGAGCTACGCTCTGGTTGAACCTGACAACCTATTGGTAACTCAGGCATCGTCTCCTGTTTAACTCCCAGTCCTATCAATCCTGTTCGGTTCCGGCCTTGACTCATCCGGAATCATGTCTCCGCTTAAGACAGAGTAAGTTCGTCTCCCACATAACATCCGAAGGTGATCTTTAGGAGAGTCATTATTGGTCGTCCACTTAGGAGCCCATGCGATATTGCTACTATGGACGGAAGCTAAACAACAGATATGCTGTCAACAGCTTTCCGGCAATCCGGGCTTGCATTTTCGACATGGACGGGCTGCTCATCAACTCGGAGGACATAATCACTCAGTCTACTAACCAGCTCCTGGAAAAGTACTCACGGCCTACCTTTACTCGATCGATCCGAGCCCAGCTCATGGGTATCCCAGACTCGACGAACGGTGACGTCTTTCACAACTGGGCTCAGCTGCCTATCTCTCGCGAGCAATTCGCTCGTGAATCGAGCGAACAGATGTATATGCTTTTTCCGAACTGCGAGCCACTGCCTGGTGCGGAGAAGCTTTTGTCAAACCTGAGCCGTGCACGAAGCACTTCGGGCGACCCAATCGAGCTGGCTTTAGCGTCCAGTACGAAGAGCCACAGTTACGAGTTAAAAACTACAAGACCAGAAACAAAACGACTGCTTGATACTTTCTCACCTAATAAACGAATTTTGGGCGATGATCCGCGAGTTCCAAAGGGTCGGGGGAAACCAGCGCCAGACATGTATATAATAGCCCTGCAGGCACTAAACACAGCTGCTGGTCCAGACGCAAAGCCCATTTTGCCTATCGAATGTTTGGTCTTTGAAGATAGTGTCATTGGGGTAGAGGCTGGAAGGCGAGCTGGAATGAGGGTTGTCTGGGTACCACATTCGGATTTGGCGGTCGAGTATCAAGACAAGCAGGATATTGTGCTTGCAGGAAAGACAGGGTTAGTAGAGATTGGAGACACCTGGCAACTGGGGGAAATCGATGATGGCTGGGCAGAATGCATATTGAGTCTGGAACACTTTAACTACAAGAAATACGGCATTGATGCACCTCATTAAACAACCCTATGGCAACTACGATTCGAGCTTGGTACCTTCACCTGTCCCTTGACCTTTGGTGCCTCATTCCGATCTGACCAAAATGCCGCCGTACATAATCTCTTACGAGACAGTGAGCATTACTTATATGTAGCCGCATCGTTGGTGCGCCATTTGCCACTTCAGCCCAGGCACATACGACCACATCTATGGAATATACGGGATCCCATCCGCTCTCCCAGAGTCAACCCAATAAGAGGCAGGTTAATAGTCAGTGGCGCGCACCGACTGTTGTATGTTGCTTCTTATTTTTTGCATCTTGCTACTATTAATTGGCTTCTTATTCCCTATTATAAACATTTAACTGAAAGTATCCAACGGAGGCCTCTGGATGTCTAACGAACATTTTCCCTGTACCGCCATCCGGCCCACTACACCGATCAATGCTTGCAATGAATAATGTCACAGTTATGATTAAATTCAAACTCTTCATGCATAATACCATGCCGTTACTACTCAGGGATAACTTACAGGATCTCATTGGACTTTGTGGCTGGGTGTATTCAGGGTTTTAGATTGTGTGAAATGAGATAGACGCAAATCTAGGGTGCGGCTGGTACCTTTACTAAGGATTAACCATAAGAATATACCAGTCGACAATTATCGGTGGATTTGGGTGTGTTTATTTTACATTGTTTACTCTAACTGCTACCTCTAGTGTTATGTTGAGAGAAGGTTGCTAACCGTGAACCAGGCTCTTAAGCGGCTCCGTCTAGTGATTTTTTGGTATGGCAAATCGAAACTCTCACAGGTGGCATCAGCCTCATATTGAAGCCCAAACACATAACTTAGGACTATCCATGATCGCATAAAAATGCCTAGTCTTCCGAGTAAGGCGAGAGGAAATTGACGAACGGGTGGGATGAAAAGAGCTGCCGGTGTCAAGTGCCACCGATCTGACGAACTAAAGCTGACCCATTGTTCGTTTCAACATTGAGGGGACAAATTTTATGGCGTACAATTTTAATATTTATCATATGGCGATAAGGTAAAGAAGCTTTGTCGCGCGATTTGTGCAGCCTACCCCGCCTATCTCTTGTCAACGATCTTAAACATTGTCTCAAGTGCAACGCCTCCCACACGGACAGAATGACGTATTGACACAATCGACTTATCTGAAGCTTCAGCAAGAATCTAGGAACATTACTTTAATTCGTCTCAATAAAAATGTTCTAAATCGTCTCAGTAAATGAGCTATGATTGGAGTTTTGATGACTGCGATCGCAGTCCTGACCATTTTTAGCTTTTGCAAGCGCCTTCACTCGGAGGTAGCTATTAACACCATTTTTGGATACAAGGATATCAGTTATCGTCCATAACAATACGATCAGCGAACGCTCCGGATGGATAACTGGAGGCAGTCATTAGTTGTGAGGTTGAACGGTCACGCTCCTTGCAGTGGAAAAGGATTCCAATCACATCAGCGTTCTTGCGAGTACAATCGGCATGATGGCCCTACTTCACTAACATCATTATATGCACAATCACGCCAACAGCTTTGCTATCCGGTAGGTCAAACAACGAGTGACTCTTCTCTTCACTCCACGTCTAGCGTGTCTCCACACAGGTGCAGCACAACAAGAGTCGTATTAATACATGTATTATATTTCTACACTAATTGAGCTGCAAAATTTTGTTTCCAATATGAATACCGTAGATGACAATACATCCTTAGTTTGCGCAACTATCCGGTGACAGACGACGAGAATGCTGCTGCATGCATAGGCGCCTTTCCACTGGTTACCAACCTCGTCGCTCATGCATAGAACGACAGCGCTGCTCGCAGCGCCAAGTAAGAACACAAAATGTGCCTTCTAAACCCTATGGGCCATATTCTTTGCAGTATTAAGAGCTACATATAGTATTTCCTTTTTTCCAACTCTTAGGAATGCGATGATGACATTATGTTCGCCCATATCACACACACACACACACACACACACACACAAAAAAAAAAAAAAAAAATCCCCATTGGGATCTACAGGAAGCGCAGGAAATGTTGGGCATGGCGACTGCGTTATCGGTAATCAAGAGTAGCTCTCTCCATCTTAATATTTTATGGCGTCAGTACATGTATTCCTTGCCACGCTTTACTACGATAATAAAAGTAACGTTAATCTTCAAGCATTGTGAATTTAAGATAGGGAAAAATAAAGGCATTCAAGATTAACATAACCCCACCACTACTTAGTAGACCATCTATCCTACCTTGCCCCTTTAAATGTTATGCTATCTCACCTTCGAAAAGGTCCAGATATTAGCAGCGACTATCAGCAACCATCAAAACATATTTGGATAACATACGGACCCCACAGTATAACGAGCCACTTCGGCTAGCATATGTGCACTCTAAATTGCTGCATTTGTCTGTTCCTTCCATAAGCAATCTACCGGAACTGTGCATAGGAGAGAACCGAAACTGTACATTGCAGCATTAGTACTGCAATAAGGTCTCTGCAGATGTCAGGGAGATTGTCCTGATTACATCCTTCTCGCAGCTCACAATACTGCGAATTGACACCACGACATTTTAAATGTAGGGCTTACTCAGTTGTTAGCCGGTTTACGGACTGAACAGAGCTAAGGAGGAATTGGAGAGTTTGGGTCCGATGACAAAGGAGACTGTAGGTGCACAAGCTTAAGTAGAGAGTTTGATCAAGAAGACAGAATCAATATTATGACTTATAATTAATTCCACCACCGAGTTCATCTGCGTACATGTCGGGGAGTCATAAAAGTCCATTGGCTCCAAGATTAGGCAAGTATCATGCAGATACCCAGGTAGACAAACTATTGATCAGAGATTACAGAGAATCAGGCTCCACATCGTATAAGTTACAGACAAATGCTCCTTGATCCTCTTCAAACCCTTTCTTAGGTAGAAGTGAGGCGGACAGTGATGACGTCGTTGAACTACCGGTAATGTCCAAAATTAACTCATTGATTATCAATATCTCGAATTATCCAGGCTTCAGCCTTATTCCCCACCTATACACTCGCTACAACTTGTGTATATGAATGAAGATACGACAGTCACTATGGCAAGGAGAAAGATGTAAGAGAGTCGCAGTTCCAAGCCATCAGGTTCAGCCGCACAAAACAGGGCACTCTACGGCAACTTATCTGTTTACTTTAAGCAGGTTATTTACATCAACCAGTCTTTGTCTGCCCTTGGCATCAGTAGGGCTAAAGATTTATAGATATGGCAACTCTCACCCTGGCTTGCGCAACAGCGTTGACCATATGATGAGTTGGCGTATATATACCTTGGCGTAGGTAGCGACACTGCTCTCTATTACTGCTAGGCTTGAAAAGCAATGCTTGATTAGATCATGGCCTAGTCATAGAGAAAGCTAAGAAGCCTTCCTTGTCATTCAAGACATATTGTATTATCTTTTGATCACAAGATTGACATGAGTAATAGACCAAAGTTCAGTGGATGCAAAATTTATGCTATCTCTATAGAGGTTCTATTTTCAAAAGCATGTTTGGATCAATGACTTTTGATACCTAGGCCAATAAAAGATATGCTCAGATCTTGCTGATCTTTATACTTTGAATGCATGCACCAAGTTTCATGCACCATTATACATTGCTTGCTCATTGGAATCATTTACTTTTCGTTCAGTGAAGATGCCTTATGTCCTGTTTGGGTGTTCAGTGGATAGCCTTTTCCCATCACGCTGTATAGGTATGTTGCATGAGGTATTAAATATGTGGTAATATCTACTACTCGTCTCACGATTTAGAACATTTCCTGCCTTTTCCTATATTCTTTATCGCAAACTATAGCCGGCTTACAATCACAACAATTCATCAATCTCCGAACGCCATATTCTGTACTATTCGAAAGGATTCCAACGCTTATGGAGCATTAGAACGGGGCTGGAAGTATCCAGCTCACGGACGACTCCATGTAGTTCAATTACTGTCTGGTTATTACATCATAGAATTACGGTTTCTATCTTTAGGGTTTCCTATATGGATGTTTCGTCCCCCCTACTCCATTTTCTAAATATATTTCTATAGCCCTTCTCCTGCCCATACAATAATGGCGTCTACCCATTGTTATCTTCAGCATCAAATGTCTGCGCCATTCTTACGCAACAGCTTAGCGATAGATATAGCTTCGCTACGATTGCTTGATGCTGCATATGATAGCGGCGTCATACCATTATTATCCTTCGCATTAATGTTTGCGCCGTTGCCAAGCAACAGCTCGACCATAGATTCTTGACAATTGTCTAATACTGCATGTGATAGTGGCGTCATACCGTTGTTGTCTTTATCATTGACTTCTGCGCCGCTCTCAAGCAACAACTCAGCGATAGATATAGCTTCGCTACGATAGCTTGATGCTGCATGTGATAGCGGCGTCATGCCAGTATTATCTTTAGCATTGATCTTTGCGCCTTTGTCAAGCAACAGCTTGACCATAGATTTTCCCCATTTGCCTAATGCTGCATGTGATAGCGGCGTCATACCGTTGTTGTCTTTATCATTGACTTCTGCGCCGCTCTCAAGCAACAACTCAGCGATAGATATAGCTTCGCTACGATAGCTTGATGCTGCATATAATAGCGGCGTCATGCCAGTATTATCTTTAGCATTGATCTTTGCGCCTTTGTCAAGCAACAGCTGGACCATAATTCCTTCGCCACGTCTTGATGCATGTGATAGCGGCGTCATACCCTTATTATCTTTTATCTCAATTTCCGCACCTCTCTCAAGCAGCATTTTAGTCATTGACTCTCCAGTTAGGGGGGGCCTTGATGTCGCATTTGACAACGGCGTCATACCCTCGTTATCTCTAACGTTAATTTTTGCGCCTCTGTCAAGTAATAGTTCAACCACAGTACTACTTGCATGATGTGTTGCAATTAGTAATGGCGTCCTGCCGAGTTTGTCCTTAACTTCAATTTCTGCACCTCTATGAAGCAAAGCTTCAAGTACAGCTTCATTATCTTGCTGTGCTCCATAAGATAATGGTGTTCTTTCGTCATTATCTTGAACATGAACTTCTGCGCCTCTCTCAAGCAATAGTTGAACTATAGCTTCACTACCAGACTCTGCTGCATATGATAATGGCGTCCTTCTTGTGTTGTCTTTAGCATCAATTTCCGCTCGTCTCTCAAGCAATAGTTTAACTGTAGCTTCACTGCCAGATTGTGCTGCATATGACAATGGTGTACGGCCTTTATATCTAGTGTCAACCACCACACCGCGGTTAAGCGCTCGTTCAACGAGGGAGTAAAGGCCTTTCTCGGCTGCAGCAGAGAGAGTCGTGCGGCCATTCCTATCCACCCAACCAATCTCTGCGCCGTTGTTAAGCAAGAAATCGGCAATAGGCTCATGACGATTCAAGACAGCTACCGAGAGGAGTTCTGGAAAGTTAAGATATGCGCCTTTGTCTAGAAATAGTTTCAGGATGGATTTATGGCCGTTCCTAACAGCAATAGGAAGGTGCTTTCGGGAGTGGAAATCTAGGTCCACACTGATGTGATCCATTCCGAGGTAAAAGGCAGCAGACAAAGTGGCGCCTTTCATGACAAAATCACCGAAACAAAGTTCTTCGGAAAACGTGAAGCCTCGTCCAAGATTGTATCCTTCAGTACCATCATTGTAATAGTTGTCAATAATACCACGAAATGAAGGCTCAATCTCCAAATAGTCATCTAAAAACACTCGGACTGATTCGGAATTATTCATCGCCAAGGCTGCAAATACTGGCGTTCCGTAGCGTTCTCCTTCTCTTTTTAGGAAAGAGATTCTGTCTGGGCAGCGCTTGATCAGATGGCTCATGTTCAATTCGGCTAGAATATACAAAAGGCTCGCTTGCTTTGTGTGCTGCCGTGTAGCAAATTTTCCGAAAAAGTTGTCAAGCTGAATCCAATGGTCCAATCGAAATTTTTTGAGAAACTCATCTTGATTGACACCATTTGCCTCAGCCTCGTTCGCGTGATGAAGAATATTCTTAACAGCATATTCTAAGAATGGAAAGGAAGAGTTTGCTGATTGGCGCCGGGCTTTTGCTTCTTGGGACGATGGTCTTGCCCAGACATCACTAGCTTGTAAATAAGCAGTTTTGCCAATAGTAACGTAATTCAGACAACACTGTTTCAGTCGCTCGTGGCTCTCTCCGCAAACATGTGCCTCAAGATCAGGCCAAATATCCCTTAGCCCATTTTCTTTCATGAGATAGTCTCTGACCGATTCATGTATAAATTGAACGGTCGGAGCGTTGGATTTGGTTATTTCTGTGAGGCCTTTAGATGAATTTAATATGTACCTTTCCATGTCAAAGAGGGTAATTTCGCTCGGGTTCCACTCATATATAACGTCGGACAGCAAGGCAAAGTATAACTGTTCCGGCCGTAAAGGTTGTTTCGTGAAAAGCACCCACTGAATACAGAGAAGTAACTCATTTGTATCCTGACGATCGCGTGTTAAAATGTCGCGGAATAATTGATGGAGATCTGCCGGGATCTCTTGTAATCTTTTCCGTAAAACATGAATGCGGCCTTTGTCATGTTCCTTATTTAGGATACTAACAACCAAAACAACCCACATAAAGACACCTGATGCCTTTTCTTGCAGCTCGGCGCGTAATTGATTCGCAAGAACACTACTCCCAATCTTCAGTTCACTATTGATATAGCTAACCATGTCTTGAGTGTGTCCCTCTTGGCCTTCGAGGGTCAGGTTCAACCCTTTGGAAATTGAGATATAAGGGTAGTGACGGCTTGAAAAGCACACACGAAAACTTCCAGCCGTAGCGGATTCACCCATGCGTTCAAAAAATTCCATCATATTCCGAATTTGGATTTCTTCGCATTCATCCAAAGCGTCAATGAAACACACGACGCTCGATTCTTTGAGATTTTGAATAGTTTGATCCAATAAGTTCGTCAATGCCTCTACACTCCAGTGGTAATCTTTGCCAGGCGGTGGTGCTAATTTGGGTAATTCAAGCGTATCTTGAAGAAGTGGTAGCTTTTCGAAGAGTTGCAACAAAATTGATCGATACATTCCAATTGTAGATTTCTCCAAGTCCTCTCCTCGTGCATTAAAAAAAAAATTGATGATGACTTTATCTCTCATCGTCTTTTTAGCATTGTTAAAAGCGAACTTCATAAGTGTTGATTTTCCTGTTCCAGGCTTGCCTTTGATCCATAGAATTCCATGATGCTCGTTGATCTTGTCAGTGTCCAACCAATCAAGATATTCGGGCTTACGCAGCAACCATCGACATGTCTTGGCGTGGGCCTTTTTAATAGTCGTTTGACGAGCCTCGATTTGATCGAATCGTAGTGACTCCAGTAATTTACTTATCTGCTCGGCACTGGCTGAATATAGCTTGTCTTCTTTAAGTTGGGATTGACCTAAGGAGAGATTGTCCGTGGCTTGTGGAATGCTAAACTCGATTGGGGGGAGTCGTCTAACAAGGTCTTTAGCATACGCGGCGGCTGTCATTGCGGCATAACCCTGCCATGCCTTATTCTTATGTGAGTCCGAATAGTCACATATCCCTCGAATAATCAAACATGGGAATTGGTTCATGAGACCACCGGCCTCCATCTCAAAGCAGAGTATATCATATTCCGAAGCCAGTTTATCGCGAAGTATAGCGTCTTTCACTAACTGATTTGCGGAAGCAATCAGTCCATAGTGAATAATTGGGCCATTACTCTCTTGAGTTCGTCTCGGTCGTGCAATCAATGAGTTATCGCCACAGGATGTTGCACAATCAGAAATGCTGTCCGGGCGATGGATGAATGTGCTGTGATACAGTCTATCGCTGCTCTCAAGAGGTCGGCTGTATTTCTCCTGTAATCTTGGGTTTTTTTCCAGAATGTTATTGATAATTTCTTCAAACCTATGGCCTTCGCGCTCGTATTGCGCCATCAATCCACTCATCGCGGTTCTGAGGATCATGGGCGGCTGGTCTAGAAATCGCGTTGGCCGAAAAGGTTGCTCCTGAATGGTCTTGCCAAAATCATACTGCATAACGCCACTCTTACCATCACCAGAAGCGCTGACCACAATATCGCCCAAGCGGATGTCGTTTCTTTTACTTGGCACGCCGCCTCCGATGCCAACCACCAGACGAACCATGAGATTGGGGAAGTTATGCGACATGTCTGCTGCAACTGTCGCCGCTGACGCTGTTCCATATTCTCCATAAGGCAAAGCAGCAATAACAACATTGTGCTTTCCGATGCGACCAAGCGTATAATCGCTCTTGTTGGCGTGAGATACTTTTTCTGGCCTTCCATGTATTTCGTCAAGAACGGACTGCGCAGCCACGTACTCGGTGGTCACGGCACATATCCAACCAACGGTATATTCGTCGTTCGATTTTCTTCGCAGATTTTCTTGAGACGGATTTTGATCGCTAATAGGCGTCTTTAGTCTTTTTTCCGTGCTGATTGCATCGTCTTGGTTATTTCCAAAACTGAGGGCTCGCTTCATATTTTGCCGATTGTTATATGTGAAATGATGGGCGTATATTGGACATTTAATCGCGCACACGGTCTGCTTGTAGTACAAGAAATTCTACCCAAACGCTCGGTAGTTATATTCTTCAATCATGACAGAGGAACAAGCGAATAATTATTTTAGAGACGAGCGGCGCATTGTCAGGTCGAGGCAATTGCGCATGAAACACAAGATGCGTATTTGATGAGACTGAGAGAGAACGAGGCGCAGCGCGCTTGCATGTTGCAGCAGGATTCAGCCTGATGGGGAATTCATCTCCAATGCAAAACGCGGCATCACATGATTAATGACCAGGGCAATGATATGATGTGGATATTGGAGGTAACCCTAGATAATTGCCAAAGCCTGGGCTGGAAATTCGAGACTATGGCACCATCGCAACAAAGAGGAGAAAAATGATTGGATATCATATCAAAATTAGGATATTATTATAAATAATAGCAGCAAATCTCTGTAATTACTGCAGAATTACCCGTGTCATTTTGAAGAGACATATGCAACGAAAACTATAAAGTGAAGGCTTTACATATATAGAAGGTTTGCGGTGGAAACCGCAACACTTACTGATACTATTTGCTAATTATGTCAAAAGAGGATTCCTTGTACTATTTCCCAAGAATTGAACATATCGGGTAGGTAAATAAGTAGAATAGCCGCTATGACCAGTGATTTTAGCATATTCCCATGTACTGGGTTACCGAATTGTATGGTGCGGTCAGACGGAACATCACATCCTCGTTTCATTTGTAACTTGTTGAAATTTTTCTTTGGAATATAGCAAGCACAAGAGTCTCAATATTTAACAAATGAATTGATTGACAGATATCCGGTTTTATACCTGCTTTCTGCAAGTGGCTCTCTGGGGAATGACTAGTTCCATAGTAAGCTTCTGGAGGGTTTCCATTCGCAGAGCTCGGTAACTTCGTTTTTTTATTTATTTTATTCGAGCCTATCTGATATATGTGGCAGCATACATTTAGCCAGCTAATCTCAATTTCAACCACTATCAGAACAATCGCACTCGTTTTTTTCTAGCCTTGGAGATCCCCCTCTGCGCAAATGGGTTCTTTTTGTCTTGCCAAGAAAATCCTCAGAGACTACAAAAATCCGGAAGCCGTTCACGAACTCCGTGCTCGGATTTTCAAAGGCAATAGGATACAATGTCTCCAATTTTATAATTGTCCCAGATAATAAAGTCCAGTGGCCCCAATGCCATTATGTGGGATTTACAGCACGATAAGCCCGTTCAATAAGAATGGTGGATTCGTCTAAATCTCAAAAATCTCAGCACATACCAAATCTATATTAGTAGAAGCAGCTGAGTGAACCAAGACATTGATGTAAAGAGTACTTAGATATTCATGGGGAGAAATACATTTGTTAACGGCAATAGGGTTGCTCCCAAATATAAACATCAGGTTTCAGTAAAACGTCGCGACAGCAGGAAAAAGTCCTCTTTGACAGTCAAAAGTCGTATCGTGTTGAACGATATCCAGCTAGGAAGTCAATGAAGTTGCCGGTCACCTCTGGCCCGGCTATAGTTAACCTCAATTTAATTTCCCAGCAAATTCATCATGCTAAACATTGTGTCTTTGAGGATATCTAGACTTTAGAAGTCACAAATTCCGCCACATACTGACTTTTTTTCTTGGCTGGCGTTTTGGTTAATAAAAGAGCCGCGAAAGCCCACGTAGCTGCTCCATGACCAAAGCATCCTAATTTCCATGTTCCTTCTCGGACATGTTTTTTCTGTTTCTCTTTTGGAGATTTTGATGTTCATTTGATGAAAAGGATATCTAGATACACCTATAATATTTGCCAATGCAAAGCCATCGCCAATATAGTCAAAATCTAGATACAGCCACCAGATAGTGCTAAACACAGACTAATAGTCATCTTTACTACGTATGAGTGACCACACGTAATCCATGCCAAGAATATATCTTTTTGGACAGAGGGCTGCTTCTTGAAGTGGCCATACTCGAGTAAGTCATTCAGTCTCAATCTCGAAATCTTGAATTGCCAAGCCACCGCCAGGCATAACTAGGATCTTGTATATACTTCCCATGTTAGGAATTTGAAGTTTCTTATCGCTGAGGGAGTTTTAATGAATGCAGACAGCTTCCAGCCAAAGCAGCTCGCAGCCTAAGTGTCGGGATGTAAGCGTTGTTTGGCGCAAGCTATGCCAACTGATGGTTTGCTGCGGATTCTCGCCCATGTCGATATTCAGAGGCCGATTCGCAATCCGGCTAAGCCCCACAGCCCCTGGAGAAGAGTTCCAAGTGTGCGATATGGCAACGTATTGAAGAAAGTGACTATCGTTATTGCCCCGGTCCAAGTTGCGCCATTCCAAAAGAGAGAATTCAGCTTCACTGACTGCTAGAAGGCGACTCACAGTGATTGACCTAAAAGCGTCATCAATATGATTAGATAGATAATTCCACGTCGTTTAATCTGACTCGCAAACCCTTTTAATTTGGATGCTTGTCATGTTTAAAACGCTTTTTGATTAACATGGATGTTCTAGATTGATAGCAGGGGAAATGGCGGCCTTCTTAAATGGAGGATGTTGGACAGCTCTGATATTTCGGCAACATTGTTAGACACTGAGGCTCCCAGACACTGTGTGTGAAGTTAATCATACAAGAGGCTGGGTCTTGTGCCGACACCAATAGTGCGTCTGTATACTTTAGTGCTGTAATTATCGAGATACTACGATTCCATACAACTGTCAATAGTTTTCTATACAATGAGCAACCAATATCGCAACCTTGAGGTAGTTGATACATATTACATATCTATGACAGCTTCTTATTAAGCTTAATGCCTAGATGACATTACCACGAGTCTGTCTAACGTCGCGAAGTTTTATATCTCGCCACATCCAAGTACAACCCCAGCCAACCACTATGAAGCATACACTTGTGATGAGCATGAGACGTTGAGACTCTCCATACGCAATGGAAATCCCATGTCGAATAGCTGTGCCTTCAGGATATCCAAGTTGGGTATAGATGCTGCTAAAGATTGCGTCTACTGGAGCACCAGCTGGAAGATTCTTGATCAAATTCTTCTTGAATGTGCCTGTCCAGATGGCAGCAGCAATAGTTGATCCAACAGCACTACCAATGCTGGAGAAGAGGTCGAGAATAGCCATGATGACGGCAACATGCTGGTGGTCCGAAGGAGCCATCATGGCCATCTCTCCAGCGACGACCATGGGACCACCAGCGAAGGCAACGAAAATCTGGGTCATGATAACATAGCCAATGCTCTGGTCAGCCTGTCGGAATTTGATCATGAGACCGACGCCAAGAAGCATGAGGGGAAGCGCGTACAACGTCGCGGACCACTTGAACCTGCCAGACAGGCGGATGAAAAAGCCAAGAAGGAGAGCCGCGAAACAGGAGCCGACGCGGTAAATGTTGCCGATGTAGGTGGCTTTGGTAATACCAGTGTTCCAGACGACTAACAGCATGGAGCTGAAGTAACTGCCCCAGATGGCCGAATTGGCGAACACGAAGAGGAACATGAGGCCTGCGAAAAATACTGTCCGGTCCATGAGCAAGTCTACTGGAACAAACTTGACTGGGGCCAGGTATGCTTCGTAAAATACAAAGGTGATAATGAGAAGAGCGCCAACGATAATGAAAGCAATGATGATTGGCGCACGCCACTGCTCAGCCTGATACGAGTAGATCGAAAAGGAAAGCAGAAACAGGGCCATTCCAGTAGCAAGAATGAGGATACCAATCAGATCAACATCAATGCAGTATTTCTTGAACGAAGCAAGAGTAAGCCGACCGGATTTCGACTCCAGCAAACCTTGCTTGCGAGCTTTGAGGTGGTTCCAGATGAAAAGTATTCCGAGGGGACCGACGACGACTGGGGTCACAATAGCCCAAATTCCAAAGCCCCATCGCCAGCCGATATGGGCGATGACACTATCTGAAATTGGTCCACCAGCAAAAGTGGTGGCGATATAAGGAGATGTTGCAAAGGCAAGCATCAAGGGTCGATTGAGTAGGGAGGTGGTATCGGCGATGAAGATGGTGATGCAGTAGCTGACGCCCTGGGCTCTGTGACGAGGCAAGTTTTATTAGTCGAGATCGGAAGAGTTAAAGAAAAATTTTCAGAGCTCACCCAATGGATGAAAAGACTTGGGCGGCCGCGTAAGTCTCGACGTTTTTGCATGAGGCCATCATAATGAATCCAATTACCCAAATAAACAAAGTGAGAAGCAGGCCCTGAGGTCTACCCCAAGTGTCGAGAATCTTGGCCAGGGGAAGCTTTGTGAGTCCACCAAACAAGCTGGCCATGATACCAGTAGCCGCTGTCAGGGAATGTTGCTGGAAAGAGCTGGTGACAAAGGGGTTGAGGGCTCCGGTGACGACTTCTTCGATCGATGTAATGAAATAGATGAGCCAGATACTGTTGCAACAATGTCCATGTTAGCAAGCTGTGATATTCCTATAGCTTGAGTCGTTATCCCACATCAGATAGGCGGCGACCATGTGCCATTTCGACCAGACTTTGGCTGCAGCCTCGATCTTCTGAACACCATCCTGCGCATCTTTATCCACGTCACTGTTGAAGTCGGACTTTTCGACGGCAGCATCGTTGTGTCCATTGCCCTTTTCGTCGGCAATCTCTGGGACAACAGCAGTTATATCCCCTTCAGGGGCGGCCTTGGAAAACAAACCCATTATGAGGGATATGTCCCGCTCAGGAGATGGTTTGTAAGGCGAGGAAAAGCCAGAGCTAGGAAAAGAGAGAAGCTAAGCTAGACACTTTTCGGGCGAGAGCCGGCCCTCGCAGCCCTTTATATCTTCATAGCCCAGCCATTTTATGTAACAGTTTCCCTTGGCAGCAACATCAACTACTTGACTCACTATGGATGCAGATCAAGAGAAATTGGGGGCGGCAGGCAGGCGGGATAACGCGATCCAAACCAACAGGGTCACATCACAAGAACATTAGAAAATCCCTCTCGGAAAGCGATCGGTGTGCGAAGAAACCAGCGGTTAACTCTCTCAAAAAGCAAGGGTATTATAGACACGGCAAGGATTAAGGACGCGGGCCCCTCCTTGACGCATGCCTCGGCATGCAAGTCTGGGATAGCATCCAATGATTTGATCTTATCTGATGATCTGATAAAAAATTTTATCTGATCATCTCCACCAGCCTCACACCATTACACCACTTACAGCAAAGCTGCCGAGCTTCAGCACTCGTATAGCGCCAATATTCATGTTAGCTTGGGAGCCGGTGCTGCCACGGCACGGCTTGGCGAGGAAGCTGCCAAACTGCATGTGAAACTAGAGCAGGATCTAAGAGCGATTTCGGCTGGAGAATCCGTGCACTAGATGCACGAGACTTGTTTCCCGTTGGCACTTGCTATTGAATAAGGTTAATCAGCCTAGGTCGAGGCCAAAGGTCTAGAAAGTCCTCGGACATTGAGACAAAAGCCCCGTCTTTTTTGTCTGAGCGTCTGCACGCGCGATTTGTAAGAGAGCTGTCTGAGCTGCTTATATGCGGCCAGTCCCCAGCCGTTCGGAGTATCGAGTTTTGCTTTTTTTCTTCTCCCTTTTTACAAGAACAAGTCTTAGTTGTTGGGCCTTAATTCTTCGTTGAAAACTAATTCTTTTTGAGTTGCTGATCAATTGTCATCATGAAGACTGCCTCAATCCTCATTGCCGCCTCAATGGCCGGCGCCGTGGCCGCTCAGAAGCTGTCAGATTACTTTCCGGAATGCTCCATTAGCTGTCTTGAGCAGGGAACCACGTCTGCTACTGACTGCTCTCTGAATGATGCCGTCTGCTTCTGTGTGCAGAGCAACTATGAGGCCATCTACAACGCAGAGCTTTCGTGTGTGCTCAAGGCATGCGGCGCTGATGTCTCCGTCGGTAAGTCTGCCACTGTAATCGACGAAGATGGACAGTTTTCAACTTGGACAAACTGACACACATGATGCAGACAAAGTCCTCCCTGCTGCAATTCAGTTCTGCTCTGCCGCTACTGAGTCTGCTTCCGCCACTGCCACTGGTAATGCCGATTCTACTTCTGCTACGTCCGCCCCCGCGACTACGACGACATCCGCGGCTTCTTCCAAAGCAACTGAGACCTCAGCTCCGCAAACTACATCATCTGCTCAGTCGTCTTCGGCTGCTCAGACCACTGCTGCAAGCTCGACTCCGGTCGGATCTGGACGTCCTGTAACGACTGCCAGCACCACGACGTCGTTTAGCACTGCAGCTGCTGCTGGAGCTGCCGGGCCAATGGTGACCGCCGTGATGCTAGTCGCCGGCGCCGTTGCCATGTTGTAACAATACTTACCACGTATTATAGATGCGGGCTTTGTTCAATGCTGTATACATGTAGGGGATTGACCACACATGCTGGGGATGTAATATTCAATGATAAAGACTAGACATTACATAAGCCTGTTTGATGCCACGGAATAGAGATGGATGGATGAGGATAATAGAAGAAAGTAATAATACGATAGATGATACAACATTGAAGATTAGGCGCACCCATGTCCACGTTATGACGTGTAGCTGCAAGCACGCCGCTGTGAGGAGCAGTACATAATACATAAGCAACATCTGCATCTTGGCTGATGTCCCGTCATCAACAAAAAAAAATTGGAAAGGGAAAACATCCATCTGTAAACATACATAGGCAGATCATCGGGCGGGCCATCGAATTGAAACCAGACCCAGCGATTGGTACTCGGTACCTGCCGCCGGCGGACTGGCGGTGTCCGCGGCGGACAAATCACGCCCTCGCGGGCCATGATGTCAGCGTATCAGCGCCTGGCATCGCCCGCAACAGCGCACATGCAGCCGGCGCAGGCCCCTATAGGTGCCAAGTACTGGGTACATGCACGGGAGCAACGCCCCCAAGGGCTCCAAGGGCTCCAAGGGTCCCAAGGGTCCCAAGGGTCCAATCCAGCGCATCACACGATGACGGGCATCCGTCAATCTGCGGTTTCAGAGCCTCCATCTCCTGTGCAACTTTTGGTCTGGTTGTTTACGTGGCGCGCGATGGAGACTCAGCGAGGACGGGCGAAAAAGGGACCTCCACGTGACCCTTTTTTTTTGCATTTCCCAGCAAGGACGTGCCGCCACGCCAAGGGACTCCCGACTCCCCCCACCGACCCGTATGCGGCAGGTCACGATTCTCGCCTGGCGCTGACCCAGACTCGCTCGCTGCTTGAGAGCAAAAAAAAAAGGATCCTGAGAAATTCCCCAAAGGCTGCCTGAAAGTCGCTGCTGCTGCTGCTGCCGTTGCCGCTGCTGCTGCTGCTTCACGGGCTGCCGCTGGGGGTCGTGTCCAGCCTGACGGGCACCTGAATCCGATTCCGAGCCTCGGCCTCCGTCTCAGCCTCACCCGCCATGTCTGAAGACGACATCGACCTCGCCGGCCACGACGGACAAGGGCCCGGCCGAGTCGATCGCGACCGCCGGGCGCCCAGGTTCAGCTGGACGCCCGCCTACGAGGCCACCTTCTTCCGCAGCCTGTGCGAGAGCGTCCAGCTGGGCATGCGAGAAAACAGCAGCTTCAAGGCCGAGGCATGGGAGCGCGCCGCCCAGGCCCTGCAGGAACACCACGGCGCTTACCCGGCTAAAAGCCATCTGATCAACAAGAGCGACAATGCTAGAAAACGCTTCCGACTGTGGCGAGGCCTTCGAGAGGACCCGGACTTCATCTACAACCCCGTGACCAGGACGGTGACGGCGACCGAGGAGGCATGGAGAGCGCATATCGAGGTGAGTCGGGGGCCACGGATCGCCCATACGCCAAAACGCCGGGTTGCTGATTTCATGTAGCGAGAGCCTCTGTCGCGAGCCCTCAGGGGGAGGCCCTTTGACCACGAGGAATACATGGAGGTGCTGTATCCAGACGTGGTTGGGTCGGGGGGTGCTCCCAAGAGAATCATGAAGCCTCGACGGAAGACTGACGGCCAGCCTTGCGACGACTCGGAGATGCCAGGGACTGGCGTGTTAAATCTGCAAACCGACCCGACACCGCATGTGCATGACACCGCTGACGGGACGAATCAACAGCCGTCACCGCACAAGAGCTCCCAGAATCAAGCACCGGCGGCTTCCTCATCCGCCACAACAGGCGCTCAGCAACGACCCACTACAGCACCCTCGTTACCTCGCAACCTCACTGCTGGGCAAGCCTCAGCTCTGACGCCTCCTGAAGAGTCGGTCCCTCAGGGCCGGAAGCGTCCGTCACCCATGGGCTCCCTACAGTCTGCCGGAGACCTTGCTCAGTCAACCTCCGGCCCGGCTATCCCACAATCGGCACTGCCAACCTCACCAGAAAAGCGCCGCCGGCTGTCGTCTCGAGATGAAGCTACTTCCAGTACAAGCGCAGCTACCCCTTTACTTGGATCCTCTGCTCTCCCGGCCACGGGTACAAGATCCACACTCGAGCCTCGATCTCGTCCAGAAAGCCAGGTTGCCGCAATCCATTCGATCTTGGAGGAGCTCGTTTCTCTGTCAAAGGCGAGTAGGGCGCGTATGTGGAGAGAGGAAGCTGTCGACCTGTTATTCAAAGAATTCGCAAACGAAGATGCAGACGTGCAACTTAAAATCTCAGAGAAAGTTTTGAACGACGAGCATAAGGCCATGGTATTTTGCAAGATGCCCCTGCATCTCAGACAGCACTGGGTCAAACGACTTCGTGGCCTTGGATAATGAAAGAGCGACTTGAAAGATACCCCACTTGGCCCTGGCATGCCAGGACCATGAAACTGATGTTTTTTTTGTACGAAAGACCGATGGAGCAGTTTTGATGTTGGAGTTTTTAACTTTTTTAGCGGCGTGATGGTGTCGAGGACTCATGTGGAAGAGGCGTGTTGAGAGATACCATGATACCCGATTCACGGCGTTGGAATCATTTTTGCATTTCAGCGAAGATTGTTGTCGTTATACATAATACGGACGGCCGAATGGCGTTGTGTTATTGCATTCATGTTGACTCGCTGTCATGAAACAACTTCTTGTTTGTACCATTTTTTTTTTTTTTTCATCTTCTTTTTGTCTTCAGCATATACCTTTCGGGCTCACAAGCCATTTTTTTGTCATGACGATGAGTTGGGGGGAGATTATCGGTCATTTGAGATGAATAGCTCTTTTGTATTAAGCCAAATCAAATTATAAACCTGCGAAACTAGGTAGCATATTGCTTCTTTTGATGTGGGACTTGGTTGTGTGTGGATGTGGACGGGGAGGCATGGAACACAGTGCGATGATGGAGCGATACCATGCGATTCTCCGGTTTCTTGACCATCTGCCTAGTCGGCAGGCTCAATTAGCTCTGTGAAGCATGAATTGGAAAGATTAGCTTGTGATTCTGTGTGGGAAAGCAGAGCTAACGAGTAATGCGCCGACACAGATGCGGGAAACGTGTGGGTTATCAGGAGAGCAGAATCTTGGCCTCACTCACGATTGGAAACGCTCTGGTTGTCTCCAGCGGGCTTTTGTTTTCGCTAGACTACAAATACGGTGTTTAGCAGTTTTTATTAGTTTTTATTCCTAAAACATGCATATAATCCCTGTTCGATTGATGTAATGGAAGCCATTTGGTCATGCCAAGGCACGAGACGATCTGCGATGCCGAGGTCGAGCCGCATACGTCATCATCACGGTCTGAGACATGATTTAGTCTGGCTTTAGGCGTGACTTTGCGTTTGCGTCACATGAAGAGCTCAATTGGCTTTTTGGCTTAGTACTTAAGGCATTGAATCCCCTTTTCCTTTTGTATCGGGAAGTTAAATAAACAAATTCTCGCCAAATTCATCGCCCTGAGCTTCAACGCCAATTGCCGTGTTTGCCTTTTCAATTGATCAACATTGACCAGTGAGTGACGATGCGACTTGCTGAAGCTAGCTAGCATGGCAGACACTGTAAGATGATCACGGCACTAACATTGAACTGCGAATAGTGTCTTACGCCGACGCTGCTGCAAAGGGGGCCAGACAGACCCCTGAAGAGGTAAGCATTTCACAAGAGCAGTGAACTGCCTCTTGCCAAGCAAATACAACTCTTGAACAAGAAAAAACAAGAAAAAGACAGGAGAATAGCTTCAATATTAGCTCCGTTCTAATCGCTGATGTCATAGGCCGCCGCCCCTCAACAACCCGAAATCATCCCCAGTGAATCCGCCTCCACAGCATCTCTCATCGACGTCGACATGCCCAGCGTCCACACCGTCCGATCCGACTTTCTCGAGCAGGACATCCAAACGGAAACCCAAGCCGAGCGCATCAGACGCGAGGAAGAAGCCGCCCGCGCCAACCAGGCCGCCAAGAAAAAGGCCGCCGGCAAGGCCAGAAAGGCCGACTCCTGGGTCACGCGCCAGTTCTCCCAGCTCTCCGACAGCAGCGTCACTGCCATTGCCATTGCCAATTTCTTTGGCGTCGTGGGAGTGAGCGGCTTCTTGGGGTATCGCGCGTGGGGTTTGTATGAGAAGAGTCGGCTGGACTGGAAGCATGTGGGCGTTGGGTTTGGAGTTTTGGCTGCTGTTGGGGCTGTGGAGGCGGTGCTTGGACGTTATCTGTACAAGAGCAAGGAGCGAGATTCTTCATGAAGAGCAATGCCATGGTCAAAGATTGAATTTCGGTGATGACTACTTTTCCTGTTTTTGGTGTGGGCGTTTGGTTTAAGGGAGAGCTTGGCTGTCGACTCTTATCTCACCTCTGGTTATGGCCATCTTCATATGCTGCTATTGGCCGCTACATATTCAATAACGAACATAAAATAAATATTTAATCAAATTACTCTTGTACATACCGCTGTCACATCTCACATCATCAGCCATATACAAAAATGCCATATTCCTTGAGACAGTGCATCCCCCACGCCGCACAGCTCGTTCACATGCTCACCAGCCATCTTGAAATGTGACGTCATCGTCATCATCTCACGAAGCCCATCAGCTTTCGCATCATCTCCCTCTTCACAAACGCCAAAACACGATACAGCATAGAAACATCTCCCATACCAGCAAAATATCCTTCAACTAATCTTAATAATAAGGAGAGGAAAGAGAGGAAGAAATCTGCAAAGATTCAACAAAACAATCCGTAGCCCAGCCGAAGATACCGAACACGATTCCCCTTGATATATATAAGCTAGGTAGACAAAAAAAACCTCCCTATACCTCACAAATCAACATACCACAAACACCTACACACATATATATATCGCCCTCTCATCCTCCCCTCCTATGCTTCCGTTCAAATCAAAGTCCAAATCCCGCCTCAGCTCCGTCATGCACTCCCTCCGCCTCCGTCCCGCCCGCGACGAAGACGTCCCCGCCATGGCCGCCCTCGAAGTAGCCGCCTTCCTCGACAGCCCCATGCACAGGGCCATGTTCCCCAAGCGGCTGCGCATCAAGCCCGGCATCCAGGACCAGCTCGAATGGAACATTTCGCGCATGCGCAAGGGCCTGTCCGACCCGAACCTACACCACATCGTCGTTCTCACCGAGGCCCCCGAGAAGGGCGAGATCATCGTCGGGTGCGCAGAGTGGTCGGCGCCGGCGGCGGAAGAATGCGAGGCTGGAGAGGATGAAGAGGAGGGAAAGACTAACGAGGAAAAGGCAAAGGATATGGAGCTCAGACTGGCGAGATTGCCGCCGTTTCTGGACAAGGGCGCATTGCTGGATGCTAACGACGAGGTAATGGAGCTGATTGAAAAGTCCAAAGATGCGTTTCAGGGAGAGAACCGGCATAAGATGTGGAGTGAGTTACACATGTTCCCAGTATAGATGTCATCATGAGGAGGAGTGCCATGCTAATCATACACTTTGCTACATAGCTCTCAACTCCATCTCAGTAGACGGCGACTATCGAGGCATCGGCATCGGCAAGATGATGACGCGGTGGGGAATGGAGCGAGCAGACCATGACAAGACGGGCATATGGATCATCTCATCTTCCCTAGGCCAGCAGCTGTACAAGTCGCTGGGATTCAGACAAGTCGCCGAGGGGTCGAGAATGGGCGAGCCGCAGTATCTCATGCTCAAGTTTTACGATCCTGGACCCGAGCACAACGGCACGAGTACGGCGGCACGAGGGGCACGATAAGATGAGAGAGAGAGCGCGAAGCGGAATTTGGCGTTTGATTGGATGGATAGAAGGCGTTGGGCTTTGGTCATTGCATCTCTCGCATGAGTGTATCCGTCTAGGTGCTTTAGAGTCATTTTAGCATAGGTAGGGAGTATGTGTTTACGTGCATGATTTTCAGCATGATGTTGGTGTCGTTTCTCCAGACCTTCACCTCCTGCCAGGATCCCCCACTCAGTTATAAGCTACTTTGCGCTCGACTGCTACTGGCAATGCTCTAGATTTCAAAGTTGAATGTCGTAAATTAGCCCCCTAGTTTATACAATGTAGATGCGAGCCGTCTACCGTCCTATGACCTTTTTTTCCGCACCCATTCATACAGCGTTGGATACATCAGGCCCCTTTACCAAGAGGTGCCTGCTTAGAATACACTGAAAACAATCCCATAGGATCGATTGCCTTCTTTTAGCTCCGTCCATTCCCACACCCCGCCTTTTATTTTATTCTATTCGTTTCGTTTCCTCGTCCGCTCTTAGTTCTTCTTCTGTTCTGTGGCATCCTCAGTCACCCTTGGGGCTGAGTTCTCGACCAGCTTGACTCCGGGAAGGTTGTCTGTCTCCGCGCCATCCGAGTTACGGCTCTTGGCTGGGCTGTCCTCTCGGAGTTGTTGTCGGTCCTCGACGGGGGCCTCGGGGGCCTCGGGGGCTGCCACAGCCGCCGCAGGAGCAGCAGAAGCCGCCTCGTCGCTGCCTTCAGCCTCAGCATTGTCGGCCTCTTCGAGCTCGGAGCCGTAGATCTCAGGGTACTTTCGGAAACATTCTTGCATGCCCCTACAATGCTATTAGTCAAAATCTCTCGGTTTGGTATATATCACCCAGGCTGCTCATACTGGAACTTTTCAATGCAATCCATGCCCTTGGGCTCCTCGGTCGAGTATACGAAGCAGCTGAAGGCAGTCTTGAACTCTTCTCCGCAGGGGCCATGGGCCATGCCACCAAGGCAGGGGCAGTCCCAGTTGATCTCTCCAGTCTCCGGGTTGAAAGCTCCCTCCTGGCTGGCCTCCTCCTCCAGGGCCTCGGGTCCGCCAAAGCCGGCAGCGCTCTGAGCAGGTGCTTCTGACTTGGCATCAGTCTTGGGAGCATCGGTCTTGGGCGTCTCTGCCTTTGTGGCAACCACCTCCACAGGCTTGGGGCTAACTTCCTTTCGCTTTTTCTCGATCAAGGCGTCGACGGTGGGCAGGTCGTTATCGGTATAAGGCGCAGGGACGGGCAGGGCGTGAGCTGCTCCACGAATTAGCAAAACAAGACACTTACATGCGGGATGAATATTATGGCATACCCTCAGCCTCATCAGCAAAGACGGAGCTCGTGTTATAGTAGTAAACACCAGCAACCGCCAAACCCCATCGAACAGCAGAGCTCTTCCATGACCGAGCCTTGTCTGCGGGAGCAGTTGAGGCAAATCGCCGGGGAGCCGTCCGAACGAGCGAAGTGCGCAAACCGCTAACCGCGGGCCGTGAGGCCGTTCTCAGAGCTGCACGATACATTGTGACGAAGTGATGATGTGGATGGGCAAGCCGAGAGATCAATGAGGGGAAGAGGAGGAAGATGACCAAGGAGAGCAGCAGCAATGCCTGCGCAGGCTGGATATGTAATCGCGGAAAAAAAAGACCTGGATCGGCTCCATGACAAAATCGCCAGATTGGTCAGCCAGTCTATCTCCAAGTCCGCAGAAGAGCTTGCGCCGGTGCGAAAAATTGGGCTTGTGTAGCCGACTATTATCCGCGTTGCCGCAGTGGGTCATCCCGGCTGCTGGAGGTACATGTGAATGTACCGCAACATGATGAGCTGAACCGAATGCATTGCAGGCTGCAAACAGCAAGGCGATCAATTGCCCGACCTGGTACTTGGAGGTACTCGTACTTGTGTGCGCTCATGTGATATCCGATGATCTGCAAGCCATTGAGGCCTCGATAATGTACTTGTCAAGTGAATTAAATTAAACTCAAGCAACAAGAAGAAGAAGAAGAATATTACTAACTCTTCTTTAAACTCACCACCCCCAACAACAACAGCTCGTGGTCTTTCTTTGTTTGTTTCAAATTCCTGCTACATCATTTCTGACTAAGCACTCTCTTGAAACAAGCCTCTGGTACCTGCAGTATCCCGTGCTGAGCGCGGCCAGGGGCCTGTCGCAGGTGGTGAGCTTTGACTGTGGCCATTGCTCAGATCAAAGCTGAGCTCCTGTCCCTTTACGAGCTGAAATCCCAGGTCGTACAAGCTCAGCAACAACTTCGGAGGGAGCGAGATTAGTGGCTGCTTTTTAACTCTTCCATTGATAAATAGCGCCCCTCCTCGTCATATGCGCATGAGTTGATGCAGCTTCTTCTCAGCTCTCAACGCCCTTCGCATTCCTTTTCTCTTTGATCCTCCCCCCACCAACAAACAAGCAAACAAACGCCAGCAAACAACCCTAAACTCGTGCTCGTGATGGCTTCGGTGTTCGAGTGGCAGCCTAACAGGTTTCTGCAGGACCATCGAGGTTCGCAGCCTTTCGCCCTCCTGGTGCTCAACCAGCCGCTCAAGAATGGCAGCAACCTGCGCAAGCTCTGGAGAAACTGTATGTCCAAATATTGCCCCTCCATGCGCAAGAAAAATGCCAACATAATGCTGACACTCGACACAGCTGCTCTCCGCGTAGCTGCTGATGGAGGCGCCAACCGTCTTCATGAGCTCTCTTCATTTCAGGGCAAATTTGTGAGTCTTCATTTTCATCACGCCGTGTTTCGTCATTGGGTTTTAAGCTTTTTAATTTTCTCATTCTTTGAGAGACTATCGTGACGTGATTACGAACTGCGCCTAACAATATATTCTGTAGTCGAACCTTCAAGTCATCATTGGCGATCTCGATTCATTGAGGCCGCAAGTTCACGATTTCTACACCTCCCAGCACAACCCCGCTCAGGTTATCCACGATACCGACCAAGAGACCACCGACTTTGGCAAGGCCATCGCCTGGATCCGTAAAACGCAGCCCACCGGAACCGACATCATCGCCCTGGGTGGCATTGGTGGTCGTATTGATCAGGGCCTCAGTCAGCTCCACCACCTCTACCTCTTCCAGTCCGATCCTGCGTACGCAGATGGCCGTGTTTACCTTCTCTCCGGGTCCAGCTTGACCTTTCTCTTAAAGGCTGGCACTCATCGCATCCAGGTCAAAGAGGATGGTGAAGAAGAGGTGTTTGGCAAGCACGTTGGCATCATCCCGCTCCAGGAACCAAGCCGCATCACAACCAAGGGACTGGAGTGGGATGTCACCGACTGGGAAACGCGGATGGGTGGCAGAGTCAGCACTAGCAACCATGTTCTTCCAGAAACCAAGGTCGTCGAGGTGCAGACGACAAAGGATGTCCTCTTTACGATAGCGCTGAGGACTATAGATGGTGAGGAAGACGGATAAAGCATATGCTTGGAAGGGATATTTCCACCATCTTTTGATAGCTTCCAAAAAATTATGAATGGCCTTTTTTTCTTTGATATCCATACCTAACGCCATGGCGCCTCTCCGCATGCTACTTTCCATCATCGTAAAAAGTGAAGAACGAGCCAGCAAAACAAGAAGAAGATAATGACTCCCGCGACAAATATCCATTTGTCCTCTCGGGCACGGCGCTCGACCATGCGGATTGTGTCGCCGCTCACGCCCAGTGTGTTGGCAATGCCGTACAGTCGCTTCTGTGTGTTTTTGAGCGTTTCGCGCTGCTGGCCCAAATCTCCCAGCACGGCTTGTCCCCGCGCGATGAAGTCGTCCAAGGCATGGTTCGTATTATTGAAGAAGTTTTGTTCTCGGAAAGCATGGGCCTCACGCATCTCATCGCCCGCGCCCGTTGTCAGCGAAGTACTGTTTGAACTTGTATGTCGCGGCTGGAAAGATGAATGCGTAGTCGTTGGGGCGGCATTGGCGTAAGGATTCTCCGGTGTAGCATTATACGGTCTTCTCCCGAGCAGCTCTGACCGGTTATGATTGTGTTGCGCCTCCTCCCTGGTCCTCTTCACCACATCGAGGCTGCCACGGAACTCGGACAGCTCCTCGCGAAACTTCTTGACACGCTCGTATGCCTCCTCCTGTTTCTTGGGCACAATCTCGTGGCGCGCAAGGTTGTGGTATTCGTCGAGCGACTTGGAAAAGGACGTCAAGGAAACGGATACGCTTCCAATCTCGGCGGGTGTTGGTAGATTCTTGGATTCGAGGTTGGAGAGGTCACTGCGGATGGCCTTGCTCTGCCGCAGCACTGTGTTGTAGGCGACATTCTGGGGGGGTCCAGTTAGTAAAATTAAAACATAATATAGTTGTATACACTATTGCGAATCTGATCTCCTACTTACCATCTTGACGAAACTGAAGATTTATGGATGCAGGACTTAATCTGATGCCCCTTTGAGGAGCTATTCATCCACCAGAGGTTCATAATAGGTGCCTGTTTAGTGGCCACATCGCTGTAATTCCACGGAACCAGTGGTTTTTCCATGCCGCCGCGCCAAAGGTACAAAGGCCATGTATCTTTTCTCTGCGTCTTCTTTTGGTGGATCAAAGATCGCTGCTGTGGGGTCGACCATCTCCATCAACGGGTAAAAGAAAAAACAAAGCCCGGCTTGGCAACATTGAATCAGACGAAGATGCATCTTTTAATGCATTGCAAAGTCCTAATACGATGAATTAGATTACTTTACTTCCCCTGTATAGAGCTGATCATGGCACTGAGAAGCTGGCCAGCGCGGTGCCTGTCACTAGAATCCAGCATAACCTCAAAGCGCACCAAGGATACGCAACAAATATCAACAACTTACATCCTCCTCGATCGCCATTGCATTATCTATTTTCGGCATGAAAACACTTCGTCCGATAAACGGAAGCTCCCTTTGAGCTTTGGACCACAAAATGACCTGTAGAAAAGCGTTTCAGCGTGATAAATTACCTCTTTGGGGAGACGGCTTGATTTTGCCGATCTCGGTACCGAGCGCGGCGACATCTTCACGGCTCACAGTTGCCGAATACTGACCGATAGAATGGAGAGGGAGTTGGATTTTTTCTTTTCCTGATCTTATCCCCGATGTGAGATTTCTTCATAAGCTCCCATCTTCCAACTGTCAACTGTCAACTCTAAAGCTTCGCAGGAGATGAGAACAGCATCATCTGTATAAGCGTCATGGGCTCATCACCAGAGGACACGACAAGCGCTTCAGAGTCGGACAAGCACCGGCTCTCAGTTGATCTCGCCGACCCTGAAAAACAGCCCGTGCCTGTGGAAGAAACGATTCCCCCTCCATACTCCGTCTTCACAACATGGCAGAAGCGAATGTTGGCTCTGGCAGCCGCCTCCACGGCCTTCTTCTCTCCTATATCAGCTCAAATCTACTTGCCGGCGTTGACACAGCTCTCAGATGAGCTCGATGTCTCCAGCACCAAGATCAACCTCACCATTACGACTTATATGATCTTTCAGGGCATCACTCCAATGTTCCTCGGGTCTCTAGCAGACAGTGGTGGAAGGCGGCCGGCATACATCGTCTGCTTCGTGATATACATTGGCGCCAATATTGGTCTTGCTCTAGCTCCCAGCTATGGTGCGATTCTCGGTCTCAGATGTCTTCAATCGGCTGGCTCAAGCACCACTGTGGCGTTGTGTATGGCCGTCGTGGCCGATGTCATCACATCTGCCGAGCGAGGTCAATACGTCGGCTTCACTGTAGTGCCAGTAGTTCTCGCCCCAGCACTTGGTCCTATCATTGGAGGAGCCCTGTCTCAGACGCTCGGCTGGAGGGCCATATTTTGGTTCTTGACTATCATGGCAGGGGTGACGCTATTCCTCATTGCCATGTTTCTGCCCGAGACCTGCCGCCATATTGTCGGCGACGGCTCCATCTACCCACCGCCGCTATACAGATCAGGATGGCAGATCCTAACGTCACACCGAAACAAGAATCGTAAAGCTCCACCACCAGAAAACAAGTTCAAATTCAAGCCTCCCAATATCTTGGGCTCTCTGCTCATGCTGCTGGAGAAGGAGACAGGATTGCTCCTCAGCACCAGCAGTCTTATCTTTGCAGGGTTCTACTGCATCGCCACCGCAATGCCCACTCTGTTTAAAGACTTGTATGGTTACGACGAGATTACGGTGGGATTGATGTACTTGCCATTGGCGTTTGGCTCGATTCTTGCCGCCATGATAGTCGGTCCTGGAATCAACTGGAACTATAAACGACACTGCCAGAAGCTCGGCATCCCTCTAGATCGCAGCCGCCAGCAGGATCTTTCCAACTTCCCCATTGAGCGTGTGCGTCTAGAGATTGGATTACCGCTTCTTGGTGTTAGTGGCCTTTCCCTCATCGGCTGGGGATGGGCCATGAAATCCGTCGTTCATGTTTCTGTCCCTTGCATCATCAGCTGTCTGATGGGCATGGGCATGATTGGCTTCAACAATACCTCCAACACTTTGCTTGTCGACATTCATCCTGGAAAAGCTGGCACTGCAACTGCCGCAAACAACTTTACTCGATGCCTGGTCGGGGCTGGCGCCAGTGCCGCTATTGTTCCCCTGATGGACGCCATTGGTGTTGGTTGGTCTTTTACTATGCTTGGTCTCATTTACGCGGTTTGCTCTTTGCCTCTGATGCTCATCATGGTGAAAGGCATCTCTTGGCGGGCCGAGAAGAAGGCAAAGGAAGAGCGCAAACAGAAGAAAAAGGAAGAAACCTCGTAGTCATGGTGAAATGAAATGCAGAGTAAAATGATGATAGATGTGGACGGAAACTGCCCGGAGGCGCTATTCGTCGAGATACCCATTTCTCTTAGTTCAAAAGCATGCGAAAGATGCACGTACTTGCATTGCAGCGATTTACTTGGACACTTTTTAATATAATTCATATAGACTATTCATCAATTATTTACAACTCAGGTGCTTATCGTAAACTGCTCTTCCATAGACTATCTTTTTGAACTAGTGATGATGTCTTTAATTTAAACTTAAGAAATGAACTTGACTTATTGAGATATTTACTAGATGAAGATTCATGTAAGTCTCCGTTTTTGTAGATTGAACACACATCCTTTTTGGTTTATTTTCAACAATACCTCTTACGTTCCGCATCGGCGCCCTTAGTCTCGGTGGTGTCTTTAAAAAGCACATACAGGAAAATTAGTGATTAAAACAAGGTAGCTACAGCTTAAATTAGCATGCTCCTTTCTCTACTTCAACTTTTATTGCAGTATGTTGCTGTGAACAGACTCTAGGAACACCTACCCTGAAGCGATCACCAAACTCCTGTTAGTGAATAAGCCTCGATACAAGCATGTACAGACTTCAGGCAGATTACTAAGCAGAAACTCGAACTAAACGATGAGGCTGTCCACAGTTCTGGCTCTAAAAATATGATTTGGAAGCGCGGCAAAAATATCACGAGCCATGGGATATCTCGACTGATTATTTTCTCGTGTTTAACCGGCTGAATGTGCTGTGGGAGGGAAATGGGATCCGGCCTGGTGTGGACTTCTGTATGGGCTCTGTGTTACAGCACTGGTGTATTGGTCCTGAGCATCACGACCATCATTTTGTATAGGCTGTTTCTTCACCCGCTTTCACGAGTCCCTGGTCCGAGACTTGCCGCCGTATCCAACATATGGCATGCGTATCACGCTCGAAATGGACGCATGTTCGAATTGGGCCGGACACTGCACCGGCAGTATGGTGAAGTAGTCCGGGTTGGGCCTAATGAGCTGTGGTTCAACAGCACAGAAGCCTTTGACAAAATTTACAGTATGTAAATGATGTATGGACGATGCCCTTTGGCATATACAGACTTACAATTCTCAAAGGTAGCACAAAAGGATTCGAAAAGACGGATTTTTACTGTATGTTGAGCCAAGCAACATGGTGACTACTGTGTGCTGACAGCTGGCTGTAGTAGCAACGAGCCTGATTACGCCCAAGATAGATTGCTTCTTGAGACCTCATTTTGCCGATGGCTTGGATCTACTCTCTGAGAGAAACATGAAGCGCTACCGCCTTCAAAGGCGATTAATTGGGCGAGTTTACCAAACGGCCAATGTTACCAAATTCGAAGCAGCAGTCGACGATGTCATCAAGCAAGCGATTGCTCGACTGGAAGCCTTGGATGGTGCTGAGATAGACCTGAAAGAATGGATGCATATCATCGCCGTGGAGTGTCTTGGGGCTTCAGTTGTCTCTTGGTCCCCAGGACTGCTCAAAGCTGGAACAGACTGGGGTTCCAGCGCCCATAGTTACCTTGGCTGGAGAAGGAAGAGCGTCATGGGTCTCTTCCCAACTCTAACCAAGTTGACGCTGCGTTCGAACTACTTCGAGTGGATATTCAGGGATGTCTGGGACCTGAAGTATGTTGCTTCGCCCAACTTCAGATCATTCTTTCCTGTGAGTTGCAACCACTGCACAACAATCCTTCAAAGACTCTTACTCATCTTCATACTAGGATGTGGGCAAGCGAATCTCTCGAAGGATCAAATCTGCCTTGAAACCAAATGCTTCTAAAGATAACCGGGCTGATCTGCTGGCAGATCTAATCCAGCTTCATAATGACAAGCCTGATTTCACTGAGAGCTATCTCAGGAAAATGGCTGTGACCAATTTTGGAGCGGGACATGAGACAATGGCATCGACTTTGACGTCGATTTTCACCATGATTGGCACTCATGATGACGTACAGAAGAAAGTGAAACAAGAGATTCGGGGTGCCACAGATGCTTCGTCATATGCAGGTACAAGTCAACTGCAATATACGCGTGCAGCAATAAGAGAGGCCATGCGCCTCCATCCGGTCCTGAGCATGTCGCTTCCTCGTCGCGTTCCTGATATGGGCTCACACATTCACGGTTACTTCATCCCAGGAGGCACGACAGTCGGGTGCAACCCCGTGGCGTTGCATCGAAATGCAAATATCGTGATAGGACCAGATCCAGAGGCCTACCACCCGGACCGCTGGCTCGGTGGCGAGACTTTGGACATGCGCCTCATGGACCGATACAGCCTCAACTGGGGCGGCGGACCGAGGACTTGTCCGGGGAAGAACTTGGCCGAAATGGTTGTTTATAAAGTGGTATCAGCCTTGTTAGAACGATTCGATGTGGAGGTGGCAACACCGCCGGAAATTGGGCAGCCCTCATACTTTCTGTCAATGATCACGGGGGTCAAGGCCCGGTTCTCGTCTGTCGCTCCACAGATGGCGGGGAAAGATTACCTCTAAGAACTGAATTATGTGGCCAACATGGAGTATTAGCTCAAGCAGTACGAGGTGCCAGTAGTACATTTCTTTTGGGCTCTACCGGCATTGGGTTGAACAATGGCAAGGTTGTGGTTTCTGTCGGGATTAAACACCAGCCGGGCAGTTGTGTCGGCTTTTCGTGCTAAAATCCGCCGAAGATGCAGCTGAAAAGGAGTACAGAATGTCACCCATGCAGAATTCCGTTTCATTTGGCGTCATTCAGATAAGGCAACTCTGTTGTGGTTGTTGCATTGCTCGGGAAAGTCAATGTTACTTGCAGTTATGCCAAAGACTTGGCTTCCAACGTCAATCCTTTGGCCGTTGTTTGGCTGTTTCAGCGTCGCATTGCGCATATCAAATGACATCTCCGAACCCAAATTTGATGATCCTTCTCACGTTATGCTAATGTACTCGTAGGCGCTAATGCCGTATGGAAGTAGTGCCGTGCATTCATCACATTTGACCAACACTTCACCTCCAAATGCCAAGGAGTGGATGGTGGAGCCGAGCGTATTGCTAACGGAGATGGGCAACGAAGAAGGAAAAGCGTAGTTGCTTGAGGTCTTATCAAGCCTGCAAAAGTGGTTTCAGAGGCTCATGGCAAGGTGATGGTTGACTGAGACAACAGTTGACAAGGTGGCTTCAGCCACGAGCAGAGTTTTCACTCGCGACTAAGGTTAGACTTTCAGCTGAGTACGAAGAGGTGTGTTCGCGCCTCGGCCCTCTCACTGGTCAGATCGGGACAAGTGACGAGGCGGCAAAATTCGAATGTTCGGCGAACCGCCACATTAATGGCTTCGCCCTCGGGGACGCCTTTGAAAGAAGACGGGCGCTGCTTTCTGCCATCCAACATTGTGTCGGTCCAAGCCAACGATGCGCCATCCCCGCTTCTTTGTGCACCCCGGACATGCCTAGAAATGATATCGAAGCTTTCCATTCGTGGCGTTCTTAGAGGACAACAAATGGCCGAACGACTTGGCCAGAAACAGCCGAGGACTGGTCAGACTACCCCCACTTAGACGCTTGAGGCTCTTGGCGCGTCTGTCTGTAATAACCTTGTTCGGAAAGGTGGTGACGGGCTGATATTAACTGTTCCATGCGAATTACTTGGAACGGTACTCGTACTCATACTGAATCAAGATGGTTAATGACTTCGTACAAGAATCAAGGCGGGTTCTGCCAAGTGATAAAGCAACCGACTAGCACCAATGAGCAACTAACCGGCCATGATAAGACAGGATGATGATGCGCCCACCAGGCTGTAACAGCTGACGATGTCAGGTAACGACGAAATGACGGACTCTTATTAGGTAGAAGCTGCGGCTGAAAGTGTCCCAAAAGAGGCCCCTGGTTCGATCTGAACCTGCGGAATCCTTTCAGACCCCAAATCCAAACGGCATGCCATGGTTAGCCGTCTCTGGCCGCCGTGCGCTAGCAAAATAGGCTTTTCTTGGTCCTGGTAGGGCAGAAGGAGTTTGCGATGAGAATGCGAATACCTGTAGCATCATAACCATGACTGATGCTGATCTCTACTGGCTGAACAATCACAATCTCTACCCCGTATGGGGTAATCCAGATTTCTTGGCTCGTCTCGACGTCAAAATCCCAAAGATTGGGTGAAGCTCGGCTTCTCCCCAGATATTCCCCAATATCTTGACTAACAGATTGCTCTGCATCCCCATCACAGGATTGACACAAAGGGGCCATTACGAGAAGTTTTGCACGCAGTGGCAATAGGCCCACAAAACCCCGTATGATTCTGAGATAAACATGTGCAACAAGAGAGTTGCCATGACTGGGTGTTGTGGGCCTCGGGCAGCCGGTAGGGTTGCATCCATCGGTTTGGAGAGGCCTCTCCTCCTCACAACCATGAGCGTGAAGCTGCAGAGAGTCGATCGCGAAGAGTAGCGCTGCTCTCCATGTGCATAGTATATCGCCAACTGCCCTTGGCGCGGACTTTTGCGCGAGCCACATGGACATGGCTTCCCATCGTGCATCCTTAGACTGGCCGCCACGCAGCTGGGAGCGGCTATTTTCGACTACTACTTGTACATTCTTTGCCCTGGTCTGCCCAGAAAGCCATGAGATTGCCAGCAGTGGTTCCCCTATCGGGCTGCACGCCGTCACGCCACCCGCTCTTGGGCTTAGACCACGGCAAATTCTTGCTGAGGCGTCCAGGAACAAAAGAGCGCAGCCAACCCCGGTCAATGCCGCCCAACACCAGCAGTTGTCGATTCAAGTTTCTGCTTCCCCTTGCCGGCCGGATGACTCTTGGCCGCCCGTTTCGACTCTGTTTCTCGCGCAGTTGCCGATTGCGTGCTTCGGCGGCTCTCGGCGTCTGGACCAATGGGGGCTTGGAATGCTGATACCCACGACTAATACGCATTACGAGTAACCACGTCGAGCTCGGTGTGCTAGTCGCTGGAATGTCGTTATGGAGCATCGTCCTGTCCTTAAAAGTAACCTTGGTATTTGAGCTTTACGCTTGAAATTAGAAAGCGACGGGGGACCCTCAGTGTCTGTGGAGCGTCGCATGTCGACCCTGTAACCACCAAGCTTAAAGAGAATACGAGCGATGCCATTGGACAACACATGCCGTAGATGGGGGCAAGGGACTTTTGCAGAGTGGCGCCTGTGCGTGAGTGAGTCGAGAGCCGCTCGCTGGCCATGCCAGGATCAGCCTAGGGTTGCATGCTAGCCATGCTGATGGTGAATTTGCCGTGGGTTCTTTGCCTTCGCCGGACCCGGCCGAGAGACGAGAAAAAAGCATAACAAGCTTAAGGTTGAGGTTACACGGAGAAAAAAAAATCTAGCATGCAACCGTGGCAAACATCGCGATCGCATGCGTCCAGATGGGCCACAACGCTTGCGGATGCTTGTCTCCCCCCATATACAGCCTCGTACTCATGCCAGGACACGAAGAATCGATCGCGGAGCCATCAGTCATGGCAGCAGATAGCGATTATTCGCCAGGCTCAATATCTGTGTCATCGCTTGGATGCCAAGCAAGGCTATCTGTCGCCGCCCCGCCGCCATCACATGGCTTGTCGTGTGCTTCCCCCAGGAAGATCCATTGCGTCCTCAGCGTCGATGTACAGTACCCGGCCTTGTGCTAGGCTGCTACATGCTTAGTCTGGCGCGCCAACTCGCCGGGTCGTTTGGGAGGCTTGCAGGCATTTGATGCTGCGCTTTGCTTCGCCTGATCCTGTTCCTGAGCGGTAGATGGCTTAGATCTGGGGCCTTCGGACAGGATGAGGCGAGTCCTGCGATCAGCCAGCTGCGGAACCAACGACGGCATGTGAGTCTAAAATAGCCGAGGAGGCCAGACCATGCTTAATGGCGACAACGTTGCACTGTGGAGGATACGAGTGCAAGCATCCGTGGCAGAGGAAGCTTGGAAGCATGGAGATGCTGGCGGTCAATCGCCCATGACAAGTATTAATCCGGGCAATTCGCCATGCGCTCCGCAACTAGCTCGTGGGAAATCCCACCTCTTCGCTATCAATCTGGCGTCTCGCCACCTCCGCTAGGGCCCTTTCATGCTTGGTGGCCCCGGCACTGGTCCGGGATCTTTTGTTTAGTTGCCACCGGCTTGGCCTGAAGCAGTATCGCCGTCCGGCGGCTGCTAGTCTTGGCCCGAGAAGATATCGACCGCGTTGGTGTACCTGTACTACCACTAGCAGCAGGTTGACTTCGTTTTCGCCTCCACACCAGGGCAGAGCGAGATACGATACGGGACGAACAAGGCCAGGTCAGCACATGGCATTGGTTTGGGGTACTTGTTCCGCAGCCGGGCTAGTCGAACCCAAACCCATCGACTCAGGGTACGTTGTTGTCTATATAAGTCAACCTCGCGGCCTCACAATCAATCGACTCCCTTTCCTTCTCCTCGTGCTGTGAAGCCCATCCGTCTCTGCCCACTTCATTTGCTGGGTCGTCAATTCGAGCCACTTAGAAGCTCGCCAGGTTCCTTCAACCTCCCTTCACCATGAGCAACGCTGCCAACCTCGACGTCGATGTCATTGCCGAGGCCGACCACCGTGCGGCTGGCTTTGACGACAAGACTCCCGCTGCTGTCGACGTCCGAAGCGATGAGGACTACGATGACTTCCCTACCGAGGACGAGCTGCGCACTCTGCGCCGTGTCTCCGGAAAGATCAAGTGGAGCATGTATACCATTGCCTTTGTTGAGCTTTGCGAACGTTTCTCCTACTACGGATCTTCCGTCCTCTACACAAACTTCGTGAACCGCCCTCTTCCTCCGGGGTCCACTACTGGTGCTGCTCCTGATGGCCATCCTGGTGCCCTGGGAATGGGTCCCAAGGCTGCTCAGGGTATCAGCTTGTTCAACCAGTTCTTCGCCTACATCATGCCTCTCGTTGGGTAAGCTTTGGCTCTTGCTCTCTTGTAAATTCGCTTGGTTACTTACACATCACAAACAGTGCCTGGATTGCCGATGCTCGCATGGGTCGTTTCTGGACTCTTCACCTTGCCATTGGTATCTCCACCATTGCCCACGTTATCCTCGTCGCCTCTGCCGCTCCTGGTGTCATCGTGAAGAAGGACAGCGCTTTTGCCGCCTTCATCATTGGTCTCATCTGCCTTTGCGTTGGTACTGGTTTCTTCAAGGCCAACGTCTCTCCCCTGCTTGCCGATCAGAACGAGGATAGACGCATGCGCGTCGAGACCCTGGCCTCTGGCGAGCGCGTCATTATCGACCCTGCTGTCACCAACACCCGTATCTTCCTCTACTTCTACTTTGCCATCAACATCGGATCTCTTGCCGGTCAGATTGCCATGGTCTACGTTGAGAAGTACGTCGGTTTCTGGGTTGCTTTCCTCATCCCTACCGGCATGTTCCTGCTCGCCCCCGTCGTCCTGTGGAGCCAGAAGAAGAACTACCGCCTGCAGCCTCCCACCGGCTCTCTGCTCCAGAAGTTTATGCAGATGTTCTTTTATGCTCGCAAGAACTCCAAGGGCTTCTTCAAGGTCAACTGGGATGTCGCTCGCCCCTCTCGTGTTGCCGTTGCAGACCGTCCCTCGTGGATGACCTACGACGACGCCTGGGTTGACGAAGTCCGCCGTGGTCTCATGGCCTGCAAGGTCTTCCTCTTTCTCCCCATCTTCTTCCTGGCCTACAACCAGATGACTGGTAACCTGACCATCCAGGCTGGTACCATGGAGCTCCACGGTGTCCCCAACGACATTATCCAGAACCTGAACCCCATCTCCATTGTCATCATGATTCCCCTCATCGACCACCTCCTCTACCCCGGTCTCCGCAAGATTGGCGTCGCTTTCACCCCCATCAAGCGTATGACCACTGGTTTCTTCATCGCCTCCCTTTCCATGGTTGCCTCTGCTGTCATGCAGCACTACATCTACAAGATGAGCCCTTGCGGCGACCACGCCAACGGCACCATTATTGTCGATGGCGAGGAGGAACTCTGCCCTCCCGCCCCTATCAATGTCTGGGCCCAGTGCTTGCCCTACATCCTGATTGGTTTCGCTGAAATCTTCGCCAACGTCACCTCCTACGAGTATGCTTACTCCAAGGCCCCTGAGAACATGAAGTCCCTTGTCATGAGTGTCAACCTGTTCATGAGCGCTATTTCCGCTGCTATCGGCGAGGCCTTCACTCCTCTGTCCGACGACCCTCTGCTGGTCTGGAACTACACCACCGTTGCCTGCATTGCCTTCGTCGGTGGTGCTGCTTTCTGGTTCTGCTTCCGTCACCTCGACTCTGACGAGGACAAGTGGAACATGCTCAAGAAGTCCGAGTTCATTGGCCAGAACCAACCTGGTCTGGGCAAGGACGCCGACGAGGAGGCTTAAATTTCTCTTTTTCTTTGACGTACAGATGTGTGATGCTTTTTTAGCAAGGTCGGGATATGATACCAAAAATACGTGTAGCAATATATGAATATCTAATATAATGAACATTTCAAATACTTTTCTCTTTTCGCTCACTTTTGTCTACTCTTTGTTCCTGATCAATGACTTGGCTCTTCCGTCTTTGGAAGCTGTCACTTATTTACGTAAACAGCAGTTGAGTTTGCGAGAAGCGGAAAAAGACATGAAAATCACGGCTAATTTTACTGGTTTAGGCAGAGTTGTCAGAGTCCGGGATTAATTTTCTGGGGCGCCGAAGCCGGATGCGGAGACTTGACGATTTTGCGCCGGGATTTCGGTACTTGATCCCGATGAATTATCGGCGTGGTAAGAACCCTGTTTTTTGTATGTTGGCCGTTAACGCAAAAGGGCGCAGATGACTCCCATTTCTCTCTCTTTAATAAAACGGCCTTTTTCTTCTTCGACGCATCGTTGTGCTATTCTGCGTCATCGAAGACCCGCGTGTTGAGTTGCAGAGTGGTTTTAGATGGTATGCGCTGGACACGAAAACATATTGAGGGACAAAGTCAGAGGGGAAATACCCTATGCTGGATAGTGGATGAAGATCAAAGTGCCGCCACGAAGCCGATGAGAGATTTTCAAGTGTTTGCTCCGGATTGATAAGAGGCGGCTCAAGATAATCGCTCTACAATAAAGAGAATAAGATGCATCGTTCATCGCCGTCTCACGATCCACGGGACGAGATAACATCCCAAGTTCCCGTCGATAATACACCGACATCAACGGATAACTATCACCAAAATGAGAAACTAGGCCAGCATCAAGAGCAGGATCTGTATGAAGAACCCAACATCATCCTTCCCCCTACTATCAACGCCGCCTACGACTGGACCGGTCCCGATGACCCAGACAACCCTCGCAACTTCTCTGCCGCTTTACGCATTTTCAGTACCATTGCCATAACTATGCTCGCCATGATTGGTACTGTAGCTGGATCAATGTACGCGCCCGCACAAGACGCTGTCGCCTCATCCCTCCATTGCAGCCGTATCGTTGCCGTGCTACCCCTTTCGCTGTATAACCTGGGCCTTGCCTTTGGGCCCATGGTCGGCGCACCCCTCTCAGAGACATACGGCCGCAAGTCTGTCTTCATGCTCTCGACCCCAGTCTTTGTGCTGTTTCTTCTCGGATCTGGTTTCAGCCATTCTATCGGCGGATTAACGGCCTGCCGCTTCTTTGCCGGCGTGTTTGCCTCGCCCCTGATCAATAATGCACCAGCCACGCTGCTCGACTTTACGCCGCCGCGGTATCGGGGTGTCAGTCTAGGGGGTTACTATGCTGTGCCGTCGTTTGGTGCTGCTTTGGGGCCCTTGATTGGAGGGTTTGTCCTACTCGTCAAGCCATGGCAGTGGACGCAGTGGATTTCTATCTTCATCACGGTAGCGTTTTACATCCCTGTGTGCTTCACTCGCGAGACGTACAAAAAGGTGATTCTCAAACGACGAGCTACGCGCCTAGGGCTACGTGACTCGGCGTCGCAGCGAACATCACCGGGGCGGGCCTTTAGATACTTCTTCACGACCCTGATCCAACGACCTCTGCACATGTTGTTCACGGAGCCGATTGTCACACTAGTAAGCGTGTATAACGGCTTCCTGTTTGGTCTTCTCTATACGTTTGTCGTGTCAGTGCCTTGGATATTCAGGCATTACTATGGGTGGTCGGCGGAGAGCGAGCCGCTGTCGTATTTGGGGTTGATGTGCGGCACAGCTCTTGCAGCGGTGCCCCTGATTCTAATCGATCTCTACTCCTATCAAAAGCGTTTGACGGAGTGGCAGCTTAGCCATGATGACGATGAGCCACTGCCTTCGGAGAATCGCCTCATGTCGGCTCTGATTGGAAGTATTATGCTGCCAATTTGCCTCTTCATTGTTGGCTGGACGGTGCATTTCCACGTGCACTGGATTGTGCCAATCATTTTCCAAGGCCTCGTAATGCTGTCTTCTCTACTTGTCTATGCGGGCGCTAATCTCTTCATGCTGGACGCCTATGGCCCGCTATATGGGGCGTCCGCGTCAGGATCCATGATGTTCAGTCGATACTTGCTCTCCGCTGCGTTCCCGCTTTTTGCGTTACAGATGTACGAGAAGCTCGGGGCGGGATGGGCTACGAGCATTCTTGGTTTTGTGACATTGGTGATGGCACCAATTCCCTGGTTCTTTAGGGCGTACGGGGAGAAGCTGAGGGCGAGAAGCAAGTACGAGATGAGTACCTAGAGAGTTGAGGTGTATGATGATACGACAGTTATGATTGGCATTGCGATTAATGTATACGTTACAACCTTGATTTGGAATACGTATCAGATAGATGTGTCGAGATCTTGATGTATGATAGAAACGCTTCTTACTCTACTCATCGAAAATGGAACACTTTCAATTACACCGAGTGTGCCTTCTATATATAGAAATTTCTTTTTAACAGGTATTGGCAGGGTAGATGATGAGATCAGAAAGCAGAATCGAAACTGTAGTCAAACTCTTGAATGTTTTACCAAATTTCCCATGTTCGTTATCACGATTCGCTCTGCCGCACATAGGCAAGGTCAATGACACAAATGCTTGTCACATATCAACCAACCCCTTTAAGTTGGTACTGGGATGCGTAATTCCATAGAGGCTGAGCAGAGTCGCTTGGAGATAAGGAATTATACGACCAGCACTAAGCAGAGATAGCCTATGTAGATCCGTACGTCGAAATTAGAGTTGCCAAGCCTAGGCCGCTTCAGATCTGGGCATCTGCTGTCTATTTTTGGATGAAACAATGACAAAAATTGCTGTATTGTAAGACGCTCTGCGTTTCAACTACGGCCATTTGTAAGATCGATTCGTCGGGATATACAGCGGGGGCTGTTGACTGCCGATCCAAAAACATTGTAGACGCCAAATGGTAGACCGAATGGAAGTGCATCAGTTGCCGGTCCTCAGGTCAATATTATCGAACGGGATTGGGTGGACATTGCAAAGAGGCAGTGCATTGCTTTTTCAGTTTGTCTCATTCTAGCTCGCGCTAATTGGAAGCGTATGCTACTACCAAGAAATTCCTTGACTCAAGACCCTGGGTTGCACTTACAATGCCAGCTCGGATTTGGTCGCTTCTCCGAGCATCCCGTCTCAGTTGCACCGTTCAAGTCTCCGTATTCTGATGGCTAGACACTCGTATTTACGAGATGCGACAATGAAAGATATCAAGAGAAAGAAAAAGTGTATACTTGCTTTGTTTGTTTTTCTCCGATTTGTCCGGGAACTCGTACTCGAGTTTCATTACAGCTCTACGGTTGAGTTCGAGTTACTAGGATCCCGGCTCGTGAAGCATCAAGACCTGGTTTCCAAGTACAGGTATTCCCGCAGGGTAACTCGAACCTTTTTTCTCCAGCGGTCATTCGTACAGGCCGCAAACAGTTCATTGTTTGCAATTCTGATTTATATGCCCGTGGCGGAGCGCAAATATGCAGGGGTCATCAATCCCCCCCCACTACCCCAGCGCCACGATGCCACGCTTCGGGAGCTTCTCTCAAGCATAATTATTCTAAAAGATGTTGCGATTTTGCAGCTGCCAAGTCTATAATGTGGATATCTCATGTATTACCAGATTTCTCCATTAAATGTAGGAAGTGATCTACAATTTGCGGTCAAAGACTGGCATATTTAGGGTTGTTCGCTTTTAGTAGATGATTAAATGTGATATCTTGGCGCACATGCCAGTAAAGGGACCACATCGAATCAAACTATACCTGTCAAATCAATTAGCCTCACCGTAGATGGGTTTTACTGGAGTAGGCCCTTGGCCTCTGCACGTTGCAGAACCGTGATAGGACACGGATGCGTGCAGCTTTGCCATTTCATTGCTGCGTTGTCAACGTTAGAAATCACTGCCAAGCCCGCGACAGGGTGGCAAAGGGGTCTATGAATACCCAACTTGCCGCCAATGCAGAGTATGGGTACCATTTCTGCCTTGCAGATCGCACAACCCCTGAAAGTCTCCTAGCAGACTGCCTCGCTAATAGAATTGGTACCATCTCCTAATCTGCTGCCGATTAGTGGGATCGGCTTTTAAGGGCGGCGCAAGTGCCGGCGCCAGGCCCGGGTCTGCAAGGTTCCGACTAACGTGGGTCACGATATTTGATACGATAGAGCTCGAGCGGAATAGCCGACGGAGCTGGCTGCCACCAGCAAACTTATCGAAATGAGACGCGACTCGTGAAGGATAGCCTTAATTGTAATGTCTCGGATTCGTACTTGTTGCGTCAGCTCTCTACATGCAACCCTCTGTCTATGGGGCGGTTGTCAAGGAGTTGCCGGGGGCTTGGATTTCGTATGTGGGCCAAGGCAAACAGACTCGGGGCTGTGATTATTGGAGTACTTAGATATGAAAGCCCTCGATGGATTCGAGGCCTGTCAATGATAAGTTTCGATTCTTCTAGACATCTTTCTAGGGAGACATTTCAGTATTCATTAAGCCTTTGTTAACTTCATACTTGCACGACGCCATCCATCATGGCAAACAGATCACACTCCCAAGCGTGGGAGAGCCTGCCAACCCCTGATAGATACGAATCCAACGGACGGGAACTTTCAAGACAATATATTACTTTTGAGCACGATGTTGAGAATGGACGACTTGAATCCAGCACCAACAATCACGCGAGGTCATTTTCTGGCGACGTTACCCGCACAAACACACCCGTCCCCGACGACGAGGAACATCCAATCAATGAGAAAGCAGGCTTATCCCATTCTATTGACATTTACGACCCAAACCGGCCGAAGCTTCCTATACGACAGAGACTTCAACACTTCACATGGGCTTGGTATACGTTGCCCATGAGCACAGGCGGTCTCTCTTTGCTCATATTTGCACAACCACATCAATTTAACGGCGAGAAGACTGCTGGCTTGGTTGTTTACATCATAAACATCATCATATTTTCCCTCATAACAATGACTATGACTGCTCGCTTCTTCCTACATACTGGCGAATTGGTTCGGTCCTTGACCCACCCTAGAGAAGGCTTCTTCTTTCCAACCTTCTTTCTCTCCATTGCCACAATCATCACGAGTACCCAACGATACGCTATACCAGATGATCACGCCATATTGGCATGGGCCATACAAGCTGCTTTTTGGATATACGTCGCCTTGACATCAGTGCTGGCCATCGGCCAATATAGCTACGTCTTTGCAGTTCATAGCCTCAACCTGCAGAACTTTATGCCGACCTTGATCTTACCAATTTTTCCCATCATGCTCTCGGGAACAATCGCGTCTGTCATCGCATCAACACAACCTGAAATCGCTGCCATGCCTATTCTAATCGCTGGACTTACATGTCAAGGCCTTGGAATGTCGGTTGCCATACTGATGTATGCGCATATGATTGGACGATTGATCCAATCTGGCCTACCAAATAGAGAGCATCGACCTGGCCTTTTCATGTGCGTTGGTCCACCATCTTTTACAGCCTTGGCCTTGATCGGCATGGCAAATGGTGTGCCCGACAGCGTTGAGGAGCTGGCCATTGATAGGAGTATCATCAAGGTGGTGGCTGTTTTAGTAGCAGTGTCTCTCTGGGCTCTCAGCTTTTGGTGGTTCGGCATCGCCGCCGTCGCTGTTATTTCGTCGCCACCCAAATACTTTCACCTTGGTTGGTGGGCCATGGTGTTTCCCAACACCGGCTTCACGCTGGCGACAATCTCCATTGCCAAGGAACTGATAAGCCCTAGTTTGCAGTGGGTCACCACGGGAATGAGTATCTGCATGCTCATCATGTTTATCTTTGTCTTTTATAATCATGTCCGGGCCGTTGTTGTTCAAGATATCATGTATCCGGGAAGAGACGAGAATGTAGAGGACCATTGAGAAAGAGCTATCGGGCATGAATCAATGCGCATAGGGTTGCAATTAAAATAGACAGAATTTTTTTTTTCGATCTTTTTCTTTATTTCTTGATGAGTTTTGGATATCCTGTATAACTGTAATTATAGAATCTACTGGTGTTGATGGTGTATGCATTATATGTAACCGCGTGTGTCTTAGGCTGAATGTGGAATAGAACCATAATGAGCTCTCTTTATATTACGACAAATCAGTCCATTTTAAATTCTTTATCTCCCTATTTTCCTCAAACCGAGAATATGCACAGAAGTCGCATCATCCAACGCCTGCCTGTACAAGATTACCGGATTAGGTAATAGGCAACGGCCCTATGTCCGGCCTTTTCTGTGAACCAGTCCCGGATATGATTGAAGCATAGCAGCGTCATCTCCGACTACGTATGGGATAAATACTCTGGGCTACAAATTGATAAACTCCATCGCAACATCATGGCTTCTACTGCAGCACTTGATGTCTTCATCATTGTCGCTGGTTAGTGCATTGTACTATAGACTTCATTTTCGTTCGACCAAGACATGTTCAGTCGGCCGCGTGGCCTAATGGCTAAGGCGCTAGATTTCGGTTCCGATACACCTTCTCTAGAGATTCCAGGTTCGACTCCTGGCGTGGTCGCTTCATTTTTTTTTCGCCTCTGCTGGCTCCGTCTTTCCCCACAGTGCTTTTCTCAAATCAAGAGCTTTGAACGTATTCATGTGTCAGTCGATACAGAACTGAAGGTTTTCAATATTTACTTCTTCATTCAGAGCTATTTACAAAAAATTCCCACTATGGCTACTCAGAGAAATGAGCTCCCGGACTTCCGATTGCCCACCCACCATTACCATTCGGCGAGAATCCAAAATAGCGGCGGATGTTCTCAATGTCTGCCTCCCATTTTGGATCTCTATTTTTATCCAAGTATTCATATATAGATTCACACATGACTTTTGTGCGAGTTTTTGCCCACCAGACGTCTTCTGATAGAAGCCGCCAAGCAGTTGCGTAAAAGCAGAGCATGATGACTAGAGCCTCGGTCTGGTTTTCCGCAACGTCTTCTTCAAAATCCTTGGATGCTTTAGCAGGCCAGAAAAGAGTGTACACCTGTATCTGAGGTAGCAAATGGTGGATAACCCTGCCCTTGGATACGGCATGCATGGTTCTGAGAAGCGGAGTCAGTCGGTCGCAGGCGTTGAAGCTTTCACCCCCTATACAGCATCCATCCATGCCACTCAAAGCCATTGTTCGTGCGCTGAAGAACACATCGTCAAAAACAAATGTGTCCCCAAGCGATGCTTCAAATTGCTGAAACTCATCGATACTGTCATAAGACATAGGAGCCTTGAAGATACCGCTTGTGTACCTCTTGTCTTCCTTCATAGTCTTCATGACCGTCTTAAGACCAGCCGCAAACTTGAGTAGTCTGTCGGGTTCGCCTTCCAAATGGATCTTCTCATCTCCGTATGCAAAGAATGGCATGGACCAAGCATAGTGCACGAGAAGCATGGCGCAAGCGATAATAATATCATGATTGAAACCGTCTGTGCCTTGCGATAAAAGGTCTCTGAACCCAGAGAGGGTAAGATCCAGATGATATGCCAATGACTTATTATGTTCAGCGTTGTCGGGCCAAAGGCTTCGCTGATGAGATGCCGAGATCATTAAGATGGCGTGCATGACAACTTCGTTCTAGACAGCGTCAGTACCACTAGATCATAGAAAAGAGGCGCGATTAACACACATGCAATGCCAAAGGAAGTACTCCATCTCTCCATACCAAACTGCCGAAAGCAAGAGTTGGCGCTGTGCAGTGGTCAAAATGATACATGAGCTGTAGACTGGATAAATCGAGACCGAGTCCGAGTGTCTTGGGAACGGAGCCCACACCGAGTCTTTGACTGTTGATTTGTTGCCGTGAGAACTTTGGCAACATAGCCATAATGCCAAACTCATATTGGCACGGTATATTCCTGGCAGAGCACCTCGCGCAGGAAGGCCGGACCTCATCGCACTGTGGGATCATCAGCAGAATGCTCATCTTATTTCTCTCCATCATCATAAAAATATGATGGAGATCAGTATTGAGTAACTGTACCTTGACTCTAGAAGATTTACATGACAAGCATCCTGCGCGAGACTTTGCGTGTCGTTTCCGCTGCCGCGGTTCTCGACCAAGGCCATCCACCTGTGGGGTTGCAAAAATCGGGTTCTCGCTAGTCTTTGAGAGTGCAAACACACCAAAATTTCCGTCTGAAGGCATTGCTATTAAGAATTGTAAGAAACTGATTCTCTGAGTAGATGGTTTGCTTAAAGGAAAAGGAGATTGGGGGTTTGTTCATGATCTCTAAATACATAGTTAGGCTTCGGCTTTCGCTCGCTAATCGCATGGTCCCAATATGGGTAATTCTGGTCAGCGGAATGTGGCCAAGACACTAATACAGTATTAGCACATTTAGTACTATTCGGTTAATTACATACATTTACTGGCTCTCATGACTGCGATGGCGTGGTGATGCTGTATTCGTTCATGTTGTGTTATAGGGAAATAGCTAGAGTAGTTGTACCAACACAACAAGAACAAGAATTTGGACGACTGACGCGCTATTGAGGATTTAATTGTAAGTTTAACCTATAACTAATTGTCGTTTGCTGTATACAATGCGCATGTAAGTGTAGAGGTCTCTTGTTGACAATTTCTCCCACCAAGAAGTGAAAGTGCTTTTAATGTATAGTAATTCAGCCCTTAAAGAGGATGAGGCTTGGGTGCCTACAACAAATATTAGTAGTTCAAGCCTTGTAACTTTCGGGGTTATCATCAACATACCTGTGGTTGCGTCACCCAATCAAAATGTCCCAATCTCTTGGTAGTCCAAGTATCTGATGCATAGACAGCACCTTTGGGGCCGCCCAGCAACTCCTGAGGGTATCCAGGGTTGAATGGCACTGCAATTTCAATCGATTCCTTCTCTTCAGCTGTAAGATCTATCCCTAGTGCTTCGATGTTGGCCTTGAGATGCTCAATTTTACGGCCACCCACAATGGGGAAGACGTATGGTGCCTTGGTTCTAGCCCAAGCTAAAGCGATGCTAGTGATGGATGTACCTCGAGCTACCGCAATCTTCTCGAGAGCATCAGCCATGATAGTCTTCTGGGGCTTGTCGACGAAAGCGACCTTGCGTCCTTCGCGGTCCTCTTCCTTCTCGGCCGCACGCTGGGCCGAAGTGCGAAAGTATCCCATTCCCAAGACACCGAAGGGCGCCAAGGCAATGCCTTCATCAATGCACATGGGGACAACATCACGCTCGATTTCTCTCTCAGCCGCATTCCACTGGCCTTGGTAGACGGAGAACTGAGTCAACCCCTTCTGGCGGGCGTATTCGTTGGCTTTGGAGACGACCCATGCAGGGGTGTTGGAAATGCCGAGATAGAGAACTTTGCCGGCCGCAACGAGGTTATGAAGGGAGTGCATCAGCTCTGGAATGCTTGTGGTAAAGTCCCATGTATGGACATAGTACTGTTAGACATCGAAATTAGCTCTCTTGTCCTTGAGAAAGACATGAACATCTTAGAGAAGATGGACACTAACCAAATCGATATACGATGTCTGCAGTGCCTTGAGACTAGCTTCGATGGATACCGCCAAAGACTTCTTGTTGTTTCCACCGTAGTTTGACTGGATCCTTGTATCTTCTTCAGCCAAACGCCAAGCAGACGTATACTTTGTCGCCACAATAATCTCTTCGCGGTTGTCCCGAGTTTTCATCCACTCGCCAATGATTGCCTCGGATTCTCCGCTTTGATAATTACCTGCGCTGAAATCATTGGTATTAATATTTGTATCTGACCATATTCAACAAAATAGGACAGTGACGCACGTATCAATAAAATTGCCTCCCTGGCTGTAGAAGTAGTCCAGCAACTCAAAGGATGCCTCTTTGTCGCAGCTGCCCATAATATCCTTCCAAGCTGTTCCAAATCCCATACCTCCAAGGCAGAGAGGACTGACTTTGACAGCAGCCGTAGGAGCTAGCTGGCGGTGATAGCCAAGCAGACTTTTGGGCTGAGGCGCCGCGGCGGGGAGGTTGTCCGACTTTGCCATAGTAGCGGCTCGCAATGTTCGAGTGTGTTGTGATAGAGTACTTGTAATGAATACGCTGATATATTCTATGTACTTGCTGCTTGATGCTATTCAAGATATTTCTGACTTCCATGCTGGACACGCCTCAACTTATATCTACTCTTCAGCTTCAGTTCTCCTCCCAAGCATCGTATGTCTCTTTTGGATATACGAGACCTGTCCATTGCCTAATCCGGCATACTTGAGATCGTATCCCCATTATGCAATACCACAGTTCAAAAAAGTATGAAGCACAGTACTGTTTCAATCAATTTGCTACGCGTTTTAGTAGGAATCGTCGTTTGCCGAATTAGGAATACGAGACACAGCAGTGTTAGCGTGGAAAATGCTCCTTTAGTCTCAACACCGCTTCGGTAAGATCGAGCCGGCATTGGCTCGCTGGATGTGACAGAACCACTATTTCTATCATTTTACGTAGTATTGAGGAGACAAGCATCGTAAGTATTTTAAGGAGATCTAACACTTCATTGATGCACTGGCCAATCACATCGTCTGCTATCCGAGGATGAAGAAATATAGCAAATCTCACTCGCCCCGCCATCGTGTGATGTAGAAAGCAACTTCAAGATGCTTCATGCTCCGGATATAGGGAAAACTGACTGATATTGGCCGGATTTACTGCAAAGTCCGCTAGTTGCGCAAATACTTCCATAAGATGCATTCAATGATGCTACCCAAATTCGCAAACGAGGAAGTCGGTACCTAAGTCTTTTGACTAATATGCACGTTTTTAGCTCTTTCTTGATGTAGTTATGAAGTATATAGGACAGGGTAACTGTATGCTCAACTGCGATGCTTAAATGTTGCGTCTAAATGCCTCTGAACCATCGTGCACATATTAATGGGTATTATTGAATCCCTAGATTCAGGCTAGCATAAAGAATATAAAGTCTAAGCAAAGTCCGTACTCCTCGCAATATCTTCTATAGCATTCAACTGCTCTTCCATCTTCGTCAGCTTCTGTTTAGCAACAGTTAAACAATCTGATCCAAGGAGAACCCTCAAGACTTCTCCTTTCCCTCTCTTTGCCAAATCTTCTCCTGCTGTATCAGTTGCAACATCCACAATACGCTTTCCAGCCTTGACAGGATCTCCTGGCTGCTGTCCATTCGATGTATGTTGGTAATCCACAAGCCCTCGCGCAGGAGTACCGTCGTAATCACTGAGCTTTCGAGCAGGCACCACGAGATTTGTGACTAAATTCGTCCGGAAGGAGCCTGGTTCGACAAGCAAAACCCTAATGCCGAACACGCCGACTTCAGTTGCCAGGGCTTCCGTAAAGCCGCTCAAGGCGAACTTGGAAGCCGAGTAAGCAGTTGTTGCAGGAGCACCATAGAAGCCAGCCAGACTGCTGACATTCACAATGGTGCCTGCTGCCTTTCTTCTGAAGTGAGGTAGGGCTCCTTTGATACAGCGCACGGCACCAATAGTGTTTGTTTGGATTTGGGCTTCAAACTCATCGATGCTACCAATGGTTAGACAAACCGCTATTAAAGTGTGCATTGAACTTCTTGCCTCATTTCTTCCAGAGAACCTAGCATGGCATATCCCGCATTGCAGACCAATATGTTAACGTTATTCTCCTGAACAAGTTTCTCTACAACAGTCTCCGTCTCTCGTTTGTCGACATCTATCTCAACCCATTTGCCGCCTTGTTGTTCAACAATTGGGTATTTGACAGCAGCTGATTGAGGGTTACGAGTAGCAGCCAACACTTTATGACCGGCTTCAAGGGCAGCATAGACAATCTGCAAGCCGATGCCAGAGGAGGCACCTGTGATGAGAAATGTGTGCGGTGCCATTGTGGATGATGTGAACTGAATGTCTTTTTGGTTTCTTCCCAAAAACTGAAGAAGATCCTGAGCCTTAAATACATGTTTTGAACTAATGAGACTTACAATTTGGAATCCCAACTACCACAATTTGATGGAGGAATTCACTAAGTTGCCACATCCTGCAACCTACTTACTCCCCAATCGTGATTGGTTGGACATCCATCTAAGCCACTCCATCTCGCGACCCAAAGTGTGGATATACCGGCGGAAGCACACCGCACCAATAGCAACCGAGATGTAAGCAGATGGCATCACTAGTGTACTAAGAGGCTTAGCAGCAATAATCATGACATTGATGTTATCCCATACGACTTGCGACTTTTCAACCTCTGGAACAGGCATCTGTACAATAATCGGAATGCTTCATACACGTGATACAACATCTATCATGCTGAATGACGATGATGAATGGAGAGGCACAACCGACCCTAGCGTGCGACGCAGAGTGCAGAACAGGCTGAACCAAAGAGCGTATCGACAACGACGACTGATGCTGGGAACAACGGATAAAACGCCAAAGAGGGCTACCAGTAAGACGGCAGCCCAGCGCTTGAATCACACCGATAATATCCGTGTCGGATCTGCCCGTACTGGAGCCGGCAGTCTAGGTTGCCAGGGACAAGTGGATGGCAAAAGCCCCGTCACTGGCAGACCTCAGGCTCGTGATCGGAAATTTATTGGCAAACCTTGCCTTGCTTCAAATATACGCATCGATCCATCTCCCTGGTACACCAATCCAGCCACGGTAGTTGAGCAGTTCCAGGAACTGAAGCTCGGGCGTCACGCAGGGCGATCGCCATCCAATGATCACCTCCTCTGTATAATGCAGTTCAACGTGATGAGAGCTTTTGGAACCATTAGCTCTATTATTGGGCTATCGCCAGACAATCTAATAGATGAATGTGCATCATCTCCGTTTTTCTCTTATACATCTCCAGCCGACAACATGCCGCAGTTCCGACTTCCACAGAGCTTGGCGCCGACTGCTCTGCAGAGATCAATTCCACATCACCCATGGTTTGACATTTTACCATTCCCACAGATGAGAGATAACCTATTAAGCCTTGAGAGCGGTACAAGCACGGTGATGGAGCATCACCGATACGATGCAGATAGTCTATGTCATTGGATGGTTGGACTCGACACTAGTCAGACAGAGTCTGGCCTCATCCTGTGGGGAGACCCGTGGAATCTGGCATCATGGGAAGTAACAGCAGAGTTTTTCTACAAATGGGGTTGGACTCTGGAGGGGTGCGTCGACCTCTTTAAATCGACGAATTACTGGAGGGCAAGGAGAGGTGAGAAGCCTCTCTTTAAGACGGGATGCTGAAGTGTTGGAAATCGTTCGCCAATTAGCGCTGCTATAATAAATAGATATATATTAATTACTCAAGCCATGATTACTCATCACCATTCTCATATCACACAGAGACATCTGAAGGGATTTGATCCATTGCGCATAGATTGATAATTCGCCGTCCTGCAGCGGGCAATCATGATATCGTCACCCCCAATGCCTTGTACACAGCTCTCAGGTAGCCTCCCTCTCTCCCATCAGCCATCATTTGATAAGACATCTGGTTCATGGCATAAGTAAATGTGAGTTTCCTGTCCGCGTCAAAGACAAACAATGACCCTCCCCAACCTCCCCATACTCCAACTCTTCCAGTTGGCATAAAATTCACACAACCTCGCCCTCCAAGAGCATATCCAACACCCCAGCTCAGAGGTTGTCCCGTTACCAAATCTATTCCGTCTGATTGTTCCTGAAACACAAGGTCGATCGTCTTTTGGGATAGCAGCCGCACGCCATTGACTTCGCCGCCGAGTGCCAAGATGGAGAAGATGCGGTTCATAGCACGAGCATTCGTGAACCCGTTAAAGGAGCTAAGATCAGCTTTTCGTATCGTCTCTGATCTGAGCATATTTACGTCGAGCGCAGGATTAGTGAGCGTCTTGAAGGCAACAGACCCCGCTTCTGGTGCTGCCAGGGGTGGCGTGCCCTTGAGAGGAATAACGTTGCTCACTCGAGGAATATCCTCGTCTAGCAAGCCTATTTGGAAGTCTGCCTTCAATGGAGCTGCAATTTCCTCAGCGACAAATTGTTTCAATGATTTGCCCGTGACGCGTCTCACAACTTCAGCAATCAACACCCCATAGGTGACTACATGATAAGCAGACCCCGTGCCAGGCTCCCACAATGGGGCTTGTGCCGCAAGCTTTGCTGCAGCACCTTCCTGGTCACAGACATCATCCATTGTCACTTTCTCTTCCCACGCCGAAAGACCAGAGGTGTGAGACATAAGATGGCGAATCTCAATGTTTTGCTTCCCGTTAGCCGCGAACTCAGGCCAGTACTGCGCAACTTTTGCATTGACATCCACTAGACCGCGATCTACGAGCATCAAAACAGCCAGACTGGCGAGTCCCTTGGTGGATGACCAGACTCCCACGATGGTGTCTGATTCCCATGGACGAGTGCATTCTTCGTCGGCGTAACCTCCCCAAATGTCGACCACGTCCTTGCCGTCGATATTGAGGCTAATGGAAGCTCCAACCTCAGCTTTGGAGTCAAGGTTCTTTTGGAAGAGATTCCGGAGCTCCTCGAATTTAGGGTCAAGTCTACCTTGGATTTGCGCCATGGTGGTGGAAACTGCTGTCGCTGCGGATACCACCAGTACAAAAAAGAAAATGAGCTCGAGATAAGGGTCAAGTAGTATTGAGATACTAACAGATTTTGTCAATTCATATGTCCTAGCTAGCCATGATGGTCGCCAATCTTAATGTACCTCATAGCCCCGTGACACCACCTGATTCTAATGAACCCCCCTGCGAAATCGGAGTTACTGACAAACTAATCACTGGGATTTATAAGTATGGAATTACGGAGCAAGGATCCGCAGCGCGCATCAGCGCGGATCTCCGCCATAATGCTAATCATGCGGAGTTGCATACCATTGACAACTCTGCCACCCAAAGCTGTGTAATACGAGCAGTCCAAACATTGAGATTACAAAATCAGTAGAGGCCCAAAGCAATACTTAATCCCCGACGGGAGCAGCTACGATATCTCCGGACTAAAGGCATGAGGCGGGGATAGGGAATACCTGCACTCAGTTACAAATACAATACTGCAGGGGATAAAGCGTAGTGGTAATCCTGCTTACTGATAATCTGGGATTCAGAGGATATACATGTATTCGTAAGATCGATGGCTTAGTGACTCCTAGAATACAATTTGATGTAATAATCCAACCCATTTTCTGCATCTCGCTGCGGATGAAGAATTCTCTTATACTCCAGGTCTATAAGTGGCGACATATTAACCGTTATTAACGATATATTTTTTCCGATACTGTATCTACCCTGGCATACGAATGGCATTCTAATTTTGAACGGTTTAAAAGCTTACAAATATACCATATAATCTCACTCAAGGTCTAATTGTGCGAAGCTGACCTTGTTAACCAGCAGCAGAGCTAGTATGGCGATCGGTTTCTCGAGTCTATCATTTTTTGTGGTGGAATGCTCATCACCATGACAGCTTAGATGGCTTGAGGGATGCACTGAGGCATTCATGACAACAACTAGCTATGGATAGATCAAGTACAAGGTTAAATAGCATTTAAGAGCATTGCTTACAGCAACAGAATTCTCATCTTAATTCTTCTCGTACAACTTCTAGCGCTGCAGTTCATTTCATTTGGGCGATAGTCCTGGGCAGCTAGAAGACGGATCCTCTCGATCGGATTTCGACGGCCCACTCGGATGAGGAGGGATATTAGTTATCCAACACCCTGCGGCTCATTTTGTATATGTGGTACAAAAGTATGGGAAGCTAAGTAGGTGCCTATTATAATCCTTATGTTACACATTGATACTGAATACGAGAGGTAGATTATGGTACAGATGTGAAAAAAAAAAAGTACCGGTAATAGCAGATGCTAGAAAAGGCCGTAATAGTAACAGACACCAGAAGAAGGCAGCGGTAGCGCCATATACTCGAAGCAGTCCGAAAGGCGCTCCCTCTGCGTACCATTATGGCACTTGAGCCAGAGTCGGCGGATAATTACTGCCATATTTGAGATACCACATTAAAATTCCACTTATATTGCATACTAGTCGTATATTAGTGTTTATTAGGAGCAAAAGATAAACCCTTGGTAAAATCAATCCTATTCAAAACTCGGGTATAATAACAAAAAGGCGCAAATAATAAACAAGTATTCTCAAATCCCGAAAACCATTTCGCAGTGAATATGCAGATCCGCCCAATATTAAAAGGAATCAGAAAGCGGAAAGCCAGATACCAGCCCTTATTTTTGCGATCCCACCCTACACGACCAATCCTCTATATGTACACGCTTCCGCAGAGGCCTCTTTTATTTTCTCGTAGCATTGACAACAGAGGGGCGACGACTAGCGGCGGGGGTGCCTCTAGGAGTACCACGAGGGGTGACTCTACTCTCGCCGAAGAAGCGGTTCTGCTGACTGAACCGTCTGTGAGGCTCAGGTCGACCAGAGGCTGATGTAACAGAGGCTACAAATAGGCGATTAGCATCAACACATGAAAAGTAGAAGTAGGGAAATTGGTATCAACTTACATCGGCGCATGGGATCATATGATATGCTGCCACGGCGACCTTCGTTGGTTTGCTCTTGACGAGCATCAGCAAGCCGCTGAGCAAAGGGCGATCGATGGCGCAGAGTCGGGCCCTTCCAGTAAATCACGTAGACAGCAACTACGAGGACGAAAGAAATACAGAAGAGAATAGTGCTGGCGTATTCCAGGTTCTTTCCGCTTGACTTTCCAATGTTTTGGAAGAATGGCAGGGCCGGAATGGTAAGCACACCAGCGAGGAAGTCTCGAGACCAACCATTACCACCAGTGGCGGAAGCAGAGTAGGGGCCATAAGCGCAAATCATATAGTCGATCGTAGCCATGTAGATGGCGTAGTTTGCGATACCAACAATGGCGACGAAGATCATGGAGCCAATCCAGTGGATAGGAGGCCCTTGAATAGTCCAAGCGAACCCGATAAGGCCGATTGGCAGGCAAGGGGCTGTATATAGAAGGAACCAAAGACGAGATTCGTACTGCGCACGCTCGTCATTGGGCTTGGCCTTTCGTTCCTTGATGTTGCGCTTGATAGCAGGGATGAAAAGGAGCCATGCAATGACATAGCCAATACCAATCGGGATGAAGCTCAACCCGATCTCAACAGTACCGAATCCCCACTGCTTGTACACCAAGCCGAAAGACTGAATGAACATGAAGATGAGGGCGTCGGAAAAGCCAGAGAGAAGAGAAAGTACAAGGACAATTGGCTCGGTGAGGAACATCTTGAAGGGGCGGACCCATGTGGTGAGGACCTCCTTGGCAGAGAAGCGATCTCTGAATGGGACAAGCTCGTCCGGTCCCCAAATGTTCTGACCCGTTTGCTCACGGCGCTTCTTGGCGATGCGATTCATAATGATGGTAGTTCGGGTCTCGGGAACAGTGAAGCAGTGGACAAGCTGAACAAATCCTCCCAAAATAAGCTGGACCCAGATAGACCATCTAGAATGCAGTGTAAGCAGGAGTTAAAAATATAGAAATGGCACGATAGACTAGGTACTCACCTCCAGTCAAGGTACTTCTCTGTAAAGCCACCGACGATGGGACCTAAAACAGATCCACCGACAGAGGAGAAGACGACATAGGCGACTGCATACTGCTGCTTATCGGCCTCCCACATATCGGCAATCATACCCAGTGTGACGGAGCCACCAGCTGAAGAGAGACCGCCGAGGGCTCGGCCGACCATGATGGAGGCAAAGTTGGGAGCCAACGCAACAGGAAGCTGCCAGACGTTGACCAGGAACAGAGAGAGCTGGAGGACCGGCCAGCGGCCAAACTCTTCTGACCAGGGAGCCCAAAGCTCGCAGCCAAAGGCATAGAGGACCAAGAAAATCATGGCACCACATCGGGCAGCCTGCTCGCTGACGTGGAATTCCTCTGCGATGCCGGGAATGGCGTTTGAGTAAAGAGAGGTATTGAAGTTCATCGATACTTGGACCCAGAAGATGACAGTCAAGATGTACCACTTCTTCCACTTGGGGAAGCAGTAGCCAAGTTCTTCGTAGCAGTCATCTTCAGTGATCTCATATTTGTCATTGGTGCCAATCCTCTCCAGCTTGCCATTGCTGCTGGGGGTAAGATTGGGGTCTTCAGGCTTCTCAATGTTGTCAGTACTGGACCCCTGGCCTTGGGAGTCATTTGATCTAAGCCTCTCGTTGGCAAGGTCCAAGTCATTTTGGTTAAGAATCTGAGGAGGATCCTCAGAGAAGTGTGTGTGTTGACCCGACATGTTGACGTATACCGCAGCAAATCTCTTTCAGCTTACTTAAAAATTGGAGTAGCTGACATGAGATATGGGGAGAAAGTCTGGGGAAGAGTGTGGTGAGGAGAAGAAAGAGGCGGAGGATGGGGAAGAGGAGGAAAACAAAGGATTGGGGATTGGAGGACAAGCCTATTTAACTTTATCTGCGTTCAGTATCATGATTAGACTCCCTAGAACATTCGCCAACAGATATGGGGTAGGGGCCAAGTGGTGGTGGAAATAATAATGGGGATTCAAAGTCTCACCTGGTAGCTACGAAAATAAGAATATCCACACACACCGGGACTCTAGCAAATATGACGTCCATGCCGCCCCATCTACCGGTACCAAAGAAATTGTACCCTAGATCCGGATATCAACGTCTTCGGCCAAACCGACAGAGGTTCGAGATTGTCGGGTTGTAAATGCGGATTGACACGATTACGGACGCGGATGCTGCCCCAATGCTAGTGCCAAAGTCTGTAGAAGCCCTTGCAGCCGTTCTCGGAATAAACCTCCAACGTGCAGCAAAAGACATCCCTGTATTTGAGCATTGGCAGCACCCAAGAATAGGTCTTCAAAGCTAGTATTTCCCCCCTCCTATGATCTGAGGAGCGAGCTGGGGAATGCTCTCAGCACGCTTGCGGTTCCATGGGGCAGTATCCTAAGCAACAAGGGCGCTCTGAGACATCGTGCGCTCAGCCAGCGAGAACGGACGGTCCAGACTTTTGGAGTCTCTACACGTTCTCGGCCATGCTCAAAGCAGAGACATGTAGCAGAATCTAGGCCAAAAAAAGCTCGCTCTCTGCGCTTATCGCATCTGTTCATCGTCGTGAGGTTCTAGACCGCGGTGCGCAGCCCGGAAGCATTGTCGTTTTGTTTTGATGCCCTCCTGCGATATCACCACGGCATACGGCCTCGACCATGCCATGCTGCCCTGTTTTCTCATTCTTTCCGACTCTTTCCCACTGTTTCAGAACTTCCCTGTTTCTCCAACGCACGTCCCGTCCAGCAGGCTAACAGCCAAGCAGGGCCTCAACGTCCATTCGGCAGCGGCGTCAGAGCCTCGCCATGAGTGGTGGCGGCAGGGTCGGAAGACGGCACTTGACAAGGAGCTAGCAGGGGCAAGAATCGATCGGCCCGGGGATTGCGCGCCACCAGTGGCAGAAACCAACAGGAAAGGCCTGCATCCTCGATCGTGTGTAGATTCAATCTCTGTACTTGTTTAGTACATGTCCGAACGAAGTAAACCATATGTCTGTCTGTCTGTCTGTCTGCCGGCACTGCAAAGCCGCTGTTTGAGACAGTCCCAAATCCTCCCACGCTCTTCCCAACAGCAAATTGATCGCGCCCTTGCGTCGAGACGAGGCATTTACTTGCTCCAGCTGCACCTTGTCGGACGTCCTGAGCAAGAATCAGCTCCATCGCGAGAAATTTCTTTCTCATGGGTCTTCGAAATGCTTCTGCCTGATGCTGATCCCTCGTCAATGACGTCTTGGTGATGGACGCTGATGGGCCCATCCGAAGCCTTTTGCGCGCCACGGCCAATCGAGAGCCGGCGGAAAAGTGGGCTGTGAGTCGTTTTGATGGAGCATCGTGGGACCCAAGTTCATTGGCTTAAAAAAAAAGAGCATTATTGAATGCTTCTTTTTCTTTTTTTCCTTGGTTGTAAGTCGGAGGATCTGGCGGACATGTCTTGTAATGAATAGGTACGAAATGCTTCGTCATGGTGTATCCAGTTCTCAGCAAGAGTCATGAACGGAGCGGAAAATATGGAATTTCCACGTAGCCTCGCCTCAGCCTCGGGCAACATCCGCCTCGTGTCCAAATACAAGTTACATCTTCAGTGGCACAAAGCTTCCGGCGCATAACCCTCAGCTCAGTAATCGTGCTGTTAAATCGCCATCCGCAAATCTCGATATACGCCAAATCGCCCCCGTGAAGAGCTTCATCATCCTCTCATAAACATGAACCGTTGGCCACCACTCGACCCCTCGCCTTCCGAGCCCCGAATTATGGCCGTTTGTCTGACTTGCCTTCGCCATTGCCAACCCGGTCTCTCTTCCCTTGCGCATGTCGATCAATCATGAGTCTCAGGCATTCACACTTGAATCAGTCTCTTTCATGTAATGGACCCGTAGGAGCTGAACCTGCACAGGCCATGTCCCTATTTCCGGCTTATTATGTCTCTCTTCTGCTAGGCTACAGCAATCCGCGAGGAGGAGCCATTGGAATCATTTTCAGCTCAACTGCAGAACAATTCCCCATCACCCCTTTCTCCGCCATGATACGCCTTCTCCAAGTGCCCCATTCGTGGAGCCTCTTTCAGAGTATTGCAGCACGTTGCCGTGATTCTATGGAGCTGAGACTCCATGTACCCGCAATGTTATTCTGGTGCCTAGCTAACCGACTTTTCCGATCCATTCACTAACAAAAACTATGGGAATCATCGCGATTCAGGACCCATACCACTATGAAGGGCAGCATGTCAGCGGTGTAATATGAGGAATAAGTTCTCCTACATGTTCGTTAAAACGGTAGAACGCAATCGCCCCTCTTAAGCCGTCCGTCATCATCTCATGCCCTTGGCATTTCACTTCATGTTTTGACTCAGCCTTCCAGAACAGTGAGCGTGTGTACATACTACTACATGTATGTAGTCTTGGAACGGAGTAGTGTCCAACAATGTGGATAAAGCCTTAGCGTATCCATACTAACACTGAAATGAGGATGATCTGCGTCCATTGTCGAGTCCTGAAAACGCCGCCTGTGTCTATGTAAGCTGACAGGCCATCAATGTTCCATCTTGTGACCATTGACGCTACACGCCCGTAGTCTTTGAAGCCGCCACTAGTGCTACAGTATTATTCAACATGACGATAGGGATAACTGATAACCAAGGTTTTCAACTACAGAAGAAATTTAAAGGAATTGAGTTGCTTCGGGTAAAGGCAGGTAGCCAGCACAAGTGACATCTTTATTTCTCCTCCAACATAACAGGCATACTTTCACCATGCGTTGGAAGCGTTTCGAGTAGGCCGACTATGGCTGCCTTCATTCTCATTTTCCCCATTCCATTCTATGAATCGAATCTTTCGGCCATTTTCAGGTAAAAATGGGGACAGAAGCACTTGAATCAGTTGAATGTTTGTGTTCAATATTCTACATCTACTATACACCTACTCTGATTTTTGATAGATAGAAATCTCGAAGCCGCTTTATAACGAGATTTATTCTTTTTGCATTGATTGTAAAGCATAGCTTACCCGACATAGCTTCTCAAGCACACCGAGACCCCTATGGGTCCCTTTTAGTGTAGAGGTCACAGAGGCCCCCCAAAAGTGTGCCAATGTCCCCTGAAAGCTAAGTAATCCAATTAACATCTTTCCTCACGATCTATTTACCTCAGTTTTTGGTGCTAAGATCTCCCATACAAGTCGACAGAAGATTTTCTACTTTTATATAAAAGTAGACAGTGATGTGAATTCTTGAAATAGCTCTGTGGATACATTCCACTACGGTAATGGATCCATTTCTTGTCTTGCTGCCCGCCGTAACCTCTGCGTATTATAGGCATCAGTGATGGCCACTTGACCAAATAATCAGGATGCTTAATGATTAGAGAGTGAGAGTTTAGGTTGTCACATTTGAGAATGGCTGTAGTAAATTCGTAGAGAGCCTGCTATACATTTGTCCTTATCTTACGGATACACGTATACATTTTCGTATTTCGGACTACAGAAACTATCAAGTAATATCGCTCGCAGCTTTTCGTTGGCTTTTCGGTGGGTTTTCCCACCTGCTGCATGAAAATATCTACCAATTAAGTTATTTGCACAATCGTCCCAGCTTGGGCAGCCTCTTCCACACAAAGATTATTACGTATACCAGAGAACACGGATGAAACCGCATTCATGATGATTACTCAGAACATATGTACATTAGTTTCATAATTTGACATGCATTGAGGCTTCTAAGGTAGGCTTCTAAGGGGCCAATCATAGAAGATCTCATTAATCAGATCAAAGTCGTCTACAGTTCACACAACTCGGGGCAAGTATACATCTAGGCCAGCTAGATATTAATGTCCTCTTCTCTACAATCGCCTAGATAGGATAGATAGCCAGTCGTCAGTATGGGAATTAAATTAACATTCGTTTAACTATCTACTAGCTACGTGATTCTGGCTTGGCCAATACCGACCTAACCACACCGCTGACAAAGTTAGAGTTAGAATCAAAGAATTATCCCTTGGACACAATATCCTATACTGATATATAGAAACTTGTTCGTCACAACTGATTTGCTACCTTACATGTAATTATAGCATTATTTCTTCTATTTCCAACATATTGGGTAGGTACAGGTATGTAACCACCACCGGAGTGGTCATTCACTATGAAATAAGCGCAATGCACCTTAGAAGCCAATTGCGACCGGTTTCGTCATTTATTATTAGTCTTTTTGACACATGTAAACACTGAAATACACTCATAACCTCCTTACCAGGCAGATCAATAGCCTGAAGAAAACTCAACTTCGGACTTCTACGCTAGCGCCTTACGAGTTTCCTTTCTCTGACGGCCGCTCATCATAGACAATCGGCTCCTTTGGTCTCTGTCCTGAAGTCCCAATCATTCCTCATAGCAGATTTCCAAATCTTCGTGAGTCTTACAGCGCAAACGAAGTCGCTCGTACTATCTGCCATTGCGTGGATGATCCGATCGCTTATCCACATTGAATCAGTTGATAGTTAAGAACCAAGGCTCCTACCAGGGAGTATGAACTTACAATTCTATTCGTAGTTTGGCGTCCCTGGCAACAGTAATCCCTGTAACCATGTAAACGCTCCATCGGCCGCCAAATCCCAGCAGCTGAACGCCTTTAGTCCGTTTAATATGCGCGGCCACCTTCTCATCTTCAAGGATTCTGCTTATGAACTCTCGATCTGGTTCAAAGGTGTATCGATCAAAGGTGGCACCCTCTTTGCAATTCTCCTCGGGATTCCCACAAGCAAATTTAGTCTGATGTGCAGCGAGAATTGAAACCCCGGCTCCTATTGGCGCTGACTGTTTACCTTCCACCTCCTTCCATGTAGTATGATTAATTGTGACAGCTGGTGCGAACATAATGCCTTCTTTACTCTGGTTGATGGGCTCTTCCGAACATTCAAAGGGCTTGAAATCCTTAACGATATGCCCTAAGCACATTTGACCATTTGCAAAACCGCCACCCTCGTCAGGAAGATGAGGAGGTAGGTAATAATAGTGCGTCAATTCGAACCAGGATTTCCTCATGATGCCTTGTGATGTACACGATAGAGATGCAATATTCTATGGAGTGTGCGGACGCGTCAGTATATCAGCGGCATATAAGCTGACTCAAGATCGTCACACAATCCAGTGTCGCTAGTTATATGATATTTGTCAGTTCTTTCTCAAATACGAAAATGATATTCATAGCCATTTGTTCAAATGGAGCATTGGCTATCGGGACTTACAGAGCACAGAGAAGTGAGATGGAGTCAACTGGTTGGATAATCTGGTAATCAGCCACTATTTGGCAGCTAGGTGTACAATAGAAGATTGTATTCATCTCTGAACCTATTCAAAGAAGAGAGACAACCTCTTCTTTATATAATTTTATTCAAGTCACAAAAAGCTAGCTAAGAAATGGTTCCTTTCAGCCATACAATTCTTTGTCCTCTGACGACAAATCATGTTCCACATTCTGCACAGCCCCACATCCCCCATTCGTTCAAGGGCTAACTCGAAAATCTTTATAACGTCAATACCAGCTAGAATGAAACAACTTGGATGGATAGTCAGTTTTTATTTCCTATTTCTCTTCTATTGAAGAAGCAAACTTTACTTCTTAACCCATGTGCACATAATTGAAGTGTCCACCTACCTGCTAAACAGACGGGTTACCAGAGACCTATTGAATTTAGTGAATCCACTTGCTCGGTATTGATGGGATGTTGTGTATATTTATTAATGCTGAGAAAATTCGGGTAGTCAAGTAGCACACGAACATGACTACGAATGGCTTTCCATGTGACTGGGACAAAGGAAATGCGCCATTTTGGCCTATCCGCGGTTTTATATGTACTGGAAATAGCGGATCGGTCACCCCGAGCATAGGGTTAATGTTGCAAAGAGTCTCGTACTGATACAAAGAAGAATACACCTTTGTGGCTTGAAAACAAAGAGAGCACATAGCCACTTGGGGAAGGTCCCGGCGCTTGTAGCACGCTGCGTCGTAATCAGACTGGGAAAAGACTAAGGGAGAGGATTGGCTACATAGAGCATACTACCTACATCTACTGCGTAGTAGGGATACACAAACATTGAGAAAGAGCCTTGCATTGATAAAAGGGAAATTACACGGTAGCCTATACATGATATCTGTTTAAATTAAACAAAGAGAGCACACCGCTAGTGGAGCTTTGCGGCTACATACATACGAGCCTCGGCGGTTTTAGATACGGGCTGCGTAACAAATGCGCAACAAAGGCGTGAATGAGCTTCTGTCCAACATTATGTAATCTAATTTAACAAAAAGATGATGCTATAGCCAAATTGTTGTGCAGTTACACCGGGCATTTGTGTGTTATTAATGATTCAAGAATCTTCAAAGAGGCCAGTTCCGTTGATTTGCTAATAGCCGCGGGAATTTCTTCCCCCCAAAGCCGTAGAAATATTCCTGCATATCTCTTGCCGTAGCTCCTTCTTGCTCAGGCCCTCAGGTCGATGATGTCTCCCTAACCTCCATGGTTCGATGATATCGTATCCGTTCTTCTTTACATTGCTCATACTTGCAAAGATCGCAGTCATTCCTTCCACCTCTCGAAGATACCAAGCATCTTTGATCTTGTCCTTCGTATCTGGATGGTTCGCAAAGTCTAGAATGTACGCAGCTATAACCCCTGCGATGATGGTTGAATACGATGTACCTCGAATGGGCTGATCCGTTGCATCGATTTGAATCCCTTCGCCTAGCAGAGCGAAATTGTACGTGTTAGGCACAGCCGCGGGATTAAAGCCTGGGCGGTCTGGATCCCCATCGCCGGCAGTGGAAAAACAGCATAACACTTTTGATGATTTCGAGAGGCAACCAGGAAAAGTGATTTCGCTTGCGAAACCTAGATTAGAGGCTGCTGCAAAGATGAGAGTCCTAGTATCCGATGTCATGGCAGTGTACAACTGTTGGCGATAAGGCGGGCTCCGGAGATCTGCGTTGAAACCGGATGGAATACATATTATGTCGACTTTCCACTCCATTTTAGCATATGTTATGGCCTATTAGAGTAACCATTTCGTTAGTATGGAGACGCTCAAATATCTGCAGGTGATGTTTGCTGAGAACCAACCTCCGCCATCAGTCGCTCAGTCTCCTCATCAGCATGGTTATGCTCAAAAACTCGACCAATGAATACCTTCACATCGGAAGTCAACCTCAGGAGTAAACGAAGCGTCGTGCTTCCGTGACCAGTTCCATCTTGTCGAAGCTCGTTCTTACTGGATACGAAATCCTTGTATTCTTCGATGTACTCGTTGAAGTCATGATAATAGTCTTCTGCAATTCCTGTGTCGAGTATTGCAATCTTTACTCGAGGACATTTCTTTTCATCTCTTGTTCCGATTATAGAGAGCTTCTCGGTGAAATCATCCAAATTCTGGAGCCAATTTTCGGAATACTCTAATCTTGAGATCGGTCAGAACAGTAATTTAGGATTAGAGGGGGTGGTGGGTGGTGATTACGATTGACTAGACTTTGCACCTCCAAGCCATGGTTTTGAGGTCGCTCCCAGTTCACTAGCAAATATTAGAGAGATTTCAAAGAGGAGTCATGGTTCTCATACTCAAAGCCGTGTGTAATCACCGGGGGTGGTAGCAGGGTAAGACTTTGCTCATTCATCTTGAGATTAGAGAGACCTTCCATGGCTTGAATCATGCCTTTTTCGGAGAAAGCGGCTTTCTCCGATGTAACAGGGTCGACAACTTCGATACCATCAGACTTCCAAGCATTTAGTACAAACACGCGGAATGGAGCCACGATCTGTTCATAGATCCTTTGCCTGACCATTAGGTTGTCGTTTTTGAACATAGCTTTGGTCTTGTTGTCATCTATGCATATCTCAATGATCTCCTTGATCACCATCCACGCATTCTCTGGCGGCCACAGTTTCTTGTCCTTAACCAGATCCAATGCGAGGAGATGTTGCGCAATGTTCGGGTCTTCGTCGTAATAGTTCTTAGGATCATTGAAGAATTCGAGCTCCCGACCGAGCTGTATCTCGAGCAGCATGATGCCAAGGGCAAGAATCTTCGGATAATCGTGCGATTTCCGCACTAGGATTTTTTTAGTATTTATCAGTGTCTGCGGCTCATTCAGCCCTCCCTTTCTCACGCTTCCCATATCTGTCGTAATGATATCATCAGTGGTCTCCATCATCGTTTGTTTGTCAAATCTGGTATGTAGGAAAGGCTGATTGACTAAAATGACCTTGCTGAGTCCATCTCGTTGCGGCATGAATTGGACGGTTTTGCTGCTCCAGTGGTCCCAGCTGCAGTCGTAGTATTGCCAAACAGAATCAATCAAAATATAAGAAAGAATCGCTTTGTTTTTGTGTGTCAATTCGGAACATTGTAAGAGATGAGCAAGGGATGTGCTCGGAACGTTGGTAAGAAACCGCTTCAACGCCAAACTTTCCTCTTTTAGTTTTAGCTCGCCATTTGATAGGGTCAGTTTCACTTGTAGTTGCCTTCGTGGAGCCTCAGCAATAAGTTTACAAAATTCGAATTCTTCAGGAAGCTCTAGACTCTCACTAGCAGAGTCATAAGCCTCATCAACATCACTTTTTTCAGAGACGTTGTTGCATTCATCTAACTCTGAATTCTCTTCACAGGCAGCTCTCCTGAACTCGATATTAGTCAGATGAAAAAATGACAATGGAGAAGGAAAATTGGGTTATACTTTGTAGGTGCGGTGTAAACAGATATCTGAATATCCCTCCAATAGCAACTTGAATTTGAATCTCGGATGTCGTGGAGATCTTGGAAAAACAAGTTGAAATCGGACATTTTATTCGTTTGATGCGGAGGGCTATCATTGCAATTAAGACGGATGTTTGCAGCCATAAATTCACAAGCTTGCTTGCAATGGCAGTGGCAGTACTTCATGAGTGAGTTGTGCAAGCTGACAATGAACTGTTTCTTATCTTGACAGTCCTCAATTGTGTTTCTCCTCTCCCAAAGCTCAGAAAGGTAGGGCCCTCTGAGAATGGGCTCTGCGTCATGATCGCCAGTGACATCCAAGGAAGCAGATAGCTGCACCCAAAATTTCTGTGCCTTCCGGGGAGCGAAATCGTCAAAAAATTCTTTCAGTGACTCTCTGATATATCCTCCGTTGGTCAAGAGCTTGCTGAGAGAAGGATACCATGTATGGGAGAAGCCGCTACATGCAGCATCATTCGGGTAATATAGGTCTGGCCACTATTATACACTTAGCATCTCGGCTGAATCACTAATCTTCAATGCTGCTGAAATGAGAAAAGAAAGAAAGAAATACGATATGTAAAGAAAACGGAAAACAGAAAGGAAAAGAGAAAATAAGAATTTTTTCAGCTGATGGAATCAACTGCAGTGGATTCTCAGCCAGCTTGACTGGAATGGGGGATTCATAGTAAGATGAGCATGCCAAAATCGGGCATCGAGTTAAAAGGAACAACAAACGTAGATAGGTACATGTAGAATAGCTTACCCGACATAAGCGCTCGAGCATATTGAGAGCTCTGTGAGCCCTTTTAGCGTCGTTATCATCTAAGGCATGTCCACTCTTTGTCATGTTTGTCTGAAAAGCGGCTAAGTTAAATAAAAGACTTCCGATCCTGTTATTCACACCAGGCTCCTTTGGCAGTGATTCGATCACTTGTAAAAGCCGAGGGCAAATCTCTTGCACAAAATCGGACAGGGACGTGACCTCTTGTAATGACTTTATAGGTGTACTCGGTGGGGATGATATGATCGAGTATATGTTATCGACGAAAAGTTTTAGATCCATTTCTCATTCAACTACCAGCCGTGGCAGTTGTGCATTTCAGGCACCAGTAATTGCCGCTTGTCTTGATTTATGATTGGACAATGAACGTGTTGATCGAGAACTCTGAGGCTCGTTGTTAGAGCATGAATGCCTGGTTTAGAGAATAGGAGATGATTGCACATCGTAAAGGTCGCAAAAAGTCTGCTACATATACCAAGGTCACAGATACAAATTTGCATTATATCTAATTTTGGAAGTGCCTTATTTGGACACCCAACATGCTCCGTGCTACGAGAACTGCCAAGGGGCAATACTCGCAGCTTTTCGTCGGCGCTTGCTTGGGCGGCTTTCGCTCTTTGGCCCAACTACACCAAAGTCTAAACCAGTGGAACCTCCGGTTACATTAGTGGGTATGATAGTAGGTAAGGTGCCTACCATGTAGTTAGGTGGGTTGAGGTCTAACATCCACAGATACGAAGTACGTGCTACCTGGGTAGGTAGTACACTGATGTCAGGTAGTGGTCCATAGATACATGTATCTACATACATGTAGGTAGGCACCTTAAGGTGGAGTTCCTCTCTTTCCCTTCAGCGCTTGCCCGGGCACCTACATGCATTCAGATACAGGGGATTCGGAATCCTTCGGATGGCAATCATACATGTAACGAGCACACGCAAGAAGTAAACACAAAGAATTGGACATAGTAATAACGTACATTTGCATGCCCTCTTTGCCTGTGCAACCCATATGACAGGAGGAGATGTTCGGATCTACTTACTTGTATCGGCCTCTTAGATTCGCAGCAAGTACTCAATGCCATGCGCCGTCATTACTCAATTTTTTTACGCAAAAACAGAGCAGTTTATCACTGTATACATACAATAGATGCTATGCAACACTCGAAGTCCACTGAGAGTGGCAATATGGTCATTCAATCGCATATAACTGTTCATCTTGAGTGGTACTCGCTCACTCGCCCTTTCAGCGCATGAAGTCACAAAAATACAATCATACCCTCCTCATCGGGGAGCTCAAGTGTCTGAAGGTCCCCCATTTCAGGCAGCTCTTGCGCGAGTGCCTTTTGAATTTCCTCTCTCCAAGGCTTCTCGTCATTCATCGAGAAAGTAGATCCTTTCTCCACAGTTCTGAAGTCCCAATCCTTCTCCGTGGCGGCTTTCCAGATTTTCGTGAGCCTTACAGCCCAAACGTAGTCGCTCGACTCCTTTATCAGCATAGAGGTGCCCTTTTTGCTCGCAAAGTTCGCCGCCACAGCACCTGACGCCACAGCACCTGACGCCACAGCACCTGACGCCACATTTCCAGCGTTTCTAGCCCACAATGAATCAGCTAATTGTTACCAAGTAGAGCCCCGGACATAGATAGCAGACTTACACACTGGCCGATGTTCTCGCCTCTATTTTGCGGCTGTCTCCGTATTCTCTTTTGGCGCCTCTTGCAACAATGATACCTGTAATCATCCAGATGCTCCATCGGCCGCCGATCCCTAACAGCTGAACGCCTTTAATCCGTTCGATATGCGCGGATACTTCCTCTTGCTCAAGAATCCTGCTGATAAACTTCCGGTCGACATCAACAATATAGCAATCTAGAAAATCAAACGATTCGTGGTTCTTCCTAGTGCGCTTAAAAGCAAGTTTAGTCTGCAGAGCAGTAGAAACTGGAACCCCGGTTCCCATAGACACTTTAATATTCGAGGATAGTCCAGCTTCCAGGTCATTTACATTGTTCCAGTTACACACTGTTCTGGTATGCTGGATTCTGGCGGTAGATGTGAATGTAATGCCTTCTTCGCTCCGGTTGATGACACCATCCAGGTTAACAGGATCCGGAATGATATGTCCTAAGGAAATGGACCCATTCGCAGTGCCAATACCAGTTTCGGGAAGATCAGGAGGTGGGTAATGAACTTGCTTGAGAACGAACCAGCATTTATCCATGATGTCTTATGATGTAAGATGAACGCAATGTTGAGATGGAAGGGTCTACAGAGTGCGAGACCAGTCAGGGTATTAGCAGTATATAAGCCGACTCGAGCAAACGAGTGCCACTACCTAGGTAGTTCTATAATTTTTATCAACTCTTCTGTAAATACGAATACGGCGCACATAACCGTCTATTTAATTGAGGAATCAACAAATCATGTTCCACAGTCACGCAATCTGCATCACCCCCTCATCTGTTCAAGGTGATACTGACCAATCTTCTACAAGTACGACGATCTACATCACCAGCTATTCATCTGAGGAATCAATAAATCATGTTCCACAGTCACGCAATCTGCATCACCCCCTCATCCGTTCCAGGTGATATTGTCCATTCTTCTACAAATACTAATACAACCTGGATAAACAACTATTCAACTGAGGGGAAAGCAATCATGTTTCACGGTCAACGCAATCTGTACCACCACCTCATACGTTCAGGGGGCGGCTGGGAATATATTTACACCCTCTGATAGTTTTGGTAAGATAACAGTTTGAAAAAAATGAGACAAATCGGATGAATGATACATTGATAGTTTGTTTTACTATCCTACTATAGAAGGGATACTTCATACTTATCACATGTGTGCACAGTAGGGTGGTACCGCAATAGAGCTATCTAGCAACAGCTCCGATTTGTTTACTAGGGATCAATTAAATTTACCTGCAAAAATCAGATATCGAATTCACAAAGGCTTAGGGGATTTATGTGGACCTATTACTGCTTGAAAGCTTCATAAGATCAATTGGAGCATAAAGGGTTAGTTGTAACTAGTGTTACATGTAATCTAGAGGGAGGAATGTACTATTTTGGCCTATCCACGTATTCACGGGCGTTGAACGTGCGGATTAATCACCCAGAGCATAGGAATAAAGTTGCAAAGAGGCCTTAATAATACATACTATCATCCAATACCCATATATGGCTTCAAAACAAATGGAACAGACCGCCAGTTGGGGTGGGAGCCCGGACGCCTTGTAGCATGTTGCAAAGCTAGAAAAGGGTCAAGAGAGCTAATAGGTCTCATTGAACAGACTAACTACATGTAAAAGGTACTTTTATGAGTAGGGTTAAGGCTATGAAGAGACATCTATTAATAAAACAAAAAAGAATTCCCGTTGGTTCCACCACCTTTTGTGATCAGCTGTTCGGACTTCGCCTCATGACGCATTAGCCTATAAATAATATTTGCTAAATTAAATAAAACAGAACACACCACTTGATGAGCTTGGCGGCCAGCTGCATGTGAGCCTCGGCGCTTGTGTTACGAAATTGCGTAACAAAGCCGGAAACGACTTCCTTTCAACATACAGTGACTACATGTAAATTTTAGTGTTAAATTTGACTACACAAACGCCTGAATCTGATCAATAAATCCCTCAAAGCAAAATTATAACCAAATACTCCTGCTGTAGCCAAATTATTGTGCAATAGCCGATTTTCGCGTTCATCGCATTTCTGATAGCAGGAACGGAAGAAATGATCCAATACCCAGGCTTTACAAGTTTTGCAATTCGGGATAGGACAAACAGATGCAACGAGCGATTCGAAGAATGCTTTACACATCCGAAACTGAGTGCACAGCAATGGCTCGTCACTGGGAGAGCCGATTTTAACGGCTGGTCTCTTGGCCTCAATGCTTCTCATTCTGGTCGATCATCGCTGGACCACAAGGTTTGTCAAAGACCAGATTTGATCAAGCTCATAACCCTTCTTCTTGATGGCTTGGACGGATTTCTCAAGGAATGTTTACATCAAGGTAAGTTCGATCAGATATCGTATGTTCAATTGCTGATTCCACAAGTCAACGTGGCACAAATAGATGAGCCGCAGGGAACTCCCAGCCCTGAGGAGGATGAAGAAAATCCTCTTTATTACACTATTCTCGATATCAAATCAATCCTCAAACAACTCACCATTCTACACGCTGCGATCCGCGCATCAGGCACACAGCTCCGTCATCACAAAGCTGATATCAGTCTGAAATCCGTTTTGGAAGACAATTCAAACGGGCTTCAAGAATTCGGAAAAGACATGACTGAAGCGATCTTGGCTGGACTTGAAAGCTGGAATCGAGGAGACGGGTTACCTAAGCCTTGGGGAAGTGCAAACAACAATTTAATTGAACGATTCGTCAACGCGAACGTCAAAAGAAGAAATCGAATAAATTTTGCGACAGAGGAAATTAGAAAAAAAATCCCACTACAGTTGAAGAAGAACCAGGAACCGGTCGTGGCCGTTGATTTGGAAAAGGCAGTTACGAAAATCGCGATTGTGTCGAGATTAAACGCTGGAGAAGAGACAGAAGAACCCGAACGAAAGCAGGGAGGGATGTCAAAAACAGGAGAATCTGCAAAAGATCCTTTACTGCGGCGAGAAAGGTTGTGTGAAGGATCTCAGATCCCTACTGCCGCTACTGCAATTCCATTAGATGTGGTTATCGATCAAGCGCCCTCCAGTGTCGCTGGGACCAACGGTACCGAAGCTACGGGCAGCGTCTTGGGACAGAGTTACATGTACCCATTACCCCCTAAGTGGCCAAAAGAATCTACAGTTCCGATCGAGTGCCCATATTGCTCGGAGCTATTGACCAAGGAATATATGAAACAAGCGGCATGGAAGTAAGGTTTCATGAAAACGATGACAATTCTTAGGCTAACCCATCTAGTGGTCACGTTTCTGGCGATATTCTCCCATATATGTGCTTTATCGAAGATTGCAAAACCCCGGACGACCTATACCGAACTTCCGAGGAACTCACCGAGCACGTTATCTCCGTGCATGGCGTGCCTTGTTGGATATGTGATGAGTGCACGCCCGATACAGAACAGAACCAGTTCGAGATTTTCGAAACAGCTGAGCTGTGGAGAGACCATTGCAGCCATGAACATTCTGAAACCATTCCCGACTCCATTTTCTCTAAGTTTGCGGAATCCAAAATGCGCAAGATGGTCCCACCTATCAAGTGCCCACTCTGCGACTATGCCACTTCAGAGATCAAGGCAAATATCGACCCAGAGATTCTTCGCCATATCCACCAGTTTTCTCTCAGATCATTGCCGTGGGAAGCACGGGCCGAAGGGAATCTCTCAGAAGAGCATCTAGAGGATTGGAGTTCCTCTGCAAGCAATGCGACGACATGCTTTGAAGGTCTCCCAACTCCAGTTCACCAAGCCATGCAACTCACGGACCATGAGCAAATGCAACTCTTCATTTTGGAAACATTTGAACAATTACATGAAGCTCATGACAGCCTTGCCAAAGCCATAGCAATGAAAAGTGAATATTTACCCTTAGGGAACCAAGCCGCCTCCTTGCACAAATTGGTACAAAATGATCGTTTACCCTTGGGCAACCTCGATTTACTTCTCAACAAAACTGCTTGCGAATTGATGTTGCCCGTTTCAGTTCATTTACGTTGCACTTTTGAGGAATTTCTTGCTTTTAATCGCTATATAAAAGAGTGGCAAGACGGTCAAAGCCATGGATCTTATTTAGAAGTCGACCTTGGCGGAAACCTCCTATATATGATCAATCAAATGACTGTAATTTCGAATATGGTCTTTGAGGGCATTAGAGAGACAACTACTCTCATCAAGACAAGATGTGGAACAGACGCTTATATACACCAATGGCTCGACCTACTTGATCAAAATTTTATTCCTGGGGACCCAGATTACGATCCGCGAAAGAAGGGTAAAAAGCTAACACCCCTGTTGCAAGAACCAACGTGTTATCTTCAGTAGTAATCATTTTTCATAACGTATCAATCAAAATTAGGCAAGAACAATTGAATTAACATTTTCGGTGTCTACTTGGAGTTTGATAAAGCATACATCAAAGAGTCCATTCCTCAGTTACAACGCACCATTATGGCCAGTAATTAGCGACAATGTATGATTGACCGACCGGGTGCTACTATCGATATTCGTCGGAGAACTCTTCGGCATATGCAGTTTACTTGTCGCATAACAGCAGTCTTTGACGTTGATCTATTTCAGCAAGTGAGTCGAGTATCTATACAGTTAGTTAGATGCTCAATACCAGTTCGCTATCTTTACTTTATACAGTTATGTAGCTTCAATCAGCACCTCTTGCACTTCTTTTAGTGATCCAAATCTAGTCTTCCAGCCCTAGCAACCTACACGTGTGCACCAACGCTCAGTTTAACATTACTTCATACACGTAGCTACATGTACAAACTCGGGTCTTGCTTAGGTATATAAGGAAAGGCTCTATTTCTATAACGTGATGAAAATAACAACCTCAGCGCGACATATAACGGATCGCCTGTAAATATTCAGCACACTATCATCACGATAGACTCCGACTATGTCAATTCGGATCTACCGGCTCTAGCAGGGGCCATACTCAAGTTCACCTTCAGCACGGAAGACACCGGTACAAACATGCTGGCCATGCAACGGCCGTCTTGCTGTCGTACTGTCATTCATCTCTTTGCCAAAAATTCTCCCAATCGCCGTTATTGAAGGAAAATTCTTTGTTCTTTTGAAGAGCTGCATGTAATTTCGAGTTAGAAAGCTACCCCGTCGAGGACTTCTACGGCTAGATTGTGGATCCACTCCTCTGCATTTCCCGCCGCTTTGAAGCTCAACCAAGTCTCTCAGTTAGCCTAGAGGGATTCTTCATCCCTAAATTTTGTTTCTTTATGTTACGAGCTGACAGGTAGTCACTCTTCACCTTGCCATACTCAGGAGAAACTGCGACTACCCACTATTTGGCATTCATATTCCCGAGAATCTCTGTTCTCCATGGCCTTATAAGCCATCCATGATTCAGGCATGTCAAGATGTCAACGCAATTCGTCCGCCCTCACCTACACTAGCCAAAATTTTATTACAGGATTAAGGAAGCACATGCTTAAAGCTCACGCGTTCGAGTTAAGGGGGGTTCCTATTAAACGAGCTTAACGCGTATAACAAGATTCACGATGCCCACTTGGACAAATCGCTACGGATCTCACGACTTCTTGGCATCGTACGAGATGAAAACAATTAGATATTTGGCCTACTACTGACTTATACCGACTGTGGACGCAGAATACTATCTTGTTCCAAGAACCCAGGGATAGACTCCTCTTTTCAGAGGAGATGGGCCAAGCAGATTGAGGACTCGATTGCCCAGCTACACCACGCAAGGACCGTCTGTGGTGATTCAATGCCCGACAATAACCTTATTGACAGTAATAACAACATATAGCTCATCGACTTTAGAGAGTTATACACAGAAAGTCTTGCCGAAAGAGAGTTCCGAGACTGTAGAAGGCAATTTCAATTTCTAAGTACTTGAAGAGATAAAGGAATAGAGGTCGCATATAGTAGCATAGAAATTTGTACAAAGTATTCTCATCAACGTGCTAATTTTGCTAAATTGCCTCTTGCCCCACGGAACAAGCATACTATGTGTAATAATATTTACCAAAGCTGCGAGTAGGAGTCTAGTAATAAAATAATTGCAAATGAAGCAACCATGATTCTTTCACAGCTCAGTTGGTGAGAGTTTCGTGTCCTCCCCAATTACTTATCCCAATTTTCCGTATTGCAAAGGTTCGCAAGTCTTGCCAGAGTAGTTCTCACCGGCAGCCATGAGATCCCAGATTCATGGATAGGGAGTTCTCTATACTATTCAAATTCTTTGATAATTCATGCAAAGTTGTTTGAGCATATGTTCATTCTGCACGAATTCTGTTCTCACGATCTTTCCCGTCCAACGTGTTTCCTGCATTTTGTGTACCCCTTCAGACCAACCTCCATTGGCCTCAAACCAACTGACTCAAACCAATCAAACCGGGAACCCCCCAGAGCGGTAGCAATACCACCGGGAAGCCTTCTCTCGCATACCACACCCCAAAGGACACCTGGCTGATCGAATAGACGGCTGCAAAGGCCTTCTCATACGGGCTTGTTAGTCCATGGCGGGCCCATTTTGTCGCCATTATCGCTATTCGCATTTGTCAGCTTTTTTGGGGCACTTTACCTACTCTTTTTCTCTACTTCTCTTTCTCCTTTTATTTCTTAGCTTTTAGAATCAACGCTAGTTACTGCTCTCCTTCCGTTTGCCATTCAATTGGATTGGCCGTTCTAATAGTATAAGATGCAGCTATAGAAGAAAGAAAGAGAGAATGAGTTATGAATAGAAAAGAATGGACCTACACATCAAGACAAAGCCCTGATTCAATTCCATCCAGCCGATTTTCGCCGCTACGAGGCCTGGATCTTTTGGATTTGCTTTCTTGATAGAGGGAATCACAACTTCGAGACCCATCTGCGTGTGTGCCGCCAGTGTAACGGCGGACAGTCCAGCGGCTGCATAGAGGAGGTAAGACGATGCTGATGAGATGGCCATTTTATGAATTCCTGGATACAAGGATGAGCCAAGAGACTTGAAGCTAAGTGAAATTTTCAAACAAGTTTACATGTATTCAAGAATTGGGGAGTGGAATGAAATTTTTGAGGTTTGAGAAGAGGGGAAACGGGCTCAGTTCATCGGAATCGCTTACATACTTCATCTCCCAGCGCTGCTGAATCATCCTATTGTTACATCACTGGCGTTTGCTAGGCTAGCAGACAGTATAAGCGAGCTAAGCGGTTTTCTTGAGACAGAAACCTCCTACTGCATGGCAGTTGCAGGATACTTCCATGTACTCAATATGTTCTCCTATCCAGTCATCCAGCCTATACAGATGCCTTTACTTGCCAATATTCCGATTGCCTACGGATATATTAATCATCTTCCCCGAAGTGAATCGGACTGTTGCCATGTTTTTGTGGGATAGCTCCGCAAGTCTTGGCGCGAACAATTGCCAATTTGGGACAAACGCCTCTCTCACTCTTGATTTGTCAGGGAATATGTCGACATGTCAGAATCACAAAGTTCCAAATCAAATTTCTTTTTCCGTTTAGCCAAGCACATAAAGGGATATAAACTACGCCAAGACTGCAATCGTGCCGAAGACGGAGCTTGTTTGCGGCATGAGCGAGTTGAGAAGAGCAAAGAGGTGCAGCACTTGCGCTGCGCGGAGAATCGCGGTGAGTCGTGTCCAGCTTCTCATTGAGAGAACAGCCATAGTAATTGGTAAAGTGTGATCAAAAAACACCTTCGTGTTCTCAGTGTTTGTTGACGGGAAGGCCATGTGGCGGCTACCATCGTCAAACAATCTTCGTACAAGGCGATGTTGGTGATAAGAAGTCTCGAAGAAAGGCGAAGGAGATTCCGAAATCCACAAGCTGCGTGAAAGCTCCCGACAAGGGATGTACGGCCAGGCGTCGGCAGACAGCCGGACCCGCAATCAAATTCCAAGTCGCTCAGGCCAATGAGACATTTTCCACGGAGCAAGACTACCTTATCTCAGTCATTATTGAGAATTTCACTCCTGCTCAAGAAAGGTTGTTAGTCCGAACCGTAGACGGTGCGGCTGCGTCTCTCGACTCTCGAGTCTGTGGTTCCTGGGTCACTCTACTTCCAAATATTGTAGCCCACTCTTTGGTACACCCGGAAGTGCTCCGATTTGCTATCAAATCGCTAGGTTACTCGGTTTTGAGAAGAACCCCACAGGCACTCGAAGCGTATGGCGAGACTCTCTTTTTATTGAAATCTACCCTTAGTGAGGCTGGAGAAATGTCCTTTGAAGAAATATTGGCCATAATACTATGCTTGACTCTCACTGAGGTATGGCAATGACCCCTGATATCAATTTAGATGCCTAACATTTCTTTCAATAGGTCCTACTGGGCACCGAGCATAATGGATGGTCAGCACACGCTCGATGCATTTGCACACTAGTTCAAGAGAAAGGCCCAGAAGCTTTCAAGACAGGCATTCCGCATCAGCTTTTTACGAGCTTCCGGATATTTATGGTAAGTCAAGAAACTCATATACATCAACAATGGCATCATTGACTTTGAAAGCTTCTTCGGGCAATTCAACATCGAAAAGAGAGCTTCCTAGACGAGCCTGCCTGGAAGATAGAGCCTTTCTCGTCCGAGCCGAAATCTTTAATGCAGAGTCTACTTGACCAGATCGCTAGTCTACCATCCCTTCTGCAGCGGCTTGACGCAATCTCTAGTTCCAATAGAGCTCATCAGAACGAGGAAATTATAGCTCTGCACAAAGATTTCGATTCTCAGATGCTTCGTCTCGAGGAATGGGAGGCAAATCTCGAAACTAGCTCCAATTCTAGGCTTTTTTGGTGGCCTGTGTCATCACTTTCGGACGACGAAACTATTTTTCCAATCTCATACGACTTTACGAATATCCTGGCAGCCAACACGATGTCTCATTATTGGAGCTTTCTCTTGGTCATACAAATCTCGATATCAACTCTACTAACCATTTCTAAAGAGAAGGAAATTAATGTGACTTACCTCTTGAAGCACCAGGCTGCGATCTCGCCAGAAAAGAGGGTGGATCTCGCAAGAGATATCTGCCAGAGTATGCGCTACCATCTCCAACCAGAGATGGGGTTGTATGGCCCCGCCGCAACGCTATTTCCCATCAACGTGGCACTGCAGATATTCAGAATGGAGAATAAGACGAAAGAGGCTATATGGTGTGGAGATTTCATTTCCAAACTAGAAATGATGGGCATACTACTTGCCTCGCATATCCCTTCGATCGAAGCGAGGGTGGGGAGATCTACATAAAAGCTATCCACTCTTTAATTCGTCAGCTAAGAATAGCATAAACAGTCTGAAGATCCATTTTTGCTCATGAATAATAGTAATGATCTATTCAGAATCACCAAAGCCAGCTTTGCTATAGTATGATCTGTTCGTAACTAATGTTTACAATTAATAAGGTTTATACTGCCATGAGAGGGAGAAGAGACATGTGAGAAAGAGTGTGAGAAAGAGTGAGATTACAACCATACCAATAAAGGTATACTCAGCCCCTATACCCATTTAGGAAATCACTCGCGCCAAGACTTTGGCAATAACATGCATTATGAGGTAAGCTTCAAGTTGGAAGAGCTCCCGAAAAGCAGATATAAACCGAGTAAGAAATCAAGTATAAAGGGACCCTTTTTCCCCTCTGAAATCCATTCTCAACTCTCAAAACTATTCCTACCTCCATCTTCTCGTTCTCAAACTCTTGTCCGTTGTCACAACTACAAAATGGCATCAAACGAAGAACAAATTCATAGCATGGTTCAACACGCCGAGTATGGTTCTCACCTAGCTCCTACTACAAGCAAACTATCTAACAAAATATCACAGAAAATTCTCATTATCCCACCAGCCATTGCCAACTTTTGAACACATGAAGGCTACCCTGCCACCTGGAGCCAGCGTAGTCATGATCGGTAAGCCATTTGCCACTGTTAACCCCCCATTGGTCCAGCCTTAACAATCACTCCTCTACAGTAACATGTTGTGATCCACGTGTCCTTCCCGATCAGTTCTTTGGTGGAATTGGAATGAGTATGTTCAGCGCCTTTCCTTAAACCTAAAGCCAAAGCCTGCTGACTATTGTGGTCCTTTAGAAGTCAGCGAAGTCAGAAATGCTGGTGGACGCACAAGCGAAGCTTTGAGATCGATCATCTGCATCGATAATTTGCTTGGCGTTGGTGCAGTCATTGTCATCCACCACACTGGTAAAGCTTCCTCTGCCCAATGCGTTGACGAACAGATACTAAACGGAATCATTGCCAGATTGTGGTCTCACTCACCTCCGCAACGACTATATCCACAGTGCTTTGACAGAAAGGGCACCTGAAAATGCTGCCGAAATTGCCAAGATGGAATTTGGAGAGATTCTTGAGTAAGTGGCCTAGTCATGAGACTTTGAAGAATTTGAAGCTGACTTGGTATTGTTGTAGTTTGAAAGCGAGTGTGATTGAAGATATGAAGCTTCTCAAGGATAGCCCATACCTAAGAAAGGACTTAAAGGTCTACGGATATGTATATGATATCAAGACTGGAAAACTTCAAGACGTCAATGAGTGAGGGTGCTTGATTGCTGGCTCAAAAACTTTGAAGAATTGCCTACCCTACAAGTTAAAAAAAAAAAAAAAAAGATCATTGTGGGCTTTCCATAGAAAAGGGGTGCATGGAGAGGTCATGTGGATGCATTGGGCAATACTTCAAATAGCAATCAATATAATGTAGCACTTTACAATGAAACATGTATCTGTAAAAAACTGCGCAATCGCATCTGTGGAATTGTATACTCATAAATATCTTGAATATCTAAATACTCATTTCCAAAGCACCCGTTTCCACATGTAAATCGCTGCTGTTGGTATCGCTGCTCATAATCATTCACGCTAAATCGAAATCTTACACGCCGGCCCCAGTTACTGAAATTGCGAATTGTATCCTAGCCAGTCCGACTCTGGATCTGGCATCCTCATGGATTCCCCTGTCAGCCCATTAACGCCCTGAGTTTGCCATGCTTGGCCGTTCCCCGTCCTTGGCTCCTGCAACTTGGGGTAGTTGAAGAAGTCGAAAATGTCGATATTATCGAGCTCGCTTAGGGAAGTGACTTGCGTTGACGTCGGCTCTGACCCTGATTGCCTCATCGAAGAGGTCAGAGTTGCTAGATCGTGAGCGCTCCTAATGACTGCTGTCAGTATACGGGATCGTAGTGATTAGAACAGTGCAGTTGACTATATCACTCACCTGCGCATGGCTGTAAAGTTCATATCTCCTTGCCGCCCTCTCTGGACAGCTCTGGACAGAATTTTGGCGTAGTTATTGGCTACTTCCCAATATTGCCCAATGTGGCCAAGAATCTCGATGAAGAATTCAATCTTGGGATCGACTGGGCAGCCTATTGAGGCTGCGTGGACAAGAAGCAACCTGGCGGCAACCCAGAGACCAAAGACGAATGGAGGGCCGAGATTATCTAAGCCGCTGGCTTCAAAAACGTCTCGTGCAATATCTGCCAAGCTCTGAACCGCGGACAAACATCGTTGCATGGCGTAATACGACGGGACGAAGAGATGTGACCTGACAGTCGGATACGCCGCCGAAGAATGCAGCCGTACAACGGACGTGACGTAGGCGCCATGCAACATGAACCAGTTTGCTACTCGACTACCAGGATCAGAGTGGCAGAGGGCGGAGATTTTGCTGTAGTCGCTTGGCAAACTCCTCAGCCAGCCATCGAGTGCGCCGTCTAATGAGCGGTAGGTGTTTCGCCAGCTTGCCACATCAGCAGAAGACGTAATATCGACGGGCGTCTTGAGGAAGTTGTGCACTTTGCTGAGTATCCTCAGGATTTCACAGTGGTAGGAGAAGCTGCCCAGGTTCTCCGGTTTATTAGTTGCATATCCTGTAGTGCCATATGGCTGAGACGACGAAATCCAGGAGCGCGTCTCAACAGGAACGTCTCTAGAAAACAGGTCGTAGGAACATGGAAGAACCCTCTGCATTTTTCTATCTTCCAGCATGAAATCAAACGTCGTAGTCGCTATTGTGGCATATCGATCAAGTAGATATACCATCCAGCATATTCGCCGGCGGCCTTCATCTTCAATCCACGAATCCGGCCGCCCAGCAGCAACTCTTCGTATCGACCCCGTGTGTGGTAGGTTGTCAGACTGGACTGACAGGTAGACGCTGCTTTCTTCGCAAAGCCCGAGCTGTTTGACGTTTTGCGCTAGAAGAGAGAGAAGGTTCCATCCCTTGGGTCCATTTGAGGTACCCAGCTCGTCCAAACTGAGAATGACTAGAGCCCTGAGTGCCGCAACGCTCACATTTTCCATTGCGTACATCTGGACGACTTGTCTTGACACAGCATGGTGATGGGCCCTCATTTCAGGAGACAGGCGAGGATCTTTTAAAAACCTCAACGTTGTTGCTACGATGGCGTGCAAAAGCACACGATCTGGCTCGTTCAAAGAAGTCGACCCGAAGAAGATGCCGAATATGGTTTTGCGGTCTAAGATTGGACACCAGGGGTTGCAGTGTTTGAAGTAGAGGTCGACAATGGTGTAGACGATGTCGTGAGGGGGAAAGTCATTAACGGCCGCGGATATAGATGAGGGGCCTCTTCGAGACGCTGAAAAGCTGGAGGACGGATAAGTCTGAGCATAAGAGTTGTTTACCGCGGATGAGTTTGAATTAGCATGAGATGGCATCCGGCCGTCTTGGTGGATGTCGCCGCCATTTGCATCCCACGCAGGGGCTACAAGGCTTGGCCTCGCCGTTGGAGTGCTCCTGGCAGCTCCCACGTGGCCAAGTCTTGAGCCATCTTGATGATAGGGGTCAGCTGGTGATGGCAAGTGGTTGCTGAGAGCTGGCGATAGCCCCTGAGCCTGCGAAACGGCCAGATGGTCGTTGGCAATGTGCTCTTCGACGCGCCGCCCCAGGCTCTGCAGCAACGCATCGATGCGGTTGACCTTGGCCTCGAGCTCCAGGCTGAAGCCGATGCGGCTGCCCGGTTTCTGCCTCTCTAGATAGACGCAGGTCCGATTATGCCGCGCACACCATGAGCATGCTGGCTCAGCGCGGTCACACTTAACCTTGCGCGCCTTGCAGAGCTCGCATCTGGGAGGAGAGAGAAGAGGGTCAGCGTGGCTGGTCTGATACGGCGGCTCGAGTTGTCACATTCACTCATTCTGAGAAGTCCGCAGTGACATGACTTGGCATGACATGAGATGAAATGACAGAGACAGCCAGAGGCGAGGCGAGATGAGACAAAGGCGAGTCAGAGAGGGGGAAAGCAAAACATACGACGTCTTCTGGTACTTGGTCCGCTTGCGCTTCTTGCTTGACGCGCCCGTTGAGCCGTTCTGCGACGACGAGGCAACGGCAGGCGTGGTTTCGTCGGCGCTGGAGCCGTCATCGTGGCTCGATACCGAGTTTGCGTCCTCCTCGGGCATTGATAGCGAGACTGGTGGAGGCTCTTCTACGGTGCGTGCTGCATGGCCGGGATCGGGATCGGGGTGATTCCACATCTGATATGATATGGCCGTGCTTTGATCCAAGCTCCTCCTTATCGCGCATGCAGAGAGACAACGCCTTTGGGGAGACTCTGCGGGCGATATCTCGTCATTCCTGGCTCCGTCACGGCGATTTGTCTTTTGGTGGTTTTGCTCTGCAAGGCTCGGAGGTGGAGGTGGGGATCAGTATCGTACAAGTATCCAGTCGCCTTTTTCTTTAGTAACGCTCTGTGCTTACGGGACCCCTAGCGGCTTTGTATCTGCTCAGTTACAGGCATAGCGGGCAGTTAGCAGGCTCCGTTACAGGCCCTTTACAGACATGGGCTGGCGCTATCGGCGCTACTATTGGCCCTGAGGTGCTGAATCATGCTCCAGGCTGCCAGAAAAAAGGAAGCTACGCATTTCTGCAATCTCCATCTCGTTGGTTGACCCTTTTAGCCATGATCCCATCCATCCAGTTCATTACTCGAGCTGGCGCGCAGGGTTCCGAAACAATGACGATGCCAATGATTGGGCCTTTTCCCTCTCCTCCCTCTCCTCTCCTCCCTCCCTCTTCTCCTCAATCCCTACAGAGGTGCCCTGTCCGTCCTGTTTGGGGGGGTAATTTGAGAGTCAATATGCCGCGGCTCGACTCCGCAATCGATTCTGAGGGCTGTCTCGCAGGCGGCCGGCCGGTACACGCCACTCTCCGTCTATTACTGCTACTGCTACTACTACTACTGACTATTACGATACAGTTCCACCCATCTAATCAATCTGGGCTGAGCGCTCGGAGCATCGTCAATCTCAATTGCACTCCTTTGTGCTAATGGGCCAAATGCCGAGTTCGAGCCCGAGCTGGCATCGCGAGCCACGACCAGAACCCGATACGCCTCTCTTGAATCATCATTCGCACACCCTCTCGCCCGTGCCTCCGCATGTTCCCCAACCCAGCTGCGTGCTTCGGGGTCGCTTCCGGGGATTCCCTCACTTCCAAAGATCTTGTTTGCGCCTAGCGCAGCGGCGTTAATAGCCCCTTGTCAGCGGGACGCGTGGTGAGGGCTACCACCATGAGGGCTTCGCTAGCCGTTCTCGTATCACTCCTCCGTTGGAGCACCTCGGAAACTAGGAAAATGCCCTATGAAGAATTGAGGCCTAGTGAAGATTTCAATTGATACCCCCCCGCCCGCTTCGGAGAGAATTCGCGACAGGCACATCGTGCGCTGCTGATTCCGCGTCGATAGTCGTATACCACGTATAGTGCTACTCCAAGAAGCAATCATCGTCGTCTAGAAGAATGCGGAGCAACAGAGTTTGTTCCAGCGGCCCCAATGGTTCTACCCACTAGCGGCCGAGGTGTCAAACAGCTTCTAAGCACACACTCTACTCCAGACAAGGAAAAGGATCAGCCGATATTACTTGGTGGGCAGCGAAAAACCCTCCTTCAGCGTGACCAATTGGCACGCTCTTAGCGCCCAGTGCTTCCGTTTTGCTATGCCGAGCAAAACGGAGCTCCATATCAGTGATCCTTCTCGACGATCCGCTCGCAACTCCACACTCGGTCTTGCAAAACCGAGCCACTGCATGTGCTGATCTTCGCAGCCGGTAAATCGACCCCGAAGCCCTATGAAGTGGGATCGAAACGGAGTGTAGAAACCCACAAGGGCCCGAGACACGCCTCGGTGAGCTTCCGGCCGTGTCGACGACTAGCTTCAATGTTCTCGGCCAACTCTAACTCTCACACGTGCCCGCCACGCGACGTTGCGAGAATTGGCAATATTTACAAGCCACGGCGCTTGCAGTCAGACGTCAGACCGTACAGTACCGAGTATAAGCTGAGTGACAGGGTAGCATGGGTGGCATCCATGTCACTGCACCGGCGTTCAGCTATCGGACCTTTCAAGAAGCAATGCAATGTACGATACATGTCATGATCGTGATAGGGGCCATGTACGGTATGCATGTGTGCGTGCTTGCTCGCGCCACTTGCCTAGTCAGTATCTCTCGGCCGATACACTCCGTGCACTCAATGTCTAGAAAATGGCAGCAAACCGCTCGTGGTATTATTTCATTTCTAGCCTAACAAGATTTCATTACATGCTTCCTTTCCCGTGAAGTATCCCATCACTCGTCGTTCAACCAGCCCTTGCTCATCTGAACCGCCTTCTCCCATCGAGCAAACCGCTTGCTCGCCTCTGCCTCCGAGATCTGAGGCTGGAAAATGGTGCGACCCTCGCTGTTTACGTTGTCAAGGTCCTCAAAGCTGTTCCAAACACCAACTGCCAATCCAGCTGCGATGGCTGCACCGAGCGCCGTGGTTTCGCGCATTGCTGGTCTGTTGACAGGAATGCCAATGAAATCGGATTGAGTCTATCATCGAGAGTTGTCAGTCAAACGTCCATGTTTCAAGTATTTTCTCTTCTCTTCTTCTCTAGCCTGGCTCCTGCACACGTACCTGCATGATCAGATCTGAGTTGCACATGCCGCCGTCCACGGCGAGTTCAGTGAGAGGCTTGCCGCTGTCCTTCTCCATAGATCGGAGGATGGCTTGTGTCTGGAAGCATGTGGCCTCAAGTGTGGCGCGAGCAATGTGGCCACGCTGGGTATAAGAAGTGATGCCAAAAATGGTTCCTCGGGCATCGTCGATCCAGTAGGGGGCAAAGAGACCGCTGAAAGCAGTGACGAATGTGCAGCCTCCATTGTCCTCAACCTCCTCGGCGAGAGCACTAAGCTTGGATGACGACTCGATGAAACCAAAGTTGTCAACCAAAAATTTGACACTGGATCCAGCCACAGCAATGCTACCCTCGAGGGCATACATTCGCTTGCCCTCGCCAAAATCAAAGGCAACCGTGGTCAGGAGACCGTGGGTCGAAATGACCGGCTTGGGGCCTACGTTGTACAGCAAGAAACAACCGGTACCGTAGGTGTTCTTGGCAAGACCTGCGGTGAATCCCTTCTGACCAACCAATGCGGCAGACTGATCACCCAAGCACCCAGTGATTTTGGTTCCCTTGAGTGAAGTGGATGCCAGAGAGCCGTATGCCTCGGTGTCTGAAGAGCGCACAATCTTTGGAAGGGTGACCTTCTTTGGGTCAATGCGGAACCAATCAATGAGCTCGGAGTCATAGTCAAGTGCCTCGAGGTTCATGAGCATGGTCCGTGAGGCGTTGGAAGGATCTGTGACGTGGATGTTGCGAGCAGCTCCACCGTTCAGCTTGTACGCCAGCCAAGAGTCGACTGTGCCAAACGCAAGCGTTCCTTTTTCATACGCCTCCTTGACTTCAATTACATTCTCAATGAGCCACAGCAGCTTGCTAATGGAAGGATACGTTGACAGAGGGAGACCGCATCGGCTGATGAGCTCGCTGGACCCAATGCGGTGCTTCAGCTTGCGAACCAGCTCTTGGGAACGAGTGTCGGTCCAGACGATGGCATTGTGCAGCGCCTTGCCCGTCGTCTTGTCCCAGACGACAGTGGTCTCACGCTGGTTTGTGATACCAACGGCAACAATCTGCTCGCGGGTGTGACCCTGCTTCTCAAACTCGACAACAGCGCCGTCAACACAAGCCTCTACAGAGGAAATGAGCTCTTCGGGGTCATGCTCATGCCAACTGCGCAATTGATAAGTTTGTCTTCATCTTGCTTGTCTCAGATTACGTGTGCATGCAGATCTACTTACCCAGGATGAGGATAGTGCTGTTGAAACTCTAACTGATGCAGGGCAACCACCTCGCCCCTCTGGTTGAAGATGAGAAACCGAGAGCTGGTGGTGCCCTGGTCTATGGCTCCAACGAAGGTGGGTCGAATCATGGTTTTGGATCTGCGGAATCTTTTGGACTTGAATCTCTTGGGTAGAAGAGATGAGAGCATTCACAAGATTGTGGTCCTGTTGTGTGAGAACAAGGCCAAGGAGGGGTAAGTATTGGGTGGCGAAAAGAAGAAAGCGAAGATGAGGAGGGAGAGGGAGAGGGAGACCGGGCAGAAACGAGGTCTTAATATAACAAGACACAACAGAGCAGAGCTGGCTATGCGATCACGACCGAGGACAAAAGGACAAGGGGAGACGGAAATTAGGCGTTATAATAAGAAAAGGGCCAGATGAGTGGTGTGGTACGAGGTGTGGCTTGGTAGGAAGTCGAGGCGCCTTTATGTCCCTCCCCAGGGGATGGGCTAGCAAAGTACAAGCAATAGTGGCTTCAGTGCTAGTCTCGCCTCCGGAACAATTACTTCCAGGAGGGAATCGAGGCTCCAGGGACAGTTGCTTTTAGGCAGTCTTTAGCACTGGCTTCAGCACTAAGGAGCCACATGGGAGCTACCCCTCAGTTCCCCGCCATCCACAGAGTCTAATCCGAGTCCCCAGATTGTGGAGGCGCAACGGTCACGAGGGAGGAGAAACGGCTGGAGAAAACGGAGCCGAGACCGAGAACCAATTTTAACTGAGCAGAGCAGATCAGACCAGACCGAGCTCGAACGGGTGGAGGGCCCACGTCAAATTGACGCACAACATGGCCGCCTTCAGATGCTACCTGACTAGGAGCTTTCGGCGCTACTTGCTTTTACTAAGGTGGTATTACGAGCACAGCTACGATTCACAAGGGACCGAACTACGTTTTCCCCATGGGCAGATGCTTGCCTCGGCTCAGCTAATGTGCTCGTATGTGGCTAGTCATGAAGCTGACTTGCTTCTTCCCGTCGAAGCAACAACCACAGCCCGGCAAGGATCCCCGCGTGATACCCGCATGGGCCTCCGTTTCGGGCATCAGCATCCCGAGCTCAGAATCCGGGGCCCGATGAGGACACCGCAAGCCCACATCGCGGAGAGGCCTTCTCGGGTCTGCCACCCGACCTAATGGGCGGCCATCATCAGCCCAGAGAGCCCTATGCTAGCCTCACTTCTGCTCGCCTAAGCTCTGGAACGCAGCTAGAAGCCGCTACGCTCGGGAAAACCCCAACCATCGTCG